TACGCTTATTTAAACAGCAGCAAACGCGTTTAAAGTTATATACTCTAAGGCTAAAATAATCTTACACTTTAACACCTAAAGTAACTAAAAATTAACTAGTAGACAAATAAATTACTACAATTTATAATAACTACGTAATAAAAAGCACTACCCTTAACGTAAGCACTAACGCATACCTGCTTAAAAATAAATTTCTCTTAAACTTAAGGGCGACAACCTATATTATAAATCAACTTAGACTACTCTAGAACATTTAGAAACTATTACTAAAAGACTATATCTAAGCTAGCAGTAATAAACTTTAGATTAAAGCATATAGCACAGTTACTCTAAAGCTATAAAAAGAAGACTAATCTACCTAGCTGCAGCTTTAAGACGTGGCCTAGTGCCTAGATATTATTATAAACCTAGTGTTCTTTAATATACTTAAGCAACAAAAAATATATTAGAATACGCAGAGCAACTCTACTATACTAAAGTATAGTAACTTATTATGTTTTATAGTGCTCTAGAAAAAACATAGGCAATTTATTATACTTACTATTAAAAAACACTTTGCATTTATTACTATAAAACAACGCTATAGCTATTAAATAAGCACTGCTTATAGTAACACGTAGTATTATAAATTTAGTTACTTAGAACCTAAGGCCCTTAAGCAACTTATACACTAAGCTAAGAAAGTGTAAATTACTTAAAGTATTTATACTATTAATTATAACGCATACAGATAGTTAAAAGCTAAAAAAAAGATCTATAGATTTTCTAAAGCAATTACTAAAGGCCTAAAAGAAAAACTAGCAATTAACTTCTATAACTTTAAAGATAACTTAATAATAGGTAACAAAGGCATTATGCTAATTACTAATTAATACTTAGGCTTCTGTTAGAGCTACAATTTAAAAGACTAAACTTAACTAATACTACTTTAACTGTTTAAATAAATAATTACCTTCTTTAAACGGCAATTTAATGTTAATGTAAAGGTTATTAAAAGTAATAATAAGATATTTTTGCACTGCAGTAAGACTACTATATATAGTAAGTTTTTTAACTTACTAAGTATTATTAAAAAGCTATATGCACTAAACACCTAAGCCTAAAATAAAAGCGCTAAACAATTAAAAGTAGTAATAAAAAAGAAAGCTTGCGCTATGCAACTTAAAGCTAAACTGCTAAAAAATTAGTAGCTAAAAATTATTCTTGCTACTGTGTACCTACACAATTAAACGCTAAACTATTAAAACAGCTAAAAATTACTATATAAGGTGTTCTTTACTTAAATTGCAAGTTAAAATAGCACCCTTATAGAGCTTTATAAGCTAAATCTTGCTTATCTTAAAGTATATAGCTGTAAAGCGTTTGCTATAACTAATAACACTTAGCTTAAACATTTTAAAATACAAAGGCTTAATTTAAAAGCTTAGATTAGCTACCTAGTAGAGTATTAGTCCTTAAACATCTATTGCATCTAGATACTATTACTAGGAAAAGTTATTAGCACCTAGAATATAGTATTTAACAAGAAGAAGATCTATAATAGTAGAAAGAAAAATATTAAAAATAGTCTTCTCTACTACACTACTAAAAAAATTGCTAAATAAGTAGAGAAAGCAGCACTTAAAGAGCCTACTTATTAACTACCTAAGACTTAGTTGTTTTACAAAAACAAGCTAAGTGTAAACTTTAGTAATTAACTAAATTATAGTAGTAGCACTATAAATTATAGTAACTTACTACAACAGCTAGACAAGGCAGCTACTAGAACACTAGTAGAAGTATATCTAACACTTCTAAACGTACTACCTCTGCTAGCAGTATTACTAACATAGCTTTTTAACAATTTAAAGCTAGATAAAAAGGCAAGCAATTAGCCCTTATTAAAAATAGTACTATAAAAAGCTGCGTTTATTGCAGGCACCTAGGTTAAAGCATTAACTATTAAAGATAAACTAGCTAGTAGAGAGAAGATCTATGCTAGTAAGCTTTTAGACTTACTAATAAGCTTTTTTAAACTTAAGAATTACCTACTACATAAATAATTTAAAAAGGCTAAACAAAAGCACCTGCAAAGCTATTATAACATAAAATTATAAGTAGAAGTTAATACCTTACTAATTTAATAAGCAGAACACTAAGTTCTTAACTATATATAGGTCTACACATATAAACTTAATAAAAATTACTAGCTACTTTAGTGTAAGGCCTAACTAGTAGTTTGTAGTAATTAATAACAAAACATAACAACTTAAAACACCTACGCAGCTACACTTGCTAGCAGGTTCTTTTATATATTAATAATAATAGCAGCTAAGTATAACCTTAATCTTAAATAATAAGATATTACTAACGCTTTTATCCACGCATTAATAAATAGGAAGATCTACATAAAAATGCTCTATAGCTATTAAAAGCTAAGGAAGATATTAAAAGTTAAAAAAGCACTATATAGCTTTTGCATCTTACTACTACTCTAGTAAAAAAAACTTACTACTACTCTATTATAATTAAAGTTTAAAACTATACTACACAAGCTGTGCTGCATAATAAAAGATAAAGTAATTATTTTCTTTTATGTAGACAACATTATCTTTACCTATAATTATTATAAAAAAAATTACTATAAAGCTACTATAAAGGCACTCTAAAAACAGTATACTATAACTAGTAGAGATAACCTCTAGTAGTTTCTTAGCGTAGAAGTTACCCGCGACTAAAAAAAGTAACTTATTTATCTATTATAGTTAGCATACGTAGAAAAGATTAGTAAGCTAATAAACAACTAAAGCGTTTGTTACAATACTCTTATAAAAGCAATTAAGCTAAGACTCTATAATAGGCTTGCTACTTTATTAGCTATTAACAGGTATTAGCGCAAGATTAGCTTATTACTTTTTACTGCTACAACAACGCGCCTAAACACTATATTTATAGTGTTCTAACTAGTACGCTTTCTAGTTAATCTTTTACTAGAACATTACTAGTTAGCTAACAGAATTCTTTTATTCTTTTAATTAACTAAAGATCTTGCCTTATAACTAAGTAGAGGTAAAAGCTTTAAAGTATTAAGTAATGCATTATTTGCAAATAATATAATTAATTGTAAAAGTTTATAAAGCTATATAATTAAGCTTTTTAAAGAACTTATTGCATAGAGAGCAAACAAGCAGAATATAGTTACTATATTAACTACTAAGGCTAAACTATTGTTGCTCTCTTAGGTAGCTAAAGAGGCAATATACCTCTTACGCCTAATTTAAGAGCTAGAGATAATTTTACTTAGCAAATTAATCTTTATCTACTGTAATAACATCTAAATAATTTAATTAGTAAATAAGAATATTGCAAAGCTTTATACAAAGCTTTAATATGTAGATATCTACAACTACTAGTTACAGCAGAAACGCACTAAAGAAGTAATAACTATTAAGTATTAACCTACTGCAGAAATAATTACAGATAGATTTATAAAGGCGCTACTTACTAATAAGTAGCACTAGTTCTAATTGCAGCTAAAATTAATATAAAAGGTAACTTTAGCTTGCAAAGAAGTTCTAAGCTAAAAGAGTATATTAAATATAGCACTGTAAATTACTATAAGCTACTATAAGGTCTTAAAGTAACGCCTAGCTAGACTAGCTACTAGGAAAAGCTTAGTGCTTAGCATACAGATTAGCTACACTAGATAATATCTCTTACCCCCCTTAGAGGGTAGGTAAGAACACATTATAATAAATACAATTATTAACTTTATTATTACTACGTATTACTGTGATATCTAACAAGCTTAGTTTAGAATATTATAATAGACTTTAATAAACTTATAGAAGATAAGTATTATTAATAATACTACGTTTTAATAAGATAAATTAGTATAATAAAAAGCTAAGACGTGTTTTATAAATGTAATACTATCTAGCTTAAAAAATAGTAATGCTAACTAGCTTTTTTTAAAGTAGTTCTCTAGCTTAGTAAAAAAATAAAATTTACCTGCTATATATTAAAAGAGTAAAAAGTTTTAAAAAATAGATTTTTAATAACTTAAAGTATTAAAAAATAAATAAATAATAAGTTTTTCTAAGTAGTAGAAGGCAAAGAGTTAATAGCATAATATATAGCTTACTAATTTTTAGCTAAAAAATTATAATATTTTAATTAAGTGTTAGCTTTTCTATATTGCTTTTACTTCTTATAATTTAAAGCAATTTTACTAAGTAAATAATATAAGCAGCCTGCTTAAAAAATTTTAGTAAAAAAAAAAATTATAAAAAGCTAGTTATAAGCTATACTTAGCTTTTATTTATTTTTACTATTTTACTATAATACTTTTTTAAGCTATAGTTATTAAAGTGTTTAGCACCTGCTAAATTATTAGTAAAGTAAGTAGAAAAGTAAACTAATTTTTTTAGTAATGCTTTTAAACAGCACTCTTTATTATATGCTTTAATAGATTAAAGTATAAATGTGTTTTTACATTAATATATAGCACCTTTACTTAAAGAGTATATTATAATTTTAGCATTATTAATAGAGCAGCTTTTTTAAAAAAAGTAGTTTTTCTATTAAAGTAAATGCCTAGTAAGCGTTTCTTTGCTTATAATGCTAAAGCAAATAATATATAAAAAATAAACTTAATTATAAAAAATATTTAGCTTATTACTAGGCGCAGCTACTATTATTATAACTAAGATAAGCGTGCTCTTAATAGTAGATATGTGTAGATTCTTATAATAGCTAGCTAGTGATGTCTGAGGCCTATATAGTCCTATGGCCCGTGCTCCATCACGTGCCTGTATCCTCACAAGTTGTGATAGTCGTTACTTTGTATATATTGTATAAGAAGCGAGCTGACAGAGTGAAAGTCTGCTTATGCATGTCCAGAACTGATAAATAAGAGATCATGCTAGATAAATCCGAGTATTGGGTCAGTCTCAAAGTATGGTCTTTCAGTCAAGGTAAACACCAGTCCATATACCCAGAGCAATGGATATATTCAGTCATCATGCGCGAGCGGCAGCGCGAGCCTTTCTCATAGAACACACGGGCCCAACCGCACGACCCATAACCTTCTGCAATGTTTCGTCGTCCTCCTCCCACCACTTGTCCAACACCTTCAACCCACGCCGCGCCATCTGCGCATCACGATTCCGATACACAGAGTCGATTTTTCGCACATCCGTCTGATCACTAACAACCCATCGTTTCTGATTGGCCCTAAATTCGTCATAGCTAATGCCGCCGTAGACACGTTTCACGTTAGCGGCGAGGTGCTCACGCACGCGGGCCAGGTTCTTTTTGTGTACTTGTCCGGCACGAATGGCAATCGCAGGCCGTTCTTGTGGCCAAATCGTACGGGCGTCGTACCAGAGGAGAGTTGTAGATTGAAGAACTGCGAGCAGAACTATGTTTAGGCCGACGTGGGTGAGAGGTTGTAAGTCGAGGTTGAGGTAGGAGAGCTGTGGGCTGGAGAGGACGAGATCATGAAGTGTCTGGGCGGAGCGATCGGTTATCCAATTGTACCTAGTGAAGTGTTAAGTAGGGTAGAATACTGGGAGTAAGAACATGGTATAATCACCTGGAGTCAAGATCTTGAGTACCGTATTGTTGGCCCAGGTCGAGTACAGAGATGGTGGGATGACCAGTGAGCGCTTGGAACAAGGCAATTGCGCCATCATCGCTAATACCACACGAAGAAATCATCAACCGCGTGAGCGATTTATTTTTCTCCAACCCGGAAGCGAGAGCAATAGCTGCAGAGTTGCCGAGAGGATTATTGCTCATGTATAGAGATTCCAACGCACATTGGGGAGAAGTGAGGAATGTAGCTATAGCAGAGGCAGCAGTGACACTGACGCCCACTGCGTTGATGTATAGATGTCGCAAAGGCAGCCGTTTATCGGTGGCATGCTCTGCAAGTTTTGAGAACACCTCGGCAATGCCAGCATCACCAAGTTCGGTTTGATCGAGATCCAAGGTCCGTAGATTTGGTGTTTGTGTGACCAGTCTGAATACATCGTCTGCGGCAGCAGACAATAGCGGATTTCGCTTGAGCCATATGTTCGTGACCGAGGTTGACTTTGTCCACTCATCAACTAACAACTTAAAGCCGGCGGTGTCGATGCAATTCCCAGCAAGATACCACGTATCCATGCGATCGGGAAACTCCTTGCAGAAGTCTGCGATAGCGCGTGCTCCTTGAGGACCAATGATATTATTTCCCAATAAGAAATGGGTTACAAATGTATTAGTCTTCAAGCTGTCAATGAGACGATTGATGTGGGTTGGTCCAAGAACCATTTTGCACAGATCCATACGACGATCGGAATAAACCACCCCTTTCTCAAACTCTAGGGATTTAACGTTGTAGTATGGCTCTTCAATTTCCAGGGCCTCATGTTTAGCCCGCACGGTTGAGTCTTTCTCCTCGGTCCCCCCAAGGGAAAGATGCTCAAAAAAAGGTTCCAGGGTAGTCTGGTCTGCAATTTTGACAGGCATAGGCAGGGACGGGGCACCATTCAACGACCAAGGATCCATCTCAGGGTCCCAAGGGCCCTGTTTGATCATGCGCTTGCCCCAGTCGTAGAGTTCTTTGCGAGCAATGGCGTCACTGATCACTCGCTTGCGCTGTGTGAGAACCAAGCGCCTGAGCAAAGTGATGTCCTTTTCATATCGAATTAATGCGCCCAATGGATCTTCTTTGGATGGGTATAAGATCTGAGAAACCTCTCTGGCAAGGGCAGCAGCATCGCGATTTGCGGCACGCCGGCGGGGCCTAACATGTTGCGCAAAAATCAGCAGTGCTTAAATTGAAAGTTTTCATAGATGATCAAAGTATGCAAGAAGCACAACATTCAGATACTCCTGGTATTCGGGACGTACGTACGCTTCCATGATTTTCTCATCGATAGTGGCGGACATGGGTATTTCCACATGCTGATGGGGTCCTCCGTCTAAGTCTATCAGATCCAGCTGATTCCGAATTAGACTAGCCCACTCATTTGCCGTGAGCTTCAATGAGGCGGGTTGGTCCAGTATCGTAATTGTCGTCGCGGAAGTCATTGTGCTCGGTAGGTAGTGATAGAGTCGATTGATGTAGTTGTTCGAAAGTGACACCTACGAGTAGATTTTATACACGCATGAATACAGGGCGGAAATTGAGTCGGTTAGTCTTTGAAGATGAGTCAAGATATGAATTATGTTGGCAGCCGCTTACCAAGGGCGGTCGCCTTATGGGAAGGGCGGCCAGGCACACAGACAGTTGCCTATCACGTGGCAGGGGGCCGATATACACACATGCATACTCGCTCGCTGATTGGTTCGCTTGAGAAGAGTGATCATCCCTGTCTGGCTTACCCAGTTCCTACGAAGATTCTTGTCTGTACAAAGAGGAGATATGAGAGAGGCATTCTGAGGTTCTCTGTTATGTGATGCTCCTATAAATCAAAGAATCACCAGTCAATCCAGTATTTAGCTCGTTGATGAGGCATTATTCAGCAGGTCCAGCAAATGGCAACGTCAAGTAGCAGCTTAGTACACTGTTATGTACATAAGCCACAGAGTGTGCAAGACATTACAGCCCGATCTCTATGGTATTCGATCGATAGTACATCTGTCAACGTTCTGGTGTATCGCAATCTACCTGGCGGCGGTTCCTTCGAGGCAATGAATGATGGGTGATTCAGATGTGATGATCCAACAGGACGTGTCTGAATAGAGTGGAGCTGCGAGCGACAGGCGGGCGAGGATGAAACGGCGAAGGTTGTCCAACTTCTTCCGCGTGTGCCATGTTGAGTGCTGGCTGGACCGTGGACCCAGACGGTGAATAGGTAGATGGCTACATAGGTACATAGCCACTGGAGGACTGTGTGGATGTCTGTGTTGGAGCTCACGGGGAGGGAAACAGGAAACAGGGGTAAACTGCTGGTCGCCCCACACACCGCTGTGACATAATGCCTGCTTGCCGCCTGCTTACTGCTACCCCAGATGCCAAGACACTCCTCCTTCATCCATCCGCACCACATTCCTCTATACTTACTCATTTTGTTCTACTCGCTCATCCTCCCACCAGCACTCGATTGCAACTAAATCCATTCTTCCTCGATACGCCCTGCTCGCTCGACCTCTACTACGACCCTCACTACCAACAGTCCACGCCTCATCGATTCGCTGCTTCGCGCTAACTCCAAGCTGATCGCGCGACCTCGCCTCGCCGATATACCCGTCCCCTCCCCTCGCATTCAACGCCATGCCTTCCCAACGAAGAATGCGCGTCACGAGCCTGGTCATTCTCCTCGTCATTGTCGTGGTTTTATACATGACCACCTCAGCCAGCCGCACCCAGAATTCGGCCTTCTACGTCAAGACACAAGAAGCCCTCCAAGCAAACCAACAGGCCGAGACGGTAAAACAGCAACAGGATGCTGACGACGCGAGAACGCGCCTCAAGGTAGCAGAGGAGGCAGCTAAGAAGTCGGCGGACGAAAAGCATCAGAAATACCTCGAGTCGGTAGGCGGTAGTGGGACGGAGAACAAGGGCAAGAGCGTAGGCGGCGGAAAATTCAAGGTACAATTACCGGATGGCGATGAAAGAAAGAAAGGAGTCCCCGGTGTTGCTGCCGTCGGCGGAAGACCGCGCGACAAGCAGTCTCAAGAGACGGAGACGCAGGAGGACCACGAGATCGAGACCGAGTTGAATGACATTTTGAAGAAGAGCCCCAGTAAGAGCATGGCCCTTTCTACATGTCCTAAATGTCTCTTCTTGCTAACATACATAACAGTCATCATTTTCTCCAAAAGCTACTGCCCACATTCCGCCAAGGCCAAGCACATCTTGCTCGACAAGTACAACATTGTCCCCGAGCCGTACGTTGTTGAGCTCGATATACACCCATTGGGGTTGAAGCTGCAAGAGACCCTGGCAAACAAAACAGGAAGGCGGACCGTACCCAACATACTGGTCCTCGGAAAGAGCATAGGCGGAGGCTCCGAGATGCAAGAGCTAGACGAGGCGGACAAGTTGATAGACACGGTGAAGAGTATGGGAGGCAGCCGGGTCACTGAAGTCTTGCGCAAGGATTCACCAACACCAAAAGAAATTCGTAAGAGGAGAGTGGTGCGGCTGTGAGGGAAACGCCATGATTAGCCTTCATGCACTCCCCCCCTTTTTTTCCTACCGTGTACATTGACCTTCCCTCTACTCGTGGTGGCGCTTTGCGGATATTGTTTGTTGTGGGCTGGGGGCGTTTGGAGTTCGGAATGCACTTCTCAAAAAGATGCTCTTTCTTGGTATACCCTTGTTCAATGCGACTAAAATTCCCCTCGACGCCTTTTTATCTTTTATTCGTTACCCATGAACCGTTGTATCGTCGTCACTATTATAGCCATTCGTCTGAGCATGCTTGGGAAACTACGGTTCGGCTGTTGAGGCAGTCACACCCCCGATTGTTGTTACCTAGGTACTTTCCAACCGGCCTGCATTGCATTGCACTTCCCCGACCCAACACCCGCCCTCTGAGCACTATCCGTACAACAACAACAGCAGCAGCAACAAAAACAACAACAATAGCCATAACACTACAACACCACACTTCCCGCCACCTTGGAATTGTGCTCGCACTCACCTCCCTCATAAATAAGGCCACACACGGTCACATTGCGTGTTCAAGGCATCCCGAGCTCCCCCCGAACCCCCCGAACCCTCTGTCGTTACACTATTCATGATACAGTGAAGAAAGCCATGTGCACCTACTTCACCCTGCATTATAGATGCACGCACACGCGAATATCCCATCGTTGCCCCGCCTCAAGGGCCGCCACCGAAATCCCATCCACAAATGAAGACCGATCGCCAACAACCTTCCGCTGCGGCAATGAACACTTTCTGGAGGGAAATTTGGACGACGACTGTATCAGTTGCAAGGTATCACGTGGGGTCGTTCCGGGAAGTCAAATGAGCGGATTTCAGGCCTGGGCCCAAGGAAGTCGTGCTTTGCGTAGTTCAACGCCTCGGGTAGAGAGGGGATCGAATGCAGGCTCTGGAATCAGTGGCAAAGAAGCTGGAAAGCGGGCTAAAGAGGAGGTGCATGGGCTTGTGAGCTTGGATCCGCGGCTCTTGGACAGGTCCGGGTCCGACCCAGATCTGTACTACCACAGAAATGGGGGTGAAAATGCCGAGACTGGTGCCAAGCAAGGGTTGGTCACTCAAGCGGGTTGCAATCGACCACGAGCGTCGTCAGATACCCAGGACTGTACATCGTGTCTTCATCCGGCTCATGTTGACAAAACTCAATCAACGGAATTTCAGATTGCCGAAGGTTCACCACCCACAGTTACCCAAGAAAACGAAGGGGGCTCAAACCGCATGAGAGAGATCTTTGAACGTCTAAGCGCCTACAGCAGATTTCCGTCTCCACCAATCTCCCGTGTTGACTCTCCGCAGCGCGGAGTTGATATGCAGGGTGGATACAAGGCGGACAGCACTTCGTACATCAAGACCCTGCCGTCGCCCAATTCAATAGCGAGCAAGGGTCGGAAGCGCAGGTTAAGCAACTTATCTACCTCGTTTCCCGAAATATCCCCAGAGGAAGTAAAAGAAGAGGGGGGTTTCGAAAACCCCAAATCGATGGGCGATAATCCTCTGGGATACTTCACTAAGCATGATCTATTGGCCGTCAAATCGCCACCGATGGTTTCTACGAGAAAGCGTCAGCGAAAAGCTTGAGCATTCAATTCATGAAAGTTGGAAACAGGCTCCAAAACCAGTACACAGTTTTCGACGAGGCGAGGTTTCGTCTCTTTCTTTCTGATGATATATGCGTCTTTTAACATAATATAGTAGCATTGCCCTTGTTTTCGGTTGAGAACAACGTTGCGACTATGGAATGGTTTCTCTGGTTTGGTTGGAACATCGTGGAGGGGATACGCTTGGGCAGAGGGGTTTTTATTTGGTTTTCTCGGGATTTCTTTGGGGGTTTTTTTTTGTTAAACATTCCGAATTCATGGTCTCATAATTCCATCCATGTCACAGAGTCTTCATGTTTCCACTCCCATATCTCTTCTGACTCTCCCAAGTCGTCCCTCACTTTCATGTTGGGGATCCGGCCGTTTCTCAATACTGTATGTGAGGATTGAAAATAAATTCAGTCCATCGGACAGTGACCTCTAAGACAGTATGCTAAATGAGACTCTGTGCAGGTGCTCCATCACCATCATCCAACCTCAGCCCGCAGCGCATACAGATCAATGCATAGGCGCAGTTTTCTGTCCATTCATACCCGTCTCCATCTCGAAACCGTACCCCCAAGTTTAGGTTCCACCGCTGCCACACCCAATGTAAAGCATTTCAGTCTCTCCAAGAAGGAGCAGAAATCTTTGAGCGACTGCTCGTGTTGTTTCCACTCCGACTACGGCCGCCACCAGACCGTCCTCCATTTTCTCGTCCCGTGCTTCGCGGACTCCTCCCTCCTCTAGTTGCACCATATCTATATCCATCATCAGCGCCGACGACACCATTGCTCTTATCGTTGTCTTTCGAGACTGGTCCCGGTGCTTCCATATGGCGGCCGAACGAGCCCATCTTCCATGCCGCGAAACCTGCGTCGGAGATCCCAAGCGCTGAGGGGGGAGCATTGATGGTATTGTTTGCGGAGAATAGAGCTGGGCTCGCTACAGGAAGGGTATTCTTTCCGGTGCTGAAGTCGTTGCGATTCTGGTAATTGCTGCGTGCAGCATCCGCGGAGGGTAATCCAGAGGAAGGACCCCTACAATGTACGGATTTTTTGGTGGTGGAGTTGTCGATGTTACTGTTGGCGTGAGAAGCGGAAGATGCGAAGGGCGGTCCTCCGGAGGCATGAAGGGTTTTTTCCGTGGTAGAGTTGCCGTTGCCATTGCTGTAGCTTTTGTTGTTATTGTTGTGACCGCCGATGGTAGTGTGTCTCGACTTCTTGCGACCACTGCTAGCATCAATCCACGCACCACCTGAACACGTCGTCAAATTAGCAATGATTCCCAGCCCTCTGGCGAAAGTGTAGACAGGAAAGAAAAGAAAGATGAGAAACTTTACCTTCTCGCCTCGCTTTCTCCCTAACACCCCTCTCCATCTCCTTCTTCTCGACCTCCTCCTTCCTCTCGCGCTCCGCTCGCTCCCTAGCTAGTTTCCTAATAGCCTCTTCCTTCTCCTTCTTTCTCAATTTTTCTTCTTCCTCATTTTGCTTCTTCTCTTCGAGTGCCCTCAACGCGCCCTCAACGTCCTTGCTCCTCTCATTGCTCACCTCTGCCTGGCGCCGCTCTTCGAGCGCTTCTCGCACCAGACATTCATAGCATTGGAAGTATGACGGCCGGGGGTCCGACAAGGTTTCGCTGGAGGGGCAAGGGGTCGAAAGTTTCGAAAGGATGTGTGTGCGGCATCTGCGGAATGGATTTTTTAGTAGAATATAATGTGAGGATGAGCTGGTCGCGGGGAAGGTCAAGGAGAGGAGATGATTGACGAACCGCTCAAGTTGAGTTTTGGAGCGACAGCCACATGTGTGGAGTTTCTGATAAAAGATGCACATAGTTCTTGTTGTAGTTGGAGTTGGAGTTGAAACTGGAGTTGGGGTTAGGTTGCGGTCCGGAGGTTGCAAAGAGGGAGAAAGGACGACGGGGGGAGGGGGGGACCTGATTGCTTACCGTCGCCGACAATAAATAAGTGAGATAGCTGCCAAGAGAAAAGCTCTCAAAAGCTTGCTGAAGCTAAAGGATAATGAAAGGTAAGTGACTGGGGCAAACTGTAGACTGACAGCACCTCCGTTTTGTAGAAGTGAAAAATGTAAGACAACACCATCAAGTTCCACCCTGTGTCTTGGGCCCCATTCGCTACTTCCTCCTTTTCCCTCGCACATGTCTCGTGTAGCCATGGTATGTGTGGTCCGCCCAGTTGAATAAGAAAAGAGCTATCCCGGTAGTCGGAGCGTTCCTACCTGCCCATACTGAACAATGAAAAGCACAGGTAATATCTGGCTAACGAAAAAGCGTGAAACAGTGAGTGCACACGCACGGCAGTTTCAAATTCTGCAATACATACAGCTAAAAACAGCCAGAAATCGACAATTCGTGACACATTGTTCGACCTCTCTAGACCAAAATACAACTAAAGATCGCAGTCTGGCAAACAAAGTGCTATGTAGCTATAGGTCTGCATAATATACCGGGAGTGCGAACAAGGAAACAAATGAAATTGTGTGATTATCTAATTTAGCTGATTTGTACAAACGCGCAGTTACCTTCCATGAAAATAGAAGGGGAGAACAAATGTCACATAAAAAACTTGAAGGACTAAAGAAAGGAAAATCTGAATCTGTATAAAAAGAGTGCCTCACCACTCTTACTCAATAACCTCCGCAATATCCAACATCTCCACAACCTTTCTCAGCTTGCCCACCATGGTGTTAGCTTGTCCAACCAGTAGCAGCTTTTCTGCGTTCGCTGGCAAGCCCAGATACGTGGGAGGTTCGCGCTCTGGCAAACCATTGACCCACTTGGTGAAGTCTTTCCAGCCAGTGGCCGAAGGCAGTTCCAGACCAGCGCTGTGCTCTGTATCCTTGACGATCTTGAAGCTTTCCTCGAAGGCGATGGGCGTCATGCATTGCTCAACAATGGCAGCGAGGGTGCGGTAATCGGATTCGTCGTCAATCTTGCCGCCGTACATTTCCGTGATGAGAGTGCGGATCATGTCCCACGGGATCTTGTTGGGAGCCACGTTTGACCGGCCTTGAGCGACCCAGTCGATCCATGTATCAATGATGAAGCTAGCGCATTCGTACTGAGAGTGGGTTAGTATACTCAAGAAGTAGGTTGGTAATAAGTTAGACCAGGATACTTACATCACTGTCATTGAACTCCCAAAAGCCTTTCCATCCCAAGCTCGGGGCGTATCGCAGACGTTCTTGAACCACTGCATGGAAGAACGACAAACAGAGATAGACACGGGCCTTCTCGACTGGTTGCTTGTTCGCTTTCTCGGCTAGTGAAGACATAGAATCTTTCATATTGGCTCGTATACCAGCGGGTTGCTCATAGGACAGCACGCGAGACGCGCGAAGAAGGTTCACTGGAATCTTTGGACTAGATTCCATCGATAGGAATAGACGGAAATCAGGGTTAGGCTTCAGACCTTCGAGTCTCTTTTCCAAAGACTGGAGCCACTGGGGAGCCAGATGTACGTTCTTGATGAGTACCCAGTTGCCAGTCGTCGCAGCATTGCTGATAGCTTTATCAGCAGAAGCGGCACCTTCTGCGGAGCCCATGGCGATGTTCGAGCAAGTAACGCGCTCCCTCTCCACCAGATTGTCGACCTTGTAACTAGCATCGAAACCAGGGCTGGAACTGAGTGCGACGGGGGTGACAGCATTGACTTGTTTGACGATGTCACCCAAGTCACCACTTGCATCCAGGATATCTTTGCCCAGCACGACAGTAACAAAACGCTCCACAGCAGGGACAAATCGGTCAATGCGGAACAGTTTGACGAGAATGAGTGATCGAAGGTGTTGGTCGAATTTTTCGACATTCTCGGGCCATGCGGTCGGCACATGATGTTCGCCCAACTCTTCATTGAGAAATGCATCCCACGCGCTATCCTCAATCTTCTCAATCTCGCCCTTGAGGACTGGTATCTTGCCAGCGCGGACCATGACCGCTTCCTTGAGCTCAGGCTGAGTGGATACATCTATGCCTTCCAGGTCATTGTCCAGGATTGTGTCGATGAGAGACTTGTCCATTTTGTAGGGCGAGGCCTGCACGAGTAGCATTGCTAGCGTAACGCGGTCTTTCTGAAGAAGTGAGAGTGACGTCCGGCGATACGTGTTGATAAACATTTCTGTGATGATTTGATCAATGCGAGCAGCATGCCCCGAGATACCCGAATTTCTGACGCTCTGTAGCACAGTCTCAAATATCTGTGTGAAGTACTGCAGCGAGAATTGATAAAAGTGGTTGAGATGGTGAAGCTGTTCGAGTACCGCAAAGATTGCCGAGCAGGAACGGGCAACGACAGTGTATTCCTTCGTGATGGTTTCCACCTCAGTCATAACACCAGCAGTCTCAGAGACTTTGGCGGAAATTTCAGCCGCCTCCTTCTTCAGGGTTTCCAGAGTCTTAATGACGTGATCGTCGTCAAGAATGTTTCCACGAGACTCATTAAGGGCTTGAAGGAGGCGCTTTTCAAGCTGGCGGAGATGAACACTGAACTCTCCCTGCATCTTGATAAGATTGGAACGGCGTTCATCAACATCAGGTCGCTCAGATTTGAGCACTTCGTTGAGTGTCTGTGTTTGTAGACTGCTCTGCGTGACGGTAAAGTTGGCAAAGGTGGTACGAGAGCAAATGTCCGGTGCGAAATTGGCTGAAGGATCGCGGGTAGATAGATAGAGCCGGAAAGTAGGTGAGAAATCGATCTCTTGTTTACCAAGTTGGATAAGCACACGCCCACCAGTTTTCTGGTATTCCTTGTTGAGAACGTGATTGAGGATTGGATCCAGGTATTCAGCATCCTGGATCAAGATTGGGTTACCGAAACGTAGAGAACTCTCGAGTTGCTTCGTGAACGAATCATCGAGGAAGCTGGTTACAGTCAAACGGCGATCTTTGCATTCGTTCTGCAAAAATTCTGCGGTTCTGCCTGAAGGATCGATGATAAGTGGGTATCTGTTGAAGCGCTTCAAGATTATCGCATTCTCCGTGCAAAGATCGTCGACGGGCAGGCCGTTATGCTGCCAGGTAAGCCTCTCGTCGGCCGTGGAAAGATACTCCGTGAAAGGATTCGGCGTCTTGTACGTGATGCCGGATAGCGAGAGATGATGAAGCCAGTCCTCCGTCATCAACTTTCTGAATTGTTGGTCGTAGTATCCGCTATAAGCGATGAAGGCGGCCGCGACAATGACATCACCAACGATGGTGTCGATTTGGGAATCAAAAGAACGGCTACTCTCCTCCCAGCGAACGCGCTCTGACGATAGACTGTCAAGCAACTTCAAACTTCGTGTAACTTTGGATTCAACTGTCGTCATCTCTGTCTTGATCTTTTCAGTCTCGCTGATAAGCGCTGCATATTCCTCCTTGTATTGGCCGATACTCTTTTCAAGATTCATGATAAGATCCTCGGTCTCTTGAGCTTCATCCTTGGTTTGCTGTGCTGCTGACTCTAGGTTCTCCACCTCCTGTCTTAGTGGGCCCACGCGATCAAGAATGTCGGAGTAGATAACTTGGGCTTGAACCCACTGTACAAGCGGACCACATGCCTTGGAGGCGTGGTTTACTTTCTCAAAGGTGAATTCTTCTCGGGAAAGATATTCGGTCTGCATCTTCCGTCGATGGCCTGCAGTCATCTGTTTTGCGTTGTCAAATTGAACGATACTGGCAATGAAGTCGTCGCGCCTGATGATGGACTGGATAACTTTCCAGTCAGTGACTTTGTGTCCGAGTAGTGTACAAACTGCCTCAAGCGTGAGCTTGACACTCATTGGAGGTTTGCCCATCGATCTGACTTCTGTGAGATGCTGGCGCTTGATGCTCTGCACACTCTTTTGCGCCTCCGCGACAGCAGGTTCAGCGGCCGCCAGGTCGGTCATAACAACCTCTTGTCGCTTTTGGATCTCAGCCTCATCAATCGCAAGTTGAGCTTTGATCTTTATTGAGCTCTCCTGCTTTTTCTCTGCCTCGCTTTGATCTTTCATCATCTGCTGCAACTTGGCGTTCGCCTCGGCATTCTTCTTCTCCAGCTGCGTCTTCTTTTCAGCCAAGCTTACTCTGAGCTCCTGCACCTTGTCGACTGTTTCATGTAGCTTCTCCAGACCAACATTAAGATGGCGCTGCTGCTCTTCCAGATCCTCACGCTTCTCGTTGTATAGCTTGACGTACTGTGCAACGAAGTCCAGGAAGTGGCGAGGTGTTAAATGTGTCTTTCTATTCTGTTGTTTCATCAACTTGTTGTTGAAGCCGTGCAAAGAGTGGTGAATGTAGACCATGGCGTTAACCACGCTTTCACGGTGGGATGGCGGCAGACTAAGGCCACGATAGGCGACAGGAATGCTGTCGGGTGCGTTGTAGTTGGGTCTGTCTAAATCGATTGATTGAGTGAGCTCCGAGCCGACTTGATAGAGTGCTTGATCAGACCAGTCACCGAACCAATTCAGTACGCAACGATTGAACAAAGCTGGACTGGTAGCGGCCTTGGATGATAGGCCTTCCTCGGGCGGGTTCATCGTGAACACCACGTGCAAATTCTTTACGATTTGTTCTGTGAACCACTTATACAGCTCTTCCTGTGAGTCCAGAATCGTACCTTGTCGCTGGGCGCCTTCCTTGATTGCAGTCATCAGCGAAGCGTACTCATCGCCTTCAAAAAGACCAGGCACCTCAGCGTTAGCAAGGAGGGTGTTCATGCGTTCCAGGAAACCAGAGTCGAGCACGTTTGCTTCATCCATAATGAAACAGATCTTCTCGCCCTTGCATCCACAACGCCTAAGCACGTTTCGCAAGTCTTCGTCAAAGTCTTCACCAGAATATTTGCCATGAACCTTGATTTGATAAACCTTCAAGCCATTCATCCAGGCAACAAAACGTGATAGCGTTGTCTTTCCCGAGCCGCTGACACCGATCAGAATAAGATGGCCCTGTGGCTGGCGGAAGACACGGTCGATACGGAGGACATGCTCGAGCACGTCATTGAATAAAATCAGAGGGACGTCGACCTCTTCTTCGCAGAAGGTCTTCAGACGTGCTTTGACAAAGTCACGTAACTGATCACGTTCGACAGGCACATAATTCTTGGATAGCCAATTGGAGAACAAGATAGGTCCAGCAAGTGCTTTGTCTTCGTCGATCGTCGGGAAGTTCTCCAAGGCCACGCGATGCACGCATTCTTCAGTCCACTTCCGTTCGTCTTCAGCAATAAGACGATCTTGGAACAAGCGAAGGGCCTCGTGTGCCCAGATCCGTACCAAGCCTTCCACGGGGAGAGTTTCAAGAGGGCGCAAAGCCTCATAAATACCCCGAACCCATCTTGTCAACTCACGCGGCGAGTAAACGTAATGGGGTTGAATGTCTGGGGTGAATTTCTTTTGTGATTCGAGGTAAAGTTGTACCATAGCTTTCGTCAGGGCCTCGGCATAGCCGCGCAAGGTAGGGATAATCTTGAGAACAGCATTATTGAATGTGCCGTAAATCTGAAGCAGCGACTGTTCGCCAGGGTAATCAACCATGACGAGTGGGGCGTGACGCAGGAAACGCAGGCCCATCGGCGTACGACCAGCGTCCGTGGGCGGATTACAGGCACCGACGAATTGTATGCGGTCAAGAGTGACCCAAGTTTTATCGGAGGTTCTCCAGAAGCCATTCTGCTCAACAAGTTGTCGCAGAAAGGCGATGGCGCGTTGTGTCCCATATTTGTCAGGAGCTGGCAAGTTAATTTCGTCACAGAAGATGATAAGCCAACGTCCAACTTGGGTGGGTGTGAGTTGAACACCATTGAGCGTCTTCTTGTACTCGCAGTACTGCTCGAACGTCTTGATCAATAGATCTGGTGTAGTGGCGCTAGAGAAGTTGAGACCGACGACCTGCATGTTTGGCAATTTTCGCAGTGCGCTGAACAGAGTCATGGTTTTACCCGAACCAGGAGGGCCGCAAAGAAGCAGCGGCTTGTGTTCAGCAAGCCAAGAGTACAAAACGTCTTCGTGGCGCACGGTGTCAAGAGTTGGAATGACAACATCGGTCTGAGTGACTGAGTGAGTATTGATGTCCATGGTGGGGACCTGATTTTGCCACAGATCCCAGTCAGACTTGTCAGGTTGAACATCAAAGTCGATGAGAGAGTTGGACTGGTTGAGTGGTGGCAGTTCCACATCCGTCAGACTTGCAACGAGATCACCAAACTCTTTGCGATCGGTGAGTGGGCAATCGCCTACAAGTGCCCAAACCAGAGCTAGAAGCAGCTTTTTCGAGATATAAGCCTCCATCTTCTCATCTTCGAGCGGGAAGTCTTGATGCTGGACGTTGTACTCGAGAACATTGCGGCATGCCTTGTTGAGTAGAGAGAAGAGCGTGTTCAAGGCACGGATATCTGTGTACTCCATGATGTGATTGAACTTCTTTGCCATGCTGAGGGCCTTCTCGATGAAACGGTCCTGGGTAAGTTTGATATGTAAGAACTCAGCTATCAGGTTCTGTGTCGCCAGGGTCTTCTGTGACATCTGGCCTGGAGCAACAGAATCGTCTTCAATGTCCTCGAATGGCACCGTCTTGAGATGCTCAATATAATTCTTAATCATCATGTCAACCTCAACGGTGTCATCACTGAACCACACCATACCACAACGGGATACAGTGGCGAGTGTGGCATATTTGAGCGTTTCGACTTCAAACATGATGCGCACATTTGAAGGCAGGTTGAGACGTTCGCCGTTGGGTAGAGTCAAAAGCTTGTTATCGTCGAGAACCGAGTTCAAGTTCTCAACCCACTCAGGATCGACGTCACCATCAAACACAATCCAGTGACGCTTGCTGTCTTCGCCGCGGAGGTTGTCTACGATCTTTCGCAAGATGCTGGTAAAAAGACCGTCGGTCCATTCGCGAGTGGTGCTATCGAGGGTTCCGTAAAGCATTTCCTTGCTCATGACCTTGGGGTCGATAACATGGCACACGCCTTCGACACCTTCAACAGTTTGGAGTGCAGTTAACAAGGTTTTCCAAGCGGCAGATTTACCCGACCCAGATGACCCGACCATCATGACACCATGATGCAGATTCTGGATCTGATAGAGCTGGAGCAGCTTTGTCATCCAGTTGTCTGTGACTTCGAATTTGGATTCCGCAGCGGATGCACGTATGGCCTCCTGGAGCTTGTCGAGGGGTGCAGGAACATACTGAACACCGGGGAAGGCCTCGCCTTCAATAGTTCGCATGACTTCGGCGTCGGATCGAATCAGCTTGGGCGCTATAGTCTCACGAAGACTCTGGACGATGATTTGAGGCTCCATCACAGCTTCGTCGGCCACTGCTTCTTGTAAGGCGACACGAGCTCGTTTAAGGCCACCAGAGCTCACAAGCACACTCTTCAAAGCACGGAGACCGAAATCGTAATGGGCCTGTTTCGATAAACCACTGGAACATTTGTCGAAGAATGGAACAACCTGCTTGGAAAGCTCCTTGGCCTGAGAGAAACCCTGTGAGTACAACATAACCTCGGCGATGAGCTCCTTGTCAGGTTTGGACATGGCAACACTTCGGAACAATTTCTTCAGATTGTCGGGCAAATTCGAACGGCCAGCATAGCCAGGATTCATGGTAATGAAAAGACCAGTGTTATGATTGACATGGAGTTGCCGCCCGATCAACTCGATCTGCGCTTTTTTGTCTTCAACGCCTTTCCGGAGACCGAGTTGGATGTTCTGAACTTGCTGAGAAACTGCGGACAGGATCCGCTCCTCGAGACGATTGAACTCATCGAAACAGCCCCAAGCACCTACTTGGCAAAGACCGAGGAAAATGCGACCCATGGCTTGGAAGTCAAAGGTGTCGTCACAGCAAAAGACAAGTGTGAATCGTCCAAGTTGTACACCGAGAGCTTTGACAGACTCAGTTTTACCAGTTCCTGCCGGTCCATATGGTGAACCTCCCAGGCGCTGACACATTGCCTGGGTAAGGGTAAGAAAACAGCGGTCGGTAAGAGGGGTTCGGACCAGACGCTCTGTAACACCAAGATATTCATAACCATAGTCCAGGGTGGCGTTGGCCATCTTGATTCTCAAGCGTTGCAAAAGGTCATTCCCAGGCTCGTACATGTAGCGCATGGTCAAAAGCCACATGTGATGGGTTGGAGAGTCGGCACCAAGCTTCTGCAACTTATGGATTGTGTCGCGCTGGTGAACGAATTCGGTGATCAGTTGTTCGCATTTCTTCCTGTGTGTAGCTTCAAGGTCTCCAAGCACGGACGTGGCAAGAAGCTTCAAGATGTTGACCTGTTTTTCATATAGTTGTGGTAGGCTTGTGCCGCCTTCGGCAAGTGAATGCTCAACGGAATGAGACCAAGCGATTTGAGTTCCCAAAACAACTACTTGCGCAGGATACTTGGTAATGTAATCGTTGAAAGCGTCGGGATCCATAGTTTCGGGGGCCAATAGCTGCTCGTAATCCTGATAGGCCTCATATGTAAGCTCGGCGAGAGTAGTCTTCATATTCATTTCCAATGCTCCAAGCCACTCATTGATACGAGGTGTCTTGATCAACGAGATGTCTTTCCTCAGGAGTACTTCCTCCCCTTCCTTCGACGTGAACCCCTTGATGATCCCGTCCTCGTCAGTGATAAGACCAGAAATACCAGCAAACATCTTCTTGAGATGCTTCGCAATACGAAGAGTATCGTTGCTATTTCCAATAATTTCAAGCAAATCTTCGTCACCAACGAAATAGAACCGGGGGAATGACACACGCTCACGCTCGAGATATTCGCCTAGAGCTTTCTGAATCTTGTTGAGCAGTTCGGCTAGTCGCTCAAGTGACTTCTGTACGCCAGAGATGTTGAGCACTTCCATCACAAAGGGCTGTCGCGCGACTTTCTTCATAACAGATAAAAACTCCGAATTGATGTTCTGGAATCTGGAAGACTCCATGGGCAACAAATGCTTGATATCAGCATTGCCCGTAAACACACCTTCCAAGTAGACCCATTGACGCTGAACATCAATCCAGACGTCGAAGAGTACGTGCACTCGGTTGAGTTTGTCTTCCCATGAGGAAGCCTCCTCCTCAAATTCCTTGTAGTATGGCGAGTGCCTCATCGCCTGTAGCGAGTTGAGATTCTCGCTGCACTTGGCAAAGAGATCATCCCACCCGCGGATCAAGCGACACTTGTTCTGGTAGTTGACAAGCTCGAGAGTGTACTCCTGCCACGTCTCACGAACTTGCTTGAGAAACTCTTCAAGAGCCATTTCGCCCTGTGCCTGAGTAATAACATCGCGAATAACTTTCTCGCTAGGCCCAAGCTTCAGATCCCAGACATCGCCGAGAGTCATAGAAATGGCTGAGTATCGTTTCTGAGGCTTGAGATTCTTGAATATGCGAACCCAATGTCGTTCCCTAACAGCATCTGATCGAAGCTCGCCCAATATGACGTTCTCCTTGAGCAGCTGCTTCAAGGTGTTTTGGACGTATTCGAAAGCCTGGTACTGTCGCATCCGGCTCGGCATGTCCTTTGTCATTTTGAGCAAAGTGTCGATGCTCCCACGAAGCTTGCGCGGTTGGATGCTTGTCCAAAGAGTATCGCGGAGGTCATCAATACTCTTCCAGATCGTGGCAAGGGATGACCACACGGACTTAAAGTCTTGGACCTCCTCGAGAACGGCCTCAAGAGCATTTTCTGGCGTCGCTGGGAGATTGAGCGCATCCTTAGCCTTTGCCAAGTTCTCGGATTCCAACTGGAGCTGACTGAGCTTCTTGTCAAATCCGTCAAGGATGGCTGAGGCTTCATGGGGACGAATGTTGCCAGCAACTGGCTTTTCCTCGGCCCATTCAGCAGTGATATCAGCTACTTTCTTGCTAACAAGCTTGTCTTCAGCACTGATTTTAGCCTTCAAGGCGTCTTCTTGATCTTTTGCGATCTTAGACTTCCTCTCCAGAACATCGTTGAGAGCTTGCCATTCATGATCGATTTGTTCAATATGCAACCAATCTTGTGGAAATTGGAAACGCTGGCGATCGAGCGTCTGCTGTCCTTGTCGGAAGGAATCTACTTCAGGTTCCCATTCAAGAACCCTTCTTTTACATTGCTGCACTACAGTGATGAAGGACACGGCATGTGCGGTGGAAGAAGCCTCCAATGTCTGTACTTCGAGGTCTTTGCGCGCCTTCTCGATTTGAGTGAACACTTCAGACATACGTAGGCCGAGGCGAGAGGCGAACTTGGCCAAGATTTCCTGCTGCCATTGATCGTATTTAGCATTGACTTTGTTCTGGACCTGCTCGTAGTCCACCGTGACATAGCCAAAGCGACGACTGATATCAGAAGTATCAAATGTGCCACGTGTCTTCCGTATCTCCTGCAACAATTGGAGCCAGCGCGCAAGATCTTCGCCCAGTATCTTATAGACATCATCCGACTTGAGATCCCACAACGACTGGAACTGCAACCAAGCATCAACGTACTCAGATATATCGCGAAGTCTGCCTTCCACAGCGCCATACACTTCCATCAATGCATCAGTGCATCGGCTTGGCAGATTGGAGAACTGGTTGGTAGATGCGTCGTCCGAAGCGTCAAGTCGCATTTCGTATCGCGACGCCTTGACTTTCTGGAGAGTGCAGATGATGGCGAGCCATTGCTGGAGTTGCTCCAACCAGCTAGCACGGGCATACTCTACAGGTGGATTGAGGTAGATCACCTGGTTACGCATTGTGATTTCGAGCGTGAGTCGAGACAAGGTTGGTTTCTCTTCAACGGATTCGGCAGGCGCAGGTTGACTGATCGGTCGGCGCTCTTCCTCATAGTCATCGCCATTAGCAAAAACTTCAATCCATAGTTGAATAGCTCGGTTCAAACGGACGAGGAGAATGGATTCGATACGTGCATTCATGTCCGCTACCCATGAGGTAAGGTTCGAGTAGTTTTCCAGATTCAGTTGATCGACTGAACGCTGGATGATCTCCAAGTTTTTGCCAAATGCTTCGGTGGTGTACGAGCACGTCTCCAGATCCTTCAAAGCTTTCTCGACAATCGTATTAATCCCCACCAGCGTAGCAACTTTGGTTTGTAATACTGAGGTCGCAGCAGCAAAGTCTCGAACGAATTGAACGTGCTTGCTCTCGCTCCGTACGCTGCCGTTGGCGCCAGTAGGGAAAGTGGTCTGTCGGATGTGAAGATCATAGGCATGCACGAAAGACTCCCATTTCAGCGGAACACCTTTGACAACGAGCCCCTGGACGTCATTCGAATAACCGTTCAGCAAAAGGGCAACACCCGCCATCTCAGAAATTGATCGGATTGTCTGTGTGTAGGTGCGCACGCTTTCCATGAGGGAAACGGCGTAGGGGTAAACGCGCTTTGCCTCCTTGGAGATGTTGTTGATCGCATGAGGTACTTGGTAACCGCGCCAAGTGAGGTTTCGGACTTCCTTAAACAGGGCAATGACTTGGGCATCGAAGTTGACATGCAGTTCGAGGATGTTGCCAGCTGAGCGGTTCTTACTGACCAAGAAAAGGCGCCCTGAGATAGAAAGGTTGCGTCTAGCAACCTCTGTCAACCAGGAGTCGAAAATGGGCCTGGTGTCCAGCTTTCGCTTGAACATGCTGCTCTCTGATTGGAGTTTCTGTCCTTCAGCATGAAGCGCCCATTCTTTCCCAAGAATATCCTCAACTTTGCCCATATAATTCTCTAGTTGTGTTTCGATCTGCCGCGCCCATATCACAGCACCGGAGACTGGAGGGAAGTCACGAAGCTGCGCCATCGCATGTGCCTCGGAGTTGCCGTACTGCCGCTTGAAGCGTTCGTGCAAAGCTGCGATGTCTTGCTTGACATTCTCAATCAGCTGGGTCTGGTACTCGGAGATGGCTCCTCGGATCTTTGGTCGAACAAAGAGCGGATTGAATTTGGAGAAGACACGGAACATCTCATTTGCTGTCTTAGCGGTGCCGAGGCGGTCTCGAAGTCTCGCTATGATCGAATTTTCTACGCGTGAAGTGCGTTCATTGTATTTGAGCTCTGCCTGCTCGAATAGGCGGGTACCGTCGGTCGTAACGTCCAGTACGTCCACATCTTTCAGCACGTCGTAAGCCTTTTCCACCTCTTTGACAGCGTCGACATCACCCATCTCTTCGACAATAACAGCCTCCTGCGCATCTGAATCGCCCAAAGAGGCAAGCGAGGTTTGGGAGCCAAGGACATTCACAATTGTTCGTTGTAGCTGCTCATGGTTCTTTCGGAAAGTGGTAACATAACGCAGGCGCTCCTCGGTTTGTCGGTGGCGGGCAGTGATTTTGATGGGAATGAATTTCTCGTTTCTCCGCCTCGTCACCTCACGTGCAACGTTAGTAAACTCCTTGATGTTTTCTTCCCATGTCCTCCAGATACTGTCGGCAACATCCATGACGGACTGAAATTCCGGGAAGTCCATATGCATCAACTCTTTCCCCATGATGAGTTTATGCAACAATTTATCGACATCGCCGGAAATGGCTTCGACGAGGGGAAGCGCACGAACGACCGGGTATGGGCAAACGCGAAGTTTCTTGTTCATGTGGCTGAAGATCTGCTGAATTGCTTCCTGGACTTTGTGGAGTGAAGTGGCAGAAAGCAACTCATCAATTGGAAAGTCGCGCATCAATTGGTTGTATTTGGCGACCATGTCCGAAGCCTCCTTCAAACCCGTATCCGCGCTGAAACTGACTGTGGCCTGGAACCGCTTTGCATTCTTCAAGACATCGAGCGTAAGCCGTACGCCAGAGCTACTCAACTGCGCTTCGATATCGTCCAGCCTAGATTCCATGGATAGCCAGAAATTGATCTCTTGGGTGGCAGTTCCGGTTTTGGGGTCTCTCGAGGTCTGAGTAATCTTGCGGATAGACTTGATCCAGCCGTTCACGGTAGCTTGTAGTCCGTTCAAAAACTGACTGTCGGTCAAGACAGCAGCCGGGAGCAATTCTGGCGATGGTTTGAGACCGCGCTCTTCGGCCGTCTCCAGCGCATTTTGAATAACAGGATGCAGAGGAAGAAGCAATTCGGGAATCTCAACATTCTGGCCCAGATTGTGCAGGCTCAACTCGAGCTCATTAATCTTCTTCTTCGTCGCCGAGATGCCAGTCCTGGCGTCGTTGTCCCCCTTTGTATAATTTCCCGCCAGGCTCCGCTGGCTCTTGGTGTATGTATCAAAGTACGGCTCGATGGAGTGGCGTAGAATAGAACGTAGAAACTCGTAAGGAGAAGCGTCATGGGCAGACGGATTATTAGAATCTGTAAAACCGGGGAGAGAAGAAATTTGGACCTGTTGGTTGAGGGGTATCGCTGGATCTATGGGTATCGGACGCCGGGAAACGACAATATAGGCCGCGCACGTGGGTGAGGCTGTAAGCTCAAAGGAAAGGGAATAGGTGAAATGTTGATTGAGGCCTAAAGCAACAAGTGACGTTAGTGACGGCTGGCATTACAAGTAAGTGGCATAATAGCTCGGGGGGAATGTCACCATTTGGGGTATTGAGGGGGTCTGCGTTCTCCTGGTCAACGCGATCCTTCAAGACATAGACGGCGGTCTGCGTCTCGCCCTGGGCAAAGCGGGAGCATCGCTGCAGGGTGTCGGAGATGTTGGGCGAAGAGAGGAGACTGCCAGGGGCGCGGAGATCAGCTGGAGAGGCGCCGAGATTGACCTCGAGCACTTTTTCCAGGTAATCGACGATGAGTTGGGGATCGATGGCAGGTGGAGTTGGGCTGGCAGAGCGTATGCTGCCGTTGGTCGCCACGGGGGACAGCGGTCCCTCCATGATGGCGGTAGTGATTCGATCAGAGGTAGGTTCGCGCAGGCAACATGGGCTCCGCTGTTTGCTGTTGATTATCTATCGTGGAGCGGAATGGCGATGAGAGAGGTGGAGTGTGTGTATGTTTGAAAAGAGTGAAAAGACAGTAACAGCAGCGCAGGAAGCGATGGCTGTAGGCAAGGAGGTGCCCTTGACAGTATGAATGTAGTTCGATAGAGAGATGGATGGATGGGGGAAATTGTCCATGTATGGCCCGGCAGGCAGGTGCACGACAACGCGACGCGGCCCGTGCAACGAGCTAGCAAGCAGGGGGTCCCCTGGCACTACCGCGGCATCATCACGTGATCTTGAGCATCATCAACACGTGCATCATTTGAGCATTCAACAAACATTTGAATGTTTGAACATATGGAATTAAATAGTTGCACCGAATTCATGCTCCAGGACTTAGCCAATGCCATCATTACATTACAGGACAATCCTTATCTAAACCCATCCTCTCCTCTATCCTCCAATTCCACATGTGTCGTCCCACTTTGACTCTCACGCCTTCTCTCTTCCTCGCTGCCAAATCCCGCTCCACCACCTCGAGCTGCGACTGGGCTATCCAGCCTTATCTCCTGTCCGCCCAACCCAACTCGTTTTCTCGCCTTCATGTACCCTCCATTAACCCACCCAGCCACCGTTTTGATCATGTTCCAAAGCTTGTCTTCCCGCGCATCCACCGTCCCTGACGTCTGTGGGTTCTCCAGTGCCTCTACTTTGAATTGATACTTGAGGCAGTCCTTCACCGTGACGAGGCCCACCAACTTGCCACGGTATTCAATCAGAATCACACGGGGTCCCATTTTCGAAAAAAGCTCCATGACGGTTTCCAGGGGGAGCCGGGGGTGCACCGTAAGTGGAGTTGGATCGATGAACTTGGACAGGTCGACAGAAAGTTGCGCAGACGTCGCCGCCATGGTGTCGAATGATACAGATGGCATCGTCGAGCCGGGCGTCCTCGCATCTGCCCCGTTGATAACCGTTCCGAACGAACATCTCGCATGCCCAGGAGCCATTTGATCTCGTTTGGCACGGTCAAGCGCATATCGTAGCTCTGTGCGACCAATATAGCCGAGCAGTATTTTGGACGAACTATCTTCAACAATGGGGAAACCTTGTAGCTGGTTCTCGGCCATGAGGCGCTCAACCTGCCGTAATTCGAGACCAGTAGCGGGGATCGAGACCAGCTGCGATACCATGACCTGTGAAACCGGCACACCAAACGTGTGCTCTTCCTTGTTATCCAAAAACGGATAGCCGTTGAGGTAGATCATGCGGTCGGCGATGCCGCCGTGACCGAAACGCTCACTGACGGCCTTGGTCACACCCACAACAATCTAATCAAACGTCAGTACATCTGCAACCAAGTGGCTTGAAGGGGAAACATACCATGGTCGGAAGAATGTATGTCAGAGCGCCTGTAATTTCAAACATAATGACCACCACCGACACCGTGATGTGCATAATTCCACTCAGAGCCGCGCCAGCGCCCAAAAAAGCATATGTGCCTGGCGTAATACAAGGCCCGTCTGGTCCACATGCAGAGAAGAATGCGGAGTCTGGGAAAGACTCATGAAGCCATTGAACGAAGATACCAACCATGCGTCCGAAAGAGGCCCCAATAGCCATTGACGGAACGAAGATGCCTGCAGGAACTTTACACCCGAAAGAGATGATGACCAAAGTCGTTCGCAAGATAGTGGCGATAGCAAGCGACAGTATTATATGCCAGCGATTGTCGCGACTGCATTTGTCAACTTCATGTCCATGCACATACTAGACGCAAGACAACTTACTCGCACAACTCATCGTAGTCATTACCGCTCTTACATTCCAGGAAGAGGATCTCCATGCTCTCCGTCATGTCGATTCGGAGAAACATGTTTGGATAGCAAACAATGGCCGTCAGCACTGCGAGAGTGACAGCTTCAGTAATCGGATATTGCGAGAGGTACTTCTTCCGAAACACTTGGACTTTCAGGTTCCATTTGATAACAAAAGCGCCATAGAGCCCTCCGAAGACTCCAATAATCAAATAGAAGAGAATCTCGAAGAAGTGCCATGACCGATCGTATTTGACCTGGAACATGACGAGCTGACCTGTCCGAAACGGGTTCATGGCAGCCAGTACAGCCGTCGCGACCAATGCACAGAAATAACTCCTCCACAAAGTTTTCAGGGGGAAGTGGTTGCTCATCTCTTCCAAAGAGAACAGCACCCCGCCAATAGGGCTGCCAAAGGCGACTCCTACGCCAGCAGCTGCACTTGCGCTCAATATCTCCCTTGTCTTTGCCGCGTTTCTTCTGTACTTGTTGAAGAATCTCGAAATGACGTTGCCGGTGCAGACTGCATAATGCACACTGGGTCCCTCTTTCCCTACACTGAGCCCCGAGGCGATCGCTAAAGGAAGGCCAATGCTCTTGATGACCAAAGTCCAGGCTCCAAGGAAGCCCTTCATCACAAAGCCAGCAATGATGCATTTCATCTCCGATATTCCCGAGCCAGCAGCATAAGGCGCATATAGTTTGACAAGAGTAGCAGCTGTGAGGGCGAAGAGCGCACCGGAGAATATATAGAGAACGTAGTTGACCGGCCAGAAGCCAGACCACCGTTTCCATTCGGGGCAGCCTAGTTGAATCAATCAGTCATCCTGTTGAAGCTTTGATCAAGTTTGAAGAGCTTAAGTACTCACCGCTGTCAGATCCCCAACAACAAAAGTTCTCGTTCAGATAGAAAGCTGTTTCGCAATGTCCAAGTTTGATATCCCCTAACCACTCGGTGATGATATTCAGCATAGCAGCGTTCAGCCCAATCGCCACGCCAACCAGCGTCACCACAATCCAAGCTTGGCCAGCATCGTACGCCTCGACGACTGCCCTCCTCCATTTGCCCGACCTCCAGCCTACCCTCCCTTCCCTCGCGAAGCCCGCTCTTTCCCGCCGCTTCGCCTTCCGGCGCAATTGTTCTCGTGCCGCATCTTGCACCCAATCAATCGTCGTGAAATCTTCATATCGTTTGATTTCAGCAATCTCCTCGACAATGGCATGATCGGTTGAAGTGGCTTCTAAGGCCTCGGGATCATCACGACTAGCGTCGGCGGCGGAGGGTACGGAGACGCGCCGCCGTAGTGATGGGGCGAATGAGGAGGATCGCGCTGATGGACGGGGTCGCGAGTGTGAGGATGAGGATGAGGTTCTGTTCATCGTTCAGCGCATGGTTGCTGGTGGTTTGGGTAGTAGTAGGTGGTAAAGGCGTCCGGTCTTTGTCTAGCCCGATAGGTGAGGTGAGGTAGGTAGCTTGCCTACGCGGCTTCCGGAGGAGCCCTGCACCTCCGCCGCCCAGCAATGAACTGCACCACCACAGCACTCTTCAGCTTCGTATCACAACAAACTTCCACGTGTAAGAATTTCTCTTACATTATATGACTTATAAAAAAGCTAGATTTTATATTATGTTTTTCTAATCAAGTTGATTTTTTTTTTACTTAAAAATAGAAGTTGCACAAACAATGAGTAGCAACAAGTTTTACAAACGAAGTACTCCTGATTCACATGAAAGGTTTTATCAAAAAATCGAATAAATAGAGCTACATAATAGGTATATTTGAATTCAGCTTTGACTTCTCCACTGCTCTACTTCAAAATTGATTAAGCAAAGCTTCGCTTATCCAGCCATTTATTAACAAGTGCTAGAGCCTCTCTAGGCTTATTGTAAGGCACCATATGGCCTGCTCCACCAACTGTGCTTAATGCAAATGTAGTCTCGACTCCACTAGCTGTAACAACTTTAACTTCTTTGTACCAGCCTACCTCTTTCCCCTCGTGCTTCCATACTTTTTTGGGCTGGGCTACGAAAGCTGGCTGCCCTTTCCAAGGCATATTCTCTGCCCATCTGAGATTGCCCGCAGTGTTACATGCTATGTCCAAGTTTCCCTGATAGAAGAGCACGTCGATACCATTCTCGAGCAGCTGCAAAACCTGCGGCTGCATGGTGATGGGTTGGTCATTGGCGAGACTGAAGGCGCGCTCGACATCCATGCTGTAGATGCTGTAGTTCTTGACAGCTGAGGGGACGGCAAGGACTTCAAAAACCCAAGGCAAATTCAGGTAGTTGTTGATGAGGAGCGCTTCCTCGTAGCACAGATCGTCGTGGGTCTTGCATGGTTTTGTAATATCGAAGCGGTTACGATGCGGCTTCACGCTTCCAGACTCGCCATCAAAGTGCTCGATTACACCTTTCCAGCAAACCTTTTCGGCACCTTGGCAGATGGCGGGATCGGGGTGTTCATAGCAGAATCGTGCAAGATCTATGCATCGAGGGATGTTGGCCGCCATGATATCGCAGCGTGTCTGATTGAAAATAGGCTCCTTGACTCCGGGGTTGGTCGTACAAAGGGTTTCCCAGTAACCGAACGCCGTATCCAATGGAGATACATAGGCGTTTCCCACGAAAATGGACTTCAAATTGATTTGTGGCTTCTTCGGATAGAGCAGGTTTTGTGAGACTATCCGAGCGCCGAGGGCTGGGACATAATGGCCTCCGTACGATTCTCCAGTGATGTGCAATTCTTTGTTCTCCCCGTGCCCAAATGCTGGGAGGACCTCGCTCACGAAGATTTGCAAGAAATGATGGAGATCCTCCGCGGTCGTAAAGCTAGTAGCGGGTATGGGTATCCCCTCATCGACATAGCTAAATCCAACGCCTGCTGGGGAATCGATAAACAGAAGATTTGTGTTCTTGGACCAACCGTACTCGTTGTAAATTGTGCCATTGCCATGTTCATTGATCAGACAAGGTCCGAGTTCCATCAACATTCCAAGCATGGAGGAGCCTCCCGGTCCCCCCGTTAACCACAAAGCCAATGGATCCGCGTTCGGGTCGTTTTGGCTTTCGAAATACCAAAAAAAGAGGTGTTTCCCCCCAACATCTAGCCAGCCCGTGTACTGAGTCGAGTGTGCATTACAGAGTGAATCGTTCTGGATTTCTCTGATGCGAACTGAGTGATCCTGAGAATACTGGCTGGTAAAAACACTGAAACCTTCGGCTTCGAGAGTGTCCTGCACTGGAACTTGGTGGTGTTGAACAAAACCCTCGATCGATGCTGATGCAATCAAAGGAAGCACGAGCAAAGGCAGACCAAGATACATGATCGCAGAATTGGAAGTCGAAGCAGACTAAGAATCTGGGGATTGCGTTTGCAGACCCTACACGAAGGAATATTATAAAGTTTTCAATCCGCTCTCAACTTCGTGTTACCTCGATGATCACGGTGTTGACGTCTGCCAGAGACTAAACTAAGCCCTGGTGTAACTACCTAGGTAAATATGTAATCAAGAACCCGGGTTGGATGACTAAACACCCACCCGCGACTCCACCGCTAGCACCCTACTCCAAATCATCAAGACGCGTCTTTCGCTACAATTGATTGGAGAACCTGACCTGCGAGCCCATCCCATTACTATAAGACCACTTTCACAAAGAACTGGTCTCGCAAACCTATTACCTTAAAACGGACGACCTCCTCGATCTCGCTACTCATACCTACGCCATTGGCGAACCTCTTCCGCCATGCCTTATAACAACACTCCGATCGCGCCTCCCAAGGATATCAGTGGTCAAGTCTCTTTACCCCGTCAGTCCCAATTTCTCTATATCAGGATTTTCGCGCGTTTGTCAATGTGATAGGCACCTGCCTAGCCTAAAGACATGCGCACGCTCATTTCTTATTTCACTACTTTGCACTTCTCTGTCCAACATACTAATCCACCACCAGTCGCGCGCGTCCAAAAAATCATCAACGCCGATCCTGAACGCCTCCACACCTCCAAAAACGCAGCGTTCGCAATCGCTCTGGCCACTGAGATGTTCATTCAACACCTCGCCCAAACTACACACAATGTCGTCAAGGCCGAGCGGAAACCGCGGCGTAATATCCAGTACCGTGACGTCTCGAGTGCGGTGGCGAAGACAGATAATCTGGAATTCTTGACCGACGTGGTGCCCAAGACCATCACCATGAAGGAGTTGAAGAAGCGCGAGGAAACCAAGAAGAAAGCGAAAGAGACGGCGGAGCATGAGAAGAAACCAAAGAAGGCGCTTGGGAACGGGAAAGAAGGGGAGGCTTCGACATCAGGTGGACTGAGGAACGGCGACGTGAGAGACGCTTTCAAGGCACAGACCAATGGCCATTCAAAGGATGGCGAAGACGCAACAAGTACTGCGAGCGCAGCAGGAAATGAGGAATCTGAGGCTATGGAAGTCGATCAGCAGGAAGAAGAGCCGCGGGAAGAGGCCGGCAGAGTGCTAGTAGAAGACAGCGAGCCGGAGGACGATGCTGCAGCTATGCAAATCGAGATGGAGATGCGGGGGCCGAGGCACGACTCCAGCCCTGATGTTGCCCCCAGGCGATCAAGCGGATTCACAGCTGTTAACAATGGCTCCTGAATGGAAATTTCTTGCTGGCTTAGTGGGATTTTTCACGTCATCTTTTCTTTCAGCATCCGGAGTTATGCATGGCACTGGCGTCTCAAGGGTGGATACTATATACCAGTTGATTCAGGGACCAACTATACCAATGGAGGATGTTCCTCCAATCAGTAGTCTGCCAGATCTTTCCTCATTCCATTCAATCGCATTATTGTCGAGCATCCATTCAAGTCTCATACCGACCAATGATGAACCCTGACGCAAAGTCTCCTAAAAAGCTGCATGACCAATCTTACAAACAATCCAATGCACCGTGTTCCATCATAGCTCACCACTCTACTGATTTACTAGGTCTGTTATGTGATCATCGCATATTTCATGTGGCACACACACTCGGTATTAAGACTCACATATCATACCGACACCTCCCTCAAACCCTCTTTCACATCTACAATCCCTCTTTCCCACTGCCCATCCTCTCCCTCACCGCCTCAACTCCAGACAATCTCTCCACATCTTCAGCCTGAACGCCGTAATGCGAGTTTCTATACTCAGCCATCCATCGTGTACGTTGTACTTCGTACCTAAGCCGCCATACAACGAACAAAGTCAGTGAACGATCAAGGGCATCAAACGAGAAGACAACTAATCTCAAGAATAGATGTGAGAAAAAGCTTTGGGGAAGAGGGGCAGGTAGGGAAGGTTTGGACAGGGACGAGTGATTGTCGAACGTACTCAGGTTTCATATAACACTTCAAGCAAGGCCGTACTGACGCGGGAGTAAGACGTTTGAAGAAATAGGGGCATAGATTCGGCTTATTCATGCCATCTTCATCTTTAGTTCCGTCGACTTTGGTCTTGCCCACTTGCTGTTGCTGCAGTGAGACCTTGGTGGGCGATGCCGGGTACGGGAGGGGGGACGAAGGAACTCCCTGGGTAGCGCCTTGTTCCGTCCGAGTCGTTGTAGAGATGTGAAGAGTGTGAATGGACTCAGCACTAGGGACTGCTTGTTGCGAGTGAAGATCTGGTCGATTGGTTGACGATGTGGCTGTTGTTGACGTGGGGGTAGGAACAGTCGTTTTGGGATCTGGTGAGATTGGCGATGTTGACCCTGGTAAGAATGTCAGTCAATATGTAAGGTCCGGCCATGGAGAGAGCTGTGGACGCTCGCGCGGGTAAAGTGGTGCTGCGATCAAACTTCATACAGTCGGGGGGGAGACATACCAGATTGGGGCGGAGAGACTGGATATGGTGGCAAAAAGTGTTCGAGAGGTTGGGAGGACCGAGCTGTGGTCTCCAGAGCGTGCGGGCACGGTGTCTTGTGAAAGTGAAGGTAGCGCATTAGTCGAGCTCAAGTAAGAGGATTGAAAGTCGGGGAAGTGGGAAATATGTAAAGAATGAGTGTGTACGATTTCGCATGATAGGTATCCTGTGTATGTACCGGGTTTGGGATATACGTACGGTGCAGATTACCTTGATGCAACCACAGTGGTAAACCTGGACAAGCTTGTAGCACATACTGTGTAGGTATGGAGGAGTTGGCGAACGCTTCTGATCGATATTGCAAGTCTTTTCTTGGCTAAAAGAAGACTTGCTATTTTGCTGAGAAGGTTCTTGAGGATGGTCGGAATAGGAGATTGGAATGCAGTATGTGGAAAGAAAAGTCGTTCTGGTAAGAAACTAAGTAGCGGTGGACGGGTCGGGAGCGAGTGTTTGTAAACTAGGTAAGAGCATACCACAGTCACTATTTTAATAGATGAGCTCGGGCGTTTGCAACACCTCGCACGTATCACACGGACACGGTAGGAGCATGGGAAACGTCATGGGATTGGTGGACATTGGTGATTTACGAAAGGATTTGCAAACATAGAGTGAAGAACAAGTTAATCGCTATCGTGTACATGAAGCCCACATAGCATCCATCAAACTCCAACAAACTGTAAATACTGGTATAGGCGCCAGTTTGCCTCTCTAGTAGCTTCGTCCAAACAAGATCCATGACTTGGCCAGGTTGGTGCAGTCTGGGTTAATGCATTTGGTCCCTTCCTTGATGCCACCATCGGGTTGTTCAAACGGAATGCACAAACTCTTTGCACCCATCGCTGGGGCTTGTTTGTCCTCGGCAACTCCATCGCCTAATGCTGTGCGTGCACTCTTCGCTTTGACTTCATCTTCGCATTTATCGCCTTCACAGTGAGGAACGAGAACAACGCTCTTGTTGTTGAGAGTCGGGACAAAGTCGTCCCAGTTTGTCAACTGCACACGGTGCTCATCGTAAGCCTTTTTAGCCTTGTTGAACATGTCGGACTGAATCTGCTCGAGCAATTTGGGAATTGCTTCCTTGAGCTCGTCGACCTTTGTCTCGCCACGGGCTTCATCCTTGTTGTCAATATCGCGACGGGATGTCGTGACCTGGCCCTTCTCAGCATCCTTGGGACCTGTATGAATATGGTAAGTATTATATCCAATATCTTTTGCGTGTAATCGACCCTCCGGTTCCCCAACTTACCGAATTCGATGCGAAGAGGGATACCCTTGAGCTCCCAGTCGTTGAACTTCCAGCCGGGAGAATAACCCTCGCGATAATCGGTCTCGACCCTCACGCCCACAGACTTCAGGTCATCAGAGATACCCTCGACCTTTTTATAGAGATCCTCCTTGGCTTCGGCAGACATTCTAGGAACCATTAACAGATGCACACAGATCAGAGAGACGTAGACTTACTTTGCGGTTACACCGACAGGGACCACAACAACCTGAATCTCAGCAACCCGAGGGGGAATGACAAGACCGCGACGATCTCCGTGGGTCAATATCATCACACCGATGGAGCGGGTAGTCAAGCCCCAAGAATTTTGCCAGACATGGACATGCTCGGACTTGCCAGCTTCCTTGGGGTTGGGGTCTTCGACAGTGATGTTGAACATCTTGGAAAAGTGCTGGCCAAGGCAATGCGAGGTAGCTGCTTGAATGCCACGTCCTATCCTCAATTAGCTATGCCACCAGAAGTCTATGACGATATTATTCTCACCTGTTGCCGGAATAAAGCCTTCAATGGTCGTCGTGTAATCCGCACCGGGGAACTTCTCGTTCTCCGTCTTGGTTCCTTGAATGACAGGAACAGCGAGAAGATCTTGGTAAACACCGGCATACCACTCCAGGATCTGGAGAGCTTCCTCACTGGCGGCTTCTTTCGTCAAGTGTGCTGTGTGACCTTCTTGCCAAAGGAACTCGCGCGAACGAATGAAAGGCATTGGGTGCTTGAACTCCCACCGTACAACGTTGTTCCATTGGTTCAATTTCAAAGGAAGATCCCGGTGTGATTGGATCTTGCGCGCAAAGTAGGGATACATGGCGGTTTCGCTCGTGGGGCGAACAGCGACAGGCTTTTCGAGATCAGACTTTCCTCCCTTGGTGACCCATGCTACCTCAGCGGCGAATCCCTCAACGTGCTCTTTTTCGCGCTCCAGGTTGTCGGCGCTGATGAAGATGGGGAAGTATGCATTGCGGACTTTGAGTGTCTTGATCTTTGCGTCGAACCACGATTTGATGTTTTCCCAGATGGCGTAACTGGGAGGTTCTAGAATGTAGCAACCGGCGACCTAAAGTTGGGCATGAGCGACCAGGAGGAGGTCATGTTTTGGTGGGCACGTACATCGTAGTAGGAGATCATCTGGCCCTTGGTAATGACCTGCTGGTACCATTCGCCCAGATCATCTTCCTTTGCAACATCGATTCCAATCAAAGCGGCACCCTCAATCTACCACATTGTCAATGATTTGACCGCACGTTATCCTTCCGAGCACCGACCTTCTTCTTTTGTTGCTGAGGCTTCTTCGCGGCCGTCTTCGGGGCACCATCCTTCTTGCTCTTCTTCGTCTGGGATATGGAGAGATCCTTGAGCTTGCCGTCGGCTGCGTCGGCCATGGTGCTGTTGGTCGTGTGAGATTGCGCTTAGAGTCGGCGGTCTTGATCTGCGGCGAGGAGCAAAAATTAGATGTGCGAGGAATGCGACTGCAACGACAGAGCGAGGTAAGGCAGGACGCGGTGCGCAGCCCGAAGAAAGAAGTCAAAAAAATTGGAAAGGGTCGAAGATGTATGTCGCAGAGCAGTGGTGCGTTGTAAGGTTTTGTGTGGTTGATAGCTGGGAAAGGTACGCTTTGGGAATAAAGTTGCATTCAATCAATGCATACAGTAGTGGGGTAGGTAGCGGGGGGTGGAAGAGATAAACAACGTTTACTGACCTGCAGATGGAAGAAGAGTCAGAGGGGTCAGCAGGATACGAGAAACGAGCACTGCTGCTGTTGAAGCTGCCAGGGCGGTCCAAGGGCGGAATGTCCGTCTTGCTGGCAATTGAGTCGTGCGCGCTGGTTTGTTCTCGCTCGTATAGGTATACACGGACGGGCCTTTCGAATTTATGGAGGGGCGGCCGTCGAGTCATTGGTGGAGCGACACAGGCAGCGACCGGGGTCAGCGTCGGGCCGGATTTACCTCTTCGCCGGCCGTGATTTTTGGGGACTACCAATCGCGGCGGCGGCGGAGGCAGCAGAAGAAATCACCAAACAGCTCCAAAACGTCAACATGGCAGGAATCTTTGAGCAACAGCGTAATTCCGGCACTCTTTGTAAGCTACCCGAGCTCTCTGGCCTGCCTCGCCGCTAATTCTCTACATAGTCCTCGGTGGGACCAAGATCAGCGGCCAGGACATTCGTGACGAAAATGTGCTCGCGACCCAGGCCATTGCCAATGTAGTCAAGTCCTCCTTTGGGCCCTCTGGGCTCGACAAAATGATGGTTGACGATATCGGAGACGTCACCGTCACCAACGACGGTGCCACAATCCTCACCTTGCTCGACATCGAGCACCCCGCCGGCAAGATCCTCGTCGATTTGGCGCAACAGCAGGATAAAGAGGTGGGCGATGGCACGACCTCGGTCGTCATAATAGCGGCTGAGCTTCTGAGGCGGGCAAACGACCTGATGAAGAACCGGATACACCCCACCACCATCATAGAAGGCTACAGGCTCGCACTGAGGGAGGCTGTCCGCTACATGAACGAGAACATCAGCACAAAGGTCGACACTCTGGGCCGGGACTCGCTCGTGAATATCGCCAAGACGTCCATGTCGAGCAAAATCATCGGCTCCGACTCGGATTTCTTCGCCAACATGGTCGTGGATGCTATGCAGTCGGTCAAGATGACTACCAACAAGAACGAGGTCAAATATCCCGTCAAAGCGGTCAACATTCTCAAGGCCCACGGCAAAGGTGTTACCGAGTCTATATTGGTCAAGGGCTATGCTCTGAATTGCACCGTCGCATCCCAGGCTATGAAAACCCGCATCAAAGACGCCAAAATCGCGTGCTTGGACATCAACCTGCAAAAAGAGCGGATGAAGTTGGGCGTGCACATCACAATCGATGATCCTGAACAATTGGAAAAGATTCGTGAGCGTGAAGCAGGCATTGTCATTGAGAGGATAGAAATGATACTCAAAGCCGGTGCCAACGTGGTTATGACGACTAAGGGAATTGATGACATGTGTCTGAAACACTTCGTGGAAAAGGGCGCCATGGCTGTGAGGAGGTGTAAGAAGGAAGACCTGCGAAGGATAGCCAAGGCCACTGGAGCTACCTTGATCAGCACACTGTCGGACATGAATGGCGACGAGAAATTCGAGCCATCATACCTAGGGTCTGCTGAAGAGGTTGTTCAAGAGCGAATCTCGGATGATGAGTGTATCCTAGTCAAGGGCACCAAGGCGTTTTCGTCTGCTTCGATCATACTTCGTGGCGCAAACGACTATGCTTTGGACGAGATGGAGCGGTCTGTGCACGATTCACTCTCAGCGGTGAAGCGGACACTTGAAAGCGGTCGGGTTGTGCCGGGTGGCGGTGCGGTTGAAACAGCCCTACACATCTACTTGGAGGAGTTCGCAACGTCGGTGGTAAGTCAAACATTCTTACATGTTGCTAACAGAACCCGCGGCTAACCGACTTTCCACAGGGCTCCCGTGGTCAACTCGCCATTGCTGCATTTGCTACTGCTCTTCTTTCGATTCCCAAGACGCTTGCCATAAATGCCGCCAAAGACTCCACTGAGCTGGTTGCCAACCTACGGTCCCGGCACGCACTCTCGCAACGTACTACTTCGGATCCAACCACACCCGAAAACGCGAAGCAGCTCGCACACTCCAAAAACTACAAAAACTATGGTCTTGATCTTACCAACGGCAAGGTTCACGACTCGTTGAAGGCTGGTGTGTTGGAGCCTAGCATGAGCAAGGTCAAGCAGTTGAAGAGCGCGGTCGAGGCCTGCGTCGCCATTATGAGAATTGACACCATGATCAAGTTGGATCCGGAGGAGAGAGGAGGCGGCGACGACGGCCACGGCCATTAGAAAAAGTGTGCCCCAAAAAGAATATGCCACGTCGCGCCTTTAATAGTTTGTAGCTATTACAGTAGACATGGCGGCACGCTCGACCAGTCGTGCCGTAGCATAATGTTAAATGCCTGAAAGGCGAACTACGATTTGCAAATCATCGCAAGGGGCCGAACATACCATGACAGGGACCGCGAGCACTGGATCTGGGGTTCAACTTCTTCAATGTCGTGGTCCTTTTGCTGAGTGAAGCCCTATTTAGTACACTGCTAAGTAATCATGTTTGACGGAGAGACGCCTAGCTGTCTCAAGTTGTGGCCATTGACTAGCCACCCCGGCATTATACCCCCTGAGCACCTCGAATGCGTTGATGCCGACAGTACCGACTGCTGCTGTACACGGTCAATACTACGGTTGCCATTCCATGACTAACAAATAGTCTTAGGAAATGCTACGGACGATCGGAGACCGCCCAGCGAGTTGTTACGAAGGAGAGTCTGCGCCAAGTAATTGGCAACAGCCCGCCGAGGCCACGGCTGGCGCGTTCATTCGCAAGTCATCATTCTGAACTCGCGCAGGCTGCGAATCACCAAACAATGGTCCAGTCAGCCGCGCAGCTCGCCCAGGCTTTGCGCCCAGGTCTTGGGCACGTGACCATGTCCGAGCCATGCACAGGACCGGTGAAGACGCCAACCATGGTGACTCTGCACGTCGGGAAACCCATGGCACATCTGCGACTGTCGCCTCGTCTCTGTTCCGACCTGTGCGTTGACGACGCCATCAGCGCCCACCCGAGCCTTTCTCCACGACAACCTAGCAGACCCAGCAGATTGACACCGGGATGTCATACTCTGCATCTACAAGGCCTTGGAAGCTGTGCATCAGGATCCCACTAGAGTCGCCAAGCATCTTGTCTTCTTAGCGCGTGAAAGACATAAGTAAAACACGTCCGCCGACTGCCGTGGAGAGCAACATTTGGCCCTCTGCTCTCTGTCCCACCCATTGTTCCAAGGGAAACATGTTTGTTGTGCGATTCCACTTTGGTCTCGGTGCTGAGCGGTGATTCCATCGCCCAACAATCCCCATCCAGGAGCGAAAGGTACGACATCCGCCATCATGAGCGTCATCTTCGCATTATCAAATCTGCAATCGAGGTTGCCGAAAAGGGAAACGGGGCATCATAATCATGGTACGTCGACAATGTCCAATCCGGTCGTCTTTGGAACCCTTCCCATACGACACAGTTGTGCTGTTTCTCTCACGCCCAACCCCACTACCCTCCTTTGCGTGATAGCACTGTTGTTCTGTTTAGTCTATACGAGTATATCAATTTCATTTCCCATGGATCGGAAAATTGACGAGTTCCATAGCTGATAAACTCCTATTGAACCCATATATATACGACCCTGCAGTCCCAGCAGCCATCATCGGTGCCATTATCATGCTACTGCTTTCCCTAGGCCTCGTCTGGCAATTTGTCCGCTATAAATCGTGGTTCTTCTGGACTGCTATGATCGGCGTAGTCATGGAGACCATTGGCTACACATGCCGCCTCATTTCCGCCATTGACGAGCACGACGATGTCCCTTTCCTTATTGCGTTTCTCATGATTCTGCTCGCGCCCTCCTTCCTCGCAGCAGCATGCTACACTGCTTTCAGCCGGGTGGTCTGGTTCTCCTGTCCCACCCACTCATTGAATTTCAAAACGCTATGGTACGTTTAGGTGTTGGGATCGATGCCGAGATCTGGCGTGATGTTGCCTATTACCGCCCTGATCAAAATCCCAGTGTATGCCTTACCGAATTATACTGACAGTACACAGGTGTTTCCCAAGCTATATCACCCCAACATTCGTGATATTCGATCTATTATCCTTCGTCGTGCAACTCGCAGGCGCAAGCACGGTGTCAAGCAACTACAACAAAGACGACTCCCCCTCCCGCTCCATTGAATCCTCCGAACGACGCGTGACCGCCGGTCGCGTAATTCTCGTCCTAGGCCTCATCATGCAAGTCCTATGCTATCTCTCCTTCGCCATCATCGCACTGCGCTACTTCATCATCTCGCTATCGTTCCGCTGCGAAGACCTCGGCGACTGGAAAATGTGGCGCCGCTTATCCTACCTCATCAATTTCGCGGCCGGACTCATCACCCTGCGCGCCATCTACCGCACGTTAGAGATCCCTCATGATAAAGGGACCGGGTTGTTGTATCTCCAAAGACACGAGTGGTGTTTTTGGACGTTTGATGCTTTTCCTATGGCTGCTGTGCTGGCTGTCATGGTCATTTGGTTCCCGGCGAGGTACCTACCTAGAAATTATACGGGCTTGACGCTGGATAAGCGGATGGCGTTGAAGCAAAAAGAAGATCTTGGCAGTGGTGGGAAGGGCGAGCATGTTGACGCTGTCCCTGTTCAACTCAGAGAGTTTAGACCACAGGATTTTGATGGCGGGGTCGGCGTGCGTGTTTGAATCTTGCAATTAATGAATATATGTTTTTGTGCCGAAAGGCATTGTCAAACTTGTCAAACTCGACGTGTTTTCAATACAGTGGCAGAGTGGATCGATGTATTCACGGATGTTTACTGTAGATCAGTGAAACGGGTCGTATGATCATCATGAATATGCCGTTGGCGCATGCTAGGAGCTTTCCCATCTCTTCTTCACGCGGCATGATTCTGGTTCACTTCCTTATGATATTTTGCACGCATATGTCTTGCCGTCGAATATTCGATCGCACATGGAATCCCTAGTATTTTGCAGTTCACCCCTTCGCAGAAACGAATGACTCTTTGGTTGGATCAAGTTTATATTTTGCATTGTACGGTAGTTCCATATCTCTTTTGCCATCGACAAAAGCTGCTCTTCACATGAGCGGGGATATGGTTGTACCAGGTAAATAACACTAATCAACCAAGCCCGACCTGCATCAAACAAGCTGATTCACAGATCGACAACATAGCAATTGAGCTTTCGCATCTGATGGTGCACGTTCGCTGGTTTTGGAGCTGCGCAATGAGCTCAAAGTCCTTCGGGTCTAAGATACTCATCCAGTGTAACCTGTGAGAAGGTAATTCCTCGACCGTAGTCGATAACACGGGTGGAAGTGTGCCTCAACGATGCCCTAATCTGGGACGGGGATGATGGCGCAGGGTTATTTCTCCGTCGTGCAAATGATAAGATGCCGGGTATTCTCTCAGGGTTGGTATTCCGACAATCCAAGTTTTCGAATGCGTGATATGAAAGCCAGTGTCTCTCAGACATCGGACTGGTAATGCATCCTGAACTTGCGATTCGCCCTCTCTGCACCTCTGACCTGAATCTGCTCCCCCAACACCTCAAAAACCAGTGGTTTCAACCGTTCCCGCTGTTGGTCCTCCCCAGTCCCCACGGACCCAACTCTTTCCTCTCCAGTCTCCTGTAAGGGCACTTCGAATCTAAACATTGTATGTTCCTTGGGGACCGCCTTGATGGTATCCTTTTCAGTGATTATCTCAAACGTAAACTTGGTATCCCTGACCACGATCCCCCTAATCCCTACACGACTAACACAGCGACTTCGGGTGACCTCAACAAGCGCGCCATGCATATCAGCCGTACCCAGCATCTGCCCGACCTGCGCAGCAGTCACATACGTCTTCATTCCGGACGTGAGGCCCAAAATATCACGCATGTACCCGCACCACAGGTCGTGCAGCCCTTTGTATACTGCGTATTTTTGCTGTGCTTTTGGAATCTCGGTGAGGCCTAGGGCGCGCTTTTTCGCGGCAGAGAGGGGTCGTGGCTTGAGTTTGCGGCGGGCATGCGCGGTTTCATGGCGGGTGGTGAGAGCGCGGCGGCGAAGAGCTCGGGCGGAGGGTGTCGGGCTTGTCGCACGGGTATGGAGAGGTCGCTTGTGGACGCGCTCGGTGTAGTGAGATTCTGCTGTGCTTGGAGAGTGTGCACGGGAAAGGAGAGTTTGGGCGAAGGGAATGTTGGAGGGTGGTTGGGTGGACATTGCGGATATGACGTTTGGTGGTTTGTTGGTGAGGTCGCACTTTTTTTTTCAGAGGGTTCGGTAGTCGGGGATCGCACTATTTATCTTCTGGCTCGAGTTGCTCGCTTCCGGTCCAGTTGGAAGACGATCATCTTATGCGATTAGACATGTGAACTGGTGACGGGTGCTTGCATGTGGTGCTCGAGTGAAGAAGCAGTGCGTATGTAAGGAAGTAGTAATACACATGTGGATGCTGCCATCATCCATCTCGCTAGCGTCTTGTGAACGAGATCCCTCCCTGGACTCACACAGACAGCCCTATCGCATGGAGCTGGACCCAGAAGCACCGTGCTTCCTGTGTAGAATCGGCTCGCACATGAGCATGCTCAATAACTGCTGCGGCAGCTGAGTATTGTCAGTACTTCGAGATTGCTTGCTTGACTGATTAACAAAGACAACCGCGCTACCTGTCTGTGTCATCACCCCACTTTCTATACGTCAATTGCGACTATCCACATCCCTCCACCGTCACTCCACAGGGGTTCCCATCTCAGATCTAGCATGTAACATGCGAGCATCTTGCTGCTAAACTCACTCTATGAGAATTCGGTCAAGCCCTTCTTCCTTTGCCTCAAGAGTGTTCCCCTCCCTTTCAAACAACTTCGCCAGACCCCACGTTGCTCTTCCTTTGAATACTGGGCCCAGCAATCGTCACCAGGGATTTCGAGTAGGCATCATGTTACACGCCGCGAAAGAGAAAGGGGACTCCCACCCCGACACATCAAATCCATCATCGTCAAAACGCATCTTCGCACCCACCGGTGGATCTAACGACCCAGGCCACGCCACGCAGTACAAACTCGGCGCCCTGGAAAGAGAACATCTCGACCCTTCCCCAACAGCACAGTTCCACAAGTGGTTTCAAGAAGCTACAGCCGCCAAAGTCTACCAGCCCGAAACCGTCACGCTGGCCACTGCATCGCTCCCGGATGGGAAGCCGTCTGCACGCATGGTCTTTATGAAGGAGCTGGACGATCGCGGCTTTGTCATCTACTCGAATTGGGAAACGAGTCGTAAGAGCAGAGACGTTGCGTCGAACCCGCAGGCTGCGCTGACGTTCTGGTGGAGAGAGGTGGAGAGGCAGGTCAGGGTAGAGGGGAGAGTGGAGAGGTTGACGGATCAGGAAAGTCAGGTCTATTACGATACGAGGATTAGAGGCTCACGGATTGGCGCGTGGGCGAGTCCGCAGAGTCAGGTGCTCAAAAGTAGGGAGGAATTGGTGAAGAGGGTCGAGGACGTCGAGAAGCGGTTTGAGGGCAAAGATGAAATTCCCGTGCCCGGGTTCTGGGGGGGCATCAGAGTTATTCCAGAGACTGTCGAGTTTTGGCAGGGTAGAGAGAGTAGGCTGCATGATCGATTTGTGTATACAAAGAGTGGAGAGGGCTGGGAGATTGATAGGTTGAGTCCTTGATCCTCAATGATCATGACACTATGCTTCTTAGGGTTAGCCCTGGCACAAGTCCAGCCGTAGAAGACATCAGAAAAGTTTCGAAGCACCACCCTCGAGGTTTAAATTCTCAACGTCACCCCGCTTCAGAGTATTATTTATGTAGCTGACCAAATACCAATACTTTTCTCAGTATCTTCCAGTATCAACACATCCAACAACCATCACAAAGTATCATGTCGTTCGGTGTAATCGTTTCCGGACGACCCGTCCTGGCAGATGCGCAGGTCATGTCGGAAACCCAATTTGCATTCCAAATCCCATCAACACCATCATTTTCGCACATTGTGGTTTTCTTGTTACCAGGCGTGGCTCTTCCGGATGGTACAGCAGCAGCCGTCTACGCGCAGCTTCCAAATACAACCGAGTTCAAGCTGCTCGGTGCCATCGCAAACGAGAAACCAAGTGCGATATTCAAGATCAACAACAAAGCAGGCGGACCAGCGGGAGGAGGCTTGGGCGATGACAATGCCATGACCGACGAAGATAGCGCTCTACCCTCGACCAATGGAATGCTGCCGCCGCTGGCACTGGGAATCTCGGTGGAGCCCGCTGCTCAAGTCGCGGCGAATCTGGAACAGAAGAAAGCACAGGATGCTCTGGCGGCAGCTGCAACCCCTGGAAACGCACTTGTACTCCGAGGTCAGAACGCAGTTGACACCAAGGTCTTGGCCCAGAGAATCATCAAGAACTGTTACGACTTCTTGACAAGCTGGGGTACTGGAGACCAAGTGCCTTTGAAGGCGTTCCAAGCGTGGTGGACTAAATTCGAATCCAAGATCGAGCACGATCCGAAATTTCTGGAGCGAAGCGATGGTGGATGAACATCAGCATGAAAATGGATGAAGAAAAGCATGGTCAAGCCACAACAATGAGTTTGACATGGAAAGAGAGCGATAATCCTTTATATTTATTCCAGGAATCCAATCCCTCGAACCCCATATTCCACAGTTTTAGCCCTCAGAATGCCTTATTCACGCCTTCCCATCCCGGATTCTCCAGATAGGATTTGTACATAACTCCTGCCCAACTATCATTCGGCGCTTTTTCCGGATTTTCAACCACCTGCGCCACCACGGCGTCGCCCAGCACCTTTTCAATGTCCATTCTGCCATATACTGCCTCCCACTTTGCCTTGTACTCGTCTACCTTGGGAATTTCTTCCAGCTGCGTCGTCACACCGAAGTCAATCTCGACGGCAGTCCTCACAATTGCGCACATTCCACCCATACGCTGAACTATCTGGCGGGTGGTGTGAAGCGCAATCGCCATCCAGACTTCTCCTTTGCCCTGCTCATCGACACCTAGTTCGGATAGGAGCGCGACGGCCGCGTCAGCGCCTTCGACTTCGAAGCGACATTTTCCGTTGTACATGTCCGCGGTGCCGATGTCACTTCAGATAAACGTATCAAGTCAGTAAGCGCGTTCCCTCGATGGGAGTCCTTAGCTTGGTGTGCCATGAAAAGCCCCCGGAAGCAGGGCATCCTGGTTATTTTTCTTCTAGAAAATACTAGGAATACGTACTGCAGAATACACGCGGTGAATAAAAGATCCCGTTTGACAGGATCGGTGTCGTATACCGATTTCCTAGCAGCGGCGATATCGCGGGCGTAGAGGTAGACGCGGATGCTATGATTGAGGATTGCAGGATGCAAGACTGATTTGGCAAGCGAGTAGGCTTCTCTGCCGACAGGCGTGGATGGCACGAACAGATATTCTTTGTCAGTAGATTGGGCCGTTGTCGGTTCGTAGGAGCAACATGGTTGTTGTATTGGACTTGTCTCGTGCTTGCATACTGTGTTGCTGTTGGAGGGTGAAGCGGTGGCCTGACTTCCACAAGCTGCTCTGGCGGGACTCATAACTGTGTGCACGGTATGAGTGAGCAAATAATTCATAATGTACATTGGCTGCCGACCCGAATCGTCGGTGTTCATATCGTCCAATTACCTCTCTCCTGTTTTTCCTTCCCCTGGATTTCTTCTTTGGTCGTTCCGGCTCCCTTCATCACATTCGTAGATTCAGCCATTGTAGCAGCAGCCGTTGCAATATGGAGATGTAAAAAAATGGCACTGTGGTCCTTCCGATTATCGTGCAGGTAGACGATACTTATATAGGTGGACGGTGGCTGACTAGCTCCGTGAATTTCCTTAAGTGGACTACCGCACGCCTTAATGTCAACCAGATAAATCCACATTAGGAAACATGTATATGCTTGCATCTAAAATTAGGCTGTGCCTTCTCATATACTTCAAGCTAACCCTATATCTAATTTGTGTGTTCATATCCAAGATTTATATGTGCGAGGGATGAGCTCAGTTCAACAGCTGAGACTCTCGCTGTCCTACATGTATGATAGGCTCCCTCTTATAAAGCTCGTAAGGTTATACGATAACATGCTTGCCAAGATCAAATACAACATAATATGCAATTGAACGTAAAGCAGTACAATCATAAATTCGTCCGTCTCGTATATACAAAAACTATATCATCGTGAAGATCGCAGCGTCCCTAGTCTATTACTTTCTTTAAACCATTGGATATCCCATCGCAAAAACCTGCTTAATTTCTTCAAGCTCCAAGCCCTTTGTAACAGCCAGCTGCAATAAGATTCTCGCTTTTTGCGGATTCAAAAACCCGGCAGCGATCCTATAATCCTGCCCGTCACTCACAAACCCCTCTGCACTCCTATGACTCGACACAATCGGCAGCCCCGTGGCATTGAAAAGCTCTTCAGCAGCGAGATCGGCTTTTGCGGACATGCCGCCTGCGCCGACGCCCGCGTATACGATGCCCTGCGCTCCGGAGGCGTAAGAGGCATTGAAGAGCGCAGGGTTCATGTCCTGGTGCGCGTAAAGGATGTCGATAGGTGCAAGGGAGGTTATGTTTGCGAGTGAAAAGTGTGTACGGCCAATGGGTGTGGATGGGGTGTAGTAGAAGTATGGGACCTGGTTAATGAAAAAGCCTAGTTGGCCTTGTTCGGTAGAGTAGAAAGTGTCGAGGGAGTTTGCGTTGTTTTTTGTAGTGTAGAAGGCGGAGCCAATACGGCTGTAGGGTATTGATTAGTTCCACAAACTGCTTCTTGTTTCTCACTGTTATATACTTACTCGTTTAACACAATCATACTGCCCCTGCCCCTAGCCTTTTCACTCGCCGCCAACGTAACCCCCTGAAGCAGGTTCAACGGTCCATCCGCACTCAAGGCCGTCGCAGGCCTCATAGCACCCACGCATACCACAGGCTTCTCGCTGTCTACGACCAAGTCTAGAAAGAAGGCCGTCTCTTCCAGCGTATCCGTACCATGGGTAATGACAACACCACTAATCTCCTCCTTGGCCAACTCGGCATTGATAGCTTCTGCAAGCTTCAAAGAGATGGTGGAATTGACGCTCCCGCTAGCCACATTTGAGATCTGGTAGCCTGCGATGTTGGAGATATTCAGGATCTCGGGAACAGCTGAGATGAGCTGTTGCACGCCGAGGCCGATGGAATAGCCAACGGTCTGCGTGTTGGTGCTGCCTTGCGATGCAATGGTGCCACCGGTCGCAAATATGGCCACAGTAGGGAGGGAGGCATTGAAGGGGGTTTCAATGTCCTGTCGTGCGAAGAGAGGTTGATGGCGGATTACAGGGCTTGCCGAGGCTAACGCCGTGAAAGAATACAGCAGGTGAGCTGCGGTACTGACGACAAACTTCATCTTGGCCTGGAAAACGGATAGGTGTCACTGAAGCAGAAAGGAATGCACGACTGCCTGCATTTTATAGGTTTCCAACATTGCCAGGACACAATGGAATGATCCAATCAACGGGTGACGGCCGAGATTCATGACTGATAGCAAGCTGAGGTTGTTGGTAAACAGTCGGTGGTTATCTCCGATATCGTGTATGTGTACCAAAAGCTGCCATTCAGGTAAGAGGGAATCCCAACATTCGTCACAGTTGGACGTGCTCATTACCTATGTTATCAGTGGAGCTGCTGCCACGCCCCAAGATACATGTAGATGCCGTCTCTGGCCAAGCCGCTAGGTACGACTTGATAAGCCATGCCGATGCGATAACGGCGAGGGTGGTTGCCGCACGTTACTTTGCTATCTACATACATATGTACATACCTAGGTACCTACATGATACACATGTATATATCTATGTACTTTCACTCTTTCCCGTGGAACCTCTTTGTTACTGCTCACTTTTTGTCACCTTATTTTATCAGCTTTTTGAGTGTAGGAAACGCTTCAGCTTCCAATTCAAAAGAAAAAAAGAACTCACACTTTCCCTCTTCATTCTCCATCTTCTTTGTGCAGGATTCGCGTTGTCTGTCAATCTGCAGCTCCCTCAAAACTTGTATACATCTCTCGGCGGAGACGTCGTGCGAGTATACATCTCATGTCAGCTTGTTTGCAGTTTCACGGCGAGGAACAGCAGTGTTCTAATCAATCTGCAACGTTGGTGCATCGTTTCTACAGTGGCTATATATCTGATCTTGTCCACCTACATGTCATTTCCCATCTTCCAAAAACAAACGCCTAGCATCTAGCTTACACGCAACGGGTTTTCTACGATTACTAATGTCACTAATGCATATGTGCAAACAGACAATAAACATAGGCGGGAACGCACACGCGCATCAACATTCAAACGTTCACAGACTCTGGTGGCCGGGTGAAGCCGATTCATCCTCTTCCTGTTTTGCCTTTCGTACCTTCGTCGCATGTAGCACAAGCAAGCCATGCATGTACGCATTTGATGACGAACAGAGCATGGTGTGCAGGGATGTAGGTCCGAGGTGGAAGATTATCGTATTCAAATCACCCCCTCCTTTTTGTTTTGGGCGACGGGATGGAAATATGTGAGATTATGCAGGGAGATGTATTGGCAGATCCGAGACATTTGAGATGTCGGTTATCGGTCAGCGGATCTCTACTCTTGTGGAAATTTATACTCTTGCGGGAAAGTAGTGGTGATGAGTCTGGGGTTGGCGTTCAACTGTTCATGTAATGTTGGCTACATGGTTTGTGAATTGGACGTCTGCCGAGTGCGTTCAAAGACAAAGCCACTCCACACATGAAGGCTTCATCTTCTCAAGACGCAGCGCAATGAAACAATACCTCCATGAAGGCAGCATATCGTGCAATTCCCCTATTCCCTTTCCATTGCACGAACTGCTCGATCCACATCACAACCTCTAACCGGGTAGACAAGAGTGGATCGATCGGTTCAACCCAAACAAGATCAATGCAGCGCCACATTCAGTCTCAATCAGGCTCAAAACGATACTAACGTTCATCAGATGGCTGGAAACAATATCCTCGCTCGTAAAACGGCTGGCCAGAATACATCCACCGTTTGATCGCATCTCCAACGGTTCCAGGTTGATCATTTACTCCAAACTACACTTTGAGAATCAGACATAGCAGAGGATCAATGCCGCCAGAAACAACGATGCAGATACCTGCCCTCTCTGGCAAGCGGTGGTGAATGTTCCGTTTTATGATAGTCTAGCCTGAGCAAAAAGAAGAAGTGGGTTGATGAGCGTCAGGTGGGTGTGCTGAAGTCGGCGAGCATACGTGATTGAAAGAACAAGCAACAGCAAAACGCGGTGCCATGCAGACGTATGCAGACAAATATGTAAGTACATGCGCCTGGTTTCCCTGCGTCGCCACCCACTGGTAGACCTCGGTGGCACAATACCAAACACCAAAGGAGGAGAAAAAAAAAGAGTTCACGGATACGAGGGGCGTAGGCCAGATTTCGGTTTCGATATATATCCCCGCATCGCAGCCATCCAATCGATTTCTGAATTCGATAGGAAATTGACTGGGGAGCTGCTCCATTGTGCCGCAACGGGCCATAATTACCCAGGCGAAGAAATCCTGGAAGAGGGGTGCGGATAGTGTTAGCGAGCGCTTGAGTTCTGGCTAATTCCGGCCGCTTGCTGGTCTTCGAGCAGCAGCTTCCCTCGACTCATCGCGACACTTGGAGTTGAAATATATCCGAATGTGACGTTCGAATACTAAGTATATCGTGTTTGGTAGTGTAGTGCTGGTGCGGTCAACTTTCAGTGTTGGTAGGTGACATCTGAAACGCGCCTCTCGTCGAAATTGCCTACTTTGTCGACTTGTAGGAGTGAAGCCTTGACTCCAGTAGGTTACAGCATCGCAACCATGTACCCTGAGGTACCTGTGTGAAGTAAGGGAATACAAGCAAGGGAGAGAGAAAAAAAAAACAATCGTTGTACGCCACCCAACTCGCTCGACGTACTCAGATAATACTAGCAGACGCAAGCATATTATAAACTTTCGGCGCGCGATCCTATTTTCGGCCTGTCAGGCTATACTGGGGAAAGTCCCCGCCATTTCCATTGTGTAACGGTATTACACGACATACAGGCATGTGTATGTGCGTACTGTATGTACGGTACATGCATTCGGGGCATTCCGGTACTTGCAAGCCGTGTCTGTTCCTGCGTGCGCAGCGTGGCTGGCTATGGCTGACTTTTGTCCACGACAGTTGGCGTTGCTCGAACCAGATGGTTCCGTGCCAGCTGTCAAGATTTTCAAGTCGCCGCATCTGGCAATGAGTGTCGTGGCCAAATGTAGAATGATTGCGTTATTCCTGCAAGTCAATGGATATGTGTGGGGGGTAGGGTTGTGTAGGGTCGAGGAAGGATGGGTTCATGAGTTGCATGTTTGCTTGGGGTACCTGCCAGTCACCTGTCGTCTTGCGCAAATACCCCATTCGCCCAAGATGAGCGGGCCGTCAAATCTCCACATCGCTGCCGGCTCCAGAAACCTTATTTCGGCGCACGGTTCACTTTTGCCATGTATGTATGTATGCGTACCCCAGGGAGATCACTACAGCGGTAGTTGACGATAAGCACTACTCTACGAGGATCCTATACTTCAACACCGACCTTTTTCATTGCATAGTTGAAGGTGGATTAACATGTACGGCTAGGGGTCTTTACAATAAGCTATGGGTCATTGATACATTGATTTGCATTCCCTACACTCGATCCCGTCCATCACAACAGAAAACACTGCATAAAGGATGCGGCGTACGCAACGCCTTAGAGCCCATGGTAGACAGATGAGCTTCTTGTTCCTTACCCTCTACCTTCCCATGAATTTATCGGTGTCGTTTCTAAACCTTATTTTTCCTTAAGAAAGACCCTCTCATTGGGTGTAGATCAGAGCACAGGATTTGCCACTCTTTTGATACGGGTGCAAATCGACTTCATCCGTAATGCCCCTGGCGAACTAAGCTACTAACCCTGCTTCCTTTTAGCTTCGTGCTTCCCTTTCCCATGCGAAGCAGGCTCGGTTGCGTCCCCGGGTTTAGCATGAATCCTTTACATATGCCACAGTCTCAACCATCTCGGGCTGCCCGTTGTCACCCACTACGTATGGAATACTGGTCAACGGCTGTGAGCCTGGCTGTTAAACTATGCCTTGCTTGTGGGTGGTTATACGCAGGACCGGGAATATGATATCCAGCCAGTGACAATACAGGCCCGCCTAAACTCCCATCAGTGAACCAGCTGGTGACGTGTGTGCGCTCAGTCAATCTCATCCATACAATTCTCTGGCTCGAATCGAAAAAAGTGGACGACCCTGATTGGTGTGAACATAGCGTAGACCGTTGGATCTGAGTGTAGAAAAGGGGCAATGGAAAACACAATATAGAGAGATTGGAAATGCGAAAGGGCTTCATAAACGCATGAGTCCAAGCTCTCCCATTGAACCCACAAGTTGGGTCGAGTTCTGCGAAGTACAAGCGGCAAAACTCACGCTTGGCACGAGATCATCCGCGTTCTGGACGAGAACCCTTGATCTTCCTGCTTCCCTCTGCCAGGAACTGGGGACGATTTCTTTTGGTGCATGTACCCCGCAACAATGTCGCGCAGGGCTGTCGCAGGACTGGCCCTGTCGAAACTTTCTGATCTGGCCGGGTGTCCCCGTACCAGGTCATATATCAATGGCTCCATGTCCTTTGCCAATTCGATCATCTATATGCCCAGCTCTTTTGTTGTCAGCCCTTTCCTTTTCATATCCACCGTGTCAAAGATTTGTCCAGTCAGACACCTTCTTGATATTCCAGCATCATGGATGGGTCTTTCAAGATGCCACCCCCTGAGGTGCTTGCTGAGATGGCCAAAGACGACATAACGCACAAAGTCATTGTATGTGTCGGTGCTTTCACCGCCATGGGCTTCGTTAGTGTCTGCCTTCGACTTTTCTCTCGAGCAAAGTTTGTTGGCCTTGTTGGTCTGGAAGACTATCTAATCATGCTCTCCATGGTGCGCATGTCATTCCCCTCGTATGGAAAATGCACTCACACAAAATGCAGATCTTTTCTGCGTGCACATCTGCATGCCTCATCGGTACTGCAAAATGGGGAAACGGAAGGCATATGCTCAATCTTCCCCCTCAAAATGGGATGTGGATCTTGAAAGTGAGCGAAATTGAGATCGAGTACAGCCATATTTTCTGACGAGTAGAACCATAGTGGCTATACTTTAGCATTATCGCGTACCATTGCAGTCTGACCACGACCAAGCTTTCCATTCTTTGGCAATACAGGCGAATTTTCACCTACAAGCAGATGCGGGTAGCCATATATGCTTCCATGGGTCTTTGCCTTGCCTGCGGAACCATAGCAGTGGTGTGTGCTACCTTCACCTGCATTCCCGTCCAGGCATACTGGCACTTTGAACAAAGACCGTTTGCCCGTTGTGTTAATCAGGATATGTAAGTACGCCCAGTACCGTAAGAAAGTAACCGCCGCTAAATCGGTTTAGGATGTACCATGCCAACGCAGGCATGAACATAGCTACGGATCTTCTGGTTGCTGTTCTTCCAATAAAAGCTATTTGGATGTTGAAAATCGCCATGCGCCAAAAGATCGCACTGCTGGTCATTCTCACCCTCGGCTGGTTGTAAGTGCTTCCCCAGGCGTCGAATATCCTTTTCGAGAAACACGTACTGACATTCTCAGTGTTGTTGTGATATCCGTAATCCGTCTCTATATCCTCATCGAGGTAGCCAAACATCCCATGGATACATCCTGGTACGGAGGCCCAGCGGCGATATGGTCGGCTCTCGAGATCAACCTGGCCATCTTCTGCGCGTCCGCACCAGCGCTACGACCACTTGTGGTTGCCGTGATCCCAGCTTTCGCAGCGTCACTTGGCGGCAGCAAGCGCACCAACGAGGCATCTGGCCCCAGCGACTACTCAAACCAGACTGAAGACTCACGCAACAGTCGCCCATTCATGAAGCTCAAGGGTCGACGCAGCCAATCCACCGTAAACGACGACATTGATCTTGAGCGGAGCATTACAGCTTTGCCACATGCGGAAAGATACCACGGGGAGATCCATGTTACCAAGGACTTTGAGCAGCTGTCAGCTAGAGAGTCGAGGAGACCGAGCGACACAGATAGCAGCAAGGTTTTGTTTCCTAGGAGTCCCGTTTCGCCGAAAAGATTTTGATGATAAAAAACAAGAAAGCATGAAGTGGAAGATACAGTCCTTGTCGATATACCCCATTATTTCCTTATTTAAAGTCATGCCCGCCGATATCTCTTGGGCAAGCAAGCGAGCATTGACGTGCTGGACACCTTTTGTGTATACAATGTCTCTCATTTGATAATTGATAATTCAATCATTTCGCTATGTGTGAAAGTCTGTGGCCGAGAAGTCTGGCTGGAATCTTGTACTAATGATGTGTCTGCAATCCATTTGGAATGCTCCTTCGGGGGGCTCGACCGGAATTTCTAGGATGTCCACAGGAAAATGTGACGTTCAGTCTACGTGCATCCATTAGACGAATGACTACGTCTATGTACATATGTTCTTAAGTACCTAGGTACAAAGGTATGTATGGAGACAGGAGGTCCGAAATTGCGCTAGTTCTAGTGCGGTTTAGGGCCGACTTGATTTCTACCCTTCTGATAATTGTTCGACTTTTTCTCTCCCATCCCATCCCTCATCCCCTACTTACCACCACCGTCATCATGTATGTCTTTCCTCCGTTATGGCTTTTTCGCGAGTCTCATTACATTCTAATCTCGCGCTCCAGGTATCTCCTCCGCCGAACAGTAGCACGCGCCATCGCCTCGCCTTCTACGGCGTTCGTAGCAAAGCCTCGATCCATCAACACAATTGCTCCACCCGCCTTTCACTCGAGGAAGCAGTTCTTGGCTGTTCCATCTTTCCAAAGGAGATTCGCTAGTGATGATGCTGTCAACAAGACTGGAGCCGAGCAGGCCGTAGCTGAAGCGTCGGACAACTTTGCGCAGACGGCTACCGAAGCACCCGTGGAAGAGAATCTGACCCCTGCCGAGGAGTCTGTACAGGCACCTTCTACTGACGCTTCCGCTACCGTGGGAATTGACGCATTGGAGCAAGCTGCTGAAGGGCGGAAGCGCCCTCAGCGAGCAAACACGTTTATCCAAGCCGATCCCAACAACACACTCTACATTGGGAACCTATTTTACGAGGTTACAACCGACCAAATTCAGCGTGTCTTCTCCCGTTTTGGAGAGGTCAAGGATGTCAAGATTGCCTTCGACAACAGGGGTCTCAGCAGAGGGTAAACAACCATGTAACCGTGTACAAAATTCTAGACTGACATGATCACAGCTTCGCTTACGTCACGTTCGAGAACATTGAGCATGCACAGGCTGCAGTCGAAAATCTGCACATGCAGATCTTCGAGGGCCGAAACATGGTAGTGCAATTCCACAAGCCCAAATCCAGCAGCAGTGTTTCCTATGCTGGTGGCAAGGCCATTGAAAACCCTCCCTCAAAGACGCTTTTCATCGGTAACATGTCATACGAGATGTCAGACAAGGACCTCAATGACATGTTCCGCGACATTCGCAACGTCATGGATGTACGCGTTGCCATTGACAGGAGAACCGGACAACCTAGAGGCTTTGCTCATGCGGATTTCATTGATGTTGCCAGCGCCGCTCGTGCCAAGGAGATTCTTCAGGATAAGAAAATTTACGGCAGACAGCTTCGCCTTGACTTCAGCAAGTCTGCTATTTCGGGTCACGGCCACGGCCAGCGCTCTCGTTCCGATGAGTAGAGTCCGATGCGTTTTGATCTATCTATGGTCGAATGCACGCAAAACCTTGGTGTGGACAAAGTGTACGTCAAAAGAAAAACAAGGCCAGCGGTGGATAACGAGCTGGGCAGCGATCCTAATACCTGGGGTTCCTCATTTCTTGGTCTGTCGTTTATAAGCTGTGTCGAATACTACGACTACTTCTTTGGGTATTTATGTATGATAGAGTTTCGGCGTTTCAATCATCTTCTCGCGAGCAGATGAGAGTTTAAAGAGATGTGGACGGCTGTAAGACTAGAAACATGTATGTAATGAATACTTTGTACTTTGCGGCTGCTGTTGGAAGACTTTGCGTGCGTTCGTATGTGTGTGCGCGAGTACCTTCCGTGATTGCCACTTAGAAATCAAGACAAACAAACCTCGGCGTTCGGCTGCTTTGCCTCCCCCACTCCGACATCGACTAAGAGCATCCGCTCTCTACCCCAGCTCCGCGTTGACAACAGCGATATAACGGACGTGCCGTCGAAACATTTCCCGTTTTTACATTAATACTTTCGGACGTTAGAGCAACCCAGTGCTCTCTCCTTTGCTGCTTATCTCTTCCAGCACCCAGCCAACCGTCGACAATGTCTTTCCTCGGCGGAGCAGAGTGCTCGACGGCGGGCAACCCGCTCAGCCAGTTTACAAAGCATGTCCAAGATGACAAGTCTCTACAAAGAGACCGTCTGGTCGGGAGAGGGCCAGGCGGATTGCAAGAGGGTATGCGCAGCCAACACATGGGCAGTGGATCAGATGGCGTAGGTGCACAACAGTGGAACTCGTGAATATGAAATGGCTACTGATCACGCTCCTTCGCCAGATGATGAACGAGTTTATGCAGCAGAACGTCCAACTACCACAAGGGCCGGGTCCTGCGTCGCCTTTCGCCATGGAACAGATGCGCAGAGAATTAGAACGGGCTCAACACAGCGGTTCACCCGCATGGGCCGCGGAATTCGACCCGGGCATGGAAGCGCCAGCAGCTATGGGACCTAGCATGCAGGAGAGACCTGCAGGCTTCAATCCTGCAGAGTTTGCCAAATTTCAGCAAATGAATCCTACCGCGCGCACAGCGAGTCCGACCGTCAATTCCCCTTCTCCGATGATGGGTGGATACCAACGGCCCATGTACGGGATGGGAATGGGAATGGGAATGGGGATGAACGGCATGGGCATGGGAATGGGCATGCAGCAACCATACGGACCCCAGAATCACCAGCAGCAACCGATGCAGGACTCTGGCAAAGGAAAGGGTCGGATGGTCGAGTTGGATGACCAGGATTGGGAAGCGCAGTTTGCGGAACTAGAAAAGACAAATGTCGACGCTTTGGACAAGGAAGCGAATGAGCGCATAGAAGCAGAGTTGAACGAAATGGACAGGTCAGTAGACGCCACCGATTTCGATGACTTTGAGTCGATATGGGCGGGCATCAAAGCTGAGACTGAACACGCTAGGCAACTTGCCAACGAGGAGAACTTTGTCGAGGGAATGCACGTTGGCGATATGGATCAGTGGGGAGGCTTCGACGGGTTGAATACGCATACGATCCGTGATCCACCAATGGGCGACTATCTTTTCGAGCAGAACAACCTCTTTCAGGACATCACAAACCCTTTTGAGGAAGGCATCAAGATTATGGAAGAGGGGGGTAATCTGTCACTAGCAGCACTCGCCTTTGAAGCGGCTGTGCAGAAAGACTCGCAACATATCGCGGCCTGGGTCAGGTTGGGGGAGTCGCAAGCACAGAACGAGAAGGAGACGCCGGCTATACGAGCCCTTGAGCAAGCATTGAAGCTTGACCCGTCCAACTTGGAGGCATTGATGGGCCTCGCAGTCTCATATACAAACGAAGGTTATGAAAGCACAGCATACCGGACTCTAGAGCGATGGCTGGCGACAAAGTACCCAACTCTCATCAAGGAGCCCTTATCATCAGATGCAGAAATGGGTTTCACTGACCGCCACCTGCTTCATGAGAAGGTCACAAATCTCTTCATTGAAGCCGCGCAGCTCTCCCCGACGGGTGAGCAGATGGATCCCGACGTTCAGGTCGGACTTGGTGTTCTCTTTTATGGGGTAGAAGAGTATGACAAGGCGGTAGACTGTTTTGGTGCGGCACTCGCTTCTACCGAATCCGGTGTCTCAAACTCCTCTTCACAAGTCCATTTGCTCTGGAACCGTCTGGGTGCGACACTGGCAAACTCCGGGCGCAGCGAGGAAGCCATCGATGCCTACGGTCGTGCTCTCGCAATTCGACCAAATTTTGTCCGTGCACGTTACAACCTAGGAGTATCGTGTATCAATATTGGCTGCTTTACGGAAGCTGCACAGCACCTCCTCGGTGCTCTCGCTATGCACAAGGTCGTTGAGAGGGAAGGCAAAGAGCGAGCGCGGGAGGTTGTGGGAGATGGAGTGTCAGAAAGTCAGCTGGACAACATGATCCATCAAAACCAGAGTACAAATTTGTTCGACACTTTGAGAAGGGTGTTTGGACAAATGGGTCGCAGAGATCTGGCGGACATGGTGGGCCCTGGTCTGGACGTGGAGAAGTTTCGAGGCGAGTTTGAGTTTTGAGATAGGTGGGGGTAACAATTCCTTGAAGGAAAGTAATATGTACAACGACTGGCTCTTAGAAAAGAAAGTGCAGGTCAAAGTAGGCCTGAGCGACGGCGAAGAAATACCGCGCGATAGTTGCTGCTTCGGCACAAAGATGTTTGAGGCCGATATAGATCGTATGTGGACATTTTACGGTGGCATCTAGATGATTATTGTAGATCGGCAACCGGTATACATATGTGTAGGATACATGTGTAGTCACTTTCCGCACACATATCCCGCGCTTTCAGCATCGCCGCGTCGATAAATCTTGTATACAGACATAGGATGTGCACGTTCGCATGGGCAAAGTCGCAGCCGATCAATTAGACACCTATACGAGAACAAACTTGCGGTTCGATAGTGAAGACGTAAACACTGCATCAATCCACTTGGCCACGCGAGCAAACCTCGAGCGACAACTCTGGAAGTTGATCACCTTCAATCATGACATGAGAACTGCTTCCTAGCTCTCAGCACACCTGGGCTCCACCGCAACAGTCCCCACATCCAGTATCCAGGCTCTTGGACAAAGCTTTTCCAACTTGCATCATTCAGCCTGACTACAAGGGTAGGAGAGCCTGATGTGGCCACTCAATCGTCGCTCATTCCGATCCATCCATCATAACCTCGGAGAAGGAGTCGTTCCCTATGAGCCCTCGACGCATGGCTTATCCAATAGATGGGCCCACGAGGGGGCCTGCAGGTACCACCGCTGTTCGCCGCACTGGAGCTGATATCAGAGCGTGCACAACGACCTTCCTGAAAAGGCAAAGAGCTCCCGCGCTACAATCATCTATATCCGCAAAGCGGCAACCCTTATAAATGAGTGGTTGCGCCGTGGACGATTTTTTTTTCTCCCTAGGATGAGCGTGCATTTGCAGATTCTTCTTCTCTGTTACCCTGTCGAAAGAATTGGTCGTTGCAAGAATTTTTCGCCCAATTGATTCATCTTGGGCACAATGCTTTCCAAAACCACCACAGCCGTTGCGCTCCTCGCAACCACGGCATCAGCACAACTTTATCCCGGCCAGAGCAACTTGAACCACACCTGTCTTCTCCAGAAGCCGTTGCTGTCATGCCCGGAACAGGATCCAACTCTCGTCGACTCCTGCTGTGTAGAGACATTTGGCGGACTCCTCCTTACAACCCAGCTTTGGTATACGCATACAAACCTCGAGAGTTCCGGCCAGTACCTCCCGGAATCGACTTGGACGACACACGGTCTTTGGCCAGATTTCTGTTCAGGCGCGTATACCCAATATTGTGACCTCACACGTCAATTCGACCCTATACCATCCCCCAACACGACCAATGGCCTACCAAATGGTACCGCAGTCCAGCCCTACACGGGACCCAACATTGGGACATTCTTAGAGCCGTTCGGCAAGCACGATCTCCTGCAGTACATGGAAACCTACTGGATCGCGCAGAACCAAGACAACCCAGGTTTCTGGGCCCACGAGTTCTCCAAGCACGCAACGTGCTTCTCCACGTTCAACGTCCCCTGCTACGGCCCACAGTACCGCGAGCACGAGGATGTCGTCGACTTCTTCGAAACAGTGATCCGCTACTACAAGCGGTTCCCGACCTTTGAGTGGCTCGAAGCTGCGGCTATCCTGCCCTCAAACTCTACTACCTACTCGTACGCCGATATCCTCGAGCCTCTGCAGGAACAGACCAAAGCGGTGCCGTTTATTGGCTGCTCGGGTCCTAGGTTCAATGCTACCGCTGCTGGTGCGAATTCCACCGACAATGGGTATACGGTGCTGAGCGAGGTGTGGTACTACGAGCATGTGTATGGTAGGCCGCAGGAGATGAATACCGTGCCCGTCGATGCATCGGCGAGTTATTTGACAAACTGCGCGAAGAGTGCGGGTGGAATCTGGTATTATGAGAGATCGAATGGTTCGGTAAAAGTGCCTGCTGTGCCTTATTAGACTCGGACTTGTTGGGCTGTTTAATGTATATATGTGTAATGAGAACGAATGGGGGATACGATCCTCACTTCCTTTGGAATACCATTTTCCCGGGCAGAGCAGTCATTGCATAGAGTGGTATCTACGTGTTCGTACGTGCGTCTGTGTCTGTCCAAAAACCAACTTTCGGTAGCTATATAGACACCACTACTAGGTGGATCCGGCTCCTGCCAAACAGATGCTGCAATATTCCAACCCATCTTATCATGTTTCACGCTTGATCACACACGAGATATTGTAAATAGGGACTCAGTTAATATCTACAAATAACACCAAGTCCATACAATTCGCGGAAAAAGCAACTTTTCCTACATTAGAAAACAGTGGCACACTAAACCAATAAAACTCCGGTTTCCAGCCATGTAGACAGCCCCATCGCTGAGAAGCCGGTGCGATAGGAACTTTGATCTTTGACCCCCCGATATAAAACCTATGCCTACATGTCAAAAATCTGAGATACAAAAGAAAGGGAAAAAAAAAGGAAAAAGCATGTCCAGCCAGCTGCGAAATCGGGTAGAACAATGCTCTATGAATAAAAGGCTCCCTTCTGGAAGCTCTCTACCCCCAGATCCCCAGCCTTACCCGCAACCAGCGGCACTTTTTCTGCGACCTTGCCCTGCTCCGTCATAGTGGCGGTCCTACTCCCTGCTGCTGAGCTGCTCGTCATGGTATGCGCTCTGCTTCCGACCGTCGGACTTCCAGGCTGGCTAGTCGCCGTGATCTGCGCGGGTGGTTGTCTGCGCTGGATCACCTCGAGATACACACCAGGCAAGTAGCCCATGCGGCCGTCTCTCGAGCGGCACCTCCACCACTCCGAAGGGTTACCCAAAGGATCCGATTTGCTGAGTACAGCGACCATGTCGCCCTTCTTGACAGCGAGGTCGAGTCCCTGAACCGCGTTTGCGTTGGCATCGGGTGTGAAGTCATACAAGACACGGCAGAACTCAAGCTTGTTGGGATCAATAGGTTCGCCTAGGGCGCCGGCTTGAGGATTCTCGGCCATTCGTCGCTTCTCCTCTTCTTCCTGAGAACGGGCGAGTGCTTTGATAAGTTTACCCATGAGGTAGGGAAGTCCGAAGGCAGCCAGCATGAAGACGACGAAAGGCTTTTTGGACGGTTTGGGCATGGGCGAGCCGTCTGGACCGACGCCGTTGAATGCAGCAAAGTTTCCGGGGGTGAGTTCCTTGCCTGATGCTGGTGGAGCGCGACCTGTAAGTTTTGCGATGACGGAGCGGATCCAGCGCATGAGTGTAAAGATGCCGAGAACGGAACCAAGAGTTTGACGCAGATTTCCGAATTGCTCTGCAACTGACACCATAGCTATTCAAAAACTGTTAGTAAACAGGCTGTGGTAGAAAGATGAGGTGTGACTGCTCACCAAAGAATGAGGAATGTGTCGCCATATATGTGCTTTCCAGCATCTGTGCGAAACCGCCGAAAGCGCCCACGATACCCTCTATTAACTGGAAGGTCGTTTGTGTGCTTTGGCTAAAGGACTGCGTTAGGCTCATATTGTTTGGGTCCCCGGGCATGCCCATTCCTCCTCCATACATGCCGCCCATGCCCATGCCCATACCCATACCGCCGCCGTACATGCCTCCCATACCACCCATGCCTCCATACATGCCACCCATGGAACCGTAACCTCCCATCCTAGAATAGGGCGATGAATAGTTATTGTAGCCGCCCCCGTAGTTGCTGTATGGTGACTGATATCGGTTTGTGTTCATGTTTGAGTAGTTTGTCGCGTTGCGGTTTGCCGTGGACGTAAGCGCATTAGGAATTTCTGGGAGAGGTGGTGGCGATGAAGATGATGTGGGAGATGCGGTAGGGGCTGCTGAGCTGCTTCCTGTGAGGCCTGGTGTGATGTTAGCACCTGTATTGGATGACGGAGGGTGAAAGCCGTGAAGCATACCAACCGAGGCGCTGGTTGCACCTGCGCTCCTTTCCCATGGCTTTGGCGGTGATGGTGAGGCCATTTCTCCTCTGTATGTGCCAACTCACCAGGCCGTCATGAGAGGGCGGACTCTGCCTCTGCTTGCGACACGTGAAGAGTTATTCGGATGGCGACGTCAGGGTGAGCAGGCAGGCTGTGAAAGATGGCGAAAGGTTGCGATTTTTGCGGGGTTGGCCGGATTGGCTGGCTCGTCGCGCGGTTCCGCAAGCAGCTCGATACGATGTACCTTGGTATGTGCCTGTGCTTGAGTTCTGAGTACACGAGTACCTATTGCGGTAGAGAGAATGCACGCGGGGCGAGTTGGAGGTCAGAATGACAGGCCTGGACAAAAGGGAATATCGAAGGCGCTGGGGCGGTGCTGTGCTTGCTCATTGTTCATTCATCGATTCCAGATGGCTACATGGCAGCAGTAGGTAGCGTAACTTGCCACGGACCGAGGTTTGTTTTTCGGCCAACGCCGCCGCGCTCTCTGCCAGAAATCACAAGCCAACTGGTGCACAACTGTCATCCACCATCACCGCCCGGCCGACTCCCTACTCCTACTTTGGAAAGTAAACCCGTCACCCACATACATACAGTACAGCCACAGAACAGGCTAGCTACGCTATTGCTATGTTGGTGTTCAGGCATCGCTGCACGGCTTGTCATCATGTAATCAATTGCTGGCTAGCTAGCTACTGCTCATTGATATGCGTCGCGCCTGGATCTTGACATGTCTTCTCCCAACAACTGACATGAAAAATCAATCCCCAATCGGAAACAACGAATGCCCATCATCATCTTCGCTGTACGCCACGAAGTCATCAATCTGCGCTTGCGTCAAGCTCTGCGAGAAATCAAACGAGTCGTCCAACACTCTCGCCGTGATGTTCCACTCGTGAAAGATGACCGCAAACTTGAGCATACGGCCTACTGGTCGCAGGAAGTAGTTGCTGTCGCCACCTTCCCGATTGCCCTGTCGATGAATGGTCGATTTGGCGCGCAATTCGCCTCGCCCAAGCAGTTCAAAGGCATCGAATTCACCGCAGCCTGTAGACCAGCACGAGCACGGAATGTTGTTGCGATCGTTGCCATATTGCAGGATGCGTGGGATGGCCGCGTTGAGAAACCACCATGCGGGAGCATCCGACAGCATCCCTTGGTCTGACCCTTCGTTGTCGTAATGGTCCATCTGAAATTCAATCAAGAACGCTTTCGAGGGTCCTCCCCAGCCGTCTACTGTTTGTTAGCCAGGAACAAACCATCCTGCACAAAGTCCATAAGCTTACAGTGTGCAACACTATCTGGCCTTGCGTATTCACAGTTTCCATCGCAAATTTCGTCCGTGAAAACTGCAATCTCACGCTCCGAGGTTGCCAGTGTGCCGTCGAATGGTGTATTATCCGTCGTCACCTTGCTGCCGTCTCCAATCACATACCCAAGAGAATTCCCAAATGAACTAGACGAGGTTAGAGCAAACCTGGCCTGTACGACTGGAGAACGTACTAATCAAACGTTCCGGACTTTTGTGGATCACCAAGATTGGCCAGGAAGGCAAAACCAGTAGCTTCAGCGGGTGCTGCTGAGGTGTAATAGGCCACTCTGCTCCATGTGTCGCCTGCACGCAATGGCGGAGAGTGTGTAGTAGCGATGGGGTCAGTGTTATGAAAGGCTCTGCGCTCGTTCGACCTGGCCATTGTGTGCATGGCCTCAGATTTCGTATCCGTTTCACAGGAAGCCGGCATCCCAAAACTCTCATTCGGGCTTGATGTCATAGTCGATAGATGGGGAAAAGACATGCCAGAGTCCACTGAGCTTGCATTCACCACCGAACCATTCAACGGCGTAGTATAGCTCAGCGATATGTTCTTTGAACAGACGGTGGTGGCATCGTGAACTGCTGTAGTAATTACAGGCGGAGATGGAATTGTTGGTGGCAACGGCGGAATGATGTGGGGTGGAACTACGGGAATAGGTGGTATTGCTACATCAGGGACGGGCGATGACCACGGCAAAAAAGAGCTGGTGGTATCGCAGGTAGTTGAAGAAGAAACGGTCTGTCCGCAAGTACTGCCCGTAACGTACAAGGTCGTGGTGATGGTAGATCTCGAGCACCCTCGAGATTGAGACTCCTGTAATTCTTTCTCCAAGAAGATCTTGTAATCGCTTCGCTTTCTTGGTTGACGACCACCGTTGGCTGACACGTCTGGGAGCTTGTAAACGGCGATTTGTGAAACATTCATCGGACCACGAAGATGCATAGAGAGCTACCGTCGCCGTTAGTACAAAGAAGGCCAAATCGTGCACCAAACTTTATAGTACTTCTCCAATTAACGGAGTAGTTGCGCCAATGCCCGAGTAAGCAATAGGCTCATGGTGGCATACGCCAGAATCTGGATCGATCCCCGTAGTTCGGTTGTATCTGCCTGCCTGGTTGATGTTCTTGTATGTGATGGCATTGACTTGCGAGCAGTACCAGTTGCCATCATCTGCCAGAGTGGCACTCCCATGACACAATTTTGCGGCCGATTTTCCGAATACGTGAAGGGGAATGGTGAGGAGAAAGCTGGTGAAGAAGTAGATCATGATGGTTAGGCACGGGGGATCCGAATAGAGGCAAAAGGGATGCAGCATGAAGAAGTAAGATGCAACAAGAGGTTTGTAAGAGAACAGTAGTGAACTTGTAGCATTGTTATTTAAGGTAGATGCAAGAAAGCGTATACGCCAGGCTGGAAGTTGCGATGTGTATATCTATGATAGATAGAAAGTACGATCGCCTGAAAGATAGTACCCGCGTCGGGTGGTATTGACAGATTCTAGGTCTATAAACCACTTTGAAATTGAAATGAGTGCATATCAGCGACAAGCTTGATACGGTGAATACACAGTTAACGGACGACTAAAACCAAAACATGTTAGCAATGGTCAAATGTTTTCGCTGAGCCAAGAAGAGTGTATAACAAAGGGATTTGTCAGAAAGTCTAAGTGAATGCATGTAGCTTTGCGCTATGAACATTAGAGGTACCAGAAGTGTATAAAGAATTCATCACAGTGGAGAAATGGAAATATAGACGTGGTCTGACTTACCGAAAAATGGGCGATGGGATTGAGAAGGGTTGGAAGTGAAGGTTGAGACGGGCTGGTCGAAATTTTGTATGTACTAACGCCAAGACGTCCGTGCGTCGACTTAGCGAATTTTCGCCATTTCGCACACATCTCTTCTCGATCGCGAACTTCGAACTTCAACCCCAACGCATCTCGACCGTCCACCTCCGTCGACAACAAACCTGCACAATGGGTCGCCTTCACAGCAACGGAAAGGGTATCTCGGCCTCGGCCATCCCCTACTCTCGCCAGCCCCCAGCGTGGCTCAAGACCACCCCCGACCAGGTCGTCGAGCAGATCTGCAAGCTTGCAAAGAAGGGCGCCACTCCCTCGCAGTAAGAGACACACCATATGGCATGGGAGAACCACATGCTTACAATGATCAGGATTGGCGAGGTCCTCCGTGACTCCCACGGTGTTGCCCAGGTCAAGGTCGTCACCGGAAACAAGATCCTCCGCATCCTCAAGTCGAACGGTATGATAGTTTGCCCAACATGAAGCGCTTGTCAACCGCAGCTCTGCTTCCAAGCATCTGTTGCGCTATACAAATTTGCCTCTGTTGGTTCAATGCTGACAGAGAGCCATTAGGCCTCGCTCCTGAGATCCCCGAGGATCTCTACATGCTCATCAAGAAGGCTGTTGCCGTCCGCAAGCACCTTCAGACCAACCGCAAAGACAAGGACTCCAAGTTGTAAGTAATCTCTGCTCAATCTATGCGCACTAGCCCTAATTGTTGTAGCCGTCTCATTCTCATCGAGTCCCGTATCCACCGTCTCTCCCGCTACTACAAGACCGTCGGTGTCCTTCCCCCCACCTGGAGGTACGAGAGCGCCACCGCCTCTACCCTTGTCGCATAGAGGAAATGTGGGTTGCTGTACGAGGATGCGGTTCAAATAAAAATAGCATTTGGAGTTACGGACTGCATGAATACATGCTTCATCGGTTACATAGCCTCACGGATGAATACGATCTGGAATGATTGAAACTATCATCGTTTACACATGTTTTGATCCACCCTATCAGCCCTCGCGTGAAGCAATGTGAAGCCAGCCAAACTGGGGTATCATGAATGAATTAACCCTGCGCCTTGATCCTTTATAATTTTGTCCACCCATATCAGTCAAGACCCACGCCAGAGTGCAACTGCTGAAATCCCATGCGATGTGAAATCCACACAATGTTCAGCCCTCAAGCTCAGCACTCTTCTGCGCCAGGAACTCGCTCAGGTATTTCAGGGGCTTTTCCGGTCTGTACATGTTAGAAACCATGCTCGAGTTGAGTCAAATACTGCAATAACTCACTCTGTCGCAGCGAGATGCTTCATAGCCTCAAGCAAGTGCGGCGTGACATGCTGGTTCAGGTACACTCTCGTAGGACTCCCATGTGGGTACGGTTGTGAGGGAGCTTGCGATGTTGCGCTCGGGTGCGGAGAATTACGTGTTGGCGTAGGAGCAGCTGCGGGCGTAGGTGGTGCTGCTGCAGGCGTTGCTACAGCAGGAACTTCGATTGTTGGAGCTTCAGAAACTTCGGGAACTTGCGCAGGTGGCTATGTACAATCAGCGTGCTTCCATGGCTCCAAGTGTGGCAATGGAAGCACCCACATCCGTGGGTATCAGCTTTAAGTCCTCCATCTCTACGTCTGGATCGACTATCGTTGTGCTGGTCCCGTTCTCCATCGGTGGTGCTATTGCTTCGACTGATGAAGCCGTTGTTTGTTCGACGGGCTGCATTGGCGAAAGCACAGGATCGGCCATTTTAGGGACGGCGAAAGTTTTTCAGGGCTTTCAGCTCGGTAGGCACGTATTGACGCGTCTTGTGCAGGCGATTGAGTAGTCGTTATTGTGAAAGTGGTGCTCGTGGGTCCAAAGGTTGTTCGGCGATTCTGCGGAGCTTGCGGAGATGGTCTGGGGAAATCTCAGTCGAGGATCCTGAATACGTGAGGTAAACAGGCATAAATGGTGATCCTGTGAACTATCAGAGGATCTAGCAACAATACTTTGAAGTATTCCCCACCATATAGCCAGACTTAATTTCTATCAATTGTGACCAATTCATCGACTGCAGGTGCGAGCTTTGGTCACGTGATCATGACTAATTGCCAGCTGCACAGACCAGCTGAGCCCTAGCAACGCATCTCAAACTTTCCCCCCCTCGACGCGACACCTTACCTTCACCGTCAATACGATACCCCGACACCTGCAGCACAATGGCCGGCCCGCGCTCAGGAAAGAAATCCATGGCCAACGGCTCCGCCGATGAAAACACCTCGAGCAAGCAGTCACTCCTAGAGGCGCAAGACCAGAGCTTGTACGGAGGCAACGGCGTCGATAAATATGCCGGCTACAACACATCCATCGCCGCTATCGAGGATGAGGATATGGAAGATGCCGGAGAAATGAACGGAAGGCGGCTGGTTGGGCAGTACACAGCTTCTAAGGACATGCTCAATGAATTCGCCCACGGAGATACCGCTGAGGACGACATCCTGCAGAGCCGCGAGCAACAGGCACAGATTGCCTCGCGTGAAACCGACTACCAGCGTCGTCGATTCGATCGCGCACTTTCTCCGACACGTGCAGATCCTTTCGCCAAGGACGGTGCCAATGGCGGTGCGACATATCAGGACGTTATGAAGGAACGCGAGCTGGAGCGCGAGGAAGCGCGCATTCAACGCCTGATCGAAGATCGAGAGAAGAACGGCAACGAGGTGTTGGACCACAAACCGACGCTCCAGGACGGCGCAGTGGCTCATCGGGATGGCAGCAAGACACCTCCAGTGGAGAAGAAACGGAAGAGGCGCAGGTGGGATGACGCTGGTGATGAGCCCGCAGCGACCGAGGAGGTACCGGCAGAACTTACCACAAAGAAACGGTCGCGATGGTCTCCGGGCTCAGAGGGTGAAGAAGAGACCGAAGCAAAGAACGAGGCTCTTGACTCCACTGCAGGACCTGTCCGCTCGCGGTGGGATACTACAATTATTGCTCCATCAAACCCGGCCCCCGCTCCTGCGCCTGCCACAACTGTTGCCCAACCTGTCGCTCCTCAGTCTTTCGCGTTTGGGACCGACATATCGGCCCGCAATGCTCCACTCTCCGATGAACAACTCGACATGATGCTTCCTTCAGAAGGCTACAAAATCCTTGAACCACCACCAGGTTACGAACCTGTACGTAGACCTGTGGGAATGCCTGCCCTTCCCACTGGTTATCAAGGCTATCTAGTACCCGAAGCAGACAATAGCATGGCTATGATGGGCAAGCAGCTGCCCACCGAGATTCCAGGTGTTGGAGATCTTCAGTTCTTCAAGAACGAAGACATGAAGTACTTTGGAAAGCTCACCGATGGAGCCGACGAGAACGAGATGTCTGTGGAAGAGCTCAAGGAGCGCAAGATCATGCGGCTTCTACTCAAAGTCAAGAACGGAACACCCCCAATGCGAAAGACCGCTCTACGACAACTTACCGACAATGCGCGAGTGTTTGGCCCAGGAGCTTTGTTCAATCAAATCCTACCCCTGCTCATGGAGCGTACACTAGAGGATCAAGAGCGGCATTTACTAGTCAAAGTCATTGACCGTGTTCTTTACAAACTCGACGATCTCGTGCGGCCATACGTACACAAGATTCTCGTTGTCATCGAGCCCCTTCTGATTGACCAGGACTACTATGCCCGTGTCGAGGGTCGTGAAATTATTTCCAATTTGGCCAAGGCCGCTGGCCTAGCCCATATGATTAGTACAATGCGACCCGATCTCGACCACCAGGATGAATACGTGCGTAACACCACCGCTCGAGCCTTTGCTGTAGTCGCATCAGCACTCGGTATCCCCGCCCTCCTTCCTTTCTTGCGAGCTGTCTGCCGAAGCAAAAAGTCGTGGCACGCCCGACATACTGGTGTCAAGATCGTGCAGCAGATTCCTATTCTCATGGGATGCGCTATTCTCCCCCATTTGAAAGGTTTGGTGGAATGCATTGGCGAAAACCTTAGTGATGAGCAGCCCAAAGTACGGATGGTCACTGCACTTGCCATTGCTGCATTGGCAGAAGCAGCTGCGCCATATGGTATCGAATCGTTCGACGAGATTTTGAACCCGCTTTGGACAGGTGCTCGACGACAACGTGGCAAAGCCCTCGCCTCATTCTTGAAGGCTGTTGGTTACGTGGTTCCGCTCATGGACGAGGAATACTCCAACTACTATACCAGCCAGATCATGGAAATTGTCATCCGCGAATTCCAGTCGCCAGATGAGGAAATGAAGAAGGTTGTCCTGAAGGTTGTCTCTCAGTGCTCCGGTACTGCTGGAGTAACGCCTGTTTACCTAAAGGACAATGTGCTTGCCGAGTTCTTCAAGCACTTCTGGGTCCGAAGGATGGCTTTAGACAAGCGAAATTACCGCCAAGTTGTTGATACAACAGTAGATCTGGCACAGAAGGCTGGTGTTGCCGAGATCGTTGGCCGGATTGTCAACAACATGAAGGATGAGAACGAAGCATACCGCAAAATGACCGTGGAGACGATTGACAAGGTTGTTAGCACCCTCGGTGCACATGATGTGGATCAGCGTCTTGAGGAACAGCTTATCGACGGTATCCTCGTTGCTTTCCAAGACCAGACTATTGAAGATCCAATCGTTATCGATGGGTTTGCTACCATCGTCAACGCTCTTGGGGAACGTACCAAGACATACCTCCCGCAAATTGTCGCTACGGTCCTCGCCCGGTTGAACAATAAGTCAGCCACCGTTCGCCAGCAAGCTGCAGACTTGATCTCGCGAATCACCTTTGTCATGCAGAAGTGCGACGAAGACCCTCAGTTGATCAAGCTCGCTCAAGCATTGTACGAATACTTGGGCGAAGAGTACCCCGAGGTGCTTGGATCTATTCTTGGAGCTCTCCGAGCCATCATCACTGTTGTTGGTCTTGCAGCCATGCAACCTCCGATTAAAGATCTCCTACCGCGACTGACGCCCATCCTTCGCAACCGTCACGAAAAGGTGCAGGAGAACACGATTGACCTTGTCGGTCGCATCGCGGATCGAGGCGCTGACTACGTAAACCCGCGAGAATGGATGCGTATTTGCTTCGAACTTCTCGATATGCTCAAAGCGCACAAGAAGGGTATACGGCGAGCGGCGAACAATACATTTGGTTACATCGCCAAAGCCATTGGTCCGCAAGATGTGTTGGCAACGCTGCTCGGAAACCTTCGTGTACAGGAGCGTCAGTCGCGTGTCTGCACTGCCGTCGCCATTGGCATTGTCGCAGAAACTTGCGCTCCGTTCACTGTTCTTCCGGCACTGATGAACGAATACCGCGTTCCTGAGCTCAATGTTCAGAACGGTGTCCTCAAATCTCTTTCGTTCATGTTTGAATACATTGGCGAAATGGCGAAGGACTATGTATACGCCATCACGCCACTGCTCGAGGACGCACTGATCGACCGCGACCAAGTCCATCGGCAAACAGCCGCGTCTGTAGTCAAGCACGTTGCTCTAGGCTGTGTTGGTCTTGACTGCGAGGATGCCATGCTGCATCTGCTCAATCTCCTTTGGCCGAACTTATTTGAGACCAGTCCACACGTTATCGACCGGATTGTCGAAGCTATTGAAGGGATCCGCAATGCCATTGGAACCCCACTTGTTATGAACTATGTTTGGGCGGGACTCTTCCACCCGGCCCGGAAAGTACGACAGCCGTATTGGCGCATCTACAACGATGCGTACGTGCAATCGGCGGATGCTATGGTGCCTGCCTATCCTCAGTTCGAGGATGAGAAGCTGAAGAGGCACGAGTTGGAGATTTTCATATAAGATGTGTAAGACACCCATGGCAGAGGAGGAAATTTGCTCGGTTACGCTACTGGCAAGCTAACATGTCTGGCTCGCCACGGCCGGTCGATACTGTGTATGTATATGACTTTTGCATGGTGTGGAGTTAGTGGTTTGGGGAAAGTCAGCATTGGAGTTCAGGTTTACATGGCAACGTCTGACCGGGGGATTGATTGGGCGAATAATTAGCACACGGAATGGTAAAATGTTAAGCGCACACAGTGGTTCACCGCTAATGACCTTCAGGCTGTGAGAATCCAACACAAGGTGCGTCCGTGCCCGAGCACCTGTCTTGAAGTTTGGGTGAGATGAGGATGTCGGATTGCAACACATCCGTGGCAGGACTCTAAAGGTAAGGAAGCAGCACCGCAGCCAAATATGTCTCATGCGACATGTTGCCCATAGCCCCCATCCCTTTTCCGCCTCGTACTCGGCCCCCTTTGCACAGTGATCAAGTCCGGAAGCTGCTCCTCATGTGGACGGCTCGCGCTCGTGGTAGCGAAGATTGAGAGGCGGGGCCCTTGGATATAGGTATCTGAGTCAAAAGCGCTTCCATGACAGTAGCGTGACGGGGCAATATTCTCAAGACGTTACGATAGAAGGAATTCAATTGTTTTCCATCTGCTTTGGGCTAAACAAGCGCGGACGCCGTTGAGCCGAGCGGCGTTGCTATTCTTAGGTGCATCCATCCCTCCATCCATCATCAATGGCGCAGCTGCGGGGCTCGCTTTACCCTTGGCCGTCACCCTTCTAAGCCCTGTCTTCACAACTTTCGCCCTCCATCACACACCAACATGTCCAAGTGCATGGGTGTGCACTGTCTAAATGTAGCCACGCTGGGGATTGCTCATCGAGCCCGGTGCTGTGCCCGAGACGTGCCATCCCGTCAGACATAATATTGGCTGTCTCTGTACAGGGAGCCTGTAGATCTCACCACCGACCGCCTGCTCGGGCTCCATATGTTATGGGGCTTGCGCTGTCTTGGTAGTATAGTTATATGCACGCGTGTTCCCCACGTCATTACTGAACCTATGGTTGCTCGCTACATTACTGCGTTTCAGGAATTATCGATTTTCCTATTGATTTGGGGGAAAAGCCCATATTAGCTTCCACCCTATCTTGCCCATCCATCACCATGGCTGCAACTAACTCCTCCACAACCTCAGACGGCACACCTCTCTTGTATCCCACTGTATACGTTTCGCCCATGAAAGATTCAAAGAAGCCACAAAGTATGCTGGGGTTGGGCGGTGGATTCATCGCCGCCGGGTCCAGGGATCGATCGAGCTGGTGCAATTCTGTCGCTTCGTCTTCGTACAACGGCTCGCTCGAGGAAAAGTTGAGGCAGGCTGAACACGATGTCAGGAGGCTCTCGGGCATGGATTCGCTCAAAGACGGCGATGACGGGAGTATCATCACTTGGAATATGCGCAAGCAAGCCAGGCAATCCACTTCTACCCGAGGATGGATTGATATCGGGCTGGAAGATGAGCGCGAGCACTCGAAGCAATCAGATCTCTCGCCAATGCCACCCTATCTACACTTGCCATCGTTCCCATCGACACCCGAGCCTCTATTCTCGCCTTCTCCGGAGCCTGTCGAACTTGATGCAACAACGACACAACACGTTTGCAGGTCCGCTACTCGCTCGCGCCAGTCATCATGCGCCTCTTCACGCTTTCATGCTAGGCCGACACATAAAATAGCATCATCTCGGTCTCGAGGTCTTCGATCCGACACATGTCCCGAGTTTAGTCGTCCAACATCTCTCTTGAAACCCGTGCCCGGTGAAGACATGGAACGAGATCCATTACATATCAGATATATGGGTGAACCCCCAACCCCTAATTCGCCACCTCCCAAGGACCCTTTCATGTTCGACGACGTAAAAGAGGCCCGCAACCATATCGAGCAGCAACTCAAACAAGCCATGGCCGATCAAAGTAATCCAAAACCAAACATGGAACAAGAAGCACGACCCAAGAAAATGAGGTGGAGCTCTCTTCCCAGTTCCCTCATGAAGCTCACCAAGCGTCACTCCAAACCTGAAGAGGATATGCTAGTAAACGCCCACAAGAAACACCGCGACCAGAAGACGGACAATTCCATTGTCACAAACGATAATCTCCAAAGCTGGGTAGATGAAGCCGGTCACATTCAAAACATGCACAGAACAGGCAGGGACAGTTTCGTCTCCAGCCCCGTACAAGTCGACATGATGACACATGAAAACTACAGCCACTCGATTCTCATACCACCCACCATTCCCTCGCCTCAATACCAAGACTTTGGCCCGACACCCCCCTCATCGCCGTCCCTCGCTCAAATCAGACTTCAGCAACGAAGCCATCACCAGAATTCGCCCTCTTTCTCTGGCGCTTTCCCATCCCCACTTCCCACGCCCCCACCCGAGCGTCCACGCTCTCTCCTCTCTCTCGCCAGCCAAAAAGAATTCGCCGCCGAAAAGGCAAATACGCTCTTTACCTGCACCGTCTGCAAGGAGGCAGAACACCCCTCCACCTTTCCGCTCCGCAAAATCACAAAATCGTGCATGCATCCTACACGGACCTGTTTAGACTGCTTACGCAACTGGATCGATACGTGCGTGAGGGAGGGTCGTTGGGAAGGGTGTACGTGCCCCGAGTGCGGACTCACCATGTCAACCGAGGACGTCGATGCTTTCTCGTCTGCTGGAGGCTTCATGCGATGATTCCTGTTTTTCTTTATTTTTTTTGTTTTGTTCTGTTTTTGCAACTCCGATTTGGCGTTTTCTAGCGGCATTATTGACACCGCTGGGAGGTGTGCACTTACGATTTTATGTCAATGATTTGCGGTCAGGATCGGTAGTCAGCTTGATAGGGCCCCATATGTGGTGTTGTTCTTAATGATGGACGAGTAATTGTAATATAATACTGAGTGCTACACAACATATATACCTACAGTTATGACAAAGAATTAAGATTTGACTTTTGTTCAACCGCTCACAGTGAACCAGGAGACACAGTGCGTCAATTCCCTTCTACCACTTTGTACCAATGGCAATAAACACCGCCCCGTTCTGGAAGGCGAAGCGCGTGATCTACTACATTTTCTGCGCAGATATGAGAGAAGAAAGCGATTTTTCTGCAGAGTCAGATAAATCTACGGTTCAGACTCAATAGTACTAGTCACATTACTTCTATGAAGTTGTATATTAATATTGCGATATCAAAGCCACCCGTCGGATCTTACTACCAAGTACCTCGAATATGTATCTTATAAAGGCGAGATCGATGTCAGGATCTCGGAGAGCAATATTCGCCATGCTAGCTCGAAGAAAAGGCGAGCGAGAAACTTGTTGCGTTCTCAGGCATCTCAATGTCGTTCGAAGGCTTTTGCCAGGGATGATGAATGCATTGACTGCGCATTTGACGTAGTCACGTATACGACGTCCCAACGAATGAATGCATTGTCAGACTCTAGAAACATACGCTTTGAGAGAAACTCTACTGGTACATAAACAATCTGGGTATGACGCCCGGAATCGAGTGGGCGCCATCATGATCTTGAGTCTTGATTGATGGACAAGTGAAGTATGTTTATCTGGCAGTTGGGTGCACGTCTCTCATTACTTGCAAACATGTGGATGGAAAATTCTATGAGCATAGACTGAAACAAGCAACGCTAGAAGTAACGGGTTACTTGTTCATCAATATAACCGTCGTATACATTGCTTTCCTGATTACATTTGGCTTGAAAGCAACAAGAAGATGCCTTGTGCTTGCCGTCCTGTAACAAGTTGCAAACCAACGGACGCACCTCAGTCCTTGGTATAACGCATGAGAAAATGGGAGCTTAACTCAAATGTACATAAAAACTTGTAGGCTATTTCTGGGCTCAATATGATGGAGGCTTTTCGTTCTTGCATCTGCACTTGACAGAGTGCCAAAAAGTTGTGGCATGCTCTGGCGTGCTTGTATGAGGAAGGATCTTGGCATCAAGGTGCCTTCTATTACCGTAGCTAGCTTTCCCTCTCTCTTCTATTACAATAATTGACGCTCTTTTACATCACTTCCTGTCTGTGTTGTACCACTCCTTTGGGCCCTGCTCATAGCATGACAATGGCGGAAACCCAGCCAAATATCGCGCGGAAACCCTTTTACCGAGAAAGAGTTACAAACACCCTCTCTCCCCATCTCCTGTACCGAATGCATACCCATTTCTTTGGCGAAGTATTGGCTATTACAGTAGCTAGGGAGTAAAAATCAGGATTGGAGCAGCGCCCAATCCCGTGCACATACACCCCAACATCGCTGTGAAGAAAAAGTATATATTTCCATAGCCGTCACTTACAGGGGGATCGCAGTGTCGTAAATTTGTGCTGTAAACGCCAAAGATGATGTAGGAGAGCCTAATCATCGGTATATGTGCTTGCCGCAACTGTTGCTCGTGGAAATCAACATGCGGGCCGGCTCGATCCATCAACCACTAATCTAGTCGTATGGCTAGCATGACCTCGGAGTGAGATGAAGCTATAATACAACATTGAAGAGACGAGAGCTATGGCTCGGTAAGTATTTTGAGTCGCGAAACGAGGATCTAATAAAGCTTTTCGACATCTTTTTGGATGGGCAGTGTTCTTGAAGCAGCGCATACTACTCATCTCTTCCACTACCCAGAGCCAGGTTGAAGGAAGTGAAATAAAAAAACTGAAGTGATATCAGTCGTCAGACCCTATGGGCGTCGAGAATAAACGATGTTATGGAGAAAGAACCACACCTTTTCCTGCTCTCTCACAATGTGTAAGAAACTCAACGCTTTCTGGTAAGATATATCCGGTGGGGACCCAAGTGATGCGATTCAGTGAGGTTTAACGGAATTTCCGCAGTCTTATAGTATATTTTGTGCTGTGTGATTACTGTTTCTGGGTTGAACGATCGGGCAGACGATGGACTGTGTTTGAGATGTGAAAACGGTGCTGGCGTACCTCATTCCTCAACATCTATTCGCACCACCCAGACAAACACGTTATCCTACTGACTCGACGGCCAGAGTAGGTATTCATTTCGTTGCTTACAGTTTACGATACAAGACAGCAGAAGCTTTTATTCGTAGCTCATACAGTCTACGAGCAACCATCTAACATTTGTGCAGCCCAACACATTCATTCAACCGAAACGAAAGTGCGGGGTCACGTACTACATGACAGGACCTCAAGATCATCTTGTGGCATGTTGAGCGATGCAGGAAGGTATGTAGATCGCAGGGCTAATCGATTGCTACACAGATATCTAGCCGTCAAGCTAAGATAACGGGGCTGTTGGACAACGGCCCGACACTTTGCCATACCAATATCCACTACCAGATAAGGGGAGGGAAACTAGAATGATGGCCAGGATCTCAAAGAAACGCAACGCAAAGAACAAAAGGTGCCTTACAGATCAAGATGTTGTGCTCAATATTGCGTTTTCGACATGTGCGTTGGGCAGCAGTTCAGCTCGGTTCGGTTTTGTTGCGTTCCCACAAATATACCGAAGTACATATGCTCTACAGAATCAGCCTCGCTAGAGTAAACTTTATGGCTCGTAGCGAGAGTCCAAAGTGGAGGTGTGGAGTCACAAGGAAAGAGTGGAAAAAACGTGTCGTGAGCGCTGGAACCTGCCGCTGCCTTGGGAGATGAAGATCGCCGTCGTGTGCTCAAAGTCTGTGTTCCAGGTTCTGTGACAGGTGGAGCAAGGTTGTAAACCGTTTTGCCGAGAACTCTTGTGTTCTGCAGCGTTGTCGTCATTCTCGTGGGGGCATTCACGCCAAGGGTTCTGGGTTGGGTTTGGGAGGATCTGTCGATGCTGGCTGGCTGGCGTTGATTGCAGTTAGACGTTTAGCAAGGCATACAATCGTTGAAGATTAGAGAAACATCTCCTAACCGTCCTCTACTGCAATGGTGGTCCAAGGCTACCTGAAAAGGCTGGTTAGTATTAGCCGTCTACAGTGCGCGATACAAACTACAGCGTACTGCCCGACGCAATTGCTAGTCTACATCCAGGCACTACAGCAGTCTGGAAAACCCGGTAGCGAAAGAATTTTCTGAACTCTTGACATTTTCCCCTAAAACCGGTCTGGAATCTCTGCGGGGCCAACTCGAATCCACGGTGGTTCTTCGGGCTTCTGTGATAGGCTCGTATATTTCTGTCAGGACCCACGACTTACTGGATGGATGAGTTGTTGTAAATGTATCCTACAATTGGAAAGCTCGTCTTCGTCAAGTCAAGGTTGTTCTGTTGGCACGATATACTGTACAAACTGTACGTGGTCCCGAGTATTAAAAAAACAAGGAAAAAGAGAAGTCTGACGTCGTATAGACATGTTGCGCATCTCCCGAACCTTAAGTGCTGATCATTGCCGAGGAGTGAGATATCCAAGAGATTGTGGTTGCTAGGCCGTACACGAAAGTCGGCTCCACAGTGCTGGTTTTGTGATTACGACGTCTCACTGGATATTTCATACCTTGTAGCTCTTCTTCATCAAGGTTGTTTTGTTGGGACTCCACAAGACCAGGAATCGCACATGAAACCACACACGCCGTGCCCTTGGCACCGAGAAACCAAAGAATTGAACGAATGAATGCTCACGCAATCACACATGAGCCAACGGCAGAACCAAGTCTAGCGTACGGTGATAGCTAGCCCGTAGTATAGGCGGGAGAGCAACAAGAGCGACATCTTCTATTCTCATACAGGATGCATTCCACATGGAATCAATCGGCATTCCGCAGCGCACTATTATGGATGCGGTATGAAAACATCTAACACGTCGATTCGCACAACAACCTAGTGATTAGTTTGTGTGCGCACCACCACCATTACCCACATGGGTATCCGTCTGACAGTCGGACAGTAAAAGCCGGGCAACGCCCTGACGGGAGAGGCAATAAGCGCAACGCCAGATCTAACAACAGCGGCAACAACAAATAAAAACACCCATGTTGCTATCCCAACAACTGCAATTGTTTCCCAGTGCTTCGAAGGTGGTTTGCTGTGATTCATCTCTCATACCTTGGCCATGTTATACGATGTTTTGATGTTGTTTTGTTTTACAACTCGATTCGCGATGGCTACACCCATTCACCCTACACACAGTACTGCATCAACATCCGTACAACCAACCCAAAATTCCATTAGCGTAACGGAAGCCGAGGGGAAGCCGAAACGTGGCGGCCGCGTAAAGAGAAAGAAAAGGAAAAAAGTTTCTGGATTTCCTCTTCCAGACTGTTGGCCCAAGCCGGCGGGTGCCTGCGGAGATTCGACAAAGGGGCTTGAAGTCCGCCCAGCAAGCTTCATCCCTCCACCCTTAACCTCTTTAGCTTCACAACGACATGCTTCGAGAACACGTCCAAGACTCCACATAGCTGGCTTGCTTGTTTGTCGGAGCAACACTATACAGGGATTTGCAGTTGCCAGAGGGAAAAACAGTTCGTATCCCTTCCTGTTTTTGTTTGATTGCCGTTCACTGCATGTGTGAGGTCAGATGCGCAGGTGGTGTACTTGCACGGCATGCTTAGTGTCAAGTGAGAAGAAGGGAGAAAACAAACTTTTATCCATCCATCTCTCTATACAGCAGTGCAGTAAAGCAATGCAAAAGCGCCATCCACATCCCCGCAAATCGCCGAACTACCACCCATCCAATCACACCCACCTTGTGTTCCGTTTTGTTTCGGTCGGCGGACCTAGGGGGACCACCCGCCAGCCATGCGGCCTCCATTACAGTCCTCCCCCAATGGGATTCCAGGGCTTACAAGCTGAAGGGACGTGATGCTAGGGAGGAATCGTATGCATGGTCCGTGGGTAGGCATCACGGACTGTTGTTTATCCCATTGTGGAATCGGAACTAGGCGGGGGCCATATCCAGCACCCAGTTGATGTCTCCATCGGCGTAGTGCCATGAGGAGCACCAAAGGTCTTGGAATTGCCGTATGGACCTAGCCACGGTACCTGTGGGAAGCGGGTCCTATTCACAGGCTTGCATATTAAATACGAAAAGCCCACCCCCATTCACTTGCTTCTTCTCTTTGATCTTCTACCATCACTTCCAGTCGTTCACGCTCAGTCGCTCGTCGTTCGTTTACTTTTACCTTTTTTGGCAGTTTGAAGAAACTCGTCGTACACTCTTTATCAACAAATACCCTCTTTATATACACACACGATGCTTACCAAAACCCTCCTTTTCGCCCTCGTAGGGCTCTCGTCCTTATCTGAGGCTGCGCCTATGGAAAAGCGTGCAAGCTCCAAGCGCGGTCTTGGATTCAAGAAGGGCTTGCAACAGAGGACCGATCTTTTCAGCTCTTCCTCCTGGGGATACAGCTGGGAGGGTCGTGTCGATGACAAGAACGTCATGTACAAACTGAACGGCAAGGAATTTGTCCCTATGCTTCACGATAACGGAGATATGTTCCTCAATGCGTGGGATGGTGATGTAAAAGGCGCTATCAAGGCCGGAGCTAAGAACATCCTCTCTTTCAACGAGCCTGACGAGTGCAAGTAAGTTTACCCAATCCCTTCTGGTCGGCAGTGTTCGGATTCATTTCGTATGCGAATCTATACTAATGCACTTCACCACAGAGAAAACTCCGGTGGTACTTGCATTCCAGTGGACGTTGCAGCCAAAGCACACATTAAACACATACAATCCATTGCTTCCGCCAACAAGAACGTGCGCATCGGCTCTCCTGCCGTGACCAACGGCCCGGAGTCGGACAAGGGACTCGCCTACCTCAAGACTTTCATGAGCAAGTGCCAAGGATGCCGCATCGACTTCATCGCCGCCCATTGGTACGACGAGCAGGGCAACCTTGAGAAGTTCAAGTCTCACTTCACCAACATGTACAAGGAGATCAACAAGGACGGCGGTAACCGCAAGATTTGGGTCACCGAGTGGGCTGCTCCTGGTGGCAGCCAGCAATTCATGAAGGATGCCATGTCCTGGATGGACACGAGCAATGTCATCGAGCGTTATGCGTACTATAATGTTGAGGAGACTCTTACCGCCAACGGCGCTCTCAGCGCTCTCGGAAAGATCTACGCTTAGAGAACATGTTTCTCCGTAGGGACGGGAGAGGGAAAGCTGGTCTGCGGCTGAGCTTTGATATGCGGGAGTTGATTTCTTTGTTCTTGAATTATATCCACTAGTTCTATTTAGATATCCTTTTGGTTGCTTGCATATTTGCACTTTATCATAATCCCCATCATGAGTCGGATCAAACGAATATACGATCTATCTTGTTAAGAAAATTTTTGCTTTCGTCAGGTCCACTATCCTGTGCACACTCACTCCAGACCTCGGATTGCGCAAAACCAGGAGAGGGTCGGAGCATCGGAGATTGATCCCGCATACAAGAACAGCTTAGATCTCACCATGTCCGGTCAGGTTTGAAACCGAGGGAATGCATATTGATGGTCACCAATTCTTATTGATTCCATATGCGTGAAACAGCAACCCAAGAGGACGAAACAAACAGTGACATACAGTGACGGACGAGAATGATGCCGATTTTTCAGCATGTCTTATCCCATTCAGATAGTAATCGGCCCTTCTGTCCAGCTCTCGAGTAATCCCTTTTCTCTTAGGTACTTGCCCACGACTCATATCGTCTGACTGGGTAAGCGCAAGGGAGCTAGACAATATCGTTTTGTAATAATAGCATAGGAACCTTTTCCAACGAGGACGTGCTCTCGGTTTTACGAATGTGATGATCTGAGCCAGTCTGCAGTGCTGCTCGTGCATTCGAATGCCCCAGATGTACATTGTATGCCACTGTGCAATAACTCAGTATAGCAGGAAGATAACTATCTACGATCAACCATTCAACACAACTTGTATAACATGGGTGGACCATAAAGGTATATGGTCTTGTAGTTGAAACTAGACAGTCAAACCTAGGTTTAATCAAGGCGTTCATTGCGTTGTTATTGTACGAATAAGGGCTTATTCTCTCTACATCAATCTAGACCACAACACAAGCAACATAATCACGAAAAAAGAAATCTGCATTCAAATCAGCGAACATTTGCCCGACACAGTCCTTTCCAATCCGCACTCAACAGCCCATCCGCAATCTCACACTCAACAATAGTCCAACTCGCCAACCCCAACTCAATCATCCATGCCAACACCGCACGCCGCCAATCCCGCTTCTTACCCCAAACCGCCGTTTCCGCAACAGTGCACACACCATTCGCCAGAAAGAAGATACCAATCCTCTTCTGACCTTCGGCCGAAAGAATCGGAGCCAAGGCATACATGTGGAAGAGAGACATGAAAGCGAATGCAGCAACGACGGCACATGAGCGAACAAGCATGCGAGGAAGACGGAGGCGCGTCAAGAGATATGTAGTCGGTGTGTAAGCGAGGGAAAGACAAGGCGCTGCAAAGGCATTGTGCCATGTTTCGGTCCAGAAGGTCGCAAGACTGTCTGCGAGGTAGATGGGCCCGAAGAGCGGAGGGCTGGTTTGGTAGCGGACGCCGAGTTGGATTCCGGTCCAGATTATCCATATCGAAACCAAGACGCCCAGCGCTTTTACTGGAGGGTACTGTGGGAGGCATTGGAGGCCGGCGAAGATGCAGAGGTGGACGATGAATTGTGTCTTTTCGGAATAGAAAAGCCGTCTTGTTTGGGGGGAGTGGAATGGGTATTGGGGTATTTGCCAGGTACGTATCGGGTTCGGAGTGAATGATTCTGGGGTAGCAGGATCTGGTCAGTCTCGCAATCAACAAACCCGGGAAAATCACACAAAGCTGCTTGTACGGGACGTACACGTACCGTATCGGAGCTCAGTAAGTAGCAAGAGGGCCATTACCGAGGGGCGAGGGGGATTTTCAGCCACATATCTTGGTAACGTTTTCAACAGCGAAAGGGCATGAACATCTAAAAGTTTCATGGCAGCAATGGCAACTACATCCAGACCTGTGAGCTTGACATCTAGATATCTGAGACGGCGAAAACTATGGACAGGAAGGAGTTTTCTATTCGTCCAAAAGGGAAGAGCTCACCTCCGCAGTTTATTCCTGCCTGCATAGCGCTGCACCTAACCGGCGCTACATATGCGCACATGGAAAATAGTAGTACCGCTGGTATGACCAGAATCCGACTTAACAAAACCCATTTCTTCACTAGAAAGTAGAAACTCAAATATGTCAAAAGGATTGGAATGCAGAAAACAGTGAGGGCCGGTGGCGTGTCAACAAGAAGCTGACGGAGCAAATCGTCCTCAGGTTTTGGAGCGTGTGACATCATCAGGAGGAGGCACAGAGTATCAAATGTCACGGCATGCCGAATATGCAACCAAGGTCGATGAAGATCCCGCGAGAAATAATGTCAAGAGGCTGGAATAATGTGGTCGTAACAGAACTGAAGCTGGTTAGGTGTGGTGTTGTGAGAGACCGCAATTGTGCTTGACCTCTACGTCACTACGTTTGTACCCCTGTTATTTGTAAAACTCAGTCAGTTCGTGAATATTACCCTAGGCGCGTGAAGTTGAACTCCCACGTATTGCACACCAATCAGACGTCAGATGGGAATGTACTACCGGATAATATCGACATGCTTGTATTTCACTGTCTGTGTGAATAGGAGACTGTGTATGGTAGTAGATTATATTTCCCAACGCTTGTAAATCCGTTACTTATACAGTTCAAATACCACTTGTGAACTGCAGCTAGCTAGCGCTGTAAGTCTAGGATACAAAAGCGCAACGGAATCGATGTGACATTCTCTTGGTGTTGTCCTTTTAGACATGCGATGCAAAGATCGATGCGACCAACTTCACACCATCGACAATGGCCGACAAGAAAGACGTGGGAATCCTCTCATTTGTTCTTCTCGCGCCTGGAATGCAGCCTCATGATTCAATCTTCATCTCTCCGCAAAGAGTGCATGTCCACCACTGATTCTCCATGAATGTCCCGCAGTTCAAGCAATTCCATCCTATCCGACCCTTGGCTGGTTCAAATGGCGTCGCACTGGGCCCCCTCAGCTCTGCAGCCGGGGGTGGCTTTGGTAGTTTGGGAGCGTGGTCCGATCCATCAAATCTTCGACCCTGTGGTATAGGCTGGGGCGGCTGTTCTAAGCCACACGCTCCGCAAGATAGGAAATTGAGAGGGTTGTGCAAAGTGCACTGCGGACACGCCCATTCGTTAGGATCGGTTGGAATGGCCGGCGCGGGGGGTGCTACTGATGGTGGGCGCGATGAAGGTATCCGAGATGGTTCAGGCGAAACAGGACTTTCAGCTGGCGGAGATGATGAAAAATGCTCATCATCGGACGTGTGGCGAGAAGGCTGGTTAGGTATTGGTCTCGAATGTGACGAAGAGCCAGAGTTCCGTGTGACCAGGCGAGAGGACGGCCTGCTTTGAGAGCTCAACGGCGGTGGCGATTGCGATGAAAGTTTCGGTCGAGATATCACTGAACGAGCGGCTGGATCTCGAGGCCGCGGTGGGTCATTGTCGAACTGCAGGCCATTGACGGGGTCCCAAGCCAGTCCTCCTCCCCCTTTAGGTGCGCACAGCTCCGATAGTTTGTGTAGTTCCTCTTCTTCCATGAGATCTTGCAGAGCCTGTGCGATGGCCTGGTCGTTCGCATCGTGCTCCTCCGCTTTCGTTCTGAACCCGCCCCGCGCCTGCTGGTCCCTTAGCCGGTCGACCTCTCTGCTGCCGCTCGCGCATCCTTCTGTGATGCTTGTTTTTCTGGAATGAGCATCCGCTATAACTCTGCGCATATCAACACCGCTCGAAAGGGGTGGACCGCCCAAGCGGCGGCCGCCTACGTTGACATTGGTCGAGGCTCTTCGCCTTTCTGCTGACACTCGAGCGTTCCGACGCATCTCTTCCAAGGGAACTCTTTTACCCCCCAGCTTTTGGCCCTGGGAGAGGAAGCCTTCGCCAGAGTAGCCTCTTGCGATAAGGGATTGATGTTCTTCACGCAGTTCGTTCCAAAGATTGTGGAAGTTGACGTCGTGTGGCCCCCAAACGATATGAGAGAGTTCATGAAGCAGCGTATCTGTAACCTGTTCTATTGATAGGAACTGTCGAGAGTCATGGTGATAGCGCAAACGAATGAGAATCCTCTCTGTCCTGTTGATGTTCAAGCCTGGAGCTATGTTAGCGATGGCACGATGTCCCCCATAGATGGTATCACATACCCAATAGCTGGGGCTCATCCGGCAGGAACTCAGCAAGAGTAGCCACTTTCCATCCGCGCTTCCTCATCATGGGTTTGACCATGGACGCAACTTTGCGAAGCATATGCAGGGCGTCGCCATCTTTGGGGAGGTGCTTCAGATGCTCGTAGGCATCGAAATGGGCGTCGATCTCCCTCATGTTCGCCGTCGGTCGTGGCCCCAAGTCTGCCACCAGTCGAATCTGGTAATTCGGATGGTGTTGGGTTGGTGATTTAGGGAGACTGATATTAAATTATCTGGGGGTTATTTTAAGAACGCTAGAGTTTTGGGGGCGGCACTTGGTGGTGGGAACGAAAATGGGGGCGGTACAGCGCAGTGGAACCTGGGGAGAGACGAAGAATAGGAGTACAACGGCATGCATGGAATAGTAGATAGATATGGCGGTAGAGAGGGAGAGAGGCAAACGCAGCGCAGCCACGTAAGCTGTTATCCGCGAGCCAAAGGCACCGCACGACGAGAAAACGGCATGACCGAGCAGAGTTGCAGCACGAGCAGGTGCCGTGAACGCTATATCTATGCGGAGGCCTTAATTTAGACCACCGCCATGAGATTGTCAAAGAGTCCGAACGGAGGATTCGAGATGGTGACGCCCCAGCGGGTGGTGTGTGCTTGCTTTCAAAGGTGCGCACGCTCTTGCTTCACGTGATGTGCTACGTCCATCAAATCGTTGATCAGCAGCTTGAAAGCATCATCCGCTCGCTAGATCGGAAGCAGGGTAGGGTCTGTGAACCTACAAACACGCCGCCCGCATCCTACCTCACGTCACTCTCAACACCGATTGCGCGCACTCGAGCGCACTTTTGTTTATATTTTTATATTTTTCTGTGTTTTTTTTTTCTTTCTCTCCTTCTTTTCTTGCTTGCCCTCACTTCTTCCCTCCCTCGTTCCCCCCTGGAAGTCACTTTTCCCGACACCTTGTCGCGATGGCAAGTGGCGACCAGCATGTCCTCGACGTGGTAGGTCTCATCTCCGGACTTTCGTCTGCGCCCGCTGACATAGTCCCCCAAAGCTAGCCGACTACACGCACGATATCCGGAGATTTACGAGCCAAATGTTCGATGCCTCGGATAGGCACTTCCACAGTGTCTCCAAGCTAATTAAACGCTCTGTTCCCGAGGGCTGGCTTCCCGAGCACGTCCGGCCGTCTCCTCCTCCGCCGCCTCCGCTTCCCTTTGTCGGCACATATCTGCACGATCTCCAAGACTGGGTGTCGAGACATCGCGCCCTCACAGCAGCAGTCATCGCATTCGTCGGAACAGGAAGCTTTCTGGTATGGAGAGAGAAAAAGATACAGTCGCGCAAGCGTAGGGCAAGGAGAGCCAGCAACGGTGCACGGAAAGAGGTGGTGGTGATTGCCGGACCTCCCAACTCTCCCATTGTGAAATCGCTGTCTCTGGATCTCGAGCGCCGCGGTTTCATCGTTTACATCGTGTGTTCGGATCTGGAGGAGGAGCAACAGGTGCAAGGAGAGTCAAGAGCTGACGTTAGGGCGCTGCATCTAGACGTGGCAGACGAGTTCGGCACGCAGGAAGCCATGAACCGTTTCCAAAGCATGCTTCTTAGACCTCACATCGCTTTCTCTGGAGCATCACCCCACAACCTGCATTTCCGGGGAATCGTGTTGGTGCCTGACCTGGTTTATCCCAATGGACCGATCGAAACAGTGCCTCCGCAACGATGGTCGGACGCTCTCAATGCAAAAGTCCTAAACACCATTGCCATCACCCAGGCGTTTCTCCCCACGATCTGTGAATTCAAGGCACGCGTCCTGATGCTTACCCCCAGCATTGTGTCGTCGCTCCAACCGCCGTTCCACGGGGTGGAAACGACAGTTGTCCGCGCGCTCGAAGGTTTCACGTCGTCTTTGAGAGGCGAGCTGGGGACGCTGGGAATCCAAGTTTGTCAGTTCAAACTGGGGACGTTTGATTGCACGCACATGGGAGGCAAGCAGCACGTGCAGCCGCTAGCTGGGGCGGACACGGTAGCGTGGCCGGCGACTTCACGGAAATTATTTCAAGCCAACTACATGAACCAGAGCCGTGTTGCACGCAGCAGAGACATGTTCAATGCGACGGGCAATGGGTCGGGTAGTCCGCTACGGCAGCTGCACAACGCCGTGTTCGACGCGTTGATTCAGAAGCGGCCACAGAAGGTATGGCACGTGGGCCGTGGAAGCTTGACTTATAGCATCGTGGGGAACTGGGTGCCAGCAGGGTTAGTAGGATGGATGATGGGGGTGCGGCGCGTGATGGAAGAAGAAGAAGAAGACGGGAGCATGGAACCGCAGGTGGAAAACAGCGTGCAGCAATGGGAAAAGGTGGACAGGATAGTTTGAGGAGGAGATTGGAAAGCCGAAGCTGCGCTGCGCTGTGTCTTGTGGTTTGGTGTTGAGACGGGCATGTAGCTGTGGATTGGACAGAGAGTTTAATGATTTGGAGACAGTCTAAAGCAGGCGTTGGGCCGGATGGGGGATGGCGGTGGGTTTTGTAAGAATAGTTAGTGCGGACTGGGCCGGGTCTGGCCCGGGGTATTAATAGCAGGGCGATGAATATTACGAGATTCGCGACTCGAATGAAGAGAAAGGGGGGAACATTGGACCACGTGGCGAATTGTATTTTGCATTTGTGTGTGCATGTAGACATGTGGTGATGGGGAATGCTCGAGTGAAGAGCTGAAAGTGCATGGCATGGCATACATGTAAGCAAGCGTGGAGAGGTGATTGCATGGAAGGGAAATGATGGATGGATTCCAGCTTGCATGGGACGGATGCAGGTGGGCGGGACGGGTCCACAATACCAAGGGCAGCACGCGTAATAGGCAGGGCAGACGGCGGGAAAAATTGATGGATTTGAAGATTGAAAAGGGAATCATCAGCGACGACGAGCGGATGGATGCATCATGGCCACTGGGCAAACAGGTCAGCCAGCGCAGTTGGCGGTGGGCAGGTAATGTCAAGTTTCACCGTTGGCATTAGTCGCGACACGAGCGATGAGATGACGGCACTGGACGGACTGGGGAAATGAGGAGTGCGCGCGTCGATGTTGTGCATCGAAGATGCTTTCGGATCCGTTCCGAGAGAGGAGGGTGGGTTTTTTTTTTGACTTTTTTTTCTCTCTCTCTCTTTCTCTTGTTGCTTTCCATGTGGATTCGGAAGCGATTGAGTTTGCCGTGTATACAATGACTGCACACAAGGTTTGCATCCAGTGTCTTCCCAGCGGGGCGGGTCAAACGGCAACGACGTCTTCTTCTGCTCTTTTACAACATATCCTGCCTGAGGCATACCACGGCGCGGGCGTGATTGGCGCAAATGGGCTCCCCCAGGGTCTGCTGAAACGGGTGTCAACCTGTCGGCAGCCAAGCCGCCTCAGGGGGCGCGACGACGACCGACTGAGACTGGCCTCTTCGGGCACCAAGCACCAGCTAACCCACTGCATCAATCGCTACATACTTACTCAAGTCCACCACCACCACCACATGGCCTCTCTACCTCCTCCTCCTCCCCCATAGTTTGTTTGTCTGTGTGCGTGTGTCTGAGTGTGTGCGCCCTAGCTCTGCTGCACGTTGGCCTCGGCTGTCCATCTTTCTTCCTCTTACTCTTACTCTCTCCAAGTTGCTGTGCAATCCCACCGTACTGTACTGTAACTGTGCTGCACTGTACACGCCCAGCGTTCAACACTCACTCACCTACTGCCTACTCTACTTGGCTCTCTTTGCTGGTCGCACCTTCTCTTCTTACCCTGCCGCTCCTTCGCTGTTGCTTGCTTCCCCGACTGGAACATCGCCACCCTCACCCCGTCCCCGGTCTTACTCTCTCTATTCCCCCGTCCATGCCACCACCTCCATTCGCATTCACATCGCCACAACCACAAAATCCTCCCGCTCCCCTCCTCCGTCTTTCGTCATATAATCCACCCACCACCTGCGCATAATAATACCCCGACTCACCTTCGCTGCTCCATCGTCTCACCGCCGCGCATGAAGAAAATCCCCGCCACGACCGCCACCACCTTGCCCCGGGATCCTTCTCGTCCTTCGCATTGATCAATCGCTACGCCGCTGCTTCCAACCACATCATCTCGTCACCCAACACTGCACTGCCCTCACCATGGTCAATCGTCCCGAGCGCCCGGACAAGATCGAGCTGCGCTCGCACTCGTTCGACCCGGCTTCCAACAACGCCAGCATGACCAACCTCTCCATACAAGATCTCCCCAGTCCGCGTGCCGGCGAGGTGCCCCCCGCACTGTCCCCGCTGGATGCTCTCGCCCTGCAAGGACGCCTGCTGGCTCGTAGATTCGAGCACGACGACAAGACCGGCCGCCGCCTCAGTCGCCTCGCTCCCCTCACCATCCAGCATGAGTTCGGAAACCGCCCGGGCTACTTCTCCTCCCTCTCCAATTCCACCGTCACTTCGCCCAGCGAGGAGATGCCACCCGTGAGCCCGGGTCAACGCCCGGTTTCTCCAAACGAGCAGGCCTCCAACAAGCACAAATCCTTTTATCCCCAGTTTGGCAACGACGACTCCACTTATGAACCTCCGCTACCCTACATGGCCAACCTTCCCCCCATCGGCGAGCAATCCCCGCAGATGTCGCCACCTGCTGCCTCGCAGGGTTACTTCGACGTGCCTAGGACGCATTCGCCAGAGCCAGCCATTGGCGTGCAGGAGGCAACTCCCGTATCACCCATGAAGCAGCAGTCCCTCGACATCCTGCAAAGACAGCATTCGCGCCCAGGCCTGTTACCGCCCAGATCCCCAGCATCCGATCGCGCCCCACGATCACCGAGATCCCCTCGCCGGTCCCCGGGCATCAGATCAGTGCCGACAGAAGATGAAGTCGAAGACATGTCCCTGGGCGGGTCTTACGACTCGCTGCAGAACCGAACGCTCTCTCCGAGCTCAAGCTTGTCCCGCGCTCATTCGCCCTTTTCTCCAATTACCAACCCGTCCATGCCTCGCTCGCCTTCACAGTCGTCGCAGCATTCCACAGGCAGTCAGCTTCCTCGTCCAGCCTTCAACTTTTCTCGCCCTATGAGCAGCGCGAGCCGACCCATTGAACCGCCAGCCCGAGAAATCCCATCCCGCCAAGCGTCTGACGATAGCGCGTACATGAGGCCGTCGTTCGACTCGTCCCATGCCGGACGACAGGATTCCTTCGATGGTCCCACTCCAGGCTACGCTAATGACACAGTGCATACGCCCATTAGCATGACGAGCGAGGACTGGCGCCGATCTACCGATTACTTGAACCAAGGGCCAAGCTACACTTATTCCAAGTTCACTCTTCCTAGGGGGAGAAAGTTGGATCGCCAGTCCGTCGGCGCAGAAGAGTTTCTCAACAGCCAGATCGGATGGGAACAGCCAAGGAACAAATCTCAGGCCCGACCACCATCTCCAGAGTCCCCCCCACGCTCTTTTGACGGCCCCAGACCTTCTGGTGATTCGCGAAGCACCTCCATCGATCGAGGTGCCCCGTCACAAGCTTCGAGCAATAGCACGGTTCGCGCATTGCCAAGCACAGAAAAACTTTCGCCGCAGCAGCACTGCGATAGAGGAATCGAGTTTCACGAAGCTGGCGCGTTCATGAAATCGACTTACCATTTCCGTCTTGCTGCGCGTGCAGGACACCCCGAAGCAATGTTCTGGTACGGCTTAGCGTGCCGACATGGGTGGGGGATGCGCGAGAACAAAACCGAGGCCTTCAACTGGCTGCGCAAAGCCGTCGATTCCGGCCATTTGGAGGTTGCAGAAGACGAGCAAGTCCCTTCGACAGATTTCCAACGCAAGAAGCAACACAAAGCTCAATACGCCGTGGCCATTTATGAGTTGGGCAAGTGTTATATGAACGGCTGGGGCGCAAAGCAGGACAAATCTCTTGCTCTGCGCTGTTACGAGATTGCTGGTAACTGGGGCGATGCTGATGCTTTGGTCGAGGCTGGCTACAGCTATGTCGAAGGTGTCGGTTGTAGGAAGGATATGAAGAAAGCCGCCAAGTTCTACCGCGCTGCTGAAGCCAAGGGCGTCAGCATGGTTGGCAACAGCTGGTGAGTTGTTAGTCCCATACAAGCCACATCCCTTTACTGACACACGTTGTAGGATCTACAAGGACAAATACATGGACGAAGGTTCCACCGTTTCTGACGCTCGATCTGTACGCTCGGGCCGTTCGCTCAAGAAAGACGGAAGCTCCGAGAAGAAGCGCGACAAGAGCAGAACCCGCACCATTTTCGGCCGCAAGAAGAGCATCGCCACTTGAGAAACAACCAAAGGTAAAATAATCTACATGCGTCCACGACTTTTTGCTTGTATCGTTTTTCGGGGGTTGGCGTCCATTCTCCTTTACAGGTTGCCGGTGTTGCATATACCCAGAAGGATCCTCGCCATCAATCTGCTGCCGGCTTCTCCCCCATTGGTGCCACTACTCTTCGTTTCTGTATTATGGTGGTACCTATTGTTTTTTTATACTTTCGATACCCCTACCGTCTATGCCTTCGCTTCCATTAAGCATCAATTACAGCCTGGTGCTCCTACTTGGCGTAATATGCCGTACAAAAAAAACACAACTCACGACATATTGATATCCATCTCTTTCGTTGTCATTTCTTTAGCTTTTCCTTTCGCTTTTCTTATACCTTAACTTTAGTTTCTTTGTGTTCCATTCTTTCTTTTGTTGTGCTCGGTTCAAAGGCCTGTAGTGTGGGCGTGCGAACTTAGCTAACAGGCCATAAAATGGTCTGGCTGAAAGCTGTAAAAAAACATAGTTCGTTTCCTTATCTCATTTCTCCTTTTGGCATTCTTTCAACCCTTTGCCCCCAGGTTCTGTCTTCCTGCTTCACTTTTTCCTTTGTGTTCGTTTTTCTTTTCTTTGGAATTCGCCAATTTCTAAATTCTAATCTTTTCGGGTGGGACCCGGTTTGAGCGGCCATCACCATGCGTCTCTCCTGCTGCTGGTGCGGCTGTTGGTGTGTATGTGTTGAGTGTGTATGTTTGCGTTGTATGCATGTTGTTTAGTGTATCTACTTGGTCATAGTTATATACATGGTCGACTGATTGGCTTCTCATGCCCTTACTCTTCGTTTTACTTTGTCTGCCCCTGCTCACTGACTAGGTAGAAAAAGTAAACATTGAATGGGATAAGGGACCTGTATCCTTGTAGTTCTTCGAACATGATCGGAGAGTGTGTTGGCACTGGGTTGAACGGGTGCCCATCTTGGACGCATGCATACATGACCAACATTGAACATGCCTCTAGTGAATTTTGGGTATTGATCATCTACCCATCATCCATCCATCTATGTCTTATGATAGATACCCAACGGTTGTCTACTACTATTGCATGTCCAACCCCACCTTCTACCCGCATTATTTCGAAAACACAGCCTTGTACTTGAACTGCGTCGGGAACGCCTTATCCGTAACCACCATTTCCTCGCCTTCCTCAACCAAGTCGCTCATCTCCTTATCCAGATTCCCGCGCGTCTGACGCTCCAGGTCCGCAAGGGACTGGATGTACAAGCTCTTCTCGCCCGTGCGGATCGAGGGTTTCTTGAGCTGCGCTTCGGGGCGCTCGGCCAGCAGGTCCACGAAGTCGCGGAGCGTGGCGTTGGCCGGGATCTCGATGGGACGAGCGACGGTGTCAGCTCCGCAGACGGGACAGTCGTCTTTCTTCTGGTGCTCAAAGGTATATGTATATACCGATTCGTCGCCCGTGTACATCATGTAGTTTGGTGTACCGGGGTATCCTAGGAAGGGGTTCGCGTTTGAGGAAAGCTTGAACGCTTCATTGCAGCAAGCGGCAGCTACGATGGCGTTTGTGCTTGCGATGGCCGGGATGATGTTCTTGACAACGCCTTGGGTCATTGCGTACGTCACGCCTGGGATGTTGAATTCTTGGGCCCGCGCCAGCGCTTGCGTGTACAGCCAGGTGATGTGTTCGGGATCGTCGGTGTCGAGGGTGATATCCTTGCGGTGCTCCTCCCATGCGATGATGTGCGCCCATTCGATGCAGTGTTGTGGCTGACGGGGGATAGTTGCGAGCGTGCAAAGGGGTACCGCCGCGCGGGGGGCGTGCATATCGAGTTGGCATTCAATGCAAGAGGTCATGGTTGGAAGAATGACACGGGCTTGTCCTTTGAAACCTTCGGTTCCACCGTCGATGAGCGGTTTGAGGGAATCTGGGTTCTCGCCATCGACCATGCCGACAAGTGTTGCGTTGATCCAGCGCCGAGCTTCGATGCTGTCTAATCCACAAACGATCATGGCGAATTGCATGTAGTACTCCTCGTCTTTGTCTTGGATCTTGCCGCAGTAGGGTGTGATTTTGACACCTTTGACACGCTTCTCGACGAAGCGTGCTGCAACTTCCGCTTTGTAGGAGCCTACATCTGCAGCGCGGAAAAGAAATTGGCGGTTGAGGTTGCTGACGTCGATGGTGTCCATGTCAATTACGTGGATGTCTTTGAACCCGGAGAGAGCGAGGTTCTTCAAGATTTCGCAGCCTAGACCCCCGGCACCACTTTAATGGTTGTTAGAAATGGGATTCTATACTTTCCGTGCATCGATATCATGGTAGAGGTGGCATAGTTGCTTGTCGTGGACATTCCGGGGTAGACTCACATGACTCTGTGAGATATGGGTTAGTTTAACATGATCGAACTCTTGATTTTGTGACCTCATGAGGTGAACTCAGAATCTTACAGTATTTTTGCACGCTCAACACTCTCGATCGTTCCCGGTACAAATGCATCTGGGTCTGTGAAAGGACCAGGTCTGCTTAATATCTTATCAAGGTACGTCCTGCAAGCATACTGAATTAGCTAGTTGACTTGCTAAACGTAGAATTTCATCCATATGTACCATCTTGCTCGTGGCCCTGCTGGGACTGCAGATTGTGTCAGAGTCTCAGTCATGGTTTGTACGGTGGTGGATGAGGTATATTGGTCGGAAGGGGAGTGAGTCTTCTGCGTAAGATGCTGTTAGGCATCACAAGCGCCGCAGCCAGCGGTCCAAGTGGAGGCAGGTCGAAGAGTGGAGACTGCCAAGACGCTAAGCTGTGAGGCAAGACTTGCCGGGGTGATTACTTTCACCGTTGCCATTCTAGATCTGTGGCTTGCAAGCACCAGATAATCAATACTGATCCTCGCCCAAAATACATTTCGATGCTGCTATGTCGCGCTGAAGCATGAGTCGAGCATCATGGACGACCTCCTCACACCAGTTTCCACCACCAAGGTAAAGCGAGAGCAGACCAGCAAGCCGCTTCTCAGTACCGACCATAACTCGACGTTGAACAATGTCGAAGTTGTGGTTAATTCTCCGAGCTCGGTGTTGGAAGCTTTGAAAGGAAAGCCAGATTCTGCAACTGTTGAAAAAATACTCATATATCTCACCGCCGAGTCCAAAAGAAAAGATGGCTTCAGCTTAGTCAAACCCGACCCTGTGTCGGCAAATACAGCATATCAGCTTGTCAATACAACAATACCAGATTACTGGCAAATTATCAAGGAAGATGAGCGACAAAAAGAACAGCTCATACACTGCCTCAGCAATCCATGCGGCATCGGAGCCATCATGGCACGTCTCCGACCATTGATCGCAGACTGTCGACAGAAGAAACCAGCCGGCCACACACGAGACGCATCTTCCCACATTACAGACCTTGTAGAAATTCTAGATTGCATTTTTCGCAACGAGAAGCTCTCTAACCAAGTTTGGTCCGATGTATGTACGCATGCGAAAGATCCCGTTCAAGCAAAGATGATGTGGAAGGAATTCGTCGCACAAGTAGCATCTGGAAGGGTCCTAGCAATTGTCGCTGAGGCTGAAGCTGTTCTCAAAGACAGGGTGTCTTCTCGGAAGGCTACCTGGATGTCTGATGGCAACGAATACGGATCGTGGTTAGGGCACACCATCGCCACCTTGATGCAAACTGTTGAGAAGAACGAAGAGTCCGCAGTAGCTGTCGTAGAGATCTGTGGAAAAGCATTCTCCTTGGGTTATACTGGTAAGCTCATATTTGGACTTGCGATATACCTCCGTTGACTCCATAGATCGCATCATCAGCTCTATGCTCCTGGATATGCTGAACTCAAACAATTCCTCTAAACTTGCTTATTTTGTGAACCAAATGAAGGTGTTTGAGCAAAAGAAGTATTTGCACGCGATACTTGCATGCCTCGTCAAGCAATTCTTCAGCTCAACAGTCGATTCCAAAACGGATGCCCCAGTTGCAAGCTCGAGCACAGTGTCAGCTGCGATTACTTTAATCAATATGTTCATCGACGATAACGAATCCCTCAAGGACAGTCTTGTGTCTATACTCACAAAATCGAGCGTGCCAGCTCTGAACGACTCTTTGCATACTCGGCGAAGTGCCATCGCAGCTCTGGCTAAACATGAAGGTCAGCTGTGGAATGAGGATATATTGAATACGGTTAACTCGTAGCAGATCAATTGCATACTCTTCTAGAGAACAGCCTCCAGCTGTTTGGAGATAGCTTCTATATCAGACACACGCCCATTTTGCAGCAAGAAAGTCAGTTGACCTTGTGAAACAGTTCCATGGGGGCATTGACTGACGTGACTATAGGCCTCGCTCAAACTATTGCAATGACATGCGGCTATGTCCAGCGATCCCAGCCAATGTTTCTCACTATGATGGCAAAGTCGAGTCATCATGTTTCTGGAATGTCAAATCGTATCGGTGCTTCTTCACCTCGAGCTCGCTTCTTGGGTATTGCTGTAGGAATGGCCATGTCACGCATGGTAGACAAACCGGAACTACAGCTCAAATTTGATTTGGATGGACCCGAAGATACAGAAGCAAAATGGTATCAACGTCTAACATCGTTGAACGATATTCCAGGAAGCATAGATGCTCTGAAGGCGCAGTCTAAACAAGCATCCGCCATAGGTCTCAGCATGAGGCCAAAGAAACCTGTGTCAGGAAACAATGTCCCAAAGATAAATAAAACACCCGCCACCACCGAGATCAAAGGCCCACGCATCGTGGAGATTGTCGACGATTCCGCCGATGAGGATGTCGATTTGGTACCCTACGATAAGCCCGATTCCGATCCTGAAGACGAGACCGACGACCCGACTGAGGTCAACCGGAACAAACCTAGTGCCCCGGTATACATTCGAGACTTGATTGCTGGCCTGCGTAATCAGGAAGACTACGAGCGACACCAACTTGCTCTATCCACTGCTGCTACCCTTATACGTCGCAAAGCTAACTTCGGCACTGAGGTAGCCGACCACATCGAGGAGTTGGCAACCGTACTTGTAGGTCTAAATGATAACTTCGAGTTGGATGGATTTGCCGAACAGCGGCAGCAAGCTCTGATCGCTGTGCTCTTGGCCAGGCCAGCAGAGATGGCGCAGTGGTTCTCTAGAGCCTTTTTCACAGGGGACTACTCCCTCACGCAAAGGACCGCGATGCTCACAACCCTCGGGCTTGGAGCCCGCGAACTCGCTGGTTTGAAAGACGCGTCAACCGACAACCTCATGCCGCCAACCCCATCATTTCCAAGCAAACAGCTCCCAAGCCAGCTCCACACACTTTACGCACCAGAATCTTCGGACCCACTCAACAAAATCACCTCCGGCGTCACCAAGTCCCTCCTCTCCCCCCTGGCTGCGCAAGCAGCAGACTCCCTAACCGGCCCCAACATCCTCAAGGTCCGCACATTCTCCTCACGCATGGAAGTCGAGAAGAAGCGTCAAAAGCCTATCCCCAATGCTCTCGCGCAGATTGTGGCAGACAACTTCTTCTTCCCGCTGACAGGACGTTGGTGGCTGCAAACCCGCTCCGACAAATCCGGCTCCTCTATTTATACATCGACTCACCTCCTCCCACCGTTCCTACAGACTCTTGCGCTGCTGATTCAGGCGTCCGGGCCCTCGACCCTGAGCCTCCCTCAAATGACGCGCGAGCTCTGGGATCTCTTATTTGCCGTACGTGGTCTGGCTTTGAACGATAAGCGGGTGTTGAGTGCGCTGTTATTTGCGTTTCTAATGTTGTTGGAGACGAATGCGGATAAAGAGCGTGTAGCGTCTGATCATGGCAAGGAGCTGATGGAGACACTACAGTGGACAAAGATGGTGTTTGATGGGCTTCCTGCGGGTACGGAGGGTGGCACTGAGGAGCGGGTGAGAGTTCTGGCGGCTGGGGTGGTTGTAAGGGCGCAGGAGGTGGTAGAGAAGTATCAAAGAAGGTTGTTGGGTAGTATGCTGGACTACTAATCCTTGCAATATGTTTTCACTATTGGAAAGAGGCATCCATTGATTGGCAGTCGTGATCCCAATCGGGTAATCACCGGACGTACTCATATTGATCCGCCGTAGCTAGATTAATCGACATCTCTTACACCACAGACTACTCGTTCAATATTCACTAGTGCAGACTTAATATTGAGAAGATCAGAAATGCATCTTTTTTTTTATGATAGATAGAGCACCAACGCCTTTTCGTAGAACAGCAAAAATATCATGCTCTCCAGTTGGAATCAATGGATGAATCATGCATCATGCATATCCTAACGGGAGATCTGCCGGCATCTCGCTCTCCACATCAAAGCCAAGTAAGAAATAAAGAAAATACCCCAAAGAAACCCATAAAATTCCTGTCAAACTCGTAATCCCATGCTGAGAGTTGCATAGCCATAAGTTTCAGAACCTGCCGGCATATCACTCTTCGCATCGGAGCAAGTAGGAAGTAAGAAAGAATACTCCCGGCAGCTAAGGCCACAATAGGGAAAAAATATTCCCATGAAACCTCCAACTAGAAAAGAAAAGATAATGCGGTCACCGGCAGATATTAGCTTGATAACCCGATCAAATCATTGACAGGATTTACATTGCCGGGTCAGTATCGTATGGTTCGACCTTTCCAATGACTTTGTCGTTTGTCCCGAGTACATTGCCCATGTGATCGAAATTTCTGCCTGCACAGTTTGATACACTCCCGGAAACGAGCTTTCCCAGAATCTCCCCATCCTCGTTCTGCACCGGGCCTCTCTTGTTAACTTTATAAGTCCAATAACTTTGCCCTCTGCATCATGAATCTTGCCTTTGCTGTCCGGAAACTTACTGGCACATATCGAAGCAACTTCTTCCACTAACTTACTGATGACTTCCATATCCTCGTTCAGAACCACGCCCTTTTTGTTGACCTTATAACTGGTGTTTCTCAAGGATTCATTACAAGCGTAGATCTACTCTAGAACTAGCTATTCATACTAACATAAGGGCTTATGTTATGTCTGGATCCTCTCAACAGCCATTTGAAACCATATTAAGATGCCCTTAAAAGGATATTAAAATAGAAAGAGCACTTAACACTGTATCCTTGGATAGGTAGTACAATAGATGTGAGGATATGTGGACGTGAGGAGCACGGACCCTAGGATCATACCTAGGTATAGGCCTCAGGCATCACTAGCTAACACTACAATTAATCACATCATCCACCAATGCAGAAGCACGTCCATCCGCTACGTAACAATAGACTACTAAGGATTTATTACCAGGGTGGGCCCACCCTAGGGCCAGCTATCAACACTTATTTAAGTCTCTATGTTATGCCTGGATCCTATTAACAGCTATTTGAAACCATGTTAAGATGCTATTTAATAAGGTATTTAAGGAAAAAGAGTAGTTGACACTGTATTATTAGGTAGGTAGTATAATATACTACTAATGATTTTATGACGAGGGCGGACCTACTCTAGGATCAGATATCAACACGTATTTAAGGCTTTATGTGATGTCTAGATCTTATTAACAGCTTTTTGAAACTATGCTAAGATGCTATATAACAGAGTATTAAAGTAGAAAGAGCAATTGACACCGTATCCCTGGGTGGGCTTTCCCCTGTAAGGGTTCCAGCACCACTTGATATTCGAACTCTTTTCCCGTTCGATTGGTACTCGACCCCATCCCTCAATTAAGAATGGCGGTGTTACAATATCCGAACACAAGATATTCTATTTCGATATACAGTTATTTCACAGTCATATGTTACAGTTTTCCTCTCTACAACGTGCGAGCTTCTTAGTTCATGGCCTCAACAGTCCTGCTCTTCTTGGTCGTAGTACTTTTCTTCTCGGCTGTAGTGCTCTTTTTTCCTGCGCCACTACTCTCCTTCAAGGGGAGGACTTCCCCTGGCAGGTCGTATTCATCCAACATTGTATCATTTTCGTCCACTACCCTTCGTACCTCCAAGGCGGCCTCAGCACCATGCATGCCCACGACCCCAATTTTCTTTTCTAAGCGACCCCAAATTTTCACATCTGGCGCGTCCCCTCTAAAAAGTTCTCTGCCCGCATGAATCAACTCATTCGCCGCAAAACTATCCTTCGCATACTTTGGCTCATAAGGTCTCTTCTCCCATTCTTTATTTTGTAGCCGTAAAAGTTGTTGCAGCAGACCGTCTGATACAAAACTTTCGATTGACTTGTCTTGACCAGCTTCAGTGGGAGTCTCCGCAGATGCTGGTTTACGTTTCCGGGCCGACGGTTCACTCTTGTCTCCTCCAGAACCCCGGGGACGAGTCCTGCGTCCACCAGGACCTCCACCTGGGGAATTGCCCGTGGTGCCTGTGGTGCGTGTGATGCGGAGTTGAGATGGCGCGCGGACTAGGGGACCCGGAGCTCGATTTCCGTTGGTCTTGTCCCCTCCTGCGGTTCGGGGGGCGCCAACGCCGGGTAGACGGGAGATGAGCGGTTTCCGTAGGGTGAGAATTTTGCCATTGGAAGCCGCAGAGCTTGGTGGACCAGTGCCAGGAGTTCTGGGGGGTGCGCGTTGGCGTTGGAGGGAATCGATTGCGCTCGCTGCGTTGGCGTCGCGAACTCGACGAGGAGAAGGTCCGTTTGATGAGGCTTTATGTATGAATTAACCACTCTGTCTCCGTCAGGATAGGCGTGTTGTCAAGCGGCGTACCTTGTGAACCAGATACAGACTGGTCATCAAGTCTCCGAGCGGAAACGTGAAAGCTGCGTGAGCGACAATTTATGACAGCTGCTACATCTCGGGATACAGTTTGCCTCATGGCGCCCATTGGTGGGCGCACACAAGAGACAGACATGGTGATGGTGGAAGAAGTCGTCGGTCGGGTCAAGTAAATTACACAAAGGTTTCCCATGGCAGTCGCGGAATGCTTGGCATTCGACTAGGGCGGTACTAGCACTCCAGGCACGTGCCTAACCATCGACACATGCTCAGGTGTACTATTAATCATCAACTTTGAATATGAGCAACATTCCTTGAGCATTGGGCCTGCATTCACTCACTTTCACATCTCCGTACCTTCTTTCTGGAATCAAGGACGCGCTGAAGATCACCTCAAAGTCCGGCACCACTGCCTCACGAACATTCATCGCCTTCATTCGCGAACAACCATTCTGCACCCGTCAATTCCTGAAATCAGTCAAAATGCTTCGTCGTCCTGCCACCACAATTCAGCTCACTTCAGCCGACCTCGAACAATACGAGGCTAACCGGCAGCGGAAAAACTGGGAGAAGCAGCAGCAGCGTGAAGCAACCTCTCCATCTACCAACGATGGCTCTGAGCAAGGCAAGAGCAAAGAGAGCACGAAGCCCACTCAAAGTGATCGGATCATGGGCGGAGGTGCACAGGGGCGTTAGGTGAGTCCTTATCACTAGCATGTACGGCATCTGATTCTTGTGTTCTATTCCCTACCGTATAGGGCGCACTTATAACTCATAGAGGACAAAACTTTCATACTGACATTGCAGATGTACAGATGTTATGATGAACCGCAAAACTAAGATTACGAGGCTTTTCAAGCTCTGGACTGGATTGGGTTTTCTTGCATTGCATTTGATTTGATGTACAGTGACGATATAGTACAAATGGGTAAGAATGATAAGTCTTCATTAACCCAGCCATACTCGTCTGATTCCCAGCCGCGTGCCAAATTCAACGAAATGTCGAATTGCATGCTCTTACGTACATAGCTTTCCATATTTGGCGACAGATCCCTCTGTCCCAAGAATGTAGCGCGAACATGGTGGCGTGCAGCTTAAGGAATGCAACACACTTGTCAACACCACGACAGCATTCGGCCCTGCCCCTCTTACAAGAATTTCAAATGAAGTCTTTCAGTCTCTTCATACTTGTATGATTTAAATTTTTCATAATGATGCGCTTGATATCAACGCTTGCGCTGTTGTGGCTCCACTCGCAACCAGTTTTCTCGCAGCAGTACCAACTGCTTCAGCACTACAATGCTTCAAACTTCTTTGAAGAGTTCCATTTTTATACGGTGAATATGTTTGCGAGAATATCGATCTGAGTGCTGACTTTGGACAGAGCCCGGATCCTACAGGCGGATTTGTCCAATATCTTCCTTTTGAAAATGCATCAACAACAGGCATTGTTAGCAATGAGACCGGACTCGTTTACCTGGGTGTCGACAGTACCCATATTTACACACAAACTGATCAGGGCCGTCCCAGTGTCCGCCTGGAAAGCAAAATGACCTTCACAGAGGGTCTTTTCATCATCAATCTTACACATATCCCGGTGGGATGTGGAACATGGCCAGGTAACTCTGTTCATCAGCTCTAGATATTATGATGTTGTACTGATATACTTTTGCAGCTTTTTGGACAGCTGGGCTGGGTGATTGGCAGAATGACGGAGAAATCGACATCATTGAAAATGTAAACGATGCTCGCACGAATAATGCGGCTCTCCATGCTGCAGGGTCTTGCAGAGTACTCAATTCGTCTTCCCAGACCGGACTCTGGAAGTCAACGGATTGTAATACTAAACATGACGGCAATCAAGGCTGTGGTATAACCTTCACTGAACCTTACAACTATGGTGCTGAGTTCAACGCAAATGGTGGTGGCATTTATGCTATGGAATGGAAGAATGACAGCATAGACATATGGTACGTACACATCGTTTAACCACTTGCTCAGGACTCGCATACGATCGTACACATTATTGTATATTCTGCTGATCTCACTCCAATCTTAGGTTCTTCACGCACGATAAGATACCGAGCACCCTAAAGGACGGCACGGCTATCCCAAATCCCCAGGCTTTCGGAACTCCAAGCGCAAGTTTCGCTGGCCCGTGTTCCGACTCGTTCGGAGAGAAATTCTTCAATCACACGATTATCATCGACACCACCTTCTGTGGAGGCTATGCGGGTGGTTTATTCGGCAGCGGGGCTTCAGAGTGCCCTGTGTTGGAAAAGTCCACTCCAATTGCTAGTTGTGTGGATTACGTTGCACGCAACCCGACCCTTTTCGAGGATGCCTGGTGGGGTATTCAGAGCTTGAAGGTATGGGAGGAAGTGTATGCGTATACACCAGGTCTAGGGGTGAACACCACGTTTGTGATTGAAACCCCACCGCCAAATTATTTGAGTGTACCTCCATCGACAAGTGGCGTGCTCAGTGTCTGGGGGAATGACAAATCGAATACGACCACCATAAAACTTTCGCGGAGCGCCAAGCCTACTACGAAGAAGACGAAGACGACGAAGTCTTCACGAAAACCCCCTAAGCAAACCAAAAACTACGTGCCGTCTTTTGAAAAGCATCCAAAACAAACTTCTGCACCTTTTTTACTGAGTGATCCAAAGGTGGGTTACAGTGACGTATTCCTCACAATAAAATCTTCAGGGTCAATACCCACCAAAACTTCAAGTACCCTCGAAGCTCTTACATCAACTGGTTTTGTTATCGATAATTTGGATCTAGGTGGCGACTTCTCATCAGTATCTCCTGATGAAGCGGAAGGCGTAGTGAAAGGCTCAAAATGGTATGACTGGGAAGTTGATGGTGAAGATAAGTTGCCAGATGTTTATGCGGAAGGTTTCCCCCCCGGAAATACAGGAGACTCAACGCCTGCTTTCAGTCCTGTGACTATTGAGGACTATTTCCCGGGAGAAGGCCCTCAAATGTCTGAGATTTCGGATACTCTGGCTCCAACTGCGAGTATTCTCATTCCCACAAACGTAAACTCTCGATCCAAGTCAACTTCAGTCGGAAATTATGCGGCTACAACCGACTTGAGTGGTTCGAAACCGATAAATGCTCTTGATTGGGGAGTTATAACATCCAAGCAGCTCGGTGGTACAGTTGGAAGCGTGAATCCAGATAGCAGTCTTGGAACTGTGTCCCCTTACCAGAACGGAATATCACCCAGTTATCCCTTGATTCAAGCTAGCGATGGGAATAGCGTACCCAAAAACCCAGGCTTCGGGGATACTACATCTCTACCCAACACTCCGGCATCTATATGGGAAGCTCTTGGAGACGGCATACAGGATCAGATCCTGGCACTTGCAAATAGCTTACCTGCAAATCCTACTAACGTACCCGGAGCTCCTGTGACGGATGCAGTTGAGCCCAAACCACCAATGGCATATAGCAGTACACCTGTTGCTGCTCTCGACAAAACAGATACAAGCCAAGCCATTGGAACGCTTCTGGGGTTCTTCAATGAAGCAGCGAAACAGCAGATCACCGATTTGGCAGACTTGCCTCCAGGAGGAATGACACGATCAGAGGCAACGACATCTCAGGCATCCAATAAATCACTGGACACTGCAGGTTTGAATCTCGGAGAAAAGAAACAGCTCTCAGATATTTGTCCAGGTATAGCCTTCGATTTGAGTCCCCTGGAACGTTTGCTGTCAGACCTGCAAGACCCACAAGCTGACCCGCAGCTCATTCTCGGAAGGTTGCGAAATGACCTGGAAGCTCAATCCGCGAAGTTGCAACAGTGTATTTGGAGCTTGAAAAATTACGTTGGAAATCTCGAATCTTCCGAGAAGGCGTTGCATGCAAGGCAAGAGCCGCCGAGTCTAACGGGGAATGTGGAGTTCGACAATTATTTGCAACAGAAAGAAAGTGGGAAGAAAGGGAAGTGGAACTATGGAATCATGAGCAAAGAGGAGAGAGAGAAACTTGAAAAAGCTGCCATGGAAAGTGCCGCTCAGAAGAAAGAAACCCCGCCGAAATCATATCCTCACTCTCAACCTATGATTTCCAATGATACAGAAGATGAGGCGAGCGGTGACTTTGATACCGGTGGGGAGCACATCGTTTCTACATATCCGGTGACGAGCAGACCCAGCGCAGCAGCGGTCTCGCCAAAAGACTCTATTCTGGGGAAAACGGACGTTATCTGGAAGAACACATCCACATTGGGCAAGCTACAAGTGGGAAATTCGAAAATCCCCGCTACACAAAGCGCCCCAGCAGATCCCTATCTAAACGATATCCAAGGCGTATTGAATAAACTACACGGAATGATCAAAATTATACAGCAAGCCGAACATCAAGCCAAACAGCAAAATGAGCTGGAACAAGCCAAAAGCATCATTGAGAACGTTCAAAAGATCCAACAACATACAACGTCACCTGTGTCCACACGTAACCATCCCCGCGAGTTCCATCGGTCAGAAGACAGCCTAGAAGCCAAGAACCAAAAAGACTCGCTCATTCCAATACCGACTGCATTTCTAGGAAAACATGGTACACCGATATCTTACGGAATTCCAGGTCCACAGATACCCTCGGAACCGAAGATATTTGCGGACCCTAAGCAGATCAAGTCACTCCCCGAAGAATCAGAGGAAGTGATCAAAGGAACCTTTGACGAATTGGAAGACAGTTCAGAGGATACATCGAGCTCCCAACTCGGAAACTTCACATCACTGGACCCGTTTGGACAATTGGACCCACAAGTCCCAGGCGCTGAATCGGATCCTGAAGAGGACAGCGAAGAGACCGGCATTGATTTGCCTACTTCTACAGAACCTATGCCGTTTGATGCTCTCAAAGGTACTCTTGAGGAATCTTCGGAAAGTAGCCCCAGCCCAGAACTAAGCAAGATCCCTCCGCTCGATCCATTTGGCCAGCTACAGTCCCAAGTCGAACCTTCTTCAACCCCATCAAACGTCAAACACTCGCGTCCTTTGTTCTATAACGGATCATATGAGGGATCAGGGGATGACGCACCAGTAACCTCTGACGAAGCCTCGCTCGAAGACTCTTCTGAAGACCCTCCTAGTCCAGAACTCCAGAACATACCGCCTCTTGATCCATTCGACCAGCTGGGTTCTCAACCCGATAGTCCCGAAGGTGACGATACCATAATTGCTGAGGCGAAACACTCTATCGATGATCTAGATCCCTCGTCAGAGGCTCCTACGAGCCCCGAACTAGCTAATCTGCCCCCGTTGGACCCATTCGGCGAGCTGGACCCTCGAATTCCGGATGGTGATTTCGATGACAGTGATGATTACAATGGAATTTACGGGCGATCGGAACCATTACTTCCCGAGGAACTCGAGTTATCATCTCTTGATACCTTTCTCGATCCCGAAATTTTGGAGGTTGACTACGTATACGACGGTGACGATGGTAGCGGATACGACGAAGCTCAGGAGATGACCAAACAGCACGAGATTGTCACTACCGCTGGGTCTGTAACAGTATGCAGTTTCTCGGAAGACGAATCTGCGTCGCAGCATGTGTGTTGGACTATACCAGCTGGAGAAGATATGGGAGATGATGAAGAGGGTGGCACGACTTTTCCGCTCGCAGCAGCAGCAGCAGCAGCAGCAGATGGTTCCGCCGATGATCTTGCGTGGAAGTTGTCTGTCCTTGCGGACCAAGCAGCGAAAGGAATCCCAATGCACGCAGATGAAAATGCAGGAGAAGAGGGTGTTTAGGTATATGAATTTGTACGATGTGGTTGTAGAAAGGTTCGAATTGTAGTCGTTTTGTTTGGATGACAAAAGGTAACGGCCAGGAGAAGGACGTGTCCTGCATTCTTCAATCGAGCTTGGGGTAATGGACATGCAGGGCGCTCAAGAGGCTTGAAATTGGGACTGCTGTTTCGATGTGTTGATTAGGAGGTACAATCACGTCACGGTTATCATCTTTTCCTCTGTTGAAGAATCGTCCACACGTAGTGATGATTCACTCCTCTATACGTTTTGATGATATACAATGAAAGGTACATCCCACCTTCCGTCATCCTACAACAAGGTAGGACGCACCAAATTAATCACAGATATCGTCGTAAACACCTATCCCGCAGATCTACAGACCCTAGAGCACGCTCTATAACCGAAACTCCCCCCTCCCGCCCTCCATGAACACGTCCCTCGGCGTTCCCTAACCATCGGGAAGGTAGAAACGGAGCAGCAGCATCGGAGCCACTGCAAAACGTTGAATGATATCGCAATCGCAAATGCGGGGTAAACAATTTGAACCAGCGATTCGGCATGCTTGTCTGCATGCCGAATCGACTCTCGTGGCCTGCTCGCATAACAAAGTCCCATCAGTGAGGTAACTCGGCTCCGTCCGCACATTAGGTTGAAACGACATTGACCATGCATTCGTCTCTCTCCCACCAATCTCCACGATTGATGGTGATAACAAAAACAAAAAAGATCATGACGACGTTTTCTTATCAATGCGATAATCGCGGGGTAAGTCCGAGGAAAGAGGGGTAGAGAAAGGCGAAAGCAAGTCACACAAAAATGTGGCATGCAAAGGAAACAAAGAAACGTATACAGATACCCAATGGAGACGTATCGCCCGATCAGAAAGGGGGTATTTCCGAATAAGGGAAGTAAGACACCCAAGTATCGATGACAGGCATGCGGTATCGCGTACGAGGTGACTTCGAGATCTTCCTTCGTATCTGGTTGCAATCAAATGAGATTGTCCGGAAGAAGCAGGAAGCTGTGTCAATCAACCGGCTTTGCACTGGGGCAAGCACAGTAAGTAGTGGGGGCCGCTGTGTCGATGCTCATCTTACTTGACGGTAGTTCAACACGTGGGGCTCCTGCAGAATGAGCGGTACATTACTATGGAGGAATACGAAAGGAACAGTCTCGATAAGGATAGAAGCACGTAAGATGTAGTAATACCAAGACAGTGGGTATGTATCTGGGTACGCATAGATGAATTGGATTGCACGCGACGCGACTTTAGGCCTATTCGAGGTCGTTTGTCTCTGATGCAAGCGATCATGTACTGGATGTGTGCGTATAGATAGATCGGTAACCGACGGTTTCTTCATCTTAAACCATTCTTACGGGGGCCAGTATGCAAGTACCGATCCTTCGCGATGGCACACATGGTCGAGAAGGGCTAGAAAGAGACAGTTGTACGAAAACCGCAGTCTTCCAGGACGGATACAGCAGCTGGGGAGATGAGAAGCGTTGCAGGGGGGGCCAAAACGCGAGGTAAGTCTAGCACCGAAATACCGTGAGATCAGCGTGGTCGCCGAAATGGAGCGTGGAATGTACACAAGAATAGTATGAGGGTGGCTTGGGAGGAGTGATGCTGCAGGTAGGTAGTCTCCGATGCTGCAGAGTCTAGGGATGGGAACAGGGGTATAACTGTGGCTACGAAGACGATGGACAATTGTTTGTCACCGCCCAGCGGACCTCGTTGGAGTGTGGTGGCTGCAAGCAATTACCGATTTCGCTTCTGGTCTTGTATTCTGTAAGAAGGCAGGCGTGGGGAGGGGGGGTTTGGTAGAACAGGTACAGTTTGAAGGAAAGATGGAGTTGGAGAAAATTGTCCGAGAAGCCATTGTCCGAACCGTGTGATGTCCTGGATGGAGATTAGTCCGGATAGGGAAGCTAGGTGTACTTGAATGTTGAAAAACAGCCTTGCGACTAGAGAGAGGAGCTGTGCCATCCCAGTATGACTCTCTGGGTAGAGATGAGCAGTAGGTAGGTAGGTATACTAAGAGGAAGACAGATCAAGACGCTTTAGTCGTGCGAGCGAACGGGATGACGGGGGTTGTCGGCGTGGCCTATAGGTGGAAAATGGAAAGACGGTTTCTGTATGCGAGCTTTTGTGCTATGGATTGGAAGTGTGGACAGTCAGTAGTAGTAACTAGAGAGAAGGTGGACTGACGGACGGTAGTGGATCGACGGGTGCACGACGTATCGTATGCATGTATGCGGATGCAGGAACCCACGCAGCAGCAACGGTGTGGAGAGACGCCACATGAGGGCACACATGTGTACACAGTAGGAGTTGAATCATGAGGTCTTGGTTGTTTGCTTAATATGACAATGTGTGACAGAATGAGGGAGTGGTAACGAGGAAGAAAGAGGAGGCAGGCTCCGATTGGTGGCAATCAATGGCGAGCGATTGATTGATTGAAGGTGGTGATGAAGGTGACGGCGGGGGCTCTTTCCTCCTCCTCCTTCGCGCCGCCCGCCCACATGGCCAGCTCGTGGCCTTGGCCCAAACCCCACCACCATCCATCTACCACTATCCATGTCTCTACTGACTGACCGTTACAGATTGCTCCATTGAATGGCACGCACAAACTACATTGTGCACGACAGTCTCTCTCGGACCAGTTGGAAAGCTGCTTCCATCTAGTGTCGACTCTCCAGCTCCCCACCGCCAACAGCAGGATACGTAACGCTGGATGCCCTCCAAGGCCATTGGTCCCCACCCCTCAACGCCCATCACGGGCAAGGATGCACGTCGCTCTCCAATGCGGGCGCCGCAGTCGTTGTTGGTACACAGCTACGCACACAATAGTACAATGGTCATCAGAGAAAGAGAGGGAGAGAGCGCGCTGACCGGCCGGCTGAAGTCAGGCCAGGCCATGGCGGGCGCGAGGAGCCGGCGAATCATACCATGACGAGCAGAGGGAGATGGACGATTGTCGTGTGCGCCCCACGGCAGCTCCGCCAGTGCCCGTGGATTGTTCCTGGCCCCGTCGACGCCAATTTCACCCTATGCCGCCACCATCGCACGTCCCGGCTGCCCCATGCCCCCCTGCTCCAGTCCACACATGGGTCATGCATCATCATGCCAGGGGTGCTGGTAGGGGCCCTTCAGTCTTGGGCCTCACCTCTTTCGATAGCAACACCGTCTGCACCGTCTGGGTAGTCCCCCGACCAGACATGGTTCTTCACCACCACCTGGCCTGGTCCCTGCCCGGCTCCTGTACCTGGGATCGCCTACTTTACTACTTCACTTCCCTTCTGCTTGCGGTCCGTCTCTTCGTCTTGTTTGCGCGGGCTCTTCCATCCGTCCACGATCCCTATTCCTTCTTTCGTGATACCCTGTTTGCTTTATTCAATTCCAGTTTCTTTACCCGTGTCCATTCCTCTCCAGCTTCGCCCCTAACGCCTGCCATTCAAACATCGTTCCTATATGTCATTTTCCGTTTCACCTTACGCATGAACCCGCGCCGTCTCAAAAACTACCACGCTCGACCACCACCGTCAACAACCCTCCGCCTATATACTCCCAAGCACCCACCATTCCACCAAGAGCTGGAATCCATATTCATGACATAAATCTCTGCTGGACTGAGCATCGTCACCGCTGCTACGGCCACCTCCCCACAACATGCCGAACTCCACTTCCCAATCTTCCCTCAACGGCTGCCCTCCTCCTTTCTACGATGTCAACAATTTTGGTCTGGAGGGATGTACGTATTCTCTACTCTACCTCACGGCACACTGAATAGACGTTTGCTGACTACCATCAGATCTCCCGGGACGCTTTTGTATGCCCCTCGGTCCCGGACTAAATTGCTGTTTACCATGCCCGGCAACCGATTTCATATACCCTTCCGACTTCAAAACCTGGTACCGCGCAGCAGAGATCCTCAATCTGGTCGGACTAGTCCTACTATGCTTCCTCCTCCTTTGCTTTGTAGTCCTACCACCCGAGAAATCACGCCGACACTACCTCAGCAACTGCCTGATAGTGGCCGCCATCTTAATGGCCCTGGCCTTTGTCATTCCCTATGGTACAAGACCATCACAGTGCCTCAATGAAATCACACCAAACGACATGTACTCTGATCTGTCCTGTGCATTTTCCGGCGCCTTCTTGATTGCAGGCGGCATGTCCATGGCCGTGTGGATTTTCATTCGAGCTCTTTCCATGCATCTCCAGATTTGCTGGGATATCTTGCCCGGCAAGAAATTCTTCTACAGTGCCCAAGTGTTTGGCTGGGCCATTGCAGCAGGCTTCTTTACAGCCACCATCACCGTCACTGGCGTATCCTACCGTTTCGGCGACATATGTCACGTCAACTACGAGGATGCACTCAAAGATTTTTGGGGTCCTCTTCTGGCCATTTCCGGAGCCGCCACCGTTGTCCAGTTTTCTACATTCGTATACTGCATCAAAGTCTACCTCCAGAACATGTGGAGTGATGAGAAGACCGAAACACAGAGCAGTGGCCTTCCCTCCTACACCAACAGTGTGCGCACACGATCTGCTCGCACGGTGTACCAACGTGTCAGTAAAGTGGTATGGCTTCAATGGCGCGGTATCGCTATTGTCATGTTTATTCTCGTTGACGTCATCTTCTTCTCCATTGTCTTCGTTTATCTCAATGACACCACTTCGCACGCCTTGGACGACAAGACCAAAGTTCAACCATTCTTGGACTGTTTGATCAAAAACCCCGTCGATAACGACCAATGCGCCTCTCTTGCCGAGGCCCTCTTTCTCAATCAAAGGACAGTGGTGGCGATCCTGATCATGCTCTCGGTAAGCTTTCGATATCCCCGAACGATGAAGAACTTGGCTAACCACCCACAACAGCTCGCGGGAATTCAAGTGTTTGTGCTTCTCTTCCGTACCACCATGATCACCGCATGGCCCGGTGTATTCCGCCAGCGATTCGGCCGCCACAAGCGCGATTTCGTCTCCCTTGATGCAAAGCACGATGCACGCGTAGGATCACAACAGTATGAACTGTCCAAATTCCCTGCGGGGCCTCAAAGTGCCGTGACCAGCCCAGGCTTCAACACCGAGTTCGATCCGCACAACCGCTCTGGCACCACTTCGCCTGAGTACTTCAGCAAGGGAAGTCAGCAGCGCGAATACAGTGCGCCAAAGCACAGCTTCTCGGCGCCTCTTTCTCCCACCCGGACAGAATGGAACCCCCAATCCACTCATGCACGCGGAGGATTGGGTCTGCATCCCCCCCTTGAGGAGGATGAAAAATACGACAATAAGTTTTGAACGTAACGAAATATACCACATTAATTCCCCTTAAAAAACTCCAAACCCAACGAGAAACCATCAACAACACTTAAACCCGAAAACCATAGTGACATGGATCGGGAATATATCAGAAGCCATACGGCAGCGAATAGCATTGCCGAAAAGAGGAGCTACACTCGCATTGTCACTGCTTCGAACGACGACTACCCGATTCGGTGAAACACTGCTGGTCCAAGTGTGCCAGAAAGAGAAGGTCGCGCCTATCAAAGACGCAAGCTTCCATGCACGCTTGCACTCGTACATCCATTCGCCCGTCCTCGATCCGAGATCATCACCGCCTGATTCAGGCCACACAGCAAGCACGCAAAACGTTCTTTATCCATACAGATCCCCTTGCGCAAAGAGACGCATGGGGAATGCCACAATGTTGGGATCAATAGGAAGGAGGGTATGCAAGGGGAGGGTTGGTTGTGTAGAATCTGTAGAGAAGAAAGGGGAGGCACAGTCGACAAGTCGTCAGTCAATCACTACAGGGATTCGTGCAGACGCAATTAAGGGTGCCGTTGTGCTACACAACAGGCGCCATAATAAGTTCTACCTACAAAAAAAAGTCGAATACAATAATGGAATCATACCTGCATGCATTGACGGGTTGGTAAAACCCTTGCTCTAATGTCTCGTCATTGACCAGCATTTTTTCTTCTTCTGTTGTTCTTCCTCTTCTAGTTGCTTCCGGAAATAGGCGAGACGTCTTCTGCAACCTGCACGCACTTCCATCACTCAACTGCGCTTACTCGCTCTCCGCATTGCGCCAGAAACCGATTTACCCAAAGTTTTGTTCGATACATTACTTCTCCAATGCGCTTTACAACACGGCTCTCATTCGTCTGCTTTCTTACTTTTTTTTTATAGCTCCCGTTATCGGCCCTCAACAGACACAAGCCCTGGGCCGGTGATGATGCAGCAACAGCGGCAGCAGATGAACCCTTGGAAATGAACCCGAACGCCCATCCGGTCCGCTCTTCTTCACCCCTTGGCCGACAGGGCTCACTCCCTCCTCTGCATGCGTACTATTTCAACAATAATATTTTTGCAGGCGCCAATGTCTCGGAGACGGAGGTCGAGCCCCCTCCACTGGACAAACCCCTGCTCCACTCACGGGCACTCTTTCGTGTGTACCTTGCATTTTACTCAGCAAATCCAACACGAGTTTTGGGGCTTTGTGTTTACGTGAGAGCAGCGCTGATGAATGACGGAATCTGCACAGTTCATCATAAGCACGCTTATCTTGTCTGCTTTGTGCGAAGGCCTTGAGAAGCTTTGATATATTAGTCAGATGGGCCATGAGCGGGTGGTTCCGTTCATGTTATCTACCTAAGTATTCTGTCAATGTTTGTGATGAATGACTGAATGACTGCATCAAGTGCGGAATGCGGCAGGTATGAGAAGGGTGGGTGCGTCGGTAGCCACATCGCCCCATGCTCTCTCAGCATGCGACAAAACTGAAATGTCGGAAAGGAACGGCATCGCGTGAGCGTCGCATGGTTAATTGGACATTCGGTAAGTTTGTGGGTAACTGGGCAATGGTATGCGCGCGTGCAGTGAGCGCATTGATGAATACGCGGCACAGCATTGAAGTCGCCTACCCCAGCGTGTATGGAATCTGGATTTCACCACATTTTCTGTTCGGACGAATCAGAAAGACGTCGATAAAGGATTTGATACTCCTTTTGCTGGTCTTGTTTCATGCTTTCTTTTTCCTTCTCGCGTCCGCTTTTGGTTCCAATTCAGAACAAAGTTTTATGATTTATTTGCGTGAGATTTTACTCACGTTGCCCCGATCCAGAAAGAGGAGGTGACTTTGCTGTTGATGACCATGCTAGCTAGGGGGATGCTAGCATACAGGGGAGCGGTAAAAAAAGGTCGGCGAGCTGAGCACAAGAGGCAAAATAGAAGAAGGCAAGGGAACCAGAAAGAAGAAAGATCGAACAATAGTTGAATGGGATCAGCCCGCCATGCCGCAAGCGAAGACGTTCTCCACGACCGCCAACATATCACACAGCAGTAGTTGGGCGACTGCAGCGTCCGGTAAAGAAGCTGCCGCATGCCTCGACAAGATACCCTGCAGGAAAGATGTAAGGTACATGAGGAAGCGAGGCTCTAGCAGTACTATATGGATAAACGGTAACAGATTTTCAAGGGCTTCCTTCTCTCCGCCCCCGTCTATTACCCTGGGAATCATATTCGGTTGCCTGCCAAGTATATGCGCCTTACCCAGAAGCCGTCGTGTCTTCGCAGCATACGGCATGTCCCGCTGTCTATAAGAACGCTCTACACGGGGAACGGGGCCATCAAAAACTTCTGTTAATATCAAGGTCTTGATTCATCGATGTGGAGTACGTTGGCATCATCATCATCATATGAGGACCGAGGAAGCGGGAATCGGCGCGTTGCTGACAACTGCCGTCCCGCTCTTCAAGTACAGGCGGCAAGGACGAGAAGTAACCCTTTGCAGTTACCTGTTGGTAACAATTGGTCCACCTACGCCTCTTGACTGCAGGATACGACCTTCACGCGCAACCCGCTCCGCTCCCCCGCTGCCTCTGAATCCATGCATGCATGCGCAGATGCATTGTTGGGCGAGCTTGAGGCGTGGTTGGAAGCGGAGTCGTCCCGTCGTTGTGGTACCTTGCAAGCTATCTTGAGGTAATGTTAGACGCTGTTCGGCATTGGATGTTGAGGACCCACTACTCTATTGCACCATGCTGAAGGATTTTTTTTCAGGTCTCGCTATCGCGTTTTATTGATATGCGACGTCAAGTAAGGCACCCTATCCATCCAACGTAGCTGAAAGAAGGCTTGTTTGTCGATCAGCGAGTAGAGGATAGGCTGTGGTCAGCGGAGCGTGCTGACCCGTCCCGAGTCGGATCATGGCTTACTGTGTACTGATGGCCCATGGGGGACGGGACGGTTGGTGGATAGTCTGCACTGTGCCGTTCCCGTGCCGTGTTGCTGCGATCATTTTCGCGTTGTTCAGCTCAGAACCCACTCGTGCCACTCTTTGTTGCATCGCTTCAGGCCGGTGAGTGGTGGATAGGGTGGGAACAAGGTCTAGCCGTGTCATTGTGTTTACATAACTAACACTTCACTAGAACATGTCATCTAGCTTCTAGGCATCCAGGAACCCTCGGAACATTGTCAAACACGAAGGGAGCTATCGCAGTCCGGCAATATTGACTGCCGAAGCAATTTAGGGCTCTTTATCCATTCGCTTTCCCCCCGAAAATCATCACGAACTAACAAACAACCAGACATTGCTGCCGATCGGAATCATGGATAGAGAACATGGACTGATTCATCGTCTCAAACTTACTCGCGCGGAAGCTTCAGTGGGCTAGTGTTCGAGAAGCCTGGCAAGAACAAGCGCAGAACCTGAAACGGAAGCGTGCCCGATATTTTACCCAAGCTCTACACAGTGCAAGTCTCTACATAGTACATGAATGAGCAAGGGTAGCAAGGCTGAAGGGGCCAAGGGTTCGGTTGCTGGATCCAGCAAGGAATCGCAGAATTTGTTCTGAGGATTGGCGGCACGCTTCGGTCAAGGTGCTGAATGGGGAAGCTGTCGACTAACGGTGGTTCAATAAATCCCTCTCAACGCTTTGGTAGCACTGCTAGGGTTTGGTCTAAACGAGCTCCAATGTGAACAATGCGGCACCTGGAAAAGTGGAATTGGCCAGTCTCGACTTTGGTCCTTGCCATCATGGCGACAATTCCTTGTAAACTGCAACGTGATGTTGCAGGTGTTGGTGGCAATCTAATGACGATGCTTTTGGCTGTCGTCAAGATGTAACCGGCGCTGAATCGTTGCCTGGGGTAAGCTTTGACAGACGCCATCTTATCACGATTGTGACTAATTCACATCAATTCGAGCCATACATAGGTACAACCTGAATAGCTCCCGTGTCAACGTGATCGTCTCGATCTATCATTTGACTAGGACAACTTGATTGACTCGACTTACATCTTGTCGCCTGATCGCGACTCGCAAACAGACTATTGTCGACTTGCAGACTCAGGTCTATCTTATTGAAAGCATGATAATCATGATAGCACACTGTCAATATCATGACAAGTATTATTTATTTTAGCTGATTCAGTGCCAATTGCAAGCTACGATGCCTTTCAGGTCTGTGTACACTTATGCGATCGGTAATGGGCCGATCGCAAGCCGGGATGCCGTTGAACTTTATTGACTCTACCACGCCTTAACTGCCACTTCCTTGATAGCACCGTGTCTATAGGTGCGCGGTCGTTACGTTGTCCTGGTCGTGGGTGACATGAATCTCCTGGTTCGGTAGATGTTCGTTCATGCTTATCGATAAGTACAACGTGTCTGCCATGTGGCTCCGGGCACGAACACACAAGACGTCATCATGGTTCGTATCTTGCTGACCGATTAACTTTGGTGCATACAAGTGCCGACATTGTAGCTTCAAAACTGTGTTGGGGGTTTTTGCTACTTGATGAGCAAAGGATGGCCGCAATAGCTTCGCGTGCGTGGATGACTAAACGTCGGTGTCTCATACGGCCGTGAAGCATCCCTTGATCCTTTGGACGGAACTTGCATGCTTTGATCCAAGTATTGCGACATCACATCTGTTATCGTCAGCTGTGGTACCACTTCTGCCACCACACTTCTCGGAAGAACGCTCTACTAGTATCGCTCTAGTTTTACTACCAGCAGTACGATTTCCAGTTTCCAGAGAATGGTTGCAATGGGTGGTGGCGAGGAATTCCCGCAGCGGGGTAAAAGCGATCGTGAACTGCTCCTCTTCACAGCACCTCACAAAGAAGGGGATGTGGACCAAATAGTAGCTGAGATCCAAAAAGAGTTCACTAACTTGGACGTGGAATTCGTTCAGCCAGGATCCGATGGAAAAACACAAGTGCCCAAAGGTATACAATCCATATAATCCACGTCTCAGTGCCCTCCCTCTAAATTCAGTCTGGTCAACACACCTCCCTGCTAATCCAATCCAAAATTCTTATTCGATTATTCCGAACCTATTCTTACATCTGTTTGCAGAGCTTTACCAGCGTGCGAATTACCTGACGACTTTCACCTGGCTCCCTCCGAATGCGTCCGAAGTACCCGACCTCAAATTTATCCAGTTTCTTTCCGCGGGAGTAAACCACATCGCCAACCACCCAATCTACACCGATTCCAAGATCCCACTGCTAAGCGCCAACGGTGTTCATGGCCCCCAGATTGCAGAATGGGTCGTCATGATGTACCTCGTTCACAACCACAAATATGTCGCACTGTACGAGCAGCAGAAGCAAAAGCTCTGGAAGCCAGAAACGGGCAAGGATGTGACCGACAGTCCAGGGAAGACAGTAGGTATTTTGGGATACGGTTCAATCGGGCGACAAGGTGAGCAGCCAGATTTCCTTTTCGAGCAGTGTTCATCTCGCTTTCCATATGTTGTGCGTGGAGTCCGCCTTGGGAGATGACGTTCAAACCCCTTCGTCATACCAAAACTCCGACTGCGCACAAACATCTGCAAGGAATACGCACGTACAGTCTCGGAGCCTTTTTTTCTGGACGCCCAATGCGGTGAAATAGCTGGACGGTTTGCGTGCGGACCGCATCGCTACGGACTTCGCCAAAAGAACCACATATCGCACGAACCCCAATCCTTCCCGGCACATCTAAGGGGGGCGAGAGACACACGCAATCATGAAAGGATCCATGAATAGCTCGCCAGAACGCAATCCTTCATGACGAATATCGAAAAGGCAAACGCACGGGTCTTGGTCACCAATATCGCTATCTGAGTGATGGAAGCACACGCATATTCGCCAGTTGGGGATGGACCAATCCTGCTTGCGCTTTCGCGTTACCTTGTCTGCATCAAGCGACTATGCTTGGAACTTTCTCTCGATTGAGGATATGGCACTGACCGTTCCGATGTAGTTGCACGCGTCGCAAAGGCCATGGGCATGAATGTCCTCGCGTACACCGCGTCTCCACGCCCCACCCCCGAATCTCGCCGTGACGATGGATTCATCGTTCCTGGTACCGGGGACCCTGATGGTAGCTTCCCTAGCGCATGGTATAGCGGATTAGACAAGGAAAGCCTGCACGAGTTCCTCAAGCAAAAGATAGACTTGCTGGTGCTGGCTGTGCCGTTGACGTGGGTTTCCCAGTTTTCCTTCCCTTTCGTTTGTTTTGTTTACACGCGAGGTCGAGGCTTCTTCGCACGGCATAATTATGTCGCTTGACGGCCCCGAAAATGACATGTTTCGACTTCCGGGTGGCAGTTTGACAGCTTTGTTCTTCTTATGCAACTGGGATGGTGGAGCCGGACGACGAAACTCCCCACACCGAGCTGTCAAAAACCCACGTCACCATCATGCAGCGAATAAAAAACACTGACACCCCACCGTAGTAAAACAACAACACACTTCCTCTCGGCCGCTGAGTTTGAAGTCCTTAATCAATCGAATCCAGCCGGCACATATGTAGTCAACATCTCGCGCGGTCCAGTCATCGACCAGCCTCAACTCGTCAAGGCTTTGAACGAAAAACTGATCGGCGGCGCGGCTCTGGATGTCACTGATCCAGAACCTCTACCCAAGGACGACCCGCTTTGGGATACTCCGAATGTGCTCATCACGCCGCATATTAGCGGTTCAACGTCGGCATACTCTACGAGGGCTACGCAGGTACTGCAGGAGAACCTGAGGAGATTGAGAGATGGGAAGAAGTTGATTAACGAGGTTGATAGAGATAAGGGGTACTAGATTTGGATGGGTGTTTGCGCTTCGACAAGACATGTGTATACGATGGTACAACGACGAGGTGATGGAGGACTATGTATATAATGCGCCATGATGTAACGTTCATTTCATGTCGCAGCAACCAATGGAATTGGTGCGGTCAAGTCAGACCTACAAGTGCCTTCCTCAACTACTCGGGCTCTTGCCCTTTCCACTTTTCTCTTACAGCAGCGACGTCTATGTCGCAAAGCTCCGCTCTCTCTAATACGAGCTTTGATTTCTTGACAACTGGTACATCGATCATCTTCCCATCAAGTGACCATGCTCCCCTGCCTTGTGCACTTGCCTTATCATCGCCCACCACCACTCTTGTTGCCCATTCCACTTCTGCCTCCCCTGGCGCGAATGCTCTTTGACAGACCTCGATTTGGCTAGGATGTATACACTGCTTCCCATTAAAACCCAATCCTTTCCCACCCAAGCACTCCTCCTCCAGTGTCTTCAGCCCTTGCTCGCCCTTATAGCTAGTACACACGAGATCAATCGTCGAAGGCAACAACGCAGCTCTAGCCGCCGTAGCGATAGCAGATCTCGCATACAAGAACTCTGAAAGCGAGGGTGTCCGTGTTATTGACATATCCTTTGCAAAGTCCTCGGCAGCAAACACCAACCCGCTCACGTACGGGCTGGCTTTGCATATCTCGGACAGATTCTGGATACTCCGCGCACTCTCTATCAACGCTATTATCGCTATCGGTGGTTTCTGTCCTTCTTTCTGTACGAGATTCGAGGGGTGTCGCTCGGGAAGCACATGGCGTATCACATCGGTTACAAAGTGCAGGTCGGCGGCGCTGTCACATTTAGGGAGCATGATAGCGTCGATGTTGTCGCCTTTCAATACTGATGTGAGGTCGTCGAGAGCAAGGCCGGTGTCAACGCTATTAATTCGCACGCATCTTTCTTTGATTCCGCTGGGTCGTGGTTGAGAGAGGATGGCGCAGAGATTCTGGCGGGCTTCAGGTTTCATGTGGGGGGCTACGCTGTCTTCGAGATCGTAGGCTATCGTATCGACTTTCATGGAAGAGGTCTTTTTGAGCATTTTCTTGGAGGAACCAGGGACTAGACTAGATGTTTAGTTGAAGCTGCGGCGATGGAATTGGGGAGGCACCGCACCGTACATGACCGCTCGGCGGATTATGTTGCGAGGAACAGCCATCCTGTGCAGTTCTGAAGGTCAATTGGTATCGCAAACAACAAAATCCAGCAAAATGGAGAAATAAATCTTAGGACACTGCTAAACAAGCTCAATCCTCTAGAAAATACGAATGGAGCAGGAAAGACCCCCGAGGTTATGACGCGGGGAAAGCTCAAGCTCCCTCCCAAACGCCGACTTGCCGATTAGTCCCTGCGCATTGGCCATACCTTGCGCGTTCATTCATTCGCAACTCCGACAATGCCACGTGAACTCATCGTCGACGAACCTCAGTCTCACAGCTATTGAACAGCGCAAAGCAGCAATGGAGACCGCGCAGCAGACTCCCTCACCAGGAAGCTTGAGCTGGAGGCTCAGCAGCCACCCCATTACGCTGCTCACATTTCTCTTCTTCCGCATATGTACGTCTGGACAAGTTGCATTATACAGCCCATCCTATCTCAGAGATTCAACATGGTGTAAAGCTGCCAGGTGGATGTCTGATTGAGGATCATCAATTAAAAAGCTCATCGTACTGACCATACACCATCTTCACAGCATCCCTCCTAGTCTACCTCTTCGGTCTCCGCCTCTTCACCTCAAACTTCGTCCTCATCTTCATCATCACCATCCTCCTTCTGGCCACCGACTTCTACTACCTCAAGAACATCGCGGGGAGGCGTTTGGTCGGGCTACGATGGTGGAACGAGGTCGACGGCGCATCAGGCGATAGTCGCTGGGTATTCGAGAGCGCGGATCCTGCTGAGCGGGAAGTCAACGCAACGGATAAGCGCTTCTTCTGGATTGCGTTGTATGCGCAGCCCGTGCTGTGGATTCTGTTGGCCATTGTGGCACTGGTCAGCTTCGAGTTCATCTGGTTGACGCTTGTTGGTGAGTTTGGAACCTCTCTGGGCAGGACGAGGAGAAATACCGCTGTAACCTGGAAACTGACATCCCGAATAGTCATCGCGCTTGTCCTCACTCTCACAAACGCTCTTGCCTACTCGCGCTGCGACAAGTTCAGTCATGCTTCTGGCTTCGCTTCGAACGCCATGTATGGATCCGGTCTTGCCAGGAACCTTGCTAGTGGTGTGGTTACAAGTTGGTTCAGGAGGTAGACGATACACCCATAATTCCGGAAGTCACAAGGAAATCAAGAGCGTATTAGCTTGTCTCTTTGCGGGAAGGAGAGTGGCATTTACACTCAGTGTAATAATATGCATGGCATATACTGGATCTGAATGGATCAACTACTGGCGTTATCGCGTGTGAGTGCTATGAATAGACAAGATATCCTTTTTCCTTATCTGTGGATACTAAATTGCTACGTTATGAGCGCAAGGTGATGAAGACGTCAATCTGGATTCGAAGATTTACCACTTTCAATTTACATAAGGGTTACCACTATTACTAACTATCACGGTCTACGAAGGGCACAAATGTGAGGTATGGTATTGGATTGGATGACGAGCTAAGCTACGGCGGCGGTAGCCTGGGTCACTGAGGCCTGTGTCCATGTCACTAACTCTCACAAGACATCAACTGAACCAGTGCGCCATATCAGCTTGAATCATTTCAATCAAATCATCAGATGGCAAAGCCGATCGAAACTATATATCAATTCGCGTTCTCCACGTCATTCTCATCCTTATTCTCCGTGTATTTGGGCAATCCCACATTCGAATTGATCCAGTCCAGCACAACCTCGTGCCACATGAGAGAATTCTCAGGCTTGAGCACCCAATGATTTTCGTCGGGGAAAGTCAAAAACTGGCTAGGGACACCCTTTGTCTGCAGCACATTGAAAGCCGAGAGTCCTTCGTTCATGGTGAGACGGTAATCGAGCTCAGAATGGATGATTAGGTGCGGCGTTGCCCAATTGTCCAAGAATCGCGAGGGATCCCATTCTGCCCACGAGGAGGCATTGCTCCAGAGAGGCCCACCCAAGTCGTGGAAGGGGAAGTAAAGCTCCTCGGACGCGAGCTGGCTAGTCATGCTGAAAACGCCGTCGTGGGTCACAAGGGCTTTGAATTTGCGCCCAAGATCGTGACCTTGAATCCAATTTACTGCATAACCACCGTAAGAAGCTCCCAAGGCAACAGCACGCTGGGTGTCAACATATGAAAGATTATCCTGGATGTATTCAAAGCCGTTTACAAGGTCTTCATAGGGGAGACCTCCCCACTGGCCCGCAATAGCGTCGACGAAATCTTGGCCATAGCCCGTGCTACCCGTCGGATTGGGGCAGACGACAACATAGCCCTGCTCAGCGAAGATGGCAGGATTCCATCGCGTACTCCAACTGTCTGTCCAGGCTCCTTGAGGTCCACCATGAATCAAATAGGCTAGTGGATATTTCTTGTCCGGATCAAAAGAGGAAGGCTTGACCACCCAAGCATGGACATCGACGTTGGGCGTTGCACCGGGCCAACGAATCTCATCCACTTGACGACGCGAAAGTCCGAACGAGGAACCGCTACGGCTGTTCGAGGAAACATATGTTGCAAAAAGCTCTCCCGGTTTAGAATTGACGGGGACATCACTTTCGGGAAGGTTGTACGCGTCTTTCCCTTGCAAAGTCTTTGTCTAATAGCACCATCCAAGTCAGCGATTTGCATCCTATAGCTTTACATGGTTTCGTATTGCGTAGTCATCACCGGTGATCAGGGTGCCACGTACCTTGTAGTCAGATGGTATCAGCGAATACAAGCTGTTGTCGATGAGTGTACTCGAAGAAAGGAAGAGAGCGCCCGATTCCAACACTTTGACACTGTTGATGGAACCACCATTAACGACCAGGGTTGGTGACTTCGAATTAATCCCGTCCTGCAAGGCATTTGTCTCGACTGCGAACAGGCTCATACGACCTTCCTTCTCGGCTGTCAAATATAACGTCTTGTCACCCCAAGTGATTGACTGTGGGCTTCGGTCCCAATCACCTTTTCCAGTACTTCCAGGAAACATATGCTGTACCCAACCGGGGCTGACATAATCGGGGATGATGAAGAGCTGGTTCTTATCAGACTCATAACCGTCGGTCTTCATTGACAAGAAGGCTATGCTCTTTCCTTCATTATCCCACACCGGGCTGGAGCTGGCCCCTGCGAAGTTATAGATTGGAACTTCAAAGAACTGGGGAAGGCCATTCACAATGTCCAGCCAGAAGTTCTTGGACGCAGAGAGGTATATGTTGGTTTTGGTATGCGTTGCGGGATTCAGGGCTGGATCTTTGGCAGTGAAGACAAGACCATGAATCGAGATATCGAAATTGTCACTACCACCAAAAGGATCGATTGGAGACTCGAGCCCCGAATTTTTAAGCGCATTCACAAGCTTAGACAGCTTAAACTTGTTGTTTTCTCTGTAAAGTGTACCCAAGAAGATGGCATTGCGGTTTTCGGTAACGTAGTGGTCCCAATGGCGCACAAATAACGACGTATACAGACGGCCGGTGGTACGTGGTTTCGAAGCTTTTTCTGGATTGAACAAGTCACCGTTGGGTTGCGCCTTTCCTGTGACGGCAACACCATAGGTGTTATCCCCGATAGGTACCAGCTTCAGATTGCCGACTGGTCCTTGGATGCTGCCAGCGACGTAGCCACTGAAAATAGTCAGAGCAAAGAACAACAGGGCAATGGACGACATCTGCATACTTGTTTGAAAAGTTATCAGCTGGCCCGACCTTCACGTGCGTAGTCCCGTCCTTCTGCTCGTGCAGCAACAAGATGGTCTTGTCGTCAAGCCATTGCGGCTCGCTCGACCCTTTAGCACCGGTGACAAGGGAAGTCTCTTGAGCTTCGACATCCAGCACACGGACCTCAGAAGTTCCCTCGTGCTTTTCAAAGTTATACGTTCTAGTCACAGGTAAAGAGTCAGTTTTCTGCAAGTGATCCTGGCGTATTCTACTACCGTTTCAGTATATGGCTTTGGTTATACGTACGAAGTAGTATACAGGACCTTGGAAGCGTCCAAGTTCGGCAGCCCTGCAGAACGGCGAGGAGCGCTGAGAAGCACCTCTGGCGTGAACCTTTTGGCACGAATCGTCATGCTGACCGTGGTGATGCTCGAGGACAAAGTGAGTGGAAGGAGGTAGTCGTAGAGCTTCCTGTGTCAAGGTCAGCAAGGATTCTCGAATACATTGTAGGGCTTGGCAACCCAGAACTGGCTATTAACAGTAAATCAGAATCCTAAATTCTGTAATTTATATTACTAGGTAGAATTGAACAGCTGTACAAGGCATCTGGACATGCTGTTCAACAGTATGATGATGTAGAAAGTAGAGGTAATGCACTGTCTTAGAGGGCTAAACTTTCAAATGTAGGAATGCAATGGCGAGGGAACAAGTGACCGAGGATTGTGAAAAGGAGGGAAAGACTCGCGATGTCAAAGGTAACAGCTTATGCAGTTTTGAGCGAAGGGCAAGCTTGTCTTACAGTACCAGCTTGGGATTTATGTGGGTGATGCGGACGAAGAGACGCGACCTACTGGTAATTTAATGAGTGATGCAGCTACTGATGGAATTTTATGCAGTGTATCAGTTTCCAAGCACGAGGGAATGCGTGGAGGGGACAGGAAAGCTTGGAATGTGAAGCTGTCGTGAAGGTACGGGAGGATGTAGGTACATAGAGCTCCGACGTCAGATGGTTTCAGCCCCTCTCGTACCGATGTACCTGAGAATGACTCGGAGATAAGACACGCTACAGTAAACTCCAGAACAACAGGCAATAACTAAAAGAAGAAGCAAGTTATGCTTTTTTATAAGCTATTGTGGAATACAGCAGTGATAGTGTAGCTATTGAATGCAAGATCTCACGGTATTGCTGCAATGACAGTGCTGGTTGTTGAACAGTGAGGCCCGTGCCACTAGTGGAACGTTGTTCCGGCTATGGCTTTGATTGGCCCTGATTCCCTGTCACGTCATCATCCATTAGTCATATCATTCTATTTGCGTATCGCTTAGCGTAGCGTCTGATAGCTACATCTGAGTGTACTTTAACTTTGCTTTCCCCACCTACATTTTTTGGTGAGAATATTTACGCGTTAACCGTGCAGAACTGACAAAACTGCCACGAGTGCCTTGAGACGAAAAGCCCCCGTGGCGCAGTGGCTAGCGCGCCGTTCTTATATGTTATCGTCAGATTCATATGGCCATACTCTGGTATGCGGATGTCGTGGGTTCGACCCCCACCGGGAGCATTCTCGCTGGTTTTTGCCTCTTTTCCTTTTCTTTTTTGTCTGTTCGAAGGCTGAGTTTGGGTTCTCTGGGCGAAATATGATTTTTTAGAGTCAGATGTGATTTTTTTTGAGTGAGATAGATGTGCCTGCTAAATACTGTTTTGACTTGGAGAAAAATGAACATGTCCCCCCAAAAATCACAAAGAGTCATAGTAATTACTTAAGTACTCATCGTGATCCTATCTATCACTGTCTAAGTCTTTGTCGAATCCACCATAAACAAGGAGCTCCTCTTGCTCCTGGCTTTATCTCTCTTTTCCGACACTCACGCAACGGATGAGCCATGCTCAGCAGGCGAAGTACTGCGAGACGTGGCAGGGGTCGCGGTCGAGGTCGAGATCGATGCAACACTGGCAGATGCTCCAAACTGTATTTCGTGCAGCTCCTGGAAGATTGTCTTGATAATCTGTGCCCGCTTTGCCATTGACATAGGGAAGGACTCATCCCGAACAATATCAAGAAATGCCACGATGCGTTCATCCTTGTCAATATCCTCGCGCCAAAAGCCATTCTTTTTCATGTACTCGCGCATCCAATCCCGTATCGTTTTGCGCTCCTCGATGCTGAACGTCTGTGGCCAGATCATTTCGTTGGTACCGAGTGCTTGGAAAGTCGTTGCCCAGTGATCCAGGCGATGTGTAAACGCCAAGTTGATGATGTTGAGCTCCTGCTGCAGGGCCCGACGCTCGTTGTCGTTGTCGTTGAATCGTTGTCATCGTCTTTGTCGTTGTTATCATTATCGTCTTCGTCTTCGTCTTTGTCTTCATCTTTGTCGTTGTCGTCGTCGTCGTCGTCGTCGTAGCATCTTCCATCGTTAGATCTTATCCAGAAACCTTGACGCCCCATGCCGCGAAGAAAGGCGCCATTTCTGCTGAAGCGTTGATGCTGGGTAGGCTTTCCTGTACGTATTGCCACAGAGCGGTTTCGTTGACGGCGGCTTCGGGTACCAGGATGTCGTTCACTTTCTTCATCGACTGGAGCACCGCCTCGGTGAAGATATACAGCGGTGCAAGATGGTGACCAAGGTCTTTGCTGTCAGGCTTCTTGCGGTACCTCACTCCAGGCGAATAACGCAGGCGCCTAAGACATTCGAGAGTCGCTTTGGAGACGCAGATATTGCTCGGAAACATAATGCGATTGAACATGGACACGGCGTTATCGTCGTCGTCACCTTTTCATATCAGCATTGTCGACAGTAGATGTCTTTTGGGAAACTTACCAGTAGCAGAAGCACCAGCACCACCAGCACCACCAACAGCACCACCAACAGCAGCACCACTAACAGCAGCACCGCCAACAGCAGCACCAGCAGCAGCAGAAGCACCTGGAGGAATCGCCGCAGTCGACGGGCCTGCTACGGCAGCAGACGTACCAGCACCAGACTGACCATGGTACCAATTCCGGTACCTCTGGATGAGATCAGGCTTGTTGCCCGACACCTTCAGACCTGCCAGAACTAATCGCGGTCTCATGCTGGCAAGCTTGAGCGCCGCAAAGACATCCGGGTGTAAGGGGGGTGTCGCCATCGTGTGGGAGACAGACAGAAAGCGTGTATGTCAAGAAGCGGGGAGCAATAGAAAGAGAGTGCGTGTCAAGAGACCAAAGTGAGAGCGTTTGTCAAGAGACAAGAGAGACAGCGTGTGTCAAGAGACAAGAGAGACAGCGTGTGTCAAGAGACAAAAGAGAGAGAGAGAGAGAGAGAGAGAGAGAGAGAGCGCGTGGTATATCTGTCAAGAGACGGTGAGCAAGAGAGCCAAATTAGCCAGCCAAACAAGCAGAAATTCGACTCGGTGACACAAACAATGCTGGAGCTCCTGCCAAATAGTTTCTCACAAGTCTTGGCGGGTGTTTATCTTTTGCCTGACCGCTGCTCTTCCACCAGTTTCCTTCCGCGTCCATTCTGTCCACTCGTCTGCCCACCATCCTGCTGCTCTCCAAGCCAGTCATCGCCGTCTTGTCAATATCTCCCTACCAGGCTTGTCCAGTTCATACATCTACCCACTCCGCTGTTCGTTGTTATTTCCACGTCCTCCTATTGGCAGCAACATGGCTGCTCGTCCACCCCCAGCGAAGCCGCTGAGCAAAAAGAAGCTAGGGGAATGGGATGCCCTAGCTGCCAACACCGCCAAGATCGAGGAGATCAAAGCCGACGCTCTCGAAGGCAGGTTCTTTGATGGCTCCGCACTAGCATGCGCAAGAAGCGGGAGATGATACGTTCTAATTTGGAAAAGTTCATGGAGGCTGTCTACAAGAAAACCGAGCACAACGAGGTGTGGAATCCGGATACATATGTTTTGCGCTGCCAGGAGTTCCTCGAGCTCATGGTACATATGTCCAAGGGCCTCTTTAAAGACAACATTACGGTGCGAACACTCTATGGATACAAGCACAATCTGTATTGGTGGGGCTCTTTGTTTGTTGCCGACTTCAGCCTCCTATGACATCTTGCACTATCCGGAAGCTTAATTGTTTCAATCTTACGACGTGAGGAACGAGGCATGATATATGGCGTCAAATTGGCAGTTGGCTCTCTATCTCATATATTAACGAGAGCCACAGAAAGTAGACAGTAGGAAGTCGCTCCTGAGACAACAACATTATTGAAGGGACTACTAAACGATGGTCAAAACCGGAATCCTGTACTGCTGTATTACAAAATGACTAGACCAAGTATAATGTGTATATGGAGAGGGGGCTCTTCAAATCAACAGAAAACTACTTTATTCTTTAGATGTTTAGTAGTTCCTGGTATCTTAACGACTCGTACCAACTTGAATAACATTTACTTGCTCGAATAACATATGGTTCCTTAAATAGCTAATGCTTACTTTAATAACTTGTACTTACTCCTATATTACAAGGGCGGTCTCACTCTAGAACTAGCTATCAATGATTATTTAAGGCTTTACTGTATGTCTAGATCCTACTAAAGTTCTGTTAAAACCATGTCAAGATGCTATTAAAAAGGGTATTTGTCGCACTGATAAGCCTTTCTAGAAGCTTACAAACATTAAACAGTTAGGATAAAGTTGAATTACGTAATACAATCAAGTAGCTTGACATGTCAAGTCTAAGTAGCTGGAAATACGTCTTTTCAAACACGTATACATACATAGATGAATGTTCATATGTTTAATATAGCAAATTACATGTCATTTTATAATCATCTAAATAGTGATCTAAGAGCTCTAAATTAGTAGAATAAGCAGTAAACACCCTACATACCTAGGTATATACATGTATTACAAGCCTAGACATACTGTAGAATCAGCTATTAACACTTATTCAAGACTTTACTTTATGTCTAGATCTTCTAAGCGTATTGTTTAAACCACGTTAAAATGCTATTTAAGGACGTATGTATGTAGGTATTAAAGTAGACAGCGTAGCTGACACTCTATCCTTAGGTAGATCATTATACAGCTAAGAGCAGTAGTAAGGTTATAAAATGCTAGAGTCTATAGTATTGCATGCGAAATATCTGGCGGGTCATGCACGACTTATTATCAATCACAAGATTAAGGCGAGCAATCAGAAACATACAGATTCGTCCACCATGAAAATCAAAATGGTTTATTGTATTGGATATGAATTTCGCTTGATGCTGCCGGATATGCCTCCATGCCACTAACCGTAGCCCGTTTTTGTGTAAATGCTCATGCCGATGTTCGCTGATAATGCAATGCCGTACCTAGAAAAAGCCATCCCAATAAGAAAATCCACTGTTCCCGTCAGTGATCCCGCCCCTTAATTATGAATCCCAGCATATGGAAACAGTCCCAGCGCAGAATACCACACTATGACATGCGTGGGTCAGGCCCCCTATAGAATTTGTTCAGGGCAACCTCCTCATCTCGCACGCTGCGTTGAATTTTGTTTCTAAGAATCTCAACCTGTCTCTCGTACTCCCAGCGAGGTGTCTCAGCACCGCGCATACCAATGAAGCGGGCGAACATGCGCATCTTGACCCTCAGCCGCTCCACATCAGTGAGCTTGCAACTGTCCGGCAGGCTAGGATCGTTTTGGAGGAACGGTTTAGTCCAGTCCATTGTTTGGGGATACGCGTGCTTGAGATTTGGTGCATTGTCGCCTGGTGAGGGAGACGCTTGAGAATAGTAGTGGGCCATGGCATCTAGCTGAGGTTCTGTCAGGAGAAAGAGCTGGAGCATGGATGTTGGGAAGGCATCGGGAGGATTGCCCGTGCAAACATGGACGATGGGTGCAATGGTGAGGCGCATCTGTTCAATCTTCTCCGCGAGCGCTGGGTTTCGCTGCGCAAGCGGCATTTCCTCAGTTCTATTTTCAAGGCCTTGCAAGCCAGAGTTGTAGCTATGGTGGTTGTCCTGCATATGCCTCTGTGCTTTTTTGCTTTTTGAGATTTGAGTTGATGAGATTTTGCAAATGATGATCTCAGGTGACAATTGGTGTTTGTGAATGATTGATGGTTGCAAAAACCAGGTATGTGGGTAGATTTTTCGGGGTGTGCGGAGCTGGAGTAGGCGACAGAGACAAGGCGACCTTTGTATATATACGAGATACACAAACGGATAAAGAATTTGGTGGAAGAGTACTATTGTTAGATTTGGAAACTTGTCTTTGTTCCCAGTGGCCCTCTTTAAGACATGAAAGGTGTATTGTGGAGAGGTCGGCCTTTTGTCTACACGGTGACATGTCTTGGATTCAATAATCACACAATGTTCGCGACTGTCACCAGCCAAGTGAACATTTCGTGATCGATAGTAGAACGATCACATCCGGCCGTGATCGCATAAGCTGTTGGAAGGCCCTCGAGGATTATGAGCTTGCCGTTCGCTTTCAAATTGTGTGCTCGTGAAGGTTATGATTCTCTACGATCCAATACTGCCTTTCGGGATCGCGATGAATGGCTATTTTAGTGTCTCAAGAAGGATAGTAAAACCCTTCATGGATTCAGGATATTCTCCAGTGACACGTCTTGTTCAGTACCACCAATGGGCTCAGTGTTGGCCCAGAATTTGCTGAGGTGTCTTGCGCCGCTGTGAAGGTCAGTTGCTGTTTCTTCGAATATCTAAAATGCTCACCTGTCGCAAAGAAGTGTTACAATGCGGTGTCCCGGGCCGAGTTGCTTTGCGAGCTGCGTAGCTGCCACGCCTAGTGCTGAATCAGTCTTGCAGTCGTCATGTCGTCCGGGGTTAGCTTACAATTCACAGCACTACTGCTGCCAACGAAAATGCCATCGTTTTCAACCAACCATCGTGCCATACCAATAGCTTGCTCGTCCTTTACTCTGATAGCGTCATCAATAAGCTCTCTACCCACCTCAAAATTGTGGGTGACACGGTTAATTCCGATGCCTTCCACTATAGTGTCGACCTGGTGTCTCCGCCGGGTCCCTTCTCTTTCCTTTGAGTCAAACATAACACCGTACTTGACTTTGTTGAATAAACCGCTTCCTTGAGGATCAGCCAGCACCACTTTGAGATTAGGTATTCTTGACTTCAACGACATAGCAACACCGGATATGGTGCCACCAGTACCTGCGCCGCTGATGAATGCATCTAGGCGACCGGCCGTTTGCTCGTAGATTTCCGGGCCAGTACCTGTGAAGTGAGCACGCCAATTTGCCTCCGTCTCGAACTGATCTGCGAACAATCCTCTGCCGGGTTTCTCTGGATTCTCAGTATGCTCTTTGGCTCTTTTCCGGGCCAAGTTGACGAATTGATTCTGATCGACAATAGGGGCCGGACGCACCCTTTCCACTTCAGCTCCGAGCTTGAGCAAGAGGTCTGATTTTTCAACAGCCATGTCGTTTGGCATGCAGCTGGAGACAGTTGTCAGACTGATCTATCAAAACAGTAGATTACTCACATATGGGCTTTGTAGCCGCGCGCGCGACAAATCGCAGCGAGCGAGATACCGGTACTGCCCACAGTGCCTTCGTAGATTGTATCACCAGAATGTGGCACAAGCAGTCCTTTTTCTTCCGCATGCGCAAAAGTCAGCACAGACTGCAGACGTGTGGATGATCAATCTACGAACCATTTCAATAATACTTAACGCAACTCTATCCTTGGGACTGTTACCCGCACCGTTAAGGAACTGGATTAGTTCAAAGTCAGTGTTCCCTTTCGCTGCATGCAGATTGTGCAAGTACATACCTCTGCTTTAGCCAGAATTTCACACCCTGTAGCCTCAGAAAGCGATTTTATTTTTATAAGAGGTGTGTTGCCAATACAACCTTCGACTCCCTCTCGGATGTTCCCGTCCATCTTCTCCAGCGTTTGACCAACCTCTGCTAATCTCTTTTTCAACGCATCCAAATCATTCACATTCGAGAGAGTTGCTAATAATTGTTGCAACTGTTTTGAAGAACGCTTGCCGTCCCGATCTTCCTCACTATCATCAGCATGCTGGTTTTGTGCTCGATATAAAACAGTCAACACTGCGCCCAGCATAAAAACACCTGCAACGTAAAGCTTTGTATGGTCAGGCATGACACGCTGTGCAAAAAAGGTTCTTGGGTATAGCCGCAGGTACAGTTCAAAGCAGGAACATTTGAAGGTGCAATCGTGCAAGCGCGGCTTGGCATAGCGTAGCCACGTGCGCGCCCGCCCAATGCGATGCCCTCAAGTTTACCTCCAATCCACCTCCAGACTTCTTCATTAGAAGCCTAATCACAGGCTTCAATGGATTCACCACTCGTCACCAGTCTCTTCCGACAGCTGTTCTCCCATCGCGCTTCGCATTGCCTTGCTCGAGGAGCTCGACCTGCTTTTACGTCCGCCCGCGCTCCGCAATTCTCACAGCGAGGCAAAGCTACCAAAGCTATCAACGCTGCACCTAGGGGCTCCAACGCAAGAGCTTCAAATCTGAGCGTTACCGACCCAAAGAGAGACAGCAAATGGCAACCCCGAAGAAATGTTTTCCCGCACGAAAGGATGGAAGAATTCGACCGTTACCCGCTGGTCACAGCCGATATGCTTAGGAGCCGAAGGGAAAGGCCGCGCAGAGTGAAGATGCTGCTCAGAGATTTTGTAGAAGGTGTGAAATCCAGGAACACTTTGGCATGGTGTCAATGAAAAAACATCTAACAGACATGCAGACAGTTTATACAATCCAAGCTACGGCTACTTCTCCAAACAGGTCGTCATCTTCTCACCCGGCGAACCTTTCAACTTCAACAACATGTCTTCAGAGCATGAATTCTTTCAGCAGTTGCGCCACCGATACACGAGCTTCGAGGATGCTCTCGATTTCCAAGAACCGAACGACTTGCGCCAACTCTGGCATACCCCGACCGAGCTATTCTCGCCCTACTACGGCGAGGCCATTGCGCGTTACCTTGTGGAAGACTATAAATATAACTTTTATCCGTATCATGATCTTAACATCTACGAAATGGGAGCAGGAAATGGTACGACAATGTTGAATATTCTGGATTACATACGCGATATGCACCCAGAGGTGTATGAGAGGACAAAGTACAATGTCATTGAAATATCGAATCAGCTGGCCAATCTGCAACAGCAAGGACTTGGTCAGCATGCTTATACGAGGGGACACTCGGACAAGGTGGAGATTGTGAATCGCTCCATCTTTGATTGGAACCAGTATGTGTCGTCACCATGTTACTTTCTGGCTTTGGAGGTTTTCGACAACTTCGCACACGATGCGCTCAAGTACGATTACCAAACCGGTGCTCCATATCAGTCGCACGTCGTTGTTGATGCGCAAGGCGAGCTTTTCGAGTATTATTCTCGCAAATTGGACCCCGTGGCAACGCAATTCTTGGAAAGACGACATGCAGCGTGCCCAACCTATCCTCATCCTCTGTCGGGCTCCCGCCTCGTTAATACGATGCGATCTTTGTCGCCATTTCGGGCATCTCTAAGCGAACCAGAGTATATACCCACACGCCTGATGCAGTTTTTCTATACGCTTTACGAGAAGTTTCCAAACCATAAGCTTGTCAGCAGTGACTTCAACAAATTGAGCGATGCCGTGGAGGGTATCAACGCGCCAGTTGTCCAGACGAGATATAGACGGCAGATGATTCCAGTCTCCACGCCTCTTGTAAGTTTGCATCCTGATCTCTGCATTTCCGTTCCTAATCAGAATTTTGCAGGTCCATCAGGGATACTTCGATATCCTGTTTCCCACCGATTTTGAAGTTATAGAGCCCATGTATACGGCAATCACGGGTAGATTTGCGCGCACGTATTCGCATGAAGATTTCATGTCTGGACGTGCCGATCTAGGAGAGACGCAAACGAAAAATGGGGAGAATCCGCTGTTGACCTGGTACAAAAACGCAAGTGTTATGATCACTGTATAAATAAAATCGGAAGGTCGTGGTTAGTACCTTATGTAATTGTATTCTCAACAGTATGATCTTTGTAAAGGTCTGCGCAGCAAGCGCAGCAACTCCCTCCACACAAGATAGATTTGGCACAGTGAGGTGGCTTGGCTGTGGCTGTGCGGAGCTTACACAAGATGAGAACGACACCTCTCAGCTTCATATATGTTTGATCAACAACAACGTGAATCACAGTCATAACCTACGTCTCTCAAAAGTCCAGCGTTACGCTGATATCGTCGATTCTCCTTATCAACGCGCCCTTGCCTGCCCTGACCCGGGAACAAGTATTTCCCGAGAGCTCCGCCGCAACCCTGTTCGGAGGTCATCACCACCTCCGCTCGAAGCTTCACAGACCACGTAGGTTCGCATTGGCACCTCACGATCGGCGCAATGGGTTCATTAGGGTCCTACTTCCTCGATGTCGTTTACTCGTTTACGAATTGCATGGTGTGCTTTCCCAGCTCACCACAACTCAAGATCAACAGTCGGAGCTTTAAGATACAGCGGCTTTTGGGCGAGGTCAGCAGCCTTCCCCCTTCTTCAGTAGAAACACATATTAATGCATAGGTCTCAGGGTGGATTTTCCTATGTATACCTTGTCGCAGATAATTCCAATCAGCAGCTGTACGCGCTGAAAAAGATCCGCTGTCCTTTTGGTCAAGAATCCGTCTCTCTCGCTCTCAAAGAAGTAGAAGCATACTCCTTATTCTCGCCGCATCCAAACATTATCCACTCCATCGATTATAGCGTCGCTTCTGATAAGTCAGACCCATCCGCGAAAACAGTATACATCCTACTACCGTATTACCGCCGCGGAAATCTCCAGGACATGATCAACGCAAACCTAGTCAACCACACAAAGTTCCCGGAGAAGCGCTTGATGCAGTTGTTCCTCGGTGTGTGTAAAGCTTTGAAAGCGATGCACCAGTACAAAGTGGGAGAGGGGCCTGGCGGAAACAAAAGCTTGAACAAGGCGAAGAGAGTCCGGAATGACGCCGCGAGGGCGGATAACGAGGCTGCTGGGGAGGCCATGGAAATGCGACCGAACAGGCAACACCGGAAAGACGACGATGACGAAGATATGGAAGCCGAGCCCTTGATGGAGGGAGAAGTTACCATGGCGCAAGACGGGATTGCGCCTGGAGGCGAGAGCGCGTATGCGCATAGGGACATCAAGCCTGGTATGCACAATCTCGAACCCATGGGTGAGATCACAGCGACTAACGTGTATGGCAGGCAATATTATGATAGATGACGACGGTACAACGCCCATTTTGATGGATCTCGGATCTCTCGCGCCCTCCCCGACACCCATCACATCGCGCTCTCTTGCCTTGCAAGTCCAAGACACCGCCGCCGAACACTCAACAATGCCATACCGTGCACCCGAGCTTTTCGACGTCAAGACAGGTACTGTCATTGACACCAAAGTAGACATTTGGTCTCTTGGCTGCACATTATACGCATGTCTAGTCGGTAAATCTCCTTTCGAAGCGAGGAGCGATGAAACAGGTGGCAGTTTGAGCATGTGTGTATTGGGCGGTGATTGGCGGTTCCCTGATGAAGGCAGGGAAGGGAAGAAGAAGGCGGGAGGTGACGAGGTGGTGAGAGAGAGTGTGAAGGAAGTCGTTAGAAAGTGTTTGAGAGTTGAGCCTGGCGAGAGGCCGGATGTGGATGAGCTGATTCATATCGTCGAGGAAGTCATTGACACGCTGCCGGAGGACGGACAAGAATGAATGTTGTGAATTGGCCAGGATGGCTGTCAGACGAAGGATCTCTTTCCTACTGGATTTCTTGAGACTTGGACCATCTCTAGCGGCGTTCTCATTTCACTTGGTCCTCATGTGGTCCCCTCTTTTTCTTTTTTTGCGGAAATTCTGGTTTGTTGTAGGATTATTAAACTGGATGAGGTCGGTGTTAGCTGAGAGAATGTTTACATTTATGAACAATGTTTGGGACCAGTATCTCTCCCTGAATTTGCTGTACAAAATCCCAATGCTACCGTTAGAGACGTGAAGTCCAAGAAGCGTCCCGAAGCGCCCTTGCGTCATCTGCAATCACTGTTATTTGCTTCGTGCCATAGATTCACCGATGGGTAGTTATAGTAGATTGTAATTGTACGTCCCAACCACTTCATATCTGCTTCAAGTTCCTCGCCGCACCAAACCGATGTCTAAAACCCGCGCCGCCTTGCCTTCCCTATAATCGGCTTCTTGACCAAGCCATCCCCACCGTTTGCTGCAGCTTTTTTGCCTGCACCAACACCAGGACGTTTAGCTATTGGGCCGGCTAGTTCATCTTTGATTCTCTTCTCCTCCTTTTCTTTGTCCTTGGCCATCTGCGCCTCCAGTTCGGCGCGCCGATTGAATTCAAACTCCGTGACGCGCTTATCTCGTGCGGACCAACCCTTCTCTTTGATAGAGTAGAAAACAGCACCCAGATCTGCTAGCCAGTGTGGGTCAACGCTAGTAACGCACGACATGTACTCTCTAGAAGTGAGGATGAGTTCGTGGTAGACGACGTAGTCAGGGAGGTATCCGAGACCGTACAAGGCACTCGTGGGGTGAAGTTGAATGGTGACGCTGGTACGGAGATTGATGTACTCGCCAATGCCCTTGACTTTGGCAGCCTGGTGATAGTACCCGCTGCAGATGCATTTACGAACCACATCCCAGTCGGTTCCGCAGCTGATCAAAGGCATCTTCTGGAGTTTCATGATGTCGAAGAGCTGGTCGCGAATCTCCTTGGCGCGACGCAACGCCTTGGGGTGTAGAAAGTGTCGGACGCACCAGCCGTCGCTGTATCCGTTTACTTTCCATTGTGTGTAGACGTGCAGAAGGGTGAGATGATCAGACTCAGCCACAAAAAACTTCTCACGCGCGGAGTCGGACTCTTCTTGGCGTTCTTTGGGTCGGTAGAAGACGGTGGGTACGCTGAGCATAGATACGATGGTGAGCATTTCCTCGCTGCATTCGTAGTCAATCGAGGTTATGATTAGTTTAGCGAGGGATGGGTCCATGGGGAAGGAAGTCATGGTTCGGCCCAAAGGTGTGAGGTCGCCGATGTTGTCTAGGGCTCCTAGAGCCCACAGATCGAACAGTGAGGTAGTTATTGTGTCTTGAGGCGGTGGATCCATGAAGTCGAAGTCTAACAAGTCCTTGACGCCGAGAGACTTCAGAAGTAGAACAGTGTTGGCGAGGTTCGTGCGTTGGATTTCGGGAATGGTTTGGATGTAAAATTCATCACGAAAGGCTCGCTCGGTATAGAGATGGAAACACTTGCCGGGCCCTGTACGCCCTGCTCGACCCGCTCGCTGAGAAGCGTTTGCCTGGGATATTGGGGTGATCTGGAGCGTATCCATGCCCATTTTAGGGTTGTAGACTTTGAGTTTGGAAAATCCAGCGTCTACAACGTACATGATACCATCGACCGTCAAACTGGTCTCCGCAATATTGGTTGCAACAATGACCTTACGCACACCTGGCGCCGCTCGATCGAAGATCTTGGCTTGTAAATCAGCAGGCATCTGACTGTATATAGGCAAAATGCTGAGCTTTGGTGGATCGTTGAGGAGCTTCAGTCGTTCCGCGACCAGCTCGCAGGTGATTTCAATATCCTCCTGACCAGTCATGAAAACAAGTATATCTCCCGGACCTTGTGAGACATGAATGGCCAAGACCTGTTTGACGGCGCTATCGACGTAGTCTTCGCATGGTGATCGCGAATACTGAATGTCGACAGGAAAGGTACGTCCAGGGATGATGAATTCGGGTGCCCCTCCATAAAATTTCGAGAAGCGCTCAGAGTTCATCGTCGCGGATGTTACAATCAGTTTGAGATCTCTTCGCCGAGCAAGAACCTTCTTGATAAGACCCATGAGGACGTCTGTGTTCAACGCTCTCTCGTGTGCTTCGTCCATGATGATGCAGGAGTATTTATCTAGATCCGGCTCGACGAGAGACTCGCGCAATAACACACCGTCTGTCATGTACTTGATGCTTGTCTCCTTACTTGTACAATCTTCGAAACGAATGGCATAACCAACAAGGCCACCCAGTTTGACTTCCATCTCTTCGCTAACACGCTTCGCAACACTCATGGCTGCGACTCTTCGGGGCTGCGTGCATCCTATCAATCCGTGTTTTGCGTACCCGTCTTCGTGCAGGAATTGAGTTAGTTGTGTAGTCTTTCCCGAACCTGTTTGGCCGACTACGATGACCACCTGATTATCTCGAATAACGCGCAACAGGTCCTCTCGTACGGCGAAGGCAGGCAGATACTGCCTTTGTTCTCGCAATGTCTTGCTCTTACTGAAGTTACTTTGCCCCTCGCTGGATTTCATGTGTTCCGCGAATTTGTTGTCGCTCTTTCTCTCTTCCTCAGGCGCAGGAGCCGCACTATCGCCGTCATCTTCCTTGACGCCCATAATGTTGCCCAATGCTGTTCCCGCCATATTTGTAGCCTCCTGCGCCTGCTTCTGGCGCTCTTTCCTTTGTCGTCTTTCCTTCACTACTGCACTTCCTCGCCGACTGAAAACCGCCATATCGCTCTGGGGGTCGCGCACTGCCGGAACCGGATCAACTTGTTTTGTGAAGACCGTTTTACCGTTTAGAAAGGGCGGTTTCAGGTCATGGACTAAGATGTGCACACGGGTGGATTCGTGATCATCTTCGAAATCTGTATCGAAATTCCTCTGCTGAGCTACACCGGACTGCAGCATTCGGTTCGTTTCCCAGGCATCCACATCTTTCTGCTTTTGTACAGCTCTGGCGCTGGCACGGTTGTTCTGTTTCTTTTCGGTGAGGGCGGCTTCGCGCAGGGCATCCTGCCATGCGCTTTCCGTACCACCGAATGGATTGTGGGTATCGTCTCCAAAAGTGTGTCCATTTTCCTCGCCGCCATACCAATCTCGATCGAGAGCCAAGGAGTCTATCTCCTCGACTAGAGGCTCGGTACCCTCGAACGACTTCTGGGGATGCCGTTCATCGCGCCTAGGCGTACGCGAGCGTTGCGACGATGCTGCGGAACTTGGATGGAGTCGCTTTTGAAACTTTGGACGCGGTGCTACAGAAAACTCTTCCTCATCTCGAGTATCAATTTTTCGACGCTTTGGGCTGCTTCCTCGGTCCATACTCTGCTGTTATTGCGGATTGTTGCCTCGGGTGAGCGGTGGGTTTGCGGAACTAGCTGCGGAGCAACAAAAGTTCCCGTCGACGGGGGAGAAGTAGGAATGGGTCGATAGGGGCGGAGCGACGGACGACAGCAACAAGTTTAAGCAATTGACTTTAGGAGGTACTCAAAAGTCCAAGATGTACAATCTTATCGCGCTGTCCGCTGTCAAGCGCGGTCATGGCAGTAGTCCCTTTCCCACCTGTGTACGGTAGCGGCGCACGGACCGCAAAAAAGTTCTGGTGGGGAAGGGAAATATTTCACCACTGGTAGCAGCTTCCACACACACAACATTTCCTGACCTAATTCAAGATGTCGATGATCACGACGACCTCGTGGGTGCCGCGCGGCTTTGCGGCGCCCTTTCCCACGAAATACGATTTCGATGATGACGAGTACGAGCGCATATCTAAGCTTGCTAAGCTACAACTAGATGATGCGAAAGAGGATTTAGAGGAGGCGCAAGAGGAAGAGAAGGAAAAAAAGGAAAAGAAATCAAACAAAAAGGATGGAGAGGCCGCTATGGAAGTTACAGAGTACGTAAAACCTGGAAACTGCTATATTTTCAAAGCTCATCATCTTGTAGGGACATCGACGATGATCTCAAAGAGTACGACCTCGAGCACTATGATGATGACGACGATGACACCGCCGATGGCACCAACGCCCTGTTCGGCAACTTCAAGAGTCTAGTATACCACGAGAACGACGAGGAAGATCCTTATATCACCATGGACCGCAACGAAGACGAAGAAGATGAGGAGCGGGAAGAGCTACAAATATTGGCTACAGACAATATGGTATTAGCGGGGCGCATAGAAGATGAAGTCGCGCATTTGGAGGTTTACGTATACGAAGACGAAGCAGACAATCTCTATGTGCATCACGACATTATGTTGCCCGCGATTCCCCTCACTACCGAATGGATCGATATGCCCGTGGGCAAAGCGAATTTGGGCAACGACGCCCGAGGAAACTTTGTTGCAGTTGGTACAATGGATCCCGATATTGAAATCTGGAATCTCGACGTGGTGGATAGCATGTACCCTGACGCGATCCTTGGACAAGGCGCAGAAGACGCGGCCAACGCCGACAAGCCCAAGAAGAAAAAGAAGAAGAAGGCCAAGAAGGCCAACGATGATTTCCATGTCGATGCTGTACTTTCACTGGCTGCCAACCGTCACCACCGCAACCTCCTTGCCTCCTCGTCCGCAGACAAGACAGTCAAGCTTTGGGATCTGAACACAACCAAGTGCGCCAAATCATACACATACCACACCGACAAGGTCTGCGCGGTGGCATGGCACCCGACCGAGTCGACAATCCTGCTCAGTGGTAGCTACGATCGTACGGTAGTTGCCGCTGACATGCGTGCACCGGATGCTACCGTACCGCGCTGGGGCGTTGAAAGCGACGTGGAAAACGTGCGGTGGGATCCTCACGATCCAAACTACTTCTACGTAAGCGCTCCCCTTGGTTCCAAGTAACAAAAAAAAACTTCACGGTCAATTAACCCAATCCTATAGGTCTCAACCGAGAACGGCATGATCCACTACCACGACATCCGCGCCGCACCTTCCACCCCTTCAGACTCCAAACCAACCTGGCTCCTCCAAGCGCACGACCAATCCATCTCCTCGTTCGACATCAACCCCATCATCCCCGGCTTCCTCGCAACCGGCTCGACGGACAAGCAAGTCAAACTCTGGAACACGCAGTCGACGACGGGCGGTCCCAGCATGGTCGTGTCGCGCGACCTGGGCGTCGGTAAAGTCTTCTCGACGACTTTTGCACCGGATAAAGAAGTCGGGTTCCGACTTGCGGTTGCGGGTAGCAAAGGTGCGGTGCAGATTTGGGATACGAGCACGAACGCTGCGGTCAGAGCGGCTTTTGCGACGAGAGTGCCCGAGCTCAAGACTGGCGGGGATAGGGAGGAGAGACTGGTAGGGTTGAGGGAAGTAGAGACGGATTCTGATTCCGAGGAAGGGGAGAGCGAGGACGAGGATGGTGAGGGCGGGGAAAAAGGATGGGAGTCTATGGAGGAATAGAGTTGGTTGTGCCAACATGCAATACCACCAGTATCATCAGTGTTCCATTTTTGTTCTTTGCTGTACGTTGGTGGTGTCTGGGAGGGAAAAATCACAGGGAAGGATAACAAAAAGCGTTTGATAAGTTTATTTTCTTCCATCTAAATTTGGGCGTGGGGTTTAGGGCTGGTTCTGATGAAACACTTTTTCCCTGCCCCGTCTTTGTTCTTTTTTTTTTGTTTCGGCGGGAAGATCTTGTTTTGGGGGGATCGATGTTATCGGATCTGTTGATGCCATGGTATCCGCCTCACAAACGACGTTTCAGGAACATGGGAGAGGACCTGGGTGAACCACGGAGTACAAACACCTGACCCCTTTCCCCTCCGTCATTCTTTGTCTGTGACTGGAATGATGCCCAAGGGAGCGATAGAGTGTGCAGCATCACAGGGGCTGGTTTTGCAAGAAGAAGAGAAAGAAGAAGAAGAAAAAGAAGAGAGGGGTGGATTTGGCGGAAGGCAAGTTTTGGTCTATTTCCAGAGGTGCCAACTGCTAGTCAAACTAAAATAGATGTGATGTTGTATGTATCCATGAAGGTTGCTTTTGTTGAAACGAACAAGTTCTATCTTTGGATAAGGGATTGTCTGCTTTTCTTGGGCTTGGCAAGCAAGATAATGCCTCGACAGTATTTCCATGATTTGTCTCTCGGTTCGTAATTGTGAGGCGACGGGCAAGGCGAGGTAACACTGCTGTGTCACGCAGGCATGAGACAATACAGCTGTTAAATTTCAGAACAGATGGCCCTGCATGTGATGCTCTTGGTACTTGACATGGGACGAGAGGAGCCACGTTTGCATGGGAGACGAGACGAGATGAAGCTATGTACGTGTTGCGTGAGCTGTTGCACAACGTGTGCATGCACACGCCCAGCCATGGTGACCCACCCAGTGGTGGGCAGTTTTGTTAGCTGGCAATTGCGATAAGTCAGTGACGGGGGAAAAACAAAATACCATGCACTCGATAGAATTGCCGAATTGAGTTTTTTCTTCTTCGTGGACAGCAAATGATGACGCAGGCTTTGTGGATGGCGCAAGGCAAGGGTATAAGGAAACATTGACAAGCTATTGGAAACAAGCAGGGGCGCGTCGTTAGCTCAGGCCATGGACCACCATTTCAGTTGGTGAAATAGTGGGAGCGTGATTCGTACGCGGGCGCGAGTCAAAAAAGGGTCGAATTTCCTCGTCGGTACCTGAAAACCGCAGGAAGCGAGGGCTAGTGTGAACTATAGTGTACCAGAGTGTTGGTGTGGACTCGACATGACGTCCCGCGTGCAGGAGGACGGGAACAGAAGAAAAGAGTGGGCTTGCAAAGAAGAGAAAAAAAAATCTATCGGCGCCTTTGTGGAGACGTGGGCATGAGGATCGGGTTTGGCATGAACGAATGTGGGTATGGACTTTTTTTTTTGTGGTCTCCTCTTATTATTTTTCCCGATATCCTGCTTTCAACCTTGCTCCATGTGATGTCGAATCTGGGATGGAGAATGGCAGGTTCGACGTGATTGATTGAAACCGGCGAGGCGAGCGGGTTGATACAATTGGGGGATTTGGCGGGCTCCGATGTCTGCTTTTTTAGACAGCTACTGGGACCGAGTCACCGACCAGAAGGTTCAGGAACAGAGTTTAGGGTGCGGGATAGAGGCAGCAGCAGGCTTATGGCGGACAGTGGACAGGCGGGCGGAGGCGGACGAGGAGGACTCATGACGCGTGTAGACTTGCCCGGCGGGCTGTCTGACAGATATCACGCCAATTAGCGGACGGGTGTTGGTGATTGATGAAGCATGTATGATATGGGACTCGAATAGGTCGCCATAGACACAGACGCTGACACATGCGGACAGCGAGCTCTCACATCCAAAACTCCAATCAAGTCCGGGTACGCCACAGGCTCGGTCCGGGGAGAGGTGAGAAACGGCGAACAGCGACGGTGGTACTGGCTGCTGTCATGGTTGGCTGGCCAGATACGTCGTGGTGGCTCGCACGTGGAGAAGGGGAATTGGAGCCGACGTCACCCCATGGACAGATAGGTGGATGGATAGGTGTGGCCAGACTCGTGGTGGTGCATGGCGGCCAACAAGGGGAGGATTGATTAATCAATATGTGCCAAAGTAGCAGCCCATGGGCAGATGGTGAGAAGGATGAGGACGACGGTGCTGGGAGTTGAAACGAAACCACGGCCTGAAAGGGTCTAGGTGGTGAGACGGGATCCCCATTGGCCTGCGGCCAGCAGTGCGTATGCGCGAACGGCACATCCGCACGCGCTCGCTCCCCGGCGGCGGGCTGCTCTTCCCTGCCTTTTCTTTGTTGGGCGCCAGCCAGCGGTGCCAGCGCGAGCGCCAGTGCCAGCCCCGAGCCCAGCCTAGCTTGGCTGTGGTAATGCGGGCGATGCGGGCGATGCAGGCAGATCCGGGCTGCTGCTATGCTGCCTCGCCCCCTGTCAGTCCTGCCAATCTCTCCCTAACAGGCCGATGCGCCCGCGCTAACCCGTTGCGCCCCAGCAGCCGACCAGATGCAGTCCTCGCCCACCTTTTGTGCCTCTTGAGCGCCTGCCCCCCCCTGTTCGCACATCCCGTCCCTCGCTCTCTCTTCATCACTCCCTCACCTGCATCCACTCGCTCCCTCTTTGACTTTTGACTTTCCCCCCCAGAGACTTTATTGTCTACTACACCTTCTCTCTCGTCGCGACCAAGTGTGCCCTCCTTACGACGCTGGTTCTTCACGCTCTTTGACAGACCGCCATCCTTTGATTGAAATTCATCTTCTTCTTCATTTTACCATTCATTCTTCCCACCCCGTTGTCCTCACCCGCTGCGCGAAAGGACAGGAGAACCCACAGAAACAAAACACGAAACACCCAAACAGATCGTCCACCAGATTCCACGAAACATTGTCCCACTGCACTCGACAGCTTGGTCAACGACAACACCAGGAAAAAAAATTCATTGTCGTTTTTCCAGTCACCTTGTTTCGCAGTCACCAGTCAAGTCCGACTCTAGCTTCGACTCGACCGTTGGTTACACCACGCGATCCTACGTTGCAAGCTCGTGATACCAGTCACCAGCCTATTTCTCTTTATACTCACACAGCGCTGCGACATACGACATACGACACTCTCTTCGTCACCTGTTGCCCTGCATCCATCCCCTCTGCTCTCCCTTTAGTACAGTGCTCCCGCCAATTTATCCGCGGCCTCCACCCCGCATCACTACTGCACCCTATCTGTTCAAACACCCAACGAGAGCCCTTCTCGCCAATCCACTGCCGGCACTGGCACCGAACTACCGCCCTATCTTTAACTACCCGCAATATACTGTAAATCTATCCACCATTAATTTACATTATGTCGCTCGCACGCGGTCTGACCCAGCGCATCAAGCGGAGAGACTCTCCGTCCGACTCGTCGCCACCAACCCGCAGCCAAAGTGTAAAGGCACCTGGCCTCCAAATTGACCGTGCCAAAATCTCCGGTCCGGTCGCTCTGGTATCAACTACAAACATGCTGTCCTACAACGCTCCCGACATCACTCCCATTCACACCGCATTCTCCTCCAAATCATCAAATCACTCCGCCGATGACTCCGACCACAGCTTCTCCACTCGCTCCAGGGCCTCGTCTCACGCTTCACGGGATACCTTGACCGATGCATCCTCCGTCAGTTCTTCGCCGACCTCGCCAGCGCCCAACCACCTCTCTGGTTACTTCGCGGCTGCCAATAAGCACCCGCGCAAGTCAGCTTCATCCGGTAATCTGCAACAGCTCAAGGAAACCAAGGAAGAGGAGCCCGTGATACCAACTGTCCCTGCCGTCCCGGAGAGAGCTCTGTCTCACAGCAAGCGTGCCCATGAACGCATGGCTCAGAAGAAGTCTCTACAGAACCTCTCGAGAAACAGCTCCACCCGGTCATCACGAGAGCAACGGAGATCCATCGACATGTTCCGAGCAACCATTGAAGAAGAGCAGCACCCCTTCGGCAAAGAGCTCGAACAGCTCAACGAGGTTGCCGAGGAATTCACTGGAGTCGTTCGCGACGCTGAAGCCGAGGCTGATATTGCTCTCATCCGCAACCGTAACCTTGCCATGTTCTGCGCCGCTGACTACTTGGCCGTGATCCAACCTTTGTCCAGCACAAGGTTTGGGCAATCAACCGCTCCCCTCGCCTGGATATGACGTGGATCGAGTCGCCAAACATTGTTACGCCAACGACTGTGGCTTTTCCGTTTCCAATCCTGGTCGATAGATTCCACGGTTCTCTTTGTCCACCTTCGCTTCAGATCATGGCCACCCCACCTGTTCGTACATACGACAAACCAACGGCATTCTTCGCTGTATATATCTATATTTTAACGCCACCTCTCTGGGGCCCACCCGGTTGTTACCCAGAGGGGGTCTTTAACTTTTATTCATTATTGTCATTCATTTTCCTTTGTGTGGCTGGTCTCTGGGTTCAAAGGCTATGAACAATCGGCGTTCATACCCGGGAAAAATCATCATCATAAGGCTTTCAAAGTAGCCTGGGGCTTCTGCATGCCCTGTCCTTTCTTTTTCCTTGTTGTTTCTAACGAAGTCACAAACACACTCCTTTAGTTGCTTGTGTATATGAACTCCTTTCTTCTAGCTATTTTTTTTTATCTCGGGACTCTGCTGTAATGGCAGAGGTGGAAATTTCCCAAGGTGGGAAGGTGGTAGCGCAGATGTCGATATTGTGGAGGATAAGCCAGGAGACGCAGGCTGGCGTTTTCTCTTTTTACGTACATAGCGGATGGATCTATGTATCGTATGTCATGTATGTGTGGAATAAATCCAACTACATCTTCACCTCATTCAACATCTCCGAGTCCTTGCTATTATTGATCACCGTGTTGGCCTTTGACAAACGTGCCGTACCGTACAATTCTAACCGCCCCTCCAACCCACAAAGAACCCCAAGATTTCCAGCATAGCTAGCCAAGCTTCTAGGAAAATGATGATCCACGGCGGCAGAAGGGCACCTTCCTATCTATCCATCCATCCCTATGCGTGCGCATGACGTCCCTCCCCTTCCACATGCCCATAACAACCACAACAACAAATAACCGCATAACATCCCTCCATTCATCCACACATCCCTCACCATGTAAACGTCTACGTATTGTCTCACACACTCACCCACCCCATTCCCCCCGAAAGTGCTTGTGGGGCCATGTGCCCAGATCGCATGTGTGCAGGAAATGCGCAGCAGCTGCAGCAGCATTCCAGATTTAGCAAATCCCCGGCGATTTTAATTTGTTTAGTGCATAAATATGGAAATCTGCCGTGGGATTGGCCCCCTAGTGAGAGTGAGTGAGGGAGAAGGAGTGAGAGCGAGAGAGACCTTCCGGTTATGGGTTAGCGCTGTTTGAGGGACACGGATTTCACGTGTGACAGTAAGGTACATATGTATGTGTATGTTTTGTATGGACTTATGCTGTTATAGGGTTGGAAGAAAGATAGAGAAGAGAGTTGTAGGGTAAGTAGGTAGGAGGGGATTTGGGTTTTCATGTATCATGAGGGACAAACATGGACGTACGATTATAGTATAAGGAAGGGTGAATAGAGGTGATGCTTTAATATGAGATTTGTTTGTTTGTAGCGTGTAGCCGAATTTGTGCAAGATTCTAGATGGTAGATACTCCAAGACAAGAACGTGTAATTGTGGTATCTGGTGCGGTCAATGGCTTGTCGGATTTCAGCTAATGTCATTCTACAATAACAGTTCGCTTAGTTGCATTTCTGAACCAAGATTCCAGTAAATCGAACTTGCTCAAGTACTCTCGTTCCTCGGCTTTCAGCATTTCCCCGTCCTCGTGGCAGAGATCATCGACTTCCGAAACAGAGTAGTGCAATACTGTCATCAAACCTACACGCTGGAATCTATTACCCACAGGCTTCAACAGGAGGTTTGAAACCCCAGATGAATACACAACCATCGCTATGCAGGTGTTCAAATCTTCAGCACTAATATCGTAATCCAGACATACACCATAAACTCGGTACAAGTTGGTCCCTACCGCACAAAGTGCATACACTTCCGGGAATGGTCCTACCCAGAGGTGGGGGAGAATATTCGCGCCAACTACAGGGGTACTCTTGGATATGATTCGAAATTCTGCGCAACATCCGGTTAATTGAATGAGCCTGGGGGCCTCGGGGCTTCCAGCTTGCGAGACGAGAAGACCGCTGTTGTGATACTCCTTACAAGTCATCACTCGTCCGTCCTCCCAACATAGGTCGACGTGGAGTCCTTTTAGGGAAGGTTGTAGTGCGTCGGTATAGTTATGAATTATCTCTCCTTCCCACCCTGCCCACGACCAACTGGGGAAGTCGATTCGTCGATGTCCCGCTTGTGGATGATACCATGACAAGAGCGGGTAAGGGTCACATTCGTCGATGGTAAGGACACCCCATAAATGTCCAACAATCGGATTCTTTATCAGTGACCGAAGGACTCCTAGACAAGCGTTCAGGGAATCAGATTCGAAACTCATTTTCCGGCAGGTATATTCATTCAAGCAGAACACGGCCCTCGCCACGCTGTTATCGTTTGGACTATTACCCTTGGGGGTGGAGAACATGTCTATGAAATAATATTCATCAGACAATATTCGAAGAGGAATCTCGTCGGTGAACGTTTCGGCAAAATGTGACTGCAATTTTGGTGATGCATAGTCAGCAAACTCCAAGATCACATTTGATGGCACATTCCTCATACGTAGCGGATAACTTGGAACATACCTCACCACACACAAAGTGCACCTGACGAAGGCCAAAGATAAGTTTGCGCTTGGACAGAAGGCCTTCCTGGTACGTCCACGCTCGAAGCCCCCAATTTGAGTTTTTCAAGTAACTGATGTTGTTGACATACATGTTCACAAGGGTGAGCTCACCAGTCTTGACATAATTTTGATGAGCACGAGGCGTTTTGCCGACACCCGGAAGTCCATGCTGAGGATCACCACTATCCGAAGCGATGATAGTAAGCGAAGCTGCGGAGTAAATCTGATCCATTCTAGTCATTTGAGAGTGCTTCTCATCTCTGTTCTCTTGATCGATACACTGTATATGAAATCAGAAATCGCAAGGGCAAATCGAAGACGAGCAATGACTTACGTATCGGTCAACCCAGAGGTATTCATAACCAAGGGCAAGACACACTTTGATGCTGTCTTTGACGACCCTGGGGAATTTGGTGTGAGCAGCGAGCTTTTCGGATTGCTGTTCACCCCACACATACGACAGCGCTACATAAACACAATTGGATGGCGCTGGAACGATCTTCCGAGTTGAACAATGAATCAATTTGCTTTTCATGAAATTTACGGTCAGCATCACTCTACATATAAGGCATTATGGGTGTATGGGGGTCGAAGATTTCCTTTGGACTTACAAACCTGGTATAATTTCCATCTTCGCTGCGATACATTGCTCGGTATGATGTAGATCCGAGCAATTGTGAATCCACCTGCGAATGAGGTCATAATCAACAGATCTTCGATCTATGATACGTGGACGGTATCTTTCTCTGTCATCGTCGGGTCGGATGGCTCCTATGGCATTGAGTGTGAAAAAGGGATTTTGACACAACACAGTTGCAGAAGCAAACATTGGATTGCGTGTAATTTCAGCTTCTGATACGGTATCGGAAAAAAAAAGTCTTGACATGGATGTTGCAACTATTCTCGGCCATGAAGAGCCCGTATCATGGAGCCACTGGCAAAGATAGCAGTTGAATTGCTGGCCTGCCCATTCTTTTCTAATCCCGAGAACCTCTTGTGGGCTGTAGGGACCACTTTTGGAAAGCTGAAACATCGTCGGCCAGTCGATGTCACGGCATCGAGTGCATAATGGCTTGAATTTCTGACGGTAAAGATTTCTCCAGTTTTTCCAGAATTTTGGGACATATTTCCCGTACTGGGGATGATATTAGGATATCGTACACTTCACGTACGCAAGATGAATACTCACTACGATAGGGGGCAAGCTATACAAAAGTTTTGTGGTGGCGTCTTCTGGTATAGGATGCGCAGACGTTCTTGTGGAAGGATCATGGGGACCGGACATAGTGAGCCGGAGAGTAAGGGAGCAGGGTACAACAGGAACCACTAAACGATCGATTATGGAAGATAATGGGGACCAAGCAACTAGACATGTTCATGATATATGTAAGAGTGGTGCCTGCCTCGGCCTTGCTGACCGATATTGTCCAGTACCGGTCTTAGATAGCTTTGGGGAAGCTGGGGGCTGCCTCGAGCATAGCCACCACATTGATAGATAGCCTACATTTGAGATAACAACGCCAGTGCTAGCTCACGAGGGACTCGGCGGACGGTTAGATTTGGTTTCCTGATTGTATTACCTTTGCCTACAGAGTCTCAACTAACATGACTGATGTGGGGATCGTCCAAAGCTACTTCGGAAGCGGAAAAACGTTTCCCCGAGCATCCTGAACTTTTGGTATCCTGAAGTTGTGAGGCATGAGCATCAACAATTCGACAGTCCCCGCCCGCTCCTATATCCTCACGATGATCTGCCGAAGCTGCCTGCGCACAGCTTCGCGCTCAATAACACTCCACGATCAATTCGCCACCGTTCGCACCACTGCGCCTCGATTCATCTCTACAACCACCACCCGTCTCAACGCAACTCCCATCTCCGCAAACACCGCTACCGCAAGTGCTCCTCGACAAGGCTCTTCGACATCTTCCCATAACCCTCCCGCTGCGACCTCGACATCCGCCGCACAACCATTCAGCGAGCCCATCACACCGTCAGCCTCACCAGCAGAGAAGCAAAATGCTGCAGCGGCGGCAGAGAAGAAGGTGACTCCACTAGTAAGGAGCTCAGTGGCTGCAGGGACGCCATTGAAAGGCCTGAACTTCTTCAAAGACAAAACCGATCCCGTTGCATTGGCCGATGAAGAGTACCCCGAATGGCTATGGACAATACTGGAGAAGCAAGAGAAGAAGGATGAAGTCGACGCTGGAGATCTTTTCTGTACGTCCCATCTCTGACACTTTTTCAGTTTTGCATAGGTAACTAATTGTGCTCTAGCGAAATCGAAGAAGCAGCGTCGTCTGGCTGCTAAACGCCTCCGGAAACTGGAAGCTGCTAACCCTGGCTACAATGCTCCCAAGATCCCCCTGTATGAGCAGACGATCGATCTACCCGCCAGCGATGGAACCCCGGTTGGTGCATTGAAGGCTACCGAGGCGAGAGATGGGTTGACTAAAGCCATGCGGAACAAGAGGCGGGCGGATATCAAGGAGAAGAATTTCTTGAAGGCCATGGGATAAGTTTGCGGAAACTTCACGATATACTCTTCGATCTAGAGAAACAGCAAAATCAGAGGAGTGCCAATTGTAGGATCATCTGCCATTCTTCTGCAGCCCTCGCACGGGACGTTTGTGTACGATATAGCATTTTAAGGGGGTCTTGTTACAATATTGTACAAAGATTAGCATTGAGAGGTGTACTTTACTGTTGTACGAAGTTCGTTGGTATACGATTTCGCGCGTAAACACATGTATCATTTGCATCGATATGCTCTCAATCATCATTCGAATGAAGTTGTCAAACTCAAACTGTGAATTTATCCAACCTATGTACTAAAACATTACCGTATACGTATTATTTTGGTCGGGAAGTCCCATCAAATACTCCACGCGGTGACAATATATGTATAAAAGGAAAAATCCAAATCCATGTCTCCTGGACAATAGCGTGTACAATTACGGAACGAAGCGAAACGGTCACCGAATTCCAACGCCCAACTTACACTCTCTCTACTCGATATCGGCTGAAATCTGAACTTTCCTGGCGGCCTTGACCAATTCTTCCAACCTCTTATCCATAGCATCCCGTCCCTCGAGGGTCCTCCACACTTCGTGGGGAGCCTTGTTAACAATATCCCACGCGACTAGATTCTCTGTAAGCTTCGTCAGATCCTTCTGTTTCCTCTCCCATTCGGTATCCCTCCTAGTCTCAATCGCGCTGCTGATTATAACCAACGGAGTCTCGCTACTCTGGATATTCCGCGCCGAGACAACTTCGTTCTTGGAAAGGGAGTCAGCGACAAGATTCTCCTGAAGCTGCGCTTTGATGTATTTCCCGCCCTGGTACGCGTTACGGCCGTAGACGCGATCTTCTCTGGTCCGACCTTTGAAAAGGGCGCCGCCGAGACGCTCGAAGCCCAGCGGAGAAATGATGCCCCAGGCCCACAAGATGAAGCCACGACCAGGGCTCCCGATCCGATGGAGTAGGTCCTCATGCATGGGGTCAATGAGCATGATTCCCGTGACTTGCTTGAGGTGGCGCGAGCTGAAGATCCGACTAACGACACTACCTGTGCCAGCGCCGACCAGGATCCAAGGGCCCTCTTCGCCAGCTTTAGCCAGCGCCTCGGAGAGAGCATCTGCAGACATGCCTGCAGAGTGTGGGGAGGGCGCGTTGTCGGACCATGCGTAGCCTGGGCGGTCCCAGTAACAGTAGCGTGAGACGGTGCCGTTTTGTTGTGCGTTGTATGCCCAGTGTTCGAAGTCGTACTCGGAGGGCCCTTCACCAGCTTCAAGAATCATGGTTGCGTCCTTTTTGCCATGCGTGTAGGAGACATTTCCAACACAGGCGAGATGAACGGCGTATTTGTCGCCATCGACCAGGATACGGTCGCCATACATTGGGAGGGTCGCGTCTCGAGCACGGATTCCTAATGTGCCAGTCATGAGAATCACGATAAGGACGAAGATGACGGTGATGACAGAGGCTACGAGAACCGCGAGCCATTCCTTCAGTGTTCGGCGGGATTCAGGCCGTCCGGTGAGACGTTCTTCTTCTTCTCTCTTGCCCCAAGCCACAACACGGTCGGTCATGATACACCATAGTGCAATTATGGATGCCCAGACTACTGATGCGATGCCTACCCAGCCTTCTTCCAATCGTACACGCGGTACAGCGAGAATCATGATCATGTTGATGAGGAGGAAACCGGATATGATGGCGGTCGTGATGCGAAGAGCTTTGGCGGGCGCAGCAAAGAAGATGAGTGCCACGAGAAGGTTCCCGATTGTCAAACAGGTGTATGCGAAATCGAAGAAGCCTGATCCGCGGCTGTGCATGCCTGGGGGAGATACAAAGATGGATACGAGTAGAAGCGTCCACCACAAGCAGGAGATGACGAGGAACAAGACGGTGAAATACCGTAGGAATCGGACGGACCACAGGTTGTACGGAGACACCTATGATTAGTTAGCTGACATTATTCTGGTGCAGGGCGAAGCCGGCTAAATCTTCCACATACAGCAGGATCATCAGGATCCAAATAACCATCTGAATTGGGTGGTGGTCGCTGTCGGTCGAGCAATCTGGTTCGCTCATTCGGTTCATCCCGCGTCTCGAGACTTCTTCTTGATTGAGCTCCACCACTTCGCCCACTTCTTGTGCTAGCAGCAGCCCCATCGCCACTTTCTCTGTGTGCCTCGTGGCCGTTCTCCGATTGATTGTTCTTAGTACCCCACATTGTGAAGTTTCTTGGTTCGCTCAGCCTTGATGAACGTCGAATCCAGGAAACCCGGGAAGTTGGGTGTGGTTGGAAGTCCTTTGTTTGGGAGTATCTGTATGAAGCCGGGATTAAAGATGTTATTGCCCAGACAACACGGGCATGGCAATTATAAAAAGAGAATGAAATGTACAAGAGATAGAGAAACAGGGAAAAGGAATCAGGATATCTTGCTAAAAGATAATGGCGAGGGGCGTGCAGCTATTTGGCGACTGACAGAGGGCGCTAGCGGATTTGATCGACGTCATGGGTATCTAACACAAGCCTATCTCTACAACGAGGCTTGCTTGATACGTTGACCTCGGCAACCAAGCAGGATGTTGGAATATTTTCATAATATTGGTTATAGCTTGTCAAATATGCGTGATCTATATAGCTCTTCGTCATCGCAAGATTGTTCTATTGGCATGTGCGACACAATCAGAGATAAAGGCTCGAGAGATGGCCGGTAAAGATGACGCAAATGGCACCTCTCAACCCCTGAACCCTGCCCCTTCAAAGACATGGATCTGCTTTCCATCTCGCAGATGCAAATCACCCCGCCAATCTGCATTTTCAAAACATCAACCAAATATACACGCCAGAGCCATTCCATTGGAACCACGCGACAAAGAAACAGACTTTGCTACACAACTGTTATACATGCTTATAGAATAGCCACGCCATGTCCGATCTCGCCAGAACCTTCGCCAAAGCCAAACTCTCCTCTCTCCCGCCCCCCGAAACTCTCCCCGAAGACCCACCTTCCGAACCGTACGAAGACGATTCATCTTCGGCATCTTCCATGTCTTCTACCGGCACCGTTATACCCACGTCCTCGCAGCGACCCGCACCTTTGCTTCACTGGACCTCGTACTACACCCAAGAATTCTACCTCGAGCGGCCAGCATCGGCGGCGCGGAACGCTGCCAAATTCCACGTATACTTCACACCACCCAAAAGTTCGAAAGCGCCGCTGTTGGTGCTACATCATGGAGCTGGTAGCTCGGCGCTGAGCTTCGGGCTGTTCGCCAAGGAGGTGCAGAAGGCGATGCCCGAGATAGGCGTGCTAGCTATCGAGGCCAGGGAGCATGGTAGCGTCGTATGGGGGACCGATGGAACTGCCGATAGCGATTTGTCGATTCATTTGCTGAGCCGGGACCTGATGGACATGCTGGATCTGATGCGGACCAAGATGGCCTGGCCAGAGCTGCCGACCGTGGTGCTCGTGGGACATAGTCTTGGCGGGGCAGTTGTCACACACGCGGCGAATGAGGGGCTGCTGGGTGGTAAGCTCATGGGATTCGCGGTGCTGGACGTGGTTGAGGGGAGTGCTATGGAGACTATTCAGCACATGCAGACATATCTCGCAAGTCGGCCCAAGTCATTTGCTACGTTGCCTGCTGCGATAGAATGGCATATAAGATCACGGTTAATAAGAAATCCCCAAAGCGCCAGAGCGAGTGTGCCCAGCTTACTGTTGGAGGCGTCTGACGGCCGCTGGGTATGGCGGACTGACCTGTCGAGCACACAACCGTATTGGGAGAACTGGTTCACTGGGTTGAGCGCCAAGTTCCTCAACGGCAAAGGCGCAAAGCTTCTCATTCTTGCTGGCACAGACCGGTTAGACAAGGAATTAATGATTGGACAGATGCAGGGTATGTTTTCCAACTTTTTGTTGTCATTTTAGAGTGGGTATCTAATTTTTATACGCAGGCAAATTCCAGCTTCAAGTACTTCCCGCCGCAGGTCATTTCCTACACGAAGATCTGCCCGAAAAGACGGCGGAAGTAATCGTCGAGTTCATCAAACGCAATGACCGCAGCACACTGATTCTCCCACCAAAGGTATCAGACCTTCTGGCACAGGGCAAGAAAGTGTGACGAACAGACATGCTGACGTCTCTATGCCAATGTTATAATTTACACCTCCACCTACACTCCTGCGCTTCTAAGGTTTGTGGCTTCCTCAATGTTTGTTATTCCTCCTAGTATGACTCTCAGTGTTCTTTTTCCATCCGGCGTACGATTGAGCGCACTCAGTGTGAATGAATCAGAAGCTAAATGGACTTAGGAAGTCACCGTTAAAGCAGACTTTGGGTCGATAATCGCACAGTTTCATGACTCGGGTGCGTCTGCTTCCACTTCCGCAGCCGCTGTAGCATCACCATTCCCCTTTGGCTTGTGTTTGCGTTTTCTCTTGCGTGTGCTAGAAGCGCCGTCGTCGGCATCTCCTGTGGTGACAGGTTGTGGTTCGCTCGTCTCGGGGTCGCGGGGTTTTGCATTTTTGGATGGTGCGGTCTTTTCCACCTTTTTAGATTTCTTCACACTTAGAGGATTGGGTTGTTTTGGACCCTGCTGCCTTTTCTTCTTCTGTGGCTTGGTGTCGGTCGATTGTCCTTCGGCATGGTCCTCGTCCTCTTCTTCATTGCCCTCTCGCTTCCGCTTCTGTCCCGCATCGGGTTTGCGCGCTCCCTTCAATCCCAGCTTGAATTTGGACTTTTCCTCTCTGTTCCTCACTTCTTCACTGCTGGCGCCCATGGGCTCTAGGAGCATCACACTCTTAGATATGTAGATCACCGGGACCCCCGCTATCCGGCGCATGTGCTTCCTCACGTCGATATCCTGGCTCGCTACAACGTATCGATGTTTGTTTGTCATGCTGCCCTTTGGATCCACCACCTCTTTCAGGCACTCTAGGTCAGGCAGAGGGTTTTCGAGTTCGTGGTGGTTACAGCGGCGGCGCTCGTATGTCTTTGCCTCTTCGATGAGGGCGTTGTTCTTGGGGGTGGCGTTATAAAGATGGCGTATAGAACACTGGGTGATCATGGGTTTCACCTGACCCTGCAGCACAGTCTGTAGTCGGGACACCAGATCGATCTTGGTGCGGTGGGCATCTTCGAGGATGGCGCTGTCGAGCAGGACTTGGTAGGGTTCGCGAAATCCGAATTGGATCTGATACTGGTGCATCAGCTTGCGGTAAGCCTTTGCACGCTTCAGCTTCATTTTCGCGAACAGCCAGAGATGTGCGTCGTCGACTAGGCGGTGAAGCAGAGAAAATTAGAAAGGAATGCGGGGAGCGTGTGCATGGAATGTTTGAAGTTTCCGCGACCAGAGAAGAAAAAAAAGGTTCCAATGACAGTATGGCGCTAGCCTCCGATTCGCCATGCGCGGCGCACGGCTCCTGGCACTAGTCTGTGAAAGAAGGGACCGGCCGGTCATGCCCTTTCCAACTCCGCAACCAGTGTTGCTCGCGGTTGCCTCTTGAATAATAACCTTGAGGGGTGCCGGAATATCATCCCTCCTGTACATACATGTTCATACCATATACTTTCTTCTCTCTGGATTGCCGCATTGCTCAACACCCCCACTCCCCCCGCGCGCGCCTCGCCATCTATCTCTAATTGTCCCATTTTGGATACTGCGGTGGTGCGCAAGTGCTGTCTCCTCCTTTCCATGCATGCGCCGTGTTGAGCCGCCCCTCCTTTCCCCTCGAAAACAATAAACGATAATATAAAAAGCATGCCGGTCGATCCCTCCGCCTCCGAACTATCCTCCAATAGTATCGACCCCGCCGCTACCCACAAGACGACATCAGCGGACCCTTCTTCGTCCAAGCCCGAGATCGAATACGACGATTTTGGTTTGCCCATAAGAAAGGCGCGGCCGAGGACCCCGCTACCTCCTGTGAGCGACGATGGTTCCGAGGACGGGGATGAGTTTAAGGACGCTGTTTCCAAGTCCGCGAGTAAGGAGAACATCGTGCTGACAGGGAACGGGGAAAACGAGGCGGTGAAAGCGCCCGAGACTGATTCTAGGAAGGATATCACATCACAATCGCCGGTCGTTGCGCTGGAAAATGCAGCTACTGTTGAGATTGACAAGGCGGTGGAGGGAGGGAACGAGAGCAGCGTGCAGAGAGAGGTTGCAAAGCAAGACGAGGAACACCATATGAAGGCTCCTGAAACAGCAAATGAAAACACCCCACCTCGTGAGCCTGAGAAGGAAAAGGAGAAGGAACAGGATATTCCCATTTCCAAGGGCGAAGACAATACGTTACCCTCAGCACTACCAGAATCCTCCAACAGTCAGAAACGCAGGAGTAATTTCGCGAATGGCGCAGTCTCCGAATTTTCGCACCAGCAACTAGCACCTCAGACCTCCAAAGACGACGACGCCCTCGATCTGAATGATGATGGCGGATGGCAAACTATGCCCGCGTACGCCCGTTACGACATGTACGATGACGACAACAAGCTTGTTGCGAAAGAAAATGCAGAAGAGCTCGAGGACATGAGCGGATATGGCAATGTTGGAGGCGCTGCAAAAGGCTACACGAGGGTCATCATGGATGATGATGTCGAGTCCGTGACTAGCATGGACGACAACACAGCATACTTGTTCAAAGAGAAGGGAAACACCTTGCTTGAAGATGATGACGAGGCTGCCCGCGACCCTCTTTCGCAAATGCAGACCACGAAGAGCATCCTCACAGAAGGCCAACGTGTGGCATATGTTGGCATAGTTCGGCTGGGGCTGGCAGAGATGAAGAAAAACTTCGATGAACTAGAACGGAACAAGAATACCAAGAAGATATTCGACGTGGTTCAAGAAGCGAACCAGATGTGGGCGCAGAAGATGATGGTCCGGCTATACTCTCACATGGACATCAACGAAACAGAACAAATCATGATCGAACAACTTTCAGAGCACGGCGTGATACCTGCCGACTTGACCCCAACATTGATGCAGAATGCTCGGGTAAAAAATCCCGTTGAGGAAGAAGACAATTCTGTCAAAGAGTCAGACTCAAGGAAATCCGGCACATCATCGCCTCGTCCCGATTCAGCCACCGAGAAAAAGAAGTCATCCTCAAGCCTAAGTGTACAAAGTCCAGAGACTCCCGCGCCTCCGCCCTACGAAGCTGCACCTCCATCTTATGAGGATGGTCATGTCGAAGACCTACAAGAAGAAACATTACCTACCCAGTTATCTGACACCGAAAACGTAGATATTGACCTTCGGTGGACGATCCTTTGCGACCTCTTTCTGGTTCTCATTGCCGACACTGTGTACGACGCCCGATCCAGACAGCTTCTTGAGCAAGTGGGGAAATATCTAAGCGTAGATTGGCTTGAAATCAGCCGGTTTGAAAAACGGGTGACCGAAGCATTAGAAATGCAGGAGGAGGCCAACAAAGAGAACTGGAATGAGGAGGAACATATGGAGGATCGAAGGAAGAAGGCGTTGAAAAAGAGACTTGCATACATGGGTATTGCCACTGTGGGTGGAACTCTTGTCATTGGATTGTCTGCGGGTCTCCTTGCGCCACTGATTGCTGGCGGCCTGGTGGCAGGATTTGCCAGTATTGGTGCAGCATTGCCCACCGCTGCTGCTGCTGCTATTGCTGGTGCAGGTGGTATTGCGACTATCACAACGACTTCTGCGGTCAGTGGTGGTATCATAGCCGTGAGAGCTGCAAATAGACGAACCGGAGCAGTCAAAACGTTTGAGTATCGCCCTCTTCATAACAACAAACGAGCAAATCTCATCATCACTTTGGCTGGCTGGATGAACGGTACCTTGGATGACGTCCGATTGCCTTACAGTACCATAGACCCTGTCATGGGCGATATCTATTCCGTCCTCTGGGAGCCCGAGGTCCTTCGAAGTATGGGTGATACCATCAACATCCTGGCTACAGAGGTAGGTGATGATAAGAGAGACTGCCGCAAAGACCACAAACTAACATTTTCAAGGCTCTCACTCAAGGTTTACAACAAGTGCTTGCCAGCACCATTCTTACAGCACTCATGGGTGCCCTGCAGGTTCCCCTTATTCTATCTAAACTCTCGTATCTCATAGATAATCCCTGGTCCGTCTCGCAAGATCGAGGTGACATGGCTGGCCTCATTCTCGCAGATTCCCTGATGGCTCGCAATCTAGGAACCCGTCCCATTACTTTGGTCGGTTTCTCGCTCGGGTCAAGGGTCATATTCTCATGTCTCAAAGAGCTCTCCAAACGGGGTGCGGTTGGCTTGGTCCAGAATGTTTATATGTTTGGCACCCCTCTCGTCGCAAAGAAGGACGAGTTCATCAAGGCCAAATCCATTGTTCCAGGTCGCTTCGTCAACGGATATGCAACAAACGACTGGATCCTAGGTGAGTTATACCAAATCATTAAAATTTCGCTGTATAACACCGCATACAGGCTATCTGTTTCGAGCAACCAGCGGCGGCATCATGCGTGTAGCTGGTCTTGCTCCTGTCGAAGTTCCAGGCATTGAGAACTACAATGTCACCGAGCTAGTACCTGGCCACATGGCTTACCGTACCGCAATGCCCAAGCTTCTTCGCGAAGTGGGTTGGCTCGTGGAAAGCGACGAGTTCGCTGAAATCGAAGATCCTGACCCTGAAAACCATGAAAAGAGACAGCGTGAGCTGATCAACGAAATCGAAGAGGCTCGAAAAGAGTTGGAGAAGAAGCCAGAAAAGAAAGGAGCGTTCAGTTTTTGGCGCAAGAAAAAGGCTCAGAAGAAGGAGTGGGAGGTCTACGATGAAAAGAGTCAGGGAACTTCGCAAACTGAAAACGGGAACGATCCTACGAAAAACCCAGAGAATCCTGTTCTCTTCGACATTGACGCCATCAGAGATGAAATCAATGCCATGAGCTACGATAACCCGGAACCCATCGAAATCAAAGAGATTAAAAGCACCCTCCCGCCCATGAAAATCGACATCTCCCAGGCAAGCCCAAACCCCTTTGACGACCTCCGCAAAACGAAAAGCTACAATGACAGCCTCCCCATAGCATCGACAGCCGGCCATGGCGGCAGCGCAGGCAATCTATCGACATACTCCGCCGCCACCACATCAAATCCGAACAAAAAACAGAGCTTTGAAGAGTATGACGAGTACGACGAAGGCGATATTTCTATGACATTCGACTCCTCCTTCAAAGAACCCCCTTCCGCCTCCGCGAAATCTCCTCTCCCGAATTCTTCGTATGAATCCCCAATTCCGTCGAAGGACAATTGGGACTCTTCACCTGCGCCACAGACATCGTGGAAAGATGAAGAGTTGTCGCCGAACCAGCGTCCACCGCTTCGCTCGGCGACGACGGAACCTATGGCCCCATCGTCTTCATCGAATGCAAACGCGAATGCGGGGTTCGGATACAACGCTTGGGCAGATGAGTTCGACGATGATGAGTTTGGCAAGGAAAAAGAGATGAAGATGACTTTTATGTAGACAGATTTTCCTTCCTGGGGATATACTATGGTATAGTGGGGCTGGGTTTGGGACAAACGATACGTTACGGCCTTGCAATAGCTCAGTTGGATACTGAGAACGGAGAACGGAGAGAAGTAAGAATGGTGGTGGGTGTGTCAATTGACAGGTTGGTCATTGAATGAGTGTGGTTAATCCTTCCTATCTCTTGGAGTTTATTCTTTCTTTTCTTTGGGAAACATGTTAGGGAGTTCTTCTCCTATCCAACCTTTCTCTGTGTCTTGTTTTTGCATCGTAGCGTTGCATGGGTTGATTGCTTGCTTGTAGAAAGGAAACCTTGTCCTTGTGGACCCTTTATGGCTATTGGCATTCTTGCCTTGTCCGTTTATTCCCTTTCTTTTTTGGGGGGTTCCGGGTTGTTCTATCTCCTTCGTTGACTGTCGAAGTTTTCTTTTTTGGGTGCCGAATGTTTGTTGAGCTGAGTCATGGATTATGAGTGTATGTATGGCTGCCGGGGGATGAATCGATGTCTTGAGGAAGGTATACATCAATTATCAAACCGAACTACAATCATTGCGAAACCATTGACCAATTGATATGTGAAAATGAAAAAAAAATCAAACAAGGATTGATTTGGTGTCTAGATTGCAAGGGTTGGGAAGGTGAGTTATAAACGATAGCATGTGTTAATCACGTACCGTGTAGAGCATGTGTGATTACTTTTCTCTCTCCTACCTTGACTAATGTGCAGACATGATCTTGTTAGGACAGAATTTAAATTATGAGGTTGAAACGATAGAGATGGTCTGCAGTTCAAACTTCAAATCAATCGGACTGGAATGCAAAGATAGTGAGCTATCTGGATCACAAGATATAGTGAGGAAGGGATGGTCGCTTAGGTGGTGTATTCTGACCAATGTATAGATTATATCGATCTTATAGAATTCGATAGTTTCTATGATCAGGGACTTTCTCCCTCGTACGGTACATTAATGTGTGCTTAAGGATGACGGAAGCGACATAATGAAGGCGATTATGGTTTATATTAACAGTATTCGATGACTCTTAACTCACACGTCTCACCACTCACTCTCGGATCAGCATCAATACTAAATTATGTTGATGACACGGCGCGAAAGAAGGCTTCACAATGACAAAAGCGCCTTGGTTCCGCCAACTTGGTTCTCCCTATCTTACTTTTCTCGGGACTTCCGTGACTGAGAAACTACGGATTGCTTGTCACTCCGGTTTCGGACCCAGAACCAGCTGGGCTGCTGTAGGTTACCGTATTTGCCCGTGACAATCTCCTGCAAATTCCTAATGTTGACAGATGTGTTGAAATAGCTAGAAGCTAGTATGATCGGTGAGTTAAAAAGCACATTCTCACTGTCTTGACCAGGGCTATTGACTAGTACTGCATACGTTGAATCCTTGCATTCATAGTGTCTGGTGGACGCAAAGATCAGCACACTGTCGTTGTCCTGACGATTGAAGCCAGACCAGGGATCTCGAAGCTGGCATGTGGGTCTCACATCCTTATCTTCTGTTGGTTTAACCGGATTTGACGAGAAAAAGACAAGTCTGCCATGTACAGTACTTTTTGTGCATTTCGGGGTTCAAGGAGATCCAATCACACACACCCCCCCCCCCATGTTGAGTTTCGAAGCAGGTACGTCTCTTCACGTGGGCATCAGGGATTTGACCGGTTTCCGCGTATACACATCGCCTGCATGGAATCCTTGTCTGTCTGCCATGACCTATAGGAATGTCTTCCCAGTGGTGGTGCAGGAGGATGCTCAAGGGTGAAACACCCGTCTGGAAATGGGAGAAAGAGCACCGTAAAAGATCCTCACCGCCCCCGTCCTTCCGATTACCCTGTATCTGAATAAAATACGGGGATAATCAGTGGAATTATTGTTCATCGGGTAAGACACACACCGTTTTGTCGACAACTGTGCCTCCGCAATGATCATCCAGCGACGCAAAAGCGCCAATACGACGTTTCATCTTACAATGCGATTCTTGTTTTGGTTTTCAATATACGCAATGGAGAACGTATGATTGCTTCGTTGTAATGAGATTAGTCCTCATTTCCACATTCCCGTGTAGGCGGTAAGTATCCTTGATAGGTCTTAATGAACATTGGTGGCCCGTGATGCCATCAGTTGTGTTGTTTTCCCGATCCCAGACTCACAGACAGAAGATGATCGATGATCTGTTTCCGGGCGGCCTCCCTGCCGCTTCCTATGCATACCGGCTGCCCCAGCCCCCTACTCACTTCTCTCGCTTTGCATGTACACCAATCGTCAGAAGAATGCCGCCCTTGTCGTTGGAGTCATACAATGCAATAGGAACGGAAAAGAGCGCAACGGCATTTCCGATGTCTTTTGACTAACCTTTTGTAGACTCCCGCATGGTGTGGCTGCCTATGGATCTGATGTGCGCGGGTTCGGGACGACCCATCCGTCTCGGTTCGCCTGAACTCGCGAAACCACGTTATAGACCTGGAGGTGGAACAAGTAGAAGCGCGTCTTTTTTGTTGAAAAGGATTGCATACTTGGCGTGCGCTTATTTCGATGTTGGAAATATGCTGCATAAACGGATGCGGGCCAGGTGCCGCCGTTATGTACATCTTCATCGTACTCGGATGACTTTACGTATTCTTTGGTCTTATTTTCTAGAGCCAGACTATTCACTTTCCATCGAGTACAGAAGTGCTTCGCAGATTTGCAGGTAGTTACTTCGTTGATTCTAGTTGAGTTTTATAGACTGTTCGACTGTCGAAATGACAGAGATGCTGGTAAAGCCGCGAAACCTCAAATACGCCGCAGAATCGGAAATTGAACATCAGGGTGTAGAAATCATCTCCAAACTCCTGCCGATCAAGTTGCCCGCTAGTGGAAGGGAAGTTCGGCACAGCTGCTCACTGCCAACAGTTTGCTAGGGGCGGTTTTACCGTGACTCAAAGCCTAGGAATCAAATGTCAGAGCTATCATAGAGCCAATTTATGAAGGAGAAGTCGAATCCGTACCTCTTGCGAAATCACACGGTCCTCCCTCAAATCCAGTAGCTCGACCTGAAAACAAAGTATAGCCGTCGTTGCTCTATCTTGAGGTTTAGAAGGTCCCATTGACAAAGCTACAATGCTCATCAAAGAAGTTTGCACGCACCTCCATCAGGTTTCGGAATTGGATAGGTAGGCGGAGGTTTTTCTAGTGTCATGATCAATCGATGTCTTTAATTGATTGATACAAGATGTCTTAATACTGAGTTGACTGAGATTGTAACCCGCAGAAGTGATTCTTTCTTGCGAATTTCACTATAGAGAAGGGAATGTTGAGGGACTTTATAATCGCGGACGGGGAAGTACTCAATGGTGGCTTTGCAGGACAACAGGGGGACGCATCGAGCGGGTGCTCGCAGTTAAGCGTCTATCTGGGGCACTTCACCGCCGTTTTTTTGGGGGTGGTGGCAATTACGCTGTATGCTGCTTGTAGTCTGCAGGCCCCGGTCGAAGGATATGGTAAAAGGACAAAGACGGATAGGCGTGGCTGATCCGAGTCTAGATAGTCGAATATGATTAATCACGGGGCTCATCGTACTCATTTGGGCTTTAATAGAGATAATAATTCCAGGAGGGTCGAGATCGATTGATAGCTCATGGGCCCGCGCGTGCGTGGGAGTAACTTCTTGCTCCACCCCAAGCGCGTCTGTGTTGACCTGATATGTTGAATCCATACGACGGGTTATATGAGTGCCTGATATGCTGTATTGAAGCTCAGTTGAAGAATGTTTCTTCGAGCTCTGAGTGGTGAGAAGCTGAATACATTTGGGGACACTGGAACATTAATGTTAGCATGAAATGAACATTAATGTTAGCATGAAATGAACAATGAATGCTCTCAAATGCAGATGTTCAGGGTGGGGAAAGCACGTGACTGCAACTGGAACGTGATTTGAATGAACCTTGAACCTTGTAATCTCGGATCTTTCAAGAATGTTTACCAATAAAATGATAGGGCTACTCCAAAGATTAAACTCTAATCAAACTTCCTCCTCATACGTTGAATGGTATTACTGATCCAGGCCTCACGACAGCATTTTGATCGGAATAAAAGACGATGACAGTCAAAACCGCCCAAATCCTGTGCAGACGCGATGAAAAAGTTAGTTTGTTCTATCATTCGACTAGAGATTCTTACCCAGCAAGCAACACAGAAACCTTCCCCATCATTTCACCAAGGAAAGCAGCCGGTATTGCGCACACCACACTTGCAAAGAAGGCTGCAACTATTCGATCTGGACCAGGTTTCGACTGTAGCTTGTACAATAGCCCAACAGATCCAGCAAGGCAGCTAGCAGAAATCAACGTTGTTAGGGTAGCGACAAGAACATCAAGCGTCCGGCCTTCTAATTGAGCGCTCCAGACTGGTTGTTCGCGGCCAAGCAGCCATGCGTACGATTTTTCAAGTGGCCATAGAACGTAGTGGTAGAATGGAACAGTCAGTTTGTCCAGTATAACTCGACGCACTGGGTCGCTTGGGCTTCCGCGGATCGTCGAGAAATCAGGTGAAATTGGGTCTCCAATCTTACCATAGAACGTGTTTGGCTCAGCGTTTGGTGCGCATATGTTCGTGCCGATTTTGCTCATGTATCGTCTTACTACTTTATCCATGAAATATGAATCCGGAACATCAGCTTCGGCTGCCTGAGAGTCATCTGCTCTGTTCTCGCCTACATTTTGTGAGCAACAAGTACAACTTGATACGGCAAATAGGATACAAAACTCACTGTCCCATTTTAAAGCTTGGTCGATATCGAGGATTAGACTGTTGAACCTCTCTACAGTACTTTCGCCCGTGTGCTGTACTCTTCCAGAGGTGACATCGTTCTGCAAGTCGTCCCAAGCACGTTCTACACCTTTAACTAAGTGTATAACAAACGTTGCTCTGATATAACGTAGTCTTTGGAAACGAGGGCGTACGTCGACTTCTGCAAAGTTTGCACTCGTGAAGTTATCGGTAATAAACTGTCGATTGTTGATTAATGATATCAGAAGGTCCGCACGGGATGGTGTTCCAGATCCTAAGCGATTTTCTGAGATCAGGTCAGAGCGAGTGCGGGGTGGCATCTCGGGGTTGCCCATGTCTGCAGTAGCTTCTGTCGTTGGAATATGAAATCTGGGCGTAAGGAAGCGATCGTTGTTGGCTTTTACGCGGCATGTTACATGGCTTGATATGAATGATATTTATATGTTTCGACTGGTAGATGTTCTCTCTCAGACTGAGGGAGGGTGGTCAGCCTACATAAAAGATGGAGATGAGTGACGTGCTATGTCGGTCAGTCTTGGTATGTTATCTCAAAATAAGTTGCGCTTGGCTCTATTTTCCTCTTGATGCCGTAGATGGATGACATTGGTAGAGCAGAGCAAGACGCCACGATGAAGAGGACGATCGCATAAGGTGTGGTCATTCAATCCGGTGAGAGTATTTCTATTTAGAGTCGACAACGTAGCAATGCATAGTGACGTTGAAAACGGCACAGCCTTGCCTTGGGGCCATGATGGCATCGTTTGTACAGAGTGTGGCGGCACAAGAAGCGACGCATATGGCCGATATATCGATATTTTCGTGCTGTAATCACAAAATATACCCAGTCATTATAAAATGGATAAAAGCGCGTTAGATGAGAACATTTCAGTGGAAGAGAAGAAAGGGACAGATTTGAGTCATCTGCTTTGGTCAGTGTTGGGTGGAAATAGCAGTCTTAGTGAAAAGAAACCGACGATCGGATGTAGCGCCACGCCTCGCTATCCTAGTTTCACCTGGAATGGTGATCCTGGTTTTTGTCGATTGTCGATATCAGTAATGAGAGAAAAGCATGGGTGATCCAATAACGGAGAGTGGATGCTCAGGACAACCGAAAAGCAGGAAAGCGTATACAATCGAGAGCTCATGATACAGAACCAACACGGAAATAAGCGCCCTGTGCCACCATTGACCAGAAACTGGTGCTGCCGAAGACAAATTCTTTCCGTTTTCACGGACGCGATAGCCTTGCTGCATCTAAATCCGGTTTTGTGCATGGCGATTGTTTGGGTATCGAGAGAAAGGCAATTGGGGGCTGCCTCAACAATCGGGTTCTTTGAGGTGAAATGAACAAGATCTTCAAAGATATGTTCCGGATGACCTCTTCCATAGCCTATCGAAAGACGAGTGTGTTCTTTCGTTGGCTAAAGATAGCCAGGTTTTGCTCAGTGGATAGGTTGTCGTCTAGCTCAGAATGCCTGATGAAACTGATAGAAGATTGGCTGCCTTATTGCCTTGCAGGTGTGACCCAGCATCAATCTATCTTCTTACCTGCTTAAGCGCCCACGGTTATTTGATCTTCCTATGCATTTGACCCCCGGTCCCTTCAGTTCCAGTCAGTGAACACGTTTTCCGGTCATGATCCTAAGGAATGATCGCATGTGCTGGGATATCTGGGGTATGAACTGTTGTCACTGCTGTTTTGGAGTCCGACGTTGACATCTCTAACTGTGTCCGTGGTGGGTAGCTCATTACTCTCGCTAGAAGAATGAGGGGTCTCCATCATGATGCATCGTCCCTTCCTTCCCCTCGACACCTCACTATCTTAGCTTTTACGCTGACTCCTACCATATCAGAAGATATACGAAGCATCGCCGGTATGTATTTCATGTGCTCCAGCTTGAACGGAAGCAGAGCCAACGTCTGTCGATTTGCAATAAAAGTTCAGGAGAAGACAACCTCCTAAGTTGTCTTGGCTGTCACACCTGCCTATCCTGCTCCAGTAGCAAACACAGAACAATGCAGCCCCATAGCAAGGCTGTGCCGCTGCTTCACATGGTCGTGTATGAAGAGTTTGGCGTTCGAGACAGATTCGCTATCCTCACTGGATGATATTGGTAGGCTTGATGCCAGAAGTTCTCCTTTTTACATCTTCCGACCCGCGAACTGGGTCAAAAGAAGCTGGTGGTGTACTGACTCTCCATTTGATAGCGTCTGACCGCGTTAGCCTCCTCATATGCAAATAGACGCGCTGCTGCTCAGATACGACCACTAACAATAGGAAATTATGCATGGTGTACGGTCGATGATCACCTTGCCTACAATCGCTACAACTCTGGTCCAATCCACGCTAGAGTCTTCGGCGGGCCGGTATGTGTTCGGGAAGCGCATTGGTTTGTCTGGCCGTCAATTTGGCCATTGTGGTATATAAGACGTCCATGGAACCTTTATTATCTTAATCAAGATCCCGTACCCAGAATTCATTGGAAGTTCGTTCAATTATATTTTCACTCCAGATGGCTGAACACGCAAGCTCCACCGACAGCAACATGGGGGAGAATCCACCTCGCTTACCGGTACACCCCGAACCCGATTCCTTAGATCTGTTCGATTGTTTCTCAAAACACGAGGAATATTTCAAAGAAGCGAGGAACAGGCCTGAGATTGACATTCGTCCCCGTCACTTTTTGGAACGTAACAAGAGGGCGAAGTTCTACGAGTCGAAAGTAAGATCTCGATGGCGCGCCGTGGAAATTTTGGAGATTGAATTGAAGGCCACGAGAGGACCTAGATCCAGAGAACAAATTACGGCGGAGTGGGAGATAGCCATGGTCGAGTTGGATAAGTCTTTACACAAGTATAGTCAGTCTAGACTGCTCATTCCCACCTAGTGCTTCTACTTACAACACTTATGACAGGCGAAATCAACGAGCAAGATACCAAGGCTGCACGAGCACGTCCGGTCCATAAATTCATTATGGATCACATGTTTCGATGGTTTTCGGATGTCGATTCTCGAGCTCCAAATGCTGAACAGTGGGAATCATTTGGGGAGGCTGGCGGCCCCGTTCCCAGATCCTATTTTGCCCTGCGTGCGCCCGAAAATAATGGTTTGCACAGGCTGATTCTTCGTTTTCTGGCAGCAGCCGAAGAATGTTGCAACAACTTACAATACAGACATAATAAAAGCTCGGGCAACAACGCTAAGAAACAGCGGAAGAGACTGACTGGCAGAACACTCGAACTCATCACCAACATCCTAGAATGCATGATAGCCGCTGGCTGCTTCGCTGGAGCCGTCATTGCGTTGTACTATATCCGGTCAACACGGATAAAACTCATCGTTGTGCCCTTTATGAGTCTCGTGTGCGCCGTTCCTGTATCATTCCTGACGAAGCAGTCGCAAGGGCTGTTCACGCTCATGGCTGGGTGAGCATTGATGCTTTTAGCATTTGACAAAAGCTAACAAATGTGTAATCTCTAGGATTTGGGCTGTTTTAGTGGTCATCGTTTTCCTGCAAGCCGGAAACCCGTCGTCCGTCGTTTGAAAATCGAAAGAGTTTATTGGCATCTTTTCTCTTTGGACTCACAGCAGTTAACTGTAGGATTTCAAGTTTCAATTCACTTATACTCTGGAAAGATTTTGTGTCCCGTGATTTTTGCAAGAGATGTCGGTATCGGATCGATCGCAGGTGCCTCTTCCGATCAGGCTCATATGAATGAGTATCTCCGGCACATACAGATAACACAAAGGAAAGTCGCGATAGTACCTTTACTTGCCTGTCATCCTATCCCATTAATTGTCAACACATAGAAGCGTTCATAACCTCGCACTATCGTGTATTAGTATTCTGGGGGTAGCGACATGATTTTGATGAAGTTCCACAGCGGCTGGCCGCTGAGCCAGGATCCCGGTCTGCCGTCTGAGAGATTGCACAAAACATGCACAACTCTGCAGCATAACTACCACCACCTCATCAGCGATCAGACAGGATTCTTCAATCCTGCCGCTGGTGAAGAACCGGTCAAGCAGTAAGCCCCTAGATCAAGGCATGGAGCGCCCTTGCTGCAATTCGTGGACGCGAGCCGTATCTGTAGTATAAATACTCCTCATTTCTCGAGCAAATTTCTCTAACAGATGGATACAGAGTGATATTACAGCAGACACAGTCAATCAGCCCACGTGGTCGCGATGTTCGAGTCAAAAGATCCCAATGATACGGAATATGTATATGGAGGAGGTATGTATCGCAGCACAGCGGTTTGACTCCACGTTGGAGTGAGGTTAATGAAGCCCAGTCAGACCACGTGCTACGAAGGAAGCAAAAGATGCGGAAGAGAATAGTCCCGCGGCTACAGCTACGAATCCACATACACCGCCTAACAGCGGCAAGACAGCCCCCACCCGCCTTTCGTCTCTTCTAAAGACCCTCTGGTTTCCAAATCGCCGCAAAGAGGGGCTCAAGAAGAATGGAGTTGAGAGTGATATCAGCTCAGTTGTTAGCCCATCTACTTAAGATCGTCACTCTTTCGTCACTCCGATTACTGTTATCACATCTTTTGGCAAGACCCTAGTAACTTTGGTGCTACTTAACGGGTGTTCATGAGGCTGTTCGAGCACTGGACAAGAATTTACCATGTCTACTTATTCTCAATCGGCGTTGGATCAAAATAACAGAAGATGTCACCTAAGTCAGATCGAACCGTCAAGAAATTTAGTGGGTCCAGATTAGACAAAGAAACAATTGTATCAACATTACCGCACGTAAGATTCACGGGCTTGTTGAGAGCATCATGGACAGAACTGAATTCACCTCGTGCGAGCTCTATACACTCACACTAAGATAGCCACGGCGAAAAACCGCGGTGACGTGAAAATAACCTTCAGATCGACGACATAATAAGTAATTAGAGTAAGTCAACATTCAGGCGAGGCAATCGCCAGGCTGCTAATCACAGCCCCATAAGCATAAAGCTGACTCCCTCCGAGCACAATTGATACTCCTCGATCAGAGCTAAGTCCATCCCTAGAAGATAAAAGCGTATCCATACATTGTATCAACATAGGTATACGAGTCGGTCTCACGAATAACGAACGGTCAGCAAAGGTCATAGCTAACTAAATTGGGAAAGGATCAAAATCCTTCAATAACCAGCTTACGGCCTCTTGTTCACATTTTTAAAAATCACAAATACGTCAAATTTGCCCAGAAACCGGGAGGTTGATGAGTGAGGCGGACAGTCCCTTGGTATTTGGTCTCTGCATCGAATTGGTATGGCACCGGCAACGTAACTACACTAACCAGCCCATGCATAGGACGAGTCTTTCTCTGGCCGGTTCTACCAGCGTTCCTGGTATTCAATGGTAGCGACAAAAATCTCGCTTGCCCGGCGAAGGATGCTAATCTCCCGCAGCCACAAAATATGGAGGATTTGGATCTACTGAATCCAATATTGGACCTGAAAATTCTCTGTGTAACGGTGAGCAGCCAAAAGTTTGACCATGGAGCATCAAAAAAGGGAAACCGCCCAGTCATGCTCTCTTCATTTACCGCTAAGATCACCGACTGACTCGTATGTACAGCGCATACGAACGAAAGGGGAGGGGAATGATCGCTTGATCGACTTCACCGGCCTACAACCTTGAGTATGTTTAATGATCGACTGCCTGAATTGCGAGAGCGGACAATGAAAGCAGATGCATACCCTAGTACCGAACGCCCCGAGCTTGGTGCATTGTTCAACCTACAATCTTTTTTTTTTTTTTTTTCGAAAGAAATATGCAAGGTTGGGCAGCAAAGCTTTCCTCCTTCTTCTATTACCACCGTTATCGCTGTTGAAGAGCCATAATCACCGTTCAATATGCGGTCAGAAGTCCTTGCTTTTGCGTAATAACGCTCGTCACCATTCTGTGTGGCTTCGATAGGGCAGCGTGCACAGGCACAAGCGCGTGGGCCGGACAAAGCAAAACCACGTATCCTTGGATCAATATGATGAAACTAAACACGGGATGGTTTAACAAAACCTCGTATCCTGAGGTAACAGCACAATCGAAGACCCAAGCTGTACTGGTGGATGGGTCAGGTTCGCTGGTTGCGTTTCCAAAGCTCATGTCAATAATCCACCTGGCGCTCTTCAGCCTTCGGACCCAAGCTCAATGTCGCATAATGTCCAAAGCGGTGATCGAAATGAACCGCCTAGTTGCGGTGTCATCAATCACGCCGTTTCCACTCTCACCGTTTGCTTCTTCCTCATCCAATGGATCATATACGGCACTATTCCCCGTGTCAGGGATGATTCACCCATGCACGCTTGATAGGTAACCGGCATGGAATAGGAAGACTGAGATACTATGGTCTGGGCGTCCGGTCATCAAATACAACACATGACGCCAACATACACGCGACTAGCATACATGCAGGTGCACGCGTAGGCATTGGCGGCTGTCTTATCATTTTCACCCTACTCGTGGTACCCTACTGCCTCCAATTTCTATGCGCAGGGTTCACGTCTGACAGCAAAAGAAAAAAGGCAACTGGCCATGAATCATGGACCACCCACCCGAGCCTTTTCCATTCTCTCATACGAATCCATCCGCATCATACATATACGAACGCATACATGAACATGAAACACTTTAGTCATAGTTCTCCACTCGTTCCGGTCAAACCAGCATGCTTTTGAACGATTGACACGCACGCACGACAATCTCGCGTCTACCTCTGCACGTCCTGACTGATTACATTCCATTCCAAAGTGCATGTATGCACGCTACCCACATCGTCGCCTAAAAGATGATGTAGAAGTTGTGATGTACGGGAAATTGCACTGATACGAGCACGCGTCTTATCCTCGTTTAAGACCGAAGTCAAAGCGGTTGCTTCCATGACACGGCCTACTTCGGAATGATTGCAGACGATCATTAGGCTCCCATTTGTTTCTAGTTAAATAAGGCACTCCGACATTGCATCGAAGGAGCTAAGTCACATGAGTCGCAGACTACACCGAGATCTACCTCCTTCACGCTTGACCGCGTGCTGGTGACGGTGGACTGTCAATCTCAGGGACGCGATGCTCTCCATTACTCCCTAGCCCTGAATGTTGCGAAAGGAGAGGAGACACGATAGGATACTGAAAAGGTATAGAGCCACCTGCACCTGAGCCATCCATCTCAAAGATCTGTGAAGACGTCCCATGGAGCTCATAAGTAGGAGGCTTTGGCGCGTCTCCCACTACTTCCGTTTTTCCTTCGTGAGTGGACGGTCCACCTTGGCTATCCATGATCGTGGCTGGAGTTGCAACTGACAATCTTTTGCGGAGGTATATCATGGCGATAGCGGATACAACCATGGCACCGAGCACACCGAATATGCTTCCCAAGACAATGGTGTGCTTCTTGGGCTTTCCCTTGTGGTCTTCGTTGGGAAGAATTGTCGGAGGGGAGGCAACCTCAGATGTCGAATCCGCCCGTATGGTAGAACTAATGATCGAGCTCCAGCTCGAATTCGCCTGTATGGTAGAGCTGATGATCGAGCTGCGGCTCGAATCCGTCTGTGTGGTAGAACTGGTGATCGAGCTCCGGCTCGAGCCCGACTGCGGCCAGATTGTGCGTGTAACAACTATTACTTTAGTCGAAGTCAGAGGAACTTCCGGGATCGGAGTCCTGATGATGAAACTGGTGATTATATCTGTGGTCGACGGTATCGTAGTGGCCGCGGTAATAGTGATTGCAGCATTTAGGATGGGGACCACCATGATTTGAATTAGTCTAGGGCTGGTTTTTTGACGTTTGCATATTACAGCTGCAGGAGAGTCCTTACAGTGGAGAGTAGGACGTGGATTCATTGCGCTTCTGAGGCTTGAATGTGGGGGGATGATTTGTACATATGTAGGTTTAAGAGAAGTGGAAAGTCTCAGAGCAGGAAAGAATGGAAAGCAGATACAAACATCCCCTATAACGAGGGGTTGAGGAGGCTGTGCTGTGACTGTACGCATAGTACGAAGATCTGTCCAACTGATTCTTGTTATACGTTGCTAGAGTCGAATGCTCGCAATGAAGCATCTCGCACATTTCACAAGGTGCATTTATCGCTAGCCAAGCAGCGTATGGGAGTGGCTACCACTAAGTTCTTGGTTTTGGGATAGGGTACACAGGGTGGGAGTGATGGTAATTACTTCAGAAATTAAAATAGCTCAGAGCAAAGAATGACGAAATTATTTATCTTCCAGCAGATCGTCAGAGGAATGTTTCGAACGGTCTAGTTCGGAGAACAAGTCGTAGTAAACAGATTGTTGCAATCTCCTTCATTGATGACGTCTATGATAGACATTGCTTATACAATGTGCTTTCCAATAAATCGAGGTACGGCGAGAAACATTACAGACAGTAGCCCTCATAGTTGCTCAGATATGGCTAACTTGTTGGTCAGAACTCAGTTGAATCTCGATCTTACATCAGGTTATCCGCCATCATGATTAATCCCAGGTGAAAAACATCAAAAAATTATGGAAATGGGCGAGGGCCCGGAATTTCTAGCCGTGCTCATGGTGCATTTCGAAATAATTCGAAATAACATGAGCAACCTTATCGATGGCTGTGAACGCAATGAAGAAAGTGAGCATCATTGACACCAAGGTTCTTGCACAAAGAAACAAATTTACTGTACCTGCTGATGGAATAGTTACTGTTTCTGATACATATAAGGCCAGACTTCGGAAGACACTATAAACGATCCTAGACACCCACAAACGTAGGCAAAGCCCGAGTCCAGTGTGGCAAAGAGATCAAGGCAGAATAGGAGTTTGAGACATACTTATTAGATTCAAAATGGACTTGTAATCGCGAATCCGGGTACACTTAGCGAAGTACAGGATTCAGTCCTCAAGTCCAGCGACACAGCGACAGCAATATCGATATACACCGACAGCTTTATGAGTGTCGCGAGGCACTATTGGACATGGAAATAATCATGGTGTCTAATCTCATCGATCAAGTGTCTATGATATGGGGGGGAAAAAACCAAAAAAAAACAACTCGAAGGCTGATATCGAGATGAAATCTGGGCGGACTAGAATTACAACTTTCTAGAAAAGAAGATTATCGGGGTCTGCTTCGCCCAGGCGACCCTTGGCATGGAGGTGGCAGGGCTGGCAGAAGAAGAGGATAGTTTTGAGGGATAGAGTAGAATTGTCAACGGTCATTAAGTGGAGAGGATTCAGTTGTCATTGTATAGGAAGCAATAAGGAAGCATTAGCACAGATTGGCGCTATCCGCTGCTGACAGCATCACCACTCATCGAGCTGAACAGCGTGGATATCCATAAGGGCTACAGCCGATGATAGTAATTGGTTCATAGTGTCGAGTCTCAAACGAAGACATTTTACAAACATGCTCAATGCTTTTTATGATCACCGAGCGACTCATTTGTGCCAACTCTGGATGCCACTCAGCACAATATCGACACCCGAGCCGACCTGTCATCTTGGGCACAAAGGCTGTCAGCCAGGCATGGTTCGAACCTGATCCATGTGACAATCTATCATACCGTGCGTTGGTCCGATAACCGAAGACCTTCGTCCCTGCATTGTAGCCCGAAACACGACATAGAAGGACTTTAGTTGAGAACAAGCACAAACATTGAATATAGAGAAGCTATCTCCAAACCACTTGATATCATAAGAAAAGGCTTTTTCCCCAGAATACACCAGTATCCCTATGCCCTTAAAGTGACAAACGCCGGCAATGCAAATATCCTCACTCTTCGAATGAAGCAGTGTTTTACTTCATCATGAGGTCCAGACCCCTCTTTATACGCTGCGCCTTTGTCTTCAGCAGCTGCACGCTGTGAAGGAAAAGCTCGTCACTATCCCACTGTCCCGTACTTTCCACCTTGAAGATGAAGTGATCCCTAACTCGTCCCAACCTGACCTTGTCCTTGAATTCGGGATGTCGGAGAGCTTCCCGGCTCACTGTGTCGCCCATGGGGTTTGCCACGACGGCCTTGGGCTCACCCTCTTTTTCGCTGAGCTCGCCGTACTTTTTGGCATCTTCTGAGGTGACTGAGTCGAGTCTGATGACGCCGGGAGGGAAACAGCCTTGAAACTTTTTGGCGTCGGCGCCGACGATGGGTTTCAAGATGTCGATGGTAGGCAACAAGCGGTATGAAGCTGTCGCGACAGGAGAAAATTTGGCGTGATCTTGGCCAATGCCCTTGTGTGCGTGCATCTTCATGATGACTTCCTGGCCCGGCCGCATCTTCGCGATCAGAATGTCGGGGTACACGGAGCGCACGGGGTCGTCTTCGGGCCACTCCGTCTGCTTGCCGTGTTTCTGCCACACCAGATCCCGCGCGTAGACGCTGTGGTTGACATACAACTCGTTCGGATCCGACACGCCTTTAGCCGCCTTCTCCAGCCCGCCCTCTTTCCACTCGCATTTCACCTGCAGGTGCAAGATGACGCAGTTTTGATCGGTCAGTTCGGTGGCAGTTGGCTCACCTTCGACCGGTTTGGTGTACCAAGCCATGTTGTGCAGGCTCAAGCGGTCGGCGGTGAGTGGGATTAGTCCGAGGCGATGCGCGAAGACTTCGTCTTGGATGACGGATGTGTTTTGGTAGATGAAAACATCTTCAATGGCGAGGGTCGGCACTTCGGAGATCATGATGCGTCGGAAAGCATTGGCGAGGGAGGCGTCTATGCCGATGAGCGAGAAGACTTGGTCAATTCGTCTGCTGCTGGGTATCGCATGTTTTTGTGCTTTCATAAGGCTTGCAGTGTCGTCCGTGTGAAATTGGACTTTGAAATTCTGGGTGGGGTTGTTTAGCAATTACTCGTATAGAACACTGCGACCAGCATCATAAAAGACTTATTTTTTACCTTTTTAAATTTCTCCAAGTCATATGCATGGTTTTCTCCCGGCCAATGTCCTGGAAAGTCGGTAGAGGTCTGATCGCTGACGATTTCGGGCAGGATTTGCAGCCTCTGAGTTGGTATTAATATAATTTTTCCCAAGAAAAACGCGATCGCATACGTACGTTCCGCCTCTCAAGCTCTTCTGCAGTTGGTTCAGGCATCGTGTGGGGCGTTGGTGATTGAATCGATGGTTCTGGTGGGGAGCTTTGCTGGTCCTGGTGGATGGAACTTTTTCAAAGTGCCAAGACTTTTGCTCGGGCCACCGCGGCCAATCGGGAGCTGCGTATATCGTCGACCTCATCACACAGAAAGAGCTTCCACCCCAACGCCACCACGATTCTCTCCACTCCGCCAATCCATTGACGCTGCAAACGGGCATCGACGGTTTCTCGATACCAACATGCCCGTCTCTCTTGCGCGTCTAGCCGGCCACACGGCGAAACGGCTGTGCCTGACGCCCCGACCGAACCTTGCTCAAGCCCCACGAATCCGACCTATTGCCCGATGCCTATCTACCTCGACACCCCGCCGTTATGCCGATGTCGAGGACAACCAGCGGATGCGTATTATTCCTACCGATGAGACGTTTGGCCGCCCCGTGGATCCCGAGGATCTCGAGGATCAGAACACGAACACCGCCATCGACGAGGGGGGGGATAGCATTGAGAACCGGAAGATTCGCCACTATACAGTTAACTTCGGTCCCCAGCATCCTGCAGCCCACGGCGTGTTGCGCTTGATTCTTGAACTTAACGGAGAGGAGGTTGTGCGCGCTGATCCTCACGTTGGACTGCTCCACCGCGGGACGGAGAAGCTGATCGAATATCGCACATATCTCCAGGCTCTGCCTTACTTTGACCGTCTTGACTACTGTTCTATGATGACCAATGAGCAAGTCTATTCCTTGGCCGTAGAGAAGCTGTTGAATATCGAGATCCCATTAAGAGCAAAGTATATCAGGACTTTGTTCGGTGAGATTACCCGTATCAAGAACCACATTATGTCTGTCACTACCCACGCCATGGACGTTGGTGCTTTGACGCCTTTCCTCTGGGCTTTCGAGGAACGTGAGAAGCTTATGGTTAGTTCTCTATTGTTCAATGCGCTATGATCGCATGCTAATTGCATTAGGAATTCTACGAACGTGTTTCTGGTGCCCGTTTACATGCCGCCTACGTACGCCCAGGTGGCGTGTCTCAAGATCTCCCTCATGGCCTTATGGACGACATTTACCAGTGGGCTACTCAGTTTGGTGATCGTATCGATGAAACAGAGGAAATGTTGACGGACAACCGCATCTGGATCAGTCGTACCAAGGGTGTTGGTGTTGTCTCCGCAGCTGATGCCATTAATTACTCCTTCTCTGGCCCTATGCTTCGAGGCTCTGGTGTGCCGTGGGATGTCCGCAAGTCCCAGCCCTACGACGCCTACGATCTGGTAGACTTCGATGTTCCCGTCGGCACCAACGGAGACTGCTACGATCGTTACCTCTGCCGTATGGAAGAGTTCCGTCAATCTCTTCGCATTATCCACCAGTGTCTCAACCAGATGCCAGCTGGTCCCGTCAAGGTCGAGGACTACAAGATTGCCCCTCCTCCTCGCGCTGCCATGAAGGAGAACATGGAGGCTCTTATTCACCACTTCTTGCTGTTCAGCAAGGGTTACAGTGTCCCACCAGGCGAGACCTATACCGCCATTGAGGCCCCTAAGGGCGAGATGGGTGTTTTTCTAGTTTCCGATGGTAGCGAGAGACCGTACCGATGCAAGATTAGAGCTCCTGGATTTGCACACTTGGCCTGCATCGACCAAGTGTCGAGAGGTCACTTGTTGGCCGACGTTGTCGCCATTATTGGAACTATGGATCTTGTGTTCGGTGAGGTTGACAGATAGTGCTTTTGAAAATATGTTTTGGTTTGGTGTAAGAGATGCTTTTAGGGGGGTTGCGACGATGTGGGTGGAAGAAGCGAAAGACCTGAATAGGCACACCCGGCAGGATAAAGCTGGCGATGCTGTACATACTGTACCCTACACCATTTCTTTGGAAGTTAAATCTACGTTTACATGTTCGTTTGTTCTCTGACTGTCGGCTTCACCTACTATGGTCACTTAAAGCTAGACAAGCTATTCTTGGTTTTGTCAGGGCTTTGATCAGGGACTATGCAATGGAGTTAGTGTTGTTCCTATCACGACCTCGGATACTTTGCATGCTGATTCACGCTGCGCTTATAGGACAGACAGAAGACTCCCTCGGCAGCCACCCGCAGGGTGCCAACAGTCAAATATTCTCACACCACTTGCATGGTAACACGTCGGAAACCCCCCGATTACAAACTTGAATTATCCCCCCCAATATGGCAGCATTTATGAGGCTAGCAGGGATCCTCCGACTTGTACCCAAACCTTAGTTTCGCGGTACCACATACGTCATGGAGAGGAGGGAGGGGCAACGACAATGCCCGATCTTGCTCAGGTACCATCTACTTCTTGATTCTTAAATTCAACACTTGTCTTGATTGTGACCTCAAACAACCTTTACTTCTCATCTTCATCAACACTCATCACAGAACTGTAAGTGCGTTATCAAGTTTTGAGGGGAAGAGCATGTTTCAAGTCAGAAAGACGAGCACTTCGAAAATTCAAACTAGAACAAGCTTTTGTGATGATGCTCGAGAGAAGCTTAGCATAGATGCTTGAGCAGCCTTCATCGTACTTGATATACTTTCACTAACAGTATCTCTTAGCTATACTTTACACATCCCACTCAAAATGGCATCCAACGACTATTACAACCAAAGCAGCGGTGGCGGTGGAGGAGGAGACTACGGCCGCAATGAACGCCGAGGAGACGGTCGTGAAGAGTACGGAAGAGACAGCAGAGATGACCGATACGGATCGGGAGGAAACAGTGGTGAATACAACAACCGTCCCTCGGGTGGGGGCGGAGGATACGGAGAGGAACGACGACACGGCGGAAACGAGTATAATGATCGTCCATCCGGCGGTTACGGAGGGGGCAACACGGGCAGCTCTGGGTATGGTGATGGAGGACGTCAGCATGGTGGAGGAGGCGGATATGACGAACGCCCCTCGGGTGGTTATGGAGGGAACAGTGGGGGATATGGCGACGGACAAAGCAATTACGAACAGCATCCAAGTGGTGGACAAGGGGGCTATGGTAACTCAGGCGGAGGACAGCACTCTTCATCGTACGGTAACAATGAGTACAACGACCGTCCATCTGGCGGGTACGGAGGACAGAGTGGAGGAAACTACAGCGGCTCAGGAGCTCAACAACACTCTTCTACCCACGGCGGAAGCGGTGGCGGCAGCTATAACGACTCATCAGACGAGTACTCGGAAGCCGCCCAGCACGCTTCATCTCACGCCGGCGATTCCGGCGACTCCAGCCTCTTCAGTACTGCGCTGGGTCTTCTCTCCGGCAGCAAGAGCAAGCTCCAAAACGAAGATGTCGACGAGGACGACGCCGTAAAGCAGCATCAGAAATTCTACGGCAACGGAAACAACCAGGAGCAGGCTAGTTCGCAGAACGTGGGCTCTGCTGCTGCCATGCAAGCTATGAAGATGTTCACGGGTGGTAAGGAAGAAGATGGGAAAGGTGGGCAGAACAAGTTTATTGGTTTGGCTATGGCGCAGGCTGCGCAGCTGTTTGATCAGCAGAGTAGCCAGGGGAAGACGGTTAGTAGTCCCTCTTCCTTTTTTCCAATCTTGGTTGGGATCCTGACACGTTTTTTACTGACTGTGTGATTGTGCAGCACCCGCAAGCTACCAAGCAAGACGCCGTTGCTCAGGCTGCTCAGATGGCGCTGAAACTTTACTTGAAGGGTGGCAGTGGAGGTGGGCATACTGGAAGCGGTGGGGCTGGAGGCTTGTTGAACTTGGCTAGTAAATTCCTAAAGTGAGACGTTGAAATACGTGGGAGATAGGTTATCAGTAATGAAGAATGAATGAATTGAAATTGTAATTGGAAATATTTGGGTTGGTGATTCACCAACTATCTGTCCGCACTTGAAGTCATATAGTTCTCCTGCCCGGAGAAGTAGAAAGTAAATGTTAAGGAAAAAGGAAAAAGGCAAAGGGGGGAAAGTGTGACTACGGACCCTGCCCACAGAGATACCTGTTCCGTATGGTGTGCATACATAAGAAAGCAGACAAGAAAGAAGTAGAAAGCTCCTGTAGAGTACCGACCCAGAACCCTTATGTATTCCACATCAACTGTCCTGCACGAAATCAAAGGGAGTATTGGGGCTTTCATGAGCATTCATCCTATCCCGAAATCTTTGGAAGATTTGTACTGCGGTGTTCGTTTCAAACCCAACGTGTTCTAGAGCAGCTACGCTCTCACAAGACTCAGGGAATTCAACCCAATCGCTTGCGCTTTCACCACGTGATCGGAAGGATATAGATGCAGAAGGAGATGATGAATATGTGGCGGATGCACTACTCGGTGGGGGCGAGAGAAAGCTGGAAGACACTTTCCTTTTGCCGGCGGTTTGGGATGGGCGGATGTAGTTCTCATCTTGGAGGCATTTGACTTTTTCGGTGGTCAGTTCGATGTCCGACATGGTGGTGAACTTTGTAGAGGTCAAATAACTGCTTTGATCTTGTCAGGAGGACTAAGGGTTGTACTAGGAGTGTGGGCGATCGGGTTGTTTTATGTCTCGATGAATATTTTTTTAGCCAACCATCAGCGACGAGTTCTGGAGTTTTGGGCTGTTAGTTGTTGGGTATTGAAAGTCAATCGATGACGAGTTGAATTAAAGTCTGTGATTTCCATTCACCGATATCTGGATTTGTGATTCACCAACTATCTGTCCGCAGTTGAAATGATCATATAGTTTTCTTCCCCCTGGAGAAAAAAAAATGTAAAAGATAAGGAAATCGAATGAAATGGATGACAAAATCCTTGTCCACCCATGGCTTCCGAGAACCCTCGATAAAGCCGCATTCAGAACCAAACACCCCGATAAATAACCCATTGTACTCCAGTCTGGCGTTCCCTACGAAAGAAGTAGTGTACCACTTAAGGCCCCGTTTATCGCTTTCTTGCATTCTCCTGAATTTCCTGGGTCCCTTAGTAGTAATCCGTTTAGAGTGATTAAACACCACGATTCTCGGAAGCTAGTTAGGCCGGTAGTGGCTGGCGGCAAGTACGGCACAGTTTCCTTGGGCCTCCGCCTTCAGTGTTCGTTCTCTCATTGGCCTCCTGGTCTTCCGTGTTGCTCTCATCAGTATCCTCGTCCTCATTCCCATGTCCCGTAACACTTGTTTCCTGGGCTGAGTCACTGTTCTGCTCGACTTCTCGCTTTCTTTTACTGGTTGGCGGAAACTCCCAACTTTTCTTCTGATTGTCCCAGATCCACTCCTCGCGGCTCTTGAAGTTGACGAGTGGTTCATCACCGAGATCTTCATACAGTTCTTCGTTCCAGTATGGTATGACGCTGGTGATCCTATCTCTAGGAATCGACTTGACGAAAAGCCATTCAGAATTGTGATCCTTGCTTCTAGTCACCGGGACTTTGAGGTCAGTATACATGAGCTCTGTCACTGAGATTATGATTTCTGCATTCAGAGCGTTGAACACTTCCAACGACATTGTTTGTGAACGGTCGATGTTCCTAAGAGCAGCTTTGTTTATCCACATAGGGATTTTGACATCTCGGATGCGGACTTTCTCTTCTTTGAATGTATCGGGAAACGGACGTGGGCGCTTGATTGTGGTAACAACCCATTCCCTGAGTTTTCCGTGTAAAGTAATCGGGGTAAAATCAGTGGTGTCGATGACAGCGACTGCAATACGCGAGTGAATCGTTGTCGTGTTTTCCTCCTTCTTCTTCGCGAACGCCTCTGCATGCTCTTGCGCATCTCAGTCAATTTTTATCCATCATACTTATTATTCGTGTGATTACTTACTCTTTTCTGCGAAGGTTGGGATGTATGCAGTTGCATTCTTTCTCCTAAAATGGTCGGTAACCCATTTGATTCTCCTCGGTGTGAGCTCGCTTTCGAGATTGAAGTTTGGGCATATTCCTTGGAATGCAGAGCTTTGGTCCAAGACCGACTGAGGTTGATCCCGACGCCATATGTTGTTCTCTTCGGTCATGAACCTAGACGGCGTTCCTGAACGTTCATGGAACACCCTATATAGGGTGATTGGTCGGCATGAGGAGAAGTTTCTCACTAGCTCTGAGCCTTGGTCGAATGTGCTGAACGGAGTTAGTTTTCATGAATAAGCTGAGTGTTGTTCGAGCAGCATACAAAGTTAGCGGACCTTCAAGCCTGTCTTCCGCGACCTGGTGTTTCTCTACCACTATAGGCGGCGGTGCCGGTTGTCGTGCCTCTTCAATCATCTTGTTGATGGTAGCATCAGAGGGGATCTGCTTCGGTTTCTTTACCCAAGTGTTCGTCTCCGTGTCACCGAATCGTTTGATGATATCCGTGAACAGCTGTGAGTTTGTCTCATCGAGCATGCCTTTGAACATTGCTGTCAACTCTTTCAAGTCTATTCCGGGTTCGGGTATGGCCTTGAATATCTGCTTCACTGGGAGTGGGCTTACTGAAATTCCACATTAGTGTCATAAAAGACCATTCAAGGACATATGCTCACTCTCTAGTAGGCTGTGGGTCTCAGCCCTTGATTGATCATTGGGGGTAGCCGTTTCCTCGCTCATGATCGGCATATCTCAACACCCCAACTCGTCACCTGGTGTACTCTGGTATGTTGTGGGGGTCGGTGGAAAGACTTGGGTTGAAGTTGGGGGTATGTAGTAGAATTAAACTTCAAAGAAAAGTAGATGAATAAGCAAAGTCTCAATTGTCTCTCCAGTCGAGGGTGGAGGAGGAGACTGTAGTGGTGGTGTAGGAGGAAGAGAGCCTCACAGGCCCCAGGTCGTCCTTATATAGACCCATCTCCACCACCTCCTCCTTTACTTACCATCCCATTCGCCACCTAGTCCAAATAACTGAGAGAGACAGACAACTGCTTTCAGCTGACTCAACCCCATACAAGTGAAATCACAATTTTGACAAGCTCCCACGTAGACACGATGAAGTAAGATGAAAAGTGAGTATTTCGGATACTATACTTCCGTAGTAGACTATGTATCATCCCCTTTTTCATGGAAATACGGTATATCAGTATCGATTTCACTATTACAAAAGTGTTGTGGAGGGGACTTATTATTCGGGTGAGAGGAGGTCGGATGTGGCGGCTTTTTTCTTGCGGAAGGTACAATCAAAGAGGCCGATTCACATCAGATAGAACGGGAGGGTAAGATGGAAGGTGCGATGTTGGATGTCACATTCTCGTCCTAGGCTATGCACTGTGTTGTTGTGCTACGAAAACTGTGAATATCGGCATCTATTCTTTATTTTCTTCGTGAAATTCATAGGGGGAAGTCTTTGCATGGGTAATGGGAGGTTAGATGTGCGAACTATTTGGAGTGGGAATATTATAAGTACACATGCAAGACGAGAAAGGAAGGTTGGGGGTGTGTGTGTTGTGGGATGTCTGAGTCTTGAGGTCATGTATCGTGCCGTGTACTATGGAAAACAGGATACCAAAGGATTTTCTGTTAAGACGACACATGTCGTAGAAGGAAAGAGCATCTACAAATGTTCGGACAACAGATTGTTTAATCAATCATGGCGGCTGTGTCCGGAATGAGCTGTTAAAACAAGATATGAGAACCAGAATATATCTGGTTGTCATTGGGGACATGTCAAAGGTACTTTGTAGATATCGTTTGTGTAGCGTCATAACTCGAGATCATCTCAAAAGCGAACATGACTCGATAAAGTTTTCCGAGGACACATATAGCCAAGACATGAAGAAAGTGCACTGTTAAATTCCGGCTGTTCTCATCACATCTTGTGGGCTACTGCGTATCACGGAGAGCAGGATTCGAGGCGAGGTTTCGCTATGGATAGAGACATGGGAAAAGCGATAGTAGTGATGGTAGCTAAGTTGCTTGGGCTATGGAGGCAAGACCATATCGTCGTATCAAGTGCAATATATCTTCCGGAGCGTAGGTAGAGACAGATTGGACATTTTGAAAGGCGAGAGGATGTGCAGATGGTATGAATGGATAGTGTATTTGGACTGATAGTCCTTTTTCTACATAAAAATGCATTGATGGATAGATATGTCATGGCTGAGCTCCGTGCTCGCGATACCCGCCCGTAGGCATGGGTTGATAAGGGGAATAATACTCTTGAAACAAAAGATGGAAAAACACAGGAGAGGAAAAGAAAGATATCTGTAGAGGCAAAGGAAAAGAAAGGAAGGAAGGAAAGACTTGCCAGAGCCATTGATCCTGGCCCAGAAGACTGGTGCCGCATTATAATAACAATATGTGGTTCTTTGGTCCCTGCTCGTCCGTCTGTGCGTAACATTTTCATGGGTGAGAAGCCGTCCATCATCCGCGTAATGAGCAGAGAGGTCAACCCGAAACATAGGAAAAGAGAAGAAGCAACAAAAAAGAACGCCTGGTATCCATGCCCATGATATCTCGAGTCCGAGGAATTTGCCCAATGCCCGTATTCCATTACCTATGATTATGACGACAAACGAAACGGAAAAAGGAAAAGGGAATGACGATCGCTGTTCGCTGTGCCGCTAAAAAAATGAAAGGATGATTAGAAAAAAGAAAGGTGGGAGAGCGTGAGGCGATGCGACGAGGGTTTCAGGAGCGGCAGGCCTTATTCCATGGCGCTGAACAAGCATACTTGCCTGGCCATTTGGCTAGCCAGCAGCAGCTCTCGGAAGACTTGATCGATTCCGCCAGCGAAATGGATCGTGTAGCTCTCGACTTTGCCTTTTCTCTTCTTCTCGCCCCAGACTAGTTTGATGGGGCGTGCGTCGTCCATTCGCTTCCCGCTGCGGCTCCCTGGTTTTGCCCAGTCCCGCTGGAATTCGTACAGGGTCTCGGGCATGACATCATCGTGCGAATCTCCCGACTTCCAGACGAAGCGGCGTCCACCATAGGTAAAGCGGCGTGGGGACCAGGGGATCTTGTTCTGGCGATCCGGGTACTCCTTGATGGGGGTGGAGAAGGGGCCTCGAAGGTGGATGCAGCGGGATTTGTAGGCGGCTTTTGCGTCGCGCTGCTTGTCGATGCCGGAGAAAAGAATGGAGATGGCGGGTTGAGGGTATTCGGCCACGCGGAAGAAGTCGGCGGCGGTGACTTGGTTGTCGCCTCGGTGGGAAGCTTCGAGCTGGTAGAGGGAGTACTTATCCGAGTATTCACGTGCCGTGTAGATGAATTTGCGGCAGGCCGAAGTGGACCATTCACGTGTGCGGTGCAGGTGGTATGTGATGGGAGGGGCGGCGGGGTCGAGCATGGAGTAGTATGGGATATCCGGTGACGGCAACTCCTCCCACATGGGTGTGTATGTCATGGGGGAATAGCCGGCCTGCCAAGTGAGGAGGTTGTGCACCTGGAAAAGCGAAGCATTAGACCATGTTTGCAGAAAATCAGAGCAACGGAAGAATTTGGATACGCACCGAAGATAAACTTCCGCTCTCCTCGTCCAGGTCGCCGTTGGCGCCCCAGTGGTTGGGGGCGGGGATGAAGACACACTCGTTCCCCTCCTCATCCTCTCTCCCACTTCCACTCTCCAGGTGCGGGCGTAGGGCGCGCTGGCGCTCTCTGTGGATGGTGATTTGGGTGCGAATGACACGGCGGTGTTCGTCGGAATTCTCGTCGGGCGAGATGCTGGCGAGCGAGTGTTCGATTTCGAGTTCGAGGGCGCGGGCGGCGGTTTCATGCTCCATATATGAGGTGTCGTAGAGCTGTGCGTGCTCCGACTCGAAAGCCGAGCTGCGCAGGAGCTCGAGCTGTTCGCGGGACGTAATGCCCATGGTATCCATGGCGGAGTTTGTTGCTCAAGGCGGGAGGAGTGGGTGGGGAAAGGGGAAAGAAAATAGGTTGGGGGAGAGGGTGTATGAGAGAGGAAGAGGGTGAGGAAGGTGGGTGGGTGGGCGGATGATGATGATGGAAGCGTGGCAGGCGCTCGCTCGTACGGCGGTATGTATGGTAAGCAGCAGCAGCAGGCAGGCGGGCAGGCAGGCAAAGAGGGCAGCGGGCGTCGCTTACATGTACATGTACATGAATGTGTTGCAGCAGCAGCAGCAGCAGCAGCAGCAGCAGCAAAGTTCAGGTCAAGCAAAGCAAAGCAACGCAACGCAAGTGGAGAGCATGGGACGATGGATGGGGCGGCGCTAGGAGGGCTAGGAAGGGAGATCATGGGTGGGGATGTATGGCACCAGTATAGTGTGCTGCATACCTGGTGGCATGTATGAGGGTGGCCGTGGGCAGCTGAGGGGGGAGCTTGAGCGTGAAGGAACCGGCGGTGGCGCGCGCGCCGCTCAGCTTGCACCCCTGGAGCTTGCAGGGGCACGAGTAGGGGCCATTACCCTCGCTCATCTCATATCAGCCGGTTTGAGGTTTGGCAATGCGGCCGTCGCTGGTGGTGCCGTGGTAGCTGGGCTGTCTGGCTGTCTGCTGTGTCGTGTCGTGTCGTGTCGTGCCGCGCCCGCAGTCTGGTCTGGCGCAGGAACCTCTCCGCCGGCTCGTAGGGCAGATTGATTCATACATGCCTTCAGACATGCATACATACATTGGACCTAGCGACTCGAATCTATTGATTTATATTGCCATTCGGCCCATCTCGCTGGCTCTGCGGTCCATGTAGCGGGTGCGCAGATGATTGCTAATTTTTTTTGCTCTTCTTTTCTTGTTGTTGTTGTTGTTGTTGTTGTTGTTGTTGTCCACAAAACATCAAACACGCGACTCAACTTTGAGAGGGAGATTGAGTTGAAAAAAAAGCAAGGACCACTGTCTCGCACGCGTGTAAAACACACAGCCAGCCAGGATGCGAGTGCCAAGTGTGCCAGAGTGTAGCGTCGACCATCTGGCCTGCAATCCCCCGTCTGTCTGTCTGTGTGTCTGTCTGTCTGTGTGTCTGTCTGTCTGTTTGGACTGTGTACATGTACGCTGGTTGGTATACCAAACAAGTACATACAGTGCTGACTACATGTATGTATGCACCTCAGTCTGATATTTCCCTCGGACTCCGAACCCACACACACAACAGCGTGGTTCCCCATTTTGCCGATTAGCTTCTTCTCGAAGGCCCACCGAAGCCTTCCCAACCGGGCCAGGCCAGGCCAGGGTCCCCGACTGCACAGTTGCCCACTGCTCTACTCTACTCTACTCTTCTCTGCTGACTCTGCTGTGCTGTCGTGCCCTGAGGCTTTTCGGTGTGTGTCGTGCTTTCTGCCCCGCCCCGTTGACTGACATGTCTCATCATCGCCTTCATTATTATAATTATTGCTATCATCATCCACAGCGCAACCGCTTGTCAGTGAGCTTTGCCAGTCTCCATGTATCATCATCCCAATAGCCTTTCCAACAAACCTAATCGACTACCCCGCCATCACTCTCACTCACTCACTCACTCACTCACACACCCAGTTGGCAGAGCCAGGCCAGCCAGCAAACTAACGCACGTAATCCCCCCCATTCCATGCCATCAATGCCATCCATCCATCCATCCATTCTCCGTCGTGGGTTACTCTCCGCGTCCTGCCCAACCCAGCGGGTGGTGTGGTTCGGTGCCCGTCTCCAGCCCCCCATAGGCCACACCAGCCCAGCGGCCAACCGGGTCGACCGCAGAGCCCTGGAGACAGACAGACGGCCCCAGCCGATGGCCAGGTCCAGCGCCAGCCCTAGCCGTCCGTTGGGTCCATCGCCAGTCTCGTCTTTCCATCGTCTCTCTACATCATACACATACACTCATGTACCTTCGCCTACCGATGTACCTGCAGCCCCCGTCGCATGATACACACGCTCCCTTGGACCAATGTCTGCTTGCTTGCTGCTCCCTCTTGTGGTGCATTGCTTTGCTTTTGCATCTACGGAATTCATGCCTCTTTCGGCCTCCAGCACAGGTATATTGAATGCGCAATGCCGTGCCTGGGGGGGTTCGGCCGCCTGCCCGTGACGCCAAAGCTTACTTGCTTGCTTGCTTGCGCAATGCCATCCCAAACCCAATTTGATAAATCAAAGACACCCATGTCAACAATCTTGCATCTCCTCCATCCACACCACAATCCAAGCCCGAGTCTAGCGCTCACTGCTTCATCACCTACCGCTCTTGCTTTCTGCTTGGCCCACCCTCCATCTCGCCCCGTTCTATCCGCAACCGCCCGTGACAATCGCGATCGAGGATGGCATGGACATGCATGCATGCATGCATACAAGCATCATCTCAGGCAACCACTCCGACCTATTGCCCCGGACGCTGCATTTGGAATATCTCGGGGGGATCAACTCACCACTGACGTAAATGGTGCCTAGTCGGTTACTTTCTTTCCTCCCCGTTGGAACATGTCCAACAAGTACAGTCACCCGTTGTACATGTAAGAACTAAGCGTCTGCACAGAACGGTGTGTTGCTGGTCGTCATTTGCTTACCTTGCTCCTCCTTTCTCCCCTCTACTCTCTACTCTTCTGCTTACATTCTCACCCCATGACGTACCCAATGAGCCCCCCCGGCCATTTATTTCTCCATTCTGAGAAACGGTGACAACGGCAAAGCCATGGCGCGGGGCCAAGGGGAGAGCACGATTCACACCTCTCTAATCCCCAAACCTAAACCATACCACCGGAGTCTCCCCCACCATCCACCATGTCTTGCCTACTGGAGAAATCAAGCTAGTTGGCTGGTCTTACGATAGTCCTCCCTCGCTTTCTCTAACAGACCATCCAACCTCTCTTCTCGCCTATGCAAGCAAGCATCGTCTTGCCATTCATCCAATCTATCGTTTCAGAAACAAACGGTTGAAATGATGAACAAACGGGCAGGAAAGCGCTATTGTTTTGCGGAAGTGCCGCCGGTTGTGGGGGTTGATTGATTTGAAAGACCGCGGAATGCCTGCTTTCTGTCCTTTCCTAAACACACACACACACACTTTCTCTCTTTCTCTCTCATTCCATCATGGGAGACGTTGGGAAACCAAGCATGTCTCGGTGGATGTGATGGCACATGATCTGTCTTGCGAGTGCCGCTTACAGTACCCGTTCCCAAGTGCTCAAGTATGCCGGTACCATGCTAATTCCTGTTTCCCCTCTGGACATGTACCGTGAGCATGTGAGTAAAGTGACGATGCACCGCTAACAGCAAGCAGGAAGTCAAAAGACAGGCAGATGTACAAAGCAGTAATGTAGGCGCACGCAGGATCCTCATTTTCTATTCAAGTGTCTGTATGCATATCCAAATGCACAGGCTGCCATATGTTGCTCCCGTGAACGTCCATCAGAGTTCCATCGATACGCTGGTTTCCAATCTGCCTTCTTTCAGGCCGTTTGCCAGCGCTCCTAGAGTCCCGAAACAACCTTCACATGTGATAGTGTTGATCATGTGCCACCCATCCCCCGCTGCACAATTCGCCGACCTGCGAGGCAGACTAGACGCGTCATCGAAAGAACGACACCCTTCTGCCCTCCTGCCTCTACATCCATCCACTCATATCGCACTCGTGTTACCGAGCCAAATATCAAATATGGGCAGTCAGATGGCAGTCCACAAACCCAAAAACCCAATAAACCACTTGGTATTCTCGCGATATCCTCATTGGGCCATGGCGTAGACGGAAGCTCGGTGTATCCGGATGTATAAAAAAATACACGCGCCGAGCAAAGCAACCCGATCCGGAACACATCCTTACGGGGCGTAAACGGGCAAAATCCGTACAGACTAGCATTCGATGTAACCGCTATCGCCATCAACATCGCCGTCTTCGCTTACACAAGCCATTGATGGCGGTGGCAGGGCTGGGCTACAGGGACGAATTAGTCCATGATCGGGCATGGGTCGGGCATGTCACCTACCACAAGGCGTCTACGGCCTGTACTACCTCCGTTTGGCGCTCCATGCACTCTCGGAGCATACCAAGCAAGCCCACAATCTTCTCCCCTCGTATCTCGAAGTCCTCGCAGTCGCAATAGATGAGATCCTGGAACGACGACATGGTCAGCCTTGTACAGCAATGCCGTGAATGCTTGTTCCTTACATCAACATGTGGTGGCTGAAGAGCCGAGTAGAGACGTTCCATGCTCTCGCTATGTTTGCAAACAGCGAGCAGCACATTTCCACATATCAGAGGGAGCGCTGGTACAGTAGGTTGTTCCGGAAGGACAGTTACGGGAGTACTCTGTTCACACTATTTGCAATCCAAGTCAGCAAATTGCACACGAGTCAAAGAGGAAGTATCCATCCCATCTCTTTCCTTCCAACATACCATAGTCTCCTCATCACCCACGTTCAACTTGACAGCAGCCTGGCGTATCCTCTCCCCAAGAGCCTCGAGTTCACTGATGATGCGGACGCCACGCTCCACATATCCCGAGAGCGACTTGGACGGCAGCGAGCGAGTCCGTTCCCTTACATAGCCGAACACCTCGAGGACGACAAAGACAAAGGAAGGTAGGAGGACAAGCAGAGCGCACAGCGTCGTACCTGCAGTCGCGGCGAAGCTATTGGCAGCCCGCATGAATGTCAGCGCGGGCTTGACGAAAGGCGCCCGACTCTCCCCGCACTCCAACACCCACTGCACCGCTATCCACACAACAACCGCTTTCAGTACCAGCAGCGTCACCGCGGTGAGCGCCATGATGAAGGAGATCAATCAATCAATCAATCGGGACAAAACGGGAATAGCGAGCGGAATCGGCGGGTGAGCCGAGCGAGAGGAAGGAAAGAAAACAAGGCTTGATGTGTGTGGTACGAGACAAGACCACACAGTTCTCTTCTGTGCGACCCGGGGCAAAGCAGGGGAAACGCAGGGAAAAGAAAGGGTTCTGTTCGTATATGGGCTGGAGGGGTAATTGGTTTGCTGGCTGGCTGGCTGGCTGGAGGCAATTGGCGGTGTGGCGGTTTGCTCCGCTGGCGGGCGGGACATCGGGTAGCTGCATTAGCTGGCAAGGGTTCCAATGCGTTTTTTTTACATCCAGATGTCTTCTTCCCTCTTTTGTGCCTTCCAAGAGCTTGCACGTGTCCGCGCAGGCAGCTGTTTAGGCCAGAAGGAGCGACGGGGGCAATATAACAATGGGTATCGTGGTGTGTCAGGAGGTTGGGTGGTGGGTTTACGATCCACCCTGCCAGCCACCTCCAGTTCACGCCATCCCGTTCCCCCCGCCGACCTGACTCGATGCTGCTGTGCGAACGCGGATCAGACATTGAAGAGATGGATAGCTTCAATCGGATCGCCATATGATTTTTGTTATATTATCTCGCGGGATGATTTGCAGCAAGGTGGAGTTCGGACGGACTCTCGCAATCTCCATCCGCAGCTAGCGGGTCGGTTACCAACACCATATACAGATGGATAGATGCATCAAGAGCAACAAGACTGAACTTGTCAATCTAGACCGACCCAGCAATATCTGCACGCGCGAAAAATCCAAAACCCCCTACGCCACTTTCAAGCTCGTTTTTCCGTCGCTGTCACCCGAAATCTAAACACGATCTGCGGTCGATGCCGTCAAAACAACCATTCGACATGCCCTAGGTTCCTCTCCATATCGCCCTCTTCACACACGCACTCACTCACTCCCCAACAGCAACCCACGCACTCAAAGGATCAGCCCAAATCTCCCACCTCTCAAACCTCCCCTCGTCATCAAACCCACTAAACCGATACCCAAACACTTCATCCCACCCCTCCCCACTCTTCTTGCTCTCAAACCGCCCCTTCCCAACCACATTCACCACTCCCTTGCCTTGAACACCTGCCACCACCGCATCGACATCGACTACGAATCCCTCGGGCCCCGGAAATGCATCCGCCGGTAGCTCCATGGAGAGCGTATTGTCGAGAAGCGCAAAGTACGACTCGCATGCTTCGAAGCCCGTGAAAGCGTGTCCCAGGAACGGTAGGCGTGGCGTTGCAAAGCTAGGGCCATGTTCGTGGATTGTAGGCGTCGAGGTGAAGAACTGGGCCAGTAGATCAGAGGGGGACGGTGGTGGGGAGAGAAGGGCGTTGCAGAAGCTGTGCGTTACATGGCGGAGCGTGGTTTCGCGCGTCTGTGGTCCCGAGGGAGACATTCTTTGTTGTCTTGGTGTTGTTTGTTGTTGGTTTCGATTGTGGAGATGGATGGGCTTGGTTGACAGGGGGGTTGTGGAGTTGTCTGTCTGACTGTCTGATGGGCCCTAGAGGTAAGGCTGGTTACGTGTAGTGCGGTGTAGTAATCGATTAGGGGAAGCAATGTCTGTTTTATATTGTGTGCAACTCGTTCAGTTTCTGGTATCGTGGGATATCAGCACCTTGGGAATACACGTCTTGGACTATACATATCATCATAGCTGTGTAATAGGTTTACACTGAATTGTGCTTGTATACATAGACTGTTTGCTCATTCTGCGGTATAGGGTCATAGGCTCTGGACTTACCGTGCGACCGTAAAGCGGTTTCCTTGGATCTGTGATTAGACTTAAGAGTACCACACGAATTGATAGCCATGCCCCAACATGCGATGATATCATGGGTAGCTCACACATGATTAGTAAGCGCTACATCAGTTCAAGGTGTTGCTGCATGCATTGCCATTGTGGATACCGATTTGATTCGAGGCCATGGCAACCAATGGTACAACGCGAGAATTCAGCAAGCTATTCATAAATGTGCGTTGTATATCCATGGTAGTCTTCATCTCAGTCATCTATCCTACAATCCTCTATCCTATATTCCTCATCCATATCACCAAACTCTTCAAGCCCCATCAGCCCCCCAAACCTCCTTCCACCTCCGACCGTCCAACTCCACAGGCCCATCCCACCTTCCAAATCTCGGTATTCCGGTCCCTTGCTCAGGTAAACAAAGCCACTCCCTCACACACCCGGGGATTTCACTTCTCGAGTGACTCACACACAGAAGAGCCTGTTCATCGCGCAGTCCATCGAGTACCACATTTCCTTGCCGGCTTATCTCACTGGGTATGGGCTGTAGACCAGCGTCTGTATAATGCAGTGTGATTTTCTGACCGTGGGAGAGAAAAAGCAGACATTTGTCGCGCACGATATCGTCCATGCCAGAGAAGGCTTCGTCGAGAATAACAATGGGAGCGTTTCGGATGATTGCACGGAGGAAAAGGAGTACGCGTTGGGCGGAGAAGGAGAGGTCGTTAAAGGTGGTGCTTGTCGCCCAATCCAATGTCTCGTTTTGATCTGATGGTGCACCTGACTTGCTCTCTTTACTGGTGTAGAGTGGATTCAGCTCAGCTTCGAACCATGATAGACACGCATCTACACGTTTTGAAGCGTCTCCTGCGAGTTTGGGCTTCGCAATCGGTGTATCGCCCCAAGCCGACTCTAGGGCTCGCCGCACCGATACGTATTTGGGGAACAGAGCGTGAACTTCTGGCGACGCATGGCCGATCCGCGACTGGATGTCGAAAATGGTGATGCCTGGCACGCCCGGTTCGGGGAGTCGTGAGCGCTGGAACAGCCTAACAGGTGCAGAGTAGGTCTGAGGGTGATCACTTGTGACGAGACTCAGCACTGTGGTCTTGCCAGATCCGTTGGCCCCGAAAATGCCCCAGCGCTCACCCTGACGGACGGTCCACCAGAACCCGGGTTTAGATATGCCATCAGGAGTGGTTTGCTCCCAGGCGCCGAGAACAGAGTTTGTACCGTATTGGATGTTGACGCCTTCCATCTCGACAACAGGGGGCCCAATCTTAGTGAGAGGTGCTTTATCGAACTTTTCGTACCCATCACGGTTGACTACGAGTGATTGTTCATCTGACTGTGTTGCAGAATTGGTACTTGTGTCGAAGTCTCCTCGCTCGTAAAGATGGCGCCCGACTTCTCTCAGCTCCACCAATTGAGGGTCTAGTTCATGCTCGTTTCCTTCTCTAGCAGTGAGAGATCTTTCAATATCAGCGTGTGCTTTCTGCAAGTATTCAAACACCTCTTCCTTTGGCCCCATGGTTTGTACTTTGCCGTCCTCGCCAGCATATACAACATGGGTAATCCACTCAGGAATCGCGTCCTGTGGCCTCAATGACAACACAACTCTCGGGGCGTTTGCCTCAGCCAATCTATGCAAGACTTTGGAAATGTGCTGCGTAACGAAAGGATCCAAACCAACTAAACCGCAAGGTCAGTCTCCATATCCATGGATATGCAAAGTCACGAACAAATTTCAATATAGAAAAGACATACTGAACGGTGCATCCAAGCACAGCACTTCGGGTTGCCCCAAGACTGCCTTCGCGATCCTCGCTCGCCGACTTTGTCCATTGCTCAACAAGCTGACCGGCTTCTCCATAAACCTCTCCAATTCCAAGTCCGCCAGCACCTTTCTCATGACCTCGGGCTCAATGCTCTTTTCCTTCAGCTCCGCCTCCCCAGGATTCAGTCCCACAATCCCCGTGAGATACTGCGCGAGCGAGAAGTCTGTTTCCTCAACCCGACTCTCATATCGCGCGGATAGATATGCACCGCCGAAGGCGCGGCGCTCGACATCGAAGCCAACATATTCAATTGCACGGGATGGAGAGCGGAGTTTCGGATTCTTAGATGCAATCGTCGGCGATAGAAGGTACGGGTAGGAGCGCGCGGTGGGTGGAAAGCAGAGAAATTGGCCGCGGAGGAGCTGCAGGAAGGTGGTGCGGATTGTAGAAGAGGGGCTCAGGATTGCCCAATTCTGCGAGGGGTGCGAAGTCGAGGGCAGGTTAAAGGTCAGATCTGGGAAGAGCGGTGGGTTGATTTTGGGAGAGGAATCGTTCGCGGTGGTTGTGTTGCTCGAGCTGGGGTGGGATCGGTAAAAGGTGCCATTTTGGATCTGGATAATGGGAGATGAGGTGGAAGATTGCAGGGCGCGGGTACGATACAATTGCGACGTTTTCGATGCTGTGAACAGCAGAGGTTGCGTTCTCCGCATGGCGAAGTTCAATGGCAAGCCTATTCCATGTTCCAATGGTAGAATAATGGTGTGCAATTGGCGGAGATCACGTCAATGGGATTTAATTTCTGCGTCCAAAGACGTGACAGTCCGCCGTACTGGAAACGCGTCCGATGCCGCGATCGATAAGCTCCGAATCCAAGAGTGACGTTTTTGACGTTCGGCGGACGTTGAGCCGAGGTCCTGGGGAAAACTTGCCTCCATTGAACGTAGCGACCTGCGAGAGCTCTCTTTCTATCTTCCCATCTTCTTTGACCACAGCCTCCGTATAGTGAACACTCTGTGCCAACCCCTCCAAAAATATACAAAGACAAGAGAGTTCCAAACTTTGAAGTAACAGCAGATATGATATCCTCCCTCCAACCCAACAGACCAAAAGTTGTACGTTATCTACCCACATACAAGAACAGCCCTCCTCATGCTTCTACTGTAGAACTAACCCGAGGAAAATAGTCACCACAGCATCCTCATACCCAGCATCCAACTCCTCAATACCAACAACAAACCCGCGCAACTTCTACCTCCTCACACACATCTCAGCAACCGCATCCACAACAGTCGCATCATCAACCGCATCCGTATAACCAAGTCTCCGCCATGCCTCCCAACCCTGCACCCATGAATTCACACAACATACAGCTATATAACGCAGCGACGCGGCATCCAGTGTTCTTCACGCCGACGTTATTCAAACCGCCGTTCCCGCTGCCGCATGTCGCGGCTGGCCAGACGATGTGGGGCAGGAGCAGTCCTGTTGCTAGCGGCTATGTGTTAGAGAGAGGCGTATTGGGAATAAACAGTAGCGGTGCGGGTGGGGGAAGGACGAAGCTGTGATGAGCATCTGTGGGTTGCGTTAAGAGGAAATGATGGGATGTGGGCCTTATGTTTCTAGTAATGTTCTTTAGAGTTGAGAGTTTTTGTCTATTTGGGTGTTTAGTCTTAATTGAGCATTGTTGGGGTCACTGGCTAGGTTTGATATTTGCTTAGAAGGGAAGGAACTCAGATTCAATAAACTGTTGCGACCGTCTGCTATCACGTCTAGCTGGGCATGAGGAACGAATAGCACGAATATAGGCTCATAAGTCACGACGTTCCCCCAATATTTCGGGCGGTTTGGCTCGTTCTCAGTAGTTGCGATACATCACAAGTGCAAGTGACAGGTATGAACGGGAAAGATATGACGAAATGTATTGAACTGGGGTATATTGGATAAACTGTTCACTTTCATGGATCGAGTGGCCGCATCGCCGTTTATAAGCCGGCCCACTCAATGGAGAATGCTCGGACAGGCGCAATATTCGTAACGCCATCCACTTGTCCATCATCGTCAGCTTGCTCGGTGCCTTTCTCCTCACCTCCAATCAGGTAGGCCTTCTTCACGCGGTTGGCCAATCTTCCGCCGCCAATGACGTCGAGAAGTTCAAACTCCTCATCCCAGTCCATTCCCGTTGCCAAGTAATGGCTGTGAAAACGAAGGGTATCACCTGGGTAGACAGAGTAATGGCAACCAAAACGAAGACCAGGCATGGTGAAGTATCCGCGGGAATGGAGGTAGCGAAAAAGCGGATAGCTTTTGGGAACATTCGGAAGGATATGCTCCGCATCACCAGGAGATTTCAGAGGCGGATAAGAGGTGGTGGGTGTGACATAGGTAGGATCGAGCTTCTTCGCCGAAGCCCGTGCGCTCGCCGGTTCAACCGGTGCAGAGTCGAACAGTGTCTCGTCCGCTCTATCCGACTTGTCATCCGAAACTGTAGAGGCGCTCGAAGGGTCGTTCTTCGCGCCTTTACCCTTGAGTCCTTTGTTTCGCAAAACCTGGTCCGACCTCTCCTCCGCTCGCTTTACTGTCTCCTTCGTGAGTTCGAGGCCTTGCTCGTCCATGGCCTTTACGTAGGATAGCCTCTCCTCCCTGCTCATATGAATGAAACCATTGCGATGCGCCTCAGCGTCATCGACTATGTATGCATGACCCTGTTCTACCAGGACACGCGCCTCTTCAGGCTGTAGCTCAAGCGGAATGCCTAGGAAGACATTTTGCTGGCTGAGGTTCGGGACGGTGCCGATGTGAACACCACAGATGTTGTAAGCGCGGCGCGCATGCATCATGACATCGACATCGAAGAGTAGATATCTGCCCGCAACGCGGGAGATGGGAAATGGCTCACTGACCAGAGTAGAATCTGGCGCCATGACGACTGTTGATAGAACTGGTCAGCGATGCAAGACAGGTGCGGGTAAGAACTGAACGCAAATATAGGTGATGGAAATCATAGTGTGAATACAATATTGTGAGTCATCAAGTCCCGAAGGATTCAGGGGATTGACAGATTAATATGTTCATAATCATGTGATAAAGGGCAATGGAAAGAATATAGCCTTCGCAGAGAAAAAAACGACTTACCTTCTACTTGTGAGGTTTCATGGTGAGTTGGACGAAAGAACTGGAGCGAGAATTTGGCGATTGATTTTTGTAGCTCGTGTCTTGGCGTTTTGTGACTAAGCGCCCCGCTTCCAGATGTCTCTAAGGAACATTTGAACATTTGAAGGTAGCACGAGGGAAATGATTTGAGGTAAGATTACGAAAGAAAACAGGATTCATTAAAGGGTATCTATTACATTCAAGATGATGCTATATCGTTCAAAACGTACTCAGAGCCAATTAGAAAATACTATTCATGCCAGATGCAGGAGGGCAAAAAAGAGAATCACAGGACAACCAAGACTAGGGACGGACACCCATGCCCAATCCAACGAGCTCGAACAAAATGGGATTGCCTTCGACAGCAAGCCATGCAATACCTATCTTGTCAGCGACTCGTCAAACTTGGAAGGGGATTAATACTAACCAGCATAAACAATGAGCTTGGTGACTACCTCAACATCATACCGGACACGAGGTATCATGAGCTTCCTAAAGAGTTCTCGTTTCTCATTTTCCGCTTCGGCAGGTGTCTGTACGGCTTCGCCGGCGAAGTCCGTTTCACTGTCTGGCGGAGTAAAGACCAGTCTTGTAGTGCTGCTACCGGTTCCCATCATCTGCTCATGAGAATGGACACGAGAAGCAATGGGGGTGGGCAGAAGACCAACGCCTAATGGTCTCTCTTCGGACCTAGCCGAAGATCTTCGGGTTGTGTCGCTGTGGTCAATTTCAGCCACTTCCGGCACAATGCCGTCCGCGGAATTGATGCTTTCTCTTCGCCGCCTATTGCGATAGGCGAGTGTTTCGTAAGCATCAGCGGCAGATTGAGGGCCAACCGACACCGATCGCTTGCGTGGGTGAGCAAGATTTTTGAGCATGTTGGGCAGATTGGATGCAGGAGGGATGACGTTATCATCATCTCTCAGTGTCGGAATGCTTGTGTATTTGCTAGTAATAGTATCAGTAGGAGCCCAAGAATCAAAAATTGATAATGAGAACGTACGATGCATTCAAGAAAAAGGCCCTGGGCAAATTCAAGCTCGCTCGCTCCAGAGATCTAAAGATGGGAGGCAGAAGTTTGAACAAGGCGGACTTGGTGCCTGCACGCCACAGAAAAATAACCACCACCCCAAGTAGGATCCTAACTGCACTGGTGGGAAGCCCTATGGTGTCGAGTTGGAAAGGGGCAGTAGATGGCATTGGTTCGTCCCAGGCGTATCCACTCAAATGGTAGTGCCAGGCCCCGGCATTAATACCGATAACCACGGCAAGAAAGGAGACAGTGTCGTCGAAACATGGACAATCATCTGCTGGCTCAGGATGGATCCGGACCAGGACCAGCATAATTAAGACTAATATAGCCATGTTTGTGTACTCTGGGGAGAAGATGAAGTCGTCCAAGCTTTGGCCATAGATAACCTGCAATACACCTATAACTGCTCCTAGGATGCTCCCAACCACGACGTCCAAGAACCCATGCATGCCGCAGTAGAGCCTTCCGAATATAATGGAGACGGCGTAGAAATAGCACAGACCTTGCAAAACCAGGTAGACTGTGGGATTATATTCGTCGCGGGATTGACGAAGGATATGGACGAGGTAAACAACGACAGAGACCGCGTTGGTAGAGTGGGACGACGGGAAGCCGTACTCAAGGGCAACGGAGCCAGACATTGTGATGCGGGCCAACGGAGGTGACAATGGTCGGGGAAGACAGACCATGTCTTTCAAAAAGCCGCTCACAAAAACGCCGCCGGCCAGCATGTGAACCATTCTGCAACAACAGCCATGATTAGCTATCACATACGGTATGGAAGAAGACTTTTTTCCAAGGGAGAGAGGGCGTACGCTCGGCCCATGCTGGTATATCCACACCAGAACAGGATGGGTAGGAAGACCATGAAAAAGGTGTGGGTGCCCAGGTTTGCAGTATAGGCGAAGTAGGAATCAAGGGTCGGAGTGCGGATTCTCTCCTGCATGTATGCGAGGTAGGGGGTTTCCCAGCGCACGATGGGAATCATGGCTTTGCGCATCGCATTGCGCCATGCTGGCAATCGGCGGGTATCTTTTGCGCAAGAGGGACAGAAGCGTCAGTGTCTCTCTCACACTCTTTCTACGAGCACAAGCGTGGATTCACATACAGTGGTCTTGGTGTTTGTTGCCAGCATCGAATCTTGGGTCATTTTCCTTGGCCTTCTCTTTTCCGGGAGTATGCGCGTCTTTGGTCGTGAAGTCGCTTCCGGGCGGCGGCTGGCCTTGATGAAGCGGGGGAGGGGAAGACATGACTTGTTAGGGGAAGAGGTGTCTGTCGAGTTTCAGGCGGACATGTACATATCATGGCAATGACAACGGCGCCTGCATGTAGGTGTTCGGTGGTGTAGGCCCCCAAAGCATGGAAAGGGGCGACCCGAGGGAGATGAGCAACAGCAAAAAGATGGGAGGTGGGTGGATGAGGTGGAAGCGTGCTCAGTGTAGTTGGTATTGGCTTCTCTCCTGATGGATTGCCGAGGCGCCTCGAGAGCAAAAGGATTGCGGCGAGACGAGATTGCCCCCGGATGTAATCAGTCGATCCATCATCCATCATCCTAGCACAAGTGTGTATGCGTATCCAACAAGCATCAATCTATTACTCCGCTGAGTGTCTCCGGTAATTAATTCACAAGTACTTACATACTAGCAACCAGCATAAGCAGAAACATCCTTTGGATGCATCCAACCAGGCCGCCGGCCATGCACGCACGTCATGTGCGGCCCGTTAAGCGAGCACTGGAGAGCTCCCGCCGTGGACGTCGTGGTTGCCCGGCCAGCCAGCGTTGGTCAACACACCGTCCGGCCAGCTAACAGCTGCTACCTCCTCCTACTCCACAATCACTCCGGCCGCTCACTCCACAAACATACATCCTCCACCATCACCACGCCGCTACATCTGCATCGGCACTGCCAGCCATACTATATTGCGCCTATTGTATTGATACCCATCCATCTGCTCTGCACTGCCCACGACGCGGCTTCCTCTTCCCTCTTCCTCTCACGTCGTTACACCTCCATTCCGACGACATGTCTACACACGCTGCGCCCTCGCAAAACTACGACTACCTGCGCCGCAAGCAGAGCACAAAGGCCACGCCCGTCTCCTCCGTCACTCCCGCGCGCAGGCCCACGAGAACCGCCAGCGAGCGGAACAGCAACGGCACAGTGAGCTCCTACAGCACCACCGAGACCCATGAGACTGCCATCACAGAGCCGCCCACCTACTCCAAGAAGCTTGTAGTCGTTGGAGATGGCGGCTGCGGAAAGACATGTTTGTTGATCAGCTACAGCTCCGGCAACTTCCCAGAGGTACGTTAAAACTGCCATTTCCATGCCCACATGTTGGGATACATACTAACATGATCCCCAGAAATATGTGCCAACTGTCTTCGAGAACTACATTACCCACACCCCTCACCCTCCAACTGGCAAGATGGTCGAACTTGCACTGTGGGACACGGCTGGCCAAGAAGAGTACGATCGGTTGCGTCCACTATCTTACCCTGAAACCGACATCATCTTCGTATGCTTCGCTATTGACTGCCCCAACTCGCTCGAGAATGTTATGGACAAGGTACATCGTCCAACTCTACTCATGTCACAATATAAAACTAACGTTCGTTTACCAGTGGTATCCTGAAGTACTGCACTTTTGCCCAACCACCCCTCTGATGCTACTGGGACTCAAGTCAGATCTGCGAAACAAGAAGAACTGCATCGAGCTTCTCAAGACTCAAGGGCTCACACCCGTCACCCCCGAGCAAGGTCGCACCGTCGCCAAAAAGATGGGCGCTATGTACATGGAATGCAGCAGCAAAGAGCAAGATGGTGTGGAAGAGATCTTCGACATGGCAGTAACTATGGCCGTAGGTGACGAGTACAAGACCCCAGAGATCTCGTCGTCATCGGCGCCACGGCCTGCGTTTCCCGCAGGTGGTAAGAAGACCAAGAAGCGGGAAAAGTGCACCATTCTCTAAGTGGGTGCGACCCCGTTGTTCTCGTCCGTTCCTCGGGATTGGTGCCCTCACCTATCTTGCCCGCGCATCCTGAGCTACCCTCTTCTCTACAATCGATGGGTTCAGGTCACGGAACGACACGATTATATCGATATCACGACGCTGGACGACCCAATCAAGATGCTTAACGACCTCACCATGAATGCTCTTGATTTTTCTGCGACTCGGGCGACGCTTCATCAAGGTTGGCAGCCAAGGATATGATTGATTGGTGCTGCCATTCCGTTTCTCTCTCTAGCCATGTTACTTTTCGACCTGTTCTTTTGCAAGCGAAAAGAGTGATATTTTCGAACTGGGCTTCGATGTCTCCCTCTAATACATAAGCATGTGTGTACCTTTGTAAGTGGCTGCTACAGTTGGTGTTGGCGTTGGCAAACAAAGTGGGGGAATATGCGAAGAGGAACTTATGTTTTCCTTCTTCTTGACTCCCGTCTCCTTTTCTTCTGTCCCTTGTTTCTTCTTGTAAGCCAAGTACGGTATTTGTTTTTTTTTGTTGGTGACGGTTTTCAAATCTCACACATCCACACATATTCACGTCTGTGCATCCCCCCAGTCAGAGCGTTTAGCAAAAGAGAGAGAGAGAGAGAGAAAGAGAATACAAATCCTATGTTTCTATAACGCATATGCTCTAATGCCGTGAATCCTCGCCTAGCGGACATAATTTCAAAGAAGGGAAAACCCTTCGGCGTTGCCTCGCGCCATGTACATGTGTACATGTAGGTTCATGAACCACGACCGATCAATATACATGACCGGTCGCAACCATCTGCATGACAACCCGTGAATATAGAGCAGGAACATAATAGCCCCCCAATTTGCCTTGCACAGGTCCTTCAACACACGCACATCAATACATACTCTCATCTCCCTCCCCTTCCTCCTCAGCACCCACCCCTGTAGTGTCGCCCTCGCCCTCTCCACCCGCCTCACTCCCCGCATCTTTTTTCTTCTTGTCACCACCCTCCTGGTTCTGATGTTGAGGCGAAGCCGTAGACTGATTATTAGCAGCCGTGTTCGTATTCCCCATGACGGATTCAAAGTGGCTCCACAGGCTCTCGACGGGTGCGAATTCGTTGCCGACTTGGATCAGTTCTTCCATGGAGCGGTTTAGGCGGTTGATGTTGACTAGAACGTGCTCCAGAGACTGTTTATGCCAATTCAATTCGTTAGTGAACGAGGCACGGGCGTTAATTTTGGGAAGAGATTGGGTGTCATTGTATGTATGTATTCTGTATGAGCGTGACTTGACGTACCTGCGCTATCTCAGTGACGAGCATCTCCCTCTGACTCTCATAGTACGTCTTGCCATTGGGGTTTGAGTTGTCGTTTCGCTGCTGTTGTTGGAGTTGGTGGTCATCCATGGTTTATATTTTTGGTTTTGTTCCTTCTCTTTCTCCCCCCTCTTTTTTTTTCCCCTTGGGACTTTCTAACGACTAGGTGTAGGGATACAGTAGTATTTCAACTGCTCCAAGTTACTCGATTGGGGTTGTGCCTTCCGTTCACGGGGCGAGAAAAATGAGCCTTCGTTTCCTTTCCTTTGCGGAACTTCCGTTTCTTTCGGCCTGGAAGATAGGTCACTACTGGGGAGCCTTATCTCGCGAGATAAAAAGACCGGACACCAAGAAGCAGGTGACAATCGTCGTGTTCCCTATGCCGAGGTTTTGAGATGTTTTTGAAGCCTTCCTTGCGACTGTACGGAAGCCCCAGGAAGCCAATGAGCTAGCTCTCCTCTCTTTCTCTGCTGGTTCCTTGGTTAAGGTACGGGAGGTGAGCGCACGTTTACTCGTAGTTTGAGACGCGCAGTATTTTCGTATACCAAGTATTCAATCCTCGGCAGCGTATTTCTTGTTGCTTGTTTGTTTGGTGAGAGGGGCTAGGATTGTAGGTATTTACCGCAGGTAGCGTCGTCCCTATCTCTTAGTGCGTCGTGCTTTCCCCTTGGTATTTCGAGCCGGGTTGTTTTGTTTTGGTCAAGAGGTTTGGTTCGTTTACAAAACGCGAAAAGGCGGGGATGATTGGTTGCGCAGACGATGATTGGAGGACTGCATTATGTAAGTCATCACAATTCATTAATACAAGAATATAACACACCCAGACAAACAACCGTCGATGTGAGAGTGGGTGGCTCGCAAATAATTTTACTCGAGGACGTGTCACAGTAGAATGGAAGCAATGTATGGACAAAATCTGATGTCTGAACTTTTCGGAATAGCTCTCTGAAACAATCAATTGAACGCTTTTTTTAGTCCTCATTTTCTAAAGTGCGATGGAACAGTAGGAGGGGTATATTTCCACCATTTCCTACAGCCGACTCAACCCCCAAAGTTTCGCTCATTCCAACTCTTTCTCGACCCGTTCTCTGAGATAACTCCGGCCCATTACTAAACGATGGCAGGGTTTTGAGCCCCTTGGCATAGGAAACCGCCGAATGCAAGATACAGCAGAGCGAACCGCTTACTATTAACTCCCCAATACAATATGAAGTCTTGAACAAAAGGAAACGAGACAGAAGAGAAACCAGCCATTGCAGTGGCAAATGGATTAACGCCACCAACACCATGCGATGCCTTATTCACCAATAATGAAATGGATGAAGACTGTACAAGGCGGAAAAATACAGATGTTCGGAACAGGAAAGGCAATATTACAAGGTACGTATGGTAAGAAACGGAGTAGAGATACGCCACATGAAGAGTTTACTGTTCATGATTTGGAACCACCATCTGACCCGGAAGACTTGGGCTTGTCGTTGAGCTTGGGGTCTCCTGCGAAAGGACCAACTGTGAAATTCGGTGTGGTGTCCTGATTTTGACTGGGTGGAAGCGAATATTCATTCGGAGTGGGTGCTAAGATTGGGTCGGTGGACTTGGTGTCAGGATGTACCTCGATACCTTCCTGTGCGTCGAGATCGGAACGGCTTCGCTCGCGTCCAAACTTAAGTGAATCACCGTCCGGGTTACGGTCGATTGGAGACCAGCCTGCCACACTACCCGCCACGATTCCGGCCATGACAGTCGCAGGGCCAAATGCAGAATTGGATCGGGATCTTCCTCGGCGGCGGCTACGTGAGTCGGGAGTGGGTGGGGCCGGGGAGCCTTCTGTTTCAGCGGGGCCATTGTTCGGGGTTCTCGGCAATGAATGGCTGGATCGTGACCGGGAAAAGATCTCGCGCGGATGCTGGACTTGCCACTTGAGGTTGCTTAGACGACCACCGCGGAACCTCTTGATGAAAGCGAGCTCATCGCGAATCTCCAAGAGCCCTTCGTTCCATTGGAACTCGTCCGATACAGCGATCTCCGGGGTCGTCTTCCTCTTTACAAAATCAGGGATGCACCGCCTGATTAGTTCGTCCGGGATAAGACGAATAATTACGCCAATAACGAGTGAGAGAGCACCCAAGACTATTGAGTAACCCCATTGAGCAGCGTTGATTCGCGTAATCTCAAACGCCTTACCGCCGACAAAGATGATCATGGTTTGGCCACCAATCATGATGAGAAGAATGACGATGAAAAACCAGTTGTGGGTGATGCCCTCGAAGACGTTAAACCTGTTATCGAGTCGACGATTGTTGAGGGCGTTGAAGATTTGCATCCAAACGAAGACGTTGAAAACCAAACTGGGCAACCTCAAGATTTCATCATCTGAATCGTAAGAAAGTATTCTGCGGCCTCCGAAATGAAGGACCAGAGTGACCACAAGCTGATAGATTGCCTGTCCGATAATCATCTTCCACATCCTTAGCGTGATCAAAGGCGCTGACTTGGGGTCAGGCTTGCGCTCGAGGAGGGTGCGAGTGGGGGGATCGGTGGCCAATGCCAAAGCCGCGAAGGTGTCCATGATGAGGTTAACCCAGAGAAGCTGGACAGCGTTTAGAACCGATTTTCGCTCTTCGCTAGCGACGGCAGTGATAAAAGCAAGGAGAACCGCGGTAATGTTAACTGTGATCTGAAACTGCAGAAACTTCTTGACAGCGTCGTTGACAGCGCGGCCCCACAAAAGCGCTTTCACGATAGAGGCAAAATTATCGTCCATGAGGATAATAGCAGATGCTTCCTTGGCCACTTCTGTACCAGCGATACCCATAGAGAAACCGACGTCAGCAGTCTTGAGAGCCGGTGCATCGTTGGTACCATCTCCGGTAACGGCTACGGTCTCTCCTAGTTCTTTGAGGCGTTTGACAAGTTTGCGTTTATCGTCGGGGCTGGAGCGAGCCATAACGCATAGTTTAGGAATTACCGCATCCATTTCCCGCTTCGATAGCTTCCTGAATGCAGGGCCCTCAATGACAAGCCCTCCGGGTACCAAGATACCACAGTCTTCAGCGATGGCCTTTGCAGTCATGACATTGTCACCAGTCACCATTCGCACGAAGACTCCAGCGCTTTGACAGTCCTTTACAGCTTCACGTACTCCATCACGCAACGGATCTTGGATACCAATAACAGCCAAGAAGGTCATGTTTTTGAAGATGTCGTTGAAAACCGCCTGTGTGGGATCGTCGGGGTTTTTGCTTGATTCCTTAGGCGGCCAGCTTTCAAAGTCGCGATACACGAGCGCTAGAGTACGGAGTGAGCGGGAAGCATATGTGTTGATGATTTGTTCAAGTGTTTCACGGTTGTCCTCGGTAAGGTCCCGGTTGGCAAGTTCCTTATTGGCGTCCGAAATGATGCGGTCGCATTTCTCAAGCAAGATTTCGGAGGCACCCTTGGCATACATTCTGTATCGGCCATCGTTTAGCTTGACGGCAACAGCAGAGCATTTGATAGCCGAATCAAACGGAACAATCTGGACGACGTTGGCGTTGGATCGCTCCGTAGAGACTGAGGTCATGCCGAGGTAGTCACGCGCAAAGCCGAGGAGAGCTGTTTCCGTTTTCGATCCGATGAAGGGATCAGGTCCGTCACTGGACCCTTCAAATGCAGTGGTGTTCTGGATGATGGATTGGGACAACAATGACTTCACTTCGCTGTTGAGAGTGCTGACAAATTCGGACGGCGAAACATCATCGGAGTTGTCGACAGGAGAATTGGCATGTTGCTTCCCTTTAATACCGTCGATATCGGTGGGTTCAGAGGCAGGCACTTTAAGCTTCTTGTCGCCGAAGCGAAGAGCCGAGCCGAGCGTTCCAGCAACCACAGTCATCTTGTTGGTGGTGAGAGTCCCTGTTTTGTCGGAGCAAATAGTCGTGGCATTACCCATAGTCTCGCAAGAACGTAGCAAACGGACAAGGTTGTTGTCTTTGAGCATACGGGTTGTGGCAAAAGCCAGTGCCAACGTGACAGCAAGAGGCAATCCTTCGGGGACAGCAACAACGACAATGGTGACGGCGACAATGAGAATGCTGAGGAACTCCTGACCTTTTTGTTCGGGAGTGCTGGTGCTGGTGCGGAGACTGACTAGGAATTTGATAAACAAGACGACAAACAAGAGCAGTGCAGCTGCACCACCCAGTTTAGCGATGTAAGTTGCCAGTACATTCAACTTGGACTGCAAAGGCGTGACTTCACTATCTTCACGCAGCGACATCATCGTCTTTCCGTAACTAGAATGGACTCCAGTGGCAGTGACCATGAAAGTTCCTACACCCTCTGATACTTTGGCGCCAGAGAGGATGAATGGGTCGATTTTCTTGAGAGGCTCGTGATTTTCGATGGCGTTGAAAGCGTTTTCAGCTGTTGTTTTCTTGAGGAGATCGGATTCGCCGGTAGCTGAAGATTCGTCGCACTTGAGACCGTGCCCTTTGATCAGAATGCCGTCCACAGGCACCATGTCTCCAGGTTCGAGTTGCATGAGATCACCGACGAGCACCTCGTAGACAGATACTTCACGCGTCTTGCCAGATCGTATCACCTTGACAAAGCGATCTTCCTTCTTCTTGTTCAGTTTGACGAATTGGCGCTCTTTCTGCCAATCATTCACAGCGCCTACGATGACGACAATGAGAATAGCAACGATAATGGCCACTCCTTCGACCCATTCCACCTTGGCTCCGCCCCCTTCGTGCTTGATACCGAAAGTTTGATAAAGACCCAGAGCCAGAGATATGATAGCAGCTGCCGTAAGGAGAATAAGCACCTTGTCGTTGTAGGCCATCCATGCCAACTCCAGAATAGTTTTGGGCTTGCGCGAAGGTAGACGATTGTCGGCGAAGACACGTTTCCGGTCAGCGTATCCGTTCTGGCCTGCATCGGTCGGCGTATCAGAGCGTTGAGTTTGTTGCTCAATTGCTTTGGGTGAATATTCCGAGGAATCGATAGCGGTCGCTTGCTCGAAGGAGATGGGATGATCGACATGCACTTCGTCCATACTAAGGCCAGCCAGTCGGTCGGACTTGACACCTTTTTCGATGCCATTGATTCCACCGAGTGCGCGGAAGGCAGCCAAGCTTTTGGGGTTGTACATTTTGCTCAACTGACCAGGAGTAAAGGCGAAAGGGTTGTTATCCACTTCGAACGCGTGTTCCGTACCGGGGTCCGGGACAAGAGCCTCCTTGAGGTTGAGGTCGGGGGTACCATGGTGGTCACCTCCCAGGGTTTCGCCTAGGGAAGAGTCGATATAGGTGCCGCTAGTAGTGGACTCGCCGTTGTCGGTATCCAGGGAGTTTCCTCGAGAACGAGTACCGGGGACGGAAAGGAAATTTTGGGGTTTGTTCCAACTGGATTGAGGGGAAGAGACATTATGGGGTGAGGATGTCGGTCTGCTGTCCCTGCTGTCGAAAGAGTTGGCAGGACGAAGCTCTGTCTGGGGTTGCTTCTTTGTGCTTGGAGATACATCGCCACCATCTTCGTATGACTGAGAGGGTGGTTGGTTATCTTGGAGGTTACTCAGTGGGACCTGTTCTCCCATAGTAGAGTCGTTTGGGTTGACAGCAGAAGTGTCAATGGTAATGGTGGGAGCGCGTTGACGTCGACCAGGGCTAGGAGAAGGCGTACTCCTGGCCTCGACGTCTTTATGATCGGCCATGATGGGAAGCCTCGAAGGCGAGCAAGGCCGCTACAACCGGGCAGTGCAGTAAGCAGATAGGGAGGGTGCAAAGAATGGAGGAGCTGAGGCGTCTAGCCGGTGTGTCACGAGCTGTGTGGCATGCGAAGGCGCGAATAATAAAGGGAGTGGTGAAGGCAAAAGAGAGCGAGGCTGAGCTGCCGGGTCCAGATACAGGTGGAGTATGGATAGAGGCAGAAGCGAGGTAGTGGTGGTAGCAGTAGTAGTAGTAGGAAAGAAGCACCGGAGGTTGGAGGCGGCTAGAATGATCATGAGTGGTTAGCAAACGCGCTTCGGCGGGTTGGGATTGGATTGCCACGGGCAACAAAAAAACTCGAAGCTTGACAGTCAATCAATGGGCAGACGGATGGTTGGCTGAGTGGGCAATTGAGTGAATGAATGGGGGTTGGTGGCCACAACACAGCCTCCCTCCTTCCATGGCACGGCGTGGTGCGGCAGGGTGCGGGCGGTTGATGGTTTGAAGATGATGGTAAAGGGCAAGCTCACCTGGGGCGGTTGCGTAGGCCTGTGTACGCGGACGAAGGCGAATCGAGGGAGCAGTCAGCTGAAAAAGAGACTGGTGTCGGTGTGTATATGGAGGAGCAGTAGGAGCGGTTAAGGTTGGTGTGGAACTTCCAAGACGTGTAGAGGGGGCAGTGTTGAATACACAACCATGATATACCTAGATTAAGGTATAGGCACCGGCCGAAGACGCGACAACGACGCCGACAACAGCAGCAGCAGAGACCGAGTTGAAGCTGAACAGGCCGACGAGGATGAGCGACGATGGATGGATGGATGGATGGGTAGGTGAGCTACACCGGTGCGAAGGGCAGAGCAGGAGATTTTCTGCGCCCGGACTCTCTCAGTCTCCCTCTCTCCCATGTCGTCGCGAGCTGCATGCAGCGATGTCTGGAGGTGTACACAGCCCCCTTCGGCCATACTGCATCGGGCTAGCGCGGGCACGTCTCTCGCTTGGCCTCTTCCACCGTGGCCCGCCTCGATCGACTTTCCTGTCGTCCTCTTGTTGTTCATCAGATGGTTCAATTGACCGTCGACCACTACCTGACTGACTGTGCAACTATGCAACTATGTATGCACCACTTGCAATGATGTGTTCTTGCCGTGGCAATTGTCAAACGCCCGAGGGAAACGGCATCAAGCTGTGATTTGGGCTTCGTTTACCCCCCGCTCTTGCATTTCCTCTCTATTATCATGGATATGATATGATTACTACTACTACTACTACTTCTCCAGGGCACCACCACCAACATCGTTTTGAACACCTTTCTCTCTCTCTCTCCGCCATGCTTCGGCCACTGGGCTGACACTGGTCGACGAAGCCAAGCAACGCCTCGCCAAGTCCTGAATGGCTCCTTCCTCTCCTCTTTGCTTCCTCCTTGACCGTATACCCTTCCTTACTCATCCTCCGTCCATCTACCTCTCCTTCTCTTCCTTCCGTCTACCAACTAGCACACGGCGCTGTCGTGTCCAAGCCGTGACAACTCATCCGCAACATGCAAAGGATCCCCCTTCCTTTGACACGTCTTTGGGGACGTGTCGTGGCCATGAGCTGCCCCCAGGTATAATTTGCCTATACATGATTTCTCACCCGCCGCCAGCTTGCAATTTGCATGACAACGGACCTATGCGCCCAAAGTGGGTAAAGTCTACCCGCGCAACTCGGTGCAGGGGAAAATAAAGACGATGCGTCGCAGCATCATCCCGTCTGCTCTCGGCCGGCGTGGGGCGTGAGCGGGGCCTTGGGTGCTCGATGCCAGAGGTGTCGGTCCAGATCGTGACCAGTGTTGTTCCTGTCCACTACCACGACCTCCGCCGGACAACCTCCTATTCTCACCACCACAAAGCTTGATTGCCTCCCGCTAGCCAAGAGCCCGAATCTTGCCAGCCTTTGGCACTCCTGTGCTTGTCGTTCAACTTGCCTGCTGTAGCCCTCGTGTCTAGTGCCACTGACACCATTCCGGCGCCAGCTCTCGCTCCAGATTGGCTTGCCCATCCGAGGCGCTTCTCGCCTGCCCAGCCGCCGTCGCCCCCGACATCATCATTATCGTCGTTGGATACGTGCCATCGCAATTTTCGAATCACAAGTCGAAACCTACAGCCATTGCATCAACAAAACCACGCATTTGCCATGCCTCTTGGTATTTTGCATAGCCCCAATTCCCAACCAACTTCAACCAAGGAACCTCATCCGTATCCATACTTTTGCCGTTGCCCGCATCCAAACAGGACTGGCAAGCGCGCGGGTCGTACTGTTTGATTGATGGCTTGAATTAATCAATCGTTCAAATTATTAACCCGATGCACAATGACGCCCCGTCTCCAACCGCTTCCCTACCGATTCCCGTGATATCATGATTCTTGATTCTTCCCCGTACAACATAATCGCAAGCATCATGACAATAATCGTTACACATCTGCTTGGCAGGGGGAGCGTGTACGCCCAACCGGCTTTTTGACCATTTCGCCACCAAGCTCCATCTCTGAGCATCTATTCCCCCCTCTGCCGTCTTCGGGTCTTGGTTTTTCTCGATATTACCGCCGTTGACCGTCCCAATTGCACGAGATCTGCGGTCGTTGTTTCGTCTCGTGCCACTCGCTTGCATCCGTTTCAAAACCCATCAAACCCCCTGATCCCACAAGCCATCACTCCCTTTCCGATTCCGCTGATTACACATCTCCTCATAAACAACTTCTTCGGCCGCTATGGCGACCCGGTCCCGCAGAAGCCTCACCGATGGTAGATTAGACATCCGTGCAGTACAGAACAGCCAAATGCGCAACGCCGTGGTCGCGAGCTAGCCAGCCGCCAATTGGCGCGCAACCCGAAACGCTACCTCTGTAACCCTTCCACTCCCATCACACTACCGCGCCATCGTCGCGCGACCGTACTCATGTTTCTCGAGATTCTGCAGAAGCATGACAGTGAAATACAACGTTACAAACACCACGTTGGTCTCGCGTTTTAAGCACGCAGCTAGCAGCTACCGGTTGTGTCACCGGCCCTTTCTGGACAGCCAACACATCCGGACATCAACTTCGCGTGATTCAATCTCTCTCGCACACTTCCGCAACTGCGTTCCTCAAACACTACTCATCCCTATTTCCCCGTGTCCAATCAACCCCACGCGCCAATGGAAACAAAAACAAAAACAAAAACAAATTTCTCTTGCCGAAAAAACGTTTCCGCAATTGACCCAAACTCCTCTCCCCTTGGTTCCCTGACACGAAGCAAAAGCAAAGCCATCCCATTTGATATCTAAATCCGGAATACCCTGTTATGAGCAATCGAGATCCTTTTCAGCCCAATAATCTCTCTCGTACTCCTCGTTCATGCGTGACATAGGGGAGCAGAAATGTCTCAGTTTCCCTTTTCCTGTTCCCGCCGCCACCGCCGCGTACCTGCATATGATGATAAGGCCGACCACAGCAACCTGCCGCAAATAGAACGCTTTACCCAAATCGTACTATGTACCTGTCTATCTTTATAAGAGGTTGATAGGAAAGGGGATAGGTAGATTATGTAAACTCCACGTGTTTTCACATATGAATAAGGCATGCGGGGGAAATCGGGATGCCTGTGATGAGTCTCTTGCGCTCCAGCTGTATCATTACGGTTGTGAAAGCAGAAGTCTAAGAAGTTGAGGATGATCTTCAAACAATTGTTTCTACCTCATGATAATGACTAACCCTCGGTGTAGCAAAGCAAACGAGGGGAACTCAACAACAAAGATACAGCGATTAAAATCAAACCCAAGTGAACCATGACATTACCACTGCTTTCTTTCCCACCCTTCTTTTTCGTCACCATCACAACTATCAATCAATCCACTCATATTCAACCCCCTGAGCCCTTCCACCTCGCCGTCATTCTCTCGTAAACAAAGCAAAATCCGCGCACCAAATATCGCCACTATCACCGTTTGCCCCCCTCCACTTCCCTGTTCGTCCGCCAAGCGCAAATACAAATACATGTAATGCGACAAGTAGGCAGTGCACTGTAGTGTAACGCCAACACAAGCACCGCATACATATTCATCCACATCATCATCATTCTCCACTAGAAGAAGAAGAAGAAAAACCTCGGTTATAGCGATCGCCTGAAACGGTCGACGATTGTCGACGTAACCAGTGTGGCGTATACATCCTTCGCACCAGAAGAAAGACAAATATAATATCACAAAAAGTTGACAATGACGACGACCATCGCGTTCGCCCGATAGATGGGTCACGTGGATGTCATGTTTGGACGCTTTTTCTTGTTGAAGTGGGTGGCGAGGATTGAGGCTGTGCCACTGCTTTCGCGCCCGCTATGTTTTGTCTTCTTGGAGGAAGATTTAGGCGATGTTATTGTATACGTGGACTGATAAGGGCGGATTGAGGCTGTGTGCGCTTCTCTTGGGAGATGGAAGTAACATTCTGCGTCCGTGATGGGGGATAGAGTCCGGGAAAGAGGTAGGTGAGGTGTCTTGCATGAGAGAGAAGGAAGGGAGCCAGGGAAGGTGAGATAAATTTTATTTTATTTTTTTTATTTTTTTTGAGATGGAGTATAGGTGATCCTACACACATCGATGAGTTACAACAAGGAATAAACCAAAAAAACGAGCGATAACCAAAAAGATGAACCTTTTTGTCCCTGTCCACTTTTTGTTAAATCATTTTATCAGCCTTTTTAAGTGTAGGAAACACTGTAACTTCCAATCAAAAAAAACTTAAAACCAAAAAGACTGATGAAATGTATGGAGATGTCTTTTTGAATGCGTCATTCAGCCAGAATATAGCTACATGAGTTAAATAGGTTACTACTTTCTGGTTTTCAGATCCGTCGTTGAGGTTTGGTTATATTATATTTTCATACGGTTGTCCTGTTGAGTGAGATATTGGCTGGGTCGCAACGAGCATATCATGCTTGCTTCACTTTTTTTTTTTTGAGTTGGAGTTTTGGTGATCCTACACATAGCGAAAGGTTTGCAGCGATAATAGGCCAAAATTATTAAACGATACTCTCTGCGAAAGGATGGTTGATCTCAAAGTATTTGCAGATCGATTATATCATAGAAGACAGCATTCCACGTGAGAAAAAGAACTATACAGCCTACATCTCCCCTATATAGTGGTGGAAGATACCCATTTTGTCAAAGAGAGGCCCATGAACCACAATATGCGAGTGCTAATTTCTCCAACGCCGCCAGGTCGATGCCTTCTTTGCGTCCTGATATCAAAGCTCGTTAGATGATCAAACATCAACCTACGAACAAGCTGACCGGAAGGAACTTGCTGTCAAAATCCTGTATTGGATCCCACGATAACATCACTCCCACGCTCTTCTTACCTGGGTTATTGTTTGATGGCACATTTTCATACAATTCGCACTATGGCATTCATACAATTCGCGCGCATGCACCAAAGCTGCCGACACTTGGAATGTGCAGCTACTGTCTTTCTCACCGGTCAACAGGAAGGAGGCAGTGCCAATTTCCAGGTCTCTTCTTCACAACGGCATCTATAACGAACATCGTTATTGAACCACAATAATAGGCCTTTTTTTTTCTTCGGTCAGCAAGGCTCACCTAGGCTGAATTCGCTTGAACCATGTTAAATCACCCTCATTTGCGAGTTATTGTTGACCGCCTTTTCTCTTGGGTGTGTAAGATTGATTGATTGATGGAATCGCGATGCCTATCAGGAATATCTCACTGGTGACCGAACATGAGCCCGAACCATCATCTTACACAGAACCTCAACTGTTCGACTATATCAGGTAAAAATATTCGATAAGAATTTCCGCTGATTTCCGAATAGAGACAAAACAGGCCATTTGCCTACCGCAATGCCATGTAAACAAAATAATCAGTCTCACCATAATCTCGTAAAACGGTAATCGTTCGCATCGATATCTCGTTTTCGGCCAGGTCCATTGACAGCGGCTGTCAGCACGACTACACGACTACCCTGCAGCAAATAGCAGCTTGCTCACCTCCCGATGCCGACATGCTGATCGCTGATGATTTTCTTACTCCGCCCCCTCCTCCTCTTCCTCCGCTTCCGGCTGCTTCCGCTTCAAATTCGGCAACTTGATAACCAAGACAAGGATATTGACCACGATGAAAATGACAATGGTTGAGAGGAATGTGAGCCGTAAGCTGCGATAGTACGCGTCGATGACTGCAAGCAATTACCCATTTGTTAGCTCGGTTACGGGGGTTGTGATAGATTGAGTGGGTTCGTTAGTTTCCGGGGCTGTGCAAAGAATGGAATCTTGGGGGGAAAGGCGAACTTCGCGCGTGAGGGGTGTGCATGTGTATGACCGTTGTGAGACCCACAATGCCAAACCCGACAAAATTGAGTTTTGGTGTCAGATAGAGTGGCCTTGGGAAAGGGGGTGATAGGGCGGAAAATGCCTCAGTAGGGATGCAAGGCCGGGCTTTGAGTGACCATGAAAGGTGAGAATGGAGAAGGATTGAGAACGAACCTTGACTTTGATGCTTGGGAGATAAGTCGACGATGGACCGGACCGACCGGCGCACAGTAAGGATGATCTAGGTATGCAAGGTCAACAACGCAATCGACGAATTGAGTGGGTTGGACTGGCAATGGGTAGGCTTACTTCGTCTTTGTGGGCGCCCGTCACGAATTGCTCAAGATATGCGGTCAAGGCGTTTTGCAAGATGACGCTACTCAGGGAGACGCCCATTACGACGCCCAAACTCCGCCACAGAATCAACGTGCTCGTCATTACGGCTTGATCTTCCTGGGTGCTCGTTGCGAGCACCGCGACTGAAGAGGCTGGAAAGGAGAGCCCTTGTCCAACGCTGGCGGGGACGAGGAAGATGGTCGCGAGCCACGCTGGTATACCTTTCCACATCGCGGAGAGAGCAACTGCAATTGCGCACAAACAGTTAGCTGAGTACAAGCATGTACGTTCAATGGGTTGTCATAGTTTCCAGATACCACAACATGTAGCATTATGACGCTAATCAAGACTGGGGATATACTTACCACCGCCGATGAGCATGCTCATCGAACCAAGAATGATAAGCCAGTGCATACGGCCAGTAGCGGACATGATGAAGCCTGAAGAGACCCCACAGATTGTGAGAGCTACAGATGGACCAGCTAATCGAAAGCCAGACATCGATGCCGACTCAAGTTTTACGGCCTGGAAATACAAGGGCGCATTGAATATGATGGTGTTGATGCCCAGCTGCGCGAAGAAGTTGTTGAAGACGAGATTGCCGCGAGGTCGGGTGAACAGCATGTTAAGTGGCATCACAGGTCTCGCTGTTTTGGACTCGACACGTACAAGGACTGCACCAGCAATCACAGCAACAACGAGCGATGTGATGACGAGAGGATGTTTCCAAGCAAACACATTGCCCCCGAGATTCAACCCGAGGATCAGAAACGCCACTGTGAACGTCAGAAGGAACGATCCGGCGAAGTCAAAGCCCTTCATAGCGTTTTTGAACCCCATCCCAGAGCGCTTCGCAAGGTTTGGACCCAAATGAACAGGAATGGTGAAATACCCCCCGACGAGTAGAACAACAAACACCGGGATCTGTATAGCAAAAGTCATTCGCCATCCAATTTTGTCGCATAGAAAGCCACCAAAAGCGGCACCAGCAGCGGAGCCCCCACCGTAGAAGAGATTGATGTAGGCCTGGTAAGTTCCTCGAACCTCAATACTGACAAGATCATTTGTCATCACGTTCCCCATAGATAGAACACCTGCTGCACCTAGACCACAAAAAGCTCTGGCGGCGATGAAGCTACCAATACTCTGAGCCAATGCGCACCATGCGGTTGTGGCGGCAAGAAAAGCTACACCGGCAAGGTAGAGCGGACGCCTACCAATGGTGTCTGAAAGGCGGCCCAGCAATGGTTGGAGTGAGGTCGAAGTGAGCAAAAACGCCGTGGAGAGCCAGGATGCAGAGTTGGAGGCGTTGAAGTATGATGTGATGACCGGGTGGCTCGAAGCCATTAACGTAGAGTCAAACATGGTTATCTATTCATGTCAGATTTCGACTTTTATTGTCATAAGTTGCTATTCATTCCCGCACTCACAAAATACGCCAACAGGATGCCCCCAAAAATTAGTCGGAATTGGGTCCTTGATATATCAGCAAGAAGCCCATCTTGTCCAAAGTTCACGAGATCATCTGGTTTTCGTGGCGAAGGATCTGGGAGCTTTGGGGCTTCGAGTGCACCCTCGCCCACTACATCCGCTGTGGTGATGCTATCTCCCTGGACTAGGGAGTCATCTCTTCCACCACGATTGTCCGTGGGCTGGAGCAGCGGCGTTCGCTCGTCACTCATTACGTTGGATCGAGGAAATCGACTCCAAGTTAATGCTCTGTAAGGGCAGTAGAGAGTGGAAATGGGATTTATTGTCGAGTCATCCGAACATAGTCGGACTGACTGCGAAAAGTACTTGTATACAAATGATGAATAATGACAAAGCGGGTTGGTTCGGCGTCCGTACGGCTTAGCCATTCTGCGTTAGTTCCCGAGCCGATCCATCTCCGAACTCGCTGCTGTTTCATCGCTTTCTACAACCTTCTGAACTCTAAAGATAAGAGAATTGCGAATTTTGAACTGAATATTGAACTATGAAGACCCCTCTTCGAATCGCTATCCTCGAGTGTGATACACCGCCAGATGATCTTGTGGCTAGGTTCGGCAAGTATGGCAAGGTTTTTACGACGCTCCTCGAGAAGGCAGCAGACGATTTGGGCAGGACGGGATTCTCCAAGGACGATTTGAAGTTGAGCGCATACGACGTGGTAACAGAACAAAAATATCCTAGCCTAGACGACGTGGATGCTGTTCTCATCAGTGGATCCAGTGAGTTCTAATATTATTCCTTGAGGGCTGTAAGCTTGAATCATATCACTAACTCGACCAGAGTACAACTCTTTTGATAACGATGCATGGATTCTCAAACTGGTCGAGTTCACCGAGAAACTACTCAAGCAGGATCGCGTTCGCACGATCGGTGTGTGCTTCGGCCACCAAATCCTCGGCCGGGCAGCTGGGGCAAAGGTTGGCCGAAGCGACGGAGGATGGGAGGTCGCTGTGCTGCCCGTTGAGTTGACAGAGAAGGGTAAAGAGATCTTCCAGCAAGACAAACTTGTAAGTGCCACCTATCCGCGAACGTGGCCATGTATGCAATCTAAAACTTGTATAGAGCATCCATCAGATGCACAGAGACGTTGTGTTCGAGTATCCAGAGGGTGTGGAAGCTCTGGGTGGATCTCCGCGGTGCCTCGTGCAAGGCATGTACCAGAAGGGAAAGCTTATCTCTGTGCAAGGCCATCCAGAGTTCCACGAGGCTTTTGTGGATTATTTGATCAAGATGCGCAACAAGCAAGGTATCTTCAACGACGCAGAGGCCCAGGATGCGCTGGATCGAGTGGGAAAGCACCACGATGGAGTGACGATTGCGAAGGCGTTCCTGCGATTTCTGCTGGACGATTAGCATAATTCTACACAACGTAGATATCATGAATTGACGGCTTGATGACAGTGGAGGAAGTTTCCATCCCGAATACCCGGGTTTATGCCGGTTCGTCGCGCGTTTCATTTACAGCGATCAGCGGTGGTGGTGAGGTCGTGAAGCATGAGGTCATTTACAGCTAGGATCCCTGTAGGCTTGCGTAACGTATCTTCACACTCCCACGGCATGCCACTGTCCACGATGCAGGAGAAGAAATAGGGCACGGGCGGGATCGCAATATGCTTCAGCAGATCCATATTGGTTTTATCGAGGGCAAGTAATAACCAACGAAAGAAGCGAGCTGAGCTGGAAATAGAAGGCCAAATTCTCCGAGCGAGCCACCTAACCTGAAACGGTCGAGGCTCTATCGCCAATAACCTATCACTGGCTATCAGTGAACCCTCCTCGTAACCATCCATCTATCCTTTCTTTGCTATTCCCTCAACACTTTCGTCCGCCTTTCACTCCTCTTCACGTCACTCGTTTGCTCAACCTACGTACAACCTCGCCTTTGCGCACCCACTTGCAACCCCCGTTTTCGAGACATATTTGCATGAGCACCTGCCGCCGCATTTGCCAGTCGCTGGCCACATAATCTAAGGGTTTCGTCATCCCCGATGGGAACGTGTACGCAACCCCTTCGCCGGTCTACTCTACCCGTCATACAAACCGCACACTAACCACGGTACACATGTAGGGAGATATGGTGTTATATTGGACGCAGGGTCCTCGGGGACCCGCGTGCACATTTACAGATGGCTGAATAGCGATACAGCGCGCAAGTCCGCGAGCAAAGCCCAGCTGCAGAGCCTCCCCGAGATCGAGACAGACAAGCAATGGACCAAGAAGATACACCCAGGCATATCAACCTTCGGCGAGCACCCCCACGATGTCGGCCCTGAGCACCTCGAGAAACTCTTTGCCCACGCACTCAGCGTGGTTCCTGCCGCCGAAGTACCCAAAACACCCATTTTCCTCCTAGCCACCGCTGGCATGCGCATCTTACCTCCTGTGCAGCGCAAGACTGTATTAAAGGAGGTTTGCGACTTTGCGCGCAAGACAACCAAATTCCAGCTGCCGGATTGCGACCTGCACATTCAAGTGATCCCTGGAGAGACGGAGGGCTTATACGGCTGGATAGCAGCAAACTACCTGTTGGGTGGATTTGATAGTCCCAAGGATCATGACCATGGCAAGGATCATCACACCTACGGATTTCTGGATATGGGAGGCGCATCAGCGCAAATTGCTTTTGCGCCGAATGCGACCGAAGCTGAGAAGCACGCAGACGATCTGACCCTATTGCGGTTACGGAGGGTCGGTGGCGATCCCTTGGAGTATAAGGTCTTTGTGACTACATGGCTAGGATTTGGCGTCAATCAGGCGCGAGAAAGATATGTGAAAGCCATGTTGGAAGCCAGTCCTGGAGCGAAAGAGTACCCCGACCCGTGCATGCCGTCCGGTGCGGAAATTTTGGTCGCAGACAATGGCAAAGTAGTGGAAGAAAAGAAAGGTGCAAAAGGTCACAAGGTTGTAGGCACAGGGATATTTAAGGAATGCGTACGGCAGACGTATCCTTTGCTGGAGAAAGAGAAAGAGTGTCTTGATGCACCATGCTTGATCAACGGGCAACATACCCCTGCTATCGATTTCGACGTCAACCACTTTGTAGGCGTATCGGAGTACTACCATACCACACACGAGATATTCAAAATGGCACACAAAGACGACGAAAACTACGATTTCAAGAGTTACCAAAAGGCAGTGGACAAATTCTGCGGCAAGAGCTGGAAACAAATTACCCAAGGCGTGGACAAGCACAAGTTTGGTAAGAAAGTCGACGTAGAGAAAGCACTCGAAGTTTGCTTCAAATCATCCTGGCTGATCAATGTTTTACACGATGGTATCGGTGTACCCCGGATTGGACTGGAAGACCTCAACAGCGCTAATAACGTCACCAAAGCCAAAACACACAAGGGCAAAGACAAGGGCTACCTCAACCCATTTCAGGCAGTAAACAAGATCAACGATATTGAAGTAAGCTGGACGCTAGGCAAAATGGTCCTTTACGCCTCCAGCGAGGTCCCTCCACCTTCGACAGACGCCCTAGCCGTTGGATTTGGCAGCAACGAACCCGGCATTCCATCCGACTTTCAACACCCCGGTGGCTCCTACACTTCTCACGGCGCCACAGGTGATGACTGGCATGACCACCTCTTCTCCGAAAACCCGCGCCGCATTCCAGGCTTCCTCATATTCGTTCTCATCCTCTTCATCTTTGGCTTCATCCTATGCGGCCGCGATCGTCGCAAAGCCACACTCCACAAATTCTCCCGCATGTTCGGCGCCGGCGGCAGCAGCGGAGGTAGTCGTTCTCGTCGCCGCGGTCCTGGCTTCCCAGGTAAACTGTTCGGCCTGCGCTCTTCCAACACACCTCTCTACGAACGCGTCCTCGAAGACGGGCCTTCGTCCGCACACTCCGACTTCGAACTTGGCTCTTACTCGGATGTGTCTGCCACCGCATCGGATAACGATCACTCGGATTCCGGCGACGGCGGAAAGACAGCTACACGCTTCGGCCGCTCGTCTGGATGGGCGACACCTTCAATTAAAGGCGGCAGTGCCGGCGGCGGTGGTGGCGGTGTCCTGTCCGAGGACGATATCATGGCACAAGGAGTCGGCTTGGGCTTGGGAATGGGGCGTGGCGGTGGGTTTTTGGGTCGGTCGGATAGTGGGGAAGGGTTGGCTGTGAGAAGTCGTGCTAGTAGTCCCAGGAGAAAGGGGGTTGGTGGCAGATTACATGATTGATCGCTTTTTCTTTTTCTGGTTTATTAGGAGTTCAGAGGCGATTGGGAGAGGAGGGTTTTCTGTCGCTTGTCATGAGAACCTAGATTCACGTTTCTCCTATCATCTTGCCCTTCTTCTCTCCTTTTCCCCATCTTTCGTTCTTGAGGGTTTCACTTGCCATGTTGTATATATTCGATGTCTGCCTCAGCTTTTCGCATGTATCTTATCCTGTCTTTTCAAGGGGTTTTGGTATTGTCTGCAGTATACTTTGGAGGTAGTCATATATGTAGAGATTCTATCTTTCTATCCCCCCTTTTTTTCAAATATCGACCCTCCTTCCCCGTCGAAAAGATCTCAGCATGTGATTTTCTGCTCAATACATACATGCTTACGTGAGAGAGCGCTTCCATCGCCCTTTTTTTCTTCGTCAAGATAGGAGAAAGAGATAAAAGAGAGAGAGAGAGAGAGTTTTCAATAAAGCACATACCGACATCCGTATGTTCTAGGAGAGGAGGCTGCTAGCATGACAAGAAAACCGGCGACGAAAAGGAGGGAAGGTGATTGAATACCGATGTAGTTGATTGGATAGACAATATGAGATGAAGAAAACCGGGTAGAGAGATACTTCAAAGGATACATGTCGACTGAGATGTTGAGTCGGATACAAGAAGACCGAAGAACCGAATCAGTCAGAAAACAAAACAGAAAATAGACATAAACACCATTCGCTCTCAGATTACTGACCCTCTTTGAATTATCACTAAACAACGAAGATTATGCGCCCAAATCGCCCGCCCACCCGTGGTATTGATTCAAATCGCAACGACCCCTGCAGCGAGGTACTAATGACAAGAGTTTCCCAATAACGAAGAAAAAAGAGGGAAAGCAAGACAGACATACAGACATCCACCCAGTATTAAGGAAAGACGAGATGAACGCTTCGCTACTGTTACAACAAGCATACAGTGTATCATAGACAAAAGAGAGAAAAACGATGAAGAGCCCATGGCTGAAGACATGACTCAGGGCATTCACATTTCCAGCACTACTGGTAGTAAAAGCCATTGTGCGGTTGTGGCGGTGCTTGCACCTGCTGTGACTGTTGCTGCTGAACCTGCTGCTGTTGTTGTTGCACGACCTGCTGGCCTGTGTGAAGCTGCGCCTGCGCCTGTTGAATAAGCTGGTTTATACTCGGCGCGACGTAGACCTCCTGGTAAGGGTGTTGTGGGTTCTCAAACCCCACGCCCGCAAGCGGATTATTAAACTGCATGACGGGCCGTGGCTGAGGCTGAGGCGGTACCAGCGGTTGCTGTTGCTGGGCTTGAGGTTGTGTACCTGTAGGAGCCAGGACCTGTGTCTGTTGCTCGCCCCACCCCCATTTGTCTTGCAGCTCCTTGTTGATGAAGCCGACGCGCCAGCCGGTTTCTTGCTGGATCTTATCAATGATTTGGAGGACTTCCTCCTGGGCGCGGCGTTCTGTTAGGCACTCTGCTGCAATGGCGAGAGAGCGGAGGGCTACGGAGGCTACGCCTCGGTCCTTGACGTGCGCGCTGATGCCACAAATGAGAATAGAGTGTTCATGACGCATAGCGTGCATTTTGGGGTCCTGTGGTCCGTCGATAGGGTGGATTTGGGCGAGGAGGCACATGCAGGTGTGGTAGAAGAGACGGGCTACTATACTTGTTCGCTTTATGAGCCATACTTCGGGAAACGCAGACCCTGATATGGTTTGGCCTGACTGGAGGTACGCGACAGGATGCATAGTCCTAGGTATGCATCGATCCCAGTGGTCAGCGAGCTCTTTGAGAGACTCCCATTCTGTCAGGCGTTGTTGTTGGGTAGTGTGGTTATTTGTGTTGTGGGATACTGATGCACGGAAGTTGCATGTCTTTGCGACAATGTAAAGGATTCTGTGGGTCCAACACTCTTCGTTGCCGAGTTCTGGTTCAGGAGACATGTCCATGTCGAGACCCCAGTCATCTGGGTGCCATGCCACTTGCCAATTGAAATGAAGGCAACTGAGTATCTCCATGCCAATGTTGAGCCAGAAACATGCCGCACCGACACCCGTGGCGCGTGCGTTCCACCCGCACTCTTTGATCAAAGCTCGTGCACCGGCTATGTGATTCATCCGTTGCAGAGCGCGCTCACACATGATCTCATAGACGTTGAGGATAACAGCAGCTGTGGCACATGTCACCGTATCGCGATACGGATCTTGTAGTGCCTCCAGCAAGTGCTTAGTAGCTCGATCGTAATAGCCTAAGGCCTTATCGTCGCTGTACCTGGGGTTAACAAGGGCGAGGTGTCGGGCGCCACAGGCCAAGAATGAATTCAGCAACATAGGCTGGTCCAATGCGTGGAAAGGAAGGAGTCGTGAAAACTGCGTAGGGTAAGCAACGTTGCCAGGATGGAGAGGTTCTGCTACTGACGTGTTTCTTCGAATCCATACTGTCCATCCATATGGCCACTTCTTCAACATAAACTTGCATAAAGAGGACGACTTCACGGTCTTGGAGGTAGTTCGCGCCTTGTGACGGCAGCTCGTCTGGCCCTCGGCGAGCTTCAGAATAATGCGCGCTGGGAGTGGAGTTCATGAAGGCATTGGCTGATGGCTGTGTGGACACGGAATTGGGCGTGGGTGGGTGGTGGATCTGGCTTGCATGACGATTATGCGACAAGGGCGGCGCAAAACCGCCATGTCCACTGCGATCGGAACCTATGTTGGAATACGAGGGACGATGCTGGTAGTGATAGTGGTCCTGGTAGTCAAAGGGCTCAGGCAGACTGGTCCCTTTCTGCAGAGGAGTGGGGTACTTTTCAGCGCCGCCTTTGTACTCGGAGGCGATTTCGCGAGATTCGTCCTGGAAGCTAATACGATAGTCGGGCCCTGGAGGTAAGATGTAGGGAGCAGGCCAATTGACCATATTTTTGTCGGCCTCCTGGAAGTTGACACGCAGGCCTCGCCGGCATTCGCGATTTGACTTTTTGCAGTTCTGACAGTCGGGAAACGCTTCGTCGCATTTGAGATGACGGTCGCGGCACGTGAGACAGCCGGTGCGCACGCGAGTGCTCTTTGACTTCTTTTCATTCGTAGGCGGAGTCGTCATGGCATCTGCTGACTGAATGTGTTCTCCATCGGCAGGCCCAGCAAAGGACGCAGTTTGGGCATGGAATGCCATGGGGCCGGTCATGGCCGTCAGCCTGCCTGAGAGTTGCGACCTCTCGAACAGGTTGGGATGTCGAGGCCAGTTGGACGACGTTGGCCCACAACCGGGCACAGCCGCGCTACACCGGGAGCTAGGAGGATGACGTGGTGAATAGTGTGGTGGTAGTCCAACGGTGGATTCGAGCCTGACAGCGAACGGCCGACTTACTTAGGTTGCTATGGCAGTGGATGGTGACGGATGGTGTTGAAGCTTGGATTTGGAGTGGGCAAGTCAAAGCGAGGAGAAACGACAGGCGGAAGCGACTTAGTCCCCCCTTAGTCTGTTAGAGCGAGCTCGGGCCAGGACCCCCAAATGCCGGTCAGCTAGCCTTCGGAGCCCTCTTCAGCTGCGCAAGGGTGCAGACGACATCGATCCGTTTTGTATGGCTCCACGAGGGGATACGCAATCACGTATGTAGGCGAATTTGTTCAGCAGTTCGTCCGTATTCTCTTCTTCGCGTGGGCGGTCCAATCCCCTGCCCGACAACCAGATACCTCCTCAGAATAACACCGCGTCTCACGGCCTAACCCTGCGGCGATCTCTCGTTCCGAACTGCCTGTGCAACAAAATTGCGTGCATCCGTTCGTTAATTAGATTGCTGCTTGACTGACTACCGACTGCACACCTTCGACTGCGTACCTGAATGGCCCTGGATACGGAGCAACAATCTTCCGCTCGCGGTCCAGCCCAGCCCAGCTTCGTGTTTCGTGGACATACCGCCCAGATTCACAGCGCTCACATCGTATGCCGCAACACATGTCTAGTCACGGGCGATGCAGACGGCTGGGTGGTCCTCTGGAAACTGGAGACCAAACGGGCCTTGGCTGTTTGGAAAGCTCACGATGGCGCTATCCTTGAAACTTCAATGTGGGGGAGCGACAGGTTCATCACGTACGCTCCTGCTTGGACTTGCTTCAAATGGCGTTTGGGCTAAAAGGTATCCACAGGCATGGACGCGACCACAGCTTGAGAATATGGCAGCTCGATCCCTCCAACACTGCCACCTTTTCCAAAGCTCTCCCTGCAGAAGGTGCCGATATAGACAGACCCAAACCATGGCTCTTGCATTCTCTCCCAGTCAATACATTGAACTTCTGCGCCTTTTCAGTGTATCATGATAGACATGTGTCCCAAGACTCCCATCCCGAGCAGTCCCATGCATCAGCAAGCTCTGTCCTTGTCGCTGTACCGGCAAGAGATGACAAGAAAGTCGAGGTCTATCAGTTCCCACAGGAAAAGCTGGTTTGTGTTGTGCCGAAAGTCGAGTCAAGGGATACTGGTGAGAGGCCCCCTTCTGCAAGCCACACTTGAAATGAGAATTTGTTGTTGTATCCTCTCAAAGATACGGATTGTTGACTCGAGTATAGGCATGGTAATGGCAGTCAAACTCGTGCATCATTCTCTATCGAACAACATTCTCATCGCCGTTGGTTATGAGGGGGGATTCATATCTGTGTATACGACTCCGCACCCTCCACCGCAAGACCCACAAGCACCGCGGAATCCAATTCAGATTGCCCAACTTGTGTATCTCAGTCAACCTCATTCTCAACCCATACTTTCCCTCGATGCGCTACCGCAGGACGAGACCACGTTCTTTACATCTTCTGCCGACGCCATAATTGCTACACATACAATCAAGGACCTACCTATCAATGATGCTCCTGCAATTCAGTGGATGGACCAGGGAGGTGCGGGAGCAGAAGATGTTTTCAAAAAAACAGCAAATCCCAACCAGAAAAATGATATAACCTCCTCTACGCACGATGATATAGAGCCTCGAGTTTCCGCAGTATCGGACTCGGATAGCAATACCACAAGCCGTGTGGTTCAAGATCAAGCTTCATCCTTAGTACAGCCTGCATCGACCTCCTTGTTAGATTTCACAAAGAAAACTGTGCCACCAAGCGCAAACAACACCACAGCCACTGCTACTTCCACAAAACAAGGAGGTCTGTCATCGCTATTTTCCAATGCAGCAGAGCCTCAACCTCGGTCCAAACCACCACAACCATCACCCCCGAAACCCGTCATTCCTCAACCACCACACAAATTCACCAATACTAAACACGCCGGGCAGCAATCACTGCGCGTGAGGTCTGACGGCCGCCTCCTAGTGACAGGCGGATGGGACAAAAGAGTACGGATATACAGCACCAAGACCCTGAAAGAAGTGGCAGTGCTAAAGTGGCATGCCGAAGGCGTATACGCGGTGGACTTTGGAGAAATAATGAACATGGAAGATGTCGCGGCTGGCAATGCCAAGGATGAGCAAGAGCATGCTGAAGGTGGGGATGAAGTGGCAAAGAGGGAGACAGGATTGGGCAGGCTGCAGCGACAGCGGGAGGAGCGCATGCAGGTCAAGCATTGGGTGGTATCTGGGGCTAAAGATGGGAAAGTGAGCTTATGGGAGGTATTCTGATCTAGAGTAGGCAAGAAGCCATATACCCACTCGATTCTTTCCATGTTGGAATTTTGGAGGAAGAAAAATTCCAGGAACCCTTTCTCAAATACACAGGAAGTTATGTCAAGATTTTGCAAGATTGAATGGTTGATCCCCTCGATCGATGTTCCCAACTCAAGCATAGCCACTGATAGGACTTTGTGCGAGTGATGATTCAATCTTTGTATAAGTGACGATTTAACCCGAAAGATGACGCCCAGGGGTCTCAGACCGGGTTGCAAAGCACACATATACGGTGTCGAAGTTCTCGGTAACTTGTGCGGCAAAGCCGGGTCGAGGAACCGGCAGTCCTGGAGTGAGCGGCAAGAAGAACGGATTCAAAACGCCTATCCTTCGTTTTCAACGGGGGCATATCAGGTAAGACATGTCGCATTGTTGGGGGACGTTATCCTGAGGATTGAGATTTTCTGGGTAGTTTGTTGAAGGATAGATCAAGCATGACGATTACACATCGTTTGGAATGTGTCTTTGGTCAATGATTGAAGGTTGATGGGTTGTTGGGCTCAAGTGCCGTTGAGTGTTTCTCAAGACCGATGACCAAGGAATAGCACAGTTGTAAAGAGAAGCCAAGCCAGCACACCCCTCGAAGCGTTGAGATTGATAGATGCATATGTACATAGCTACTAAGTACCTATGTAGGTAGACGTACGGCCACAGTGACACGACACGAGACTCACAAATCGGTGCCTGAAGGCGTAATGCCGTCAACAGATGGTGTGATGAGTCTCCTTACCCGATGTGGCTAGCACGGCGGCTCTCCGGTGCAGCTTTATCATTTCTTTCAACGTCAAGCTTCCGGATCTTGGCCACATTGCAACTCCAGTGCATCACTCTGCGCGGGAATTGATGACGCGTGCGATCCATCAGCTCACGATAAGCTGATGTTGACCTGGTTGGTCTCTGCTGTTGAGAATTACGAGTTTACAATGCCAATTGGATCAAGCAATGGCCCAAAACGGGGAGATGCAGGACACTTGGTACAAAGATGAACAAAGCATTGAATCATTCCAGAAGCTACCTCTCCCCAGACTTTGGGAGATTTGAAATCAGTGCATGACCGAGCAAGACGGATTAGCCAAACCAGCCCTCCGCATCGTGACCGACCATCCAGGATTGCTTCCCCGGATGTACAGGAAGCGCGCCCCTTGTATGTGGGGATGCGATGCCCGCACCCCATTACCCATATCAAGTCACATTGCATGTGTCTCGCTGTGATTGCTGCCACATCAGCCCATTGAATCAGCTATGAGCTCGAGATCTGGACGTGTATCGAGCACGCCTTCGATGGTTTCATCATACATGTGTATTGATGATCAGTGGGGAGCAAGATCAACAGTGTCCGTTGCAAAACAACACTTTACCGCAGTTGACTCGCTCTTATCAAGGCCGATACCGATATCCATGCGTTGTGGGAAGTAGCGGTGGGTAAAACATGGTAAAGTGGCTCCTGCTCTTACCTCTGATTCTAAAACGTGAGCACGCCATCGCGCACGCCATCGGGTCCCCTTCCATTCGTGTCGCCCGTATATAAACGATTGCACTTGACTCACCTCCCACACGAGCATTCCCAAAAAGAACACTGCTTCATCCCTCGACTGCCATTGCTGTCCTACCCTCATAATTTCTACGACACAAACTCCGAATCCGTGCACTTGACCTGTCCAACTTCATCTTCTTTCACACCACGACTACCCAAACATCAACCATGGCTCCGGGACTTGTGGAAACAACTACGACTACCACTGAGGTCACGCACAACGTCCTTAAACTCAAACTCTCCGACAAAGCAGACAACAACCATCTGGACTACGTCCCTGGTAGGACCGTCATCAAGAACCACGATGATACCTACGAGTACGAGCACCTTCGCACACGTTTCCCTGAGATAGTATGGGATCCTTTGGAGGAAGTTCCTTACCACGATAAGGGCCTACTCGGCGACCCAACATTCAAGAACCTTCTCAGCTCGGCTACAGATGTCTTCGACTACAATCCCAAGATCGGCACTGAAGTTACTGGCGTTGACCTAGCCAATCTCACTGATGCGGCAAAGAACGATTTGGCCCGACTCATTGCTACCCGTGGCGTTGTCTTCTTCCGCGACCAGAAGAACTTGGGCATCCAAGAGCAGAGAGCACTCGGCGAGTACTTCGGCGAGCTCCACAAGCATGCCACCACGGCCGTCCCAAGGCAAGAGGGCCTCGAGAATGTCCACGTCGTCTACACGGGAGAGGACAGCCCCGATCTTCGAGCCATGTTCACCCCAAGCTTCCTCTGGCACTCCGACGTAAGTTTTCTCACGGATTCACCAACCCGATCATGATACTGATATGCATATCAAGGTAACATACGAGGTCCAACCTCCCTCATACACATCCCTCAAAGTCGTAACAGGCCCACCCCGTGGCGGCGGTGGCGACACACTCTGGTCTTCCGGATACGCAGCCTACGACAGGCTATCCCCCTTTATGCAAACGTACCTCGAGTCCGTCACGGCTCTCCACTCAGCAGAGCTACAAGCCCAGGGTACCCGCGAACTCGGCCGCACTGTCCGTCGCGAGCCCATCACCACCGAGCACCCCCTCATCCGCACCAACCCCGTCACAGGCTGGAAATCTCTCTTCTTCAACCCGGGCTTCGTCACCAAGATTGTCGGCGTTCCCAAGACAGAATCCGACCACATCATCTCCTATCTGAATGAGCTCGTCAGCTCCAACCCCGAGATCCACGCAAGATTTATGTGGCGGGAGGGCGATGTCGCGTTTTGGGATAACCGCGTTACGAATCACTGCGCGACTTATGGATTTGCGCCGCATCGCAGGCACGCTGTGCGTGTGTGCTGCCGCGCCGAGAAGCCATACCTGGATCCCAACAGTGTGAGCCAGGAGGACGACTTGGCGGAGAAGTACGGGATTCCCAAGGCGAATAAGGATGGCTCGGGCATTGTGAACTATAACGACTAAGGAGTCGTTGTCAGCTTCTGACCTGCCATTGATCGATACTCGGGATGATGAGAGTCTCGAGCCGATACCGCCACAAAAAGTGTACGGGCGGAGCTCATGGATGGCTCTTTTCATTCGTTCCTTGTATTGTTTTTTCTTCTTAGTTTTTTCACTGCGAGCATTAGCGGGTAGGCGTTCTGGGGATACCTTCATTCTATACTCTATATTTACATCCCCACTATATCAGGGCCTCAAGCCCAATAGCCATGTCATGCTGTAGATAGCAAACCAGCTATCTCAATAACAATACCAAAATCACGAATGTGAACGTAATAAATACAACCCATGCATATATACAATCATGCTAAGGTGCCTTGAGATCTAAGTTTTTTTTTTGATTGGAAGTTACAACTAGGAGTAAGGTTTTTCGACAATCAAAGGACAGGTCACTTGAGTTGAAGGGCGATACCGGGGAACATACCTAGGTACATATGTACATCTTTGCCTCAAATTAAATACAAATTGCTGTATATGCATTTCCTTCATTCCTTTCTTCCATGTCTAACCATTCATATACGACAAGTCTATAAACAAGTGCAGCTCGAAGGATTCTGTTCCAATTTACCTACATTCCCGAGACAATACCCCCCTTTGTACACTCTTCTTATACTGGAGTCAAAGACTGGCTTAGAATAGACACAGAAAACACCAATTACAAGTTATATATGAGAACCAGGTGCAATTGGACCCATCCATTGACGATCGTGGCGTATCGTGACAAAGTAGTTCCGTCAATATGTCTCGAAGCGAATAGTTCAGCAACTGTATGGCTCCGCGCCGGGCAGTCCAGTCGCCCGATAATTTCTCCGGTCGACAATGTGTCTAGACGATAGGGAGGTTTTGCTGGCTTGTCCTCGTTTTTAGTGGTTGGACCGCTGTTTGTGAACAGCGAGGCGGGTGTCGTTGATTGCGACGTGGACTAGGGCGAGATAGATGGGCGTGCGGATAATCTTCGTCGTGAGCGCTCCTACCCCGACGAGGAAATCCGAGATGAATGCCCTGCTATTCATTCCTCAACCATGCCACCTTGCCGTAATGCCATGCCATTCGCCTCTGCATGCTCTCCTCTCGCGACCCCAGTAGCGACAACCTTCCCTTTCCCTTCACCAATCCTCACGCCAATCCCTCATCCATTCCTCAAGTCGTATACCGCTCGCACAATATCCCATTATCCCCTTTCACTCCCTCCGAAACCACTTTGTCAAAAACCCAAAACTTGCAAGCGGCAGCGCAACCCCGTTGACTTCAACCCACGCCACACCTCCCTCATCCGCACCACCGCCGCCACCATTCTCATCTACCCTCCTGCTCGTCGCGCCTGCGCTGCCGCCACCGTGTCCGCCATGCGTTGTATTGCTGCTGGAGGAGGAGGAGGAGGAGGAAGGGTGGTTGTGGGTGCCGTAGAGACCCACGTTTGCGAGTTTCGGCGATAGCACTGGGTGCACGCCCTTGTAGACGCGGAAGAGGTCGTAGCTTGTGTAAAGGATGAAGAAGGTTTGGAAGAGGATCGGGCCTGTGTAGGACATTCGCGGGCCGATGTGGACGGGGCGAGGTGGTGGCATTTTTTTAATAATTCCTTTCGTGAGAGTGTTGTTGGTTGGGTGTGAGGATGGATGATTGGCTTTTGGGGTGTGTCGGAGGCGGAGGCGGAGGTTGTTGGGTAGCGCTTGGGTGATGACGGAGTGCAGCGTCGGGTAAACTTTTTTTTTGCGACTTTAATTTTTTTTTGGTTGCACATGAATGAAATTGGGGGATTGAAATTGACATTCGGTATTTCATTGTGTTGGTTTACGTGATCTACTATCACGATTTGAATTCAATTCAATGTTGCTCTTGTTTCCTCGCAGTCGTAGCGGAAGTGAAGAACGCAGCATGACTACTAAATGAATAAGTACATATATAGAATCCATTCAAGTACTTAAATACCTCAGTCAGTAGACAATTGGAATTATCTGGGATTCTTATCTAATTATGTGGTTTTGTAATCTTTCCGCTGCTGGGTCTACATACCTAATGTAGTTGAGTCAACGCATTTCCACGCAGCACAAATATTTAGCAGAATCACACGACAAAGCTGCCTTCAGGCTCTAGGCAGAACACATGGTCTGTGGTTATCACAAAACTGCATGTGACGAAATAGTATCAAAGTGATTATGTAGCTGAATGCGGATGAGGTTCCAGCAAGGACCTAAACATCACAACTCGACTACCCGAATCGACTCTATTTGAAGATGAAGAGCCTGTGATACCGTCGCTGCCTGCGGTATTGCGTAAAATTGTCGCCGTTTTCGTCATTTTCGCTGCTTTTCTGTAGATTCAGACAGCCTGCAGGTTTGAATGCTTACTTCCTGGACCAACCATTTTGAGTCTACAAATGGAGGACTTCGATAACTTTTTTGCTCACGGAGAGGGAGGCGATTGATTGGTGAGGCAGCATTCGGGACCGCTGCCTAGCGTCCATTGTCACGTGTAGCTGGGAGCCTGGCTTATATAACCACACATGTGCACTAGTATAAGTACTTCCCTTGGCAAAGCATACTTAGTCCCCATCATTCAGTCCCGTCGTTTCTCACCCCAGCAACGCAACCATGGAGGACCTCGAGAAGCTGGAGTACCTCGGCCTCGTGTCGAAGATCGCGTCAGAGATTGAAAATTATTCAGGTCTTTCCGACAAGACGCTGGCCGAATTCGTCATCAGCATCCATGAGGAGGTCAACAGTGTTCCTGACTTTCAGCGGAAGCTTGAAGATGTGGGCGCCGACTTCCCGCAGAGCCTGGTCGATAGCATCGACCGATTGATTCTTACACTACATCCAAAGTTCAAGAAATCGAAGAACAGCACGGTGGACGGTGCGCCTGCGGTGAATCGAGACGAAAAGGCGCGCATCTATCGCGGATTGGCTATTCCGGATCGCAAATTCGCTGCTGAGCCCGAACCCGAGCCCGAACCCGAGGAAGATACCAACCCACTCGATGACACGTTCGCCATGCTGGAAGGTTTAGCTGGAAAAGGTTCTAGCAAGCCGAAAGACGACCGACCCCGATCCAGAAGCCCTCGCCGCAAATCGAAAAAGTACGACTACGTTTTCGACTCACCTAATCGCAAGCGATATCGAGACGAAGAAGAAGAATTTCGGGAACGGAGTCGGAAGAAGTTCCGGGATGAAGACAGCGATTCTGAGAGGGAATTCCGAAGCCGGCGCAAAACTCGCCGCAACGACGACGAATTTCGCCGCCCACCTACGCCCGAGCTCGACGAAAGACCTGTTCAGTTCAAGATCTACAACGGCACTGTGACTGGTGTCAAGGATTTCGGCGCATTTGTTCGACTCGACGGTCTGAGAAGACCTGCCGATGGACTGGTACACGTTTCGCAGATACATGATGGTGGACGAGTGAATCATCCTTCAGATCTCCTCAGCCGGAACCAACGTGTGAAATGCAAGGTCCTTAAGGTGGAAGAAAAGAGAATCTCGCTGTCGATGAAGGAAGTGGACCAGTCCACTGGCCAAGACCTTGCTCCAGCCGCTCGGATAGGTTCTGGTGCAAATTCGCAAGCTCTTGGAGGCTCAGATATAGTGCCCATCATAGAAGATACCTTTGCGAGCAGACGCAACGGGATGCGGAAACGGCCCACGTCACCTGAAATATGGGAGACCCAGCAGCTTATCGCATCCGGTGTCATTCCTAGATCACAACGCCCGGACATTGACCAAGACTACAATGCTCGCATCAACGGCGAGGGTGGCTTTGAGGAAGAGGAAGATGTGGACATTGAGCTTACTGAGACAGAGCCGGCATTCTTAGCTGGGCAAACGAAACAGACTCTGGATCTTTCACCGATCAGGATTCTCAAGGCACCGGAAGGGTCTCTGGCTCGAGCCGCAACACAAGGCGCAGTATTGGCCTCCGAACGGCGTGATTTACGAGTGCAAGAAGCACAAGCCAAAGCCGCTGAAGAAGCGGAGAAGGTGGATCTTAGCAGTCAATGGAACGACCCTCTTTCCACGAAGCGCGGATTCGCAGAAGAGTTTCGCAATGCCAGGAATGACCAGTCTCGCGACAAAATGCCCGAGTGGAAGAAGATCTCCACGAAGAATGCGGAGTTTGGAAAGCGCACAAACATGAGCATGAAAGAGCAAAGGGAGAGTCTGCCTGTATTCAAATTTAGGTCACAACTTCTCGAGGCCGTCAGTCAGAATACCTTCCTTATTGTCGTAGGAGACACTGGATCCGGCAAAACTACACAGTTCTGCCAATATTTGGCTGAAGACGGATATGCCAATGAGAGAATGATTGGTATCACTCAGCCTCGTCGAGTGGCTGCCATGAGTGTCGCCAAACGTGTGGCCGAGGAGGTGGGATGTATGCTTGGCCAGGAAGTCGGATACACGATTCGCTTCGAGGACAAGACTAGTCCGAACACCAACATCAAGTTCATGACGGATGGTATTCTCCAGCGTGAAATCCTGGTCGATCCCATGCTAAGCAGATACTCGGTGATTGTTCTGGATGAAGCTCACGAACGTACAGTTGCCACGGATGTATTGTTTGCGCTGCTCAAGAAAACCGTCCAGAAGAGACCTGATCTAAAAGTCATCGTCACTAGCGCTACTATGTCCGCTGAGAAGATGAGCGATTACTTCAACAAGTGCCCGATCTTTTCAATTCCCGGTCGAACACACCCAGTTGCTGTCTTTTACAGCCGTGAACCAGAAGAGGATTATGTTGAAGCAGCTCTCTTGACTGTAATGCAGCTACATATCCAGGAACCACCAGGTGACTGCCTTGTCTTCCTAACGGGCAAAGAGGAGATCGACACCGCTTGCGAAATCCTAGATCAAAGGATGAAAGCTCTAGGTCCTGAGGTACCTGAAATGATCATCCTCCCCATTTACTCTGCTCTTCCGCAAGAAGTCGCGTCCAGAATTTTCGAGCCCACTCCACCTGGGAGCCGGAAAGTGATCTTAGCAACGAACATCGCTGAAACTTCCCTGACTATCGATGGGATTACTATGGTGGTGGACCCCGGTTTCTCAAAACAGAGCTCCTTCGATCCCAAGTTGGGCATGGACAGGCTGCAAGTCATGCCTATTTCTCGAGCCGAAGCAAATCAGCGATCGGGCAGAGCTGGTCGTACTGCACCTGGTCGAGCATACCGCCTTTACACTGAAGCGGCTTTCAACTCAGAAATGCTGGAGACGCCTATACCTGAGATTCAGCGTAAGAACGTCACAAACACCATCTTGACACTTAAAGCGATGGGCATCAATGATCTGATCAACTTTGATTTCATGGATCCCCCACCCGCAAGCGCTATGTTGACTGCTCTTGAAGAGCTATTCCATCTTAGCGCATTAGACGATGAAGGTCTGCTCACACGACTTGGCCGACGAATGGCAGATTTCCCCATGGAACCTTCCTTGTCTAAATCACTTCTGAAGTCTGTGGAAATGAAGTGCTCAGACGAGGTTCTGACCATTGTAGCCATGATCTCTGGGACTCGAGAAGTCTTTATGCGACCCAAAGAACAGCAGCAAAAGGCCGATCAGAAGAAGGCTAAATTCCACGATCCTTCGGGCGACCACATCACCTATCTCAATGTCTACAATGGCTGGAAGAAGAGCAATTTCAACGTCCAATGGTGTAAAGAGAACTTCCTCCAGGCAAGAAACCTTGGACACGTCAAAGACGTCCGTCAACAAATCAAACAGTTGATGGACCGCCACAAACTTCAGCTCACCTCATGTGGTAACGATACGATTCGTGTCCGACAAGCCTTTTGCAGCGGCTTCTTCCGTAACTCGGCACGTAAAGATCCCTCGGAAGGCTACAAGACGCTTGTGGAGGGGACACCCGTCAGTCTTCATCCTTCTTCTGCGCTCTTCGGCAAACCCGCCGAGCACGTCATCTACGGCTCGATCGTTGAGTCAACCAAGGAGTACATGCACGTCGTCAGCCTTATTGAACCGAAATGGCTCGTCGAGGCTGCACCAGCGTATTTCAAGGTCGCCCCTACAGACCGCCTCAGCAAGCGCAAGAAGGCAGAGCGGATCCAGCCCTTACACAACAAATTTGCGGGCGAGGATGATTGGAGGCTCAGTTCACAGAAGAGAGCTGGCAGAGGTGGTGGTGGTACCTGGGGTTAATCTAGTCAGTTATGCATTGCTATATTTATTGGATAGTTTGTATTCGACAGAAAGGAGTTCGAGCTGGGGAAAATGTAGGACAGCTCTATATTATGTGTTAGACAATGATACCCATTTTCAGACAATTCCACGAGTATTCGTCTTCACAAAAATGACTCGGTGATACTGTTGACGACATTGGGAGAGGGCGCGACCCACCATCCCCCGCGTCAAGACTAACATTTATATTCTTTATCGATAAGACAAGCCCTATGACGAAGAAAAGTTCGATCTCATACCCTCCCCTCCACACACATAAAAACCACACGCATCACCAATGTCGTTCCGAAAGCGCAACATAGCGCTGACTCGCACGCCTCAATCCCCCTCCACATCCGAATCCACATCTACACCTTCCTCACCCTCCTCGGCGGCCCAACAAGAACCACAACATCCCAGCGCGCCCACCCCCGGCGTTCGCCCTTCTCCCATCAATGGCCTCCCCACAACCTCAACCGGCACACCCTCTCTCGATGCCATTCTAGCAGGTCACGCAGGCCTCCCTCTCGGTACATCACTGCTGCTCGGCGAGACAGGCACAACGGACTATGCGGGTGCGCTGTTGCGATTCTACGCAGCACAGGGCGTGGTGCATGGGCACTGTGTGCATGTTGTAGGTGTGGGGAGCGCGTGGGGGAGGGAGCTACCGGGCATTGCCGACGGGAGGGGGAGCGAAAAGGGAGGGAGTGGCGGGGAGAAGGGAGGAAAGATGAAGATTGCGTATCGGTATGAGAGATTGGGAGTTCTTGGGGAAGAGAGGGCTGGTGGTAGGGATAGAGGTGCGTTATCGAAGTCTCGTTGCTTGTTATGTACTTGTGCGGTGAAATGGCATTCTATTGTTTCTTCTGCGCGGATTTCCCCCTCTTTTGATTTCGGGTGAATGACTGAGATTTATGTGATTCTATTTAGGATCTTCGAGCGCGAATCGGGGTGATGGCGGAGACGACACGGCTCCCGCTGTCTTTTGCCATACGTTTGATCTGCTTAAACGGCTCGATCTGCCCGTAGGCACGGCCATCAACTACATTCCCATCCCACGAACAACGACGTCACCCTTCGTCGCAATATTGCAAAACTTGCAGCGACAGCTTGCATCGTCGGCACCTGGGACAATTCACCGCTTGGTCGTCCCATCGCTATTATCACCAGTCCTATTCCCTCCTCAGTCCTCCCACCCCTCTGCTGTTCTACAATTCCTGCACGCGCTCCGCGCACTGCTACGCCAATACCCTACACGTCTTACCGCTATGATATCGCTCCCGCTATCGTTGTACCCGCGCGCCACAGGTCTCGTCCGCTGGGCGGAACTTCTATCCGATGGTGTTTTCGAGCTCTCGCCGTTTGCGCACTCGCACCTCGAATCTCTTGCGACGTCAGCGGGCACCACCAAGGACGAAGAGAAGCCGCAGGGCATGTTCACGGTCCATAAACTGCCAATATTCCATGAAAAGGGCGGCGGTGGTGGTGGAGCGGAAGGGCTGGGTGAGGATCTGGCGTTTACGGTGAGTCGGCGCAAGTTTGTGATTGCGAAGTTCAGCTTGCCGCCGCTCGAGGGGGATACGGAAGCGCAGGCTGAAGCGGGTAGAGCGGCGGCAGGCGGAGAGACGACGATGCCAAAGAAGGCGGATCTCGAGTTCTAGTTGTTGGATGCATTCCGTTGGCGGGGACAGGATTCATGGCAATCCCTGTATCATAAGTCGGTTTCCAGGTCAAATAGAATAGACCATCTCAGTAGCGGCGGTGGTGGTGACGATACAATTGGCCTTGGAAAGATCAATCTGTATCAATGTCACTATCCTCCCCAAGCATATCTTCCATCTCAATCTGTTCCCATCCTCCCCCGACCCCTCCGCCTAGACCGCGACCGTATCCTCGTCCGAAGGATTGTCGTGGGTTCTGTAGGAGCGCGAAACCGCCAACGCGAGCGCGGAAATTGTCGCCCAGGCAGGAAGACAGAGCTAGGAATACTAGGAAAAATATAAAGGGGATGCCGAGAAGCAGGAATAGAAGTAGAAAGATGTTCATCTTGACTGGTGTGGTGTAGGTGCTAATGAATGAATAGCGTGTAGAGCGAAAGTCGAACGAAAGCACGTGTAAGAAAGGAAAGGCCTGGACTCAACTTTCCCTCGGGACGTCGTTCCACCGTAACCCCGGCCTCAACGTGTGTACCCCTGTTGCATCATACGCGCTTGCTGTCCTTTCCAATTCCTCCAATTCATTTCTTTGTTTGCTTCCATCTTGTTTTCGTCTGGACTGTTGGAGCTTGGGGATTTGCGTGATTTTAGATTATTTATATTCCTTATCCTCTCCCAATTCACTCCGTCGTAACCACACAGGCTTGAGTCCACGGAAATGAGTCGGTTACTACAAGTCACGCTGGGCGCAGCAGTCGTACTTTCTGGATGTATGTTGAATGCCGCCGCACACGGTGGTGACGCGCAGCAACAGGTTGTAGCTGCGCCGGATGCAGATTGGCCCACGAGGCACATGGCGGGTACGTTGATCAATCATTGCATCCGCAATGCCCTCCGATCAAACCCAAAGTTTGCATAAAACATCAGGAAGCTAACGACACAGCGAACGCTTAAACAGAAGAACATCACATCTCCGCCTTCGACTCAGGCACCTTCTTCACTTTGCACGATTATGACTCCACGGGTGTCTGGAACGCCGACGATATCAAACGCACCTACGGTCTCTTCGATCCGTCGACCAAGCACATCAGCGACCTCAAGAAACAGGGCGTCGTAAAGACTGTCCTCAGCATGTTCGATATAAATCATGATGGCGTTATCTCGGCCGAAGAATTCCACATAAAAGATGCGGAGGGCGTCAAGCTGCCCGACTTTGGCTTCGGGCCCGGCCACCACGGAGACGACGAGTACGAGTACGAGATCCACCATTGGGAGAAGTACCACAGTGGAGATGATGTGAAGGAGGAGGATTTGACGCACCCAGAGGACATTGAGCATTTCAAGAAGCACGACGAAATGGAGGCCAGGCAAGAGCAGTGGGAACAAGAAGAGCGGAGGGGGATTGTCGAGAGGAACATTCCGGCTAAGTTTAGGATCAATTGAGGCGCATGAACGTACAATGCTCAGCGAAGAGGGCGGGATATTGTGTACAGATATAAATGGTTGTATTATATCGTGTGTGCATCGGTGCTTGGTAGCAACCGTTGGACCGGAGTGAGCTGCGAGGTATCAGGCCCCTTCTTAGGGGCATGCTGGGATGGCAGCAGCTATGTCTGACTGTGTTCAGCACGGTGAGGATACTGGCAGTGACTTTTGAGTGTTATGATGTGTATGTATGATACCCTTCGGATTCGCCTTTATCGACGTTTGGCGAGGCTCGGAGTTTTCATTTTTACATGAGGTTATGTACAAGCCCTACAAAGTAATTGCAGTGATTCTTGCGTAAAACCCCTGTCCAAGTAGGGTTGTGTGTGTGTTTTGCGTATCTGGTAAGTTCTAGTATCGTGAGAACGACTAAACTTGCGTATTATTTTCTTTCATCTGGATATCCCAGCGAACCCTCTTGACAATATATCCTGCACACTAGCGTATATGGGCTAGAGCGAGACCCTTTTCAACTCAGGTCCAGCGTTCGGAGTCCGGGGCGGGACAGCTTTTAGGTTACCCATTGCTCGATGTTGTATGCACTGAGCCCCGATCAGGTGGTCAGGTATCCACCGAACTATTGGTCCTTTCCTCCTGGGTTGTGGAAAGATCGAGGCATGATCGAGGCATGTTTGATGGGCGAAGATCAAGACTGTGAGTCTCGTGGCATTGCGAAGGAATGCGGTAGACGTTCCTTGTAATGTATACACTCCACACTGTTTCACTTGCTTTTCAGACTGGATATGAGAACTCCCCGAGAAATCCTGGGCAACGGTTCGATCGAGTAAGGCCTCCAACGGCTATACGATACACAGCTTCGCCGATATCATCGCTTACCCATAATCGAGCCACCAATTTTACGCACCCCAGCCTCCGATTCTCAGACACTGAAGATAAAGCATTCACCAACGAATTATAATATATTCAACAACCCAATGCGTCTCACCTAATACTTCCGGCCCGAATCTCTCCCTGTACAGCCAAGTTTCAAGCATCAACGCCACGAGTGAACCAGGTATCGACTGGGGGCGGAAATCCCCTTAGGCAAGGTTTCAAGTTGAACCAAGTCCTCTCGTGCGAGTGTTTTATCCATGTGGTCCTATAGGGCCAATATTGAGTTTATACAGGTTTGAACGGAGTTACTTTTCTTTATGCGGGCTGCTTGTCCTCGTTCCTTCTTTTCTCTGGAATCAGTCATTCATTCACTTTGTGACAACTCGACTACACACTCTTTCTTTCCCTTCTTTTCCTCCTTCGCTTCTTCCCAATAATAACCAAACTGTCATTTCTCTAAATCTACGGCCAGTCTTTACCCCTCGGTTAGAAAGAAAAGGATTCTAGATGATGACGCGCTTCATACGCGCACCCTCCCCACTTCTCTTACTCCTCCTCTCCTCATCACCATTCATATCAGCGCTCTGCTTTCGACCAAATGGCTCCGTAGACGCAAACCCGGAATACGTACCTTGCTCCTCCGACCCATCTGATCCCTTCAGCAATATATGCTGCGCAACGAATCGACCTGCTGATCGCGGCCCGGATATATGTACGCCAAATGGACTTTGTCAGGTGGGGTTGAAGAAGGGGGAGAAGCAGGGTGATACTGCGTGGACGAAACCACAGTGTAAGAATAAAGATTGGCAGGGGTGTATGGAGGTTTGTGGGGTAAGTGGGAACTTTCATTTTCTTTCGATCATGATGTTTGGATTCTGCTGTGTTTGCTGTGTGCTCTTTTGGAATATGTGAGGGCACATAAAAATATGAGCCATAGGGACAACAGTGGGATACAAATGATGTTCGACCGAGAAGAAATAGAAGTGAAGATACTGACTCGAAAAACAGACAGATGATATGTCTTTCGTCACACCATGCGACACGCCCGCCGGGAACTCCTCACGGCGCTGGTGCTGCGGTTTCCAAAACAAAGATTGCTGTAACGAAGACAACGGGAAACCAATAGAAACTCTAGCCCTCACATTTGGAGCATCTACATCCTCCTCCACGCTCGCCCCCGTCTCTCTTCCTACCGACTCCACAGCGCCATCCCAGTCATCGCCAAATCCATCAACGACATCCGTACCAATTATGCCCTCATCCTCCCCCTTCACAAACCCCTCTACTCCCCAACAAATCAAATCCGAAGACGAGGGAATGTCCGCTGGCGCAAAAGCCGGTTTAGGAATCGGCATTGCACTCGGCGTTGTCGCACTCCTGGGCATGGGATACTTCCTCGGCGCACGACTCCGTAATAACAAAAACAATACTACCGCCACAGGTCCATATGCTATGATGCCAGACCCGTACGCTGGAAATGCGTATCCCCCACCAAACACGTACCCGCCTGCAGTGTATCAAGCGGACGTGCAGGCCCAAGGCGTGCCGCCTGCCGCGATGGTGTATTACAAGTACGAGGCGGACGGTGGGCCGAGAGTCGAATTGCCAGAAAATGGAAGGATTGAGCTGCAGAGCTCGAGGGGTACGAATGGCTTGGTCGAATTGGATGGTGGGGAGAAGGGGGGTGTGAATGTTGAGGTGATTCCAATTTCGGAAAAAAGGCCTAGGTAGTTAGGAAATTAATGAGAGGTACCATGGATTCATTTTGACGGATCAAAGTGTGAGGGAACGCTGTTCTTGCAGGCTGATGCTATGTGATGTTGGATTGGCTGTATCGATTCTTTTGCGAGCGGTTCGACAGTCGCTTGGAGACTTCATGGATGGGATTTGAAAGACGTGGGAATCTTGGGGAAGACCTGCGTTGACTTTTCGACGCGAAAAGGATCTAATCGGGTTCAAGAATCAAAGACTACCCAGTGCGTTCCACACTTGATACTCATTTGTGACATGAGAACTCATTGTTGAGACAGCATTCGCAAGCACTCAGCTCAAAGTACTGGTATTTATGCACGTCCAATCCTACCATGTATACTATGGGAAAGTTTCACGTCTCGATCGACACAAGTCTCAACTTTTGCTAACTAGATGCCACTGACCCAAACATCAAAAACCACGTGCATCACACCAGGCGCATACGTCTTCACTTTCTCTACATGCTCACACCGCACGCTCCTTTCGACCCCTACTCTCTCAGCCTCCCAAGCATCGACGTGCCCATTTATCTCCATCGCTACTTCCTCGCTGCGCTTCTCGATATCGCCAATCCCCACGTTTTCGTGCGCGTGAATCCATCCTCCATGCTCTCTATCCAACACCCTGACTGCCGTACGCCACGACAACTCTGATGAAGGCAGAAATCCACAATTGACATGTCGAACAGGCGGTATCACATCCGCTTCATCCTCTTCGCTATTTGCCTTCCCAAATTTCGACGGTTGCAAAGCAGCGACAGCATCAAGCGCGAACTCATTCGATTGCTGGAACACCACGAAATCCACATTCACGTCATCACCCTTCTGACCCCTCACGGCGTCATGATCTTTGAAATTTCTCCCCCATGTCCTCCAATTTTCCCTCGTCCCCGGAAGTGCATCTCCAGCAACAACTGTCGTATGCCAGCCATTCCTCGCTGCGCCCCGTCGGAACCCCTCTACACTCCATGCATTCACCTCCCAACCTAACACTTTTCGTACGCCTGCCTTGCGGTACGAAAACGCGAAATATCCGATCCCAGCATATAAATCGACCGCCGTGCAGCCTGTCAGATTATTGGTGACAGACGATTTTACGGAAGGAAGCGAAAGGATCCGCGCTTTTTCTTTGACATTGCCTCGACTGAACATGGTGTAAAGGGGGGCCCAAACCTGATGAATTCCATTCTGCGTATGTGATACCCACAACGCTGAGTCGAAATTTAGGCTCGTGGGGTTGACGGTTGGTGGCGGTGGTGTGAAGGAAGGAGGGTAAATTGGTGTTAGGTTAAGAGGGCTGCGGAATGTGTTGTCGGATCCCGGGGGGTTCGATATGCTGGTGGAGGTTTCTGGCGGTGATGCAGATTTCTGAAGGGGAATTCCGGCATTGAGAGCAAGGTGTGTGGTTCCTGTTGATGTAACGAGTGAGTTCCATACAGGCTGCAAGGCTTGAGATGTTACTGGGTGGGCGGATATTAGAGTGTTCCAAGGGTTTGAGGTGAAGGCGTTTGGTGGGAGGAGGAGGAGAGGCTTGTATATAGAGTAAGCGTCTGGGAACGAGGAGAGAAGGGTTTCGATTGTGAGGTCTAGCGATTCGAGGAGCTCAATGGGGAGGATTTGCAAGCCGTTCCTGAGGCCGTTGGTAAGAGGATTGTTTGATGATTTGCTGGTGTTTCCCGACGTTGTGGCAATATATGTTGATGTCGATATGCTGTGACTGATGGAAGTGGGAAGACCAAGATCTCCGAGGATGGTAGACGTTGATGCTTCGTTGTCAGGAACACAGGGAATGGATGTATACAGAGTCATGTACGTTTCTGTACTCTTTTCATCGGCGCCATTAATGGCGGTTGTTATCCTTTTGCTCTTATTCAAGAGGTTTTGAGCCTCCAATGCAGTCTTCACTTGCTTGACTAGGCTTCGAGGCACTCTCAAAGCCACATGAGTACCGTCCATCTCTTACTAAATAACCAGTCAAATCAGCGGGGTAGTGGGAAGCTACCAAAAAAGCATTGGCATGTCTCAATTCGGGAATTGATAGATGAATTCCAGTTTCCTTACCAGTCACGAATTGCATGTTGAAAATTGAGGAATGGCGGGCGGGTACCTGGCAGCTACCAAGCTACCCCGCCCCCACTTGCAAGCTTATCTGATCCATCATAGCCCACCTCGAAAACAACGCCGCAGCTGAGGCACAGTTCCCTCTCATCTCAGAACAGCACACCGCATCTCTTTTGTCGCACGAACGAGCACCGACGCGAATCATGTCCCTTACCAATCTCGATCTAGTAAACGAATGCGATGGCTTTCCCTACTATGAAACCAATCCTGATGTCTACCTCGCCCGAGTAGAATCTTACTACGAGCTCTGCATATCCGGCTACGACTATGCGCTGGGCTTCATGCTCCCCGCTGTCGCCGAGGTCTTCCGCGGCGTACCACACTGGGAGCTTGACGACGAGGAGCAGACCCTGACGTTGACCGAGGGCAACGATGCTGCATCGCGCACTGCCGCCATCGACAAGACACTGTTGGCAGTGCGATCCACAGGGCACTTCAAAGTACTCGACAAATGGAGGAACGAAATGTACCCTGTATATGGGCTTAATAAAGAGTTGTTGTTCAGCGTAGAGAGAAGCGCGAGCCCGTTGTTTGGGGTGGTTACATATGGCGTACATTTGACAGCGTATGTGAAGAAGAATGGAGAAACGTGGGTATGGATTCCCAGAAGAGCGAAGACGAAGCAGACATACGGTGGTATGCTAGATAATGCGGTCGCCGGAGGGATGGCGACAGGTGAAACAGCTTATGAGAGCATGGTTAGGGAATGTGGCGAGGAAGCGTCACTGTCCGAGGAACTGGTGCGAAAACTCGTCAAGCCAGTTGGGTGCATCACATACTTCTCCGTACGCGGTGAAAAAGCCGGGGGCGAGACAGGACTGCTCCAACCCGAGGTCGAATACGTCTACGATCTCGAGCTGCCGGAAGATGTCATTCTTAAGCCAAATGACGACGAAGTAGAAGAGTTTTACCTCATGAGCGTCGACCAAGTCAAAACAGCTATGGCTCAAGGCGAGTTCAAGCCCAACTGCGCGCTTGTCATGATCGACTTCTTCATAAGACATGGGTATTTGACTGCGGAGAATGAGAAGGACTACATTGAGATTGTGCAAAGGTTGCACCGAAGATTTGAATTCCCTACTCTGTGAAGTCGGTTGCGTATGGTATTACGCAACGCAGAGGACGCCTTTGCTGGGTATGCGGGCTTGAAAACTCCAATGTGCCAGAAAGATTAGATGATAGACCCAAATGATACCACCCTACGTATTGCCCCCCCAAAACGCCGTCCATGCAGTTTTTGATCCCTTGTCTTTTCCTTTGTGTGCGTGTCTGTGGAGACGGAATTGAAAGTCTTCTATTTCTTCACAAGAAGGTAGAGGTGTTCAATTTTGAGACCGGTCAGCTTCTTGTAGGGGCCCTGCATGACGAGCAGCAGGCCTCCGAAGGAAAGGTACACCTTGATGTCGTTGCCTTCATTTTCCTGGTCCAAAACCCTGTATACTTTTCCATGACACACGTAGTCGAACATATCCGCAAGGGTAGACTCGCCCTTGGCGACATCCCTCCAACCTTGTCCCTCTTCTTTAGTGCCATCAAGCTTCAGAGTGTTGGCCAAAACCAGATTGATCGTGTCGCCTGTATGGCAGGGGAACAGTTCGTGGTTGACATCGAGAGTTATGCTAACGGTATTATCGGTTGAGGTACCGTTCAGTCGGGTGACACGGTCATATCGCTCGGAATCGACAGATGTAATGTTGAAGGTGTCTTCGAAGATTGAGGCGTCAGCCATGGCGGAATAGCTAATAGTTGAGCTGGTGTTTGCGGGATGGGGAGAAAATGCGAGGTGGTGTTGACAGGTCGGGCGCAAAAGTTCCGCGCGTTGAGTTCGTGAGCAGCCTCGACAGTGAGTTGGACAGATGATAAAGTTTTCCAGGCGGCTTTGTGTTGACTGGCGCGGGTAAGCTCCGGATGGGTGGCTTTATCGTGAGCTGCAACTGGTAGAGTGAAAGAAACGAGCTCTCTCACTAGAGGCGGGGCGGGGCGGAACAATAATTTTCCTAGCGCCGTCGGTAGCTACTTATGTATGTATAACATGGCCCAGCAGCACTCCACTGCTGCCCGTGTCACCCACCTTACCAGCAGGGCTTTCCTACCAATGTTAGAAACAGTCCGAAGCTCGACCTTGGTTACGGAGACACACAACTTTACTGTCTAGGTGGCGGGGTGCCAGAGTGCCCCCACATCCCCGCGCATCAGCGGCTGATTGCGGACCCGCCCACATATCAAAGACGTCAACACGATGTCTGATGCCGTTGATCCTCTGACATTGCAAGCAACATCCCCTACTCAAATATCCGGTCATGCCATGAGCCAGCAGGCTAGTTCCACCATGAACCAAGCCCAGACTTCCGATGCGCCGAAGCAGCAACACTCGCCCTTGCTAAGGCTCCCCAAAGATGTGTTCAAATGCGTTCTGGATCATCTTGATCGTGACGATGCATGGTCTCTGAAGAGGCTCTGCCGTGGCTTCGCAGATTCTCAAGCTGTTGGCGAGGCGCTGTACCGACACCCTATCCAGTGGGAGGATGTTCAGAACATCAAACTCCATGAATGGAGGTATAGACCTACGGGTCAAGCGCGTTGGCAGCGCTTCGTGGACAGCATAACAGATGCTAATCGACACTACGTCCTGAAGATTGCTATGACTCATTGGTGCAGTATTGCTGATTTTCAGTGGATGGAGAAAAATCTACCAAACCTTGCTAGTCTCGATTTATCTGCCATTAAAGATTTCGTGTGGACTCCTGAGGAGACATGGACGTGGAAAGAGCTTGCTGCGGCCTGTCCCAAACTGCTCGAGCGACTCAAAGAGCTCGAAGTGACCAACTGGGCCGACTATAGTGTCCACAGTTCCGTAGAATACAACTACTCATGGAACGACTACAGATTCAAGCAGAAATTTCGTATGTCCAGGAGGCGAGATGGAGGTTCGGTCGCTCGAATGATATTCCCACAATGCAAGAAACTTGAGACACTCGCGATCCGAGAACGTCACTCTGGATACCAGACGTGGAATGAGTGGGAGGTTCATCAACGGGTTTGTTGTCTGGCGGATGGAATAACCCAAAATTGCCCGCCGACCTTACACAAGCTGCGAGTGTATGATTACACCCCTTTCAGGTGTCTCGTCTCCTTTAGCGAATTTACATGGTCAAATATCTCCAATGTCGAGATTGATCTGTACAAGTGGATAGATGAGCGTAAAGATCGAGCCTTATCCCATGGTTTGCCACTCAGGGTCACACAAGGTTTCTTGCGTAGGCCTGAAGAAGGTACGTTGTTGCACTTTTATCGTTGCACTTTGAAATTCTACTCTTACTCCTACTTCTACTCCTACTCCTACTCACACGCACGACCATGACTATACTGAAATATATTGAACTATACTGACTGATGTATTTTCTTTCGTAGATGAATTCATTGACAAAGCATACGATCAATGCAGCCGTAACCACATGGACTTAGGGGCCCATATCATACAAAGCACCGGTGGTACATTTGAAGATCTGCTGCAAAGTGTGCGAACGATCGCGACCATATATCCGCATATCACCGTCAAACCGGTCACGATCCCAGGCGTTGTTGAATTGCAGCCTTTTCAATTGGTCGCACTGAACCAGAATCATCGAAGGCTGGGGATCGCTCCGGGCGCTCCACCACCTGTGGACGTTACTGCCAAGCCAGAGATGCAGGACATACTGCGATGGTTGGCTGCTCAATGGCATTTCAAACCTATATTCGTATGGGGTCACCTGATGTGTGATGCTTTCCCCGAGAACCTGGAGCCTAGTGGATTTATGATGGGTAAGTACAAGATTGGGATGCTGGATTTTGTTGCGTGTTGCAAAATTTCTTGCTGAAAACGACTGACTTTATATGCGTCTTCGATAGCTAGACCACCACCTAGACCGACTATCCAGAAAGACGACGTATTACTTCGTATATTTGGTATGGCAGTTATCTTTCGGACGCTCAACATTCCCATCCGAGTATCAATCGGGCATCGGTCCAACCCATCCAGTCCCCATGGTATAGATGGCTCTCTATTATTTGGTGACTTCAAGACCCTCGTAGGTCAGGGCCTAGACCGGCGTGAGCTCATTCTGCCCTCGCAGGCCTCGTTCAACTTGTCCAACATAGCTCATATGATCGATGAGCTCATCATTGAATATCCCTTCGATGTACCGGGTGTCATTAATAGCTGGACACGTGATTCGAGTCTAAGGGCTGTTGAAGAATCTTTGTTTGAACGTGAGATGGTTGGTTGGCGTCGGTTCTGGGCTCGTTATGCCCGTCAGATGAAAAACTTGAAAAAGTTGACCGTACACATTCCGAGCAAAATCTACCGAGACTGGGGCAGGTGCGTATATTGGTGGTTCAGTCCCATCAGAATCCACTCTAATGTTTCTCGTACTTGCAAGTTACTAATTTAATCTCGTCTTCACAGGTGCAAGGGCTTACACGAGCTCCTCGCCGACGATCGCTGGCAGATGTTGGAGGTGAAAACAAAGGGTTCGACATTCATCAGTCTTGAAGACGTGCCTCTCGGTGGCTTAGTTCCACGCTCGACGCGTGTCCCATTCGTTCAGCGCGTCTTCTTCCGGACAGATGATGCTCCTTTGCATCATCTACAATTTACTAATCCTAGTCTAACTTCTAAAGAGCGGGACGAGACGCCGATCACGGAAGAAGAACTCGATTTTGACGATACAAAGGGACAACCACATCGGTTTTTTGCTGAATTACCGGACGACCGAGGCGTGAAGAGGGGCCTAGAGGTAGATGGGACCCCGGAGGACTCGGTCCGCAAGAGGGCAAGGCAGATGTTGAATGAGCAAATGAATGACATCCAGGGACTCCTGTCTCTTCCCATGTGAAGAAGATATGGTATATCATGCCCTGTCATGTTTTAGCTGGCAAGGGCTGACGCTTGAACGTACAACGACCCTATTCTTTAATAAACTACGAATACAGTCTGTACGACGGAGGGAAAAAGAACTAGATAGATGATATCCTGGTGATTATTTTACGGATTTGGGCAATGGGAGCAATACAAAGCCTTTGGGGACGCGTACTCCTAGCACTTCTCTGTCACATCGAGACCTTATCTCAACCAAGCCTTTGTGAAATGCTCGTCAAGCGCTATACGGCATCCACTTGTATCACCTGCGTCATTTCTGCCTGATGTCAACAACACGAGAACGCAGGTTGACCTATAGCTGTAGAAGATTCCGGAACTGCGATATCTTGTGAGGTTACTGTTCATCTTAAAACACTCTTGACGTGACGAAGATCCATGGTCTACCAGAAAGAAATATTTCGTCACAGGCACTGAGTTAAAGTATCAATTCATTCTCACCACACACTCTGAGCCTCCTGGCAAAAAAAAAAAAAGGAAGACTACCTAATCAACAACTCCACCTCATTTGCATCAACATCGTCCTCTTCCTCCCCGGCCCCCCAGTCCAACTTCATCAACAACCGATCCACACTACCAAGCCTCAACGGTACATACATGCCCTCATCTCCACCGGCACCCCCATCTTCCTTAGTCCCCCAAGCTCCCAGCCGCTCTCCGTCAATATCCCTCAACCTCCCTACTAACCCCTTCAAATCCGCATCAAGCCGTCTTCTCGCGCGATCCAATTCCACGCTAACCTCTTTCTGCTCCTTGGCCCAATCGCGGCTGTAGTCCTCGAAGCCGTCGTCTTCTTCGGCGTCGAGCGAGGCGTGGATGGTTTGGAGACGTGTGAGGTGTGCGGTGAGAAGATCGATGTGCGTGTATGTTGTGTGGAGGAGGGTGGTGAACTGTGAGTCGGTGAGGAGGAGGGATAGAGTTATTGTGCGGAGGAAGGTGCGGTGGGCGAGGGAGAGGGCTTCAGGGTCATGCTGGTGGGGTTGGGTTTGTTGCGTTGTTTTGGAGGATGTGGGCGCCAATGCCGCTGAGGAAGTGGCGGATGCTGATGTGGGTGGTTGTTTTGATACAGGGGCTGATGATGATGGCGGTCGTGCAGAAGTAGAAGAGGCTGTTGTTACGGGGTTCTCGATCCAGTGCAGGAAATGTTTGAAGGATTCTTGCACTACTTCGCCTTGGAAGTAGGCTTCACTTTCGGCGAGGAAGAAGATTGCTGCTGCGCATGTTGCCCAAACTTTTCGTAGCTCGCGGGCGCGCGCGTTGTTGCGCTGACGGCGTCGCTTCAGGATTGCTTTGCCTTGCGGAATATTGCTGTATTGGTAGCCTGGGGGTGTGGGGTGTTCCCTCCGTAAGGAGCTGTGCCGCCACAATTGGGCAAGGTGGAGGTGGGCTCGTCGAAGCGCGAGAAGGTAGGCATTGATGTTCGTATAGACTTCTAGGTCAGTCCTGGACATGAACAGGTCCAAAGGAGATTTGATATCCATTGTCAAGACGGTAGGGATGGAGAGAAGAAGGTTGTTGAAAGCTACGTTGGCGATTTGAGGAAGAATAGAGGTAGAATCTTTGGCACGACCGGGGGTTCCTGGACGATGGGAAGCAGGGTTGTAGACGACTAAATGGAGCGTGTCAATGGCAAGATCGAGGATATCATCTGTATGATCATCTTCGCCGCTCAGCGTGGAAAGAACGTTGAACGAGCGGGACAATGTCTGGCTAATCTCTGCTTCCTTCAGAAGAACGCCTTGAATTCCGCCACTTTGCTTGGAGGGTACAGGCATGCGATGCCGCGAGCGTAACCTCTCGTCCGCTTCGGCAATCAAGGTCATCGCGAATTCGCCGCGGCCTAGAAGAAAAAACTGGTGCAACACAAACAGAATATCAACAATTCTTTCGCGAGGTAAAAGATGTTGCAGTAAGTTTCGTGAAAGAGATACCCGGATTTTTGCAATCACCTCCGATAGTTTTGCAGATGATATAGGGGCGTTTACTTCGGATAGGTAGCCGACATGTATTGGCAGGAGTTCCAGCTCAGAAGGACCAGATGTTTCGCTGGCCAGTGTTCTTGCTGTAGATGGCAAAGAGCGTATCTGATTCAATGACTTTCCAATGAATAGGATCGATGAGGCTGTATCTCTGGTGACGAATTTGGGGAGTAAGGCATGTTGTACGATAAAAGAGAGCTCGTCAGAAGAATCATCTTCAATGAAGAAATCGGACGCTCCAAACGAAGGGAGACGGCCGTGCAGAAGCCATGTTGCCAGCTGTCGTAGCCATGCACTCTCAGCCACAGTGCTGAGGTGAAGTGCTGCTTCTTCGATGTCCGGGTAGCCTGTTTGGGCTTCTGCTCGAAGCTTGTCGATAAGCTCCGCTCCTGAGCATGCTTTGCCGACCGGTTCGTCACCTTTCTTCGAAGCTTCTGATGGTAGAATGAAATTGCTGATATCCCACAGCCATTCCATTACCCTGGTCCATTCTGAAAATTCGCCAACAAGCGTGGCCAGCGGCACTATATTGTAAGCACCGACTGTTGATGCATCTTGCTTCAAGATGCGACTCTCCACATCCAAGATTTTTTGCTGGAACCTATCCAGATGATAGGAGGTAATGGCTGTAGCCACTGCTCTGGCTACGGTCGAGGGATGAGAAGCAGCAAGACGAGCAACATGATGGCGCAAGCGACGATGAACACGTGACAGGTGACCCAGTGAGGAAAGAAGCTCTGTCTCGGGCGGAGACAAGAGGTCTACATGTTTTGGAGTTGAGGTGGCATGCGAAGGGGCGGAATCGAAGAGCGCCGAGGGGTGACCGGAGAGCGAGAGGAGGATTTCGTGGAGCATGGCCTAGGTAGATCGTTTGGGCTAGTTGTGTGTTGTTGATGATGCTGCTGGTTTTGATGGTGGGGCTGGCGGCTCTCGGCACGGCTATCTTTGAAATTCAAGAACAGACTCAAGAGTTCATAACGACACATATCGGTGCATGATGTGCTGACGCGAGGAAATAAGTTGATAGTCAATTGGTAGGTCGTGGAACTGACGCGTCGGGCAATTGGCTGGTGGTGGAAGAGGTACGCTTGGGAGCAGGGGTGGCAGGCAAGCACCAATCACATCGAAGCTACCCACAACACCATAAAATGCATCTCAGACCACGTATCAAATGTAGAAAATGTATGAGAGATGATGCATTTGTCGCATTATTGTGAGTTTTTACTGCTACTGCTGGAGGACTATAATTAGATCCTTTGCACACATGTATGTCGATTCTACATCCACCCTGCGACGGGTTCTCTAGTAACAACTGATCCGTGTAGCACGTCGCTAATGACACTCCACAGAGTGCATTTTCAGACTATCGTTTCAGCGGATAATCTGGTGGAAACATATTTGACTGAGCGCTTGTCTAGTCGTGCTTATGAAAGTTTGCTTGAAGGATGTTTGCTTCGGAAAACAAGTGGAAACAACGAGTTCTTTGTATTTGAAGGTGCAGAGGCACGGCTCTATATAAGTAGCTTTGGTAAGGCCATTTCAAAGCCAATCGGCAAGACGAGATACTTCAATCCCGCGAAGTTTCGTCATCTTCAGGTTATTGTACTCTTCTCGAGGCAGGCAAGCGCTAGTGAACAGTTGTAGCTTCAACAGCTTTCTGCGCCGGATAACAGCTGATCTGGCTCGAGAAGAAGTCACTATGAATCGAAGTGAGCAGATTTACACAGACCAGACTACTATGAACATAGAAAGAAGGAGCAAGTTCTCACAGTGAGTTGTAGATAGTCTTTTAGTGATGGTGTAAGCTGACGTTTGGTAGTGTTCTCACATCACCCATCATCGCCGTGACTGTTGGAAAGTCAAGAACGTTCTACCTCCACAAAGATATCATCACGGCAGAATCGGAAGTGTTTCTGAAGGCTCTCACGGAACCGTTCAAAGAAGCGAATGAGCATGCTGTCAAGTTAGACGATGAGAACCCCGAGCTCTTCAGGTATTTCGTCAAATACCTTTACCGTGATCGCTCAATCCTTTCACGTCGAATTGCACACTATTCCGAGTTAGCTACATTAGCACGTCTATATGCTATGGGGGAGCGCCTAATGGCATATAAGTTTCAATCTTGTGTCCTGCCGAGATTCACCGAAGCTGTCAACTATAGCACTCAGGTATCGGAAGAAGTCATTTGCGACATGCTCCAGACCGCATGTACCAAAATGACCAAACGGATGGAAGAAGACCTCATGAGATCGCTAATATTCTGGTATGCGGCATACAGAATTTCAAATTTACAACAGTCTAGAATTTTCCAGCAGATGCTCAACGAGATTCCTGAGCTGGGAAAACAAATTTGCCTATGGATGGCAAAAGCTCAGCCAGTGGAATTGCCCGTTCCCAGCCATAATAGGGATCAGGCCTCGAACCCAAAGTTCGCCCCGGAAAGCGAGTACGGTCCACCAGGCTCACCTGAGTCTAGTGAAAAAGCCGCGAACCAAAACCCGAGGAAAAATGAAAGATGAGGCTGAACGGGAATGCAGCAGCTACGCTAGGATAATCCATGTGAAGATCGAAGATGGGCAAGGAATTTTCTAGAGTCACAGTCGGGCGATCTACCAACTTATTTGGCAAGTTGCGGCTGATCTTAGATGCGTTCAAGATCAGATGGAATATGCACTCGAGTCAATTCAAGGGACCACTGTGTACTGCATACTATGTACATCATATATGTATACGTTAGGACTCTTTAATCAATTCATCATCACCCTCGATCCCCTCCTCCCCATTAGCGTCTTGCTTTCAGTGTCTCCCATAGTATTCTTAGAGAATGATGAAGCTGCTCGCAGTTGGCAAAGCGAGTTGGTCTATGGTATCATGAGAACCAGGGGGTGATATTTCGCCTTCTATGCATACAATGAGCAACCAGGTTTACAGTTGAGTGGACGCATTATGATATTGAGGTGTCACACGTTAATGAAAACGAACCATTCGAGATCCCAACTGCGAATGCTCGCTACAGAAGCATCGTTTGTTGGTTTCGCAATATAGACAATGCGTGAAGACGTCTGAACGCACGAGAGATTGAAGCTACGCTACTGATGAGTTCACCAGGACTAGACGGTATAATGGGCTGATGGACTTCGTGCATAGACCTCTACGCCGCAAGTCCTTGGTCCGTCGGTAAGAAGATTAGGAATCGATAGTGTTGTTTTTGTCTGAGAATGAACAACTGTGCTCTACCTGTGCGCTGATGTTATTGAATCAAACATTATGATTTGCAAGTTCTCAGTTGGTCTTCGGCATGAGTGCTGAGATCTGAGCAGAAAGACTAACGGATAAACGCAATCGCGCGAATAAAAGATCGCACCCTATAAGAGTGCACTGTCAAGTAACGCAAATGATTACACGTCTATCAAAAGTTGAGTTCGAATAAGGACAAGTGTAGGCAATTTCAACAGTCCAAAGGAATTCGAACAGCTTGTGGCGTAGGCAAATACCAAGTCCACGCCAAGTCGCGCACTCCGGTCCCAATGGAGTAGCTCCCTAAGCATTGATGTTCCATCTCGGTTTCTCACTTTGTTTCTGATTCCTTACCATTTTTTTTTCTCTATCAAGATTTCTTGGAAATTGGCAAGGGTAGCGGCAATTGCGGTAATAGTAGCGCGCACGTTTGGGCTATGCTGGTTGCGGAATAGTGCCGGAGAAGGCGTGGCAAAGCGATAAGCAATAGGGGCAGAAGGGAGGCTGGAAGGCTTGCGGGCTTGTGGCCTTGGGAGCGCATATGCTCGCGTGAGATGTATTTGTGCGGGGTGTTTGTTCAATGATGGAGTGATCATGGTTGGGGGAAAGTGTCAAGCGTGTAACCGACTGCTGCTGGCTGAGTATGTGTTATCGTGATCGGGACCCCCGCTTCTCAAAGGTCTATTTAAAAATCCGTAATATGCACGCAATATATGTCTGCTACCCATTGGAGGATCGGTGCGCAGTAGATCTCCGCAGCTGTAGCCTCCATCCATGTGTACGGGAGGCCAGGACCCGAGGAAAGTGTGAAGACATCATCTTCAGGATAGTACCCAATGACAATTAGGGAGATGGTCGCCAGTGAATTATTCAGTTGTTACCTAAACCACCTGCCTTTTCCTGCTCTCGCGCGCGACCCGACACAGTGCCCAGAGAATGCAAAGAATGCAGACCAAACAGAAGAAACAGAAGAATCCGCCACACCGGGGGCTTCGCCTGAACAAGGCTAGCAGATAAGCAAACAAACACCAGGCCCACAACCCGCCTTTCGAGAAACGGACCAGAACCAGAGGTGCAAGGGGAACGGTCGGCACGCCGTACTCATGGGATAACGTGAGAGTGAGTAGCACTGGGCGTGATTGGTTTCGGCTAGTGATGTGCCCAGCAACAGAGCTAACAACCTTCCTATCTGGGCAGCTGGCTGGCTGGTTGCCGTGAATGGATGGTGGGAGCATGGGCATCTGTGCGGTTGCATTCACGATAGCTTGTCTCGTGCCCGCGCGATCAGCTCATCATTGATTGCGGAGAGCTGCCGAGGGACAAGGGTAGGCCAAGGAAATCCGTCCCAAGCGGCCAAGAAGGCATGGCACGTTGCCTTTTAGATTGGAATCCTGCGTGTTGGGTAGACCGTGACCGTGATAGGTCGTTCCCGCAATCTGGGTTTGTCCCGCAGCTGTTTCCCATAGGCACTGATCCTCTGGAAAAGGTATCGGCCAGCTGCTGATACATAAACTGTGACTCGGCCAGGGATGTACGACCTGTCGATTCCTCATGTTTGTGCTGGCGTTCGCGATGCTGCGGCGTCGCGCTGCGTTGATGCATGGTCGTGATTGCATTTACGCCACCAAAAACCCTGTGTGTCGCGCCGTACTCGCCAAGTCTGAAAGATAACCCCTAGTCCACTTCGTCCTTCTTAGCAAAGGAAGAAGAGTATTGGCGTTGATAACGGGGAAACACCAAGACACCAACAGAGCGCACAACCATGAGCCGTTATCCAGTTTGATAGTCGCCTTGCCCAGCCCTTGGAACTGCATCCATCCCTTGTGTTGCAAACATCGGGTTGCGGGGGGTTCGGTGTCAAAGTATAATAATACGAGCATATCTCCCTGTCCTCCCCGCCCTGTGCAGCGAACCTTCTCTTCCGCTCCCCTTATTTAATTTCACTCAGCTGGACACCAGTTTGCGCACAAGTCGTCAATATGGCTGCCGCCGGTGCTCAGAATACCGTGGACATCGCCATGGCTCACGAGCCCAAGGTCGCCACGCCTGCCTACGAGCTGAGCGAGAAGAAAGCAATGGCCGAAAGCACACATGCTGCTAGCGTTGCTGGGCCTATCGAGGTGGTCAACGAAGCCGATTTGATTGGCGAAGAGCCCACCGAGGAAGACTTGCTCACCTTAAGACGTGTGTCCGGCAAGATCCCTTGGACTGCTTACACTGTCGCTTTCGTCGAGTTGTGTGAGCGTTTCGGTTACTATGGATGCTCTGTGCTGTGTAAGTTGCATTCTGTCCCGAGGGCTCGGAACAGTAAAAGAATCCATCGCTGACTATTCCATCTCAGATACCAACTATGTTCAGCAGCCTCTGCCAGCTGGTCAACCCACAGGTCGGGATCCTGGTTCGGAAGGTCAACCAGGAGCTTTGGGTATGGGACAGCGTGCCGCTTTCGGTATCACAACATTCAACTCCTTCTGGAGTTATGCCTGTCCTATTCTCGGTGCCATCATCGCTGATGAATATCTCGGTCGCTTCAACACCATCTTCGTCGCCATTGCCTTCTCCATTCTTGGTCACATCCTCTTGGTCATTTCCGCGCTGCCTACTGTGCTCGCCGGCGATGCTGCTATCGCGCCATTCATTCTCGGTGTCATCATCCTCGGTTTCGGAACTGGAGCATTCAAAGCCAACATCTCTCCACTGGTTGCCGAGCAGTACAAGCAGACCAAGCTGCGTGTGGTGATCGACGAAAAGACTGGCGAGCGTGTTCTTTCTGACCCCACCATCACCGTATCTCGCATTTTCATGTACTTCTACATGTTCATCAACATCGGTTCCTTGTGTGGCCAGATCAGTATGGTGTACGTTGAGAAGTACGTCGGATTTTGGTGCGCTTTCCTGCTTCCCACCATCATGTTCTGCTTCTGCCCTGTCGTTCTTTGGTTCTGCCGCAACAAGTATGAGCGAAGCCCCCCAACCGGCTCTGTTCTCATCCGTGCTTTCAAACTTTGGCGTTTGGCACAGAAGGGCAAGTGGTCTCTCAACCCTGTCCAGACTCGCCGCAACCTCAAGGCAGCCAACTTCTGGGAGGACGTCAAACCTAGCCATCTCGGGACCAGCAAGCCCAGCTGGATGACATTCGATGACGCTTGGGTTGATCAAGTTGCCCGTGGTCTTCGCGCTTGCTCGTGCTTCGGCTGGATCCCCATTTACTGGCTCTCCTACAATCAGATGAACAACAACTTGACATCTCAGGCCGCGACCTTGAGGCTGAACGGTTTCCCCAACGATGTTATCACCAACATTAACCCAATCTCCCTCGTTATATTCATCCCGATCGTTGACAACTTCCTGTACCCATTCCTCCGTCAGAAGGGTATTCGCTTCACACCCATCAAGCGCATGACACTTGGTTTCTTCCTCGCCTCCATGGCCATGGTTGCCGCGACTATCATTCAGAATGAGATCTACAAGCAGGGATCTTGTGGCTTTTACATGAACAAGTGCGACGATCCTGCCCCCATCAGTGTGTGGGTGCAGATTGCTCCCTACACTCTTGTCGGTTTCTCTGAGATCTTCACTTCTATCACTGGTCTTGAGTTCGCCTTCACCAAAGCACCCAAGAACATGCGATCGCTTGTGACTTCGTACTGGCACTTCATGTCTGCCTTTTCCGCTGCTCTCGGCCAGGCCTTCGTCTCTGTCTCTGAGGATCCCCTTCTCGTCTGGAACTATGGTACCGTTGCTGTGCTTGCTTTCCTTGCCTGTATCGGTTTCTGGTTCCACCAAAGGCCTACCGACAAGCGAGAAGACGCCTTCAACATGCTTGCTGACACCACCTATGTCGGCCGCAAGAAGAAGGATGTCGAGGAGGATATGGAGGAGGAGGCTGTCAAGGCTTAAACGAGTCTTTTCTTTTCCCACTTTCTGTCTGAACGTTGTTTCCCAATGCGGGAGCATAGTTTCCGCTCACTTGATATCATGAGCCTGACACGTACATAATGTTATCCGAGTAATGTAGCGCTGATGTATTGATCAGTTTGTAAAAAAAAGCTGTGTATTCAAAACATTTGTGTTGCAATGGACTTTGTGAACGTTGGAATTAACTGTGTGCCATGAATACGTAAGCAAGACGACGCTTGCCTGGGCGCTGCTAGCTCTCTTTGCTCCTTCCTCATCGCTTGGGAGAGACCGCGTGAGGCTGACTACCTATTCAGTTCAATGTTGCTTATGTCAACTTGACTTCACCTCCACTATCATGGTCATATTTTGATCGCAAAACAATTGGGTCCAAGAATCTGTGCTCGCATAATCCGTAATCGCAGCTCCCGCATTTCTGCTGCACGGTTTCTGACGGCGTGATTGATATTCTCCCGTAAGTTTTCCCTGGTACCAATTGATTCAACTCACTGTTGACACAATGTGGCAGAAACATGGCCAAAAATATAATCCCACATTACACTTATGACTCACTGACAGAAAAGCTCACCAAGAAACGGTTCAAGTCGCTTCGAAGGCTACCAGCAGAAGATTCCTACGTCTTCAAAATATACGATCGCGATGATGAGAGACGATTTACCAGTCCAACCAATGAGCGCCAACCCCCGAAGAATGGCCAGATCTTTCTGGCGGTTGGCATCCGCATAGGAAGCTCGGTTCTCTACGTCGATAAAAGGGCTGCGCAACTGCGAGGGTATGTATGTTCCGAGCATGGCGCTACCTCGACTATTCATCCCTTTGAAAATTTTCGACGATTTCTGACCCGCGATTTAGAACGGGAGAGACGGTATGGGCGCGTATCACTTATACCGACAGCACCAACGACATTGTTCTTCGATCTCACGGACGCGATCTTGATCCGAGGCAAACACGCGAAGTGGAGCTAGACGAGCCCTTTCTGCACGTGGTTCCGGAAGGAGCCACTCTCCAAAAAGAACGTATGTTCAAATCCTTGGTTCTATACATATTTGTCCAATGTGGGCACATCACTCGAGTGGGGAATCTCAAAGAGAAGGGATTGAGAAGGTCATTGTCAAAAGCGGTAAAGGAAGTTCGCCTAGGCGTAAAGAATCAGAGCAGTGCTCGATATGCCAAACCAGTGAAGGGCAACGATTTTCCGGAGACCAGGCTTGTACCTAAGAAGCCTCTGGGACAAATGCGAGTCAAGTCAACCGCGTCATCTCGCAATCCTTGCAAGAGAGAGAGCTCTACGGACGACCGACTCAAACAGGAGAAGAGCGCGTTTGAAAGTGGCCATCCTGCAGTGCACGATGCCCGAAGCAATGGCCACGGAAATCAGGACGAACGTATGAAGAATGCCATGAGTCCCAAAAAAAGAGTACACAACACACCCCCATCTTGAGAACAACTTGATTGAAATACCTGCATCGAACAGCAACAAAGGCTTGCCGTACCGTATTCCACCGCCAAAATCGAGGTTCAGTCACGATGGAGAGATGCGGAATAGGCGGAAGCACTGGAATGGAAGCGGTTCGCGATATTCTCCGATCTATGTCGGATGAAGTAGTCTTGCAAGCAGGTATTGTTTCTTGAGGACACACTTTATGTCACTGGCAATATTCAACGTCAGAATGCAATGAATGGTATTCAATGTTACACGGGGAATTCTTGATTGGCATGTGAATTGCCAGTTGGGGGACATGAAGGTCCGGCAACGTACAACTTGATAGGTTCACAGCGGCTTAAATTCACTCATAATTAATGACGTGTCACATGCACATGAGGTGAATGCTAACATTACATTACAAGGGCGGGCCTACCTTACGATTAGGTATCAACACTTATTCAACGCTTTATATTATGTCTAGATTATATAAATAGCTTTTTAGAACTACATCAAGATGCTATGGAATATAGTATTAAAGTAGAAAGAGCAGTTAACACCCTATCCTTGGTTAGGCCCTCCTCGGTAAGGGATGGGAGCGATGGCCATCGCTCACGTGATGTAGTGTCTTCTGGTTCCAAGATGCAGTAATCAACTAAGTTTGCAAACAATGCTCAAGGGCATGAGAATGCGTAACCTATCATTGGCTGTTGTCCGTTTGCAATTTTACAATTGCCTCTACTGTGTTGCGTCTTCACAGAGCGCCACACTTAGCCTCGACTCTCACTCAATTCTCTCACTTCACCCCGCTTGCCTCCAATACAAATCAACCACAGACCAGCACCACTTCGCAATCCGGTCGCGATCCTAGAGCGAGAGTTTTCTCCGTTTCAGCCCGGCGCAAGTTAAGTGGCAATGGACATCCCTCTGCGTCCACTCATGGGCAAACCCGCCCAGCCCAGCAATCGTCTTCTCGATCTCTTCACCACAGGCGGTAAAGACAAACCCTCAGCTGAGCTTCGTCACGCCTTGTCCCTCCTTCAGGTGCGGGATCTCGATAGCCTTGAAAACCACTTTCTGGCACTCGAAGCCTTCTTGAAGCCGTGGTCTCACTACCGCGACACCTACCTTTTGCTTCGTCCAGAATACCCGACGGTGCAACAGACCCAGGCTGTGATCACCGCTGCTAGGGCTGACAGCACGACCAAGAGATCCCACATCCTTTGGTTCTATACGCACTTTTTGAATGGCGAGTTGAGGTATGATGCCCGCGCCGACGAGACTTCGACCAGCTTCACCCGCGACGAGACGCAATATGGCCAGTTTGACCAATCGTAAGTTACAACCCATATGGAAATATCCGAGTAGATGAGCAACCCACTGACTACCCGTGTACTAGAAACTGGGGTCAAGCCGAGTACGAGAAGCTCCTATATGCCTGGCTACTCCAAGAATTCAAGGTCGGCAAGACTCGCAATCCATACGGGTTTCGCTACTTTGAACTGCAGAATGTTTGTTCCGCCTGGGAATACGTTTTCCTTCCCATCGTCACTGCCGTTCGGGATTCCTACGACGTCAAAGGTCGTAAATACTACGGTCGACTTGCCAACTTTATCGAAGAGAGGTCTCCTAGTCGTCTCGCGTTTCCACAAGGCAGCAGTGACGTACACGCCGAACCTATGAGCACGGCTATGCCGCGTCGTGTGATGTCTTTCTCAAAGAAAGGGCAGCGCGTGAGCGCTACGGCGCAGAAGCTTTCGCCTATCAAGAGCACACCAACGCGTGAGCGGACTTTCATCACTGCAGCAGACATTGCTGAAGTGGATGCGGAGCTAAGGATCGTGTCGGAGAAATACGGAGGTGTCATCGAGCGGCCGAAGTACAAAAAGAATATAAAAGAATGGCTTGCTTTGCAGAAGGATCGTGCTAAGCAGAGGAAACGCTTCAAGAATTCGGCTGATGACAACAGTGGCGAGAGTTCCATGTTCGGTTGTAGGGGCATCGACTCACCGGGCAGTCCTACTCAAGCGTTCCAGGCGCGACGTTCTAAGAGTTTTCGATCGGTAGAGGGTGGTCGCTCACCTGTATCGCCTTTGTCACCTATATTCGCTCCTTCAATAGGTTCGTCGGACGGTGAGGCGGGGAGCAAGGACAAAAGCGACGGAACGAAGACAAAGCTGAAGCGTCTTGTACCCTTTGGCATGTATGGATATGCGGACGCAGATGCCGGTCAACCGTCACCAAAGAGTTCTGATCACGGCGTCACTCGCTTTGTCGAGTTACCTGAGACGCCTCCCAAGCCTAGTCACGAGAACACCTCTTCGGACGTGGCGAAAGACGAAGAAGACCAGCCATGGACAAAGCCAGTTGCTCCTTTTGCTAGTCCGACCTTCGAACGGAAATCATCTGATGGTGTCTATACAGCGATACGAAACTCGAATCCATTCAATGAAGATTACGGAACTCCACGCAAGGGACTAGTGCTTGAGGAGGATATGGACGACATGTCTGTATACTCTACTATGGGTCCACCGAGCGCGATTCCGGAGCCTCTTTTCAGGAGAGACGCCAACCATAGCAAGTATGAGGAAGAGGGCGCACGTAGGCCAAGCTACGAGGGAACTGCATACGGCCATGTCATGCCATCCGCCTTCGTCGAGCAGAAGATGGAAGCGAGTCCGGACCAGGCGCAGAAACAACCACAGCCAACTATCATTCTCAATAACAGGCCGAACCGAGCTCCTGAGCCATTGCATTTGCATCCAATCACCAAGTGGGCCATCCGATCTACCGAGTCGATCCCAGAACGCACCCCATGGTCGGGTACGGGGTCCCCCAGCACATCTTCCATATCGCGAACCGGATTTTCACCCGGAGACAAAGATTTTGTTGACCATGGCCCACCTCCCCCTATACCAATGAGGAGTCCGCGGCGTGCGCAAACTGTTCGGGTGAGCAGCAATATCAGCAACGGCCAGGAATCCTCGTCGGGCTCTCCTCGCATGCGTCGTATCCTGGAAAAGTCCATGACGCGGTCCTCTTCGGTTCACAGCGGCGAGTCAAACTTGACCACATCTAGCTCTTCAAATGCTCCGGCTAAAATATCGCGAGAGAATATTCGCGCGCGTCTTGCTCTAAGTAGAAATACCGTTGGCCTCAATTCCGGTGAGAATGCAGCTGGAAAACTAGCGACAACAACAGAGGTTGGGAAGGAAACGGAGGATGAGCAGAAGTCTCCGCAACGCCAGCAAGGAAACAATGAGCTCGTGGGCAACAAGCACGAGGGGAACCATGCCAGCCACCCTTCTACTTCGCGTTCCCATCCTTTCAATACTTTCAACAAACACCACTTCCCCCACAACAAGCTCGGTCAAGACTCTCCAAACTTGAGCCCCGATTACTTCTAAGGGTCTCCTGATAGACGTGTGGGTTGGATGTGGCGTCCGGATCGGTGGCATGGTGGGTATCAAGCGAAGAGATGGTGTAGTCGCTCATTTCGTTTTACGGATGAGAGGGAACGCGCTAGCCCCTTCGGCGACCCGCAACCTTAACTTAATAGGTATGGCGATGAAGCTCAAGATGATCTGGCCCTAGATCTACTGCGGAGCGAGGGGTCACTCTCTGGAGGCATGGTGAACATGGAGATGGGGGCAATGTGAAAAGTGATGAGGCACCCACACACACAATAGGTGTTTGATATTAAATGGCTCGTCTAAGATCGTGTTAGCACCCGTAGCTCAAACACTAGAATCTTTGTTTTCCTGTCCGTTTGATCGACATCTTACTCGTCTAGTGGCTTCTTTTTTTATTCCTCATCCCTGTTTTGAGATTTGTGTGCCTCTGTCTCACTACGGTCCACAGTGAATCCATGACGTCGGAGTCGGTGGGTTTAGGTGGACGCGGCAAGTCGATGGTTTCTGATCTCACCAACAATCTCAGACTTAGTTGATGGTGAGGCTGCCTGCTGCTTTTTCCGCCTCATGCCGGAACCAACCTTCCAAAAGACATGTCACGTTTCGCGATGAGTGAGTATGAAGCTGAGGCTCAAACTCAAGCTGATGCTGATGCTGATGGCAGCTTATATGCTTTGATGTGGAAGTAAGCGCTCCTACCGGTATCGGCCCGCCTGTGCCATTGTCCGGTGCCGAAGATGACCGGCGATAGCTTGTGGGGTGGAGTGACCTTCCAATTCTTTCTACTACTGTCAATTGACACTTGTATCATGATCCGGTGAAGTTGTGTTGATGAGAATGGTATCTATGATACATATGTATGTATGGGTGTACATGCTGATATGCCTGGTAACGCTTGTGAGTGATATATACGCCTCGTGAACTCTAATCATGATTACTCAGGAACGAGAATATGTCACTTACAACAGCCAGCTAGTACTGCATAGGAAGTCTGAGTGACACGAAAGGGTGGTGCTCCTATCCCAAAATAACTCCTCAAGATGACTCCGGCGGGATGGAAAAGGATCAAACATGCCAAATGCGAGTGCAATGTGCCGACCATCACTCCCGTCTTTTTGATCGTACACTTGCCGCGCTTTCAGGACAGCGTCAGTACTTTTTCGATGCTCGAAACCGCTATTACTGTGTACACCCCACCCTTCCTCGATTTGGGGGCGCTCCAAAGGATCGCCGGCTAGAGCTGGCGCTTGAGTCGTGGAGCCACAGGGCGGGCTTGCGTCAGTTCGAAGACCGGACCAATGACATCCGTACAGGTATCAGCCTTATTCGCGATCTCTTTTGCAGTGGCCCCTTTTTTTCTACTCTAGAGCAACCCACCTATGCGCCATGTCGTACACGTTAAAAACAGAGTAATACGAAGTGAGGGCGGCTACACGTTCGTATTACACTTGGTTTGATGTGGTGTCTTGTCTTTTAATGCATCTTGTTCATTTCCTGATGACTGCGCCGCCTTGGCGGATATGCACAAAGTGACTAGGGACAGCAAAGGGATCTCTCGTCCAGGAAGGCCGATGACGCTTCACCATCTTTGCTCTCGTGCTCGGATGTCCGTAGGTTTCAGTGCACGGTGAGAGCTACAGTCTGCCTTAAACCGAATACCAGCGATCCTACCTGGACAATCTCCAAGCTTCGGTTTGTCGTTGTTTTGTTTTGCCTTGTCTTCGATCCTGCTCTCTATTTTCTTTCGACCACCGGCTGGCCTTGTTTCTGAACAATTCTTGGATACAATGCCTGGACCAAGCACCATCGCTGCGCGATGCGTTGCTATGAGCTCCGCCATTGCGCAGGTACGTTTGTTCGATAGAGTGCGTCCTGGTGATTACCATCGCTGACTTGTGTGGGTGAACAGATTATACTCGATGCCTCCAACTTTGCGCGACAACTGCGCGATTCACGACATTACATCAACGCCGTCAATGCCGATCTTCTCGCTATCAAGCTGTCCTTAGATATCGCACGCGACGATTTCTCTGCCAAAGACACTCCGTTCCCTCCTCTGCTTATCGAAACTGCCTCCGGATTCCTGGACTGTTGTCACACATCAATAACAGAGCTGCACAAACCCCTCATACGGCTTTCAGCTGGTGGCACGCGGGGAGAAACATGGCACATATTCGAGGCAGGAGGACTTCAATGCATACGGCAGGATCTGGAGGCTCTAAGATCGGCACTAGATCTCATGCTGGATGTCGTCGCGCTGTGAGTGCATCCCATATCTACAATCTTCGGTTATGCTTACTAGGATTTCAGCTTGCGAGGCGACAGTGATCAACAAGCCGCTACTCCGCCAGCGAAGAGGCTACGCCTAGATGGAAGCTCTTCCAGCCCCGAGAATTCGGCACTGAGAAGAATAGACGTAGAGCGCGAACACATAGAATCACTAACCGAAGGGCGACACCCTGGACTATGTAACTCTTTCGACAAGCTAAGAGCATGCACCAAGTTCATCTTGGAAGAGCCATCCTTCGACGACGAAATCAAACGATCAGACTCTCGATCAGACTCCCTGGAACCTGAAGCAGGTGATCAGCCACGCTCCACCAAAGAGGCTCCTCCGCCCCTACCTTCAACTGTCGAGTCCTCTGGGATAGGAGCGTGGATCTCAAACGTTCTCTCGCAGAAGCTTCTCTCACCTACGCTCCCGCCAGACGCACTTACGCTCTCTGATCCGCGTTCAAGTCAGATAGGGAAAAGCCCAGTCAGGAGTCGACCGGGAAGCCGAGAACGAAAAGAGAGCACGCATTCCCGAGAAACTTTTTATGCCGAAAGCACTACCTCAGGCACTCAAACCCACTCTTCAGGCCAAGCAAGTCGCACCAAGGATATTACTCACACGCGCGCCGATTCATTCCAAATGATGAGCCAGCCGTCCCCATACCCAACAGAAACCTCTAAATCGCAATCAAGACTCAATCGACTAACTCAATATACCACCACAACTGAAGTTTCTATTATCCATCAGAATCTCACCAACGATAAGATCGCCATCGCGAAAGACGTGCGGAACCAACTTTCTCGAATCCAGCGCCTCACAATCGACCGCAAACTCCGCGATATTCCACGCACCTTAACGGCCGTAAGCGTTGAGCGTATATTTTTCGAAGGCGCAAACCCGAACGTGAAGCACCCGGAGTTCGGAACGTTAGCAATACGAGGTATGTTGGGTGATTCTGTTATCATGCTCCTATGCAACACGTATTTACTCCAACGACATTTTACTGACTGTGTACAAGCCGCATACGAATTTTCCACCGACATCCTCCAAACACTTGTAGATTACGGTGCAGACTGCACTAGAATCGCGCGGAATAAGTATTACTCGACGCTTCACGCTGCCGTGCTAGGGCTCCAACTTGAGAACCTTCAATATCTCCTTTCGCTCGCAACCGCTTCGCCCCTATGTCCGCCATCCCCAGGTATCGAATTTCCAGCGGTACCCACAGTCACAGTCACGCCGCCTTCGTCTATCGTCATGGCCATCGACACGCCCAACGAACATGGTGAAACCCCACTCCATCTTGCTGCCAAAACACCTGGTGCATATCACATCGCCAAGTGGCTCTTAGAAATGGGCGCCGATGTCGATCGTGAGGCGCCGGGACGGGGCAGCCCGCTGCGGGGGACGGTTAGCCTAGATAGCCGAGAGCGCAGCGCCATGGTGGAATTGCTTATGGCACATGGCGCGCGAGCTGAAACGCAGGGTGAGAGTGGGGAGAGGAGAGGGAAGGGTTTAAGCGTGCTGGGTATAATATGACCTGAAGCATGTTGTAAGAGAAGGAAGAAGGAAAACTTAAAAGGCGGAGATAATATACCCCATGGAGATTCCATGACTACCGTAGTGAAGCGCGAGATCGATTTGTAGTTGAGCCCCAACTGGGACTCCATTCGTACAAGAGTTGTTTTCTTTTGTGTCCGTACTGCTTGCAGCCTGCAGTCCATCACTTAACATTTTCCTTACACTGTTTCATCATGCATCAGCCATGGGTAGTGGAAATTGCAGCATACGAAAGATTTCATACACCACGACATCCCCTATAGGGGTTCAAGCATTTTCTCATTAGATATGTCTCTTCTAGTGTGATATCTCGCGCTTTGGAATTGGTGCCAGATATTAGATAGACCGAAGATAAAACGATGCCCAAGTATTTCGCTCGTCTCATTCCCGTGTACCTATACATGCCATAACGCGATCAGATCACCTCTGATCATCACGTGATATCCTCGTCAATACAGCACAGGGGAAAGCCTACCTGAGGATATACATGTAGTGTTCACTACTTTTTCTACTTTTATGTCCTATTAAATAGCATCTTAGCATGGGTTTAAAGAGCTGTTAATAGGATCTAGACATAACATGAAACCTTGAATGAAGGTTCAAATGCTGATAACTGATCCTAGGGTGGGCCCGCCCTTGTAGTGTATAAATAAACGCTCACGCATGTCTGATCAAGATCCCTTTCCGGTATTGCTCAGAAAATATCCCATGGCAACGTATAATTCACCGTTCCCATGAGCTCCCTATTGCCTGGCATGCATATTGTTTCTGAGAGCCGTCTCGGCCCAAGCAAAACGCCACCAGTAGGCAAATTGATATCAAGAAGGACTAATCAATATGCATCCAATAGATACCTTTGAACACAAAGTTCCTGCAGGAGGCATCTACAGACTAGTGGATATCAAATCAAATGTGCATGTGAGTGAGGATGAGTGCCCTTAAAGAGCAGCTTAGGCTAAAGTCGTGCGGCACAATTGCAGGGCGAGGTCTTGTAAGAATATAAGCGAGATGTATATAACTCATACCGCATTCCTTGGATTTTCGCGTAGTTCACTATCCGGGGTATCGAGTTGAGTAGTTTTTGTTGGATCACACAACATGGGCCGCTGTGGCTTTGTGGGGGCGTGCATGATCCGCCACTTGCCGACTCCATATAGGTACGTGAAGAAATGCAGAAGAAATGCACAAAGACGATTGTCAATTGTAACAAGCAGCACTTGAAACCTAGAAACAGCCATTCCTAAACATCTCGCCCCTCTCATACCAGGCAAATCCAAATCCACCTGGCCAAGCATCTCAGTCGATGAGTATGTGCTTGGCTCGGATTCTCTCCCAAACAAGGTATAGATTTTGTAATAATATACATGGAGCATGTCCAGCTGTGACATTCACTGGCGCCGCAAATCACTAATGCGCGCTTGGGCACCCGCGTCTCCAACAATTAAACCCCTGCAGTATGTACCGCGGTAGTCGCTACTCCTAATCTGGGTGGCGAAATTGCGTTCTAGAAACATGGCAAAAAGGTACATACATTGTCGGCTGTCCGAACACGGCATTGTAGGGGCGAAACTTTGTTTGGTTGTCTTTCTCCCGCCGGATTCTGAGGAACGTGGCAGCCACATTTTTGTTCCTGGACACCAATTGTGTGTCGTGATATTGCATCTTCCGCCATTGTTCCAGTTCAGCGCAATGAAACCCACAATCTCGCTCTCGTTGGCGACGTTGGGAACTATACTTGCACATGCACAGTATCCCTCTGCTCTTCCAGATGTTGCACCTGCGGCTGCTAAGCTTCCAGCCGACTCAACAGATGCTGAAGTGTCATTACTGGAACCTGAGACAGTGCAAGTCACTGACGAAGTGATAGCAAATCTTGTCGACAGTAATGAGACGGCGGAGTACGCAGACTTGTTTGCTTTCGCGGATAGCACGATATCGACCCCAGCGGCGCGGAAGAGAGACCTATTGAGACGATCTTCTAGTTGCAAGACAGCTCCCGGCGATATTCTATGGCCTTCCGATTTGGTGTGGGGTATTTTCGATCTATTGACTGGAAATGCCCTGGATGACATTGTACCACTTGGATCTGTATGCTATCCCGAATCCGAGTTCGAGAATTACGACAAGGCGAAATGCGAAGAAGTTATGGCTAGTTGGAGTAAAGACGCTCTTCAGTAAGTATAAATCATCTGCTTCAAGACAATGACGATACTAACGAGTGCAGTTATAACGATCCCGGCTCAGCAATGTTCCCCATATACAGTGGCATGACATGCTTACCGAAAGCCAATGCAACTGCCTCGGACACCTGCACGCTTGGAGGATATTCAAAGCTCTCGCTTGAGGTCAGAAGTGTAGCACAAATCCAGCTTGCTGTGAATTTCGCTCGAACCCTCAATCTTCGTTTGATTATCAGAAACACTGGACACGATTATAACGGACGATCAATCGGAAAAGGTGCTCTTAGTCTGTGGACCCACAATCTCAAAGATATCATTTATATCAAGAACTACAAGGACTCGTACTACAGTGGCCCAGTCTTCCACGTCGGTGCAGGAGTGCAGGGTTTCGAGCTTCTTCAAGCTGGCGAGAAGTACGGTGTCAGTGTAACGACAGGTATCTGCCCTACTGTCGGAATCGCAGGTGGATATATAACCGGGGGAGGCCACAGTCCTTTGATGCAGCTTTTCGGCATGGGAGCCGATCAGGTGGTTTCTATGAACGTAGTCACGGCTAGCGGACGTTTCATTACCGTTACTCCGAAGCTAAACTCCGATCTATACTGGGCTATGCTCGGTGGTGGAGGTGGTACTTTTGGCATTGTTACATCAGTTGTCATGAAAGTCCACCCGAAAATTCCTGTCACCGCCTCCGTCTTCAACTTTACAACCTCTCCCACTGTCTCCGATGTCACTTTTTGGAAAGGCGTGCGCGCTTTCTGGGATGAGATGCCTAAGTACAATGCTGCTAAGACGTACTCGTTCTTCCAGATGATGAACATGGCCAACGTCGGGGTTCCAGGTGGTGGCTATGCGTTCAACATGGTTCCTTTCTTCGCCACCAACAAGACAGTCGATGAGTTCAACGCCCTGACAAAGCCATTTTTCGATACTCTCAAGTCCCTTGGCATTCCGTATCAGATTGAGACGAAGTACTATGACTCCGTCTACCCGGCCTTTCAAGCCACATTTGCCCCTCAGGATCAGGCAATTGGCAGCACCTCTGGCACCCCGGGAAACAGAATGCTTCCAAGCAAGAACTGGGAGGAAGAAACTCTCAGCAACCAGACTTTTGACGCGATAAAGCATACCGTGGACAACACCATTGTGACCCTCATGTATCACCAGATGTCACAAAACCCCTCCCAAATAATCAACTCGGTCAACCCAGCGTTCCGCACTGAAGGCGGTATGGTGGTGGCGGTGAACGGCGTCAACGATCTCTCGCCAAGGGGTCTTGCTGATGCTGGCGAAAAGATGACAAATGTTATCATGAAACCGCTCCGAGACGCAACACCTAATGGCGGCACGTACGGCAATGAAGCTGATATTTCGGAGCCTGGGTGGCAGCAATCATTCTGGGGCACAAATTATGATCGCCTAGTTTCTATCAAGAAGAAGTGGGACCCTACAGGTCTGTTCTACGTGTATCGTGGTGTAGGTAGTGAAGGGTGGGTAGTTGAGGATGGCGATCGTGGGGTACAGACGCAGGATGGCAAGTTATGTAGAGTATAGATTGGGCCGTGGTTCGCAGTGTGAGTTGTACATTCTTTAAAAAAGATCTTTTCCCGTTAAAATTTAGTAATGTAGCAGTGGTTCCTCAATTCATCGACTGTGTGAATATTGTGATCCCGAAGATAGTGACCCATTTCCCCCGCTTTACTGTCCTGGTTTCAATTCTTTGAACGACCTCGTAATGTTTGTAATAGCTTCCTCGACAGGAAGTCTCTCCATGGAGCTCGCACCATAGAATCCATGCACGCCTTTGGTTCTGCTGATCACGTACTCGGCGTCCTCTGGTTTAGCGATTGGTCCTCCGTGACACAGTACAATGATGGCCTCGTTGACAGCGGCTGCGACATCTCTAATCTCTTGAACAAGCTTCACAGAGTCATCCAGACTCTTTCCACTGGTTGCTCCGATGCTCCCAGACGTAGTGAGTCCCATATGGGCGACGATAACATCAGCGCCAGCGTCCGCCATCTTCTTCGCTTCGTCTGTATTGAACGCATACGGTGTGGTCAAAAGACCCAATTGTCTAGCTTTCCGTATCATCTCGACCTCATTATCATAGCCCATTCCTGTTTCTTCCAGATTTTGACGAAACTGGCCGTCAATCAAGCCGACGGTCGGGAAGTTTTGAACGCCTGCGAAACCCAGGTCTTTCAATTGTTGCAGAAATCTGTCAATGGAACGAAAAGGATCTGACGCACACACTCCAGCAAGTACTGGCGTTTTCTTCACTACAGGAAGAACTTCGTTTGCCTAACCGCTCGGTCAGCTTTGATGAATGGGATAAAGAAGCCGAGAAGACAAACCATATCCAGAACCACGTCGTTTGCGTTTCCGTAAGGCATGAGGCCGGCCAGAGAGCCTCTACCGGCCATGCGAAACCGCCCACTGTTGTATATTATGATCAGATCTCCGCCCCCTTCTTCTATGAATTTTGCAGATAGACCGATTCCTGCGCCAGCCCCCACAATGACTTTGCCATCGTCGATTTGCTTCCGGAGACTTTGCAGCACAGTTTCGCGGCTATTCAGGGCACTCATCTTGATGATTATTTCTTTATATTCAACTTTCCATGTACGTGGTGTGAGATCGGGGAAAAATCCATCGTACACGTAGAATGATATGTGAGGTGACATCATAACTACCGGTACGCGAGGGGATAGCGTCAACCGGCTGGGGAAATAGTCCCCACCTCAACTCTGACATTAACCTCATTGTCTAAACACTTATTTTGACATTCGTTATGGCTGGCGTTCTTCTGTTGGGAACTTGCGATACCAAGCTTGATGAACTTTTGTTCCTGCGCGATGCGATCAAAAAATCCAGCCCTGCAGTTCATGTAGTGTTAATCGATGTTGGCAGGCAGCCAGTCGAGCATGAAGCCATCACTTACACACAGAAGCAATTGTTGAAAGATCATGGGGAAAGCAAAGACTTGGGTGATCTCCCTCGTGGAGAGGTCATTAAATTCATGGCAAATTGCGCCACAAAGCCGGTAAAACAACTGTACGAACGAGGGGACGTTCATGGTATTATTTCAGCGGGGGGATCAGGTGGAACCTCGCTCGCATCTACAGTCATGAGGGATGCACTTCCACTTGGGTTTCCCAAATTAATCGTGTCCACGGTCGCAAGTGGAGACACGGGTCCAATTGTTGAAGAAACCGATATCACGCTCATGTACTCGGTCGTTGATGTTGCAGGCCTGAACCAGCTTCTGAAGAATGTACTGAGCAATGCTGGGGCTGCCATCGCCGGAATGGCCACCTCATATTACTCAAGAAAAACGTCAGAGTCTTCTCCGTCGACGAAGAGAGTTGGAGTAACCATGTTTGGCGTCACCACACCGGCTGTTGATGCTATTCGGACACATCTAGAATCTAAATACAAGATTGAGACATACGTTTTTCATGCCACTGGACACGGAGGCAAGGCCATGGAACGCCTCATTCGAGAAGGTGGCCTTGATGCGGTGCTTGATCTGACTACGACTGAGATCTGCGACAACCTCACTGGTGGCGTCATGAGTGCTGGGCCGACTCGACTTGATGCTGCTCTAGAAGCCGGTATACCAAACATCATCTCTGTTGGTGCGACCGACATGACGAATTTTGGACCCAGGACTACAGTACCAGAGAAATACGAAGATCGTCTATTGTACGAGCACAATCCAGTGGTAACGTTGATGAGAACATCAAGAGAAGAGGCAAAGGCGGTTGGGGAGTTCATCGCGCAGAAGATAAAAGGTTCCATGAATAAGGGAATAACAACTCAAGTCTGGTTGCCTAAGGGAGGGGTCAGCATGATCTCAGAACCAGGCGGCCCTTTCGCAGATGCGGAGGCTGACAATGCCTTATTCGATGCAATCAAAACTGGACTTGCACATACCGCAATCCGAGTTGTCGACGACAAACGGGCAATTAATGATCCTGGGTTTGCAATTGATATTGCCGAGGCATTGGTCGAAGAAATGGGCATCGACGACTAATCGGGAGCATTGTCAAGGCAGAGTCTGGCCGTTTTCATGTCAATAATCCATGCAGCAGCACTCTTGCTTTCTACATCACACGATATGAGCGCTCGAAGATGCATATATTTCTAGGTCCGTCATTGCTCAATAATCTTCTATTATGTATGACTGCATGACACCCACGAAGCCTTATCAAATGCGGTGGAGAGCCAGCTAATTGAGAATTCGATTGACCGAGTCGCACCAACCACCTGTACTATAACTGGTGAGGGACAAAGAAATGTGATTATCCGTCCAAATGCTTGTTATTATCCCTTCCAAGAAAGCCGAGTACCTGGTTATCCGTGTTTCATGTCTGAGATGACATCTCACTTGCAGGTCTTAGATTTTATATGCGTGCATGCATATGGTAATAGGCTAGCCGAAATGTATATTTAGTGGTTAGGCGGAAGCCGAGTACCTACCTTGATTCCTAAAAAAAAGGAATAGGCTTATGGGGTCCGAATTCGTTCTCTTCCTATGATAGCGATCTATGTGTAATACGGGGACCTGAGAATGGATCTCGACGAGTGTAAGTCCATGGCTATGAAGTCGAGGCAGACAGAACCTATCATGCTTCATTGGTAGCCTGTAATACATCTCCATCGCATTCTCTTGACTAAAAGCTACGCTTTTAAGATGTTCTAGCATGTATTTCTTAGATTGGCTATGTCTTTGCTTGCATGTCGCGCGAGTAGGCATGCGTTCGGAGTCCGCGTACTCGGTTAGCCGACCCCAGACCGTTTGCACAGCCATTTCCCAGGCCTCAGAACATAAGAATGCAAGCAGATAAATCACCGCGTACTCCAATAAAGGCTGCGTTACCTGGACAATTCGATCAGCAAAACATTTCTCACTCGATATTTCATTTCATTTCATTCTTTTTCAACATGCGTTCCTCACTTCAACTCTTGTCACTCCTTCTCACATTTAGCCCTAACGCGCTGGTCGCAGCCAAACTCGATGTCAATGATCAAAGTACGCATTCATTCAATGTGGCCACCAGAAGCTCCGAAATAACTAACCTCATCCCTCAGACTCGATCAAAAATATATCTAGCACAGCAGCCAGCGCAATCATAAAATCATACAAATATGGCCTGGAGCAGTATAGAATCACGGGATTGTTCGAAATTCTGGAAGAAGAATATCTCTGGGGTGCGACAGGGGAGATTTGGAATTCCATGCTCGAGTGTAAGTCAGATTGGCTACCAAATATTAGGTGTTTCTGTAGCGGCTGCTGATGAATAGGGAACGACAGACAGCCATCTCACGGGCGATACTCAATTCAATGAAGCAGTCGCATCTGGACTGCTCCACCAGACTGGTGAAAGGATAGTGGCGTTTATGCCTGAGAACCAAACCAAGATCCTTGGGAATCGTGATCAGAGTCAATGGGGTCTGGCTGCCATGGTGCGTTGTTTTCCCATCTTCTCCATGCCTGAATGATCCCTTTCTTTTTTTTCTTCTTGGAAACTGACCCCGCCCGCTTCAAACCATCATCAGACCGCTGCAGAAATCAACCTCGATATACCAAAAGACGCACAAAATCTCAAGGGCCCTGAAAGCCCCCCAGTCACTAGCTGGCTCGATCTCGCAAAAACCGTCTTTGACACGCAACTTGAGCGCTGGGGATCAGAAGAGTGTAGCGGTGGCTTGCACGCACAAATCTTTCCTTACAATAACGGCTTTACAATCAAGAGCACCGGGGAAAACGGAAACTTTTTGCTCCTTGCTGCTCGCCTGGCTCGATTTACTGGGAACAAGACGTATGTTGAATGGGCGGAGAAATCCTTTGAATGGTCCAAAACGGTTGGATTGGTCAAGGACTTCCGCGTGCTAGACAGCAGCGATATAAGGGATAATTGCACGATGAAGAATGATGTGGAGTGGGCTGCATATCATGCCGCGTATACCGAAGCATCTGCCATCATGTATAATATCGTAAGTCTCAACTCCGCTTCCTCCAAAACCCCAGATCGAAGAAAATCAACTGATTGACATGAAAACGCAGACAAACGCCACAGAACCTTGGATAACAGCAATCGACGGCTTCGCAAACACCTCAAGCGCCTTCCTGCACGAAGAAAAACTCTACGACATCGCCCACGACCAACAAAAATACGACCCAGAAACCATCGGCCTATTCTCCAAAACGGTAGTTACACGATCCTACGCGCGAGCGATGAAAGCAGCACCGCACGTCTCCGAGAAGCTACAGAAGATTGTGAGTGCTGCGGCCGTGCAGTGCGCTACCCCGTGGGAAGAGAAGATGGGATCGGGGAACACGACGGTGAATGGTTCAATTGAGCTGTTGGAAGGGGCTGTTAATGCGCTTGCCGCTACGCAGGCTTTGTTGTGGCCGCAGGCGAAGGCGTTGGCGCCGGATGTTTCGAACTCCACAAATTCGACAACGGCGGATGAGGGCGGTGCGACATCTGGTGCGGATGCGAATAAGCCGGGTGCCAGTGGGAATGCGGAGAGTCCGAAGCCAGAGGCAGGGAAATCGGGCGCACCAGGACAACCGGGGCTGTCTCTAGGTCTTCTTGTTGGTCTTTTGGGGGCTGCGATAAGTTTGTTGTAGGATGTTTATACCATACTGTAGTGACGCTAGAGTCTGAATTGCTGTTCGCTAATCAATTTATTTTGATTGATTTAAACGTTGCTTTGATAGTATATACAAGCCAAGTACAAGAGGAGCTACGAGGACAGATGGAAAATAGATTTCTTATTCATTGGAATAGCATCATACACATCATCCACCGACGGCCCGCCTAAGCGGTCCACTTCCTGGGCTCTACACTCTTCTTGCTCCACTGGTGGGTACCCTTGCTGTTACCCACCCTCTTCTTCTCCTCGTACACGAACTTGCTCAGCTCTCTGTACAGGAATTTACCATTGTTGTTGTACACAATGCTGTGGTCGCTGTCGGTAAACCAGGTGTTCTGCATCTTCTCGGGGGTGACGCGATCGCCCATAAGCAGATCGGTAAGCGCAGCCGCGTTTTGGAAGTGCACGTTATCGTCACCAGTGCCGTGCTGGATGAGGAAGCCGCCAGCAATGTTCTTGAAACCCGTGCTGTCGTGTACGCGGGAGACATTGTAGTTGGGGTTGACGTCTGGGGTCTTCATGTAACGCTCGGTGTAGATGGAGTCGTAGTAGCTCCAGTCAGAGACAGGAGCGGTGATCATGGCGAAAGAGATGATGGGGTCGTTGACTTCAACGACCTTAGCGCTGAGGTAGCCGCCGTACGACCATCCCCAGATGCCAATGTGCTCAGAGTCGACAAAGGAGTTCTTAGCAAGTTCCTTAGCGGCCCAGATTTGATCTTGCGCTTCGAGATCGCCCAGGTTGCCAGTGACTTCAGAACGGAATTTGCGGCCCTTGTAACCGGTACCACGGTTGTCGACAGTGAAAGTGATGTATTCGAGCTCTGGATCAGAGGCGATGTAGGCTTTCCAGTTGAGGGAAATGAATTGCTTGGTCACTTCCTGGGCGTTGGGGCCGCCGTATGGGATGAGAATGGCGGGGTACTTCTTGGAAGGATCGAAGTTTGGTGGCAGACGGAGCATGGCGTTGAGGGTGTAGCCAGATGGGTGCTCAAGCTCCTGGTAGGTGATGTTGTTGAGGTTGTATGAGTAGATCTCATCGTAAGCCCTCTTGTTGTCGACAATAGTGCGCAGGGGCGTAGTCGAATTAACGGAATACAGTTCCTGGTAAGGAACGTCAGGTCCAGCGTAGCGAAGGACATAGTAAGATCCACCGGAGGAGAAAGAAGCAGTCCAGAAAGCGTCCACTGTATCATCAACAAGAGCAGTCTTCTTGCCAGTCTTGTAGTTGACTGAGTAAAGATGGCTTTCGGTGCTGTGATGTTCAGTGGAAGTGTAGTAAACAAGACTGCGCTTCGCATCGATTTTTAGGATGGATCGGACTTCCCATTCACCTGATGTGAGGGCGATTTTCTCGCCACCGTTAACAGGGAACAAATAGATGTGTTTCCAGCCAGACTCATCGGAGAAATCGAGGTAGTACTCTCCGCTCGAGTTGCTGAAAGTGGCATTGGAGTCAGAAACTGCTCCGAGATACGACACGGCGATGAAGTTCTCCAACCATCCATCAGAGCCATCTCGCTCGTGGATGACGGACGAAGTGGCAGCAGGCACGCCGACGACGACAATCTTCTCGGTGTCTTGGACACGGTTGTACGCGCGGTAAAGGACTTTGCCGTGTTCTTCGGTAACCCAAGCAACCTCACCAATCACAAGATCCTCGGCAGGGAAGGCAGTGATGGGGATTTCGGTAGACTCAAGCGATTCCACTTCGAGAAGTTGAAAGCCTACGGAAGGATTTGTAGTTCCAACCTTGGGGTAACGAAGCTCAAGTTCACGAGGATAGACAGGAGCGACATCCTGGCTGTCCATGTAGTAAGGAATGCGGAAAGTTTCGACACCAGTTTCGTTGAAGGTCAGGTAGGCGATGTATTTGCCGTCTGGTGACCACCACAAAGTGTACCGGTCACCAAAGATTTCTTCCTCATAAACCCAATCGGGAACAGCATTGAACCAGTCGGGTCCGCCGTTGGTGGTGACCTGTTGAATATCTCCATCGTTCCAGATGAAGAGGTTGTTACCTTGCACGAAAGCGATCTGTTTAGGCGAGGCCGGGTTGAACTCCGCGTATTGGATGTCCCCGGTAGAAGTGGGGACGAGCGGGACAGTCTCACCCGACTCCACATTCTGAACAAGATAATCCGAGAAGTAGGAGTGGCGATACTGCTTCGTGTAATTGGTAGCCCAAAGCACAGTGCTAGCATCCGAGGAGATCCAGTAGTCGTGATAGTCGTCTGGGATCTTGTCGGCAGAAAGGAAAGTGGAGGTCTCTCCAGACGCGATGTTCTCAAAAAGAAAAGAGCCATCGGTTCCGGTATAGATGTAGTCGCCATCAGTACCGATGCTGACCCAGTTCAGGGTGCGCGTCGAAGGCGAAAGCGCACCGGGAGCGTCTGTGGTCACATTGTAGGTCAAACGCTTGGTTCCGTTGCCCAAGGGCTGGTGGGGGAACCGTGGAGGCTCGATTGCCTGGACAAGGGGCAACACGGCCGCCAAAAGAGCGAAAGACAACATTATGGATTACTGCATTGTATTGTTAGCATTCGAGCAATTCCAATGTTGGCGATGAAGATTGTTCGTCGTGATCTTTAATTGAAATGGATGGACGGGGATCGGCGCCAGGAATACGCACCTTTGAATTAATTGAACCTCCGTTGCACAATCCAATTGAGCCAGCGACAAGAGAAGGTCGCACAAGAAACGCGATTGAGAAATTGCGAAATCTTGCTGCATCTTTTTTATCGGGGTGTTGGGGTCAACCTTATATGCTTTGGCGGTGCTTCCGCGATTGTGATAGCCATCTGGATGTGATTGGCATGGACGCGCGAGCTGCCGTATTAAGAAGGCGGCAAGACAATCGACCTCGCTGCCAAGAATTAGCAGTACCCCCATCAACCCGGTTGAAGGCGACGAGAGGGGAAGGCCGTATTGCGACGAGATGAGATTCGAAGCATGGAGATGCAGGTTTGTAATGCGCTGTGGAGATGCTAAGTAAGAGTGGGTTGGTTCATCGATTGAAGAGTACATGTAGCTTGGCTCAACATTCAACCTGATCAGCGGGAAACCCACGTGACTCTGCCATCCCAGAACCACTTTGAAGGACATGGAATTTTGAGTAGACACTATCATTTGATCATATGACATATCATCAATCAACCATTCGTATTCTCTTTGCCACTTCTATATTACACTCGCAAACAGCTTGTTCTGAGCCGTCCCGGCCCCTCTCGGTAGAGGCGCCACAGAACCTTGTCATTCCGCCATCCAACGCCAAAATCATCAGTATGAACGATCCATTGCTTCTGTCATTCCCAAAATCACGACGAAACACTCAAAAGCAAGAAAGCAAACGATATTCAGAACCATCTACGGAGCTACAAAACTACCAAAGGGAAACTCCTCGCATGCCCATCCCAACGCTCCACGACTCAGGTCCCTGTCATCAACTCCATCTAATTGGCTGAATCCAAGCCCTCAGTTCCCCTGACAATAACCTTGGCCTTGCAGGGCTGTCCACGCTAGATTCTAGAACAAGTTGGCGACGCTCTATTGTGGGAAACCATGATAACGCGCGCAGCCGTTAGTTGCCGTTGGAAATGTTTCTGATCAAGAGATACCCGTCAGCGCCTTGTTCTGTCTATACTCAGGCTTGGGATCTTGGCGAGCTAAAGCAGGATGAAGGGGGGAATGGTTAGACTTACTGAACTCTAATCTCGCGTAACCAATTCTTCAATGCTTTGCGATTGTCTTGCGCGGATTGCCTTGAAACTGGCTTGTGATTCCTACTCGAGTGGTCGTACCGTCGTAGTATTTTCTTATGTCGGTGGTCGATGACTCTGTCACCGGAATCATACACCCCGCCGCCTATTGGCCACCTCACACATCCGGAAGTATTAGCAGTACCTTCGACGTCGCTTCTGCCACTGTCACCGTTGCGCGTTTATCATGTTGCCCATTTCGAATCTTTCATTGTCTTCTGACCCTTGGGAGGGTTCCCAGCGCCGCTTGCTTCTGGCTTCGGAGTAGGTTTGGGACTGGGAATTCGACTGGACCCTGAGGGTGCGTGCCTTGATTGATACATGCTCTTGCTGTTATTTGGAACAGAAGGATCTCTAGCTATATCCACTTTGGGTTGGGGCGCGGGCGTGCTATCTGGGTCTTTAACAGTTTTCTCTGGCAGGGGAGCAGCCTCGGATTCTGGCTTTCGAACAGTGTCTCTCGATGATTCCATTTTCCTCGGTGAAAAGGTTGCCGATCTGTCGCCATCGTGATCTTCTGCCCCCCAAGGTTGGGACAGGGGTACACCAACCTCCATCTTTAGCTCGGATTGAACGGCGGTTGACGTTTCTATATTACTCGCCTCTGGTAGCGTATCTTCGGGTATAGACTGGGCAGGTAATGATGGTTTGAACTCGGGCCGAGCAGGGTTGGAGTTCATACTTGAGCTTCCACTAGTCACATCGGGGAGGACTGGAGCGTCAGGCAGTAGGTCTGACAGCCAAGTAAGTTCGGAATAAGACTGAGGGTCGAACTAATTATCAAGCCCGAGAGCAGATTGAGAATCAGGCTCGCGGTAGACTGAGTAATTCTTGGACTCTGGCGTAAGATGCTCGCCCGTGTACTTATTGAAGAATGACTTATTGGACTTTGACCTCGAGCCCTCGGATTTCTTATGGCGATTTTTCCCTTTCGGCATATTCTCCTTACATTTTGGGATATGGTTGGCACAAAATTCCAGGTACGTTCTCGGTGCGCCTGTCTCCGGGTCTTCCGCCATGAGTTCTTGACAGAACCCGCAGAAGTATCCATTTCGATCCCATGTTCTTAGGTTGGGGTGTCCAGAGTGGGGATTCCCAGGAATGATTGGTGGCTGGGCCTCTTTGAATCCGAGTTGCACATATACTTCCAACCGCTGACCAGTGTTGACATCAAAAGTACCTTCAATCTGGTAATCTTCGAAAGCCGCCGCCGGCACGAAGAATTTCTTACAGTTGCTTTCCCCGACTTGGACTCCGTTGTTCATTTCCGGATTGGTATGATGTTTTGCGAAGTCAGTCCTGTTTAGCTCATCATCCAGATAACGTACATAACCACAATCAGGGCAGTATTTGTATGTAGGTTTTGTATCGCCGGCATTATCTATTTCCTGAACCGTGGGCTCCATAACCACTGCGCTTTTCAAGACATCTATGGTCGTATCATCAGCACTGGGTTTCAACGGTGGAGATTGCGTGAGGTGCGTAGGGATAGGAGAGCTGGACGAGTGCGGGGCTATTTCAGCTGCAAGATCCTTTTTCCGGGCATTTTCAGGATAGTCGACACTGGTTGCGGCATTGGATCCATCTTCGGGGACGTTTTCTGGCAGGATGGTGACAGCATCTGGGCTTCCATCCGTGGCTTCCATCTCGAGCGAGCGGGTCTCTTCTTCTACAGCTTTAATTCTCTGTTGACTAGACTTTTGGACAACTTCAAAGCCATGTTTAGAACTTTGTAGTTGGTCTTGAAGGTCTTGCTTTTCGAGCTGAGCCTTCTCCGTGTCATGACGACTAGGTTTGAGCCGGTTAAGAAGTTCTCTGACCTCACCCAAGTGTTGGTTTTCATCTATGCCTGTAGTAACAGACTGAGACTCGTCCGTGCGACGAGATTCATCTCTATCCCGTGAGGCAGGCTGTTGCTCTTCGTTTGCGTTATTGTTGGGACCCTCCGAACCTGGATGAGTCCAGGCACCATGGTCTCCTGCTGAACTTTGATTGCGGATGCGCAAGTAATCCTTAAGAGGCCGCTCTACATATCGTTTCCAGAAGCCCGCCACGGAACAGAAGATGATCGCTGTCCATATTGCTATAAACAGCCAAAATATAAAGTCCCCGTATTTGGAGTATTGTTCGCAGAAGGTGTCTGGGGCGGAACTCTTGTTAACGGGCTTCTCAAATGCCTCGAGCACTAGAGGCGCTCCCGCAACTTCGGTATGAATGACGCCTTTGGTGATGGTCATCGTTTCGCGTGCAGGATTTTGGTGTTGTATGTCTTTGTGAAAGAAAGAGATGGAAGAACGTGGCCTGTTTTACATAGGCTGGTAGTTTCACTTAAGCCGTTGGCAGTGAATAGCAAACGCAAGGCCAAGCAAACTTCTAGGCACTCTCCACAAGAATTTTTTTGATGGACAAATATGCGGGGGGTTGTATGTAACGTCCGCGTGTCAAGTTTATTATAGAAATTGTGTAACAAAGAGACTTTGCCCAAAAGCAGGTGAGCCCGGGCGGCAAGATGCGCGTCTGTGAAGGCTACTGCGGACAAAGGGTTCGCTGGAGACAATGAAGTGCTGTTTGAAGACACCCCGCAACTAGCTAAGATAACTTAGTCAGGGTATTGACACCGTTTGTTGATCGGCTTTTCGGGACGCCCGGTCCTCTTTGAGGCTGGCAACAACGAAACATGTACCCCCTTTGATCAACAATAGCAAACTTCGGATATTTGAATGAGTGATAATTCGGCAGCATTGGAAAACCTACAATGAACTTTGGGCTCGATCTTTTGACTCTGACCGCACGCGTTCATACTGGATGGACGTGTAGGTGTTGCTACATGTAGTATCAGAAATCTGGATCACGTGATCGGGCACATGAGAGTTCGAATGTGGACTGATGTACATGTGTACATTACAAGTGGGGGCCCACCATAGGATCAGCTATCAACACTTATTCAAAGGTTTGTTTTATGTCTAGATCTTCTTAGCGTCCTATCAAAGCTATGTCTAAATGCTATTAAACAGGGTATTAAAGCACATGTAGAAAGAGTACCTAGGTAGTTGGTACCCTGCACAATCCTTAGGTGGGCCCTCCTCTCTAAAGTAGTTGTAGAAGCAGGATGAGACCTAGAAAATAAATGTAAAACTCGGAAAAGCGATGAAAAGAGCTACTGCCACGCATATTTCGATGTAAAAAAGGGAGAGACTAAGACGCAAAGAAAGGTTCCGTATCAACAGACTTGACTTATTCACCAAGACACCACGTAATCATTACCAGTCAACAGATAACTGTAGAATGACATCCCATTCATCATCATAAATCATCTGTCGTTGGATCGGTTGTGCATGGAAATCAATACCAGATCGAAACTGACAATGCAAAGATTTGACGCCGCTCAGTTTGTTTTAGGCCGTTCTTTGTAGTGTATGATGTAGGTAGGATACACACGACTTCTTTTCGAAAAATGATTGGAATATCGATGTCAAACCAACGATTTTGATTTTCTGCCTACATGACAAAAACTACACGCCGTGGGTGCCTGGGTCATCACTACGCCCCGTAAGCTCCATAGCGCACTGTGATTGGTCGATCCGCAATACCCGACGCCAGAAGCGCGTCAATTGTCGCTGCCTACCAAAGTACAGCTATCCTCAACACAAGCAAGAGCCATTCACCTTGGACCTAACAAACTCAAGAATCAAATCTTTCTCAGTACCACCTCGCATACGGATTACCTGGCAAAAATAGATTCGGCTTGTCAAGTCCTGAACACACGGCTCCGCAGTCTCTCATCATGGGCTATCGGAAGACCGGCCCTAAGGAATACAAGGTGTCAGCTGCCGACTCCACAGAGGCCCGAAGAACGAACACATCTGAGTTTTACGTCGAATGGAGTGGGCACAAGATCGAACATCTCCAGAGGTTTTATGCCTTTGCGCAACAGCTGCGTCCTCGAGCACCGAAGATATGGCTGGCTGGTGAGTGATACACTGGACAAAACGGCGCACGGCATTAAGAATTTCCGTTGTGGTGTTATTGAAGACTACGGTCCCAGCTGACACTGTAATCGCGATGATGTAGGCGATTCTTCACTCGATAACAAGTATTGGGGTACGTATTTGCCGGATACATAACAGCGACATCTTGAGACACCATGTGCCGTGGTATCTCGAGACCCTGAAGTCGTTTCCCTAAAATATATTGACTTTGCATCTGCGACTCTAGTACCAGGCTCAGGACCAGGGGGAGATCCATTAGACGTCTCAGTCCCGGAGATCTACCATCTAGCGCTCAGCAGACCGACTCCGAAACCAGACGTCTCGTTCTGGATGAACCATCTATATGGCGAAAAAGCGACTTGTATCAACACAGCAATCGAGGCTTCCATGTTGCGAGAACGCGACCAGATCTTACTCCCACAAGACGTATTCATACGCGAGCATATCGGGAAAGACGACGTGCTAATTGTGAGCGTGGGAGGCAACGACATTGCGATGAAACCAACTCCCACGACGGTCTTTCAGATGCTTCGAATCGCGTGGTTCAATGGGCTATCATCCATCCAGAGCGGTACGGCTGGTGGGCTACCGTATTTCGAATCGATATTCAAGGAAAAGACGGAAGACTACATCAAGCGTCTTGTTTCCGTCACAAAACCACGTGCAGTGATCGTGTGCATGATCTACTTCCCACTGGAGTCGAAGTATGGCCAGGAAAGCTGGGCTGATATTTCGCTGAGATTGCTGGGGTATGATCGGTGGCCGGGCCAACTGCAATCAGCGATCCGGCAGATGTTCGAGTTGGGAACGCGTAAGGTGCAGGTAGATGGGACAAAGGTGATACCGTGCGCGCTATACGAAGTGATGGATGGCAGCCGGAAGAAAGAGTACACCGCGAGAGTAGAGCCGAACGAGGTAGGAGGCAGGAAGATGGCCGAGAGGTTCAAAGACATCCTGGATCAGGAGTTGACGGGTATTTGGGGAACGCGGGATTCTGTTCCAGACCCCATCTAGTGTGTTCCTCCTGGTAGTTCTCGGTGTTCATTTCAATGTTTCCATGTACTTTTCCAGGCTTTTGCCCAAATTGACAACGAATTGCCATTGTGTGTTGCCTCTGAAAAACCGGCACCAGATTTCTAGGACGGCGATCCCAATCTGGAACGGTTCTTGAGGAACAATAAGTTCATCCTCGTGGGATTCGGTTTCATCGAAGTCGACCACTGCATACGCCTCTTTGATGATACAATGTACCCAATGGAGGATTCTGAGTTCGGACTCTGCAAAAGTTTGTCAGTTGAGCGCGCGAGACAAAAAACAAACAGGTCGTGGTCACTCACTAGACAAGGACGCCTCATGAAACGGCCTAGGCAACCCGCAAAGCCACTTCCCAAGAAAGACAGCGCATTCAAAACTCGAGATAGCGTGTTGCACGCTCCAGAAAAAGGCTTGACTCCTTGCGACTCTATCAATCCCCAGCCTCACCGGAATACTCAACGCATGTGTCGAGTAAAGCAGCGCCGAAAGCAGATTGTCATTGCGCTCAATATCCGGAAGCTGAGACAAACCAGTAGAAATAACGTCCGGATCTCGCGATTCTAGATGTCGATAGGACCCAATGTTGAGCGATAGTCTTATGTAGGCAACTACTAGCAGGGAGCTTGAAGTGAAAGGGATCGGGCCGCTGTCATTGTTAGGGTCGAGAATAGATTCAGGTGCTTGTTGCCAAAGCGAAGTCCAGGAACGCAATGCGCGGCTGTACGCGACGTTCAATTAGTTGGTATTCAGAATTCATATATAAAGGTGCCTTACCATATGGTATGTAATTCCAACGGCGATATGATCGCGGGAGAGGTTGCCGGAATGGAAAGTTCGCGCACGACATGTATCCTTTGCAACAGAGCGTGCAGTAGGATGTAATTGCCGATGGGACTAGGTATGGGGTGAACCGAGTCACCACCCGCTGTTCCCTGCAACAGCAACGACAGTGCTTGTTGGAAAAGCATCTGGTTCTCCTTCCCTTCACGTTGCAATGCTGCCCATTGCGCTGCAGTTGACGCTTGCCAGTCCGGCGTACAGCAAGGCAACCTCAAGTGCATTTCGCTGCTCCAAAGTAGAGGGTGGATGTTGTATGCGATGCTGTGGACATTGATGTAGCAATATGCCACCAGTTTTGTGCGTCGCGATGATTCGGCTCTGACCCACTGGTCCCACATTGCTGATCGAGGGGCAGACAAATTGGTTTGTGTATCGTCTTCTTTGAGTCCACTATCTCGTAGACACTGTACGAGTAAAGTGCGCAGCGCAAATGCTTGCTGCAGCAAATCTTTCCTCTCCCACGTGGCGAATCCTACCAAAACAAGCAAAGTTTTCGCCATGTCCAATGGCTCCCAAGGCCCGGACCTGTTCGTTACAGCGATAGCTGGAGATAGCATGTTGGTGCTGGCGATAAACGCTAACGTTTGGGGACCAAAATGTGCCTCTTCTTGTCTTAAACGTTCGAAGACGATTGCTTTTGATACGCGAAAAAGGCGCTCTGATACCCGTTTCTCAAAGCAGTACTGGGCTCCAGCTGCACTCATTGCAAGTGTAAGCTCGATAGGAGAGCACGAAGGCTTGTACGTCGGCTCGTGGATGAAGGGAAAATGAGAATGGAATCCAGAGAAGAACGCAGTGATGTAGCGTGTCATAGCATGGCGGGATGGGATTGTGAAGGAGCAAATTGGTTCTGGGAAAGAAGAAAGAAGAGCCTGGAGGATAGCTCGATGATCTTCCGTGACGTGATAGGTGCTATTCCGGCCTCGTGTCTCTCGGGCATCTTGGCCGGCCTGGGATCGCAGGTGGACTTCATCGTCACGAGGTGCTGATGGTAGCCATGTACTAAAAGGTGTACCGATATCTTCAGGTGCAGGGGACTGAGAACTGTTTGGTCCTTGGGATTGATGCCGAGATGCTTGTCGGGACTCCTGCGTATAGTTTTCAAGGCGCATCCAGTCAACGTCGTATTCAGGTGTCCACTGTGCGGACAATCCCACGCCGTCTATGAAGTTGACAAAATCTCGGAAATCATCAAAGTTTTCGTCTGGGTAGTTCTGGTGATGAAGATCTTGAGATGCGCTGAAATTCATATCTTGCGAGGGATCATGCTGCAGAGTCTGGGGGATCATCTGCGATTGGACATCGTCCAAGTGAGCGAGAGGGGCAGTGAGCTGTCGCTGCACCACAGAAGCCTGTTCATGCTGAAGCTCGTTGCTCACAGCCCCATTCGCTTGGTTTGTCTGATTGGGAATATCGTGGAACACAGGCGCTGTAGAGTTACCAGACTCTTGTGCTTCATGGTCGGTTGTCGATGTCACAGCAGCGGCCTCACTGTGATCTGAGAGGCGCCAATGCCTAGTGAGCAAATCACGACGAGTAAATGCCGATCCGCAATGGCACGAAAATGGTTTCTCTCTCGTATCTAGACAACTTTAGCCAATTGGCAAGAATGTGGGTCTAGATGAGAGTGAATTACGCACGTGTACGGAGGTGGCGTGTTAGATGTTCTGCACGCTTGACTGAGATCGCGGGGAGAAAGTCAGTCGAATCCGAATATGATTCAATAGGCTATCGATGTATCGATCAGCCATGTCTTACGTACAAGCCCGTGAACAATAACGGCACGTGTGATGATGTCTGTGCATCTGTCGCGTCGTCTATCCCCACAGCATGTTGGGGTTTGAAGTCATTGATGGAGTGGTTGGGGTTGTCGGGGTCGAAATCTTTTTGGGGTCAATCAGGGGCTTTCCCGCTAACGTCGCTTAAGCCGATGGATAGGACCGACGCAGGTCAACTCCAATTCTTGGAGTCCGTCTCCATCGTCTCAGACACAATCTCAGAGCTCCAATTCCGGGGTTGATCGCCGAGATAAGCTGTTGTCGAAATAATGAACTAGAGATTTGCCACATTAGCTGTGTACCTGGACATTGTATTGGCGAGTCGGAAGATAACGTCTATCACAAAGATCACTCGATTCTCACTGCTCGCACGTCAGGCAGTTGCCGTCAATTCATTGGTCTTGGTCTTGGTCTTATCTCTTACTCCAATCGGTATTCGACATCTGTGCACAGAGTCTCTCAACGACCAATTTCTGTTATGGCATCATTAGCAAGGCAACTTCGAGGCGTCGCTGTTGTCACGGGTGCTGGAGGGACAGGGAAGTGCAAAGTCAACCCTACCATTACCAGAATCCTGACATTCAACAGGTATCGGTGCTGCTGTTGCAAAAGGTCTAGCTCGATCAGGATGCACAAAGATAGCCATCACAGACATCAATCCCGAAACCCTCAACCAAACCAAAAAGGCAATCTTGGATATCAATTCGAATGCGCAGGTCTTCAATCAGGCCGGCGATATTGCGGACGAAAAATTTGTTGACTCATTCCACGAAGAAGTGTTTGGAAAATTCTCGCGACTAGATTATGCTGTAAACTGTGCCGGAGTGCTGGGTAGCAAAACCGTCAAAGCTGTAGAAATGCCTACTGAGTCGTTTGACCGGTTGAACAACATCAACTACCGGGGACTGTGGCTGAGTTGTCGTGCTCAACTGAGGAATATGCTTCGGCAGAAAGCACTATCGGAGGAAGCAAAGGAAAGAGGGTCAATCGTCAACATCGCAAGTCAGCTCGGGATAGTGGGAAGACCAGGAGCGGGTAGGTTACATCATTTCGCTTCCCATTTCGAAGTTTTGCTGATTTTATCTCATCAGCGGCTTATTGCGCATCCAAAGCCGCAATCATCAACATGACGCGGTCAAATGCAATCGATTACTCAGACGATGGCATAAGAGTAAACTGCGTTTGCCCTGGTGTCATCGAAACACCAATGACAACTACTTCACCGGAGATGGTGAAAGCATTGAAGCCTGCTATAGATATTGCACCAATGAAGAGAATGGGCACTCCAGATGAAGTCGCAGACGCGGTGCTCTTCCTCTGCTCACCGCAAGCATCCTTCATCCAAGGTCATGCGTTAGTAGTCGATGGAGGCTACACCATTAATTAGATTTCACACTCGCGTTTCACGTAATAGCCAAACAATGAACCAATTTCACGATATCAGTGCATTCTTAGTAGTTCTGCGGAAAATGGATTTCATTAAGCTTTCAACGCTACGCTCACAACTTGAGGGATATCTTTTTATCTACTCCACCAGGAACACCAATCTTTTGCCAATCATTCGCCGACTCCCAAGCAAAGGCCGCATCCAGAATCTTCTGCTCCTGCCACAAACCACCGACTAATTGCATTCCCACTGGTAACTTGATATCCGGATCTGTCGATGACGGCGCGAATCCAACAGGCAAAGACAAAGCTGGGTGACCAGTGACATCGAATATAGCCGTGTTGATAGTTATGCCCATACTAGGCTTCAGAGCCGCCATCGGCGAATCCCCACGTTTCCAATCCAAATTTTGCGGTGCTACGAAAGGTGTCGTCGGCATTAGAATTAGATCATATTCTTGAAACAGTTTCTCGTACGAGTCTCTCAGTTGCTGTGCTACGTTCATGGTTTTCGCGTAGAGACCAGGATAGCTTTTCATCAGTGATAAGCCGTTAATAATGGTGTTTTTTGTGGATGGAAACAGCTTCTGGAAACTTTGGTCATTCCATGGCTGTCGCGCTGCCTCATATTCGGTTGAGAACAAGCCTCTTCGGCCATGCGCGAGGCCCATGAGACCTAGAGTTCCTGCGATACGTTGTTGGATGGTCCAGATAGCTGGGCCCTCAAGGTGTAGAGGAAGGGAAACTTCTTCGACGGTAGCGCCGAGCTTCTGGAATGCGTAGGCAGCGCTTAATACCGTCTCCTTGACATTTCCGTCCACGATCCGATGCTCAAAGCCTTCAGTGAGGAGGCCTATTCTCATCCCGGAGATAGAGTGTTGCAGACGCTGTGAATAGTGAGCTGAACCGTGCAAAGGGGCACCGAGTGTTCGATCGTCGAAATCATCTCGCCCGCTGATCGCATCAAGACATGAAGCTACGTCCTTCACTGTTCGCGCAATAGGTCCAGCGTGGTCGTTGATCGCGTCGCCACTGGACATGCCAGTATATGGGACTAATCCATGCGTTGGCTTTAAACCGACACCTTAAAAGAATCAAGTCAGTAAAAATCTCAGTTGGAAACGGAGAACACATACATCCACAGAATGAAGAAGGAACACGAATGCTTCCGCCCTGATCAGCGCCAATTGCTATATCCACCACGCCGCCACCGACCAAAGCCGAGCCACCTGATGTGCTGCCTCCTGCAGAGTAACCTTCCGCATGCGGGTTATGGACTACCCCTTGCGCGCTTGTATATGAAGATGTGGAGTTGCAGAAGTTTTCACAAATAGTCGTTCCGACGATAGTCACCCCAGCTTCCAGTACTCGGCTCACCACAGTAGCATCAGAGCTCGGTGTCCAGGGTTCGATAGCATCGGTACCAAAAAATTGTGGTACACCTGCCACAGCCACATTATCTTTGAGACAAAGCGTTTTTCCTTTTAGTAGAGTCGCATCGGGATTTCCACGAATTAGAAATTTATGCGCCCATGCATTTCCGAATTGTTGCTGCTCCAGAGTAGGGCGATGGATATTTTGCCGTGGATATCGGGCATCCACAGGAACAGTGTAATCTGGGAGGTCCAAAACGTGCTCTGCGACATCATGCACGGCAGCTAGTAATTGGCGATATTCACTCGATTCTGAGGGTGCTATGCCATTGGTGATCCCAATACCGGACAAGAGCAGTTCTGCTTCCCCTTCAGGAATTGACTCGTCGCTTGATATGAATTAGCTTTCACGGTAAGCAGCATCCCCATGCTATGTTAAACCTACCTGATTGGCGAATCGAAGAAGACAGACATGTTGATAAAGTTGGGACGGGACGTAGGCGATAAGGAATATTCTTGAACAAGTTTTGGTCAGATGCTAATGAAGTCGAAGAAATACGTTGCTTGTCAAGCATTGTATAGATATCTTAGTATCCTTTGGCAGAGGCCATAAAGTTTGACCAATCATTGTGTGGTTCGGTGGAGTGGATCCTCACGTTGGGGTCGGGCCGGTCGCCTCCAACTGTCTCCAACTAGGTCAGCAGTGGCAACGGCGCAATTTACCGGCAGCTGTTCGCCTCTGTCATAGCTGTTGGTGAAGCATTGCATATGATCGCTCATTGGAAACGTAAAGATAGAAGGTGCATCATCCATAATTACTACAATCGCCGTATCAAATCAGGCAATTTTCACGACCAATCTTCCCTTCATCGCCTTGTCTGTGTACTTTTCCACGATACCGGGAATGTCATCGAACTCTAGCATCGTAATGTGCGAGGTTATATCATGTTCGGCCACAACTTTGAGCATCTCCTGAACATCTTCTGTGCCAGCAACATAGACTCCCTTGATCACTAGTTCGCGAAAAACCAATGCGCTGGAATCAAATTGCCACTTTTCCTTCGGCAGTCCGACTGGAACCATGACGCCTCCATTACCGAGTTGCTCCAAGCTCCATGCATTCGCCTGAATAGAATCTGTGCAAACCACAATACCTGCGAGTCCCTCGCCTGAAGTGAATTCAAGGATCTTGTCGCTGGCATCTGGAGCTGATGAGTCGACAACTAAGTCTGGTTTCAACTTTTCGGAGACTTCCATTGAGAGTTTTCGCCCTTCGTCGCGGTTGTCAATAGCCACAGTCCTAAAATTCATTGCTTTCGCGAATTGTACTCCTAATTGGCCGAGACCGCCGATACCAACAATTGCAACAGCCTCTCCAGGTTGAACATCTGGCTTCAGCTTTTGCAATGCGCCCCAGACGGTTGCCTGACTGGAGTTTTAGCGATCTCGCAATCTTTTGACTGTTGATTGATGGAACTCACACCCGCACACATGAGAGGCGCGCCTTGTTCAAAAGACACCTTTTCTGGCAAATGAACCGTCGTGTCCGGATCAGCCAGCATGTATTGCGCAAAAGCGCCATCATGTTTGAAACCCGCCATTTCACGACTCTGGCAGAATCGTGGATCCGTGCGATGGCGCCTCCGCAATTGCTGTCGACATCCAACGCAGGATTTGCAGGAGTTTTTGAAGTTTAGAACGCCAACGCGGTCGCCCACTTTCCAAGAACCCTGAACTTGAGCTCCGATTTGAACAATCTTGCCAGCCGGTTCATGGGACGGTGTCAAGGGCAGATGCGCTGGGAATTGGCCATGGAGAACTTGTAGGTCGGAATGACAGAAGCCAGCTGCGTGTACTTGAATGAGAAGATCATTGTCGCCGCATACAGGAGTTGGTCGCTCGCAAAGCTGATAGGGTTTGTTGTACTGAAGTTCTGTTAGAGTAGTCCCATATAGATGATTAATTATCGCAATATGAACGCTACCTCTACGATTTGCGCTGTTCGCATTTTCTGAGATGACATCTTGCTCTATCTTCTTGTGCGAATTGGTCTAAAAATAGTACCTGCAATTGTATGTATGTGAGACTGGCTTTCTAAGTGTTCTTCAGAGTCTTGGTCTGATGAGCACGAGAAGCGCCTCGGCAGACTTTCCTAATCAACGCCAAATGCGGAGATTGGGGTAAGTTGGAGACTCAGTGACGATAAGCGACAGCGCGGAAGTCCCACGTTTTGGGTACATGCAGGACCCTATTCGCTAACCATGTACTAAGAATAATAGAAATCATTGTCTCCGTCATCTCACTTCTCGCGTCTCTCCAGTTTATCTTTCTCTGTTGTAAATCACACAGCATTTCACTTCCTCCTTAGCTTTGGAACCAGCACTTATTTCGCGATTTCCCATTACCTAACGCGAGAATTGAATCACGCCGCGATATAACGTTTACTTGGTCACAATGGGCAAGAAGCGCGTTCTGATTTCATACGGTGTCGACGTTGATGCCGTTGCGGGATGGTTAGGGTCGTATGGAGGAGAAGATAGCACGAGTGACATTAGCCGTGGTATCTTCGCAGGCACCATCGGCACTCAACGACTCTTGAAGATGTTCAAGAAGCACGACATCAAGACAACATGGTTTATACCAGGTACGCAAGTAATTGAGTTCTCGATTTGTCTAGTTGCGGATCTAACGACATCATCCAGGTCACAGTCTAGAGACATTTCCCGAGGACATGGCGGCAGTGCGCGATGCGGGACATGAAATCGGCCTGCACGGATACAGCCATGAAAACCCGGTGGATATGACGATTGAGCAACAGCGAGATGTCCTCGACAAAACATATCGCATGTTGACAGAATTCGCTGGGAAGCCGCCAAGGGGTAGTGTAGCACCGTGGTGGGAGACTAGTCAGGAAGGCGCTGAACTGCTTCTTTCCTATGGTATAGAGTACGACCACAGTATGAGCCATCACGACTGTCAGCCATACTTCCTTCGAACCGGAGATTCCTGGACGAAAATCGATTACAAGAAGAAGGCGGAGGAGTGGATGAAACCACTTGTAGCTGGTCGCGAAACTGGCTTGGTTGAGATTCCTGCAAATTGGTACATTGACGACCTTCCTCCGATGATGTTCATCAAAGCATCACCAAACAGCCATGGTTTTGTGAATGCGAGGGACGTGGAAGACCTATGGAGGGACCATTTCGATTATTTCTACCGCGAATACGACGAGTTCATTTTTGTGAGTATTGAAGGATAGAGATTCCACATGGAAAACAAGCTGATTTTGGTAGCCTATCACTATTCACCCTGATGTATCTGGCCGACCGCATGTGCTGCTCATGCATGAAAGGTATGCGCGTTGTTAATCCGTTCCAGCAAGACTTGAGCTAACATTGGCTACGTAGGCTCATTGAACACTTCAAGAAGCACGAGGGTGTGGAATTCGTTACCATGGAACAGATTTCAGATGACTTCAAGAGCAAGAACAAGCCGGCTGAGGGAGCTTGGATGCCCGCTGAGCCAGGTCTGAAATTGAAGAAATAGAATGCAATGTAAATGAATTCATGATCAAAAACAATGCTCCCCAATTCACCCCGGTTGTGATGTGATGAATAAACTGACTCGAGGAAGCATTACGTCATACACTGTACGCATGCTTGAACAAAACCCCGACGCCGAATCCTATTGCAACGTACCCCTACCAGTCATTTCCTCGAAAGACGCGGAGGACCGGCAACTCGGAAACGGTCAAGTCCCTTGGCGAGATATACCCCAAGATAAACTAATACTTACCGTTCGCATAGGCAGGAGTTGGGGTCTCGTCGCGTGTGACTCCAAAAGTTCTATCGCATAGATGTGGGGTCTCACCTCCAAAACAATGGGCCTAGGCCCGCTAGAAACCACGCCTCCCCAGATTTCGAGATATCGCATGGGGCACGTTGCGCGATTGAATGAGGGGGGTATCCGTGCGTATCAGCGTAATGATAACCTTGCGTAGATGTGGTTTCTGAACATGTATATGTACAAGCTGTCCCAGCGTTCTGGTAAACTTCTTAAACTGCAGAGGCTACTCCTCACTACTCCTCAGTCAGTCAATACATTTGAACACTAAGGAAAAAGACTTTTCGCTTGATACGAACACAATTCAAGATGTCAACGGAGAAGCACCAGGATACTATCGAGCCGTCTCAGAGTCGGGAGAGTGTCAACATTGGAAAGGTCGATTTGGAGAATGACGGAGAAATTTTCAAGAGAGGAGAAGGTCTCGAGGACTTTCGTACAGTAGGATGGATTCACACTTCAGTCATCTTTCTCAAGCGTCAGTTCTTCACCTTTTGAGTCGTACGCCGAACATACACTGACTCTTAGATGTGCACAGTAATCTTCGCCACGGGAGTTTTGACGATACCATCCGCTATGTACACTCTTGGGGCTTTCCCTGGCGCTATCAACGTCCTCGGATGGCAATTCCTCAACACATACTGCGCCCAAGTACAAGGGCAATTTCGACACAATCATCCCGGCTGCCATAGTATCGCAGACATGGGCGAGCTTGTCGGTGGCAAGATCGTCAAGGAAGTGACTGGAGTTCTGTTTCTTGTGGCCTTCATTATTGTGGGTGCATCGGGCATGGTCGGTGTCTCGACAGCTCTCAACGCGCTCTCCAACCACGCCCTTTGCACAAACTATTTCTCTATCATTGCCGCGCTCATGGTCATGCTGGCAGCCAGTATGAGAAAATTCGAAAAGCTGGCATGGATCACATGGGCGGGTTTCATCTCTGTCTTCGTTGCTGTGTTCATTGTCGTGTAAGTTCGCCACCTACGATCTTCGAGTCAGCGTGACTAATTTGTGTGTCCAGTGTCGGTGTCACTACCCTCGACAGACCAGCCGCTGCCCCCCAAGAGGGCGAATTCGATTTTGGCTACCACGTCTTCGGCAGCCCAACCTTCGCCGCTGGTATAACTGCAGCCTCCACCATCTTTTGCTCCGGTGCAGGAACGTCTGCATTCCTCCCCGTGATGAGCGAGATGCGAAACCCAAAGGACTACAAGAAAGCCGTGAACTGGTGCATGGGTATCGTCACTGCAGCCTACCTCTCCTTCAGCTTGGTCGTATACTGGTACTGCGGCAAATGGGTGGCGTCGCCTTCTCTCGGCAGCGCAGGACCCGTGATCAAGAAGACAGCATATGGAGTCGGACTCATAGGACTATGTGTTTCAGGCGCACTCTTCGTCCACGTGTCCGCGAAATACGTCTTCGTTCGCATCCTCCGCAACTCCAGGCACTTGCAAGCGAACACTATTACTCACTGGGGAGTATGGTTCGGAGTACTCGCTGCAATGTCACTTGTGAGTTTTCTGATTGCTTCGGGCGTGCCTATCTTCAACTATCTCCTCAGCTTGGCTGGTAGCGTTGCTTTCGCACCCTTGGCTTTGGGCTTGCCTGGCTGGCTTTGGATTTACGATCACGCGGATTACTGGAAGGGAACTCTGTGGCAGAAGATTCTGTATGCGTTGCACGTGGTCTTGATTCTCATCTCCATCTTTTTGACTATTGGCGGTACTTATGGTGTCATCGTACAAATCATGGACGCTTACAAGGATGGGAGCATTGACTCTGCGTTTTCTTGCGCAGATAACAGCAACTCTTCTTAGACGAGGAGGGGGTTTCTCTGTTTCATATCGCGTTTTTACTAGTCATAAATCTACATTACTCTTTCTTGATACGTGCACATGCTGCACTGAATGGCACATGATTTATTTATATGACGAACAACAGCCACAACTTGACATTGCTCTCCAAACCTAACTCCCAACTCACTGTTCATACAACCAACAATGGCTTGCAGTGAACAAAGAATGCTCTGATTGTGTAAGAGTCAAAGGTAAAGGATACTAGGATCATGTATTCTAAAGCGGAACTCAGGACGCGATTTGCTCAGTTTCTCAAGGTTTAAGTTTGTAGTGATACAGCTCAGTGCTTGGGAACAGAGCTCATTGTGTACACCCAGGAAGAAGTAGATGAAATACCTGTTGTCGCCTGGCCATAACACAATGATCGCGTCTGACATCAAGCTGTTGCGTGGTAGGTCAAGTGATCATATGAATCTACAATGGGCATCATTCAGAGTGGTGCTGTGGTAGAATCTGTAATATTTAAGACCGTTCCGCGATCCATAGACTCCTCCCATCACCACAGTGAATTCCAAGATTCAACCCACAACATCTACCAAACTTAATCATCATCAACAAAACTAACAACAAACTCCCACGATGTCAGCATCTCAATCTTCTTCGTCAGCACAGGCTCCTCCTTCGGATGTGGAAGCATCGCGAGCAAAAATTTCCGAAGCTAAGGCGCAGGCTTTCCGCCATACGCTCGCCAAATACGATTTGAACGAAGACATCTTGCAAAAAATCCACGATACATTCGTCGAGATCGCGAAGGATGCTGGTCAGATCATGAAAGGAGCGGAACGAAAGTCCCTCAGCTCAGCTGCCATCAAGGACAATACAACGGACCTGGTAACTAAATACGACAAGAAGATCGAAGAGGATGCACGGCTCAGGCTCCACAACGTCTTTCCCGCGATCGAATTCCTGGGTGAGGAGACATTCGGAGCTGGTACCGTGCTCTCAGATAAGCCCACTGTCGTGTTGGATCCAATCGATGGCACCTTGAACTTCACCAGGGGTGTACGCTACTGCGCAGTATCCATTGCCCTTGTTCTCGAGAAGAAACCAATTATTGGAGTCGTGTACAGCCCTTTCGAGGGGGAGTTGTTCACTGCAATCCGTGGTAAAGGCTCGCATCGGACGAAGATGAATGATGAGGGATCCGTTATTGAGAAAGTCCAGTTGCCATTGCCGGAACATTATGGACGTCCCATGCCAAACTTGAAAGGCTGTCTTCTCGGTTTTGAGTGGGGGCATAAACGCGAAGGCCCGAACTGGGATCTCCGCACGCAGGTCCTTATATGGCTCCTTGCCGCCAATGGCGCAATGTGCAAGTCCATTCGTACTAGAGGCTCCTGCGCTCTGGACTTTTGTAACGTTGCTCTTGGAGAGTTTGATGCATACTGGGATTGCGACGCCAAAGTCTGGGATGTTGCTGCTGGGTGGTGCATTGTCGAGGAAGCGGGAGGTATCGTCGCCTCCGTCAATCCTGGGGATTGGCAGCCCACTATGGAAGGCCGAGTGTACTTCCCGATTCGCAAAGCCGAACCTGAAGAGCAGAAGGCAGTCGTTGGGGAGTTCTGGGCTCATATGGGCGAGCGCAGGTTTCAGTATGGAGCTACAGGCACTCTCAAAGATCCCGAGGAGCAGCCCAAGGAGCGCAAAACTTGGTTCTCTTACTTCCGTGCATCTATCTGGTAGACAAAGCTCTTCTCGGTCTGTTTCCCGGTATTGCCATCCGCATCTAACAGTCTGGTCCGGCCAAAATTTGTAATGGTATTTCCTGTATGAGGGAACAAAAAAAAAGAAAGAAATCTGTATGGGGAGTGACCTTCATTTGTAATGGTAATATGTTTTCGGCACACTGAGTGTTTTTCCTTTGTAATGGTGTTTCGGTGGCATATGGAATGGCGATCGTTTGTAGTGGTATTCTTTTTCGGCACACCGAGTGGCTTTCGATTACCCTGTATTAGTTTCTAGCATGTACAATCAGTTCATATCGGCGGAATGGGCGAATCCAAAATTAACAAACTGTTTTCTTCGTCTTTCCGAAAGACAAATATGGATCATTACGTGATTCAATGGATACAATGTAATAGATGACAATCATAAGCGAAGTTCGCCCCTGCAATTTGCGACTTTGAGAGTGAGGATTCTTCAGAAATACGCAGCACCGTACACTCCATATCGCAGGTGAATTAGGCTGACGAAGTCATGATGGACACCTGCGACTGCCCTAGATCGCCTTTTAGGCAGTCGCAATGTGCGGGAAGGTACTAAGGCTCACGCGCCCAAACTCGATGGAGTGCTCTGCTAACTGTGATTCGGTCAACTGCCAACCTCTTATTTTCAACATACCTATCAGCGAATTGAAAATACAGCTGCATAAATGACGATACGAGTTCTCCCGATGGCAGATGCAAAGCGCGCACTCATGTACGCCATCGAAGATGTGCCCGGTAAAGGCAAAGGCCTGATCGCCACGAGGAACATCTCCAAGGGTACACGAATTCTTGCCGACAAACCCTGGATCACCATCAACGAGAGTTTTATGACCAAAGAATTCCGGATGAGTTTAATTGCTCAACAACTTCACGATTTGAACAAAGAGTGTGTATCCCTCATCCAGTACCGATTGATCTGGCCCCATCTAGAGTGGTGTTTCACAGCCACGAGCACTCGCTGAACTCACCTTCCTCCAGCCATGTTAACTGAGCATTTGCGATTTTAGGGAAACGAAAGACTATCTATCGATGAGAAATATTTACTCGAATAGCAGCGCAGCTAAGAACTGGGTTGGCATATACACAACCAACTGCTCGACAATCACATCCTGCAAATCCGCCTTATTCCCAAACGTGTCGCGGATAAACCACGCTTGCAATGCCAATGCGGTCGACTACTGGAACGATAATCTCAGCAAAATGACAGTTCATGCTTTGAGAGATCTTAAGCGAGGGGAGGAGATCACAGTTTGTTACGTGAATCGACCTCGGAACCGTCAGGAGCGTTTGAGAAAACTTTGGGAAGAGCATCAATTTACATGCGAATGCGATCTTTGCTCTCAGCCGGAGGAGAAGAGTAAGCTGACCGACTTCATACTTGATCGTGGTGACGACTTGAGAAAGGAATTTGTTGACAATTGGGACCGAAACTGCACAAAAAACCCAAAAACGTTGTTGAGATGTGCAGAGATGCAATCCCGAGCTCGCCGGCTAGATGGCGTGAACGAGTTGGGATTGATGAGGGCATACGAGCAAGCGTTGTACGTTATCATAGCGAATGGCGACTTAGCAAGGGCGAGCATTTTTATTGGAAGACTGCTGTTTCTTCAAATTGTAATCTCAGGCCACGATAGCCCAGATACAATTCGGTACAGCGCGTTCAGTCGCTCACCCAAGCAGCACGAGAAATACGGTTTATCGGACAAGTGGGAAACTACAATGGCCAACCTTCCACCCGATTTGAAAGAAGGGCAAAAAGAATTTGAGGACTGGCTCTGGAGGAGGAACGAGATCGATCCTGATCCAAAAAGGATCGATTTCTACGACCGCAAGATCTTCCCTGGTTTCAATGACCTGCCCGTTGAGTGCGATCACCAATCGATCTACATAAAACGCCACCCTCGTCGTCACTGGTGCTTCCTTGGAGAGATTTTGGAGTGTACCATGTCTGAACGTTTGGACATAACCGTCACGGACATTGACGGTGAAATTGTTTCCATTTCTCTCGAAGCGAGTGCAGATTACAATAGTTTTGACTTCGAAAGGGGCCATACGCTCGGAATTTTGTACGCTGAGCGCTACCCCGACCTTAAGGAGGGTGTCAAGAGTATTTCTGCTAAAATTAGGCCCGGCTGCTTAAAGGTTCGACATATGAAGCGTGACTGGGAAGACCGAAGTAAACGACTGACAGACATCTAGGTCTACTCTATATCATTGAAGAGACTACGAGATCTAGAATATCAGAGTCGCAAATTCTCCACTGAAACTAACGGTATGCGGATCTGCCATGGATGCGAGGAAGAGAAGCCATCTTCATCTCTCCAGGCGTGCCCTGAATGCGAGACTTTTTGGTATTGCAATAGGGTAAAAAACTTGATTAACCATATATAGTTCCTTTGATACATCTGCTGACAGGCTATCACTAGAAATGCCTGAGATTTGGCAAATTCCACAAAGGACACGAGGCAGAATGCGAGATAATAAGAGATCCAAATTGGGAGGCAACGCTCCATTGGGCCTGGGATGAGTTCGATTACTACGTGCATTTTGCTAATTATCCCGGTGTATCAAAGAAAGCTTCACAAGAGAGATCCGGCGAACATTCTGAAGGTTCGGAATGTCAGTCAAGGGACACATCAGAGGACACATCAGAGGGTTCTGAAGAGAGTTCGGAGGGGAACTCGGAGGGGAGTGCAGTGAGAAGCCCATTGAAGTGATATGGACGAGTATATGCGATGATGCTCCGTCTTAATTCTCGTTATCGGCGGGCAGGAGCTTACGCTAAGAAGCCTCTGCACAAACAACCTCACTCTACGCCAAACAATTATTATGCTCATTAGACCAACAGTCATTGATAATTGCATCCAAAGACAGCAATCAATCGATTCCGTTCAACCCTCATCACTGTTCATTACTTGCGTGTTCATACATTACTTTAAAAACTCCTGCCCATTTACTGGTATTATTGAAAAGGAAGAACGCCAAAATTCCAGATTCAGCACCAAAAAGGAAAAGGAAAATAGAAGCCACCGTCTCCACCCCGAGTTAAAGCCATCGCATAGCCCCGTTTCAACCGCTAAAGTGTGTGTCCCGCCTGACCTGCTCCATGACAGCGTCATTGATCGAGATCCTGGTTTGAAGGGCCTCTTTTTCGCTGAGCAGACCCGCGACATCAGCCTTCAGGCGGTGAACAACCGCCTTGTGCTGCACGGATTTGGTCTCACACTCCTTCAATTCGTGTCTACAACGAACAATCTCACGCTTCATTCTCTCATGCACATCGTCATTGTGCTTGAGCTTTTCCAGGTACGAATTGTATCCATTCTTTACCTGTTGGATGGCCTGCGGAGGCCCGCTCCAGTCGATTGTTGATCGAAAATGGGCAGGATCATATTTATGGAGGCGGGTGACGGACTTGTAGAAGCGATTGAAGATGCCGGTTGATGCGGGATCTGACGCGCTCACGTTGACATGCACGTTCACGACCATGGGCGAGGGATTGGGGGAAGAAGGAACCGAAGGAGTAGCCAAAGGCTTACGCCTGATCTCGAAGCCCTTTTGAGGATTCGGAGAAAGAGGGTTACCTACGAGAACGTTTTTAGATTCCGGATCCGAAGACTCGGCAGCTTCTTTTGCTGCCTTGGCATCTCGCAGCTCGAATTTGAGCTGCTCGATCTTCTCATGAAAAGCTTTCTCGCGTTCCTCCCAGCCGTTAGCATTCTTGATCCAGTCATTCTGCTGGCGCAGCTGGAGCTGGAGCTCGATGAGTTCCTGTTCAGAGCGTGCTTCGCGCTCCTCAGCTTCCTCGGCATTCTGCTCCAGTTCCCTGATCAAGTTTTTCCCGCGGGTGATGTCTTTAATGGAGTGGTTGAGAGTGTCTTGGTGCTTTTTGTTGGCGGCTTGCACGGCGGCGACCATGTAACGCTCGGACTTGTGCACCTCTGCATCGGCTTCCATGAGCTCCATACGGCCTTTGAGTCCCTGAATCTCATTGTCCTTTTGTTGGAGGCGCTGCTGGAGAGTCTGGATTTGGGAATCGGCAGCACTGGCTCGGGAGTTTTGCGCCTGTGTTTTGTTGTAAGTACTTGGAGACGGGCGGGGAATCCGTGAAATTTTGTCAGAGTTATTAGAGTGAGACATGTTCTTGTCTTAAGTCCTGCTCTTATCGACTTACTGTTTGTTGCTTTACGGTTGGATTCTCTGCTGTTTTGGAGAAGCATGTTTGGTTTCGTACAAATAGTTCATGTATTATGAAGTATAGGATAGGAAGGATGAGCAGCATTGTGAAAGTCATTGTGAATAGGGGTTTTCGACGTTGTTTTGGACTAAACAATGCGGGTGTACTCTGAAGGCAGAATCACGGAAAAGGATAGCTGAGTAGATAAATGCATCGTGAAGCATTTGTTTTCCTCACTGTTTGATATTATTTGGAGACGGTACACAATAATGTAGACGATTTTCGATACAGACGAATGAAGTTTGCGGTCGGTGAAGGTGAGATGTTTGTTCATCAAAGTCTCGTTTGGCTTATCAGCGGTTCATTCATGTCTCAGTTTTTTTGAGATTCTCCAGCGCATTCGAAGATGACCGAAAGTAGTATTACTGTCTATCAAGTGCATGAGGGGTATGTGTACGTTGTGCTCTATACGAGATAGAAAATCAAATCATATCAATCCAAGTCGCTGAATACCGAACATCATTGGCTTCAAAAAGAATCTAGGTATGGGCGACGGCACGCTAAACATCTTTAACAAATCCCACCTCAATAACGCGATCACGATCAAGGTCCAAGCTGGCAATTTTGGTCCTGCTGTTGTCGCGAATGAACAAGAAAGCCTTGACGAGCGCTTTGCGCACGAAGTTTGTCCCACTCTTCACTTTCATCTGCTCCTTGCCCATGATGTACAAGACTTCGTGGTTGAAAGCGCGCTCCAGGGCGGTAAGTCGCGAGGTCGTGCTGGTGGCGCTCCCAGTTGGCGTTGGTGCTTGTCTGGCGCTGGGATCAGAAGACGAAGGGGTCGATTCACCTTTCTCGTTACGAATGGAGAGTTTGGCGTTGAGCTTGTTGAGACCCCCCATGGTGTCGACATCGGTTCCTGAGCTGATGGGTGCGGATTGTCGCTCGCCCTCGCGGTCAAGTGCGCGGCTAATGATATGGTTTCGGACTTTGTCGTAGACCAATGAGGCCAAATCAGGGGTGATAACTTCGTCCATGTACCCATGACGAACGACGAGTCGGTAGCAATTGGGGATCGCCAGACGCGAAACGTGATAACGGTTGTCATATTCGACTGAAGGAACTTCCAGAGGTCGAAGGTGGAAGAAGACGATGACTTCGGGAGCAGTAACCAGCTTACGCACAAACTGGCTGAAAACAATCGGCGTGGTTTCTCCGGCCTTATCAAAGAAGATGCCGAAGCCTTCGATGGAACTGAGGTTTTTGTCGCCGTATTGCTCAGTGAGTTGCAGCTGGCCGTTCTCATTGACTTTGACAAAATGAGTAGTCGGGAATCGATCTTCGGCTTCTGCGAACCACTGTTGCTCTTTACCAAATCTCCACAGAATGAAGATAGATGCGAGAAGGGTTGCCAATAATATGGTAAACCATGCGCCATCGGGAACTTTAGTAAGTGATGAGGATAAGAAGGTACCATCCATGCATGCGACTGCAAGCCAGGGCAGGAAGACGTAGTAAGGCTTGATCTGCCAGACTAAAATGGCTACTAAGGTGACCATACATGTATCAAAAAATGTGACGAACATCACACAGACGCCATAGGCGTTTCCGAGCGATGTGGTGTTGTTGTAGACTGCTGCTACAATGACTGTACCAACCATGAGCAGCCAATTGACAGCAGGCACGTAAAGCTGTCCATGATGGGTTTTCGAGGTATGCACCACGCGGATTTGTGGGAAATAACTAAGTTTCATGATTTGCGCAAGAAGCTGATTGTGTTAGTGAAGGCTTCAAGGAGAGGACGCGTGGAATCGTACCTGAAATGTGGCAGTGATCATAGCTTGAGATGCCACGATTGCAGCTGCGATTGCTATAATAAGCGAAGGAATGAGCCATCCTTTGGGGGCACAATTATAGAATGGATTGGAGTAGGCCTCGGGGTGCTCGCTAATGAAAGCAGCTTGACCTGCGCGACGGTAAAAATGGTCAGCAAAATATGTACGGGGATCTGAGCGATTGCTATACTAACCGGAGTAAGCAATAAGGAGGCATGGGTAGGCATATCCTAACCAGCTGATTTGGATGGCTTGTCGACTGAAGGCACCTATATCGGCGAATAATGCTTCAACACCCGTGAAGCAAAGAAGGATTCCCCCAAGACTACGCCATCCTTCGTATCTGTTACGAATGAAATAGTCAAATGCATAGTATGGATTGAACGCTTTCAATATAGTGTAATCATATCTACATTAATCATTAGTCGCCATGTGTATCGAGTCCAATTGAAGACTTACCGTGCAAGGTTATAGATGCCAAAACCAGCGTTGAACGCCAGCCAGATAAAAATCACCGGAGAGAAAACAACGGTAATCTTCGAAATGCCGAGCGGTTGGAGCAAGAAGAGTAGGATGAGGATGGCACATGTTACGCCGACAATCGTTGATCTTGAGATGTCTGGCTTGACAACATTGAGCCCTTGAACTGCGCCCAGCACAGATTGGGCAGGGGTCAACACGCCATCGGCCATGACCATAGACACGGCTAGAACGCCGATCGTCTTGAGCAGACCACGGAAAAACCTGGTTTTCTCAATAGTTGAGCGCACAGTCTTTGTCGACCGGCTCAGGTCATTGGTCAGCATCCGTTCCATGCCTAGTTGAGGATGAGCAAGGTTCATTCTAAAGCCTGGGGCAGACTTACGTATCATTGTGGCCTCTCGCGGGTCCCGATTCGCGATATTCGCCTGCGCCGCGTGAGCCAAATATCATGACAGGGTGGATGGATAGCACAAACATAGCGAGACAGTAATGAATACGTTGAGAAAGTTCCACCTTCACCGTTGTTGTCGGCATGTAGGATGATGAGCACATATTTCACTGTCACCATCAGGGTGATTGACCAAAGGATGAGTGACAATGCCCCCAGCAAATTCTGTCGATCTGGGGCCTCCGTAAAAGTGGAAGAGAACACATAGAGCGGAGATGTACCAATGTCGCCATATATGACACCGGTGGCCTGGTACGCGAGGAGGAACAGCTGTGCGAGATTGAAGTTCTGTGGGATGGTGTTAGGTAATGGTTTTTCGTTGAGGGATATAGAGTGCGGCATTTTCTCACCTGTTTTCGTTTATAGTCTCTCTCGCTCCTCAGACCGGCATCCTCGTCTTCTGCATTCTCTGTCTCTCCAGCTTTAAAAGCTTCCAAGGAAGTTCTGCTGCGGGAAATTGATCTTCCTCTCAGTGGAATTACTCCACCGATACCACGAGCATCAGGCGAGCGCGTCGGATGCGCAGCGTCGGAGAACTGTATCGTCTTCGGATCCATTCTTGTGCAACCGCAGTCGAGGAGAGGAGATGGTATGAAATCACAGCCTTCCCGGCGTGAGTCTTATACGAAATGTTATCTTGAGGGCTCCGACAATCCAGTACGAGAAAAGAAACAGTAACAAGCTTGACAAGATGCACGCGGCGGCTTGGTTGGTTGCCTCGGCGGAGAGCTTATCAGTGGCTGGCGACTACTGAATCTGGATATGAGGGATTTTTTGAAATACTGGCGTTTGCTGAGGGGGTGGCTAAGCGGCCTGCAAAGGGTATCGCGCCTCGCCCGTTAACTGTACTACGGTTGTCACTCGGAAATTCACAGACCGCTGGTTCCAGAAGTAAGAAGAGTTTGAAATTTTGGAGAAATTGAATCGGCATGTGCCAGAGGCCCAGACCCCACGATCGCGCGCGGTTCCTTTGTTCACTGTCGCCATTTTCGGAACAAACGCAGCTTGCAAACGCAGGGACTAGATACGGCGACGGGCCGAAGCGATCAATGACGTATACAGACACACATGTGTACATTTGATCTTCCAGTGAATGTGGCCCAAGAAACGCCAGTGGCTCAGCCGGTTGAAACGTTTGATTTGCGTGAACGTGAATCGTTGTGCAGCGGTAGCAACGTCACAGGCTATTTTTCAGTCATCTTCGGTATGGGTCAGCACGCCCTAGCGTACCATACAACAAAAATGCGAGCTTCAGATGAGAAGAGATGAATATGAGGCCACGATGGGTGACACGCGAATTGCATGACACGCAAGAAGTGGTGCTAACTAGATCGGGCTTGCCACGTGCAAGTTATCCTCCGAGCGAGGTAACATTTGAATGTTTGAATAGACGTCGAAAATCCACACAAATATCACTAGCCTACAGTACGTGTATAATAAGCGCAAAAGTGCTGCTTACGTGCAGCATATTCATATAACGTAGTAATCATCCATGGCAGTAAATGGGGAGAATTGGGTCAATGTGTGTTTGTTCTCATGCTGTACAGCTTGCAACCATCGAAACAAGCTTCACACTAGACGATAGGCGAACTTTTATTCTGGGCTTCAGATGCAACTTCAAAGCACCGCCTTTTCGCCGTATTGCGGATTCATCACCTCTCTGTCGGTGCTTTTAATGGGTTCAGTGAATCTATATCCGTGGCAGAATCCTCGAGCAGCCTGCAATGTTTTCAATTTAGAGCCGTCGGGCTGAGCTAACATTTACGAAGCCACCGATTCAAACAGATTCAAATACTCTGTTTTCGCGTTTGCTTCACTAATCTCAACTACACCGCGGGGTATAATATTACACGCAAAGTTCATTATTAGTCGTACAATTCAATTACGCTATAACGGGGTATATCCAATATTCAATCCACCAAGACGATGAAGTCATAAGTAATCAAGCCGAAACAAAGAACAATCTTAAAAGAAAACCGTCATCATAAGCCAGAGCCAAATTTCGGTTCGGCGCAAAGCATTTCATGTGTTCTCGAGCGGTGACATTGGACTAGTGCCTCGATAGTACAAGTCTCCATACAAGGGCCGGAGAATTTAAACACCCTGCATCTGTGGGGGTGCCGAAGTGTCAGCCCTAGCAGTTCTTCGAACATGCAGAGCCGCAACAACCGTAGTGGCAACGAATGCGAGCCTATATAGCGTTAATATGGGAAATTCATCACGAATACATTCCAACGCGGCAAAAAGACATACCAGATGAACGCCGAGAAGACGATAGCAGCAGTGCCAGCACCGCAAACACCACCCTGGCTACCGCAGCGAATCTTCCCCCAAAGAGAGGCAACAGCGACCCAAGCCGCAAACCAGAAGATCATTGTAAGTGCTTCTACACCAAGAATGGCATACTTGTGAGCAGCGGCCGGGAAACGTGAAGGGGTGAGGACGAGGTAGAGGACGGCAAGGATAGTCCAGATGGAGCAGAAAAGCATGAAGTCGACGCTATCCCAACTCCACCAGTACGCATACGAGTCGACGACTAAGGCCAAGTTAGTTCCCGACTATAGTGGAGCGGTGGACGTATAAATGCCTACCATATGCTGTGAGACCAAGGACGATTATAGAGAAAATAGCCTGAACGGCTCGCAGTGGCAGCACGGCGACTTCTAGGAATGCCATTTTTGGATACAACAGAAAATCGGGACTGGCTGGTTGACGAAAGGGTATCCGGGTAAGCTCTTATATATAGAGCTTTTGTGTGATAGATGGAAATGTGGAGGGCGGCGGTCACAGTATGTGGTTATGTGAGAAGATGGGAAAAGATTTCACAAGGAGCAAGTTTTCCAGTGCGATATGCTGCTGGCCTATATACGTGTTGGCAGTGCTGACCCAAGACGATGATGATGAATTTTGATGAGCGCCACAACAGCGTACGTCATAGTCTGGCTGAAAACAGGCCGTGACGTGCTCGCAGCCAATCAGCGTGGATAGATCAGCTTGGCCACTTGTCTAGCGCAAACACAATCGACTCTTCGACTCTCTTTCATCTCGAGTCTGACTGGTTGACGAGGCCAGCAACGTCACCTTTCTCCTCATCCTGCTCTTGGGCATCATGTCACGATTATCCTTGACCATAGCTACAGAGGTAATGTATGCATCGCGCGTGCAGCCAGACTGAGCCAGCCAGTACAGTTCGGAAGCATAGGCACGCTGTGCATCATCACAGCTATTACTGGCATGGCTCTCTCTCTGGACTCACACCAGGACCTATTCGTCTTCTGTTGACTAGCTTTCTTACCATGTTTCACCTCACTCTCTCAGTTTGAGGATCAGCAACGCGTAACTTGTGCGATCGCACGGAAGCAACGGCTTTCGCTACTCCAGTTTTAAGGGCGCAGCAGGGTCTGCAACAGCATCAAAGGCTTCGTACATATGTACTTGTGACGTGGTAAACCTATCGCTGCGTATAGGATCACCTAAACCCCAACTTACAATTCATTCATAATTCACGTACTAGTGACATGCCGTAACATCTAGCATTCAATGGCTGCATCACTGCACTTAGCCGCATTAAAGTACAACTCCCCCAAACAACCAGAACTGCTGGACATCTAAAGAGCTCTCCTTCATCTATGGATAATACTTAATGCGGAAACTTTGTAATACGGCGATGCAGCCATTGAATGCCAGATGTTACGGTACTGACTTCTATTGTCACCTCTGCCGCGTCGTCGTCTTCTCCTGCTCCCTACCGTGACAAACTGTCCAAGACCACTTCAGTCTCCTTTAGTGGAGGCGCAGCATTATTCGTCGTCGCGTATGTCGTACGAGCGCTCGAGGGCATTGGCGTTATAACAGACTGTTGACTCCCAGGCCCTTTGCGTTGTACATTCTCATCTCATCACTGATCGCCGATACCCTGATTTTCCCATAGCATCCGTCCGCCCACCCGATTACATGCGCAGGCATGGCTGATTGAATTCTAGCCCCCAAACTTCGGCACATGTATCACATGATTGATTGTGTTCAATCACATGACCCTACACATGATCAGTCCAGAATTCAGACTCGGTACTGGACGGCTCAGCACCTCGCAAATCAACAAGGGTCCAATGCCTTGCATCTCCGAGCGATCAAGACCATCCAATTATTAGTCACATTACACGCCCGTCATCAATTCATCTCAAACGAGTTCTAGGTACTTGTAAGGTAGCGATTGGAAAATCCGCCAGAGGCCACCGCTTCCCTCTCTTGGCTTTCGACTTGAACTCGCATCCGATTCGCGAGCGGCACGTTGCTGATGCACCTCTTTTCCAACAACAGTCCGTACCACGCTCCATGCACATCGAGTATGCACATACAATATATCCTGGCGCTTGGACGTTCATTCAGAAAGCGTGGCAAGTCACGATTAGAGTATCTGCATATTGCCAATCCCTGGGCTCGATGCAGCGAGGGCCCTTCCCCGGACTGCCAGACCATCCAGATTTCCATGTCTCACCAGCTCTGTTGAGTTCGCAACCAAACGATTCGAAGAATCATTACCGGCTGCATTCAGCGCTGTTTGCCTTGTCGCGCGACGCTTAGCCTGGTCAAACTATTTGCTACCGGCAGATGATCAGGTGCATGACTTGTAAGCATGGATCATGATTTGGTTGCATCGCTTATTCAAGCAACACCAAGCTGGGCCATCACAAGGCACTTGCGCAAAGGCATTCCAAGCCGGCAAGTGCTCGAGAAGCTAATACCTGTAAGCACTGTGCCTCTATTTACAGGACATTGGCAAGGCAAACACTCAGCACAAGTCAATTTTCCGTCCAAACAGAATTGAGGATTCCCTGGGGAAGAAAATTGTAACTGTCGAAGGATTTCCCTGCATTCCACTTGCCGCTCCATCCCTGGAAGCTAGACCCGTCCTTCCTAGGTCTTACTGTCCTCTCGATGCTCGAACATTTTGGAATCTTCGATACATACGTACAACATCGCATTCCTGCCTATTCTCCAACGGTTCATGGACTTGGTTCAATTTATGTTGCCTTTGAAAGATTGACCCTTGACTATACGTGGCCTGGTCGCATCCAAGGGGCAGGAGCTGGCGGGTCCTCGTCTGCGCAAACCTGGGTAGAGGACCACCCAGCGCGCTGGCAAGGGTTCCGAGAGTTCCAAACCTCAATATATCGGCGGCTGTAGATTCGAGGGGACGCAAGCTCCGTACTCGGTATGCTTGTTGTCAAAGTCCAACACAGCCATTAGATGAAAGAACCCGTGGCCCGTATTGTCATTACTCGGCACTCCATCCTCTTCTCGATATGTCAATGACCTCGCAAAGCATTGCTCTCAACCGGACTTACTATCCGTAGTGTTTCGCAGTCGCAAGCGGGATGGTTGTTCGCACATATCCGAATGTCTGGTACTGCTTTGACCACGTGCAGGCAGCTAACCGCTTGTGTAGACGCAGTCCTCCCTTTTTACTGCAAGTCCACGGATTCAACCGAGCATATCGCCCGCAACATCAAAAGTGCGCAATGTGCTCAGACTTTTCTGTTCTGACTGTCTGTGCGAGCGGCCTGACAACAGACGGTTAATTGGAGGATAATGTGCACGAATTTACCCGGAACCCATGCAATTTCTTAGACGCCGAGCCTCTAGCTCGAGACGAATAGCTCTACGGTACAGGCGGGCATCCCTCCGGCTTGGGGAAGGTTACTCTGGAGTAATCTGGGGACTGGGGTCTAAAGCCCGGGGTATGGGAATTTTGGATCGTCTTTATAAGACCAAGGGTCGGCCACCTACAGCTCGACAGCTGGGACCGCATTTTTCAAAACTACAGTACAGCAAACATGGTCAAGAAAGGCGACGCCGGAGATCCCGTTGTGACGAGGTTGGTGGCGGAGGACAAGGTGCCATGGTACAAGAAACCCAACCTGCGTCTCATGTACCTTTGGCTGTTCTTGTGTTGTATGGGTGTTGAGATGACCTCTGGTTTCGACTCTCAACTCATCAACACTTTGCAATTCTCCCAGCCTTTCAACAAATGTAAAACGTCTCCTCGGTTCCTTCACCAGTCACTGGATCAAGACTAACAAGAGCAGATTTCGGAGATGGTTACCAAACCTTGGATTCCGATGACGAGTTGCAGTGGTCCATCAGGCCTGCTCTTCTTGGTTTCATCTCCTCCTGCTACCAACTCGGGTCTATCATCGCTGTTCCATTCGCTCCGTGGTTGAACCAACGCTTCGGTCGCCGATGGTCTATCATGGGCGGTTCGATGTTCATGGTGGTTGGAGCCCTTCTCCAGGGCTTTTCCCAGCACGGTATGTAACATATTGACTAGCTACTGTCTGAAACTTCGCTGATCAGCATATAGTTGGAATGTACATCATCGCTCGTATGTTGCTCGGTGTCGGTATTCTGTTTGCCATCATCTCCGGTTCTTCGTTGATCGGTGAGCTTGGTCACCCGAAAGAACGTGCGTACTTGACGTCGCTCTTCAACGCTTCCTACTTTATTGGTTCCATCATGGCTGCTGCCATCGCTATCCGAACGGTTGATATCGCGGGTGACTGGAGTTGGCGTATTCCCTCTCTTCTTCAGATCGTGCCGTCTCTGCTCCAGATCTGCACTGTCTTGTAAGTACCTCCTTTCAAGATGCTCGATGTGCCTTTGAAGCTAATATTCTACTGCAGTTTGCTCCCAGAGAGTCCCCGTTGGCTTGTCAGCAAAGACCGTGAGGAGGAGGCTTTCGCAGTGCTCGTCAAATACCATGCCGAGGGCGATGCTTCGTCTACCCTGGTACAGGCTGAGATGGCGCAAATCAAGACGACCATCAAGTTGGAAATGGAAAACTCCAAGCAGTCTTGGATGGATATGGTCCGCACCCCCGGTATGCGCCGTCGTGTCCTCATCGCAGTCATGATGGGTCTTTTCACTCAGATGAGTGGCAACACATTGCTCAGTTACTACTCCAACTTGCTCTTCGATATGATGGGTTACACCACCACCTACGCAAAGACCAGAATCAACATTGCCAACCAGTGCTGGAGTTTGATCAACGGTGTCTTCATCGCACTCGTGGTCACCCGTTTCCGCCGTAGGTGGATGTTTATGCTGTCCGCCGGTTCCATGTGCGCGGTATTCACATCTATGACGATTTCTTTCAACCGTCTCCGAGTTGCCAAGGACAACGACGCGACCAACCAATCTGCAGCCATCGCGGCGTTGATTTTCTACTTTGCCTACTCGCCAACTTACAACATTGGTAACAACTCGCTCACATATACCTACCTTGTCGAACTCTTCCCATATGCCCAGCGTACCATGGGTATCGGTGTCGAGCAGATTTTCGGCAAACTTGGTGGTTTCTTCTCGACCAATGTCAATCCTCTTGCTTTGGACGCCATAGGCTGGAAGTTCCTTGCCATCTACTGTGGTTGGATTTTCTTCGAATTGCTTACCGTCTACTTCCTCTACCCCGAGACCTACAACCGTACTCTCGAGGAATTGACTTTCCGTAAGTTACCCTCTGTTACCTATATTTTAATCTTTCAGGGGATTTGTCTGCTAACAATATGCCATAGTCTTCGAGAGCGACCAACTCAAGGAAAAGCAAGCTTCGGCCGTCGAGAAGACAATCCACGACGACCCCCTGGCCACAGAGAAGGGTTCCGTCACCGCTATCGAGCGCGCAGTCTAAGCGCTGCCTTTCAAATTGGGATATGGCTACCTAGCCATCAGTTTCCACACTTGCAGGTTTCAATGTCACTCGTTGCGAGACCATCGTTCTTCGCGCGACTAGAGTCGTCATCTTGAAACACAATCGCATCCTACCCTGATAGTTTCTACTATTTAGCTAATTGACTCTTACCCTCTTTACCATTATATAGTTTTCAACTCGAACGTGCAATTGTGATGCATTGAACGCGAATTTGTGTGCAACCAAGGGCAAAGCCAATTTACAGGAGCCTGAATAGCCGATCATGACACAAACAACCCATCTCCAACGATGTACATGACAAAACATATGGAGGACTCGGCACAATCAGGTGAACAAAAGCCACCCGCCACCGGGACCAACAGACGGCCCGAACACATCTGACCACCGCCAACCTTCCAAGCAACCAAGCCCTAACCGAACGATAATCTTCCCATCCCGTCCCACTCCGCAGTCCGCACACCCGCCGCCTCTTCAAGCCTCACCGCTCAACTTAGGAGCGAGCGCCTTGATCTCCTCCGAAAACTCCACACCCGCATCATCACTATATCCCGCGTTCAAATTTCCTTGCTCCAGTTTTCCCGACGTGTCGAGAATTAGCGTATGAGCCAGACATCCGCGGCCTATGCAATCAACCCATTCCTTCCCCTTTGGATCCGCGGGATCCACGTTCTGGGCGTTGGATAAGATGGCGAATGTGCGGCCTACAAAATCCCACCTAGAGAATCGAGAACCCCCCACTTTGATCAGCTTACAGTACCTTCCTCTCACATAGAACATACATGCAGCATATACATATGCGGGTAGATAGGTAACACGGGGCATAATGTGCCTGGGCCGCCTGCCTTGCTTCTGTCTTACTTACATGAAATATACCTTGTTTTTAGAATTAGCGGGTGTGCTGTATGTTTGCTGACGGTTCTGATCCATGGCGGGATGATCGCAGAGGAGCTTCATCATTTGCTGGTGCGATTGGAAGAGGCGCTTGTATTGGTCGGTTGCGGTGGTTGGGAGCGGCCAATTTGTGTAGAATTCCGTGAAGTCTTTGCGCGTGGTCGTCGCTGTATCTGGGGTGATGTACATTGGCATTTTCACCGTACTTTAATGGTAGTCGTTATTGTGATGATTCTTGGGGTAGATTTTTTTGCTTTCGATGGAATGAATTGAACTGTTTGTGTGAAATTGTACAGCCGTTGAGCTGGGGGTGTGGGGATCCGACGATGTCATGAACGGCTTGCTAGACTTCATCGAGTTTAGGGCCTTGCTTAATGGACTCCGTCTACATCAAGTGGATCCATTGTAAAAACCTCAATGTTCTCATTCTACACAACATGCATCTCCCAAGTTCAAAAGTTCTCAAGGGCGAGTAAACAACAACGATGCTGGCAGCTGAGCCAGCTACAGCAAATTGCCTTCAAAACTCATACCATACCCATTCAGGAAGGTGGATGAAAGCAAGTCACGCAGTTACGCCCAGTCTCCAAACTTGATAAAAACAAGCAAGGCATACTCACCCCATCCAAGAACAGCAAAACACAGACATTAGCTGAAGTTGCATCCTAAACGCTACACTATTCTTGTTAGGGCAATCTACGCATTGGGACGACTGTTCGTATTTGTAGTTTAGCCAGCGCGAGCTGCATATGTTATGGTGTGGTGCAGTGTGGGTGGATGGGTGGGGCTCGGCTGGGGGGAGTACGCGATATTCTAGAACAATTCCGTGTACCATGCAGTATGCTTTGCTGTATGCGTATACACCGAGTACGGTACGGGATTTTCGGGTAAAGTGAGCTAGTGTTGTTGTAGATCTGTGTCTTCGGTTGCCAGTGGTGGTCGTGGGGTGTGTGTGTGTGGAGAAGGAGAGGTACCGGGAGGGATATCCGAGCGACTTCGCTTCTCATCCTACCTTGTCTGCGGCAGGATGTTGTTCCGTTACAATGAATTGGGGACGCCAGGTCAATGTGTACTCGAATTGTTGCTTTTGTATTAGGGTTGGTGAATACTACTTGTACAATCATGTCTTCGTCGCGTATATTACATGTTCCACCTGTTTTTTTCCTTTACCGGCATCGTTGCTTTTTGTTAAATCGAATAGTAGTTTCTCCTTTGCTCGATGTTTCCTCACGTGTGCTTTCCCTCTATTGTGCGCGGCTGTATGTGCCCTCGCTACTTCTTCTCTTGGCCAATCTGCAAGAGTCATCGTTCACTTCTCAGTGTCCGCTCATCTGATGCCCTGCATCCTTCTCGTTGATGCCAACTTTACCGGTCTCAAGATCTTTTTCTGCGCGCTGTTTCTTTGCTGATCCGAACCAACCAGTCTTGAACCACTTCGCCTTGTTCCCTTGCCTGGACAGTTCCCTCTTCTTACGCGGGTAATTGATCGGTGACTCCGGTCCCTCGAAAATGGCAACATCGTATACGAGACATCCAAACAAGCCGCCAAAGATAGCTGCTGCCCATGCTTCTGCCCACCAACCCTGGACCCACATGTCTCCGCCGTAGCCGACAACGTTGGGGACGAATCGAGTCGCGAGATCCTTGGCTGGGTTGGTCTGGGGGCCAGTGTTGTAGCCCAAGCACGCAGCCATGGCGAACCCGATGAGCGCGATAATGAAGGCATGCATGCCGGCTCCGGGAGGCGAGTTCGTGTCGTCGCCCATAGCCATCACTGTGCCACTCATTACAGCAGCTGAAGTGAAGTCTGTCCAGAAGGCGGTTTTTGGGGTAGCGAATGGGGCAGGTAGGGTGAAGAAGGCGGTGCCACTTCCATCGCTTGTAGACTTTCTTTCAGGGTCGAAGTCCTACAGATGGGCTCGTAGTTAGCATTAATCACCATCATCATCGTTGCGGGTCCGGAACCACTCACCAAAATCGCATCATGGTAGATGCCATATGCAATCCACACAGCACAGATAGCTCCAAGAATTTGGGCGCAGATGTAGATGAAAGCCTTGCGAGCCGGGAAGCCACGGAATACAGAAAGATTGATGGAGACCATGGGATTACCTACTTTATGTCAGTCGAGCTCTAGAAATATCGACAAACTGAACAACTTACAGTGTGCACCGGAAATTCCACCAGCAATATAGATGGCCATCATTGTTCCCAATCCCCACATAGCGGCTGACTGGGAAAAGCTACCGGCTTCACCCTGCGACGTCTTCACCTGCAGATTGGCACAAACTCCCATGAGGACCGCGACCAGAGTACCAAGCCACCTATGAGTGTTAGATACGATCGCTGGGATGAATTATGAGACACTTACTCTGCCAAAGGCTCCCTCAATTGACGACGAATGCCAAACCAGAAATTAGGTTCGTAGCCGTATTTCTCTTCAGCGTTTTTGCTACCATCGTCGCCCTCCTCCTCTTTCAAGGTCTGATCACTATTGTGGCGATCGTTTGCACCAGCAACTTGCTCGATCCAATTGCTGTTGCCTTGTTCATCTTCATCCTCTGGATTGCGACTATGACCCGCTGGTCCACCAGCCGAAGGCCCACCGCCAACCTGGAAGGGTGAGTTTGAATCGTAACAGTCATATTCATCGACACTTACCACTTTTTCGTGTTTCTTACCATTACTCTTTTTCTCTTCTTGAGAATCTTTCATAGCCTGCTTGGGGTTCTTCATGCTGTCGCGCTTCCTCCACCTGTCGCCTCTCTTCTGTCTTTGAAATGGCTTTCCCAATCCGACAGTGGGTTGAGGGCGTCTCCCGTAGCGACCAAATCCTTCGTCAGAGTCGTAGTCGTCATCATCGTCCTGGCCTTTATACGCATTGGGGCCTGCCAGAGAGTAATTGGGCTTTGGACGTTGACTACTGTTGGCCCTGTCGACACCGCCTTGCTTGCTACTCCCCATCTTGGAGCGAACGGAATTGAAGCGGCCCATGAGGCTATGCTTGGACTTCTGACGACTGACACCGTCCTGATTTCCTTCGCTTGGCTTTAGTGAGTATTTCCGGAAAGGGGAACGTTCGTATCGGGCATAGGTCTCGTCGATGTTCGTCGTCTTTCGAGATCTCGCCCCATGATCTTCAGAGGATGATGGGTCGAGGCGTTCGGCGGACATGACAAAGATCTTGATTCGAGATTGCCAGGAAGAGGAAGAGACTCACGAGAACAAGGGTTCAAAGAGCTGGGGATGATTTTGTGGTGTGGACTGAGCAAAGGTACCGACAAATAAGACCAGGGACGAGGAACCTTTAAGAGAGACAATCATGTCCTTGAAGCCGCCGGTATAATGATATCATCTCGTCAAACAACTCACTGATGATCTCTCAGGAGGGAAGTGCAGGATGTCCAATAATTCCATCGAATGATGATTCGTTCCTTTCCTTCTCCTTCAGCGGCTCAGATGATATTTGTCTTTTGATATAGCCTCGTTTAAGATGTCGTTCCGACAAAAGCAGCAATGAATGGTCTGCCAAGTCCATATATGGATGTTCCATGGTCGATTTCACTTTACCATCCGATTGCCAGCGAATTCTCAAAAGTCCCATTTCAGCAACAGGTGATTCTATTCGCACTCGCCTGTCCGTGCGCGTTGTTACATTTCAGGAGAGCAAGCCAGGATACGGCCAGGTTTTGATGCCTGGTGTTGCGGCGCATCGCGATGCACGCTAAGCCTTACTAGCGGGTGTACACGCTGATCTTCCGGGGTTCAGAGACTTGTTCCTAGCAGCCATTGATGTGTTGTGTTTCGGAATTCGCGATATCAATTTCCACGTCGTTCGTCGAATAAGTCGGGACCTGGCATTAATTGCCCAAGCGAAACTCCGATGTGGACCAGTCGGAGCATCGTTCAGCCAGATTCATAGACGGTGACGACCCCCGATGCGTCAAAGGGCGAATCTACCCTTGACCTTCAACGTTATATGCCGAATTGTGATAGCTGTTCAACCCCAGTTGCTGACCAGATTGGCCCATGGGGTTGTCGCAGAATCGCGCAACAATGACGTTTAGTCGCTGGCCACGTCGCAATTGACGTGGGTGAGCTGCACGGTTTTGTTGCACAAGCTTGCATGAACGAGATTACTATGTGATCAAAGTGACATGTTCATTCAGGATGGCTGTTGTTTACGAGCACCTAATATCGGGTGGATTATACGTTCTGCTGTGTGTACGCGCGTTCTCGAGCAGTTCCAGCTGCACATAGTTATGTACGTGTAGTATGCGATTCCAACCACAGGCAATTGAAATGAATTTCGGAGACGAAAAGGGAGAATCGTCTGTTCATTCCTCTGGAGACTTCAAATTGGTTCGCCAAGATAAATCCGAATGGCTCGCTCCACACCTGCTCTACCCCAGTATTGCCTCGAATTCGGCATCAACTCCCCCAATCTCCATAGCTTAGAAATGATCCAGTCCCTCTCTTCTTCGGTTGCGCCGTGATATGAAAATATCAGCGGACCAACCATGAACATGACATCCAAAGGCCATCTATGCTCCGCATACTCGTACGACATGACAATGCGCTGACGGTATTGAATGCAATTATCGCAGAGTTCCTCGAGAGTGACTGCCGTGGGAAGTGGCTGAAAAGGGAGAAATCTCGCCAGTAATGTATCTATCAGTATCGAGAAACCCCAATATATGACGCATAGATTGGCAAGCGGACGCGACGCGAAGTGGTAAGCAAAAGGAGTCAGTGAATCATCATGCTGCGCTGCCGTCACTGTTATGCTGGTCTCATTGATCAATGCTTCATTCACGTATTCTTCCACTTCAGCAAATGAATTGCGCAGACTGTAGATGTCGAGAAATATAGACCCAGAATCGACCAGCTCAGGGTTGTGATGAAACAGTCGGATCCGTTTGCATATCGAAGGGAGCCTCAAGAGAGCCGTGACAAATGTGACATTTACCGGGTGTATCTCAGGCGTGAAAAGTTCGTCGTACGAGATTTGTTGCCATGAACTATCTGCAAAAAAGCAGTCCTCGCCGCGGATGATGGATGCGGCCAACTAGCGGTGGTAACGTTAGTCTGACTGGCCAAAGGTTGTTGGAATGTTCCTCATGCCCGCGAATCCTCCTATAGACTCACTATTATATGTTGGGATAAGAAATGATCACTTACAGAGTTCATTCGCTGCATCGACACCAGCATCTTAGAAAACTTGGTTTTGCAGTACTCTGGTCCGCGTATTTGCAGCAACTTTGCAGCACCTCCAGCATGCGATACCCATTTTGATTCTCCTTGACATCCACCGCCAAAGAGCTCAACTTGCCCAATGATGGAGACAGCTGCCAGAGTCTCATCTGTAAATCCTCCGACACGGTCTTCTAAGGCTCTCTGCAGTGCCACAATACTTTTCGCGTATAGCTTTTCTTGCATCCGATCGTTGACTGGAGCTTGGTTGCGACATAGAGATGCATGGCAATTGACAAGGCATGCCACCGCACAATCTAGGGCCTCTGAATGACCTAGTCGCGCGGGGATCTCAGTCACGAAGCTAGCAAGAGCCGAGATACGGTATCCGCCGGTGTACATTTGAAAGGTCTGGCAGAGGGTGTGTTGAAGTGATTCAGTGCTTGACATCTGTGGGCTTTTCCTGATGACACTATGCCTGTTGTTGATCTTGTCTTGCGGGCGATTCTGTCGCCCGCGCACAAGCCGCATCGTTTGGAAGAAACCTCCGCCATCGCTAGCAGGAACAGAGCGAACAATGGCAATCTTCTCCAGCTTGAGGGCTGGGAAGGTGGTCTGTATAGGCGGCGGTGCGGATGATGCACCAGTGGTGTGCTCTTCGGTAAACTTGTATTTCGATACTGGTGCTTCGCATACGCGGTTCTTCTTTTGGCAAGGCCCACATACTGGTTTGACTTCATCGCACTGTCAGATTAGTACCCGAGGGTTAGCGAACATAAGACATTGGTATATGTGACTCGCATACCTTGACCTTTCTTTTGCGACATGTCCCGCATCGAGATGATTTGATTACTCCGGTCATCTTCTAAACAATGTAGTGTAATTATCGCTTCTTGATGTAAAATAAAGTCTTTCCCGAACGAGAGCTGACGATTCGCTTGCTGATGATGCCGAGAGTTGAACATTTTATATCCTGAGGCACAATTACGGCGATTCCGGAAAGCATCAGAGTGAGGCAAGGCTGAAGAGTCGGCAGGGAAATGATCTGCGTGCTTAATCAGAACAAGCACCCTATTGTGGTTCGCATCTCATCCCAACTTCAAGTTCTCACATAATTTTAGTATCAGGGGAAATGCCTTGAAACAAAACGGTTGGCTTCAGTTGGGAACGATTATATCGTCTTCCCCGATTGCTGGTATGGCTGCCAATCTCATAGGTCTATCGAGACCGTAAAGACGCCCAATTATTGATGACTGAGCTTTAGCAGATACTCGATAAGTATGAGCACGACCAATAAAGCAAGATATGATAAGGTCTTCCAGCACCACGAGAGCGGGTGATAGTAATGCAACTTTACTACCGAATTCGTCTATGCTCCGCAAAACCACACAGCATGCTGGCGGTTCAGCCTAACCTTGCCACATTTTCTTGTGATACCTTCAAGAAACGGAAATTATACGAAAGCGAATCATGATTACCAAGAAGAAAGTAGGTGAGAACGGGTTCAGCCGCAATTGCGTGGCCAATCTCTGCTGCGCCACGAGTCGGTGGCTGGTATGTTGTTCAGCTCCGCTGTGAAACGATCTTAGCAACATCTGGAAGCTTGTGGCGATCCAGCCAGGCACAACCAGGCTTGCTTCTTTCTTCTATTTCTATGCAATCATCTAAACATTGGCCGATGCAATAAAACTTGTCCAATGTCCTCAGGAGTTCGTGGCGACTCGCAATAACTGTTTTCTCGATAAGCCGGCATTGATAACTTCCTGTGCTAACACTACGAACCCAACGAACAAAATTGTAGAAAGCAACCCGAGAAAGAACCATAATCTCTCACTTCTAATCCTTATTGCTGCTATGCATCAAATTTTGCTTGTACGCCGAGCTGCCAAGTCGCCTTTACATTATTATAAGGTGGAGACTCAGAACCAAAGTGCTTGGACTAAGAAATGCAAGGTCCGAGGTGCGATATGCGAGATCCGAACTCTAACCCAAGAATCATCACTCTGATCAGTTGTAACGAAAATTTGCTTTAAAAAGCATCTTGCAATCCTAATGAAACAACTATATAAATAACACTGATAGCACTGGAATCGAGTAAACATCACAATTTACTGCTTCGCGCTATCACACCAAAGACTCCAGCACATTTTCCTGATAAACTTCACTCCTCATCAATAATTTAGAAAATGGCACCCTTTTTATCTAAAGTCCTCGCTGTTTCGCTAGCTTTCGTGGCCACGCAAGCAAATGCAGCAGTCGTCCCAAGGGCGGACGCCAATCTGAAAGACAACACAGCGTTGTTCGAGAAATTGACCACGGCGCCCACAGAAATCCGTCGATGGAGAGAGCTCTTCACCAAGGATGGAAAGGAGCTCCTCGGTTCCGAAGAACTTTCCGCGGCCACGACCTTTGATTTCAACACGGAGACCGGCCCAGAAACCGTCGTTGTTGGGACTCAAGGAGGCCAGCCTCACACTGTAAGTTCGCTCAAATATTCACATCTCGATTTAATTGCGCTGACGTTTTGCTTTTGTAGGCGGAAGTCGACACCTTCCCTTTTCTCTACGGCTCCGGCCTGACAATGACCTACGGCGTCATCGGTCCTTGTGGTGTCTTCCTCCCACACGTGCACCCCCGCGCAAACGAGTTCTTTGTCGTGACTGACGGTCAGGTTCAATTCGGCACTGAACTCGAGATTGGGCTACTGGGGGGCATGATACCATCCCCGGAGATATCTGGAACGATCAAGACGAATATGGGTACTTTGTTCCCGCAGGGCAGTATACATTATCAGGTTAACACGCACCCGGAGTGTAAGAGCACGACCTTCTACGCGGCACAGAGCTCGGAGAATGCTGGGTCTACTACGGTACTTCAGGATCCGACACGTGGAAACGGAACTACAGTGAAGAGTTTGGGTAGAAGGTTGGTTGGGGCTGAGGATTTTGAGCGTGTGAGGGGACTGCTTTCGTCGAGGATTGTTGGGATTGTTGAAGAGTGTTTGGCGAGGTGCGATATCAAGTAGAGTTAATCAAGGGCTAGAACGGTAGCTGTGGAGGTAGGGAACATTCGTTTTTAGAGCACGGTATATTCTTCAAGCCATGGACAGGGGAGGTAATTTCATAGATCACACGCTCATCACCGAGCAGTATTATAGAATTTAACACAGGGTCGGAAGACCACGCACACATGAATTATTTTCAGTCACTTTTTTATGAAATGTCTCATGGGACATTGCTCCGCTTCTGACCCCTGTTTTTTTTTTAGCCATTCAGCTCCTCCGCGCTCACCAAAATCATCCTCCTCGCAGCGCTCATAGTATAGTTTATTGTAGTAAGGGATTCCTTTAACTCTCCAGTGTAGATATGAATCACACTTAGCTAGGGCTTTTCCACAAAGGTGGCAGAAATTCCGGTCGCAAGTCCCAAATCTCATGTGGTTGCAAAATTCTATCTTTGAGACTGGTGTGGAGCATTTTGGGCAGAAAGTCGTATTCTTCAAAATCCAGGCTTCGTTCTCTGTTACAACCTTGTCCCGGAGCTCTCGATGTGAAATGTGAAACATTCTCGTAAGCATTCAAGGCAGAAAACGTGTCCGCAGTCCTGTGTTTGATAGCAGTCCGAACCGGCTTTAGGCTCGAGGCAAAGTTCACATTCGTGCGATTGCTTGTTGAAAGCTTCTTGTTTGACTTGGAGATCGAAAGCCACTACTTGCTCGAGGTTATTGTTAGAAATGTTGATGTAGTCAGGATCAAAGTGGTTGTCGAGGAATTCCATGACATCAGAGAGGTAGACGGAGAGGATAGGGACACGTTCATACACCTCCCAAACAAAGGCGGCCCTCTTTTTAAGTTTAGTGATCGCGTCATTCCGCAGGACAACGTGGGAGATCTCAACAGTAGGTGGTAATTTCTCAGGATAACCCTCAGGGAGAGTTATCGAGATAATGAGAGGTGGTAGGTGGGAGATTGAATGTTTCTTATTACCACGAACAATTTCGATTGGATTCTGTAGCTCAAGGGGCAATTCCAGAACCGCTGAATCTTGAGTGATGGTAATTTCAGGCCAGGTATGGGAGAGAAGCTCGAGCTCTTTGGTGCGTGTGTCAGTCATGTTGTCGGTGTTGATTGAATGTACTTCTATGTTCATAACCCAGGTAGTCATTTCGTTTATCTCGCTCTGTCTGCAGAGGTATATATACTTACTGACTTCAGGCTTTCATTTTTACCCAAACAATGATGCTCAAACTCTTCACTATCGTTGTTATTGTTTAGTCACAATGCATGTTTATAATTCATCTTACATTATTCCTCTCCAGAACGCAATTCTCATAATGCAATTCCGACAATCGTTCTGGGCGTCTTTCTTGATGAAAAATTTCTCATGTTCGAGGATTTTCCAGCTAATTTTCCGCCAAATGCTCACCGAATGAATACTAATCTTGCTTTTCAGACATTTGAATTAGTTCTGCGTACATCAATCACATTATTCTCTTTATAAACAACTACAATTCTATGGATTTTTCCCTCCGTATTAGCTCGTGGTTGATGACACATCGATTATCCCGACCTTCATAGTACTGCTTTCCACTTCTCCTAAGCACAGAAAAGCGCCCCCCTCCTTCCACCCTATCAGCACTCAATGAAAGACCTACAGCTACCCTTAAACCACCACCTAAATCCATCACATTCCCATCAGACGCAAAGTCAAAAAACACCCTACTCAACAAAGCGATTACCACATGCTGACTCACCTCAACCCCCTCACACCATATGTACACCATGAACCATACAAACTCAAGTGCTCCCTCAACATCCGCCCGCGCGCCATCCATAGACACCGAGTCACCGACCCCGCGACCGATGACAAGATAATTTAATTGACCGAGTATGCATAGCAATAACATTCATGACCAACTTATTGGACCCTGCTCAGGTAAGATCTGTTTGATCTCAGCAAGTGCGCAAGATTCTCGAAGTTGCAGCTGAAAACCCCGAGGAGCTGAAAGAAAAAGAAAACAGCGAGAAACCAATCACATTTCTTCGTCCTCCCTTCGTGCAGAGAGGCAGAAAACTCCAAACACCAAAACCTGTGCTGACTTATGCTATGCGCTGTACAGTCATCAATTCAGTCTACTGGAATGCATGCGCTGTACATACGTTATGCACTGTACGCAACTAATAAGAGTCACTACATGAGTTTGGCTGTACATTTTATATCGGGATATCGGGATGAATGATTCAATGAAACGAATGAATAGACGGTGATACTTATGTGTGCCCCGCAATGCCCAGTCAAACGGGATACGAAAGCATGGCACGTGAATGGAGAAGAGAGGTATCTAGGTATGTATGTAGGGTGTTCAGTTGGAGTCAGATGATTGTGAATTACCGGGGAATCGGTTAACAACGTGCATGCACGCATGCAGGCATGAGGTGGAGATGCGTGCGTTTGTGGGGTATTTTCGTATAAATAGGAGCTGGTTCGAAGATTTGGGAATTATGAGATTTTGTACTGTTTTGAAGTTAAGGTAGTGAAGCTTTTCTTCGCTGTTATTGAGATAAATTGCTCGCTATACTTGTATCTACAGCAAGGCGTTCGATTCGAATACAACGCCAGTACCTCAACATGGCAGGTCCAATTTACGACTTCATAATCGTAGGAGGTGCATTTCCCTTTATTTTTATTTCTCCATACACAACATCTAACACACACTTCCAGGCGGAACATCAGGTTGCCTCCTCGCGCACCGGCTTTCGCACTCCCCCTCCCAGCCGTCCGTCCTCCTCCTCGAAGCTGGATCAAAACCCACAGGCGAAGAACTTCAACCACCCTTCTACCGCTACATGGCGCCCGTACTGCGCCCCGATCTCGACTACGGCTACGCATCGACGCCGCAGACGAAGCTCAACAACCGCGTGATTCCATATGCGAGGGGGAAAGGGCTGGGTGGGAGCTCTGTGTTGAATTTCCAGGTCTATCTGTATGGGTCTGCAGAGGATTACGATCGATGGGCGGAACTTGTTGGGGATGAAAGCTGGGGTTGGGACTACTGCAAGGAGATGTTTAAGAAGATTGAGAACTACGAGTTTGAAGACGCGACGAAGGGGTATTGGGAGTTCGCGAGACCAGAGGCTGGTGTGCATGGGACACAGGGGAACGTGAAAGTGTGTTTGCCACCGGTGCTTGAGAAAGGAATTGAGCCAGTCATGAGGGCTGTTGTGGAAGAAGGCGGAGAGAAGATCAATTTGGATTTTAACAGTGGAGATCCTATTGGGATTGGTGTTTTTCCGAATTCGACGTCCAAGGAGGGACGCACGACGAGCGCGACGGCGCATCTGGTGGATGCACCGGGGAATCTGGAAATCTGGACTGATGCGGTGGTGCAAAGGCTGGTGTTTGATGGAGTGAAGGTTGTTGGAGTTGAGACTGCGGATGGGCGCAGAGGTAAGCCTTTCCTTCGTGTCTTGAGTTTAATGCGTCTGTTAATCGTCACATTTAGCAAAATCTGGGAAAGAAGTCATCATCTCCAGTGGCGCGATAGATACACCACGACTGTTATTGCTCAATGGGATCGGCCCTGCTAATGAGCTTGAAGCGCTGGGGATAAATGTAGTTCAGGACGTGCCGGGTATTGGGAAGCACCTGCAAGACCACGTAATGACGTTCATGAGTGTCGAAACGAATGGAGACCAAAACGAACGATGGGCCTTCCAGGGTAATGAGCAGTTGGTAGCAGAAGCCAAAGCCATGTGGCAGAAAGATCGCACTGGAAATTTTTCACTTCACAGCAGTGTCCTTTGGGGAGGTTTCTTGAAGCTTCCCGGGTACGAGCAGTACTCCGAGTATCAAGCGCTGGATAATGAGTGGCAAGAGTTTCTTGCAAGAAGAAGAGTGCCATCCTACGAACTCATGGGTTCTTGCTTGCTCTGGCCACCAGACACAGTGTTGCCAAAGGACAGCAGCTACATCACCGGTAACGTAGTCCTGCTGAACCCTCAATCTGAGGGATCGATCAGTCTGCGTTCGGCAAATCCAGAAGAGAAACCGATCATCGACCTCGCTTTCCTCACCCATCCCTACGACCGCCGGGTCTTGCGCGAGGCTGTTCGGGAGACATATATTAAACTGTTCGAGAATCCCGAGGTGAAAAAGCACATCAAGAGGCAACTCTGTGGACCAACCAGTTTATCAGATGAGCATGTAGACGAGTTCATACAAGAAGCCGCGACGACCGTCTGGCATGCGAACGGGTCGGTGAAAATGGGCAAAGCAGACGATAAGCTCGCCTGTGTTGATTCCCGTTTCAGAGTGCGAGGCGTTGAAGGACTTCGTGTGGTGGACTGCAGTGTTTGCCCTTTAACAACCAACAACCACACTCAAACAACTGCATACTTGATAGGGCAGAAAGCCGCCGACACATTGTTTGCAGAATACGACTTGGGGAAGAGCCATTTGCGGTTGTAGTGTTTGAGCGCAGGCTGTATTGTCTCGACAACCAAGTTGAACTATACACATCGGAGGAGATTTTGGATACTAGGCAGCAAGGATGGCTTGCACCATGACGATGCAGGTGATGAAACTTGGGACGGCATCGTGTTTGATTCAAGGAAAGTGTCGGAGATGGTTAATGATGGATGGGGGAAGACGGAGGTCCTTGCGCGTTGCTGGGCCAAAGTGGTCGCTTATTTGTTGTAGGCTCTGGGGGTGACGGGATCTACATAGTATGGGGATTGGAACCACAGGACTACAACACAGTACCAAACTTCTGATCTCCAACCACTTGCTACTACTACTATTGTCGCATACAACAGTCGAATATTGAGGATAGGCGATTGATTAATATTGCATCGGCGTCTCAGAAAGTGCAGGCCAAAAAGCAAGGCAGGCAGTAGCGCAGCGAGCAAAAGAGAGTGGCGGGAACGACCCCAACCACCTCCCAGCCATTCGGGCATCCATCCAGAACAAATCTGAGTAGACTATTTCCTCACAGCACCACCCAATCCTCCTTTTACACCTTTCCAACTGCATTCCTGAGAAAGACACTGACTGCGACGGGACTCTATCCCCACCACTCGCTTTAGTGAGAGAAAGAGAGAGAAGGTCGACTTTATCGCCATCGCTACCTTGCAGCAGCTTAGCGAATCGGCTGCGGAGACTACCCCGCCTATCATCCATCCATCCATTACCTCTACATTGGTTCAGCTCACCGCTCAACAATTCCGACCTGTCCGAGTTGCTTCTTACACCCTCTTTACGCTCCACCCATCCTACTCGAAAATCCGCTGCCTCCAATGTGGGTTCATACCACCCCGCCAGCCGTCTTGGTGGGCGCCGTCGCCTTGTCGCTGCTCACCACCTCGGTCAACGCAAAACCATTCCCCGTCGAAGACGCTCGCCAGCTTCAGAATGCAACCGAACTCGAGCGTAGGCAGCAGGTGTGCCCCCAAGGATCCACAGCCTGCGGATGGTACGGCCAAATCTGCTGTACAAGCTCCCAGACCTGCTCCGAAAATGCCGCCGGCGAAGCTATTTGCATAGCAGGAGCAACTGCGGAGAGCAATGGCGGAAACAATGGCCAGTGGACCGTCTTCACCTCTTACTACACGGCGACCGATTTGGTGACCCGTACTTCGGTCTTCAGCAGCTACATTGGCGGCGCCCCTGCTGGCTCCACCCCCCAGCCAACTGCCAGCTGCGGTGCTTCACAGACTCAGTGCAGCTCCGTCTGCTGTGATGAAGGATATCATTGTGATAAACCAGGCGTGTGCAAACCTGGAGCCTCCGGTATCGTAAACCCATCTGCGCCGCTGCGTCCTACGAGCTCCACGCTGATCGTCATTACAGCCACCGGCTCCCCGACCACTACACTCCCGTTTTCCACCCCCATCGCGACCGGAGCGGCCGGAGAACCCATCGAAATGGAAGGAGGAGGAGGAGGCCTTAGCGGTGGTGCCATTGCCGGAATCGTCATTGGCGTCATCGTGGGCATCATCCTTTTGTTGCTCATCTGCTTCTACTGCTGCGCAAAGGCTGCCTTCGACAGCGTTCTGGCTCTGATAGGCTTGGGTGGCAAGCGGAGAAGAAAGCACGAGGAGTCGACGTACATCGAGGAACATCATCATCACGGTGGAAGCGCCGCCGCCGGCGGTGGTCGCTGGTACGGACAGGGCTCGTCCCGCCCATCACGTCCACCCAAGGAAAAGAAGGGCGGCATGGGCAACTTGCTTGGTGTCGGTGCTGGTCTTGCAGGGCTTGCAGCCGTACTCGGCATGAAGCGAAAGCACGACCAAAGACACGATGAGAAGAGCAACATCAGCAGCTCCTACTACTCGTACAGTGATTATACAAGTGCCAGTAAGTCGACTTCGGATTCTTCTGTATCGTATCAGCCACTAACCAACTAAACAGGCAGCGCAAGCTCTGACGACCGGAGAACGCGCAATACGCGCCACTCATCACGTCGCTGAAACAAGATTTGCGTCCCTTTCTTTTCTTGTAACAAAATGTTTGCACAGCATCCGGCGCACGATTACGCGAAAGCCTGATAGTGTCCCGGCACAGGAGGGTTTCTGGCATATCTCTTTTCTTCTTTGCATGGCGTTATGGCGATGAAAGCGGTATAACTTTTACGGTAATGACGAATCGACACGGAGGGACGTTCATACGGGATGGGTATCGAGATACTGAAGACTGGACGAGCCATGTAAATACCGGACGACGCTGAGATGCGTATTGGGAGGAATTGCGAATACCATAACGAATTTGCCCTTGCGGCAGCACCTTTTACCGTTTGTTCGTATGTGAGCGGTGATGTGACTGCAATGAACGTGGAAGCTCGAGGGGTGTCTAGAAATGCGAAAGACGTAACTAGCGAGGGGTGGTTTACTAAGCATGGTAGGTCATGGAAATGACGGCCTGTGAAGTCATCTCAGCTGATGGATGAGTCAATGCTGGTTGATATTTTGCCGTTTCTTACCTGGATCTGTAAACAGACAAACTAGCAAACGGCGAACAGATGTCCCATTAAACTTGCTTGCTCCAAAATCAAAAGGTCGATATAAATATTCAAAGACATTTACCTTGGAGAGCCCCTCCCCCGCCAAGATCCAACGACTAGTGTGTTTTGGAGCTCATAGCCAGTAACCGTGCTGTACCTGCCCCACCGATTGCACGCCACCTTCACTACACCACCCACCGCAACCACAAACACAACACAACACAACACTACTCGCCTTCTCGTCCCTCCGTCTCCTTGTACCATTCTGTACAACCGCCGGCAAACTGGGGAAGAGAAAGTGCTCAACTTCCGGTGAAGACCAGGGAGGTCCACTCAAGAAAAACATGGCGGTAAGTTGCTCGCTGCTCTCCGAAACTGGATAGATGAGGCCGTGCAAGGCAGCATCACGCACGCATTCATAAGCCACCCGCAGGCTGTGTATATTTGTAACCATGTCGGATACCGGCAACACAAACTCATATACCTAGCTTCAACCTCCTTTGCTGCTTTTGTAGCCATACTGACTTTGAAAGGATAAGGACACCATGCAGATCGATAGCCCCGCCGCCGCTGCCGCACAACTCAAGAACAAGGATGGCGAGATTGACGAGTCGCTGTACAGCAGGCAGCTCTATGTGCTCGGCCACGAGGCCATGAAGCGCATGGGCTCCTCCAACGTTTTGATCGCCGGCCTACGTGGATTGGGTGTTGAAATCGCAAAGAACATAGCTCTTGCGGGTGTCAAGTCTCTGACACTATACGACCCCAAACCCGCCGCTCTCGCCGACCTTTCATCGCAGTTCTTCCTCCACCCCGAAGACGTCGGTAAACCGCGCGCGAGCGTCACCGTGCCTCGTGTTTCGGAACTCAACCCATATACCCCCGTTCAAGAGTTCACCGGAAGTGATCTCACAACGGACCTATCACAGTTGAAGCAGTTCCAGGTCGTCGTGCTTACAGACACCCTCCTCAAGGATCAGGTGAAGATTGCCGATTACTGTCACGAAAACGGCATCTACGTGGTCATCACGGACACATACGGTCTCTTCGGTACCATCTTCACCGATTTCGGCAAGAACTTTACTGTGGGCGATCCAACCGGAGAGAATGTGAACAATGGTATCATTGCTGGAATTGACCAGGATGGCTTGGTATCTGCACTTGACGAGACCCGACATGGTTTAGAAGATGGCGATTTCGTCACTTTCACTGAAGTGAAAGGAATGGAAGGTCTCAACGGGTGCGCTCCTCGCAAGATTCAAGTCAAGGGCCCATACACTTTCTCGATTGGCGATGTCTCTGGACTAGGCGAATACAAAGGTGGAGGCCAGTACGTACAGGTCAAGATGCCCAAGATCATCGACTTTGAGCCATTCAGCAAACAGCTGAAGAATCCAACCCATCTCATTTCCGATTTCGCAAAGTTCGATCGACCTCAGCAGCTCCATGTAGGTGTCCAAGCGTTACATGCTTTCGCCGAGAGCCACAATGGAGAATTTCCTCGGCCTCACCATGAGGCCGATGCTGCCGAGGTGCTGAAGCTCGCGCAGGGCTTCGCTACACAAGGCGAAGAGAAGATCGAGCTTGACGAGAAGCTTCTCAAGGAACTCAGCTACCAAGCACGAGGTGATCTTAGTCCTATTGCGGCTTTCTTCGGAGGTATGGCAGCTCAAGAGGTGCTGAAATCGGTTTCCGGAAAATTCCATCCCATCGTTCAATTCCTCTATTTTGATTCACTGGAGTCGCTACCCACGTCTGTTACCCGTTCGGAGGAGCAATGTGCTCCTGTCAATTCGCGGTATGACGGCCAAATTGCCGTGCTTGGCAAAGAGTATCAAGAGAAGTTGGGCAATGTCAAAGAATTCTTGGTCGGAGCAGGTGCTATTGGATGCGAAATGCTCAAGAACTGGGCTATGATGGGTTTGGGTGTTGGCCCAAAGGGTCAAATCTGGGTCACCGACAACGACCAAATCGAGAAGAGCAATTTGAACCGGCAATTCCTTTTCAGGCCTGCAGACGTCGGCAAGCTCAAGAGTGATGCTGCCGCGAAAGCTGTTCAGGCCATGAACCCTGATCTGAATGGCAAGATTGTGTCTCTGCAGGACAAGGTTGGACCGGAGACGGAGCACATATTCAACGAGCAATTCTGGGAAAACCTCGATGCAGTCACAAACGCGTTGGACAACGTCGAGGCTCGCACATATGTCGATCGTCGCTGTGTCTTCTTCCGCAAATCTCTCCTCGACAGCGGTACTCTCGGTACCAAGGGCAATACACAGGTTGTTCTACCGCACATCACTGAATCCTACTCATCTTCACAGGATCCTCCAGAGAAGTCCTTCCCCATGTGCACGTTGAGGAGTTTCCCCAACCGTATCGAACATACAATCGCCTGGGCGCGAGAGATGTTCGACACATTCTTTGTCAAGGGTCCCGAGATCGTCAACTTGTATCTGACCCAGCCTGACTACCTCGGTGCTTCATTGAAACAATCTGGAAACGAGAAGCAAACCCTGGAGACTCTCCAGGCATTCTTGGTAACTGAGAAGCCATTGACCTTCGATGATTGCATCATCTGGGCCCGTCAGCAGTTTGAGAAGAGCTACAACCACGCCATTGCTCAACTCTTGTACAACTTCCCGAAAGACTCCACAACTGGATCCGGTCAACCATTCTGGTCGGGACCGAAGCGAGCACCTGACCCAGCCAAATTTGATCCTTCGAACCCTACCCATTTCACTTTTGTGGAAGCCGCCGCAATTCTTCACGCTTTCAACTATGGCATCAACCCCTTAGATGTCAACAAGGATCATTACATCAAGGTCATGGATGACATGATCATCACCGACTTCAAACCGGACCCTACGGTGAAGATTCAAGCCAACGATTCTGACCCTGATCCCAATTCCCAGCAAGGGGGTGGAGACGACAATGCGGCTTTGAACAAGCTCATTGAGTCGCTACCTTCACCCAAGTCTCTCGCCGGCTTCAAGCTCCAGCCTGTCGAGTTCGAAAAGGACGATGACACCAACCACCACATCGACTTCATTTCCGCAGCCAGCAATTTGCGCGCAGAAAACTACAAGATTGAACCAGCAGACAGGCACAAGACCAAGTTCATTGCCGGCAAGATCATTCCCGCTATCGCCACCACTACAGCTTTGGTCACTGGACTGGTCAACCTTGAACTGTACAAGATAATTGATGGCAAGACCGATATTGAACAGTACAAGAATGGCTTTATCAATCTTGCCCTACCTTTCTTCGGTTTCAGTGAGCCTATCGCCAGCCCCAAGGGTAAGTACATCGGCAAGGGTGGCAAGGAGGTGCCGATTGATCGATTGTGGGATCGTTTCGAGGTCGATGATATCACTCTACAAGAGTTCATTGATCACTTCGAGGAGAAGGGTCTAAGTGTTCAAATGGTCAGCTCTGGTGTTAGTTTGCTGTACGCGTCGTTCTATCCACCTGCGAAGCTTAAGGATAGAATGCCTCTCAAGTAAGTCTTTGCTCATACCAACTGTTTATAAGCCCGATCATTTACTAATACTACCTCTAGGATGAGCAAACTCGTCGAGTTCATCAGCAAGAAGCCCGTGCCGGACCACCAGAAAAACGTTATTTTCGAGGTGACTGCCGAAGATACTACAGAGGAGGACGTCGAGATCCCGTACGTGATGGTCAAGTTGGACAAGTGAGGAACCTTGGAAAGATGTAGCGTACCACGAGTGCATGATTTTTAATAGACGAACAGCACAGAGAGTATACTTAGATTCCTCGAAAATACAAACACAAATTTCCAAATTGTATAGTGAAACAGTTTCAGGCAGTTGTCCATAAAATCGAGTGTGTATGTACCTAGGTATATATACCCTCGAATGCTGTCTTGCAACGTACGCCAACGGTAGCAAGATAGGCAGCACTTGAGTGTATAAAACACCTATTAGTGTAGAGATATCTGTAGCCCGAATATCTCGGCCTATGAGGTGCTCCGTCTGAAGATATACTAGGTACATATATCTCTCTCTCAAGTATGTAGGTAGCACTTGTGTACCTAGGTAGGTAGGTATCAATTGATGTAATTTCAGATTTCTGAGTTGCGGATTTCATCACGTGATAACGTATCATTGTGTCGCGTGTCGCGCTTTCCTTATCCACCGCAGTTTGTTATCGGCACTCCGCCCATCGAAAGCTCGTGCTCCGGGCTGCCATCTCGATCACCAAGGTTACAAAGATGGTCGATGAGATGGAAATAACGCCTACGTCGCCCCGTGGCACCAAACGAAAAAACGACGAAACTCTACCGCTTCCTGCACCCAGACGCATCAAAGCGCTCGCGCAAGACGTCGTGAACAAGATCGCCGCAGGCGAAATCATCGTAGCGCCAGTCCATGCACTGAAAGAGTTGATTGAAAATGCCGTCGATGCCGGATCTACTGCCTTGGAGGTTGTGATCAAGGAGGGGGGTCTGAAATTGCTCCAAATTACGGACAACGGGCATGGTATCGATGTCAGTCGCAAACTATCAATCTGGTATTTGAGTTTTATTGACCATTCTTTAGAAAGGGGATATGCCTATCCTTTGCGAGCGGTTCACAACCTCAAAGTTGAAAGCGTTTGAAGACTTGAGTTCTATCGGTACTTACGGATTTCGCGGAGAAGCACTGGCAAGCATCAGTCACATCGCTCATTTGAACGTGACAACAAGAACTAAAGAGTCGAGCTGCGCTTGGAGAGCCTATTATGCAGACGGGAAGCTCGCGAGTTCAAAGCCAGGCCAGAATGCTGAGCCCAAACCTATTGCTGGACGGCCAGGCACGCAAATAACAGTAGGTCCTATAATCGCGTTAATGGACGCCTCTGGCTAATGATTCATTCACAGGTGGAGGATCTATTCTACAACGTTCCGTCAAGGCGGCGTGCTTTTCGCTCCGCCAGTGAAGAGTACGCCAAAATTCTTGACCTTGTAGGAAGATATGCGGTTCATTGCTCTGGCGTCGCCTTCTCCTGCAAAAAGCATGGCGGCTCTTCAACAGACATCACTGTTCCGGTTGCTGCGAGCACTGTTGATCGTATCCGACAGATCCACGGAAGCGCTCTTGCTAACGAGCTTGTTAATCTCAAGGTCGAAAACGACAGATGGGGATTCAAATGCGACGGTTGGATCAGCAATGCCAATTATAACGTGAAACGTACCACATTGCTTCTCTTTATCAACCATCGATCGGTCGAATCAGCAGCAATCAAGAAAAGCATAGAACAAACATATGCGACCTTTCTTCCCAAAGGAGGGCACCCTTTCGTGTATCTGAGCCTTGATATCGAACCACAGCGCGTAGACGTCAATGTCCACCCAACGAAGCGAGAAGTCCATTTTCTGAATGAGGACGAAATCATTTCCATTATTTGCGAGGAGATTTGCGCTGGACTCAGTAAGGTCGACACCAGTCGTGCGTTTATGACGCAGTCTCTTCTTTCCAACAATCCCAAAGCCCCCTTTGTCACTCCTATGAAGCCAACGGCACCCTCCGCGTCATCCACAGTCAGCGCCAGACATGACCGCAGCACGTCGAAAGTACCACCCAAAAGCAGCACCAAGAAACCCTACGAGAATAGCCTTGTTCGCACCGATTCATCGGTTCGGAAAATTACCTCCATGCTTCAGACCCAACCTTCCATCGATGACGGTCATCCTTCCTTCCAGGACGACTCGGATCAGGAGTATGTAGTAGAAGGCAAAGAACCAGGCGTCTGCCGCCTTGCCTCAATTAAGGAGCTCCGTGGCGAAGTCCGCGATGCAATGCACAACGAACTCACCGACATCATTGCAACACACACCTTCGTTGGTGTCGTCGATGAACAAAAGCGCATCGTCGCAATTCAAGCTGGCATTAAGCTCTTCCTGGTGGATTATGGCATGCTGTGCAACGAATATTTCTACCAAGTCGCCCTCACTGACTTCTCTTTCTACGGCACCATCCGCTTCGAAAAACCCCTCGACCTTCGCGAGCTCCTCCAAATCGGGGCGGAACAGGAGCAGCGCAATATGGACAGCGCCTCTGCTTCTGATGACGAGGACATGGAAGTAGACTGGAACGAAGTCGTCGAATCCGTCCGCAGTAAATTAATTGACAGACGAGCTCTTATCCTCGAGTACTTCAGTATGGATATTACACCCGAAGGCCTACTCTGTACCATCCCCCTCCTCATCAAAGGGTACACGCCGTCTTTTGCTAAGCTGCCTGGCTTCCTCCTCCGATTGGGCCCGTACGTGGATTGGGAGGCTGAGAAGGAGTGCTTTCAGTCATTTCTTAGAGAGCTCGCGGCTTTCTATACGCCTGAGAGTTTGCCGTTGTCGCCTTCGTCGACGCCCAAGCAAGATGCGGGAAAGAACACTGAGGAGGATAGTGAGATGAATGAAGCCGAGGAGAAGGAAGAGGACCCGGAGATCACGAAGCGAAGGGAGAGAGTGAGGCGCGCGCTCGAGAATGTGATCTTTCCAGCTTGCAAAGCGAGGATGGTCGGGACGAGTGGATTGTTGAAGGGCTTCCTGGAGTTAGCCGACTTGAAAGGGCTGTATAGGGTCTTTGAGAGGTGCTGAGTTGTTACAGCTCTATTCTATGGCGAGAGTTGAGACACATGAGAGCAATTCATGTAGAAGTTTCCGGGTCATAGGTTGGTCCGTTAATTGGTTCATTCCTCATGTCATATCCTAAAGATGGTATGAAGTTCAGCTTGTCTTCAAGAATGAGACAGTAAAACGCTAAATTCACCCCCAAACGCCGCCCATATGCAGAACCATCCGTGACTATATGCAAGAAATCCCTTCGTCAATACTCACATCTGTATCTCGTCACTCCTCGCCCAAAATATCGCCCTTGATCCCCATCTCGCGCCCCACACCCCTCACAACCTCCTTGATGGCCGCGCAAGCCGGACTCTCGGGAAACGCATCCAAAAAGCTCTCTCCATAATCGCACGCCTGCCCAATCCTAGGATCTAACGGCACAGCACCCAAAAACGGTATCCCCTCATCCTCGGCCAACTTCCTCCCACCGCCGGTGCTCGCACGGAAGATTTGACTCTCATGCTTACACCCGGGACAAACAAACCCACTCATATTCTCCACAAGCCCGAGCACCGGAATCCCCGCCTTCCTGCAGAAATCTATTTCCTTCCTCACATCGAGTAGCGCGACCTCCTGCGGCGTACACACCAACACTGCGCCATCGACGCCGCTCGTCTTCAGAAACGAATTCACAGAGAGATGCTCGTCTGACGTTCCAGGTGGCGTATCCACAACCAACACATCCGTATCCCCCCAACGAACCTCACTCAGAAACTTCTTGATGAGCCCGTTCTTTTTCGCGCCCCGCCAAATCACAGCATCGTCGCGATTCGGAAGCATAAATTGCACGCTCATCACGCCCAGATTATCCAGCACCCACACAGGCTCCCACCCTTCCCCGCTCACATGTATCGTTTCGTCCTCGACGCCCAACATCTTTGGGATGCTGGGGCCGCAGATATCCGTATCCATCAATCCGACGGTAAGCGCGGGGTTCGAAGCAAACGCGTACGAGAGAAGTGTGCTGAAGGTTGATTTGCCGACTCCGCCCTTCCCCGAGAGAACGAGGATTTTGTGACGGACGGTCGAGAGGCGCGCGGTTATGAGGGGGATGTCTGGGTCTGGTCCTTTGGGCGCTGAGGCGCAGATTTTCTGGTTGGGGCACCCGGCGCATGAATCGGCTACGCCTGCTTGTGTGGATTCGGGGCCGGGGCAGTGTTCTGTTGTGGTGGTGTTAGAGATGCTGATCGCCTAGGAGGGTCGGAGGGCGGCTTGCGCGCGGGGAAGGGGAAGTTACCTGGTTCTGGCGCGACTAGTTTTGGTGCATTTTTAAGGGGGGCGTCGAGATCGACTTGGGTGGGCTCTTCGAGTGAGGGCGCCATTGCTTTGCTGGTGCTGTGTCTCTCGTGGCGTCAAGAAGTTTGTGGATTTGGCGGGGGAAGAAAGATGGAAGAGTGATGGCGCAAACGGGGATTGGAAATCCAAATCGCCACTTTTTGGGCTTGGCGATGACCTTATCGCAACGCTTCCGTTATTTTTAATTGATTCACTCTTGATTGATACGTGAATAATCTCATAAGGTGATGCCTTTTGTTACTATATTCCACCATTGAGAGTATTGCCCAACAGGTTACCAGTCTGTTACCTCATGCTTGTCGTGATCTGACTTTCCTGTCTCCGCGGGAGTCACCTCGCTAGGTTCCGAGCTCGGAACTCGGAAAGATCATGTCATACTTCAGCCACGAAATAGGATTATTGAACTCAACCTCAAATGTTCATGCCACTCAAAACCCTCATGTATTCTTGGACATGCCCTTAACGTATTTCTCCCATTGAGACATCGGAATTCTTACCAAAAGGACTTTCGTTGGCGTACATTTATCACCGAATTATACGCTACGACTACTACATCGTATCTCTTTGTCAAGGTCAACCCGACATTCATGACCCAACCCGAATATCCATTTGAGTTTCGGCTTTTCGGACGCATGAGAACAATTGAAACTCTGTTTGTGCAATAGGAAGATGATGAAAGGCTGGCTTTAGGCATGCTGGACCCGTTGGATGCAAAATTCAAAATCATCTTCCCCATCTGAAGATAGAGATACACCGAATCGCAGGCAATCACCGCACAATAACGTCGATAACGTGTACAGAGACTGGACAGCAAGTAAGGCAAATGGCATAAGCGTGTTGAACTGCTACGAAAATAACTGCAGGGTGATGATGACACCTGTGCGGCATACGACGGAATGTCAGATGATCTTGAGTAAATCGATATCCTTAGTACTGGTAGTTCATCAGCCTAGATCATAAACTTGCGATTCACGCTTGGTGTTCGAATCGATGAGCATATGGTCGGACAAAAGGCAGGATGCTAGTTTGCTATATGGACCGCGGAGCTAGACAATGCAAGATTGAGTGGATCCACTCATCGTCACCACTCTCTTTCATATTTGACATACGTCATACAACGGATATTATTACCAGACGTCAGGACATTCAAGCGCATCCCAATGGAATTATCTATCCCAATTTGTGGGTTTCACGCTCTTGCAGTCTTTTACATGGCATATATATTGTCGCATCTTGACCCCATCTTTAATTTTGGCTTTCTTAGGACGCCCATGACCTTCAAGCTTGTTATCTGAACCGTGAAGCAGAACCAAGAGAAAGACAAAATATGGGGAACGACACCGAGGATGGAAAACCGCATGAAGATTCACCGCCCGCTGCGGTTGGATTTTGGGATCCGTCGTTGAAGCATGTTCGAAATCGCGCATTCGGAAAATGGCTTGTCACAACTGCCATCTTGATGGCATTCATATTAAGTGTGCTATCACTCTATTGGGGCGTGTTCTTTCAAGTCCAAAATCGGTTACCGCATCTCTCGATCTATGTTGTGGATTTTGATGGGCAAGCTCCATACGATACGAACGAGCCCTTTGTTGGACCTACCATTACTCGACTGGCAGAACAAATGGTTAATTCCGATGAGCCAACACTAGGATTCAGTATCCGATCTCCAGCAGAATTTAACAACGACCCAATTCAAGTCAGACAAGCGGTCTACAACTTCGATACCTGGGCCGCCATCATCATCAATGCGAACGCGACTTCGCTTCTTTACTCTGCGATCGAGACGGGGAATACATCGTATGATCCTCTTGGTGCCTGCCAGCTAGTATATCAAGACGCGCGGGATGACACCAACTGGTATGTATATCACCAGCTCATAGCCCCTTGCATAGATAGTGACATTTACTGATATCACACTCCACGTCCTCAGGTTCGACTTCATCCTCCCAATAATGAGCAGTTTCATGACCGAAGCCCAAAGCAAAGTAGGCCAGCAATGGGCTCAAATCGCCCTCGGCGCCGCTTCCAACAATCTCACTACTCTCTCTAACATGCGATCGACACCGCAAGCTCTCAACCCAGCCATAGGCTTCTCAGAATATAACCTTCGCCCTTTCTTCCCATACACCGCCATCCCCGCAGTCAGCATCGGCCTCATCTACTTAATCATCATCTCCTTCTTCTCCTTCTCCTTCTACCTCCCGATCCACATGCAGTACCTCAATCCGAAAAACCATCCGCCGCTTAAGTTCTACCAGCTAATTATCTGGCGCTGGTGCGCCACTATCACCGCGTATATTTTTCTTTCGCTGGCATACTCGTTTATATCGATGGCAATGCAGATCAACTTTACGACTACGAACCCGGTCACGTCGCAGACGCAGGTCACTGAGACGGCGTACGGGAACCCAATCTCGTATGGAAACGGCACATTCCCTGTGTATTGGATGTTGAACTTTTGGGGAATGGTTGCGCTGGGGTTGGCGTGTGAGAATGTGGCTATGGTTGTTGGGGCGCCGTGGATGGGGATGTGGTTGATCTTTTGGGTATGTTTCTCTCCATCATCCAACTCCTTAGTCCACAGCGCAAGTGTCTTGTCGAGCAGTTGAAGGGGAAGACTGTTCTTTCGCTTTATTGGTGGGGCTTTATACGGGAACACGAATTTCACTGTTTCTGAATCTTCACTGACCTCTCATCTTTCAAATAGGTCATCTCGAATGTGTCGACAGCTTTCTATGACATCGAAATCGCACCTGGGTTTTATCAGTGGGGTTACGCATGGCCTTTACACTCCGGTAAGTACAATCCTCTAAATCCACGTTACGACCCTCGGTGCAGAAGTGCTCATTCGCTAACAATTCCTTTTTCTATGTGACTAGTTGTTGAGGGAAGTCGCTCAATCTTGTTCGACCTACATTCACGTATCGGACTGGACTTTGGGATTTTGATCGCTTGGGGCGCGGTAAATACGCTGTTCTTCCCTTTCTGTTGCTGGTTCCAACGTAAGTCGACCTGTGCTTTTCTAGGATATACCTCCTTTTTGTCTTTTAATGCTAACATATTTTCTCGCACAGGCTGGAAGAGTCAAAGAGGAGTTCACGAATATTGGCCTATGGAATGAACGATATACCGTTTCCTCATTCAACACATCCCATTAATCTCTATCTCACAATCAGTCATCTACAAATATCCATCTCTACTATTTACTTCCCCACCACCCTTTCAAAGAACCGTATCAGTCTCCACATTCTCCCCCCTATAGATCTTCCCTGCCTCCTCCCCGACAGCCCCAATAGTTCTCATCATAAGCTGCGGCCCCACGCTGATCCTCGCAACCCCAATATCCCTCAACTCTTGCACCCCTAACCCCCCCTTCCTAACCCTCGCCATACTAACATTCAACATACCACCCAACTCCTTAACTGCCTTCTCCACTTCCGCAGTCCGCACCCCAGGTCGTTCCCTTCCGCCCCAGATAAACGCGGTCGTGGCTCCAGCAGCGATATACGCCTTCCCCCGCGCAATCGCCTCGTCGATGTCGTGGCCGACAAGTAGTGCGTCGGTTCGAGCATTGACCACGAAATCAGGCACACCCAGATCCGCGGCGGTGCGTAGAGCGAGTTGCACGCGTCCCACGGCTTCATCGATAGAATACAGCGCGTCGCGGGTGCGGCTGAAATCCTCAAGATTGCATCCTACGACGCCGAGCTCGACTAACTGCGTGATCGCGGAAGGCAAGGAGTCATCGTATCCGTCTTGAAGGTCGGCGGTTAGCGATTTATTGTGTCGCGCTGCTACTTTTGCGATGCCTGTTACTGCGCGCAGGTTTTCGGCCAGCGTTAGAGAGGGGTCGTCGATGCCGACTGCGCCGGCTACGGCGTACGAGGCTGTTGCGAGGGCCTTCGTTTCTGGGAGAGCGGCCACAACGTTTGCGGTGAGCGAGTCCCAGACGTTTGCTAGGATTAGGGGCTGGCCTGGTTTGTGGAGCGATTTGAGGTGTTTTGCGCGGTCGTTTTGGGTTTGGGTGGAGGTCATTGTGGAGTTGTGTCGGCGGGTTTGGTGTTCGGGGTGGGTGGTTGTGAGAGTTCTTTTTGGAATGACAGTCTGCTGTCTAAAGGCAAAGCTTGATGGTGATGAAGTTGGATTGTATGTTGAAGCTATCCAGAGTCTAGAGTTTGAGGTAGACAAACCACTTAGAGCGCGTCGTTCAATTCTGATTGTGGAGTGCAATAGATTGTAAGTAAGTTTTGACATTTTTCTCCTTTTCAATTCAGCTTCAGTGCAGACTCTTTATAGTTTTTCAATCGCGTAGGTGCCTTGTCTAGTCAGCTAGGCTCAGATAGTTACTTCACGAGAGAAGAGTAGTAACAAGAATTAGACATGCATCACGCGTCCAGGCAATGCTGCCGCGCTGCCATGCAACGCTACGGATCTCCAAGCCTAGCTATCTCCACCTTTGATCCTGTTCTGGCAGCGCAATGCGTTAGCATACTTCCTATGTTCACCGAAAACGACCCCCAGGTCCGAACCGAGTCACCGACCGGTGGGTAGAGGCGAGTGCTTTCAAAGTAACCATTCATGAGCAAGAAATGATAGCCGAAAGGAAGATGCACGGCACCCAGGTACCCCACAATCCTCCCCTGCATAAATTTTCTACGGTTCACGAAAAGGGCTGAGTCGCTGAGGTCATTTATCTGATGGTACGTGTTGCGCTGCCGGATCGCAGATCGCGTCGGGAAGAAGCGGATATATCAGGGACGATGTAGATGATTCATGCATTGAGCCTCTCAAATTCGCTAAGTAGTGAAAAGGGCGCCATATGGGGTATAACTATCTACGAAGTGATCGTTCTTCCAGAGATCGAGCTTCAGCGAGCAAGGAGAATGTCGATGGCAGGGGTCCGTCTGAACTCCGGCCATCCATTGACCTCCAAAGATCAGGCAAAAGGGACGGTTTTTGCATACTGGTGCGAGAATCGACCGTCCACTAGAAGACAGAAGGCCTTCTTGGAATGAGATCTCAAACTCAGAACAAAATGAAGAAAGCCGGGGTGATTGCAAAAAAATCAAATTAAATAAAAGAAATCGAAGAGGGGTATCGTAGTTCAAGGCGCGATCGCTATCGTTCCTTCGTCGCGCAAATCTTTTTTTTCTCTGGTTTTCGTTTTTCCCTTCTTCAGGTCATCATTCATGGCCCGTCGCTACACATGAACCTAAGCTCTGCGTGGAATGTGGAAAGATCTTTGTCTGGTCTAGACTCATAGATCAGGATCTTCCTCGATTGTAGGCAGAGGCTCGGGCAAGAAATCGCGAAGTTGCTTCATTCTGTTGCGACAGTGAATCACAAAGATTGCGATGGCGAGCGAGTTCCATACATCATAGCCCTCCTCGCCAAAGTTGAAGATCGCAATCGTGCGCAAGGTCGCCTTTTCGTTTTTAGATTGCGTAGGTGGGACGTAGCTAACGAAAGCCATAACAGTGTACGACGCAATGACACCATAGATAGTAGGTGGCTCGTCAGGTACCGGCGTGTACTCGGAGCCGCTTCCACTGTTCATGATGTGGGTGTAGAGGGCGTCCCGCCAACGAGCGTATAATTTGGCGAGTTTCTTGATCATTTTGTGCTCGCTAACAGCAGGCACAGTGTTCTTGTTTGAAATCACTACCCTGAAAAGAGAAATATCCTTCCATGTGCGATCCATACCAACGTCTTTCAAGGCCCAAAGACTGTATTTCTGGATCGCTGTAGCAATGTGGAACTCGGGTGTACGGATGAGCGCCTTCGTAGTTATGGCGTCGCGAGCAAAGCCTCCGACATTGAACAGTTCCTCAAGAGCATGTTGAGCTGAAAAGAATGTTAGGAAATATCATTGCTAGAAGATGTGACTAGGACAAACCTCGAAAGTCGCTTCCTCCGTCGGCCTTAATGAAGGCTCTGTTGTCGTTGGAGGTGAAGAGGTCCCACGGCAAACTGACAAAGTCCTTCGCCCATTCGTAGGGCATCAGTGGCTCTAGACCGCGCATGTGCAGTTTCTGAAACAAGAATACAGCATCTTCAGGCCAACCCGCTTCACGCAACTCACGACCTTGGACTTCTTGTCGCAGTCTCTCCTGTTCCTTGTCTGTCTTTCTGCGCTGTTCGAGGAAGGCGCTATCGTCTGCAAGAACCGTATCCTCATTCGCGTCCCATCCATGCTCGTTTGAGTCACCGGTTGGGGATTCCTCGACAGAGGACAGGACATCATCATTGCTTTCGTATTCCATGACCGCTTCAATAGAAGTCGCCGGCTGTACTGATATAGGAGGGGATGGCGGGAGCATGACTGGGTCGATCACACCAGATGGGCTCGGCGTAGTGATTTGACTGTTCCATTGAGTGATCTTCGCTCCTTCCGCTGGCTCTGAGGGGACTCGGGGTCGGACAGCGGACGGAGTCTTGAACGGTTTGTCGCGACGCTTTTGGGTTTTGCGAGGACTAATAAAGTCCCATACACGCCCGGTAACCTCCCGAAGAGTAACCATGTTGGATGGCGGAGCTATGGCGAAAGTGGCTGATTGCGTGGTCCCGAGGCGAGATAGGGAGTCGAAAACAATGGAGCGCGAGCGGACGACCTATGCGCGCATGAGAATGCAGGCGAGTGAGTGCCGATAGTCCGCGACAGATGTAGGCGTCTGAGAGGGGTGTCGAAGAGGGAAGAAGCTCTCATAGGAGCAACACAAAGTCGAAGTCCAGTTCACTCCATTGTTGTCGCTCACCTCAAAGAAGTCTAGGAGGTGAAGGTGAGAGGACCCTGGTCTGTTGTTGTGGCTGAGGAGCTTGGCGTATGCACTAGGGAGGAGCGTATGCACGTGATAGTGCGAAGGTGGGGTGCAGGATCTTATCAGATCATCGCAAATTTTGGGAAACAACCCCCGCTTTGCCCGCGAAAGGTTATAGGACGGACAACTAATTTTCGACCATCGCCACTTCCGCATTCGATTTTCCAAAGACGACTCTTATCCCAGTCAATATATCTTGGAGCAAAAATGGCTGTTTCAGAGACCACCGGACAGGACAATCAAGTGCAGACACTTCGTAAAATTCTCACATCCGAACAGGAACCACTTGCTCGCCGCTTTCGAGCGCTGTTCTCTCTCAAATATGTTGCCTCGCTGAACCCTCCGACAGAGCATACCGTGCCTGCGATCGAGGCGATTGCGGCTGCTTTCACGTCGCCATCTGCGCTGCTGAAGCACGAGCTTGCGTACTGCCTGGGACAGTCCCGCAACGATGCGGCAGTGAGCCCACTCCGCCAGGTTTTGGAAGATAAGGCCGAGGACACTATGTGTAGACACGAGGCGGCAGAAGCTCTTGGGGCGCTGGGTGACAAAGGTAGCCTTCCATTGCTGAAGGAGCTGAGGGACAGTGCACAAGAGCCCGCCGAAGTACGAGAGACGTGCCAGATCGCTGTCGACAGAATAGAGTGGGAGCACAGCCAACAAAAGCAGGAAAAACTGAAGCAGAGGTAAAATCATGTTCATTGACTGCATTGAAACAAGCAGGACTGATTCAGAAGTAGCGACTTTGCCTCTATTGACCCCGCGCCACCTCTGGCACAGAGCACTGAGAAACCCTCGATTCCCGAGCTTGAGAAAACGCTATTAGACACAAAGCTCGAACTCTTCCAACGTTACCGAGCCATGTTTGCACTGAGGGATCTTGCGTCGCCCCCAGATCTTCCTACTGCTGTACCGGCCGTGCATGCATTGGCTCGGGGGTTCGAGGATCCTTCAGCACTCTTTCGCCACGAGGTTGCATTTGTCTTTGGCCAGCTATCGCACCCAGCATCTATCCCCAGTCTTGTCGAGACTCTCAGCAACACTAAGGAGCAAAGTATGGTACGACACGAGGCCGCAGAAGCGTTGGGAAGTATGGGTGACGAAGTGGGAGTAGAGGATACACTCAAGAAATTCTTGAATGATCCGGAGCAAGTTGTGCGCGATAGTGTGGTTGTCGCGCTTGATATGGCGGAGTTTGAAAAGAACGGCGAGGTGGAATACGCCATAGTACCGGAATCCCAGTCGGTTGCGGCATGAGGCTTGGGCCGTATGATGAGTGCATAAGAGGGCGTTTTGGAAAGGGATAGATAGAATAAAAGCATTGCATTGGTCTGTGGCTCAATTGTTTGTGTTCCATCTGTACGTCAATGGTTAGCAAGCAGAAGCATGTATATGCGCCCAAGCCTAAACTCACTTGTTCCCGCATTCGCACTCGTAGAAGACGGTGGAGCCTTCATCTGCACTGCGCAATTGCTGAGTGTAGTAGCGGACCTCCTCTCGCCCACATTTTCCACACGTCTCATTGATAAGAGTATGCGTCTGCATGTCGTCTTCAGTGACGGTTTGCACCTCGGATCGCTTTGCGCGCAAAGCCGATGGGAATGCAGTAGGCTTGGAGTGGGTCACGATGACTTTGGATGACGTGTCTGAATCAATACTGTATCAGTAAATGAGAAGTATGGGTTATTTGTTTCGAGACAAATCACCTTTGCATTGCGCTCCGCATACCCGGCAGGTCAGGATGGCATTTTGTTTGCCAGCACCGCCGTCTAACAAGTTTCCACAATCGGTGCAGAAGACGAGAGATCCGATCGCTGCCATTTTCGATATGACGCGTCTGCGGCAATATTGAACCGAAGAGCGTACAGTATAAGTATATGTGGAAATCAGCTGGGTAGACGATGCGATGGGACAAGTTCTCACGCAGTTGGCCGGTGGAGAGGGAAAAGTTTAGCGGGGAACCAATCAGGCTAGTCCCAGAACGCCAAATCACGGGAGCATGCGCATACATCCATGCACGTCCAACATGGTTGATAGCCATCCCGTTTGCCCCAATTGCCGATCGATCGTCTTTTGCGACTACAACGCGACCTGTCACTGTTTCGTTGCCATACTGAGTCGTGGAGATGACTGCTCTGCGTCACAGACAATGACTGTGTTTGTAATACCCAGTTACTTTGCATCCGCTGCCCGTCTATTCTCCTCCGGTCCGGAGGTCCACTTACGCCTCATCGCAAAGTAAACCAAGAGCCAGCAAGCAACATGGCGACCTTCGATACCAACAACAATGACTGGCACAATGCCAATGGAGGTGGCCTGCCTTTTAGACCACCTCCAACGGTCGATGAGGCTTTGCCATATTCTCCTTTCACCTCTGTGGTCCCGTTCTCCCCGGGTGAGCAGCCACTCTTACTTTCAGATATTTACCTATTACTTTGTTGAGCACGGCTAACTGATTGATGATAGACATAATTCCCTATCCTGTCGCTGAGCCGCCTACTCCTCCAACTACCCTTACGCCGAACCAGCAGAACGCAGCCAAAAAGGCTGTCGGTATCTTGAACAGCGAGCTTAGTGGTCCTCGGTCCACCGCTCAACACCTTGAAGACACTTTCCGGGAGCTTCGTCGCATACTCGGAAATCCGTTAGAAATGACGGAGTTGTAAGTGACTTTCAGATCACCGCTCGATTTGGCTGCCGTTGACCATCTTCTAGTCGCTTCAAACAGACGTCGCAGCTCGTTACGCCTCCCCCAGATAGCCCATCTGAGCAGTCTAATGGCAAGGCCCCTACCAAAACCCCAACTCTCAGCCCCTTCGCGGCCATGCTTTTGAAACAAACAAATGTTCACTATCAGCGTAAGTATACATCCCGGTGGCTTTATCATTCGCTGACAATACTCAGCCGAAGCCACTGCCAAAAATTCAAAATCGGAGCCTCGTACGAACTCACAAAAAGCAACCCCTCAATCCGCGTTTCATACTCCGTCACGTCCTGCACCTCCGTCCTCACACCGTATACCTCACATTCAGAATGGAGCGTATCAATCGTCCCCTGTAACACCAATCTCTTCTGTTGGCAGTCAAATACCACGCTCAGGACCGGCGGTGATTGTCAAGCCTCTCGGTCCTGATGCACGTCGAGAAGAGTACCTTCGATATGACAAGTTGCCTATCGAAGACGATGCAGTTCAACAGAAATTGAACAACGCGCATGAAAGCGGTCTTGCAGCGCTGAGGCCCCAGGAACGAGAAATCGCGGAACAAAAAATTGAACGACTTCACAAGACGACGAAGCGCCTACATTCGCTACGAGAGAACGACCACGAGGCGGAGGAGTTTGAGCAACTGCCAGGCCCCGATGGCGATGTAACGGTAATGCGAGTTGCAACCGTGGAGCGCTTATATGATAGAGTCATGTCTGTGCAAGCCACTGGCTGTTTCTCGTCTGTGTCCGTGGAAGCCATCAAAAGGATCCATAGCTTGTGCAAGCCCTCCATCACTGCACTGGATCAGTCATCACTGTTTGTAGAACACGAATCTTGGTCCGACAATTTCAGAATGACGGAGCCTGGATTGAAAGCTTGCAAACTGACCCTTACTACCATGCTGGAGGGTTGCGACGATCGGAGTGTAACTCCAGAAGATCTGGTGATTGCCGTGATCGATGCGCTGAAGCGGGTCCTCGAAACCTGCATACTCCCGGTTCTGGAATCTAGGCGGACCGGCGAGAATGCGGAGCTTTTCAACCATGCCGCTGGATTCAAGGACAAACTGAAAGTGATGTTACTCTCTTGCACCAGTGTACTGAAAACTCTTGCGCCTCTGATAAGCAAGATGTCGCTGACCCACAATGCTGTCAATCCAATTGAACATCTCGCGTTGGGTCTGCTAGTCCAGCAGAACAGCGACTCTGAGAAGGATTCAATATTTGGTCTGCGAAAATTCGAAGCCTTGCGACAGGCAGCAATGGAAGTCCTAACGCAAATATTTGCTGCACATGCCAATCACCAGCATTCGATCACCTCAGAAATTCTTAATAACCTAGAAAAGTTACCTGACAAAGGTTCCAACACGAGGCAGTTCAAGTCAGTGAGGGATCCGGCCATCATGACCGTCTCTGCGTTATTCATGCGCTTCGTGCAGGTTGCCTCCACGAATCAACATAATCAACACAAAACACGCACAAGTTCTGTAATTTCAGATGAATCGGGCGATGACGATGAGAGTGAATTTGACTCGGATGAAATCACATCCAAAAAGAAGAAGACGAAAAAATCCCACGGCAACATGTCTGCGAGGTCCCTTGCGGAGCAGTTGACAAACAACTCCCGAGTCATCGCTGGTCGTATTGCGACTGTTCTGACTGAGAGGGCGTTGAACGTATCAAAATCCGGCGACAAGCCTTTTCGAAACTTGTTGGATATGTTTGTTGAAGACTTCTGCAGCGTTCTTGGGTCACCTGAATGGCCCGCTGCTACGGTGCTCCTACAGCGATTGCTTGGGTGCATGGTAAGTCTCTCTAGATCGTCGACCAACAACAACAAAGAGATGGCACTCACCATGATGGGAACAATGGGCTCCGGTATCATCGATTTCAAATTACGTTTGAAACGTTTGAAACGCGAGCTCGTAATCGCACCATCCGATCTGTCTATCAAATTAGACCAATTGACGGAAGATGCTCTTGATAAGGGAATCGATAAGAAGGATTTACTGAGTTCGAATGGTCCTTACAGAATGGTCATTGAGTCTCTCCCGGATTATCTCAAGGTCGAGGCAAATCAACCTGATCCTCATCTTCTTTCTGTGCAGGGCTGTTACCTCACGTTCTGGCTAGACAATATCGCTCAACATCTCAAGCCGAAGGATGATGAGGGTGACTCCAGTGACCGGGATTCGACCGAATTACAAGAACGCTTGGAGAGTATGTTCACCGATCCCAAAGGCCTTTCCAGGGAATACAAATTCCAGAACGTCTCAGAGATGCAAAGTCGCATTGCAGCCGGCCTCATCACACTAAATGACGCCTTCTGCCAATATCTCGATAGGATTGTGCTCCACATGATCACTTACACACAGTCCAATGAGACAAAACTGAAATCTAAGGCGATCAAGAATATCGCAACCTTCTTGGACAAAGATGTCCAGACTATCCCGAAGCAACTTATCAAGGGCGTGACCGGTTTCTTGCGTGACAGTTCACCGCTTGTTCGCACTGACGCCGTTGCACTGGTTGCCAAATGCTGGGAAGGAAATCCCGGGGATGAGCAACACTACTTGCCAGGGATTCTCAGTCTAACCACCGATCCCTCGAATGGACCTAAGAAGAAAGCGATTGACCTCTTGAAAAGAGTATATCAGACGACTTCCTCTGGTGAACATAAACTAAGTATTGTAGCTTCGTTGCTCTTACCTTCTCAGGACCATGAGAAGGCGATAGCAGACATGTCTCGCCAGGCTCTCGAGGACATCTGGCTGTCCCCACTTGACAAAAATGCCAAAGCCGAAGAGAGTATGGTCAAACTCAAGCGTGTCGAACGTGCTTCCCTCCTGGTTCAGACAATACGACGTATCCAAGGCCAAGCAGCACATCTAGAGGCTTTTGAGAAGTTTTTCGAGATGGCCCTTACAAATCAACCGGCTTATGTTCAGACTTGCACGGGAATCGTTGCGGACATGGTTGAAGGCGTCATCAGTCCCGACTCTTTAGCTGCGGGCTGTTCACAGGAGCATGTCCTCAAAACATTGAGCATTCTGGCAAGGGTTGGCCCAAGGCTGTTTAGTGCTAGCCAACTCCAGCTTCTGAAGCTGTATATCAAGAATCCGGTAACTGTTGACGATCTAAATATCCTCCGACCCACTGTCACTATCTTCCGCTTTATTTTGCCCTGCATTCCGAATTTACAGAAGGACTTTGCAGACGAAGTATGGACGCTCCTCAGCAAAGTTATTTCCAAACTTGCCTCCTGGGCAGGCCGGGGCAATCCAGCGGGAAAAGAAACTCTGCGTGATGTCGTCCACTGTTCCTGGATGATCAGTCCTTTGGCCTCAAACGGTGTGCCTAGAATGATTCAGGTGGTCTCATCTACGCTTACCCAGCTCCAGCCGCTATCTTCACTCACAAAAGAAGAGGTTGAATCAGCGAAGGGCAAGATCACATCGTACTTGATCCTTCTCGGCACATTCGGGACGGTTTGCAATTTCGATGGCGAATTTGCCGATGCATTTCGATCTGCAGTTATGAAAAAGGCCAGAGCGGAAGTCAATGCTAAGAAGACTACTGAAGACCAGGTAAAGAATCTTCTTAACCCTGCGACAACTGCACCGTCTTTGCTTCTGCTCGAGTCAGTACGGCCCTTCACCAAACAAGCTTGGGACATGGTGATTCGTGATCACGCCCTCTCCAGTATGGGGGAAATTTGCCAAGGGTCGCCCTCGTTGTTTCGACGAAAAGACGTCGAAGCAACGTTCAAGGTGATTTTCAAGAACGACGTTGTTTCACTAAAGCGCATCGCGCTGACTCAATTCCACGACTTCTTCGTCCGAGCCGAGCGGCGTCCTGGTGGCGACAACGACATCCCCGGCAGCCAGCAAGCCGCTGACAGCAAACTTCGACTAGGCACCACTTTTGTGGCTGGCGATCATCAAGTCACAACAAACTACTTAGCCCGTACGTTCCTTTCAGCGGTCGTTGAGATCGCATTACAAACAACAGGTGAACTCGCTCTACTGGCAACAAACATAGTCACCAGCGTGAACCGACAGGGCTTAGTACACCCTAAAGAATGTGGTGCTGCGCTCATTGCCTTGGGAACGTCCCCCGACGCGCAGATTGCGCAAGCCGCGTCTATCGAGCACAAGAAAATCCACGATCATCACGAGTCCATGTTTGAAAAGGAATACATGGCTGCAGTCAAGATGGCATTCACGTACCAACGAGAGGTATATGATGATTCACACGGCATGAATACATCTCACAAGCCAAAATTACTTCAGGCTTTCAGCATCATCAAGGGGGGGAATAGGAAGACGCTGAAGAAATTCCTCGACAACCTCTGTAAACAGGTTGATTTTGATCTTGCCAAACTTGAAGACCCGGGTGTTGGTCAGACAATACTCCTCTACACTCGGTTTTGTCTCGAAAATCTGGCCTTGTTCGATGCAACGAAGCTTGAGGATGTTGCGATCGTGACTAATGCTCTCGAAAACATTGTCATGAAGCTCACTGGTCCATCTGTGGGAATCGCAATCGATACGGAGCTGTCGAAGACTCTTGACTTGGCTCCTCCGCCTCAAGTGACTCTCCCACCCCTCTCGATTGAAGAGTCGATGGTCATTCACACCACAGAAGGCGAAAACACCACTCCGCCCACAGCCGCTCCAGCCCCTACAATAGTCTCCGCGCCGCTCGTCGCGCCGGACGTTCAGGAATCGCACATGGTTGTCTCGGAAGAGCGGCTTTTGCAGTTGTCCCGAGCATCTGTCATTCTCCTCATGATGTGGGAAACACGTGGTTTCATACGAAAAGCGTATAAATTAGACAATCAGAGCGGACGTATCCAGCACAAGGATTATCAAAAACCTGTCTCTCGCAACAACCTCGTGACAGGCAAAGAACTTTGGGACCGCCTGGATGCAATATTCAATTCCTTCGAGAGTTCGGAGACCATGACCAAACGATGTCACGAGTTTGCCGAGCTTCTCGAGGTCGATAAGGACGCTCGTTTTGGTGACGAAGAAGATGATGGCGAGGGTGATGCAGGCTATGTGACTCCGGATGGCGTCGAGGATAATCAAGGGATGCCAAACAGCGGCCGTGGTAGGAAGAGAAAGACGAGCGCCTCTTCTTCGAACACCCCGAAAAAGAGAGGTCGGCCAAGCGGCTCCAAGCATATGAAGCGCAACTCCAAAACCCCTGACACGGATGGTTGGGATTAACGCTTGATGGGATAGTCTGGGGTTAAGCATTATTTGCTGCCAGAGGATCGGGGAAACACTGTGTCATCAATCAAGAAATCATCTCAGGCACATCCATATGTACACAATGGCGTTGGTGGATTGTAATATAGTTTTACGGATATACCCATATGGAGGAGTAAGAATCTCTGGCAGTACGCGAAAAGCGGAATACATCGTAGTTTCTGGTGTCCTGTGGGCCCGGTAAGAATTGCAACAGCTTATTTCCAAACATTACTTATATGCAGTCCAATATTCATAAGTTTCTGTACAAGGTGATGTCCTTTTGCTACCAATGTTAAGGTCTGGTCCCTAGGCCGTGTGCGTGTGCGATGGCTACTACCGGTAGTGCTTGGCAGCACCCCGCCAATGAAGGAAATCCACCCCACACTTCACGCAAGCCCATTGCTCAAACTTTCATTCCCGCCTGGACAATCGCGAAGAATGGCTTCCACTGGGTTTTTGGCCCAGCTGCCGACAGGTCAGTACTCTTCATCATCGTCAACACGCATATCCTAAACCAATAAACAGAAATTCTTGTCATATGGCACACCCATCGAGTTCCCATTTTGCTGTCGGCTGTGTCGCTTGCTGCACTGATCCACCTCACCATTTACCTGCGCACCAAAAGAAGCAAAATCTCTGCATCGCCTGCGCCTTCGTCGCCGATCGAGAAGACGGAGATCAAATTGAGGCCCGAGTGGTTGCCAGAAAATACAACCTTGGTCACGCCGGAATTGAACCTTGACAATCACGCCGAAGATGATATAGTTGTGTCAGCAGCACCCGTAGTGAAGGCGAAGAAGGGACCGAAGAAGGTCAAAGGCACGAAGAAACCCTCCAAAAAGTCACCAGCGTCGGCTCCAAAATTCAACCACACAGTGGATAAGATACAACCCGTTGTATTCTTCCAGTCATTGGCTGGAACAACCGAGCGCTACGCTGCAGCGTTTGGCAAAGTCTTGACCGACTGGACCGTAGGCTGCGATCAAGCGACGTCTTTCTGCGAGCCACAAATCCACGATCTCTCGTATATCGAATATGACGATTACTTCATCACTCCCCCGAAGACCGACCAGAATACCAAATACTTCTATGTCATCCTTATACCTTCGTACAACATCGACACCGTGCTCAGCACCTTCCTCGAAAATCTCCAGGAAACGCACAATGATTTCAGGATCGACACCTCGCCATTGAACGGATTGTTGGGATATTCAGTTTTTGGTTTTGGGGACAAGGAGGGTTGGCCGACAGAGGAGGAGGGCTTCTGCAGCCAGGCAAGGGAAGTCGACAAGTGGATGGCAAGACTTACCGGCAGGAAAAGAGCGTATCCACTTGGTATGGGCGATGTGAAGAGCGATGCTGAGGAACGGCTTCAAGAATGGAGAGTGGGTGTTCAAGACGTTCTTGTGGAAATTGCTGAGGGCCGAGGACTGGGTGAGGGGGTGCCTGGGAGTGGTGATCCCGCTGAGAGTGACGATGAAGATGTAGATGCGGCTGAGGATAGCAGTGATAGTGAAAGGAGCAACTCGAATAATGCCCGCGCGAGGAAGACCGCTCGTGTGGACGAGATTGAAGACCTAGGTTCCATGGTCGATCCCTCTTCCACCGACTCGCCCATCCCGATCGATTTCACAACCTACAAATCTGTTTCCAAGACGCCCAAAGCAGCTCCAGCGCCGAAAGAGATGGTCCCCACCACCTCGCCAACACATGCTGCTCTTACCAAACAAGGCTACACGATCATTGGGAGTCACTCGGGGGTGAAGATATGCCGGTGGACAAAGTCTGCCCTACGTGGCCGAGGCTCCTGTTACAAATATTCTTTCTACGGCATCGCATCTCATCTCTGTATGGAAGCCACGCCGTCTCTCTCTTGCTCGAACAAATGCGTTTTCTGCTGGCGTCATGGCACAAACCCTGTGGGCACAACCTGGCGCTGGGTGACGGACGCACCCGAGCTCATTTTCGACGGCATCACAACCGCACACTACAAAAAAATCAAGATGCTGAAAGGCGTCCCAGGTGTGCGCGCCGAGCGCTTCGCCGAAGCTATGCGGATTAGACACTGCGCCCTCTCGCTCGTCGGGGAACCTATCTTCTACCCGCACATCAACGAACTACTCACAATCATGCATTCTCACCGCATCTCCACCTTCCTCGTTTGCAATGCCCAGCACCCGGCCCAACTCGCGTCTCTCGTCCCCGTAACCCAACTCTACGTCTCCATCGACGCCTCCAACAAGGAATCTCTCCGCAAAATCGACCGTCCGCTCCACCGCGACTTCTGGGAGCGCTTCACGGCATGCCTCGACATCCTCCGGGCTCGCCGCTTCGAGCAGCGCACCGTCTTCCGCCTCACACTCGTCAAGGGCTTCAACATGGCTGATGAAGTCCGCGGCTACGCCGATCTCATCGAGCGCGCTCTCCCAGGTTTTGTGGAGGTCAAAGGCGTGACATATTGCGGCACCAGCGCCGCCGGCTCTGCAGGCCTTACTATGCAAAACGTCCCCTTCTACGAAGAAGTCGCCGCTTTCGTCTCCGCCCTCGCCGACGAATTGACGAACCGCGGGCTTACGTACGGCATTGCAGCTGAGCACGCGCATTCCTGCTGTGTACTCCTTGCAGATTCGACACGCTTCCGCCCCAATGGGAAGTGGGCTACCCGCATCGACTTTGAGCGATTCTACGATTTGTTTGAAGGGAAAATTGAAGGGACGAGGCGCGATGAGAAGACTGGGGAAGTGGTGGGATGGAGACCTGAGGATTATGTTGGTCAGGAGACGCCTGAGTGGGCGCTTTGGGGGAACGGAGGGTTCGATCCTAGGGACGTTAGGGTTTTTAGGAAGGGGAAAGGGAAGAAGAAAGACGCCGAGGAGGTGCAAGAAGATGAGAAGAAGGAAGTAAAGGTTATCGAAATTTAAAATTTATGCTTTAGAACTATCGGGGTTGATTGGATTCTTGTGTATATATCTTCGTAAAAATGAAAAAGAAATTTGGGAACTCCATCCAGACTTTACACAATTTCGGAGTGAGGCGTCTAGCTGTTTCGACTGTTATTATTCGTTCCTTGCAAGACGTATATTTACACCCAATCTTGTCGAGAAAATATTGTCGACTGATTAATTTGATTCCACACTCTATACTATATGCTAAAATGCTATACGCTATGCTGCCATTCTTACCCATAGAAGAACAATGACTCGCCAAAGAAAGAAAAAGGCAAAGAATGAGGCCCTGACAAACCCACGCCGACGAACCAAGTGGGAAAGAAGAGAAAAAGACAGGCTCAGTGCCCTCACACATAGATACAAACACTCGAGGGAAATCCCCCATTTCTCTCATCTCACAGGCAACTGATTCATCCACTCCGGATCTACCTTACTCTGCTTAAAAAAGCTCTTCCCTCTCAACCATTGTCGGTAGGCTTTATACCTCTTCTTCGCGCCATCCTCTTCCTCAACATCGAGCGGATTCTCCTTGATACGCAAAAACTCATCAAACTCATCGATATCCTCCGCGGACGTCTCGAATTTTGCGGTTCCGGACGTGGCAGTCGTAGAGACGTTTGTGTTGGTAGCGAGAGTAGTGGGATAGTAAGGGTGAGGAGGGGACGCGATAGCTTCAGCAGGGTCTTCGCGGATGCTTTCGGGGTAGAGAGCGTGTTGCAGGTGATGGTGGGGATGGTGTGCGTGGTGAAAGTGTGGGGGAGGATGCAAGTATTCGACGTTGGCTTCGAGGTCATATGCGTACGGCAAATGGGATCCGTGATGGTGGTGTGCTGAGGGGTGCGAGAAAGGCGTAAGTGGGTAGCCGCCTGCTCCAGCGGAGGACGAAGGGCGCGGGTTTCCGGCAGTGTTGAAAGAGCGAATGGAAGCTGTGTCTGCGGCTTTGACAAATGTGTAGTGGTCTCCGAGCGAGTCGACGAGTGAGGATGTCTCAGTCGTGTCTTGGGCCGCTGCTGGCTGTACGATGGTACCATCTGTCATGTTGAGGTATTCCTGGAACTCTTGGGCTGTAGGGTCATCTGCTAACGGCGTTTCTGAGCTTACTACAAGAGGAAGATTCAGCGGATGCTCGATGTAGCGGTGGTATTCTTCTTCTTCTACGCCCGTTACGGTTGGATTGATACTGTTTTCGTGGAACTGAGCGAGAGTCCAGAGGTGCACGTATGCTTTATCAGCAGGTTTGAAACCTTCATATCCGAAGTTGCTAGCCAACCCTGTAGACGAAGAATTGGTCATGGATGGGAAATTACTCGTAGTCGCTGGAGCAGAGTTTGGCATGTGAGGCTCGAAATGTGATTCGCGGAGAATGGATTGCTTGATTGGAGATCCGGTTTCCGGTATATGCAAGTGCATGCTCTTGTGGCGCCGATTAATCATGCTACCTTTTCGTGAGTCTCCCTCGCTGACAGGGTCGAGGATCGTCACTCCTTTCCTGGATTGTTTAGACTGCTTGCGGTCTTCTTTCCCGGGTGAGGTCTGGTCTTGCTGTTTCCTGCGAGCAACGAAAGGGGATGCGTTCTGTTGACGGGTCGGATACGACGTATCTTTCTGATGAATGGGCGGGCAGTTGAGACGGAATGCATACACCTTGAGGAAAGACGTGACCGCAAGTGGACGGTAGTATTCCAGCCAGTAATCATCTGCGTTTTCAACTCTCCTAGATAGCTGCTTCTGTTTATCCAATGGCGGGAGAGAGCGTGGTTCGAGATTTCCTGGGCTGTACCACTTGATGTAATTCCGTCGAGACCTTTCCAAAAACGTACGTGGGTCTCCGTGATGTAGGTGATAGTCCGTTGTAAGATCCCACAGCATGGGAGCATCTTTCTTGTACGTATAATACCCAAGGAAGAGGTTATAGGCTTCTTGACGCTGTGAGTCGAGGAAAGAATTGTGATAGTAACGTTTGAAGCTCTCTACCATGTCTCGAGAGCTGCTTTGCCACTGATTGATTTTTCTATATGTAGCCATTGTGTTGACGAGATGAGAGCCTCCGTATTGCATAGCTATAGCATCTCCGTGGTTGTGAAACATGTGCGTAAAGTTGTCGACACAATCTGTATCGTACTCTACGGTGTTGCCTGAGATCACACCGAGTGCCTGTAGCTGTCTGCCAAGTGCTCTTTTTGCAATGACAAACTGGGCAGCGTTGGTTCGATCAAGACAATCAATGCAGTTAGTTCGCGCAACTCCATTCTGCACTTGGGGCACGTTGAATTCTGTATCTCCGTTGTGAAAGAAGCCTGTCTGACGGATGACTTTTTCAGCCAAATGCTCCAGCGTGCCAATGACATCCTGGCCACGAGTTTTGGAAGCTCTCGCCATATCGAACGCTTCGTATATTATTTTCTTGTCTGCGGGTAGCGATTGATTGAGGTAGTCGACCGCATGCTTATATTCGTAAAGAAGCTTAGACTCTCGTGGCATTCGTTCTCGCTGCTTAATGAGATTCAGCACATACACCGGTGCCCCGTACCTCTCAAAGAGATGGTCAAAATGTAAAGCTGCAGCTGTGAAAAAGGGATCAGGGAGGTTGAGATCGATATCAGGCTTGTAGGACACGCCACTGTTGTCTTGTGTCCAGTGTAACGGGATGCTTCCACGATGTTGTACATAGGATGAGATGCCCGGATTGGAAAACAATCGTGGACCAGGCGCATGAAAGGAGGTGGTAAGTGCCTCAGAAACAATCTGTTCTGTCTCCACATCGTTGGCAACATATCCCTCATCATTCGTACCACGCTTGAGAAATCGCGCTCCAGCAAAGTACCTAGACCGCCGAGCCATGAGGGTAATGTAAATTCTCCGGCCAAAAACGTCGAGTGAAGATTGGTCGACCGAACCATGTATGATCGGATGACACCAGTCATATACATTCTTTAGTGTTGCCTTTGCTGGTTCAAGGAGGAAATGATTCCAGACGAACATATCTTGGAAGTCGCGATTGGGGTGTGGGCGGCCCTCGTTTAGCGCTTCTCTCTCACGGATGATGTTTTGCTGAAGGCTTCTGGTAATGTTGTAAGAGTAGCTGAAATAGAAAAAGCGTGTCAGATCGACATTCGTCAGAATATTCAAGAATCGCGCTTCATCTGGATTCCGGTCCTTCTGAAATCGCGACGTCGCTCCTGTGGTGAGTGGGACCAGCTCGGTGCCATCGACTTGATATATGTAATGACCACCAATCATGGCTACTTGTGCTCTCTTTGTGATCAGCAGCATGTAGTACGCTTCTGTGAAGCGGATGAAGCCAAGAAGACCCCAGGTGCTACACTTGAGTCTCATCCCTCCGGTATGCTTGTTTCCATCATCAATGGTATTCAGGAGCTGATTCATCTCTCTTTTGTCGTATACTATATCGTCTTCGAAGATGCTCAGGAGACCGGGCGGTGCAGTGCGATCGATCTTCAAAACCCGGTAGTGTTTGTCCATGCTATCGGCTCCCACAAGGTAGAACCGGCTGCTCGTTTCGTAAAGGGAAAACTTGTGCATCCTGTTGATCCCACCATCGCGAACATTCTCATACTCAGCTCCTCTATTCTTCTGCATAGCGGCTGGACTTGATGATCGCTGGAAGGATATTGGAACAGCTGGATTTTCATCTTCGCCAGTAAACGCTATTTCCTCGGTATCTCCCCGAGGCATGCCCGGAACCTTCTCAACGTCTGCCTCTGGTTTAAAATCGGCTACAGGAGCGCCATAGTTTGGGCTGAGTTCCGGGCTACCAACGATTGTCGAAGCTTGATCGGTGTCATTGCCCTTTTCCTGTGAGTTGTCGACCGAACTGGCCCTTTGTGATGAGCCAGCTATCGAGCTCGGCCGCTCGCTGCTTTCACCTCTTTGTCGCGAATCCTCCATGGTGAAGATGGCCAGGGAGCTAGTGATTTATCCAAGTTCAGAGTGCATGACCATTGTTTTGGAGGCTGCCGATAACTGTACGGTGGCTGTACTCGGCACAAATAGTTCGACTACTGTTCGGAACCTTCTTTAATGAGAGACAGTGATGACAGAGTGTTTTTTAAAATTCAGTCTTCCTACACCTCTCGGGATCGCAACTTATCGAGTGAATGTCTTACTTCCCAGATGCACGTCGTGAATGATGTAACTTGGCGCTTATCGCTTTCCGGAATGGTAACCGGTCCAAGCTTTGCACGTGCACTAATATCACGTGCAGTACATTCACTAAAGGTTAACATTAAGATTTATCTAGGACAAATCAAGAGCAGAAACTCAAAAATACATATCACAGTAAAAGTAGGGGCTACTATTTCTAAGGACCAAAACGATTATGGCAGATTCTGAGCATATCCTGATCCTATTCGTTGCCATATACAGCATTTGAGATCCTTCTCCACCGCCCCACACCAAAAAAAAAACCTTAAATCACAAATCAAAAACCAAGCAGGCAGCTAACCCTTCCTCAACAAAAATATATCTCACACGACGTGATGATATGATCCGACTGAGGATTGAACTCAGGACCTTGAGCGGTTAAGCATCAGAAGAAACAGCTCCGAAGAACCGTTCTTTTTTTGTTAAGCTCACGTGATAACCAACTACACCATCGGACCGGGGCTTTGATGGCATTTCCTAAATCAATATACATTATATTATAGCAAAAAAGAGAATGGTGAAGTCTGCGCGAGGGGTGTTGGGGCTTAGGAGATGTGAACTACCAACCGAGGACCTATCTTTCACCTGGTGGGGCATCGAGGATCTAACGTTTTTCTTTCTGACCGCCTATCACTCGTCCTACTTGCCAGAACTTTACGGTGTGGATAACTTGCCATGCTTGTGGAACCTTGGTGCTATTGGATATAGTGTCTGCGCTATTGGCAGCACGAAACTAACACACTCCTCCGGATTTGCTCTATTCATGTCTGGATACCTTATGTCTATCTTGGATATTTACTATCAGTCAATCAAGAAGCATCATCTGTGAGTGATGTGTAATTATTGCCCGAATTTCCATTCTCGGAAGTTATACCATGAGCTTGAAAGCCCTCCGCTCCTCCCTGGCCACAATCCCATCTTCTAACGGAATCCCTATAAACTCCTTACGTCTCTCCCGCTCCTTCACGCGATTCTCCCTCAAAATTACAACACGCAAAACGGCTGCCAGTATACCGGCCAGCAGCATAAACGACGCACAAACTGACATACCCTTGACGTACCATGGGCCATCTTCCTCAGGGAAAATGCTAGTCCCGACCAGCGGTCCCATCTGTCCAATGATATTCATCATGGCGACTCCAGTTCCTTTTTTGCTGTCACTATCTTGATTGTTGATAGTCCATGTGATGATGATAGTGACGGCAGAGAAGAAGCCCGCTGCAGCGGGAAACAGAGCAAAATAGCGGAGCCAGATGCTTGGGAATTGGTAATAGCCGCATAGAGCTATAGTAGTGTATCCTAGCGTTGCGAGAATGGAGTGAAGTATGATGAAAGTAGAGCGAGACTGTAAGCGGTCGGAATAATATGCAGTGAGGAGTACCACGATAAACGAGAAGAAGTAGGGAGGAGCGCATAATGCCTGAGCCGTGAGTGACACATGACCCATGTCTCGGATGATGGTCGGGAGGAAGACAGGCATACTGCTGAAAGCTACATTACAACTGAAAAACATGAACTGCGTCTAATCAGTGATAAAGCCTATGCCAGTGTTCAAGACAGAACCTACTGCAGTGAGGTAAGACTTTGGGTCTTTGAGTGCTTGCAGAACTTCCCCAAAGTTCACGCCCTTTTTCTGTCCTGATGTAGCAAGGTACTTTTCAGCAGAACTGCTTCCCTCTTTCGATTGTCTCTCTTGTCGTAGTCTCAATCCAGCAACTTTCTGCTCTCTTCGGCTGAGCCACTTAGCAGTGCTAGGCGAATCCGGTACGAAGTCCCACGCCCAGACAGCTATCAGAACACTCGGAAACCCCTCGATCAAAAACAACAGTCTCCAAGGGCTGATCGGACCACCTTGTCCAACTTTGGTGATCAACCAGGCCAACATGCCCGCGAAAGACGACGAAAGTGGGCTGGCAGAGATGAACAGTCCTGTCCTGAAGGCCAGCTCATCGCGACGGAAGAAAAACGATAAGTAGAAGGGCACACCTGGTCCAAATGCTGCTTCTCCGATACCCAGCAACGCACGAAGAATCAAGAGGTATTCGAAGCGAGTGGCAATAGCCTGCAGTGATGCTATGATACCCCACGACAGGATACATATGGAGATGTATATATGAGGAGGGAAAATTCGATACATCAGAGCCATCCATTCAAATGCGACTAAGAGTTGTCAGATTAGAATTGATATCAAATCAGTGCGAGAATGATGTGACGCACTATACGTTATGTAAAATGCCCACAGAAGCCACTCGTACTGGCTCGAGGTGAGGTTAAGATCTTTGGATAAGCCTGCGATTCTAGCATTGCCAATGTCTATGGTGATCATTAGCGCTTTCGTGCATGTTATGGTGGCATGTGCCACACCTACTCGATCGATCCAAAAAGCTCAAACAATAAAGCAGAGCCATGAAAAGCACCAACCGTCTGTCCAACTTTTTCAAAACTTTCTTTTCTTCTTTTGCGCTATATAACACATCGCTGTGCGCAGAACTCATTGAAAAGCGCCTCGGACTAGGTAGCAGACCGGCATCTTCTCCAGCGCGAGCGCGTAGTCCAGTAACATCATGCGTTGTTGCACCATCATCAGGCGCTATTGAGTGCAGTTCATATGCATCGTCTGCGCTGTCAATGTCATATATCAGAGGCGAGGCACGCAGGGGACGGGTGGATGAAGAAGAAGTCGGAGAGATGTTGTCGGTACTGGAATAGGGAGGTGCATGGATTGAAGAAGATGGCATGGCGCCAAAAAAAAAGAGGCGACTTAGGTGAAGGTAAATCTCAGGTTACATCGGTTTTAATGATTACTACAACGGTATGTATGTATAAAGGAATTGACCTAGAGGCACGTAGTTGCAGAGCAGCTGAAGCTTGCTGCTTGACCTCACTCCAGACGATGACGCGCATATGGCCCGTGCGCTCTATCGCATCGCATACATTGTATGGAGTACATTACAAGGGCGGGCCCACTGTAGGATCAGCTATCAACACTTATTGAAGAGTTTACTGTATATCTGGATCTTATTAACACTATGTTTAAATGCTGTTGAATAGGGTATTAAAATAGTTGACACCTAGGTATCCTCAGGTGGGCCCTCCCCTTAATGTATGATACATGCTGTCACAAGTCGCGAGTTCATACCCGTGCATACAAGTCTGTCAAGACAACTAAACTACATCATTAGCATGCGTTACAAAAACATCTGCAATATTGTTCAAACAAGCTTGCATATATATAGCTAACAAATAAAGTGAAGGGTCCAATCAATCGTTGACGATCTAAGCTGGAACAGTATCTAACCCACGCAAGTTGAATGCGCAAAACCCCCCGTAAAAACAGATTGTGCCTTAAGAGGCTAACGATTAAGCAAATAATTCTATCGGTCTCTCCCCAATCGTTCTTCGTAATCATCTACTAATTCATAGGCAGGCCTGAAATGAGAGCTGGGATGGGGTGTCTCTGTGTCATTTGTTGTCCCGTTCGCGGAGCCATCTGTAGACTTCTCGACCAGTGCAGGGTTTGGCTGTGTATCATCGGTGCCACCTAGCGATGTGTATCCCCGGTCGTAGAGCTCGCAATATGGGATGTTGAGGTGGCGGATGAACTGGCCAGTGTCAGCGAAGTCAGCAATCAGCAAAATCAAAATCAAAGCTCACCGTCCAGATATCTACATAATGCCAATCTATGACCGGGTGTATGCGCATGAATTCGGGCCAACCATGGTCGGTGGGGTCGAAATGCTTTAGATGCTCCCCGTGCGGATCAGTCCGCCGCGTGCCGACAAAGATTGCTTTGACGCTGGGTGTATCATGCAGATAGTCTGCGAAAGCAGCCTTCATCGGTTTCGCATATTCCAGAAGAGAGAGCGAATATATCTTTACACTCGATTCGACAAAACCTTCGACCTCTTGGAACGGATGCTTGGCTTGTATATAGACGCACTTGATGGCGGTGTCGGAGCTGGTATTAGGGTCGGCGGGGGTGAGGCCTTTCTGGTGAAGAGCGCACAGGTAGAGGATCAGGAGAACGAGGCAATCTTTCCCGCCATTGTACGCAAGAGAGAGTTCAGGTAGCCTGGCAAAGAGGGTGAGCTATACAGACAGACAGACAGGTGGCATGATGCTATCAATGTGGCAGGCGTACTTGTACCGCTCCAAGGCTTCGACAATCACTTCAAGTGACACTCGAGTCTGGGCCTGCAAGCTCTTCAACCTCTCGGAGGCATGGTCCTGGTTCAAGAAGGCGTGTACGCGATCATGAATCCTCGCGCACAGGTCGGAGAAGGGCAGCGGGGTGGGGTGGACGAGGGGCGATGCGGGCACGTCAACGTCGCGCGCCGAGGAGTCTCCAACGGTCATTGCGCAGCAGCAGCGACGACAGCAGACTCGACATGAGATGCAGGAAAACGTTCAAGAAGTGGCGATGGGCAGCGCTGGACTTGAAGACATGACTTATGCAGGGCCTCGGGGAGGGCGTGCGCGGCGCCTAGAAGCACGAGGGGGTACATACGAGCGAGGCCGTGGTTTCGGCTAGCCATGTCTTATCGATATCGGCTATCTGCTGTCCGGAGTGAGACTACTAAGCCCTTACATAAGCCTGCGCTTAGTCATTCAGAGGGGCGAATCAAGAGGGGTCTTGTTCCAAGCTGTGTTTTGTGGGGAATAAGGTACCTAGGGAAGTACCCATCTGCGTTCGAGCAACTATGTACGTATACACCTGGGCATACATATATTTATTACATTGTAATGGTAATGGCATCGATGCGTACATGCAGAGCAGTCGGTCGCGGCATCTCAGGCACGCAGCCCGCGGCAGATGAGAAATCTTCACCTGTCTAGACGTCTTTGATCTCTGTAGGGGCACTCGAGACTGAATGGTTCATTACAAAGTGGAGCCCTCTGATTGGGTCACGAGCGAGGCCCAAGATGACGCGATATCGGAATGCTCTCATTCGGCAGACAGACTCACGCCTCCAAAGAAAAAAAGTAGCTGCCGCTGCCGCTCCCTCTACATTTGCTCTAGATGCCGATGCAGTCGTCTACTTGAACCCTTCGTTCCTCCTCCTCCCTCTCTCCTTTCCCCAACAGCAGTTCAATTGCAGTAATGGCTTCCGTCACCACTGCTGGAGAGGCTGGTATGTTCGCCCTCGCTCCCCCACTCCTTGTTGCTCACCCCTCGTCTACCCCGGACGCCCCAGTCGCGAGTTATCTCCGAGTGAAGCACCGCATGCATTTTGTATGCTTCTTCGAGTCACTGCTGACCCTTTGACTGCAGTGGCCCGCATCGCTCACCTCGCTAGTGATGTGATCATTTCTGTCCAGCCTTCTCTTGCCACCTCTTCCCAGTTCTCGGACACTCTTCGCCAGCTCGAGGCGAACAAAGCCCCTAGTATTGTTGCAAAGCAGCAACCCGAGGTGCTTGCTGTTCAAGAGAATGCAGACCCCCTGCTCTCGTGCTTCACCCCCATACGTGCTGGCAAACTCACCTCCGTCACCACGTCCTCGTCCATTCTCGTCAAATCCATACCTCATCTCTACAAACTCGCACAATACCCCGTCGTTCTCCACGTTTCAGTGCAACCCGCTGGGTTCCCCGACTTTTCCGCCATCACATCCATCAGGCAGTGTGGATTTACATTCCTTCAATCAGAGTCCTTGCAACAGGCCCAGGATATAGCATTGACGTCTCATGCTTTGGCCGTCAAGTCTGGCAAGGGTGTTATTCATTTCTTCGACCCCAGTGCCGTCTCCTTTGAGAAGGAAGTTGCACAAGAGGATCAGGAACTCGTCCGAAATGTCATAGACCTTGATGCCGCTGCCGCTTTCCAGAAGACGACATCGGACGAAACCTCCTTATACGCAGACGATGGCCGTAGTGCAATCATCTCACTAGCGCGCAGCCAAGTGGGTGTGGCCTCTGGTGCCCCCGCTGTAGCTTCACCACCAATTGGCAACGCAGGAACTCTGTCCCTCCCGGACAGGACCAGCACAAGGGATAACTCGACATCGAGTTCCTCGAGACGCGAGTCAAGCACAGCAAGTGGCCAATCTGCATCTTCGGTCACGACTGTTGAGTCTCTGGCAACCAAGCCCGTCTCATCCGAAGACATTTATCGGTTTGCCTCACAGATCTGGGCCGACATCAAAGAAGCAACGGGTCGCTCTTACGATGCTTTCGAGTATACCGGCCCTGCAAAAGCTGATGCCGCTCTATTCATGTTTGGCGCTGACACGGCTCTGTTCGCCAGAGAGATTGACAACGTTGAAGAATCCGAAACCTACGCCAACGCGGGTATTATTACCGCGAGGATGTACCGTCCATGGTTGGGCGCTTCACTTGCTCCTCTACTTCCATCTTCCATCAAACGGATAGCCGTTGTCGAGCAAGTTCGTCGAAAGACAACTAAGTGGGGGCCACTCCTGTTGGACCTGCTGATGTCCCTCAAATCAAGCGGTGGTAACTCGCCGATGATTGTTGGTTACCAGTTGGGCCATATCGACGAGAAGACTGTGACACAGGCATTGCGAGGTGTTTTCCAGAACCTGACCAGTGAATCGCCTGTACAGAATTTACAGGTTGGAAACATGGACGGACCACAGGCGCAAGATGTGAAGCTTGAGAAGCCGGCTCTGGAAAACGCGTATGTGAAGATCTTGGACCAAGTCTTTGGCGACAAACTTCTCATCGCAAATCAGTTAGGTCAACAGCATGCGGGTGTCTCCACTCAGATCTCCTCCAGCCCGGAATATGGATTCGGATCGCTCATCGCTCGCAAAGATCACCGCAACCGTTTCGTCGAGCAAGCCCGAGCAGCATCCAAAAGCAATGACTTTGTCACCAAGGCACCTCTCGAGTGGCTAGCCAAGTGGGCACTTGATGCTAAGGATGCCCAAAAAGCTAACTTGCTGGCGCCTGAGGTCATTTCTCGGTTGAGCAACGACGGGTCTTCTGCTGCAAATGAACTTTTGAGCTCCAAGAAGTTGTTCTTCAAGGAGTCGCCTTGGCTCATTGGATCCGACGCATGGGCCTATGACCTGGGCAACTCTGGTGTTCATCACGTTCTAGCTTCTGGTGAGAACGTCAATATGCTCATCATCGACTCTCAGCCATATTCTGAGCGCGCTGCTGCGGATGCTGCGAGACGCAAGAAGGATATCGGTCTTTATGCAATGAACTTTGGCAACGCATACGTCGCTTCCGTCGCCGTGTATAGCTCATACACTCAAGTCCTTGAGGCCATGATCGAGGCTGACAAGTTCGACGGTCCTTCCGTGGTTCTTGCATATCTCCCGTATGAGAAGGAGACAGACTCCCCTCTTACGGTTCTACAGGAGACGAAGAAGGCGGTTGATGTTGGCTACTGGCCATTGTACCGATGGGACCCGCGAGGCGATGAGAAGGGCGAACCCAACTTCCAGCTCGATTCTCAACGTATCAAGGCTGAGCTGGAAGAGTTCCTCAAACGCGACAACTACATGTCCCAGCTCATGAAGAGGCACCCGGAATTTTCTGCCAATCTTTCTGGGTCCTACGGTACTGAGGTCAGGCAACTCCAGAAGAGGAATGCCAAGGATGCTTACAGCAAACTTCTGGAAGGCCTTGCTGGTGACCCAATGACTGTCCTCTTCGCTTCAGATAATGGAAACGCCGAGAATCTCGCAAAGCGCCTGGCGCGACGTGGTAAAGCTCGCGGTCTGAAGACTATCTGCATGGCTATGGATGACTATCCGCTCGAGGATCTTTCCGGAGAACAAAACGTCATTCTTCTTACTAGTGTAGCCGGCCAAGGGGAGTTCCCTCAAAATGGCAGAACATTCTGGGAGACCGTAAAGGACTCTACTGACCTAGACCTTGCCACCGTCAACTTTGCTGTATTCGGCCTTGGTGACAGTCATTATTGGCCACGTAAGGAAGACAAGATCTACTACAACAAGCCCGGTAAAGACCTTCACACACGACTTGTGACTCTCGGTGGCAAGGCGCTGGTAGATGTTGGTCTTGGAGACGATCAGGATCCCGACTCATACCAGACAGCTTATGCTGATTGGGAGCCCAAGCTATGGCAAGCACTTGGCGTGGACAATGTCGAAGGCCTTCCTGACGAGCCACCACCAATCACAAATGAAGACATCAAGATTGCATCCAACTATCTCCGTGGTACTATCGAAGAGGGTTTGGCAGATACTTCCACTGCAGCCATTTCAGCCAGCGATCAACAGCTCACCAAGTTCCACGGAACCTACATGCAAGACGACCGTGACCTACGGGATGAGCGCAAAGCCCAGGGACTTGAGCCTGCTTACTCATTTATGATTCGATGCAGACTACCAGGTGGTGTTGCTACCCCAAAGCAATGGCTCCAGATGGACGAGATCAGCACCACACTCGGAAACCAGACAATGAAGCTCACGACTCGTCAAACATTCCAGTTTCATGGTGTCGTCAAGGGCAAGCTCAAGCCCGCCATGCAGGGTATCAACAAAGCTCTCATGACCACCATTGCTGCCTGTGGTGATATCAATCGAAATGTCATGTGCAGCTCTCTTCCTGAACACTCTAGCTTCCACAAGGAAGTTCATGCTGTGTCTCAAAAGATCAGCGATCACCTACTTCCATCCACATCAGCCTATCACGAAATCTGGCTAGAAGACGACGAAACCAAAGAGAAGCGCAAGGTCGCCGGTGAAGCTGTGCAAGACCACGAGCCTTTGTATGGACCCACCTATCTGCCCCGTAAATTCAAAATCACCATCGCTATTCCACCACATAATGACACCGATGTCTACGCACATGACGTCGGACTCATCGCGATCAAGGGCAAGAACGGCCATCTTCAAGGATTCAATATTCTAGCCGGTGGCGGTATGGGTGTGACCCATAATAACAAGAAGACATACCCACGCACTGGCAGCATGTTTGGTTATGTCGCCGCCGATCAAGCACACATTGTGTGTGAGAAGATCATGCTTGTTCAACGTGATAATGGTGACCGCAAGAACCGCAAGCACGCCCGACTCAAGTATACCATTGACGACATGGGCATCGATGTGTTCCGGGGCAAGGTAGAAGAGCTTTGGGGTCAGCACTTCGCAGATCCCGCGGTCTTCAAGTTTGACTCGAACATTGATACATTTGGCTGGCAAAAGGATGAAAGTGGGCTCAACCACTTCACCTTCTTCATCGAAAATGGACGTATCGAGGATACGGCAGACTTCCCTATGAAGACGGGTCTAGTGGAGCTTTCCAAAATTCTCAAAGACAAAGCTGAATATCGCCTTACCGGTAACCAGCACTTGATTCTTTCCAACGTCGCGGACGAAGACCTACCCGCTGTCAAGGAGCTTCTGAAAAAGTACAAGCTTGACAACACCGAGTTCTCTGCCATGCGTCTTTCCAGCTCTGCTTGCGTTGCTTTCCCCACCTGCGGCCTCGCCATGGCAGAATCGGAACGGTACCTGCCCGAGCTCATCACCAAACTTGAAGGCACCCTCGAGGAAGCCGGGTTACGCCAGGATAGCATCGTGATGCGCATGACAGGCTGTCCCAATGGTTGTGCGCGTCCTTGGCTCGCAGAAGTAGCGTTCGTCGGTAAAGCGTACGGTGCTTACAACATGTACCTAGGCGGCGGATACCATGGCCAGCGCCTGAACAAGCTGTACCGAAGCTCGATCAAGGAAGACGAGATTCTGGATATCATGCGCGGTTTGATCAAACACTATGCTAAGGACCGCCAAGAAGGCGAGCATTTTGGTGACTTCGTCATTCGTGCCGGATACATCAATGAGACGACTCACGGAACCAACTTCCACGACAATGTAAGTCATTTACCCCGTTACATTACTGACCCGATGCTGATATATTTTTAGACTGCGGAAGACGAATCCGATGAGGAGTAAGTAGATTGTGGGCATGGGAGAGAGGCTTGTCTTTTGATACCGCATAGGGTGGCAGTTGTACTCATCTTTACCGGCGTTTGATTTGATTCCACATATGGTCTGCAAACTAGTTCACTCGCATGCTTGTTTTTGGCACATGTTCTCTTTTCGCTACGTTGACTAAAAATCATAACAATCTCCTTTTCATGATCCCCTCTTGTAGTCTTCGAAATGTATTTACCTTAACACCACTTTGACCCTTAAGGGGCTCGCATCAAAAGAGATATGTAATCAGAAAGAGGGTGGAATGAAGAATCACATTGTGATCATAAAAGACTTCATATTGCATAACTATGAACAAAACTCATCTGGGTATCGTAAACAAAACAATTCATTCATGGCCAACGTCATCACCGCTTTCTTCTTGTCCCTCCAACAGAGGCTCTTTCTCGTCAAATCCTCCCACCTCCTCTTTCTCCCTTCGTTCATTCAGCACACCACCATCCCTATACTTCTTCAACCCCGCATACGTCCCACGCTTCTCAATCTCCCTCACCTCACCTGCGGAGCCGAAACAGCAATGCCCAACAACACCATACGGACCCTCCCTAGGATTCTCCTCATTCAGCACACCAAACCTCAACTTCGTCTTTGTAAGTTCCTTGGGGAACGGGTCGCCGCCAAGACACGCGCCGACACTGAGCTGGTCGAGTGTAGGATTGCGCGTAGTAACCATGATGCGGGAGAACAAAGTATCAGATGCCACGCCGTTCTGGAATATCGACCACCCACCCACACCGAGGAACGCCAGCGTGATGACTACGGCGAAGGCGTAGCCGACCCATAACCCCTCGCGGTGATACGCGAAGACGATTACGGAGCGGGATTTTGTGCAGGGAACGCTGGTGCTGTCGCGGACTACGAGGAAGGGTTCGGACAGGAGAGTGATGAGCATGTCTTCGAAGACTTCTGGGACTTTGGTCTGCAGATCCGAGATGGGGTATGAAGTTATCGCGTCCATCAAACGAGATTCAGAGATGTCGGATTTGGTGACTGGGTATTTGGTCTTGATAATGTGGCCGCGGAGGAAGTTGCGGAAGAGAGCGCCTAGAGAGTGGTAGGTGGCGGTATATTTGTATTTCTCCCTGTCGGAGGGGACGACGAAGTTGGATTCAGGGCTGGCGGTAACTTTACTGCTGTTTGTGGGATCTATAGAAACCGTCGTTTCTATGATGGGGTGAAGAAAATCACGTTGCAGGCGCTTATGCGTCTGCACAGTATCGTTGTAATGCAACTCGAAGGTATAGTTTGTTTGATAAACCACGCATTTGAATATGTGAGGTTGATGCACATTGACCCATTTTGCGTGGGGTGAGCCCGAGGGGTATGGTTCAGTCGTGTTCACCGAATGTCCTATCCATAAAACAGGTTCGGATTGGAAAACTCCTAGTGATTTCGGATATGGAGGCTCGGGGATTGGTATCCCATTCTCGTTCGTATCGATTTGGGGGTTCATGTAGTCGTTCAAATCCGTGCTGGCGTAATAAATCATATCCCCTTGGGGTGCCTATAAGCAAATGTTACAAAATGAGCTTAGTTCGAACATGGAAATTAAAGTGCACTATAAGGGTTGCGAATCGCTACAAACTGCATGGTCCGGTGAAAATACACTGGGAGTGTTCGCCACTGGAAAACGTACCAAGGTGCTATAGTTGAAAGGAGCATTGACAGTGGGGTTGTTGGGGTTTTTGATTTCATCGCACTTGTATCCCGGCGCTACAAAATTTAACGAGTAGGTGCAGTTCCATCGCTCGCCGCAAGAGTTCAAGGAAGCCAGAGGATCGGTCGCTGGCTTCTTCAAGTAGACGGCCGTGACAGCCAAGCGCTTCGCATTCTTGGAAGGCTGATCATAGTAGTCAAACCAGCCATCTTTCTTGCCCTCAATATCCGTGGTATTCCAATAAACCAACGACGCACCAGCGTAGGTATCTTCTCGACGAAAATCGTGTTTCGCTTCTCGGTCGAAATTGAGCGTGGCTACGTTGTCGCATTGGGTAGTGTTGAACACTTCGCGGACTTCGGATGTTAGGGAGGACGGCGAGAGAACGGAAGCGAGTGGGAGCAGCCTAATACCAATTAGCCGTTGAATGTTATAACTCAATGCTGCAGACGCTTACCAACTACATAACGCCATGAAGGTCGCCAGCTTACCCATACGAATCATCTCCCAGTTCCAGAAAGAAGTAAGATCTTCGGTGGCTGCGAATAGTCCATCAATGGCTCGTAGCGTCATTGCCTTTCGTCTGAAGGTGCGCCATATTCGCTGTCGGTAGCACAAGACCACACAGCCCACCAAAGTGCTCTTGACGAAGAAAGCCAAGGCCGTGCCATACCTGATCATGAGGAGCTGGTTTTCGGCAGGCTGGCCGTCCAAACTGGCATAGAAGAAGTGGTGGCCCAGGGCTGCCATTACGCCCGCCACGAACAGGACTATTGCGAGGGCGGGTGTGGCCCAATGGATGTGCCATTTCGCCAACTCGCCTGCTCTTCTATCCACCAGCCTCTGTGTATCCGCATCTTGCGTTTTGTACTGACTCAGCGATCCAAGAGAGTATAGCGAGTTTCCTGCTGTCTGTGGTTGAAACTCTGGAGTGTCTAACCCAAGTCCACTACCACCAACTGGCGCATACTGCTCACGCCCCACCCCCCGCGACGATGCACCATAACCAATTGCCGGGCTCTCGGGCGGAGAGATATCTGGGGAAGCGGAAGGCCGAAAAGATCGAGCATTGGACATATCCTCGGATTGTCTGGGGAAATCAACCAGGGGAATAGGATCCCTAGGTGCATCGTAGGGATCGTATGGATCGACGAAGGGGTTAGGTGACTGATTGGGGTTATAAGCCATGTTGGCAGCGAGGGGCGCGAGATGCGCACTCAATGCAGGAGGAGAAACGGGCACCGTTGGTGGGCATATGAGCCAAGAGTGGTGAAGACGAATTCAGTTGTAATGGAGAAAGTTGTGCAACGAGTGTTTGAGGGGTCTCAGCTTCGCGTGCGGCTGGAGGATAGGGCTACATGCAACAGCAGCGAAGACATAGAGCGCATACATATGAGGGTAGTCAGGTCAATAACGCTGCGGCTGAGCATGGAGCTGCGCACATGTATGGACGCCGCGAAGCTGCAGGGCGTAGGAGCTGCTTTGGTTGTGCACCGTATGTCTGCTTGCTAACTCGCCGAATGAAGGTCAGACTCGTCCAAGTCAGTATAAGCGCTAGAACTCATTGGGATCGTGTCCAGCATACGCCGGATAGTCGGCCGTCATGTCTTTTGGATGCTCGTTGTCTCCTCCGTCCCTCTGTAATCATCGGGGACGGGCGTCTCTGTAAAAAGAAGCAAAGCTGACGGAGAGGGACTTATTATTCTCGTCTGCCTTGGCCTGGGATGGGGCTTGGCTGCGTGCCTGCCCGCCGCCTACCCTACCCCAGCGCACTTCAATCGTTCCTCTGTGCTTGATTGCTTGCTTGCTTGCTAACCACACAATGCCAATTTGTAATCCAGATCAAGTCGAACGCGCGTGGCCCCGTGTCGATGCAGTCAATCAAATGTCGCTGTGTCGACAGTCGAAGAAGAAACCGCCTCGTTCTCCGACTCTCCCCCGACTATTCCCCGAGCCTGCACGCTCTCGTGCAGCTGCTTATTTCACTCTGCTGTCCCAAAAAGGTATGTGTGTCTAGTGTAGCCATCTTTGTACATGTAGTGCAAACGTCTTGGTTGTGCAATAGTGATGATACAGGACCAACATCCTTGACGAGCTTAGAAATAATAAAGTAGCTACTTCTTGATTGCGTCACTACCGCGACCCCACATGTCTACAAAAGGGCCAAGCTGCCTCGGAGATCAAGCAGACAGACAGCGAAGAAGTTTCCAGTTTTCCCTGATCTAGTGCCATCAAAGCAATCTCTTGTTATATACTCCGCGTCTGCCCGTTGTACATACTCTGCTCCACCATATAACTCCCCAAGACCAGCTCTGATCCTCACTTCACAATGGCACCTTCAACTTTCAAAAAGTGGACAGTCGAGGGCTCCGACGGCTTCGACGCGCTGAAATTCAACGAGAAGGCCTCGCTTCCTAAGATTGGCGACAAAGATATTCTGGTCAAGTGTAAGCCATCTTCAAATTGCAACATTGATCTTGCATTAACCATTTGGCAGTCCATGCTGCCTCGTTGAACTACCGCGATCTTGCCATTCCCAAGGTATGCCCTCTAGTGTACCCATCTCTCCAGCACCGCTCAAAATCAGCATCAGCCCCCTTAATCTTCAATTTTCTAACCACCCCCATTCCCTCTAGGGCAAATACCCCTTCGGTGTTAGGAATGGGGTTGTCCCTGGCTCCGATGGCGCCGGCACGGTGGAGAGTGTCGGTCCCAGAGTCACGCGTTTCAAACAGGGCGACAAGGTCGTCACACTGTTCAACCAAGGCCATCTTGGAGGCCCCATTGACACCTCCAACATTCAGACTGGACTCGGTGGTCTCATCGACGGTACACTTGCCGAATATGGAGTCTTCGATGAGAACGGCCTCGTGGCCGCTCCCTCTAACTTGGATTTTGCTGAAGCCAGTACACTTTCCTGCGCAGCTTTGACTGCCTGGAACGCCCTCTACGGATTACAAAGCCATGCTCTGAAGCCTGGACAGACAGTCCTCACCCAAGGCACCGGAGGTGTGTCCATCTTCGCGGTGCAATTTGCAAAGGCTGCCGGTGCCAAGGTCATCGCTACGACATCTTCGTCCGAGAAGGCAGAGGTGCTCAAGAAGCTTGGGGCTGACCACGTGAGTTTCTATCCGACGATTTGGGGACGAGAACCGGACGACCGTACTGACTCAATCTTCCTGCCATAGGTCATCAACTACAAAGAGACCCCGAACTGGGGTGAGCAAGCCAAGAGCTTAACCCGCAATGGCAACGGTGTTGGTACGTTGGAGTTTGTCATCTCTCAAATCAGCATCTGACTTGCATCTAGAGCACATCATTGAAGTGGGTGGACCAAACACATTGGCCCAGTCCCTAAAGGCGGTCGCCATGGACGGCGTCATCACTATCATCGGCTTCATCGGCGGTTTCAACAAAGACCAGCCCAGTTTCCTCGACTGCTTGAACCACCAGTGCATCGTGCGCGGTATTCTCGTCGGCTCGCGTCTCCAATTTGAAGACATGAACCGCGCCATCGAAGCCAACGACATCCACCCTGTGGTTGACCAGAAGAGATTCCCTCTCTCTGAACTCAAGGACGCATATCAATACATGTGGGAGCAAAAGCACTTTGGAAAGTTGGTTGTGACCATCGCTTAAGTGGGTGCACGACGAGCGCTGATCGAGATGAGCAAGTTCTGTGTTGGTAGGCAAGCTGCATGATGTTCTCTAGCAATGTATCCAGACTTATACGAATATGCCATGTGTAGTGACTTCTGTAAATGTTCAACGTGATGTCCGGACGTACTAGAAGTTCAAAATCGTTGGAATTTCGCATGTTCGCTGACGCTGTTCGAGTAGTGATGAATCCGGTCTGGGTTCTTCATCCCGTCTGCTGCCGCCATCCATCAGCATACCTGCCCTGAGTTATACATCGGCTGTACGCTATCTTTTTTGCCATTCCAGTCCCGGCGATCCAGAGGTTTACAGATGAACAGGAATACATCTTTCATATAAATCTATTATTTCATCCTTGCGCCAATTTTTACCCCCCATTCTTCTACCATGTTTGGCATGGTAAATCGAAGTGGTGGAGCTCTGCAGCAGACAGAGAGGTACGCCTACATAAGCACCCCTTCTCACGACAACACAGCAAACTCACTACGCTGAAGAATGAGAACGAGGCATCCGCCAACAGCAGAATGCCTGGATCCTGGGAGGACGAACTAGTAGATCCATCCAAAATCTCAACTTTGGGCTATGCGGCAATTGGCCTGAAATTGAAATTCAAGCGCTCACGCGTCTATTTTCGCCAGTAAACACTGTACTCTCATACTTCCGCCCGTTGATCTTAATCATTATATCACATCCTTCAGCAGCTCCGACATGTAAGAGCGTGCTGAGATCCTTGCTGTTCAGCTTACTCACCATACCCGACAGTAATCATCTCAGTCAATTGGCTGGTTCAGTTGGCAGTCAGGATATCAGGAGGTTTGACAATGTGTGATGAGTGGCTCTATCTAGGGGTGAGAGGATGTGCCTGCATGTCTACTTAGTGTTTCAACAACCCCAAGTCGATGCAATCCCTTGATCATGACCTTCCACATCACTGCGGTATTAGTTGGGACAAAATTAAGCGAGTGACTTGATTCTATGATGCTTCAATGATCTATGGCCATTGCGGCCTGATTTTCCATAAACCCAAAAACCCAACCATGCGTGGAAAAGAAAAAGCAGAAAAACAGAAAAACAGAAAAGCAAAAAGCCACCCAGACACCTTGTAACCCAGGGGTATTTGTCGTGAATCGTCAGAAGGATACGCCATCGCCATGCCATGCATCAGGTATGATAACACAAAACCAAAACTCCCGCAGGAGACCATGCCCATGAAAAAAAAAACCCGCAAAAACAGCTCAGAAATGTAACAAAACACCAGAATGCGGGGAAGAAACCGCTAAAACCCAAGACCATACCAGAAAAAAGAAACCCAAAAAAAACCAAAGGGAATCCGAGGATCCGGCGAATTATCAAAAGATGCGAGGTCGGCTACTAGTCGAGCTCGCCAGTGGTGACACCAGCCAATATGGTAACGGCAATGCGGTGCCGAGCATCCATCATGCCATCATCCGAGATAACACGTTTGTGTTCTTCGCCGCGGACTAGAACAAGAGCGTTGAGTAGGGTGAAGACCCCACAATCGCTTGCGTTCTCCTGTCTGACGCTTTCCTGCTCCATGCCGACAGTCCATTCACTGGCTACATAGAGGTCTCCGAGGATCTCAGGAAGTGCTGCGATGATCTTTTCGGTAATGCCTTGACTCGCGTAGGCAAGTGAATCAAGGTATTCGATGCGCTTTTCGCGCGGTTTGATAGCGGCAAGCCTCCAGTGAGACTGGTGGCAGATGGGAAGCAATATCAGTCTTGCTTGCAAAAAGTTCTGGCCGATCAGGTTCTTTTTCATGAACCAACGTTTCAAGCCAGCAGGTTTCTGGTTGAACCAGTATGAGGAGAGGGCATCGACTGATGGGCCGGCCGTGGTAGACTTGTAGCCTTTGTAACCTTCTGCGTCCCAGAAGAAGCGGACAAGAATGGCGAGATATTCATTCACGATCTCATCGTTAAGCCAAGCCATAGGGTTGCCGTTGAATAAGTTGGGAAGCAGTCGTGAGAAGTCGTGCGCTGTCAATGAGGCGCGTCCTACGCCACGAGATTCTGTCAATGAGAATCCAGAGTTTCTGCCCTGGTCGCAGGCATTCGATTTCTCCTCGAGTGTCGCTCTCTCGACATCTGTCAAGGGCGAGATAAGAGGTGGTAGAATGGGTACAGCGGGCAAGGTAGGAGGGGATTTTGATGCAGCAGGAGTGGTATCTTCAAGCTGGATCTTGCTGTTGAAGTCTTCGTATAGAACATCAAACAGCTCACGGGACATGAAGCTTTCGCCGAAACGGGGCTGTGTGGAAGAAGGCTTTGCGCGGGGTTTCTTGTTGACATCTTTGGCAAGAGAGCTGCCATGGGGGTTCTCGTCAGGATCCTCATCGAATTCAGAAGAGTCTGAATGGTACTCCTTATCGGGGTCCTCGTCGAATTCAGAGGAGTCGGAATGATATGCCTGATCAGGGTCCTCGTCGAACTCCGAAGAGTCTGAAAGATACTCTTGATCGAGTTCGGGATTGACGACATGAGCGTCATTTGTGTCTGTTGCATGGAGTGAAATCTCATCGTCATCCGAAAAGTCGTCCATGTTTGCAAGAGCAGTGTCGAAGTCGTGTCCTTGTTGCAGTTCTTCGACGAACGAGTCTTGCATTTCAGCTATAGTGCTGTCGATGAAGAAGGGCCTGGCCTGAGAGAACTCGGCCCAAGATACGGTTTTGTTTGGGTGTTCACGAGGCGCGTCGGGAAGCTTCAGTATTTTCTTCCTGGGACAGGGTGTGGCGGCGTCGGGGAGCTCGGGCAAGTCTTTCTCGCAGGGCTCGTGGAGGGTGGCATCGGGTGTAGCAGGTAGAGGTCCGGACTGGACATGGAACAGGGGTTTCACCTCGGCGAACTTGTTCTTGAGTCTGGCTTGGCGTCTCTCGTTGAATGTGCGCACACTCTTAGGGGTGAGCATTCTTCGGGATGGCGAATCCTTGGGGGAGACGGGACTCGCAGAGGGAGAGTGTCCTGTAATGCTGGACTTGTTTAGACTTTCAATGAAGATGTTAACTTCAGCAAAAGGATCCTGGCGATCCAGGCCTGCTCGTTCCCATATATCCGGGCTGCAATCAGCGGATGGTGCTGATCTAGCACGGATCCTCGCAAGGCGTTGTTCATAGCGTGAAGGAGGCTTAGAACCGCAAGGTGCTCCCAGTTCTTGTTTGGTGTTAAGGGTCGACGCACAGTTCGGAGAACCGATAATGGCCTCTTGAGATTGAGCAGGAGATACGAATTCTGTTGGTTCGATGTTGACGGGTGGCTCGGTGTGATCATCAAACACAATGTCCATAAGTGTGTCGTTGAGTGAATCGTCGGTATCGTCTTGGTCGACATGAGGAGCAGATTCATAAGGTGGAGCAGGAGAGGGTGGATCAGGCGAAGGTTGATTCGGAGAAGATTGATCATGAGATGGTTCGTCGAGAGTGGGTTGATCAGGAGAGTCATTCGCGCTAATCTCAATAATCCTTTTCTTAAAAGGTCGGACACCATCCGATTGTGGAATGGCGGATATTTTGTAGGTAAGAGGGCGGAAATAAGAAAGCACAGTATGTACTGGCGAAAATAGACGGGCGATGGACCGCCTGACTTTTGACTTGAGGCTATGTGCCACAAAGTCAAATGTTGAAATTGTGGAAGGATCAATTAGATCTTCTTCCCAAGACCCGGGCATTCTGCTGCTTGCGAAAGCCTCGTTCTCGTTCTGTAGCGTTGTGAGCTTGCTGTGTTGTGGTGGGGGAAACTGCGACGCGTCGCGCGTCGCGCGCCCCAACATACCTCTCCCTGTGCTGTAGGGCAGCTGCGCTTTGTTCCACGCATCGCGGAAGACCCCTTCTTGCTGGATTGAGGAGTGTGCTGGTTAGGTGCTTACTCTGTGTGTCACTCGAGTCTTTGCCGATGCAGCTGTGATGGAGGTGATGATGGCGGTGGTGGGGGTGGGTGTTGCAGAGCGGGCCAGAGTGTGCAAGTGGGATGGTGGGGGAAGGCAAGCGGGAGCGGTTGCGGGCCTTAAGAACCAGAGGAGGTCATGTGACGGCACTAACGACCGGCCCGGCGACCGGGTCGATACAAAACCCTAACCCACACAGAACGGGAATAAGACTGCGGAGATAAGTGACATTTACTACAGGGGTTCGTACGTCGCAAGGGTGCATTTCGGAGGCTGACCGATATACTACATGAATATGTATCATCTAATCATTATTCAACGGAGGAGAGAGGCTGTACATGCGATGAGTTGTAAAATTTAAATATTGAGTTGAGACGAGCCTCCCAATATGTGTCTTCCCGATATATGTCCTTCCGATGTCCGACCCACCTGTGCATGCTATTGTCTGAGTCAAGGTGAGTCTGTTATGGCCAAAAATATGCCAGTGCAAACATTGCTTGTGAGATGTGAATGCGCTGTGTTCCCACTGATGCAGTGGTTCGTCAACAAACTTCTACATATTCCGGCATTGACGTGCACATAGACAGGCAGCTTGTTGGGGGTTTCTGTTTGCGCGGGTACATACCGTCCGAGGCATCATAGCTTCATCCTTGCTCTACCATTGGATTTCTGTTTCTATCTACGTCCGAGCATCAAACGTATGCGAGTCAATCTTTAGGTGTTTTGATTTTAGATATTGTTACTTGTCGATCCTCCAGGCACGCGCTACATACCAGAAGCCCCTTTGTCCTCGAGACCGCGTTGTCATACTACTTTGTTGGTGGCTTAGGTCCAATACAGATGTGTGCATCGATGCTCAAAAACTATCCGACTGACGTGTCTGTACTTGTTCATCTGCTTACCTCTCAGCAAATTACAGGGATAGCATTGATTCCTCGCTAGAGCTCTCATGATCGTAACCTTCAAATGTTTGTAGTTAACCCAGAAATTTAATACACAGTTGCGGTTGCGGTTGGGGTCGCATTAGTGCCCCCGGGTGACTGAGCATGCACCTAATATTAATAATTGTATGTCTGATTTGAGCTGCTCTTGGAGGACGAGAGTAGATACTACAAGTGTTAGAATTGAAGGGGCAGACAAAACAAATCGACCCGCCACGCCACAGTGCCTAAGACCATCTCAATATTAACAGTATACGCAATAGCCAGTACACACATGGTAGGTTGGTACCGTTTCAAGAATAGCGTGTAGCTCCGTTCAAATACCTAGGAGCACCCTTTTTTTGCATGACTTCCACAAATATTGTGTGAGAGATAAATCTTACGGGTCTACAATACGAAAAGGCCTTGCGACAATTATGTCAGTCGCGGGGTTTGTCTGTGGATCATTCCGAATTAGTGTATGCATATTGCGCCGGATCAAATTGCGACAATCCTAGTCGTTGCTACCAAGCTCAACACATTGCCTTGGAAATGAGATCTCATGCTTGTGTACCCAACACTTCCCATCGACACGAATATGGGTTCAGTTGACCCTAACATGTTGATCTACTTATATGGTGTTGTCGCACTGAAGAATACCTTGACAAGGTAAATCACGATCGCCAGGTCTATCATTCTGCTGAGTATTGGAAGGGCGCGCGCCAGTGACTTCAAGCCGACTCCTTTGTTTGCGGGACAGCATATACGCTTTCTTTGGAGCGCTGATTGTGTCACAATCTCGAGGTCAAAAACACAATCGCATTCAATGTGATACAAGCTGCGATCTATGTGTCAGTAAATTACGGTGTTGTCGAAGGCCATTCAATGTAATTTAGTACGGACAACCTATACGACTTGACTCGCCCAACCGCTTGCGGCCAATAAGAATCAGCTAACGTATGAAACACTGTAGCAAGAGGTAATTCACTGCGAAATCTTCGTGTTATGTCTTATCGCACCCACAGGAATAACTTTAACTTGCGAGCACCCGCTTAGGCATGATAGCACCTGAGCTGTTCATCCAGATTCCCGATCATCAATAGAGGGCAGTGAAAGGCAGCTTTGGAGACGGAGAACACAAGTCGAAAATCATCTAGGAATAGATTCGTTTGATACCATGAGAGCTAGTGAATACCGAGTCCTTTGAATATAGAGCGTTCACAGCACTCACTCAACGGTGATTGATCAGATCATTGATCGCGCGGTGCGGAAATACCTTTCTCCGGGCTTTCCGCCAAGCTTGGAAGGAACAGCCGCTTGTAGTGCGTCGTCACGATACATTCTTCTCCATACGATATCTACCCCGCCCTCAACCGCCTTGTTGAACGCGACACATAATAGGTTGCATTCCTTCCTCTCTGTGAAGCTACGATTAGTCCAGGAGCAAAGTCCTCAGCCCTCGATATACCCCTAACTCTGTTTGAAGGGGCGAGAATCGGACCCCTCGCACGCCAGCCCACCACATCAACCGACCCCCTCGCCCGTCAATCAGCCACACCCACGCAAACCACACTATGGATACAAACATGGAGGATGTCAGGGCAGAGCCAATGCAGCCTTCTTCCGTCCCTGCCACAGAGCCGACTACGATTCCCACACTTGATGGGTGGATTGAGAGTTTGATGAGTTGCAAGCAGTTGGCAGAGAGCGATGTCCAAAGGCTGTGTGACAAGGTACGCGACTGATTCTGAAAGAAATGCACGATTGATTTCAAATGCTGATGTGCGGTTCACCTTCAGGCGCGCGAGGTGCTTCAGGAAGAGTCGAATGTACAGCCTGTGGTAAGTAATAGCGCCATGTCTGCAGCATCCATAGCTCATTCAGATATAGAAATGTCCTGTTACAGTGTGCGGTGATATACACGGTCAATTTCACGACCTGATGGAGTTGTTCAAAATTGGCGGCCCCAACCCTGACACCAACTACTTGTTCATGGGTAAGTTCACTTATTGGAGTGCTGCTTACATACTAACACCACACAGGCGATTACGTCGATCGTGGATATTTCTCCGTTGAGACTGTAACTCTCCTAGTTGCTCTCAAGATTAGATACCCCCAGCGCATTACGATTCTGCGCGGTAATCACGAATCACGTCAAATCACCCAAGTATACGGTTTCTACGACGAGTGCCTACGCAAATATGGAAATGCGAACGTCTGGAAGTACTTCACCGACCTCTTCGATTATCTTCCTCTTACCGCCTTGATCGACAACCAGATCTTCTGTCTTCACGGTGGATTGTCTCCTAGTATTGATACTCTGGATAACATCCGGGCCCTCGATCGGATACAGGAAGTTCCCCACGAAGGACCCATGTGCGATTTGCTCTGGTCTGACCCTGATGATCGTTGTGGCTGGGGTATCTCCCCTCGTGGTGCTGGGTACACCTTCGGGCAAGATATTTCGGAAGCCTTCAATCACAACAACGGGTTGACACTGGTAGCGCGAGCGCATCAACTGGTCATGGAAGGTTATAACTGGTCTCAGGACAGAAATGTGGTGACCATCTTCTCTGGTATGTGCCTCTCAGACTTTGTAAAACTAGATACTGACTGGATCCAGCACCCAATTACTGCTACAGATGCGGTAACCAAGCTGCTATCATGGAAATTGATGAGCACCTGAAATACACCTTGTAAGCTGTTCACAGACAGAGTCGATTCGGGATCCATGCTAACAGCTTTCGCAGCTTGCAATTCGATCCTTGCCCACGCGCGGGCGAGCCTATGGTTTCGCGCAGAACGCCCGACTACTTCCTGTAGATGGCGCCCTGGGGAAGCCATATATTGGTGTGCATAATAGAAGGGGATTGCATAACAGTACCCTATGAATCCATCGCTACTGCATGTTCACTCTAGCGACATCCGACAGCTGCAATACCGGGTGGAGTGCTTTGGAGCACGCAGCGCAAGAATTGGTCGAGCAACAACTGCACTAGAAACACGATCATGTCACGAAGTAGTCCGAATAGAGATTTTTATCCGGGATGCTGAGACCATTCGTAAAGGCTGCGCCTGTATCTTAGATGTCGTACCTAATGACCCTCCTATGATCCAAATTCATATTGCCGTTCCACACAAGTAAAAGTATCCTAGTCATATGATGCATGTAGGGGGCATGACATATTACTTCAACGTTGTCTTTGAGTGTCCCGATATCTAACATGCTTTCAAACGATCAACTAGGTGTATTGCCATTGGATGGTGACGGGAGAGAAAAACCGGCCTTACCTGTTTAGGAGTACTAAGTGGAATTGCGGGATGAGTGCAGCGCGAGCAGCGATACGCGTTGGTCTCGCAGTTGTTTGTACGCGCCTCCCCCGCTGCGGCAAAATTCACCTTCAGTCCAAATAAACACTCCCTGCAACACACCAACACTACGCATTGCCCACCATGTCTTCCTTGCTAGACACTGTACTCAACTCAGATGCGCCAGCCCCTACTCCCTCGAGCGACGCCGGAAACTTGGGAAATTCACGCATACGTTCTTCGTCCCGCCCGCGTGCACCTCCTTCCGAAAGCGCAGCCGCCCACAGCGATCATGAGGGATTCGCCGATGACGAGGTCGTGGGCGCGAGAGTTGCTGGGCGTAGACCACTGGGCCCACGAGCAGACATACCGAAAGTTGTCGACGTAACGGGAGAGACGTTGTCGCTTCGGTTTCAAGAGTTTCTGGAGGGGTGCGTTCATCGTTTGTTTTGTTTACACACCACAACGGGTACTGACGAGGCCATAGCTACACCGAAGATCCTACGTCTTCAGCGCTTCCTATATCGAGCGGTGTTCCCATCACCGACAAGTATTACATCGCACAAATACGGGGCATGAAGCTGTTCAGTCTCTCAACTTTGTACGTTGACTTTACACACCTGCAACGGCACGAAGACGGGATTCTTGCAGCTGCCATTGCCAGCGAATATTATCGATTTCTTCCCTATATGGTCAGGGCTCTCCACAATCTTATCGCAAAGTACGAGCCCCAGTATTTCAGGGAGCACCGACAGCCAACATCAACAACCTCGGTGACAGCAGACACATATGGCGCTGGAAGTGCGTCGAACCAGCCTTCCAGCCTCAACGAGAAGACAGCAAATCAGCAAACGGACAAGTTGTTCACGCTTGCTTTTTACAATCTCCCACTCATATCGCGTGTTCGCCAGTTGCGAACCGATTCCGTTGGCAGTCTCTTGTCCATTTCGGGCACTGCTACTCGCACATCAGAAGTACGCCCCGAGCTTTCGATTGCCACATTCATCTGCGAGGCTTGCAATACTGTCGTCCCCAACATTGAACAGACCTTCAAATACACAGAGCCAACGCAATGCCCCAACACAACTTGTATGAACAGAGAAGGATGGCGATTGGATATCAGGCAGTCTACATTTGTCGATTGGCAGAAAGTTCGCATCCAAGAAAACAGCTCCGAAATACCTACAGGAAGCATGCCCCGTACAATGGACGTCATTCTACGCGGGGAAATGGTAGATCGGGCTAAGGCTGGTGAGAAGTGTATCTTCACTGGAACTGTGATCGTCATTCCGGATGTAAGCCAATTTAGAGTACCTGGTGTCCGCGTGCAAGCAACTAGGGACAACTCGAATGCTTCTCGTGGCAATGACGTCGGTGGGTCTGGCGTCAGTGGCCTCAAGGCGCTGGGTGTTCGCGATTTGACCTACCGCATGTCATTCTTGGCCTGTATGGTCACCCCTGATATATCCACTCCTGGCCAGCCCGCGAATCACCACATGACTGGACAAGCAGGCAATATCCTTGCTTCACTTAATCAGGTGCAGGCGATGGAAACTGCAGCTACTGGTGAAGATGCACAAACAGAGTACCTTGCTACTCTTACCCAGGCCGAAATCCAGGACTTGAAAGACATGGTGCACAGACCTAACATCTTCATGCGGTTGGTGGACTCGATAGCACCTACAGTTTATGGCCACCAAGTCATCAAGAAAGGTCTCCTCCTTCAGTTGATGGGCGGTGTCTCAAAGGAAACTCCCGAGGGCATGGCCCTCCGTGGTGACATCAACATCTGCGTTGTCGGTGATCCATCGACTTCAAAGTCTCAGTTTCTGAAGTATATCTGCAGTTTCCTGCCTCGTGCCGTGTACACTTCTGGAAAAGCATCTTCGGCTGCTGGTCTTACGGCGGCTGTGGTAAAAGACGAAGAAACGGGTGAATTCACCATCGAAGCTGGAGCACTTATGTTAGCAGACAATGGTATCTGTGCCATCGATGAATTTGACAAGATGGATATCGCCGACCAAGTCGCTATTCACGAAGCCATGGAACAGCAAACTATCTCTATTGCCAAAGCTGGTATCCAGGCCACGCTGAACGCACGCACATCAATCCTCGCCGCCGCAAACCCTGTCGGCGGGCGCTATAACCGCAAAACGACTCTTCGAGCCAATGTCAATATGTCGGCGCCCATCATGTCGCGTTTCGACCTCTTCTTCGTTGTACTTGATGAATGCGATGAGGCTGTCGACCGTCACCTGGCCGAGCACATTGTGGGCCTTCACAAAGACCGCGACGAGGCTATCGAGCCAGAATTCAGCACGGAGCAGCTCCAACGCTACATCCGCTTTGCGCGTACCTTCAAGCCCGAGTTCACAGATGAAGCCAAGGAGACGCTGGTGGAGAAATACAAGGAGCTTCGTGCCGACGATGCTCAAGGGGGCATTGGAAGGAACAGCTACAGGATCACCGTCCGTCAATTGGAAAGTATGATCCGTCTCAGTGAAGCCATTGCCAAAGCAAATTGTGTTGGTGAAATCACACCGGAATTTGTCAAGGAAGCATACAACCTCCTACGGCAATCCATCATCAGCGTTGAAAAGGACGATGTCGAGGTTGAAGATGAAGACGAGGAAGCAGCGTTAGCTGCCGCTGCCGCTGCGGCAGAAGCTCAGGACGGTGACGCACCTATGGACGACGGCTCATTGTCGGCTGCTGGCGATGCCCGTGCCAGGACTGCGAGTCGCACACCAGCACCCTCCACTCCTGCCGCTCCGCTGCGCGAAAAGACGAAGATCACGCATGACAAGTACGTGGCAATGCGCAATGCGTTTGTGAAGCGCGTCAACGAAGACCAGAGTACCACCGAGGATGGCGTAGAAGAGGAAGAGCTGTTAGTGTGGTATCTAGAGCAGAAGGAGAGCGAATTGGAGACGCAAGAGGATCTCAACAACGAAAGGACATTGGCGAAGAAGGTCTTGAGGAAGGTCTGCAAGGTACGTTTGATTCTTTGCTCTTTTTCCCTTCATGCTCTTCTCGAGAATGCAGAAGCTAATGTGTGATGTTATAGGAACAATATCTGATGCAGATCCGTGGCGAAGGCCTTGCGGATGATCAGGGTGCTGCGCGCGATGCTGCAAAGGTCGTTTACGTCTTGCATCCCAACTGCCCTGTAGAAGATATCATTTAGGTGAAGGATGCGCCATGGATAGAATACCAAACGAGGTGTGATGAGCAACACCATGCTATGAGTTTTCAATGAATGATTATGTGTGGCGTTTGGCGATGGACCTGTGTAAATATTTGTCGTGTTAGAATAAAGAGGATGAGGTGCAGTATATCGATCCATTGCATTCTCGCAGTCATAACCACAGATGCCTGCTTTGTGTGACATTCTCGAATATGAGGTATGAGATGGGGAATCGACACCATGTCATAGATCTAGCGTAGTGTGACATGCCGTTTCATAGAAAGTATGATGTCCTACAATCCACTATTTGCTGATCAATCCGAAGTGGTCCAGTCTTGCCATGAGCAATCCAGCCAGGCATCCTTGCTTGACAGATGAAAGGATGGGCATGTGGAAATTTGATTTTTCATCTGCGCTGGCATTCGCCGGGATACATTGCATCGTCTTCACCCAGGTGATCACCATGTGTCGTGGAAGCTTAATGATGCGGAAAAATGTGAATGCATTTCTATATCTGAATGGTATCATCATGTCGAGTCATTGCTATCATTACCAGATGCGCCACCAAACAGTACCCAACCAACGCCACGAACCAACGCCCATCGATCTCGCTTTGGCTTGAAGAGAGATAAATAGTACATGATGCAGGTCTCCACCGCTTTGCGTGCAGTTTGAACTCCCAAACCATGATCACGATACACAGGTATTCCATTCTACTGCACCATAATGTCCTCCGAGTTACCATTAGTCGCGTCTTCAGACTGCAAACCGATTGGCAGGGAAGGTGGCAGGTCCTTTTCAGCTAATCTGGCCTTTCTCTCGGCCCACTGTCGTAGGCGGACCAATTGCCGCATCCGAGCTTCACCACGCGTGCCCATGCTCGTAAGTATGGCCTCACTGACTTTACTAGCCACCTCGCGACGCAGGGTCGGCTTGATAAGCTCTTCAAGTTCAGGCGCAAGCGTATCGGAAGGAAGGAAGATCAAAAGAGTCATTGCAAGTTCGAGGTCTTTGAGGAATTCAGGGTTTGTAGCAGCACGGGGGGCGAGTTGGGAGGAAGCAAAATTGAGCACCGGTGTGATATCGCCGGTGGAAGAAGAGGTACAATTACGAATAAGTTCTATCAGTTGCACACGGAGTAAAGCGAAGTGAAGAGCTGGGTCTGTGTCTAGGATCTGTGATCGATGGTTAGCGAGGCCACGATGATCAATGTTTGTTCATAAAGAGAAAAATAATGTTTGCGATCATACTGAGGACTGAAGGTTTGGTTTTCATCTTGGCACGAATGCTATGCGTGGTGCATGAAACAGATTATAATCCTGCAAAGGAGAAAAGACATATGAGAAAAGGTAGGACCTACTTGAGGATTGAGATCATTGATCTTGTTGATGGCGGTGTCAATGTCGCCAGCGTGAATGGCACCTCGAATTTCCACTCGGGTTTGGATTGACTCCTCCTCGAATGGAAGTTTGATGTTGGCTTCTTTGGCGAAGTTTTCGGCCGCCCGCGGATAGCCTTCATTCACAAGGTAGTCCATGACAACGAAGTTGATGTCACTGCAAGAAACGGTCAGCGCGATACTTGAGAAGGTTCTCGGATATTGTGAGACGAAGGTTACAAAGCGAGCAGTGCAAGCCTTGGATCAGCCTAACAAGTAATATATTCTCCACATGTTGTTTCGGAGAGATTCCCACTTGAGTTTTTGTCTCATCATAGAAAGGACAACGGCAGACAAGAGCTGCCAACTGAAAGAGAAGTATGACTTACGATTTGGACACCTTGATCTCATCCACCTTCCTCTGGAAAGAGTGTTGGGTCGGCGTCGGCACCGACACAGAAACGGTTGAAGAGCTCTGCAGAGGTCAATCAGCCATCGGCAGCACAGACAGCTGCGCATGCTATCAAGCTTACCATGATGGATCTCAAGGTCTCATCAGGTATCCGTGAATGAACAGGACTGACGACTCTGTTGCCTACACATGCGTTGTGGGAACCGCGCGCAAACTTTGCAGGCGGGTGGAGGAAGAAAGTGTGAAGGTTGGAAGCTTGGGCGAGACAAAGTCAAGCTCTTTAGCGAAGCATGGTCCGTGTGTGCTGACATAAGGCGCCTAGATATTCCGAGGCTTTCACCGGTTGGTACTTAGTGCTTTCACTCTGTGTTTTTGTTTGCTCTTTAATTCGTGACTTCTTGGTATATATATATTGCTTTCCCTCTCCACTATGTTGTAGTTGAGTCAATCTTCCGGCGAACTATCAACCATTATTCGACCGCACGACGATTCAACCGCAGCAATGAGTTCCGAAGTGCCTCGGACGCATTATAGCCCACCATGGGGAAATGCAAGTATCATTGGTGTTGCAGGGAGCTCAGGTTCAGGAAAGACATCATTGGCTCTGGCAATTATAGCCTCTCTGAACCTTCCTTGGGTTGTTATATTGTCCATGGTAACTTTCACAACTCAATTCCAGAAAAGGAAATGTGTCACGTGAGACATACTCACAGAGCAACAGGACTCCTTCTACAAGCCCTTGACTCCCGAGCAGTCGAAAGCAGCTTTCCGTAACGAATTTGATTTCGATTCACCGGAGGCCATTGATTTCGATGTCCTTGTGGACCGGCTGCGCGATATCAAAAACGGGTACTTGCATACACGAACTCGAATAAGCGTGTGGGTACTGGCTAACATGCGGTGCATAGCAAAGTCGCGCAGGTACCCGTCTACTCCTTCGAGAAGCACGCTAGGTTAGAGCAAACGACTACTATATACTCGCCTCATGTGCTCATTCTCGAGGGCATCTTCGCCTTGCACGATCAACGTGTTCTGGACATGCTGGACCTCAAGATTTTTGCCGAGGCAGACGCTGATCTCTGCCTCTCAAGGAGATTGGTACGAGATGTCAAAGAGCGTGGGAGGGACATTGAAGGGTGCATCAAGCAATGGTTCGCATTTGTGAAGCCGAATTTCTACAAGTATGTCGCTCCTCAACGCGAGATGGCGGACTTGATCGTGCCCCGCGGGATCGAAAATCAAGTCGCTATTTCCATGGTGTCTTCGCAGATCCGAACTACTCTTGCGCTCAAATCGTCGCAGCATCAACAAGAGCTCAATAGACTTGGTCAGATTGCCGAGAACAGCCCACTAAGTTCCAGAGCACTGGTCTTGGAGCAGACAAAGCAAGTCAAGGCCATACATACTTTACTCATGGATCCAGCCACCGATAGAGAAGAGTTCATCTTCTATTTCGACCGGATTGTAGGAGTATGTGTGGAGAAGGCTGTGGACTTCCTTCCCTTTACACCTTTTGAAGTCACGACGCCGCAGCAGCACAAGTATGCTGGCCTGATGAAAACGGCGGATATATGTGCTGTAGTCATCCTGCGCGGAGGCTCGGCTTTGGAAACTGGTCTCAGGAGAACCATTCCAGACTGCCGGACCGGCCGTATCCTGATTCAAACCAACTACAGAACAGGCGAGCCGGAGCTTCACTATAGGGCGCTACCGGAGAACATTGCAGAGCACGGACTGGTTCTCGTGCTTGATCCCCAGATGAGTTCGGGGGCGGCAGCTTTGATGTCCGTTAAAGTTCTCGTAGATCATGGTGTACCGGAGGACAAGATCGTTTTCGTGACATACATGGCGGGACGAGTGGGAGTAAACCGGGTTCTGAGGGTTTTCCCGGGCGTAAGGTGCGTGATTGCACGGATGGGAGACGATATGGAGAACCGATGGGTGGAGACAAGGTATCTCGGGTGTTGAATGTTTATACATGTTGTATATAAAAAAAGCATGGTGGAAGACGTAACACGGCCTCTCCTGGGAACGTGAAAGTCGGATAATACATGTACATATGTAACATTTGAAGTCAATACCACGCACGCTCAATGCAAAAACACCAGAAATACGCTTAAAACTAGTAGTATCACATTACAAGTAGTATTAACATATTATAAGAAACTAATTTTTTTTATTCTGGGTTGGAGTTTAGGTGATCCTACACACAGCAAAGGGTTTACAGCAATGATAGACCAAAATGAAAAATAATTATAAAGCTGTGAATTAGCGTAAATCACTTATAAGAATAACAAATAACATTGACTTGTGTGGTGGCCGCACGGGCTGTATTGTCGGAATAATTCGTTCCCGTGAGAGCACGGCATATATTGCACATTGTGACGTCGAGCGGGGCATTCAGACAAGGTGAACTTGACCAGTTCATTACTATATAGGTTTATCGGGGGTATCATAGGAAGTACTCTGTTGTGACTTGGTTTCCTTGCTGCTGCTGCTGCTCCGCCCGGTGAATGTCATTGTCCGGACTTGCGTCAAATACGTTGAAGAAACGCTCGCCAGTGTCACTGACCTCCAGTACGCTGGCCATGTTGCCACAGCGGTAACAGTAGTTGGGCGCACTCCATACCGTACTAAGACGATCCTCGTAGAGAACTTGAAAGCCCTCCTGACACAGTTGATGTGCTCTTAATATATGCGACATAGCGTTAACCTCCAAAAACTTCTTTACCACCTGGGCCCCGAAGGTATAGCCTGCGCCTCGCGGACTAAGCGAGAACTCGTCTCTTTCGGGGTCTGGGTCGCTCCAGACCAGATCGGCCATAGGTCCTTCGTGTGGTATTTCTCTAAAGCGGTCGATGATTTTGATTTGATCGATGGAGTGTATTGAGGGAGAGAGACCGCCGTGGACGCAGAATATCTGGTCATTGATGACGACGGACAGAGTCAAGAAATCAAACATATCGGTAAAGTGATGCCACACATTGGCGTTGCCATATTTGCGTGAACATTCGGTGTAGAATCCGTAAGATTGCGTAACGCCGCGGGATTCGTGGTTGCCACGGATCAAATGCACCCGGTCTGGATAGCGGAGCTTGAGGCAGACGAGCAAGGATATTGTTTCGACAGAGAAGAGACCGCGATCAACGTAGTCGCCTGTAGTGAAGGAAGAATAACGGCATCAGTCGAGGGTACGCACGCTTGGCAACAAGATGGTGGGACAACTCACCCAAAAAGAGGTAATTGGTGTCGGGGCAGGGACCGCCGATTTTGAATATTTCAATCATGTCGAAGAACTGTCCGTGGATGTCGCCAACGACGGTAACGGGGGCTCTGATATGCACGACATTGCTCTCCTTCATTAGAAGCTCCTTGGTCTTGGCGCATATTGCTTCGATGACGGACTCGGCCAGCAGTTCCTTCTTGTACAATCGCGATATGCACTCGTCCAGGTCGACGGTAGCTGTAGAGGGTCAGCGACTTGGGGTGCTCGGTGCTCGACTGTGGACAGACTCACACGGAAGACCGGGCATGGTGGGAAAGAGACGTAGAGTAGCGTGTATAGAGTGTATGAGTGATAGCAAGCGTGTGCCTGCTGGCGGGGCGACTCAGGGCGCAGAGTCTAGAGTGGACACAAGCAAATGGCGATATCGAACAATCATCGTAGGGGTAGCATCGAGGCGAGAGGGGCGAGTAGGTCGTGCGGGCGGGCGATCGGGCGGGCGTGGACGGTGGTGGAGAGGATTACCGGGCAAAGCGGGAAAAGATTCGTTTCCATCAGTCTGACCGTCTGAGTGCTTGACTGACTGACTGACTGATCCATCCCGCCCGCTCGTCGCACAGACCAGCTCCGAGCTAGCGAACTTGTCCCTGCGACCGAGCTAGCGCCCAATTTCTCCAGTGGATGCAGACCTCATTCCATCTTCATTTGCCTCGACTGACTTTTTTTTCCTTTTTCTCTCTTCTCGACAGATATCCCGCCACAAGTGCCTGCCTGACGCGTTGTTTCCTGCTTGCTGCTGCTGCTCCCTTTCTCCCCTGTTCTTTGTATCCTCTGCAATTCCCATTCTGGGCCTTCTCGCGCGCCTTCTGCCTCTCTATTCCGCTTTCAATGTCTCAGGCACCACCCTGGTAGTCTCTTTCCACTCGCCCCAGCAAACATCACCTACATATTCAGCTGCCCCTATGATCTGAATGTCCCCCGCCTAGCCATGCCAATTGACGTACGAGAGCAAGTTTGCCTGCGTTGATTCCGTCAACTTTCGTACCTCCTGGACACGCATCGTTGGGCTCACTTGCTGTTCGCCGGAACGACGCTTAGCACGTGCATCACCACTCCAATCACTTCGCCGCTGTTATAATTCGACACTTCGCCCATCCCTCTCGTAGCCAATTTTTTTCTGCCTGGCATCGCCGCAATCTGATTTTCACTTCGCCAGTCACCAAACTACACCAATCCTAACTAATATCATAATATCAACCTTCGACTTTTCGTCACAGAGCATGTCGTGGAGCGGGCCCGTTGCCGGTGCTGCATCATATCAGCAGCCTCAATACCCTGCCGTTCAACCTGCTTTCGCTCACCCCCCAACATATCAATATGGCCAACAATCGCCATATACCCAAATTCCCGGAGCTCATTCCTTTCCGTCGCAGAATGCTTCGTCACGACCTCCAGAGATCCGGTAAGTTGATGTTCCCCCTGGGAAATTCCGACTGATGGTTGTGAATTGTTCTGGATTCACGCCTTCGTTATATTTTCTAATATTGTATCAGTGCACCCAAGAAGAAAGGTAACCCGATAATCACGCGGTATCCTCCGCCTCCAGGATATCGCGGTCCCGCTCGACCTCCCCCAGCTTTTGGATCACAGCAACGTTCGCATCATTATTCGCAGTCCCAACCATCTTATCAAAAACCAGGCCCTCCTACAAATCCAGCGTATCCCGCCCCCGGATATCAACCACCTCCAGTGCATGGGCATCAGCCATTGGGATATGGTCACGTACCAAATGCCCCACAGAATGGTCACCCTTCACCTGGATTCCCTCCATCTCCGTACCCATGGCCCCAACAACAACCTCAAGGCTACACTCAGCATCCAAATCAGAGTTTTACTCATCAGCCAAGTCATCCAGGGGCTCAAAGCTACACACGATCTTTGAGCTATCCGGGTCATACTGTGCAAGCCCCGCCCGTGAATCCAAATCAACAATCTTGGGGGCACACTCAGGGTTGGCAACAACCTAATCCGTCTACAAATAACCCTCTTAATTCCAAGCCTGGGTCTTTCAGCAGTTCTACTTCGAGCTTGCAATTCACCACTGACCCTCATGCTACACCGACCCAAACTTCGATCTATCCCACAACTTCACAGCCCGTCTCTTCAACTTCACAGCCGTCGGCAGCCAAAAATCTACCACTGTCTGGAAACAAGAATCAAATATTCTCGGCCTCCGATGAATGGGATTTTGAGTTCGAGGGTGCGATTTGGCCTAAAGCGAATGAACCAGTCGATCCCAATTTCAGTCTTGGAGTCACCATCTGGCGTCCTGCTAAGCAGGTTACCCGAGCGCTCCCTTCAAGCTTTTCGGATGCAGAAGAACAAGCTCTGAAACCCCCTCCGGAGAAACTAGGAAATGGAGAATCGGTGTCCATTTATTTCACCGCCGAGAATTCACACGAAGCATTCCTCAATGTGAGGCAAACCGATGAATGGTATCGAATTCGTAAAGATCCTGTTTTCGTGGTGTTCAATGATGAAGAGATGGCCAGCAATTTGATCCCTATCGAAGAATGCCTTGCTATGCGGGATCGGCCTGATGAACCTACCGAGGCACTAGCAGACGAAGACGATGAGATGCACGATGCGGTTTGGAATGTGATGGACAATCTTGAACAAGCATTATCTGAAAGCACCGGTGACGACCGAGGATCCATCACTCAAAGACAGAACGATCTTGCCAAAGACCAGAATCAAGAAGACGTTCTTGCAAGATTAGGTGTGACAGGGATGCCAAAACCTCCTTCACACGAGCCTTTCGTTGTGCCCCTATCCCCTGTTCCAAAAGGTGTGGAAACTCTGTCATCTCATATCCCGTCATCGAGTTCGGTGGATTACAACCCATGGAACCCTCCTACGACTTCTTCAAGAGTTGTACGTGCCTCGACTCAAGATTGCTTACGCGGCAGCCCAGCTCGCTCTGAAAACAGTAGTCAAACCGCTGTTGAACCAGACCATGAGTCTGAAGAGTTACACACTCGGGATACCGAAATTTTTACCGCAGTTGCTCTCGGACAAAACAATCACTTCGTTACGAGAAAACGGAGCCACAACGATACCGATCAAGAAGGACAAAAACAGCAAGCCAACGATAACATCAAACGCAAGCGACTCTCCCAGGGTGATTTCTCCTACAGGTAAGAACAGTCCATCGGTGTTCGTCGGAGAGTTGCAACTGGCCCAATCAGTTTTGCAGTCGTCGGCAATCTTTCATTACGGTACCTGCACCGTAGACCTCCTGCATTCTGCTTAACGCACTTTGTCATCCCTAAATGACGCTCGTACTATATAGTACCTGCTCACTATGCCGAAGAAAGGTGGGATTTTTTTGCAACTTCTTCGGTTTCCGCTGTCCTTTTTCTTCGCTCTTCTACCGTGGCATGTTTGTTTTCACCTGGAAGAGCCTTCGCTACTTTCAAGATGGGAACCCCGAGCCAGTGTTTCCAATTCCTTCTAGACCTAGAACTATTACGAACTTTCTCTTCTTTGCTTTTCTTCCTGTTCACCCTTGTCTGGCCGTTATTGCGTACGCATTCATTTATACTTCATCTTGACGACCTCATTTTTCTGTTTTCGTTGGCTGCGTCATCTTTCGTCAGACCATTCAAGACTGTAATAACTTCTATTCGTTTGCTCCATTTCACTTCTATCAATGCGCCAATCATCTGGACTCGTGTTCTCATATATCGCTGCTATTCCTCAATTCATTTCCCTTTTTTCCACTCGATTGTCCGTGCCTATTTCAATCCGTCAATCAGTCTTCATTCAAGTCGGACCTTATATGTATTGAAAGGAATTTCCTATGCGCCGTATCCTCTGTTTTTTGAAAGCCACCGCGGAACTTTGATATTACCACAATTGAGACCTTATTTCGGGTGTTTTCCTATCTCTCCGACGGAACAGAAGAGATGTCGTGTCGATAAGGCACATGGGGTTTCTGACACGATGCGCCACTTCAATATTCCGGACTGAGCCAAAGACTGCAGGAACTTTTTATAATACTCCACGGTAAGTGCCAGATTCCATTGGACGTACGAAAACAGGCGGACCAGGAAAGCAGTGTCCTTCCCAGCTTTGGACAACCCCTTATCCCAGGATCATAGGACAAAGGAAATCCCTCTAGAGCTTACGTATTTTGTATGTGCAACGATACGTGAAGCGGCATTGCCAATATGCTATGGCCACGCCCTTGCGAATGAGTTGATCGTATCGTGAGTAAAGGTGGGTGGGGTAAGTTCTCTTCATCACTATCTTGGATAACTCTTGCATGGATTCGGTGTTGTACTCGCAAAGGAGGCAAATAACCAGATAGGTGCAGAGAATGATATAATATATGATGTCACCTTTTATTTGCGTTAATTTTCTTTTCGTACACATTTGCTCTCGATGGCTATTATTGAAAACGATTGTCAAATACTCTAGTGACCGTTGATGTTCACGATATTGGAAGGGGAGCTTGGAAGTTGGTGTTTACATGCATGTTATGACGAGTGTCATCACACATGTACACAAGCGCGAAATTCGTAGCAACGGCGTTCACTATGTCAGATATCACGACGGGTTTAGCTAATCTTCCGAGCAGAAAAGAGTAGAGCGACAATGCTTTGAACCATTTCTATTTTCATCTCCAACTAAACAAATGCATTCATTGAGTCCAACCCAAGCGCAAAGACGTAGCATTGCAAGATTGGCTTGGAGTCAGAAGAGTGTTGGATTACTTCATCAATCTACCACTCTCCCCCTCGTCCTCGCTGTCAGTCTCATACTCCGAACTATCTTCTTCGTCTTCATCCTCGTCATCTTCTTCCTCGTCATCATCAGTCTCCTCTTCCTCGCTCTCGCTCTCCGACGCTAACCACTCATCCAGTGTCTTCTCCTTCTCTTTTCCACCACCGCCGTTGCTAGGAACAGCGTACCCATCGCCATTGAGCGGCGTCGCAGGAGAACCCGATCGGGCACTCCCGCCCGCCGCCGAATCCAGTCGTTCAGCCGCACTCACCGTCCTCCCAGCATCATATGCTGATTGTGCCGAGGAAGAAGAGGCGCTCACGTCGTTTCTTAGCGCCGGATCGGGCTGTTTACCCTCTTTGACCCACGGAGGGATGCCATCGTATCCTTTCAGGCCACCGACCCCGCCCTCGTCGCCGATGACCAGACTCGCGCTGCCAAGTGCGTAGTTCTTGCGCGTCTCGCTGGGACTCGGCGTCTGTGGGACAGGCTTCGGCGCCAGGAGGAGGAGCGAAGCTAGCTGGGTCGAAGACGGGGTCGAAAGGAGAGATTTGTAGACGCGGGCACGGTCGCGAAGGTCGTAGGATGTGTCGTAGCGGGTCAAAAGGAGGGTGTAGTTCCAGAGCGCTTCGATGGGATGAGGGTTCTCTTTCTCTGGCAATGGCGCGGGGGGTGACTGCAGTGAGGAATCTAAGTGTGAGTCCCGAAACCCGCCTTCTTCCTGTAAATCATCAAGGATCGAGGTTCTAGATTGTGATGGTGAAATCGATGCTTTTGGTGGGGAAGGTGGGGGGTTCGCGTTCAGGTGGTGTACGTAGACTTTGGCTGCTAGCAGCACGATCTGAAGTTTTGCGGCTTCTGCCTCGTCTGCGAATCCTTTGATGAGGATTCGCAAGACATCTGCAGCAATGTTATTTTCCGGATCCAGACCAGCAAACTCACCCACAAGCCAAATGATACTCGCACGAGCTTGCGGGCTAGTCGCCGCATCCAGATGTTTTGCGAGCCTTATGACTGTCGTTCGGTGGCTATCTGGGTCGCGTTGGATTAGGTGTCGGATGACTTCTAGGGACTCTGCAACCAGATGTGCGTCCGCAGAGCCTATGTGAGCCAGAAGCAGTTTCAAGCACCGTGCTGAGGTTTTTGGGTTTGTAGTTTGAGAACAGCGTCCAATGGCTCGCACAGCCTCCTTGACGAGCCCTGGATCCAGGCTCCCGGAGTGTGAGAAGTGGCTTAATTCGGCGAGAATCAGACTTTGTAGTCGGGGCTGGGCATGTGGAAAGATAAGAGTAAGAAGCTCTAATTTTAGGCGCCATATATGCGGTGCATCTGTCGATCGCACTAGGAAATGGGTATAGTAGTTTACAAAGGGCTTTGGGTGCGAGAGGCAGACCTGAACAACGTTGTAAAGCGCAATATGTTGTATGTCACCAGAAGTGCGCAGAAGCGAAATCAGAGGGCCGATGGCGAGCGAAAGATAATCCGGAGTACCGAGATATAGATACGTTCGCGCCACAGCTATGACAACAGCTGAATTCTTTGATTGCAACAAGGGCAGACACGACTTGAGCAGGAGTTCAAGGTCAGAGTCCAGAACCACGGTTTCTTCCCAGTCGTCAACATCCACCTCTTCGGATTCACTCTCGGTATCGTAGAATCCTTTTGTCCCCCGAGATTTCGTATTGCCGTTATTAGTCAACTTGGCCCTCCTGACCTTCTTCGTTCGCCTAGGAAAACATTTCCGAACATAGACCATCATCAAACGTAAAGTAGCCAACTGCCCCCATTCGTCCATGTCGACAAGTTTGCGGACAAGTGATCGATAATGAGTGTGAATGAGGTCCAAGCGATCTGGACACAAGTCCAAGAATGCGGCGACAGCTGCTCCTGTAACAAAATATTGCTTGTCTCCAAGTAAAGTTGAGAGATAGTCTAGCAGCTGAGGCTCCGTGCTCGGGTCTAGTCTGTAGCATTTCGGTATGGCGAGCGCTGCCGCTCGCCGAACATGCGGAGACATGTCTCCCACGCCTCTCTTGATGCCCAAGCTCACGATCTGACTAATGACTGGCACACGGATACCGGACATGACTCGCAGAGCAAGAGCGCGTAATTGAGGATTTTTGTCGGTAAGCGACTTTTGTATCGTGTTGATGGAAAGCAGGGCGGTGTCTGGCTCGTGTTCAGCATGCTGGAGGAGATATATGTATACCAGCTTCTTGATAGGCAGAGACGGCGAGGCAATATTCTTGATGACGTGGGTGAAGAACGGAAGGGTCTGCGAGGGAGGTTGCCTGTAGGACATCTTGCTCATTGTCAGTTCTTGAGACACATGAGCAGTGGCTGGCTATATCCCCCCAGGTGGTTGTTGACGGGCTGGTGGAGGTAGCGTGGTAAGCTTACCGTCACGACTCTTCGCAAGCCTTCGAGGACATCGCGTTCGGAGCGACTATCGAGGAGTTTCTTAAGCTGGCCCGAGGGCAGCACGCGGGTCGGTCCTCTGCGGGCGTTGCTGGCATCGCGAGCGGCTTCGAGGGTGAGATCGCGAGCTGTGGTGAAAGACCAGTGAGCAAAGTTGGACGGATGCATAGCGCTGTCAAGTTACGGCTCTACATTGGAGAGGGAAGAGAGCAGTATGTTATGTGGTGTACAGGGACGAAGCGTGCAAGGGCATGGCGAGGGCATGACATGGCATGGCATGGGGAGGAGGGCGGAGAGAGGGACGTACCCGTGTCAATGAAATTGGTGATGCGCGAAATGGACTCCATGGCGAAGTGTCTGTGTTACGTCAAGTGCCTTTGAGCCATATGCGCACTTGGAAGCTGGGTGTGCTCCAGAACTCGGTCGATTATGCAGCAGCAGGCAAGGGCGGTGGGGATGGAGGTGCAAATGATGAGAGTTGTGCTTGAGGTGCATTGCGCTTTGGCGGGGGTAAATCGGGGAAGCAGTCCCGAGGCCCGACCTTCGCGAAATGCTACATACAGATACAGCTATGTACTTAAGATACTCTGCGATATGCCCCCTCCCGGTTGATCCAGCCTTCGGCCCGTCAGTCATGGCCAGAGGATTCCCTTCTCCGCCGACCGTCATATATCCTCCGTTGTCCTTGCCGACCTTGCTAAACCGCATCTTGACCCACCAGGCCGGTCCAGCTTTCATCACCACCACGCTTGTAGTCTGTTCAACCCGCCATGCTTTCCTGCAGCGCCTTCTGTCCCATCTCGAGCAACCAGAGGGGGGCGGTCAGAGCGATGAGCAAGGCCGAATAACCCTGGAGCACTTGATCATACCCACCCTACGCAACCTGGCAACAGCGCGACATGTGCATGTCACCTACTGCGCGTCGGTGCAAGCATTGCTCGCTTACTTGTCAACATACAGTGGGGCGGCGGAGGAAGAGGCCGCCAGTCACCCAAGCATGACGAACGAGAGAGTTGTCCTCGTCAATCCTCTTGCATTGCACGCCGGTACCGTGTCATACTCGGCCCAAGGCTTGTCGAGAACGTTCGCAGCCGCCGTGGAAGCGGCCACCAGACTCGACGTTAGTCTTGTGCTTGCAGAGTGCGACCAGATACCAACTACTGGCGAGTCAAGCCAACAAGAAGATGACATGGATGTGATCACGCAAAGAAACGAAGAGCTACCACATACCGACAGCAACGTGCACCTGGTCTCGGATCCATGGGAGCAGGAAGTGTCCGTCTTGAGTGCCTCGATGAATAAATTCGGCTCTGGAAGTGAGCGACCATGGGCGGGACGGACGGTCAAAGTGAAACGGATTGCTGCGAGGTGGTTTGAGTTTCAAGGGTGGAAAGATACAGGCAACCGGGGCGCCCAGAACAGTTGATCATGTTCCCTGTGCAGATGGAAGGTGAAGGAGAACTGAGCACATGTCGCTTCTTTTTCTGAGTCTGAACAAGGTAGGTAATGGAACTTTTTTTCATGTGTTTGTTTCTGACCCGTGGGTTTGTATCATTCAACCATAAACCATAAAAGAGACGTCCAGATGTGAGAGCTTGGTCCGGTAACTTAAAAAGCTTGCCACATGTCGCTTACAATAATCATTTAGATGCCGGCCGTGTGAAACCCCCGAAACGATCCATAGCATTCCAGTCTCTACCAATCCTTCTTGATGTCAAAAGACCACTCGAACTGCAGGTGGGTGTGGTCGTCGTCGTCGACAAACTTGGAGATGGCCTTGTAGTGACCTCGAGCGGCGAATCCAGAGGGTGCGGTCTCGGGCTCGACTAGAGAGAATCCATGTTAGCTCTGCTTGCTGACGGAAGATTTTAGACGTTGGTGAAGAAACATACACTTCTTCTCGTAGGTAGGCTTCTCAGCAGTGTTGGGTCCGTAGGAGCCCTGCATATCATCAGTCAGACATGACATGCTTCGGCATGTAACGAAGAACGCACCATCATCTCCTGCATCTTGTTGCTCAAGCCCATGCGCGAGACCTTTTGGAGGTACTTGAGGCCAGCGAGGATCTCATGTTGCACCTTGAATTCGGCCTTCATGCGGAAGTCGGCGCCTTCCTTGATGGTGAAGGGCTTATCCTTTAGAGCCTCGACAGCACCAGGGGCTCTGAGGTCAATGGTGATATCGGGACGGCCCTCCACCTCCAAACCAAGAGAGAGGATGATGCACTTGCGGGGGTCGTTGGGGTCAGAGAGGTCCTTGCCAGAGCCGAGACCGAGCGACTCCTTCCACTTGCGAAGGGACTCATCGTTTTGATCTGTAGGAGAGAGGGTGGATTGTCAGCTCGGGGGTGGGTGAGAATTGCGAGGTGAAGAGGAGCGCGGACCTAGCTGCTGGTACTCGTCAAGAGTCTTCTTCTCACCGACCTTGAAACCGGCGGTGGTCTCGGCCTGGAGGTCGTCCGCGTGTTCGGCAGACATGGCTGATGGATTGGCTCGAGGGCGAGTAGGCACAGAAGGTACGTGATGGAGGGGGAATTGAGGAGCGAAGAGGAAAGCTGCAGGTGGAGAGGGGTGAGAGATATGGGAGATAGGTACGGGACGATAGGTATGGAGGTTTTGGTCGGGAGAGGGAGCAGTGGGTAGTGGCGGGGCACACAGGAGGCACAGAGACCCTGGACCTCTCACACACGCAACAGCAGCATGGTAGTGGGGTAGTCTGAAGCGGTGAGAATGCGGTTAGCTGGCGCTAATGGCCAGTAGCTGAGGATTGTACCTGAGGCAATTGAAGGATGAATCAATCGTAGGTTGCTAAATGCAGCGCGTGCATGCCAGTCAGTTGCACCGGCTGGAGATACGCCATGGCGCTGCTAATGGACCGTCGTCTGGACTGGCGGAGCAGCGCAGCTATCGACATGCTAGGCAAGTAGTAGGGAGTCTCAGGTGCGGCGCATTATGGAGTAATCAAAGCTCCCCTCCACCCCTCCTTACTTGGGCTGCAAACTAATTGATCCATGGCAAGGTGGCTGGTCTGAGGACCAGTTTCAGCAGAAAAGAGTATACACATGCAAGTCATTGATCTTCCATTGATGTTTGTTGCAGACATCTGGAGTCATGTCTGCATAAAATATGTAGCGTGCAACTTTATGTGTTGGAATGTGCACAACAGCTGATCAGCCGTTTGCTCCCAGGGCCGGCCACGTGACCGGCCTCGCTATTCCCCCTTTGGTGGGCGCGCAACGGAACACGATGCCTCTGCTGCTCTTTGCTGTGCTGGCACCAACTTCGCGGCCAATCGGCACTTTGATGAAAATTGCATGCAGACGGAAACGGAAACCCAAGTCAGACTTTTCCTGCGATCGCTTCAAGGCCGCCTGGTCCGGGGAAAGACGTCTGTTCGCGCCATAGTACATTCAGTCTAGGGGGGCTGGTTGGTCGCCCTCTGGCTTAGTCGTAGTAGTGGTTTACCCACCACTCCCTCGAGTTCGTTCTTATCCCTTGCTGCTCAGTGCTCGCTCTTCGTCCACCTCTCACCCCAGTCGCGTCAAGCATCCCATCCCATCCCATCCGCCTCTGCAAAAGTCGCAGCAACAACCATCACTTCACTGTGCTGCACAGCTGCCGACCTGCCCTGGCTTTGACTTCGCGCTCCGACTAGCGCTCCGAGCACGTCACGGAAACTTCATCTCCCCTCGTCGCCGCCAGCTTCATTCGCGCTGCGCGCATCCCACACCTCCCCGCCTACCGCCTTTAATTTTCTCCTCTATTTAATTCCAAAATGAAGATGGTTACCAAACGCCACCTTCCCGAGAGGTCGAACCCTCTGATCAAGCCCGCCAACTCTCCCGATAGTATGTATCCGCACTGCGCGCATCGCATTGCGATAGAGCCCTGCTGACCATTCTCTCCTGTGCAGTCGAGGTACTTGTGGGCCGTAGACGGTTGGGCCAGACTCATCTCCAGGTAAAGCAGGGCACTGCCGGCCTGGCCGACGCGTCCAAGCAGCAGAACCTCGGCCTCTTCGACTACGCCCATTTGCGCGTACCTTTGCCCAAAGATCTCAGCGGTTCAGGAATCTTCTCCCTGAAAAACGCCAACGGTGGAAGCTATCCAGAGTCATATTTCTTGATGGTACGAGTCGATACGTGATGGGCTTTGCGACGCTTCAGGTGGCTAACGCGCAATACAGAGACGCAGCAGTGACGGTTACATAAGCGCGACGGGCATGTTCAAAGCCGCGTTTCCATGGGCTGAAGCGAAGGAAGAGGAGGCGGAGCGCCACTATCACAAAAACCTGTCATTAGCTGGGCTCGAAGAAATCGCCGGCAGCATTTGGATTGCGCCTGAGGAGGGTATGTGAATCCTGCCGTGACCGCGCTCTAGCGCTGTGTAACCACCGCTGTATCTGGCTAACGCGACTGTGTCTTTGCAGCACTTATTCTCGGCGAACAGTACGGCATGCGCACCTGGATCGAGGCTTTGCTCGACCCCACACCCATCGAGAAAGGTAGCAAAGACAAGGACAATAAAGCCAGCCCACGCATCCAAATGCCGCCCGAGTTCGATACCTCCAAGTTGTCTTCCCCGCCCGTCGTCCTGGCGCCTTCGTCAACTCTTCGGTCGACACGCGCCCGCTCTACGCGCTCAGCTTCCCCCAGCAAGGTCGCGACCACCCCACGCAAGATGGCCACCCCGCGCAAGTCTCGCGCCGCGAGGGCAGCCAAGGCTGGGTCTGTGAGCGCTACCAACCCCGAGGAGCTGCTTGACAGGGCCGCCGCCGACGCCGTCTCCAGCGCTCTCCAGAACAGCATCGAGGACGGCGCCACCCCGGTGGAGTCGATCGCGTCACAATCTGCCAACGGAGATGTCAAGGATCCCGAAACGGTGCGCATCGAGATCAGGGAGACAATTGAAGACACTGGCGACGCCGAAGTCACCAAAACCAACGTAAAGGTCGACGTTCCGGCGGACTACCCAGCGCTTTCCGAGCCCGAAGACCCCGCCAAGATGATCGCAGAGGCAAGGAAGATGGTCGAAGCCGCCAACAAGCTCGAAAACAAGTTCGAAAACACCGTGGTGAAGGCCGAGAAGCGAAAGGCAGATGACGAGATTGAAGCTGGTGGCTCCTCGCTCCAGCGACCGGCCAAATTGGCTAGGACTAAATCTACAGTGGAGCAGAAATTAGCAAAAGAGAAGGTTACTAGGCGAGCTCTCGTCGGCCTGACAGTCATGGCTGCGGTTGGGTACGTACTTTCATTCTCCACAAACACTTTGCTATCGTGACGCCTTTTACTGACTAGACACTCCAGTTCCGCCATTGGCTACCTTTCGGGTCTTGCATAATGGAGCACAGGGCTTCGGTTGTGCCTCTCGAAGCAAACATCTTCTCTTTCCATGTTCAACCTCTCTTTCCATTATGCTGATACCAACAACCCTTTTATTATTCATCATCATACCTCGCCCGGTTCCCAATCTCATCGGTATGCAGGCGGGGAAATGGCGGCTTGGACGGTGGATTCTCTATCATATCGATGTGTTAGTGCTGGATTTACGGCGTTGTTTCTGCTCCTATCTCTTTTGCTATACAATCGTTTCTTCATCCTTCTTATTTCCCTTTTGCCCTCTCCAAGTGCCCTACCGTTGAACAGACACATACACATACACACACACAACCATGAGAAGTATGTGTTCTTCGATCACTTTGCCCCATTACCACTCTCCAAACTTTGAATGGAAGCCTGGAGCACAGATGTAGTAGATTATTTAATTCATCATCCACCAAACCCCACTGTCAGTCTTCTTGTTTATACGTTCTGTAGCCCTTTGCTCTTCTTCCCATACCCAGATTACCCCAATAAATATACGCATGCCTGGCTTTCCGGATGTCTATCTGGACTTGGCGTCCCACTATCTACCAGGATTGATTTAGTATTGAATGCGAGTCTTACAGTCGAATACCCAGAACACCTATTATCATCTCGAGATGGGTCACAACCATAGTCATCCTCCACACCTCCCTCCAACGTCAACACCCAAAACCAACCTTACTCACTACCCTCTTCCCGAGCCAACCTCCCCACCTCCCTAACCGCCTCCTCGAAATCTTCACACGCCACAATCTTCCCCTCCAACCCCACCGCATTCCTCAATATCTCCCTCCCAGCCTCTTCATTCGTGCCCCTCAACCTCACAACCACCGGCTTTTTCACCCCAACGTCTTTGAACGCGAGAATGATGCCTTGGGCAATCATATCGCACAGCGTCAACCCGCCAAAGATATTCACAAAAACGACGGCGACGCGCGGATCCGACAGGATCAAACGAAACGAAGTCGAGATAGTAGCAGCGGTAGCTTTGCCGCCTGTATCCAAAAAGTTGGCCGGGGGTGTTGAAGGCGGGAGACGGAGCGTGAGGACGTCCAACGTGTTCATTGCTAATCCAGCGCCGTTGACGAGCGTTCCTATTAATTTCCCTTGTTCTTCTTTTTCTCCGGGTTGAGAATGAGGTTCCGGGGAAAGTGGAGGTGTCGTTAGAGGGATGTAGACGATTCCCGATTTCTCGGCTTCGAGTTCGGTCGCCGAGACGCTGCTCATGTCACGGAGAGCGTGGAGGTCGGCGTGGCGTCCATTGGATTTGAATGCTGCGTCGTCGAAGAAGAGGTATGGGTCGTGGATGGCTAGATCATCTGTGTCTTCCGGGATCGAGAGGGACAGTGTAGCGGTGATGGCTTCGTTCTCGGTGTAGAGGCGCCAGAGGCTGTGGATGAGTTTGACGGCTTGGGCTTTGGATTTGGGAGGGGCCGCGTCGAGTTGGAGCCAGGAGATGGCGGCGTCGATGGCGGATGGGGTTGGCCCGGTGCGGTAGTCGAAGGGGAAATGGCGAGCGCGGTGGGGGAGTTGGAGGGTTGTGGGTGCGGCGATTATGCTGGGGGAGCGGGCGGAGCGTGCAACGGTGATTCCGAGGAAGTGATTGGAATCGCGGGATTGGGTTTGTGATGGAGTGATGTTGATGTTGTACTTTTGGAGGAGAGAGGTTGTATGAGAGGCTGGGAGATGGAGAGAACGCTGTTGTTGGAAGGCGTTCAAGGGTCTTCTATGGGGAAGAGAACGCGAAGCGGTGTGATAACTGCGGCGTTGTTGAGCTTGTGCTGCTGATAGTTCCTTGAGAGCTGTCAGTGAAAAATGATAGGAGTGGATAGGTATCGCATTTTGAGGCAGCGGAGCTTACAATCTTGTTGATGTTTCGACCGGACTGCTTGAGAATGTCTTTCATTACGCTCCCAAATTTCGCGGGATGATCCACCATTGTTACTCCAGCATCTGCCAATGCTTTGGATTTGGACTCTGCTGTGCCTTCCTTGAGACCAGTCCAGGCGCCTGCGTGTCCCATGACTATATCTGGAGCCACATGAAATCCGCCGATAACAGCTGCTATGGGTCTAGGATAGTCAGCAACAGTCATTCTAATCAAGGTCATTCTCATTAGAGGGGACACAAACTTTGGATTTTTGACTCTCTTTCTGTAGTCTCTGATCCAATCTGCGGCCTCCTCTTCACTCGTCCCGCCCAGTTCACCAACCAAGATGATGGCTTCTGTATCATCATCCGTCTCAAACACCTTCAAGGCATCTACGTGGTTCGTTCCTGCGATCACATCTCCTCCCATACCTATACACAAGCTTTGGCCTAAGCCAGCTCTTGTTAAAGAGCCCACGGTTTCATAAGAGAGCGTGCCTGACTTGGCGACGATACCAATGTGACCAGGTGAAAAGGTTGGAAGGGGTTGAAACCCGATTCTACATCTACCAATGGCCGAAATGATTCCTGGTGCATTCGCACCTACCAGTCTACTTTTTGATTGTGACTGCAGCATGGAATGTATCTGACGTCCACTTGAATTAGCTGCTAAGATAACAATATCGTCCTTCTGCCAATATACTATACGTATATCATCTGAATGATCGACTCACCCTCATAATGTCATGCAACGGGATATGTTCAGCGACTGCAACAATCAACGGTACCTCGGCCTCGATGGCCTCTTCAATGGCTGCAGCCGCTTGATGTGCTGCGACGTATATTCCCGTTGCATGGGGTTTCAACTCTTCCATAGCCTTCCTGACAGAGGGCAGCACCGGCAGCCCGAGATGCTCACCAGAGCCGCCGGGCTTGACACCTCCGACGATATTAGTGCCCCATGCAATCGACTCTTGAGCGTTAGCTGTGGCTTGTTTGCCGGTGAAGCCTTGAAAGATGACGCGTGTGTGGGAGCCGATCTTGAGGTTGTTGATTGTAGAGTCGTAGTTGCTTTTTCTCCGCGAAACTGACAAATGGCGGCTTTGGATTTGAGGGCGAAGGAGGCATTGATAATATCTAGGACGCAATAGGTGTCTGCCCAGCAATCGCGGACTTTGATGGAGCATGATTGATGGTTGGTTATTTATGTCATGTGATGGGGAATGACGACGCCCAACATTCAGTGGGGATCGAGTTGACACGACGCGGAGACGTTTCCTACTACCCCGAGACGGTGAGATATTGAATGTCTAGGAGATGTTGCATGTACAGTGACACATGGGAATAAGAGTTCAGGTGGAGTCAGGGCATATAACCGAAGGAGTGCAAGCAGGCGGTACGTACCGCATGGGACGACTCGAGCAAGTAACCGAACAACCCCTCACATTGACACCAAACCATACCCACAAAGGCAGCGAGCAGGGCCAGTCGTCTGATTTTCCTCGGCAATTGGATTGTGTGGGTGCATACATATATCTTGACATGTATGTAGAGTCATGATGCGACTATCCATGTGATTATGTCATTCTCGATGGAGCGGATACACACACACACACACACACACGTACAAAGTGGATACCATCTCACAGCGTGTAGACACAAAAGCAATGCCTCCCCGATCTGCATCCCACATCTCCTGTTCCTCGTTCCAGCCCTTGCGCTCCCGGCATTTACCCTTGGCCCAAAAATAGAAAGGAAGATCTAGAAGTCCCAAAAACCCACTCCAATAGTGTGGATCCCCCATCACCACAAATGAGCATCCAAGGAGCAAGCCAGCGAGCTGCGCGTCAACAAAGGGGGCATGGATGGAGGGTCCATTGATGATGACGACGACTGTGCTTGCTTGTTGGCCGGTTGGGGGCTTGCCCTTTTTCCCCACAAAACCGCTTTTTCCTTTTGTTCTTTTGGCCGATTGGGTTTGCGACGTTTTGGATGCGGGCTCGTCTCTTCACATTCTTGCAAAGCGCTCCATCCCTGTTGGTCGTCTAGGTTGGCGGCTCTGTGCGCATAAAGTATAAGAAAGAATGATGCGCAGCTGGCAAGCCTCACTTCTGCTCTTCAGAACTGTACTTGTATATATCCCGCCGAGGACTTTGTAGATCGTCTTCACTTGCATCCAGCCTCTGCCTAGTTACGATTGTATTACCAACATCCGGTCGACTGCCGCTGCGCTGCTTCCCAGATTTCCATCAATCGCGCGGGACCTATAAAAGCTACCCCGCAAATTCATCTCCAGCTTTCCCGTCAGCCCCAGGCATCCTTCATTACATACACTTTCATACATCATATATCATATATCAAAGTTTCCACAAACTTTTATTCACACATTTCAACAACGTCAATAACAAGCACCGACAATGGCTCGAGGAACACCTTCGGAAGCAGGTACGATTTCCAGATTGCTAGACTCCAATTCCTTCCAAAAAAGACCTCCACATCTGACATCCACCAGAAGTAGTAGACACGCTCTCACACCTCAAACTCAGCACCACCACCCCAGAAAAGCCAGCCGCAAAACCAAAATCCAAACCCGTCGCCGACTCATGGGACGATGACGCCTCGAGCGGCTCCGAAACCGAAACTGAAGAAGGCTCGTCCTCGCTGCCGTCCTCCGTCTCGCGCTCCAGCACAACAGACAATAATCCTCTATCGCCCGTTTCTAGCACAACTTCGGCCGCAGACATGCCGTGTCCGCCGCCACCCACTCCCGCCAGCCCCGTGTCGTTCGACTACCCCGACAATTCACCGTATCCGGTCATGGGAGCAAGTGATGGGGTGAGAGGAAGGGGTGGCAGCGGGAGTGCGGGAGGGTTCGACAAGAGGCCTGAAAAGACGACAGCGGTGGCAGGGAGGTTGATTGCGGGGGCTTTGGGGGTGAGAGCACCTAAAAGAACAGCAGAGGAGAGGGAGTATGATCGTGTGATGCGGGAAAAGGAACGGAAGAGGAGAGACGAGGAAAGGAATAGGGAAAAGGCGGAACAGCAGGCTGCCGAAGAGCGGAAGAGATCTATCTGGGAGGATTAAGCAGTCCTCTCTCCACCCCAAAACTTGTAAAGCAGAGTTGCCAGGGCAAATTTTCCTTTGCGAAAAGACGTGTTAGGTGTGATCACTTGGTTGATGCCGGAGACAGAATGCGTTGTCCCATGCAGGGAGAAAAGCGCAACTACTGAGTTCCTTCATGCTTCCGAGATCAGATTCAGAGCATCTATTGATCTCGATCATCACACATCAAAATCAGAAGCCCCGAGGTATTCAGCAGAAGATAAAACACAAAAAGACAAAAAAACTTCACGTATACAAACTTGAAAGGTTGTGCCGAGCCAAGATACCGTGAAAAACATTATGTCGCATGCGAGCATTAGACAGAGGGTGAATGCTGCCCACACCCGACCCTATCCGGATTGATCCTAACTACATTGAAGTAGAGGACGACGCATCGTCGCTCGCCAATGACGCCGTGAAGCCCGCAATAATTGGAAACCCCCCCAGTTCGACCCGAAGAAAAACCGCTGCCCTCGCCGCACGCATGCCTAAGAAAAAGAGAAAGCATTTCCGTGTATGTAATCGCCGTTTCATTGAAGTCGTAGATTAAGGAAATCGGAATTGAAGAAAGGCTACAGGCCGTGTGGATTCCCGCTTTCTTTCACGAGCTGCCCAGAACCCCCACTCAGTATTCCCATTTGGTGGTCGGACTAGCAGCCTCCGATCTGCTCTTGGTGCACCTCCAACGTGTCGCCGTCCGCCATGTCAAGCTGTGAAGAGTCGCGTCAGCATCAGATGGAAATATATACCTTGACATCATCCAAGGATGGATGGGAAATACATACTGTTTCGGGGTTGTCCGTTGGCTGCACGCGCTGGCCGTCGAATAGGAAGCGGACGCTGGAGATACTCTTGCCTTGGCGATCGCAGAAGGCGTTCATCAACTTCTCGAGCTTGGTGGTGCGCTTAATCTTGAAGAAGACTTCGTTGTTGTTGTCCGTGACCTTGATATTGAGGTGCTCAGAGGGGCCATCCTCGGTCCTCTGTTGTTGGGGCGATCCGTTGTCAGACATGGTGTATGTCGGTACAGGTTTTGAGGGCTTGTTTTCCGAGGTGAGGAGGGCCGGAGCTGGAGTTCGTTTAGATGTGCGCGGTATACTATTCGTGGGCGGAGCAGGACGTACCTATAGCCGCGCAGGTATGGGTATGTGGTTGACAAGTGCGTGTGAAAGTGACGGTTGTCGGAGTCTGAGGCGCGGGGGTGTAGGTGAGAGAGCAGGCGGCGGGTGGCGGCGGTGTGCTTTTTAGTAACGGCGGCAAGAAGAGAGAGGAAGCAAAGAGAAAGAAGAAGCTAGATTGTGTGGGCAGCGAGAGGACGTGAGGTCGAGCTGTGGCTAGTGGGGTCGCAACCGCACAAGCAGTCCTGATCATTCGACAGGCGCCCGGCCATGCTCATTCGTGTCCATTACTCTCTTTCACTGCCGCATAGCCTACAGCCTTGTCATTTCTCTTTCTGTATTGCCTACAACAATCTACTCAAGTACCCAACACTACGGACAGTGCAATTGGAGTGGCGCCGACTGTCCACGTGACGTAATGGTGCGTTCCAACATTTGAACATTTGACCCTTTGAATCCGAAAATTCGACGTCTTTGAAGGCATTCTTCTGTTCAAAGACAGCTAACATCCATCGAGGGTGCAAAGGAAGACATCCAAACAGACCCTCCTTGTCATCCCAAGGCTTGTGCGATCCAAGGTGCGCCGCAACCGTCACATGCAGTCTTCTTGACCGCCTACATTTGCATTTGCTGAATGCAATGGTAGACTGTTTGCAGAAACATAATTATCAAGAGAACAAGTGCAGAAAAGAAGTAGGTCATGTTACATGGACAGAGCTTGCATACATGTATGTGGCCTGCAACTGACCACCTGGGCATGCAGGTCGACGCGCTTTACGAATGCTGCAACGCCTTTTACCAAGCCAAAGGTGAAGATGCGAGCACTGTGAGCTGCCCGAAATACTCGCTCCTCAAGTACGTTTGCATCTCGCTCTATGATTGATCAAGTGTGCTTGCTGACAGACAAAGGCTGAAGATGAAGCAACGGAGTCAAGGGCTTTGATGCAATAGAAAACGATCTCGTAGAAACAAAATTAGAGCAGTTGGTTAGATGAAAATGTAATGCTACCTCTATTTCTGCACCTTCACTCCTCCGAAGAAGTCCAGGCAGTCACCAGGTAGGATATCGCTCTAAGACGGTCGTGAGCACGCAAGGAGGCCTCATGGACCTGTTCAAAAACTGAGCTGTTTGAACCGAGACTCTAATGACTGCCTATAGACATTGAAGAGAAAAAGAAGAGCGGAGCGCTGAAACCGAGAGAATTTTATACACCCGTCAGGCGAGAACGCGCTAGCGACCGAGCTTGGACCCGGAGAAACCTTTCTCGCGACAACCCTCGACGGCCGACGGAACAACAAAACAACACCAACAACGACCCACCCCCACCCGCAGCCCTTCCATCCCCGTCTTCAATTCTGGTCGCTTAGCTGCTACCCAGAACCTAGAGAGCTCATTGTCGCGAAAAAATGGACTCTCTGTTCGCGCCGCGGCGCTCCGCAAGCAACTTCAGGTCCCAGTTCCTTGGAGCTTCGCGGACACCCGCCTCCCACGCGCATACGAATGATCCTCTTCAGCCCTTGAGAACCATGGCCGATCGCGTAGGAAAAGAGGTGGAGAAGTTCGCCGAAAGAGTTGATCATTGGCATATTCATGGAAATGAAGATGCAAAGACATCACATCAGACAACGGTTAAGATGGTGGGGAAATTCAGAGATCTGGCCAAGTCTACAGTCGACGAGCTCAAGAAGCAACACGATAGTGAGCATAGAGGAGAGCTCGACAAGAGCGTACGCCGGCGCATTCATAACATGGCTCCGAATGCCGATGTAGGCAATGCAGATTTAGCTGGCCGCTTTTCCCAGTCCATCGTATCCTCCGTCGAACCTGGCGCCACACCCGCAACCTCCAGTATGCAAGAGCTGCGACAGTGGCAGGCTGAGCTTGCCACCTGGGAACTTGTACATGTCATCATCGACCATTACCATCCCGAACCGGGAACGGACGTAGCGGCACAAAAAGCATCTCGATTAGCACAGGTCGGGGGTGATCACTCGTATAGCCCGAAAGAGGAGATCTGGAACAGATACATAATAGCAGATGATGCGGCGCGAGAGAAGAAGGTTATCCTCAAGTGGCTTCAGGAAACGGCTAGGAACACTGAAAGCGATATTGACACTATTGTCACTCAATGGGGACAGCTGTCGGGCAAAGATACCAAAACGTGGACAAGCGGCTGGCTGGACACCAAAGCTAAGATAAAACAAGCAAAGCGAATGCAGGGCTCCGATAAGCCATTGCCAGAGGACTACCACTTGGCCAGCAGCAGTGGGCACCGGCCGTTGGTTACTCGGCTGGATCCTGATGCGCCTATAAAGCAAAACCGGGCACTCGAAGAGTCAGACGAATACTATGAGAATGCGCTCTGGATGGTGTGTTATGAAATGCTACGCCGAGGTGATTCTTGGGAAAAAATTAGCGATTGGTGCAAGGAGAGGAACGAAGCATGGCGTGGTGTGAGCTTGGGTGTTGCGCACGACTTTCAACCTGACGGCGGGCCCAACATGTCCGGAAATGACCTCGGATTTTTCTTTCGTCGAGTATGCGTATATGCAGCCCGTGGCGCACGAATTCCTTACGAAGGAGCCGTATACGCTTTGCTCGGCGGGGACGTCAGCAAAATCCACGCCGCCTGTCGGTCGTGGGATGATCACCTCTACGCACATTACAACGCTCTTTTACTAGCTCGATTTGATGGCTTTGTTCATAGCGACCCGTCTCGGGTGAACCCGGACGGTGCCAGAAATTTCGTCTTCGTGGACGAAACTACTAATTATACCAACTGGGATACCACAAACAAGGCGGTGATAGAGAAACTTTTGGAAAATGCAGCAACTTCGTCTCAGGCCAAGGCCCCAATGAAGCTGATTCAGGGAGCTTTGATCAGTCAAAACCTTGACAATCTGATGTATAAGGCCGGTGTAGCGGTGGCCGACTTGCAGCAGAACGATGAACGCCTCAACACACTTATGCTCGACCCCGATTCCGATTGGGACCATCCTGAGCCTAAAATGGCCACCGACCAGCGACGCGTTGTGGCTGGGGCTCATTACCAAGCCCTCGTGAAAGATCCTCATGCGCTCCGCATCTTGGTCCACATCTTCATCGCTCTCTATGGGGGACTCGGTGTGATTGAGATTGACAGCAATGCCAAGTTGTATGCGATGAACAACGTTCTTACGTACTACATCGAATTTCTCCGAGTCACCAAGCGCCTCCAGCTGATCCCATTGTATGCCGCCCAGCTCGGCGAGTACCGATCTGCCCATTGTATGGCACGTGTTTTGCCAGATATCAAGAACAACGAAGAGCAGAAGCGCTGCATGGACCTTATGAACCAGTACCGGATAAAACATCTCGAGGTTGTCAACGAGAGTTTTGTTCTACAACTTAAAGCCACGGGCTATGTCGACGAGAGGAGTTATACAACGGTCAATCCCATCCAGCGATTCATGTTTCTTGAACAGTGGACGAAGCAAGATGCTTTCCTGTGGCCTGGGGTGCGAATCAAGGGTGATATTTCTGGATTGGAGATTTCTTCCCAAGATGAAGCGGTAATTGAGAGCCTCATGTGGTACAACCATATCGAGAAGGATTTTGAATGCACTTTCCGAGATCTATATACGGCTCTTGAAACATTCCTGCGTAAGTTTGCCCCTGGCCGTCGTAAAATGATATGAGTACTGACGACACAGTCAACGGCCGTATCGGTGCCGCCGAAAAATTGGCCACCGAAATGAGTGTGGAGGCTATCTCTCTTACCAAAACACTGGCTGTCTGCGGCTATGCTTTCGACTTTACGGCACCCGAGGCGGAGGAGCAGGACGAGCAACAAGCCATGGAGATGATGAACACCTCTCTCCGTAGTTCGGGTAATGGTTCCATCCGGCCCTCCGGCATACCCAACAAGCAAGAGCACAAGCGTCATGTGCTCGAGCTACGCACAGCTAGCGAAAAGTACGGAAATCTGTGCCAGCTTGTCCGCGTTATCACACTACTCCGCGAATGGCGCGTGGAGGAAGAGAATCTCATACAGTCAGTCACAATTCCTAACGTTCCGAGATTCTGGAGTAATAAGCATCAAAAACTAACTGGCCACGGCACGACTAGACAACGGGGTACAGATGCCAAGATCTCAACGAAGAACATCAAACAACTGTCTGCGACGATTGAGTCCTCCTTCGAGGACGTATTCAACCCGAAATTCGATCCTACGGACAACGTCGAGATATGGAAGCTGTACAAGGCGTACGTGCCCGAACTGACAATTGCATTCTTGACGGTGGTGCAGTCGGGTGCATTCTTCATCCACAGGGACACAGCCACGAAGGCCATGGACGTGGCAACGATCGTGGCAGATAGTGACAAGGAATGGCTGCAGAAGGTGTTTTTAGAAACGGGCCGGATGAAAGATTTGGTCACCGTCTTGGCCAATGTGAGCAAGGCGATGTTGAAGCTCGGCGAGCATGCGGATGGGAAGACGATGGCGAAGAAGAGGGACTCCAAGGGGCAAACTCTTCGCATCTGGGATTTGACGGCGAGGAATTGAATAGACAGGCGATGTTGGACTCAATTGAGCTCAGGTGTCTGGTGTACGAATAGGGACAACTAGTGGATTGCTCGTTTTGTTTGCAGGTCAGCATCCCAGGGTTGCCGGTCAGATGATATTGTTGAGCGCATGAATTAGTTATATTTACCCGTCAGCATGAAGTAATTGACAATGGATTGCTGGGTTTGACATTGTTTGCTGTGAAGAGAAGCCATGCCGTATTTTTTTTTTCTCTTCTTGTGCAATCGGCTATTCTCGTTCCAATGTTTCCATTCGCCTTGGTGCTCATGATACATGGCGTTACCTAGTCAGTGGCCATGCACATGACTTTAAGCGTCAAACGTGTCTCTACCGGGAAGCGTTTCGCATGCCAAGCATGCCGTGGCAGAGTGGGGGTTGAGCGTGTTTAGAGCCCAGTCGGTCAGGTTGTTCTGGACCGTGTACCCGAGTGTGTGCTAGAAGTGGATTCCACTGCGTATCACCTGTGGAAGATATATTTACATTGATATTTGCAGGTGGACAGCACGAGCAATGGCGATGGTGCGACAGGCACTGCACACCAACATGGCCCCTTAGTCAGCAGCCAATTTGGACTCCTTTCAACAAGGCTGCAATCTGGCAGGACATCCGGGAGGGGGCTAGGACCAGAAGAGTGCAGCCGGATTAAACGCCCAATATGCGGAGTGCATGTGCATGCGTGTATGCATGCAATCCACTCATCCAAGAAGAAAAAAGAAGACGAAGAAGAAGGAGGTGCATGGATTGACCGATGCGCAATCCAATGAAGGGGCCAGCGCAGCGGGAGGGGATGGCGGATGGTGATCTGTCTTGCCAATGTCGCGCAGGATCATAGCCATGATGGCCATCCATTACGAATTCTGCATCAATAAACCGGTGTCGCTCGTCGTTGCTCTTGGCTCACCATCCAGCGCAATAGCGGCACAGTCCCGACATGTTTCGCAAGCACTTCACGGGACGCGTGGAGGACGAGGTGGAGTGGACGGCCAGATCAAATTATCCACTGTGATAGGCACAGGCTACGTCGGACGTTTCGAATCTTGCCCGGAGTTCGGGTGGAAGCTGTCAGTTTAGTCAGTCAGGGACAGGTCCCATCGTATTCAGTATTAGAGTTGGGCATCCCACCCCTCATGTTCCAGCCCTCCCAATCCAATCTCACTCCTTCTGGACGGTTGTCGACATCTCACTCTCTTCACCACGGCCAATTGACCTCGGCGCCATCTCCAACGAGGAAGCCGACGCCTCCTATGTCGATCCAGGGTCTGCCTGCACTGTGCAATCCTTCCATCCGCTAGCCTCGACTCCCAAGTTCCCACAAGATCGGCACTATTCCCCATCGTCATCTCCCAAGTCTCCCCCAGTACCGTTCCATTGCCGCATGAGTGTCATCACTTCTTTCCCCCACCGCAGCTTTGGGTCGGGAGGCAGTCGCCGCGATCCACTTGACGCCTTCCATTCCAATTACTCGCTGCTTGGTTGACTCTTGCCCAACCTCATCGCTCCTGCTGCTGCGCCGGATTGCAAGTACGAAGGGAGATGGACCCTCCATCTGCGACTTCCAACCTGCGTGAACGTCCTCGTCCTCGACAAGCCACATCCTGACGCGCTTGGAACCCCTCGAGGCCCCTCAACCTTTCCATCCCCTTCCGCCCATCGTGCCAGGCATCTTAGAATACTTGGTGATTGTCCCTTGTTCACCGTTCCTCCCCGCAATTCCAGCCCGCCTTCGCTCCCACTCCTATCAACACCATGGCTTGGTTCATGAGGGGCGTACAGTCGGCCGTCTTCCACTACATATCATGCGCGCCATGCCACGGCTACTCCGATCGGAAGCAGAAGCGCAAGCATGCCAAAGAGGCACGCCAAGTCAGAATGAAGATGCAATTGGAACGCCCGGAACTGTACCATCATCCGGAACCCACGGGTACCAATCCTTACTGGCAAGAAGAGATCACCATGGGCCCTGGTCCCCCGCCACGCCGTGCTCGACGTACAAACACCAGCAGTACGCGCGGCATCACTTCTGCGGGTACGCAAAGTTCCGCCGTGAGCCAGGGGGGCAACAGCATAGATGCCGGCCCATATCCCGAACTGCGGTTGAGTGATGACACTCTCAACGAAGACGATGAGAAGTGGAACCACAAGCGCTACCAGCGGGAGGATGAGGATCTATGGGGCTCCGAACCAGTGGTACCTGTCCAGTCTGCCTTGTCCGGTTCATCCGTCGGTGTAACTGGCCTCACACGACCAACTCCATCTCGATCAGAAAGTCACTGTTCGGTTCGAGCACCTCCGGTAAACGACCTACATCCTCCCATTGTCAGCCTGCCGTCACCGCGCCCGACAGACAATCGCTGGATGTTGCAACCCCCTCCCAAAGCCGCAGTCATGAGTGGCAAGGAGCGAGCAACCAACCGAAGCCGAAGTGGTAGCGGGGCAAGCAGCCGCGTGGAATTGAGTCTCCAGCGGCAAGTGAGCGTTCGTCAAGCGAAGAACAAACTCAACCACGGAGAGTCTCCGAGGTCCATATCCCGAGGAAGCTCCTACAGCAATCTACTCTCAGGTCAGCGCCATGATAGACCGATAACGCCCCAAACACGACCCATCTCAGCAGCCAGCTCACGTAGAAAGCGCCGCGACACAACCATGGCTAAGACCGAGCCTGGCGAGCATTCTTCCTACGATTCAAGTGATAACTCCATATACCCCACATCCCTATCCCGATCTCAAACTGGACCCCCTACTTCTAAATCTCTGGGCGTCCGCATCAGCCGCCAACAGCTTTCTACCGTGGTATCCAGCGGTTCCGGAAACCCCTCCACCCCCTCGCCTACCACCATCAGCTTCGCCGCCGCTGCCGAGAACGACGACGCATCCTCCAAGAAACCGTTCCCCCGTGCCCAGCGTCCAAGCTACACCTCCGCGGTCTCCTCCGATGCCCTCGTTCCGTCCTCCACTAAGCGCCGCGGTGCCGGTGCTACTATTGCCAACCGCAACCCGTCTTCCGACAAAAACTCCCTTACCTCGCTGCAAAACCTCGTCGAGCCCGATGCGTTACTGAATACCCGTTTCGTCTCCGCGCCCCTCCTCGAAGCTAAGATCAAACTCCCACCGTCCGATCAAGATGAGGAGAAGAACCTGGGACGTGCCGTGTTTGCGGGTAACGGATTGAAAATCGGAACCCACGGCAAGATGTGGGGCGCTGAGATGGTCGATGGCGCCGAAGTTAGGGTTCCGTTTGATCGCTCCGACAGCTCTTCAGAAGCGCCAAGGGATCCTAGTATGAGGTGGTCTGTCGACTTTTGAGTATAAGCTGTGACTTGGATAATGAAGTTTTTCCGGACTCTGGGGCTTTGGGATGGGGTGTTCTGCCTTTGTGTTTTTGTTTATGGAAATGGAAATGGTGTTTATTTGGATAAAAATGGTGGGTCTTTGAGCGTTGTTGTTTTGATTACTTGCCCCTCGTTTTTTTTGGGGGGGGGGAGTTTTGTGTGCTTCCCTCATACTTCGCGGAGTTGCATATGTTTATGTCATATCACAATGCGTGTAGGTGGGTGGCATGCCTACATGTACGACACTGAGCTTCGTCGCTCCTTTTTTTTTTCTCGTTTTTGCTTGCTTGTCCCGTTGTTTGTTTACTGAGCGTGTCTTGTTTCTCCTGCTCTCCATCTTCTCGCCTTGCTGACGCCTTTTCTTTCTTCGTTCAGTTTGGCATTTTGCAGCGATTTTTCTTTTCCTCTTACCATCAGTTCCCCGTGGAGCTATAAGCTCTTACACGTATGAGCCAGTTCACCGAATGAAGCCGTAACTGTGAATGTTCATCTATATAAAAACTTGTGGGTGAGATGGGGTTGTGTGAATAGTTGAATGATGAAAAAATTATAGTATAAAACTCTCTTCAGTTAAAGTTGAGGTGGCTACATGACTGTTCTAATTTCTTGCTCGAATATGATGCAAAGATTTGTGGCTTGATTTGCATATTGACATTCTCCTTCAACATTGGAAAGCGTGACGGGACAGTGAGATAAGCAATCGTGCATTGCTTGGTAACTTCGATGTTGTCCTTCTGTTCGGGTCCCAGGGATATTATCGCAAGGAAAGAGCAGAACAGATGTATATGTCATGAAGCGATTGAGGATAATTTTTGATTGATCATTAGATACGTACCTATGTGCGCAAAAAAGACTAGATATGACATGCTGCTACTATCCACACTAAATCAACAACCAAAGTCCAATTGAACCCATCCAAAACGCCCTTAAGACACCTACCCAGAGAGAGAAAAAAATCAAAGTTTCGCAATAGGTCCCTCCGACGAAGGAGCAGAAGAGCCCAGCCCTCTCCACGCCACACTGTTCCCCCTAGCCCGACTCGCCTTCAAAAGCGCACCCCTCCTCTGCTCCTCCTCATCCGCAGCCGTCCCATCTTTAGCCCTCACAACTGCGTCGCCCTCCCACAGCTCAGAACCAACGCGATCCGCAAGGCTCAAAACGCGACTCTTGACGGTCGCACCATCGCGGCGGTTCTTGCCTTCCCTCCTGCTGCCGCTGATGCGCTCCGCGAACGTCCAGAGGAGACCTTTTGCTTCGATGGAAGTTGCATTAGAGCCATTGGCAGGGGCAGAACGCGTCGGGATCCACGCATCAGCGAGACGGATCGACGAAGGGATTTTCGAATCGCGGGATCGCGAAACGAGGATCATGCCTTCCTCTTCGAAACGCGTGTATGTATTTTTGAGCGTTTCCTTGTTGACGGCTTCGAAGTAGGAAAGGTCGCCTTGGTGGTAGAGCGTTTTGCCCAGGAGTTGGGCGCGGTCCTGCACTTTTTTGAGGTCGAGCCAGGGGATTTCAGGGGTAGTGGACGTGGTGGAAGGCTGCGAGGGGGGAGTTAGCATCACGAGAGATATGGCGCCGAGCCAGGCGGCTTCGATGAAGGGCCAGATGAGGAAGCAGTAGAAGTCGAAACTCTCGCGGCCGGAAGAGCGCTCGGCACTGCTAAGCTCGACGGTGGAGACAATGGATGGGTTTGTAGGGTCACGTGTGACAGTGATAACGCCGTCGGATTCAAGGGAGGTAATGGTTTGGGCGAGGTTGTGCTCAAGGCCTTCGGTTGGGAAGATAAATTCTCCACGGAAGAGTTGGGAGAGGAAGTGGACTTGATCGCGGAGGTCGGAATAGGTTATGCGTTGGTATTCGGGACCGCCGCCGAGTTTCACACGCGTGTAGAGTGCGGTGCTGACAAGGGAGTGAAGGATGAAGAGGTGGATAGTCATGTTGCGGTAGAAGGAGAGCTGGAATCTGTGGTCGAATATGATAAGCATGTGTCGTGTAAACGAGTGACAAATGTGCAACGGATATGCTCACCTGTCTACAGCATAGTAAGTGTCTTCCGGCAGCCCGCCGACCAGTCCCACCAGGCCTGGTCCAAGTACTTCAAGAGCTCTGTCAACGACGACACTTGTCGGTAGTCCAGCAAAATGTGCGACTCTGCCTGAATGTATGGGTTTATAGTTAGTATAGTTCAAGCAGGAATGCTTTGATGTATGATTAGCGTTGTAAAACGTACCTCCCTGTGCCTTAATACGCTCACTTAGCCATTCGACTCGTCGTATCAATTCAGACTTCCCTACACCTCGCCCTCTGAGGGTTAACAAGACGGTGCCAACTAGTGCGGTGGGCATAATGACAGAGACATCATTGATATCGGAAAGAACTTTATATCCCAGTGTCCTCAATATCCGTATACGTTCATCCTTCAAATCCAGCCGCTTCGGTAGCCTGCTGAAGCGATCATGTTGCGCGTCAATAAATTTCCTTATCGACCAAGGCTCATGGAACCGCACGTCAACCCTTCCAAGCTTTAACGATAAGACCGAGGATGCAGAGAGAAAATCTTTAAGATTCTCCTTCGGTTTTGGCTGGCCAAGTAGTTCGCTGATATACGAATCCACTTCAATGACCTTGTCATATTGCATGGAAACTGGGCATATGATGGCATCCTCCACTCTTCCACTAGCCACACTATCCAGCATGTAGCTTAATATGCCAAACTTCGGTGGCAACATCTTCCCTGTACGGCTCCTGCCTCCTTCTACGAAACATTTGAGGTTATAGCCGTTCTGCATTAAGGTATCGATATAAGCCTGGACCAGCGTAGAATAGAGTTGGTCGTCCCCGAAGCTCCGTCGAATCCACATAGCACCGGCATGCTGTAAAAATGAGCCCATCAGTGGGAAATTCAGATTGTCACCTGCGATGATGGTCGGTAGCGCGAGTCCAATGCGAAAGCAAATGATTTGGAGTGAAACGTAATCGACATGGGAACGATGGCACGGCAAGAAGATAATTGACTGTTTCTTCTTCTCGGCTTCCTTGGCTACCTCGCGGAGTCTGAGAACTTCTTCGCTCGAAACGTGAACGCCTTGATGATATGCGCGCGTCAAGAGTTGAGTAGCCAGGTAGTATGCGCCGCGGATGAAGCGATTGCTCTCCATCTTACATATCATGTTGTCTGTCATGGTATCGCAGACTTCCATGAGTGATTCTTCAATGTGTATGCGCCTCTTCCTCTTTTTGTCTCCCTTGCCATGACCTCTCCCTTCTCCACCATTCATGATTTCGTCGCCCAATAGCCCCTCCTTCGCTTCTACTTGAACTCGCTTCTCGGCCAATTCCCGAACTTTTGTCACCAGCATGGGATTGCTGAGCACCCGGGCTTTCATTTCTTCACTGAAACCGGGGTAGAACATAGGCTGTCCGATGAAGTCATCATATGAGCGCCATCCTGTGCCCGAGACATGGAGGGAGATCTCGCGTATGAAGTCGAGAGGCGAAGAGCGGAAACGCGCGAAGCTGGAGACCAGGCCACGCTCGGGCGCATCGTAACCTGCGGTATGGAGGTAGACTTGATCATCAGCAGTGATACTGAGATCTGGTGCTTGTTCAGAGGTAGAGGAATCCCGGCGCGTAGAGGTCGAAGAAGAGGAGGAGGAGGAAGGCATGGCGAGGAGGTCAGTCGGACCTGGGAAACCGAGTAGAGAGAAAGGTGTTATCGTAGTACCGGTGCAGGAATTGGGACACGTTCATGAGGATTGCGCAGTACAATGCGGGTCGCATATACGAGTCTCTGTATCGTCAATATGCGTAGACTACAATTGCACATGAAGGACAGCTGTGCGGGCGCATGACGAAGGGATGTCATGACTAGCATATATCCCCATCCGAGCTTTGAAGTTCCCGCCTCTGCCCGTGTTGCCGAGGCAGGGTTCAAGTCAGTAGGGCGCGGACGCGTAAACACTTGTGGCGCCTCTGACAATATGTATTGAATAAATCTACAAATAAATCTCTATGCAAGTAATAATAATACCAAAGATGAGTTGATTCGGGTTTTTAGACCTTGGCCCCCATTCAGAAAAAAATAATGTGGAAATCAGAAACCCCGCTCTATAGGTAAACACCCACCCATTCTTGCAATACATAAAATACAGATCAGAAAAGAAGGAAACCCCACAATCCATTCTTTGTCGTGAACGCATATGAACGCCAATCATGCCATCCCCACCCCAGCCTAGGAGCACATCATGCCATCAAGTGCGCGAGAGCAAAACCAAAGACTAACTGAAAAGAAAACCAGCTCACTTGTCCCCAATATCATACCGAATGTTGCGCCTATTTCTAGCGAAGAAGACAGTGACCGCCGCCGTGATGAAAATGATCCAGGCGATTATTCGTACGACGAGCCACGCAAGCTCTGATGTGTGAGGAGGTGCACTTGTAGCGAAGTCAGACGCTGTGACTAAACGAGTGAACTTAGTCTTGCTCCCTTTCGTACCCTACTGGTCGCTCCATGTCCATGACTTCGTAGTACTTGTCGGTACCTGGAAACATGATTAGTATTTTCGGTGGGCAATGGGCAATGGGGAAACCTACAGCTGTATCCTTTCCAGTCGAAGTTGTCCTCTGATTGGCAAGTGCATTTATGGTCAAGGCGGAACTGTTCGCCTGTTGGGCAGTGGGTAAAGGGTACGTGAGTATAAGCGATGTCGTTGAAGAAATGAATCTGATCCTTCTTGAGGAAGAGAGCAGCAGCAATCGAATGCACGGGCGCGTCACCCCAGCGCTCGTAGAAGAAACCGCCAGCTTGATCGAGAGCTTCAAAGAAATCAAGGTACGGCTTAGAGCGGAGCCAGTTCAGGTTACCGATTTCGAAGTTGGACCAGAAATGGCAGTTGTTGTACGTCTCGCCGTTGTCGTCACTGATCCATGCCATAGAGTTGTCTTCGGAAACGTACTGGGGGTGCGTCTTAGTGAAGTTCTTGACGGTGCTCCAGAGCGTTGGGATTGTTGCTTCGTATTCGTGCAAGCTGATAGTGAAACTGTACGTTTTCTTCTTATCGGCCATGAATTTGAATGGGTCGTAGCTGATGTCACAGTGGAAGGAAACACTGGGCTCTACACGCCAGTACCATTCGTAATCCAAGAGCAATTTGTGGCGGAAGAAGAAGCCAGATTCGTAGCGGCACATGTGTCGGTACGAGATGGAGTCGCCGTAGATGATCTGCGCTTCCTTCATCTCCTCACGAACCTTGGCAGCTCTGTCCTGATCAATGAAATCGGGGAAAGACCAGTGTTCCTTGGGAATCAGACCATATTTCGTTTTTCCAGAGACAATTGCGGTAGTGGTCCGCTTGAATTCGTCGCTGAACTCCTTGTCGTTGAGGAAAACCCAGTCGTAGTTGTAGTTGCGGTTGAATCGGTCCTCGACACTGCGGATGGATTTGATGATTTCCCATAGATCCTCGTTACGAGCCAGTGTGACAAAGGTAGCATTCATGCGATCGCCAGAAGCAGTGGCGGGAGACAGACTGGAGTGAGGGTTGGGAGTGGTGGGAGGGGTTGCGGGCTTGAGCGCATCCTGGGCAGCCGCGGAGGGTTGCGAGGCCTTTACATCCTCCGTCTTTGGCTTGGACGTGGGCCAGTGTGCCGTGGGTACAGACGAGGACGACGAGATGAAGAGGAGAAGGACTAGACACTGCGAGAATGAGCTGGGGTCAAGACTGCGAACGGGGCGAGCTGGCTTACCACTAGGGCAAATACGATGTAGCGAAGGTAGCGCTGCTGGCCGGCCATGGTTGGTGGTTACGCCCTGCTTCTGGGACGATTGTGATGTGCTGTGCCGTAGGTAGGATGGGAGACGAGGATGAAGTCGGGTTTGGCGGCGCGACGACGGGGGAGGGACGCGCTAACTGGAGGCAACGTGGTGTGAAAGTGCAAAGGAGAGGAGGTGACACAATGGACACGAGGAATTGGAGACAGAGCGCACTACTTGTGCAGCATTTCAGTGGGAAGTCGGAGGAAGGGGGAAAGGACAAAATGTTGAAATACCAAGTAGGGGGGGGGAATGCTCTAACCCGAGAGTGGTAACAGAGAGTGGCGTAGGGCAGCCGTGTGTCCGTGAAATGTCGAGGGCGGGAGCTTGGCGGTAAGCTGACGGCATAAAGAGTAATCTGTCACTGAGGTCTTCGGGGTTTATTTTCATCGGGTTGGTTAGCACGAGATTGAGATTTGATGCTTGCTGACAGTGGAGGGCGCCGTTTGGTTCTTAATTGTCCGTCCGCCGTCTATACGCGCGAGACTGGTAGGGGGCTCAACAAGACGTGGTGGTATACGCAAGCGCATACACAGTAAAGCGTACATACATCCTATAGTAAGTACATACCAAGCAAGTACCTATATACTTATATATAGAATGGCAGGGTTCGGTAAAGGATCTTTCTGTGAGAACAAGTCTTGACCGACAGTCTTATGTGATGTTTGCTGGGGGCTTCCCGAGCGCATAATATGTATGCTTCTAGATATCACCGATCCCAAGTCTGTTCAGGGGAATGGATGGGAATCGTTTCATCTCATGTGCTGTGAACATTTGAAGGCGCGGTACTGCACTGTACTGTACTGCAGACAGGCTGGCTGGCTGGCGGGCGGACGGGCTCTGGTGGGAGGTGGAATGCCGCGGAACTTGCCGCGTTCCCCCTCAACTCACTCCAACAACACACGTACTGTACATGGAACAACAACAACAGCAACCCTAATCTATCCATCTTCAAACGCAAGACGGTAGTTGCAATCATCAATCCTGCGCTGTTCATCGTCGCATTTTTGCGTTCTGGCGCAAGCCATCATATCTGTCTTCGGCCAGAATCCACAGCTCGGTTGCGCCATTGACCCCCCTCGCTCGATGCGTCCGCCGCCCTGTGCTTTTGCTTTTACCTTCACTTTTTGTTGCACGTCACCACCATTCACACGCCTCTAGCAACACCCCCTCCGCCCCCCTCACTGCTGTTCTCTAATCCACCCACTTGCCTGGTCATCCGGGGCCCTGTCGACCCACCATGTCTTTCTTCGGCTTTGACACCAACCTCCCCAGGGACAAAGGCCACTCCACCAATGCCCCAGGTTTTGGCCACCACGATGCCTTTGCTGGTCTAGGCGGAGGCGTCGATGGCGATGCGTACGTTTCACCTGTCACCATACCTACCCAAGCTCCTGCTGATAGCAACATGTAGTATTGATTTCGAAGAAACCTACGATGGACTGGGCGAGCAGCTCGATGAGACCAACGATGCATTCAACGACGATACCTTCGGCGGTCCTACCTCTCAACAGGGCGTGGGCAAGGACTTTGACTTCGCTGGCGAGACCTCCAAGATTGCCGGCACCATTCATGAGGAGCAGATGCTTTTCCAGGCCCGCCAACCCCCCTCTCAGCAGAAACCCTCGATCCCGTATGCGTCCAAACCCGCAAGGACTGGCTATGAGAGCTACAACAACCCGGAATACATCCCTCAATTGGAAGCGCGCGCCGACATCTGGGGTTTGAAGCCCAAGCAGTCGACTGCTGCTGCAAAGCAGTCTGAAATTGAGCCCGAACCGCTGCTTCAATCTCATCAACTTACCGGCGTTCCCGCCAGGAAGATGATGAGTCTTGATGAGGTCGAGGCCATGATGCGCGGCCAGTCCTTCCAGGACGCGCCTGTCCCCATGATGTCGCAAGCTCCACCCCAATCCTATGGCCAGCAACCCGCACCTTTCCCACATCAGATGCCTCATGGCCAGCCGCCATATCCTGGCATGCCAGGCCAGTTTGCTCCGCACATCCTGCAGCGTCCACAGCAACCTCACCCTCAGCAAGGCCCGCCTAGACAGCAGCAAATTCATGCTGAGCTGCCAGCCCAACCCATTCACCCGCAACAGCCTCAGCAGTCTCAACAGCCCCAACATCCTGCCATGCTTCAACGCCAGAGACAACAACAGCCCCCTGTGTCTCAGCCCCAATCTCAGTCACAACGCCAAACCCCGCAGCCCGCACCCCACCAGAGGCCACCATCTCAACCGAGACAGATATTGCAAAATCCCAACCGCCTGTCCGGTCATGGGCAGCCGATGATGCAACAAGCCCATCCTGGACCTCGGGGATCTTTTCCTGGACACTCTCGAGGCCCTTCATTCCCTGGGATGGTCATCACCCATCCGGAACAGCTAATGGCTCTCTCCAAGGAAGAGCGTGAGGCCTACCTTGAAGAAGATGCAAAGCGTGCTAAGCGCAATCACAAGATCTTTGAACTTTCCAAGGATAATGGTCTCATGACACCGCAAGACAAGAACTTCATCACGCGCATTCAGCTTCAACAGCTGATGTCTGCGACCGGAAACTTGGACGAGAAGAGTCCGGAGGCACAGATTGCCGAGGACTTTTACTACCAGGTCTTCAGCTCCATTCGTGGTGCGCCCCGCCAGAATCCTCATCAGCCCGCCAACCAATTTGCTCAAACATACCTATTCCAGACCAATAGTCGATTCGGAGCGCGCAGACAGGGACGCGGTGGTGATAATCACATGCAGCGCATGGAGCAGCAGGTCCAACGCGCTGTCGAGGCTGCCAAAGCAAAACCAAAAGGCAAACAGCTTGTCATCGAAGGCAGCTTGGGCAAAATTTCCTTTAGTAACTCCAAGACGCCAAGGCCTTTGTTGAATCTTAAGCGCCCAGAGACGGGTGATAAATTGAAACAGAACAAGTCACTAGTTGCGGACAGGAAAGATACCTTGCGTAATATTGAGGCTGTCTACATGACTTTGATGCATCTGGAGGATCACGATCGCACTCGTCCACCTGCGATCGCCGATGGAAGTCCTCCCGAGGCGATCCAAGCTCATATGGAATGGCGTACCAAGACGGAAGATCTACACAAGAAACTCTGGCAAGACATCAAAATCATGGAGCCTATCAATCCACAGTAAGTAGGGAGCTGGTTCTCAATTCTCCTCATGCTAATTTCTCAGATCCACGACTCCGCATCCATTCATATCCATCCTTTCTTTCGCCAAAGGCAAGAAGGCGATTCAACGCATATTTTCGCACATCGACGAGCAAGAGCGCATCACGGTGGTTACGATGATTGTGGTTCATCTCGATCAACTCTCTGTCGTCGCCCACGCTGTGACTAGTCAGGATGAGCCTTTGTCTCTCACTATCCGCGAAGAAGTCGAATTGTTCTTGGCAACGGTAATACCTCCACTATTTGCCCACATCTCTGAGTCTCCCCTTAACATCATCATCGGATTGTTGGGCCTCGTTCTGGATCGAACAAATATGCACATTGTTGCAAGAACCAAGGTTGGAATGTCGTTGCTTACTATTCTGATTTCGCGCGCCGAACTCTTGAAACAATCTCCACCAAAGCTCGACCCATCGGATTGGGAGCACTGGACGGAGCTCTACAACCGTCTCTTCGATGTAGTGGAGCCAGTTTTACCCGTGATCTTCCCGGGCAACGTTAACGACACCGATGACATGTATGTATGGCAATTCCTGGCCTCCATGGGTGTTGGTGCCAGCCCCGAACAGCAACAGAGACTTGTATTGGGAGTCAAAGACCGGGTCATGGAGACTGTGACGGTGAGCAAGGCACTTCCCGCTGAGATGGCAGGAGCCAGGCTCGCCAATGTCAACCTATTCATGAGGGCTATTGGACTGGACGTTGAGCTACTTGGATGAAATGAAAGTGGGTCAGTCTGATCTAAACGTCATGAAGATGGAAGATGCCACACGAAACAAAGCTTGGACACAAAGACAGAAGGAGCAAACTATTGCGGCTGGGTCAGACATTGACGTCAAAGCCTGGGGTGCTTTCCGTCTTGTTCGACCCAGTTATTGCAACCTCGAGCCTAAGAAAAGTGCCAACGCTGATCAGCGAAGCTGGAAAAGAAGCTTGAGTCGGTTTGAAGCTACCACTCTCATATTTATAAAAGAGACACTGGTGGGGTGTAATAAAAAAGACGAATGAGTTGGTCAATGTGATATTAGCAATATAAGCGTAACAATCTCCCCGAATGTGCAATATCTCCTTGGAGCACACGCAGTGTTTCGCCAATATTGATGAGCATGCCCAGCCCTTGGGTTTCGAGAAAGTTATCTTGGAAGACACAATGGTCCCACCACAGATATGCTAATTATAGAATATTGTGCTCTACAACCTTGAATACTGATCAGGAAGACAACAAAATAGCAACGCCGTACTGTTCTTTTTTTCCTTGGGAGTAGAATCAATGATTGACTTGGAAGTTCACAGGTATGTTCGGATGTGGTGATATTGCTACATCAACGGTTTAGTTTCCCCAGAGTCTTCGGCGACGGCCCCAAGCGCCCCTGCGTCACAATAGAGTTTGCACTCGGCCCTCAACCAGCGCGTTCCGAGATGGTGATGATCAGAACAACCTGCTGTTCGCGATCTCAAATCTAGGAACAGAGCTTCGGCAGCACTTGGCATCTCTGCGGAAACTTCCTGGGCATCACCGGCTCAACATGTCTGCCGAGCCATTTGCAGTACGATGGTGGCGCATCGGGTGAGATGGAAACACTGTGTGCTTTGTTTGGAGCACAAGGATTGGTGGAGTGACGTCGCCTGCTCCTTCTCTTTATTCTTCTCCTTCACGCGAAACATGTTCCAGGAAGCACGCTGCGGAGCGGGAATTAGGTTTCGAGTGCCAATGGCGTGAGGCTTCCAAGTTCGAGGCCTTTGTCATTTCTCAACGCTTCGGCATGTCGTTCAAGCGATAGCCACGTAGGGCTGGGGCTGGGATACGGGTGCTGTGCAGAACGCGGGCGTTTCGCAAAATCAATAATCCTGGGGGGTGGCGGGGAGCGTTGCAATGCTGAAACGCTTCAACGGCACATAGTCGCGATAGGATGTTTCTCAGAAATTGCCGACGGCCGGTACCTACAGAAGGGTGTTTACGTAGGCGTCATCCACTATCCCCGGGAGGGTTGTTGGATTTGTATACGAGGAACAATTCGACGTGCAACTCGGAAGAGCTACATACATGGGCATGTAGGTTCTGGATCCATTGCGTGGCCTGGATCAGTTCTTGAGCGATATTCCGCAATTGCATAAAGGGATGTGTCGATGCTGAAACAGAGTTGCTAAGCTTTGCCGCCCCTGTTTAATGCCCGGCCCGGCGCTCCCCACTATTCCACAGGCTGCCCGTAACTTCGTAAGCCAACTCAAGCATTACGCGTAGCAAGTATCGACCATCCGTACATCCTCGTCCTATCAACCAGTGCTCAGAGATCCCATCTGTTTACTTTTGGCAGTCGATTAGCCACACTCGACACAATGCTGGTCCCACACCTCGCCTCTCATACGCATGTGAAGCCTCGCCACGCCCTGGAAGCCTCTCAAACCGAAGGCCCACCAAGACTTTTGTTTGCTCAGCCTGCCGCTGGGATTTGACGCCGCCGATGTCTTGTCCAAACGGCTCACGAGCTTAGCCTTCCTCGAGAGCTTGTTCATGCATCACCAACTGTCTTGGCCATAGCATGGTTTCACTCAAATTTCATACTATGGATCCTCTCCATCTTAACATGGTATCACCATTGATCTTCTCCATTTAAGTCTCTTCATTTCCACTTTCCCATTATTTTTGTTCTTCACCCTTCCCCCCAGGCCGAGCCTTCTTCTTCATTCTTCGCGAGGGATCTGTAGCTTGATTGCTATAATCTTCTCTTTTCCTTTTCTTCTCTTCTCCACTCTCTTCCGTTCGATCCCCGTGTTTTCTCAGACCAACCCACATTCTTTTTCACGGTAAACACGTTGAACGTCACCGCTGCCGGTCAGCATTATTCCAATATGGCTACTCTCCGGCTCTTTCTCTTCGTTGCTTTGTTGGTCGCCTTTGTGCTTGCCGCCCCGGCCCCAGCCAGGGTGCAGAAGCGTTCCTTCAGAGTCCCACGGAGTTTGAACAGGGCGCACCCAAGGGGTCTCAATGGCCGCGATGCTATGCGCAAGGTACTTACCAAGTACAGCTCCAACGGTGGTTTCATCTCGAACCACAAGGTCAGCGCCATGCTTGAGGGCCTCCGCAAAGCAGCGAGCAACGGAACCGCGGGAAACAACACTGGCACGGTTGCTGCCAATCCTGAGCAGAATGCCGCTCTTTTCTTGTCTCCTGTCGATATCGGAGGTCAGACTTTGAACTTGGACTTCGATTCTGGTTCCTCCGACTTGTGGGTCTTCAGCACTGATTTGCCCGCTCAGTCCATCGGCCAGCATTCCGCCTTTGATGCTTCCAAGTCAACCACCTTCAAGAAGATGACTGGTGCTCAGTTCAAAATCAGTTATGGTGATGGGTCCGGTGCTGCGGGTACCGTTGGTATGGACAAGGTCACTATCGGTGGTGTGTCCGTGGATAACCAGGCTGTCGAGCTTGCGAGCGCCGTGTCTCAATCTTTCGTTGAGGACACCAACACTGATGGCCTTGTTGGTCTTGCATTCTCCAAACTCAACACTGGTAAGTGTCATGTCTAGTCTAGCTAAAGCTTCTTGCTAACCACATCAGTCAACGATGGTACCAAGAAGATCCCCCAGAAGACATTCTTCGACAACGTGATGGGCAACCTTGACTTGCCCGTCTTCACTGCCGATCTTGATCCCGATGGCACTGGCGTCTATGAGTTTGGCAAGATCGACTCGACCAAATTCGTTGGCGACATGGCCTGGATTCCCGTCAACTCCAGCTCAGGCTTCTGGCAATTCCCCTCTGCCAAATTCTCTGTCAACGGCAAAGTGGTCGACAACCCGGGCGCTTCCCAGGCCATTGCCGACACCGGCACATCGCTCCTCCTCGTCGACCAGAACGTCGCTGAGACCTACTATTCTCAAGTCCAGGGAGCACAGCTCAACGCCCAAGTTGGTGGTTTCATCTACCCTTGCAGTGCTAAACTGCCCGACATGGCTGTCGCCATTGGTGACACTTACATGGCAAAGATCCCCGGTAACCAGATCACTTTCGCCGCCGTCGACAGGGCAAACACCACCTGCTTCGGTGGTATTCAAGGAAACCAGGGCGCTGGTCTCCAGATCTATGGTGACACAATGTTCAAGGCTCAGCTCGTAGCTTTCAACGGTGGCAACTCTTCAGTCGGCTTCGGCGAGAAGCCACCTGTTGCATAGACGCGGGCCACCGTAAGGAATGCTCGGTAATGAACAGAATCCGAAACCTAAACTCGTTCGTTTGTTGATACGCTGGCTTGGAGGTAAACTCCTGTACATAATTTCCCTATTTTTATCACTGCCATAAGAGCATAGGCTCAAATACTGCCTTTGCGGGCAACCGACATAGTCACCTCCTGGGTTGAGATACACCCACATAAGAAATTATTCTTTAAGATATGAGATACTCACCATACAATGGAAACATATTCAATATACCCAATGCAAACACTTTCTCGTTCACCATGCAGTGACAGGTGTTGGTCCTCACATTCGGAAATAAATAGTGATGGTTTACTTCCCAGAGCGTGAACCAAGCCCCGAGGTATAGTTGCGCGCCTTCTTGGGTGACACTAACTCCTGGCGCACGTCGCGGCCTACAAATCCATTTGGAGTCGATATATTTTCCGTCTAAACGTCTACATAATACATGCACATGTGTGCAGTGCTTGGGCATGTAGACGTAGAAGCCACGTGATGCGCTGGGTGGTTCCTTCCTTCTAGATGTCATTCGTCGAACTTGCTCGACGACTCCACTCTACCTGGACACCACCGTCCGCTCATCACTTATTCTGACCACTTCATATACACTACATAACATCCCACATTGTCAATCCTGTGTAGCTGAGTTCATGTGGCAACCATGGAGCTCGATCTTGGCCTAGACACTGAGGAACACGAGCCTACAGTCCTAGAGTATGCGCGCTTCTATGGACTATGCAGGGACTATTTACTCGATAAGCCAGATCTTGGATCGATCATTTCTCCATTGGACAAAGTTCTGGAACAAGATCTTCGTGACCCACCTCAAGCACCCATTCTCACTAATAGCGCAACCGAGCTAATCAAAGAGCGTCTCAATATCAACACTGAAGCAGCCTCTATCTTGCGCTCGGTCGGTTCTATTAAATGCTTGGACGATCAAGAAAAAGAAGACATCTACCGCAGGCACCGTGTTTGTGATCTGAAACAGGAGGTGCCCGTTCTGAAGACAGACCATGAGCTTGACATGTTGAGATTTGGTAATACAGCGACACCTGACCTTACTAAACTGAGAATACCCCTAAAGCCTCTCGATGAAGAGAATGATAAGGATCTGGGTTGGCTGGACAAATACACTACCTCCCCACTGGAGTGCGACCAACAAGTCAAGGCCGAGAAGTTGACAATTTCAAAGGCGCATATGAGTTATCTGCAGGGTGTGATCATAGAGAGCAGAAGAATTCTCGAAGCTGAGAGCCCTGTGTACAAAAAGGTATGTAGAAGGGCTGATTTGAGACGAGAGTTAAGAAAAAGCAGAATCCAGCATTAGAGCCTCTGACGCCACCATTGTTACCAGTGTCACCCCCCATGACTCCCTATGTCCCGTCGTCACCCGCAAATCATCTTCCTATTCTATCAGACAGCTCAGACTCAGTCATGGCGGAGGTTAGAGCACTCGAGGAGCAGATCATGGGCGCAGACACGCTTGAACTCAGCGAGGATAACGATGGACAGAAAATGCTGCTAAATATCACCAGAACTTCCAGTGACATTCTGGTTGCTGAAGAGCCGAATCTGTCATCGAAGCGTAAATTGGAACAGCTCTATGTCGAACCACCTTTGACACCCCCAACAAAGAGGTTGAAGACTGTCATATTCTCAGACATCCCGCAGTACATCAGCGATATTCCACCAGTTTCTATCGAAGAGGGGGAGAACACTGACCTGAGAATTGATCCCGAAAGTGTAAAGCAAAGTTGGGAACCAATCGCCAAAGAAGCACAATGGAGGGTCGAGAACGAGAGACTTTCCGCAGCTGATACAACAAAACGGGTCGACATCCCTTTCATCGAATTCATCCCTCCAATCGCACCTTGGGATGAGTATAAACAAATCACTGGTGAAACTAGACTCGAGGGGTCAGAACTACATTCCCAGACTAGGTTTTTGTCCCGTATAAATCGGATATATCCATCTGAATCATGGCATGGCGTCTCCCGACTCAATAGAGAGCTACCGATTGAACCGTTTAATCAGCGTCCTTCCAAAATTGCCATTGAAGAAATGATTCATGGCCAAGAACAGCTGGACCTTATTCTTAGTGAGATAGCCTCAGAAGACATTGTGGGAAGCTCAACAACTATCTGGAAGAGAGATGGTCTCCGTCTCCTCGAATCGGACGACGAGGATGAAAAGGAGGAGCTTGAACCCATGAGACTACTGATCAAAGGAAACACTGAAATTTCGATGGACGACAAGTGCCTTAACAGGGACGAAGTAGTCCTCTCTCGTAAGGCTCCCGAATCCCCTGGTTCCTTAGCGAAAGTTCGCATACCAGACAATGCTCAGATTAGGAGCATTAGAGAAGAAGGGCCAATCAAAATCGAGAGCTCGGTTTCATTTGAGAAAGCTCGAAAAATCCGTCCAAAGATTCACGACAAATACACTATGCATGAGGAGTCGGATGGAAGCCTCATGTTCGGTGGAGGTGAATGGTCTGCTACCAGTGCTCTGAAAAATTTCATGGCCATACAAGGCATCGAGATAAAGGAAACAGAACCAATGAATGAGAAGCAGGCTATTTCCAGCTCCTCGAAGGTACCTTCAAGTGTTGGCCGAATTTCTTCGGCGGCATCAAAGAGTGTTGCACATACAAGAACTGTACCACATACCATCCACCAGCCTTCAAGCCCAAAGCTACCTGAAGTGCTCAAAACGTATCCGTCGTGCTCGTTCGTTCTATCAGCTTCACTTTTGAAACAACGTCACATCTCCAAGCTCATCGAAAGATTGTACCCTAACGCTGACTTCATCAGTCGAGATTTCGATTTGCCCTACGTCACGGCTGAAGAGGCAGATATGATACTATCCCCCTCTACAGGACTGATAATCACGACTCTCCAAGAAATCAAGCAACGAGCGCTCCCAGGGCAACCAGAAAATTCCAAAATAAAAATGCGCATTGAGGAACTCCAGTCTCGTTACGAGCGGTTAGTGGTCCTAATAGGCGAAGGTTTTGCTCGTCAATTACTGGAAGGGTGCTCAGAGCGAGCGATGGATACTCGAGATCTTGATGCTATAGATCATTTCAAGAAACATACTTCGGCAATGAAATGTGATATCTCGACAGAGTTTGTGGCTGGTGGAAATCTAGCTCTTGCTCAAGCAATCACTGAAGAGATGGCTAAGTACGGCTTGCCTGGCGGGTCGAAGGACATTGGCGATATCAAATTGCTACCTGACGAGACACAAGTGGGCATCGCCAGTATGGAAATCACATCATTTAGCACGCTAATATAGTCTAGTGGGAGATATTTCTCCGTCGGGCTGGTCTCAATCCCTTCGCTGCGCAGGTGATCCTCGCCTTGCTAAAAGAGCCGATCGAGTACCCTGTTGCTCTGGCTTCCTCTCAAGGCTCTATGGAGGAGAATTCAAGCTCATTCCCGCTGTTCGGGCTCCAGAGGTTCTTAATGATGTCTGGTCAGCAAAGGGTGCAGAGTTTCCAGGTACTGCTCGGTGGAAAGAGAGTCTTGCAAAAGGTTAACGCTTTGCTCGATCAACAATGGCTCAGTGCTGCCCATAGTTTCCATATGTAAAGGACGTTGGAAGGGGGTAGGGGAAGTAAGAGGTAAGAAAGGAACAATATGTGATGGTACTCAGAGTGAAACTATTTGGATCTAATAGAGATCTGCGTGGAAACGTTACAATCCGCTCAAAAACCATAAAATGTATGTTCCAACGTCTGCGATATTTTTGATCGCCGCACTCAATACTTCAGAATTATCACAAATAACAAAATGAATAAGCCAGCTAATATTCATGAATCTTCATATGGTGTATATACACACTGAGCACATTACCACGTTCCTTTACATATAACCGTGAGCTGGTTCTACTCCACCTAGGTATCTATCCATTCAGATGCCTCTACACATCTTTTGCACGTCCAAACATGCTCTTCTCCAGGAGGATATAGAACCCGTTGTTTATCGACGAGCAGAACTATACTTGTTCCGCAACATTTCTTCGATCTGTATATTCTCCAGTTGACTGTTGATATGTGTCACACCACCTATCGTCGTCGGAGACGAAGGAAGCGACGAAGAGGACGATGATAAATCCCTGGAACCCTTCCTATCCGCCTCTTGCTTTGAATCTTTCCTACTCCGTGATCGGGATGAGACCGATTCGCTGTCTCCCACCTTGATCTCGTTGGAAGGCTGCCGTTGCCGAACGACTTCTTCCCTTCGTTCACTACGAAGATCCTCATGATCATCGCCATCACTCTTATCGTTTTTCATACATCTACTCCCATCCGGTGCGACCCCTTCATGAAACTTCCTTTCTCCCCCTTTCACCACCATATCAATATCGACCATCCAAATCCCACCCTGTGGATCCACATTAAACGAAGCATGACGATCCGCTTTAACCAATCTTTCAAACCTCTCATCCCTCTGCTCCTTCCTGAAAAACACCTGTTTCCACGTCTCCTTCTTCTCCTTCTCAGCTCTACGCATCCCACGCTGCCCTTCCTCGACCCGAGATTTCGCGGCAACGGTCCCTTGCATATCGCCGCGGTTCAGAGCATCGATGACACCACCCCACGCGCGACGCGATTCCCAAGGATCTTGCTCGTCTCGGGGCACGACTGTAATTGGGCGGGAAGGCGCGGACGCAGCGTCAAACGCATCGATTTCCTTGCCGGTTTGTGTGGAAACGATGGAGAAGCGCGAGTTCCATTGGCCAGTAGCTGTGTAGATCAATTCTCTCTCCCCGCTGTCCTCCACGTTGCTACTGTTTATTTTGTATACTTTGGCATCGAACCCGTTTTTCGTGCCTCCGCCTAGAAACCCTTTGCCCTCGAATTTCACCTCTGCGACGAAGCCCGACGACGACACGATGCTATATGTCCCCACGAGCTCCGGGTACGGCGCGCCGCTCAGGATGCCGCGGACCTTGACGTTGGGGACGGGGATCAGAAAGTCCTCGTCGAATCGGTCAATATGCAGGATGGCGTAGCCTTTTTGCTTGATGCTGACCGTGCCGCTGAAGGTGATTTCTTGCTGCGTGAAACCCGTTGCGTGGATCCCGTGTGCGGCGTTGGAGAGGCGGCACGCGGTTACCGGGGGGTGATGGGATACTTGCTCTGAGATCAACGTCGTTTCATTATCCCCTGGGTTCTCTCCACCGTTGTCATTATTTGGAGAGGGGATGGAAGACGCATCCCATTTTCCCATGAAGATCTCGCCTAGAAACGCATTCAATGGTTTCTTGACCCCATCTGAGGGGTCGCGCCCTGCGTACTGTTGATTCCGCAGAGACCCGAGAAACCATTTGAGGACTAATGCTGCGCGCTTCCCGGCGTCTGGTTCCTGCGCGGGCGCAACGAAGAGATTGGGGTGGTCGCCCCAGTATTGCGGGAGCTCGGTTGTGGAGTAGGATCCTAGGACGAAAGGAGGTGCGGTGATGTTGGAAAGGTCGCCTTGGATGGTCGCTATGGAGGCGAGGAATTCTTTGAGGGTGGACCGAGATGGGGTCGTTGGTGGTGAGGGTTGTTGTTGGGATGGCATTTTTGTGTAGTTTCCTACTCTTTATCGGGTTTCTGTTCCTTCTCTTCTGTATTGTATGGCGATATCCAGGGTTTCGTCTCGGGTGGGAGTTGTCCTTTGATTTTGTCGATGTGCTTGCTCTTTCTCCTTTCTTATTCTCTATAAATCTGGCTGGTATCGGTGGGGTATTATCAGGTATTTGTCTTTCCGGAGTCCGAAATATCAGGTGGAGATAAAAAGCTTGGTGAGTGCGTATTACTACATGCGCGTATATACAGAGCGGGAGCGAGTTGGCAACGAAAGGAGTTCACACGGGACGCAGATATCCACAAAAAATCTTATACAGATGTGCAGAACAGAAAAGTAAACATTATGCGCACTGCAGGTTATTTCTAAGAGACTGTGAACTTGTGTGGTACGAAATGTACCTGTTAGAAGTAAAGATGGTTTTCCTGGGATGAAAGAAGGAAGTCATGACGTAGGTGCTTCTTCTCGGCAAAGGTCTTGGGTTGGCAGCTAACCAGAAACTTTACCTACTGACGCGTTTTGCGTGCTGCGCCCGGAAGTAAAACACTTAATAAAAAGATAGTGTTGTTCAAAAGAAGTCGGGCTAACTTAATTAATTAAAAGTCACTGCTAATGCCCAAAAATCCCTCAGTGAGCCATGGTACAGGACTATTTTAACCATCTGAACGACCCAACCGTAGGCATCGAATGCCTCGTGACTGACTGCTGCCTAGCAAGAGGCAAAGCATAAAAGAGCGAGGGAGATAAGTACAAATCTCCTACTACACGACCAGCTCTCTTAGGAGCTGATAATCAACGACTTCTCGACGCGGTAAGTTATCTCGACCACTAGCCCTACCGTCCTCGCCCTTCTTAGCCAAATTATAAGTGTTGTATCAAACAGCATACAAGCCCTACAAGTGTATCTCCAAGGCTAGGAGTAGGTGCTCTAGCAGATACAAGAAATTAAGAGAACAACAACACATCACCTGGGTATTGATATCTATACAACTATGGCGGCCTTGTTAATCACTACTCGAACAACGCCATCGCTGTTACTATAGGTGTCGCCTTCTTGTTGCAGTATGCGATAAGGAGAATGTTCTGTATATACTCTCCTAGTCTCTTGTATTTGCTGGAGGACCCACTCCTAGCCTTGCAGATATATATGTCAGCCTTGTATGTTGTGTAAGACAACACTCACTCACAAAAACAAACTTTACGTACAAATCTACTGCTACCTAAATAATATATACCGTTACCTCTTTACAGTAAAAAAAACAAGAAAAATTGTGATCATTCCACTATACTGGAGGCTGTGATTCGCACTATCGCTCCGCAGGCAGATATGTAAAAGTTGCTTTGATCATCAACCTCGTACGTTGCTTCATCTTCCAACTCGGCAATGTCCGCTATGAAAACACTCTCGCTTGTGACAAGTCTTTCTGCTTCGGGATCCTCGAGCCACGTGAGGGAATGACTGGAATGCTCGGTACTTCGGACAGGGTAATCCATGTACACGTGTAGTTTTCCGACAGTACAATGCGTTGGCTGATTCTCGAGAGTATAAATTTGCCCTTGCACCATCTCCAATTCGGTACTTGCGCGAGATATCGTGGGGACGGGTGCTACAGAAATGCTGTTTGGTATGTTGTTTGCGGTAGCGGCGGTTGCTGATTGAGGAGACTTCACAAGAGTTCTGTCTGCTCGATTCACAGACAAAGATTCGTGGGAATCTTCTGTGAGCTTCCCCTGTGTGACTTCTGCTGATTCTTGCTGAGAATCGTCCCCGGTATTCTTCGTGTCCCCTTCTTTGGACGTGACGACTGCCGTTTCCATGTTCACTTGTATTCTTTCTATGTTACTGCAGAGCAGTGGAACAGAGTCTTCTCTATAGATTTCATTCGGAGCTCTCATTATACTGTGCAGTGTTGACTCAGAATAGGGTAAAGTGAGGAGAGTGCTCTCAAGAGGATCAGGGTACACTGTTCTCTGGCCCCTTGAAAACAGCAAAGTGATACTTTCAGCGATCTCGTTCTCTAATAGTGCATTAAAACTCTGCTCCAGATCCATAAATTTCGGCATAGATGGTAGTCGCCACCCAGGGTAGATGCGACCATGAGTTCGAGCGGTATGCAGTTTGCCGTGCATAAGTATGAATGCATTGCATAGGAAACATGCATCTTTACTTGAGGCAACGATACGTGGAGGGGAACTAGAGGGATTCAGCTCGATGTAGTATAGAAGTTGTATCTCAGCGTGTATCTTTGATTGTGATAGAGTCCTTATGACTTGACTGGCGAACATCTGGTAGGCATCGGTTTTGGTAGCACCGATTAATCGGCAGATTCGAGCAACATCCGCTTCCCGGTATGATCGATTAGTTTGTGCAAGAACAGATTCGAAACTCGGTGTATAGCGGTCTCCCGAAGGTTGGACGTAGGCTTCCATTGGTAAGTCGATGGATACTGTTTGCATATGCCGAAACAATATATTCTTGTTTGACATACGATGTAAATATCGAGATATTTCGCGATATCTTGCAACCTTACGGATAGTATTGATCATGCTCTTCCGGCTGGAAGGATCCATGTTTCGGGTGGACATGACGCCAAGTAGCGCTTCAACGTTTACTGCCTGCTTCAAGAGATAAATCGAGTCAATCAACTCTCTCAATCGAACAGGAGTCTGGTGTTTAACCCAGTTATCCGCCAACTTGATGATGATTTTGGCTTTCTGGATGAACATGATGGATGGCTTGTGAAGCTGGCCCAACCTCTTGCTATCAAGATTCCCAAGGCACTGAATTGTAGACCGAAGGACCTGTTGGATCGTTTGCTTTGGCAGGCCCCGTTTTTTATGCGCGAGCCTCAACCTCAGCAGTATGCGTTTTGTGCACATTGCAACAATCGCATTCAAAATGTCATGTTCCGTCCCTGGTGAACGCGGTGTTGTTAGATTGTCTTGGATAGAGGAGGAAGTGCCTCAACTCACGTTTCCCGACATCCGCTAGTAGAATGAAAATACTGTCAAAGCCCCTCTGAAGCCGTTGCAGACTGTGAGCACCGCCCTGCCATCGAGCCTGATTAACGGCTAGCAAAACCCGCAACGAGGACGTCTTTGTATCCTGCTTGACACAGAGGGCTGGGATATGATTGACATCGTCGCGATCGTTTGCTAAGAAAGCAAGGGACTCCACAAGTCGATGCTCTTCTGCAAGAGTGAGTGTATAGTCTTTCGCCTGATTGTTTTTCGTCTCAAACGTATTACGTGAAGGCGTAGTAGATACAGAATGGAGAAGATGGAGAAACGCGATATTCTCCGCACAGGTTTTTGCATAGTCATGGAAGCTCGTAGGCCCCATTGTTGACTGATGCTGCCATCGATGGAAGTCTTTGAATCGTTCTCTTTCATCTGATGCTGTGATTGTGCTAAAGTGCTACAGTGTTACCCTGCAGATGCTCAATATAATAGCGAGCTTCCGACCTATCAAGGAGCACCATAGTCAACAGGTGGGTAGCACAGCAGCTGCTGTAATCTCCGCTCATGCATGCTTATCTGCGAGACAAACACCAACTTCTGATACATGTTTTTATCCATGTGCGCGTATTATGGCGAGATAGATGACGATCAAAAAATAGAGGGTGAAGCTCAAGCACAACAGTCCCCCGTCCTACAAAAACAAGAAGAACCAACATCCACATCTGCAACCGCCAACGCAACCCTCAAAGCCTGCCCAACAACCTTCCTCTCCGCCTCCCGCCCCAACTTCCCCAAACACTCATGATACCCATGCAGCGCCCAAACATTATTCGGGTGCTGGCGCGCCCTGGGCAAACTATCATCGACGCCCAAATCCGCCGCGTACGCAAGAGCCGCATCCTCAACATGCCCCTGCTCCAACAACAACGCAGCATACGCGTGGCGCGTAGGCATCATCCACGGCCAGGGCTCAGCGTAGTTGAGCGCGTCGTCGCGGTCGATGGCGGTGCGGAGGTGGGAGAAGGCGAGGTCGTAGTTGCCTTTGCGGTACTCGAGTTCGCCGTCGAGCATGGCGGTTGCAACTTGTAGGACTACGTTTGCTAAGTTGGGGAAGTCGCCGCTGATGCGAGAGGAGGGGACGGAGGCGAGGGTTTTGTGGAGGGCGTCGCGGTGGTGGGTTGCGGATGGGATGTCGTTTGTAGCGGCGTAGGCTATTCCTTTGCCGTAGTGTAGCATTGCGGTTGTTACGCAGTAGAGGATTGGGTCTGGGGGAAAGGGGAGCGCGATTAGTTCTGCCCATTTTCCGAAGCGGACCTGAGGGGAGGTTAGTTCGCTTTTGGTTTTGATAGTGATGGGGACTAGTCGGTATGGAAAACTTACCAGGACGTGGACTCGCACAGAGGCAAAGTTTTCGACCCAGTCTGCCATTGGGGGACTTTCAATTTGCAAGAGGGACATGGGGAGAGACGCTTCCATAGACGTCACCGTATCAATTGCGACTCCATACTGCCCAGCAAACATAGCTGCATATATCAGTGAATGATAATTGTGCATGCGGTAAAACGTATAGAAATTTTGACCGCCACGATCGGCAAGGTACTTTTCGTCAGCTAAACATGCATCTGCATTGGAGGCAATAGCTCGTCGATAGTCCCCGATCAGGATGTCTAGATGTGAGGGCATGTGCACGAGATGACCAGCATCAGGGCTCAAAGTGCGAAGATAATCTGCTGCTACTAATGCGGCTTCAGGTGTTTTGGACATCTCCATGAGATGGATGTAAAGATGGAGGATCCCGAGATGTGTCTTTGCTCCTTCACGGGCCAATGCTGTTTCTAATACTGCCTTTGCTTCTAGAGATCGAGCCCCTGGAGTCGGTTCACCTATACAAAAAGGTCAGTCATCGATTCAATGAAGTCCCAAAGATAGACTCACCAGTTTTCAGATCCCACAAATTCCAAGCTGAAAGGCACACGATACTATCCGCATAAAGCGCCGCGACATCCAAATCATCCGGAAACCTCTCGTAAACCCCCTCCATGGCTTCCGCGTACTTTTCGTTGCATTGCTTGAACGCGCCCTCATGCAATGCTTGGGGGACCCGAGTCTGTACGGCATAGATAAGTGATTTCTCAACGTCTGTGAGGTTGGAGGCTGAATCGTTTGCGCAGCGTAGAGCGTCAGCATTCGCCCGCCTGATCTTCTCGAGTGTGAGTTGTAGTTCATTTTCGTCGAAGAGGTCCCAGGGTTTGTTATAATTTGGGCCGAGGGCGAAGGCGAGCTGTGGGGTTTAAAGGGTCAGCATCCACCAGTCACTGATTTGACATCATGTATATCTTCCAGGAAACACTTCCAAACCTCAGCAACCCACAATCTGGAACCCAAATCTCCGCGGCTTCTTCTTAAAAAACGAGAAACAAGAGAGAAAGAAGAAAAACTCACACCCCAAAACCCCATACCACACCCCCGATCAACCCCCACAGCCTTCTCAAAACACCGCGCAGACTCCTCATGATGAAAAGCATAACACCACACCAACCCACGATCGAACCAAGTCTGGGCCGCCTCATTCGACGTGCTAACCTTACGATGAAAAGTCCCAAGCCGGTATGGGTAAGAATCGACAGCGCCCGTAGAGGAACTCATATTGTTCTTTGTCATTTCTATGGGTAATCTGGCGGTGATTATGATCTTTTGTTTGGTCAGTGGAGGGCTGTTCGGTTATGGATGGGGGCCGAGAGCAAACGGCAGTCAGTGAATGGTTCAATTGGTTAGTTGAAAATCGAAACAGCCTTTGTGCTTGGTCAATTTCTCCAATCCTGCGCAATATAAGTAGTATCGTAAACGTAGGCTAAGTCGTAAGATGAGCAGGTGAGTAGGTAAGTGGTAAGTCGTTGTCTATCCCTGGGACATGTAACAACACATTCCACCTGAAGGTGGGGTAAGTTGTGGGAACTAAGCAACCCTAGAGAATACGGACACGGCAACTTGCATTTTTACTTCTCCTGCCTCTTTCTTTTCCCCTTCTCCCAAGGTCAACGTGAAAAAGGTGCTTGTATATTTTTCTCCATGAAAGTGCAATCGCTCTAGCGCCGTCATTGTGCTGCCAGGTAGGTCAGTAGCCCGGCATCATGTTGCGTCATTTATACATCCACCAATTAGCCCTTCAATCTACGTGACCAACGTAAGTGGCATTCCACAATCACATATCAAAGATTGCACAAGGAGAGATGTCTAATGTTCGTGATCATCATTCCCATTTGCACAGGAAGACAGTGCTATGTACGGGGGACCGCAGAAACCTATTCCTAAACGCCATGGCTCCCATCCTCAAATACCCGTATGATTTAATACACACATTGAATGGATTGACAACAAAGCAAGCCACCCTATACATCCCAGCCCACATATCCTACTGCAAGGACCATACAGACAGATGCAACCGGGTCACCTGACCTAAGTGTCGAACATCCAGCACACGGTACATGGGAGAAAATGAAGACATACGGACAAACAAACAGTGCAGAAGAGATGGGGCCGATGCGAGAACAGTCCGGAGAGACCCGAAGAAGAAGAAGAAGGTAGCTACCGATCGTACAGAACCCATATAGACGGTTCCAGAATTTGGTTCAAACGCCAGATAATAACCGATCTTAAGTCGTGCCACAATGTAGTGTAATGTTCACATCCAGGAATCAGGTCCGGCCCACATGATTTTCGTTACATTACCAGGTCGTACCATCATGATTCGTGAATCGCATAATCGTAAAAAGAAAAGTTTGATGTCAAAACATCACCTGGAGTAAGGCTTGTTCATGAGCGCAATCTCGCGCGCAATGGTAGCCCACTCAAGCTCTCGGCGAAGAGGTTCGTTGCGTCGTTGACGTTGATACTCTTCCCATTTGAGAAGCTCGTACCTAGAAGAGAGAATGAGCATAATGTTATGAAAAGGGGCGACTGTATCGACGTACGTGAAGCGAAGGTGTGGTTGAATGATGACATTCAACCGCCTAGCGCGAACGAAACAATAAGCACGTGGGAAAGAAAGGCCCAGCTCGTTCATGACTTCAGCGATGCATATGGTGGCCGAACGCGACACACCGACTCGACAGTGTACGAGGGTTGCTCCACCTTCCAACTTTCCGGCCTCTGCATCTAGTTAGCCCTGGAAAAATAGACAAATGTGCAGGTTTGTCTCACCGATGAACTTGAGGCAGCGCTCAAACTCATCCCAAAGCGGGTCGACGCCGTTATCTTGCACCCTATCCACCATCATCAGATTCTCGTCGGGCCAATCCAATTTTTTCTTCAATTCTTCCGGCCAGCTGATAGCCTCTCCGACACTGAGAACGCGCGTGATACCCAACTCCCGTAGCAATTCTGGATTGTTTGCGTGGCCAAGATTTCCGAGGTACATGTAGGGGAGGATCCTGCTAGGCAAACTCCCGTCTATACGCGGAAGCCATTGCGGTTCAGAAATATGCAAGACGCTATCATTGAAACGTGGCGAATCTTGAAGGATGCGGGGTTGGATTGAGGTAAGAAGAGACACATCCTGTGGGTATGCGAAGAAATTGCGTCCCTTATCTCGATGCAACTGCACCCAGGCTTCGTGCACCGGCAGACCCTCAGCATACATGAAATAAGCAAGACCTAGTAGAGAACTCTCAGTATAACCGTCCGTGCAATGAATGAGGATTTTGCGTGAACGCGCAATGTCAGTCATTTCGATGTCTTCATCGCCTCCACTCTTCTTGCGCCTAGACTGCTTAGTCTCCTGCGGATTAGCAAGTTCGTAGATCCATTTGCACATGTCCATCAACCCGTCCACTTCTGCGTGGGACCATGAAGGGGACATGATGTTGCCCGACGATGGGAACTCCATGTGAAGAGGCCCTCTGCGATTGCTTCTCTCCAAGATACTACGAGACTTTCGCAGCAACATGGTATCTGGTACATGTGCCATATCGCTGGCTTCAATTAGAAGGTCGAAAGTCTGTTCACTGAAGCATCCCGAGTCAATGGCCGGATCAGGAGTAGGGCCAAGGAAGACGTTTTGACTGATCTCCGAAGCCTTTGACATGACACACATTTCGTACCGCTCCCAGTAGACTATGCAGTTAGAATCCGACGTCGGCCAATTTAGGTGGGGTGCTAGACTTACAGAAGTCGGCCACATTACCGGTCATGGTTCCTTTGGAATCAATGCCAACGAGCTCGGGGTAGGCGTCCTGTACGTGAACGAACGAATCTGCAAATGTTAGCGTTTGGTCTGACAACTGATGGCACGGACGTGTACCATTCAATATGAAGGTGTTGAAGGAGCATCGTGCAAGGCCATGTCTGGCTTCGTGTTGGCGCTGAGCTTTAGAAATTCGTTTAGCTAATGCGATGGTCTCGCTTGGGCTGGTCTTTTCGTCTCCGTACACAATGATATCCGATACCATGGCAAACTTGCAGGCCTGAATCTGGAAGTTGCGTACAGAGAATCCATCCTTGGGGTCACACTCAATGAACGAGTTCTCGTCGGGGCCACGTGACAGGAGCTCATCGGGGGCGATGGCTCCCTTCAACTTGGAAGATGATAGATTGCCCCCCGTCTTTACGATTGTGATGCTGCGGAGGCCTTTGGGGATTTTTCGGACACTCTTTCGACGATTGGTGAAGAAGTTCAATTGGATCTGGTTCTCGGCATGAAGACCATGCAACCACGGAAACACCTGCTCGGGGTTGGGCAATGGCTGGGTAGCGAGGTGGTCCAAAGCTTGAGCGAGTCTCTGGGCACCAATGGTGAAGAGAGGTGGATCATTGCAGAATTCGCTACCGTAGGTGGTTGGCGGGTAGGTGATGGAGGAGGTCTCGATAGTTGAGAGCTTGGACGGAGGAGACGAAGGTGGGGTCTCCAATTGCAGAGCGGGCGCAGGACCTGTTGGGCATATGGGGATATGCTTGTTGGGCACGGCGGCAGGACTGTTTCTTGACGTTGCGTTGAGAAGATGAGGGGGAGGAGTCGACCTGCCCGGCATGGGAGGAGATCGCGCGACGACGGCAGCCATGTGCACGGGAGGACGCTAAGCGATTTCCAAAGACAGTGAAGTTGAAGGTGTGCCACGCAGGTGGTGATGGAAGAAAGAGGGTTTGGACTGATAAGAGGTGAGGGAGGCAAGGAACTCAGCGAAGAAGGTGCGGATGAAATGATGAAGCGGGAAGGCACAACCAGGTGAGGTGCCAAGCAAGATTCAAGGTGATCACGATGAGGGGGGAAGACTTGACTTGCAACGTTACTGTTGAGAGCAATTGGCGAAGATATAGCGATAGGACTAGATATAGGTTGGGCGAGAGAGGCAGAGCGGACTCTTCTCCGGGCGAATTGGCAGAGGGAGTTGATGTTAGGTTCGTGTTACCGAGCGAGCGAGCGCTGGATCGGCAGACGGGGAGCAGGAAGCACACGTGAGGGAGGTGGGGGTGGTTCAGATGTTTGAATGTTTGGAACCGGGACTCGAGGGGGGAGCAGGGCCCTCGACGACAAAGGTGTAGAAGCTAAAGGGTGACGGCGGCAGCGACGACGACGTGAGTGAAGAAGACGGGAGACATGATGAAAGATGGATGGGGAGTGGGGAGTGGGGAGAGAAGAAGAAGAAGAAGAAGAAGAAGAAGGTAGGTGTTGGCTATCAAGTAGATAGATTATGGATGGGATGGAGTGAAAGGGAAGAAAGAGGGGCAAGTGTCTGTGGCGGTGGTATGCACTCTGTTACGGTGTAATACGGGCGGGCAGGCAGGCAGACAGCAAGACAGGCGGACGGGTCGAATGAGATGGTCGGAGGAGAACAAGCACGGTAGGGTATCAATTAGTTGGGACAGACGGCTGCATGCATGGGAAGGGATGACTGCATGAGATGTGAATTTTGGGGGACTCGACATGCATGCATCCATGCAAGGCCGTAAATGCAAATGGGGACTCGATAACTCTCTCTCGTGGAGACTTATCATGATCCCCTCCATCCATCTTATCCACTGGCAGCGGGCTAGGGCTAGCTAGGGCCGTTTGGAACAAAGCGCCGCCGCTTACTCTGCCCTCACCCCGGCCCAAGTGGCAGCGTTGGCGCTCCTTCGCACGCGCCGTCAGCATTGCCCAAGAGTTCCCACCCTCATGGCGCCTTTGTCTCTTGTTCCCGTTCGCCATCACAGACAGCAGCATCGCGATTCCGTCTTATCGATAGCGTCGACTTGCTGGCTCCAACCCCAACCATGACCCACCATGACCCGCCGTTCCGCCTTGTCCATGTCCTTGTCCTAGTCCGCTAGCGATGGCGCTTGCTCTATCCACCTTCGCACACCACGGTTGACGCTGGTCAGCATGCGAATGGCCGTGGCCTCGCCCCATGCCTGACGGACTGCTGGCTGGCTGCATCGTCGCCCACGGGCCAGACTCTGCCGTGTCTCCCTGCTTGCTCGCTCGCTCAGTCCCCAGATCGAGGGCCACCACTGACTGCCTCTTGCCATGCTGCACTTTTATTAGCCTGTACGTACCCCACACTTTCCAACCCCTCTCGCCTTCCCCACCCACCCACTAACGTCCTCGCTAGCCATGCTGTCGAATCAATGCCGAACCGCCGTTTGCACATCCTCGCGTTCCAGTCCTGGAATCGGTTTGGCGCTGCCCGCTCCGTACGAGTTCCACGTCCCGAGAGCCGAACGCACCCCCCGTTGCAAACTTATTAAACAGCTACTCGTTGATAGTTCCTCTCTTTATATTCCCTTTTGTATACGTAATGTTGAAAGCCCACACCCCATACACATTGAGTGATCCATAACTCATCTGTGACGGGAATATCTTACATTGCTACATTGTCTGCTCGCTTGCTCGCTCGCTTCACGAGACCCTCTTTCGGCCTGAATAACTGACCCAAACATGAAACATATCCCCCTTGACCGTTATTTTCCCCTCACGCCTGAAACTCCCCAAAACAGACTTATACGTCAATCTCCGCTTGTGAGTTTAACAGCTCGTCCACGTACGACTTCTGAACTGTCAGCTTGTCCTTTCCTTCTTGTTCTTTAAGCAACACCGCGAGCACCTCCACCGATGGCTCCAGTCCAAGCCGATGCGCACGTTTCCAGCGCTTGAGCCGGGCGATCCCAGTGCAAGGCTACATACGATCCAATTGGTTAGCATATTACAATAAGAAACACCCCCGACTAAGACTGCATGACTGTAGTGCGTAGAACACTTGTATGATGGGCTGACAACTTACACCATACTGTCCACTGAGATCGAACTTGCGCAACATTCTCTCTTCCACGCTCAGATCCTTCTGATGCGCTCTCGGGGCAATGCTGTGTGACTTCTCCTCTTTCTCCAAATAAGCTCGGATTGCTTTGGGCGTTGTCTTCTTCGCTTCCACTTCTTCAGGCGTATCCTCATGTTCCTCCTCTTGCACAGTCTGTTGGATGATGGCAGCTTCGCCTGTAGTGTGCTGTTCCTCTGCATCATCAACGTCTACCACGTCCACGACGTCCTTTGCATCGTTTATCGCTGATTTTTCGACGAGATTCTTCTTTACATTGAGTGCGCGGGCGCCTGGTTTGGTAACCCGGTTCGATGCGCCGTGGAATGCGAGGGTTGATTGCGATTTTGGCTGTGCGCCTACCCTGCGGCGTTGAGGAGGCGCCATCCTGAAAATGATGCGCGAGATCCGTCGGTGAGATGGTAGATTTATATCGCTTAGATTGATATGTGTGAGTATGCGTAGTCGGTGAGTGGGCTCGTCGTCTGGGACTCTGAGCAAGCTGTGGATAGAGATGAAGTCATGATTAAGAGCGAGTCATGCGAATGCTCCATGCTGGTTGGCTAGGCGACGGGACGTGCGCGCGCTAGCAAACGCGTCCACGTTCTCATGTGACCATTTTATGAGCTTTCAACCTTGAAATATTCAAACTTTTTGATGTTTTCGAGGCTCCAAGCCACTTTAACTATGACTTTGAGTTGCAATTGAAATGGAAACTTTTAACAACAGCTTCTCAGTCTGCTCTCACAAGTTCTCGCTCATTCGTTCCTCGAAAATTCTCATTCCTGTAGATTTTGCGCGGGGTACTGATCAACGAGGGAGCACATTCATTCATCTATATCAAAATCGACTTCACTAGAATTACCAGTAAGTACATAGAAACATAGTATACTATAATCTATCGTGCTTCTTCCTTGATATATACTTCATACATCATGTTACAGATTAGCGCACATGCTCTTCAATTGATACACATTCGATTTATTCAGTCCATCTAAACCCCTCCTATCTCTTTTCCCACTCACCCACTAACCACTTCTCACAGTCGACACTCCTCCTATCAAAAAAGCAAACTCCCAAATCTCAAACATGACCTCCACAACTCCCCCAGAAATCGCTGCCAAAGTAGAATCCCTCATCCCGCAATTCACCCTAACACGGCTCCTCAACCAAGACCAAGCAGGCCGCCGCATCTCCCTCCTAGGAACAATCTCTTCGCAACCCGCCGTCCTCGTCGCCGAGCGCGCCGCCTTCGCAACAGACCAAGCGCACCTCTCCGCCTTCCCAACCTCGCTAACCCGCATCCGCAACCTAGGCGCAAACGACATCTACTCGTGGTTCCTCGCCAACTCTGGCAAACCCGTCCCCGACCAATATGGAACCGATATCCCCCCGGACTTCAAGCTCAATCTCATCTACCCTTGCACCGAAAAACACATCAAAAAGTACTCGGCACAACCCCTCCGCATGGTCACCGAAACCCCGGCAATCTACGCAAACTACACGCGCCCCTGGATAGCCGCGCAGCGCGAAAAGGGAACGCTGCAGTGGATCTTTAATATCCTCGAAGGGAGGACGGAGCAGGAAGACGTCATCTACCGCGAGCCCACATCCCCGACGTCTGACGAGGGGTTCCTGCTCCTCCCGGATCTAAACTGGGACCGCAAAACGCTGTCTTCGCTGCACCTCCTGGGGCTGGTGACGCGCCGCGATATCTGGAGTGTGCGGGATTTGACAAAAGGGAAAGTAGGGTGGTTGAAGCATATGCGGGACAGACTTGTTGATGCGACGGTGGGGTTGTACCCGGAGATTGAGCGCGATCAGGTGAAGCTGTATGTGCATTATCAGCCTACGTATCACCATTTCCATGTTCATGTTGTGCATGTTGCGCTCGAGAGTGGGGCCACGCAGGCTGTGGGGAAGGCGTTGGGGTTGGAGGATGTGATTGCGCAGCTGGAGACCATGGCGGGTGGGGAGGACAGTGGGTTTGAGGGTGTAAGTTTGACGTATGGATTGGGCGAGGCGAGTGAGCTGTGGGAGAGGATATTTGGGGTTTTGAAGCGTGGTGAGGAGGTGGATGTGGGTGGGTTTTGATGAGGTAATGTTAATGGGCTGGCGGGAGTGAGATAATTACTACGTCTATGGAACTTGATTCAGTACATCGACCACTGTTCTTGTGCATTTAGATCAGTGTTCTTCATACTTGAATACTGCCCAAACTTGTTGCTAGATAAGCGTGAAAGCATCCGCAACGATTGCTTGCTGGTCTGAAGAACAAAGCACTATACTCCCTAACAAATCACCCATGATGCAAATCAGATATGAACACTCCAAACACAACAAAACCTCGAAGCGGCTACAAACATGGAGAAAGCCAGTGCAGAACGTGGAAGGCAACTCAAGAGACACATCCCACTAAACACTATGCAAAATACACGAATTCGGACGCCAGTAAACCCCAATATTAACTCCCTTGTCCATTGAAAAACCCCAGACCTCCGACCAGTCCAATCAAACTCACCCTAAAGATTGCCTTCTCCCCAGCCCCTGGAAAGCAGCACGCCGTTCTTCCTTCTCGGCTTCCAATCTCATCCTTGCAAATCGAGCCTGCCCCTTCGCATGATCCCCGCCACCACAACCACCATTGCCACCACCGGCACCACTCCTCCATTCTCTGCCTTTATCCATTACGCTGCTGAAAACACCAAAATTCCTGGGAGGACCCGAATTTGGGCTCGTAGGATTGACCTCTGTGACGGTCCGATGCAGAGTATCCGTGGGGCGAGGTCTCAACGTCGATGCAACAGTCCCACTAGTGCTAACAGCGCGCGAGGGCAACAAAGATGAAGATGAAGAGCCGGAAAATGTGCGCCACCATGCAAAAGACCCGAGGAAAGTGCCGTCAGAGTTAGGAATGTGGCGCCATGGACGCTCGCGGAGGGTGAAGATGAGACAGTCGACCATGCCCATTGAACCGTAACAGATGGTGCTCGCGACCACGAGCCAGTATAATGGGTGCGTGGCCCAGTCTTCGTAATACATCATGCAGTGGTTGGTGAAAGGGATGAGCCACATGATGATGTAGCAGATGGGATAAACGAACATGAGACGAAGCTGGCGGTGGATGCGCATGCGTTGCTGGGCTAAATTCCGTTGGGCGGTGTCGGTGGGAGGGGCACAGGGCGTGGAGGTTGACAAAGGCGAAGCGTGGTTATCGTCTGAGGCCGAGAGGACAGTGTTGCTGGCTTTTCGGGAGGTGTTGGTGTTGTCAAGCTGGCTGCAAGTGTCGACGGGACCTGCTAAGATGGTGAAGGCGCTGCTGCGTCGCGCACTATGGGGCCCGCTTGGGACAAAGATTGAGCCAGCTGTGTCGTTACTTTCCGAGTACATACTCGTTGAAGCTGCAGCTGATGCCCGCCGCGAGGCTTCAAGTATTGAGACTATAGAGGAGCCTCTGCGTGCGGGGAAGAGTGTATGTTCCGTCAAGTCCGGTGACGCCCCATCGCCGAGGTTCTGATCATTCGTTGATAGTATAGTGGTGCTAGAAACGGATGGCTTCTCGTTTTGGAGCATATTTGAAAGGGAGCGGAATTCGAACCCAACGTGGGCGTAGATGGCAACCGCCAGTCCTAGGATTATGATGGCAATGACGTAACGAGGAACCCAAGTCAGGGCCAAACGGTACCAAAAAGGTCGAAGCGGAAGGGAGCAGAATGCACCTTGAGACATGTAACCATGATGATCACCCGCAAAAGCTAGTCCTGCCATTAGAAGTGGTATCAGGAATGCACCAAGAAAGAGGGGATAACGATATGGATAGAGCCCATCCGAGCGAACGGTGTTTGAGGGACGGAACACCTGCATAGCACTGTGGACGGCGATTGCGAGAACCGCATAATCTAGGAGATGTATATGTTAGATCCTATAGTTCTGCGAATCTGTAGTGAACTGACCACTTGTCTCAGTGCCGTATTGAACAAGAAAACCGCTTGCTTGGCAGAATGGTGACTCTGTATAAATGGTACCCCTCGTAATGGAAGCCAAGGCAAACGCAAATATCCACATTGTTTTGATCATGTCGCCATAAATGAGTAGTATGATCAGCCTGCCACAGTAAGCATCTTTCTCGTTGACGACGGGCTGTGCCTCGCGCACCTGTGTCGAAAGCGTTTTTCCATTCGACAGAACCAGAAAAAGGCAACACAAGAAGTCGCCATACTGGCTGCGGCGCAACATGCGCCGGCAACTTGTACCCAGTACGTTCTGTTTGATGTGAACTGTTTGGTGGAAGAGGGACCGTATTGGCGATAGATTTGAGGCATTGGAGACGATGCGGCCTCAACAGCAAGCAAGCATGTCGTATACCCAACAATCGTGAGTTTAAGGCCAACGGACAAAGGCATGTTATATCTCAAGCGCCAAGTTCGTGGAGTGTCATTCCGTTTTTTGCAGTCTTGATCCTGTTCGTTATTGTATCTGCGAACAGGCGATGGTACATATCAAAGTTGTCATCTCCTGGGAATGTTGAAGGAAACAGTCAAGGCAGGTACGCTGCCATGCGGTAGTCTGTCGATAATTCGGAAAAGAGGTGTTGTCTTGGGTGCATCTGGTTGTGAATCTGAAATCTGAAGCCGGGCAAGTACCGTTCCGAGGAGTGAATTGTACACAGTGTTACTGAAAACGGGCCGGACACAAAGGAGAGGTATACCCCAAGCGCCCGGTAGCGATAACTGCTAAGACAAGTCAGGCAATCTTCACGCGGTATTTCCAATGCAGGTTGAAGTTGATGGGAAGTGGGATTATTAGTACGTCAATGTCTGTTCATTCGGGCTGAGCTGTGTGGGTCGATCGAGCACCATTCGTCACTATCTCCGAAACCCTGATTTGCCCATAGTTTTAACCTTGTCCCCTCGATGCTTTCCGTCCATACAAAGCCATCCCCGTATGGTTCGACGCGTCGGACATGCCTGACAGAACACTGCCGCCGTAACGCGCGACAAAATCATGCGATGCACACACGTAAGCAGAATGCGCTCCGAGCTGTTTTACGTTGTCTGATTGGTATCCGGAAAGCGTATATTCGTAAAGTCGTTAAGTCTATGTTTTGAGAGTAGGGTGGCTCAGTCAAGGCTCTCTGCGAGCACGATGAGAGAGAATCGAAGATCGCCTCCACCCGCTTCGGCCTCACGCTTCAAGAAGCTCCTCACACCCAAGTCCAGAGCTTTGTCGCTGAGAACATCTTCGTCAGCAGAGAGTTGACCGCGGTCGAGCGGGCCTTTACGGCGGCCGTCCATCTCCCACAAGTGGTTGCTCTCAGACTTGACGAAGCAAACATAGTGTAGATCGACCGTGTCGTCGGCGGGTGGAGCGGCAGTATCGCCTCCAGCAGCCGCGCTTTGGTGTGCAGTTTCCAGGGCTTGGGATTCATACAACAGATCGGCTCGCTCGGCAGGCTTCAAAGGAATGGCATCGTGAAGCAATTTAGACAGACCTGAGTCGGGCTCTAGGTTGGGTTAGCGTTGAAAGAAGGGTCAAATGGCATGCAGAGGCGAAGGGAGCACAAACGGATGTGGGCGCGGGCGGCACCGTTGGAAACGCCGTGCAGGAGACCGATAAGACCGCAAGCGTTGCCGATGGTTTGCTTGTACCAGATGACCTGTTCGTCGGGTCCATGACCCTGGTACTCTGGGCGGTCTGTGTCTTCCTGAACGCGGAACTTCTCATAAGTCTCGCTGACTGGGAATATCAGAAGCAAAGCGTAGGCCGGGCGCGGGACAAAGGCAAGCAGGTCTGGGTCGTCGATGCTCCAGACATCATGGAACGATAATTTCTTGGAGAGACCTAGATTGTGAACCAGCGAGGTCATGACCTCGGGGTTGTTTTCTAGCGAGACATGGTGTCAATTGGAGAATGCAATGAAGGTATCGCAGCCCGACAATGACGTACCGAGAGGAACGAACCTCTTTCTTGAGAGGGGAACATTAGGTGAGTTTGTGTCAGCCATGATGATGGTGGTCGAGCAGAGTTTATGAGAAGAAGGTGGAATGGAAACTTCTTGAGCTGCACCTTTATATACTTGTCATCATGGCTGTGTGGATCCGTACATGTAGGCAGGTAGCAAACATAGACGGAGGTACATATGGACCGACGCGGGACGGTATGACCCTCTGAGTGCTGCAGCCTGCCTGCCGTGGCCCGAGCTCCCTCCAGCGGCGTCTGAGGCAACCCCTCACTGCCACCTGCAGCCTGCCTCGCCCATTTGAGTCATTTTTAGTTGATTATTTTTTTGCTGGCTCCTCATGGGCCGGCCCTGCTCCAATCTTCTAGCTACGGCGCTTCGTAGCACGTTTCTACCTTCTACACACTCCACTCCAGTCTTTTTCCGGATACCATCCACCACTCTTTCACGCCCCTCCTTCCGCCTGCATTCCACCGCAACTGCGCCAAACCCGTTGTTTGCCAACTTCTTTACCCCGCTACAGCCACTTCTGGTCGACTTCTTTCGCCAAAAGTTCCCCGCCATGGCAAGCTCAACCATTGACGAGAGCTTGCTCACCTTTCTCAACACCCACGCGCCCAACAACTCCTCCGCCGAGACCGATGCCGTCAAAGCCTCCCAGGCCCTCTTCCCCTCTGTCACCTACTCCGATGCTGAGAAGGCCGAACTGAGCCAATGGCTCATCACCGCCTCCCACATTGCCTCCGCTGGCGAAGATGCCGCCAAGGTCTCCGAGAGACTTTCGGCCCTCAACACCCACCTCTCCAGCCGCACTACAGTGCTCGGTGCTAAGCCCTCCGTCGCCGACATTGCTCTCTACCAAAAGCTCGCTCCCGTTGTGTCCAAATGGTCGGCTGAGGAGAGGACAGGCGAGAATGGATACCACTACATCGTTCGACACGTCGACTTTGTCCAAAACTCACCTCTCTTTGGCCTGAAATTGGACGACAAGGTCAACGTCGATCTCGACAGTGTCATCTTCAAGATCAAACCTGTCGATGCCAAGGCCGAGAAAGAACGTAAAAAGAAGGAGAAGGAGGCTGCTGCCGCCGCCGCCGCTGCTTCGGGCGCTACACCAACCGCCGCTACTGGCGAGCAAGGGAAGAAGAGCAAGAAAGAAAAGGTCAAGGACAAGGTCCAGGCTGCTGGTGAGGCTGTGGCCTCGACCGTCACTGGGAAAGCTGGTCCTCCGGAAGGTGCCCCCACTCAGAAGAAGGAGAAGAAAGCGAAACAGCCAAAGCCCCAGAAAGCGTGAGTACCTCTTTCAACATCAACAACTACCAGAAGACTAACAGTATGTCCAGACCACCAATTGAGAAGCCATTGTCCCCCGCCCTCATCGATCTTCGCGTCGCACACATCCTCAAAGCCGAGAAACACCCCAACGCAGATTCCCTTTACGTCAGCACAGTGGCATGCGGTGACGCCCCCGGTACAGACAACACGTCCGAGTACGAAGGTCAGGTAGTGCGAACCGTCTGCTCAGGTCTCAATGGCCTGATCCCGCTCGAGGAAATGCAGAACCGCAAAATCGTCGCTGTATGCAATCTCAAGCCCGTCACAATGCGAGGCGTCAAGTCCTGTGCCATGGTGCTTGCCGCTTCACCCCGCGTTGCTGAGGGCGAGGACAGCCACGGCGGACCTGTAGAGCTTGTGAGCCCCCCCGCGGACGCGAAGGCCGGCGATAGAGTTTTCTTCGAGGGCTGGGAGGGCGAGCCCGAGGGTCAATTGAACCCCAAGAAGAAGATTTGGGAGACCATGCAGCCTGGCTTCACTACCACGGATGGCTTGGAGGTGGGCTTTGATGTTGAAGCTGTGCCGCAGTTGTCAGGCGAGGGCGCGGATAAGAAGACAGGCGTGGCGAAGCTCAAGACTGCTGCTGGGCTTTGCTCTGTCAAGACCCTCAAGGGTGCTGTCGTGCGATAGAGAGCCTTGATGTGGTTTAAAAAAAGATGTATGCCATAGAACCAAGATACCAAAAAAATCACAAAGTTATATTCATTATGCCCATATCGCAAGCTTCGCTTTCTATGTTCAACGGTCGTTTACTTGACCTGTTGCACTACCAGACCCCTAGGAATTGCGACCACCCATCGCGGTATCAAACCAAACAATTCCACGCAAAAGACCTCAAAACTCCCAATTAGTTGTTCTTCTTAATCGCCTCCACGAACTCCTTGGGTGGCTCCTGATTATACCCTTCAGGGTTGTTCTTCGTCCACTTCCACAAATCGGCACACGCGTCCTCGAGCGTAAGCTCTGTCTTCCAGTTGAGCTCCTGGTTCGCGAGGGTGGGGTTAGCGGTCAGATCCAGGACGTCACCGGCGCGGCGAGGAGCGACTTCCACAGGCAGCGAGCGGCCCACGACATCGGAGAACGCCTTGACCATCTCGAAGACGGTAGACCCGCGACCGGAGCCCAAGTTCCAGGCCTTGACGCCGGGGGATTTCTCGCGCAGGTAGTTGAGTGCGACGAGGTGGCCGCGCGAGAGATCGAGGACGTGGATGTAGTCGCGGATTGCGGTGCCGTCTTTGGAGGCGTAGTCTAGGGGGTTTACCGTGTTAGCTTTGGGTGGATAGGAAGGTTCGATGAGAAGAATTGAATCTCTCTTTTTTTTTTCCTATTTGGGGGAAAGGAGAACATACCGTCGCCGAAGACGAGGAGCTTTTCCCGCTTGCCAATTGCGACTTGGGCGAGCAGCGGCAACAGGTTGTACGGGACACCGAGGGGGTTCTCGCCCATAACACCGCTAGGGTGCGCGCCGCTGGGGTTGAAGTACCGTAGCAAAGCGCCGTTCCACTTGTCAGCTCCCTTTTGATCACCCTTCTTGATCAAGTTGTTGCGTTGAGCGTTGACGTGGTCGGTGATGATGCCTTCGACGGTAGACTTGGTACGGCCGTAGGGGTTGGTGGGACCGATGGGGCAGTGCTCTGGGATGGGAATCATGTTGGGGAAGCGTGTGGCATCGCCGTATACGGTGGCGGAGGAGGAGAAGACGATGTTGGTAACATCGTGCTTGGTCATGGAGCGGAGGAGGGCGATGGAACCTCCAACGTTGACACGGTAGTATTCCAGGGGTATCTCTCCTGATTCTCCAACAGCCTGTTTGCGCGTCAGTGTTCTACTCTCTCTTTCCCCGGTCAAGATGAGATGAATTTAGAGCTACCTTGAGGGCGCCAAAGTGAATGACGCTGTCGATGTCGGGGTTCTCAGCAAAAACCTTGTCCAATGCGGCCTCATCTGTCATGTCGGCCTCGTAGAAGGCGGGTTTCTTGCCACATATCAATTCGATGCGGTTCAAGACCTCCTTGGACGAATTGTACAGGTTGTCGACAATCACGACCTTGTAATCGGCTTCCAGCAGGGCGAGGGCAGTGAAGGAGCCAATGTAGCCCGTTCCACTGGCTGATTGTCAGTTGATTGCTGGTGGTGATGGAGGGGCATGGTGGGGCAGAAAGGGTCCGAGTAGTGCTAGGTATATTTACCCTGTGACGAGGACTGAGCCGACAACCATTTTGTAGAGAATTGAAGGAAGGGTGGAAGCGGATACGTGGAGGATCTGGAGCTCTGGGATGGGGGAGAAGGATTCTACGGTACCAATTGAGGTTCTGTAGCGCAGTATATGTATGTAGCTGGCTTGGAAGGAGCTGGTGATTGTAGCGCCCTATCAAATGTTACTCACTATACCAAAAAAGCGGGCGGAAGCCTTACTGGATGCGATTTAGAGCCCCCCAGCGGCGATTCAGCCAGCCAGCCAGCCATTGATTTGAAAGCACGCACTGGACGACTATACTGCAAGAGGGCCGTTGTACTCTATTGAATGGTCGTGACTGTTTTGTGTTTGACATCATGTGCGGCAGTTGGAGACAACACTGGCCCGCTGCGTTGGAGGGAGGCATTGGGCCATGGCAGTCCCACAGCGTGTGAGCAAGCGAGTCTCATAGTAGGTACGTCCGACATTCCAGCAGTGCACAGCAATGCACATGTACCCTGGTTGTATCATCTGTCGACACGAGACGAACGAATAGAGACTACATGGGAGCTATGCTAGGGTGCCATTGAATGGTGGAACCTTGCTCTGCTCTGCATGATTTGCGTGTGCACCGTATTTAAGTACATACCGAGGTAGCTTCTCCACACGTCTAAACAGACTTCAATCGCTACTTCACACTCCAACTCTAACGCGCTTGCACATTTTGTGGCTCATACATGCTTGCATCCCTAGTTACATTACCTAAGTAGGTATGTATAGCTCTTGTGTCCCATCAACAAAGAATGCAATGTTTTCTTCCATTCCACAACCCATTCTTCTTCCAAACTGCATTCACCGCCAGCTTCCAAGGGTCGCTTGTTGAACATGAATAAGCGAGCGTCGCCTGGGCTGGAACGCGAACCACTCCTCACTCTTCGCGACAACTCACTCTCTCGTAACTTGTTGTCAACCACGCGCCAAGTGCCAGACCCTGCGGCGGGACGGTGCGCTTCCATCCCGTTATATATACTACCTTTGCATCCCGTACCTATTTACAGGTCTGTTGCGCCCATCGCCATCACAGCGCCCTATATCCTTTAAACTCGACGCGTCAAACTCCGAAGCTAGACCGTCCGACGTGTCTTTCTGCCGACCAACTGCGGAATAACCCTACTTTTCAAAGACCATTCCGATTTGCGCATTTGCCAGAGAAGAAGAAGAGAAGGATAGCTATTGTGCGTAGCAAGAGGTCGCACAATCTGCATTCACCTAGGTGAAACCCGTCTTGGGCAAACAGCGGGTGAGTTCAACTTTTGCCTCAGCTACATCTCCAAGCCCGCGGTGAAGGCTCAACTTCGATATATTGTCTTTTATTGTACTGTCCTGTGTGCCGCTTCACCTGCCGGCCAGTTTGCGTTTGTTTTGTTGCCAGACTACTGTTGTTGCCCCACTTTTTTTCTATTGTACAACATTTGAATACCACAATACCTCCAACACAACAACACTGACTATTTACTACTCACCAACTACCTACCCACCTCGTTCTCATATACCCCTCTACTTGCCTTCTCTCATACCACCTCGACACTATCCATCATAAATCAATTCTCACAACCCACTCTTTAGAAAGTCTACCAAAGGAGCTTTGCTACACCCCTCTCAAACCATGTCTCGAGCAGCAAGCCGCCTGGATGGCCCTTCTCAAACGCCTCGACGCTCCACGCGTATTTCACAGTCTGTTGCATCCCGGTCTGTTGTAAGCGTCTCCGAAGCTGGCACATCAGCAACACCCGGCGGCAAGGCCAAGAGCACTTTACCCAGGCTTAAGTCTCGTCAATCCACCGCATATGGAGCCAGCGGACGCGTCGGCGACGCCGAGGAGCTTCAAATTCCAGTCACGGGCTTCTCGCAGGCTTTCCAAGTGCAGCGAGACGCTGCCATGGCTCGAAAGGAACCACTGATGAGCGGCGCACTGGCCTCTGATCAAGATGAGCACTCGCCAACGCCTGCATCCAGCGATGCTGGCACCCCGTCACAACAAGATTACGAGAGCGAGGACCCGCCCACTGATGACGACGACAACAATGACGACCAGCAGCGAGAAGATCCATCGATCGAAGATTCGTCCATCGCAAACACCACCAAATCGTTCGGTATGTTGCGCGAGTCTGGAATGATGAGCACATCCAATTCTGTTCGTTACCGGTCTGGTGCCCTCCGAGCAGCACCCCAGACTCCCGTGCTGCCCCCACGTCGTCCCGAACCGCGACCCGCCTTTGTGCAGCCTCGATCAGTATCGAAGGCGCCAATCCGACCTCAGAATGGCTCTCCATTCATCCAACCACAGCCAAATGTGCGCCCACAAACTCATGCTGCCAATCCCGCCGCTTCTATTCCAGTTGAAGCCGAGCAGGTTCCAAAGGCAGGCGATTCTGGAATCTGGGCGTGGTTATCCAAGTTTCTCTATTCCCCCAAGTTTCTCTTTACTTTACTCTTCGCTGTGCTTATTGTATACATCACGGGCACTCCTAACTACAAGTGGGATGTATCCAAGCTGCGCCGCGCTGTCAATGAGATGACTTGGGTTCCACCTCTCCATAAACACGATCGCACATACGACGACATGTTTACCTGGCTGAAAACGAGGGACAACGATTGGTCGGAGCGGGTTCGTGATATGCGCATAAAGGTGGACGGTGTCAGCGAGACATTGGCTCGACTAGAACCACAACTTCCCGATATCCTTGTGGTCACCATGCAGCCCGATGGCTCTGTTCAGATTGGAGATGAATTCTGGCGGGCCTTGGAGGGCAGGATGCGGCGAGAAGGTTTTCAGAGTACCTCGGATGTCGACTGGGAGACATTCTTACGCAACAACGCCGAAAAGTTGGAGGCCGTCTTCAGAAAATCATACGACGCGTCGAAACCGCACCCGCACGCTCTGAGTCGCCAACAGGTCACTGATCTTCTTGATGAGAATTGGCGGAAGATGTCAGCTCATGTGGACAAAAGGATGGAAGAGGTTACCAAGACTATAAACAAGCAAGCCAAGATGGCTGTAGTCAAAGAGGCCAAACAGAGCTATGCCGATCAAATCCGCTTACAGTCACTGGCAATGACCAATCTGGTCGCAAACCTCGAACTTTCACTCAAGAAAGCTAATTACTTTGCTCGGGGTCTCGGGGCTACGATCAACCCAGATCTAACGTCGCCTACGAAGACCAAAGGCAATGCTTGGTTGGCCAATACTTATGGACGACTCATGGTCTTGCCTGAACGCCAACCTCCGTCTTCCGCGCTCGAAAAATGGGATGAAGCAGGCGACAGCTGGTGCGCACCTCCTGATGCTCAGAGAGACGGAAAAGTTCAGCTGGGCGTAAACCTACTGTCGCCCATATTTCCCGATCAAATCACAATCGAGCACATCCCTATGACCGCGGTGCCGGCCAAGAACATCGCCAGTGCACCCAAAAATGTAGAGCTCTGGGTCAAATCCGACGAGCCTGCCCGTCCACGTTACGGTTCTTCCGATATATGTCGGGGCAATGGTCTTCCGGGCTGGGTCTGTCTTGGCTCTGTTCAGTACGACATCTTCGGTGCCAACCACATTCAAACGTTCGATCTCCAGGCCGAATCTCCTGTCTCGATCGATCGCGCTATCGTGCGCATCGTTGACAACTGGGGTGCAGATCATACTTGCCTATATCGCGTCCGACTTCACGGCGCATTCGACGGCCCCGACCACAACTACGACGCTATCGAGTAACATGTCGCTCGATACGAAACCCCCTTTGTTGCGAATATCACGCCGCCAAACGAAAATTATCCACGTTGCTTGTCTGTTTCTATCGCACCATCCGCGCTTTTGCATGCATACATGCACGACTTTGCGCCTATATTGTTGCAAAACGAAAGAAAAAGTGTGAACGATACCAAAGCATGAATGGCTGCATGTCATCCCAAGGAGTTCTGGTTTTTTTTTTACTTTTCTCTTCCCTCGAATACCCCCATGTTTGTCTGTCTGTCTGTCTGATTGATTGATTGATTGTTTGTGCTTTTGCCTTAGATTTCTTCATCTCTCTGTTTCCTCATTCTGCCTGTGGCTTGCTTGATGGCGGCGTTGGGCTTTCTGGACCGTATTAGGAGTTGTATACCCCCCTCGCGTTCTCATGTATAAGCGGAGAACTTGGTACGTACGGCATGCGAAGATTACAAATACTTGAGTTGTCGATTCAAGACGATTGTTGAAAATTTTCAAACTGTTCCTCCTCCTTTCCGTGCTTGCTTGCACTAGACGATGTTGAAATGTGGCTTTTGATTACGCGGGATTTGCCTGCTCTCGCATGATGTGGAGGATGGCTGTTCACTGTACCTGAATTCCTTCGCTCGTCGATTGTGACTTCGATGTTGGTGGACCAGTATATAGGACTGACTTGTACATGTTCACTATCGAGCACTTACTCAATTACATATGTGCTCACTGAGTCCAACAACACTAAACATCATTACATCATCTCAGAACGTGGAATCATCACACATTCGGCATTCAAAGCAGCAAGACACGGAGAAATCCATCATAATCACATCATATTTTATTGTCACTCTCAAACGACTGACCACCAACCACGTCTCAGTTCCTATCTTCCCACTCTCCAAAGCACCACTAATCCAGCTTCCAATCCTTGTAAGACCACTTCTCAGTAAGCGTAACCTTACGCTTCTTAGCGTACGGGTGTTGCTTGCGAGCCTCGACTTTTCCACGGATCATCATGCTGCGCATGCGGTCTTTGAGCAGGTTGCCTTCGGGTTTGAGGCGGCGGAGGGAGTCTTGTAGTTCGTCGGGGAGCACGACTTCGAGAGGGGCTTCGGGGACACTGCGGAGGGTGGGGTTAGTAATTGTTTATGGGATTGTGTAGAGGGAGAGAGAGACTGGGGAGGACATACAAATGTTTTCCCAAACGACGTTTACGAAGCTCTTCATCGCCCGCGTCGTCATCGTCGTCGGCGGTAGTAGGATCATTTGGCAGCAGAGCGAGTTGACGTTTGATATCGGCACGCGCTTCTTCTTTTTCTTCTACGGACTTTGCGAGTTCCTTGATGCGCTGGAGTTGCTGTTCCTTAGCCTTCATTTGCGCGTTGTGCTTGGCGAGTCCTTCTGCTTCCTTTCTGCGCTTGATCTTGTTGCGCTGTGCCGGAGTTTTACGTTCTGGTCGTTTCGTCTTGAGTTTCTTGGACTCGGCGTCCTCGCCGTCGCTGAAGCCTTCCCATTCGCTCTCCCATGCGCTTTCATTGGCGTCTGAGTCTGAGTCTGACTCGACGAGTGCGCGCTCCATACGCTCTGCCTCCTCTTGCGCTTCTTGTAACCGCTTCTTTTCCGCTTCGACGGCTTTGTCGCTTTCGCGGGCGATGATGGCTTGCCAATCGTTGAAGTTGGGGTTGTACGATTTTCCTGCTTCTGGTTTGCGGACGGCGGGGATCGCTTTGCCGCTCTTGATCAGGGAAATAGGTTCTTGCTTGAGGGTGCTGGGTTCCCGCGTGGGCTTCTTGTCTTCCAGGAAACTGAACTTGGGGTCCTTCTTCGTCTCTTGCACCGCCCATGGGTCATAATCAGCCGTAACGCCTGTTTCCACAACATCTTTCTGCACTTGGTCTCCGCCGTACGCTATCGCTCTTAAACGATCGTAATCCTTATTCGTGACTCTGGTTTTCTTGCGTTTCTTTTCGTCGGCAAAATCGGAGAGGCGTTTGCGGGAGGATACGGCAGGAACGGCAGAGCGTTTGTTAAGAATCTCGTCGACTTTGAGCGGTTTGTGGCGCTTGCTGTACTTTGCTTGGATTTCAGTGGAGCCAGTGGTGTCGACCGCGAAGAGCTCGTCTGAGGTTTTCTCTGCGATGATACCGCTAATGAGAATTGAATGTCAGCTTCCATATGACACTTATGTTATATAGTACGGGGTAGGAATTACCCGTCAATTATTTGATCGCGCGCTTCTTCCAGTCCGGATTGGATTTGCGTGACATCGACATTCTTTCGCCAGGCCTTTTTGCCCTTTCGACTAGGCTGCTTGTACTGCGCTGGTGCTGACTCTGCGGTAGCCATGATATTTTACCAATTTCCTTTCGTTATTAATCCTGCTGTTGTCGTGACTGGGTTTTTTTTTCGTTTTGGAAAGAGAAAATTGGGTATATGAGAAAGGTCTCGGCAATTTGGCGGCGTTCAAAAATGTTCGGACCCCATTGATCCCGGTAATCCGCTAACCCAGATTCGGCTCAGACTGTCTGTTGTGTCGGTCTGGTCGTCAGGCTTCTGGAACTACAGCAACTGCTTCAAGTATCGGTCTCCTATTCACGCCGCTACGCCACTCCCTTCCATTCCTACCTGCACCCTCGACCTCCAGCCCCGCATTCTCCGATATTTCTCGACCCTTTCTCACGACTTGCACAATCGGTTCACGGCTCACTTTTACATCATCATGGCGCAATCCGGTTATTCAAACCCTTTGAAGAAGTTCAAGTGAGCTTTCCTTGTGGTCGCATGCTCGTAAATACCTAATACTGATTGTATACAGGCTCGTGTTTCTGGGAGAGCAAAGTGGTGTGTACAATCACAGACATTTAATGCACAATAGGAGATGTTGGAAGAAAGGAGGCTGATTGTCTACAATAGTGGGGAAAACATCTCTAATCACACGGTTCATGTACGATTCATTCGACAACCAATACCAGGCGACAATTGGCATCGACTTTCTGTCAAAGGTGTGCTTACCCTACCCTTTGTCTCGTCGACCTCACTCTCCTCTTCGGATTCTTACAGTTCTTGCAGACTATGTACCTTGAGGACCGAACCGTCAGGCTTCAACTTTGGGACACTGCTGGCCAAGAACGATTCCGCTCTCTCATTCCTTCCTACATTCGAGACTCTTCCGTCGCCGTTGTTGTCTACGACATTACCAACAAGAAGACCTTTGAGAACACACGCAAATGGGTGGACGATGTACGTGGCGAGCGGGGCAACGATGTCATCATTGTGTTAGTGGGGAATAAGACGGATTTGAACGACAAAAGGGAGGTCACGACACAGCAGGGCGAGGAGGAAGCGAAGAAGAACAACTTGATGTTCATCGAGACAAGTGCAAAGGTGGGGCACAATGTGAAGACACTGTTCAAGAGGATCGCGCAAGCGCTACCCGGAATGGAGGGGGAGGGGCAGCAGGGGCAAAGCCAGAGTACGTTGAATCCCGCAGGCCCATTTTGGGGGGAGATGCTGATAATAGTGTGCAGTGATCGATGTCAACATCAACCCCAGTCAACCTCAGGAGAACAACAACTGTGCATGCTAGGTGTGATCAATTCCATATTCAGGAGCGTTTGCCCTTCGCTTAGACTTTGTAATTACTTGGGTACTTTTGCGACTTGGTGGGATGACTTTGTGAGCAAGGCGTTAGGGCATCAAGCATGCATGCAGCAGCAGCACGACTTCCCCACATGGGAGAGAGCTTGTAATTTATAGTATATCAGTCAGCCACTCTTCGAAGCATGGTTCGAGAGAGAAATGAAGCATCATGCAAAGCGGACAAGTTTGTGATTCATATTCAGAAGACTAATTCGCTCTATCCAGTCTCGAGATGGTCCAGAACCTCCAAAGGGAGCCGCCTCTCGATCCGGAACATTATGCCATTCCCTAAACGCCGGCCTAATGACTCTCGACTAAACTCTACTTTTACATGTACAGGAATAAATACATTGAGCTGTGATCAGGCGTGAACAGGGTTCTCAGCACACCTCGTATCGCGCACAGGTGATGGGGGATGTATATGTCAGCGGAGTGCTTTATTCGATTCCGCCCGTTGAACCGGCGTCAGAGGCTGCTTTGCTGCCGCCAACAGGAATGCTAGTGTCGATGGCAATCATTTCGGCGAGGATGTCGAGGACGGGCTAGAAGAGCATTAGTAACACTTCAAAAAGGCTAGTGGGGCGGTTCATACCTTGGGTACGGTCTTATCGTAGATGTTGATAAGCTCCCTGGGGTTGGGGTAGACCTTCAATGCGCGGTAGAAGCAGAGGGCTGCCTCTATCGAATCTTCGCCTGCCCATAAATCAGCATCCGTCTGCATGGGATCAATGTCCGGGATACATACCGGAACCGCACATGCCCTCTCCCCGTGCAACCTCCTGCATGAAATAGGACTCAATCTCTTCTGGGTCCTTGGGATAACCCTCCTCATTTGCGCGCTCAACAGCCTCCTTAATCGACTTCTTCTGCTCCTTTCCCTGTGCCTCGGCCTCCTCCTTCGCGGCGCGCGCCTGTTTTTTCGAGTCGCGTTTCAACTGCTTGCGGAAGTCGGGATCGTTGCGCCGGCGGTGGTCGAAGTAGACGGCGTATGCGATGAAGCTGGCGGCAATGGTGCCCACGCTGATAGCGGCGATGGTCGAAGGCCTCAGGGACGACGATGACGACATAGTAGCTGAGAACCGGGTGTGTTCAAATGGAGAGAAGAGACGAAGTGATGATAGCCGAGAGAGAGACAGAAGATCGAGAAATTAAACGGAGAATGGAGAAGTGATGGGTGTGGTGGTTTAATGAGATGGTGTCGAACTTTTTTTGGATCGGGGAAGGGACGGAGTGAAAAGGCCCGAGCTTCTTGTGACGGGGATGGTTAGTAGGCAGGCGTCTAGTAACAGATATAGGCCATACCACCATTACGCGGTGGTGGCAGGCTAATACACCAAACCAACACCTGTCATTCACTGCGCTTGATTTGACCTCTCCAAACGCACCGCCCGGCCGCCCTCCAATTGACACAAATCTACGTCCTTGCTAGCACCAATCATGTCGGAAGACCGGGAGAAGAAGGGTATCTCCCTCCGCAAGAAACGTACAAAGGACCGCTCCGGGAAGGGCAGCAATCGACCAGCGCCTCAAATCAGTGCTCCACTGGAGATCAGTGGTCCTCGGCCTGCCGGTCTTGCTGCAGCTCCTGGCCCTGGTCCGGGACGACCTTCCAACGACTCGAGTCGGTCAGGACGACCACTGGATGCACCCCGAGAACGCCCGCAAAGAAACAACACCACAGCAGAGTTAGTCAAGAGAAGGTACTCGGCAAAGATAACTCAGCTTCCCTCAGACTTCCCTGGAAATGGCGCTCCTATGCCAGACATGCCGAAGCTGCCTGCTCAGTTTCAGCAACAGCAGCCTCCGCCACCATCGAGAGACGGACGACCTCCGGGAGCCTCAGATCGACCAGGCGTGAGGCCAAACATACAAGCGCTACAAGATCCGAATCTGAAGCCGGACTATTGTGGGTACCACTTACTCGACTTTGGGTCTATATATTGATGTCCGAAAAAGATGTAGGCAAGGCGCTCGCAGACGCATCCGAAGACGATATTCGTAGGTTTCAAGATGATCTTCGCAAAGTTAAAAACCGGACCTCGCTAGATCTGCAACACAACGTATATCAGAATCGCACACAGTTCATCAAGATCAGTAAAGAGGCGGAGAAACTAAAGGGTGAAATGCGCACCCTCAAGCAGCTCATGTCTGAATTAACGGCGACCCTGGGACAGACCACATCTGGGGCAAATCAAAATGGAGATGCCATCACAGCGCGGAAGGCGGCAAATCGTAGTTCGGTTGCCAATCTTGAAGCGTTATGGAATTCACAGCTCCATCAGCTATGGAAACGGATTGAAGGTTCGCAAAAGTATTTACCCGCAATTCCTGGGCGCCATGTGGTTTGGGAATCAAGAAAATGGGTCGAACTGAATGCTGCAACGTGGAAAGCTCGACGGAGAGTGCATATCATCCTGCTGAACGACCACCTTCTCATTGCCGCAGAAAAAAAGCAACGAGGTGAAGGCGCTCAAAGCTCACGCGATAAAAAGCCTGCTGCTGAGTGGATGGCCCAGCGATGCTGGCCCCTACAGGACGTCCAGCTAGCAGACCTGTCGCCGAAGAACAAACCAGGTGGGCAAGACAACAAATCCAGCGCCGCCAATGGTATCAATATCCGTGTGGGGAGCGAGTCTTTCACATATGCCGTATACCCAGGCGAGGATCAAAATAAAGTCCAACTCCTATCTACCTATCGTAAAGCAGTAGAGGATTTACGCAAGACCCAGGAAGTCGAGATCGAAGAGCGAGGAAGGGCGCAAGACTCGTACAATTATTTCGCCACACGAGATCCCAACATCCTTCAGAAGAAGGAATTGATGGAAAGCTTGTCAGAAAATGCCGCTAACAACCGCGCGAGTATGTTTGTGGATATTGAGGGGAAACAGCAGAGTATCCGCTCCGTAGAGACTCAGTTGGACGAACTGGATATTGACATTGCATTACAAAACTTTGAAAGTGCGGTCAAAAAGGTCGAAAAGCTGAAGTCAATGGCAAAGGGTATACGAGGGAACTCCATGGCCCAAAATATCGTCACATTCAAGGTCAATGAACGAGCCACGAAATCAGCCAATATTCTTATCAGACGACTGGTGTCTGAGAACAACTGGACAACTGCGGTCAAACAGCATGTCACCTGGATATCTCGTTTAGGATATGAAGACCGAGCACGAGAAGCTTACCTAGAAGCTCGTGGCAACCTCATCAAAGCACGGTCACGGTACATTCTCCCACACAACTTCTCGATCGCTAGTAAAGCTAACACCTATTCAGGCAATGCACTTTTGAGGGAAATTTGCCCGATTACATCTTTCAAATTTCGTTTATTTACTTCACAATTATCAAGAACACGGTCGACATTTACCAGAAATGTTTCACGCAGACCTTGATGTCTGCCTGCGTTAAATGGGCGAAAGAACACGTAGACGCTTTCAATGCACTCCTCAAGCGGCAACTGAGCAGCGTCGATTCGAGCAGCCCCGTTTGGAAGGAATGCATGGATCAAGCGCGCGAACATATTACGACCTTGAGAGAGGTTGGGTTGGACTTTTCGGAGTTGGTGGGGAAGGGGTTCATAGAGCCAGAAGTGAAGCCGGTAGGGTTGGGGCTGAGCTCGTGAGTGTATCGACGTGAGGAAACACCGCATGGGAGTTGCCCTGATCATGGAATATAGCTGATTTAATGATTCATGAAACATATAATATGCCTTCCTCAGCTCCTCTGTACAGATAGATGGAAACATGAAGGAAAATGCTTCTTTTCAATGTAGGATAAAGTGGCGCGACATGGAACAAGAGCCCGTCTCCGTTGCCCGATAACAGCCCTGTGTCGTACAATCATCAAGTCGTCGGTAGTGTAAATGAACGTGGGCTTGTCTACATGCTCCGGTCAGGACGACCGTCCAGCCCTAGCGACGACAATGCGTTGGGCGTCATCGTCATGGTGAGCTTTACCCAGGGTGCTCTTAGGAGTTTACCATCATTTTTAGCACGATTCTGCTCTCTCACCTAACCAACTTTTACTTGTTCACAGTGCTGTGCCAAGAGCAGAGTTCATTTGTATCGCAAAGTCCTCACTTCACGTTTACTCATCGAGTGAATCTCTTCACTTTGAACTTCCTCCAATCCAGATCTCTCCGCTATCTGGTTCACTTTGAACTTCCTCCAGTCCAGATTTATCCGCTATCTGATTCACTTTGAACTTTGAACTTCCTCTAGTACAAATTTCTTCGCTATCTGATTCACTTTCACTTTCACCCTCATCAAGTGATCGACGCTAGGTAAACTTGAAAACCCAGCGCCATTCCTACTCTTCTTCCACCTACCCCCCACTCCAAAAGACATTGTTCCTCTGATTTGCTGACCACAGTTGTCTGCAGATTCCACTACAGTACGGACTACCAGCAAGATGCCTACTACAGAAGACAATATCAACTTTCTCTATCTCATCATCACCGAAGATGATTCGCCAGCTGTACGTATCACCAACAGGGCTTAAAGACTTAATGCTAATGCACAACAGCTCGACATGGATACCATAGCGACGAAGCTTGGTTTGAACAAGGCAGCGGCTTCCAAGCGCTGGTCGCGCCTCAAAGGTGCTATGAACGCGGGCGAGAATCCGGGTCCCAATGCTTATAAGTTCTTGTGGCTGGCCTTGAAGCACTCCCAGCGATCCAAGGTAACATGCAACGAGACAACGACACACTTCTTTGCGTATCAAAGCTAATCAAGATGTGTCAACACAGACTCCAGACTGGAAGGCAATCGCAGCAAAGTGCAACACCACCCCAGGCGCAGCAGCTAAACGTACGTATATATGTCGCAAAACAAGATACCCCTTAGGCTGCGGGTTGAAGCTCTGAACGTTTGTTGAAACGTACTGGCGTGCATTATACTAATTTCGTAACCACTATTGTTATAGGCTACTCGCGCATGAAAACCGCCTGGGAGAACGGTGACGATCCAAACTCACCCCCCAAAACCGCGACGCGCAAGCGTGGTGCTTCCACGTCCACCAAGAACGCTACAGTCAAGGATGACGACAACTTCAGGTACACTCCAGACAGCGATGATCAGAAGACGGACGCCAACTACAAGCCCTCCAAGAAGAGAAAGACGGCTACTCCGAAGAAGGCTACCCCAAAGAAGCTGCCCGTTGCGAAAACTGTCAGCCCCAAGGAGATTGCCGCCAGCCCCAAGAAGGAACCTCAGGAGACCCAGGTATCCGACATCATCCAAACCGAGCCAAACTCTGCTGCAGATACATTCACGTTTGAAGACGTCTATGCCGGTACCAACAATATCTACAGCGGCACTCTAGGTGGCCTCAACGCAAGCGGCACTGTCCCCAATCTCAACAACGGCCTCGCCATCAACAACATCGCTTCCCAACCTTCCACCGGTGACGCCGATTTCAACTCTCACTTCATGAGCCCAATGTACACCCACCAGCAGGCCTACTATAACCCAGCCCCTCAAGCTTCCTTCAACGGCACGGGTGGTATCGCCACGAGCAATGCGAGCATGAGCAACCACTACACCATGCCCGCATACCTCTCTGCCGCCACTCACGCTGCACCTTCCAAGCCTATTCCCGCTTTCCAGGATACCGATCTGTTCCCCGACCTCCTCGATTTCGGCGGATACCGCAACACCGGTGTTGGCATTGACGGCAATGTCGCTGCTTCTGGCGTCACTGGCTCAACTCCTGCTGAGATGGTCACGAACAATAACACCGGCGATCCCGCTGTCTCCGATGGCTACAACGCCCAGGTCGGCTCTCAAGCTCGTAAGTCTTTTTTCTTCTCATTTTTCTTTTGTCAATTTCTTTCATGTGTAGATGGTTGGTTGACGTTCTGAGGTTGGTTTGTCAAGTCGACGAGGGCGATGACGAACCATCTACCCTCGCTTCTACTACCGCCGAGTCGTCATCGTGGTTCACGAGTGTGAAGAAATCGATTTCCGACTTTTTCTAAAACATATACGGAGAACTTTACTGATCAATCTGTGGTTTTCAGGTCCTGTCAACGATCTGTTCTCATCTTCTTCCTCCTCTGGATGGATGATGATGATGAATGGTGACGAGGAGGTTTGAATAGAGAGCTTGCTCTCTACTTCTTTCTCTCTCTGTCTGTCTTCTACTTCGCCCGGAAAGCGATATTTCCACTCTACTGACTCCCTGTTTATTCACGGAAAACTGACTTTACTCAGGGAAATTCCGAGACAATGTTGACGGTCTGGCGTTCTACGGATGTGTACGTGGATGCATGCATGGAACTATCATGAATGTTTCTTTTTTTCTTTATCTCTCATGTTATCAGAAGGTTCGGGTGTTCATCGATGGATCGAGTTCCAGTACCACATGCATAAGTGGATAGGAAATAAAGGAATTTCAATGCTGCTATAACAGTACTTCGAGTTATCGTGTTATCATGGTAGTAGTGTGTGTGAGATCTGACGATAGTAAAAGTTGACCACACAGAAAAATGACCATCGTGTCAGTGACACAAATTGGGTACAACGTTCTACTATTGAAATGAAGATCTGTTCTTCCGGTGTATCATAACTCAGTGCTCCATTGTCTATTGACGACAGCATGTCAAGCATTATTAAAGTGTGATTGAGTTTTTTTGATTGGAAGTTACAGTGGTTCCTACACCTAAAAAGTATTTAAAAAGGTAACAAAAAGTAGGCAGGGACAAAAAGTTTCAGTGTGATTGATGTTCGTTATGCTAAAGCACTCAAACACATTTATCCCTAGTTTGTGCACGGTACCGTAAGATCTGACCTTTAAATAGCTGCATGGGGTAGCTAGAGTAAGTACAAGCCATTCAAGAAACAGGGGCTACTGTACATTCAAGGAGCACAGATCCACTAAGTAGCTACTGTATGAAACGCCAGACATCATGATATAGTGCCTGTGGTGTGTGACGGTGTATATGAATGCCGCGCCTCTGGCATACTCAGAACATCAATTCTGAATACACGAACTCGAGGTAAATAAGGGGGAAACACGATATATAGAATATACAAGGAGAATTGTGGCACAATGCTACTTCTGCACGTATGTCCAAGGGACGCAGTATTCTCACATCCAAGAAGTCGTGAATATGTACTCGTGCATAATAGCAGATATAAATCGTATTTGGATAGATATGTTTTCAGGGAAGTCCCTGGGTTTCCATACACTACGGCCTTTCCTTCCCATCCTACCTCTTTGCGCTCTTGAATGGCGAAAAGGAAACAAACTCCACTCAAGGTTTTTGTCTCTTAAGGTTCCAGCAGGAGCTTTCCAGTGGTCTTGCGCGACTCAATGTCCTCAGTGGCGCGCTTGACGTCTTTTAGCGGGTACACATCGTGAATCTTGACGCTCAAACCATCCTTCTCGATAAACTTCCAGAGTTCGTTGGCATAGGGGAGGAGCTCTTCGCGAGAGGTGATGTAGCTGGTTAGCGATGGGCGGAGGAGCTTGATGTTTTTGTCGGTGAGACGGCTAGAAAACGCCTCAATATTAGTATTGGGTTGACACCGCGTGGGCTTCATGTACACTGATCCTCAAGGAGAGTAGGATAAGGAGTGAATGAAGAAGAAACACCCACCTCAAGGCAAATCCAGTAACCGGCCCACTGGCATTCCCAAAACTAACCATACTTCCCATCCTCTTGACAACCTTGAGCGAACTATCAAACGTCGCTTTCCCCACGCTATCAAACACAGCTGCAACCCCCTCGCCCCCCGTAATCTTAAGCACCTCCTGCACGAACTTCTCCCGATCCTCCTCGTAGTACCCGAGCGTGACCTCAGCGCCATTCTGCTTAGCTAGCTCGCGCTTCTCGGCCGTTGAGGCCGTTGCAATCGTCTTAGCTCCCACAGCTTTAAGAAGCTGGCACAGCCAGAGCCCAACGCCGCCAGCGGCCGCCGTAACTAGAATCCAGTCGCCGGCTTGCACGGGGTGGGATTCTCGGATGAGAGTGAGGGCTGTGAGGGCTTGAATTGGGGAGGCAGCGGCAGTTTTGGTGTCGATGCTGGAGGGGAGAGGCATCACTTTGTCGGAGGTCGCGCGGACGTACTCGGCGTAGGAGTTTCCGGAAAAGTAGGCTACGCGTGTGTTTATTTTGAGATCAGAAGGGGTGTTTGGACCCAGAGCGGCGATGGTGCCTGCGCCTTCGCGGCCTAGGGTGTAGGGGAATGATGGCGGGTTGTAGACTCCTGAGCGAAAGTATCTGATGGAATACTGTCAGTGCCTATGTCGTTCATGTCGCCCATATTGGGAGAAAAAAGTTGCATTATTGTTATATCATCGTTCCCTCGGTGCGGGAAGAAGGAGAAGAGGAACTCACGTGTCAATGTAATTGATCCCGATGAACTCATTCTTAATCAACACCTCCCCATCCTTCAAATCCCCAGGCACGGGAACATCGCGATACTGCAAAACATCCACTCCACCCGTCTGATCGATCTGCACCGCCTTCATCGTCTTCGGCAATTCGGCCATTGCGCTCGTGCTTTTAAATGCTTTTAACCTAGGGGCTGCAGAGAATTGTGCGCTTAAGTTTGCTAATTTTGCTTTCGCGGTGATAGTCGCAGCAGTCGATGGCAGCAACAAGCGACGAGATGTGGTGATGCTATGACGCGGGATGGTGGGGAAAGAGGAGGACATGGGATGACCAAAGTGCACCACTTTATTAGATTAGGTAAGAACGGTTGAAGTGGGGGGGAGGGAGAAACGAAGCTACGGCAGGTGATGGATCACGCAAGTTGAATGGACGATTTGGTGATGAATATATAGGGAGTTACGTACCTAACGTCCCCGCCATGCCCCGCGCCCTATAGTCAAATGGCCTAACTCCGCCTAACGGCTGGGAATTAGCAAGCCATACGGTGATTAATAATAAAAGTAGATATACGCCCTCCACTGTACATCTAGCCGGGATGCAATATTGAAATTTACGGCACACAGAGGTAATTGGGAAAGGTACGCACATCACTGTCAGAAACCGGCGATTAATAATACGTGGACCAAATCTCGTAACATACCTAATACTCCTGCAGGTGCTGGAGAGCTCGATCACTAGAATAATCATAGCTACTCCGTGCAGCATTCTACGAGGTTTAGTCCAGCTAATATTTACCAATTCAATGGTATTGTGAAGGAACGCATTGATCACTCGACCGAGGACAGACTCAAAGGGGTACGAAATCAGGTATGTTGGAGTGAACATATGAAGTATACATGTACACGAAATGACACGGAAGATGTTCGTGTCGTTCGGGAATAAAAAAAAACAGAGCAAGTGGAAGATACATAAAAACATGGGTATATCCGGATCTATGGATTATAAACGACAATTGCAGATTTAACCCCTTCATGCATCCACGTAGCAAAAACCCCATAAATATATACATGTATGAATCACTCTCCTATCTGTCCATGTAATCGTCTCGCTACATTCTCAAGAAAGCTCGACGACAAAATGCAATAGATCAATACCTGCACTAGCTCGCCCATTACAACACCATCAGAGCAGCGAATCCAAGAGCGACAGCCGACATCCATCCGCTAGCAAGCACTGAAGCAGCAGCGTTCGTGTTCAACGCCGGGCTGGAGCTTGCGTTTGCGGAGGGGGCAGCAGCTGGGGCAGAGGGGGGTTGGTTCTGGTTTGTGGACGGGGCGGTAGGGAGGACGGGGGGAACGACGGGAGCGCTAGGAAGAGTCACGGTGGTGGAGCTGTTACCCGGTGCTGCTGGGGTTGTGCTGTTTGCGCATTCCGTCTCGTTCTTGAAGGGGGCTTGAACGGGAGCGGTGCCATTAAGCGAAGGCGTGGTGCCGTTGGAGGGGGTCAAGGTAGTGTCGGGCTTCGTCTTGTTGCTGGGCGCACTGGCACCATCGTTGTTGGAAACAATCTTCAGCTCAAGGTCCTTCAGTTCATCGCCCTTGGTTCCCTTGACAGCCTTGGGGCACTTGGTATCCGTTACTTTTACGATTTTGCCCTGGGTAGGCTTTTGGATACCGTTCTTGATGATGTCCTCACAGCCGGGGCAGACAGCGGGAATCGTGAAGTTGGAGTCGAATGCCTTGTTCTTGATGAGCTTGGAATCACACTTGGGTGCTTTGATGGGTGTCTGGGGAGCCTCGAGCTTAGACATGTCGAGCTTGGAGTAGGCCTTTTGGAGGTTGTCAAAGTCTGCACGGAGCTTGACGGTTCCATCCGTGTTCACATCAACAAGACCGTAGTTGTTGGCTTCCTGCGAGTACTCGTAGACAAGACCTCCGCTGAGCGTCTTCATCTTCTCGCTGTAGAGAGTGGCAACTTCCTCAAAGACACGGGGCTGCACTTCGTTGCAACCGTATTCGGAGAAGAAGACGGGAACGCTGCTATCCTTGAACATGTCGACGAGCTCGCTGTAGCCGGCTGATTCGAATGTGGCACCGCTGCCACACCAGCTGTAGGAGTTCAAACCGAAGAAATCACTTTCCGAATTGTCCGAGTTGTCGCACTGCATATACGCCCAAGTATCCTCGAGAATTTCGCGCACTGTATATGTTAGCCTCTCAGTCGATGGTTCGGAATGGACAAAGCTTACCATCGGCAGCACTGTAAGCGACGGGGATTTTCCTGTCGACGTTGGCTTTGATGTAGTTCTTCAAGTCACGCTGCACAGCACGGATGTACTGAGGGTTGATCTTGCCGGTTTCCATATCATTCATGACTTCGTTGGCTGCGAAGAAAGCAAGTGTGTTGGGGTAGGACTTGAAGTTCTCAACTACGCCGAAGATCCTGGTCAGGTAATCCTTGTGGTAGCTGGTCCACGGCTCGAGCCTGTTGATAGACTCTCCGCTCTGGGGGCCGTTCACGTCGAGGATCATGTAGATTCCAGCGGCATTGAAGATGCTCGCGCAGTCGTCGTGGTTCAGAGTGGGGTCGACATTGTACACGCGGATTGTGTTGACACCCAGGCGCTGCAACATGACGGCATCACGAAGGCAAATTTCCTTGTCACTCAAGGCATCGACCTTTTGATCGGGCTTGTAACCTGCCTGGCCGCCTGGTTGGTAGTCGGCTCCGACGATCATGAAACGCTTGTTGGTAGTGGGATCGATGAAGTCACGGCCCTGGACCTCGATGGGAGTGACGGCCACAGCAATGCCTGTAAAGAGGGCAGCGGCAAGCGCAAGGGATTGTGAGAGCTATCAATAATCATGTTAGCGAAATTCATGTATTAGATTTCCTTCTGCATTGGGCAAATGTATTGGTCTGACCGACTGTAACTTACAGAACGCATGTTTCAAGTGTGAGGTTAAAGTTGGGTAGAAGTTGAAGAGAAGATGACTGTTTAAATATTGTAGCGATGCGATTTATCAATCGATCGAAGAAGATAGGTGAATGAATGAGTGCAAGGACGTTGGGTCAACAAAAAGTGAATGAATGGAAGCGACTGGCGCAGACAACAACGACCGATGGATGATTGGTAAAGACGGTGGTGGATAAGGAAAAAAAAACTGAAGAAAGATGTCAACGGAAAGTATGAAAGACTGAGGAGAGAAGGGAGCAAGACAAACGGGCGGAAGCATATTATTACTCTTGCAGATCCGCGATGGGCGCATACATGGCATTCTCCGCAGCGGGTCTGCCACAGGCTGGCGAAGGCAGGTCGAAACCGCCAGGCCTCCGGCCCATGGCCTAACGTGATCTCCGACAAGTGGCTGTGTGGAGCGCTGTCCAATCATTCCCTGTCCTATGAATCAGTTTCTATTACGGGGTCCAGAAAATCCCGCTAGTGTTTCCGATGTCCGCATGGTTCACCCAAGAATGAATTGATATGATTCGACCACGCCCGTGTCTTCTCTCGACAAGGCAGTAAACGACTTCGCGACTGTATTTCCATCATGCAGGCTTTCTTCATATTACAACCCCAAAATGTCCACGCCGCAATTCCTCTACCGCCAGTTACTTCGACTCGTCATCGCCCTCCTCTGCAGGCTTTGCCGTTGAGGGTTGCTCTGCCTCATCCTTCACTTCTTCTTTGCCTTTTGCCTTGTCATCCTTCGCTTTCCTCTCGCTCTTCGGCTTCTTCGCTTCCTCTGGGAACAGCTCGGCGAAAAAATTGGGTAGAAATCGGTTAATGCGCTTCCAAGTCTCATTCCACATCTCTTCTCCTTCAGGTTCTTCCTCGGGTGGTGCTAGATATCCGCCGTTGGACATCACAAGCAGCATATTCTTCAGGTTCTCCGATACCGCCTCCTCCTGTGTCATGTCAGTGGTGACATTCAACGGATTTCACTGGTCCGAGGAAGACTTACTAGGTTATCACCTTGCCCGCTATTGATTAGACGGTCCATGATGGTGACGATTTTCAGCCACAGGTCAAGCAATTCATCCGTTTCGGAGAGCATGCCCAGGTAATGTAGATACACTTTGGAAAGCAGCGTAGCTGCACGTACCCGTGTCTCGCTCATGCCCAGTGGGTCAGATTGATATACCTCTGGTTTGAGCAATTGTGTGATGAGAGGGAACAAGACCTCCTTGAAAATGGCTGTCCACTCGCTGTGATCTTTGGATGCAAGTTCGTTTGACAATAGTGTCCGCTGTAGTGAGCCGAATGCATGCTGTCGAATCTCTCGGCAAGGATTAAGGCACTGGTGTGTTAACGTCTTAAGGATAGGCGACCAGTAAGCTGTCCACGCTGTACCTGGTTAGTAATAATGACCACAGCGGCTCAAGGTTATGCTCCGTACCTTCTTTTGCTTCGAGCTGCGATTGCTCAATGAAAGCGGGCACACGGCTTGACATTTGGAATACAATTGTCATCGCTGTACTTCCACGGACTACTACCTCGTTACTTCTATATAATGTTAGCATCCCGGGTGATAAATTTTCAATCGCGGCGCATACTCAGGCTTCTTAGATTTGGATGCTTGCCCGCGTTTGATAGCTTGATCGTGCAATTGCTCTTCTCTAGCTCCAACTTGTGCTGCAGTGGCAAACTCGTTAAGGAGCGCTATCGCGGCCTCGTAATTATCGGCTGTAATTCCAGGCTGCGCTGAAGTAGTAAGATCCTCGACCAGCTGGAACACATCGCCGGCGACCTCCGGCACCTGGTGCAAAGTATTCAAAAGGGACCAGAAGTCTGGTGAATTCGCCAACTCTATGCGAAGGCCATTTGGTCCTTTGCAACATTCCGAGAGTCCCTTTAGGAGTGGGTCTGCGCATTGCTTGAGAAGCTCCTTGTCGAACGTGGAGAAGGTATGGAGGAGAATAGGAGCCCTGATGAAATCGTAGTCCTACAATTGTTAGTTCGATACCTGATCAAGAGTTTGTCGTTGACTTACATTGCTAGCTTTGAGTATCACCAAGAGATAGTATACTGCCCGTGCAACGACCACAGGGTGAAGTTTGGAAGCATTCCTGATTACAGTCGACAATGCATCGGCAACGTCCTTTGCAAGCTCCTTCACAGTTTCCTCGTCTCGAACCGCAAGCATAGTTGCTAATTCGAGAACAAACACCAAGCTCGGGTCGTATGCGGGGCGGTTAGGTTTCGCTCTGTTGCCATTGGTTCGAGGACTTGGTTGCGATGGCACTTCCGGTTTCACCACAATGACGCGTGGAGAACCATCCTCGGGGATCTGCTCCAACAAAGACATGAGCAGGGAGCGCAGAGATTCTACGGGAAGCTGGCTTATATTTGCCAGGATGTCTTCGAAGTGACATTCTTTGACGGTGTCTACTGTGCACAGCGTGTATTCAATCTCTTGATCGGATGGTTCGGGAGGCTCATCATTGGCGAAACTCGAAACATAGGATGTGAGAGCTGAGAATATACCTGCGTCGGCAGGCCTTTCGGCTCGATCGATAACTTGGGCAGGGCTTTGGAGAGGTATCGGTGGTAACGCCAAAGTTTTTTGGAACGATAAGAAGTAGGGGGGGATCAGCGAGTTGACAAACAGGTTGACCATGATATGAATGAGCTAGTTTGGTTAGTATAACAGCAGATGGCGTGTTAGAGATGGTCTTACATGATTCCATCCATCACGAATAGATGCTTCACTGCCCTTAATCACTTGGAACAGAACAACCGTGGCCAATTGTGCCCTTCCATCTCGCCCAAACCTGACAGCCGTTTCGCTGACCATGACGCTCTTCTTCTCTACTTGAACCTCAGTGTTCAGCGCAGTGCTAGGAGGGATGTCCGGCGCCAATGTGCTAATATACGAAAGACAAGAGATGATGTGATCCAGTGCGTCACTTAGCCCAGCTTTTGCAGCGATTTGTGCACACTGGTCGAACCCAGTGACTACACGAGAGAATACTGCATCGTCCGTGGCGGACATGAACACGTATGATAAGGTTGCAACGATCGGTTTCCATGTTGCAGCGAACATGTCCGCATCGAAAATGTTGGTATCGCATATTACAAGATCGGGCGTGGACTGTATTTTGATCAACAACTCTTTCCAAGCATGATCGTACGCATGGCGATCCCCGTGTTCTTCGGGAAGGATGATTTCGCGAGTCTTGATGGATTCAAATATAGCGCGCAGGAAGTCGGGGTTGAAATCTTTCCCGTCGTTGACGCCCCTCAGATTTTTAGCAAAATCTTCGAAAGCCATGCGCTTCGATTTCAAGTTTGGGTTGTGCTGATCGGTGTTGAGCATGATGACTGCATAGATAAGGACATAAATCGCATCTTTGTTGGCGATGTCCTCTGGTTGTGCCTGTTCGTAGTATTGTTCCGAGAATTCTGTCACGATTCTCTCGATCAACTGGGACTCTCCTGGTAATCTGAAGGAATTGAGTAATTGCCTCAGCGCTTCATCAACACGAAGACCCTTGAAATCAAACAGGGACATGAAAGCGTGGAGTAAGCCCTCATTTGATCTTTTGGAGATGAACTCTCCTAGTACTTTTTTGTCAACCCGAGTAGTTCCTTTGACAAATTCGGCAATACATTTGGGGTCGTCTGGGTTCTTGATGATTCCCTGCGACGCAAGGAATGCTACGCCACCCTTCGGGCTTTCATTGAACTTCGTAGCGCCACGAATGATAATCTTCTTCCGGGCTCGTTGTTCTCGGAGCAAATCCGGGCTCGGGAAGCCTTCTGTGACTGGCTCATCTTCAAGTCGATCTGCCATTGATTGTATGAATCCAAGCAATGCATCTAAGCACAATGGTGGTACGTTGACGGTGCTCCAAGTTGCTGAATCTGGGAAGGCATTTCGTGACAATAGGCCGATTATGTCCATACAGACATCCATGCGATCCGTCTCGCAGTCAAAGTTGACAAAAAGCTCTGCCATGAATGAAGGTATGCGAACCAAGGCACCTAGATTCTCCACCATGGCTTCTCTAGCATCGGGCTTCCTCGCTCCACCCTCCAAACCAAGCTTTTGTCGGTCCTTGACAGGTACGGGCGTAGAACGACCACTGCCGCTGTTCTGCTGCGGTGATGGCTTGATAAGACTGGGAGCCTGTGGAACTCCTTCGTATAAGGAGGGCTCGATACCAGGTTCAAGCGGGATTTCAACGCGTGGGAAAAGACATGCCACCAAATATGATAGATATAGCTCTTGCTGCAACTTAAGAACACTCCTACATGTTGCTAGCAAAGTACCAGCAACGCGGAGTGACTCATTCAGAACCGCCATATTCTCGGAACGAACGAGCTGGAAAAGGTGCCGACATAGTGTGTCCTTGGCCAAATTTGCTAAGCTAGGATGACTTGCTATTGAAGGACCAGCCACTTCAAGTGCGACATCCACAATTCGCAGAGCCATCACACGCATCGTGTCTGTATGACTTCTGTCATGCGGATCCAGCAAATCTACGAGTACGCGGAACAATTCTCGGATCGATGGTAAGGAGTATGGTCCAGTAGTCTCGATTGATGTCTGTTCGGGTTCTGTTGTCGCCAATAAATCCAGTGTGCTCCCTGTAGGATTAGGCGCGTTGCTATCGGTATCGTCCTGACCCTTGTCCGATGTGCTTGGTTGTTGTGGTTCTTCTACTTTGATTGAGGGTCCATTATCGTTTTGCACGCCCATTGAAGGGTCCATCTTCAAGCCATCCTGCTTCTCGTCGTTGTCCAATTCCTCGTCCAATGCTTCGAGCTCTTCGGGGGATTCAATTTCCAGTGTCTTTAGACGCTTGAATATGACCTGACACATGGAAACCATGGCGATCTCGGCAGACCGACGCAGCAATTCAGATAGTCTTGCCTGGCAGCACATGCTCAGTCCCGTCTCCATCATTTCGCATATACTCTCGTCCCCCAGAATCTCACCACATGGCCCGGAAACCATGCCCTCCATGAGCTTCAATATCCGTAGAAGTACAATCTCATCAGCGGCAGTATCGCTAGCTTCAAAACGGCAGTGCGTGATGGCTGAGGAGAGCTGTTGCATAGCCTCGGGGAGTCGTGGTGAGTCGCGCCCAATGATGTTGTAGGATAGGAATTTGGTAATGGCGATTAGGGCGAGTGAGGTAATAGGCGCAGACGTGGAGGAGGAGCGAATGACCTGTAGAAAGGGGTGGAGCATTGAAGGGGTATCGAAAGTCTTGATATCTATTTTCTGGTAAGTAGAGCCCATGCTGGCCGATGCCGAACCAATTGCACCCACCTTTGCAACCCTTGAGCTCACTCCTCAGGCGCGCAAATGCAGACATGAGAGGATTATCTTGCATGCTCTTGCCCTTCTTTCCTCGCAAACCCCATCTGCTGGGTACCGCCTCCTCTTGCTGCCCCTCTCCGCTCACGATGCCTTGGCCAGCCCGGTCGCGCTTCTGAACCGCTGGTGCTTTGTTCGAGGAGCCACCGAGAATCGCCGCGACTGAAGAATGCGCCCACCGGGCATGCTTTCGCATTGCCGACGTGACTGTCACGCATTCTGTAACAACGAGCGCTACTGGGTTGACCGCGACTGAGATGGGTCGATGTTGCAGGCCGGCTGCCTCATGGTGGAGCGTATCCGTAGATGTGCCTTTGGTGTGGGTGGTAGACATTATGGAGGGGGTTGCGACGTGTAGGGTTCAAGTTTCGAGGGAGTTTTTGGCTTTGCGTGAGATGTGCCAGATTCTAGTAGGTACAGTAGTTGCGGTTGATATGTCCGAGTCAGCAAGCTCACCAGGCGAACTTCATACTCTCACAGTTCTGTTCGGAACAGCATCAATTTATTCACCAAGAGCAATCAGCAAGCTGTAGCAGTCGTGTTCTCATCGGAGCCGCGCTGCAGGCATCAACAATAAGACGTGAGCTTGAGCTCTGGAGGTAGCCCGGCCTTTAGCTCTTGGCGCCCTGCAAGAAGCCACATGTGCAAGGGTCCAGCCAATGGATCCCGCGTCCGGACTATGTACTTGGTATTTCTTCCTTATAGTTCCCGCTCCGTTACGTGGAAACATGTTTACCTATAGATGCGTGTGGAGAGGGCATGGACCACGTTTTTCATACGATTTTATTTCGAAGGGGGGGAAAAAACCTCCGATTTTCCAAGTTGGATAGATTGATATGGTTACATGGCGCTCTTTCACTTCATCTTGAACTCCAACCAAACAACAACGCCCTTGATGCACTGTCTAGTATATACATCCCTACCCACCACGCAAGAATTGGAAACTTTGGGCCACGAGACGCCTGAAAAAGAGATTCAAAGTAAAGAACAAAAGACATGTAACGTTGTATGGTGGAGCTGAGGTACCGGCCCAAGCCAATCGCTTTACCTTTTCGAACCTTCCAAAGGTCGAGCGTGCTGGCGGAGACCTCCTCCAATACAATGTTTTATGGGGATATAGAACCGGCGTACGGGTCAAGCCATCTATTATTATCGAGATCGTAGTGCATAGCTTTATGCGGCGGCCTCTGGCTGCTGGGGTCTGAACATTGTGTTAGCGATCATACAATACGACAGATCAGAAACAGAGTTACTCACTGTCTAGGTACCGGTTTCCCCTTTTCTTCCGTTCCGTGAACCTCGTGAATCTCATCAGGGGTTACGAAACCTCTGGCCTGGTTCCCCGCTTCCTTCTTGGAATCTTCATGTTTGGAGTTGTCTTTTTTCACCTCGGCCTTCGCGGCTGCTTCCTCTTCTTCCTTTGCCTCCTTTGCCTTCAACTTCGTCTTCTCCGCATCCTTCTCTTCCTGTTTCTTCTTTTCAGCCTCCTTCTCCTCACTCTTTTGCATATCTTGAACAGCAGCCTTCTCCTTTTCCCAATCTTTGTTCTTCGAGTCAAATTGGTTGCGAATCTTGTCCTCCTTCGCCTTTTTGGCCTGCTCTTCTGCTTCCTTCTTCTGACGCTCCTTTTCCATTTCTTCCATGTGTCGGATGTCGTCAACACTGGGCTCATACAAATGCCAAACCGTGTAATGGGGGAGACCGACTACCGAGAACTTCATGCGTTTGGCCATCTGGAACAGTCAGTCAGTATGAGATCAGCTGCTTTGTTTCCGGGGGGTGTGCCTACTTTTCCAAACCCTTCTGTCTCAGCGTGCTTCTCGAAACTGAAAGCGGGGAAGTGTACGCCTTGACGGAAAACTTTCGCCTTTGCCAGAATACTGACACCGCCGACACCATCAATCTCCATTTCCATGTCAGGGTCTCCATAAGGATCACGTAGATAAGCCAAATGAGGACGCCACGTAGCATACTCTGCGTAACCCTCGACAATGACAGCGTCCTCGTCCAGTGTGTCGGCCAGCGCAAGCGCAGTCTCAGATTCTTGCCATGAGTTGAGATCATAGGGTTGCTCGCCACCAAGCCAATCCGGGAGGGGTCGCCAGACGTCTGTGTATGTTAGCAGCGACTCTATAGTAGCGCGTTTATGGCTGAGATAGTCTTACTCGGAACAATGACATCCTTGTTATGCCTCATGAGATCCTCTAGAATCGTGAAAGGCGCAGTCTCAACGTCGACATCTCTCCAATACACCCAGCTGTGGGTCGGGCGTAGAGCGGCGCTCAAAAGCCAATTACGAGCTTGCGCCATGGACTTTCTTCGTCCAGCCTGCGCCGCGAAACCGTGACGACTCTCAACATCTTGGTTTACTTTCTGCCCGAAATCCTTCTCCAAAATGGAGATTTCTCCAAAGGTCTGCTTGAGATCTGGGTTGGCCTGGAGATCCAGGAGTTTCTCGTTCAACTTGGAAAGTGTGTTATCCTTGGAATCACCAACCAGAAAGGCCAGATCAATGAGGTTGTGTGGGTACGTCAGATTCTTCAAGTGACCAAAAAACATGTCCAAGTGGTTTGCAGCGTCTCGCAACGGGGCACATAACAGTATCCTTTCCTCCCTTTCCCAGCCCCTTGCGGTACCTTGTACATTGCTCAGATCATAGTATCGGACGGTTTCGAGCTGACTGTCTTCATTGGAGCTGAGATAGCTGAGGGGGCCGGAGCCCAGGTTCGGTCGGAGGTTGGGGAAGAAGAAGAAGAGGGCGGTACAGAACACGGAGCCGACGAGCAGCAGGCGCTGGATGAGCTGTCTCCGCCGCCTCAGGGCAGGCTGTGATCGCGGTTGGAATCTGCAGTGACAATGAGGATTAGCATCATGGTTCCAAGAGGGATGCTGTCGGTGATTGTGGTGCAACAGCGCAAAAAGATTTGGTGGCAGAGGCGCGCTGGACATGGCAACGGCTCACGTACTTGTGGGGTTGGATAGAAAAAGTGCTGCCGCCGCCGACGGATGGGTATGCAGCATGCCCATTGGAAAAGGCATGGCGGTGCATCTTCGACTCGGAATGTAAGGGCAGCATCCAGGAAGGAGGAGGACGAAAGGGTTACGCTGAGATATCCCTTTGGACGCCCCCGGTCACCGACAAACAACCCTCGAGCTGACGGGCCACGGTGGACAGAGCGGAGTAGCAGCAGGCGCAGTTGTGAGAATGGAATTGATGCTGCGACGGCAGCCGGCGACGATAGATGGGCGATGCGAATGTGGACAAGGACTGCGACGTCGAGGGTGTGGTAATACTACTGTCTGTACCGATCTCCGTTTGGCTTGGCCCTGGATTGATTGATGGATTGATTGATTTGATTTCGCTAATAAGGCCACCGTATTCGCTGCCCCCCTTGCACACGACACGGTACGCCAGCGACTAGTCTGGCCGATGGGTATAAGTACCTGGGTGGCTGGCTGGCGGCCAACTTGAAATCACGACTCGGGGTTTGGATGATTCAGTTTGTTGATGGAGGACGCTTGGAAGCTTGGAAGCAAGCAGGCAAGGTGGATGATGCATGCACTCGGGTCCATACGCAGACGCAGGTGTAATCAATTGATTCTGCCAACGGGGCGGCGTCGTCGTCAGCCGCATTGGTTTGGGGAGACCGTGCCAAGACCCCCCGACTCTGCGTTTCATACACGGTAACATGAAGATCAGAGTTACATTTGTGTCCTTGAGCTAGCAGCATTGCAGAGATTGCGATATGACGATTCAATTTGAGCACGGGGGGGGATCACCATCTTCACGCTCGTACTGGTGCGAAACATTCACACCACCGGCCGACACTTTTGAAGCTGCGTTCCTTGCCATTAACCTTTTGTTCCTGCCCATTTACTTTATAGGTACCCACTGGCCGCAGCCAAGATGATGCAACCAATGCTTGTATGCTTGTGTAAGCAACGCCCGTGAAGTTGTGTCGCGCTCGCTCTCAGCAAAGGCGTTGCACACCATATGTCACGGAATAAGGGGAGGATGCACCAGGGGACAAAAGTCTGAAGAAAATATGTAACATGGAAATTTGCCATCATATTGATCATCTCTGAAAGCACCACTACGTATTCTACCCGACCCCATCCTGTCCTTCCATCTCTCGAATAGGGCAATACGTCGCATTACTAAATAGAGCGCACTGTGTCAAGATCAGCTATGGTCGCGCCACGATTTCGCACGAAAGCTGAAAAAAGACATCATGCTCAGAAAGCCGTGTTTAGTCATGCCCTGCCGCCGGCCTCAAGACATGGCAGCCCAAGACGGACTACCATGCCCCTCGGCAACGGAGACCACGATTACACGCCGTTGGCAAGCCTTCAGCGAAACTTCACAACTCGTCATCCCAGCCATGAATGGCCAGTGGAGTGCGGGAGGGTGACCCGGCGACAGATGTCGTTGAATGGATAGACTAGTTTTCCTCCTCGCAATTTGGGAAACGAAAGCCAAACGTACCGTGAGATTGGGCAGAGGTAAGCGAAGCAGTCTCTTTTGTTCTGTCTGGTGATGGAGTCAGTGAATGATCCATACATTGGCCAACGGAAACAATTTGGGTAAAACAATTATCAGACAAAGGTAAGCAATGGTATGAGATGTCTTCAACTGGAATTCAGTAGCAGAACTGATAAGATAACACACATCATAAAAGAAGATGCTGCGAGGCATCCAAAAGGAAAACGCGTAATAACGAACTTACCTGTCAGTGAAATCCAGATAAGACAGCCAGCATGAGGCAAAGTAATATGCAAAACTTGCTAGGCACGCCAGTCACGGCCAGCGCAACAATAAAGCGCTCGAGCCTGCAGCTACATCAGGTATGATCACCTGCATCGATGGGGTTCCTATGCATACAGAGTTAGCATCTGATGCTATTCGAGGTTGATGGAACCATGAGAGAAGGGCAACAAGGATCAGTTGGTGGTGCATGTTCAAAGCTCATTGTATTCGCACGAACAGTTCAGAAGTATCAGTCATAATAGGCCGAAAGGAAGAGAAGGAAGGAAAAATAGTGCGGTACATACCCATTGCGATGTTTGCGCACCCCGAAGAGTTTTCGAGGTGCAGTGAAGGAAGAGAGAAAGAAAAGCTGCGCAGCTAACGAAGATATTTTGGCGAGACGCTGCCAAGATTTCGCAGCTTAGTCATTGACATTTTTCCAACTTCGATGCTACTCGAGCTTCCCCCGCATCCAATTGCGCAAGTATTCTTGTGAAAGCAGCGACAACTTTGTGTTGAGATCATGGCCGCACTATCGGATCGAAGGAGAATCAACGCGCCAAGTGGTGGCACGACTGCGCCTGTATTCGCAAAGACTTTGAAAGAGCCAGGATACTTGGAAGAGTTGCGACCGCAACGCTCTCGAGACCCAAAAGAGCTTCGGAAAATCTGTGAGTGTTTACAATGTTTCATTACTGTTACCGCACATCCCCAGAAGTTGAAATTGGTATTAACAACTTTGTCAACAGTTCTCCAAACCTCCATAATACCCTCAGCATCAGGCTCCGCATACCTCGAAATCCCCAACACAAACCCCCCAAGCACATCCACACTTATTCCGCCAACTTCGTCCCTCAAAATCACCGCCTCAGTTCAAGGTCCCAAACCACTCCCACGTTCCGCCCCATTCAGTCCAACCCTTCTCTTAACCACAACTGTCAAGTTCGCGCCTTTCGCTACGCGCCACCGACGAGGCTACATTCGTGATGTCGCGGAACGGGATTTGGGCGTGCATCTGGAAACTGCGCTACGGGGCGTTATAATCGGTGAGAGGTGGCCCAAGAGTGGCGTCGAGGTTGTGGTGACAGTATTGGAGGGTGACGAGGATGCGTGGTGGGGTCAAGATGGAGGGGGGAACGGTAGCGGATGGGGTCTATTGAATGTGCTTGCAGGCTGCATTACAGTTGCTGGGGCGGCTATTGCGGATGCGGGCATCGACTGCGTGGATATGGTTTCTGGGGGTGTAGCGGCTTTCGTGAGAGGGCCTGCGGATGGTGGTGAGGTTTTGGCGCTGGACCCTTGTCCAGCTGAGCATCAGGAAATCGTTGCGGCGTGTGCAGTAGGCTACTTGCACTCAAGAGACGAGGTGACGGAGGTTTGGCTTAAGGGAGATGCTGGCTTGGAGGCGGCGGATTCGCTGATTGAGGGGGCGACACAAGCAGCACAGGGAAGTTTTGGGGTGATGAAAGAGGTCCTCCTGGAGAATATGGGAAAGAATGTCAAGCCTGAAGATGCAACAAGCAAAGTCGGTGGCAAAAGAAAGCAGGTCGAGGTGGAGATGACAGGTTGAAAAGTGGCCTAAACAAAAATTCAAAGGGTGTTATTGGGCTTCAATATGCATACAGGATTCAACATGCATAGCGACGGCGTTTGGGTTAAGGGGATGAACGGGATCTCATCAGGTAACATCAAGATGACATACGGCTGTAGTGTCTTGCCGCCAGAATTCCATTTAGAGCTTGTGCAGATACCCCATAATGCGGATCTTGCTTCAAGCGTCCTGGAGAAAGCAAGGTTTTTTTGCTGTATACAGCCCAGCTACCGGCTCCAGTATCCACCTTCGATATCCCCTCGATTGTAGAGAAGGCGCATATCCACGGCCGCTCACATGTAGAGTTGCAGATCTAAGACTCTTTAGTTGCAAGAACGAACCAAGGATCCCTTCACTCCTCCAGATCGCTTTCACCCCTATCATCCAGATGGTTTTCCGCCACATTTCTGCTCTCCCCGTTGTCGTTTCCGGTTTCAATTTTCTGCGCTCCTTGACCCCTAACAACCACCTCCTTGGGTCCGTGTCTGCCGGCTTCTAGCTCATTCGGAAGCCATGTGTAGAAGCTAGGCATAACCTCTTTCACGTCATCCAGGATCCGCACGCCCTCCTCCAGAGTCAAAATTCTAGCCCTCAACTTCATGCCGGTGAAACACTCATGCAAGATGCTATCCTCAACCCAGAACTCGTACATCTTGTCTTCCTCTGCCTCAACCGGTCGGCCATTGGGGTATTTTTCCATGGGCAAGTCGTATTCAACGTAGTCAGGCATTTTCCAAAAACGACAAGACAAGGTTCCAAGAGCCTCGAGACGAATTTTAGGGGCGCATATCTGGTTTTGCCTGTCGTACAACTCCCGAATTCGAGATGTTGAGAGTGCAATGGACATGACTTCGAGTCCAATCGTTTTGTCCTCGACCACCTTGACTTTCCCATCATCGACACCTTTCAAGTTTTTCTGTTGTTCGAATGTACCCATCAAGGCGATGCCCGACATAAATACGATCCTCGCTGTCTCATCATTCACGCCTGTCTCCACGATGTCCAGGCCGTCTCTGCGAGCTTGAACAGCCCAGTCCCGGTTGCCCGTGTAGGTTTCCGACTTCGAACCACCGACGACGGTGCTAGCAGCATTGTTGAAGCTGCCCGGGAGTGAGTGGCCCGCACTGTCTATTTTGGAAAGTTCGCGCTCCGCGATATTACACAGTCCTCGGGCCGCCTCGATGTTATCGCGATATTCAGGGCAAACGGTATGGTATAAAAGAAAGTTGTAGAAGGAGCGTAGGACTTGACAGCCGGTCTTGATCTTGGTGGGGGAAAGTCCTAGGTTGACTGGAAGATCCGATGACCTTAAGAGAATGTCAGCAAGACACGAGAAGTACTCGGGCATAGATCGGAAAGATAGCTCACAGGAATGCTTTTGCAACAGCAAAGAAGTCCACGATCCATTTGTTTTCATCCTCTCGATCCCATGGTACGCTGTGAGTTGCTGTCGCCCTCGCGATCTGTTCGGCATTCATCTCCGCCATCTCCTGCTTTGACAAAGTACCGAACATTCGAGGTCCGGAATCTACACCACCGAAGCGCATCCACCTGGTAAAAATGAGAGCATACTCCTCTCGCATACGCCTCTTCTGTTTGAAGCGTTGAATAGCAAGCTCAATGCGCTCAACGAAAGGCTTGTCGGGATGATACATGGCATCGTCCTCTTCAGCTTCAGCTGGTGTGATGGGTGCCTCTACGTAGTTGTCCTCAAAGCCAGAAGGCTTCAGCTGCCCCTTTGTCACACCTGGAGGATGCTGGGTTTTCGTTTGGGGCAGTAGAGGGACAGGGTGGACTGCTGGGACTCTAATGCGCGGGTCGTACGCGATTTCTTCCTCGTCGTAGAAGTCTGGATCAAGCGCGCATGGTCCCTCCAATGGCACTTTTCGAGTGATCAATTTGCCATCATTGGAAACCACCAAGAAAGAGGACTTGCGGAGCGCGTTAACTACGCCACTCTTGGGCTTGAAACCTCTCATCTTCTTGAAGCCGCAGATGCGGGATATGGACACGGGCAAATTCTTCCTCCCTCCACAGCATTGTAGCAGATGTAGGTCAGTTGGCAGGTTCTCGTCAGAGAAGTAGTATTCAACCTATCTGGGTTAGTGAAGCAAGCTGGGTGGCAACCAGGCATGCCTCTGTACTTGGATCAGTGTAGGGAAAGATGTCTTACCTGTTTGCGTATGGCAGGCCCCTGTGGGTGGTCTTCCATAGCTGCTGGCTCGGTAGATGAACTAATTGCTGCGGGGGACAACAGAGTTGTCATGATTTGAACAATGGCAGAGTTTGTCAAGGAATGTTTGTGGTGTTGGCGACAAGAGCTGTTGGGGTCTTTATAGCTGCACGGGTCCAACTAGGTTGCTAGCTCGAGCACGAGCAAATAAAGGTAAAGGCAGGAGCGATACAGTATTGAGAGGTGATTTCAACGGAGGTGATTGCAAACAACAAGATTGGTCTCATGCGTTCAGTAGATCAACTACAGAGGGGAACAAAATGTAATTCTGCCTTTGGTTGACTTCGCCCTTCGGCTATCTGGATGCATGTTCGTGATCTGTCCGTGTCTTTATTGTAGACACTCCGAAGCCTCCAAGGAAACACATATCGCAAGCTATTAGTTGTGGCGGTCTTTAGCACTCTCACTCGAAAGAGATGGGCTGTTATAATTCAAAGGGCCCGTCACTCTACATATCAGATATCATAATACTCATTACACCGGACTTTCCTACAGATAGACAGAGCACGTACATATCGCATTGCAAAATACCAAATCCCTCGACAGGGAGTCAAGAAACGGTGAAGTTGGCGGTGTCAACATTGATTGATACGGTGTGTGCATGTGGGCATGTAGTAATCACTACATATGTAAGTAGTGTAGCTCATTAGGGTGGTACACAGCTGAGACCCTGCATAAAACCATCGCGGGGACAAGCTGAACCACACCACTAAGCCCTACCCGCCCACCATCTACCCTCTTACATCAACACTGCCCCCAACTGCTCCAACTTCCACCCAAGTTCTCACCCTCTTCTTGATTTTCCCTTTCATCTTCCATCACTATGTCTAAGAAACAATACGACGCCTCCAAGCTCCAAGCATTTGGAAACGCAGCAGCGGGGCAGTAAGCTCCCCCACTCTCGAGTCTCCCCATAGCAAGCTGACACAACAAACAGCGATGGAGTCCTCTCCGACCCGACAGGCGCCGTCGTAGTCAAGCCCTGCACCCGTGCCGAAATCGACTTCTACGAATCCGTCAATGCGAACCACCCAGATCTCCTTCCGCACTTCCCCGCCTACATGGGCGAGCTCGCCCTCACCTCCGACCAAGATGCAGGGAAAGCTGCAGCAGAGTCCGGCTCCATCACCACGGCCGATGGGACCGTCGAGCGACTGCACGGCAAGAAACTCGACACGGATTTGCACATTGTGCTGGAGAACATCACGCACGGTTTCAAGCAGCCTAACGTGCTGGATCTGAAGCTGGGCAAGCAGCTATGGGATGAGAAGGCGAAACCGGAGAAGAGGGCACGACTAGATGAGGTAGCTAATAGCACTACAAGTGGAAGTTTGGGATTTCGCATTGCGGGGATGCGAACTTGGAAGGGTGGGGCTGATACTGTGCCTGAGGTTCCATCCGAGCTAAAGGAGTATACGGAGAGCAAAGGTGACGATGGATACTGGGTTTACAACAAGATGTACGGGCGAAAGTTTTCAAAGGAAGATATTACGGAGGGCTTTGAAGCGTATGTTCTACCGCAAGGCAGATCGCTCGAGCAGTTGGCTCGCGCCCAGGAGATTTTGGCATTCTTCCTAGGAGAGGTGAAGGATATCATTTCGGTGTTTGAGAAGAAGGAGTCGCGCATGTATTCTGCGTCGATACTGCTGGTATATGAGGGCGACGTGGAGGAGTATGCGAAGACGAAAAAGACGTTGCGGTCACTGAGCGCTGAAGATGAAGAGGGTGAGGATGATGATGAGGATTTGCCCAAGTTAGCAGCCGTTAAGCTGATCGACTTCGCGCACGCGACATGGAGAGATGGCGAAGGCAGCGACGAGAACGCGCTGAGGGGAATGAGGAGCACAGCAGACATTCTGAAAGATCTGCTTGCCACAACAAACAAAGAGCTAGAGGCTGCAGAGGAGCAATCCTGAATTCGTCTACATTACTGAAAACATACATCATGCAATAATAACTGGGAATTCCCCAATCAATCCTGGCAGAAAACTTCGTCCATGTTGTCTCTCAATTATTTTCAGGCGCCCTTATATAAGTCATGTTCACCACATGCTAGATGGATGCTCGGGGTACGAGGTAATGTCTTACCCACAGACTGGTCGTTGCACATTCATCACGTCTTGATAGACGGCCCATTTCTTTACACCAATCCAGCAACACTTTCCGGCCAACTCCCCAATATCAGTGCATTGGGCACCACCATACCAGGTTGTGGACATAACACCTTCACCCTCTTCTTCACTTCGTCAACATCTGCTACCCACATGTAGCCCCTCACATTCGAATCTCGAATTCTCTCCTCCGGATCCGTCGCCAACGCCGTCGTGATGGCCAGTAGCTTGCCCACCATATCCGGGAAAGGGGTGACTTTTTCGTAGATGGAACGGGGATTGCTGAAGATGCCATGGGCATCGACATCGGAGTGATTAGGGTCGGTAGATGCTGGTTGATAGTATTGAGCGACACGATTTGGGTATGTGTGGGGATTTTACAAGGTGGTTTCTGGTACAAATGATGGGGTATTACTTACAATCCACTGCGCGGAAGATGTTCAAGTCATCGTAGTCAGCGGCCTGACTGTGCGGTGCAAGAGCGTATTCGGCGGTGTGACCGAAAAAGTAGGCTTTTATCTGTGCTTGTCGGAGTGCCTGCATGTAGTCGTCGCTCCTATCGACGCACCCACCCGACTTCTCGAGGCGAACAACGCGGATCGCTTCTTCGCCGGCTCGCGAGGAATACTTGCGGCTAAGATCCGAATATAGGCGCTCGGAACCAATGGTGATAACAACGTTCACTGCTTGTAAGTCAGCATGTCTTTCTCTTTTTCATGGAGTCGGATGTGTGTATGGGGCTATGAGAGGGCATGAATAGAGGATGGGAGTATGGAGAAACACTATCACAATGGAAACAATCATGACAAACGCACCAGAGAATTCTGATATTATATGCTCTATATTTTCGTAGACACCCCCTTTGCCCTGACTGATCGCACCTGGGGTATCAATGATAAACCCAGTTTGCTTGCTCGCTTTATCATACTCCAGTCTGCTAGTCACGTCAAGAGCCATCCGCGTCACCAGCGGCTTGAACAGCTTCGTCTCTTCCGGATCCTTCAAGCCGTAATGGTAGACCAGCGGCATCTTGACGGGGATGGGACTCGGACCGGATATCGGGCTCGTTCCCCAGCCTTCCTGGACATCCAAAATGGAGGAGAAGGCAGCGGCGGTGAAGGAGCCTGGCACCGACAGCATGCCTTGCTTAGGGTCCAAATTGACGACTATAGGCTGTCGACCCATCTTCGTTGCGTATGCGGTTAACGTCTTGACGAGGGATGTCTTGCCTGCATTCTCCGGGCCCACAACGAGAACTCGAGGGCCCAGCTCTTCAGACCGCACAGCGGCATCGCGCAGGTTTTCAAACGCAAAGTGTGCGTTTAGGCAGCCCATCATCTGCGTCTCCTCTGCGACATACTCGGACTCGGGATCGCCGCTAATCTCTAGCCTGCACCCTTGCCATGTGAAGACAGCGCCTTTTGTGCCTTGAAATGTGTAGCTTTGCGATGGAGCAAGTTCGGTGCCAAAGTACTCTGCGGTGCCAGACACGAGCTTGATGGTGAGTGAGCGACTGAAACCGACCTCGAAGCGGTACTCGGTGTTGGCAGCGAGGTCTTGCTGGCGCGACGAAGGTACTGGGGGAAGATTGAGGGCTTCAATAGCCTGGGCGCCGAGGTTGAGGCCAGGGAGGCCGGGAAGGCCCGGAATATCCATTGTTCGTTTCACGCAAACGTAGTATAGATGTGGACGTGAATGTGGGCGAAGGAGGACTTAGGGAGACTCGGGGCGCGGACCTATTTTCACTGTGTTGAAAGAGAAATCAAGCAGCTCACTAGAATTTCGTGGTGTTTGGGTTGTTAGAGGAAGGAAAGCTGTGGTCGGGGGAAGGAATCGTTGTTGGTGAATTGGAGAAAGAATGGACAATGAAGAGAGGCGCGGAGCTGCTACAAGGATCCCATTGACCTACCGCGGCTATTTAGACGTGCATGCGCTAGCCAACGAGAGAAAGGCCTTTTGCGAGATTGGATTAGCAAACATAACAGATAACCAGGTAGTATATCGGTTTGTAAGTAATTATGTGAGGCTCACGAGCTGTTGTTATATGTCTGTTCGGGTTGGAAATAGCTAGGTTCAGCATGGGTCCCTGGTGAATGCAGCGACAGAATTGAGCCCATACGTATGTACGATGGAAGTTTGAACTTCAAACTTTGAAGCAACTGGTTCCTCACTGCAGTCCTGGTGAACTGTTATAACGTTCGAAAAAACAGAGGATGACTCGACGTCGAAGTGTTCTATTTTCCCAGTAAACTCTGGCATCATGTATCGTGGCATAAAAACATCATCATGCATGCTTTCCTGCAGATTACCCGAGATCCTGCACTTTGTGCGTGGTTCACATCAACCCCGCTAATTTCCATCTACCAGGCGCGTTTGCTGTACATTGCAGCATCTCTGCTTCCTTGGATACCCTGAAAGTGGTGATTTATCAGATTTTCACCTTCGAAATGTTTGGCATGAACCCTACCGACGATGCGCCAAGCGGCCGCATTGTTAGAGTGGGCATTGTAGGGTCAGTGAGCAACGATAGCAGCGTGAGTTAGAGATGCATGCTGATTGTTCACGTATAGGTGTGGAATGGTTACGCAGGTTGTTCACATACCCACGCTCAATTTGCTATCCCATCTTTTTCGGATCACATATCTCTGCGATGTCTCGGAAGATGCAATGAGACATAGTCAGCTCAAGGTTGCAGGTGCCTCGAAACCTGCGACTACGAAAATTGTTGAAGAATTATGCACGGCATCAGAAGTGGATCTAGTCATGATAGCAAGCCATCATACTTTCCATGCATCTCAAGCGATAGTGGCGCTGGAGGCTAACAAACATGTTTTCATCGAAAAGCCGATTGCTCTGACTCTGAAAGATACGGATCTGATCATCGACGCGGATAAGGCAGCCGGTGGTTCCAAAGTTTCTATTGGATACATGAGAATATATGCCGCAGCCTTTGAAGACGCAGTAAAGGAAGTCGAAGGCATGGGTCGGATACGATATGCTCGCGTCCGAGACATCATTGGACCCAATTCTGTCTTCGTAGCACAGTCCGGCACATACCCAAGAACGTTTAGTGATTACCGAAAGGAAGACTCGGAGGCACTGTGTACGAAGGCGCGCAACGACACCGAGCAGGCTCTTCAAACAGAACTTGGAGTTACCATGACAGAACAGACAGATATGATGTGGCAGATGCTGTCCACCCTAGGCTCACACGACCTGAGTGCTATGCGAGAGATTCTCGGAGTGCCTGAAGGAGTTGTGGGCTTTTCGCCTTGTGCCACCACTGGCTCGCCATTTTGGAGGTAATATGAAGGCAAAGTCATTTCGGGGGAAAGCTGACCTTGATAGTGGGATCTTCCAATATTCCAACTTTGTCGTTGCCTATGAGTCTGGTGTCGACCAGGTCGCAAGGTTCGATGCTTCAATAGAAATCTTCGGTGATACGAAAACCGTCAAGGTGGTCATCGATACTCCGTTTGTGAAGGGTTTGCCGACAACCATGGTTGTCAAAGACTCTTTGGCAGACGGCTCGTACAGAGAGTCCACGATCCGCAGGACCTACGAAGATCCTTTCACGCTCGAGTTAAAGGAGGCATATGAGTGGGTCGTGAACGGAAAGATTCCCAAGGCAACTCCAGTGGAAGCCAGAAAGGATGTTGAGATATTAGGGATGCTGATGAAAGCTATTACGAAATGAGGTATTGATTGTTGAATCTTTAACTAGATGCAATGTCTTTCTTTCGTAGTATCCTGATCCCTCCATACGTAAGCGCAGGATATTCTATGCCACCTCGTACATAGATTGAGATTCCAGATCGTAGTGCATGCAGGGATTTGCTGAGCCGTGTGTTTAGACGCGCGCTAGAAGCGGGGAAGGATATGGCGACGGGTGGGCGGGGACCTATGCTCAAAGCACTTCAGAGCTGAGCTCATCAACCAGCCACTTGTCTCCTACATCATCCTTGATAAGACTTCCACTCATTGATCCAGACGGGGACGGCGACACCTCTGGCTCTAAAGTCATGCTGCCCATCTGGCCGCGCTGAGCAATTGTCCATCACTCCTTAAGCCACCCTGACCTCCCATCCCTGGCATCCCCGTTGCGCCAATCCCATTTCTCCGTCCATCCCCAGTTGTTGGCCTTAGAACCGCACCCTTCTCCCTTTCACCTCCGCCCGATTCCACCACCATGAAACTAAATAGCGCCGCCTTTTTTTGCGGCACATGCCTTTTGGCCGTCTCTGCCTCTGCAGCTGGAAACAATGTGGGAGGTGCCCAGGAACCTATGAAAGCCGGCATTGATCCGCTCAAGTTCCGAGCAGCATGCCCCGACTACAAGTCCTATTCTATGCATCAGCAGTAGGTGATTATGTATATCGCATTCATTATAAAACTCTTAGCTTATTGGTATTCTCAGTCCACCGTACAGTGAAAGCCCGCTCAAATTACCTTTCCAGCGCCCTTCTATCTATTGCCGCACATTCGAATCTCCCATGGTCGAAAAGGTCATTGACGACATGAAGAAGAAGTTGGTAGACAAGGATCTGGCTCGACTGTTTGAAAACGCGTTTCCAAATACACTCGACACCACTGTGCGATGGCACGTAGATAGCAACTTCAAGCCCAAGACACCTCAAAACATATGGGAGAAGGATGCTTGGAAAGGCCCCCAGAGTTTCATCGTGACTGGAGACATCAATGCTGAGTGGCTGCGTGATTCCACCAATCAGCTTCAACAATATCAGTTGCTGGCGAAGAAAGACAAAGATATCCACCAGCTGATACTGGGTGCCATCAATACCCAGTCTGAATACGTCATCGTTTCTCCCTATTGCAACGCCTTTCAACCGCCCCCCGCGAGTGGCCTGAATCCAACTTCTCAGGGTGACGGCGACAATGTTCACCCCGCCTATGAAAATCACTTCGTTTTCGAATGCAAATACGAGCTCGACTCCCTTGCGCACTTTCTATCTCTGGCCAACCAGTTCTACAACCACACAGGCTCTACTGAGTTTCTGAATGAGCGCTTCATCCTTGCCTTGGAATCCCTTCTTACGGTCATAAGGGAACAGTCCAGGCCAACATTCAACCCCGAAACAGGGGCTTTCCAGCGCAATGAATACAGATTTCAGCGTCAGACCAACATTGGTACCGAGACGCTTAGTCTAGGTGGGCAAGGCAATCCGCTCAACAGTGGAACTGGGCTCGTGCGCAGTGCCTTCCGACCGAGTGACGATGCAACAATACTTGGCTTCTTCGTTCCCGCCAATGCTATGATGAGTGTGGAACTTAAGCGAACAGCTGCAATGCTTCGAAAGGCTGGCAAGAAAGAGATTGCCGATCGGGTACAAAAAGTGGGCCAGACGATTGAAGATGGCGTTTGGGAGCATGCTGTTGTTCAGCACAAGACATACGGCAAAGTCTTTGCATTCGAAGTCGATGGTTTTGGCTCCTCAATTCTCATGGACGATGCAAATCTCCCATCTCTGCTTGCTCTCCCTCTCCTTGGCTTTGTTTCTGTAGACAACGAAGTCTACCAAAATACCCGTAAAATGATCCTCTCGAAAAAGGGGAACCCTTACTACCTCGTTGGCGAAGACTTCTGGGGGATCGGGGGCCCGCACGTTGGACCCCGCCACGCATGGCCCATGAGCGTGCTTGTACAAGCCATGACCAGCGATAGCGATGAGGAAATCATGAGATGTTTGGGCGCAGTGAAGAACGTGAGCAGAAACGGCCTTATTCACGAAGGAGTGAATGTCGAAATGGGCAGAGATTATACTCGGTCCTGGTTTGCGTGGGCCAACAGCGTCTTTGCTCAGACGGTGCTGGATCTGGCACAGAGGAAGCCCGAACTACTGTTTGGAGCGGGTGCGGAGGCTTACGCTGTTGGTTAGATATTGCTATTGACGTTGTTGCTGTTGTCATCGATACTGAGTGGCAAGAACAAGAATTAGAATGAACTTACCTAGATGTATGCTCATGTCCTTTCTCATCATTGGTTCTACGTCTGGATTGTTTTCAATTGGTTCCAGATTCTTGTGTGACTCTAATAATAGGCGCTCTGGGAGCCACACAATAGAGCTCGCTATGTGATGAAGCACTCTCGACTGAACATGATAATCTGCTAATACATGCAAAACGATGACTGTTAGGGTAAACTGAAGTGTTGACCAAGTTGTGAGTTTGATGTGATCTAGTAAGCGCACATAAATGGTTACCTCGGCACACTCCCTGTTAGCTATCGCATCAGATGATTTGCACTCGCGAGCAGACCAAAGACAAGATCGAACTTGATGTTACATTTCTCTACTGCACACAAAGCCTGGACGGGGAAAACACAACCATCTATGGAGAGGTTCAAAGGTAAAAAGGAAAATGGATGAATGCTTGCTACTATCGACACAGCTCCGTCTCGGTCGGGCTTTCTCCAACTTCCAACGCACTGCCTCTCTGCCTTCTATTTTACAGCTGTTCAGAACGTCTAACCGATGACCACCTTGCCGTCCTCTGGGAAATCGTATGCGGGGACTTCGAGGTTGAGAGGGGCGGGTCCCTTTCTTATGCGACCAGAGATGTCGTAGTGGGATCCGTGGCAGGGGCAGAACCAGCCGCCAAAGTCGCCGGCCTCGCCGATGGGGACACATCCGAGATGGGTGCAGACACCTATTTATCAATCAATCAGTCAATGTCCTGTTTGTTGTTGCCGAAGCTGCAAAAATCGAAAGCTCCACGCACCCAACATAACCAGCCATTCGGGCTTCTGGACACGCTCGGAATCGGGCTGGGGGTCGCGCAACGATTCCCACTTGGTGTCCTCAGCCTCCTTGATCTCGCCCTCGGTGCGGTGTCGGATGAAGACGGGCTTGCCTCGCCACTTGATGATGACCTATCTTTCATATCAGCTCCCTGCATTGACATGAGAAGTGCAATGGGGTACACACATTCTTGCCCTCGGGAATGGCAGCGAGATCGATTTCAACCTTGGCCTGGGCCAGGACATCGGCGGAAGCAGACATGTTGACGAGGAAATCTAAGTCGCAAATTCGTTAGCAACCGATCGTTGCCATCTCTGGTAGGCCCGTTCCATCCGCAAAATAGCCAATTGCTCCCCCTCATCAATTTCCACTCTCCAGTTTCCGGTTCCACATGATTTTATCCCTCCGCCGAGCTTGTGTGGGTAATTACCTTGTACGGTAGCCTTTGCGCCCAAACTCGTCAGGGCACCCATTGTGCCGACCATGAAGTAGGAGATGAGCTTGGGGCCCTCCTCGCTCTTCGACTTGCTCTTGTACGAGCCGAACGAAGGGATCTGGGTGGTTCTGCCAGCACCCCTGAAGGGGCTGTCGAAGGAGGACGTGGCGTCGGAGCCGGAGACGTTACGGGTCTGCATTGCTGTGCAGCCCGCCCGGGCAACGGGGAGCGAGTGCTGTGTCCATGAGCGGGCTATCGCGCGGGTGGTGGTGGCGAGGGCGGGCATCGTGGCTGCGGCGGGATGCAGATGGCGGGTGTGGTGATGGAGGTGAGGTTGAAGTGAAGATTGAGAATGGAGATGCTGAGCGAGAGATTTCCCAATGCTGCGATTGGCTGGGGTTGGTTAGTCGAGGCTGGCGCCATGGGAGTGGCCTCTGCGTAGCGTCATCGCCTGATGAACATCATTCTTGAGCACTGCCATTACCATTACTACATTAACGTTATAATTATACAGAATACAGAATATTTGTAGCAATCGATACTCATTCATTTCAAGGCTCTCTACATATCTGCAATTCTATTAAAATCTGGTATGCAAGTATCATTTGGTGGGTTCCCGTGGCAGAGCCACCTGATAATGAATATGCCCTCTTTGTAGTATTTTATCACGTCTCTCCTTAATCTCGATCATGCAAACAATTGCAATGTTGAGATGATACGTAAGGTATGTTTAGAAAAAGATCTACATAGGGAAATGCGGTATTGGCTGCTTCCCCGTGACTTACCACTGCCTCCTGCCTTCTTCGCAGGCCGCAGCTGCCTACTTCACTCTATAAACAGCAACCCACAACGTACCTGGTCACCTGTGACCCTGCACCTACCTCGCATCCACACGAAAACCCCAAGACCCAGGAGCATGAGTATGGAGCAAAAATCTATCAAGTCGTTCTTCAAGCCCCGGGATGCTCCGCCTGGCAACACCTCGCACAAACGGACAGCAACCTCTCCACCCACCACGTCCAAAGAACCCGCGGCAAAGACACTAAAGTCCACAGAGCCAATTGAAGCTACTTTGAGTGATATGAAAGCACAGTCGACAGCAGTTTCCACACAAGATGAGCATCCCCAGCCTGCCATCACAACAACACTGCACCTCAAATACCACAAAGGCGACATCTTCGCAGCTCCCCAACACTCCCTACTTATCCACGCCTGCAACACACAAGGATCATGGGGATCAGGTATAGCAGCAGCATTCCGTGCTCGCTATCCCGCTGCATTCAAGATATACCGCGACTACTGTACCAAGACGCACAAGCCGACCACCAACCCTGTTCCGACCGGCACGTGTCTGCTTATCCCTCCTTCCGAGACGTCCAATGGCAAGCCTAAGCATTGGATCGGTTGTCTCTTCACTAGCGCCAAGTACGGAAAAGCAAAGGATTCTCAAGCGGTGATCTTGGGGAACACGGGTCGGTCTATCAAGCACTTGCTGGCTGCAGTGAAGGAGGCGGAGCGCGATGGTCGGGGCGTGAACGAGATTCGCATGTGTATGATCAACTCGGGCAAGTTTGGGGTGCCATGGGAGAGGACTGTGGAGGTTCTGGAGAGTCTGACGGTTGAGGAAGGTTGGAAGCCTGCGGTCGATGTGTGGAGCGTGGACTGAACTGAATGTGCTTCGTTACCGCCTCTCAATTCATCTCCGTACGCCCCTTATGTTATACCCTGGGTATATGGCCTTCGGTAATTGGGGCATGAAACATCAAGATACCGCGTAGCACGGCGCATTGAAAACTCGATGACCCCGTTCACAGCTCTGTGTGGATTCGGCTGGCTCTATATTCTCCATCTGGGCTCAACAGCGAAAAAGGTTGATCATTCAAACATGGTCACAGATGCAGACCTTGGATATCCTCCTCCATAAGCTCAAGTATGGATCATCACTCGTGACAAGATCATAATATGTTACATTAATCATGCAGTCGTAATGTTCAGGTCTACACTATGCAGTGATGTCTCACCAGCTAGCAACGAATTGCTTCAAGCTTGCAAGAAACACAATGCGATGGAGTGTCTACGGCGAAGGCTAAACTCACGCAAATAAGGTTTAGACAGTATCCATCTCATCGTCATCTGCGTCATCATCGTCATTTTCCACAGTCTTCTTGACCCCTTCCACGAAAGCCTTCACAGCGTCTCCGCCTCCAAGGGGCATACCGCCACCCCTCATGAAACCTCCATTCTGAACATCGATCTTCAATGCCTGGCTTACATTCGGTAAACCGCCGTCCCGCAAAGCCACTGTCAAACTACCGAGACTCTGCTTCATCTGAGGACTTGTAACTACCCTCTTCAAAATGTCCCGCTTCTGCTCTTGATCAAGAGTGTGTAGAGCCATCTTGGCTGTCTCGGATTCAGGGTCGATATCGGCAATGTCCTCTACTTCTTGTTCAATAAGAAATAGGGTATTCGGGAGATGGGAACACAAGGCGTCGATGAATGAGTCGGGTGCCTTGTCGATGACGGGGATGGTAGTAGGAGGAGATAAAAGGTCGAGAAGAGTGGCGAAAGAGTCTGGGGATGATTGAGACCCGCCAGATGTGTTCCCGCCTTTCAAGGAGTTGAGGAAGTTCTGGACAACTGCCGAAGCATCGTTCGAGCCGGAAGCAGCTCTGCTCATTGTTAGCTATACTGTTACGTATTTACACATGAAATCCAGAAAGCAGCTGATAGTCGACGTCGTGGCGTAGTCGAGCGGAGTACACGTTAAGTTATGCTCATTTTTCTAGTGTTACATATGAGTAGCGAAACCCATGCGAATGTCTTTGACATATCCAGAGCTCCAGAAACGCCTCATCCCGATGAAAGATCCCGGTGTTCTAAAATTCAACTCGATCTCGAGCAGTCTTCGTCCGCTTTAAGCCTGTAGGATTGAATGCGCCACGACGCCGATGATGCTGATGGAATGAATGTGTAACACCTACGCTCGACCGCCATCGGCACCACCCTCCCGGGACTCTTCGCCTTCTTCTCTAACGTCACCACCTGTGGCACCTGCACCTGCGCCTCCAGTGCTTCCATGACGATTCCTGTCAGTAGAGTGTCCTGTGCCTTCGACATCTTCCATAGCTTCATCTTCGTCATCGCCACGGCCTATGGCAGCGGCCAACTCGGCTTGTATGTCGATATCATCCTCTCCAGCAAGCACTCGATCGACGATTTGTCCAATTGCCAGGTCACGTTGACTGAACCAGCTGGGATCGCTATTGGGGTGCTGTGACTTTGACTGCAGCCAGAATAGATAACGTTGTGAGCTGGAGCTGAACTTGAGGGCAAAGATACGACCATCGGTAGGCGATCGCACATTGTCTGACTCGGAAGCTCGCTCACTGCCGGTGTAGGGTATGAAGGAGCCGTCGCCGGGAATCATGATCAGGTCAAGTTCACACTCGTCGTAAGATTTATCGCGCGCTCGCCAGCAGAAGTGGTCAAACTCTGACTGGTATCAGTATTCGTCATTCGTACAAAAGCTCTAAGCATACCATCTTCGCCACGGTAGATGTAAGCGTAGCCTGGCGTTGGCAGCGGCTTCACTTTCTGGTTTGGTGCACTGCCCTGCGGGGGTTAGCGGGGTAAATAAACTGCAAAGGCTCTGGGGAATTACAGAAAGCTCGCACTGGCCCGCCTTGAAAGTAATCAGTGGTTCGATAGACATGGTTGCGAATCTCGGATCGTCGTGGGGCAATAGATGCAAACGTCTAGCTAGGTGCTGTGATGTCGGTCGGAGCTGGGGTTGGGGTGAGCTAGTCCACGGTACGTCGCTTACTCAGCGCGACGCGGGTTTACTATAATCCGACACATTCGAATTTCGACTCTCCCACTCGCAACTCTCGCTTGGATTCCGGGCTTGCAACTCGACTTCACGACAACATAATTCGACCTCGACGACATGGCCGACAAACCCACAACGAAGAAGTACGCCAAGGGCGAGCGCTCGATACCGCACGCTTCGCAGAAGGCCAGCAAGTACTATCCTGCCGAGGACAACTCCCTCCCCAAGAAGGTACGTCGACGACCGGCAACGACGATATGGAAGGATGTAGATCAGACTGTGAGAGCGTCAAGGTGCCTCTGGGCACCACTGCATCAATGGCAGACTTGCGCTCGCTGCGAAAAACAGCTGCATCACACATGATTAACCTGCGAGCTCTACTAACCCCGAACCTCAGGCTCGCAAGTCCATCCGCCCTGCTAAGGTCCGACCCTCCCTCGTCCCCGGCACTGTCGTCATTCTCCTGGCTGGCCGTTTCCGCGGCAAGCGTGTCGTTCTCCTGAAGCACCTCGAACAGGGTGTCCTCCTCGTTACCGGTCCCTTCAAAGTCAACGGCGTTCCCCTCCGAAGGGTCAACGCCCGCTACGTTATCGCGACCTCAACCAAGGTGGATGTTTCCGGCGTTGGCGAGGATGTGTTGAAGAAGGCTAGCGAGTCTGGCTACTTCACCAAGGACAAGGAGTCCAAGAAGCCCGGAGAGGATGCTTTCTTCAAGCAAGGCGAGAAGCCTCAGGTGGGTTTTCCCTCCTCTAAAGCAGCGCACATGTAATCGCAAGGACACAGACTGACCCCTAGGCTAGAAGAAGGAAACCTCCAAGGACCGCGTAGAGGACCAGAAGGCTGTTGACAAGGCCCTCCTCTCCAACATCAAGAAGGAGGCTCACCTCGCCGACTACCTCAGCTCCACTTTCAGCCTCCGCAGCTCCGACAGGCCACACGCGATGGTCTTTTAGGCGAGGGGTAGATGGGCAGGCATATGGCGTTTAGTGCATGGGACGTGGAACGACTCCGGCAAGCCGCAGCCGTAATAGCAGGCAAATCTTTTTCATGGAGGGTCCAGTTTGCATTTTCCTATACGATCTTGTAACAGACAAAGCGAATTCGAAACGGTCCAACAGTGAACGTTGATTTCGTGTGATGTCATTTCTCAAAAACGTTATGCGGGGAAATACAAATGTACTGCGGTACCCAAAGAGAGCTGATGCAACCAAAATAGACAATATTGACATGATCACGACCGAGCTATCTATCCTCCACCGAGTGCAATCGAGACCAGATTAATCCTCCAAAGTCAAACACGTCCATGTACTCACAGAAGAAGAACGGCCGTCAATCGGATACAGAACGCAATACTACTCATCCCATCACTCATTTCCTCCCTTTCCCCTTCCTAGTTCTATCCTTCAACTTCCCCGCAAGTCCATTCGCACCCTCAGTCGCATCATCGACCGCCTTACCCGCACGTTCCTGCACATTGTGCTTCTCCATCTCCTGCTGCAAATCCTCCATGACGTCAGCGCCCAGTGTAGTCCCGTTGACCCAATCCATCACACCCAAAGGTCCATAATTCCCTTTCCCTTCTGACATCATGTGCGCGTCAACACGCCTCGCCATGCCCTTCAGCATAATGGTCGACGGCAACACATTGTAGCCCGAGTACGTGAAGACTTCCTCAAGCGAGAAGGCGCCGAGCAATAACAGGTACGTCATGATGTGGAAGCGGAAGGCCACAGCTGGGATATACAGGGGTAGGAATCGGTGGATTAGGTAACATGCTGGGTGGTCGTATGCGGCGGCGAACGAATAGGGCACTTGGACGCTGTGGTGCCATGTCTTGTGCCATTTTGCGAGCATGCCGCCATTGGGAGAGTGCAGGATTTGGTGGTGGATGTAGTATTGGATGATCTATCGTTTCGTGTTCTCAAGTTAGCTGCGTTTCTTGTCCTATACGTGGTTGTGTTTTGTCCATCCGAGGGACATGGAAGTGTGATAGGGTGTGACACTCTTTTCCCGGTGTAGAGATTACTGTGAACTTACGTTTCTCGATACAAGGCCAATGACGGCGTGTTTGAATAGATTCCAGGGATTGGGTAGGTGATTCAACGCCCATCGACTCCCTTTGATGACCAATAGACTTCGCATTTTGAGCACATCGGTCACGAACCTGAGCAACGAACGCCACAGCAAGAGTTAGCAGCCATTCTTTCTTTCTCGTGCTGATGGCCCAGAAAGAGATGTTGAAGCTCCTCATCCAACCAACACACACAGACACAGTTTTCTACACTCCCCCAGTTTATCACCCTCATTTCCACACATCTTGTGGATTGTGATGGAGCTGACAGACTTGGACCCCAAAAAAGAAAGCATGGTGAGATAAACGGTATGTTCTATCGAGAAAAAGAAAGTAGAGATATGAGAAAAAGGACTCACCATTCAACACCGGCCTGTAAGCCCACTGCCAACACTACGTTCAACACACTCCATGCAACCACCCTTCTCACCTTTCTCGCGCCACCTTTCTGACGTCCCGGCAGCCCCCACTCACGCTGCGCTTTGAACTCGACCATCAAGCTGGGCACTGCCAGATCGAGCAAAAGGAAAAGCGCAGCGGGGAGGAGGTACAGCACAGTGCGCAGGAATAGTGGCGCGAAGAACTCGAGCTGCAGCGGCGAGTAGGAGAGAGCGAGGGTGGTCCATGTCAGAGAGAAGAACAAAAGATTGAGAGATGTGGAGGTGCTAGATAGGAAAGGGATTGCGAAGAGGGATGCTAGCGGGAGCGTGAAGGGGGCGAGGAGCGACGTGAGGGACATGGTTCGTTTTCGGATTTCTTTTGGTGTTGTGATTTTGCGCTCGTTGTCTGTTGTTGATTTTTTTTTGTTTGCTTATTTCGTATCAGAAGGTGAGGGTGAGGGTGGAGGGCGTTGGAGGATAGATGTATGACAATATAGTTGACGATTTCACTATCACTGCATTTATTGTTGCCTCACTTTCAATCGAAAGTCAACTGGAGTAATGATTGATTCTCTTGCGATGGTGAATGTCGTTGCACTCGGTGAAGGCTGACATGCAGGTATGACGTATGTACATGTATTTTCCGAAACCCGGTTCACTCTCACGTTCGCGCACATCATTGTGAGGTACAGCGAGTAGCGAATAGCAGTTGCAGCCGACGCTGGGCAGAGCGGAGCATGGGCTTACCCGCCAGTTGATACCGATCAGGGGATTAACAGCAATCGGATAGCTCCGAAGAATTGTTTCTGCTGAGAGAGCTGGAGTCAAGAATGACCCTGCGCAACGCCTTCTCAGGCGACAGAAATCGATTTGGACCTTACAAATGGTCGAAGATAGAGATTCATGCAAAAAGCATTGTGGGTGAGTTGGTTCAGGAAGTTGATAGGCATTGGCTCTGCATGTTCGACTCAGTGATTCATGTTCCATGAAACAGTGGCTTCATGCGTAGACCCCTTCGGCAATTTCGATCCTCTCGCCATCAGCAGCAGATGATGGGTGAGCAAAAAGTCCCCGGTGCGTATCCAACGGTTAGGCGCTTGGCGAGAGCAGGTATAGAGGGCAGACAGTTGACGATCAGCGATTCTCAGGACAGCAGACCGGCAGCGATGATTGCCTCGGCGGGGGAGGTGGGAGAGGAACGAGCCATGATGGGGTACTGGGGTGATGCCAGTGCTAGCGACGGGTAACTTGACAAAACGGGCGGCCGGCAAGCAGCATGCGATATCAAGTGGTGGTGGTGTTGCGGTTGATGGGTTTTAGGTGTTGCGCACACAGATGCAGTTAGCTGGCCAACTCTATGGGGCTTCCCTCCCCTCTTCCGTCCACCGACACCACGCGACGGGTCCACCAGCACTTGATTTGCCCGAGAATACTGGCACCCAATTTCCTCTTCCCTTCCTCCTCACCGCCCGCGCACGTACGGTATACGCGTTGTGTACAAACACATACTTACTTCTTTACTTTACTTACTCGCTCACCATCCGTCCCTACAGTCCACTGATTCCAGAAACACATTCCTTCCGCGTCCGTCCGCCAGTCAGTCGGTCAGTCATGCGCGCGTAGATGCCTCGTGGTCGTCGTCTATGCACTACTGACTGACCCATCCATCGCCAAACCGCCGAAGCGAGCTGCATTCCAACTCGTCCTGCACCACCTGCATATCCAGCCCACCACCCCGGTCGCTCCCCCAGCGAGCAGAATCAATCGCTCTGTCAGCCATTGCTACTAAATCGCCATTCTGGCCGTGAAGCCTTCATCGCGCCCGGCAATCCCATGCCACCCAGCATGGACGCCCAACCAGACCGTCTTTATGGCTCCCCCGCCGCCAGCGCCAGGCACACCCCAAACCACGGTTCCAGTTCGAGGCCCCGTCGTCGCTCTTCGCTCCCCTTCATGCCCGTAGACATCTCCCGTTCAAAAAAGTCTGTCCGCCCCGAGGTTGCTTCCCCCGCAGTCATCTCTTCTCTGATCGACTCCCTCTCAGCCATCTCCGCCTCCACTCATAACCACTTCGAAAACCTTCCCACCAGCTACGGCGACAGCCAGTCGCTGCCCGTGAGCCCGCATCCCTTCTTCGACCACGACGCTACTGTGCCAGACCGCTCGCCCTACTACCAAAATATCAAGCTGCAGAACCAACTCTATCCCGACGACGAGGCATGCGAGCCCCCCGTTATCCGCACCTCCAAACCTCCATCCGGTCTGTCGCCTCTTACCGCCCCAAAGAAGAGGGATAAGGACAATTCCACCAGGAGCTATATCGGTCCTAGTGGAGGAAGCTCTCCGTCTCTGCGCTCTAGTCGTTCGTTGCGGTCGGTGAGCAGCATTGGGAATATAAGCATCGAGGCCGGAATACCCAGGAAGCCATCCAACGCGAGCATCCGGTCATCTTCTGAGAGCAAAAGGAGCTCCAAGGGGCACAGGAGTCTGATATACATGCCCTCTTTGGAGCGGATGCGAATGAAGGATGCGGAGCGCAAGCGTCCAGCTCACTCAGGTTCCGAAGGGGCAGCATTGGGTGATCCTATCAAGAAGTCGGCACCTCAACGCCCAGTTGCAGAAGATACCATCAAAGAAGAGTCTGTGATGGGGGAGTCGTCGAGGAGCGCATCTTCATCGCAACGTGCAAACCAAGTTATCAGCCCACTTCGCAATGGCATCAATCTTCTTGGCGGGCCCGACGCAGGAAGCCCCCACGAGCAGGGCCTAATTCCCGCGCGTGCCTCGTCTCTTCGACACTCGGGTAGTCCGTCCCGAAAGTCAAGGAAAAGTCGCCATGCACGCAAGACCAATACCGTACCGGAAGAGGACGAGAGTCCGGAACATGAGTCAACGGCGAAGGAAAAGGTACCCAGGGATCTGGCGACTGGTGAAGATGAGGTTGCGCGCAGAATCCGAGAGTTGAAGACTCAAAAGATGCTGCGCGATAAAATGGCCGGCAAGCTACCTGTAGGCGCGGATGCAGGGGCTCCACTTAGTGCAGCATCCGTTTCATCACCCTTACCCAGTCGTGAGCATTCGCCAGCCTCGAGCATATCGAGTGCATCCGCACGGAAAAAGCAAGCCCCTGCGAAGGCGCTCAAAATCCTGGGCATTGCCATGCAGCCTGATTCTGCGGGCCAGAATACGAATGTGTCCCACCTACCAGAAGCGAACGGGACAACTCAGCCCCAGGGAAGTTTCCGGACGCACCGTCACACACGGGCTCAAAGTTCCATGGGTGACGATGGCGACGACCTTACCCCGCTCCCCATCGACTACAAGCTCGCGCTCAAAGCTCTGGACAATCTGGATCAACAGGCTACGGGAGAGTCGACATCATCCACACGTAGTAGCAGCAAGGACTCCAGTAAGACTGACATATCCAGCGCGAGTATGACCCCACCCAGACGTACGAGGTCGGCCGCTGCTGTGGGCGGTCGTTCAGCGAACGGGCGCAAGCTCAACCACTCCAGCATGAGAACAGCGAGCGCTGCACAAGTCGACGCTTCCAATCACGCCAGAAACGCGCCGCCTAGTGCGAGCAGCGACAGGACGGCGCGATCGGCTAGCGAAGAGATTACCACGCGCCACTTCTCCTTAACGATGGAGCGTCCCCTCGCGACATTACACAGCCAGCAACAACGCCCACTCAAGAAGAAACGATGGTCACATCCCGATTTGCCAGTCAAAGCCGAGAAGATGCACAACGATAGGTTGGATGCTCTCGAGTCCGCCAGATCCAAAGGCGTTCAATCGCGCGGAACGTCTGTTCAGAGAACAACACCACAGCCCGTCATCGAGGAACGCCCGGCCAGCAGAGATTCAATTGACATGGACGTTGACAAGTATCTTGCGTCCCCGCGCTTGTCACAGAAGATACGTCACCCTCAAACTGGCCGAATCATTTCCTTCTCCGAAGTAGGTGATCCCCAGGGGTTCGCCGTGTTTGTCTGCGTTGGTATGGGCTTGACCCGGTTCGTCATGGCCTTTTACGATCAGTTGGCTTCCACTTTGAAACTGAGATTGATCACGCCGGATCGCCCTGGTATCGGAGGGAGCCAGATTGATCCCAACGGTACCCCTCTGAGTTGGCCTGGTAAGATTTGTCCCTTATCTTCATTGATGCTGGTTTCGCTAACCATGAAGCAGATGATGTGCTGGTCATTTGTCAGGCTTTGAAGATCACGAAATTCTCTCTCCTCGCGCATTCTGCAGGTGCTATCTACGCCCTTGCCACATCCCTTCGTATGCCGCAGCATATCCGCGGTCGGGTACACCTGCTTGCCCCTTGGATCCCACCTTCGCAGATGGAACCTATCGGCATTAGTCAAGATCAACCGCCTACACAGCAATTGCCTCGCTCTCAACGCTTCCTGCGCGCCTTGCCTCCGTCTCTTCTGAAAGTGGCAAACTCTACATTCCTCAGTGCCACAAGCGCAAGTCTGCAGCGCACTGGACCGAAGAACTCGCCCAAGACGAGACGGAAGAGTGTCGTCCCACCAGTACTGTCGCAGCCGCAGGAATCTCCCGCACGACCACCACTCCAGAACAACAGGCGCGAGTCTATGATGCAGATGGATCAAATGATGCCAGAAACTGGCTCACTTTCCATGGCTCCACCAAATATCTCCGACCCTGCCGAGTCACAGGCCCAGAGCTTGGAGGAAGCTAAATCTCAAGCGGAGCGTGAACGACGACAAGATTTTGATGAGCGCCTTACTTTTGCCATCTGGGACCGCGCCACTGCGAATGCCAATCCTGCGACGGACCTCATTGTGTGTCTGGAGACCAAACAGACAATCGGTTTCAGGTACGAAGACATCAACCGCTCCGTAGTCATACATCATGGCAGCAAAGACTCGCGCGTCCCTGCCGATAACGTGCGCTGGCTTGGTCGCCTGATGCGCAAGTGTGAGGTTAGAATCCTCGAAGGTGAACAGCACGGTCTCATGGCGAGCGCGCAAGTCATGGGCAACGTGCTTACAGAGCTGGCAAGCGACTGGGAGGATTGGTCCAGCGTCGTCCAGGGCAAAGCCAACGGAGACCGGGCGGTGTCCAGGAAACGGACCGCTGAGCGACTCCGCAATATCACATCACGGAACGGGCCGGAGCCTATACCATCTAATTGAACACCAGCCCTTCTATCGTAACCGAATTCGCGTTTCTCATGAGTTGAACGCGAACATTACAACAACGAATAATAACTGTTGACGCCTGCACGTTATGCGCGTCCTAATACACAATACCCACGGCCTCAACCCTTCTTACTGCCCTCGAAGAAAACAACGCTTCTTCGATCACCTAATGTCTACTTTGTCCTCCATACCCTCTTCCTAACCCTTTTCTGGCTACCAAATCCTCCACACTTTGTCTAATCACGCTTTTCCGTCTCTTCCTGGATGGTGTCTTTTGCAAATTATACCCTTTCCTTTTCGGAACGTCACCAAATGCTTTTCTTCTCGGTTTGCAGCTAGCGGTTTTGAGAGACACATTTTCTTCGCCCTTTCAGACATTCAAATTTACTTATCGATACTCGATTCCCCAACAATTCCGCCTGCCTTCTTTTCTCTCTCTTTGGATTCGATCATGGTGTCTTATCAGTAATTGATTCTCGGGGGGTTCTTGTTCTACTTCTTTCGTGGCATTGGATGATGGGGATGATTGGATTTTTATTTCTATTTTACTTTCGATGTACATAGAGCAGGAATGAATGGTACATGAAGGGAGTGAGCGGGTGCAGTGAGGAGAAGAGATGTGACGACCCGCCAACCTCGTGTGTGTGTGTGACTTGGTCACTTCGGTAAATCTATATGTAGATTATATATGTATTGAAGCCACTTTTTTCTTGACCTCGTTCCCTTCTTGAGCATGCTCTCTACAAGCAATTATGGAAACTCTATGGAAGATGAAATACTTGCTCACTTCGAGAACAGGTTCAATCTGGGTGGACGAAAAAAACAAAGCGCAATGGCTTCACATTTCAATGTTGTATTGCGGGATTGACGCAAATATCTACTAACATATCGCTTGTTTTTGTTTTGTGTCTCTATTGTCATAACCATATCGCTGTGTGTAGGATCACCCAAACTCCAACTTACAGATCTACTTGGATATGTTTCCACCCCGTCTCTCCGAGCCCTAATGCACCTGCTGATTAGACTACAACAAAAACCAATCCTCTTCGGTTTTCTCCCAAGGTGAACTTGTTTTGCCTCACGTAAAGCTGGTTGTTAATTGATGAGGATGATATCAGAACACCTATCCACAGCTTGCGTCCATGAATTTTCACCACAGAATGCAACTATTCTATCTATACCCGACCAGTATAGTCGTAAGTATACCAAGCCTTCCTCAAAGCTGAAACCACCATCATCAACACTTCCAACCCATCAACCAAGCTCATTGCCCTTCACTATCCCTCACCCCCCTCTCTACCAACTCTTTCGCCAACCTTCTCACATAAAACCCCGCCACATCCTCCGGCAAGCCCTTGAAAGCCTTCAATATCTTCTCGACATCCCTCCTTCCATTCTCGTATGCCTGCAGATCGCGGTTTCCATACACATCCTTCCCAGCCGCATACCCATGGTCCAAGTTGCGAAAGAAGACATTAACGGCAACGCTGAACCCCTCGTCTGGCGTCGCTGTGTGACTCCACATGGGCGGGATGAATAGGATATCTCCCGGGGATAGCGCCGCGACATGTGGGTGCGTGCCGCGGGGTGGGGCGGCAGCGACGTCTATGTTGGAGCTGGAGCCTCCCGGTGGGTAGTCGAGGCGGTCGACGTCGGAAGGCGGGTACAGAGTGAGTGTCTTGCGGCCTGTGATCTGCACGAGGATGTTGGCGAGCACATCGTAGTGCAGCCAGAGGGCCACGGGGCCTGAGATGCGGAGCGGCGACGAGTGCAGATGGGTCTGCGCGAAGCTGAAGATGGGGCTAAGCTGGAAGTCTGGAGCAATTGTTGGGAAGTCTTCTTCGAGCTTAGTAGGGAGCTTGTTGGCTTGCGTTGACGATGTTGCGCGGAGGTAGGTTTTGGAGCCTGCTGCTATGCCATCTAGGAAGGTGCCTACGGAGGTTTTGGTGTATTGGAAGTTTTTGGATTGGAAGGTCATACGGGACGCGGTGCTTTCATGGATGACGACCTCACGGTCGGCACCTATTTTGTCTTTAAGATATGGGAGTGTCCATTGGGAACGACAAGGTCCAATGTCCTGTCCTTCGATGATGACGGGCCGAGATGCATGGAGGAGATTCGTGAAGTCTTCTGGGGTACTAAGCTGTACCCGTGAAATTGTGATAGGCTTGGGCCCGGTGGGCCTTTTAGCTTTAGACTTTTGCTTGATCTTGGATTTAGCAGATGGGACTGGGGCTTCTTCCTTCACTGCCGCGCTTTTGTTGTTTGGTGCCGCATGCGTTGACGGCACCCAGGACGGCACAGTCTTCGAATCCGTCGTGATACTAAGGAAGCCTTCATTCCAGAAGCCTTCCGACACCAAAAGTCAGCAAAATTTAACCAGGATCGATGTCATACATTGCCAATGCATCGATACACCGCATTACGTGGTGTCTCGAACAGTGACAACTCTGTACGGGGTCACAACTCACTTCCCATGGAAAAACAGACTGCACCACCGCCCGCAACGACTACTTCATCCCGAGACACCGCTACTGCACCGAAACCCACAAACAAAGGCCAGACTGATTTTGGCAATGATAGGTCAGGCTTATGAACACTGATCGTAGACTTTTCCGTGTCTGGCGCCACCACTACAATGTCCTCGCATAGAGCACTGATGCCATATTTTGAAACACCTCCAATGAGCATCAGCTTATCACCAAAAGGCAGCAGACTTGCACCTAGCCTGCCAATCCAAAGGCCATTGGTTGCCTTCTGGAGGTCATTAGTGTGGTTTCTGAACTCGAGCTGCAAGTTAGGCGCCGCAATGCGCCACTCCCAGACCTCCTGTAGAACTACGCCGCTGGGGTCTAACCCCCCGATGATAAACCCCGAATTTTGACCCGAGCCAAAAGTTGACATTGCAGAGCCGTATCGTGCCGAAGGTCTTTGCTCCACGTCAGCGGAGATTGATGTCCAACCCGAAACAGGTGTCCACAGTTTCCATTCATCCAGAACTGTGCCGTCGCTGGTTCTACCTCCAAACACTAGGATTCCCGCAGTATCTTCCCCGTCAGATGGAATGATTACTTTCGCAGCGCTATGTCTGAACCGGGCGGGACTAAGATCATCCACTTGCTTCCAGGAGCTGCCTTGCTCGATGAGCCAACAATCTGCAAGTGCACGGGCTGGTGATGCTCGACCGCCTACCAGTAGTGATGCATGGCCGTTGAGAGGTGTGACTGTGTGACACATGCGGGCCTGAGGAGTCGCCGAATTGCAGGGCTGAATTGTAGACGCCGGGCTTTCGCGTGTCAACGTGTCCATGCTCTCCAATCTGGACTGCATACCTTGCCCTCCATTGCAGACAATAGCTTCATTTCCAACCGTAAAAGCAGCGCCGAATCGACGCAAGCTCATCTGCGAGGGCGCAGTGGCGTGATGGATAATCTTCATGGGCGTTGTCAAGGACCGGCCCTCGGTCCCGTTGCTCACTCCCGTGTTACTGTTGGACTGGTCAATATTGGCCATTTTCATTGGCTTTTTACTATCAGTGTTGGACGCCACCACCAAGAAGTAGTGTCCGGCAAATAGTGCAAACTCCTCCCACTCGTCGAAAGGTTCCACGGCATCTAGGCTGCGCCGAGCAGCTGGAGGGGTAAAAGTATCATCCGACCAAAGATGCCAGAGGTTTTGGGCAATTTCCACTGTTAGCCAGCCTGCATTCGTGAACCTGGATGTCTGTTGGGCAATTGAAGGGTACAATTTTACCGCATGGATAGGGGTCTGCAGCTTGTCAAAGTGCTTGAGCATGGTGTGGGCGAACGGATGTCCCGGACCTTGAGGAAGATATTGCTCCAACAGACAAAAGCGAGCTTGATTCATGTCAGGCTTGCTTTTGGAAAATGTGAGCGAAGCACTTACCATCTTCAAGGGTGCTTGCCCATGCTAGGAGCGAGTCGGAATCCGTAACCGGCATGTAAGTTAGAGACACTTCGGCGACAAACAGGACAGTCGAGTTCGCAAGGTCGAGCTCGGTCTTCAGGAGCTTCTCAAGATGGCTAAGGTCTCTCAGATCACACCCAAGTGCCATATACTGGTCGCTGCGGAGAAAGACTGGGGACTGGGATGGACGTAGGTTGGTTCGGAATAATGCATGTCGAAGAACATCATGGATTAGCATGCGATCCCTTTTCCTCCCGATGAGCTGTGGATAATCGACGTCAACGAATACAGCCCCTTTAGACAGTGCAGCGTGTCTGTGCCAGAATTGAAACGGCAGCGGATCGCTTTTCTATCAGTGAGCACATTGCATCCAAACAGACGGTCACTTGACTTGTTCTTACTCACTATCCACATCCTAAATTCACAATGATCTTAGGTTTCGAAGTTTGCTCCCCAAGGAAATTTAGAACGGCCTGCTCTACAGCATGCATTCGCAGCCAATAGCCGCGGTTGATCAGAGGGTTCCTCCGAACATACTTCGGGCAGAATGGCTCGTAAAAGTCGGGCTCGTCTGGGAAGTACAACTTGGATACACATCGCTTTGACGTGATACTGCTATCATTCGTCTGAAGTACGGTTAGAGTATGGTAAATTGACAAGCGGACAGGAGGGGAGAGATGATGACTAAGATCAAGGGAGAATGCTCCTCACATGCATAATTTCGTCGTCGATTCGCTCTTGAACGGAGCGAGGCTTCGCTTTGGCTTTGGCTTTGCTTTTGACGGCAGCATTTTTGCTGGAGTGAGGGTTCTTGGTCCCTCCCATTGCCGCAGGAGTAGTTTCTGCTACAGCAGTTGTTGTTGTTGTTGTTGTTGCTGCTGCTCTTGCTAGGGACGCGCCTGCAGGCCTGGCCAAGTGTGTGTGTGCACGTGTGGTGACAAATTTGGATGTGTGTGGCGCAGAGGTGTGGCTGGGTATTCCGTCATCTCAGTCAAGTCAAGTCAGTTGATAGTACCAGGCGGTAGCTTTTGTCGCGTGGGAAAAACATTCTTGGTACGTTTGCGATGCTTGCGACGTGGCACTCGATTCTACACATAAGCACTATGCACATGGGCTTCGCTGTCAAATTCCGTCACCATCTCTGCTCTATGCGCCGGCCATCGTCGTTAATCTCACAGAGAGACTGCATTGTATGGTAGCGCGAACCAGAGGCCCAAGCTCCACTACGAAGCTCGTTCAACCCCATCCTTCCCCTCCACTTGCGCATCCCTTCACCAGCGAAGCCCGGCCAGGCCAACATGACGTCCATGAACTTTGTGACCTTCAATCAGGATCACAGCCATCTCGGCGTCGGTCAGTACCTCTATGAGATATACTGCCGGCATTCCTACTGACTTCCGCCCCAGGCACCACCAAAGGCTACCGCATTTACACGACCGATCCCTTCAACAAGCAGTCCGAGTCACGAGAAGGAGATGTATCCAGTCTTGAGATGCTCTTTTCCACCTCTTTGGTGGCCCTCACATTGTCACCTCGCGTCCTACGAATACAGAATACGAAGCGCCACTCCACGATATGCGAGATGACCTTTCGGACAGGCATCCTGGCTATGCGGTTGAACAGGAAGCGTCTAGTCGTGGTGTTGGAATCCAACCTTTACATTTATGATATCAGCAACATGCAGATGCTCAAGGAGGAGAAAACATCGCCAAATCCTAATGGTAAGTGCCCAACCACAACCGTGTGTGCCGATACACGGTGACCGCTCACCACCGCTAGCGATCTGTGCCCTCTCTGCCTCATCCGAAAACAACTACCTCGTCTTCCCACTGCCCACCAAAGCCCCGCCGGCTACTTTTCAGCCTCCTGCGCACGCTCCACCCAAGTCCGATCATATCACTCCGTCAAGCGGTGAAGTCCTGATATATGATGCGACCAAGTTGGAGGCTGTGAATGTTATCGAGGCGCACAACTCTCCGTTGTCTTGTATAGCGCTCAACAACGATGGCAATCTCATGGCGACTGCGTCCGAGAAAGGAACCATCATTCGCGTCTTTACCATTCCCGACGGCCAGAAACTTTACCAGTTCCGACGAGGCTCCATACCTGCTAGGATATTCAGCATGTCTTTTAACTCTGTTTCATCGTTATTGGGTGTCTCGTCTGCAACCATGACTGTACATGTGTTTAAATTAGGTGCACCTAACGCTGGGCGCAGTAATAGCGTATCATCGATATCTGGCGGACCGCCCTCGACTCGAGGTCGCAGTAGCAGCCGCGCAAGTGAAGAAGTCCCGGACGAGTACGAAGACAGTATGACGGAAAGCTCGATGCCAGAGCGCAGACAGATGAATCCCACATTCGCCAGTATGATCCGTCGAACGTCTCAGAACGTCGGAAAATCATTCGCGGCAACTGTCGGAGGCTATCTTCCCAATGCTGTATCGGAAATCTGGGAACCCGCGAGGGATTTTGCTTGGGTTAAAATCCCTCGACTACCGAACAGTGCGTCGTCAGGCCCGGTGAAGACGGTTGTGGCCTTGAGCAACAATGGACCTCAAGTAATGATTGTCACTAGTGAGGGCAATTATTATGTGTTCAACATCGACCTCGAGAAAGGCGGAGAGGGCACATTGTTCAAGCAATACTCGTTAGTATAACACGACCACACTAGCGAGAATGGCTGCTAATTCTACTAGGCTGCTAGAGCCAAATGAACTGGCGACCAACACATCTCAAGATCTACTGGAGTAACTAGTGCCATTTTCTTGTTTCATAACTCGGGACTTTCACTTTGGTGTATAGCCCAGCTCCTCTTTCCATGCATTGCATCACGGCGTTAATGGACTTGTTGAGTTGCTACGTTCCTATCACGACGATGAACGGCGGAATTTCGTCCATTTCAGACTACTTTGCTTTGGTATATCCCTACATAGTTCATTTATTCAGCATTCGTCGCTCTCAGATCCAACAAAGAATCGTAATTGACTCTGCGCTTTTTTTTATTGATGCTCTGCTTAGTTCTGTAGCAATCGATAGACGTTCGTCAAATTTATGGTCATAAAATGGAAACGTGAATGGCAGAGCCGCAACTCATGGTGATCATACTCGGTGTCGGAGGTAGTTTTAGTTCAGCTGGGGATTATAAAGGACCCCCACCTGCCCCTCACATTGTCGTCTCTACCTTCGACCCCGCGGCTACACAGCCCCACTTTCCACGTAGCTGACGTCTTACATAGCTGCCTCCTGGTCAAAATACTTTTGTCCGTCATTCCCCAGGACACTTGAACAACTACACCTCTGCGACTGCAAAATATCCGCTATAAAACCACAGGAACAAGCGTTTTGGACCTCACATATCGGTACAATGGTACAATCCGAAAGCACAGGCAGCCCGCTGAGTGCGGACTCCCTTTGCACATTCATGGCCGCCAGCCTGCCCAAGTCCGCTGAGCACCAGCTCAAGAACGCCTATGAAGCTGTCGCACTTGCCACACATGCAGGTATGATTGCGGTTGGCTTCAGACTTATTGGGCTAGGAGAAGACGATCGCATTGGTACTATCAACTTCCCTTATTTAACTCGGTGTGTATACTCATCTTACGTAGAAGCTTCCGCAGACGCACAAAACCCACAGCCATTGCCCACAGAATGGAACGCTACGAATGCGTATGCCTTTCGATACGCGCACGAACAATCTTCCATGGAATTTCTCGTCAAAGTGAGCAGGCTGGGCGGCAAGGCAGTCATATTTGGCCTGGCTATTGGCGACGACAAAACAACGACGTTCGATGTCACAGTGAAAGACTACATTTCAGAAAACTCGCTGCCGGTAGCTGTCGTGCAGGATTCATCACCAGAGGATCTTTCAAGGAAGTTACAGGACGTGTTCATATCAGCGGGTCGACTCGCCGATTTTGGCTCGCTCCTAAAGCTTTCTATCATACAAAAATTGGCTCCCGGAATCGGCAAGCACGGTCAAGAGGACACAAATACACACACTCGGGATGAAACCAGTTCGCGAGAACAACCGCAGCGAGGAGATGCTGAGCAGCCGCGTCGACCAGAGGCCGATCCCGAACCTGCCCGCCCTTATCCTTTCAATGACCCGCTCGCTGTCCCACGGCAACCAGGACGACCCCTTCCCGAGCCTATCCCTGGGTTTGAAGATGAATATGAGGTCAATGGGCCTCTACGGGGAGGTTTGAGAGATGATCGGTTCCCAGCCGGTATTGGCCACAACGACCTGTATCCTCCAGGTCTTGGTCCGAACGATCCTCTGCGCCCTCACCTTGGTGGCCAAATACCACGTCCTGGCGGTATGGGTGGCGGAATGCATCCTACTTTTGACGATCCGATGTTTGGTGGGCAAGGTGGATATGGGGGATACGATCCGATGGCACCTCCAGGGGCCCGCTACGATCCTCTTGGTCCTGGAGGTGGACCGCGTGACAACCGTGGCGGACCGCGATTCCCTGGTGGAGGTGGGTTTGGAGGTATGGGTGGACCTGGTGGCCGACCACCAAACCCATTCGGTGGCTTCGGTGATGGCGACTTCATTTGAAAGGCACCTGGGTATGGCGGAGGAACAATATGATGTCCTTGACGATAAATGTCACGATTCTACGAGAAACTTACACTTGTATCATGTATAACATATCATACCCTTTATATATAATTATCCACTATAATACTGCAGAGCTTGTTGCTGGAGTGAAAATTTATGTGACTATCTGACATGATACATTGTGTTGTCTAGGCTCCCGATCACGACTATAGTTCCCAACATCTGAACTGACAAAGTAGGTATGTAACTGTGTTTTTTTGTTCTGTTTTCATAGTAAGGATGTGTCAGGACTCAGTGTAGTAACATGTCCAATGTTTTGTTCTCGCTTATGCCAAATCCTTCGTGAAAGACACGGGAACCTCACCAATCTACCTATGTACATATGTAGGTATCAATGGCGAACATGCTTCAGTGGATTCATTTGAATTTAGTAAACAGTGTAAATTAGGCATTCGCTTGTCCACGCTACCAGTCAACAATGGAACCTAAACATCCAACGCCCTCAAACCATCCCACCCGACACCAAGCCACGACAGCAACAGCAATAACAACCCACAAGATCCCAGCCCGACCGTTTATCAGCCTTACCGGCCCACAAACTCTCCTCCGTCCATCATCTCCGCTCCAAGCGAACCCGCCTATCGCCCTACCCGAGTGGGAGCACCGCACACTTCCTACAGGTAGAATAGTGGGTATGCAGCGGCGGCGTAGGTATACTTACGGCACAGTTCCCATGACCTTTCTACCCTAGCACCTAAACCGGAAAGTGAGTAACATCATACTTCATTCAGCCTTGGGATCTACTGGCTTCGCAATACATGCCCTTTTCATTACCTTTTTTCTCATTACGCTCTTTTCGTCTGTAACCTGCCTTTCAACAGGGGTGTGTGGTGCATTCCATCTTATCCGATATTCGCAATACATGTATTATTCCACCGGTCTTACATATTCTCGTGAGCGGGATTTTTGTACTCATTGGCTGAAGAGTGCCACCCTGTTTGAGTAGGTGATGCGGTAGCTTGTATACCAAGGAATATAAGGCTATCTATACATCTATCGGTGTATGCGAGTCCCAGCATTCTGCGTTAACCGATAGAGACCGGAAAGCCTCGCATAATCTCGCCCTTGCACATACATGTCGGGAAAGGAAGAAAGAACGTAAGCGCTAGAGGACTTGTAAAGCAAGGTAGAGCTATGCTGGCTAAGCTAGCTAGCTTAGTTAGAATGGCTATGTGTGCAATATCTAGCTAACTAGAGCTCTCTAATTGTTCGTGCACCGCATTTTTCTTACTTTCTTGACAAGCGAATGGGTTCCCTTGCTTCTTTCCAGTGCGGCATAGCAATGGATAGCATTTTCCAGAAACGTACAAATCTGATTCCTTCGAAACGAGGAGATGCGAGGATGGAGAAGGAGGATTTTCTTTTGGGATCGGCGGGTTCGAGCTTGAGGGCAAGACATTGATTCCTGGTACATGTCTCGAACGCTCCGAGGCTCGTGTTCCTTGCGTTCATCGCAGTGGGAGACAGAGAAGGTAAAAAGTCAGGATTGTATGAAGCGTGTATAGACAAAAGGATTCAAGGGGGTAGGAGGGGAGCTGAAGGGGGCATCCAAGTGCCCAATTGGAACGCCACGGAACTCAATCGAGCGAAAGAGCAGGAAGAGAAACCGCGATGGGGGAATGCATCCTCATTCATGATACGGGTTCCGAATTCATTCCTCGTGCCTTCCATGCCTCTCTAACTCTTCTGCTCCTATTCGTCTACCCTTGTCTGCCTGTCTCTCTATAGCTTTCCACATGTCCCTACTCGGCCTCTAATCTTTCCATGTCTTGCTTTTCCTTGCACGTACGGCTGCCTGCATGCATGTATATTGCATATGCGACGATACCCACTCTCCGGCTGCCGCGGCCAAAAGCAGCGCTGCCTACTGTCACACCAGGGTTCTTCATCCTTTCTTCTGATCGGTTCCCGATGCCTATTTCTTATTCCCCCCATTCACTAGTGTCTCCCTGCCCCGGGTAATAGAAAAAGATAGTCTGGATGATCGTTCTATAAGCAGTGAGGCGCTGCATTTCACGTGATAGACCCAAGATCTGGAAAAGCGGAAGCCTTGGCACCGGGCTCGGAGCAATACACGACCAGAATCCACATGCGCACAGAGATAGATGCGCCGCGGCCGACGGTATGCGGGAGATCCTGACAAAGGGGAGCCTAGCAAATTACGGTTGTACGAGGATATTGTACAAATTTCAATTGTTATGCAGGTAGCCAGGTGGGATTCTGCTATTTGGGTTTGGGTACCCGGTTACCGCCTTGTTGTGCGTGACTTAGATTGAGCTTATTCCTGCTGTTTGGTTGCTGGGTTATCAGCCTTGCTTGTTGATGCGGGCGCCTATGTAGGTGAGTACCTAGGTAGGTAGGTAGGTTTAAAGGATCGAGTTATTAAATTAAGGATCGTGTGTGTCTGTGTTTTAGTAGAATAGTAGAGTTAAGATGGGCGACTGCTTGCCTGGATTACCTTTTCGGCGAAGTCTTTGTTTAGTTGACGGTATCTTTGCTGTCTTGGGTAGGGTCGGGTCCGTGAGTAGTTGCGTGACCGTCATACTAGTATGCCGATTGTGAATTAATGAAGAGGGAATTATACAGCAAAATCCTTTTCAGACCAAATCCCAGACATAGCAAGGAAGCACAAACCTGCGTCACTATTCAGACTACATACCCGCCCTACGTACATGGCTGGTGATATGGGCGCAACCGGTTCCTTACCCTCGATGCCGCCTTGCAAGTTACAGATTTCGAATAGCGAGAGAAAGCCTCCGAAGCGGGTAAGAGGATCAGTTCAAGACAGTAAACGGCCACGCACAGGCGTGGGTGTGGTCAAGTGGGTAGGAAGATCATCCTTGTCAGGCTGTATGTACCTTGTAGACTATACATTTTACCTTCTTCTACGGCAGGAGAACGGGAAGGGGGGTCCAGCATCGGAGTTTGTCGGTTAAGTCAACCTCGCATAAGCAAAATGGGGTCTAGACGGAATGATGATTCCGTCACAGAAAGCTGATATTGCACATTATACCGGTGCAATGCGTCTGACTATATGCGGTTGTAGGTGGCTATTGTTTCTTGGGATACGCAAGCATACCGCGGAAGATACAACAAGAGGACGAGACATTATGTGCTTTGTTTAGCGGTGTGGACGCATGGTGGAGAAGGATGCGGGACAATCGCGGACTAGCGTTATGGCGGGATTTTGAGTTTCGTGTCAGCTGAAGCCTGAGGCCATAAGCCTCGTCCACTCTGGTACCGGGGTACACTATAAGGCGTGGATACTGACCGCAAATCCCGGCAGCCCTGTATTGCAAGGGTAGACGAGTGAGGGCTGGGCATAAGCAAGGCGGTAATGGAGATAGGGGGGCCAGTAAGCAGCATACCACTTGTTGTTGATCATCGGTTCTAGATGGGAGACGGAGGATTAGGAGGAAGGTCATGTAGGGCTGCATAACCCATGTCATCGAACAACGTTGCTGGTAGGTACAAGGTAAGACGGCAGGATTCTGTCCCGCTGTGCTGTAGGGTGGGGATGTATGTTGACGATGACTCGATGCCAATGGTATGCAAGCCCTGCGTGTTAGTTTTGCAAGGGAGATGATAGCTGAAGTCGCTTGCTTAAGACGCGCCTCCTTAATTCCCGTGTGTGATAGGCAATATCTTCTTGCCGTTTGGTTGTAACCGTGTGGATCCATTTCTTATAGGTGTGGTCTGAAAATGACAGGATATCCCCCGGGGCGCAAATAGGTCCGAATCAGGATTAGTGGTGATGAAGCTGGAGGCCCGTGTAACTATCGCTTAATCGCATGGAACAATAGCAGACGTTCACGTCGCTGCTTACGACATTACTCTCTGCCTCGGGAGAATCGTGGTTCTCGCTCCGTGATCCGTGTGGAGACGCTCTAAGCACGAGCATAACGTGTTCATATCACTGCTTGAACTGATTGGGCTGGTTGTGGCCACAACCACTCGGCGGGCTGGCGTTTTCGAGGAACCAAAGATCATGACCGTTGTTGCTGCTATGCTCGTTGTTTACAGATAATATACTGAGCCTCAATTTGTATTCTTCCGCAATCCACGTGGAAATACTCCGAACAGTCGTGTTGTAGCCGCTGCTTTAGTTGATCGGGCTGCGCGAGGCTGTGGCTACTTGCGCGATAACGTTTTTAGATGCCAATGTGTCCGATCCTCCAGCGGGTAACGAGACCAATGGTGTCATGCAAATAAAGTTAATCTAGTCAAGGAGTAGGATTTAGCACTGATGAAACTGCTTTATTGACGGCTCGTGCTTTCTGGGCTGTGTTGCGTTAGTCCTTCAAAGCTGTGGGGTGGTGAATCAGGGGGCCAGGATCTCTTCGGAGTTCGAGGCTGGTCGCTTGCCAACCACCCCTGCGGACAAGCCGGTTGCCAGCTACGACGGTGAGGCTGGCTGGAAATAAGGACATGGAGAAATCCTCTAAAGCCGAATTGACAACGCTCCACTTTAAGGCAGGTAGGTCGTGGTTCAGGAGGAAATCAGGTGGGACGCAATGATGTTGGTGGTCAGAGCTTGGGAGGCTAGCCGAAAAAATTCAGACGACAAGTTACCCCGAGCATGTAGGCGCAGAATGAGCCGCATTGGGGAGCAGAATGCGTGATGGCAAAGGAATTAGTTGGGAGTGGAGAAGGGTTCATATATGGGCGGAAAACACAGAGGCACTAGGGCACATTTGTAGTTAGAATAAAGATGGAACTCAACTGCCGCACTAAGCCATCCCTGGCGCTTCTCGGCAATCGCGTACGTCCCGCGCGCTAAAGATCCGTTCCGCGGCAGGTAAGCGCTATGATCCCTGCAGGGCGTCTGACAGGCGTCTGACATGTTTTGCGCGCTTGTAAGCGCATTAACCGGTCACGTTCGGCACGGGCGTTAAATAACGTGGTGATACGGCAGATCATTCGCGCTTCGAGTGCGTGAACTGGGAGTCCGTGAGTCTAAGCAACCGCGAAGGGGTGGTAGTACAATGGATCGTGAAAATAGAGCTGCAATTTCTGATATATAAACCATGGAAGTAGATGGTGGGGCCTGGGCACAACGTTCCGCCTTCGCCGATTCCTCGGAAGCGTGTGATTGCACCTGTTCTTCCGTTTGCACTTGGCTATGGCACAATCACGATAGCTATTTTGTCAATCTCAACTGCTGCCTGGGGTTCTCCATGATCAGCGAAATTATTACGTTGGTTCGCACGTCAATCAGTGCAGGCCGATGGGTTTCCGAAAACCGGTTCGAAGTCTGTGTCGCAATCGCGGTTCGTGATGGTACCCCGATCGGCAACAAAAGTACACCTCATTCCCGGACTCCGTCGACGTCAGTGTGTACAATTACGATGATGGACCACTTTTTCGCTCTCGTGGAGCGAAAGAACGAGGCCACGGGAATCAGTCCTCGGCCTTTACACGTGGTTTCAGGTGAGCACGGAGCGTCCGTGCAACAGTAAGCGGGGCTTAATCGACTCACAACATGACTGGTGCTGACAGGAAACATGGAGTGGGAGGACGATTTTGCAGCAAACAGGAGGGTGGGGCCAAAATTAGGAGGGCGAATCGCAATGAGCCACAATAGCTGAGGGGGACGCTCTGCTGCGCAAATGCCCGTTTATTGAATGACGATGAAACTGGTGCATCGAGGACAGGTTTTGGGTCTACCTCACCCCTCACGAAAAGGCTGTGTAAGTATTGGTGGGCTAATTATGTCCCATTGGCAGTGCCGAGGTGCTGGGGTGAGGGCAACAGCAGGTTGAGAGGGTGTGCAAAGCGCATGTTGGGGCAGTCATGTGTTCCCTCCTGGCTGGCTTCCAGAGTGCTCGTCTGGCTTATCACATCGGTTGAGGGCTGCATGTCTGCCGCCTGACACGCACAACGTAGTGAGTGTACCGTCCAGTTGAATGAAAAAGGGGGTGAACAGCCAGAACCGCGCCGCTGGGTAGGCAGCATTGATACGCTGAGACGCGGACGCGGGGTGAGGCGGGATAGATGACAATTAGCGATCAAGGAGGGGGGCGGATGGGCAGAGCAAAAGGCCACACGACGTGAGGAGCGAGTGCATACTACATAGATGGAAGGGCATGTATGTATGTATGTACATGGAATGTGTGCGCCAGTGCTGCACGAGCAGCAGCAACTCTTTGCTCGATTCCCCCATGTGCAGCCGCGCCGAACCGCCTGAGCCGTGACGCAAGCAGGATAGCGTTGCAACACGGCCGACGATCAGAGTGCGGGAGGAAGATAAGGCCACGGGCAAACCACGCTGCTGCCTTTTGAGCGCTTAATCACCCCCAAACAAGCAAAGTGTAGGCAACCGGTGATGTGCATGGTGGGCTCACGGCATTAGCATTAGTGTTAGTGTTAGTGTTAGCAGCACGACATGCTCGTCATCTTCGTCGTGGACAGACGACGCATGTGTGTTGCCCAACATAAGCACTGCGACTTGGGATGCGTCTAAATACTATATTCCACGGCTGAAGGGTGGTGAAGGGCCATGCCCGGGGAGCGCAACGTCGGCCAATGGCAGCCGTCTTGTACGCGCTTAGCATCTTCAAGCGTCCTGCACTATGCAAGGGATGCAGCTATTCACACCAGCCATCCCGGCTCGACACCTGTCCCCTGCTAGTCTGGGCACGCGGGACAGACAGACAGGCAGGCAGGCAGGCAAGCAGGTCATCATGTACATGTCCGCGCGGTTGCACAAAGTAGCACGAGCAGCCACCCTCATATTGTTGATGACGATGATTGCATGTCTGGCCCTTCTCCCCTAGACCTCCAACCACCACCCCAGCCCACCGTTGCGCCAGACCCGTCTGCAAATCTTCCTACCCCTTCACCCCCTGCCGTCAGCTTTCGGCTCACCAGACCATAATTTGCCCGAGCTCTGTGGTTTCGGAGTGTGGGACCAACGGCGCTCACCACTGTACGCAACGAGGGACGAGGGACACGGGACACAACCGTCAAATCCTGGGGGAAGAGTTGAGTGATTAACATGTGTATTTGTGTGTGTGGTCTGAGGGTACCTCATCCTCCTTCCCATCGTGCCTAGAGCACTGGGTCGCCCCTGAGAAGTCCATCTACATTCTAACTAAAAATTATCCATGTGACGCCTAATAAATAATAATCATCAAAAGTCCGCAACGCCTTGCTTCAAGTCCCACGCTAAAAGTGTGTGTCGAGTAAAGAATGCCGGTTGAGGCACTGGAAAAAACCGCCCAAAATCATGTCATGGCACCCCCGCAAACCTAGTAGCCTGCATGCCCTCCAAGATTGTTGCTGCGAAAGAGGGGTGGCGACCGTGAATCATACCCTACCAATGCCTCTGAAGGGTGATAATTCGCGGCATTTGAAGTGGGAATAGGGTAGAAGTCGGCGCGAGGGGATGGGTAATATGCTTGCTGTGTGTTCGAGACTGCTCGCATTGAACGAGTTTCCTGGATCTGTCTCAAGCTCAACTGGTTCTTCACTCGACAACCGTCATCTTGGTGTCTATCTTACGTTAGTGTTGCGTCCATTTGCCTTGCTGATTGGGGGCTTGCTTACCTTCGGAGAGTATCCTTGCGGGAGAAAGAGTCACCGCATTTTTGGCAGACAAGGTCTCGGATCTTGTCGTGCACGCTCTTGATGTGGCGATCGAGGTCGGTCTTCCGGTCGAAGCCCTGAATGCAGTCGCCGTGGTTACACTTGTGTGGCTTGTGTCGGCCAAGGTCGTGACGTTTCATGTGCGACTTCTTGTTGTATCGTCGAATGAAAGTCTTGTCGCAAAGCTCACAAGCATACTTGGGCTCCTCTGTTGACTTCGTTCTCCTCTTGCGCTCCCTCGGTTCAGCGTGGTCTTGCAGGGGGCTGTCGACGCGCTTCCTCTGGGAAACAGACTGGCTGTCGTATGGCGAGGTGTGTGGGTACTCCTGGGGGTAAAGATGTCCATTGAGCAGTCTGCCGGGAGCAACGGTACCCATGGAAAGTGCATCTTCATCTGAAGCCCACCCGGAGCCGTTTTCCAACTTCACACGTACCAGGCCGTGCTCGGAACCGTCTCCAGAAAACACTGATGCCTCCCTTGGTGAAGACATGGAAGACCTGTGCGAGCCTTCGTACTGTGGCCATGGAATAGGCGAGTTGATGACTGGATGATCGTACGCTCCAGATGTCCAAGGGTCGACGATTGGCTCTTGAATCATGGGTGGTGTACCATTCGACATGTTGGCCCATGCCTCTGTGGGATGGGGTGATGGTGGGAACATGATGTTATTTGATTGGGAGACGGAGCCACTCGAGAAGTGATGAGGGAAGCCGTACAGTCCAAGTCCCTCGGGTTGGTACCTCGATGACTCTGAATCACTTCTTGCAGGAGAAGGGTATGCAGGCGAGTGTACGAGAGCATTTGACTTCATGGCTTGCTGATAGGGCGAATTGAAAGGCGGGGTGGGTTGTCCGCGAGAAGACATGATGGTAATGAAACAAAGACTTGACAGTAGAAGGGTAAAAGTAAGATGGTAGGTTGTGGGTATGGATGTTGATGGGGAAGGGAGAGATCAATACGAAGGATGGATGCTGAAGGTGGATGAACGTAACCGGGCGTACAAAGACGAGATATATCTACAGCATGCAGGCCTAGGAAATGGCCCCAAAAGTCAACGAGTCTGTAAAAGTCGTCTGTCCTTGCACCCTGTCGACTTGGACTAGGAAGCCGCAGCATCCCATTCACTCGGAATCTGGAACTAAGGCAGACTTGGACATGGTCCTTGCCCATGGTGCTGCTATAATAATTTGAATACAAACCTGGGCAAACGCGCCTATTCCCACTTGGGTGAGAAGCTGAGGCCATGTACTGCTGAGGGCTGAAAGGATGACTAGCAGGGGTGTTGTCAACCGCCAGACATGCATAGGGTCCCCTGTAAGCCAGGTTCAGAGGCGTATGAACTCCCAAGCTCTCGGGAGCATCAGCGGGGCCCGGCCTGTCAGTATGTTGAGCCGACTTGACAAACTCAGACGCAGCGAGACAAATGGCCCGTTGCCAATTTCGATTCAATTTGCTACGTTGTAATTGCTCCAGCTTCTAAGACACCAACACGCTATCCACACTGTGCCAATTTGCATAACCCCGTGGAGCTGAGAGAACGGCATATGCTTCATTTTTACCGGCTGCCATGAGTTGAGTTTGGCCTGTCTGCCTGCGCAGACTGACGGCTGGAAGCGCCGGCCCTCAGGCGGCCACGCTGTTTGCTTCACGCTCCTCTTGGAGCTGCGATACCACCGCGGCGAGTTTCTCCACTTGCGCTGTGAGCTTCAGAACCAACGATTTGAGCTGGGGGTCAGCCTCCACGGAACCATCCCCAGTCTTCGGTGTCTGAGGAGTTTGAGGCCGGCCTGTGGGGTACATTGTTCTGCCTGAGGTCGGCCGCGCCGTCAATGAGCGTGCTAGTTGGTGGGAGGGCCGAAACAGCCTCTTAGTGCCCGAGTGGCTGCCAGGTCCGCTCATGGACAGTTCGGATTGATGTTTCTGCGAAGCAAGCAGCATCTTCTCATAAGCCCAGATGGCAGCAACGAAGGGCACATGTGTCGCTTTGAGCAGGGCGATGCGGGTGGACCGCAGACGCTCAGACGGGAGGACAAGCCGAAGCGGGCGGAGAAGCAACGGGATCAGGTTCTAAAGCATCCATTAGCCTCGCGTGGATGAGCGGAACAGCAGCAAACATGGTGCTATGTGACTGGATATGCAGACACGGCAGCTCTATGAAGGCAAATCTGCCTAAGCGGCATTATAGTGTACATCGCGGCGTCCCGTTGGGGAAGCAGGCTAGCCCGAAATCGACACCGGCGACTCCACGCGACCGTGGTTGGCCGAAGCCTCGCGGGCTATGTTGGCTACAATGCTTGGGGCATTTGGCGCTTAAAATACCGTTTCAAGTAGCCGCAGGGGGGGTTGTTCATACGCACCAACGGCGGGAGGAAATATGTCAAACGGCTGGAAGAAGATGCCTCAAGGACATAGACCGAATAGCTGCACGGTCACTCGTTGTTAGCGGGTGACGACCATATTGCGGTGAGGGTCGTACATGAACAGGTATTCATCGCGAGCATGGTCCAGTACCTGACGGACAGACATCGAGTTAGCGCGTTTCCAATCCCAGCAGCATAGTTAGTACACAAATTATTCTCTTGGGCTGCGCGCAAATAGGTCCCAATAGGGCAAGTCGGCAAAGCGTCGCTTTTGTGAAGAAAGACGGGCAGACGACCCTGAGCTCCACCAGTCGGGCCACAAAACGGCTTTCAGTTGCAAGCCTGTAGAACGAGGCGGTGCTGTGGGTATGACAGATGGCGCATCTTGTTTTCGTCCGGAGGCTGTTTTGTGATGAGATCCGTAACCGGAGCGTCTCAGCCAATCATTGCTGCCCAGCTACGCTGTGCATAAGGAGAATAAGTGAGCCTCGCCTTCTTACCTTGCTAAGACTATTCGATAATAGCGAGATCAGCGAAGTGATGAGCAGAATGTTGGTCAATGCCACGAAGATTAACTGCAACAACATCAACAACACTTCATCAGCCCAGTGCAACTGCATGCTCCAGTATGTGCATAGTTACTTACCATGACAGGTGGACCGAAAAAAGGCGATCTGTGCGCAATACGTTGGTTGGTTAGTCAGTGCACGCGCCTCCTTCAGTTGTTGTTTCTGCGATGAATACTATACCCACATCTCTTTTGCAACATCCTGCGGCACAAGCAGCGTCAGTTTGCAAGCTCTTCAGTCGTCGGGCAACGCTTTGAGGCAGTGAACCTCTATCGCTATACTTACAAATCCCAAATAGGACGACTGCTACTAAGTCAATAAAGCACAACCGCCATAATGCGCACAGCCACACTTACCCCGAAAAACACCTTGATCAGAATCCACGACATCTCGCGAGGGGTGTAGGTCCCTCTGGCTAATAGTACAAATGTGGTTAAGAACCCTACATCACTTTGGTCAGCGGCGGAGCAACAGCTAGCAATGCGTGAGCCATGGATCAGCTCAACCTGACATACCCAGGTACAGAATTACAACAAGCGATAGGAATTTGCAAAAATCCTTCGTCATCTCTTTCAAGCACGGAATCTAAAAATATGATTAGCCGTGTTACATAGTTGATGCCAAAGTCATGATGATACTGAAGTTGCAACTGCCTGTGCCGCAACTGTACATCGCGAAAAACGCCGCACTACCTGCGGGCACCGCCAAGTTTTGGGAGGAAAGCAAAGCCTCAACCATAAGGCCATCCATGCAAGTATTGGATTTTTGAGCACTTACAAGAGTACCAAAATAAGAATTCAGACTCAACAATGAGAAGATGCGAGGAACGAGGAAGAGCGCTTCCAATCCCAGTACGTCGTAAGCTAGATCGATGGTACTCGTCGATGCTGTGCTCAACCCAACGATCCCTAATACATCGGTCAGTACTTGGTAATTGGACTGACTCGAGGAAAGCTACTGACTTAGTGTAGCGAAAGCGATGCCCACCACGACGATACTCTGCCCAGTGTTAGTCGCTACCAATCACTTCAAACGCTATATCGTACAATATCCCACGTCCACCAGAAATCGGTGGCATAGAAACTTGTTTGGCCAGCGTCTTGCCAGTCGCCAAATTCGTCGTACGCGAACCCTGCTATCCAGACATATAGAAGCGCTTCTGCCAATGTAATGTAGTCGAAGCTACGACGTACGAGCACTGCGTAGTAGAGACCAAGAAAGACCATGAAGTATAGGGTCTCGAAGATCTTCAGGTAACGAGGCACACGAAGCCTGCAGAACGGATCGGCTCGTTGACGATTATATAGCTGAGGACGTCTGATCGACTTCCAACCAAGAGTGTCCCAGAAAACAATATCACCCCGCCATAAGCCGTTAATGATGTTTTGCACCGGTTTTTGACTCAGAAATCTTTTGCTGTTTGAAACAGCTGCTATCTCCAGGGCGTTCAATTTCTCGAATTGAGTCGTAAATTCATCCGAATGCGCGCCAGCCGCCACAGATCTACTCTGCACAGTATCGGTACTGAAGTATGAGGCATGACGCTCTCCCAGCAGAGGAGCCCCCTCGTTCCGATGTAAGCTCTCCTCAGTCGTGTTGTTGTGCTGGTCTGTATCGACTCCGCTCTGATCAAGATCTGAAGCTGGGGGAAGCTCAAAGAGAAGATAGTCGATCGCGTCTCTTGGTGTGAGGTTGGCCACGAATTGCCATGCAACGATCTCGCAAGCGAAGCCACGAGCCTCGTTCACACCAGGTTCGTCACTTTCCCCCTCGAGTGCAGTGAAATGCACTTTCAAGGCCCTGCCGACGCAATCAGTCAGGCTAACTATCCTTCGTTTCAATCGCGCATGATGTTCCGCACGAGGGGAGGAACACGAACAGCAGTGCGGAAACAATGGCAGGGTGATGGCAGGTGTCGGATAGCGCATTGATCAGAGGGCTCAGTTTGCGGTTGAAAGGCAGAGCGGAACGCTCTTCATTCTGCGGAAGTGGAAGAGTAATGGCCTCGGAGAAATAACTGGCAGTCAGAATCATCAGCTCTGAGATGGACACAGAGGTTGAGAGCTCGTATTGGAGCTGAACCATACAAACTCAGCTTTTTAGTCAACTCGTCAAACGTGTCCGCGTTCCCAAGCTGTGGGACGTCGGGCCCAATGCGATCTGAGTAGGACATTGCGCATACGTTGACCGCCTCTGTTGAATGCTTTGATCGTCACAGTAATTCGTGAATGATTTGTCTGCCATGACGATTTCGCGACCGGGAAAGCGCGGTCGCTAGATTCGGCCCAACATCGGTGCGCCCCAGTGGGTGGCTGAATTTCACTTGGTGGTGGAATACATAACTCTACACTCAACGCAACGAGAGGTGGAGATGGTGGATGCAAAAGACGCAGTCCTCTATATTGATTGACAGTCACGAACGCGATGAGTACATGGACGATTCCAAACGAAGCACGACGTCATCCCAGCAAGGAGCACAGTATGCAGCATGCTAACTAGTGTCAGGCACTCGTACAGTAACGTTACCCCACGAACATCGAATCCACGCAGCCAGGAACCTCACGTTTGTTCATATCTTCATGGGGGTATCGAAGCCCAATTAAAATAAGAAAAAAAGGACGAATTTCCTCGCATCTCGGGCTTACAAGTAGTGACGGTATTTGTACGAGGCTATCCTCACGCTTTGTACAATGCCGCTTGTCTCGCGTCGGAGGTTATCTGCCTCCGACGTATACCAATCGGCGCGACCACACAAACCCTCCAGAGTTGTGACTCCAGCGGGATGATCCTTGAAGAACACCCGTAGGACATTTTTTGGTTTTATTATGAAGTGAGAAGCCGTACTCGGTGCTTTTTCCATTCACAATAATCGAAACGAAGATGTTTGACAGCGTTCTTTGCGTTGCCATGGCGGCCGATATAGCCTCCGAGTGACCGACTGCCCCGCCAGACACGCGAATACGGAGGATCGATGACCATTCCAGCTGGATTCAGATTCCATCTGCATCCTTTCAGCCGTGATATTGTTTCGTAAATACGACAGATCTGTGCCTGGTTATGGTGGTGACGTGCGTCACACGGCAGGTGACGGACGAATCGTGCATCTGCCCTATCAAACGCCCTTCGCGTCAAAACAAACCCGGATTTGGCCTCCGTCGCAAGCAGTACCGACTGATATTGCTACTGGCAACAAGCAGCCATTGTCCTGTCACAATCGTGTGACATCTCGAAACCAAGTCAAATCCACGCAGGTTGACTGTACAATCATGAACATGATTACATAACAGCCACTGGCGACCCAGCCCGGTGGTCAATCTATATTCGGCGTGTGGTGTACGCCCGAATGCCGATCAGAATGATGCCACCTAATGGGCCGCTACCGAGGCCATAAAGTCCGTCATTGTAAATGACTGGGACCCTGACTAAATACGGGCTGTTGGTCAGGAGGAAATGGACGTGGATATATAAAGAATAGAAGCTCCATCGTCATCAATAGCCTTCCTTGCCCAACCAGATCCGACATACCCCTTTCAAGTTCTGATACATTTTCCGACTCTGACCAAACGACCACTAAGCGATCAAACAAAGAAGCCACTGTGACGTTGTTCGTGTGGTATATAGTCAGGCGCACCCAAGCAACACCAAGCAACACCAAGCATCGGCCTCGCCTTCTTTCTCGTATACCTACATCTGCCAAGCGCTGCACCCATCATCCTTCATCTCCAAAATGGGCGGTCCGTATAGGCCACAAACATGGGCTCTTGGTGGAAGAGCAAAAGAGAGTGAAGATATACCAATTACTTCGGTGTTGCTTTTTCTCTTCATCGTCGGCGCTGTCGCCCACATGACCATCTTCCAACTCAACCGGAAGCGCGGTCACAAATTCCTCTTCAATGGAATCATATTCGGTACGTTGCTGCTTAGCCTACATTAGCAAATGTCTTCCATCATACGAGAAACTCACGTCCGATGCACACCCATTTTTCATCATTACAGCGACTAACCTCGAGTTCAACTAGGTTTCTGCATGACACGAACGACCACATGCATTCTCCGCATAGCAAGCGTCACTCACCCTACCAACATCCGCCTCGCCATCGCGGCTCAAGTCTTCGTCGCAGCGGGCGTGATCCTCCTTTGGGTGGTCAACTTACTCTGGGCTCAACGAATCCTCCGATCAACACACCCTCACCTGGGTTGGCACCCTGCCTTGAGCCTGGCCTTCAAGTCCCTCTACGCGCTCATCATCATCACACTCATCATACTCATCACCGCAACTGTACAATCCTTCTATACCCTCCGCCCTTACACGCGCTCCATCGATCGCAGCCTCCAACTCTACGGCTCGACCTGTTTCGCCATCATCTCGTTCCTGCCTATTCCCATCCTTGCAGTGTCCTGGCTACTGCCCAGGAAGCAGCCAACGATTGAGAAATTCGGACACGGTAGACACAGCACCAAAGTCGGCACCCTGCTCGTCGGCACTACGCTCTTGTGTATAGGCGCCGCGTATCGCGCTGGGACTTCGTGGAAGACGCCTGTCCCCATGTCGCAGCCGCTCCCGAGCTACTTCCACAAAGCGTGCTTCTACGTGTTCAACTTCGTGGTCGAGATCTTGGTTGTATACTTGTACGCGGCGATGCGGGCGGATCTGAGGTTCTGGATCCCGAACGGCGCGAAGGGACCGGGCTCTTATACGACGGTTACATCGGCCAGTGCGAAAGAGGTGGATGCGGATGTGGAACAACAGCAGGAGCCTGAGGGATCAGACACCGTTACCTTCAGGGGTGATGAATCGACACAGGAGAGGGACGAGAAACAGGAGAGAGAGTGATAAGAGCTTTTTCGTTCTTGGGCAGTGTGATTGGATTAGAGAGCGATATGTTTTGGCGTTGCCGATACCCCCGTATTTTTATACCTGTATTATATCATAGAGCGTTTGACATGAAACCATAGAGAGGCGACTGCAAATGTAGGATTATGGATGGAATCATAGAGGATACCTGTTACTTGCATACCATTCCTCGGCGTCCAAGAAACTAGATGTAGCGTAGATGATTAAAAGCAAAGGAGATTCCCTAAGACAAGAGCAACCTGTATTTGTGATTCATCACGATAAAAATCACGGTGTGTTAGAAGACAATACAATATATCATCTTTATACTCTCTGTGTTGTAAACTCGGACAGTAGACACCGTAGGACCTTTCTGTAAAGGTCACGCTCCACATTATTCAAATGTACGACGCGCGATTCCACGCAAAGTGACCACGCGCAGAGAAACCCCGTACAGACTCTTCTAACCCAATAGAAAATCTCAGTGCTCTCACCGTTCGAGATAAGAAAACATGCCCCCACTGGCTCTGACCTGATCTAGATTTCAAAGACGAGAAGCACCATTCCCGTTTCCCGGCCCCCGGGCCACGGGCACGCAAACCCCGAGGTCCTCCCTCCATCGTTGGTAATCCACACATAAGCAAAGCAAATGTATTACAGGTGCAAAACAATACTAGGCGTAGACGAGCATCTCACACGAAGGCCGCCTACATAAGTAATATGCACATCACATGACCCAGCATGGTCCTCAAGTGCTTGTCGGCACGGAAGCTCGGGACGTGGACGTTCCGAGACGCTTTGTAAGTGAGAAAACGCATGCCTGCGCCACGAAAATGGTAGAGTGAGATGTAAGGTAAGCTAGTAAAGAAGTGTGCGGTTTACGCTGTTTAAGGGGGAAGAACAAAAAGGAGAGGGAAATTACTTTGTTGTTTGGTTTCTTTGGAAGAAGATTTCACTTGATATATTGGACCGGCTTCGAATATTTATTTCGTGCATTGTATCTTTTTGGATCGACTGTAGGAATTTCTACTCGGGGTTTCTCTTTCATCAAAGCAAGACAACGCTGAGGATTTTTTTCCGAAGCAATTGGAGAAACAAAGCAGAAACGACAACGCCATCAACAACGACACGAACAATACATATTCATCGCCGTACCAGCACCGTCTATCACTTTTATATGACCAGCCAACTTACACCTAGAAAGAAACACCCGACCTTCTTTCCTCCGCGGTGAGAACAAGCTACCACACCATAGATAACAAGGGTCTACATCTAGCCTCGCTTCGCCTCTCCCCATAAAAAAAAGGAGCAGACAAAGCAGCGAAAACCAAACGCATGAACTCGATTCGCGGCCTACTATCGAAGCGCGGCGATCTAGTAAAGTACATCCGACAACGACAACCAAAGAGGGGCGGATCTACAGCAGCAAAAATGTCGACATCTGCAGCGACCGCTGCGTCGGAGCCGCAGCCGGATCAGAAAGAGGAAGCCCCTGCTGCTGCTCTGCCGAAGCTCACGCCGGCCGAGTATCAGCAGTACAATCACATGGCTGAGATTATGGATCGGTACCATACGCATTTCAGACAGACGTGTAAGTAGTTTGGTTTTTTGTTTATTTATTTGATTGGTAAATCAATACGCATTTGTAGTACATTCTCTCTCCCCATGTCAATCTTATGATAGCATTGTTTTTCCTAACGAGCACATCAACCAGGGACAATGATATACTCTGCATGCGAGGCGAACAAACGACCGTCAGGCATGTCGATCCGACAATTCATGTCGGTAGCTGAGAGGCTGATTCAGGGTCTGACGATGCACCACACCATTGAAGAGCAGCACGTCTTTCCCGTCCTCGCAAAGAAGATGCCGGCGTTCAGAAAAGAGCTAGAGCTGTTGACGCATCACAAGCTCATCCACGAGGGACTCGAAAGGCTGGAGGAGTATCTGAACGGCTGCAAAAGCGGCGAGACAGAGTTTAGAATGGGCGAGATGAAGAACGTCATGGATAGTTTTGGGGGGACTCTTTGGGAGCATTTGGACGCCGAGGTCAAACAGTTGGGCGCGGAAAACATGCGCAAGTACTGGTCGTTGAAGGAAATGTCGCGGATGCCCATGTGAGAACGGGAGTGTAGGCTCGTCAAGCGCATATAAATTTGGGTTAGACTTTCATTTGGCTATAAATCATTCTTCACTTTTTGCGTGTTTTGGCGAACTTTTCATGCCATTTGCGAGAGGCAGATCCCTTGGCCGGGTCAGGCTGTGCACTCGTGACAGCGCCTGTGTTGGACTTCGCACGGATCGTCTTGGACGAAGGAAGCTCATACTTCCCTTGTATAGCGTTCAGTTCTGCATCTTTTCGCCAGAGTTCAGGCAGATTATCTTTCCATGCATCGAGGAAATCGGCTGTGAGGTAATCTGACCCATCCTTTTTCGCTTCCAGCAGCTTGGTAGCAACGAACGAAAGCACCTTGTCCCGATCTAGAGATGACCACTCACTGTCGGAGCCAGCGGTGGAGAGATGGCGGATTAGGGCTGCTGCCAAAGGGGCAGGGTGCCCTTCCTCTGCCACCAAGCTGGCCAGGTCGTTGGTGAGGAAGGAAGCATCTATCTTGATGCCTTCAGCCACAGCAGCAGAATTGATCGCTTTCCAAACTTGAGTAAGGGTATTTGCAGTGGGCTGGTATGAGCTTCCGGACAACTCAAACGCCGCGAGCGCACCCCAAGCCTCCTCACACTGCCCATCTGATAATGGTATGTCGGCGAAGAGGCGAGCCTTGGAAATGTGGTTCTCGCGCGTGTCCACATCGCCATCTACTATATCGTACGTCGGTACGAGGCGGTTCATGTGTATGGCGGCATCTTCGGTTTGAGGGTGCAGTTCGAGCGTAGTGGTACACGAGGCGAAGGCGCGGGTGGTGAACGCCGAGGCGTCATTGTGGGTTTCTAAGGCAGGTTGGGTCACGTAGAGAGAATTGGATGTCTGGACCTGGCGAAGTTGGAAAGCTTTGGTTGGAGTGCACAAGGCAGCGTACGCGGGTTGGGAGTTTGGGCCATCGGATGACGAGGGAGGCAGCGACTTTATTGACAGAGGAGATTTCGAATTCTCCACTAGGTCGACGATTTCGGGGGGAAGCTCAAGGAGACGGAAGTGCTGAAACTGGTGGGCAATGGATACTGGGGCGCCATTGTGGTGCTGCTGCCGTGTGGCCATGGCGACGATGGGAGCGCAAGTAGGTGAGGACGAATGTGGATGTTTGTTTGTTTGCGGGGAAGATTGACGATGGGTGTTTGCTGCGAATCACGGGCCTCTGCTATCCACCGCGACTTCGCCGAGCTAATTATAGAACAGCCAGGTACCACCCTTAGGGTACCACATCAACACAGCGAGGAAAGTATTGTATTGGAGAGGGCAGAAGCAAATAGAGCCGCCGGGCAGTTCTGGAGTTGGAGAACAGTTTGCTCTTGCGCCATCAATTTGGATGTTACATGCATCGCGCCATGTTTCACATCGATTGGTTGACATGATGGATTGATTGATGGATGGATGTAGGGACGGTACATAGACTTTAGTGCCTTAGTTTGTTTACTATCCATCATCGTACCTGCAGGTAAACACACGCGCGCCCAACCACCAACCACCACCACCACCACCACAAAGCACCATCACGCGCAACATCCTCACCGGCCGCCATTACCTCCCTCCCCCTCCCTCTGTGCAGAATCGAGCAGTGCAATGTTGTTGTCGCGCCTGCCGTGATTGATCTATGGCTGCATCGCCCTGACACGGATTGCCCTGTTGCTTTGTTTTGACTTCCCTCGCTCGCTCGACTCTCCCCGTCCGTCGCTCGTTACAAATATAATCACACCCGAACCACCACCACCCTAATATCGCCTCCCTCCCTCCTCCTATCCGATGGTCGTCATCAATCCTGCGCCGGCAGCTTTGTCGGCCAGCGACCTGTCCCTCTTCTATGCCACCGACGAGCTCCTATCTAATTGCCCTGTCCTCATCTTCTACGGTCCCACCTCCACCTCCGCCTCCACTACCCACTCGCGCATCCAGGCCCACGTCTTCACCCCCGCTGGTTTCCACAACTTCTCCCGTCTCATAATATCTCCTACCGCGCCCTTCTACGCTGCCGTCACTTGTCTTCCACGCGAGGAGCAGGGCGACGAAATATGTCGCGGTCTGGCCTTCAGTCTGTACAAATACTTTGCAGACCTTCCTGCAGAGGTCAAAGCTGCATGGGAAACCCAGTGTAGCTCTCTGGGTCGCCTGCCCTCCGCACCTAAGCTCTTCACTGAATCACACGCTGCCATCATTGCAGCTCGCATGGTTAGGGTAACAAATGTCGCCGACATCATCACCGACGTACGCCATGCGCTGGGCGAGCAAACGCTATCATGGCTGGATCTGGATTTGGTTCTCCCTCAGGGATCCATACAACATCTGGACAGCACTCGAGAATCAGCCCAGTTCGACGACCCCGAGGAAGACATTCTGAACCAACGCTACGGCTCCTACGCACCCCTTGTGAAGCTGTTTGGGGAGTCTGCTTTCCTCCCCACCTCAAAGCTGCGACGCGCTCCTTCCAAGCCCACCGCCCTCAACCGATCCCAGGCTTTTTCGAGGCAACAAAAGGAGTCCCTGCGACGAGAGATGTGCGAATTACTAGACACGGAGGAAAACTATGTTTCCAAGGTGCATGATTTGGTTAACAACGTGGCCATTGATTTCCGGGAGAAGGCAAAACATAAGAGCTCATCGAGTCAAAGCCCGAGCGAGCAGGCTCTGAAGGGTCTTTTCCCTCCAAGTTTGGACAAGATTCTTGAAATCAATTCGGCTTTCCTAGAAAGCATACGGACGATCCTGGAGGAAACCGAGAATGATGCCATTCAAGACATTGAACAGACCTCCGACGATATATTTGTAGCGCCCTTACGTGGCCAAAAAGACCCCCCAGACGTTACGGGGGCGGTGGCTGTCGCAAAGGCCCTCATCGAATGGTTTCCCCAGTTCGGTGACTGCTATACAGACTACATGGCAGCACACGCTGGATTTTCCCAGATCCTCAAAGGCTTCACCAAAGACACCAATTCCAGCTTTTCGAAGCGAGTTTATGAGACTGGAGAGCAGCGATTGATGTCCATGCTTATTGAACCAGTTCAACGCCTTCCGCGGTACAACCTTTACATTGACAACATCGTGAAACAACTTCCGGTACGACACCCTGCTCTCAAGCCATTCCTCAAGGCGCGAGATATCATTTCCGAGATATGCTCTCGAGAGGGCCCGTCGGTACACCAAATGAAAGTGTTTGACCGATTGCGGAAATTGGTGTTTTCCTGGCCACCCAATTTCACCCCGCAAGGGCGCTTGATTACTGCGGTTGACTATGCAGAGCTCCTAGCACCGTACCATAGCCACTCGAGCGCATCGTCAATGACCAGTGGCATCTTCCTTGTATTTTCAGATGCTATAGTGATGTTGCACAAGACTAACGCCTGCAACGCAACTGCGCGCAGTGTGTTGGCTGATTTGGATAATCCCAAATTTTCAGAAGCCTTCTCTGGATCTGCGGAACTCATTTTCCACCAGCAGATTAATATCAATGATGCCTTCTTGAGCGAGCATTCCGAAGGAAGCATCCTGCAGCTTCTATCGCCAACACCAACGACTGCCGTGCCATCTTCTCGACCTAGGAGCCGTGATCGGCGAACGATAGGTGTTCGCATGTTTCACTTGCAGGGGAGCTATGAGGGGAAAGCATCTAGACTTGTTGAAGAGGTGACCAAGGCTAAAGTGGAAGGCCGATATACTGAAAGCGAACGAGAGAGCTACAAGTGGGAAGTACGAACCACCAGTGGTGACCTAAATCTGTTCACAGCCATCACCGAGGAGGCCGCAGAACAAGCGGCCGAGGGACGGAAGGAACCTGCCAAGGTGCAGGTGGTGATGGAATCGATCGCACAGACGGTAAGGGTAGGGGAGAAAGGCGTCGAGCTGAGTATCTCGATATCCTTGCTTGAGCAAGGGCTTTTCCTCGTGGACATCAAAGGCCTTAATGGGTACGCAACACGAGACAAGCTGACTAGTGTTGAGTTTCTCCCGGTCTTGACCAAGCGACTGGGCAACTTCTTCCAAGCTCGAAATACGATTAAGAATCCGTCTTTGGCTGAAGCTTACCTCTCTCGTAATCAGCAGATCCTAAAATCTCTGAGGCTCCAACTTGAGAGCAATGGCGAGGACCAAGAAGGGAAGAGTCGTCCTCAGTCACCGGTTAAGATGCTATCCAGTTTTTTCAGTGCCAGTGTCGGAAAAGAGGGGTCTCGGAGACTGCAGCGCAACCCGCCCAGTGCCTTGGGCGATATTCCAAAGATGACCCCCCCCTCTCAATCAACCCCCGCGCGAACCCACAGTCGAGACGGAGAACACTCCCGCCCTACATCGTCCAATAAGACCACTGGCTCCAATACCAGTGCCAGTCAAATGGATCCGCTAGCGAAGTTGGAAGACACGATGATTACCTTCATGCTGGCTTTGCATGCGCGCAAAGGCAACATTGTCGGACGCTCTGTTCGTGCAAGAAGTACCGCTGACGAACTAGCCGTGAATGAAGTTTATAACTCACTTCTGGAAAACCCGTCCAATCTGGATGCAGCTGCTCAATCATCAGTCGACGTACTGTTTGCAGCCTTCGAGAAGTTTCTCAACATTGCTTGGAAAGAGAAGATGGGACCCGTCCTATCACATGCGACCCTTGTCTCATTGCAGATGAAATCAGACAGCATGTATCCTGGCGAGTTCGAGGAGTTCTTCCGGGTGACATTCGATACTTTGGCTCCCCAACACCAGCGCTCTCTGCGAGCCATTATCAAACTCTTGGCCGAGCTACTGGACGGCATGGGCAACGATGGCGATCGTGGTATCCTGACGGCCGCCTTTGCTGAAATACTTGTTCCGGCAGGCAATCCTACAGACTTCATCTCCCTGATCGATCGATTTATCCAGGATATTGAGGTACTCTTCCCAATGGAGCCGAGTGGATTCAATACGCCCAATTATGGCTCGATGGACTCCAAGAGTCGGCACATTGCCACAGGCTCACTCACATCAAACACCTCATTACGAAAGCGTTTTGGTCTCGGCAATCTTAGCAGAGAAAATAGCAAGTCTGAAAGCGAGTCCAAAGTGGGTTCTCTGTGGCGTTCGTTGAGCAAGAACAGTCACGGCGTAGACAGCCCGGGGCCCACTACTCCTAAAGCTGGTCCTGCCTCTCTTGGTCGATCCAATTCTACAGATGCTGCCATGCATCTTTCACCCAAGCGTCCCTCATCACGCGACCGCCCAACAGTTCTGGGTGCCTTTGCTTTCGAGTCAAATCAAAGTCCTGGCGCGCCGCTATCAGCACAAGGGTCAGGTCGTGGATACTTGGGTGGATTGACTACAATTGGAGAGGTATCTGCTGCTGGACCTCCCCGCAAAAAGCGACGCTCGTCTTTGAGTGATCTCAAGACTTTGCACGATGCTGACCATGCCCCTACGTGGTCTCCACAGACTCCCCGTCAAAATGAGAACTCGGCAAGCAAGGAGCGTCAGGCCAGCATTTCTCCACGCACTCCCCGGCCTCTTCCCTCTCCGACGAAGCAATCGTCGATTCCTACACCCGCTCGCCTGGGATCACCAATGCGTAGAGAAAATTCGCCCGCTCTAATCCGCCACAAAACAACTGGTAGCCAAGATCAAGTCACAATCAAGTCTTATAGCCCAACGAAAAAGCGCAGCGAGTCTGTGACGGCCATTCCAACCCTCAAATCCATGGCAGGCTTGTCCGAACGTCCCACATCGGGGAACACTGTCAAGATTCCTACCACTCCACGTTCGCCGACCAAGCCGAGTTCGTCTACCAGTCCACACAAGAAGCTCAAGATGCAAAGTCCACAGAAGCTCCGCGAGCGTTTGCAATATCAACAGCGGGATATCGAAACCGCCACTCACACTCTTCAGTCTGAACTTGGCGCGATCGGACAAGAACTACATACTAGGCCTCGTCTGACGACGCAAGTCTCCGCCCCCTCTCCATTGTCTGAAAATACATCGAGCGTGAAGTCTTTAGAGGCTCGTTTTGCGTCTCTAGAGAAAAATCTCAAAAGCACACTCGATACTTTGTCCACTCGCACTGCTGCCATCAGCCACGATGTCTCATCAACCCTGCAAATCAGTGAGGCACGCGCCAAAAATCTGGATAAACTCTACCGTGAATCGAATGCGGAGAATGAAGCCTTGTATGCCAAGTTCAATGATGAGCTAGAGAAAGTGGAGAAAAGCGTGAGGAAGGGCAAAGGCGGCGAAGAGGTCAATCGACGGCTGAAGGCAGCTGAGGAAGAAAGTGCGAGGCTGAGGAAGGAAAACGCCAGATTGAAGAGGGAGGTTGCGGGATTGAGAGCACAGGTCAGGGAGTGAGTGAGTGTGGATCGTTCGTCCGCACACACCCGCATGCTCTCCCTGCCCTTCTCTTCAATAGGTTTAAAACGACATGTCTGGCAAGGTTGTTGACGCAGCGCAGGCAATCATTTCTCTGGCACTTTCGCTGGTTGCTGGGATATACGCTCCGAGCATGTTGTACCTGCATTGTCATGGCGTTTTTGGTGGTGCAATGGGTGATGATTCGCAGCATCGACATCACTCTAGGAGTTATGGTAGCCGGTCTCAGTGCTTTGAGGGCACCACTATTTCTCTTTTCCTTTGTTCTACGCCTGTCTATACTCTTTAGATTCCGAGCATCAGATTTAGTGGGTGGGCATTCATGATCACTCCAGCGGAGGATGAATGACCCGGTAACGTCTTTACGAACACACATATGCAGTTTGGCATGTTAATAGCTTGTCATCAATATTCGAAATCAACATACATGTACTATCTGCCGATCCCCACGTTTGCAATCTTTGATATCGTGAACGGCCTTTGCTTCTATGCACATGAACAAATTGCTTTTGGGCAATCTTTTGACCCGGTATTCAACAACTGCTCCTAGCATTGTGCAATTTTCGATGATACAAGACGTTGACCCTGCTTGGAATCTCGCAGTGTCCCGATACTAGTTACTACAGACTGGAATGACAGGAACGAAAAGCTGAACGTGATAATAACGCGCGTGTCGTGTCTGAGAGCACTCCTGCTGTAGTGAAACAAGTGAATGATCCCAAGAGAATCTACCCACAAAACAAGAAGACAAGCAACAAAAAAAAGAGGACATCCACCAAGACTCTCTACCAACCCGCCCTAAGCAAATTCCTGACCACATCAAACCAAAGTCCAACCTTGGCGTATGAATCGCAAAACCGACAACAAGCTGAAATAGCAGCGCCAACGACTCGAGAACAATAGACACCAACAAGGGGTCCGGTCAAAACACCAACATTTGTCCCCATTTTTCTTAATTGTTTCAACATCTTTCCCCTCCTCACCCCCTCAATATATTCAGTAGCTTCGGAAGAAAAAAGAAGAAGAAGAAGAAGAAGAAGAAGAATGACGGAACATGAAACAACAACTAACCTACGAACTAACGGACTAACTACGCACGCACGCAGAGACGCAACTACCAACACTCTGGTTTTCTTATCTTGCCCCCACATAAAACGCCTCCTTCCAATACACGCTTTTAATCTCGCCTCTTACTTTTTTTTCGAGCTTGTCGGAACCGAGGTAACTACTGGATAAGCGAGCATTAATCTAACAAGGAAGGGTGGGGAAGGGGGACGGGATCCAGTAGTACTATAGACGGAGAAATTATGTTTAAGGGGGTCAATCAAGTGGATGAAGGTGAACCAACTGTTCGGGGAGAAGAAAAGCAATGATCAAAACTTGTGGCTCCGCGGCGGAAAGGATATCGACGAGCATGCATCCAATCATTAAAAGGAGGGATGTGATTTGGTGTATAAATGGAAAAGTCAAGTATCCAATGATTTTTTCACCCCAAAAAGTGACGACCTTACTATATCTATCTTATGCACATGATGTCTCTCCTACGAAAGCGAGATTCTTCTTTCTTTCTTGTGAAGGAGGATTGATGGATTAGTAAAGTTGGTCCATCTCGCCTCTTCTTCTTTCTGATATGGGGCGTTTGATCGTCGCAGGGGGTAAGGAACTGAATCAGGTCATCATCATCGTCATGTGTTTGATCATCTTTCTTGCCACCCCTTAAGAAGGTTGTCCAGATTATGTAGCATTACTAAGGTGGGTTTTGTACTGGAACAGATAGATACATGTTTATGCATCTTGATCTCGACTCCACTCTGCGGAAGCCGCGGGCACGACCTCGGGACCACTTTGCCAACTGTAGTCTTTGCATTATACGCCAGAGTGGCCAATTAAATATCTCACAAAGAAAAAATGGAGTTGGAAGAAGAGAAGTAGTAGTTCCTCAAAACGGAAATCACCAAGCCAAAGAATCCACAAACACACACACATATGAGAAGGTGAAACACAAAGGAAGATAACGAGGAAATTATACAGTTTTACTTTCTTTTTCATTCTTTGAGCTGATCTTCTAGAGAAAAGGTAGCCTCGGGGGGTTCGACTGGTATTAAGGGTTACGTTTGAGTTTAAATATGTAGATGCCATGGCAAGGAAAAACAGACCGCCACCACCGAATGGGCGGCGAGGGCAAGAACAGAGATGTAGTTTGCAAGGAGAAAAGAAGGGTCCCAGAGAGCTGTCTTTCATGAACTTGACCAAACATACAAAGATGTAGGGGTGTCATTTCCTCATCATTTTTACTTTTGCTTCACACTCGTCGATGCGCGGGATTGCGACAATCTAGAAGTGACGAACAGGCGAGTCGGTCGAGTTGATGACGAACCGGGGCTCGATGCCGTTGTTGACAAGGTCCTTGGCCCAGGCAGCGGGGCTTCCGGTGACGGTGCGGCGGCGTCTAGCAGCGACCTGGCCGTCAACGCCATTGCTGAGGAGCAGGTTGGGGCTTCCAGCCAAGTTACCCGAGATGACATCCTTGCGGCCCATGGAGAGCAACTTGGCCTTGAGCGCGGCAGGGTTCTGGCCAAGGTTGGCAGGATCGGCTTGCATCAAGGTGGCCATGACACCCGAGTTCATGGGAGTGGCCATGGAGGTACCGGACAGGAAGTTGATGACCTCATCACCGACATTCCACGCGCTGAGGATCTTCTCGCCAGGGGCGAAGATGTCGACGCAGGTGCCAATGTTGGAGAAGCTGGAGACGGCGTTCTTGATGTTGATGGATCCGACCGTGACAACGGCCGAGTTGGCACCACCGAGATGGCTGGGGGAGATCCTGCAGGCGTCGGCTCCGTCGTTTCCGGCGGCGACCGAGACGTGGATACCCTGGTCGATGGCTCCCTCAATAGCCTGGTCGACGGTGGCGGCAATGGTCTGAAGACCCCAAGACATTTGCATGATGGAGCCAACAAAGCCGGGCTGAGCCTTGCGCTTGATGTGGTTGTTGATGACCCAGTTCATGCCAGCAATGGTGTTGGAAGAAGAACCGGAGCCGTCGTCGCCGAGGACCTTGACGGCGATGATGTTTGCGTTTTGGGCGATGCCGAACTTGTTACCGGCAGCAGTGCCAGCAACGTGAGTGCCATGACCATCGCCATCGGCAGCAGAGCCATCGAACGAGAAACCCTCGACAGCGCGGCCGCCAAAGACGACGTGCGAAGTGCGCACACCAGTGTCGATGACATAGACGTCGACACCAGCACCGAGACCCTCGTCCTCGAAGGAGTAGGTGAAGGACTGGCCTTGGGGATCACCGGAAGCACCAGCTTCGTTGGACACGCGCTGCAAGCCCCAGGGAGCACCCGTCTTTTGGGCAAGGAAAGATTGAACCTTGGCCTCCTTCTCCACCACGCTGACCTCGGCCATGTCGTCGAGCACCCGGATGCACTCTTCGGTAGCGTTCATCTGGATGACGGTCCAGGCGGGGTTGTCGTGGATAGCGAAGACACCATCATCATCGAGGGCCCTGCCGAGGCGGCTGAGCAGCTGCAGAGCATCGGGGTGGTCGTCCTTGTCGAGCATGACGTTGACCATCTCCATCTTTCCCGGGACGGTCTTGCAGGTTGAGTTGGTGGTCAAACCAATGATGCCGGCGCGGTCTTCCTCGGGGGTTCCGTTGATGTTTACATCGTTGACCTCTTCTTGGGCGGCAGCAAAGCCGGAAGCGGCCAAGGTGGCGAGGGCGAGAGAGAATTTCATGTTGAGAAAGAGTATACAGGGAAGGTACTAAAAGGGCCGGTAAGGAGAGTTGTGAATGTAGGCGGGTTGGAACAAGTGAAGAGACGTGTTGCAAAGTAGTCGACTAGCGCTGCTAAAAGTCAATACCTGAATGTCTGTCTGGGTTGTCCGGAAGGAAGGAAGGAAGAAGAAAGTATGAAGTAGAGAGTGAAGGTGAAGAGAATGGAGAAAAGGAAGAAAAAGGGAGGAAGAGGAGAGGACGAAGAGGAAGATGAAGGTGGTGATGAAGAGAGGATGTTGAGAAAGGAGTGAATGGGTTAGGGTAGTGGTTGAAGGTATACACAATGGCAGCCGTATAGCAGCCGCCACAGACATACACAAAGTGGATATGGCACAATGTGGAGAGTGGGGACGCTTTGCGTGAGAACAGGGACAGTATGAGACTCCAAGACTTACATCAGTACGCAAGCAGTCAAGGTGCGGCGAAGCTGAGGCAGGTCTGCGCCTGAGCCAAGACGTGCCAGACGAACAAGGGGTGGAAGAGAAGGAAGGGAAGGAAACACGGAAGGAAGAAGCGAGAGAGCGAGTGAGTGAGTGTGAGAAGGAGGAAGCGGGCGTGAAGTCGAAAGATGGATTGGCCACGGGCAAACACTCCTGATAAATAAACGAGGGAGAAAGAGAGCGAGGGAGTGAATGAAGAAGTGGTGAGACGGCGTGGTGTCGAGAAAATAGAAAAGACAGACCAGAAGCGCTGGGGTGAAGGAGAAGGACAGGCGGCTCAGAGGGCGGTCGAGGCAGATGTACTCGCACGGCGGCGGGCAGCGACAGGCAAGCACGGCTGGCAGGCACGAAAAAAACAACGGCAACAGCAGCAGCAGCAACAGGCAGGGACGGGCAGAGACAGGCAGGCAGGGCCCCGACGAAGTGCGGGTCCATGCAGGTCCCCGTCAAGCGCTGTGGTTAACCCATAAACACCAAGCTACATGCGCATATGAAACAGCTTGGCGGAGAAGATCCCTGGCAGCCACCCGCGCGCGGCGAGTCGTTCGCCGCACACCAGCCAACGCACCGCCTGCTTGCCTGCCTGCCTGTCTGTGTACCGGTTGCGCTGCCTCCGCGAATTGGTGTCTGGTTGTCCAGCGAGTTGCGTGTCGAGCGGGCGGGCGAAACATGCATGGCAGGACAGCTGACAGGTCCATGTTTGTCCATGTACGTATCTATGTATACACACACAGAGATACATGTGCTTGCTTACACTGTGCACAGTCTTGTTCCCATTTATCCCATCCATCATCTGTGCATACATGTTCATGTACGTGCCAGGGACGGGTGGTGCACAGTCGTGCAAATCCCAGCCTGGGGGGCACTATACCATACAATGCGCGAATGCAATTAATCAAACCACAATTCGATATCACGGCTATGCGGATTGGACGGAAAGGAATTGCCAGACCAGCAGAGCGTTGCCGTTTAGGAGTCTGAACGGGACCAGGGCCATTGCCGACCGCGAATGCTTAGCTGGGGGCGAGGGGAGGGCGATGAGGAATCAGATGCAGAAATGGATTGCTTGATTCAAATGATTTGATTGCGAAGGTTGGCGAGATTTGATAGGGCATCGCTGCAGGCGTGGCTAGTGTGCTGAAACACGCGGCTGCCCCATCCTGGCGCCATCTGCCCGACCGGGGGGGCCCTCAAACCCGCAAACTTCATGCCCTATCCGAATCGGCCAAACACGACTTCGCCATTGTTCAATCAACTCCAGCCCGCCCGGCGTTTGATCGCCCTCTGCCTGTCTATGCGCAGCGGAGCAGCAAGCAAAAAAAAAAAAAAACGAAAACATGTCCAATGGCCCGAGTGCAAAACAACAGCAGCCAACTGCCGACGGACGGAAGAATCAACGACGTCGTCGTCGTCAACAGCGGAACTCCAGAACCGCCCAGGCAAGGCCCCGTCAGGGTCCGCTTAGCCAGTAGCCCCTCGAGCCATCCCAATCGGGCCTCACTAGCCACACCTCTAATTTCCATTGCAGCTGTGGCGCTTCGTATCGCCGGAAGCTTAATCAACCACGCAGTTTGACCTTTTTTGGCCTGCCCACTCCCCAACTCCGCCAGCAATTGCTCCACTTACGCTGCCTTCTCTTCCGTTTGTGTCGCTGCCAATCTCCACGCCCTCCTCCAAACGGGCAAATGGCACTGGCGGATGGTTCCCTCCTCACGTCCACCGCGCCACATCATCACCGACAACAGCATTCAACATTGTTCAATGTTGGTCAATATCGGTCAAAATGGCTTGCACCACCCACCTGTTCTAGTCATTGTGCAACGCGACCCAACGCACGAGCAGCATGACACCCGCCCAGGCGGTGCCGTGTACTGTACCTACTGACTTTGACACACCCCCAGTCATTCACCGCTCCCAAGTACACCTCTCAATCTATCTGCCTCACGTTTCGCAGCGCCGTGCTTTGCAACTGCACAGCATAGCACACCGCGCCACTCCCGTTTATGCAAACAACATGGGAATACGAACAACCACCGCTCAATCGTCATATTCCTCCTATTTTCCTGACCCCCACACTCTCGCTCGCTGCTGTTCTTTTTTGGTGCTGTGCTGTGCTTACAGCGCATAAACACCTCTTGCCCGTGAAACAAGGAATACCGCCGTCTACTCCCCATCTTCAAACTTCAAAGCCGTTCGTTTCTCATTCTTGTTTATTTGTCACTTCGGATTCGATTCCATTGGAGAGATCTTGAACCACCATGGCTGTGACGCAATTTTTAGATCCAACCCCACATGCGTTGCACAGTCGGACCGTTCGACCCAGAAACATTTGTGTTTTTTTCTTCTTTTTCCCCGTCCTGTTGGGCTGTGCCACTCTCTTTCGTCGCTGTTCGTTTGTTCGCATGTCCTCCTTATTGGAAATCTGTCACCGCCTGCCTACCCGCTTACTTCGGTGTCCCTCTTGTCCCTCGCTTCTCTCTCGTGCGCGCGCCCCCCAATGGCACGCCGTATATCGGCATGAACACGGTCACCATGCCACCCGAAACCCTGGGAAAGATAAAAACATATCCCTCCTCAAAGCCGTGTTGGTAGACCGACCAACTTGACACCCCATCGCACCGCCACCTTTTTTTAACCCTCTCCCCCCCGGACACACGAGTTTCCGAACCCAACAGCGTGACAGGCGGGCGTCTATATTTGTGTAGCGGGGGACTGACTGTGAACACAGAGGGAACATGCCAGTTGCCAATCATCTTCTGACCTGTCCTTCCATCTATCATGATCATGTGCATCCATCCATTCAACTTATTTCAAGAGCTGTCATCGTTGTTGTTAAGACATGCATCAAAACGCCTCGACTAGTGCGGCGCCTTTGTCTTTCCCCCCATCTTTTCTTAGCGTGCTGAAGGAGCATTTAAAAACTTTGCAATAATCTACGCACCCGCTTGCAGCGGCGTATCTTTATTGCTTAGTTCGTTGGTTTTGTTGCATGGCTGGGGGGAGGGAGCAGTACTGTTGCATTGCGGTGCGGTTGTCGGTCTGTGGTTTGTGCTGCGGCGTCGTCGTTGCTTTGTTGTTGCTTGCTGGCTAGTGCGTGTGGCACTGGGCAAAGGTTATTTGAACGAACGGTGAACCCTATCCATCGGTCAAGGTTGGCTACTTCGATTGCGCCATTTTGATGCTGTGCACAATTGTCTTGGATTCTTTTTTTCTGTTTTAGAGTTCTGATATTATCTGTTTTTGTGGCTGAGAGGCTGGGTTTCGGCTGCGCGTCATCGGATTGGATCTAACAGTAAAAAGGCATATTGTACTGTGCACAGCTTAATCTCATCCACCTACGACACTCATCTACGCAATCCACGAATCGCACCCATTTCCTCTCCCCTGTCCCTCTGCATTTGCTTCTTCGCGAATACCATCTGCGCTTTTATTCTTCCTTCTTGTTGCCTTGCCTTGCCATACCCCTTCCCAACCCCATCAAACAATAACCACTCGCGACTACAACATTACAGAAATTCACCCCTCATCCCTGCTCCTCTTGCACTCCGCAGATCCCCGCCCCACGCAAAGAGAAAAGCGCCGATCCACATCTCCCAGCACCAGCATCAAAAAATATCCCGACGAATCATTGACCCGCATTTCTTTTCTGAAAAAAGAAGGGGGGCAAGGAAGGATAATGATTTGATCTGGATTCGCCACCCGCCACGGGAAACCGGGGATGCAAGATCGTCATCTCGTCATACGTCGAATTAGAAGCCATCTCTTTGTGTCTTTTTTCTTCTTCTTCTTTTTGTGGGTTGAAGTGGACATCTAGGTCGCATCTTTGTCAAACGAGGGATTTTGTAGGGGGTGTGGAATGGTTCGCGTCGGTCTTGTTGAAAAGAAAAGTCTAGATTAGATTAGATTGGACTAGGTCCTTTTGCTTAGGTTAGTCAAGTGAGAGGCACTGAGGGACGTTTGGCTTCGCTCTTCTCCATAAAAGAACACGCGGCTGATGGGGGGAGACGAAAAAAATACGCGGAGGAGAGACTAGAGAAGCATCGAGGACCTCAACAACACGCGTTCGGGTTTTTCTTGCCCTTGTGGGGAGAGTTTGTGGGGTTGTTATCTTTTTGTTGAGATGGGCCGTTGTTCTTCGTGGAAGGAAAGCCGACTCTCCCATTCTTGCACTTTTTCCTCTTCTGGGCGATGGAGAATCACAATGAATAGGTAGGTGTTGTGATGTCGAGTTTGCAAAACACGCAAAAAAAAAAAGGCAGTGTTGCTGGAACAATGGAAGAAAAGGCCCCTCGTCATGGATGATCAACTCATCCAGAAGTCTGTCCATCTCTTGATCCTGCATATACCTGCGCCTACTGGTTGTTGAAAAGCAAGGAAAGAAAGAAAGGTACACGTGAAGACAGTAATTGGAGGAATACATCCTGCATACATAACCTAACAGAAGATCTAAATAACTATTGCCTTTCTTTGCTTGTCCGTATAGAATGTCTCTCTTTCCCCACTACATACATGCATACATACATACAAATGGTTCATCCTCCCTGGAAACCATAGCGAGTCTCTCTTGCTGCGCGCACTCTTTCGACTCCTTCCCAGACCTTTGTCTACACGTACACACCACCGGGAACCATACACTTCTTATAGACGAATTTGACAAGTGAACGATGACATAACAATAGAAAAAAGAAAGACAAAATGAGACAAGAGGGAAAGAGGAAAAAAGAACCCAAAGGACCAAACTCTTAGTTGACAGTAGAACCAACACAAACACGCTCGCCAACTCTGATTTCCATCAATGACGATCCTTCCCCCTACAAACCTATCAAATCCTCAAAAAAACCCGTCCACTCTTACACAGACACATACACAAATGGAAAACCTAGGTTTCTCCAAAGCATAAACGAATCAGCCTCACACCTCGTCATCGCTGTCCTCTCCCAACAACTCCCCCTCATCCGGATCCACAACCGCGTAATCTCCTCTGCCCCTCGCAAAAGAGCTACGACTCGTGTACCTCCTTCCACCAAACCCAGCACCACCGCCGCCGCGTCCACTAACCATCCGCCATAGACTGCCGACCAACAAGGGGATGGCCGCAACAACAGCGACGATGCCCGAAATCGCAGCAACGGGGTACTTGATCCAAGGAGCGTCAGAGTCGAATGCAGCACCACGAGACCCGCCGAATCCGCTCTCGCCGAGACGGATGCGACCAAACTTGCCGTCCCAATGGCGGTACACGTAATATCCAATACCCGCGGCGGCGGCGAACGGCAGCACGACGGCGAGGAAGATGACGAAGCCCGAGACGCCGTGTTTGCGCTCGAATTCTTCTTCGTGGCCAGGGCACGGGTGCACACGTTTGGTGTGGTCGAATTCTTGTCCGCCTTCGCACGTTGAGATGGGGATCTTGCGGTACCCTGTAATCTCCCAGTACTCCTCTGCACCATCTGCGCAGACGGCATCGTCCGGGGGATCTTCGAGGCCTTCGATCTTGCGGCATTCGCCGCTGGGCATGCGTTCGTAGTTGAAGTCACTAGATTATGTTAGTGAGGTGATATGTGGGGAGAGTGGAGAGATGGCTTACCATTCAAAGTCCAGCCTGGTGCAGCTGCAGTTGCGTGCAATCGAGTGAAGATGATCGATGCGTTGGCCGCTGTGGCATTCGGCATTGGAACGCTTGCGGTGGTACTGTGCGACGTGTCCGAAGAGGCACTCGGGCTCTTCTTTCTTCATGGGATGCTGTGGAGTCCACAGGTCAAAGTCGCCTGCAGTAGGGTTGTTCTCATCCAAATCGCACTTCCTCTGGAATTGATTGAGACCGGAAAAGTCGACATTGACAGCCACGAGCTCCGAGCCGTCTTTGCCCCAAATCAGGAAATTGAGCGAAGTGTCGCTCGGGACCGTTGTGATGGAGCTAACGCGGATGGCATGATCGACAAACTGGTATTCATCCCACGTCTCCCCAAGATCAAGCGTATAAAAGAGGTGATTAGTATCCTTGCCTCGTCGCACCAGCACGAGTACGGATCCTTGGTCGCCGAATTCCCAGGCATAGGTACCCTTCTTGGCCTCTTTCCAGTTAAGACCTCCGTCAGTGGTGATGAATGTGCTGGCTTCGCCGATGGTAGTGAGCTTGTCGCCGACGTTGCCGACGCCCATGAAAATGCCCACAGCAGTTGGAGAAGAGAAGCTTTCGCGTGGATCTGGCCGCTCTGTGTAGCCATGAAGGTGCAGTGCGCACTTTTCCTTGTTTGACACATCGCAACTGTAAGCCTTGCCTTCAGAATCTGCCTGGGGTGCCTGGAGCGGTTCCCAGTCTGCGCCGTCGTTATGCGTGATGCGAGTTTGTTTATTCTTCCCTGCGCGACCTTTTTCGACATCCTCGATATTAGTCACCACAGTGGCCATGGCAACACCCTCAATGCCTTGCATCTTCTCAAAATCCACGTAGCCATCAAAGTTCCGGTTGACGTGATTCAAGCTTACAACGTATGAGGTGCCATTGCTGTTGCTCTTCAAGATCGAACCATATTCACGGTCCCTCACTCCATTAACAGTGACATGTAGGAAAACGGAATGAGTTGAGCTGTCCAGGACAGTATAGGCTGTCGTATGATCTACGTCGAAGTTGCGCGGGAATCTGGCATCAGCAAATGTCTCGGCATCAAGGCTGGCGTGCAGTTTCAGCTCGTTACCCTCGTCACCCTTGGTAGCAGCAACAATGAACTCGGCCATGGTCGCAAAGGCAATGACAGACTTGAACTTGACATCCTTGGTTTTGAAGAAGTCTTTGCTGGAGGCCAACTCGAGGGGAGCCTTCATGTCTTCATTTGTGTGCTGTTCACAGAAGACTTCCTTATCGTCGACGTGCCGACCAGCCACGCGCCAGACAAATGCGCACTTGCTGACGTATGGAAGTAGTGGTTCCCAACTTCCCTCAACACCACCTTTTTGGGAGACAGATGCGACGGTATGGCAATCGCCCTCTTTTGATTTCTCGCAGTGCTCACCCCCAATCCAGATGAGCCAATTGTGCTCTTTAGGATGAAATTGCAAGATCTGAGCGCCCTGCTCGTTGGGCATCTGAAGGGCTTCAAAACTGTGGATGGTCCGAGGTAGAGCTCGATCCAAAGAGTAATACACCTTCTTCGTTGCTGTAAGCCAGTACACTTGATCGTTGTTGTACTGATGGGGGTAGATTGCAACAATTCGATCGTCTAAAGACTTTTGCCATTTCTTGCCGTGGTCATGGGTATGGTACGCCTCGCCTTCACTGGTGAGCATGACGATCGTCTCATCGGCGGGTCTTTTGCCTTTCTCCTCATTGTCCTCGCCTTGATTAGGTCGCTCAAGATAATAATGCTCCAAGAAATTAGAGCCCTTGAATTTGGTGATTTCTTTGGTGATCTCATTGTTGTTGGGTGGTTTCGTGGGCTTCTCGTCGCAACTGCGCTCGACCTCCTCATCCCTCTCTGTGGAGCCTTTGCACTGGTTGCCTGGGATCTTTCTCCACCCAGATTTACCCTTGTACGTTTTGGCGTCTCCTTGACAAGCACCGTCCGGAAGCTTCAGGGCAGAAGACGCTTCGCACTCCTTCTCCTCACCCAATTTACCGTTGGGGACGAAGTTGTATTCGCATTCGTAGTCGCGGAATTTGTCACAGTCGCACGGCTCGAATTTGGGAACGGGATCCTTGAACTCTTGCGAGACAAAACACTCGGCATCCCATTTGCGTCGACGAAAGATCTGCTTGTGACCCATGATGCACATGGCGTCGCCATTCTCATCTTTTCGTGCTGCCCAGTCCTCGAAATCCTTGTCTTCACATGTACGCTCATGCATCTCCGAGAAGTCGAGATGTATCATCAAATCCTTCTTCTCAACCCTCTCGGCCTTGACTGCATAAAGCATGAACTTGAGACTGGTCGAATCCGGAACGGTCGTCAACTCGCGGGCACGGAATTTGTAGTCCAGCTTGATCTCTTTCCAAGTACCCTTGCGCCCATGTTTGAGTGAGTACATGATTGTATCAGTCTCACCTTCATCATAGACAGCCACGAGAACTCCTCCTTGGTCACCAAATTCGTACTTTTGAGCTTCCTCAAGAGCACGCTCCCACGTCAGCCCGGCATCATCCGAAACCCAGAGATCGCCGTCAGTGTATTTGTTGAGGAATTCTCCGGTATTTCCCACACCCATAACAATACCGGGTGCGGGACTCGAGAACACCCGGCCGCTGTTGTGCATGTTCGTGACGGAGTGTAGATGAAGCTCTTCGTCTTTGCCCTTGACTTTCAACGGCTCGAAAGTCCGTCCGTCGTCAAAACTGACCTTGCTCTTTAGTTTCTTGTCCACGGTAGGGCGTATGGCCTCTTCGGGGTTCTGGACTGTGTTGACCATGACGATGCCTTGTATGCCGGCAATCTTCTCAAAGTCAACAAGCCCATGCTCATTGCGATTCGTATTGTCGATGTTTTTGGTATAGTACGTGCCGTTGGAATTACTCGTGTACAAGGACCCGGTCAAAGCGAATTTGGAAGTTACAACGTCAACCTGAATGCTGTAGTTCGTGGATTCTAGAATCGTATAGGCATCTTCTTCAAGCTTGCCCCCATCGAACTCGGCGTGGTGCCACGTCTTCGTATCGTCTGTAACATAAAGCGCGAGCTCGTTGGAGTGATCAGATTTGGCGGCGACAACGAAATGACCCTTGACTGGCGCCATGTTCGTCATGCCTTGAACGGTGCGCCCGGAGGACATGACAGGCTCGTCCTCACTCTGAAAAAAATCGTCCGTGATCAGCAGTCTGAAGTCCTTTTCCTTGTATGAGTATTTTCCCTTGGCTATGCAAATGACACGGTCGTCGAGCTTATCGTCGTCTGGCAAGAGAAGTTCGGAACTCTTGGCCCATGCGCACATTTTGCGGTCGTTGATGAAGGCTTTGGGATCGGTCTTGAAACCATCCGTGGTATAGAGCGTCTGAGTTATCCGTCAGTTATATGTAGTGCTTAAAGGTTTTGGGCGAGCGCAACTGACCTGTCCAAGGCATGGGGCGAGGAAACAGTCCTCGATGGTATGATACAATATCTTCTTGTTGTCTTTCGCATGGAAACTAATTTGTTGTTGCCCAATAGACGGCGGATATTCTGTCTCAAACGATCTCCACTTCTCTCCCCGATCGTACGTGATGTAGTGTTTTGTCTCGCCCAGCACTACGGCCACGTTGCTATCGAAGGGATTCATCCTGATTCCCAACGTTTTCATGTCGTCCTGCTTCTTCCACTTCTTGCCAGCGTCCGTAGACTTCCAAACCTGAAGCGTGTCCAGCTCGGCAGCCAACGCGACATCAGAATCGTCGAAATACATGACCTCGACCAGTTGGCTGTCGAAGGCCTGCTCTGAGACGAGCGGCTCGCCCTTCTTCGCCGTCGCAAGCGACGCGAGGCCCAGCAGGGCGGGCAGTAGTATGCCCCTATTGTATTTCATGATGCATGAAGAGGAAAATCGCTATGGAGAGAGTTTGGGGGTGCGAGGCGGCGGGAATCGAACAGCTGTCGGGTTCGTCGTCACAGCCTCAAAGAGGCAAGGCTTGGCGGCCTCGGAACGGCGATCACACGCGAGTGCAGCGGAAGGAGTGGTCGGTATATTTCCTGGTGGCTAGGCAGATACGCTTGGGGGTGGAATGGTGTAAAACAGATGACAATGTCTTAGGAGCTACAGGTCCAGAAAGTATAGTGATGGTGTTACGCGGCTGCTACTAACTCCCGCTCCGCAGCCCTGCCATGCTGGTTCGCTAATCCCATCGTCAGACCGCGGAGGTCCCAAAATAGCTTCCTCCTTGCCGTACTACATCTGCAGGTACCATTCAAACAGAATTTTGAAGTCATCGGGATTTTGTAGAATTTTTCAAGTCTCATGGTCGCCACCTTATCCTCTCAACCACAAGGCAAGCTATCGTTTCTTGCTCCTCGCATCTTCAGCTACGTTTACCAGAATGGCCACGTTGTAGATCCAATAGAGACAGATACCACTAATGCCGATGCAAATCGTGGAACAGACAGCCGCGGAAGACTTTCAGTCAGCATGTTTTCCGCCGTCGTTGGTATCGGTTAGAATGGGTCGCGTGCTCTAATTGCCCGTCCATTCACATGTTTCGCGGATATGAGATCTTCACCAAACACGGTGAACAAAGTCGAGGAAATGGAACATGTTTCTATTCAAGGATGATTTATGTTTATGGTTTCTAAAGGGTATCATGATTGTATTTTGGTCAAGTAGTCAAGTGACTGCTAGGAGGTAATTCGTTTACGCGGTGGCTTGTACAGCTTTCTCCTCTGTTGGTTTGTCGGAAGCAGGCGCCGCAGCCGCAGCTTCGATCTTGTTTTGCACAATACGCTATCGTTTGTGAGCAATCAGTAGCAGACTAACAGCTTTTACAACTCACCAAAAGGTTTCTTAGAAGGACCACGATCGTGACCTTGCCAATTGCAGGCACGTATATGGAAGCCTTTTCCTTTACTTCGGGAGTAAAATTGCGCTCACTTGAGAAGTTAATGCAGACGGCACCGTCCCTGAGCTTCTCTAGCGGAACCTTGTATTTGTCTCCAGGAACACCGCTGATGACTACATCACTGAGCGGCAGACAGTCGTCAATTGTCCAGCCAGGCTTCTCGCTCACCTCATGCCTCTTTTTCCGAAGCCCCACACCTCGATTGAACTCTTGTACGTCGTTGATGTCCACGCTGTATACGCAAGCTCCGTCATTGGCTAGCAGAGCAGCAAGGGGCCTGCCAACAACCTCACTTCGGTTGATGACAGTAATGGTTCGACCGTGCAATCTGTTGCCATATGCCAGGATTGTGTTGTAGATTCTCAGATACTCTAGGATCTTGATAACGGCCAGTGGAGTGCAGGGCAGCACGCTCTTCTTGGTATTGGCATCGTCGAGGAAGCGAATGTTCTGGTACATGTTGAAGATGTAACGGTGGGAGAGACCCTCGACGTCTTTGTCAATGGAGACGATCTGCTGGAGATACTGATCCTGGCGATTGCCGAAGATGGGATAGTAGACGATGATGCCATCTACGGCCGAATCGTTGTTCGCGTCGATTAGGGCATCTTCGAGAAGTTCACGGTCGATTTCGCGGAGCTCGAACGCGAAGCCACTGTTGCGAGGTCAATGTTGATCTTCGAGGCGCGTGCCTTTGAACTTGTAAAACGAATTGAATCAGCAGTCGAGCATGCTCACTTTTCGTGGGCCGTCTTGCCCGTCCACTCGGCGTAGACTTTGGCGGCGGGATCGGTGGACGAGAGGAAGCCGACGAGCAAGGGCTTTCGGTCAATCTTCTTCAAGCCATCGTGGACTTCAGCGAGGAGATTTTTGGCAATGTTGTTGGCCAGGACAACTTTGCAATTGGGTTTGTCGTCGGCCATGGCGGGGGCGGGGTGCGTGCGTGCGTGCGTGATTGCTTGCGGGGAAGAGATGGGAGGAAAGAGGGAGTCACGGGCAAAGATGGAGAAGGAGAAGGAGCGTCAGAAGGAAGAGAGGGGAAAAGTCTGACAAGACGTCCTACGGCCGCGAGAACATGAATCAATCTACCGCCTGTCTCTGTCCCCGTCTGATCACAAGTGCCGCGAACATTGAGCATCGCCAAATATAAATCTCTCCATGCCCGACTTTTTTTTTCTCTAGGCCCACACTTCCGACATCGGTTGGCCAATCAGCACCCCGCCATAGTTTCGTCATTGCCCCTCGCCTAGCCGGGGTTACCTACTACCACCGACCCATCATGTATGCGCGTGCGTGCAAATGTTGCGGAGAGAAAGCGAAGCTCTACAGTTCATGAATTTTGGGACCCCGCTCGCCGTCATCCAGCTTACCACTTAGAAGTTTCCAAAGGATCGAAACGTCGATATCGCCTGCCACCATCTTTGCTCCCGATAGCGCCCCAATCAGCTGGGAAGCGTGAGCATGTCAGACATCCAGCAGTACCTGTTGGACTACGACCGGAACAAGAATGAGGCCAGCGCAACTGCCCAAAAGAGCGCGACGCGTACGTTTTGCCAAGGATACTGTAGGAGGAGATGCAATGAGCAAACCATGTTGATTCCCTGCATCCAGGCTTGAGTGATGGCAGTCTGAAGCTCCTCACCCTCATCCAAGAGCTTGGCGAATACCTCAATAGCGAAGATGGAGCAACCAGGTCCAAAAGTGAGCATCAGCCCCAAATTCTCTAGTTCCATGCATTCTGCTGACCTCTCTAGCCATGGCTTTTCTTGCCGAAGTGCTTTCTCTGACTCCACCCAAAGTACTCACGTTACAGCAGAGTACGTCCAACATCGCTATTGGTACTATCAAGTCAATTTGGGCTAACGCGCCGTAGGAAATCTCCTCTGCGAATTCCTTCTCTCACGTACCGAGGATGGTGAAGGCCTAGGTTCATGCGCAAAAGCCCTGATCGCTCTCGAGGAGCGTGGAAAGTGGGATGCCGGCAATGTCCAGAAGATAATAGAGACGTCTGTATCTCCTTTCATGTCCAGTTGCTATAGGACCATCAGCTCATGTCTCTCTAGACTCCTTGCGAATACCACTCCTCTTAGGCAGTATAAACAGCAAAGCGAGCGATATCCCGTACTGCGCCTGGCGGACACTCTCATGGCAAAATACCGGGACGGTAAGCCGCGCCATACCTCTGGAACGTATTGTGCCCATCTCTGACCGGCTATAGCACTAAGATCTCTGCATGAATCAAACCCAGATTTTCTATCTCGGTTCATTGCATACTTCGATGGCGAGAAAGACCCGCGCAACCTGATGGTGGTATTCTCCATCCTGAAAGTACCAATGACAGAGTGGTCTATTGGCGCCGACGCTCAGGTAAAGCCTCAGGACAAGATTGCCGCTCAGAAAACCAAGCTGACAGATGCCAGGATCTCTTCGAAGCTGTATTCAATTATTTTCCCATTACATTCAGGCCACCTCCAGACGATCCATATGGCATCACCGCACAGGATTTGAAAGACCGGCTACGCGAGTGCATATCTTCATCTTCGGAATTTGCGCCATACGCGTTTCCTGCGCTTTTGGACAAACTCGACTCGACTCACATGAACACCAAAGTAAGTTGCCAGCATTTTTGCTAAAGTTTTGGCTGACATGAAGAAAGCGGGACGTGCTCCAAACAATCACTTCGGCGGCTGCAGAATATGGCCCCCGGACCATGTCATTGTATTCCATCACTTTATGGGATACACTCAAATTCGAGATTCTAAATGTACAAGAGGAGGACTTGGCCGAGGAAGCATTGAGCGGACTGGCGACAATAGCGAAGACACTTTCCCGAGGCACAGATGGACCGCTGAATGCCTATCTGAGACCGATCATCAAGGAATGCAATGAACATCTCGAGGATGCACCTACCAAGCAATCGCAAGCGGCTGCAAGAATATTACACAAGATCGCCACGGTATCGCCCAATGTCATAAATACCCTTCTAGCGGGTGTGCTACCCAGATTATTCACGCTGTACCAAGCGGCCGAAACCATGGCGAAGCGTAGAGGGCTTCTGGAGGTCTTTGTTCAATTCATCACAGCGGATGTTGAAGTCTATGGAGATTGGCGGACCCCGGGTACGGCAGGGGAACAATCGGCGAGCAACGCGCTGATACAATTTCGTGAGCAAGCTCTCGGGATATTGTTGAGTGGCCTGGAGACAGCACCTGTCAGTGGAGTATCGTTCCGCCTCGTATGTCTGGATGGCCTCTTGCAATTGTCCAAAGTCCGTGGGCTACTTACCGACGAGGATATCGGAAAAATTATTCAGCTACTTCACAACATCGTGATTCACGAGCAATCATTCGGAAAAGATGAGACAAAGGAAGCCGCAGTAAATGGACTTGTCGAGGTCGCTTACCAGAAGCCCCAGGTCGTCATCGAGAAGGCGTTCCCTGCGTTCATGGCCCAGCTTCCAGACACGGATGCCAACGGGCCAAAGGAGTACTTGACTGTATTAGAGGCATTCGCGAAACTCGCCAACGAAGAGAAAGTCTTCGATACTGTCATGTTAAGACTGAAGAACAAATTCTCGTCTGCCGTCTCGCAAAACGCTTCTTCGGCATACATTGTCGCGTTGTTATCGGCCATGCTCTACGCGCTCTCCAAGGGCGTGAGCAAACTAGAGCAGAGTCCACAATCCTCGTCATATTATCAAGATATTGCACTTCCGCTCCTAAAACGGACTTCCAGTACCGACTCATCGCACCCAGAAGCATTCGATAACGAAACCACTCTCGACCTGGTCGGAAGAATCTGCAATATGGTCATCAAGTCACAGGCTGCTGACAATCAACAAGCGATTGCTGAACAGCTTTACGTTCTGTTCAGAGATGAGCCTCAGTCTAAACTGCCACCGTTTGATCTCACTGCACCTTCGGCATCGAACAAGACTATGATCGTTTCCACCCACCTTCTTGCCTCTCTTCGTAGAGAAACCAGACTACCTTGTGAAATCGAGCTCTTGATCTCGTCCTTGGCCAACTATACACAACAACCGAATCTTTCACCACCGATACGGTCTGCCTCGCTCCGCCAGCTGTCACTGATCATTAATAAATTCTACACTGCTTCGGAGTTGAAGACCTGTCTCGACCGCTTAATAGGCGCACCGTTCGGACTCTTTGAGCCCGAGAAACTCGACCCCTTCAGGATACGAATCATTTTCGCTTGCTTGAAGGGCATTCTACTACGGAGCAGCCCTGTGTTAGCAAACCTATACCCTTCACTGTTGAGTTTTCTTTCACATCCAAAGTATGGCACTATGGTTGCCCATGGCTTCAGCACCCTCCTGCAGCCGGATGATCTTCTAACAAAGGAGAATCATTGCCAAATCTCAGGCCTGCATAAGCAAAAATCTTTTGCACTTCTCGTACCGGAAATCACGCAATCATTCCGTCAAGCAAACCCGGAGACCAAGTCGAACTATCTCATAGCCCTCAGCGGGGTACTGAAATGGATGCCATTCGATATTGTCATGGAAGAGGTTGATAAACTCGTGCTGCTTCTCCTTCAGAGCCTTGATCTCAAAGGTGAAGACCTTGTTAAAGAAGCCGCTGTCGCGACATTGACCTCTACTCTATCGGAGAAGCCACATGTTATTGAGGAGCATGTCGGAAGCCTGATTACACGATTACTGACCAACTCTATTGCAAGTAGCGAAAGCTGCGAACCACCAAGAGTGCGAGCCGCTGCTTTGCGATGTTTGACTCTGGTTCCAGACAAGTTGAAACTGGAGGTTGTCCTGCCATACCGCAGACAGGTGTGCAGGAAGTTGACACCGGCACTGGATGATCGAAAGAGAGATGTCCGGACTGCGGCGGTCAAGTGCCGTGCGCGATGGCTAGAAGTGGACGAGGTGGACGACGACGACGAGTGAGATAGGATCGAGAAAATAATAAAACAGACCATTCACCGTTCCATCACCCTCATCCCATAGCGTCCTTCAATTTGGGCATTCAACATGATATCATATCTGATGTTGTGTGCCATATTCGTCGGTAATCGAGGACACGCGTACCCGACGGTCCACCGAAAACCCGATAACATAGCAAGGTACAAGTGTGACAGCATGGGTATACACATGGTAAACGTCTAAGCTCCAGGAAATGCACTGTGCCTTGTTCTAGACCCTTTGGCGAATTCCAGAAGAACGTTGCTAATCACTTCTTAGCGGAATTAGTACTGATGTCACTACCCTCATCTTCCCCACAGTTCACTAGCGTGGCTGACAACCCCATGACGGCTATTTATGAATTGACCAGCACGAATTGATGTAACCACGGACAGTCGGATGACGGAGCAACGCTCGCACCGACAGGCGGGTTCAGGGACAACACCCGGTTCCGATTTCCCCCGTAACAATCGTCCTCGGAGATCTTCTGTAGAGGCATCGTCATTGACTTCTTATCAGATCTCGTACAACATGCATCGAATGATGTTGGATAAGGCTCATGTTATACTGGACTCACACTGAGGTCACAGCTGCTTACCCAATGATGATGCTGGGCGAATTGATATTAATGACGCATATCGTGCTTCTCATCCAGTGACATTCATCTCTCTGCTACGAATTCGACGACATCATCACCATTAAAAGTCCTTGCTTGAGGCTGATGTAGAGATGAAAATGAGCGAGAGTCCACATAGCGCCTAGTCCGTCCATCTATGCGGAGATGCCGTTGAAATTCGTCCACTGGTAGTAAGCTCCCACGTTTCCCGTACTAAATTGTCACCAATTATCCATGACGTGCAAGATCTCGAATTCTGAATCTGAGGAATGTATCACGAGCTCACTAGCAGAGTCCTACGCAGCTGTTTGGCTCGTATCCTCCGTTCCACCAAACATCGTCCAACGAAAGACTGACGCATCTCCTACGCTCCTCTAAATTACACTAAAACCTATATATCAGGCAGCCATCTACTCGCATATAAGAAGGGTACTTGTCTTACGCTTCTCTACATTCATATCATCACATCTTTCGCATCTACAAATGAGTCTCAGAACCCTCAACGCCACTAAATTCATCTCAACCACTTTCCGCTCAACAACACCTCGTTTCTACACAACCACGTCTGTAGCTATGCAGAAATCGTCTGGCCAAGGCGTTTCCCATGCCACTGGCGGATCCAAGGTCCCCGAGGGTGTTCAGCAGCAGGCACCCAAGGGTCTAGAGGAGTCACTTCCCAACTCTGTATGTTGAAATCGCTCTGCGTCCAATTCGCCGTCAACTGCAACATACGTAGTTTCTAATAAGAGAGCAACAGGTCCACGACACTGGTTCCCAGGGCCGCAAAACACACGCTAAGAACGACGGCGAGGACTCGATTGTTCCGAAGAAGATTCAGGAGGTTGTTCCTGAGGGTTTGGAGCGCGCTCTTCCGGACTCTATTCACAACGCCGGGGATAGCAAGAAATAGAGCTGTGCTCTGTTGATGTTATTGGATATTGTATGATAGTATGATATAATGGATCGAGCTTTCCCGATTGAGTAACTCTACTCATGAGGTGAACGTTTCTTATTTGATGTGCCATGTCCTTTCTTTTGGAAGTGATGTGCATGTGCTTGTTTGACGAGGAAGTTTTCAGTCTGTCTTCAATCTTTTTGATGATTCAATGTCCCATGAAATGTTCTCTTTGAACGTTCGGGTCTTACACTATAGGTAAGGAATCCTTCCATACTTTACTATTGCGAGCTAACCGGTACTGTGGTACAACAAAACTTTAAATCAGTTGTTGTGTTTAGAACACCGAGATACTTAAACTTGGGTACAAATCACATGGAGATAGTATGCTGTTGAACACCAGAACCATATGTGTAAAATCTTATGCAGCACTGACAATGTACGGAGACATCTTTAGTTGTACTATACTGACTATGTACTCCTTTTCTTTAGGTTACCAACATGGTACGCAATCTATCTGGCCTTTTACTTCGATCTTTTTTGAGAACCTCACGCTCAGCCATGCTATATCTTTACATGACCTACTCCTCCTCCTCATAATAACAGGTCGAGTCCCTAGAATTCTCATGCAGCGTTCCACCCTCCACACACCATGCCTGCATCTCCGCATTCGAACAACCCTCCGGCGTCCTAGAGCCTTTGCGTCGCCAAAACAACGCGATGACATTCTCCTCGTCATCTTCGGCTACCGCAGATGATAAAGACGAAGTCGTCACGTTGCAAACAAAAAAGGTCCCTGTCTCAAGGTACACTGTTGCCGGCCACTCCGCAACCTGAACTCCCGGATACCCCTGCCCACCTTTTACTAATTCGATCTGCGAAGATTCTTGGCCGGGAGAACGAAGCGTGATTGCCCATGGCACCCCATCATCGACGCCATCAGTGAGGATCTGACTGGTGCGAGCGGCAAACGTTTCGGAAGTGCCATTCTCGTAGAACGTAGTCCCGAGGTTTGGGTCTGGAGTGAGAAGTACCGGTAAAGTGTCTGAGATTGGGGATGTTGAGGGAATAGTTAGGGACCAGGCGGAGACGTGGGCGAGTGGTGTTTCCGGAGGGATGATGGCGAGAATGTTGAAGGCGGGTTTCTTAGTGGTGGGAGGAAGTTGGGAGAAAGAGCGGTGGGGGGCTAGGAGGAGCAAAAGCAATGGAGGGAGGGTCTGGAGACGCATCTTTGAAAGGCTAGGTGAGTTGGTAAAGCGCGGGAGGTGTTGGATTTTGGGTAAAGAGGTTACACAGAGACTTCTTTATGTCCCGTCCATGATGGAGATCGGTGATATGGAGTACGAGGTTAGACAGGGATAGACGAAGCGGGGTTGGAATGCTGCCAGAGTTCCGGTTGATTCATTACGAGATGGGAGCACCATCCATGATGTGATGATGCTTACACGGGACGCGATGCTGAGCTGTACATGAGCTGGAGCTGGGGCTGTGTGAATTTCTAGTGATTAGTCAAGCCTTTGTAATTGCAGCTGTTAGCAACTGGAACTGCTGGAGAGTTAAGTAAAGGTAAAAGCAACTGACTTGTGAAGCAGGGAGCTAAAGAGCGAGGGTGAAGCGAAAGCACGTGGCTGACGCGCCGGCGCCAAGACTGGAAAGCATGCGACAAGCGGCGGCGGCCAGAGCTTCCGCCTATTCCACCTCTACAACTTTCAACCCTCCCGCGCGCCCGACTCGACATCGACTGAGACGGACACCTAGCCGGCTGCAGGTCCCGCCTGCATTGTTCGCTTCATCTGCCCAAGATGGACGACGCCGCCGAGGACCCTACCGCCGCCACTGTTTTTACCGTCCTGAACCAGACTCTGGAGCTCGACTTTAGCTTCTGCCCACGCCTGATCAAAGGCAAGACGACTATCGACATACAGCCGCAGTCGCAAAAGCTGAGCGAGATCCAGCTGCACTGCCGCCAACTCAAAGTCACCAAAGTCACTGTCGCAGGCCGCGAAGCTTCCTTCGATTACAGCAACCTCTACGATCGACTCTCACTCTACCCCGGAACAGGCATCGAACAATATCACTTCCCGCAGAATCGCATACGGAAACATGAGGATCATGTGGAGAAGGAGCTTGTGATTTATCTACCGGATAGAACGCGCATCAAGGAAGTGCGATCAGTGGGCGCTCAGGATACCTCGTACGAATCGCTCGAGGTCGCGATAGAATATGTCTTGGACGACTTCCGCGATGCCGTATATTTCGCTGGTGTAGAGGATGGCGATGCGCGCTATCCTCACGCCTATACCCGCAACTCGCCTTTTCCCGGCACGGCTTCTGCGCTATTCCCTTGTCTGGACGATGGCACCACTCGTGGAACTTTTGATGTGTCCGTACGATACCCGCGCACAGTGGGCGACGCGCTTTCCAAACGGTTCAAGGCACGACAAGCGCAAACGAGCGGGCCGCCTAAAGCAGATAGTGTCGTGAGCGACGCGGATGAAGATCATAATGACTTAACAGAGGACGAAAAGGCGTTGGAAATGGCTGTCATTTGTTCCGGACTGTTGACAGATGAAGTAATAACCCTCCTAAATTTTTGTTGTCGTTTTCATGCTAATCTTGTAGATTGTTGACCCCAACGACCCGACTCGCATGACTGCCACCTTTGCCATCGGAACCTCGACCGGAATCTTGCCTCAGCATCTCGGAATCGTCATCGGCCCTTTCCAACACGTAGACTTATCCGAATATCGTGATACTTCCGAAGACGATCGGCTGCAAGACGAAGCCATCAAAGTGCACGCATTTTGTCTGCCTGGGAAGGAGGATGAAGTGCGCAACAGTGCCATGATGATTCCCCGGACTCTCGACAACTTTACCGACAAATACCAGACCTATCGATTTGGAAAGTCATACAAAATGGCATTTGTGGATGATTTGGATTGCGACACCGCCCATACCATGTCGCTTACTATCTGTAGTTCTCGTTTGCTATTCCCGGAAACGGTCTGGGAGCCCTTGGAGCATACCACTCGAGTTCTCATCCACGCGGTCGCTAGTCAGTGGATTGGCGTGGATGTCATCGCACAGGAGCCTACGGATTATTGGGCTATTGTCGGCGGCTCTTGGTTCATGACCGAATTCTATCTTCGAGAGCTATTCGGGCGCAACGACAATCGCTTCCGCCAGAAGTTGAGAATGGATAAGGTTATCCAGCTGGACATTCGGCGACCGTCGCTCTGGGAACTGGGCAAATACCTGCAAGTCGATCCTGGAGAGCAGGAATTCATGGAACTCAAGTCACTTTCTGTGCTTTCCGTACTTCACAATCGGTTGATCAAAGTCAGTGGAAAGAATGGTGTTGATCGCTGCTTGTACCGGTTGCTTTTTCAATCTGGAAATGGCCAGCTGACGAACGGGGCCATCTCCACTGACAGCTTCCTCAACATCTGCGAAAAGGTCGGACATCAGAAGCTGGAGAACTTCTTCAACCAGTGGGTTTATGGATCTGGCTGTCCCACTTTTGAATGCACTCCTTCGTTCAACAAGAAGAAGCAGGTAGTGCAGCTCGTTATCAAGCAAACACAGGCCGACCCAATCATTTTCCAGGAGGAGCGCTCGCTAGCGGCGTCGGATTTTCTGCGCGAGGCCAAAGAAAAGAGCCACGGCTTCTCACCAGATGGTGATTGGCCGGCCTTTGTTGGCCCTATGACGATTAGGATTCACGAAGCAGACGGAACGCCCTACGAGCACATTGTGGACATCAACTCCTCCACCGTAAAGGTTGAGATTCCGTACAACACCAAATACAAACGACTTAAGCGAAACAGGCTGAACAAGGAGCGCCAGGCTGCTGCTCAAGGCCTGGACGTAGCTGGCGAGGCCCCCGAAGATGTTACTTTCTACTCGTTGGGCGACCTTTTCCAATCGCCCGAAGAGATTGCGGAATGGAAAATTGAGGACTGGTCTGCGGAGGACGAACAAAAGATGGAGAGCGAGGCTTACGAATGGATACGTATTGATGCCGATTTTGAGTGGATCTGCAAGACAAACATTAATGACATGCCCTCATACATGTACGTTTCACAGTTACAACAGGACAAGGACGTTGTAGCACAGGTGGAGTCTATTCAATACTTGGCACGCAAACAAGCACATGGATTGCTGTCTAGTATCCTGCTCAAAACTCTCATGGACCACCGATATTTCCACGGCATTCGCACCTTGGCGGCCGATGTTTTACCCAACAATGCGACGGAAGGAAAGGATATGATTGGGCTGTTTCATCTGATTAAAGCGTTCCGCGAACTCTTCTGTCTACCAAATTCCCCGATGACTCGATCAAACGATTTCTCTGATCGGGCTTCATATCTGATTCAGTGCGCGATTCCGAAAGCGATCGCTCGAATCAAAGGGTCTGACGGCAAGGCTCCGGTCGAAGTCAAAAACTTCCTGCTCGATGTCATGCGTTACAACGACAACCGTGGCAACGATTATAGCGACGACTACTATCTTGCAACTCTTATGCAGTGTCTTACTGAGTGCATCACTACGTCGAAACCCAACCCAACGGATATGGATCCGACTCTCAACTTATTAGCAGAGGCTGAAGAGCACGACTTTAAGAAGAAAGCGAGCGACGAACTGCAACGGCATCTTCGCTTGGACGAATGGATCCCGACATATCATAATGTCTACACCACGACAGTGTTGGAGTGTGAGGCAAAGTTGATTAGAAATCGGATCAACCCTTTCAAAGTTTCTGAGTTTCTACAATACACACAATCTGGTAATGCCGACAATGTGCGACTGGCAGCATGGAACTGTCTTGTTGATCTCGGCATTCTCAACAGCAAATCCAGCGTGGTCAAGTACATGATTCAGGAGCTTCAGTCTGACCCCTCGCCCTATTTGAGGTCGCAGTTATTGCGTGTCTTCGGCAAAGCTATTGGTCAAGTTGCTGTTGGCGACGTCTTTACACTAGACGAACCACTGGACAGTGGGTTTGTGCTTGAGGAGGAGTCGAATACCACTAACCGCGCCGCCGGACTTGCTCGCCGGAATCTCGTGGGAGCCCTCGAGGGATTGAAGAAAGACTTGGCTAGCAACGAGACACTCAAACAGTCGCTCGTGGAGGCCCTTTCGTCGAAGTTCACGTCGCTGCGTGATATTGCAGAACTTTTGGAAGTAGCATCACTAATTGCCGATCAGAAGAATCAACTGGTAGTGAAGCTTGATTACCCACGCTACTGGAAAGTGGAGAGGGCTCGACGCGAGGAAGCTGGATTCTGGATGCGCTTTTACCACTCTACACGCATTCGCACAAAACCGTTGAAGCCATGGCCGCCTGTAGAACCTGTTGTTGCACCTCCACCTACCGTTGCAGCACCTCCACCAGTGTCAGCGCCAGTGCCAGCGCCAGTGCCAGCGCCAGTCACAAAGACGCCATTGCCGACGCCGATATCGAGGCCGTCTCTGAAGCTGAAGCTGACCACTGGGGGTACTTCAAACGCCACTCAAGCGGCGTCTCCAGTGCCAACGCATACGCCTACGCCCACAACGATTGAACGATCTGTGGAACTTGCGCCGCCACCACAAAGGATCAGTTCGTTGGTGGCTCAAGGCAACATGCCACCAATTATCCCTGTGTCCTCTCCAGCACCGTCATCGGCCTCGATATCTGTTTTCTCAAAGTCGCCAGTGATCAAGACGAAGCCTGTAGGAGGCTCTCCTATGCCGTCTCCCCGGCCTTCTCCACGGCCTTCACCGGCTCCTCTATCTACAGCATCGACCCCCATGGAAGGCATTGAAAGCACAGCCTCGACACCCAAAGTTTCGACGCCAAAAACCTTACCTCCAGCCAATACATCCACCTCTGGATCTATAGCTGCCCATGCAAAACCTCCAAAGGTTCCAAAGCCAAATGCCGTCCCTAAACCCAACAACGCAGCTCCGGCAGCGAAGCCTGCCACTGGATCCGCAACTCCCACACCATCTACTCCCTCCTCATCTTCCATGCCCAAGCCAAAGCAGTCCCTCAGCATCAAGCTTGGTGGTAACAAGCAGTCTGCCTCTACGCCCAAACCCGCGCCGCCTTCTACCGCTAAACCTCCAAAAGCACCTAAGAAGAGTACCAAGATCGTCAAGCTTAAGGTTGCTCCTGAAAAGCTCGCCCTTGTTCGCGACGGCAAGCTCAAACGCAAAGCTTACGATGGCTCCATCGACCAGAGGCCTTTCAAACGGCAGAGCACGGAGCCTTCGACGGTTGCTAAAGGATCACTGACGTCTTCATCCTCAGGGAAACCGAAGTCGAGAGTCAGTGTCAGGAAATCGGAGAACAGATTGCTTGTTATCATGAGATTTGCGCAGGGTAAATTGAAGCCACAGTGATTGGTTACTAGTTGCTTCCCCCCGGGAAAGCGAGTATGGTACCCTTGATGTCATCTCCCGCGAATAAGGAACATAAGAACTGGGAAGTGTGGGTTTGGTGGGTGATGGAAAGAAAGAGAGCGTACCTGAAAGAGTTTTGTGGATGGGGTTCTTCTTCCCACCCTCTGCTTCCGTGCAAAGGCACGCGATGGTAAATTGGGTGACACTGTGCGATACTTCTTGTTCTTCTTCTCCCCCCTCTTCTTTTTTCGAGTCTCACCTGCATCATACACGGCGTTTTTTTTCTTCTCGGCATGCCGGCAAAATGTCCGGTTTCCTAAGCTTGCCCTTGGCCGATGTAATTGCCCCCTACCACTTCGATTCACTTTTCACCTTTACCCTGCCACCCTACTGGCAATACCAGCAACAAGCAGAAACATTGTGGACATGGGAACACGAGCAAGAGGGAAATTATCTGGGGGGTCGCGAGTGGCTCTGTGTATGTGCGTTCATCTTGTGCATTTTAGCGATCGGCGTTTCCTTTTTGTCAAAGTTCAACTTCCTCTCTTTTTCTCCTTCGGAATGAGAAGCAAGGATGGCTGGGAAAATATCTCCTTTCTTTTCTCTGGACGCGGATGATATGGACAAACGGGGTTCAGGGACATGGCATAGGCCATGAGATCGGATAGCTCAGCTAGTATAAAATTAAGTGGTTAGAACGAACAGAACTGCGCGAATGGGATGGGTGGATTGGTCGTGACTGAATGACTCTCTTCTTTCCTTCTCCTCAGGTTGCTATATGTGCACAATGCCATGCGGTTACCGCCTGATCAGGAAACACTGCTGTACGATCATTCATGATTCTTCAATGTTTGTGAGACAAATAAACCAACTTGTCGTAAAAACGAAAGAGCACGCAAAAGTCCAACAAAGTGTTTCTCAGCCATAAGACGAATGGCCCCACTATTGAAAACGAAGAGTACTCAAAGCATTCAATCGAAAGAGCAAAAACTCCAAAATTAACTACCATACCATCATCGAAACATTGGCTTTGCTTCTTTATCACCAACCTCGACTCAGAACAGAAACAACTACCTTCCCTACAGGAGGGACAAGGTGACTAATAGCCCATTTTCTCACCTTTCGCATATGATCCCCTTTTCTTTCCCTCTGCAACCATGCTTTTATCAAGAGACCAACGAAAGGGGAAGAGGTTAGATAGCGAAAAAAAGGACAAGTCGTCAAAGAACTTCGAGAATAACCTACAAGAGACTCGTCGAATCATTTCCAATCTGTTCTATCCGTCCATGCCCATTCACTAATCAGTCACACGGACTTGATAATGCCGTATAAAAATGCTTTGTTCCAACTGCACAGGAATCGTGCTATGTTCTGATCATGAATGAAGAATGCAATTTGATATTGGGCTAGTGACTGGAATGAAGAAGTAGGATAACATGACTAATTTATATCCCATTTCCCCCCTTCGGCCCTATATACAAAGACATCGTCACATACGTCTGTTCGCTCCATCTGAAAGCCAACTCCCATCCCTCCCATTTATGCAAAAAAACAAGAACGTAAACCCCGCCACCCGAAAGAGTGCAGGGGAGAGAGACAAAACTACAGTATACAATTACAAGCGCTCTTTGTCCCCTCCTTCATGAGGAAGAAAAAAATGAAACGCTACACGGACCCATGCTTGATTAACTATTTGTCTATTTGATTACTTTCACCCCCAAAAAAAGTCACATTATTCGTTTCAATCATAATCGATTCCTTCAAAGTCTAAGAAGCCCTTTCTCCGTGTGTGCTATGATCTAATGCATCAATATTCACCGTCGATACTGCTGCTGTTGTTGTTGTTGTTGTTGTTGTTGTTGTTGTTGTTGTTGTTGTTGTTGATGTGCGTGACGCGCGGCTGCCTGTGCCTGATCGAAGCTAGCTCCATAGGCCTGTGTCGTGGGTTGCTGTTGTTGCTGTTGCACATAGTATTGGTTCTGCATCTGCTGCTGTGCGGCCCAGTTGGGTTGCATGCCTGGTGACATCCCCGGTTGCGCAAAATATCCTTGCTGTGCATACATCTGAGGCATCTGATTCGGTGTGGTGGACATTGCATATCCCGGCGAATACCCTTGAGGCGTACCCATCATCGACGGTGTCCCCATCATAGATGGTGCATAACCTCCAGGTGTGGTTGCCCCCATCATCGACGGCGCATAGTTTGTTGGCGTGGCGGCCATTTGCTGATTCATGTGTTGCATTTCCAGCATCTGGCGCTGCTGCGCTGCCAACATGCGACGGTCAATCTCAGCTTGCATGGCCACCGTGCTGCGATTGGATTTTGCTGCTGCTTTGTCCTTTTCACGCTTGTCAATATAAGCAGTCAAGCCTGCTGAAGCTGGCTTCTGCTCATTCTTTGGATTCTTCGACAGGCTGATAAGAGGTGTGTTGGTGATCCGAGCTACCTGCTCTTGTTCGCGTGCAGATAGAGCTGTTGGACGCTGGTCTAGCAACCGGTCAGCGCCTCGCGATAACGGCCGGGAAAGCGGACGACTGGGCGGCCGCGCCATCTCTGTTTGACCACGTTGCTGTAAATGTGTCCAGTCTCCAGAATACGCGCGGCCCAAAGGTGGAGGAGTATGGGAATTACTTCTGCCATGAGCGAAAGCAGGTGGTGTGCGCGACTGGCCATAGGAAGCACGCTTAGCCACCCACTCTTCTGCATCAAGCTTCTGTCTATCGTGGTGCGCGTGTGGTTGACTTGTCATTCCAGGCTGCCAGGCCATGCTTCGAGTCTCATTAAATTGCGGCGAGCCAGATGACGTACGCATATGCGCCGACATTATTGGTGTGGTTCTGCCAGAATAAGACATGCGTTTCTGCTCACTTGTTGAAGCGGCCAGATTCTCTCGGGACTGCGAAAGGCGATTATCAGTCAAGGCTGGGCTCGTCTCGCCGTCAGGAGTTTGGTTTTTTGCGAGCGGATCCAACCAATATGTGGGGCCAAAATCTATCGAGGGGTATTCAGATGACAACTGCGAGGTGGGTTCGGGTTCGGGCGTGAGAGAAAGTTTTCCAAGAATTGCGTCTGGCTTGCCACTGACATCCGAATTGCCCACAACTTTGAGCATACCGCTGCGCGGGCGATCCGGGCGTCGAGCGGCAGGTTTGGGGGGTTCGATTTCCTCCTCCTCGGCGATACTGGCATAGTCGGGCGTGGACGTAGACATGGCATCATCGCGACTGTATTTACTACTAGCTTTGCTTGCTTGTCTGAGCAATGCATCGTTGGCGTGATTGAAACGGTCGAGGGCCTCGGGATCGATTATGTCGTTTCGTAAACTGTGAAGACTTGAGCTGGTGGTCGAGTGGACTGAGTAGGCATCATCCCCTCGTTGAGACATTGAAGACCGACCTGGTAATGGTTTACGATGTATCTGGCCGCCGCCCATACCAGGAGCAGATCTTTCATCGGAACCTTGACTGGATTGCGATTGAATCGCTGGCATTTCTGCATGCTCCGGGACAGCTGGGGCCTCTGGCCGATATACTGTTGGAGATTCTACAAACTGTTCCTGCTCAATATATGGTGATGCCGGAATCGTGGAAAGGCGATTGCCAGAATATGGATTCCCTGAGTATCCTTGATGATTAGCATTCAGGTGGTTCTGGCTGCCGTTTTGCCCCTGGTCGCCGCCCTTCCTACCGTTGAGACTCTCTCGGCTCTTCCATGCTGCAGCGGCACCCGCAGCTGCAACGCCAGGAGGCAGAGGGGCATGAGTTGCGTCGGCGAGCTGATCGAGGGTCGCGTGATCCATGTGCGCGCTGGGTTTCATTGTGGTGGGGTTCTGCACCTGAACTGGTGGTTTCTGGCCAGGCGCATGTGCAAATGTTGGGGGTGTCTCGACTGGGCCATGCGGTGGGGCGGTAGGCGCAACCTGCATCTCAGGGAAAACTCGTGTATCTGGGCTAGGGGGCTGGCTATCGGGGGTTTCGTAGCCCTCGCTTTGCTGCGGGTTGGCTCCATGAGGTGGAGGTCGCGGTGGAGTATCGTAAGACTGGGAAACACGGGAAGATTTTGGCTTGTAGCCATTCACTTGCTCGGAGACCGCTCGCTGATGGCGTGGAGTTGAAGAGACTACAGCGGGCGGAGCAGAATCAACACGATTCGGAGCTTGAGGCTGGACATCACTATTCCGCACTGGCGACACTTGGCGCGTGGAAGGCTGAGAGCGGATAGACCCTTCTTCCGCGAAGCGGAGAGTGCCGGATCGCGATGGAGCCATGCTGGTGCGGCTAACCGTGTTCCTGCGCGTACCGGGCCTGCTACCATTTCGATCGCGGGGATCCGTCGCGATGCGCTTCGAGGTGAGATCCTTCAACTCCTTCCTCCATCGCCGCTCTGACCAAGATTGACTGCCTTCAGTGTGAATCAAACCGACGATATCCCACATTTCCAGATAACCGTACCGGCGATCAGGAGGCATGGCAAACATCAAGCCCCGGGAGTCCAAAACATCTGCGACCAGCTTGTTAGGTCGGCCATAGAGCACGAACGTGTCCCAGGTGGGGAAAAGAAATTGAAGCATAATCTCGAACCCAGGCACGGCGGGTCGGGTTTCGGGCATTACAAAGACGAATCCTTCTGTAACCTTCTCGGGCTGCGAGTGGATCGTGATTTTTCCTTCGATTTTTACCAGGGTGGACTGATCGATAAGTTGCTTTGACTGTGGGTAGAGTGAGTAGCACGAGTATGCGTCTTCCACTGTCGCGATGGGACGCGTCTTTTTCTTGATCTTCTGTGTCTCATAGAACTTCATGTCGCCCTTGAGAGTGATTGAGGTGCGATTGTAAATATCCTTCTTCTTCAATTGATTCCTCTGCATTTTGGCCACCTCCTTTTCGTCTGGAGGACTGACCACACACCAGCAGCGACGCCACGGCGTGCCGGCGCCAAATCGCACACGCACCCAGTCTTCGTATTTTGAGCGCTGTCTGTCCAACAGCACACGCATGTTGTTCAGCTGCCGGCCCTTCCCGGCAATCAGCGCACCTGTGTATGCTTCCTGTAGCGATCCATGTTCAAACATGGAGAGACGGATCCCGGCGGTCCATTGCGTCAACGAATTGAACGAATTGAAATGGAGGAGGTATTTGTTGCTGGCAGCAGTCGACACGCTCAGTATGTTGTCAAGCTTCTTGCCATCGCTCAATGTCATTGAAGGCATCTGACTGGGTTAGCGGTGTACCATCCTGGTGTCATCGTCACACTTACCATGTGAATTGCCGCATCTGTCAGATTGATAAATGTAGGAAGCACCTCGGCATTGTCGCCCACTCTATCTAATTCACTCGCATCCCAAAGCGAAAGGATGGTACCCACCAGCTGGGCGAAGCATTCTTGCCATACACGATCGGCAGCGGGGCGGCCACCTGCAGAAGTCAGTGTCACGTAGCGGAAAGTCATAATGGGGCTTGCACGTACGAGTATCGGTGTCGTGAAACTTGAGAAAGTAGCCCTCTTGATATAACTTGTTGGAGTGGCTGTTGAGGAAAGTGAAGATGCGTTGCAGCTCGGGCAGCGTGTCCTGGCCAACTTCCATGACGGGCGGTTGATATGTTTGTATCATGGACATGGGACGTGACGAAACCGAGGCTCGACGATTGGAATGCGTGCTGTCCTCCTCGTAGACGGTAGAGGAGATGGAGAAGCTCGATGGGTTCGTCTGCTGCTTTGCGGAGGGTGAGGGTGGACCCGGCGAGGGCGTAGCTGCTGGCGCTGGGGAAACGGCGGCGGAGGCAGACGAGGCGTTTCGGCGATGTGAGTTACTTCCTCCCCATTCCGACATGAAGGAGAGGACTACAGTGAGGCATTAGATGGTGGAACGCCCAGCTGGAGGTGGTGGAGGCGGGCAACGAGGAACGGGTGGGTTTAGTGTGGGAAAAGGCGTCATAGTCCATGTACATACCTCTTTTAGAGCGCGCCATGGTGGTTGGTGGATGGCGATGGTGTTACTGTAGCTTGCTCTGGTGATGCTCCCCACGAAGTACGTGTGATTGTTGGATCGGGAGTGGGCACACGGGAGCAAGTGCTGTGCTACTCTTGACGAGACTAAGCTACGTGCTATGTGCTACAGCTTGGCGCGGCAATTATCCCCTTTGCTTTTTGACGTGTTGTTATTGTTGTTGATGATGATGGTGGGGATGTGAAGGGAAGACGCAAGCCACGACGGATGCGCCGGTGGATGCAATGCAAGGGCAGGGGAAGCTTGGGCTCGGGAATCTGGACGAGCTGCCGGTAGGTGGATATGTATCGGCCAAAATCGGATACGGAGACGAAAGCGAATGGACGCAGCTGGGACAACCGCGGGTGTGACGGAAGGGTAGGGTATCCTGGGGGAGAGGGCGGACAGCAGAGGTGGTGTTGTCGCGATTAGGTAGTGGTAGTAGCAGTGAGGTGGAAGTGACAGACGGCGTGGAGCCGAGCGGATGCTCCTGGTGTTAATAATAATGCCCTCCGTCCAGCTGTGTACGTACCCAGCTCATCAACTTGGTTAGTGAGAAATTCCAAGCAGGAGCGTCCTGGTAAAGTTGGGGTAAGGAAGGCACTAAGGTGACGGAAGAATTCCCAAGTCCAGTTATGCACAAGTTAACCACGGCGCAGACGCTCTCCCCAGCAGCAGCAGCACCAACAACAGCACCACCACCAACACCTCCACCACCACCACCGGCGGCGAGCAGCGAGCAGCGAGCGACAGCAGGGGTCATGACGAAACCACGCGACTGGACAGGCAAGGCCTTCGACTCCAGACGTCAACCAGCGCAAGCCATGAGATCATGACAAGACGGGCAGAAGACAAATACGAGCCAACACCACGCGTCACCAACGGCCAGCAGAGGTGGTGGGCGAGCAGTGCGGAGGCGGTGCACGCGCGGAAGCTCAGAGGCTAACTATTAGAGTAGTCGGTCTGAGGGCAGCAGGTGGTGGTGTGTAGGCAAATTACTGACGCCCTGCTTGGTAGACTAGATCCTCTTCCACGGCCATATATTGGCTCTAGCGATACTCAGTGCTGGCTTTCCTATTGCAGTCAGTCCCATTACCCGCCGGTGCCGGCTTACACATGGCACCATTGAATCCTGCTGCCATGTATTCAGCACCGGTCAGATGCCGGCGACGAGGCGACGACGCTGGGGTCTCGGCGAAAGCTGCATCGTTCACGGATGATTGCCACAAGATTATGTAGAGACACGAGTTGCGACACACGACGCAAGCCCTGCCCGCCTGCCTGTCACCTTTGCATCACAACAGTAATTTGAGCCAAAACAGCTCCCGTGAACTTAAAATCGTGATTCCCATGTGTCCGCTGCTTCTACCTTTGAAATGTTCAAATGTTGTCACCGTACACACACACATGGTCATGAAAAGGCATTCACGCATTGAATTCCACTGGTTTTAGCACCACCACCACCATCGCCAGCGTCCTATTGAAATACACATAGTAGTCTCAGGTAGCACAGGTAGCATGACATAGAGAAACTGGGACCGGGATGCTGCTGCTGCTTCTGCTGTTGCTGTTGCTGCAGGTGCGATCACGTGGCCTGAAAACGTGGGGTGGGCGCGTCATTCGGGAATCGCGTTCCTACACTCCTCGCACACCTCCTGTCCTGGTGACAAGCCTTTCTCATCGTCCAGCCCATCACAAATTCAGTTCCGCATCGCCCGACTGTTGTTCCACGTTGAAAGCAATCCGTCTCTGAAAGATTGAACGCTCTGTTCCGCCCTCCCCTGCCCTCCCCTGTCTTTCTCTGCCTCTAGTTGCCTCCACCTCTGGGTTTTCTCTCTCTGCAAACTTTCGGCATTGGCCCAAACACGATACCACAATGCCGCGAAAGAGACGCTCTGCCTCGGCCGCCACAACAAGCGGTTCCAAGGGGACTAAGCGCAAGCGCGGCATTGACTGGGACACCATCAGTGAGGACAATGGTTTTGCGGGCTTCAAGTTGAGGCCGATGAAGCAGCCCAAGAAACCACAACCGGGCTTTCAGGAGCCCACCAAAGACTACAACCACATGTCGATGGAGGCCGTTGTTGCCCAAGCAAACCCCTTTCCCGACACTGATCTGGGTCCCACATATTTCAGAATTGCTCCCAAGCCCCACTGGGAGAGTCCCTCATTCAAGCGCTATGCTAAATTTACAGGTACGACTCTTGGTGTGCACTGCCTATGCGATTGCGACTGACCTGGGGGCAGTGGAAACCCATCATTATCACGTTGGCGACATAGTCCATATCCGCCACGACGCTGACGAGAGCACTCTGGAGGCACCCATTGAGAACTGGTTAGCAAAAGTCTTGGAGATCCGTGGGGCCAATTCGGTACGCGCAAAAGCGCATATCCTGTTTACCGATGTATACTGACAATCGCAGAACAATGTCTATTTGCGCATATATTGGATGTACCGACCAGAAGACCTGCCAGGTGGTCGCAGACCCTATCATGGAAAAAACGAGCTTATCGCGACCAATGACATGGACATTCTGCATGCGCGTACAGTAAATGGGCTTGCGGATGTTATACAATGGACAGAAGACCGCGAAAACACCGAGATCCTCGACCCCGTGACGCTTTTCTGGCGTCAGACTTTTGACGTTTCTAAAAGACCTCACCTACTCAGCCAACTTCCCAAGCATTGCATTGATAATACACCCTGGAATCCTGATGAACCCTTAGTCCAGTGCGGTTCTTGTCACAATTGGCTCCACGCTTCGTGTCTGCAGGATGCGGCGGTCCGAAAACTGTACAAAGAGCATAATCTCGCGTACCCGGAGCCTACGAAGGGCAAGGGGGCCAAGAATGCTCAACCTGCGGCCGCTTTCCAGGCGCAGGTGGAAGTCACCGAAAGCAGCCTTACGTACATGAATATCACCGACAAACGCGTAGGACCAACAAAGGACGTGACTACGAAAACACCCATCTATTGTCTCTTATGCAATGCACCTGTGGACGAAACGAAAGCGGAAATGACCAATGTCGCGAATGACGAGCCTGCGAGCGCTGGAATTCACGTTAATAGCAGCCATCTCACACCAGCGACTCCACCCACTATGTCCGATGGCGAGGACTCGGGAAAGGACATCGCAAAAAGCAGCCCGGAGTTGTCCAATCCACATGAGGGTGAGGCTCTCGGTCAAAATCCCTCGGCCATAGCCTCCATGAACAGCGAATCCTCATAAGTGGATGCTGCTAATATGAGGAAATCTAGAGCCCTCCCGTGTGCCAACCGGCCAAACTGCCACTGAACAATCGCTATCGCCCATCCTGTTTTCGGAAAACAATTTGCGCACACACGTCGAATCCTTTTCGAAGCTATTCGCACCGTAAAACCGCTTTTCTTTCTACCGAAATCGCCAATATGGATGCATATGAGCGCGATACCTCTCATGTCCATCCTCGCGCCGTGGAATATCCATTCGAGCTGCTATCGACAACATTAAGTGATCCGGCCTGCTTCTTCTCATTCGAAATTGTCTTGATTTTCCGTAAGTTCTCCGGTGACATTTCACTCTTACGTTCATTGAATTCATATTGGATTCACGCTCAATATCGTTGGCCGTGGACATTTCTATCGTTTCGTTTCCTCCTTCATCCGCTTCTGTAGTATATAGTTGCTAGGTTCTTCTTTTTTGTCGTTTGAGCGGGCGTAACTGCAATTCATGGTAGGGGGTGTATGCTGAATGGAACCAGGGGGTATCTTGTCTATAGCACACGACAGAATATACGCTTTGTAACTTGTTCGATTATGATGAAGTCTAGCACCCCCCACAATCCACGTGTGAAGAGAGCACCACCTCACCTCCCCATGCTACTGATCATTTCTCTCTGTGTCGCGCGATCCCTATTCGTCTGACTGAGTGGCGGGATACCTAGAAACTCTGTCAGCGAAAATCGTCTCCCACGCTTTTTCCTGACGTCCATACTTCTCAAGTCGCCAACAACGTCCTTGGCCTTGCCAAAGTAGACCTCCTGCAGCAGGTTGCGCATCTTGAGCTCCATATCCTCGACCATTTTGCCAATGTTGGCTACGTGCGAGCCGTCGTCTTCGACAGCCATGTCCTGCTCCACCTGCCGCACCATGTTGCCCGAGAGGTCCAGCGCGCCGAGTGCCTCCGAGTCGGTACCCAGCGAGAGGATAACGGTCGATGTCAACTTGTAGTGTGCGGTACGGGCGCGGTCCTGCGCATCGAAGACGTGGATACTGTCCCAGCTACCGGCGCTTTGGGAGGAAGGGTTAACGGCTAACGGCTAGTCAGCACACCATTACAGGGGACCACCAAACGAAACCAATCCATACATTTCTTGAGCAAAACGCAGCCGGCGAATCCATCGTCCATGTCCCAGAGGTAAACGCTCGAGATGCCGCCCTCAAAGTACCTAAGGCTCCCGTCAGCTCTGCCCCAAGTTAGATAGCCTATCCCGCACTCACAATTCCCGATACACGTCGAACGCCTCGTTGGCCTTGAGCTCCATCTTACGGACCCGGTCACTCGGCGTCACGCCGTCTACCACGGGTGGCTCGAACTCGTTGCTCCACGGGCTCCGCCAGCTATCACCATCGCGATTGTAGTCGCAGCACAGGAACTCGCGCTTCGTCTGCGAGCACTTCTTGACGCTCAGCGGGATATCGACGGATTCTAGGAGGTCCTCTTCCAGCGAGGGGTTCAAGGAGATGATGTGGTCAACGTTTTGCTTAACGTCTTTGGGGTTCAGCCGTCGGAGGAGGTCGCTAATGTCCTGTTAACCATTGCTTTTTTGTAATTGTTGAACAAGAAGAGTATGGGGGGAAGGGGTAACTTACAGAGCACTGTCTATAGGGTCGCTCATGTTGAAGATGGTGTAGGGTCGCTGGAAGTGGGTATCGGGGGTGTGATGTGCGGGCGTTGCGGGCGATGCTGTCCCACGCCCGAACCCCTCCAACATGTGGGCCGAGAGCTCGCCCGTTCCGGTTAGTCGCAGCGACATGCTCAACGTCAAGTGTGCTGAGGTGCGGACGTTGTGTATGTGAAATTTGGCTTTTCGCCCACTCGAGATTGTTTACATGTAAATAGTATATTTCCATTTTTTTCTGACTCGCTGAAGTTTCTACGAAGAGCGATCGCGCCTTCCGTTTGTGTTGGGGCAAACAATGGCAAGCAGGTAAGCAGGTGCACGAGTACATGGATATCCACACTTGGACTACGAGAGGAGCTCACCGCCAGGCATACCTGAACCTTTACAGACAATCGATTGGATGAATCTGAGAAGCAGATAAAATGCTATGGTATTGGTGTGATTTCATTCGCTCATTGTAATTGGACTACATCAACTGGAAAAGAAGGAGTGGTACCTAGGTAGCTTGCTATAACAGAAACGGTCACTTAGTCGAACTCACTGCAATACCGCAGCCCACATACGGACAGGATGAAGCAAACTGCTTGACGTAATGAGTGAGCTATATCTGGGATCACATGACAAGACGACGAATGAGGTGAGAGGATGTAGCTGGTGAGGAAGATTCTCGCACGACCCACAGCTGTGGCCTAAGAAATCCGCCTTCACCTATGATTTGACGCTGTTAGCGTATTCCCAAACACTCATTCAAAGTCGTCCTCATCCCACTATCTTGACGCTCAACTTCCCATCACCCTCCAACATACCACTCTCTAGGCCATTTCCTGACCGCCGTCATGTCTCAGAACAGCCCAGTTGACACGAACACCAACGCCGAGAACGGTGCCGGAATCCAGCCTTTCACGGCCCGTGAGATGCAGATGCTCGGCTGGGCTATGCAGTCGATGAAGACCCCACCTGATGTGAGCCAGTTCCTCGCCATATAGCGCCTCCACTGACAATGTCCCAGATCGACTACGAGAAGCTTGCGGGCTTCGCGGGCATGTCCAACCACCGTTCGGCCTACAATGCCTGGACCAAGATCAAGGGCAAGCTCTTCGCCAATATGGATGAAGGTGCGTTGCTACTGCGTGCTATGAGACACCGGCAACCCACGATACCGTTCCTGTCGGAACTTTGCTGACTTTCCCCCCTCCATGTAGCCCAGTCAACCCCCAAGCGTGGACGCAAGAAGCCCGTCGATGGCGAGGGCGGCGAGACCCCCAAGAAGGCCACTCCCCGCAAGCGTGCTGCGAAGAAGAACGTCGATGCCGATGCCGACGCTGACGCTGACGGCAGCCCCGTCAAGAAGCCGCGTGCTACCAAGGTCAAGACCGAAGTCAAGGACGACAACGCCGACAATGGTGACGGTGTGTCAATTCCTCTTTTCTCCAGGAGTTCCAGAATAGTACACTAACAGCTTATAGTCGCCGCCGAGGTCAACGACGAGGAGAAGCCGGAGGTCTAATCTGGATTACTTGGTGGGCAGAAGGTCGAAATTTTGTCCACATTGCTCTCGGAGCGCAAGTGCATTCCGTTCCGGAATTCATGCCTTCTCTTTCGAGCTTGAGCATTGGCTGCATGGCGCTGGCGTATACAAAACTTGAGTATGGCGTTACACTGAGGAACTTTGCAAGATGAATCAATTGATACATTTCCATATTGTTCAGAAGCGCCGTGATGTGAATACCCAAGATTGTCCGCGTAACGAGATATCATGATAATTTACTGACCCCCTGTAGTTCATTAGCTGAGTATATGGCACACAACAGTCTTCTGCGAAAGGCAGAAACCCACTCTTCCCCATCCATGATAGTAGAGTATAATACCCAAGCCTACTCTTCGCTAAAAGATAGGTGGGCCGCCTCAAATCACAGTATACAGCTGAAATCATTCCCTAAAGAGTATCGACAGCGTAAGATTTCTCTAACCTTCATGTCCCTCGCTCCGTCGAAGTTAATTGCGTGTACAAGAGAAGTGAAGAAAACGCTCATAATACAGAGTCAAGCAAATTGGGTAACATGTTAATGTTCTCTTCTCATCGATGTTCCACCTATCTAGCGAGCTTGTTTCGTACTTGGTCCCCATCCTTTTGTCCTCACATTCACGCTACGCGCCTATTCAGGCTAGTCGCCATGCAGATCAAGAATCACGACATCTCACCCCAAGATTCGCACACGATCGCTTCCACCACGGCCGCATAATGGCATCGGCAACAGCTCCTGATCGCGATACGATAAGCTCTCCATGGAGGCATTTCGTTCCTCAAGTCCAATAAGATGCTCTGATTATTCGCGCCATGGCTTTGGCCTGCACCATGCAATCCAATACGATGGAAATCCACAGAATTGCATCATCCTGCTTTTGCAACACGTTTTGGAACATGTTTAAGAGCTGGTATCCGCGGCTTGTTTTCTCTTCCACTCGGCATCTTGTTTGAATTACTGGTTCCCCGGATCTCGCCAAACCTGGAACTATGGCTTCGGAGAAAATGAACACTGAGCTGGAAGGCCCTGGCGCATCGACTTCCTCGAATGATGACCTTGATGTCCTGGAGTCTACGACTTTGAGCGAGAAGAAACTTCTGCGCAAGCTTGACTTGAGACTGCTACCGGCTGTCTCAATCTTGTACCTGCTTTCATTCTTGGACCGCAGCAATGGTGAGCTGGACTTCTGAGATGTTGACGTGACTTTGTTGACCCTATTGTCAGTTGCCAATGCCAGAATCGAGGGTCTTGCGAAAGATCTGGGTATGACGGGCAATCAGTACCTGACCGGTCTCACCTTGTACTTTCTCGGCTATGTGCTTTTCGAATTGCCCTGCAACATCATCCTGAAACGCACAACACCAAAGTTCTGGCTTCCGACATTGACTATTGCGTGGGGAATTGTTGCGACGCTGATGGGTGTTACGCAAAATCTTGCTGGCTTCTTCGTGGTACGATTCTTGTGAGTATTCGCCCCAGAGTTTCATCCAACGCCCTGTTGATATCTTCTAGCTTGGGTGTGACTGAATCAGGCCTGTTTCCGGGTGTGGTATATTACCTGTCGATGTGGTATAAGCGGGATGAGCGCCAATACCGCATTTCACTCTTTTTCTCGTGTGCGTCGCTGGCTGGTGCTTTTGGTGGAATTTTGGCATACGGCATAGGACATATGCGAGGGGTTGGAAACTACGCTGGATGGCGATGGATCTTCATTCTTGTAGGTGGAATGCCTCGATTATAAAATGCGCACTCACAATATACAGGAAGGCCTACTCACCATCGTCGTCGCCGTAGTCGCATACTGGTTCATCTCAAACTATCCTGAAAGCGTCAGCTGGCTGTCCAAGGAAGAGCGAACATTGATTCAAGCTCGATTGAGAGTCGACAGTGACGCAACCAACGATGAAAAGTTTACCTGGGGCGCTGTTTTAGAAGCAATGAAGGATGTCAAGGTCTGGCTCTATGGCGCTTGCTTCCACACTATGAGCCTTCCTCTCTACACCCTTTCGCTGTTTCTGGTGAGACTCTCAAAACACTTTCTCAAAACTCGACTAATTTTGTGTAGCCGACCATCATCAACGATATGGGGTACACTGCAGCCCAATCTCAGCTCCTGACTATACCTCCCTATGCAGCTGCCACGATCTTGACCGTAGGCTGGGCGATTCTAGCGGAGAAGTACAAGCGCCGTGCTCTCTTCACCCTCATAACCTCCTCGCTCGCCATCGTAGGCTACATAATCCTTTTAGCGAACAAGCATCCCAAACAAAAACCCGGAATATCCTACCTCGGAACGTTCTTCGCAGCAATGGGCATCTACCCGTCTGTCGCTCTCGTTCTCTCCTGGCCTGCCGTCAATGTATCCGGACAAACAAAGCGTGCAACAGCAAACGCAATGCAAATTTCTATTGGCAACCTGGGTGCTGTTATTGGAACGCAGTTGTATCGACCAGCGAATTCGCCGCGGTATGTAGTTGGGCATTCTGTCGCGCTGGGATACTTGATCGGAAATGTTGTTGTTGTCACGCTTCTGTGGCGGATCCTGGCGAAAGAGAATAGGGAGAAGGAAGAATTTCTGGCGGCGCATCCCGAGACGAAGGGCTTCCACGACAGTATGGAAGATCTGAAGCAAGGCGATAGGCATCCAAGATGGCACTTTAACACTTGATCGTCGAGCGAAGACAAAAGTAACATCTGCTCACTGGGGTGCTGACTTTAGTTGGGCTTTTGGCAAGATCTGTCGCTGATTCCAATATTCGGTTTTTGACTTCCCACCATTTCACAGAATTTCAAGTTCTTATGGATGTATGCGTCGAAGCTGCGTGGAAGGTCTCGCTTCGTGGTTAATATATACCCTTGTGGCAGTTCCCCGCCCTGATATTACCCTAGACTTTACAGCCGTAGTGTTTATATGAACAATCGCGTTTCACTTCCACTCCCACATGAGCCGTCCAATCCGATCTTCCAATTCTCAACGCCACGACCAGGGGATCTCCGCCTGTTTAGATGTCATGCAGCGGACGGTCGATCTCAGAGGCCACGACATCAGTTTCTGATGGCGTGAGAGAAGTTTTTGAAGGGCTCTGTATTTGAGATCTTACACTGAATTACTCATCGTAGATTTTGCAGCGATGGCGAGCTTGAACAAGAAGCAAGATGGGCCAGCCCTAGGAGCAAAAGCAAAAAGACGGCCTGCTGTGGTACGTACTCAAGCATTGCAGTACACTCATTTTTTGACAAATTTTAGTCTTCACTTGAGTATGTTGGGTTGGTCGCATTTTTCGTCCTCCCATTCTTCCTACAAGCCATCTGGTCAGGTCAAATCCAACAATGGATCTCTCCGTTACTACGAACCAAAATCTCCGCTCCCTCTCAAAACGCAACTGAAGACATCGACCCATCATCGCCTTCCCTCCTCGAAGCCTGCCACACCCACACATACAACACCGAGATCGTCTCCCTTGATCCCCTCCTAATCTACATCAACAACTTCACCAGCTCCGCCGAAGCAGAAGCCCTCATAAAACTCGGGTAAATCCCCTCGCCCCTTCTAATTCCCTAGAACCAACACTCATGTTAAAAGTGCCCCAGAATTCGTCGACTCGTACATCGCCCGCTCTAACGGCGCCAACCAAAAAGTCTCAGGCCGAACCTCACAATCCGCACCCCTCGATGACGACCACCCCCTCGTAGCATGCATCCTCGCGCGTGCGCGCCGCTTCCTAGGCTCCATGTTGCTCCCCTCCGAGCCCTTTAGCCTCCCGCAGCTTGTCCGCTACCACGCGTCCCAGCGCTACGATCTCCACACCGACTTCTGGCCCACGCACCAACTCATGAAAGACGGCAGCGGAAGGCGATATAATCGACCCGCGAGCTTTTTTGTCTTCCTGCGCGCGAATTGCACCGGAGGTGAGACATGGTTTCCGAACGTCGATGTTTTGGACGGAGATGGTGATAGGAGTGAGAGTGTGGAGGGGCTGTTTGGCGGGAAGATTGGGAAGGCGACGGAGAGAGGCAAGGAGAAGGGAGTTGTGTTTATGCCTATCGTGGGGAATGCCCTGTTTTGGGTTAATATTGATGGGAAAGGGAAGGGGGATCGGAGGATGTTGCATTCGGGGTTACCCGTGGGTGAGGGGGAGAAGATTGGGATGAATTTGTGGCCGAGGAAGTTTTATTAGGGGCGGAGCGGTGATTGTATGAGATAACTTGGGTTGATAGGAGGGATTTCGTAGACATAATGCGAGGTGTTGAGGTTTGGATTAGGTTGTCTTCTTCTGCGGGGTGCTTCATTTCATATTTCGTACTGACCTGATTTACATCAATATACTGTCTTTTATCAACTCTAGGACTGACTTTGCTTTGCTTTCTGTTGTGCCGTTGAATTTCTGCACCGTATTCAATATTCGACAAATTAACACTGCTTAAGAAATGAGTCTAATGTCGCCACGAGACCTTTTTCAGATGGTGAAGTATGAGAATGAGTAGAGATTCTGCAATACAAACATGCAAATCAGAAAGCTAATGCAGAAGTTTGGAAGTGTACTAGAGCGTCATAACTAAGCGTCTAAGTCGCCAGTCCTCAATCCAAGGCTTATGGCTCTTACATTCATGTGTCAATGATACTTGAACATCCGAATAATCGGAACCACATTGTATTCATAAGTTAGTCGATATCAATAAGAAACAAGAGAAGATTCGTTAAGATCCGAACATAAGAAGACCTCGTTCAATCTATCGTTTGCTTATAGTTCTCAAGAAGTCTCCTCTCCGCGGGCCCAAGCAGGAAGCTGGTCGGTTGTTTCTGTGTCAGTTGCGGTGACAGCCATTTCAACAACCCCAAGCAATGACTACCAGTCGTTAGCGCTACATGTTCCTCAAAAGGGGTACAGCAAAGCAGGCAACTTACATGACATGCTTCAAATAAAAATCATTGAGATTTGCCTTTCCAATGTCAACCGCATCCGCCACGAAATCAACGCAATGATATTGATGCTGCCCCGCAAGCGCATACCCAAACCCAACCTCGTTCTCCTCTGTGAGTCCCGGCTCATCAAACGTCGGTGTGAACCCCAGATCCGCCGCCGACTTGGGCTCGCGCCCCGTGACCCACAGGTAGTAGTTCAATAAGCTAACTTTCTCAGCATCCGAACTCGATCCGTCGAACCGGGAGCGCAGTTCACTGGGAACGTGCCACCGATCCACCTCATCGCTGCGTGGGTGGGGGGTGAATTCGAAAAACGCCTTACCTCGCTCCGAGCTCTCGCGCAGCGCCTTGTTGCGCATATCGTAGTAGATCCAGTCTCGCAGTGCTTTCTCGTAGCTGTGCTTCTCCTCCTCGTTGAGTCCTGCGCGTTTGGCTAGGGTCCCGAGGATGCCTGATGCTGAGTCGGGATACCAGTTTGTTGCCTCGTCGCGCTTTCCGTTGGAGAGTGACTCCGCGACTCCAGATGCTGAGTCGGTGTACCAGTTTGTCGCGTCCGAAGAACGTTTATTTGAAAGTGTCTCGGCGACGCCAGAGGCGGAGTCGGTGTACCAATTCGTCTTCTCGTCTCGCTTCTCATCGGAGAGCGACTCTGCGACCCCAGATGCTGAGTCGGTATACCAGTTGAATTCTTCGGAGCGCTTGTTTGATAGAGTTTCGGCAACGCCAGAGGCGGAGTCAGTATACCAATTGGATTCCTCAGATCGTTTGTTTGACAGTGTTTCGGCAACACCAGATGCTGAGTCGGTATACCAGTTTGTCTGATCGTCTCGCTTCTCTTTCGAGAGTGACTCCGCCACGCCAGAGGCAGAATCCGTGTACCAGTTGGATTCCTCTGCACGTTTGTTGGATAGCGTTTCGGCAACGCCAGAGGCAGAGTCAGCGTACCAATTCGTGTCGTCTCGCTTCTTATTTTCCAGTGTTCCTGCAACACCAGAAGCCGAATCTGTGTACCAGTTGGACTCTTCCGAACGTTTGTTTGCCAATGTCTCTGCAACGCCAGAAGCAGAATCGGTGTACCAGTTGCTCTCGTCAGCTCTTTTATTTTCAGAAGAGAGTGACTCTACAACGCCACTGGCAGAATCAGTATACCAATCCGTCTCGTCTCTCTTGCTCTTTTCTAGCGTTTCAGCAACACCGGAAGCGGAATCCGTGTACCAGTTCGTTGCTTCTTCACGCTTCTCATTTTCAAGAGACTCTGCTACACCAGAAGCAGAATCTGTGTACCAGTTGCTCTCGTCAGATCTTTTCTTCTCGGAAGAGAGTGACTCTGCAACACCGCTTGCAGAGTCGGTGTACCAATTGTTCGAATCGTCCCTGGAGTCAAGAGTCTCTGCAACTCCCGACGCAGAATCAGTGTACCAGTTGGACGAAGCATCTGATAAGATTAGCTTGGTGCACTTGCAAATGAGTTCATGAGCACATGTTACCTGCTCTCTTGGTTGGCAAGGCGTTGGCCAGCTGGGCGGCCAGCACTACCACGGTAAGGTCTGTAAGGAAGTGCATGATTGCTGTATGACGACGCCTTCTGTATCAGGGTAGAAGTGATTTTGACGCTGATCTGCTATGCGGTCCTCCTGGTCCCACTTTATACCTCGATCCCATCGCTTGAAGTGGGGGAGATAGCGGCAAATTCGCAGTGTAGACCACATGATGGATTGACACACGTTGTTGGCCTATTGGATCCTCTGTGGAGCTGTGATAGGCTTGTTGGAAACCACTTACATATCGTCTCGACCTCGATGTTCATCTTGCATGCGTGCTACTAGGGCCATCTGCATGTCCTGACGCAGTGTGATTCCTCGGTTGGAAGAAACTTGGCTCTGGACGCAAGACGTACATGTCGCCATTCTGTGTGCGATATTATCCGAGTTCCTAGGCTTATCACTTGTCTTCACTGCTTTCTCATTTCCCATTGCGTTCATAAGCTGTGCATGAGCTATCTGTCGTGCTTCGAGCATATCTTTGGTTTGTCATCTACCCTTCCCACTTCACTGCCATTTCTTCTTCGACAACAACCTATACGTACTCCAGTCTTTCCAGGACGGTATCACTAGCTATGGAAAGCAAAGAAAACTCTGCCTCCGTGCCGTTCTTGTCATCCAGAGACTCGAGCGATGAGTCCACAAGCTTCTCAGTCGACTACGAGCGTGCCGGAGGACCTCGAATTACCCACCCCCTCAATCGACGATGGTGGATGCCACCTCAATACGTCTACGTTGGCCTACTTTCGATCCTGCTACTGAGTCTTGGATTCGCAGCCGGCCTCAGTGTCCCACGGGCAGCATCAGCCGGTGAAGCAACCGGCTCCAGCATAGGTAAGCCAAGTCACTTCGCTCAGGCCATGAGCACCTTCTCTAACGGTCTGTAGTTGCAAAGATTCCGGTGACATTCCAAGAGGAAGCCATTTTTTCCGGACCACCTTCCGACGAATCCAATGCAGCCTGGGATGCTCTGATACCACGTAAGGTCTCCATTTGCTTGCAGCATTAGACTGGCTACGTACTAACTACCAAAGTGGGGCGAGGATTTGTAGAACTCAATTCTTCCCATACAGATACCGATCGGGAAGGCCGATACTGCGTGTCTGTATTCCACCAGCTGCATTGCTTGGTAAGTGTTTTTCTTTTGTCAATCTGCATGTCTCGGGCACTTAACCCCCCGTCGTACTAACGGTATTCTCCTTCAGGAGATGATTCGACAGGGATTTTATGGCGCGCAGATGCATACGGAAAAGGCAAAACCTACTCCTGTTGCTCCAGATGGTGGCCCCGTTTCGCCTATCCCGGGCGATTTCCATAAGCACCGCCCTGCACCGTCTAAGCCAGGTTCCGGCGCGCATCATGCAGATAGTCACATGCAGCATTGCTTCGACTATCTTCGGCAGGCGTTGATGTGTGCTTCGGATACTTCGCTCGAGGAAAGAAGCGATGAGATTTCTGGAGTCAAAGGATGGGGAACTACGCATCAGTGTCGGGATTTTGAGTCGGTCAAGGAGTGGGCTGAGATGCATCGATATAGTGAAGAGAAGGGTATTCACAATTAGAAATCTCACTATTGACATTCGGAGACTGTTTTGGATGGCATTTTGTATACCAAATCGTAGTTGTGGTTTTTTCCTCGTAAATCGTAAAATAATCAATGCTTCCAACTTTCTGTGTGATGTTTCTGCACGATTTATCAACCACAACAATTCAACTACTCCCCAATCTTCAGATCTACCAGAGAAGTCTTCCACTGCATAGTCCCTTCCTCCAAGTTCTCTTTCTTAGCCATCTCCCAATCTCTACGTATAATCTCCGCCCTCTTCTCATCTCTAGGCGTGATAACAGCCTTGAACGGCAAAGGCGCGCAAACAAACCCTTGTGTGACTTTTGTCGGATCGGGACAAATCTCATTCCCATCGCCATCAACTGGTCTTCTAAAATCAAACGCCCACAGCAAACGCGCAATCCCCAGAAATAAACTCCGCTCAGCAACATGCATGCCAGGACAGACTCTTCTTCCGGCGCCGAATGTGAAGTGATCGCGTTTCGCAGGATCAGGATGCACAGCAGCGTCGAACGTAGATAGAAAATCGTCCTTGAACCGCTCTGGATCAAACACGTCTGGGTTCGGGTAGCGGCGCGGGTCGTGGTGGATTGTATACACGTTGTTCATGACGCCCGCGCCTTTGGGGAGACGGAACCCCATGTAGAAGTCGTCTCTAGTGAGGGCGTGCGGGATGGCGCCGAGAATGGTCGTCGGCATCCATCGAAGAGACTCCTTGACGCAGCCGCGAATATACTGTAGATTCATTTCGTCTTGGGGGACGGGCATTCGGTCGTGTCCTACGACGCGATCGAGCTCTTCGTGCGCTTTAGCCGCGACTTCTGGGAATACTAGCATCGCGCACAGGAAGCCGATTAGCGTGTTGGCTGTGGTATCGCTGCCGGCTTCGAGCAATGTCCCCGTGATGTAGGACGCTAAATCATCGTCGATGTCGTTGTCGACTTGCTCGCGCACGAGGCCCTGGCTAAAACACGGGTTGGGTCGGCGTCCGGCTAGAATGGCGGCTTTGGCCGCATCCCAGTGGTATCGGTACAGACTCTTTTCGCGGACGTGGTTCTTTATAGCTTGCGCTTTTGTGGGAAGTGCCCATGATGGGATGATGCGGAGGGCGGGCATGTAGTCGAGAACGGCGGCCAGGCCTGTCTGTGCCAGGAGCACAAATTCACCAAAGACCTTGAAAAGCTCTTGGAAGTGCGCATCTTCGTATGTTGGGGTACGGACTCTGTACACACACTGTTCAATCGGTCTATTTGAGACGTAAATTCACAGAGACGCATACTCACCCGAATGTTGTTGCGGTCGTGAGTGAGTTCGCGTATCGTCGGACGTGTTCGACGAACTTGGTGGGCTCTTCAAGAATATCGAACATCATTTGCTGGTTCTCGAGTACTTGGTACGGCTCGAAAGATTTGGAGGCGTGAATGTTGAGCAGATTATGCACGAGCTTGCGGATCTGTGCTTTCACTGAGTACATAAATCGTTCATTGTAACCAGATGGTTCTACGCACCATTCGCCAGGTCGGGCCATATCTCTGCGATTTGTCGAGTCAGTGTTTTCCGAAGGTTTTCCTTCATCACGCTTGGGAGACAAATTACCATCATCAGAATTCGGAGACCACCGCTAGCCAGTGTTTGCCCAATATAAAGATCCATTCTATCGCTGTAGATTGCACTCCTCTTGTCAAGAAGATCCTTCACAGCCTGATCACTCGAGAGCACAACCATAGTTTTGCTCCCCAGCATGAGACTGTATACGGGACCGAATTCCTGTGCCCATTTTTGGAATTGGAGATGCACATTTTCTCTAGGTATCTACCACAGATAAGTACAGTTAGTTGTTTGACACACTAGATGTTAGGTCACTTCAACAGTCTTACCAGGTGAATGTTCCCCAGGAGGGGAATTGTAGGCGGTCCGGGTGGGAAATCCGCCGGCCGTTTCCCAACCTGCAAGATTCGCCATATTGGATACAAAAGAAGGCAAACTACAGCCAGAGAGACGAATAAAGGAAGCATTACGGATGCTATGATTTCCAGGACTTTTGATGAAACTGGGGTACAATCTCCCACACACATACACACCTTTACGCCTTCATGTGCGAGACAAGACTACATAGCACGGACCTGGCGTATAAAAACTGGCGAAGATAGTGCCGTGTGAAGCCGTACACTAATTCATATGCAGATAATGTCCTGACTGTGACGTCTTGGCCGGATAGGGTGATTAGACGAGGTTGTACCGTGGGATGCACGCAGCATACCTAGTGTGTCCTACCCTTCCCTGCCCTGCATTTCGGACACCGAGATTAGATTGTGTTTATGCATATAGATATACACTGTATGCATGCAGTGTTTCTTTAGTGCATGCTTCGCAGTGCTGCTCACCATTAACTGTATCGAGAAACACATGAGTACGAGTACATACTTGCAGTTGCAAATACTGCATTGATGAACACCGCCCTTATGCAGCGGGCATGATTACGTCGAGTAATTGAACTTCGTGGCATCTGGTGTGGGAAGGGTGAGTGAGCTCCGAAATCCTGTACTGAAAAGAGTAGACTGGCGAAGCCTAATAGAATAGTAAGACTAATGTAAGACACGCGATGACCAAATAATGGACTCAGTAAGACACATGAAGTGCTAAACTATTTAGAGTTATATGTAGCGAGTAAGCTTCGCAAGCCTGACTAAAAAGGGCGCATGTGCAGACCAGTGACGCTGCGAGAGGCGGCAGGGCCAGCGCAATACGCACCACGTTTAGTAAGCAGGCATTCAGGCGCCTTGTCGAGATCAACGGACATTGGAATTAAAATATACTACTGTAAAATACTGCAAATACGCCCCCATGAATCAATTGGTCCGGAAGTTGAGCTTCCCACCCCAAGCTCGCAGCCGGTGGCCATAGAACTGCAACCCAATGACAATCGGAAACACGGCAGCCATGATGGCAGCCTGAATTCCGAAGCTGTTTTGAGGGCCCATGGCCGTGGCCCAGCGGACCTGCACATACGTGACAATGAACCCGCCCGTGGTCCTGGCGAAGTTCAACCAAGCCGAGACTTCCCCAGCACCTTCCGGATACGAGTCGAGGACATAGGCGTTGAGACCTACAGTGGCGATCATGATGCCGAATGTGTACAGTCCCCATCCGAGCGCGCATATCATGTAATGGTAGGCATTTTCCAGAGAGTATCCTAGTAGAACCACACCGGCTATCATAATGGGCGTAGCAAGCCAAATGACCCAGAGACGCGCCTCGGGGTGAAGAATGCCCTTGTTGCGGCGCATCCAGAAATTTGCGTTCGCGTCGTGAAGCCATTGGCCGGTCAATTCGCCCAGAATACTCGCGACGATCGGCGTGAAGTAGAAGTAACCTGCACAGTGTCAGTTCCTAATGCGTTGATTTTGCCGAATCAGAACACGGAAGACTATCTCACCTATTTGAACCGGTCCAAATCCATATAGAGGCTGCAAGAAGATGCTGAGCGTCGTGTTTATACCTAGAGTGACTGTTAATTTTTGCCTGTTTTCGTGTTTGCCAGGACGCAAAACTTACCCACTACCCATGCAAAGATGAAAAGGTAATAGATAGTAGCAAGAAGCACTACAGGCTTGCAGATAGCCTGAATTGGACGAGAGAGCGCACCCAAGAAGGTATTGCGCTGATGACGACTCTTCCACTGTGGTATGCCGACAAGACGACCGATGCGCGAGCCCGCTGGAAGTTGTTCACTTTCAGGGATGCGACGATCGTAGTATGTCTCCTGACCGAAAAGAATGATGGAGATGAGACAGAGACCATGCAGCAACGTTGCCAACCAGAAAGCCCAATTCCAGGCAAACTTATTGATGATGAAAGCGGTGCACAGCGGGCCCAAGTAAGGGGACAAGATGATGAAGAAGGACCAGACGTTAATCTTTCTTGCGTGCTCGTGGACGAAGAAGATGTCGTTGATGAAGATCAGTCCACTTCCTTGGGCCACGGTTGAGAAGAAGCCGTTCAGAATTCGTGCCGCTACGAATTGTTCAAACGTAGCCGGCGCTGCGCACCAGGCAATGCTCCAAAGCGCCATGACAATGAACCAAAACAGCACCGGCAGTCGTCCAAAGTAAGCTATCAAGGCGACGACGACGACACCTCCAGCGCCCAGCATAAAGAGATTGCCGACCAACGACGATAGCATGCCATCTTGTGTCTTCCCAAACTCTATAGACTGTGGAATGAGTGTCACAGCGCCTATGGAAGTGGAAAAGTCTGGCAAAAAGGCAGTGAAGGATATGACCATCAACACCAGATTCTTCTTGAGTGGAGACCAGTTGAGCGGATCACGCTCAGAGCTGCTGGGTTGTGGAATGCTACATCTCCCATCAGATCTACGGAGATGTAAACATGCAGGAATGAGTAACTTACAGTATCAGCTTCCCATCCTTGGTTGTCTGGAGCGTACTGTCTTCAATGTCGCCTGGCCCTGTAGTGAGTGCGTAGCCCGAGACAGGCTGAGCCACTGAGATGCCTTTGGTGGTATGCACGTCGTGATCCTTTTCTGAGCTCACAGGTCGGTCCATCTTTCAAAGTATTGCGTGATAAATGTGACGGAAAAGTATGCTGCTGCTGCTGCAAGACACAGCAGGGTAGGAAGGAAAGAGAAGATGCCCAATGGTTTCGAAGCGAAAACAAAGCAGCGGATATTAGCCAGACGTGGTCACATTACCGCTTCAACAGGCTCTCATCAAGTCTACTCTACTTTATAGAATGTGATTAAAATACCTCGTAACATATGGTGTTTCCGCGGGGGGCCTCTACGCGATGTGCGCCACTGCAGAAGCACGTTCTTGGGCGGACATTGGCCGACATGGTATTCCGCAATTGAACAGCGTGTTGGTGTGTCGAGTTGATAACAAGAATCCTACTCGGTTCATCCTGACGTTGATAGGCTCAGAAATGATGAGTATACGAATGGGGGATAATGTACTACGGCAGGCAGACTTGGCTGGCAGGGAACCTCTATCAAGAGGATGCCAATGTCGAGGTACATGCTTATCTTAGCCCAAAGAAGAATGTTACGATTGTAGGCCGTGCAGAGTGGCGAAAGCCAATACCAATAAGAAGAATGCTTGGTGAAGGTGATGAAGTTGGGGGCGCATTGCATGGGATTTGAGAGAGCTAGGTTATTTCCGTCCATGGACGGGGAAAGAGAGCCGTGCAAGGGTTGGCTGCATAACCGACATCCACGTTTGATGAGCATGCATGAGGTGTTCCGTGCCATGGCATTTGTAAACACACGTCTCACAAAGTAGAGGCATCGGTAAGGCGGGTGCCGCCGCTAGCGGTCCGCTGCCTTAGCTGTTGTTGGCTAATGGGCATCCCGTCGCTCTTGGCATTCGGAGCCTTCTTCAACCTCCGACATCTACACCTCACCTTTCCCAATCAAACATGCGACAGCGACACCATGAATTTTCTTGTGGGCCACATGAAACTATTTTTCTCGCGAATTTGCACAGGACTTTTTATTTTTATAATTATCAATAGCGTGGGTGAAGATTTGGTCTGCAGGTAGCAGATTCCCAGGTATTCCGTAGCCCCTCGCTCAGTGTCCCATCAGAATGTAGTATTCGAGTCATTACTAACCGTGGACTACATCCGTACTCGATGACGCTACTCTCTATCCGGCCAGGTGGCACGGCTTGCTCTCTCAACAGAATCCTGCGGTATATCAAGTCGTCACTCTAGTTTGGCGAGACCTAGACCCAAGTCGAAACGCCTCGATTCTTGAGTCATTGCAACATTACCATCATATCATACATACATGAACTAGTACAGGGTCCACAACACGGCCCAAACGTTCCTAAATCATACGTTCCCTATTCTGCCCAAACTTGACTGTCACCTCGGACGTCTTCATGATGCTACCGTCGCCAGTGGGCATTGCGGAGCCAAAGTGTTTGTGGCTGGTGTTACCGTCAAGGCTTGGGCGCATGACGGTCAGCGGCATGCCGTCGATGTCCTGTCCCCTTCGTGGCTTCCCTCGTCGGTCCGATGATAAGTTCATCCACGACGACTTCGCACTCGGATACGCCGAGTTGACCGATCGATTGCGTGCGACCAGAGGCCTCAGCATAGGAATAGAAGCAGCGATGATGACCGCGTAGTTTTCCACACTTGGCACCACTCGTTAGCTGGAAAGAAGAATCAAAAACACAGTGGCACGGCTTACCTCCACCAAATCACCAGGTAGGCAGTGTTGAAGGTGTAGTCGTCTGCGCTCCCGACCGACGACAGATAAATCGTCTTCACAATGGAGCCAACCATGGCACTGGGACATGCAAGTTAGTCACAACCCGTGATGAATTCAACGTCATGTTGTTCGTCTTACAAAACACCGATCCCCATCAAGAGCGAGATGGAAATCTTCATCGACCTTTTCATGTTGAGGTGCCAGAAGACGTACGCAGGCCAAATTGCCAGCACGAGGTCCGTGGCCGAGTTGTAAGCTGTTGTGACGTGTGAGCAGGCTGTCTTTTACGTGATTTTCGGGTAAAAGGAGAACCACTTACCTCCTTGAAAGTATCCAAAGTACTCTTGAGCCCTCAAGTCCCAGCATTCTCCCTCCAAGCTCTTATCCCAAAGTAGCGCGACCGGTTTGCATTGCGCCAGAATCATGGAAAAGCACAGGACGTTTACCAGCATCTGGGTAACGAGGATGAACCTGCGAAATCGATCGTGTCAGAGTGATCAACGCAAGCAGGACACGGTCGGGATGATTACCAGAGGATGCTTCGTCTGGTTCTAGAATTCCCTATGAGGGTCATGATCGTCAGGACGAAGGATATACGCCCAAAGGTCGGTGCCATGATGGCAGATGGCTGCGCGAGATAATCCCACATAATGGCCTTCTGAGCCCGGCTCTTTTCCAGCGTGCCAATGTGTCTCCCGAGTCCATAGTGTATAGAAACCTGCACAAAGGCGGAGTTCTTGAGCATCAGGACCTGAAGACAAAGACGGTCAGCGAGAGTCTGTTTGCTCAGAAGCCACGAGGCTCGTTGGCTACGCAGCAGTACAAGTGGCAACTTACAATACTGAGGAGCATGAGCCAATCATCCCATCCCACATGGTGTATGATTCGAATTCTGGCGTAGAAGCGCAAAGACACGATGACGATGGCGACCGGTGCCAGGCTCCACATGACACCTTCAAGGGCCGGCACAAGCGTCGCCTTGTCGAAGATTATATCATCAGTCATGTCGACGATTAGCAGCAAAAAACCGACAACACAAAATGTCACGAATTGAGGGTCTGATGAACGGGTCTTGAATCAGACGGAACTAGTGTCATAATAAAATGTAACCAATGCGCCCCGAGGGACACTGGCTTTCCACGCCTCCCTCGTGCTTGAACGGACTTTCGTGTGCCAGAATAATTACAAGGGTTTGCCTTGCCATGCAACCCTGGCTGCATGCGCCTCCAGGCTTAGGGGTGGTTGGTGAATCAAAAGCGTACGCCCGGCTTACCATTCGCCCTTCTGGGAGCCATAGAGTTCTTCGGCAACCGAGACATGAAAAGGTACGTGTGTGGGGGTGCAAGGGGGCTAAGAGCACATGGGAGGCTCTTCATTCGTCCTACCGTGCGGCACAGCAGACGACAATAAGATGAAAGGAGCTCAATCCCTTCCGTATTCCCTAAAAAATAAACCTATTGATACCGTTTCCCGTTGATTCGACAATGTCTGGAGCTCGAGTTATCATTGAGAGTCTATCTTCGTTGGCTGCCCAGCCCGATTTTGAGCAGGATGCAGAGGCGCTCGCGTCGGTGTCGCAACTTGCCAAACAGCTCCAGCTCTCGGCTCAGAAGCCGGCGGACGCTGCCATAGAGCTTGCCTTCCACGTACGTACGCTCTGGTAAATGGCTGGAAATGGTAGAGATAAGGGAACTCTGCTTATGTTCTCGTATAGCCCATATTCTTAGCCACAATCCGCGTCGCCATCAATTTGAAGCTGTTCCATCACATAGCAAATGCGCAAGCAGCAATCACTGCCGCTGAGCTCTCCCAGCTATCAGGATGTCCAGAAAACCTTCTTTTGCGTCTCTTGAGGCCCATCGCTGCCCTTGGATTCGTCCATGAAGCTGGTGAAGGACAGTGGTCGACGACTCCCATCACAAAAGTCATGTGTGCCCCCCCAATAGAAGCCGCACACATTCATTTGTAAGAAGAACCCAGCATAGCATTATTTTTGGAGAAATGCCTTTCTGACGGGTCTTATTGTCACGCTCCCTGATCAGCTGGGACCAAGGCACGACAGCAGCTATCAAAATGCACCAATACTTCGAGGAAAAAGGCTACCAGCAACCCGAAGACCCGCGAAACGGTCTTTTTCAATATTCTCACGGCACAGAAAAAGAGGCCTTTGAGCTTTGGACCTCACAACCTGATGTCATTACCAACTTCAACACCTTCATGACCGGCAACCGTGGCTCGCGTCCGAGCTGGATCGAGTGGTACCCCGTCGAAGAACGGCTACTGAATGCCGACGTGTCACTGGGAGAAGAAGACGTTTTGCTGGTCGATATCGCTGGCGGGCGCGGCCATGATGTTCAGGCGTTTGGGAGGAAGTTTGCATCGCACAAAGGGCGACTGGTACTGGAAGACCTGCCACCGGTCATTGCCGATATCAGCGCTCTCGACGACCGTGTTGAGCGCGTGGCGCATGATTTCTTCACGCTTCAACCTATCCAGGGTGAGTTGATTCTCTCTCGATTCCCTCCCTTCTCTTATTTCCGCGCTCATCGTGCCGCATGGTAATTCTGTTCACTAACTCTCACTTCAAAAAAGGCGCGCGAATCTACTTTTTCCACTTCATATTGCACGACTGGTCCGACAAAGTCTGCAAAGACATCCTCTCGCGCACCATTGCCGCCATGAAGCCGGGCCACTCAAAACTCATACTGAACGAGTTCATCCTGCCGAACCAAGGCAGCACTCTTTTCCACGCAGGGTTCGATCTGCACATGATGACAATGCACGCGGCGCAGGAACGGACAGAGAGACAGTGGAAGACGCTGCTGGAAGGGGCTGGGCTGGCTTCTATTTCGTTTTGGATCCCGCCTGGAGGTGGTGAGGGGATTATTGAAGCGGAGGTTCCTGTGGGGAAATAGTTGGATACAAAAGGCTTGATTCGTTCCTGTCATGACTCGAATCATTCAGGGTATATTTATACATCAGTCTGATAGAATGTGCTACTCGAATTGAAAAAAAGGGGAGACGGGAGTACATCAAGCCATATTATGACACCTTCCCACTTGAATCGTCCTCGTTCCCGATGCGAAACAAATTCACTTTTGCATGGTCAATCATGAAGCACCCGCATTTCGATCATGAATTTGTCAAGTTTGCTACACGTTGACCGTTGACTTAGCCTTCTCCTGTTCATGTTCCTTGGAAAGCCCCATCACCCTACGATCTTCGGCAGTTACCTGCATTTTGAAAGGAGTGTGCTACAATTGCATTACTCGAGTTGAGCCCATTTTTGCGCTCTTCTGCAACTCTCAGCGCGTGATTGATGAGTTCCTGATTGGTTGGTAAGTAGAAGCCATTCATTCTGTTTCGATGAGACATTGCGGGTGGCGTGCCGACTTCGCCGGAGAAGGGGTCGGTATCCGAGACGTGAGTGATATCAGACAGATGGATGCGATGCCACAGGAGGTGGACTGGATGGCTGCAATTTATCATATGACATTTACTATCGCATTACACTGAGTAATTGGCATGAGGAGTGAGGGGAAAGACAGTGTGGGCAGGTATATGTAGAAAGAAGTACATGCGTGGTGCCTTCTTAAGCTGGATTTGGCTTAGCGCTAGTTGCTCAATTGGTGGTCTGCACATAATGCTAAAGACGTTCAATCTTATTCTTCACTAGTAATATTGTGTATGTCGAAGAAGAGATTTATCTAATATGTTATAGTCAACAAGTCGCAGTTTTCTCATGTGCAAGCGCATTTGCATAAGATTAAGGAAGCAATGCGTTCTGCAAGTAACTATATTACTAGTATCCTTCACCTCGAATTTGGCCAAGGACTGTTGAGACTCTCTTACTTTATGGCGTTGCCAAGTACTGCCCTTCTCTCACTATTTTCTCGAGCCCCGCCCTATATAATCCTCACTCCTCCCAATACTCCGTCTCTTCCTTTACCCCTACCCCCAGCTTTATCCTTTCACCATTCGTCATACGTATACCTTTTGATATGGCACCTCCCGTCAAGTACAATGATCTCATTCGTATACATCGTGACCATAGCAGCGACAAAGCTGTACTTGGGCTTACATGGCATGGATCGAGTCTGCGCGTGGTGGCATGGAGGGAAGACGGCAGCCAGCTCAGCATCGACAAGCTCGATCTCAAAACCTGCAAGCCGAAGCTCGGCAACGAACCCATCGACAATACCTCATTTGATACTTTCGAAACATCGTTCAAAGACGGATATATTAACATCAACGGCTATCCTCATTCACCAAAATCAACAAATCAGCCCTCGGCAGTGAGCAAGACTTCACAGACATCGCGAACAACACAAAAGTGCGCTTCGCTGAAACCGAAGAAGCAGCCTAGAAATAAGACTGCATCAAACTCTGCAACAACCAAAAAAAAACCCAGCTCCTCCGATCACGCAGGCCCCAGCTCCCTCAATCGCACAGAAGTCTCCAGCCCAAGTCCCTTCCACAGTATCGACTCCCCTCTCAGATACCAGCGCATCTCCACCTGTCCGCGCATCACAAAAAGATTCAAACGACTCTGAGGCTCGGGGATATAGCCTCTGGAAAGCACTCAACGCCCGCGAGAACATTGAAGATGACGAAGACCTGGAGCAGATCGCAGACGACGTCCAATCTACATACATGCTGAAGAGAGCGCCACCTGTTTGGCTTATCAGTCAGACAAGCCATGTTTTGCGCGCGGGTCATGCAGGCAAGGCAATGGAATACCCCAAATTACGCACTTTCGTCGACGAGAACAGGTTCATCTTGAAAAGGAAGCGAGACGAAGATAGCGACACGCCTAGGAAAGATGGCACCCGCGACAAAAATGGCACTAGCAGTGCGATCGGACGTGCCAAGACGAATGATAATAAACGCGATGGTAAGAAGGAAGATGGTGGGAATGATAAGAAGGAGAAGAAGGATGGTGCAGACGATTGGATGAAAAAGCCCTGGAGTGAGCTTGATTGGTTTAATCTCACTCCTGAGCAGATCGAAGCCCATTGGGATTATCATGCTGCTCAAGCCATGCGCAACACAGATCAGACAGCAAACGACAACTGATGCAACCTGCAAGCATCTACGTTCACCAAGCGAACCAATTGTGGGAACTTGGAAATGTGATACATTGGATATATTGGACGACTCCGAATGTCTGATTTTATTATCTGCGATCCCTCGAAGGATGAATCGGGTTGGCCCGCTTTACATCTTTGCCCACATGGATGATTTTTCTCATCTTTCATCTCATCGATTATGGTATCGAGCGCATTTGACGTAGTGACGTATACGACGTCCAACGATCTAGTGGAGATGTACGGATTTGTAATGTTAAGGTTAGGAACTATAGTACGCTTGTTGCCCTCTAATATAAAAAAAAAAGGAGAAGAGTTCTTATAAGGCTTTCTACTTCTATTAACTCCTACCTACCTCACTATGGCACCCACCCTTACACCCACGCCGCGCGACGGACCCTTCAAAATCAACGATTATGGTATCGATCCTAGTATCGATTTTCTCTCATCTTTCACATCTCATCGATTCTGGTATCGACTTTTTTCTCTATCACTGTACATAGTCAAAATGAAATTCCATGCTTCCTATTCGACTAACCGATCCAAATCTCGATGCTTGTCGTGATTAATTCCTGGTCCCATTCTCAATGACCACTTGAGGTCAAACTAAAGTATCTGATTCTGTAGTATTTATATCATCCTTCATCTAATCAAACCGTTCCTCCAACTATTGCTATCCACCTCGCAAATAGTGATTATTGTGTCTGGTGATTTGTTCACACGTCATAAACTACCCCTTTTCTTTCCTATTCCCCCTTGAATCTTACGATGCTTCACTGTGATGAGCATCATCTTGTGCCAAATCACTCATCGTAGCCTTATGAAGGTCAGTCGAGATCACTTCGCATGTAGCAGACAACTCAACAATCAGTTACATCAGCCACTGCATCAGGTCTACTCTCTTGACAGTTTGGTTCAACTTACATCTTCCCTATCGCTTTGTGAGCTCGGCACTGGACCCTGCTATGCTCGTTCAGTTGGCCTTCTATAGAACAATAAAAGCCACAAGCCTCTGATCGCGGGTTCAATTTTAAAATTTGTGAGCAATATCAAGCCGCATCTAAAGGGCCGCCACATGTAATCATAGCGAATCTTCGTGCCTTGATGCAACGATGGGGCTTTGTGGCTGAACACCTGAGATCTGCGAAGACATTGTGCCCTACATCAAACATGAATAACACAATCGCCAATGGCACGTGCAATTACTTACGTAGCAGATCCTAAAATGTGTCTCCTGAGACTGTTTCTTTCGTAGTCTTCTATGAATAGTACTGATGCGGGAACTTGAGGGAGGGCAAGAGAGGTATCATCGATAGTTATGGACAAGGAATAGTTGATGGGTAGCGGCGATCACTCGATGGATGCAATACAATCAGTAATGGCCAGTTCAAAGTATATAGATGAAAAGTCTCATTAAGAGCTCACACGACCACTTAGTTGACACAGGATTCTGCAACTATTAACCTGCGTGCTATGGCAAGATCAATTATGAAAAGTAGCGTCCAAGAAGTGATGTTAATTCAAAAGTCTCAAATTCCTGAATCATGTTCACTGCGGAAGAATGATCTCAGTGAACGTACCAAAGTATGATTGGCTGCTTGAATCTGAGATACATCCCGATTTTTGGTTTGCAAGCACCGTCTTCATGTATTGAAACATCCCATCACCATGATCAGGGTAGCTGCGTATGCCCTGGCAGTATCATTGCTTTTTTTGAGCTTCCAGCCAGCTCATACAATTTTCCTCTTCATCCTCGCTTTCATCTTCCACACGCTCCTGAATATCTGGTGAAGTTATGCCCTGGCACCATCATCATTTCCAGAAAGTATCCAGCCAGGAATGATCAGGTTTATCATCCATGGGATCATCACCGTCTTGCTCGCCATTATTAACATCTGACCTGAGCTCTTGATCAGATGCTGATTGTTCAATGCTCTTTTTGACAAGCCTCTGCGCTACCAGCTTCGCCTGGCTTTGGCAAAGCTGCAACTGTTTCTTCAGGATCCTTCTGTGTAAGCGTAGGTCATCACCCATCTTGGCATGCTGCTTGTTGTATTGCGCGGTCGCTTTGATGAGCTTGTCAAAGCGTGAAGCTGAATCGATAGCCAATGGATGTTTTTTGGAAAGGGCCTCGATCTCGGGGATCGCTGCTTCAAGGATTTGGGCCTTCTCGACCTCCTTGCTCTTGAGATGCGATGTTAGATTACATCAAGTAGCCACCAAACATGGGGAACTTACCAGTAGTCTTGCGTCAAGATCTTTGACCAATGTATTCAGATTGATCGTGGACTTGCAGAACTCCCTCTTGAATTCTTCTCGGCGGTTCTCCATGTCGCCGCCAAAGAATAATTTAGTAGCCGGCTTCTGGTTTCACGGCGACGGATTTTGACAAGAACCAAACCGCAATGAGTAGGAGTTGGAGGTGGTGGCAGTGGTAAGTCTAAGTGAAGCCGCCTTTATGCTCGCTGCCAGCCATGCTTACTCATCATCACGTGAAATATGACTCTTTCACCCCAAATCTACGCCTGTAAAAGCCAAGAAATATATACTTATGCATTTCTCGCCTCTTAATCTATTACTTTTACATGATAAACCCGACATTTATAATATAGGTGTGGGTCTGAGTCACCTACATATGTAATTACCTAATTATTTAGTCACTCACTGTTATTGGCCCGTGCATTTTTGAAGATATGAAGCAGCTATTTATAAGATTGTCTTCCTCAAACTATCATTCTCTTCCTCTACGTCGTGCTGCACTCCAAACCATGGCGTGGCCTCCTAATGACCCCAAGAAAAAGGGCGTGAGTTCAACCGATCAGATCCTATCGCTAATACAAGCTAACATCGCGCAGGCTATCGCTAAAACCAAGAAGCAGAGCGTGAGTGCTTTTTTGCTGCGTGCCATCATTCCGATGTACTGAATTCACTGGGTAGGATGAGCTTCGATTGGAAAAAGCCCAGAAGGAGTACGAGTCGCTTCTAGCTACCTGGAGAGAACAAGAGGCAGAACTTAAGAACTTCCAAGATGAGCTTGAGAAGGGCAAGTATCTGCAGATGGTGGAGGAGCCCATCAAAACCCTCAAAGCTTGGATCGACTTTGTCGTAAGTGTCGACTTCTTTTGAACAGGATTGGCACGAACTAACTCGTGTCAGAACGATGTGCGAAAGATCCCCAACAAGAATGACGATCAAGAGTTCAAAAATCTCTTCGACAAGTACATGCAAGATGCAGGTTGGGTTGAAATATTCCAGTTTCTACGTGAAAACCCAACCTGGAGGAATGCCATTCCGGAGCTCGATGACATCAGGCGCGAGTATGAGGGTATGCAGGGCGGAGAACGTGAAGCTTGATGGATCGAGAAATATTATATGCAACGATGCGGCTGAGCTTCATCACTATTGGTGATGGTGAACGAGGAATTATATATGGTTTGGGATAGCCCCTGGTAATACATCACATCGGAACATCCACAGCTTCCCGTGAACTCTCCCAAGACCTGCGCTTTGTTACATGTTATGAACTGCGCGTGATCTTTGCGTTGTTCTCTGCTTATACGTGATCAAAGCCTCGCCTCATGCAACTTCCATTCCAACCAAATAGTATGCTGTGAAGCGGGTATCGTCTGACATAGTCTGACTGATGACTACCTCGGGCATGTATACTTAGTTACAGATCATACTGCTCATACACGATAGTATCTCAAAATCATGATCCTACGATTGATGCGGGCCGAAGGAACATTCCTCCAATTTCGGTTCAGAAACTTTACATTCATTAACAGAGTCAGCTTAAAACTATTAAAACATGGATGGCCTGACTGATCATTGACTTCAAGTGGTCGACGAGAAAGAATTTCCGTAAATCATTCAGGAGAAACACTGGTATCGGGGTGAATGACCGCGAATCCGCTGCAACCATTGCGGAGCGTGAACCTCCGACCCTACTATTGCACACACTCTATTGAACTCTATAGGTAACATTCTAGATTCACAGTACTATGGGATATGTAAGCCTACACCGCCTTAAAGGTGAATGGGTCCGACACCTCGAGAAGGACTGTTTTAGTACATCTGGCCCACCGCTTTTTCTTCTCTTGCTCGCTTCCTGCTAAGAGCTCTTTTTTCGTCCCTTTCATATTCTCAGTGAATGACCTCATCAAGCTCGTGCTCAGCTCACCCCTGTACGTCTTTCCTGACTCCAAGCTTCCAAGATCCCCGCTATCGTTAGTTAGCCAATATGTCTCTTCATACGGCACGCCGGGCTTGAACTCCTCGAACATTCCGTCAGAAGGAAACGGCTCGGGCCCCTCTGACTCCCAGCATCCGATACTAAAGCTCCACTCAAATTCTTGGCCGTCTTCGTCCTCTACATGGACTATATCCTCTAGGGTTTGGAGTAGTCTAAGAGGCGTATTATTCAAGTTTACAGTGAGGATGTCATCGTTATGAGATGTGACTTTGATGTTGAATCCGAAACGGGGTTCGCCGGTTAAATGGCACACCTTGTCTGTTGGAGCGACAGATGCGTGGAACCGGAGCGGTTTTGCTGCACTATCGAGGACTTCATACGTGATGGGGTGCTCGCCAAGTCGTACGGGCAATCGCTCGGCCGCATCCTGATGGATTTGCCCTCGATATGCCCACGGCGCGTTTTCGCCATGTGCCCAGCGTATCTCGTACTTATGTCCAGGGGCGAGTAACTCATTCCAGAACTCGTTTTGGGGGTCGAGTTTCAGGGTAAACTTTGTCCAGCGGACGTCTGCTTCGATAAAAAGTTCTCCCGCTTCGACTTCATTTCGAGGAACTGCGATTCTGGTGCGCGACTCGGCCTCGATAAGATCCAAGATACCACATTGCAGAGCGTGCCGGAGGTTAAAGCTTCGTGTGGATGTCTCATAACCGGGAATGACCAGCGTGATGGGGCTGGAGGTATCCTCCATCTTGACTTTGAAAGTTGGGTGGGCGCCATCGACGCCCCTCTGGTCGAGCTGAATCGACTGTCTGCCTTCCAGCAAAAGGGAAATAAAAGAGTCCGAATCTGCCATTGCGGGTTTTGTGGCTGCAACCACGACAGTGACAAGAATGCGAATTAGACGTTAGATTTTGAATTTGAATGCTGAGAGAACAAGGTTGCTTTCGTGGGATATTTTGAATTGTTCCAGTAAAGAACGTGTTATGAGTGACCTATATGGACACAGCATGAGATCTCCGCAAACGAACGACCGATTACGTCACCGCGGTAACGTCCAATCAAACGTGTCATTCAAGCTGTACCGTAAGATCTCCTAATTTGGAGCAGCAAAGAACAACGCCGAAGGCAGAACCCTCGGCTGACATCGAGAGAGTATATATTCGGTCAGCAGTGACGTCGTTAGGAAATAGTTTTTGGTCCGATCGCGATGACACGATTCCTTCGTATCAGCCACCGGGCGAAAGTCATTAATCGCCTGAACATGCAACTCTCAGAACGCTAAAGGTGTAACTGTTGTCGTCGCCCGTAGGCGTTAGTAGAGGCCACGAAGGCCACCTTCTTTACGGCGAGTGCGCACGTGACTTTGACCGTGTGGTCATCGAGAGTGTATCGATCGTTGCGAGGCATGGGAAACGTGCGTGTGCGTCGAATTGTGGAGAGGATTTACGATGGTGATGAGAGCACGGGCCACGGCGTATTTAGTTGGAGGATGAGGGACCAGGAAAGGGACGTGGCGGAGGTTACCGCCTCTTCCTAGCCCACGAGGTTGAGTGGGCGCAGTTCGTGAGGGCGCAGTAACATATTCACCGTTGGTCGTGCCACACTCTTGCGGCAGACCCCACAGTGAGGTTCCATTAGAGTTTTGCAGGCTAACGCGCCCTGCGTAAGTAAGTTTATGGCGAGAAGATCGATCATGACTACTATTGATGACTTTCCTGCTCAGGCTGCGCGTGGAATGAAATCAGGCAAGCAGAACGGAGCGCAGAAACTGGAAACCGTAAGTGCAAGCAGCTTTGTGCACAGCCCATTAACATAATTCTCACTACAGAGGAGTGACACGCCGAAAGGCTACGCGTTGAGAGGACAGAGGACTTATAATCGCTAATTGGCAAAACTCCTTGATCCTTCCAATATGTAGCCTCCGGGCGCCACCCGTCTGTACCTGTACTTCAGGTTGGATCATAATCTGTCAGCATTTCTGCTATGGAAAATGTTTCAGCTCTGAGGTCTCTTACTGTTTCTTCGACTCTGCCGCATCCAGATGCGATCCATCTGTTTCCATCATACAACTTCAAGTTATCGGAAATGTTTTATTTTTGCAACCTCTCAGAAACAAGGCCCCTTGGTGATTGGCCTGAATGCTTCGCCTCCATACTTTATCCTGTTTCATCCTGTTCTCACGACCTACGGTGCTTGCCTCGATCCTAATGTCTTTCCATTGGGCAAGAATCACGATTTGGAGAGTAAAACAGAGGACTGAAAGGTCTGGTGAGCCATCGGCAATGTGATCGACAGTCCAAGTGATTGTGTATTTAATGGGTAGAAACTTCCTTTTCACCATCAAAATCAACACAATATCCAATTTCAAGCCAGAAAGGTCTTCCATCGTTTACTGTTTTATCTCTCAAGTTTCTTCACCAGCCACTCGTCAGTCATGAAGACCTTCACGAATCAAGCTTTGGCAGTATTTGCTATTTCATCCCTCGTTCAAGCTCATCCTCAAGGGTAATCAATGAAAGCGCAAATTTTCTACGCAATGTACTGACTCCTTGTCAGGGGCTTTCATTCCACTAGTGCCAACCCGGCTTTGGTGACAAAGCGAAAACTGTACAATCTCGATCAGATCAGTGACCAGGACCAAAAAGACAAACTTACACAGGGCCTCAAGGATGCTGTCACAATTGCAGCCAAAGTACTTGAAAAGATGGATGATAGCGCCCACGAAAGCAAGTGGGAGTATTGGTTTGGACCAAAGTCCGACTCAGAGAGCCGCGAGAAAATTCGAAATGTCTTCAAGAACTTCGTGGGGGACAACAAAGATGGGACTGGGGCGGACATAAATGGGGATGTTCTTGTCTTTCCTGACGACTACTGGACTCCCTCCAAAAAGGAAATTGGAGATGGAAATACAGACGGAAATACTCCTTTCTGTTCTATCGACATAAATGGCAAAACAGGCACTGCTTACTACAAGCCGACTCAGGATAAAAAACCCGGAATGCACTACTGCGACAAGGTTTGGGACAGAAAGAATCTGAAGACTTTGTTAGAGGACAACTGCAAAGCGCTAGGCAACCACATCAGTACTGTTCTCTGGACAAAGCAATTCATCGGAGCTAATGTTCTTCATGAATTCATGTAAGTTGACTCATATTTCAACATCGTATTGATATTTATGCATGATTACCCGACCAAGCACTGCAGATACTGACATTTCGAAAGGCACTATCCTAAAGTCGGCAAAAAGGCAGTGGATGAGCTTATCAGAGACTACAAATACGATGCTTGGCAGTGTCGCTACATGTCTAGCAACTCTGATAAGTCCCCCATCGATATGAAAGGTAGAAAATGGGAAGAGTTGACTATTGTCAACGCAGACACTTATGTGTGGTATGCTCTGGTAAGCACTTACACACGAATCATTATTTACTATGTACACCCATTTGCTGACACATTTCCAGGATATCGCTTTTGAGGAGCTTTGCCAAAAGAAATTCTCAGGGCCTCGCAGTGAAAAGGACGACGACCAGACCAACCAAGACTGGCCAGACGAAAACATCCCGGGAGAAAAGTAGGATGGAAACTACAACCGCGATGAGCATATTTTTGCCCCAAGTCTAGTCTTCCGGATAGGCAGCTATTTCCCATGTCATTATGCATGAAAAGCAATGTCTCTCGCCAAATTTAGACTTTTGGGATTAAGATTGCAATAGGCTTATGTATTAAGTTACTACAGAGTACTGTAGTTTCATTAAGTGCTATCACTTGTTATATTGTAACGTTCCTTCATCTCATTCCTGTTTTTTTATTGTCATATTTAAACACTCTAGAACCTCTGTACTACGTTATGTTCACGAACACCGGGCTAGTAATCAAGAATGGGGCTGTGTTAGCTGCCACATAAATAATCATTTAACTCCTATTGATCAAAGCAGATCTTAGTCCTCCACTTGAACGTGATGTTTTCATTGTGCAAATCCTCACCCTTCCTCCCCTCTGGATAAGCCCACCAATCCAGCACTTCCATACAGTGATTGAAGTGCTCCTTGTCAATGTCGCGACCGCAAACATGATGCCCGCTCTCTTTTGCTTTGACATATCTTCTCACGGCCAAAACGCAGTGAGCTACATGAAAGACTCCATCGGTTGGGACGTTGTCGATTGCTTCGCTGCCAATCCAGGTCTCGTTCATGTGGTCACCACTTGTCCTGATCCTATTCATCTCGGTGTATCTATTCTGGAACCATTTCTGGTAATGCGCTTCTTCATCGTCCAGCAGATACGTTGGAATAACTGCTTGATCGTCGATGCGTAGTGTCCATTCACCCGGTTGCATCGACTCGGCTAGCTGTGTGGCGTTCTCAGTTGTGACATGGCGTTGGTAATACGGCCCGATGCTCCCTTCTGTCGAATACTCTGTGAACTCGTGGACTGATTCAGCACGTTCATGGTGGCCACGGAACCTAGTCGAGAAAGCGAAGATAGCGAGCACACTTGCAATAACGCCTAGTATGGTGATTGCTCCACTGGTAGAAAGGATTTTCATCTTGAGTGCTGACTTTGGCTTTCTTGCCTCAGATTCTCGGCATGCTGTTGCCATTTTCTCTTGCTGGGCCAGCGGCAGTCCCAGTGCAGGGATGAGCTTTGGGTCGTATTTCGTGAGGATAGCAAGGGAATATATAGTGCCTTGAGCTGGTTCCCCATCATGCTCCCCAGAGTTAAACATGATGGAGATCTGGCGCTGGTTGGCCGTCTCGATAAAGTCTCGAGACAAGTTCAAAGCATCATCGAGACTGTTGGTAGAAGAGATTGCTGAACGAACATGCCACAGAATGAACGTGCCATGTTCAGATACATCGAAGATGATCGGAGCTGCGGTTTTCTCTGGAGGAATCTCACTCAGTATATCCTTCAGACTCCTATCAGAGTCGACACTATCCGCACGTGCGTGATAAATCTGGTGGACGAAAAGATCTCGAGATTGATGCAATGGCTCGTACAAAGGACTAGAAGCCCGATGGCCTTTAAGGTATTCGAAAAGCATTTTGGAGAACTTGACCAGGAAACTGTGGACCAGTGGAGCTGAGTGAACAAAAGGAGAAAGATACTGGGCGAGTGATTAAAACCCACAGCGCACAAGAAGCCCGATCTCGGAGCATGCACGCTGGGGATGACCATCGTATTGTTTTTGATAAACCGGTTGTTTCCAACGCCATGCAGATGGAACTGACGATCTTACCAGAATCAATGCGGAGTTGACAAATTGTATGATTTACTGTTACCATGCAGCTGTTGTGCCGTATAGGCGAACTTTGTGAGTGTACATCATGCGAGGAATACGAGATAGGCCACCCAACATATAGCACCTACTGCAACTAGCTCGAACCAACTTATTGTCTGAGCTGAAGAGCTAAAATCCAATTCACTAATTCCAGCCCAGCAAGCTTCTCTCAGTCACCTTTAGACTTCAAAACTGCACCTGTGGGTATTCACATCTATAACAAGATGATCCGCAAGTCAGAATTGAGTATGTAAGACAATACAAAGCGGGAAAGTGGACATACCGGCTGATGTGATGCATGTGGCGTCCGTGTTAAGCTGCATCTCTTCGCTGGTTTACGTGTGTCAACGAATTCAACCCTCTTGCTGGACAGAATCTGCATTCGACCACGAGAGTTACAGCGGAAGTTCACTAGTGATCAGCTTCGTATCTGCAATGCCTACCCGAGTGCAACCTGATTGGGTTAGGTGGTATGGTACTCCTCATTGGAATACGGCACTTGATTACCCAGATAGGGAAGTGATCTACGTACCTCAACTTCTAAAGTAAAAATACGAGACTTTTCTTACCGTCATGCGCCTCACATATACCTAACTTGTGATCTTAAAACGGCACGGCTCTCGATTGTTATACAATTTGAATGCCGACTGCGATTTATTTTCATGAAATAGTGGATATTCACGAAATATCTTGACTTCTTACAGTGTGAGATCTGTATATTGCTCATGGGATGATTATTAAATCAACTAAACAACGCTCAAGTTTGTTGTTCGCAGAAATGCCAAGTTCTGACGTTACGAAAGGTGGGTCAAGCTCCCAATTAAACGACGCAACTGCATTGCCAACGTACGAGAACCGCCTCAACGTGACGTAGGAGAGTCATTTTTGACTTCCAGTGGCTGGCTGTAACCACAAGAGCCTAATTGAAGATCTGCATGAGAAAGCGAGTGAACCGATGCCGAAGTCCGGAGGAACATCATGGACCGGTGGTGTGGGTGGATATGGGATCATATGATACCGGGCCGCTCTGAATTCTACCAAACGGAGGGTTCAGGTATAAAGCAACCCAGTCTTTTCCTACTCAATCTAACAACCTCTGGTCGTGTATTCGAGGTTCGAAACTTGAGAAAGATTTCTTCGTTGAACATTGAGATTATCAAGAAGTCACTATACCGCACACTCCAGAATCATGAAGTTCCTTGCAATCACACTTGCTACTCTCGTAGTTGCAACCTCTGCTCTTCCGTGAGTCTATTATCCTGCCCATATTGAATTTCCCATGAGAGCATCACTGACATTCCCCCAGGCAGCCACTTTGTGCGCGACCCAACACACCAGGATGCATCACCAAACGAGAACCCTCGCCGTGAGTATTACTTTCATTGGTTCTGCCCCGAAAATATGTCGAAATGTATCTAAGTTGGCTTCAGAAAACCACTTTGCACAGAACCAAACGCACGGGGTTGCATCACCAAACGAGAGCCTGTACCGTCAGTTATCTGTGTCCTTAATCCCAATGCATGATTAACAGAGTTAGTGAGCCAAGATGTGCGGGCCCTAACCAGCCAGGGTGCATTACCAAATGAGACGAGTACTGGGACAAATGCAAAGAGCGTAGTCGATAGTTCAGATTTATACAAATACCCGTCACTCTCTGTTATGTGTTCCACCCTAAAAAACAGTGACCCAAATGTACATGCCGAAGCGCAGTGCCATTTTTGGTGATATGTTCTAGTTATTTGTCCAAATCGAACAGCAGAACATAGTACAGAGGTTATATCTTCGTTCTGATCAGACTATTGCACAGATCGGAATTTTTGCGACCGCATGTTCCCAAGATGTCATTGCAGTCTCACCCGCAAGCATTTCTAATTTGTTTCTGTGCCCTTGCAAATTCAGTGTAGCTGAGATATGAGGTCATGGCAATTGATAAATCTGGGAACCAAGAGTGGTAATTTCCACATATATGAACAAAAAAATTCGAGCACAGTCTGCACAGTCTCCCGCTGACGAATGTGTTGTGAAACTTATCCTGCACTCAATTTGTGGTTCTCCAGTGAGTGATAGAAGAAAATCCCTACATGAAATTCTCGCGCCTTTATTTGAATTGATCGAGAATAATTCGAAGATTTTTTTGAAGACTAAGACAGCAGTAAACGCAAAACATAGAACATAGAGGGTAAAACATATTACTAGTTACTACGGGGTGTGGCGCAATCGGTTGTGGCGCGTAGAAGTGGGGGATAGATCCCGCTTAGCGTCCCCGCGGGATGAGCGTGCTATGACTTCATCTCTAAAATGAGCTTCCTCGATCAAAATCACGACGCCCGCGCATTCAATATTTCAATCCTTTACGCATTTGAACAAAAGAAAAATTTCAATCGCCTTTGTGTGTGATTAAAAAAACAAGAAAAATCCGCTATATCACCAAATCTTCAATTATGGCGAACACTACAAGAAAAGAGATCATCGGCAAGGTGTACAAGATGATCCCACCAATGCTCGAGAGTTTCCACAAAGGTAGTCTTTCGAAAGAAAACGCCATCATATACTCCTTGGCCAGCTACTAATATTCTCTTTTCCAGGTCAGTTGGGCCGTGTAGCAGTCATCGGCGGCTCCGAAGACTACACAGGCGCACCGTATTTCTCCGCAATGGCATCAGCGAAGCTCGGTGCCGACATGGTATTTTCACCCCCTCCACTAACAATACCTCGCAATTCCTGATCACTATACCACAGTCCCACGTAATCTGCGAACCCGGTGCGGGCGCCGTGATCAAGACCTACTCCCCCAACCTTATGGTGCACCCTTACATGCGACAATCCAAGAACCTCTCACAGTCCGAATCTCTCGACAGCGTCGCCAACGAAGTCATTGGGATGCTCTCCCGTCTACACGTCATCGTCATCGGACCCGGCCTAGGACGCGACAAGCTAATGCAAGATACATGCGCCAAGGTGATTGAGGAGGCGCGGAAACAGGGGATTCCCTTCGTGCTGGACGCGGACGGTTTATATCTGGCACAAACACGACCGGAGCTCGTGGAGGGGTGTAAAGAGTGCATTCTGACGCCCAATGTTGTGGAGTTTGGCCGGTTGGCTAAGGCGAAGAACATCAAGGTCGATGAGGGAGAGCCGTCGGAGCTGTGTGCTAAGCTTGCAAAAGCGTTTGGCGGCGTGACGATTATCCAGAAAGGTGCTAAAGACTACATTTCGAATGGTGAGCACACGCTGGTTAGCGAGGGTGAGGGTGGATTGAAGAGATCTGGTGGACAGGGTGACACATTGACGGGCAGCTTGGCGACGTTGTTGGCGTACCGCAAAGCGTACCACGACAAGATCTGGGACCACGAGGACGACTTGAAGCCGGAAGAAACACTGGCGCTTGCAGCATATGGTGGAAGTGCTATCACAAGGGAGTGCTCACGGTTGGCGTTCAAGGAGAAGGGCAGAAGTTTGCAAGCAGGAGATCTGACGGAGCACGTTCACCAGGCGTACTTGAACGTCGTGGGAGAGAAGGGAAGCAAGCTGTGAGATTCAACGGGAAGAACCTCGGAAAAAGAAGTAAGATACCGTGTGGAGAATAACTGTCATATAGATGGGGTGATCGGCAACAAGTAGCGGGATTGATACATACGAATTCATTTGACGCCTTACTCCACCACTGCGTGGTTTCACATTCTATTCACCAACTATAAAACAACCATGGTTCATTGTTGATTCGAACACCATGGTCTAGTCTGAGCAACATCAGTCCTAAATATTGCTTTTCACAAAGCAATTAACACCATGTGATAGCCTGCATGATCAGACTCTGAGTGGATCTAGCGGGAATAGAACAGCCAAAGACTGTAAGACTTAAACCGAATGATCGAATTCTAGCGAGTGTAATTTGATGCACTTGAGACGCAAAGCAGGCACCACCAATCCCAAAGTCCTCTCCATTCAACAAACCAAAGCTCCACCCAACTAACCTCACGGTAGCTCCTCTCCCAGCCCACACATAACCACCCGCCAATCCATCCTTAACTTCCAACATAGCAATCCTCTGAAACCCCCACTACCAACACCCTACACCTCCGCACCATCCCCACCCATCCCCCCAAAATCCTCCCCCAACTCAACCCCCTCACAAACAACCGCCTCAGCATCCAAAAGCACAAAAACAATCCTCGCCCACTCGCCCCCTTCTCCAACATTCTTCCACGAATGCCGTCCACCCCTCAACACAACAACATCGCCTTTCTTCACCGTCTTCCTTTCTCCTTTCTCACCCTCTAGCACCAGCTCCACAGTCCCTTCAACAACAACACAGTAGTCCAGTGAGCGCGTACGGTGGAAGGGGGCTACGCTGCCAGGGGCAAAGTCGATTTGGTAGAGCGCGGTGCCATTTTCGATCTTGAAGGATAGGGGGAGGGCGGTTGGGGAGGTGGAGAGGTGGGTTGTTAGGTAGGTGGTTAGATCGGTGGTTGGGGTTGAAGGAAAGGTGTGGGTTGCGTAGAGCAGGGAGAGGGTGTCTCCTGTAGGGAGATTGTGGGTGGGCGCGGCAGCGGAGGAATGGAGGAAGGTTGCTTTGGCGGTTTTGGGGTCGTGGGTTGTTATTAGGCGGGTCGTTGGGCGGAGGGTAGAAGGTGGCTGAGGGTTGCGTGGGTTTGACATTGTTTCTTGCGTCTTTTTTGTTCTATTGGTTGGGGTGGTGTGGTGAAGTGACGGTATATGTTTGCGTTTCGAGAAAAACAGAGAGTGAGGTGAGTGGGTGAGCAGTGAGACTGATCTAAAGAAATAGCGGAAGTAAAGCAGACAGGCAGAATTCGGGACGCAGATGAATTGATCCAGATGTTTTGTTGATGCTCTTTATCTCACTCCGTCTCTCTCTTTATATCCCAATTTTCTCCCCCATATATATACACTGCACACGCAACCAAACGGCAAGAAGTTGCGCCGACACACAGGCACTCACTCGGATTTCTCATTTCCAAACAATCCGTCTCTAGTATTCTCATTTCCCCAAAAGGAATTAGTTAAGCTTCATACTATCATGGGTCGCCAAAGAAACCCACTGCACACGCAACAATCGGCGAGAAGTTGCGCCGCGCTAACCGCTCTCCACGAACTCACTTGCCCACATGCTCTATCCTAGCTTTTGTAATTATTTCTACGAAGTTTTCTTCTCCCGCTCGATTCAATGGCATTTCTGCCATTTGTAGAGAGTTTTTGGAAAAGTCGAGTCGAATTTACTGTGCAATGTTGTAATCTGCCCCCGTGCCTTCCTATGCAACTTAACTAACCGCATTAGGCAGCACCCTCTCTCTGTATAGCAAGTTTCTCTACATCTTTTCACTTACTGTCCTCTTCACTCCTTTCAATGATATATCGGTTCTATTATTTCGACAGAATGAACAATATTGAGACAACATCATTTACCTTTTCGTCCACTCATGTCGGCTTCACCTCGAATTGGGCCAAAGGCCATAGTGTGTATTTTACCTTGCAGCGTCACTCACGGCCACCCTTCTCTCACTTGCTCCTCATACTCCGCCCTTATATAAAGACTCCCGACGCCTAAGTCTTCCTCTCCTCTTCCTCTACCCCTCCACTACACTTTCTTCTCCTTGCGTTCGAACACACATCGACAGATGCTTATCTAGCGATCAACAACATGCCACCTCAAAAGGAAATCCCGTCTTCCGGAGCTGGTTCATCCACTGCGACATCATCCACACCTTCTTCGGATTCAGATCTGATATCGCCATGGGAACTCTGGCGAGCTCTGAAAAGCGGGAAGCGTATCCAGGATGACGAGCTGCAACCGATCACCGACTACATCCAGATTGAGTTCGATCTGGCTCAAGCACCATCCAGGGATCTTGTTAAGGACATTAGTTTGTTCATTCGTGGATCCGAAATTCGCACACATGCGATAGATCACATCAATCTGCTGAAATTCATCAAACAGAATCGGAAATCGTTGAAGAGGAAACGGTCTGATGATGACAACAGAAACCGTATGGGTCATTTACGCGTTGAGATTGAGAAGTTGCGGTTCGCTGATGTGCAAGCGCGTTTGCATAAAATCGAGGAAGCGATGCATTCTGCAAATGACCATGTCACCAACATCCTTGCTGATATGCTGGAGGATCTACGAAAGCAGCCAGGCCATGTATGCTATCGCACCTGCAACATTGATGAGCGTATCACAGCTAACACATTAAGGAATTTTACACGACGTTGATGGCATTGGTTCCCGCTGATACCACTTTCAATGTCTGGGCGTCGAAGGTGGGCCTGTGGCAGCTGAGGGACTTCAGAACCCAGATCCATGTACCGTTCGTCCTTCAAGAGGCGGGAGCAATCTTGCACACAGTGCAAATTGCCCTTAATCGGGCCAGGCATTTGATCATCAACATTGACCTGGGAACGCTTGACGCGCAACCAAGCTTTGAGCAAGAAGTGGAACATTTTCAAGAGGGTATGACTAGTATGGTGGCGGTCATGGATCGTGTTGCCGAGCTCATCGACACGCCTTCCATCAATCTAATCGCCTTCTGGGACGGTATCGTAGACGACATGGCGCTCTTCAACCCAGCAGATCCGATTGAGCAATATGTTCAGAGCGAGGAGGATCGCGATGATGAATTGGAAGGTATGTGGGACGAACTATTCATGTTCGATTATCCAAATCACCCTCGTGACCCACGGGCTGTCCGCCTGCGCAGGATGAGGGCGTTATTGATCAGCCCTTGGAGGGAAAAATTGGAGAGCACAATCTTGCATCTGAAATCAGTGCGTCAAAGCCTCTCAGGTTGTAACTGTTTGTGATGAAATTCAACTCGAACTTGGCCAAAGACTGTTAAGGGGCTTTCTTGCTTTAATGGCATCACTGACGGCTGTTCTTCTTTCTCTATTTTCTTCAGCCCCAACCTATGGATAACGTCCATTTCCACTCATATTCTATCTCTTTCTTTACCCCTACACCCAACTATCTCCTTTTGGCAAGTTGGTGATAATTTATTCGGATATGGCGACCCCCATGTCCTAATTTGATGGATTCAAGACCCCAGATGCCCGTAAACACTGTGAAATGGTCGAAAAAGACGAGCAATGTAGATATGCAATAGGAAATGGTCAGGTCGCGCGCGAGTGTGTCACAAGAGTCCAGTTTCGTATCCTACAAACCGAGCACAACGGCAAGAAAAAAAAAGTAACGGGAACAGAAAAAAGCACGGCACAAGCGAGGCTCGGCAGCCGGAGCCGATTCGATGGAATAGGATCTCGGGATTCCGCTGGGTTGGGAGATGGTTGAGACGTGACAACGGAGAGGCTGGACGGTTTCACGTACATGACACAGCAGACGGACGAATAGGGAGACTGGACAGAAAGAAAGCTTATCGTTGAGGATGTTGGGTTTCCAAGCGCATTAGTTGGATTGGCGCGGGTAACGTAGCGAGGATCTAATTGACTGTTTGCAGGCTGTTGCCCTGACGATGGAAGAAAAAGAAGAAGGGCGAAAAGCAAGGAAAGCGAGAAAGCAATGGTGGGTTAGCGGGGTGTGGGTATTTGGCCGGCAGTCAATCAATACATCAATCAAGGTGGCCAATTAATGTGCAACGAAGGTCGCTGGTTTGCGCCTCCCGAGCAGCGGATAGGCGCCCGCTCGACATGCAACTTGTTTTGTGTGTGCGTGTGCGTGGCACGGTGCGCGCCTCCCGGCAAAGGATAGAAATTAGAAAGTATTGGGAAAGTGACACGACAGGGACAATGCCATGGAAGGCGAAATAGCGAGGGTGATGGTTTATAGAAGTATGCGCATGCAATTTCGCGATCCGGCAGACTTTGAGATTGCAATCTGGTCGAGGGAGCGGTTGCGGATAAAGTTGTTGAGATACGATGGGGGAGGTTGCGCGTACGAGCATGGCTGGACGGGGGTCAATCGAGATTGGATTGGACGGGTCCCTGCTAGAAGTATTGGGCCAGCGGAGGAGATGGACAGAAGCAGCAAAAGAGACGGGCGTGGCCGGTCTCGACGCGAGCAAGAGGCTGCAAGGAACAAGACGTCATGGACCGGGGGGGGGAGGAGAATGGTGCTCAGCTCAGGAGATGCCGATGGTATAGCAGGCCGGAAAGAAGGACGGGGAAGAGGAGAGAAGGAGCAGCAGCAATCAATGGATACCCATGGGAGCTGGTGCCGAGCAAAGACGCGACGACGATGGTTGCGTGTGTTGTCATAATCAGGCTGCGGTATGCTATTCATAGAGGATCAACGGGAGACGTTGGTGGCGATGCAGCGGATGCTTATCTCAGTAGCATTCCATGTGGGTAAGAGAGCAGCAGAGTCTGGAGGCCTGGAGGCCAGGCCAGGCGGGCTATCGAAAAAAAACTCCGGGGAGGATGGGTCAACGGGCTGGGCAGGCTTAGTGTGGCGCGATTCAGGCGGGCCAGCCAGTCAGTCAGTGGAATCAGGCCGGCCAGGCAGGAACGCTGCCCGTCACGGAAAGCTGACAGGAACGCACGAAGCAGCAGAAGGCGCCAAGCTGGCGATCGGCCATCCCATCAGGCGGGAAGCGTGCGACGACAACCGACACGCACCAGGTGGCCAGCGCGTCACTTGTTGACAGCCAAACTCTAAACGTGAACGACAGCTGTTGCCAAAGCATAATGCGTATTGGAACATCCCGTTCGCAACAAAGGGGGGGGGACCAAACTGTCTGAAACACGACAACAAACAAATCAAAAAAACAGGCTGGTTGGGGGGCAGCCAAACGGGGAGGCGGCGCGGCAGGGGCTGCTTGCCTGCCTGCTTGCTTGCTTGCTTGCTTGGTTAAAGTTGTGGCTTCCAAGGCAAAGGGGGCAGGGTTCCGCCCATGGCCCCTGCTCCCGCTCTCCAACCAGCCAGCCAGCTGCCTGCCCCCGTCTCCCCAGCCTTGTTTTTCACTTATAAGTTCTCCCTCTCGCGCACAACACACCACCTCCTCTTCCCTACAATCCACATCCAGCATCTTCAACGCAGCACTCAGCCAGCTACTCCCACTCTTCTTACCACTCACCATCCCATACCCACCCATCTTCTTACCAAACAACACCCTCACCGCCAACATGCGTTACACTGCTGCCATTGCTGCCCTCGCCGCCGTCGGCGCCCAGGCCCAGAACCCCATCTCCCAGATCTCCGACGGTCAGATCCAGGTATGCCGTGCTGCTCTGCTACGCTCGCCATCAATTCACTGACATGACAATCCAGGCTCCCCCTGCCACCTCTGCCATCGCCTCCCAGATCTCGTCGGCTATCGTCTCTCAGATCTCCTCGGTTGCGTCCTCGGTCGCTGAGTCTGCCTCCGCCGTCGTCCCCTCTGCTGGATCCAGCGTTGGTATGTTTGACACTGTTTGCATTCGCACTGCCGCTCCATTCTAACACAGTTCCAGTTGCTCCTTCCGTTACCCCTGCTCCCGCTGTCCCATCTGGCGTCAACGCTACCGCGTCTGCCTCCAGCGCCGTCAGCAGCATCATCGCGTCCTTCAGCAACGCCACTTCCAGCGCCGGCTCTGCCACCTCTTCCGGCGGCTCCTCTCCTTCGGCTCCCGCCTCTGGAGAGTCCTCGCCCCCTGCCAGCCCCAACGGTGCTGCCGTCACCATGGCCTCGTTCGGTGCCTTCGGCGCTGCCGTCCTCGCCTTCCTCGCATAAGTGTGCCTCAGCACCTGTGTCGCCGTCTGTAGGCGCTTCTTCATTTTCACTTGGACCAATGCGCTTGGTTCACCGCCGAGGCCCCCTCTTCAGGACAAGTTGAGGTCTTTCTGCATGGCGAATCGGCTGCGGGTAATGCTTTAGGATTGGAATGGTTCATGGTTCACGGTTTGCAGGAGTAGGGTTTCTATATATCCCCAATTGCTGGTATGACGGCTTCCCTTAATGTGTTCATCACGCCCTCCGGGATTGCCTATCCAGATCCTGTATAGATAGTTGGCTTTGTCTAGCATCAGCACACAAAATATACCCTCTGCGCCCAGTGTGGTGCTGTTAAAAATCAGCCATGGTGTTTTTCCCGCGAGCAATTGAGAGCATTTGATCAAATCGCCATGTCGTTGTCCGCTAGCCCGATGCTCATGTAAGGGGCAGACCCCCATCGCACCAATAGCTGTGAACCGTGGTTCGCCTGATGTTCAAGCGCGTCAGCGACAGTGCCTTGAAACACCCTGTCTCTGGACCCCACATGCCACCGCTCCGAGTCCGACGCCGCGCCCCGTTGTCTCCACTGATCTTCCTCGACTTGCTGGCCTGACCTCATCATCGATCCTCCCCGCCATCCATTGTGTGCCGGCCTTGTGAAGAGCACATGTGAGAAAACGACACCGAAAAGTCGTTGAGAAACAGCCAGTCAACTAGCCGTGCATCTCGGCACCCGTCGACCACTTGATTAGCTGGGCCCACATCGCTAGTCCCCGCCGCCATTCTCCCGCGCCCCCGTTGTTTTGGTCTCGTCTGGCGCTCTTGGGTCCATCGCTTGGAAATGCTTAGTCTACATTTTCTGTGGACAACGTTATCACGCTCTTTTTCGACAAAAACCTTGAAATCCATCTCAGCCTGACCAATATCACAGGAGACCAGGGGCTCCCATCCCGAAACCAATCATCTCCACCTTCCCTTCTCGTACTGACCGATCGATGATCCTCGTGGCAATATGCCATCATATCTGCTTCTCCACAAACGACAGCAAACGGTTTTCAGCCTCGCCCTGACAAGGAGCCTTGCTTGAAATCCCAATCACGACACTTTCTTCCGTTCTTGCTGACCGATACATGGCCCTTATCGGGACATGCTCTTATGGAGTTATCCAATGATTCTGCATAACGAATACGAACCAGCTCCATCTGCCCAATGAGATCCGTCTGCTTTTCGCATCCTGCATTTCATCTCGTATTCATATACTGCCGTCTCATGGTTTTCTACCGGTTCTGTTCAAGAAATGACGTCGATTCCACAGCCTGATGATAGCTTTCTACATTTAAGCTCGCCGTTTTCAAAGCTTGGTCTCTGGGCATCATCTATTCCCAGACACTTACCATGCCTGATCATCACTCAAACCAAGCTTTACTGAATTCCATGACGGGGACGGCTAGGCCCAAATCAAAAGAGCAGTCCCTGCGAACACTGGCTCAAATCGTCTTCTCACTTCTGTTCATCATCATTGCCTCCATCGTAGCCTCAGTGGTCGTGCTTGTCGAGTCCCATCGTGCTTCTAAAAGAGATTGGGAGTTACGACCAGCTATCCTTCTTTCCATCTTCTCTTCCGCATATTCGATTGCCCTTGGGGGTCTGCTCACTGTCGGCGTGGCTGTCGCATGGTGGAGAAGTATCGCAGAAGGTACCCCTCTGAAACAGCTCCACTTCATCAAAGAAAGCGGAAGCCCAAAGCACTTCTACTATGCTTTCCTGGCTGGGCGAAAAGCCAGGAGGGTTGCGATTGTCGCGCTGCTTATACTTGCTATACGAGTAGCCACTGGTCCATTTCTGCAGCGCTCTACCACAGAACTTCCGCACACCAGCAACAAGGGTCTTCCCATGAAAATGGACCTCCTGGATCAGATACCGGACGGATTTAGAAACAGCACGTGGGCATTTCTAGACACCGAGTTTGTGTACGACGGACAGGAATTCTTTTTCAACTACGACATCACCACTACACAAGACGAGCCCGAATACTTGTGTCCTGAGAACGGGACATGCACTGGACACCTAATCGGGCCTGGAGTGGCCTGGGACATTGAAACAACTTCAAAAAATCTGAACGTCACCGACCCCACAAGCGACAACGAAACAGTCTTCAACATCGACATGGATCTAGGGCCAGACGCTTCAGGCACGCCAGTATTGTACCTGAGCACCACATTCGTCTCAAACGTCAGCAACGACTGCATCGCCGACCTCACAACCCAAACCTACAAAATAATCACCTCGTCCATCCTCTACTCGCTAACCATCGAAAACCGCACCGTAAAACCAGACTTTTCAAACGCTTCTCGCAACCCCTTCTTCATGCGCAACTACACCTCGCAAGCCAACAGGATCCCTCTCGAGGACGAAGACACTCACGTCCCCCGCGGACCTTTGGGAATCATCTACTCCGTATTCAAACCCATCTACCGCAGCCAAGCCGTGCTAGTTACGTCCAACAACTCCACGGGCAGGTACGACCAACTCATTGGTTTCTTTACAGACATGTACTACAATGAGACCAAATCCCACCAGCACGACAACAGATGCGGGAGCACCTGGGACCCCCCAGGTCAAGATATAATCGACCGCATGCTGCAGTTCTGCTTCCGCGTCGGGTTCGATTTGAAAGAAGACAAGAACGGGGTTACGCAGACGGGGACGCAGAATTTCACCGCTATCTACGAGTACCCTGATCAAATCTTCGTCACGCATTTCGAGTGGTTAGCTGCGGCGGTCACGATCATGGTTGTTGCGACCATCGTTGGCGTGGCGCTGTTGTGGGGGAGTTGGAGGCTCGGGAGGTATGTTACGCTTTCGCCGCTCGAGTCGGGGAAGGCGCTTGGAGCGCCGTTGCTGGTGGATAGGGCTGGGGATGTGATGGATGCGGAGGGCATTGTGAGGGAGTGTGGGGAGGTGCTTGTGAGGCTTGAGAATGGGAGGTTGGTGTTGAGGAGTGGGGTGGGTGATGCTGAGACCGCGGGAGCTGGAGATGGTGGAAGGGAGAAGGGGACGGGGTATAGTAGGGTTCCTGTTTAGGGGAGTGAGGTAACTGATGTCCAGGGAATAGTGCTCCAGTGATAGGTTTGTTCACGTGGTTGATGTAGGCACATTGGTTGTTCAGCAACTTGTTGGATTTCATAGATATGGGAAAGGTAGGTTTAAATCTTCTAACCGAGTTCCTAGGTCCTGCAGGTTCGTAATACAGGTAAGCCCTTTCCTTGCCATCTCTTTCGACCCAGTCGCCAGTCAAAACGGTAGTCTCCTAATCTGTAAGCTCGTTCCGTTTCTCCAGGTAATTGTTTACTTCCAAGGGAGGAATAAGCCTCGCCATCTCTCTATGTGATGGCTGATAAAACAGCAATGATACAATTTAACAGGCGGGAGTCTTCCTGCGTATGAAACTTTAATTCACGGATACTGTTCGCTGGAACTGTAGCTACATGATTGGCGGCTGCCAAGTCACCTCTGCAATCAAACGTTATTTATTTGACATGTGTCAAATCGTCATGCAGGGGTAAGTCTTTGGGTTTTGGACTTTTGATTGATATTTTGGATTAAGTTGTTGGTCTTGCTCGAATGTACAGTCACATTTCACAGTCGAGGCACAAGGAAGGAGATCATACTAATCAGTTGGGAAAAGGGAGATACAAAACAAACGCCTCAGACATGCTCTTTGGTCTGGCTCCATAGAAAGTGAGATAGAGACATCAAGACCTGGTGTCCCCTTTGTAAATTTGGTAACAATAAAACGCCATTCGCAATGCATAGAAACGAACAACCACACTATGACAAGTGTGGGAAAGGAACTGGCTGACATGGAACCCCCTCAATCGTCTGCCTGCTCCCCAATCAGGGAAAGCTTCACCTTCAAATCCTGTTCCTGCTTTGCAATGCGATCCAGCAGGCGGCGCTTGAATAACACGTTTGTGGTCTCCTTGAGCTGGTTCTGCGCATTGGTGATGGCGTCCTCGAGCTCGCGGATCTCACCGCGCACCAGTTCGTCCTGCTCTTGCTTGGCCGCAGCCTCGGGGTCGACCTCGTCATCGTCATCGTCGTCATCGTCATCGTCGTCTTCAGGAGACGTGGCGGCTGCAGGTGTGGATGCTGCGCTCTCAGGCTCCACGACAAGCTCGCCGTTGTGATGCTGGCCGCCCAGAGCATGCATGGCGACATCGTGCGAGGTCGCGACGGGGGTTTCAACTTCGATGGTCGCTTCACCGGCGTTGGCATCACCGCTTCCGAAGAGAGCGTTAATGTCGAGATCTTCGCCATCTGCGGTCTGCAGCTCCAAGCCTCCTTCTTCCATGTCCTCCAAGAGCCCTTGTGCGAGCGCAGCCTCGAGCTCTTGCTCGTCCACTTGGTCCGCGAGTGGCGTTTGTGTGTAGTCTGCTCCGTACATATCTTCGTCGTCGCCCATAGCGTCTTGATCATCAAACTCTTCCCCACCAGAGCCTTCTTCCTCGCTGTCGATGAGTTCGTATTTGGATGTGTGGGCTTGCTCGTCCTCGGCGAGCAAGGCTTCCGTTTGTGATTCAATGCGCTCAACGTCGAGGTACGACTTTCGCGGGCGGAAGCGACGCCGACGCACCCAGTTCATGGGCGGGGTGAGGCCGTGGGCGAATCGGTGGGTGTCTGGCTCAATGGTCTTAGGGCGAGTGACCTTTTTGGCTTCGTCCTCGCTATTAACGCGGCCGAGCACGAGGAGCATTTGGCAGACGTCTGCCGTCTTGACCCAGTCTTTCTTGTTCCAGCTTTTGAGTGACTCGATCACGCATGGCAGTTCGACCATGGTTGCGGCGTACATGCGGCCTTGTATGGTCACGATCGATCTACGGCCATCCCGGTCTAGGAATCGAATCTGCACGCCCGGTCCGCCTTCTGATTGTTTCTTGCCGATTGTCCTCTCCTCGATAGATTTTCGCAACAAGTCGTTATCAGGACCGGGTTCCATGCGCAAGACAAACTGTTGCTCGATGGCTGGATCATCTTCTGCGTCTTCTGCCTCACTGTCATAACCAGCACCCGGAGGTCTGGGCGGAGGTCTGCCTTGGGTCTTCATCTTGAGTACCGCTGTGCCTGCTCTCTGCGGCTGTCCAGGTACCTTCGTTTTCAACGAGAGTTTGACAGACTGTGTGCGTGCGGGTGCCTTCTTCTGTGTCTGCGCTTTCTTGGGTGCTGCTGCTACTGCAATCATGTCGGCTTCGTCGTCTTCATCGCTATCTCGAGTACGTTCCAAACTTTTCTGTGTCGGTTTCGGCTTGCGCTTGGCTGGTGTTCCCTCCTCACCGTCTTCCAACGGTCGCTTCTTTGGTTTCGGCGCGGCCTTCGCTGCTGTGATGGGCTGTCCGTCTTCGTCTAACTTGGGCTTCTTGGTGTACTTCCGCTTCTGCTTTGGAGCATCACCGGGGGGAGCGGGAACGGGAACGGGGGTATCTTGGGAGGGTTGCGCAGACGATTTGAATTTGAGATTCAGTTTCGGGGCAGATGTCGTGGGCGTTGCTGTAGCACTTGTTGAAGGTGCTGCACTGGCGGGCGCGCTCGTGGGTGCTGGTGCTGGAGGAGCATCGCCAGAGGCTGGCCCTGGGGCTTTTAGTTTAAGCTTCATCGTATCCCGGTCTTGCGCAGGACAAGTGAAAGGCTCGCAAGCTGCAAAAGCAAACGGATTGTCGTCGAGTGTGGAATGTGAATGAGGTGCGGAGGCAAGCTTCGTTGGTGCGGAGGTCTTGGCGCGGCGCGTTGATTGCGGGTAGCTAATCCTTTACCCGTTCGCACCCTCACTCTTTCTTCTTTTACTTCCATCCCACGCCCTACACCAGTTTGCTCCACGTACACGATGCGCTATCTGCTACCGCCATAAACTACAAATCATCAAAGGCTCCCGCCTGCCGTCGTCGTGATCGCGCGCCAGCATGTCTGCCACTACCAACACCAACGACTTGTTTCTGACACTCCTCCGGCCTGCCGTCCTCCACATCCTGCGCGCTTCTGGTTTCCAAGGCGCCAAACCTTCGGCCGTCGATACTGTCGTTGATCTCACAGCACGGTACATGACGTTACTTGCAACGCGTACAGCCTACAATGCATTCTCCAACCATAACGACCACGAGCCAGACATCAGCGATGTGCGCATGGCCATGCAGGACTGCGGACTCCTCGTCCCCACAATGACCGCTTCAGAAGAGATATGGAGTGAAATGCTTCGCAAGCCTTTGGAGGCCTACGATGAAGAGTCAGGAGCACGTGCGAAAGAGGAGAAGAGAAGGGATGCCGACGACACAGCGGACGTAACGGCCTTCATTGACTGGGCGAGAGGGGACCAGAATAAGGAGATCAGAAGGGTGGCTGGAGTCGTTAAGCAGCCACAGCCGACGGTCACAGAGCAATTGGATGCTGCTGAAATGGAAGACTATTTAAGCTGTAAGAACCAGTCCTGGAGGACTCGATGGCAGGAAAAACCGCTAACTAGTGTCAGCGCTCATGAAGAAGCACAGCAAAACGGGTGTTGATTCGCGATACCAAGGAACAATACTGGGAAAACCCGCGGAGCTGAAACCGGTCAAAATCGAGGGAGGGTCCGCTGACTCCTTGGAAGATTGGTGCCGCAGGACTCGTGAACAGTCCATCAAAGCGGCAGAAGCTGCACGAGAGAATGGCGATGCAAAGAGTCACGCAAAACAAGTGCTGGAATCCACCGAACAACTAGAAGACGTGGAAATGGAGACCGACTAGACGCCCCGACGTTGTCTTGTACTTTAGCATAGCGATGGTGTTTGGGCGTATTCGAATTTCGGTATGGATGGTCATCCACGGAGTTTTGGACACAGCGAGAATGGGTTTTTGGACTCACATCGAGTATGCTTTCTTGCGCATATCGACAAAAATCGAACAGCATTCTTCGAACCTATTACAATATTTTCCTCGTATTTTTGAAGTCGATTTCACGAATAGAGAGAGATCTCGCGGCGCCACAGATCCAGATAAGGTCCCGATTGCAAGCCATGCACTCAGCCTATCCTGTCTGGATGGAGAGCTATTACTTGAAAATGCTAGTAATGAGACCGTCCATGCGCATCGTAATATAAAGAAGCGCGTGGGGCGAGATCAATGACGGGTTGCACCCCGCCTACGTCATAATAAACTAACCTCTTTACTCTAAAGTGAGGGAGAAACAACTTCCTACCGACCACAACTTCACTCATACAGTAGGACAACGGACTTTCTGACCCCTTAAGTCGTCGAATTCAACAATTCGTACCCTGATTCTCTGACAACTCAGCACCACCTTCCGGTCAAGGCAACAAAAGCACTTCTCCGGCCTCCCAATCCATAATCACAAATCAACAACAATGTCCGCTCTAGATCCCACCGGCCCTTCCCAACCAACCCTCAACCAAGCCTACACAACCCCCGGCAACGCAGTCTCCAAAGACCCCTCAGAAGTCTCGCAAACTACCGCACAAGCCAGCGACTCATCGCAGCCAATCGACAAGCGCGTTCCATCTACGCAAGCATCGAGCACAGACCACGACGGAACGCCCTCAGCACTGGGCTATGGAATCCACGGTGCCCCAGCAGGCGAGGAAGCTAAGGGGTTGACGGAAGAGCAAGTTGGTAGACACAATGAGCTCGATGCCCAGCAGATGGCTGCACCGGGTGAGGGGCGCGTTGCAGATGCTGTTGCGGGACGTACGGGTGGTGTGAATTTGGGCAGTGGCGGGAGTCAGCCTGATTTTGCCGCGGATTTGGACCGGTGAGCTTTATAGATTTCTCTGCGAGGGGTAGAGGTTACGAGGTTGTTGGAGGAACGGAGTGCTGACCACCTTTTGATGCATTTAGGAAGAAAGCTGAGCAACAGGAAGCTAGAGATGCTATGTTGGGTAAGAAACAGGAGAATATTGAAGCAGGAGGAGCGCTTGGTCAAACTGGTGAGTTAGCTACTACGTCTACTATCATTACTCACTCCTGGGTCATGGAAGCAACACGTGAACTGACTTGGAATCACAGGCGGCCCGGCAAACCCTGTGGACAAGAACAACTACCCCAACTCTGGCGCTTGAACTGAGATCAGGAATGCGATCACAAAAGAGATATGCGAAGATAGTTAGTATCGTGGCTTTCTGCAAAGACTGCCTTTGTCTCGTCTGATGGCTGGCAGCAGGTAGGAGGACTTCAGGCGTGCTGTATTTCGAGGGTGTCTTGATATGCATGCGGCTGGCATGATTTGCATATATGTTCGTCCAAACCCGGATTAGAATGCAGTATTTCGTTATGGTCCTCGCATATAATATATACATAGTGTTTTTTTCGAGCAATACAACGACATGAAAGTCCACGAACAGAAAACACACGTAGTGGTGAACCGATTCTCTCAGCGAAGCACGATTATAGAGGAAACTGACCCTAGTGAGAGTCAATAGATTTTCTCGTGAGTGAAAAGAAAGGCAAATCTAGGATAAACAGAGAAAAGAAAAAACAATCCCATTGAAACAATCCCATTGAAACAATATGCAGCTACGATGTTCATACAGTACAAAAAAATTCGAGACCATCTCATTCAACCTACATGAACAACATCCTCAAGCCCAATATCGCAGCACCCACAATTTCAATCCACATCAACTCCCCAGCAACCAAATCATCCGCCCAATCTCCCTCTCCAACCCACCACCTCCCAGCCACCAGCACCACCAGTGCCACCAACAACTCCCCTGGCCCAATCCTCTTCACAACCATCTTCACCCTCCACCCAACCTTCCAAACCGGCCCAAGCACCCACACCCACGCCAGAACATACGCCCTCTTTACCCTCTTCGCGCCCCACGGACCCACAACTTTAACCCCATACGCGACCGCAAAAATCATAAACCCAACGAATCCAAGTACAAAGTCGACGAGTGGCCAAACCACCTCAGCAATAGAAACCAGAGTATTCGCGGCTTTACCAGTGACGTGCTTTACCGCAATACAAGCGTATTTGTGCACGGTGCGCGACTGCGATACGCACATCCAGACACCCAGCATCGCGAGTTGGAAGAATATGCGTCTGCGTGGAAAAGGTGCCGCTGCTATTTCCGTTGATATCGGAGAGGGGACGCGGGATATGTGCGCGCCTAGCGCGAGGAGGAGATAGAAGATGCACTCTGTGACATTCATCTTCTTTCTGCGGAGACGGGAGAGGATGAATGGGAAGAGAATTAGTAGGAGAGAGATGGAGAATGCGAAAGATGAAGACGGGGTGGAGGGTGAGCTTGTGTTGTTGTGGTGGAGTGGGATCAGTGCTGTTAGGAGGAAGAGGAAGGAAGTCAGGAGAAGGAAGGGTTGCATGAGAATCCAGAGAAAGACTAGCATGATGAATTTTGGGATGGTATTTGTTGGCGCCGTCCATGGAGAGGAGGAGATGGTGGGAGTGGTGGTGTTAATCGTCGCATAGGCACGGATGAAGTATGGGTCTTGGAAGAGGAAGGCGTAGGCTTCTGTCCAGATGGAGAAAGGGTAGTTTGGGGTTGATGGTGTTGTTACTGTTGCTATGGCGGTGGCGGAGGGAAGGTTTGTGAGGAGGAGGAGGATCGCTGCGAAGATGCTTTGTTGGTGGATGCGGGTAGGTGGGTCGGGATTACGATCAAGACACTGTCGTGGTGGTTTTGGCTCCTCCTCGCCGTAGTCGTCGTCGTTTTCATGCTCTGATTCGGTGGTATATTCGTATTCGTCCTTGTTTTCGACGTCCGTAGGACCGAAGAGGGCGCATATAGCCTTGTACAGGCCATTGAGCATCTCATAGCTGTTATATATGTTGCTCCTGGCCTTCATCTTCCTCTGCTTTTGGATACCCCCGTTTGCTTGCCTATTACGCTCGATCCTCCACATCCTGTGTAACTGTCGTTCCTCCCTGCTGACGTTCGCTCGCATGAAGAGGTCGTTGATGGTTGGTTCCGCTGCCCTCGTCGCAACGTCTTCTCCTTTCTCATCCCACTTGAAGTTGATACTGCGAGATTGTGTGGATACATATTGTTGTTGTCGTCGCTGGTGCTGCTTCAGCGCATGATTATCTCCATACGTAGCCCTCACATCGAACCGGGAGCCATTCGGATGTCGCGGTGATCGGTGAATTTTCGAATCATATGGGAGACGTGGCGCTGGATAGCGAGTGAACCTAGGACGAATAGGTTCTGATGACATAGCGCTCGATTTCGATTTTTGTCTGCGAATGATTGTAGTTGAATGAGAGTTTGATGACAAAGAGAAGCAGAAGCGAAAGTTCCTCGCAGAATTGGAAAAGACTAGGTGAGTAGGCGGCAGGAAAGAATTTAGTACGTTTAACAGAGTGAAAGACTTATAGAGCAGTGAGAGAACGTGGGACAAGCAATAAACAAGGTGCCGCTGCTACTTCAACAACAATCAAAACAATGCAACAAAGAATATGGCGTTTTCTGTACAAAGGAGAAAGGCTATACTTAGTGAATCCATCGCTCTACAGTCACGATGCAGAATATGGTATGCATGAAGGACAAACAAAGAGACTCAAGATAGCTCTCGTCCACCTGAACACCAGAGCAACAGGGACGTGATGTACTCCAAGGTACCAGCTACCCTATATACCCTACATACCCATTCAATATCTCTTTTCCAACACCAATAGACTAGTACGATACATTGTCTCATGATTGAAACTCACCAGAAGGTTGGTGTCAGAATCGTGCGTTGAGAGGATTCATAACCCGTGATATTCCACATGTCACCCACCAGCAAAGCAGAGTTGAATATTCAAAGATGAATTAGATAGGCAGCATTAACTAATACAGCAAATAATTAAAAATATTGTGCATCTCGCAGTGAATTGTGCAAAGATATAAAGATCTGGCAAAGCATAAGCCGACGTGTATGTACCACCTTCAAGCGTCGTTCATCGTCGTGTCGTGATCGTTCATCATACAACAAAAGAAAGAAGGAATAAAAGAACTGCTCCAGCTCTGATCCGAGTAAGTAAAGCGAGGCGCCGTTGAGAATGCATATCAAGCAATATATCCGCGCCATTTTTGAGTGGTATGTACGCAGTTGACCAGCCGCAGCTAGCAACCGAGAGACCGACGTATCCGCACCAACCCCCGACCAATATAAACGCCGTTGCCGCAATCGGGCAGCTCAAATGCATGTGTGATGGGTTTCAAAAGACAAGGAAGCAAGCGGAGAGCATGTTCACTAAAGCCTATGCGCATCGAACTGGAAGTTTTCAATGTCGTTCGATGACAACGAAGGGTCGTTTGTGGTGTACATGATGGAAGAGTAAGACACATCAGAGTCGGGCATGCAGAGATTGCCGTTGGCGGTGCTGTTGCTGTCAAAGTCGAAATATTGGGTGGTGTCGACATTCATTGGCATTGACATGTGTGCATCATTTGTCGATTGGGGGTTGGCGTTGAAGTCATACACTGACGTGTCGTAGCTGTTCATGTCGGCGGTCTCGTTGCTGTTGTCGGAAGAAGCACTGTCAGGCGACTGAGCAGTGGTGGCTTTGTTCTCCACCTCAATGTCTCTGATCCAGTGCTGTTTCAAAAAGTCCATTGGGGGGTCATCACCGCCCCCAATGCCACCGCGCTTCTCGTCGTGTTTACCTTTCCTGCCGCGCTTCCTGGGGTGGAAATGCGCGCGGCGAAGATGAGCAGCGGCGTTGTAGTAGGCACCATACACTTTCTTGTTACGGCAGTGTTTGCAATTGGCGAGGAATTTCTTGTCGGGAGAGGCGTCGACGCAGATAAAGCCCTTTCTGACGGCTGTGTGTGCGCGCGCTACGTGCCTCTCGAGCTCGTGTGTGCCTCGGAACCCATCAGGTCGCTCATTGCAATGAGGGCACATGATTTTTGGGTGCTGGGGTCGTACATAGGCAGCTTTGGCGATGACGCCAACATTTTTGGATGAGCCGTCTTCTGACTGAATCCGCACCATCTGAGCATTTGACGGCGTAGACTCGGTCTTGAAGTCGTTCAGAGTTGCCTTTGGGGCAATTCGGCATCGGCCCGCTTGGGCGTTGATTTCCCGGCCGCGTCGCACATGGCGCGAGCCGGTCGAGGGCGACGAGGCGATGCTCGTCTGGCTCTCGCTAGAAGATGAAGCCGATCTTGTCATATCCTCCGCCAGATCCGGCTTGTTCTGAGAAGAGGCAAGTGCAAACGCACTTGCAGCAGAAGTACAGGAAGAGAAAACAGGTACAGAAGAAGAAGAAGGAAATGCTTCACTGGGCGAACCAGTGAATTGATCAAGGAAATGAAGATTATCAACACCATGGTTGATAGTCTTTGCGTGAATAGGAAATGAAACAGTTCCATCCTCTGAGAGGATAGGAAATACAGAAGAATCAGAAAATTGCATAGATGAAGAGTCATCAAAGAGACTTGTGTTGTAGCTGCTTTGACGGCTCATGTTACTCGAGTGAATAACAGGCGTCATCAAAGCGGTCGACGAGGGCGTGCTGGGCGCCGTGGAGGGGTCCATTTGAGGACTCCACTGCGTGCTCGGTGTCAGTGGTACGTGCAAGTGAGGGGACTGCTGGGGAAAAGAAAGGGGATAAGAAGAGGAGGCGGAATTTGAAGGGTCGATGAAGTTGTTGATGTAGTCGGAAGGCGAATACTCGCTGATGGGAGCGGAATCGGAGTAGATGGCGTAGGCGGACTGCTGGTCGTCGCATGCAGGTTGCCAGTTGGTCATGGTCGAGGCGGAACGGGCGAGCATTGTGTTGTTTGGGTCCATGATGGACAGGTGGGGATCCATGGTTGAGGTGGGTGGAGCGGACTGGATGCGGTCCATGGAACCAAACTGCGACGTCTAACGACGGTTAGAAAGAGGAGGAGAACAGCGACCAAAGATGGATCCATACAGAGAAGTCTAGCATGTCAGGATGCGGGTAGGCCATGGAGCGCGGGACCTGCTGGAGAGCGACGGGCTGGCCAGAGAGGGTTTGTAGCCAGAGCTGTTGGCGGGTCTGTTCTGGGAGGCTGCTGTGACGGGCGTAGAAATCGAGCTTCAACTGCTCCATGGTGGCGGCGTAAGGTGTGGCCATGGTACGGCGGGCTGTGATGGGTGGATGGAAGACGGACGCTGGGAGAGAGTCGTAGGTGGAGTGGGTCACTGGAGGGTAGGCCTGGTCAGCAAACTTGATAGCTATAGGGCTTACACAGTGATTGACTGGCTTGGTTGATGATGACATACGGTTGGTGGACGAAAAGGGTATTTGGCGATGTCGATGATGGATGGATAGATAGATGGAGTGATGAAGCTGGTGATGGTGGAGTGGGCAGGCAGAGTGGGAGGTTGCAAGACGAATGAGGAGGACGATGATGATGACAGACGAGACGAGACGGGCGGTGATGGCAGACTTAAGAGACAACGTCGGATGGACTAGGCCGTGCCGTTGGCGTCGCTGCGCTGGCTCGTGTCGCGAATCATCCAGGGCAACCCGACGGGCGTTTGATTGGCTGCCCCGGCTTAGGATGCCACCATCTTCTCGCCTGGCCTTGCATCCCGACCCTCCACCCCTCCAAACCTGCCTCGACCCTCCCACCACGCCTGCAACTCTCTGCTTTGGTCCATCTCACCCTCCACTCCATTGGGCAAGGCAGAATGCACGTCAAGCAAGAGGGCAATCCATCGCCAAACCACCGTCCTGCCGTCGCCGCCTAGCCATACAGGAAGACGAGTCAAGCCAAGCCCACCAGCTGCTGCGCCTATTCCTGCCCACCACCAACTTCGACATGAACGGTGAACAACGGGCATGCCATCCATCCATCATCCATTGTCAGCTCGTCAGTCAGTCTGTCTGTACATGGCCAGTCTGATATCACACCCCGTGACTCTCCTCTCTCGCCGATGTTCGGCACCAACCTACTTACTCGTGTCAAATGTCACACCAAATCCAGCAGACCATCTCTTCTCATTTCCGTCTGAATTCGCATGGACCAGAACACGTTCGTGTGCATGTCTATTTCGAGAATGCCACTTTGATTATACGTCTCGATTGCTTCCTACTACTTGCTCTAGTCTGCCCGAGTCACCGCTTTCAGCCGCGTAATTCACCCACAATCTGCCAGCCAGCTCCAGGTAGCGCGCTAGCCTTGTCAGGGATCTTCCCAGCGCCACTCACCGTATGGAACCACCGTGTAGCAGAGATCGCAGTCTTCGACGCCCGGGAATCTCTGGCGAAGCTGCGTGACGTTGCCCGTCTGGAATGGAAACTCGAGGCGATGGTGAAGCCGAAGTGAAGGTTTGTCCCGTGCGATCGCTGTGCCCTCCTTTGGCCGTCTTCGAGATGCCTTCTCCGACGTCTCCGCCCGGCAGCCAGTATAGATCAAGGCCCTCTTCAGACGCCTCTTCCACGATCCCTAGCTCCTGGAAGAAGCACACGATGCTGTCCAACGCCACGAGGTCGGAAAAACGCTTAGCTTGCGTATAGGGCTGCGCGAACAAATCTAGCGTAGCAATCGACCCTTTTCGGGGTGTTGCTACCATCCTGTCCTCGATCCGGATTGGCCCAGGGATGTACACTGTCCTCTTTTCCGGGCTACTGCTTGTCTTTGTTTCAGAGCTACTGCGTTTGAGAGTAGCTCGCCGTTGAATTTGCGGTGTCAAGGGCAAGGAGAAATGCTTTGCCCTGGGTGTGGTCCGCGCTGCACTATGTGCTGGCAGCAACGGCGATTCATCACGCAGCAATCTCGGGCCTTTGGGGGATGCTCGAGCTGATCCATTGCTAGACTGCTCACCGTAGAGCTCTCTGGGCGTAGCCACCATGGATGAGGGCGTGCCCGGCAGATCTTTCAACTTGAAATCGACAAAGGGCGTCGTCCTCAGAGGGTCCATTTTCTTCCTCTCCAATGTCTCTTTCACTCTTGCTTTCTCTGAGAAGGACGATATATCGACTAGTTTCTTACGTTCGCCCATAGCCTCTGAGATGGATCGTAGATGCGCGGATGCTCGAGGTGACAACCTCCATACATGTCTATTCGTCTTCGATCCTACCCTCCCAACCGTTTTCCTGTTCGTCATTTTCCGGGTGATGGCAGATCGCGGGGGAACTGTCGTTGATTGGAGACGTCGCGGTATGGGAGGAATTGTGTCACTACTCGAGCGCTGCCGGCTGGTCAAGTTTGATGTACCGCGATTTGCCCTCTCGCTGATCGCTCTTCTTGGGATATGCGGTCGTGGATGTTTATAAATGTACAGCTCTCCAGGAGGCGCTGTTGCAGCTTTTCTTGCCAAAGGCGGCCTATTTGTCGTTGCTGGTATCGCATCACTATGCTGTCGTAATCGCTGACGCTGAGGGTGTTCGGTTTATCAGCTCGGTATGCAAGATATAACGATTGGACTTACCTGCTGCATAGTATCCACATCCTGGTCATCATCCTCATCACTGTCTATAACCATAGTTCGCAGTCCCTCCGTCACGTCGATTTCTAATGTGGACACGCCTAGCATGCTCGAAGGGAAATTCTTCGAGCGTATTGGTGCCTTGCCTTTCGCTTGAGCAGACATAATGGTGAAGAACTTGCATTTGCACGAGGCACAGTCAAGGCAACCATCTGATATTCACAGACCATCAATTCATGTGCAGCCTCTTTGTCCTTCCCCGCATCGTCGTAGCTACCTGCTTGCGGTTCCACGAACCAACTCCCCGCCACAAGTTGCCCATCAAAGAACAAAGGAAACACCACCCACAATACATCACGTATCACACGCTCGCTATCAAATAATACTTTGGGGCGTTGCTCGAACCCTTATTCTTGCCCAATACATACCTTTCCGCGTGTTATACGGACTTGAACTCATGTGTATACGTTCCATCCTCCCTACATGAATCTGATAGCGAGCTCTTCAACCTCATGCTGACAGCGACGGTAGAACAACCAATTACAAGACAAAGTTAGCTCTCCGAGTTTAAATGATTGTGTATAGCTCGTTGATTATACGTTTATTTATTTATTTTGAGTTGGAATTTAGGTGATCCTCCACACAGTGTAGGGTTACAACAATAAATTGACCCAAAAAACGAGCGATAGCCTATTAATTATTATCTTTAGAAAAGTTACTTTGTTTCAGTGGTACTAAAGTATCTAAGTAGTAGTAACATACGTGTGCAGGTGGTTATTGCAATACTCGCGATGCATTTGAGTTGCTTATTCATTTATTCTGATTCGGTGTTTAGGTGATCCTACACAGCGAAGGGTTACAACGATAAATAAATCAGAAAAACGAGCGATAATTGATTATACATATACATCCTCGATATGGAACTCAAGATGAGACAATATACTGACCTACCACACACACCTGGATGCTTAACGTCCCAGGCCTAAACCCTAGAAATCTACGGAGAAGTCGAGTCCCAGTACAGGCATTCCGACAATCATACAATGCACTCTATACTCCAGAAATCATACTGCCCACGCAATTCAACCCACCTCAATGTCCTCAACAAGGCAGATCCAGAAACCCATCAGGTCCAATCGTACACCTATGACAAATGACTTTCTTTACCACTCGATCAGCAATATCGCCATGATTCTCCACCGCCTTACCCCAAGAATCACTCCACACATGAAAACTCACCATCCCGCGATTCAACCGCCTCAGCATTCTAAAATAATCCCGGAACATGTTGTAATTCTCAAAGTCAAGGAAAAAATTCGCTTCATACTCTTCGACGAACTCGGGACGGTTCGGTCGGAAACCAACCATGATCCCATGAACTGTGAGGTCCGTGCAATCCGGTAGCAGGTCGCGGAACGCGACGTCATTGGCGCTGATGACATTGTGTTTATCTGCGTCCTGTTTGCGGTTTATGCCAATATTCATTTCTATCCCGACAATCGCGGAGAGTTCTGGGGGAGTTCGGTCTGCGAGCCAGTCTTTGAGGACGCGGAAACTGGGTGCTACTATCACTGTGCCTTTTTGGAATGCCAGGAGATTGGTTTCAAAATACAGTTTTCGGCACGTCAGACGTACACTTAGTGGGTTTGGGAACTGTGAGTTGTGTTCGTGGGGTTTTTTGTGGCGGGCTGGAAGTCGGTATTCTTGATGCGTGGGGAAGAGGAAGAAGTAGATTCTGTTACGGATCTCGCCTGGGACACGCAGGATTGGAGGGGATTGTTTTTGGGGTCTGAAGGTGTGTTTAGTGATGCGGTGAGGGGCGTTGAATTGACGTTGAACTTACGGTTGATTAGCATTTTCAGGTAGTGGAAGAGGTCGGATCAAAACGCCCTGGTGCTTTGTCAGTATAGATCTTCACTGGAGACATTGGGTACGAATGAAGGAATCTGAACCGCTTCAGACTACTTACTCGATAGTGCGGATCCTCTGGGTCAGGCGCATCCTCAGCGCGAATATCGCTAGTAAGAACAGCTGCATGTTGAACGCTCATGATTATCTCGTCTACCAGCAGTAGTCCTTCGAATGCCAGTCGAAAAGCTTCGAACCCCGGGTTGAAAGGTTGGAGGCAACTCGGCAGGGCGAGCGCTTTAACTAAGTAAACATTCACTGCAAAGAATTGATTGTCCAACAAAAGTCACCAAGCATTCCTCACTAGCCACTCGTTCGTAGTATATACACAATGGATGCTCACTGATTCGTTATGATTTGTGAATGACGAGTCAGGTAGTCCACAACGCCGAATCAGTACTGTGCACTTATTCACGCAAGCAACCTCGCTGGGTCTACGCTAGTATATGAGGTACTCGAAACAAACGTAAGCAACGTCTTTCGCCAGATAGCCATTCTTTTACCAACCCAACAGTGGTAGAAGGACCCAAAAATATCCAAGAGGGCTTTCGTTGAGTCGACCAATCCCAACCATTATATTACGTCGTTGTTTACTTCGATGATGCGTTTAGTCTGCGACAATGTCTCTTTGGGGTTTTCAACTTCACAACAAGCTCTCACGTCAGGTAATTAATAGAACATAAGCAACTTAGATACATCACGAGTATTGCAATGACCACCTACCCACGTATATTACTACTACGTAGACACTTTGGTAAAACTAAAATCATGTAATTTTTCAAAAGGAAAAAATCTATAATTATATTAATCAACAGCAATTTGTGCAAAGAAGTAGTCAGTAGATGAAATGTTGTTATTTTGGTTTATTCATCTTGCCCGCTTCCTTTTCATTATCCTCTCTCCACTTCTTCCTGCTCCTCCGTACCCCCAAATTTATGCAAAGGAGTCCCATCAGCTCCTTCCCCACCCTTGCCCTGCCCGGCCTCAATCTCCTTACAGCGCCGCACCAAATCACTAATATGAGCATCCTCGCTTTCGTCGCTCAAACCTAACAACGCCGTCTCCAGCTGGAACAAATACTCTCTATTCTCCCCGCTCGGTCCTCTACTCTTTAGTATGTGACGCGCCAGCCGATCTGGATCCTGCGGTCCAAGGAACTGTGGGTTCTCCGGTAGCCCGATGTACACGAGGCAGTGAATAGTGGAATTTGGGGAGTCAGCGGGACGGAAGGGCGTGAATTGAATGCTGTAGCCGTTGATTTCGCGGATGTCTAGATACTCGCGAACTTCTGCAACGTGGGACGTGGGGATGTGGTATGCGGCGCCCCATACGCGTTCAGTGGATTCATGCTGCAGATTTAGTTGGTCAAGGTAGGACTTTCTGGAAAAGAATAAAGATTTCAAGGACGACCTACATGATCAGTCAATGTTTCCCAGTGTGCTCGGTCGATCAGCGTCGCTACGCGCCCGGGAGCTTCTGGTGTACCGCGGTGGTCTTCACTGTCACCGAATGTTCGTTAGGCGGTGTCCAAGTGGCGGGATGAGTGTAATAGTCGCGACATACCTCGCCTGTATAATGTTTGGTTAGCTTTTGCACTTTTTTATACACGATATGGTAACATGTTTCATCGCGACTTTCTCGTACCTGCCAGAACCGTCTCACATATCCCTCGATATATCCCGGTACACGCTTGTCTGCAATGTTGCAATTGCATATCAACACATTGTCTCTTCTCAAAACATAACTCACGCCGTTTTAGAGACGTGAATACACCTGGTACTTGGAGCACAGTTTCGACTCTCCCGGTTTACGTACCAAAATGTGGCGGAGGCTTCCATATCAGACTCCTTTTTCACAACCAAAAGTTCAGCAAATGAAGTCGAACGGATTAGACAAACAAGAAACTGTCAGCTAAGACTTACCCATATCCAAACAGCCAGAAGTCGTCGTTGTTTCCAAACGTGTCGATCTGGGTCATGCCTTGTTGATCGTTGTTTGCCATCTCTTGCGACTGTTATTCCCTCCGATGACAGATGATGCAAAGATTCGGAAGTCGAGGTTCGATTCAGCGACAGATCGAGAGACAGGTCAAAAATAAGGTGTTGGAAGCAAAGGAAAAACGTGAGGTGTATAGCGAAAACAAGAGGGGTGCATGTGTATAGTGAGAGATGATGTGTTAGCAAAACAGTTGTTGCCATGGAGGGGTAGCTTCGAAGCTCTGGTGGGGCAATCGCGAGTTTGCGTGAGCACGCGACGGGAAAACGCCATCGCGAGCGCCTGCATTCCGATTCCAGTAGTAATATAGAACTAGAAAAGTTTCGTGAATTATTGTGTTTTTCATATGTACATACGTATTTATACAATGGCTACAGAACCGTTTTATGAACCTCCTGCGGCTCTACCCATGAAGAATCCTTTTAATGGCCCTATAGCATCTACTGCTCTGAACCCCAAGCTTCGAAGACCTACAAGGGGACCGGACCCAACACTGTACAAGCGGTGCAATTTGTCGCACACCCCAAGCATAGCATTGTTCTCCGCATATCGATCTGCGGTGTAACTTTCCAACGCCAGCGTACTTCCAATATCTTGACCTGTCGAGACCGCATGTGAAATGGTACGGAAGAGCGCAGCGGCATCACCTTGACCTTGATTGAGACCCTGGCCCGCCAAAGGATGTATGGTGTGAGCAGCATCGCCAACTAGCGCTACTCGTTCACCAGTGTAGGTATCTGCGTGCCGCATTCGGAGGGGGAAGGAGGCTACAGTCCCGGGTTGAACAAAGGAGACGCGCTGCGGAATTGCACGTTCCTGAGCAGGAGTATGCCTTTCTCGCCATGCAACCTCGTCCTTTTGTCCAGAAGAGAGGGTGTGTAGATATTCCAGATCGGTTGGTGACAGTCTAAACGCTGCATTTACCATTGCGATGAAGTCATCTGAGGATAGAGATTTCAATATGGCGGCGCGCTCGGGTGTTGTGCTCCAGACCAAGGTCGCCATATTGCCAGGTAGGGGCAGCATAGCGATGGGCCCCGTGGGAAGGAAGCGTTGATATGCAATCTTGTGATCTAAGCCACCCCAACCTGGCCCAGAGAGCTGAAGGCTAGCTACCACACCATGACGATTGTAATCAAAACCACGCGAGGGAATGCCAGCGAAGGTTCGGACAGGGCTGTTGGCACCGTCCGCTCCCACCAAAAGTCTTGCGGCGAGGCTCTTGCCGTTCGAAAGGCTCACAACGGGCCATGATGTCATATCCAGCTGTTGTGTATCCGTACCCAGCTCTATCGACTCGACTTTGGTCGCAGAATATATATCAACCCCGCCAAGTTCTTCGAGCCGCGACAACAGAGCGGTTGTTGTGTTCAGGTTCTCGATCATGTACGCTATTGTGGTGGGCTGACTTGGTTTGCGTGGAGTGAAAGGAGTACGTGCGCTTTCCCAGTCGAAGGAAATGCGCGCATCGGAAACGCCATCCCACACTTGCATCTCGTGATAGGGTTGAACGCGTGAAGCGTGCACATGACGCCATGCTCCAATTTCTAGATGAATGTTAATGTGACGCTCTTCGGGGAGCCTTCGGATGCTCTGGCTTGGTACCTTGGAGATTCTTCACTGAGGCAGGTGTGAGTGAGCTGCATCTGTTCGAGAAGCTGTCCAGGCTCGCATCTTTCCGTAGCCGACTTTTTTGCAAGTCCTGACCCTCTATAAGCGCGACTTTGAGCCCACTCGTGATCGCAGAGGCTTTCAATCCAGCCAAAAGGCTGAGGCCTGCCGGTCCTCCTCCAACACATACCACATCGTATATCTCGGGGGTGTCGGTGGAGCTCGATGCAAACCTCCGCTGGGGCCGCCGCACTGGTAAGCGTATGATGTATGTTGTGGATGAGAGGCCTCGATGCGCTCCCAGTTGGAGTCGTGGAGGCATTACGGACCCAATCACTGATATTTCATAGGTAGAAGGTCTGTTGCACCGTCATGTATAGTGTCTATGTTGGGTGCTTGATTCCTCACATTGTCACTCAATGATGATCTGATGTCGGCTTCATCTGCGCTAGGCCCCCTGAAGTCTAGCGCCACCCAAGCTTCTTTCCATCTTAAGCTCAACACCACTCTTGTTGTCATCAATCCTCTTTCTAGGATATCAATTGATGTCTTCAATCTAAGTTACACGTTTTTTCGGCATTACAGCATATTCCAGAACATTTGATAGTGATATTCGAGTAATAGAAGAGCTTCTTGAGAGCTTCGCATCAATAACCAAAAGCTATGGACCTAGACGCTTCTACGACCCATCGCCATCCATGGGATTCAAACTGCATCATGTCATCAGATCGCTTCGATACCAAGCAATGAAGTCTTTCTACGGTTGATTGCCGGATATGAACATAATCGCGTGAAGCGACTGGTTCTCCTTTCCTTGAATCGAGCAACGGTGGTCCACCAGGAAGAAGGTGAACTGCACATAAATCTTGCTCGTGACTGCCTCGTTCCTTCTTGACTTTGAATTTGGTAACAATCCCCACGAATCTTTGGTTCTTTCTTCTCTACTTCTATTCACAGTGTCTTTTCGCAAGTGATAAAGCTATCTCTTCCCTTCTTCTCACTACAGAAATTTTCACGGCACAGGATATCACAAGACGATATGCAACGCAAATCCACCTCGTCGTCACCCACTGGGGTTGCAGCCATCTACATACCAAATCTGTGTAGCAATAACCAAATACTCCCGGATGAAGTTCTACCTTACACAACAGTGAGGCGCTGGAGCAACGCAGAAGCCGCGGAAGGGCCAGGCGCACCCGTGTCTGATAGGCCTATGTGGAAGAGCATCAGCTGGGTCGAGGAGCCGGAACTACCCCCAAAAAGCAGCAAGAAGCTTGAGGACTTGAGCCGCAAGCTAATGCCGCGGAAGTTCTCTCTCATGTTGCCAAGTATTAGACTGGAATCGAAGAAGGGCAAAGCTCCAGACAGGAGCTACCAGCCACCGGATACTGAGAACCGCCTGGAAGTGATACCGCCATGTGGCAACCCCGAGGAGACAACTTCAGCATGTCCTCGAATATGCCCTCCAGTACCAGCGACGTCATGTGAAGCGACGGCAGCAAGTCAATCGACGGGTCGCAGATCTTCTCTGTCAAAACTCAAACACTTCTTCTCTACCCGTAGAGACTCGGGTACGGCGCCGGAAAAGGACAAAACGCCACTCTACTACCACGATCACTTAGAGCCGTTAGCCAGAGACGGAATGTTGCGGTTCTCGACGGTTTCTATCGTCATACCTAGGCGCTCTTTGGTGCCGAAGAAGAAAGTGAGAGCAGTAGATATCATTAGATTGGAGGATATCACGACCAAGCCATGCTCGAGCACGTACTGGCAAGATGAGAGCTACAGGAACCGGCGATGTACTGTTGCTTCGCCGGAGCCGAGTTGCGCTCCTTTGAGAGAAACCAGTGAGTAGTTGTCTCCTGTCTTCCCCTTTTTTTAAGTCTTGATATCATCCGCCTCCGACTTCTCCAATATGTGAGATGTATATTTGGGACAGTGACGTGTACTGATGAGTTGTGAATCGTTAGTCCGCCACCGCTCTACCCACTAAAGTATGACGAGAAATGGGAGAAAAGCGAATGACAGAGTAGAAATGAAAGATGCCCGCAAGATGCCCGCAAGATACCCCGATACCCCCAGCATGGAGAGTGGATCTTCATTGTACAACAATCGGCCACAATACTATTACAATAATGATACCCACCGCGACCGAGTACATGTATATGTACCATTCTAATGATGATACCTTATCACCCTTCACGACCAAGTGACGGGCAACAATCAACGACACTATCAGAATAGTACTGATATCTAGATACCCTTCCCGTTAACTACATTCGCGATCATCACACACAAAGCAACAATAATTACAAGAATAATCATACCCAGATACCCTCCGCGTCGACTACATTCGCTTTTTACGCCGAGCAACAATACCGTGGCACTATTCAACAATGTCTGGATACCCTCGATATCAAACACAGAGACTTTCTCTATTGTTTTCAAATTTACGAACAGCAATCGATCGATCAACACCAACATTATTGATCACTAATTGACCCAAACAACTATGTACATACACAAACAGTAATAGTAATAGTAATGATAATGAAGATGATAATGCACACGAACAACAATACTCTTCACACACACCAATCAACAGACCAATCAACCAATCAATAGAAGACCAATTAATCAGTCCATCAGTCAATCAATTCCTCAATATCCAGCACCCTCCCATCTCATCCCCTTTCCTCTCCTCACCTTTCTTTCCCTTTCCCACTCTACTTCAAAAAGAGAAGACGCACAGCACAGTATACGTACCCAAAAGACGGCAATGTAACCTTGTCCCGTCATCTGGCCTGTTTCATTGGCGAACCGGACCCCAAACGGGATCCATGTCACTAACCCTGACGTTAAACCCGAAACAGGGGGGGTGAGAGGCTGGGGGGGTGGAGCGGGACCCCGTCCAGGGGTGCGTGTTATCTCTATGGGAAATCAAAAAAGTCCGGGGGTGATTTTGAGTTGTGAAAGAAAAGGCGGGTTTGCTGCTGCACAGGCAATCAATGGATGCGAATACGGGAGATCGATGCTTTTGTGCAGCCGTGTTTGAGGCTTGGCGTCGCAGGGCGGCCGGACATGATATACGAGGTCTTGCGTGTTTCTACTTGAAACCATCAAAATATTGAAAAGCTGTGACATTGACAGGCTTATTGGATAAAAAGCGTCAAGAAAATGAGACAGGTCACAATCGATGAGGACAGAATGGCCACAATCGCTCGCTTTGGAGCGGACTCGATATTGAGTTCCATTACTTCCACTATTCAATCCAAAGAAAATGCTGATTGAGCTCCTGAATCTGCTACGATGCTTTTTCCTCCTTAATGCTATAGAACCGAGAAAACTCGAACCCCCCCTTCACTTCTACGCAATGCACCTCAAAGGCGCTGCAGTCTCCGCGCTGAATGCTTCTCGAGCCTCGAACTTTGGAAAAGAGTGAAATGATCCCCCAATGGGTATTAAGCGCCAGGATGAAGATAGAAATGACTGAAATGCCGCTGTGGATACCAAACGCTATGCTTCGAGTTGGACAAAGGTTGTGAAATGTTACTCAATGGCGGAAGCCAGAAATTGAGTGACGGGCGGGTTGATTACAAGAGGGCGACTCCAGCGAAGACACCGACAAGAGTCATGGCCATACCGTAGGTAGCACCGAAGGTTGTCAAGGTGGAGGCAGCATTGCGTTCGGGTTCGTTGCCGCTGTTACCAAAGGGAGCCTCAACTGGGGCAGTGGAATCGGCACCACCGCTACCAGATGAGGTAGCCGAAGGAGTGCCTGATGCAGAAGCAGAGGCGGAAGCGTTGCCCTTGAATGGTTCGGAGGCACCGCAAGGGTGATCGGCACTAAACAAGTTTAGTCTCTGCAGGCAGATGAAGATGTGACGAAGGTGTAGAACTTACGTGCACTTGTCGGCGCAGGTGTTGTCAGAGCCGCAATCCTTACGGCACTGGGTGCCCCACTCGGTGCAGATGAAGTATGGGAGGGTCTGAGTGTACATGGTGATATTGGGGGAGACGTTGTTATCGCAGGTGCAAGCGTAGGTCAGAGCATCGGCATCGCAGTCGTTGTTGATAGTGTTGGAGGTCTTGACACCGGGTTGCTGGAGGCAGATGAGAGGGCACTGGGTCTTAGACATCTTGCACCAGTAGTCTGGGAATTGAGTTAGCGTGGAGTCATCAATGGCAAACTTGATGGGAGCAACGAACCTCTAGTGTTCTTGGGCACACTGTTGGGGTCGATGGTGTACTGCTCCTGGGCTGCCACGAAGCCAACGGCGGCGAGAAGGGAGAGGGCGAGAGAGGAACGCATATTGATGGATATTGAATTGGGTTGATAAGAGTTTGGTGATGGTGTTGATATGGCGAGGCAAGAAGACAATCTTGGATAACAGATGTTAGCTTTTTGTTGTTGTTATTGTTGCTGTTGGCTGGATGAAGACTGAGGGAGCATGCATCTGAGGTATGGGGAGGCAAGTGCGGACAAGGGCGTCCCCCGGGGGAAGGTGGATTGTGGAATGTGAAGGGAAGGGTGGACTTACCGTGAGTGTCGGATAGGGAGACGAGACGGGCGAGTATTAATAAATTAGTAGCGAAAGTAGGATATGTATATGGATGCAGAAGCGAAGGTCTCGGTGCAGCAGGACAAGATGATGTCTTAGCGATTGAGGATGCAAAGCAAGGGAGAAGAGAGGAAGGAAAAGCAAACAAAGTTAGGGATCGGGGTTGTTGATAAAGGAACGGAGGAGGCAAAGACGGGGTCGCAGCGCACCGACCACGATAGATAGATCACGCATATGTACGCATGGACCCTCGCGGTGGAGTGTCGACGGAGGGAAGACTGACTATAGAGTTATAGACTAACTGCTCTGCTCTCTACACTACGCACCAAGGAGGCTGGTCGACGAGCTCGCGCCCCCAACGGCATCATGGAGATTCGCCAGTCATTTCCAATACTTGGCGGCCACATGGGCCAGAGACGCTGCGAGTATACGCAATGCAGTCGTGCAATGCGTCAATGGATGGACGGATGGATGGCTGGCATACGCACGCATACATACATACGGCTGGTGGTGGTGGTGGAGGTGGTGGCTGTTTCGGAGGACGGAAAGGCAGACAGTCAATCAGTGGGAAAGGAAAAAAAAAGTATGCAGGGATGGGGGCAGCCCACCGGCCCCGAGGCTGCACGCAAAAAGGGAGGTGGACGGGCGGTCATGGGGCCTGACTGGCTCAATAGCGTCGCTTGTGGGCCGCGGGATGGCGTCCGATCGTCAACTCCTCGCTCAAGATGCTACAAAGCCCAGTCCGTCCGAACCACCTTTGGCCTCAAGTGCGCGCTGTAGTGCTTGCTGACCTCGCCATTCACCACCGCAACCCGCGCTAATACCCTCGCCGCCTGCCTGCATCCTCCCCCCTGCTGGGCTGGCTTGCCTGCATCCATCCGTATCGATAACGGAGAGAAAGACTGACTTGACGGATTGACTGACCAACTGACGGATTGACTGGCAAGACTCCTCCCACCTATCTTGACACTTAGCCACACCGCACCGCACTATACCTTGATTCCCGCCCTCTTCCCGTACTGCTGCTACCCGCTGTTTGCGCGCCGCCACCCGGCTGGATCATGGATGGAGCCCGTCCCTGACAACACCACCACTGCCTTCGACGAAGACGCAGATGGCGGGGATAACCACCAACCACCCGCCACCATTCGCCCAGAGCGCAATTCCCTGGTTCCCCCTTACTGGCAGAAGCAGGACCACAGCGACAACCGCCTGAGCTACGTCTCCCTGGAAAACGGCTCGCGTCCTACCCCCATCCGCCTCGAAGACCACACGGATGAGGCGTCGGAGCAGCACAAAGCCCTCTGGGCGAAGCATGTCTCCATTGACGATTACGTGATTGTGGGGAACAGTCCTGCGCCTGCATTCGGAGCTTACGTTGTCTGGACCGTGACTGTCCAAACCCTGGATGTGAGTACAGTAGTCCATTATCAAGTACATAGTACATACTATACATGTAGCTTTATCAACCTTTACTGATCCCCGCAATTAGGGCGGCCCCATGAAGATTATGAAAAGGTAAAAAACCTCTCCCTCTCCATCACACACATGGCTCGGCTCACCCTGCCCCAAAAGATTCTCAGAGTTTGACGACCTGCGTGAAAGGCTGGTCAAGAGCTTTCCCCATGCCGCCAGCTCCATGCCTCCATTGCCACCAAAATCCGTCGTCTGTGAGTCTCCCCACTTCTGTCACCATCCATCCGTTGCCAGCCCCGCCCGGTCCGTGTCAGATATTGATTGTTGTGCAGCTCGCTTCCGGCCGAGGTTCCTCGAAAGGCGGAGGGTTGGCCTTGCCTATTTTCTAAAGTACGTTCCAGTGTTGCTGTCGCTGTGCATCTTGTCTCGGCCTCCCACCCGCATGGCCAGATTCGGCGCTAGCGACTATCGATACGTTATTGATATCTACTGACTGCCCTATTCTTAGTTGCATCCTGCTCAACCCGGAGTTTGCTGGATCACCCGTCCTCAAGGAATTTTTGTTCTCGTGATGACTTTCCCATTGCCGTTGAATTGATTCTCTGTACATGTAACCTTGCGTTTGCATACGCGCTGTCTTGCATCGGCCGCCTGCCGCCGCTTCCTTCTTTGCTACATATACGAGCGATACATATAATGTATTTACATGCATATTCTGCCACATACTCATCTTTTCCTTCTCATTTTCTTCTTTCTGGTTTTGAACTGCCCGTCTACGACAGAATCAAGGAACCGATGAATTTATCTGGCGGTAATCGATAAACGCGCATGAGCTGGTTCCATGGGTATGCAGCGCCATCAAATGTGCCGAATCATGACGACTGCGCGTTGACACCACGTTGTGTTTGGCAAGCAACAGAATCGCATTCGGTCATGTATGTATACAAATGAGAAAGATGAATTTCTCCAGAGGCTCTCTACACGGACACATACCTGGCTCGAGCAAGTGGTGGGCAAGGGTTCGCCAGCATTCGTTGTGGCGTTCGCGCTACCACCTTCTATACATATGTATTTCCTTACTCACCATGCATTTGCCACGGCCTGCTACACTATTCGTTGGAAATAATACAGCACGTCAATAATATCAAGCTCGAGATCCCAACGCCCGTTTTGTCCAGTAAGCCAAGGTGACTGCGTTTCCATAGTCGCTGTATTGTGATGTGCCGCTCTGTACAGCAACAATAGGAAGCAGGTAGGTACAATACAAACTGTGCACTGCATGGCACGTCGTCGGCTCCGTCCTCTTTCACCAGCCCAGGCAGCAGACCCCTACCAGTTCCTGAGAGCAACCAACTACTCCCCCTCGCAACAAGTCAATGGCAGCTCCAACCCAATGACCAATTGATTCCTCGTCAAGTGATCGACCGCGATGCTCCAGGCAATGGCCAATCTCATCCGGCCAGCTACTGAGCGGCGAGTGCAGAGACTGAACAGGTCGCGATCCCCGCCAGCTGCGCCCCCATCAGCACCAACGGGCTCCGTCACGAGCATTTTCCATGTCGACAACGACGAGAACGAAATCTCCCCGCGCCCTTCCACGTCGCGCCGCACTCCACGCAACGCGGTGCTGCCCCCTCCATCCGATGAGATAATATCCCATAAGAAGACGCCGACGCCAACGCCCCCACGCTCGTCGCGCAAGCGTCCTGCCTCCGCAATCGAAGACGCGAGTACGGATCCGAGACCGCCAACCAAGGTCACCGTTACACAACCACACGGCGAGTTATTGCGCATCACGAATGGGGTTCCGGCTGGTCTCGGAATTGGCGCTGACCAACTCCCCTCGGCCAACTCAACACCGGTGCCACCGCGTCTGGCTGCGCCAGTACGAACTCCCCAGCAACCGGGAAGTGCCAACACCGACAAGAGGAGCCTGAGGAGCCATGATGGAGGCTCAAGGCTCAAGAGCGATCTGGCTACCTACTTTTCGGGCTACGATGATATTATTGCAGGCGTGGAGAAGTCACCCGGTACGTGTATGGAAAAGGAATTAAACAACTTTGTTGCTCTTCTTTGGCAGCTTGCTAACACGTCTTTTGCGCAGAGTTCCTGGGCGTCGATGTACCCATATACATCGCAGACGAACCTATAAAAACGGCAAAGTCTCTACAGGAGCCTCCGACCCCCAATGCCTCCCGCAAATCTGTCAGCCCATCGAGGTCACGAAAACCGCGAGCTCACACCCCAACACGCCGTTCATCCGCTGCCCCTATACCACAACCCTCGCACACTTCTACATCATACCAAGAATTAGACTACTCCTCCATCACCGACATCCCCACAGAAACTGACGATGATCCCCTCGCCGATTCATTCTACTTTGCACAACACAGGAGAGCCGAGAGAAAAGAGAAGCAGCTACGCAACATTGAAAAGGAGCGCGCCATGCACGAGAAAGTGCAACTAGAACGTCTCCTCGATGGCCTGCAAGGCCCGGATTGGCTCAAAGTCATGGGCATATCGGGCGTGACGGACGGAGAGAAGAAGGATTGGGAACCCAAGAGAGATTTCTTCGTTAGGGAGGTCGAGGCTCTCGTGGACAAATTTCGGTTGTGGAAGGAACAGGAGAAGAGAGTCAGAGCGGAGAAAGAAGCTGCTCTAGCTAAAGAGGAAGAGGAAGAGGACGAGTCTTCAGAGTCAGGTAAGAATATTGTCCCATCTCCCCTCCCTTACTGTCCCTTTTTCCATCATGCTGACCCATCTGAACGAAACAGATCAATCCCACCATCACCCTTCCAAAAAACCAAACGGCAAACACTACTCCCACCATCCCGCTTCACACCTTACAACCACAACCACCTCAACCACCTCCAAACCCCACATCTCACCCCCAAAACCCCGTCGTCCACCCCGTCCTCACGGTTTCTTCCTACCCATCGCTCCCCCGGAACCAAAAGGTCCCTTCACATCCTTCTTCTCGAAACCACATCTCCGCGCCGCCGCGCTCGGAAAACACAGACACGGTCGCAATGCCTCGGCGTTTGGATGCCCGCTTCCAGAGTGGGAGGATAAGGAGTTTGCTTTGCCCAAGGGGTTTGTGTCGGACGAGTTCTTGAGGGCGAATGCTAGGGAGAGAAGGAGGAGAAAGAGAGAGAGTGTTGGTGGTGGTAAGAAGAAGGCTGGGGATGGGCTATAGATCCGTGTGCCGATAGATAGGTGCCTGTGCATCAAGAGGGTGGGAGGAGGCGGGATGGGGTTTTAGATGGGGTTTCTTGGTGAAGAGAGGGTGAAGGGGATTTCTATTTGTACTTCTATCCTTCTTCTTTCTTTCTCTCCGGTGTTTGTTTTGGGTTCACAGGGCTTTCCTGTTACAGTTTTCCTTGGTCTTTCTCTGTCTCTCGGTGTGCGGATTCTGGGCTTGGATGGACGTGTTTTTTGTTTCTTTTCTTTCCTTTTTGATGGCGCGGGATCTTGTGATTTGCTACTTCTTCCGTGGGCATTTTACATGACGTAAAGTCCGTAGAATGTTGTAGGCAGCAACAATTTACGCTACCCTACTACATCCTTTCTAAAGGTAAGAGCAATTAGCGCGAAGTACCTAGTATAAAGTCAACCTCCCTGCACATTTCTAACCTCGTTACAAACATTTATAACATTAAAGTCTTCATTGATTACGCCAGACATATCTAAGTCACCCGCTAGACACTGCCACAGTCATACACCCGCTATCGATTCCGTACTGTTAGCATATCAATATGTCTTCCCAGCGCAGAGTATCCCAAGGTAATGTCGCAGCAATGTCCGCAGCACAAACAGTTACTAAAAACAATGTTGCAGACCAGCCAGCCGTTGCAGACCAGCCAGCCGTTGCAGACCAGTCCCCGACAAACAATACAGGTAATGTTGCAGCAATGTCCGCAGCACAAACAGCTACTAAAAACAATGTCGCAGATTCGATCTCAACATGTCTAGCTACTATCAAGACTGAGATACGAACTATTGGAAGTCAAGTTGCCAGTCTGCACACCAAAAGCATTGAGCAACAAGCACAGCTCGACTCGATGCAAGACACACTCAAGACATCGGAAAAGAAAATTCTCAAGACAATTGTCAAGACACACAAGTCCATTCTTGTAGTCATCGTCATACTGTTAGTGGTCGTTCTTCTGCTTGCATGGTAGCACGATGCCGCTAAAGAGTTCTGGATCGCGATCATGACAAGTCTGATTAAAGTCTTGATGGAGAGGCTTTCCGAGATATTTGTCGCGCAATAGGCCCTGGACAGGATGAAGACAGGGTGATTGAACATGGTTTCTATGGATACTCCTTTGCTGGAATCACGGGCGTTAAGGGGGTTTTTTACGAGTTTTGACAGCTGAGCTTAGGTCAAAAATTGCATTTTTGTACTGTCCACTCACACTAATACTATCCGCTCAAATGAACGCGCGTTGAGATTTTCCCATCTGATCTTCCGTCTTGCTGTGTCCCTCCTCTCTCTCCCTCCCCCTTCTTCGTCCCACTGTGTGTCTTGGTATTTATTCATGTACAAGGCCAGGTGTTGAACCCATACCATTTGATGGGGTAGATAGAGCTGAGAGGTACCGTTTATGCACCAGCATGCTACTGGCCAACTGTAGATAGCCCAGAGAGGTGATTAACATGTCTACGGTCCTCGTCCAAATGCTTGTATCTTGGAATGCACCTCATCGCATGTAGAAAGAGCCATTGTGGGGAAACGCCTAGATTGCCAAGAGCGTCAGCATTAATAAGCCTACACTGAGATGGGGTGCATATAGTCACTCACATAGCCCGAACCGATTTCATATAGAGGTTCGTCTCGTCCCGGTGCCATTCCACTTACCGTGTTACCGCTGGACGAAAAGCTCTCGTCGCTGATTAATATGGACCAGTCGATTTCCAGCCAGTCCACCATCTCGGGCGAGGCCACACGAATCTGCAAAGGACCAACCACACTGGTCGCGTTGGGAGACGATTCGAGCCTGTAGCAGTACGTTCAAGGATAAGCAAACGAACGAAGCGGGAGAAACGTTTGGTTCTCTGACCTGCAACTTGCGATCCTTTCCCAGAGGTGGCAGACGGCTCTATCGAGCTTGAAGTTGACCCAGCCACATAAGTGCAGTCGCTCGAGAAGCATGTCTGCATTTTGGATGCCATATTCGGCACAGGCCAGCGAAGCTTGATGCACAAACCAAAGACTTTCAAAGGACCCTTCGGATGATATGGCGCCTATTGCCAGGATGTATACGAGCAGCTCGGGACACATTTCCCAATTTGCACGACTGGTAGCACTGAGTGCCTGCTCGAGTTTTTTGTTCGCAGCGACATGGAAAGGGTGACTGGTCGGCGAGACTCTGAGGGCCTCTGTGGTGCGGACGGTGAATATCAGAAGTGTAATGCAAAGAGCGTCTTCGAGAGGGCTAACGTGCTCATTGCTACGTAGCCACTGTAGCAGCGTACACTGCAGAACACATGCATAGTTTTGCACATCGACCGGGTCGAGTGGGCTCTGAGGGTTGCTGAATAAGGAGTTCAGATCAGCGATGAGTGTGACCACAGCTTCTACAACCACCATGAGAGTCTCTCTTACTTGTACTACTTTGCAGCAGTCAAGCAGATGGTATGATATTTCTGGAAAGTACCCGGATGGATGACGTGGGTTACATGCCGCACTTATCAGATCTTCCACAGTCAAATATGGTTCCTTGAATGTGGCAATGGCGTGCGCAGTCGAATGCCTGAAATCTGGTAAGCATATGCGGGTAGGAGGTGGACGAAACCTTGACAGAGGGCTCTCGCGGATATATGCCTACTGCAAGAGTGTTGATTACATGGGCCCACATACCAGAGAATAAATGCCTGGAGGATACGATTGGAACCGATTGCCAACAGACCTCCTCGAAGTTGGATCATCCTACGAAGACCATCATAGTGTACTCTCCGCTGATCTGTTTGTCCATCTTCACGGTGGTTTCGTTCGATATGTTTCAGCGATTCTTCAATGGTAAGCAGATTGAAGACGGCTCCTATGTTAGCATCCGAGATTCCTTCTTCGAAATCTAAGCTTGACAAGGCAGAATTGATAGCAGTGACGGCCATCATCCGATGATAGAGGATCGTTTCGAAGGATCCTATCCCACAAAAGTACTGATGGAGTGCGGCAGTACATAGCAGGCTATGCATGAATCCTCTGTGACCCATAGCTGTTCCAAACCACGCGATTCTCATGAGATCAGACTTGCCTCGGACGTCGATGGCGATTGCAGCAGGTGCCATCTGTGTAACAACTGCATAGTGGTGAGGTCAGAGGATGTTCGCCCAGGACTTGAATCAGGAGAGCTTACAGTGCTCTATCAAAACGGATGTTTGTCCGTTCATGTCGACGGACGAAGAGTCGAATGGGTCGAACAGACTATTGTCTAGATCTTGGGGGGATGTTTGGGCTTGCAGCAAAAGACATCGTGGGCACAACTGTTGGCCGAACTGGCATGTGAGTATCTGACAATCTTGGCAGAGTTCTTGTTTCACTACCAGCAGGCTGTTGGCGTCTGGGTATGATGAGTATTCAGGGTGAGTCGAAGCCAATGGCGGGCTGGGCGTCGATGTGATGGGAGTATGGGAAAGATCCGGCGTCCGAGTTCCACCCGTGGTAGGGCTGGTCGTCTCGGGACTCCTTCTCTGCTTTGTGCCATGTTTGCTTGTCGACCACGGGCGTTCCCTGCGGGCCTTTTGCATGACGAATGAGCGTGCATTGCGACGGCCTTGACGCGAGCTTTTTGCTTTTGCTGTATCGACAAAAAGAAACTCTTGCTGTACCGAAGCAGGCCGCTGCTTTCCCTGAGAAATGTCTTGCTGACTCTGCATTGGGTTGGTCCACAAAACCTAGTGATCTTGTGTCCCAGGGATATGAGGATTCGTAGTAGTGGACTTCAGAGGTGCATAGCCCCGAGTGTGTTGCGACGACTGATGGATTAGGCAAATTTCCCCTAATTGAAGCTCTCGCACCACCATTTTGAGCTCAAACAACCCAGATATGCCGTTCTGCTGGTAGGCGGAGGCCACAGCAACGTGAGAATCACCACTGGGAGTAGCTGGAGGGGTTCGTGGTGTCGCAAACTATCAAAGACCCGATTTGTCTTAGGCTCCGAGCCGGGATAATGGGTACCTTCACGGCAACCTTTTGGACTATCAGAAGATGCATATCAACACGATCCTTGCCTACCTACTAATAGTGGTTTTTCGTTTCGTCCTTTGAGTCTTCGGATTAGGATCCAGTGTCCGGTCAAGAGCTGGGCGAACTGCTTTACGAATCCAACGAGGAGATGCAACGAGGCGTCGTCATACGCAATGATGAATGCTACACCGACGATCTGCGAATCGGTACTTATAAGTCGTTCTCAATTCAGCTGGGCGATGGTGCAGGGGGGAAAGCTAATGATGCCGCAGTGTGCAATCGATAATCCTTCGGACGATGGAATACTGGCCTGTTGAGCTGAGATGATGCAAGAGGTTCATGGAGAATTGGGCTGGGACGGTTCGGGGATCTAGAGCGTGAGATGCAAGGCTGGTATTTGTACGCAAGCAGCAATGCCGATAAGAAAGGACGAATATATACTTGTATTCGCCAGAAGCAGCGGACTCGCCGAGATGGCGCGTGTTTGAGAGGCTCAAGTAAAGACACCTAGCTCGGTTGCCACGTTGGACATGAACAATTTCCCCAGGTTTCCGTAATCCTCTGGTCGTTGCTTTTGGATTTTCTAAAGATATCCCCTTCGGCGACGGCGGCCAGTTCGCGGGCCAGGATGCGGCTGCAGGGTCGTCTCTTGCGCAGCTGTTGCTTGGCATTCCGCGCGGATTTGGGAATAGATTCGGGGTGAGTGAGATGTGTGTGCATCTGTCACCATCCTCGATCCCGAGTCCCAATACAATACCCGCCTGCAACACTGCTGCCACCATGTATAGGCGTCTGCGCATGTCGTGATGTGAAAGGGCGACGACGTTCTGGAGGCTCAACTTATCGATAAACTAACCAACTAGGTACCCGTACTTCCTCCAAGTGACGACAGCAGCAGCCACGACCCACGCCATCCGCCTTCACAGAAGACATGGACGCAGGTCAGTGTCCTCGCAGATGTTGACTACGCATCTCATCATCCACGCTTGAAACATGACGCCTGACTCTATTTCAGGTCTCCACTGGGTCGATGTTCCGACGCACCTACTACGCGCGGAACTGCTCCGTCGCGACCAGAATGAACGTCCCGAGTGCGGAACAAAGGGCTCGAGAGGATCATACAATACTCCAATCCACGTATTCGCTCTGCTGCTGATCCTGGCACTCAGTACAGGAGGTTGGTATACGCACCATTGTTCCAATTAGGGCCATGTTCCGACTAACGCTCCACGCTTCCCAGCATGCTCCTTTCCAATCATCGTCAAACGATTCCCTGCGTTTCCCGTGCCTCACACGTTCCTCTTTATATCGCGACACTTCGGCACCGGTGTTCTCATTGCAACTGCCTTCGTTCATCTTCTTCCGACCGCCTTTCAATCTCTCACCGATCCATGCCTCCCACACTTCTGGAACAAGGGCTACTCTGCCATGCCCGGCTTGATAGCCATGGTGGCTGTCTTCGTGGTCGTGGGCATAGAGATGTTCTTTGCATCCAAAGGTGCTGGGCACGTCCATGATTACGAAGCATTTGGTGGAGACGAACATGGACATCAGGAGCGGCCGGGCCACAGACGAACCAACAGTCTCGGGAGGTTCAGGGTTGACTCACACGTCCCAGCCATTGTGCTGCATGACATGCCGGCTTCCTCAGACAATCTAATGGCAGGCACATCACCGTCCGTCGGTCCACCATCACCTATGAGCGTTTCTGAGGAAGCCACTGGCCCCGCTACCGCATCCAAACATACATCTGAGCAGGATGACGATGACGACTCTGATCTGGAGATAGACCTCGAAGAGCTTGGTCCACATCGTTCCAACGATTCTGATGATGAATCTCGTTTGCTTTCACGCCCTACGGCGCGTAAAGAGCACACCCACAAGTCTGAGCAGACACCTGAAATGACTGAGGCCCAGCACAAAAAGCAATTGTTGCAGTGTTTGTTGCTCGAGGCCGGCATTCTCTTCCACAGTGTCTTTATAGGCATGGCGTTATCCGTAGCGACTGGTACCTCGTTCGCAGTCCTCCTCGTTGCCATCGCTTTCCACCAAACGTTCGAAGGATTTGCCTTGGGATCTCGTATTAGCGCTGTCCGATTTCCTCCTGGCTCCATCAAGCCTTGGCTGATGGCGCTGGCCTATGGCACCACCACCCCTATCGGCCAGGCGATCGGTCTGTCCATCCATACTCTATACGACCCGAATAGCCAGACTGGGTTGTTGACTGTCGGGTTCATGAATGCGATATCTAGCGGGCTGCTACTCTTTGCCGGTCTAGTCGAACTTTTAGCCGAAGATTTTCTGAGTGATCACAGCTATATATCGTTGAAGGGCAAGCGACGTTTGCAAGCTTGCGCTAGTGTAGTGGGTGGTGCGCTTCTGATGGCATTGGTTGGCGCATGGGCATAGCTTAGGCATTTACTAGGTGTTCTCGATAGATTTATGCATTTACGTGGCGTTAGAATTGGTCCAAACTGGATATAATAATTCTTTTGTATATCAAAGTTGTACATTATGCAAAAACAGGGTCACAAACTCCCTGGTTGAAGCTCGGCAGTGCGTTGGGGCCCAGTACAAAAGCTGCGTCCAAGTCAAACATTGCTGCTGTACTCATTGCAGATGGATCGAACCTGTCGTAAGCAATGTCGATGTTCTCAAATGTCGAGTCCATTGCCGCCAGCGCCGTTATTGATGTGTTTATATCAATTCCCTCCCCAAACGATACCGGTGTTGACTCAGTCAACTCTGGCAACCCAGGTACCGGAAAAGTGAGCGAATCATTCAAAGACAGATCATGGACCGTGTCTGAGCCAACAACAAAATCGCTGAAGTCAAACTGATCGAAACTGAAGGGCCCCATATCGACTAGACCATCACCAGTCGGCGTGACACTCGTCGCAGGAGAAACCTCCTCTTCAACCTCAACCTCAACCTCAAAACCACCTTCCCTGATAGTCTTTTCCTCCATCTTCAAAGTGGCATACCCCCTCGGCGTAACCCCCATCCGATCCTTAAAAATCTTATGAAAATACCTCCTCGTCAACCCGACCTTCGTTGCCAGATCCTGCAACTTCAACCCGTCCTTACCAGCCTCCCCATTCGCAACCGCCTCTTCGATCAGCGTACGTGCTTTCGCAACAGCTTTAAACTGCGGGTCCTCGTTGGTCTCCAGATCCGGTCGGCACCGCTTACACGCCCTGTACCCCGCGCGCTGGGCCTCGCTGGGCGTCTCTGCGAACCCGATGTTTGCGCGGCGGGCAAGGCGTGCGGGACAGGTTGGTCGGCAGTAGACTTGTGTGGATTTGACCGTGTAGACGAAGTGGTTGTTGGCGGAAGGGTCGCGGGTGCTGAGGGCGCGCCAGCGGGATGCGTCGGTGGTGTATGCCATTTTGTTTTGCTTTCTCTCGTTTCGCAAGGAGGGTGATTGATTTCCAGAGTAGAGAATAGTTGGGGGGGTGGTGGTTTTTGGAGTAATCAAAGAGAGGCTGGTTGTTACTTTTGTTGTTGGTCAGGTGGTTGCTGATTGGTCACTTTTGCAGCATCTTCTTGGATCTTACACCGCGGATGACGTACGGAGTTAATTACCTACATATGTACCTTACGAGCTTCAGCTGAGTTTGGAACAGGCTATTAGTTGCTCTTTTTAGTTCAACACACTGTTTAATAACCTTTCAACATGCCTTCCTTAGGCTATAAATATTGACTTGAATACTGACAGAGCGTTGACAGCCAATTCTAGAGTGGGCTAAACCCCATAATGTAGTTACATATGTATGTATGAGCTGAGCTGAGCTATGATTCTGACTCACCCGCAAGCGTGATGAAGGAGGATATGAATCTCTTCGTCCAATGGATTAAGTAAGAACATTCGTTGATAGACTAATCCTCGAAGAGGTACACAAGTCTGTGGAAAGCTGGTGTGACCTGAGCTTTCCGGGCTTGTGATGGTGCCGCCAGTATCAACTTAAGGTAGGCCTTATATCCAAGTTTGTATGTCCATTGCGACTCAATATTACCCCTTGGTCGAACCGAATGTTCTCAAACCTTTTGAGCATGCAAAAACCTGAAAATCTGGATGTCCAGATGGACGGAAAAGTCATGTGATGACGCGATTTGTACGCGTGGGCGCTCTTTCCATGCCAGGGTGATGGGATGGGAAGGTGCAAGGTGGAACACGAGGTCAACCCGCGAGACTTCGATTCGCCACACTACATACAGACATAGTCCTTGCTCTACTCAATAAAACTTCTATACTTCATATTCTTCAGCGTCTTTATCATTCCAGTGATGATGGCAGAGGCTACGGGGAGCATCGATGCTTCCCCTAGTATCGCAGCTCTGCCCTCAACAACAGTGCGACAGATTGGCTCAATGCAAGTAATTGTTGACCCAAGCTCAGCTGTCAAAGAACTCATCGACAACGCCCTTGACGCCCGTGCCAACGCCATTTTCGTCGATATTAGCTCTAACACCATCGATTCTGTGCTGGTGAAAGATACGGGACATGGTATTCCCCTCGAAGATCGTCCGCTGGTCTGTCGAAGGTACTGTACTAGCAAGATCAGAGACTTTCATGACTTGAAGGCGGTCGGTGGGAAATGGCTTGGATTTCGGGGCGAGGCTTTAGCGAGTATGGCTGCAATGAGCGGAACTCTGGAGGTGACAACGAGAGTAGACGGCGAGACTGTTGCATCGAGGATGAAATTCAATTGCAAGGGAGAGATTGATGGAAGACCAGAACCGGCGTCAGCTCCAACCGGTACCACTGTCAGAATTACCGACTTCTTCAAGCTACTTCCGGTCCGAAAGCAAACCGCTCTCACTGATGCACCAAAATCACTCCTCAAGATTAGACGCCTGATGCAAGCTTATGCAGTAGCGAGACCCAACGTACGGTTCAGTCTCCGAGTGCTGAAAGCCAAGTCAAATAAGCACGATTTTATGTATGCCCCCAAAAAGAACGGCAGTGTCGAAGACGCAATTTTCAAAATTTTCGGCAAAGATTGCGCTTCTCAGTGTGAGTGGACAGTACAAGAATCCAATGGCTTCGAGTTGCGCGCTTTCCTACCAAAACTCAGTGCTGTAGGCTCGAAGATTGCAAATTGGGGAGCTTTCATCTCCGTGGATGCGAGGCCAATATCCACCGCACGCGGAACACCTAAGAAGATAGTCACGGTGTTCAAAGAGCGACTGCACAAGGCAAACCCATCTTCGGTCAAAGATGCGTTTCTCTACATGAATATCATTTGCCCGCCCGATAGCTACGACCCCAACATCGAACCCGCGAAGAACGACGTGCTTTTCGAAGATGAGGATCTGGTACTTGCTGCCGTACGCGAACTCTTTGTGTCATACTACCCAGAAACTAGTATCGTGGAAAACAAGACTGGAAACGAGAAAGAATCGAGCCTTAAAAGTGGAATCGGTAAGGCTTTTCCCCGGAAAGAAAATCTAGGTATGTGAGTTCCAGGCGTACGACGATTCACGATGTTTCTATGATATGTAATATGGGGAATTGTGCGAGTCTAGCACGGAATGTCTATCTGAATCTCACTGATCTCATGATGCAGAGACTATGCCTAGGAATACTGATATACAGCCCGATAATGATCAGCCTACTATGATTGAGATTGAAAAAACTCAATGGCGGTCAAGTATGTATGGTATCGACGAAGAAGATCTGGAATTGGTGGGCAATGATACTGCACCAGTGATTGAAGAAGAAGAGGGGCTTAGAGATGTGTCGGTTTCGAACCCATGGGTTATTGCAAAAATGAATGTCCGGAGCAAACTGCCTTTCGAATACCATCAATTATTGACGCCAAAAAAAGATCGCAACGCCCCGAAGTTACCCTTAAATCTTTCCTCTCCTGCTGCAAGTTCGCACCAGCAACCGCTTTTGACACTGCCTACCCCTCGAACGTCATCGAGGTCACAAAAATCTATACCTTTAACTAGCGAAAATATGATTGCATCTTCAAGTCCTATCTCAGCAAATACAGTCGGCAGAGGCAGCCCGACACGTGGACATCAAATGAACATTTCCACTGATCAACGAGGCCAAACAGCTCCAGCATTTGCGGCCTCTCAACGCACGCAGCAGAATTCAATGTCTCGCAAACGTACAAGCGAAAGACATGAAACGGAAAATCCGAACGACGAGTGGATGAGACACACTACTCATGCCAACGTCTCAAACAAGAGGAGACATTCACAGAAGTACAGCAATCGGCAAAATGCTGCTCGCGATAGGGGCAAGAAGAGTCGTCAGAACACGCAGAATGGAGCAGACATTCGCGACTTCTTTAGTAGAGATACAGAACAGATGGGGGAAGGTGAAGACTTTGAATTGCCATCTTTTACCCCTATCAAAGGGCGTCCTCGAGCTTCCTTATCTGAGCTCCAGCAGTCGCAGAGTGATCGACACGAGTTTGTACAGAATCCCACCCAGGAAGCGGCAAATCAGTTAGAGAACCCATTCAGTGGACCCCAGAGGTCTATCGCGCAAAGAGCTCCTCCACGTCCATTTTCAGCAGGCTCTTTTGTAGCAAATCTTCAGAATCAGAACTTCCAGAACCCCTCCATGATGGCTGACCGACGATCGAAGGATGTCCAGAGTTCTTTGAGATCTTCTATGACGAAAACTTCATCAAAAAACCATGATGAAATTTCAGATCAACTCCATGCATATGCAGAACGTGAGAATCGAGCTCTTGCATTACGTTCTTCCCTTCCGCAATCTTACGCTCGGATTCCTATATTACCAGGGAGGCCTGCAGTCCAAAATTGCCAACCATATAAGCCTTTGGGTGGCCTACAGAGGAGACGGTCGTCTGGAAAGACATCAAACAATCTGCCTTCTGAGCACTGCATCTCTCATATTGAGCTACGAATCAAACGGGATATCAATTGTGTGGCGCGCTCGATGCAAATGCTGGACATGAGCGTACATGGAGGCAACAGTTTAAAACGGGGTCACAGTGCGACTTTCAACGCTGAACCCAGACAATCCTTCTCAGCTCCCTTCCACACCGTGCGCTTGTGGTCAGCAAAGATTTACAAATTGATTGACCGATGTTTCGAGCGAGAGGATGATCGTGATACCGCTTACATAAAATTCCACAATAACATCTACGAGCGACTTCTGGAGGAGTATCATTATCAGCAACAGGATGCCTGCACAAATACTGCAACTGGGGGCACTGCTATTGAGCAGCTTGTAGCTGCCGCGGCTGCGGACGAATCACCCCGTCAAGACCGTATCGAAAACGAGAACAGCTCATCAGTGAACTTCATTGGCAGCACCAACTCGCGAATTGCGAGTCTCAATGTCAACACGGTTTCACTCATCGCAAAGTTTGTCGCTAGTGATAAAACTCATAACAGGGGAATACCATATGATCAGAATGACAGCATGACGATTATTGATGAACACGGCACTCTACCTGCTATAAACCAAATTGAGACGCGGGCACCGACCGATGCTCAACTCAGTATGGACGAAAAGGCGGCTCAAAAAGGGTATGAGAGCGAATATGGAGACATACTGGCGGAGGATGAGATGCTGTTTAACATCTAGTGTCTATTTTCCTGACGTGTCAAAGAAGCCCCAAGAGAAGTAACGATCATACAAGTGATTTGGTGCGTTATACACAATGTCTAGGGCTGATAAAGGTGTCGTCGTGTATTTGATGGATTGACGAGCAACATGGTCATGCTATGCGGGGACTGGGATGAATATAATGGGAAATGCTGGAGGACATGGTCAAAACTCATGCTTCAATATAGAGAATCATGCAGGGGATGGGCTGATGTTGTTGCGCACGATACAATCTCGCAAAGTATCATCTGACAAACACATACATCACTAATTCGCTTTTGTCATTCAAAAGGGGTATATTATTCCGTTAGAGATGGCACTGAAGCATCTCTATCTCTCCTTGTCCAACTTTTGTAACTACAATAGACGTAGTATCAACTGTATGACGCAAATAAAAATGGCCCAACGCCAGGTGTACAGATACAGTCACTTTCCGACACATTGATCCATAGCTTCCAAGCCTAGTACTGCCGATATCAGCATCAGTACCCACCACCTCTTCATTATCCCAGTCGCTCTCATATTCTCTATTCTCCGATCTAGTCCCTAGCAAGCAAGCTTACGAACCACCATCCAAAACCCCGCTTTCCTTCAAGCTCCTGAACAGCTCGGGTTCCAAGAACTTTCCAATGCTCACGTCCTCTGCAAGACCTTTCCTGCGGCGTGTCTTGAGCACAAAGTCGCGGGCCGTGGCCCGGGCGTCGGCAGGTTCGAGGGGTCGCAGCTTGAGATCTTTATCGAGAGGGTCACCGGGCACAATTTGCCACTTGTCGAAGGCAAGGGAGAGGGAGACTTGGCCTTGGGTGTGAATCTGTGTAATGACAAGAGTCAGTATCATACCAAAAAAAATGATATACGGGGAGGGGATGGATAAGGAGGATGTGCACATACCCTTAGATCCGTCTCAAAACCAAACGAGTCGATGACAGGGATAAGACCTCGGACGTTGTAAAGCGGAGTACCGGCGATAGATTCATCAGAGAGAACATGGCCGCGACGCTTCGAAAGAACAGTGTATAAACTGGCCTTCTTATCCGCAGGTCCAATCATCCTACAGCTGTACACGGGCTCCATCAAGCGCGGGCTCGCCATCAAGAAACTGGAATAGCAAGCTCGTCGACTCGTAGGGATGATTTGACCACCGCCGCGGAAGATGGCTTCGGACGCCAACTCCACATCGGTGATGCGGAATTTGGTGTTTCGAATCGGCTCTTCGCAGAGCGGGCCTTCGCGCGTGGCCCAGCTGAAGCCTTGACGGATGGTGTCGCGCACGGAGCGCAGCGTCTTTGTGTCGACTTCTGATGGTAGAGTGTCGTTTTGGAGGATGTTGGGACCCATTTCTTCGGGGCCGAAAGCCCAGATATTGCGGGAGGCGAGGAGGTCGTAGCCGTAGTTTTGTTCGAAGAATTTTCCTACAACGCGTACCGGATCTTTGATGCTGACTTTGCCTGCTTCTATGTCTTCGGCAATTCCGCTCTCCAGCTGCTCTGCAATCATGGTGATCTTGTTCTTCTTGTTGGGCGTGAGCGCGTAGCACTTGATGGCAGACATCTCCTCGACTGTTTCACAGAAGCGGGTAACGGGATCTGAAATCTTGATCTCCATGTCCGCGTATAACCTTCTAAGGTCATGCAGCACACAGTCCATGTAGAGCTCGCCAGTTCCGAGAACAATATGCTCACCTGATTCTTCGACTTTGGTAGTGATGAGTGGGTAGGATTTGTTGATTTTTCGGAGACCGTCAAGCATCTTGGGCAGTTCGGATGGGTTGATTGGTTCTACAGCAACCTTGAAGACGGACTCGAAGAAATGGCGGATGGGGCGGAAGATGTAGGCGTCTTCATCGTCAGGCAGTTTTTGCGCAACTATAGTGGCGGTCTTCACGATAGAGTTGTCGACACCACCAAGGAGCACCCAATTTCCTGCTGGTACCCCACTGGTCCAGACATTATATCTAGACTCAGCAATCCATGTGTCGGCAACTGTGGCAACCACCATATCTTCTTCATCTTCAATGGTGTAGCCCTCACCCAGCACCCGTACTGATGTCCCTGCTTTGGCTATTCCACTCAATACGCGTCCCAGGCAGTGGAAAGATTTGGCGTCTGTTGTGTTGAATAGTTTTGTAACATGCACGACCAAAGGACCGTCTTGATCGCACTTTTCCATCGACTCGGCCGTTTTGCTGTCCAAAGGACCAGTATAGTGCTTCTCGAGTAGTCTCTTTGCACCCTCTGTGGGTGATGGAACGTGCTTGACGAGCATATCCACGAAACCTGTCGAAGGGCCAAAGTATTGTTGGCAAACTAGTCTCATGAGCTCTTTTGCATCTGTCTTGTACTCGGAAGGCTTCAGCCTGATACCAAGCTGGTCCAATGTATCTTTCAAATCTTCGGCGCTCTCGCTCAAAGTGTGTGAGTAAAGTTTGTAGATAGGCTCCAGTATCCAGTGTACAAAAGATCGTTGAGCCCTTTCTTCTTGTGCCTTTCGACTGAATTTCCGACTTGTCGGATTGTAAAATATGTCACCCCACAAGCGAACGGCGAACTTGTCAACGTCGAGATTTTGCATAGGCTTGCCGAATCCAGGGGCTTTCGCGGGACCAGGATAGAACTCGGCGTACATTTTCGCGAACGAGTGCAAGGTGAAACACCACCTCATGCTTGTACATGCGAAAGCGACATTGCCTTTTTCAGGGCTCACGCGTCGCTTCTCTCCACGACCGGGTATGGTGTTCTCGATGACTGTATTAACTTCCTCAATCACATGCTTGATCTTGAAATAGGCATCCCGCGGGGGCAACTTCAGCTCCAGGATCAGGCGATCCATCTTGTTGACTACCAAAGTCAAGGGTAAGTCCTCCAAGATGGCGTGTTTGATAGCAAGTTCAGTCGTGACCTGCACACCCTCAACCACATCCACCACGAGCACCACACCGTCGACTAAGCGTAGCGACGCGGCGACTTCGTCGGCGAAGTTGACATGGCCAGGTGTATCGATAATATTGATCAGATGCGACTTCTGTGCTGTATTTTGGAGAACCAGAGTCATGGGAGCTGCCTTTATGGAAAGACCGCGCTCGCGCTCTACGACATGTACATCCGTGTATCGCAACTGTTCTTCCCTCTTCTTCCCCCTCTTTGAATCTAAACGATCCTGGATATCGTGTGTTTCCATGACCAGCATGTCCATGAAGGCGGTCTTTCCATGGTGTAAATGCCCAGCGATCGCGACGTTTCGTATTTGGTCTGGGTAATTCATGAGATCTGTCATGAGGTTGCGCGAAAAGTGGACTGGCGGTAGATCTGTCTCTTGCACTGTGAACTTCTTCTGTACCACAGGCTCAATGATGGGCTTCGACAGCTCCTGCGCATCCTCCTCTTGGACCAACACTTCAACATCGGGACCGTAGATATCGGACGCTGAAGGATAGTATTGCTTGTCCTCGTGTAGGACAATAGCATTTGAGGGTCCGTCGTCCACCTCCATCAGCTGTTGGTCGTGCGCCTCATCTTCATCGGCTTCGTCGTCGAGTACGTAGGCATCCGCGGCGTCCCCGGAAGATTGCACGTCGTCGTCAGATCCAGCCTCGCCAATAAAGTTTCCAAACTCGTCGTATAGGTCGTCCATGGTGACAGATGCGTCCAGCAAGCAAGGCGGTTCCGAGTCGAGCTTTGGGCGCGCGCGCGTATCTCTGCCTGGAGTTGGAGCTATCCATAAAAGTTAACGTCTTGGCGCAGGATCGGAGTTTTGTTTCGCCGACCAATGCAGGCATCTGGATTTGGAAACATGCCGCCGGCCGGATCTCAAATGAGCCAACCCCGAGCCAGCGAACAATGGCTAGTGGTCAGCCAATCGGAGCGTTTGCGCCCCTCGCTCATGTCTCCTCACAGCTTTCACCCTCACGCCATAAATAATTAGTTATTAGACTCTTTTTGTGTACTTGACCCCCCCTTTTCCAAACTCGAGAACCAACTATCTCAAAATGTCTTCCCTCCCACCCGTCTATATTATTTCCGCCGCCAGGACTCCTACTGGCCAGTTCTTGGGGTATGTTTGGTTTCTTTCCTGACGAAGCGGGGCATACATCGATGGTGAATTGACAATTATTCCAGCTCGCTCTCGAGTCTCAGCGCTACTCAACTTGGTGCCCATGCTATCAAGGGTAAGCGCCGCCTTTTTTTCAATTCAAAATAGCCATTGAACTAACCTGGGAGTCCAGCTGCTGTCGAGCGTGCCGGCGTGAAGCCTGAGGATGTCCAGGAGGTCGTTGTTGGCAACGTGCTTTCGGCCAAGTATGAGAAAACCCCCAGACTGCTTAAAACCTCAATCTAAACAATTCCAACAGCCTAGGCCAGAATCCCGCCCGTCAGTGTGCAATTGGTGCTGGCCTGCCCGAGTCGACTGTTGCTACCACCGTCAACAAAGTGTGCGCCTCGTCCATCAAGTCTTTGATCATCGGAGCCCAGACCATCATCACTGGCAATGCAGACATCGTAGTGGCTGCTGGTACCGAGAGCATGTCAAACACCCCCCACTACCTTCCTGTGTTGAGGAACGGTGCGAAGTTCGGCGACCAGTCTTTGGTGGACGGTGTCCTCAAAGACGGTCTGACAGATGCATACAAGAAGGAGCACATGGGCTTGGCAGGAGAGGAGTGCGCAGATGATCACGGCTTCAACCGTGAGCAGCAGGACGACTACTGCATCCGGTCCTACAAGAAGGCTCTTGCCGCCCAGGAAGCTGGTTGGTTCAAGGAGGAGATTGCTCCTATCGAGGTGTCCGGGGGGCGGAATAAGCCTCCCATCACTGTTGACAAGGACGATGAGCCCAACAATGTAAGACGTCTATGAAGTTACACGAGGTCGTACATGATGAATACTAACCTCGGCCAGTTCAACGAATCCAAGACTCGCGCACTCCGCCCCTCCTTTAAGCCCAAGGATGGAACTGTTACCGCGGCCAACGCTTCTCCCCTATCAGACGGTGCTGCTGCACTTGTTCTTGCCTCGGAGGCTGCCGTGAAGGCGCACAACTTGAAGCCCATTGCTAAGATTTTGGGCTGGGGCGATGCTGAGCAAAACCCCTCCAAATTCACCACTGCACCCGCTCTTGCCATTCCCAAGGCCCTCAAGCACGCCAAGGTCGAGCAAAGCTCTGTCGACGCATTCGAAATCAACGAGGCTTTCAGTGTCGTTGCTTTGGCAAACATGAAGCTTCTTGGGCTCAGCGAGGACAAAGTAAACGTCCACGGTGGTGCTGTTGCTCTTGGTCACGCTCTGGGTGCTTCGGGAGCCCGTATCACCACAACTCTACTTGGAGTGCTGAGGGAAAAGAAGGGAAAGATCGGATGTGCTGGCATTTGCAACGGTGGTGGCGGTGCCTCGGCCATCGTTATCGAGTCCCTGCAATAAACGTCTAAATACCCAAATGTACCTCGATATATAAATTATGCTACATAGATAGCGACGTACTGACTAATGTTAGAGACTGAAGTCTCGATCAATCTACTTTTTCTGAATATAGATGCCTAATTGGGCCGCGTGATTGAAGATCTTCAACATCTCAAGTTTGATGTGGAACTCCACCAACAATCAAAAATCATACAATTACGAATCTTTGTCGATCCATTTTCACAATAGATCTATGGAGTTAAGACCGGCGATAAAACCCATGTGAAATTGAGTGGATTTGGACCTCGGATATTGATAGCCTCGCCGAGTTGTTTGTACGATGTCATTACGCAACTTTTTTTTTCTGGCCCTTTCCACCCACTCGTAATGTTCACCTTCCCTGCACCTCTTCTCTATATAAAGTGACGAATTCTACCTGAACTTTCCCATCCATTCTTTGCTATTCCAGTTGCAACAGAATCCCATCTCTCACCAAAGACGAGTACCAACTACCGAAGGAAGTACGACCGAGGAATAGAAAAGAGATATAACAACAGAAACACTCTCAAAAAATAAAGAAAAATTCGACGTTCACAATGAGTTCACCCGAGAAGTTCCATGGCTGGCTCGGTCACGACGCCACTTCAGCGCAGGGAAACCTCCGCTGGGAGCCCTTTACACCAAAGCCCTTTGCTGAAACCGACATCGACATCAAAGTGTCGCACTGCGGCATCTGCGGAACAGACATCCACACGCTGCGCTCCGGATGGGGCCCAACACACTACCCCGCATGCGTCGGCCATGAGATCGTCGGAACTGTCGTCCGAGTTGGATCCTCCGCCTCCTCTAGGCACAGAATCGGCGACCGCGTCGGTGTCGGCGCGCAAGCGCTGAGCTGTCAAAGGGGCGACTGCGATGAGTGCAGCAATGGAATGGAATCCTACTGCGGGAAGGGATTCGTAGGGACGTACAATGGCCAGTACAAAGATAGCGGGTACTGGAGCATGGGCGGATACGCAGACTACGTGCGCGTTCCTGCCGCCTTTGCCATCAAGATTCCGGATCAGGTCAAGAGCGAGGACGCAGCGCCCATGATGTGCGGCGGCATCACCGTGTACGCGCCGCTCATACACAATGGTGCCGGACCGGGAAAGACGGTGGGAATTGTGGGGCTAGGAGGACTAGGACATTTCGGCGTCTTGTTTGCGAAGGCGTTGGGGTGCGATAAGGTGGTTGCTATTAGTCGGAGGAGGAATAAGGAGGACGATACCAAGGCAATGGGTGCTACGGATTACATCGCCACGAGTGAGGACGAGAAGTGGGATAAGAAACACTCCCGGACGCTCGATCTCATCATCTCGACGGTTTCGGCGCCTGATATGCCGCTTTCTGGGTATCTCCGTTTGCTGAAGACCAAGGGTCAGTTCATCCAGGTTGGTGCGCCTGAGGATGTTTTGCCTGCTATATCGGCCTTTGCGTTGATTGCCAAGGGTTGCAAGATCGGTGGCAGCCAGGTTGGGAGTCCCAAAGAGATCGAGGATATGTTGAAGTTTGCGGCTGAGAAGGGTGTAAAGCCGTGGGTGCAGAAGATTCCTATGAAGCAGGCGAACAAGGCCATTGTGGAGATGGAGGAGGGCAAGGCGAGGTATAGATTCGTCCTTGAGAACGACGAGGCACATGCAAGACTTTAGAGTTCCATGTCCATATAGAGACGACCAGGATGGTTTATGATCATAGACTAGATTAAGCTAGGAATCTGTGTACTGACCCTCGAGTGCAAAAACAATTCACTGATGAAAATCTTAAGCTCTCATGATATTGAAAAATCGTATCCTGCCAGCTACAATAACATACATAATAAGCAGAAACATTGAACAAGAAAATCAGCATAATGAATTCACGAAATGAAAGAATCTAAGATTATAAATTAATCCCTCAACGAAGTTGAGCACATTGAGTCGTACGCCATTGGCAATCACATTAATCAAATAAACTATCGGCAAATAACTTCAAGATTCGATTATATGTATACTGGGTATCAATCCGTTGCCAAACGTAACGCAACATTGCGTATCCGAAAGAAGAAGATGTCTATGTGCGTACTCCCACCTTATTTTCTGTGGAAGCGGTGTATCCAAAGGAAACGCTGTTTCAATGCTGACGTATACTCGAGGAAACACAGTAAACCTTAACGCCATCCTTTACCAGTGCTATCGCATACTTGAAGAAATATATCATACCTTAACGTCTCCCTCTTCCATCTTAGTAATTCTCTCTTCCAAGTTTTTGTCGCCCTCACCACTCCCGCCGCCAACTTGATCTCGGGCCTTGGCACTCCATTCACCGACCGAAGTATCAATCTTCCTAGTCTCAACGTTCGGTTCATCCCTGGGTTTATAAAACTGGTGCTCTTTGATATCAGCACAACCTTTGGGAACTCTACAAGCTCTTCTGGCTTCTGCACCAGCTGTCTTCCAGATAACCTCCCTGACTTCCTTGCCAACTTTTTCCACGGCATCCATAGCCCATATGACGTCGAGATGCTCATAACCTTCAATGATTTTGGAATGGACGACGTCAACATAGGGCTCGCGATTTCGTTCGAAACGTCGCAACAGTCGACGACCATCGACCAATTCGTCGGCGCCGCATACCCAGAGAGCGAAAGGTGGGGTCTTGGGTCCGTACCAAGCATATTTGGCCCGGGAAGAGTCATCGTTTCCGATTTTGGGTGCCGAACCAGGCCCGTCGTCGTCGTCATCGCTATCCTCCGGAGTAGATATGTGCCCTTTCTCTTCCATTTCGTCTTCCTTGTCTTCCATGATTTTCTCTTCGCGTGTAGCTAGAATGCATTTTTGTTTCGCAAAGCACTCACGTCCAAGCCACCAACGCATACTCTCAGCACTCACATATACAGGCGCAAATTGAAACATGCGATTGCGAAGATCCTTCTCCCATCGGTCATCAGACCAATTGAAAAGGAATGAGAACACTTGGTATCCCATAGCTCCATACAGTTTCGGAGGCAAGATGGCATGCATGGTCATCATGATAGGGATGAATGCGTGAATCCCAAACATCGCACGGAACATACCGGGACCGATAATGCGCATGAACTTGAAGTACATCTTGCCCACGAGCGGGCCCGCATAAGCGGCGGGAGCGAGAGCACAGAAAACACTGATTTTTTCGCTTATATCTGGACGTTGTTCCTTTGCGAGAGCTACCAAGATCTGCGTTGTGCCTTGGCTGTGTCCAACGAGACCCAGCTTGGGAAATCCAGTTTCTGACAACACACGAGATATGAGGGCGGGGAGATCAAGAACGCCCATTTGTCGAATATTCCATGCCCACATTCGAGGGTCCCCATACTCCAACAAGCTGTGCCTGGGCTTGAAGCCGCATCTATTATTCCCCAACCAGACATCGTAGCCAGACTTCGCAAGGAAAAACGCGAGGCTGTCGTCGTCGTTCGTACAATAGGCCCCGGCAGACTGTAAAAGCCCATGTATCAAGAGTACGGGGTACTTCTTGCTGCCCGAGGCATCGTTTAGATTGGGTTCGTTTTGAAATATTTCTGGAGACCTTGGTTGCCGATGGGAGGAGTCGGTGCGTTTATACTCTCGTGGGTTGTATATATGCCACAACTCTATTATAAAACCGTCCTCTGTTTGCACGTCGAATATTTCACAATCGAGTCCAGCCCGGCGAGCATAATAGCGTACATCGCAAGGGATCTTATCGGGTCCGCCTTCGAGAGGTACAAATTCGTCACCACTAGTCGCTTTTTCACTATTTGAGTGGTTTTCCAGCGGATCGTTTTTACCTTGTTTCCAGGCATTTTCTGCCAGACGCCTAGCCGTCCGTCGTGTCTCTTCTTCGTCATAAAATGGTCTGCTCTTATCTGGATTTCTGAGGGTGATTCGCAACCACAAACGTTTGATTACAACAGGCATGCTTGTAAAAAGAGCACCCAGGATGATGACCAAGAGAAAACACAAAGATAAAATGGAGGAAGAGATTCGAAACAGCCAACAATGCACCCTCCGCATCAATGTCGGGGGTCCATACATGGGCAACGGCGGGAACAAGGGATTGGTCCGAGAAGGAGGCTTCTGAGAGTCCAGAGGTGCGTCCGTCTTGCCTCCTTCGTGCTCCTTTTGGATCGCAGTATGTGCGCCGTGGATAGTCCCGTCCTTCGATTGTCGCGCTTCCGCATTTTGAGGCATGCCGGTTGAAGGATTCGCCTCGTCTACGGCGTCGTGCAGTTTGTTCAACTTCTCAGCCTCCTCGATTGGCACAACAGGCAGGCGCCCTCCATCTGCTGTTACGATTACAGGGTCCTGAGCAGTAATGAATTTTGCCTCGACAGCCTGTGTTGACCCGGTCTGATCGTTTTCTTGGTCTGGAGCATATTGGCCTAGCTTTTCTGCTTGATGCGTGAATTCGATTGCTGCCCTCGTCTTGGCCTTTGCCTTCTCCTGTGCACCAGTCAATTTTTCTTTAACTGCTGCAGTGGTGGGCATTGCGTGTTCTCGAGGGACTGTTCAGCACATCAACGGTGCGATGGGGAGACTCAATGGACACTGAAAGAATATGACCCGGTAGATAGGCTCGGCGCTTTCTCTCTAGCCAGAAAAAGCTGAAAATCACGGATGGATGAGGCAAAAAGGCACAGAGTTCACCAGATGATGTGCAGCAAGGTTTATAATGCGCGTCCTGTTGATGCAGGGAGGGCGGCGATAGGTAATGATGTCAGCGCCTTTGCCAAGGCACGGCTTCAAGGCGCTTTGCAAACAGTTTATCTGCAGTCGACATGGGGGGAGCCTGGTGTCGAGATACGCGAGGGTCCAAGTGCTTTACCTCACCCATGCATGCAAACTACAGGAGGTGGGGAATACGGAGAACCGTGGCTGTTGATTATTTTTCAAAGCTGCCGATGAGTGGGTGATGGGCGTGGGCAAGGTGTTCGGCACTATTAGAGCAGAACAACAGATGTCAGATGGAGTTGCCGAGGTTCCATTGTCTTGGCAAGCTCGGAACCGCGATCATGTTCAACGAAGCTGAGACTCAATCATAATACCTTCCCGCACATTTCAAATCCATTGAATTGGTTCCTGTTCAAATGACGGAGGTGCAGAATGGCGGCCTTCATTCGCGCAAAAGGCGCCGGAGAAGGCGACTCGACAGGCCTCCGATATCCGCCCGTTTACTCCTCGACGATCGTTTGAAGGGTGAGGAGGGTCTATTGTCTGAGGACCTCTTTGCGGACCTGTTCCCTTGGGCTGGCAACCCAGGTAAGTATTCATTCTACCTTCCACAGAATCTCTGTGGAGCACAGGCTGAACGTAATCTTGCAGATAGAGATGGTGCCACTTCCAAAGCAAAGCCTGTCCATTATGTTGCCATCACTCCTTGGCTTCCCAGCTCCCTCGCTGCTTCCCAAAATGCCTCGTGGACCATATTGCCCGTGAGGCTTGCTACGCCAGAAAGCAACTCCTCCGTACGCCCGCATTCCTCCCTCCAAATCCCCGCTTCATCCCTCGCTCTACAATCTTTCTCGCAGACTCTCCATGCTCTGGCGCCGAACAAAACGCAGAGGAGGGACACCCCAATCGAAATTCGCATCTACGATGTCATACCGCTCGGCCTGGAAACCGTTTATGTGAACCTGGATACGGAAGCTCTGCGCAAATTGGACGAGGTACACGCAAAGTTTGGTGGTGGCTTTGGAGGGGCCAAAGGACCTAAGGATAGATTCTTGAAAGCAAATGGATACGGGGGCAAGTCTGCAAAGGGCGTAAATCACGCTGCCCAGGAGCAGACGTGGAAAAAGGCTGTTCGAGATGCGCTCCAGTCCCCAGCCGTTGTCCATACCGGAGATCTTCTTCCATTGTCGTTGCCCTCGCATCCAATCACACATGTTCCACCTCCTCCGGCGAAAATTGTGGCTTGTGAGCCTCTCTCGCAAGGCCTCCTCCTACCAAGCACACGCATTGTTGTTCTACAGTCTCATCGCCCTTCAAAAAGTGTACAGATTCTTCCGCCTTCTAAGCCTGCGTCTATACCAAATGGGTTTGGCGATGATGAATCCGAAGACACATCCAACGAGCAGTTCTTTTCGGCCGCAGAGGATCGCAACCCATCCCAAGACAACAGTCCCCCAGATGCAGAGTCCACAGATGAATTAGATTCTGAGCTTTCCGATGCCGGCGACCTGTCTGACGATTCGGAGGACATCATCTCCTTGAACGCCCCTCTTCTACCGCCTCAATCATCTGGTGTGCTCTCAGCATTCAGTTCCGCTACACCAAGACCCGGAAACTTCCATACCAACGGAATTGCTACGCCCGGCTCGGTGTTCTCCAGTTTTACTGCTACAACTGCTCGGGGAGGTGGCTCATCTGCTAAGAGCAAGATCTTTAGAGCCCATGGACTGTTGCAGACCATCCCCGATGAGTTGATATATCCCAAGCCTGGTACTGAGGATGACGAGGAAGCACGTGTCTTTGTAGACACCAACACGTTGGTCAAGGTTGGATGTTTCTCAGGTGATTGGGTCAAGGTTGAGGTGACTCCTGAGCCTTCTAGTCATCCGTTATTCGGGCTAGGTAAGTTTGGTGCCGAACACGAAGACGATGCAGAATGGCGTCCGGTTCGCATTTACGGCCTCCCAGAGAGTATGTCCAAAAAGGTCGCACGTTACGCCTTGAACAAATCCGATGATTGGGATCGGAGTTCTAGCTTCTCGGGTTTCCAGCCGTCTAGCACCTCTCCCCAAGCTTATCTCTCACCCATCCTTCTAGCCAACATGGGCAGTCCTTCACACTTACGAATTACCACCTTGGCTCCTTATCAGCCTCCCAACGTACCAAGAGGCGTTCTGCAAAAGCCACGACTTACGGGCTCCTCGTTACCTCCATCTGCGAAAGAAGTCACACTGTTCAAATTGTCTACCCCGCTATCTTCGGAACGGTTGTTGCAACCTAGTCTGTTCGCCGCTTTAAAGGATCATTTTGAGCAGAAGCGGCGAATAGTGAAAACGGGCGATCTCATCGGTGTTGCTATCGATGAGTCGCTCGGTAGAGCTGTATTCCAAGCAAATACGACCGACGACGATGCCATTGGTGATGAAATCCTCTCACAACACAAGAAGGCAGAAACAGAACATGTGGCCAGTGCAGATAGCAACACCACCAAAGCTGTTACCTGGTTCAAGATTGGAAACGTAACCTCGTCACACGCAGAGCCTCGAGATAACGAAGAACCTGATGTATGGGGTGGTGTTGTCCGAGTAGACTCTGCAAGCACGAAAATGGAAATGAACGGCAGTGAACAAGGGAAAACGCCTGCACCACTCAACAGCACTTGGCAGTATTACTTGGGCGCAAAGAAGCCCCCGGCAGTGTCAAGTCAAAGATCGCTCGCAATCGATGAGCTGCCCAAGCCATATATCTCTTCTTTACGCCGACGACTGAGGGAGTTGATCTCTGCTGCAACAAGCCCGCGAGCCATACATCTAGGACTGCCGCCCATTGCCGTACTTATCACATCTACCCAACGTGGCATCGGCAAGGCAAGCATTGCAACAAAGGCTTGCGAAGATCTTGGCTTGCATACCTTCTCAATTGACGCCTTCGACATTCTCAGCGAAGGAGGTGCAGGCGATGTCAAAACCGAAGGTTTCTTGAAAGCACGGGCAGAGCGTGCCTTGACTTGTGGCGCCGAATTCACTGCTTTGTTGATTCAACATATCGAGTCACTGAACGCTGATCGCATGAATATTGCCCTGAAGCAAGTTCTAGAAGACTCACGAGTACTGGTTGCGACCACAACCGAAGTCGACAAGATCCCAGAGGGTATTCGAGGATTGTTCACTCACGAGATTGAAATGTCGGCACCTGACGAGAAAGAACGAGAGGGCATATTACGCGACATCATTAACGAAGCTGGGATACGGCTTTCACCAGATGTGGATTTGGGCAATGTCGCAGTAAAGACGGCAGCACTAGTTGCCGGTGATCTGGTTGACGTCGTTGACCGAGCCCAAGTTGCTAAGCGCAACCGCGTTGAGGCACTGGCAAAGACAGCTTCAGCAGATTTGACGCCTACAGCAACCATCACCACCAGAGACATTGAGCTTGCAGGCGGTCATTTTAGCAACAGCTTGACAAAAGCTGATCTCGATAGTGCTGTTGATGCAGCTCGCAAGAATTTTGCAGATGCCATTGGTGCGCCGAAAATTCCAAATGTTGGCTGGTCAGATGTCGGTGGTCTATCACATGTCAAAGATGCAGTTATGGAGACAATTCAATTACCTCTTGCGCGACCGGAGCTGTTTGCCAAAGGAATGAAGAAACGTAGCGGTATTCTTTTCTACGGCCCTCCCGGTACAGGAAAGACGTTGCTCGCCAAGGCTATCGCGACGGAGTTTTCGCTCAACTTCTTCAGTGTCAAAGGGCCGGAGCTACTCAACATGTACATTGGTGAGTCAGAGGCGAACGTCCGGCGCGTGTTCCAACGTGCCCGCGATGCACGACCTTGTGTCGTCTTCTTTGACGAATTGGACTCGGTAGCACCCAAGCGTGGCAATCAAGGTGACAGCGGCGGTGTTATGGACCGTATTGTCAGTCAGTTACTCGCCGAGTTAGACGGCATGAGCGATGGCGGCGAAGGTGTGTTCGTGATTGGTGCTACTAACAGGCCTGATCTGCTCGACCAAGCACTTCTTCGACCCGGCCGATTCGACAAGATGCTTTACTTGGGTGTCTCAGACACGCATGAGAAACAGCAGACTATTCTGGAAGCCCTGTCAAGAAAGTATGTTTTCAGCGGTTCAGCCATCACTCAAATCTCCCGTACTGACAAGCCTCAGATTCACCTTGCACCCCGACCTATCACTTCAAAGAGTAGCCTCTGGCCTACCATTTACATACACTGGTGCCGACATGTACGCCCTGTGCTCTGATGCCATGCTCAAGGCCATCACACGACAAGCCCGGGCCGTTGATGAAAAGGTCAAACACTACAACGCCGCACACACGCCACAGATCACCATAGCGTATTTTTTCGATCATCTTGCTACAGACGAGGACACGGCAGTCATGGTTACAGAGCAAGACTTCATCGATGCCCACAAGGAACTCGTTCCTAGCGTCAGCGCAGAAGAACTCAAGCATTACGACAGAGTGCGCAAAACCTTCGAAGGTACAGGGAAGAAGAAAGACGACCACGAAACCAATGATTCAAACGGAGTGGTACAAGGCGGTTCCTCTTGGAAAGGGAAAGGCAAAATGCCTGTTAACCCTGAAAGCGATGGCAATATTGTGATTCAGACCGAAGATATAGGAATAAATGAGTCGAGCGCCAATGCTGACAGCGGGAGCTCAAGCAACGCCAAGGGTAAGGGCAAAATGCCTGTGGCTGCAACTCACCATTCGAGCAAAAATAGTGTGGAAATTGCCGAAGGCGGATTCGGCGATGGGGCGGAAGATGACAACGAGCTATACTCTTAGCCTACGCGCTTGGGCGCACTTTGTCATCACGGATGGAGAGATTTGTAACATATTATGTCGGCATTTCATACGCCAATTGGGCATTGTTGCTGTGCTATAATCTAAAGTTTTGACATTTTTGGTCGTCAAGGAGCTAAATGAGATACCCAACATGGAAGCTTCCCTATAGCATCGTTGATATGAGGCGTCTTATTCCGTGCTCCTGGTGAAGCATTGTACCGATCCAGAAGCCTTTTATTGCTTTCGAACCTTGCCTTCTGTAAAATAGAGGACGATGTCTGGAAAATATACATTGATTTCTCAATATGGCGCACCACGGTGGATCCCTGATCGCATACACGTCGCTCGTTTCAAATGGCTATTCTCTATATTCGCTTTATTTTCACTACTCCGCGCCGGCCCAAATCAACTTGTAGAGAAACTGGATTCATTGTTCATTGGTAGATATGAGTATATTTTAGCAAGTGTAGCAGTAGGTCTGCGCCCAGCTGACCGGTATTTGACGTTCGGAAATCTGGATTTACAGCTCTAAATGCAATGATTCGGGCAACCCAAAATTTCCTGGCCAATCATCACTTTTCTGGGGAACAAGGACGTAGCAGACAACAGCGGAAGTGGCATCCTTTGTGGGTCATGGGCTGAGGCGAATGCGAAACAGGCCTGCCTTGCCCTCTACAACATTTGCCAACCATGCCGCTGTTCACTGACAGGTAAGAACTAAAAGTCTAGCAAGCAATGCCGTAATGCTCTAGACCTGCTTGCTAAGCCTGGAATTTCAATGCTTACTAGGGACTTCAACCTTTCGCTTGTTAGCTTATTGAGGGACTCGTACCAGTTCAGAGGGATTGAAGGAAGGGGCACACGTGAGAAGGTATTGAGACTATGTACATCGCCTTACAAATTTCCAATACGCCCGTCTGAATGACTTCTGTATAGAATTGGGGCACGTCATCAAATACTTGCTGTGCCACAAGCAGTGCTACTGAAATGAAACTGTATGTCAGCACTGTCTTTACGTGTGGTAGAACTTTCGTCTGGTCACTTTTGAGTTTATTCCCGGACATTCGGGGGCCAAAAGTATAGCCAAACACACTGTGAAAGACCAATGTGAAACGGTGAATTTGATTGTAGAGGAAATTGTTTCGCAATGTACGTCCGCCTTCTATGTAGGATGCGGGGATTGTGCAAATGGTAAGCAAACGCCCGGCCTCAGCCTCATCACTAGTATTTGCTTAACGGTCACGGTGATAAGTCTTCGCCCCAGCCACCCCGACTCTAAACGAACTAATCTTTTTCTAACGATTTTTGGGGGCCTGATTCGAGCACTGACAAGCGAAATCCTACAATGTACCTATTTTCGGATTATTGGACAGGTAGGGCTGAAGCAATGGTTACGCCCCATAAGCAGTCAAGTGAATCCTGAAGAGAAGATGGAGTATATAAATGAATGGGATAGTCCTCTCACCAGCATTCAAATCACAAAAACACATCTCAACACACCACAGTCGCTTCTCGCTACAGTCATATCCAACTCTCACTCGCTCTTCGCTACTATCACCTTTGACCAAATTCATCCGCATCTTTTCTCTTCAAAAACCAGTCAATACCAATCCAAAACTCCACAATGAAGGCCTTCACTCCCATCGTCGTCGCTGCTCTCTTCGCAGCCGCCAACGCTGCCACTGTCAAGCTCGAGACTACCAAGTGCGGTGATATCAAGACTGAGTCCTTCGACGTAACCCTCGACACTGTAGTCGCCAAAGGTAACCACCAACCACCCCGCTCCTTGCCCAACACACACTAATATTTTCTCCACACAGAGCTCAAATCCGTTTGCGGTCTTCAAATCGTCTCCGCCGAAGGCGCCTACGACGCTACCATCGAATGCGAAGCCTTCAAAGACGCCGCGGGCAAAGAGTCCGGCTCCGCGAAATTCAAAAAGGGCACTCCCGCCCTCATCTCTACCAACCCCGTCCAGATCAACTCCGTCCAATGCAAAGTCTTTGGCTTCGCTGGAGCTTCAGGAACGGGCGCTGCTGGCCCTAGCTCTACCGGCGCTGCTGGGGCTCCTGGTTCCACGGGTACTCCTGGATCCACCGGTGCTCCTGGACAGGGTGGAGCTGGAGGAAGCGGTACCAACGGTACCAACCCTGCGCCGGGTTCGCCTACACCCGCTGCTAACCCCAACGGCGCCGAGAAGCTTGGTTTGAGCTTGGGTGCTGTTGCTGCTGTTGTTGGTCTTGGTATGGCTGCTTTGTAGGCCGACCTTGGCTTGGATAGACGTTTGGATTTGCTTTGAGTCTGTCTGTCTAGAAAACATAATGGTGGTAGTGGAGTGCATTGGTTGAAAAGGTTGTAAAATATAGAAGTCTCCTTGCACTTGTTTCTTTTCTTCTTGTTGTTGGATTATATCCTTCCTATTTCTTTGCTTCAGTTAATCATCATAGCGTTATCTTACATCGCATTACCGGAATTCTACAGGACATATTTAGACTTAGCATTGCAGTTTTTTCAAGGGATTGATATGAATTGATATATTGCGCCCGTATATGCGTTCTTTTTTCTCCGATTCCACTGTCTCGTTGGTGGGTAATATGGGTCGAAGAATGCATCTCAACCACATTAGGGGTGATGAGCCTTTTGACAATTGACAAAGCGGCAAAATGAAACCTGTATATCAAGACACAGTACAACAAACCAGCTTAATAAGCTCCAGTGCTTAATAAGCTTGGTGAAGGCAAAACTCGTTTAGTTCTTTTAGTTATCGCTTGTTATTTTAGTTTATTATTGTTGTTACCTATCGCTGTGTGTATAGGATCACCTTAACTCCGACTCAAGACAAATTAAAAACAAAACAGAGTTTAGTCTAACCTCCTGGTATGCGGCCACCCGAGGGACTGTAAGCCTCAGCAATCCTAGTACTAATGGGGATGGCTAGTGGTAAAGTACTGCTTTATCAAATGGAATCTGTGCTGAAAACAAAAGGACGCCGGACGGTATAATAGTAACAGGAAGAATGAACAACAAAAAGGGAGTCACGACAAACAAATTAAGACATTGCAAAAAGAAATCAGAGATCTCGATCAGTGCCATAGAACCTCCCTCACAGACATTGATAGTACCATGGTGCCGAAACTCCTTTGCAAGTGTATGGAGACTATACCGGATCTGTTAGCCAGCGATATTTTGGGATGAATGATAATACTGAATGGATGTGTACCTCGCAGACTGTACATCCTTTCCAGTCGTTGCCGCCGCATTGATCCCAGTGTTTTTGCTTGCAACCTCCCGGATTCCCTGGTGTACTTGTCGGTGGTCTTTGAGTCGTTGTTCTGGTAGTAGTCGGCCTGGATGTTGTCGTAGGAGGCCTTGGGGTTGTCGTGGGTGGTTTAGGTGTTGTTGTAGGTGGTGGTTTCGGCGTGGAGGTCGGAGGAGGCTTCGTAGGCTTCGTTGTTGGGCGAGGTGGACCGGAGCCACCTTTGGTAGGTGTATCCACTACACTCCCATCGCAGTAGATAGTGGCGCCGTCCAAAAGGAGATTCTTCAGAATTGAACTCATTCCAGAAGTCCCGGGCCCGTTGCAATACGAAGTGTTGACTTGCCCGACATTGAGAGTCGTGGGATATTCTATGTGGAAAACAGGCTTGTTAGATGCAAGGAAAGCGTTGTATCGGTCGCACTCGACGTGTTGGGCGCATTGTTCATTGACTGCGAAATCGATGAAGGGAGTCAAGGCATCGATGATGTCAAGGGCATTCTTGAGTCCGATTTTCATGTTGTATTTAGCAGCCTCTATGCGCATCCATTTCATGTAGTCAATCGCGTCATTGCTGTTCAGATTCAGGCCGTTGTCATTTTGCTGTAGTAGGTCAGCTTTATTCTGCCAATGAGGACGTTAGGAACTTAGGTGATAGATCAGACAGCAATGATCCGAGTAAAAGAAAAGACGCGGGCTGAGGCATACATACATATCCGTCTACAAGAATATTAGCAGAGCTCGATCAAGTGAATGCGCCAGGGAACGTTCGAGTCCTGAAACATACATACCAATGTTGTCAGGATCGATAGCATCGCAGTCCTTATCGCCGGCAATTTTTATACGCTTCGCCATGATTTCTCTAACTTTCGAACTTCCGGTGCGTATCCATTTCTCATTAGGCCACTCTGGCAAGACCTTTCCCACGTCTGCTTTGGGGAAATCTTTCACGTCGTCTCTCCAATCTTCCACTGTGCCAGCACTGAAGTAGCAAATCACAAGATCCCCAGTTTTCTTTAATGCCTTGATAGTCGCAGCATCATTGTCGAAGAGATCAATGTCCCATACCGTAGCATCAATCGGCGCCAGAGGCGCTTTTGACATGTCCGGTGTGCCGCCAAGTATTATTTGCCATTTCTGTCCCCGCTGGAACAAAATTTGGGCTGAGGAGAGCCCGCCGGTAAGGAGTGTCGTCCAGAGCAACTGGCACCGCATTTTCAATGGAAAGCTTCTCGGGGCAAGACAATGGAGCAAGCGAAAACACAGAAACAGAATGAACGCAGTTAAGAATATTTTTCAAAACTCGCATGTTGCACTCGCCTTGTTGCAGTAGGCGGATGTTCTGCCGGAACCGGCATCGGGGGCATCTCAAAAGAGATCGAAATCAAACAATCTATCTACATCACTTGGTCAGATGCTCTGGCTCTGGCGCACAAATTGAACTCGACAAAGAAATGGCATGGCAAGAGATTAACCGAAGCCGTTCAAAGGCGCTATGTTGTTTCTCCAGACGAGTGACCTTGTTATTCGAATTTGAATCAAGATTACTGTTGCAGCTCCCAGCCAACCATGGGACTTGGTTTAAATATGTTCAGATCCCAGAGACACCCGGACCTTGCTGTAGTCTTTTGTGTGACGGGCAATGTCTAATAGGCTGCAGAGGACAAGTGCGTCGACACCCGTACGCATATTATGCACACGCACTCATGCCATGAGCGCAGGTATGTCGATGTGGACGTTGCCCATTATTCGTCAGTGCTCGCTATATACAACAAACACTGAAACACTGAAACACTATGCTTTAGGCAGTGTCATTGGAATACAAATGCGATAGCTACAGACCGATTACTTGATCGACTGCTAGCATCAGCTTCGCGAGGTTACAAACCAACTCTCTCGGCAGATATGTGTGTACTGCGGAGAAAAAAAATAAAAAGCTTAGCTCTAGCTTCTTTCAAGTGCACACCCAGGGCTTACTTGCAGGGGGCTGGGTCCAAAGAGAGAATCAGGATACCGTTCTAGACTTGCGGCTAAATCGGCCGATAATCTATTGCGCTCATGCAGACGAGATTCCTCAGCGAATCCGGGGTAAGTTGGCGAGAATGTGAATGACACATTTGATGAAGCAGTACGTTACCACTGGCCATCCCCATTGGTACTAGGATTGCTGAGGCTTACAGTCCCGACGTACGGAGGGACTGTAGCTTCTGGGAAGCCTGGAATTCTGCAGGTCCGCTGTCCTCGTGGCATAATATGCATGGAGAATTACGAGTCTAGGAGCTCCTTGGTTCCACTGGAACGACCCATTCCTCCCCCTAGATACGAGAAGGCCGATCAGCTCACTGTAAGCGCACAGTTCAGCTCCAGCGACAGATTGAATTTGATGATGTCGGTATTTTGAGGTGTTGATGTGGTTGATCGACGTTATGGAATTGAAGATCTCCATTAATTAGACGTTGGGTATGGATGCCAATCGAGAAGCACACCACCATGAGCTTGGCACAATTATACAAGTTGACTTATATGGAGCTGATCAAATCATGGCGGCATCTGTGATGTCGGAGGAGAAATCGCTGTTGAAGCTCAGTAGTGAACTCTAGAGCGCCAAGCTTTCTTATCGATAAAAATTTAAGAAACCTGTTATCGATAAAGATTTAGGAGACCTCAAACTGGAATACAGTTACTACTCCAACGTGCACTCACTTGTCGACTCTTCTTCTCTTCCCACCCCTTTTGCTCTGTTTTATACATATCTTCAATATTTATTAGATGTACTCGCTGTGGTCCTCTGAACCTTTGTCGTATCGTCTTCGGCTTCGTACACCTCCGTATGCTCCCTCTCTTTCGACGGCGAAGTCTTTTCAGCCCACGCCCAGTCCTACGCATACCAAGCATACCTACACGTTCACTGAGTGTATTGCCCACGCCACTCGTGACTCACGCTGAGATTTGGGATCCTACGCAGCATAGAGGCTTACAACCTCCACCTCTGCCCCCTTTGACTGAATCGGATCGCCTCTTACGAAATCAGCGCAAGAAAACGCGCAGACATTTGGTACATACGGAAGGACTCATCTTATTCACTGGAAACCAGTCGGCCAACAACGATCTTCCACACATTCGAGAGTTGAAAGGGCTATTACGTATCGTCGAATTGGGCGAAGGCAAGGGACGCGGTGAAGAATTATGGCACGCCTACCACTCAGCCAAAGAGCGGACCCCTGATCTAAGTTCAGCATTGACAAAGAGAGCTTGGGCAACTCTTCTTGCTTTGAGACGTCCCGAAATCGACCACGTGAGCCGTCCGATCCGCGCGGATTGGATCGAGGCCAAGCCGAAATTTCGCAAACGCCCCCGAATGAAACATCTGAAAAGCATGATGATGGATGGTAGAGAGACCGATGCATTAAAAGAGTGGGAGCATGATCATTACAAAGACAATTCGCCCCAACGAATTGATTTCATGCCAGAGCACCTTGAATTAGGGGTGAAGCTCTACGCGCTGACTGGGAATGCGGATCGAGCACTAGACATAATGAAAGAGTTGTTTAAACTTCATCCGAGGTGGAACACGTCAGTAATGATGCTTGTTTTTCGCGTTCATACCGATACAAATACTGAGGAACACCACGAAAAGGCTTGGAACATCTATCGGAAGATGCGAAAATCGCTAGGGAAGCGTGCAGCATTGGAAGACTATGATGCTTGGTTCGTAGGTTTTCTCGAATGTAGGCATAACCTCTATGCACGGTTGGTTTTCCAGGACATGATTCGAGCAAGAGTAATCGAGGCGGCATTCCCACCCCCAGAAACGGGAAAGAGTGGAGATGTAGCCAGAAAACATGTCTATGAGACACTCAGAAGGCTGTACCTTCTCAGTCGATTAGGGACAGACATCCTGAGGATTACAGATATCTATCTCTTGGCAATTTCGGTACTCCCGGCCTCCTACCATTCGCACATATACCTCAACTGGATGGCAAGTGCAATTGCGTTTCAAGCCCCGAATCATTTGGGCCACATCCTCAACATGATGATCAAGCAAAATCTTCAACCGGCCACAGAACACTACAATCTACTGTTGAAGGCTCTTCTCCGTACAGGCGAGCAGCCTAGTATTAACAAAGCTGAGGATCTCGGATGGAGAATGGTCGAAGAAGCAAGAAAACAGGGGCCGCCAGCGAGTGGCGCCAAGTTGCTCTCTGCTACTATTGCGAATGCGAAGGACAGCATGCAAAACAAAGGACCAGAGCCTATTGATGCCAATAAGGCCAGAAAGATCCCCGGTGCTGATGGAGCTACGTTCGCTCTGATCATGCAGCACCATGCAGATCTCGATCAGTGGGAGCATGTCGATTATCTGGCTCGACGACTTGACAAATCAGGAATTTCACCCAACGATGACCTCATGAATGTTCTCATATCCAATCATACCCGCAAAGGGCAATTTGGCAAAGCGTGGACGACGTATACAAACCTTACTACCGCCTCGAGGAGCACACCTGGAGTCTTCCCGAATGGAACCACTATCAGGTATGTGTGGAGAAATCTCCAACTTGCGCTCCACCATGACGCGAGCAAGGATAGCTCTGTTCTGCCTTCACCGCGGTTATTACTGGCAGAGACGGTTACCTGGTGGCAAAAATGTCACCAAAGAATGGATGCAGACCACTTCCTTACCGGACTGGCTGCAAGCAATAGAACCGCAATTATCCACATGATGTTGCATTGTTTCAGCTACACCAGGGATTTTGCAGGCTCTTTGGTTGCTCTACATGTTCTGAGGCAGTACTTCGACATCTATCCTTTAGTCGACACTAGGAAAGTCCTTCAGTTTCAAGCGACATGGACAGAGGAGTTTGATCCCCGACGGCGCACTCGGGGACTGGTTCGCCGAGCCTACGACTGTGAGAAAACCATGTCCACGATGGAAGCCATATACGAAATACTTGCAGAGCAAAGATGGGAAAGAATGGGGTATACAAGCGATGATGAGCGGATCGTTGATCTCGATCCCATTGTTGTGGAGCAGGCAGAGCTCGATCTTCTGTCTGAGTTCATCAGAGTGATAATGAAGCGAGCCGAAGACCCCGAGACGGTTGAAGCAATGATTGCTCAGGCCAAGGAGGAGGTTGGCGTCCCGCATATGACAACTGGCGATTTGGATGCATTTAGCGTTGCTTGAATCGCGCGTGATTGGTGTATTGCATATTGTTCCATTTTCCACTCTTGTATAAAAGCTGATCCACGATACCCATTTTCATATAGTCCACTTGTATGTAATACATAAGCAAATAAATCTCCCCACGACCCAAACGCCAAACCCAGAAGAAGTCCTATCGTTGCAATTTATTGCATGCTCATACGGCCTACAAGCCCAAGGGATTGCTCCCAGTCCCCTTTCTAGGCGTGGGCCCAGACGTCGATCCCATGATGGCTTTAGCTCCAGAAGGGGTGCTCACCAAACCGAGCGGGTTCTTCGAAGACACGCCTCGAGCGCCGCCAGCGCCGGTCGCATCTTTGATGGAATTTCCGTACTCGCGGATGCTCTCGCCCCATGTTCGACTCGAATTGGTAATACTAGGATTCTCATCAGTTTTTGACCCTTCATGTTCTCTTTGGAAGTGTTGTACCTGGCGCCTGCTCCCTTGCCTGCCCCCGAAACTCCGTTGCCAACTGCAGTCACGGCTGCATTTCCAAGATTACCGATGCCTGATGCAGCAGCGTTTGTGGTGCGTGTGAACCAGCTCTGCTGCTGTGGCGCTTGCTTTGGCGGTTGTTTCTTTGCAGGCTGGGGTTTGGGCGGCTGCTTTTTGGGCATTTGCGCCTTTGGGAGCTGCTTGTTAGCAGGTTGCGTCTTGGGCAACGGTCGGTTGGCTACTGAATTCTTTGCTTGCGTTTTGGGTGGCATGATCAGAAAGTATAGAAATGGTTGTTTGGATAGGATACCAATGGGTGAATTAAACCATTGCTGAGGAAGTTGACCTCGATTCAAGTATTCAATGGCTGTGGCGGCCGATGATGTCACGCGTCTGGCTAGTGAGCTCTGGACATCTGGAGTAAACGAGCGGTCCCTGGTCCGGCTAACCCAACAAATAAGGTTGCATTAGTTCGGCTTTGTCATCCTCCGTTGGAACTTCTCGTCGGACCCTGGAACGTCTGGAGTCCGCATCCAACTTCATCTTCTTCGTGGCTGCTGTCGTTCGACAGTACATTTTCGATCTATTTTCTTTACACGCCATCTACCGACCCTGGTATCTGGCAACCATTAATGCGACTGCCCTGTTGAGAAATCACGGTGTGCACAGTAACACAAGCGTTTGCGGAGTAGAGCCAGGGTAGATACCAATCGAGTCCGCCAACGCCCTCGCAGCAGCATGGTTTTTGTCCTTCTTCACCGTAGATTTTAGTAGAAAAATATTAAATTTTGGTTGCGTTCTTGTAAGTCGAATTTCCTGTCCCGATGCGCACCACAACACCCCGCCATGGACGACCCCCCACCCGGACACAAGACGGCCGCGGCCAAACTCGTGCGTCTCAAACGGTCCAAAACAGACCTGAGCGACGTGGAAACTGTTGATCCGGATCTGAGCGCTCATGGGCAATCTTTTCTGCCTGGCCAGTGGCCAAAGCAGGATGCCTCTGCGCGCAAGAGACCCCGACGACGTGGCTTTTCATTAAACAAGCTGACAGCATCTTTAGGACTGCACAAGCCTTCCCGGAAGTCCACCCAGAAACCGAGTATCTCGAAACCTATCGTCGATTTCCAGAATCCCATTACTCTACCATCCTCGAGCTTCGAACTAGGTCGTATCTCCCTTGCGCCGCACCGTCCCCATCTCGTACACGCGAACTCGAGCCCTGCCCGCACTTGCCCACCAAGATCTGACTCGCCCCAATCTTCAGGATTGATCAGACGTGAAGGGTCGGTGAACGGCCTTGACCGCCATTCTAGGGCAGATAAAACATCAAGACTTGTAACAATGGACCCGACGCGCTTAAGCCTGCAGCCGCCGGCCAACGGCACCAAGCTGCGCGCAAGGCAACAAGCGCAAGAAATGCAGATCCTTGTCTCCGAGCGTGCTAGACGTAGCGGAGAAGACCCGCCGCCATACGAATTTTTCGAGCTTATTGGCAGAGGTTCATTCGGCCGTGTGTTCAAAGGGCATGTTTTTATCTCGCCACATTGGTTAGTGAATTGCACAACTAACAGATACTAGTGCTGATCGAAAAACTGGGGAGACGGTTGCGATCAAGATTCTCGACATTGACAGTTCCGATTACATTGAGAGAAGTCAAGACCAGCTTTCGACTACCTTGAAGGAGATCAGCATCCTTCAACAATTGAAGAACAGCAAAGCTCGACCTTACGTCAATGTCATTATGGAGGCCCTCCCCGTTCATAACGAGCTTTGGATCATCAGCGAATACGCTAGCGGTGGTAGCGTCAGTACATTAATGAAGCCCACGGCGAACCAAGGACTAGAGGAGAAATTCATCATTCCAATCGCACGGGAGCTAGCGCTGGCACTGAAATACACCCATGAAATCGGTATCCTGCACAGAGATCTCAAGTGCGCGAACATCTTAATCCTTGAGGATGGCAGTGTGCAGCTTTGCGATTTCGGTGTTTCTGGCATCGTCGAGGCTCGACAAGCCGAGCCTTCCAAAAGATTCAGTGTACACGGCACGCCGCATTGGCTTGCTCCAGAGCTGATCCCGCCACTCATCAATAACGAATTCGAGACTGAGGTCCCATATGGGGCTGAGGTTGACATTTGGGCTTATGGGTGCACCATCTATGAGATGGCTACGGGAAGGCCGCCAAACGCCACAACAGCAGCAGCCAGTCTGCCAAACGCACCTTTGCCGAGCCTTGACGGAGATAGGTATTCAGAAGATCTGAAGGATTTTGTTGCGTTTGTGTTTCACCGTGACCCCGATGAGCGCCCCACTACGGACGAGATACTTGGACACCCCTTTCTGGCCAACTCTACCAAAATGTACCCGACCGTTATGCTCGTCAAGTTAGTGGAAGATTATACTCAGTGGGAACGTGCTGGCGGTAACCGTGTATCACTATTCGACCCGCGGGCCGGAGCTATGGCACCTGATCCACTGGCTCCAGAGGACGACGACGATGATGATTGGACGTTCAGTACCAGTGACGAATTTGAGACAAGATTATCAAGGGCGTTTCCAGAACACTTTGCTATGCCCGTTCAAAGTCAAGACGGCATGGCTCCAGTGGATGATGGGGACAGAATGGCAAAGTTGCTGGCAAATTTCAAAGAAGAGGGCATCAGACGAGGAGGACAGGGACTAGGTCGGTTGTTCGATATGAATGCCGCCCCTTACAAATTCAGCGTCGACGACGGCGGTAACGGTCGACCACCATCGGATCTAGTACTTCGCAACAGCGACTGGCCCATTGCGCCTAATCGAGAAACTGTGATCGATCTGGACTTCGCAGCACCTTCGATTGCTATGGAACCTAGCATTGACTTGGATGAGGTGCCCAATCTAAAAGCAAATCGCATGCACAAGGTCATCCGTGAGGCGCAGATGGAGGACGAAGAGTTTGATGCTTTCGACATGGATGAAATGACGAAACGTGCTACACGAGACTTTAAATATCCACCTGAGGACAGAGACCTTGGACCAAGACCACCTACGATGGAATGGAAGTTACCCTTGCAGAGAGACAGTGTCAGACCACCCACGATGGACTGGACGTTTAGCATGGCGGGAGAGACTGCTAGGCCACTTACGAAGGAATGGAGGGCCTCTAAAAACGATGAACGACTGAATCGTCAGACTAAAGATTTCCAGTTCCCGCCGAAACCGAACCGCAAAACACGCGAATGGACATTCAGTGCAGCCATAGCTGAGGCAAATTACAATCAACGAGATTCTCGTCGCGAGACAAGAGATTGGAAAATGCCAATAGCTGTTCCAGAACATAATGTCGATCGCAAGACCCAAGACTTTGTCTTCCCTAGAAGTGAGACAGTGGAGGATGATCGCGAACAGGCCCAGCACGTCAAATCTTCCCCCACGCTTGAATCCGATTTCCGACCCACTCTGAGGCATGCTTCGACTGAGCCGGTTGGGTCATTTGACGATTATCCCCGCGTGGACTCTACTCCCAATTCTCCACTCCGAACTTCCATGATTGACCTCGACATGGCCAATATCGACGACTATAGACCTCCATCAGCAGGATCTGCCTCGACGACAATTCGCACAGCTATGTCTGAGCAGTTGAACGAAAATCCTTTCAATTTGGAAGACCAGGTTCAGCTATCTGAGAACAACAACCGCGCATCCTACCATACAAAGTCTCAATCGGAGCCTAACCAGGCGATCCCAGGATTGTTGACCCCCCAAACCTTTGATGAGCAGGGCCAGCCTACGAACTTGGATTCACATCATCAAAATTTGCACGCGCGTGGCTTGTCTTCTGTCTCACAAATACAGACTCAACTTAGACCCCCAGTCGCAACGAACGGTATCACACATCGTCCGAGACAGCGCTCACAGGCGCAAGTCTGGGAGGGCTGGTCGCACTCGGCTGCATATGGCACCGGCAGCGATGAATCACCGCCAGCAAGTGTCGTTACGGACACCTCCATCGACGACGAAGACATTGACGAAGCCTGGGATGTTCTGGAAAAGCAAATGTTGTTCCGAAACCAATATCACATCCCCAGCACGCATCATGCTTCCGCCTCCCGTGACGAAGGCGTACACTACTCCGATGTCGACAACACCGACTACGAGGACCCTGCCCGCCACATTCGTGTATCTCTCGGTCCTAACGGAAAACCACTAGTGGAGTTCCCGATTCCGCGCGGTCCAGACCCTGAGGCGCTCCTCGGTCTCAATAGTATCGGCGACGGGAGTGCCAAACTCCAGGACGCACTCTGGAAGAGCGCAGTGGAGATGAGGGATGGTTTGAGAGCTTGCCGAGACTTGATGAAAGCGATGCGCCTAGTAGAGGGCGTTGACGAAGATGATGCAAATGTGAATGGTAATAGCATCGACATTTCTGCGACCGTTAGGTTGAGTAGGAATGATCGATAAGGTAAAGCTTTGCACCTTTCTTCCTCATTTGTCATCTCTCTCTTCCTTCTACGACTTGTTCATTCTGCACTTCTTTCCTTTTGTTTTCTCTGCCAGGCGCTTTATAAAGTGAGTCGCACAGGTCACCTTAAGGACGAGGATAATATTGCTGCCTACAAGGGAAAGAACAACCACATCTGGACACGATAAGGGCGAAATATTCGGATTGAGAAAAGGCTTTTTTTCTATCCTATCTTCATCCTTCGGGATCATTCTGCATCTGTACATAGGCGTTCATTTCTGCACTTCACGTGCTTTTCTATAGGAGAAGATTATGGGCCATTCTCGAGCAGAGATCTAATGACAATAATGATTAGGCGGAGCTTGAATATGCTGGGCTTCGTCCCATTCAAGCGGGTGCTGCTGATACCTGACGTATCTAGGATCTAATCAATGATTGCATAGTACTGTGGAACGGTCTTTATTATTATTTTATGTGGTGCTCGCCCAGTTCTCTCGCTGTATTATAAAGTCTCTTCCTTGTTAGATGTGAAAGAAGATGTAGTGCATACAGAACCTTTCAAATCCGCGAAAATTGAGTCGTAGTAGTAGTCATAATGCCTGACGATGTTGGGCTGAGCGAGCGGCTGTTCGTCACATACTGGATGCGGCACAACCATGCAGTTCAATTCATTATCATTAGGAGAGAATGATATGATGTATTGTACACGGCTGTCGTATTATAATCTACTATACTTTAAGGAATCAGGGTTATTCGAACGCGCGACAGGCGCCCCGCATGTATATCGCCGTTGCGATTGGACAGAGGGCCGTCTAATGCTTCTACAGGAGCACGCGACAACGTCAACTCTTCCAAAAAAGGCGGCAGATACTTTTCCAACGCGTTATCCTCCCGATTTTGCCCAGCGATAATATAGCCATACGGGAGCGTAAGCGACCTCAGCGACGAGAATCCTGAGAGATCGGCCAGCTCGGTCGCAGGGCCCCGAGCACCTTTGACCACAACGACCGTCAATTGCTCCAACACATCCTGGAGAGAATAAAGCAGCGTTGCGAGCTTGTGCGGCGGAACCCCAATGTACAAGTGACTAGTGATGTCGATCTTCAGTTTGCGCAACGCCCGTGGCAATTCCAAGATCTTTTGTAATACTGCGATGGACAGACCAACGTAGGACCCGATACTCAGGTCTGTCACAGAAGAGGAGCCTTTTGTTGCATCCAGAATGATGGGGTCGCTAGGGTCGCTGGGGTCGCAGAAGAGCTCGCGGCAATATATAGTTTCGATATGGGGGAGGCTCATGCATTGAGAGAGCGTTTCGAATGTCATGTTGTGGTGCCATTCTACTCTGTGGATGGAGTTGAAAAGGTTTGTCGGAGAGGGAATCAAAGGGAATGCGAGCTCGTAGTGCCTAGATTTCGCGGTACCGTGGAGTTAGTAACAAGTAAACAACCAACGTACATGTTATGATTCATTTTGCTTGGTTGCCCTGTGGCCAGCAGCACACATAAGAACATTGAAGGAACATACCAAATTTTGTAGTCGATCGAACTATACCGAAACACGCGCAAATTAGTCAGCCGTGCCACCATTCGTTGTATTTCCTCCACTTCCTCAATGATATGACTGCTTTCGCGTATCAAATCTAGCTGCAGGCGATGCACGTGACCAGCGAGATCGGGTCGTTGTTCCAGGGTACGCAGAAACAAGCTTGTGCAGAAGCTATTGACCTTGTAGGATAGAGTGACGTTCCTGACAAAGAACGGCTGCGCTATGTTGCGGAAGAGATGGCATGATAGCGTTAGGTTGTGTAGCGACGGTTTGTCGTCTTGAAGCTGGGAGAATATGATGTAGAGCAGGTCTACGCTTAGGTTCTGGATTTGGAAAGTCTCCATTTTTTCGTTGAAAGGCGCAGCTATTGTGAGGAGAACGAGTCGCTAACAAAGGTTGTCGGAGCTGTTGTGTTGATGTGTTGTTCCCCAGTTGTCGGAGGGAGACAACAGACGACGTCCGATCGCCTTTGGTCCAAGTCGCTGTAGGTAACGGCTTATGAGATGTGCGGCCTAGCCAAAAGGTACAAGGGAGAAACCGATTCAATTAGAGACAAGCACGTTCACCAGGTGTTCTGAACATGCATTTGGTAGTGGTCAAGTCTGTCGTCCGTGTTGGGCAAGGTTATGCTGGTGACAAGGGGCCACGCCGGATTTGGCAAATTTCGCTTAGTCATATATCAACTCTGTGTAACAGCAAACAACTCTCTCACCTCACCTATGGTGTTGCCTAAAGCCTCGCTATCACAACAACTCCCAAACTACAAAAACAACTTTTTGGATGGTCTATATATAACGCTTAAACCGGAAGTCCTAACATCGTTCGAACATTGCGAGTAGTCGTGGTCTCGTGGAAGGTCTTTAAGCATTTCCTTCCATGTTGGTCGATAAAAACTATGCCATAGTCTGCGCAAGTTCGAGCCCGGCTCGAAGCTTCTCTTAAAGAGGTGATGAGTGTTGGGTAGATTCGGGACACCGAGGCCGTAAAAGAAGCCGAAAAAAGGCAGAGTGTTGCCAAAACCTACCTAAAGAATGCTATAAGTAAACACTAGTGTGACAAAAGGGCAATAAGATCTATAAAATGCCTGGCCTAAGTCCTATCAGTAATTCTAGGTTTCTTCCTCCGCAAGGAGTTTCTTTTTGCAATTTTCACAGAAGGTATTTTTTTTATATGAGGTAGAAGAAGGTTATATACTGAGAATGCCTAAGGACGTGACTGGCAGGTAGTAGAATAGGTAGAGGAGATCCATATACTATATGCCCCTCTGACTTTTTAGTGGGATCGGGGGAATGACATGTCAAAAAATTTGGGTTATGATGTAAAAGCTGAGGTGTGTATCCTACATATGTACTGCTTGCGCATATCTTGATTGAACAGGCACACGTCTGAGAATTATACATTTTTTGCACTTCCAGCAAGAGCGCAAAATCACAATGAGCATATACATACATAATAAGCAGCACACTTATTGACCGTAGGCATTGAGTGGGGGAGTCCCGAGGGTGGCAATCAATCATTACGGCTGGCGGATGGGAAGTATCAGACGCACTCGCCATGTACATGTGTAGAATCCAGCGTGAAGGCCACTCCTCACATAGCCGTCCCTAAGATGCGCGAAAAACATCCCTCCATATGAGCCTCACCTCAGACTCAGCGGTATACAAGATCCAAAAGGCAGTAAGTACACTGCACGCGCCGTCAAGAGGTGCCCTGTCCAATGCGACGCCGACAAACACCCAACGAGCGACGACGATATTACATATGTAAATTGATCAACGCCGCACATCTTCCACCTTTATTGCTAAGCCTGAGTTTTCTGCCCAGCTTGTTGCTCCCACCGACCCAGAGAGGACGTTCGTTACGGCACCAACGTTCAACGCATGAGGTTAGATTGGATCAACACTACTACGTTGCCTCCACCCTCGAGAATCTGAAAGCAGCAGCAGAAGCACAGCACAAAACACTATGAGAATGTCGCGCAAATGTATATACCTAATAGAAGACCTTTGTATAGGAATAGGCAACCGAAAAAGTTATACGTAGACCCGTATATGCGGAGAATAGGGCAGAGCCGTATCATGCCACAAAACTACACAGCGGGGGCGCCGGTGTACCAAGATGTACGCAAACGATATTCTGTGTCTTCCCTTGTTCAGACCCTCCGTTTCTTTCCAAGTAAGAAGGCGGCGGGGGGCTCATACAATGTGGACCCAAAGACAACCCCTCAGCACTATTAAAGAGCCAAAAGAGGCAAGACGTCACAGCCAAGAGGACAACAAGACAGAGATGAAGAGTGCCAATGACGAATCATATTGTATGCTACAATAGCTTCGCGTCCCGCGATATATACAAAGAGCCCCAACCCAATGAGAAGAAATGCTCGACTAAACAGTACCATTTATGGAAAGTATGTTGAAACGCCAAAGGGGATATGGAAACAAAAATCACAATTACGGACGACCGTGCTCAGCTGAGAACAGTCAATAAAGAATGGGGAATCTTATGTTCGTGAGGGCGTAAGGTGCGATATCCACTTAACGGCTATCATCTGTTTACAATTGAATTGTCGCTAGTTGCGACAATGTGTGAAACCGCCAACTACCGATTACCAGCTTCGAGTTGACCAGGTGTTGGTTGCGCTGCAGCAGTGTTGCTGTCCGCATTGGCACTGCCGTTACGACGGGAGAACAAGTTCGAGAAAGGTCCTCTCGCCCTTGCAGGTGTAGCGTTAGGAGTGGGTGGAGGTGGCGCAACGCTCTCAGTGGCCTGAGACTGATCTTGACGGTCTCTGTGACGACTGAAACCAAACATTTGCCGAAGGCCACCAGCATCGTTTCCATTCCGTCTATCGGGGGTAGCAACCACAATGACGCGAGGACGCGAAAAAGGAACACGTGAGCTGTTCCAGACGGCCGGCGGAACGGTAGGTGACCTGAGGCCAGTCGAACGGCGGTTGGAGGTTGTCTGCTCCAATGCTTCGTTGTCTGTAGGCGCGCGGGGCTTGGGTACATAATAATCAGCCTTGCAGAGAGGGCAGCAGGCACGGCGGCTCGTCAACCATGGGTCAACGCAGCTGGCGTGGAAAGCATGGCCACAGGTCAGCCCTCTCACATCGTCGTCATCCTCCAAGACATCCAAACAGATAGCACAAGTATCGCCGGGCTCAGCGAGCATCTCAGGAGCAGCGGCGGTTCGTATCGGGTCGTCGTCGTCGGACTCATCGCCATCTTGATCAGCCGAGCTAGGCTTGACTGGATCGTAGTGACTCGTGGCTGTTTGCGTCTGCACCAGTGCAGCATCCTTTTCAGTCGCCTGTTTCTGGTCTTCTCCCGTCGACTTGGCAGCTTTGTCAGAAGTTCCAATTTCCTTTTGCATTGATGCGTCTGCCGTATGAGGTTCCTGAGCCTGGGCCAAAGCGGCAGCGGGTTTCTGATCAGAGGCGCCATCATCCTGTACGGGAGCCACAATTCCTTCAACATCTTTCACACTGTTGGCTCGACTTTGCGGTGCTGTTGCTATCCCACCGGCTGCTGGTAATCCTTCGTTCTCGCGGCTGGCCTTCCACTGTTTGTACTTCATCAAAGAGAAGCGTTCGTTAACCTCCTCCATGGTCATCAGTTTCTTTTCCCTCCTCCTCCTATGTGGACGCGGCATAGCAGCCAGGTCAATGGGATCTCCATCCTGGGCTTGACGGGCAGCGCGATTACGCTGATTGTAGCGGAAGCAGTACTTGACACCAACGATGATCCTTTGGAAAAGTTAGACGGGGCGAAAGAACCAACATGGAGGCACATACCATAGATTGGTGAAGACCACACCAAAACCGAGGGCAACGAAGAAGAGAAGAGGCGAACTCGTAGGACCGCTATTTGATGGTGGTGGAGGTGCGGTCTGAGATGGCAGAGCCGTTGCCGTAGCTGAGGTCGACATGACGGGTAAGGATGTCGAAGCAGGGCCCGAAACAGATATTCTTTGTCGTAAATATAGGGCAGTAGACTAGCGGACGGAAGACCACGGGCGCAAAGTCAGACTTTGTGTTTAACAGTACCGGTGTAAAGGGTCGCGGGTCGAGGCGGAACCACACCTCGGCACAGGGGACTGGAAGTGGGACTGGTCTTGTACACAGCAGCGAGGATGAGGCAGCGTGTGCAAAAGTAGCAGTGGTGACGACAACACGTTTGTGCGGCTGAGGCCGATGCCGTGGTTCTTTGTGCCAGAAGGGATGGTGGCAATGTCGGCAGCGACAATGTCAGTCAGTTAAAGAAAGACAGGCGGTTGACAGGCCATGCCCTGTTGACGATGCTCAGCACGGGGGCAGGCAAGCAGGCAGGCAGGGCGAGGTGCGAGGTGCGAGAGGGAGAGATGTCTGGCGACGGCAGATGGATGGAGTGGAGTTGGGCAGGGCGGACGGTCTAGGATGGTGGAGAGTTTCGCAGTGCGTTCACTATCGGGGTTGGGGCTGGGGCTGGAACAGGATGGGAAAGCGGAGACCATGAGAAAGGGAAGCTGCCAGCCGCCCTGCCATGCGGCTAGCCCGCTTCCGGCCTAGGAGGGCTGGTGGTTGCGCACTTGCTTGGAAACCGGGTGAAATGTTGATAGATTAACCATCATTCACGCACGCACTGCACACGACGCACACGTATGTCCATGCATCCATCGACACAGTATACATACATACTGGACGGCATTTGCTGGTGAATGAAGCATTTGCATCGGCCCCTTCATTGTTTCTGTTTACATGGCCGCATGTGTCGCCATGGCAGCCCCGTGTCAGCATCCGCCGTGTTTTTGACATGTACAGATGCAGACAGCTGGATGTTTGTCGCACCGGTTTCAAGATATCCGACGCGGCACGGCTGCGTGCACAGTAATCAGTCAATCAGTCAATCATCAAGCAGGCAAGCAAACCGGCGTTTCGACATGGCGAAGAACCAACGAGTGCGACAAGCGACACATCGTTGTCATCATCACCACCTACATGCAGTGTAGCTACATACATACATACACATCTGCTGCGCCTCCCTCCCCTTCGTATCCTTTGCGAGAGATTCCAAAACTGCAAATCCAGGTCATCCATCATCATTTGCTTTCATGCAATCCACCTCCCTGCATGCGCTGCGCCATCAATACAGACCCTTCATGCGCATGCCCGCTCGTTCGCCCCTGCAAGCAAATCACACTTTCTCTCACTTCTATCATTATGGTTCAGCATCTATCCACACATGGCACTCGAAGCGCTTAAACTTTTCCTAGTGTCGACGGCTGTCGTCCGAGCTTTCAAATCGCGCTACCCGACTAAGGCCTGGCCGTCAATCACTGTCAACCGACCTCACTAGCCAATCCTTCCCACCTTTGATCACCGCCTGATCCCTTCCCTCTGCACTGCGTACTAACACTGCATCTTCGATACCGTGTACATGTCCACTTACATCGCACCTCGTTGATATTTGCAGTACACCATCTAATCGTCGGCTCCTTCGGCAACCCGTCCGATCCTGTCTCTACAACCCCCACCTGTCTAACGTCATCTGGTCACCTGCGCCAGCCGAATCTTTGGACCAATCATGGACCCTGCCGAGCCCAATCCAGTCGTCTTCTTCGACATTACGCTAGGAGGCGAGAAGCTGGGTAGGATCAAGATGGAATTGTTCATGGACGTCGTGCCCAAGACTGCCGAAAATTTCCGCCAATTCTGCACCGGCGAAACCAAGAACATCCGCAACCAGCCACAGGGCTACAAGGGGTCCAAGTTCCACCGTATAGTGAGTTTCGACGTTTACAGCCCTACTCTATCCACCATGCGTCTCCCTTTCGAGATGCATTGGTACTGACTTTGCAAGATCAAAGGCTTTATGATTCAGGGAGGCGACTTTATCAATGGCAATGGCACTGGCTCGAGGACCATCTACGGCACTGAAAAGTTCGCAGATGAAAATTTCAACCTGAAGCACACCGGGCCAGGTCTTCTATCAATGGCAGTATGTTGGCAACCACCCGGATAGTCCACGCTAAGCAACTGACCGTGTTTTTTCCTATTCTAGAACAGTGGTCCAAACACGAATGGCTGCCAATTCTTCATCATCACAGCTCCAGATGGAACGCCTCATCTGAACAACAAGCACGTTGTCTTCGGCAGGGTTGTAGAAGGCATGGATGTTGTCACCAAGATTGAAAACACCCGCGTCGTTGGCAACCCGGAGGGAAAGCCGGTGCAAGACGTGGCTATCGCCCAGTGTGGGGAGATGTGAGGACGTTGGCCAAAGTCGGCTACTTCTAAAAGATATTCCAGAGCCCGTCGCTCCGAGTGCTTCACTCCGTCGAATCAGGCAAGAACGAACGATGATTCTCGAACTATGGATTGTTCGGGAGCCTCTCGCGGAATCGAAACGTGAGACATTGGAGGTGCATAGCAAATCTCACAGGTGGGAGCCTTACTCTCCACAATCATGAAGATTGATCAAGCCACAAAAAAGCATGACATAGCGCTAGACAAATTCATGAGATTTCAATAGCTCACAACTTAGTGAATCTGACTTTTCCGTTCCCACATGGTAGCGTACATGTGCTTTGCGCTCGTTCGTCCATTTCGATAGAATAATGGCATGAACATGGATAGGGAGAGATGGCCATGTCAGGATTCCATTAAAAGTCAAGGAAACCGATTTACTACGCACCAGATTTTGTACATCTAGTGAGGCTGACAGAATTAAAGGTTCAAATTTGAACTAAAAAGTGGATGGTCAGTCGCCGCACAGACCATAGGCTCGAAAAGTTGCCAAGCAATACGCACGCGAGCAACATCCCCACCTTACCATCGGCCTCACCGTCCATTCGATTTTTTTTCTACCCACGCCGCTCAGCCTACACCAACCGCCCCTCCCTGTTACACGCCCCATGATATCAATGTAGTTCTTCGCTACTTCTAATTCAACATGGTATCTCTTGCCTCTACAGAGAGGCTTCATGGCGTCATCGCCCCCAGCGTCGGCGGCAGCCTCAAACGCAAGCAGCCTGATTCGAGTCCGACGAGCAATGGTACAGGTGTGCCGGGGGCCGATGCCAAACGTCGCAAGGTCAAATTTGACGACAACGTTGATGTGCATGTTATGACAGATGCGGATGAGAAGCCTCTGGAACTGGTGGAAGAGGAGGTGCGACGCGCATTGGAGAAGCACGCCGCTGGTGACAGCATTGCCTACGATCAGATCCGAAGCATCATCACCAGCAAGCCCACGGCGTCGCACGCGCTCTATACAGAACAACTCCAAAAGTACATCATCGCGCTTACCCATGTTGTGCCCCTCCTCGACCACAAATGCCAGGGTCTTGTCCATGCCATCATCGATTGCCAGTGGATAGCCCGTAACGAGCATTTTGTGCGCTCCTACCGCCAGCTGCTTCGGTCCCTTCTATCTGTGCACCCTGGCTTCACATCCTCAGTCCTCGTGATGCTGGTCGATATGTTCGTCGAGACTCCTTCGCCGAAAATGCGCCAGCAAGATGACCCTCCCATTCAACGCGTCCGTATTCAAACCCGGATACACGATACCCTCAAATATATCGTTCGACAGAGCCCCATGTCTAGTACATATCTTGGCTCGATCCTCGCTTCTACCTTCCCCTTTCCGACCGACACAGCGAAAGCACACGTTCAATACATAAAGAATCTACTCAAGGTTTCCGAGTACTGTGTCGAGATCAAAGGCGAGATATTGTCGCTTATCATGGACAAGCTGGTCAAGATTGATGTTCAGATCCAGGTCGACATGGATGAGCTCGAGGACGATATTGAGGAACGATTGATCGAAGACGATTTCGGGGGCGACGAGGATTATGACAGCGACAACGAATCTGTCTCGAGCGAGGAAAGCTTGGATCCGGAAGAAAAGCAGATCAAGGAGCTCAAAGAGTCGGTCAACAAGCTGGACAGCATCATGGACATACTGTTTTCCTATTACCACTCGATCTATGCGAGAGGCGATCGCTTCGATATCGATGAGACTTTCGAGAATCTCCTTTCCCAGTTTGCGAACATAATACTTCCGACGTATCGGTCACGACATACTCAATTCCTCCTTTTTCATTTCAGCCAAACTTCCCCAGACCTTATGGAACGATTCGCAGGCTGCTGCTCACACTTGGCTTTCGACCGCGGACGACCGGAAATCGCTCGTATTTCTGCTGCCGCATACCTCGCTTCCTATGTCGCGCGTGGAGCGCACGTTTCGCGGAACGATGTACGGGATGTGTTTGATCTTCTCTGCCACCACCTCGAGAACCTTCGAATTAGCTTGGAGCCAGGCTGCAAAGGGCCAGACCTCCGCCGGTACAGCTCCTACTATGCTATAGCACAAGCGCTCCTGTACGCTTTCTGCTTCCGCTGGCGCGACCTCATCGTCACTCCAGATGATACTATGCCCACCGATGAAGACATTATTTATCATGAGGGCGACTTCCAGTGGTATACCTCGATCCATGACATCTTGCGTCGCAACATCTTCTCCAAACTCAACCCTCTGAAAATCTGCACACCAACCATAGTGCAGCAGTTCGCGCGGATAGCACACCACCTCCGATTTCTGTACATCTTCCCATTGCTCGAAACCAACAAACGAGTGCGCCTTTCACGAGCAGTTGGCGCCTACTCGGATGGCATCGGCGTGCGGGATACAGCTCTTACCATGAAGAAGGGCGAGGAGGGCTTCTTACTGGACGCTTACTTCCCTTTCGATCCGTACGTGTTGCCTCGCAGCAAGAAATGGTTGCAGGGTGACTACAATGAGTGGAAGCCGATTCCTGGGATGCTAGAAGAGGTGGACGAAGAAGACGAGGCCGAAGACGATGATGACGACGAGGCGGAAAATGACGACGAAGATGATGACGAAGATGACGACGATTCGGAAGTACAGCTCGCCGCTGATTCCCATCACGTTCACGGTGATCTCGACGATGGGACTGATGAAAGTTCTTAGCGTGGACTTCCTCCTCGTTCCTTTCCACGGCCTGTTCCTGTCATTTCCTTTCCCTTCTTTCTTGTTTGGTGTTTTATGGATGGGAATAAAAAGTTAAGCTGCTAAATGAATGCATGGGCGGATATACCTGGTCTGGCTTATACTCGGGAGAATCTGCGGGCGTTTCATATCGGCAGGGGAAAAGGGTATGGTGTTTCTTTTCTTTTTTCCGTTTGCTTTTGCCTCATCTTTGTTCTTTTCTTCAGATTATTGGGGATCATAAACTGGCCTGCTATCGGGATGACGAAATGCAAAAACAACGAGGCTGGGGAAGACGGTGATTTGACGCATACACTTGGTGCGCACCTAATCAAAGATGTCGAATGAGACGAGGTAAAAAAAAGTTTATAAATCATCTAAGCTATTGGCACATAACTGATTCTCTTCCCTCTCGTGAACGTGATGGTAACTCTACTGCTACTCTTCCATTCTAGCGCAATCTTTCTTCGATACGACTATGCAAGCTATGATCGATCGTGATACTGTTGTGTTTGAAAGAGAGTACGTATGGCAATACCTACCTTGACCTTATCAAAATTACCTTCAACTGTATCTCCTGATTCCAGCAGCTCTAGAGGATTAGCCCACGTGTACGCGCCACCAACATTGCCCGAGTATGTGAGAAAAGCCGACCTTATCTCGTCGCCACCGTGGATCAGATATTAGAGTACTTCTTCGCATCGAAAGAGAGGGATTGGCCCGATCAGCTCTTGGATATACTCGAGAGCTCAGTCAAAAACGAACCTGCTGGAGTCATGTCTTGCGACACAATATTGAGAATACACTGATTCTCATGATGGGAGAGGATGGGGCTGTAGGCCTCGGTACGCTTGCGACAAAGCCGGGGGGCGTGGTTATACGTGGTGAAAGGTGGTGAAATGCGGCTGCTCTTACGTGGTCTTGCGATGGCTTGGTCATTGCGGAACCGCAAGAGGAGTTGCGTGTTAATCGCTATCGGGGCATAGTGTCTTTTTTTGTGGGAACGTCATATGTGTATGGGCGCAGGGGTTTGCTAGACAGATGGAGCGGAGGTGGAGTCGGGCCATATCCTGTAGTACTCTTGTCTTTAGTTACTCTTCGATGGCTAATGGTGAGGAGTCTTCCTCTGTTAGCCTTTGATCCGATGCGACAATGTACCATCCATACGTTCACCTGAGGTAGTGCTTGGAATGTCCAACGTTGGAATGTCTGAGTGTGATACCTGCGCATGTATACAGCTTGTAACCCGTTAAACGATGATTCGGTTGTTGCCTGATTGCGTAATTCCCCAGTTCTCATTTGTGGGTCATGTTGATCTGTCTGATGATTGGGAATTCGATTCCAAAGTAGAGAGGAGCTTGTGTTCTCCTTTAAGAAAAGAATTCTAGATTCTAAAGAATGGCAGTAGAGTCCCTGGGGAGATGCACGATTCCGATAATCTTTCCAAGGGAAACAGTTTTCGCTTTCCCCCCTCAAGTTGTCAAAGAGATTTCCAAATCTTTGAGGCATCAGCCCCATCATGCCTCTACCCCGCGAAACTAGACTCCACTAGAGAAGAGCTTCCCCGCATTTGCTATGCGGATTCATGGCGCTACCGCATCCCTGGTCATTGAGCAAGATGTACAGTCCGCGGATGGCGGGAAGCTACTCACAATCTGGACGGAGACCCCTGAGCCGAAAATCAACACCTTCTCGTTCAACATCGAAGGCGGCGATCCTCGAAGCTACCGGACATGGCGAAAGCTTCACAAGAACCGATTTTGAAGAGCAAATGTCTGACTCCATAATTCCACAGACGATACAGAAGCTTCGTCAATTGATTCACAGCACGAAGTAGGCGTTCCACGTGCCCATGTCTCCGGGTAGAAGGTTCACAACCTCACTAGAACCGGGCCTGCGGAGGATGTCTTTCTTCATCGGTCTCTCGCAGCCAAGGGTGGTCCGGACTTCGCATGCATGCTTAGACACGGGAGGCTGAACGCCAGAGATGCTATAACCGAGTGCCTACATGTCTTATCATTTGACCGTGTGGACGACTTCTGAGCGCGGTCAACCCGAAAGATCAAGATGGTTCGGCTCGGTGAGTGCTTGCATGAGCTCGCCACAAGTTCTCAGAGCCGCATGCTATAGGAGACCGAACGAAGGATCAGAACTGGGCATTGCCAAAAACAAGAGAATTCAATATTGGTGAAGCAGAGCAAGTGTGGTGATGGACGAGAGACCAAGTGCGGCGGCAAGGATGACGTTGAACCATGGGTCGACTAAGCTAAACCGTGAACGGCAACACGCTAACTTGAGCAACTCCATCGTGGAGAGATGTCAGGCCATACTAACCATCACCCCACACGCACCATCTGCCATTCGACCGACAACTACTGCAATCATTGCAGTCATAGTCTGCATCCGATTCATCATCTACCCCTCCGGCCACGCACCGGAGCTGTGCCAGCTTGTTCACGCGGCCAATTGATCCTTTTTTCCTGTCCATCATACGCCACGGAATCACGGATCCAACATGATTGCAACTCTATTGGGCATGATTCCTTCGAGACTGTCACGCCCATGGCTGCGATGCAGTCAAGCGCCAGCCGTGGGACGCCTGCTCGATTCTGTATATAAACCTATAGCTGCTTTCCAACCCATCTTGTTCATCATCATCATCAAACTCCAATCCAGTGTTTACCCATCATCCATCGTTTCACAGTAACCCTTCCATCGGGAAAAAGCTTCATATCTACTCAAGCACCGCAAATCTATCATCGACATGTCAAACCACGTCCCCGAGAAGCAATGGGCTCAGGTGATTGAGAAGACCGGAGGCGAAATCACATACAAGGAGATTCCAGTACAGAAACCGGGTCCGGATGAGGTTCTGGTGAACATCAAGTTCACTGGTGTCTGCCACACTGATCTACACGCATGGCAAGGCGACTGGCCACTAGTAAGCTTCATACCTGCTAAACATGACCTCACTCTGCACTCTTGCTGATCTTTAACCCAAAGGACACAAAACTTCCCCTGGTTGGTGGACACGAAGGCGCTGGTGTTGTCGTGGCTACTGGTGATCTTGTAGAAGACGTCAAGGTATGAATTTCCCTCGAATTTCATCTGAGCAACCAACTCACAACTCGCAGCTTGGCGATCATGTAGGCATCAAGTGGCTCAATGGATCCTGTCTTTCTTGCGGCTTCTGCCAGCAGTCCGACGAGCCCTTATGTCCCAAACCACTCCTCTCCGGATACACAGTCGATGGAACATTCCAACAATACGCCATTGGCAAAGCTGCACACGTCGCCCGCATCCCCAAGGATCTCCCACTAGACGCCATTGCGCCCATCCTCTGCGCCGGTATCACCGTCTACAAGGGCCTCAAAGAGTCTAATGCTACTCCCGGACAATTCGTCGCCGTTGTAGGAGCCGGTGGTGGTCTCGGCAGTCTCGCACTTCAATACGCCAAAGCCATGGGTCTCCGAACCATCGCCATCGACACGGGCGACGAGAAGAAGGACATGTGCAGCAAGCTCGGAGCTGAAGCATTTGTCGACTTTGCCAAATCCTCAAACGTGGTCAAAGACGTACAAGCCGCTACCCCCGACGGTCTAGGTCCCCATGCCGTTCTCCTCGTTGCCGTCAACGAGAAGCCCTTCCAGCAAGCTGCTGAGTATGTGCGTCCTCGTGGCACTGTAGTCTGCATTGGTCTTCCTGCCGGCGCCTACCTCAAGGCTCCGGTCTTCGAGAGCGTGATCAAGATGGTTACCATCAAGGGTAGTTATGTTGGTAACCGTAAAGATTCGGCAGAGGCTATTGACTTCTATGCTCGCGGATTGATCAAGGCGCCGTACAAGGTAGTCGGGTTGAGCGAGTTGAAGAACGTATACGAGAAGATGCAAAAGGGCGAGATTGCAGGAAGGTATGTTTTGGACACGAGCAAGTAAACGGAGGTGGAGCGAAGAGTTTTGGTCTTCCATTATTTTCCTTCTTGAATGTCATGAGCAATGGGTATCAATAAAGATTTTTTCACTTGTACGGGATGATTAGCACGGACGCAGAATCAAGAAACCGAAGGTAGAAAAGAGAACTGGTTATCTGTTCACCATGAGGTCCACTTCATTACTTGTGTAATGATCAATGAAATCCGGCACAAACACAAAGTATAAGAAACCAAGCGTTTAGTTCAAGGAATGGAAGCTGAGCACATGGTTCACTTCGTAATAAGATCCGCATACAAATAGGCGACGAAGAACGACAATCACAAATGACGGCGAGTTGTTGAGAATAGCTGGTTTTGGCGCAACGAGCATCAAGATTTTCCTACAACATGTACTTACGTTTTTCTCATTTCTACTTCTTTAGTATTTCTTCACTCAAGTTTCTCAACCCGCGTTTGTACAAATGAGAAATGTATAAACTCTGAGTTAGTTTGGGGGATCCTACACACAGCGATAGTTGCAACGATGAATGAAACGAAAAACATGCGATAACCAAAAAAATCAAAAATGTATAGACGTTAGAATCATCACCAAATGGAAACCGATCTTCGTGATGACGACCTTCTCGCAGAAAAACAGGACAAATCCAATGCCTGCTCGTGGTCTTGAAGGCATCGCAGTCAATGAGACGTGGCAAAATAACAAGTATGAAGGCACCTAAATTGCCCCAAGGACTCTAGACAAGCAATTCCTACGTGCTATTCTTTGCCTGCAATACTGCAACGGAATAAGAAGTCCATAGCTAGAAAGTGTAAGAACATGTTACGTTACATCAAGTGTAACTCCAAGATAAAGCTTTTATTGATTGTGATACTCTTTTTAATAAACACACTTCCACGTTCTATGCATGTATAACTACTCCCACACGTTGTGTATAACACGGGTATCTACATAACCGTCATGTAGAAAGACACCACGTAGTACGCGGCATCCGGATATCCTGATAACCAATTGAAACGTGGTGACAGGGACTGTACTGACGTCAACGACAAAAAATCCTCTTCCTTTGATTGATCGGGGACATGTTGTGTATGTTCCGCGGGAGAAAGATTGAGGCTGATTAGAAAACTTGGTCCGCGAGACGAGAGACACAGGTCCGAAGAGGCGAATATACAATAAGGAAATGTATTTGTTGAGGCTTAGGAAAAGATATCCAAATTGCGACCTAAATTTATACGAGTTTTATTGTTCACTTCGGTATACACGGATGTATTGATCTGTGTACTCATTACGATATCAAAAATCGTTTGATGTGCAAACCTCTCTCTTCTCCTATATCTTTGCTCTTCGAAAAGAGCCAGCAAGAAGCCCTTATCATCTCTTAACACCTCATCCAGGAGATAACCCCCACAGTCTACTGGGGGGCTAATAGAATCGTGCCCTGGTATACTAGAGTATCGGCAACATAAAAGTTGCGCCGAACGTCAGTTCGTGGGGGTCTCCGCGGAAGATCGCCACACGCGACTTGATCTTTCTAACAGTCTATCTTTTTACCGATCTTGAAATGCTCTTGGACCATCGTAGGGAGAATTTTATCCGTCTTAGCAGAGTACACTATATGGTATACGAGGGAATGGTGTATATGAAGGGCACCTGCGTCTGTATACATTCATAAGATATGTGGAACCTCGGCATCACATGTGATTGTCTTTTCCTGTCGATCATAGCGAATTCAACACTGTAGTCGAGATCTCTGAAGCGATGTAATATCGTGTTTACTCTTGGTAATCTGAGAGTAAATTTTCATGGCGTGTGTGTCTCTATCTTCGGTCGCATCGTCTCCCGATTTACCCAGTATGCGGCGTGGTGGACGTAATCATGTCGCCTACCGTTGGAAGGGCCATCGTGAAATTTCCCAAATCAGGACAATCCAACACTTCTCATCCACGGAACCAAGGGAGAGTCCGCCGAAAATGAGACATGAAAACTTTTGCAAACTTGGAGTACGTAGACGTGGACCTGACTTTTGCCGTATTGCTGCAGGGCTGGACGTCTTCGCCTGCTTCGTTATCAGTATCATCAATGCGCTCAAAATAGCATCTTCACGTCCCAGTCAGGCTCCAAACCCGGAATTCATTGCCGGTCATCCTACAAAATTCCTTCTAGAAGGCTTAAAATCATACCCCAAGGGGGGATGGCGGAGGCTAAAAAGGTTGTGTCGCGGCATTCCTTGAAAGCTGATTCGTGGAAGAAACTGAACGCGATGCATGACGCACAAAGTACCGGCAGCAACAAGCATTCGTGGGGTGTTGGAGCTGCCGTTTACAGTCGCAACTCCGTTATTTTATATACCAAGCTGTTCCCCGTCTTCGGGTAGGGATGGGTGACGAAGTTTGACCGATGGTGAGAGGGAGCGGAGTTTGACTGACAAGGGGACTCGTTTTGGACAACACTTGAGGTGGATTTAAAAAGATCGTATGGCCAGCACTTAGCACCCAGTCCTTGAGAGGTTGAGTTTGGTCGATTCCAATAGCCCTTAGGATGGACACCGCATTATCTACCACCAGACGAGCCGCTCTCTGAGCCTCGTAAACGAATCCATGACCGACCGCTCCACGACGCCGTATATTACTCCCAGGACCAAGCCGCCACTCCGGAAATTTGGATTTTCCACCATCGAGGGTGACAAATGAATAGTTGGATAAGTGAGGAGGTTGCCCGTTTGATCTGACTGGAGGAAAATGTTGGAGTGGCTTTTACGGACGTCGGACGGAACATGGCTGGCTGCTTCTCTCCCAGGTACTTGCTTGCAAGACTCTTTGCGCGCATGCAGCAACGAATGGCCCGCAAATTTTGAAAGAGGAGGATGCGATGTCGGAACGGTCGATGAGGAGGCTGGACAAGGTTGTTACGTGTGAAAATATGGGAAAGACATGCCCGCCACGTGAGAGCGCATCGAATCCAGGGAATCACGCTAGACGCTATGTGCCGTCATCATGGTGGCCTTCTTGTGGCACCAGACTTCGTATGACAACAATGCTGTCGAAGAGCAATTATCACAAGTGAAGATAATGCATTGGAGAGTCCAGTCCCAGCTGCGGTCGCCAGAAAAATGCGGAGCCCACAGCGTTCTCCGAAATCTCGACTGCCTGGTGCTTCATCTTTACTTCGCCTCGAATACTAGTACTTGGGGAACATGCAATCTCATGTCTTTCGCATAAGAAATATATTGGGTCGAGGCATGGTCAACGCGCACTCTCCGGGCACCAACACTGTCGTAATCTATAACTCCATCGGTCAGCAAACGACTGCGAATAAGAAGAGGGATATGAATGGTCTAGAAGGTGGGAAATGGATGATATCCAGGGTTATATTCGTCTTAACGGTATTCCGCAATAAAGCTCTCTGGGAGGTTTACAGAAGCGACATGCAAGCATTCAAATACGTGCGGCGTACTCTTTAACGTCGGATCAAGAGGAAAGATCTTACTATATGGAGGTTGATGATTGAAAGTTCGTCTCTCAGAGGTCGCTCATATATGGGCAGTCGCCGCGATTGCGTATACGTGGGGGGAAGGACCGACAAATGAGGGAAGGAAAGAACGTAGGGGAACGGCCGGCAACATACCAGCAACCGACTGCGAAGAAGATGCGTCCGAAGCACTCGACTCTAAATACACATCAAGATTCGCATCCAAACGTTGGATCTCGATATAATTTGCAGTCATATTGAACTGCATTGGCGGACTGATGTCAGCAGCCGAGCGATCAGGTCTGAAGGCCATTAGATCTTGGCACACCAGTGATTATCTTTGTGGATACACAAGTACGAGGGGAAAAAATATCCAGCTGAGAGAAATGCCACCAGTCTCACGGTATGGCATTTACCCTCTTGAAGGTATGGAACAACGCCGTAAAGCACCCTGGTTCTCCTGCTGTTCAATGGGACCATCGAGCAGTGCACACAACCGGCTCTAAACTCGTCTCACAAAGATAGCAGATAGCGCATAGCTTGGGAAGTGAGCGCGAAGAAGGGCATGGTATTTGCGAATTGATTGCGACCAACGTTCACACTTGTCATTATGGGTGCAAAGTCGTCGCGACCAGACGCAGTGCAACAGTCGAGGGTCCACTGAAGAATATTCGAATGCATTGCACTCAAATTCTACCAGCGAACTCTGACATAATCGTGGAACTGGACTGCTATGTTTCCTTATATCTACGTCTGCTACCTCGGATGAACACCTGGGATTCTATCGCTCTGCAACGGGCCAGCGGTCGTGCAAAGTGACGAAAGAATTGTCCAGAAGTGCAGTTGTGGCGAATAGAAGGTGTGTCGCAATACAGTAACGCGGTTCAGTTATCAGTTATCAGCACTAACGATTTCTGCGTACAGATGTGGGCCATGTCACCATCAGGCGTCGGACTGAGTACGGTCCTACGAGTCCGAGCGACTTGGGGAAAGGCTTCAAAGCCCCAATACTCAACGTTGAGCAAAGATTCGTTGGTGATGCTTAAGCGATGAGTTGTAAATTGATCGTCCAGGGTAGCGAAGGCTGTCTCCAGTTTTTAACGTTTGAACAAGCAGCTGACAGTTCAAGGATTTGCTTCACGTGCAAATTTAGACAGGTCGGCACAGCATGTGACGCTTCTATAGCTCTGCATATCACATATACCCCTATAGAGGTGTTGAAGATACATCTTAGCAGCTCGGTTAATCTGTTTCGACTGGCAGTCATCATAGGATCCGAACCCACGAATTTTGACAGCTATATTACACATTTTGTGGAGACATATAGCCAGGTCTTTACTGTAAGTTTACGCAAGGGGCTCTAAGTCAGGGCTCCTACAGCTTTCAAACCAGGGATAAACGATTTTTTCTCCGGATAATACCACCTGCCTCAGAGGTCTCTGTGTACAGGGAGTCGAGCATATGCTTTGCATGCAGGTCCTACTGTGGTTGCGACATCAATCAATTTCTCGTCTGAACGCCTGTTACTCCCCCGCATTCTGCTCTGACACTGCTTTCTGGCAAAACTCGCTGCCGCATTGGGAGGTTGCCTGTTCGCACCCCAAAACAACACTACCCGATTCATTCGCATACCACAACCGGGCTATGTGCCACTGTTGCCAATTTTATAGTCTATTCTTGTTCAATTGCTTCTGTTTTTACACAGAACGGCACAATGTCGAATTAGCAATAACGAGGTTGTGTATATTTACTTTCTTCTCGCCGTTGTCCAAGCAAGTTTACCCTCGTCTCCGCTCAGTGTGTTATGATCAAAACGAATATTCGCCACCGAAAATCTCAACGTTTCGTACTTGCGACTCGTTGCAACCCCCGCAGATACACGATTCACTATTAACCGTTCGAGCGTGAGACCTGTAGGAAGCCGAAAATGGTGAGAGCAACTTGGCTACCATAACGACAGCATTCTCGAACACCATTATGCTTATGGCCGGAAGGGCCGGTGCTCCAAGATCCTTCATTCGGATCCCATAACAAAACGTTACTATGAACGTTTCTACAATGAACTAGGCTTCATCTGATCTCCAGCCTTTGCGTCATGCGGTTAGTCTAGTCTTGGTTTCCTGAACAGTCAACAAGGAAAACTTCGCTTCTTACGCCATCTTTATGCGTTTCGGTATCGACATCCTCTGAATACAACCTTGTATGAGCTATAGCAATGTGGAGCAAGTGAAGCAACGAGTGCTACCAAGAGCCAGGGCTCACAAGTTTCGGATTTCCAAGCTGAGAGAAGTCTGAGGACGCAGAGTTTGAAAACCAGAAGGAGAGGGGCAGGGGCAGGTATGACTTCTGTGTTGATTAATATCGTTGTCTACCGTTGTTTGCTGACGACTCACCGAACCCCAGGGATACATTTTCTCCTCTGTTTCAAAAAACATCACGACACAACGGCAACACTGGAGCCGTGTTCGATCGCCGACAATCACCCTATGTGCACCATATGTTACAGCTTCACCTTCGACAATGCACAATATACAGCATCTGCACCCTTTGTTTGACAATCAAATTAGGACAGCCGGACAGGAAGCCCGAAGGGTAATGCCGCCAGTGAACCCAGCGCAGCAGTATCCTTTCCATTATTTGCCTCAACTATAGGCATACATTTCATCTGATTGGATCAAATAATAAATTCATTGGAAAACCGACTCAGAGACGTACAGCTGTCGCGTTTAGATGCATTAGCGAGACGACCGCAGCCGACCGAGCATGAAGGTCCAGGTGCGAAAGGAGGGTGGTGTCACGCAAGCAGCAGGGACCCTCCGTTGTGATCTCCCTGTTGCATCTGGATGGCCAAGGACGCTTCACGTATCGTTGGAACTCACATACGCATGCATATTCGCTTACTCACGACCAGGCTCTCATGTCTCCGAGTGCCCATTTCGGACTGACAATTGCAACCCGTTACATTCTTGTCAAAAGGCGGTAGACACAACACCTCCAACTAGCGCACCTTATTCCTTCCTAGGCATTATGTGGACAAGCAATGATCTCATATGACTTCAGGCGCGCATCTAGATGGTGGCTGCGCTCAGCGTAAGCGATCTTGGTGGAGGCCGCTGCAGTACGAGCCTGACGTCTACTGTTTTCGAGTGGGCTGATTGTACGGTGAAGGTGTTCTGTCGCGCAGTCATCGAGATGTCGACATCACAGGTCACTAAGCAAGGAGATGTCCGCCCCGTGGCAAGTCCTGTTTTTTTCTCTTGGTCATTTTCGTATGGACGCACGTAAGCAGCCCTCGACCAGTGATCCGGTCACCAATCAGCGCGATCCAAAAGTCCCCCTCAAGGTCATGGAGAGTTCGGCCCTCTGGCGCAACATCTCCCTTGCCATCATCGTCACTACGCTACCCGGAATCCTCTTAACGCATTCGAATCGCAAGGAACTCCCCCAGGTTCAACGTCTAGGTACCTATATTGGAGGGCAAATATAGGGGAAGTTGCTGTACCAAGACTTCAAAGGACCGTTTAGCCTAAAGACCCCGAGAGCGTTCCCGAAACGGATGCGCATACACACACCTCGGGGTCAGACAATGTGTTTTCTGACGGATTCGGAGGTGTCCTGAACGCCTCTACCAGAGACTCGGCCAATCATTCTGGTGTGAACTGTCGATTTGAGCGGTACTTGAAGGTACAAACAACTGCAACGACGAGGTACCCATGCACTTTTTGATGCATAGACCCTACCTTCAATCTTCCCCACAATGTACCAGCACAAATTACGTCGCTCGTTTCTGCAATTGACGGACCATAGATCCGCTCGAGCGCAGCCTGCGTTGCGCGCAGGAGGTGGGAGCAGCGATCACGGTCGCACCATCCTGTGCGCTTTGCGCTCCCGGTCGACTTCAAAGTATTATCACCACCACTGTATGCTTCTCAGGAATAAAGGCAAGCACTTGCATTCAACCTCAATTGCAGCCCCACTTCCCAACCCAACTATTCAACGTCCGCGCTGTTATTGCTACGATCCTACGACGCCAGCATGACCCTCAACAATGCGCTGTTAATATCTTTGTCCAGGCAAGGTGCCTCGTACCTCGCACGTTAATCAAATCTGTTCTAGAAGGTTTTCTAGCGCGACGGCACGGGGCGATCACTGACCAGAAAAAGTGACAGCAGTTACGCCATTCCCCACTCCTAGTCACGCAGGTGGCTCCCGCAATTCCACAGCGGCACGAAGTCCCTTTGAAGCAGGACATGGTCGCCGTCTAAAGGTCACAGGCCCCGTCGACGACACGCCAGCAATCCTGAACCACTCTCAAACCTCACCCCTCCCCAGACATGAGTTTTGGCAGATATCCATGAGGTGAAGAAGTATGTATGCATGCAGTTGCAGCTATTTCTCCGCGTGCACTCTCTACCGTGCGTCCGTGCCGCAATGCAGCAGCAGTCGGATTGTGGGGTGACTCCACAGAATCCAGGTTTTGCTCTGCCTCCGCCATATAACGCAAATGAAGGACCCATCACTGTCAATAACCAAAAACATGCAAAGAGAGCGCGGGAAAGTGTGGAGAAATGTGGAGGGGTGCCACATTGTTCGTGCGGCAAGCCTGGTGCTGGAGCAAGCAAGGTCAGGCCGGGGTCTGCCCACCAAATTGCCGTACTGTGGTGCTGCAGTCCAGATTGCGATGTCCCTGGGTTTCCCTTGCTCAACTCACAGTGAAGCGCCCGATAGGGCGGAGCGTAGGCAAGGGCATCCGAAGACTGATGCAGGTCCACTGGTTCACTCTGTCGAATGCGTGTAGGATGGTTAGGGGTGGGCGGTGGACGGTGGACTGCCGACATCGTCGCGGGTCAGGTTTGTGTTGCGGAATCTAGACCAGCCGTCATTGTGCGTTGCTGGTAACACATACGAGGCAGTGTTGAGTTTTGTCGCTGAGGAGTTGGCCTTAATGCATCTGTGCTAAGAAGTAGTGGTTGATTGTCAGCGAACACATGAGCAAGCACGGGGATACCGGCATACTACATGCACGTAAAAATCGTACAGGTGGCGAGCAATACTCAACGCGTGTCTGATCTTCCACCTAGACATATGTATGTACATGTGTATATGCAAGTGTCGCAAGTCACAAGACTTGTTGTGTACCAAAATGATTGACGGCGCAGTCCAAATTGAGAGACGACCGACCAACCGCATTGCAAATCGCAGCCCAACAATAACATAAATTATTATTTTCTCAATTATCGACGTAGATCTGGGGTGCATGAAGGAGGAGCAGCAGAGTAACAGAGAAGAAAAAAAAACCTGTACTGCAGCCCACATCATATCAAAAAACCAGCACGGTCATCATAGCAATAAGACAACGGTTTTCGGTGCATACATGAGGACACCCTCGCTATACCATCTGGCTTACCCCCCCTCCATCGGCTCGTTTCGGCCTGGTGAAGTTGCGTGTGTATTTCTCGAGCGGGCGGAGAGGGAGGGACCGGATCAGCACCAGCCCGTCCGAACAGGGTAATGCAGGCCCTCTGGCTCGTGGTGGTGTACCCACACGCATTCTGACTCGCCCGCATCGCTTCGATCTGAAACCAGACTCGCAGAATCTGGCCGCGATCGAGGTACATACACGGCATGGCAGCCGAATCGCCCTGTTCATCTTAGGCGATACCAGTTTCGAATACGTGAAAGGCCAAGTGATCCGGTAGTGTTTTCTGTCGGTATTGGGAGAGGAGGGGGGGAGGGGACAAGCAATCTTGAGGTATAGGGACGGGTGGGGAACAAGGTAGAATGAGCATGCGCGTAATGGAGGGGTGGGAGGGTGAGTTGTTCGCCAGTGGCTTTTTCTCTTGATAGATAGTGTGTCTCACGTTCCGACCCAGGTACCAAGGTACGTACCTTAGCGAAGTTATAGTTTGGTTATTTTGTTATTGCGAGCGTTGGGGTAGAGTATAACTCGTCTCCAGGTATAGACGCCATCATTTCTTCTTCGATTTTTCGCTTCCAAGTATCCGTTCGACTTGGCCTCAAGGGCACGGCAGATATCAGGGATCAAGGTTCGGTAACTCTCCCCCAGCTTTTGGAGCACTACCGAAGAAGAGAGATAATGGAGAAATAATTAGACGTCGTTGGGTTCCACGCCGTCATCAATGAAGAAGCGCAGTTGGTAAAAAGAGGCCCAGCATGTCATTGACGGGCGAGCGGATCATTTAGTTGCGGCGGATGCGGTCAGCAACTCCAGGTCTCAATTTCGATAAGTAGGAGCGAATGATGATGGCAATAAAACGCCATCCCGACTACCTTCCTTCCAACTGCCGCATGCCTTCTGCACTTGCGGCAGGGCACACTTCAGCTCTCATCGTGGTGGAGCGGGCTGCGGCATGAAGGCGGCGAAGGCGGCGCGCTCACTCCGTCCCTTCATCTCTCGCTCTCGCTTTTGTAGGTTTGGTTTTGGCGATTACCGACCATGCGCAGTGATTTGGAATACGAGGCCACGTCCCTCGCTCCCAACATCTCACTCGTTCCTGCTTTTAGATGAGGAATGTAGCAACGATGTTTCCTGAGTTCTAGAGTGCACATGCATAACACGTACATGGCTTACGGAAGGCCTGAATCCTCTTTTCCTCGTGGAGACGGGATACCGAAGGGCTGATAATTTAACGTCGAGCTGCTATCACAAGGAAAACGGTTACAAGGGCGATGAAGGAACAGGACGCTTTGGCATGGTCAAACGTCAAGCTTCGCTAGCCTACCGAATGTACCTACGTGGCAAAGTGTCACCTGAGTCGTGTGTGAGAGTGTGGGTGGGAGACAGACGCGCAGGACGTACAGACACAGACAGGCAGACAGTAACGAGGTGAAATAGAGTTTGTTATTGACAGGGGCTGTCACACATATTTAATCATCGATGTAGTCAGGGACCGCCAGGGCCAACGGCTAGGTAGGTCCCGCTAACCGATTGCGTTAGCCGAACCCGTCGCTGCTGGTCTTAGTATACATGTACTGTACTCTAACCATTCGGAAACTCGTTACCGAACCCTCCTCTTGCTCTTGCAGTCGAGTGGCAACATGGCGAAGGCGCATCTGGACATGGGATTGCCGAAATTATCATCTTGGAGATCGTGGACAAGCCAGTCTAGGCACACGAGTAAGCAATCATAGCGCCGGAAAGCCGCCGCGAAGGATGGCGTGGAAGGCAGGAAATCTCCCCCAAGCAAGATCGAGAATCTGCCGTTACGAGAGACAGAGTTGCAAAAAAAAACATGGGGATGTACAAAGTGTCGCATTATGTCCAGGTTGTTTGGGGCCCAAGACATACGCTTCAGGGTTGGCGAATTATTAATATCGACTTCTCCTTCCCCATGCTTGCGGGGCTATGGACGCGCAGTTGTTTGTTTTTAGCATTGGTAATATTTATCGATTTCTGTTCCTTCAATCAACTATTGCGTTACCTATAAGTTAATAAAACCGCAGACTATTCATACTCCTCTGACTTAACTATATCGCGCTATAACGTCAGCACCAAGAGTCCAGCGTGTGTGTGGAGGCAGCAGAGATGAGAAAAGGAGACAAAGTTTGATATCGACATGTATGAGTATTAGCAGGACGTGGAGCGGCAGCTTTTGGGAAGCAAGACCGCTGTGTGTGGTGGTGGCTGGCTTTCGCCATCTATGATCCACCTGTGGCTTGTGCGGCCGTGGGTCGAATGATCCTTACGGGAATCATGAGATCTCCACTCATCGTCGCGCTTGAGCAATCCTTCTCAATCCTTACCACATTAAAATCCGGTTTCCGTCTGACGGTGGCTTGCTGTGGACAGCGAACAAGACGTTGACATTTCGCGGAAATTCGTTATTGAGAGGGAATACGAAGAATAATCTTGTGCAATGTTCATAGGAAAATGACCGAATGCACAATCGGTGATTCGTTGCATCTGTGCTTAGAATCCTGTGGGATTCTGTTGTCCAAATCCCGTTTTTCGGCAGTTGTCACTACATTACCTGGGATATTTTGATTGTTCTGACGAGGCCCATCTCCCGGTTTGGAGGCCCGGGTTTGTGAGGAAAATAACAAGGTATGACGACGCCATGGCCTCCTTGACAATAGAGTCATCTCGCATTGACTCGTCGAGTAATATGGTATAGACGAAACTTATTGAGAGCACCGTCGTGAAGACAATGAAATTGGTGGCAATAGCAAAAGTCTCCCTCCAAACCCACATGCAAATCAAGATGAGCCCCAGTTCAGCGGATGTAAAGCAGTTCCAGACTCAGGTGGTTTCGACAAATCCGGACATCTAGACAGCATGCGGATATCTCAGAGGCGCTCTATGCAGGTGAAGTTGGATCAACAAGTAGTGTTATACTGGTTTTATTATTCTGAAACTATAAAGATGTTTCTGGTGATAGATGGCCATCCTTTTTCCGCCGAGACCCAACCAAATAATAAAATTTAGACCACAAAACACCACAAAGTCCAAAGCTAGTCTTTTGACTCCCAAAACTCCCGTACACCCCTGGAAAACTGAAGCGGCCGAACTAGGAAAAGGAAAATGTAACCGGCAGACAACGAGACTCAAGTTTTGGGACAGACAGGGATAAAAAGTGCATGAGCCGAGCTCCCAAACAAAGACGGTACGTAATGGAAGAAAAGTGGTGTCATGATCCAGAACATTTAAAAAAAATACTGTCGAGCGGTGAAGAAAATGCAGGTACAGTATAGACCAGGTGAGGTTACAAAATATGCCGAGTGCCTTTGAACGAGGAGTAGAGCAAAAGTCGAAACAGCTGCAAGGGCAAGCAAGCTGCGACGCCTATAGTGCGAGGCCGGTGCCATCACCACTCCAACGATATAGGCTCAACATCTCTCTGCGCCGTTGCTGCGCAAGCTCAGCAGAATCATCCATACCTCTGCCACGTACTTGTTGCAGAGCAGAACGCATGACTTTGCGGAAATTTCTCTAGATCTTGCATCAGCATTGAACAAGCAATCTCGGGGACTTAAGATCAAATGCGATGGTGTTTGAGGAGCCGGTTGGGAATTGAAACTACTGTGGAGAAGCGGCTGAATGCGGCTTGGTAGGCTCCAACAGCGGCTAATTGTGGGCTCGTCTCCACGAACTCGCAAGGATTAGGAAAGACTCATCGCGTACCTGGTATTCGGTGTTGAGAGTAACAATGCATGCTTCATGCGCGCGCACTATTGTCTCGCAAGCTTTGACAACGTTGGGGTTGGCCTCGCCTTGTAGTTTGTCGGCTATGAGGAGCAGAAGGAAACTTCCTTGAAGTAGATAGATGCCGAAAAACTGCGTTTGCTATTAGCTACCGTTCATGTTGAATCGATTTCCAGTACTTACAAATGGCATGAAAGATAGGTCAGGATCCAGTTGCAGTATCTCGTTGAGAGCCTCTGCTGCGTCGACGGCGTGCGAAGTTGCATCAATAAAGCTTTGCGAGGAGATCCAGAGATCGTTATCGTCGAGGAGAGAGATGGGATCCCATTTGCCGTTTAGCAGGATATGCAAGGTATGCATGATATGCGTGCCATATGCCACCACAATTCTAGCCCTCATGAGTGCTTCTTGAGCTCGAGATGTACCCGAATTGGGGGACCGTGTCGAAGGTGTGCCTGGATGCATTGGCTCGTGAGCCTCCATGTTAGCATCGTTGATAGCTCTTGCTCTTAGCTCCTGAAGTGACCGGCCGTAAGCCTCCAGCTGTGCTGTAATTTCTGCCGCATGGTCATCCCAATTGGTTTTGGAGCCAAATCTTGGATGGTTGCGAGCATGATGTACTTCGACAATCTCTCCGAGAATGGTCATCAGAGGAAGGAAAAATCCGAATATGGAGTGTCCGGTGCACTCAAATATGGGACCTCGTCGTACGGTGGGATCTGAAAATGATTGAGCGGAGTTCCCATAGAATTCGCCGGCTTGCCATACATTGTCATTGACTGGTGTCAAGAGCTCACTGCACTCAATATCGAGCAGTGACAGCGGCCTGTTGTAGCACAGTGCCAGGTGTCTGTCCACAGTGTACAGCATCCACCAGACCCGTCTACGTTCTTCACGCTGCTCCTCGGTGATGTTTACTAGATTGTTCTGCCCATTCGGTTGCATCCCGTCTAGGTGCTCCATCTCACCGGGAGCATCCGCGTCGTCCTCCGGTGGTGGTGTCACAGGAAGCTCCTTGCCAAGCTTGAGCTCCCTGGCTAAGCTCCACGCTGCGTTCCACCACCTGAGCGACGCGGCCTTGTATTCGCTTGCCGAGATCACCACGGCAAGGTTGGTGTAAGTGCATATGTCGTCAATGCCGCCTGGTGCGCCCGGTGAGTTCGCAGTGTATTGGCTTCGTTGCCAATCTGGCTGAGGCTGTGGAGGGTCAAACTGATGTTCTGGAAGGCCAAGCTCAGATTCTTGTGTCGATATTCCAAAACTATTCATAGTAGCACTAGCGCTATATGTTGAACCAGATTCGTCGCTAGCAGATTGGTGGACAAGAGGCTTCAAGAGATTGACGGTTAGGTTGATGAGCTTTTCTGCTAGCTGAGCACGGGCAGAGGGTGATGATGCCAAATAGGGCGATTCGCTTGTCATACAACCGATCCAGAGCATACTAGCAAGTAGTGCAGGGCTACATTCACGCGGGTTGTTCTGTCGTAGGAAAGACTCTTTTCGGAAAACGTGACCGAGTACATACGGGCTAACTGGTTGTATTATCGCAGCTGAAGAACTCTGGAAGTAGAGCTCCAATAGATCGCAAGCCAGAGCGAGAGGCATTATGTTGCTGAGGTGAGGAACAAGCGGTTGTAGGACCGGAAATCGCAGTTGCTGGGATGCACCAAGGTGCGGTGCGTTGGCGTACATGGTTGTTGTTGAAGGTGAAGGTAGCGACAGCCATCCAGGAGACCCAGAAACAGGTGAAGTTCCTATGTATCCAGGCATTGGTGACTCTGCACTGGCCATCCTAAACGCGTTGGGTGGATCTTGCGCGCTCTGCGGGCTGATCATCCCATAGGGACTGTTTGTGTACTCGGACATATTGGAGGGAATCATTGGGTGCATTCCCGAAAGAGGATGAGGCGATTGGTGCATCATATTCCTATTATAATCATCCATCGAGGCGTATTCTGGAATTGGGTTATGCATCGAAAGGCCCTGAGTCTGGATGCGAGGGGGTTGCATGGGGTGGATTGGGCTTTCGGGAATGGCATCTATGGCACTCATACTCATCGTCCTTGAGATGGGAGTCACTGCCTGGTATACTGTAGCGCTGTCTAGAGTTCGTGTTGATGACATACTCGCAGCGCGAGCTTGTGGAATGCTGGGTGGTGGCAGTTCGGGCAGTGGGCGCTGGCCATCGAGCCGATCGTTCTGCTCCGTTTCTGTGGTCTTTTGATCGTCCTGAGCACCAGTGCTGCGTGATTGTGGACTTCCAGATGTAGAGTCGCCCGATGGTGGTGCTGTACCACTTGTTGAAGCCGACGCAGCAGCCTGTTGCTGAGCGATATCTTTCCTGGATGCTTTACCACGCTTTTTGCGTTCCCGCATGTACTCACACGTCAATCCGAATTCTGCAATAGCGTTAGTATTAGTCTTGTCTTTGACAGCGCCACCAAGCTGTCAACATCGTTTAATGGAACATGGTAGGACGTTACCTATGCAATGCGCGCACTACGCAAGGTTAGCAGCTACTACTGATGACAGACGCCTCCACAACTTACAGGCGCTTTTCCATCGCACTTGGTCCGCAACTGATTACACTGATCACACGCCCGACTGATTCTACGTCGTACTGGACCAGCGGTAGCAGTACCGCGACCTCCTCGCTCATGGAGCATTGCTTCTCTTTGATTACGGGAAGCTGCAGCAATAGGTCCGTTCGCATAAGGTAAGCGATGAGGTTTGACAAGGCCCTTGCCATTCGGTAGAACATGTCGATTTTGGTGAAAGTGGAGAGCATATTGAGATGTGTGGGCGAGTGTATCGAGTGCCGATGGTCCCATATGCTGCGCAGCAAGATGATGTTGATGTTGGTCGACCATATTAGGCGTAGGGAGATGATGGCCAAAGGCCTGTGGGTAGGATTGGTGTATGATATTCATCTTAGCTTTACTGCCTGCCGTGGCCGCCAGTCCCACTCTTGAGAAGCAATTGATAGTGCTCAATGGTAGCAGCGGTGTTGGTGATGGAGAGACTCTCAGGGTCGGTCGATGGAGTTCTTTTAGGAAGGTGTTAGACAAATCGATGGACGATAGATAGAGAACAATGTATGAAAGGGGCTGTTAGATGGGCTCAGCGCCTGGCTGGGAAGAAGAAGTCGTAAAAGTGCAATGTACGATTTGATGCAGGTAGAGTGGTCTTTGCTGGTCTTTTGACTCGTAGTGGTGGTGTCTGAGTACAATATAGGTAGCTGCCGGACGCTGCTTTCTCCGCCTTAAGGCAGGTCTTAATAGAAACCGCGGGGTATAAAAGAGGGTATGGGTGCTTGAAGGTGCAGGGTGGCCAATACCGCAGCGACATGGGCCGTAGACATGGGAGCGATGAGCACGACAAGCCAGCACCGACCTACCTACGTCGCGCGTCAGAAAGTCTATGAGCCACATGGGTTACTTCTGCAAACGAGATGGGCAGCAGACTGCAGGTTCTGTGCGCTGCATTCGAGCCAAGGTGCTCTGCTCGCCCCTGTCACCCCAGCCATCACTCACCCCGGTCGGCTCCAGGGGCCCCTTGAGCACCGCAACGCTCCCACGTCAAGCAGGCCGTGGATCTTCGGTGCCGCGAGCTTGAACGGATACACCCTAATGCTTTGCCATGGGTCGAGCCCGCAATCAAAAGATGATATTCCTACCCCGGCCTATACCATCCCGTCTTAAGCCTTTGCGCCGTACCGATGCCGGCTCCAAGTACCATCTGGTACCCTTCGAACCGCCAAACCGCCATGTCGTCTGCCGCTGACAGAACAGGGCGATCAAAGAAACAATAGTTACTGTGATTGGCGTCCGTTGCCCGCTTTTTCGTGCGCCGCACCCAACTTCCACAAAAGTTTTCTTGGTTCCGCCCATCGCCGCCGTTGATTGTCCTCCGCGCCGTTGAGGATCTAACAGCCTTCACACGCTTCGGCAACCTCGAGTCCGTTGCATTTATCATCGACAAAAACCAACAGCAATGTCCATTTGCCCAGAAAACCACATGTTGCAGAAGCCTTCGTGGAACACAGCCTTTTATTCCACGATTCTACCAGAAGCAGCCGGAAAGCATTGATTCATGCTCGCTATGAGCCGGCGACGTCCGCTCGGAGCATCCTCAAACCACCTAGTCAATCCAGGTTGGCGCAGAATTCTTTTTCGTCAACGCGACGTGAGCAATTCATCAAAGGATTATCCTTTGTCGAAATCAGACATGACTTGCGAATCATACTGCGTTCCTTTATTATGCTTGATAATGCGCGAGTGCTACTCGTGAGGTTTTCCGCAAACTCCTCAAATGAATGCACTGGTGTCAGGGTTTGGCGAAGGGCTAGATGCATAGCCTTTGGTGCAAAACAAACTCCGTTGAATTCGTTCCAGAGCAAGAGGGTGCAACGTCGCCATGCCAATGGACCCTGTTCGAACCTTTGCAATGGCCTCTCAGAAGCCAGAAGGCCTGGAAGCCGCTGCAGATGAATTGCGCTGAATGAATATTCGCCCACCGTACCAACAGAGTTTAGCTGCCCCACTACGAATAGGAACCAACCTGATCATCGTAAGTTGAGTTGCCCGATTTTTCTTCTATTGGCAGTTCAATATATACGAACTTTTGATTCGCTCATTTCCACTGCCAGCCTGTGTTGTGCAGTGGTCCCTATACACGTTTGTCGAGCGAACATCGCAGGCTATTTCGTTTCCCAACAGTCAGACGTCAAGTTGCCACTTGCTCTGTATCCATCGTTTAGATATTCTCACAGGAGTGCCCCGAGTGCTTGGCAATCAATTTGCAAGAAGGCTGTAGGAACATCGTGGCGACGAGAGTGGGCTCGAACAAACATCTGGTTGTGTTGACCTGCGTACCCCTCCAGTAGATCCACAGCTCCCTCAACGGTCAGGGAGGGCCGTGGGCTGATCAGTGATCAGGTCGATGAGCCCATTTGCCCCAACTTCCTCAGAAAAGAAACGAAAATCAAGGTATCGATCATAGTTTTGGGCAGACGTATGAATGACGAAAGAGCATCCCAATACTGTTGGCTCACGCAGCGATGCCCTAGAGAGCTATTGCTCAGCCAGCGACGGAATTCACTTCTTCGTGATGATAGTTGGGCGGTAAGACTGAAATCGAACCCAGCGCCAATTCGGGAACGGGGTATTTTCTCCGCGGTCGCTTAGACAAGCTGGGAGCGAAGGTTTGTACGTACAGCGGTACCGGAAATGTACTATTACATACTGCTCACTCGTTTTCTAAGAGTTGCAACAAACCGGTTGACGTGCGACGGATGGACGGCAAACGAACCGTGGAGTGACTATCATTTGGGCAACACTGGACCAGTAAGGTCACTGTTGCACCCTCCCAACGAGACAAAAACGACCGAGTACCCTTGGCCGAGGATCACTGATGGATCCTGTCAGCCCCCAAGCTACCCTCATTCGCGTTAGCTCTCCGAAGCCGTTATGTCGTTCCGACAGAACTGCACCTGAACCCTCCACCAGAATTTTCATGACACTGTGCATTAATTCTGGCCAATAGTGAATTCGATGCATTCGGTGTGGATCCGATCCTCTCCGCTCTTGATCTTGAATACATGCTCGCCATGGCGCTCGAGCAACAACACCGAGTTGCGCCATCGGAGGCTCCGACGACGCATTCTCGCATAGGAGCAAAGAAACAAGCTCTGTAAAGCAGAAGCGGGAATGTTCTGGTAACAGAAGCAAAAGACTGCTCGAGAGGCAACCTTCTGGGGTGGTCGAATTCACATTATCAGAGCGCCGCAGAGAGCAAGCGCTCTGCTGTCTTGGGCAAGCATCGACAGCTGTGACTTCATGGATACCCTTTCAACTGCTCGTTTTATCACATTAGAAACGTGTATAGCGCCGCCCCCAAAGCCGACTGTTCATCTTGTGTGCATGGGAAGTCCGCTACTATGGGGACTGATTCCAGTAAAAGTCTATAATGTCCGATGTGTGCGTCTCCAGATTGAAAAGCGAAAGTGCGACGGGATCTTTTTGTTTATGCACGTATGGTTACCAATCTGGAAGGAGGGTAGTGGGACTCCATAACTTGAAATGACATGCGACGAAACAAGACGGCAAGAAGCCAGGCAACACAAGAATATGAGCCGAAAATCAGTGTTGTTGACTTTTTGATCGGTCTGTACTCGAACAGTCCGCAGACGGGATGTAGCGGGATGTAGGCCGGGGCTGCGGTCCTCGTCCTGTGCTACCGAACGCCGTAAACTAGAAGAAGTGCAACTGAGCAGCCGAAATATCAACTGGCGATCCCTTCCCGGAGTAACAGCCACATGAACAGAATTCATGGTACATGCAGGCTTGTTTGCATGTATGAAACCACGTGCTCTGTGCCATCAAAGTATCAGTCCAGACCCTTATCATCGAATAGAGAGTCGTTCGCTCCTTTCCTACCAATAACCTCGCCAGGCCATATCTGTCCAACGCGACGATGATTGTGGGTCGAGGAGCAATCTAACACATTGCTGTAGGTCTGCGGGGTTTGCTGACAACCTACATGTACTGCCAATCTGGTGGCTCGCAGTGGTTGGGAGTACCATCTAATACGGTTCCGCCGCAAGCAATTTCACTTCCTCCGTGATGAGGAGCCGTCACGAGTGCGGGGCGTCGATTCAGAAATGATGGGACATTGTTCATGACGAAATGGATTCCGACAGACGACACTCAGTTGCGTTGCTATGCCTTTGCCCATGAGTAAGCAACATGCCAAGACTCATCTTACCTGTTCCAGCACCCCACTATGGTTAGGGTGTAACGTCACCGGCATCGGTGATGTGGAAAAGCCTCAACTTCACAATTAAATTGTATGACTATATCTCCGATCCCACATTGGCGCTCTGGGCTATTGAAGAAGTACTAATAAAGCTGCTAGCACTATTCCACTTCGAGCTATTACACCATCATGTCAGTCGAGACTATTACGACAATCTCACCCGTCACCAACCAGCCAATCCTGAAGCGCAATGGCCTCTCAGACGCCGATCTCATTTCAATTCCAGAGACGGCACAACGTGCCTTCGAGGAGTTCCGCAAAATTTCTCTTTCGGAAAGACAGCAAATTGTCAAGAAAGCCCTGAAACTTCTCAACGAGCGTCAAGATGCATTGGGCAAAGAACTCACTGAGCAGATGGGTAGGCCCATCGCATATACCCCCAAAGAGGTGACCACTGCGGTCATGCGGGGCGAATATATGCTCAAGATCAGCGACGAAACCTTGAAGGATACGGAAGGCGAAGCGGAGAAAGGCTTCAAGCGCTATATTAGAAAGGTGCCCATTGGGCCCATTCTGATTCTATTTCCTTGGAATGTTCGTGGATCAAGTCCGTGTTTTTTTAATAAACGGCTGGCTAATCAGATGTGCAGTACCCATATTTGACCCTCGTGAACTCTCTTATCCCAGCATTGCTCGCTGGGAATTCGGTGATCATCAAGCCTTCCCCACAAACACCAACGAGTGCCGAGCAGATCCAGCAGATCTTCAACGATGCTGGACTGCCCAAGGGGGTCCTCCAGGTCTTCCACAGCGGATCAATTACCCAAATAGAGACCATAGCACGATCGCCACAGGTTCAGCTGGTCTGTTTCACAGGCTCTGTGGCCAACGGTCTCGCTGTACAAGGTGCCGCAAGCGATCGTGTGCCCATTCGTGTTGGACTTGAGCTCGGCGGCAAAGACCCTGCTTACATTAGATCTGATGTCGATGTCAAATGGGCCGCAGAAGAGATCGTGGATGGTTCGATATTCAACTCGGGCCAAAGCTGCTGCAGTGTTGAACGCGTCTATGTCGATGAAAAGATACACGATGAGTTCATCTCTGCCGTACAGGACGTTTTGAAAGGCTATAAGCTTGGAGACCCAATGGAAAAAGACACTCAAATCGGACCCGTGGTTTCTAAGCGCTCTGCTGAAACCATTCAATCCCACATCAAAGATGCACTTGAGAAGGGTGCAACCAATGCAACCCCCGACAACGAATCTTTCAAATCACCTCCCTCTGATGGAAACTTCGTCGCGCCTACTCTGTTGATAAATGTTAATCATGACATGGCTGTCATGACGGAAGAGACTTTCGGTCCAATAATTCCCGTGATGAAAGTCAAGGATGACGCAGAAGCGATTCGACTCATGAATGATAGCCAGTTTGGACTGACTGCCAGTGTCTGGACCAAGGATACCGACAAGGGTCATAACCTCATCGATGATATCGAAGCTGGAACCGTGTTTGTGAATCGCTGCGATTATCCTGCTCCTGTAAGTCACCACGATGCAATAAAAAAGTGGATGCACTGACTGACGTGAACTAGGACCTTGCTTGGGTTGGCTGGAAGGACTCTGGGAAGGGACAGACGCTTTCTAAGTTCGGGTTCGATCAATTTGTCAAGCTCAAGAGTTACCATGTCAAAGATTATCCGAAATAGACTGACCTACTTCGTGTGGTCACACCAGCCTTGCTCTTCATGTACATCTTTGCCAGACAGAATACACTATGTTATCTGCTTCTGCATGTACATTAATCAATTTGGTATTCTATTTCTATATGGATGAATCTAGACATAGTCATTCTGTTTCCCTGATGCAAAACCCTCACTCGGGCCTCTGTCATTTCATATCATCCCGTTGATTCTGAGTTTGAGTTTGGGTGATCCTCCACACGGCAAAGGGTTACGACGATAAATAGACGGAAAAAAACGAGCGATAACTATAAAATACAAGCAAAATAGCCTTCAAGCAAGCTTGTTGCAATATAATTGCAAAAGCAGGGACTTGGGGCACCCCCTTCGTATCATCCCGTGTAGAGACGATTGGACAACTCTTGTGCTCATATTGATGGTTGCAGTGGTGGGACCGCTTGTCTCATGAAGGCAGGTACAAAATCAAGTCTTCTTGAAATGGCAATACTCCAGTCGCGTCTCAGCGCGCGATGGGACACGCCCCTTATGCAAGGTGGTAGTACATCAATTTCGGCTTGACTTGCGAAAATTACACCTCCATATCCTAACGCACGACAATAATGGTATCTTGAATGAACTGTATTCGATCACATATTGCTTCTTCAGAATAAACATTTGGGTTTCATAACTATCTAAACCGTCTGTCTTGGGGTTTTATTCCTGTTACGAGCCGCCAGATCCTGCTTTTGACAACATTCCGACCACGACAAACGTACGGAATGTGGAACTTAGCATTGTCCATACGCAGTAAGGAATCCCCTTCCTACGCTTGTCGCGTGGCATGATCAAATCTTGTCGCTTGGGAAACTCGTTCCATGTCTTTCCCTTAAATACCTTTGCTCCGGGTCCGCCCAAGTTCGTGCAGCTGTCAACTCACCACTCTTTCCACGGTTGGCACTTCACTCATCTCCATATCCTCCCTTCTCTCTTGTTTCATATTTTGGTAGCACTCTGTGACTCTTCAGTTCTTCATTTGCCTGTTTGTTTCAGCGTAATACTGTTCTTCCGATACCTGATACCCATTGCATTCCATCGTTTATTCAATCTGTTCTCGGTTCTTTCGATTTTCGACAAAAATATGGTTTTCAAAAGCATCACGAACAAAATTCGGCGAGCGATTCTGTGTGGCAAAGGTGACAAAGCAAAGCAACCACTAGAGATAGTATGTCAAATTACAATGTATGGTAAGAGGATAATTCCTACTAATCAAAGTATAGGGCTCGCCCACCGACATGCGGCACGTGGATTTCAGTGAAGCACCCGGACTCACAGAGGCAGAGTAAGTCGAACTGCATTATAATCAATCTCATCCCGAACGTACCATTTCCTGCCGGATATGTCTTATAGGTTCCATACAGCAGAAACACGCTTTTTACTATCTATAAAAGCATGGTCTCTGTCTCAAAAAAACACTTCAAATTCGACTGTGCTGACCATGTTGACTCTAGCAAAAACAAAATCAGAGCCATTCGCAAAGAAACCGCCTGTGATGCGACCTATGTATTGGCTTTACAGTCCCATCCACAAACTCAGTCCACCACGCCTCAAAGGTCCCCCTCCCTATCCACAGCCTCCACCTCGCCCTCCGCCTCCGCGTCAAATACTCCTCAGGTCAACACACCTACACATCCCCTCTTGAACGCAGCTTCCTCAAATCTCCCGTCTAGCCTTCCAACGCCACCCCGTCGCCATCATACGGATAGCTCACCACCTCCTACCTCCCGCATGAAGAGCGTGTGGGAAGGCACTCGACGTCTATCTACCGGCCTTGCGGGTCATCGCTCGAGCGCTGGATACCACGAGCTCGACACGCTCAATAGAACTGACCAAACTGTCAACGTCACCGTCACCGTCAGCGACGACGAGCAAGCCGACAACAAAATTGAGTTAATTGAAAGCTATGTCAAAGAAGGAACCGCTTATAAACTAGACTTGGGCCTTGACTTTGAAGATGGGAAGGGCTTGGGTATCGACTCGCAGCCTGTATCCAGCGATAGCGAGAGTGGGGGTGACAACGAGAGCTGTCATAAAAAAGACGGTGGTGTAAGCGGGAGTTTCGAAAAGCAATCTACTTTTGGAGGCATGCAGAGGCCACCACTTGAGAAGATCCCAAAGATTGCGGGCGCGATTCGAGATACGGAGATTGGAGATAGCAGTGAAAGCGCAAGTGCGAGTGAGTGGGAGGATGATCAGCAGGTGCCTCTGATTGTCTGAGTTGAGGCAGAACTTTGTGCTCCAGAATGAATTGATCGAGAAGGTAGGAGGAGGGAAAGAAGGTGTGGTAAATTGGCTTCTGATGATAGAAGATTGGTATGACTTATAGGTTTCCATCTCATCCCGAAGTACACGTAATGGGTTGTACGAGATTTAATTCTTATTCGCTGGGGACAGAAAAGGTCTGTGTACTTGTACGAGAAGGACTTCAGATAAGAGAAAAGCAATTTATTAATCGAGGAAGGGATCTCTGAGCGCAAATTGACTTGTTATTTTTTTTTGGCACGCTTGAGGGTTCTTCATGACACTCTCGATCAACTATCTAAGTTATGAACGTATACGTTTATAGTTTATATCTAGATTTGGTTGTCGGTATTTGCGGTGAGAGTGGGCGAAAGTGGTTAAAACCAGAGAGCACAAATCATGAGGACATCAGATACTCTGCTAGTACTACAGGTCAATGGACTCCTGCGAGCGCTACCCATCAACTTAGATACCTGAGAATCAATCATTCAAGTATCTGATTATGACCTCCATTGACCAGTAGAAACGATCTCACTCACTGCCGGAACTCTCCCAATTTCCCCATCAAAAGCGCCCCGACTTTCTCCCCTTTCTTCAATACGCCTTCGCCTGACCCTACACACAACAAGGCGTTAGCGCCTTTGAAACTACCAATCCTCGAACTCCGCTGTCCACCCGTTGAAGTCGCATATAGTAGCCCATCGCGTTTAACCCCTACTACCGCTCGGTGATACTCCAGCCTTCCTCGGTCTCGCTTCACATCCTCTTCCAGTACAACTGTCACGCGCGGTAATCCCACCGGCGAAACGCCACTTTGCTGATGCAAGCTGGGCAACACGAAGACATGGAAAGTGACCACTGCTGACGCAGGGTTCCCTGGGAGCGAGAAGATAGTCTTATGGGTGCGAGTAGAGGGTTCTGGGGAGGAGTGTTTCGTGGGGATTGTAGCAAAAGTGGTAGGTTTGCCAGGTTTCATGTTCACGCGGCCAAAATGGATGGTGCCGCCGAGGGAGCGCTCGATGGTGGGCTTGAGGAGGTCGAGCTCGCCCATTGAAACGCCTCCGGAGGTGATGATGACGTCTACCTTGAGTAGGGCCATGCGGAGGGAGTCTTCGAGAGCTCCAGGCCTATTTGGTCGGGGCTTTTAGCATGGGAACTATCTCAAAATGGCGATGTGTTTGTACATACTTGTCAGAAACAATACCAAGATCTATCGCCTCGAATCCTTGAGCTCGGATAGCAGTCAGAAGAGTTGGCCGGTTTGTGTCTCGGACTTCGCCTAGCTTTAGGGGGCCAGCTCGGTCATGCTCAATTATTTCGTCCCCAGTGCTTAAGACACCGACAACTGGGCGCTTATACACAGATATGCTTCTTGTTCCCACGGATGCGAGAAGGCCAAACTCTCCCCCAACAGCACTAATGCCTTCTCCTTTCCTCAGGATGATTTCGTCTTTCTTAACATCGCTACCCACCTCCCGCACGTTCTCACCGGATTGGATCTCTTCGGTTAGAATCTCAATCTCTTTCTCTTCTTTCCCGTCCTCGGTTTGCGATTTCAAAACAGTGTCTTCTACCATGACAACAGCATCTGCGCCTGGTGGCAATGGCGCCCCAGTCGTGATCCGTGCGATCTGACCTTCCTTGAGCTCTTGGACATCACCAGCCTGTGCATGGGATACGAGTGCTACAGGGTAAGTGCCCTTTTGAAATTTACCTGACGCAGGAATTTTGACAGCATAGCCGTCGACAATGCTGGCACGAAATGCTGGCACAGATTCGGTAGCTTTGATGTCCGCTGCCAGAACAGAACCAACTGATGCGATACTAGCAGAAACTTCTTCAACTATAGGGGCGGGTGTCTGTTCCGCGATGATTTTGAGGGCTTCGTCCACTGCCAGCATGGGATATGGCGAGGACCGATACCTTCTTGTTGGCCCTGCGCTAGGATCATTGGATTGGGGTCCCTCTTCCGGTTTCGTGTGAGGTCGTGGAGCCCCGTGGCCGCCGTGACCATGAGAATGATCATGTCCATGGTGACGATGGTGGTGATGAGTGTGCCCACTTGCTATTTGAAAGGTCAGTGTTCTTGAGTGAGGTGTTGCGTTTTTTCCACAGAAGAACGTACTCGCTGACACGCTTTCAGAAAAAACTCCGGCTTCTGCTTCTAGCCTTTTGATCCCGCCCTGATGTAAGGGCCTTGAAGCTGCACCGGCAGCTTGCACACATGCATGAGGAAGTAATTTGAGGACTGCCTCGAGGTTTTCCTTGGCCCCTTTCGGTGATCCAGGAAGAGTCAATATAAGGGTATTCTTGCGAAGCCCAGCGACCGGCCTTGCCATCAGCGCAACTAATTGTCTGTAAGCATTTTGAGATGGCTTATGAGTACGAGTACATACAAGGTGTGATGGCGTAGGACGTTGAAAGCATGCCATGGCTACCGGAAGTTAGTTCTCACTTACACCTCATCTCTATCTTGGCTTTCATTTAAACTCACACGAGACCAGGAGCTTGTCTATCTAAGAGAGGCGTAACAGCCTTGCAACTTATTAGCTTTCTTCTTCTCTTCTAGTTTTAGTACAGTAAATGAATTCACCTCCGGCGTCACATCTTTAGTCGCGAACCCCGTTCCACCACTCGTGACGATTAAATTCATAAACGTCTCGCCATCCGTCCAAGAACGTATAGACTTCTGTATATCGATCAAGCTATCGGGAATGATTTCGGTAGAGCTGACTTCCCATTGGTCGTTGCCGAGCTCGGCAAACACGGATTGAAGAGCTGGTATACATTTGTCGGTGGGAGGGTCCTTTGAAGCTGTTTCTGAAATCACTAGAATGGCAGCTCTCAATTTGGTGACACTCATGTCGGGTTGTGATATATGTACAGATGTAGAATACTTGAAGTGGGGGTCCCGCATGCTGAGAGATGGTCTCGCTCTCGAGATGGAGCTTGGGCCACCTTGAATTTACACCTCGTCATCGGAACATCAACTTTCATGTTCCACAAGATCTTTAATGGCGTTATTAATTTGTCAAATACTGAGACTATACATATACTTGCAGTACAGTCATGTAGTAGCTGAATAATACAGCCCACAAAGAGTTTCGCGAAAACAATGCTTTGATATTTGAACTATACTCGCTCTTGAGGAACGCCGATGTTACATGCATTATACAAATCCGTCAGTTCTTCCGTTTGCTCCCTATACATGCTCTATGTTGTACATAGAGCTTCGCTCGTGCCATCCCAACATCCTTCGGGTATGCCCTCCACTAGTGATCTCTCATACTTCGATCTTTGCTCAAATCACCCAGATTGCCAGGCACCAAAAACTCTCAGCTTGGAATACACTATGGCGGTAGCAGCTATTCGAACTCGGGGGCGTTACTCTGTACAAGAAGTCCAATGATAAGACCGAATAGTCCGAGAATGGAACTGAAAATCTCGATAACAAGAATCTTAACGAACCTACTCCAGAGTCAGCTTGATTATCTTGTGTTGAGCACATGGACTTACAAAGAAGGATCCGCTGCATCTGCCAACGCAGCGCTACTTCCGTTGATGCCGACCGAGACACCGCAAATCAGGTTGCACATGCCGACTGTGATTCCAGCCCAGAACAAGGCGAAACCAGTGAAGTAGTTCTTGGGCGTGTGTTGCACCTCGGCCTCCACAAAGGCTAATTTGGACGAGAAAATGATAGCCATGATGACTCCGTAAATGGCGACAACCTCGCAGAAAATGATGGAAATCAAGTTCTTGGTTCGTATCCTGGGGGCTTTGACACCACCACCCACAATAGATGCTCCAGTTGTGAAGATTCCCCTGTTCCTCGGTCAGATTTATATTCGTTTTGTCCTAATGTATAAACGCACCATGCTGACCCGACGACGGACAGGCCTATGCACATGGCGATGCCGAGCGTCGCCCATGTGTACGGGTTCACGCTTTCGAGGAATTGTCCGACCTAGTAGGTACTTTTAGCTTTCGTCACTGTGATCGGGAGGGTCGCTACGCGTACGTTGAAGGCTTCACCCTCGCCGTTGAAGAGCATGTCTGGGAAGGAGTTAGCTATTGCCTGCGCTCAAGCGGAAGCACACCATACATAGGCCGACGACGCCTAGGGCTGCCGTGGATCCACCCAGTCCATATGTGAGTGACATGTTGACAGCAGATGATGTGCTGGAAATGCGAAAGAGGTGATGTGGGCTGTCCGGAGCTCTTCCTGGTGATGAGACGCACGCCGACCTGACGGTTTACGATGATGGCGTTGGCGGAGGATGCCGCTAGTGCAGTGCTTAGTCACCATCCCGCCCTACATCGCATACTGCCGGCGATTGACTACTACCTCAACACCACACCCAACCGTTCACAGCCTAAAGTCAGATTGTCTTCGCCATGGCTGCTGCTGCTGCTACCGACTCCAAGTACTATGAGCTGTACCGCCGAAGCAGGTATGCACCCAGGAACTCTGGGTTGGTGGGCCTGGGCTAACAATAGGCAGCGTGGGCGGTGCTCTTACAGACACTCTCGATGCCCTGATCACTGAGCGCCGGATCGAGCCGCAACTCGCCATGAAGATACTTGCCAACTTCGACAAAGCCGTTGCGGACGTATTAGCCGAGAAAGTGAAATCGCGACTGACATTCAAGGTAGGTTGTGGAGCTGCTTGCTGCGGAAGCGCAGGCGTTGATGCGCAACTTGTAGGGACATCTCGATACGTACCGCTTCTGTGATGACGTCTGGACGTTCATCATCAAAGACATCAACTTCAAGCTCGAAACCACTGGACAGGTCCATGCCGACCGGGTCAAGATAGTCAGCTGCAACACAAAGCGACCAGGCGAGACCTGAGTAGACCTCAGACTCTGAGTCCATGTTGGTCCGTATCCACGTATCGACTCTTGCTTTACAACAACCTTGATATTACTTGCATTCTTCTGCGATCGTGAGGGCTGGATTGTTTGGAGCGAAGTTGGGAAGAGATCCCAAAGGAAATCGAGCGATACCCTGCAATCCATGGCTATGGCAAATGATACAGAGCGCAGCACATATATTCTGCAGCTGAGGGCTCATTATGAGACGTCGGGATTGTTACGGATACTACGGAGATTCTGGACTAACACCACTGAGGCATGTTTCATGAGGCGTTATAGGGTGCAAATCGACACCTTGGGCATGAATGCAGGCGTTAAGATCGGGCAAGCTTATGAAAAATGAAATTGCTGAAAGATAAATTATACGCTGGGTTATGTTTAATGTGAGATATACGCTGATTCTGAATGATCGGACTCTCTTCATGGTTCTGGTCGCTGGAGTCATACATATAGCAGAGTTTCTATACAATCCCAGATCACTCTTTTCTGTTCAATGAAACCGCTAGCGTAAATGTCGAGTTTCGGCGTACTCTAAGAATATGCTCACAGTTGATAGACTTTACAGCTATCGACAAGTACAAATGTTGACTAAGCACTTTATTCTCCGTAGACCAACCCCTGCACTTCTCCATACCTCCCCGTCGACATCCACAATCATCCGACCTTCACTTTTTTTTAATATCATGAAAAAATCTACCTAGGGACAATTTTCACACAATGCCAATCACAAACACGAAACTCCCTGCTTGGCTGATCCTAGCCATTGCGAGTGGGGCTTGTGCCGCATGCAACGGCGTATTTGCGAAGCTGACTACCACGGAGCTCACAACGTCGTGGTCGCACTCGATATCGGGCACGTTCCATTTGAGCCCCGAGAATAAGCTCGTAGAGTATGGAATTCGTGGGGTATGTCTAAAATTTAGTTCAAACTTCTCCTTTTCTTGTTGTTCTGGTCTTGTACGAGTCTGTTAGACTCTGGTCTTCTTACAATACTCAATCAACCCTCTCTCAGCGTACTCCAAAAACGGTTGAAAATCCACTAAGAATACAAATAGCTCTTCTTTGCACTCAATCTCATCTTCAATGGAGTAATGTGGGGGCTCTTCACGCGGGCCCTCACGCTCGCGTCGTCGACGGTGCGAGTCAGCGTCATCAACACATCTGCAAATTTTATGCTTACCGCCGTGCTTGGGACACTCATCTTCTCGGAGGCGTTACCGGCGCTGTGGTGGGTGGGCGCCGCCATGTTAGTTGCGGGCAGTGTGATCATTGGGAGGAGAGACGAGGGAGTAAAGGGGGAGGGAGAGGGTCAGCGCGAACAGGAACTCAGTGGTGAGGGTACTGAAGGAGAGAGGGCGAGGTTTCTGGATGAGGATGGTGAAGGAGAGGTTGAGTTGGAGAGTGTGAAGAGTGATGAAGATAAGAGCAGTGAGGATGAGGATGCAGTGTTGAAATGATCAGGGCTTGGATCAGTGCACTTCTTCGAGTCGGAGTTGCACAGCATCTTGTCCACCTTGGGTTTGTTGCCCTGTCGGTAACATACCTTATCGTGGTGAGGGGCGTTCTGTGAAAGGTGAAGGATTCACCGTTTCTCTCACCCGTACTAATCATTAGCTCAACCGCACCTACAAACGCAGACCCTATTCCAATATAAAAGCTGTTTTTCGAGACTCTTCCATTTGCCGCGCCACGATCCGCCACCACAGGTGTTAGCATTCATCATGGAGGATGAAACTGACAACAGCGGTGGCAATCAGAGCGCTTCTGGTCAGGCACGTACATCCAAAGTAGCCGGCGACATCTCATCTCCGCTGAACCCGTGCTCTCCACCATTCACCCCAGCTCGCAATTCGGCATCCTCCACTCAAGCCGCCTCGCCGCATTCTTCTGGTAAGTTATTCCCGAGTAGTACGGCCTGGCACAATATGATGTAGCATTTCATGCTTTCAATAACCCAATGTACCCTCGACTGACTTAATACCCAATAGGTGGAGGTGCCTTTGTCTGGTGTCACGATCCCGACCGTCCTGATCATCTGCCTCTCTCCGTGGTCAACGCTACCGGTCAGCAGCGTGCACCAATGTTCGCAGCTCAGAATATCGAGGCTCAAAATGCACGTGAAGGCATTCGTGATGCGGGGCGCGAGGATGAGATACGTCGAAAGAATGATCCGGTTTCATCTGGCGTGGCGTATGACCAGGCGCGGGATAATTGGCGATACGCGCCGAAGTACCCTCAAGCTCAGTACCCTCCTGCCCAGCATAGGTACCAATTTCCACCTGTGCATGGCATGCCTCACATGGCACATCATCCAAGTCCCAATGCCGGCTGGCATGTACCGAACAGCTACTATGGATCGAACAGCCACGCCAACTGGGGACCAGGTCATCAGGATGCGAGGATTATGAACAATCACGTTTCCCAACATTATCGTCGCCCTCAAAATCCAAGCTATCGAAGTGGAGGACCAGGTGGCTACGTTCCAACTCCATACCCTCACGAATGGGGTGGCTGGGACGGGAGCAAATCCACCAATAGCAACGGTAACTGGGGATTTGGTGGCTATGGGTCTCGTTGATGTGGAAGATATCAGTGCCGTTCAATGTTTAATCTCGAGCCCATGTGAACTTGGAACCATCGAGATTCTGGGAGTTTGCACACACAAACATAAATCCGTGAAAGGAAATATGGAGTTTGGCGAGACGTGTCACAAAGTGGATATGTCCACGTAAGTGAATTTGGCTACCATCAATCAGGTAGATATCATTGACTATCATGAATCAATCACTCAACATGTTTCCATGTACACCTGCGCATGTTGCTATAAGAAACGTAAAGGCCCGCGCTAGCGCCGTGATGACAAGACAGACAAGCGCCCCACCTCCCCAAGCTCACAAGTCAGGCGCAAAGTGCACGCATAGCAGTGCTCATACAACTCTTACATTTTTAAGATCAACGACCAATTCCAAAGGGAGTCGAATGCGAAAGGATAGGATCGGTCGCCATGTTTGCTACTAAAAGGCTTGGGAAGGTGCGTGAATAATGACATTATTCCGTTTGCGCGCGTACACATACTAACAGCTACCCTGTAGGAGTTGACCAAGGTACACATACACAGACACGAGCATGCAACGAGGCATGGGGATACACCACTAATGCGCGCTATAGCTACAAGAGAAGCTACCGCCCGGCATCACGCTCGTCAAAGCTGAAGACTTCAAGGAGTGGTTCATGGACATCCAGGTTATGGACGCGAATCCGATTTACGCGGGGGAGACGTACAGGCTGAAGTTCATGTTCAGCCAGAGCTACCCGATCGAGGTACGTATATAAAACAGCCCAGAGAAGCATCTGGCTTGTTCCATTCCTCCATGAAGCGCAAGATACTTACTTGGTTCATTGCAGGCACCCGAAGTCGTCTTTGTCAGATGCTCCGATCCCCCGCGACCCATCCCGCTCCACCCCCACATATACTCCAACGGCATCATATGCCTCGACCTACTCGATCGCTCTGGGTGGTCCCCCGTTCATAATGTAGAAAGCGTATGTGTGAGCTTACAGAGCATGCTCACGAGCAATACCATCAAGGAACGTCCGCCGGGAGACGATAACTTCGTGCGCTTCAACAAGCAGCGGCCAAGGGATATCAATTTCGTATTCCACGACGAGAAGGTGTAGGGAGGGATGGGATAAGCCGTTCACATAAATCTCTTGTCAGTCATTCAAGGACAGGATTTTGGATAATGGACTGAGCAAGAATGCTTCATGAGGTTTTAATGTATGCATGACAGGCGTTCGGGCATATGGATCTGGCACGGGGGTTTGGCAACAGGCTGAGGATCACGTCCCTAATAAGCACATTTGGCGTTACATGATATTGGTCTGCTCCAATTGTACAACTATTAACAATTGATTATGGGTCTTTGCAATGATGCTGGGAGCTTGGCTTTGGCGTTAGCGTCCATAGATCTTCGGGACGAGGTGCTGTATGATTGGTGGTTTGCTTGCTCTACCGATGAAAGTTGCGAGAAGAAAGTGACTGGAACCTTCACAAGTGGTAACGTGTCACTATACATGCGTGTGTATTTGACAGGTGGCGATTCACATCGTCTGTCTTACCATCGAGGTTTAACTTACACATAGATGGATGCCGCTTTCTAATGACTACCCGAAAAACAGTGGCAAAGAAGTAGTTGAGACAAGTACCGTATATAGGGAGTGCTATGTCTGATAAGTGAAGAGCAGAATGCATGTATCGAGACAGCATATCGTGGTCCTGTCAAATAATCTGCTGAACAAACTACGATCCGGGTTTTCATGCGCAGGGGATCCCCATTACCTCGCCAAGACCTGGAATAGTGACATTCCTAATGGAGAAACGTGGACTACCTTGAAGAGATGCGTAAAAGAAAATTCAGATTCACCGGGCCTTTCCGATGTAAAAAGCCGCAATTTGGTTTGAATACTCGCCGTCAAAAAGGCAAATCTCGGCAGGCCTGGCAGCGGACCCTCGTCTTCGGTATCGATTGGCTTGAAAACGCGCTAAGCTCCAATTTCTTTAGCCTCTCACTGAAAAAGCGAAAAAGTTCACCTCCACCGCCTTCGAACCACTACCTCTCCACCCCACTCTCTTCACCTCCATACCCGAAGAAAAATCTACAGAATGGCTGACGAAGTCTACGAGGGTGCCATTGGCATCGATCTTGGTATGTTCGCTGCCCCTTCTCGTCATGCCCACAGCCCGCGCGGGGTATATTGGGCTTTATTTTGCTTTGCGCACACAGAAATGCTAATACACTGACAGGCACGACCTACTCCTGTGTCGCCAACTACGAGGGCACCAATGTCGAGATCAGTACGTACCGCGCCTCTCCAGCCATGAGTCCACCATCGCCTAACGATTTTGCACAGTCGCCAACGAGCAGGGTAGCTTCACCACCCCATCTTTCGTTTCCTTCACTAGCGAGGAGCGTTTGATTGGTGAGGCCGCAAAGAACCAGGCTGCCATGAACCCAGCCAACACCGTCTTCGATGTCAAGTAAGCATTTCCAGAGTGACTCGCAATATTGCACGGCGAAACTGACACATGATCCAGGCGTTTGATCGGTCGCCGCTACGAGGATGAGACCGTCACCAAGGACATCAAGTCGTGGCCCTTCAAGGTCATTGACCAGGGTGGCAGCCCTATGGTCCAGGTCGAGTACTTGGGTGAGGAGAAGACCTTCTCCCCCCAGGAAATCTCCGCCATGGTCCTTGTCAAGGTAAATTTTTTACCGCCCCGCATTTGCAGCCCGAAGAATTTTTGCTAACAGCAGTGCAGATGAAGGAAGTTGCCGAGGTCAAGCTCGGAAAGAAGGTCGAGAAGGCCGTCATCACCGTGCCCGCCTACTTCAACGACAACCAGCGTCAAGCCACCAAGGACGCCGGTGCCATCGCTGGCTTGAACGTTCTCCGTATCATCAACGAGCCCACCGCCGCCGCTATCGCCTACGGTCTCGGATCCGGTCGCTCGGAGAAGGAGAGGAACGTCCTCATCTACGATTTGGGTGGTGGTACTTTTGATGTTTCGCTTCTTCACATCCAGGGTGGTGTCTTTACCGTCAAGGCTACCGCCGGTGACACCCATTTGGGAGGACAGGTGTGTATTACCACGCTGCATATTCTGCCATTTCAGAATCAGATGGCCGATTTAAACACCCTTTTGACTAAACTCCGCTAACCCTGTTCTAGGATTTCGACACCAACCTCCTCGAGCACTTCAAGAAGGAGTTCACCAAGAAGACTAAGAAAGTGAGTACAGGCCCCACGAGATTATTGTCAATCGAGCCCTGCTAACATAATCGTAGGAGTACGTACTGCACTGTAGAGCTGCTGGATATGTGGTTTGGCTGCCATATCAACACCTCATAACCCCACGTAGCGTTTCTCGATGCACTATACTGACTTGAAATTTTCAATAGCTTGAGCGGTGATGCCCGTGCCCTCCGTCGTCTCCGAACCGCCTGCGAGCGCGCTAAGAGGACTCTGTCAAACGCGACTTCTACAACCGTCGAAATTGAGTCAGTAATCCCTCAGCGATGATATGATTGTGACTAACTTTGGGAATCCAGTTCACTTTTCGATGGTGAGGACTTCGCCTCAAGCATCACCCGTGCCCGTTTCGAAGACTTGAACGCAAAGTCTTTCAGCGGCACCCTCCAGCCTGTTGAGCAGGTGCTCAAGGATGCCAGCATCAACAAGGACAAGGTCGATGAGATCGTGCTTGTTGGTGGTTCTACCCGTATCCCCAAGATCCAGAAACTCCTCAGCGACTTCTTCGGCGGCAAGAAGCTCGAGAAGAGCATCAACCCCGATGAGGCTGTTGCCTACGGTGCCGCTGTCCAGGCTGGTATCCTCTCCGGAAAGGCCACCTCCGCTGATACTGCTGATCTGCTGTTGTTGGATGTCGTCCCTCTGTAAGTACTCCCCATCGCCTAAACCTTTTCTACCTGTGCTAACTGAACGTCAGATCATTGGGTGTAGCCATGGAGGGCAACATCTTTGCGCCCGTCGTGCCCCGTGGACAGACCGTTCCTACCATTAAGAAGCGAACATTCACCACTGTGGCTGACAAGTATGTACCAATCGCCCATGACCCATCAGAATTGAATTTGCTAACATCCAAAAAGCCAACAAACCGTGCAATTCCCCGTCTTCCAGGGTGAGCGTGTCAACTGCGAGGACAACACCTCGCTTGGTGAGTTCACATTGGCTCCCATTCCTCCTATGAGGGCTGGTGACGCCGTTCTTGAGGTCGTCTTCGAAGTCGACGTCAACGGTATCCTCAAGGTCACTGCCACCGAGAAGACCTCCGGCCGCAGCGCCAACATTACCATCTCCAACGCCGTCGGCAAGCTCTCTACTTCTGAGATCGAGAACATGATCAGCGATGCTGCCAAGTTCAAGTCCAGCGACGAGGCTTTCAGCAAGAAGTTCGAATCCCGTCAACAGCTCGAGTCCTACATCTCCCGTGTTGAGGAGATGGTCTCCGATCCATCAAGCTCCCTCCGCCTCAAGCGCGGCCAGAAGGAGAAGATTGAGTCCGCCCTCAGCGACGCCATGGCCCAGCTCGAGATCGAGGATGCCTCCGGTGATGACTTGAAGAAGAAGGAGCTCGCATTGAAGCGCGTTGTTACCAAGGCTTTCTCCACCCGCTAAACGATTTTTTGTTGACGGGTGTCGAGGCGGAGGAGACGAGAAGCCGCAAGTGCAGCAGCGTTCGACTGCTGCGACGTGCGGATTGAGCTGCGAGAGAAAAAATATCCCCCTTTTGCGGCTTTTGTGGCATCTTTGATAGACTGGTGTTCCCGACTCATTTGCCTGGCACTCTACTACCCTACTACCTCTCTTTCTTTCCTTTTGCTACGGTTTATTTCTTTCGGCATGTGGTTAGGGATGGGAAAAGTAACTGCGTGTATCCGGTAGTGCTTTACGCTGCCCTCTCTGGCTTTGATGAAATGCAATCGACATGTATGACCGAAGCTCTTCTGCTGCTACGACCTGGACTAAACGTGTATGACGTACATAAGGTGGTTAGTCTGATAGTGGAAGACAAGGATCTAAGTTGAACGAAGGAAAAAATTGAAACATAATGAATCTTTAACTACTTCTTGTGGCCGATGAACATATGCCATAAAGACATCTGTGACCTACAATCTGGGTTCTTAATGTTGTCATCTTCCGCTGCATACTAGATGCGACAGTAATATATCCTAGCTGACAATTTATCCATGTCATACTTCTCAAAGCCCCGAACACCCTCAACATGATGGTAGGAAATAGTAACTCGCAGGATAGCGGTATTCCGCGGTCTATGCAAGCAACGAGAAATTGAAGAGCAAGATGCTTCAAACATATTAAAACAAATGTGGGCTTTCATGATACGAGTCATGAATTGTATAACAGGAGGTATATTTCACAGCCTATGAGAGTAACTCTGCATAGTACAGTACAGGATATCAGGATATCCTATCTTGGAATTGAAAGAAACTCGTATTCTGATAATATAAAATAACAATTCCATCAAATACCATGAATCTGAACAGTCTCCTCAAGCTTTCAACAGTCTCCAAAATATAACAAATGAGTAACATCATAGAACAACATGTACAATTGACGGCTCTTACAAGTAACTACACACAATAAACTGTGCGATACCAGGATGTTTTATCTTCACATAAAAATTAAATAGAATGGAATACTCAGGAGTGATTTGTGTTACACTTGGCCACTCCTTACACCTGTGTCTATGCATCCTCTCCTAACTGTAAGCAAGTCGCACATCATTAGACCATCCATGTTCAAGCACAAACTGCTTTGGTAATATCTCAGTCTACTTTCATAGGTTTTAAGTTTTAGTTTTTTTGATTGGAAGTTACAGTGTTTCCTACACTTAAAAAGGCTGATAAAAATGATTTAACAAAAAGTAGGCAGGTAACAAAAAGCTTTAAAAAAAAGGAGTTTTGCTTTCAGCACTAGAGGCCAGGGATGCAATACCCGCTACTTTCATATATTTTGTTCGGATAAAATGATTGGAATATACATCCTGAAAGTCTATGATCAGCTATATGATGCGAGATTGAGAGTATTTCAATGTATTGTGCGGTTCTACAGCTTAACGAAACGTCGCCTTTCAAAACTCAGAAAGTACAACATAGTCATTCCAGATTAAAATATAGAGAGTTATGGGTTGTTATTATTGGAGTCGCAGAGAATGGTGTAATCCTACAGTTTAGATTAGAAATGTATCTACTAATCAAGTACACCAATAACCCTCCGTGCATTCCTTTACCTCGCACCAAAAGAAAAGACAGCATGTTCCAACCACGCAATCTCACATCCTAAACCTCCCCTCCTCAACGGCACTCCCAACAAGTCCACCGCCAGTAATAACATTAGTCGCGCACACAACCACACGACTCCCCCTTCCTTCGCCGCCAACCTGCTTAAGCTTATCCCCAACGAACCGCAGCGCCGCAATCTCAGCCCTGGTAACGCCACCAACAAAGAACACAACAATAGTCTTTGAAGCGTCGTTATGGCTACCATTCAACATGCTTCTCGCCTTGACAGCCTTCTCTTCGCCACTTTGCCTCATATCGAAGGTCGCGCCGCGGACGTACTTTGTTGCGTCGTCGAAGATACGCAGGCCTTGCGCAAGAGGGTTCGCCTGAGCGGCGGCACGAGGGTCAGAGGGAGGTTTGACAACATTGGCAAGAGTTTGTTTCTGGATGATGGATTGAATGAGGCGGACAGAGAGCGGGGCGTATCCCGAGAAGGCGTACGAGATGTCGTTAGGCGCGACCTCGTTGACGTCGTCATCCCACAGGCGCAGCGACTTACGCAGCGGCGTGTAATTTGTGACGGAGCCTGGCTTTGCGGCGGGAGTTGTGACACCTAGTCCCGAGCCACCACGGGGATGGAGGAGATTCATTTTCTCGAGCGAGGAGAGGGTTAGAAGGTGCTGGGGCCCGTAGGCCTGGATGATAGCGCGTTTGAAAGCCTCGAGGTCTTTAGGGCGCATACCGGCGTTGGTGGTGCTTTCTAGGCAGAGCAGGCGGAGGATTGTGGGGAGAGGGACGTCACGGTTGATAAGTTCAGTAATTGTGTCGTGTTGAGTCGTTGGATCGGACCCACACATGATGTTTTGCTGAACTTCAAGGGACCGCGTGAATATGTCGCTATGTGTAAATTTGATGATTTCCTCAGCGAGTGCTGTGTGGAGCTTCAAGCTGGCTTGCTCGGCTTGGTAACCTGGTAGCTTGGCCACGAAGTCTCGAAGTTCGGATGTGGTCTTCGCCGCCAGTTGGTTGCGTTCAGTGCTGCTCTGAAGTCGTCTCGCGGCTTTGTTAAGCATGTTCCCAACTATTGCAAAGTTCACGTCTCCGAGTGTGGAGTACAATTCGTCTTTTCGATCGATCATAATCTTGCGCTTCATGCTTGTGGAAGCTGAGCCTGTTTGTCCAGGCTGTGCAGCAGCACCGACAATGGAAGAGTCGACTTCGGTTTGGTTTGCCGTAATGTCGAAAACCTCGTCTATAAGCCCTTCATATGTTAATTGAGTGAGAAGTGCGGTAGGGAAGTCGACGTCTCGGTCGATGATGATTAAGCTATCGATCATCGAGCTGGGCGTTAACCCCAGAAATGAGGGCCCAGCGCTGTTGGGAACCTCCCCTGCAGCTACCTCAGTACGCATGCGAATAAGAAGATCGGCAAGACGTTTGCCGTGATCGCCCTTCCCGATGATCCTAGGAAACAGTCCGTATTTTTGCTGCTGAAGCATGAGAGCTTTGGCCGCAATGTAGACAGATGTGGGGTCTTTTCGCTATACATAGTAAGAGGATGTTTTAACAAGCTTTTCTGTGACATACCAGATATAGATCCTCTACTGCGTCTCCAAGTTCCAAAGACATCACATCGTCTGCGAGTGGCACGAAAAAAAGCGGCCATTCACTCACGCTGGCATCACCAAGCACGCCAGCTTCCTCAAGAATTTGATCCGAGACGGTGGTGCGGCGAGGGACCCAGAAGATAGAAAATTCATGTTCGATCTGGCTATCCCGTCGAACACGTTTAATTTGGTCTATGCCTCGTCAGCATGACAACTATGCATGCGATGAAGCTATCAGAAAATGAAACAACATACCAGCAACAGCCGAAACAGTCGTTGCCTTCTCTCCCCTCACAAGAAAGACAATATTTCGCTGTGAGGAGTCGACATTATCATTCTCCAAGAAAAAAGGTTTATCGACACCATATTCTTGCAGCGTCGAGAATTTAACCAGCAAGTTCAGTGGGCCGGCAAGGGATTTCTGAAGTACCAGATTCTTCTTCCCTCTTATCTGAAAGATGATTAGTGGACGATCGCCTCGAGTGGTTGATGGAATTACCTTACACCTTCCAGGAGTTGTAGTAGATCGCGACGGGCCTTTTCAGTGATTTCCGACGCGTTAAAAGGCGTTATGGGCGCCATGGCTGAGGTCTTTCAGGGTATATATACAGAAGTAGTCGAGGGTCGAAGCATGATGATAACAACGCTGCTGATCCCTCGGTACAATCGGTGGTGAATTGCTTGAGGTGTGGCTGGACAGGAAAGCGCATGGCACGTGCTTATGGATTAGTCATCGACCACTTGACAGGCAGCAGATATTTGACAGCGTGCATCGGCGTTTTCCTTGTAACGCGCCATGATATCTGGTCAGATTCAGAGCATGAGAATGGTTTCTAATTTTCGATTATCATTATGCATTAATAGTGTGGAGAGACAACTTCGTGAACATGACATGCCGAGTTTTCTCTCCTTCATTGATGTATCAAGATGTGTATAATTGCTGAATAATTACATAGCTACAAACTAGTCTGGGGTATATGGGATTCATGACTATAAGGTATGCCAAAGTTCAGGTAATCGTATTCCACGTTCAATGTATCGACACTAGTTCGCTCCCAACGCTGCTAGGGCCAATCTAAGCTCCTTGACAGCAGTAGGCACGTCCTCGAAGTTTAAAGCTGACTGGGCAAACTTTGCATGTCGAATAGCCTCCGTCTGAGAATCCTCATCTGTCCTGAACGGGCCTTGATGTAGAGACTGGGAAGGCGGCGGTGGTTGTTGTGTGTATTGCGGTTGTGGTGGGGCCGAGTAAGTCTGTTGCTGCTGGGGATATTGCTGGAATTGCGGTTGCTGTGACTGTGGAAGTTGTTGCGGAGGTGGAGGGGTAAAGGGTGCTTGGAACATATTTTGAGGAGGCGGTGGTTGTTGTTGTTGCTGCGGCTGCTGTGGAAATTGAGCCGGCAGTGCAGATGGTGCCGCATCGCGATAGAAGTTTTGTGGAGTGGGTACTTGAGGAGCCTGGGGCATTTCTGGTCCGGTGGGCAGTGATGAGCTACCGAACGGGCTGCTGGCCATGGGTTCGTCGGGCATTGTCGATGCCGTTGGCAAAGTAGGTGCTGCAGCATCCGCTGTGAACGTGGGAACTTCCACTCTAGGGAAATATCCTCCACCAGCCGAAACTACAGATCCTCGACGAGAAGTGGAAGGTTGTGAGATGGGCGAGACATCTCGATACGCATCTGGAGCCGAAGGAAAGTGAGGAGGGGGCGGCGATAGCTTCGGAGCAGAGAAAGTGGGCGAGGGGCGGGCTGAAGTGTTTGGGACAGTCTCGACATAAGGCTGATATGGATTTTGCGGAGGCGGATTCCCAGCAGCACTCTGATTGATGTTCTGGACTTCCGGGTCGTTGGGATCCAAGGCGGAAGGTGAAGCTACCTGTGGGGGTGGATCGTGAACGGGGTTGGTGGCATTGGGATCTTCGCCAGCTTGGAATGCCTTGAGAATGCGCACGGCGTGATATTTCGCGAAGGTTTGCTTCGACTTGATTTCTGGATCGGCGTCTCTCTTCCATATAGCTAGCATCTCGAGAAAAGTCGAAGCGGCGAGCAAGGTATCGGCGGTGTTCTTCGTGACAGCATTGGCCGTCATGTCCTTGTCTCCCCTAGCGAAGGTTTGTAGAGCAAATTGCTCGCAGTAGGCAGCGGCAGCCTCCTCGTCTGTGTAGGCTTCTTCGGTGGGGTTTTGGGCCTTGGTCTGCTCGAGCTTCTCCATCAAATCGGTTGTGAAGGCGCTGCATTCATTGTCGGCCGAGTGGAGATTCGCGCTGATGATTTTCTGAACGACGTAGAAACGTACTGGTTGGGTTAGCTGGGCGGGTCCTGTTGGAAAACGTGGGTGTTGCACATACGCCAGTAGGTTACGATGGGCTTAAACCTCTCGAGCTGGGATGCCCGCTTGACGAACGGGGTAATCAGCGCCGGCTTCAGCTTTGCCGGTATATTGTCCGCCATGGCGATTTGCGTGGTGGATTGGCAGAAGCGGGTATGGTGATGGGCGAAGGCAAGCAGGTTGAGAAGCAAAGTAGCAGTGTGGGGTGAATGAAGTCAGAGCTACCTTGCCGGCTAGGTACCGATCCACGGACTTGTCGAGGGCAGCAGACCCTGGTCGGTTGCTGCACCCCGCATAACCATCTAGCCACGATACGACAGCTCCAAACAAAGCTTCCTCGATAAAGGACAACCTGGCAACATCATCAACAATCTCACCACCCCCAATGATGCGACTGGCATTATTTAAGCTTTCTGTCCACTTCTAGTTGCCTCCACTTTCGTTTTCCCTTCCCATTTCAACTAAACGGCACGTCCAAACCCCGACCTTCACTCACAACACCCAGATCGCCGCCATGGTCCGTTCCACGACACTGGTTGCAGCTGCTGCGGCTCTCTCCCTCCACGCACACGCAGAGAGCTTGTACTCGAAGAAATCTGCCGTTGTGCAGATTACTGGACCAGAATACGACCGTGTCATTGCAAAATCCAACTATACCTCGGTGAGTCTTCTTCTAGAGCTTCCTTGTCACGTCTCATGCCAACTAACCATCATGACCACAGATCCTTGAGTATGCTTCCTGATCCTTGCGCCTTACACCTACATATTCTCTAATACCTATCAGATTCTATGCGCCATGGTGTGGCCACTGTAAGAACCTCCAACCTCAATACGAAAAGGCTGCCAAATCCCTCGCCGGGATCGCCAAAGTCGCCGCCGTAAACTGTGATGAAGAAATCAACAAACCGTTCTGCGGTAAAATGGGCGTTCAGGGCTTCCCCACTCTGAAGATTATCAGGCCGGGCAAGAAGCCAGGAAAGCCTACCGTTGAAGAGTACCAGGGTCAGCGCCAGGCCAAGGCTATCGTGGACATCGTCAAAGACAAGATTCCCAATATCGTCAAGAGGATAACCGACCCGAAGTTGGACGATTGGCTGGAAGAAAACAAGGAAAGCGCCAAGGCTATCTTGTTCAGTGACAAAGGCCTAGTCAGTGCTACACTTAGGACGTTGGCAATCGATTTTGCAGGCATAGTCAATGTCGCCCAGATCAGGAAAACTGAGGCGGCTGCCGTTGAGAAATATGGCATCACCGCATTCCCCTCCCTTATTCTCATCCCTGCCGGCTCCTCGGAACCAATCAAGTACGACGGAGAAATCAACAAAGAGTCTATGGTCAAGTTCCTTTCTCAGATTGCGCCTCCCAACCCCGACTGCCCTGCACCGAAAGCGAAGAAGCCCAAAGCCAAGAAAGATGACAAGAGCAAGGAATCCAAGGCCTCATCGAAATTCTCAAAAGCTTCAGCATCTCACAAATCGGACGAAGCATCTTCCGCTGCTACTTCTGCCGCGCACGAAACTTTGGAAGAGGCTACGAAACCTACAGAGTCGCCAACTCCCGAAGATTTCGTGGAGGATACCAAGATCAGTGAGGAGATTGAAACAAAGCCCTCCCTTCTTTCTTTGGTGGAATCTTCCGACCTCCAAGCTTCTTGTCTAAATGAGAAAAGTACGACTTGCATTCTGGCCCTTCTCCCCAAGGACGAAACTTCTGAAGCCGCGACCAAGGCCGTTGCATCTCTAGCATCTATCCATAAAAAGCACGATGTTCGCCAGACCAACTTGTTTCCTTTCTTCTCCGTTCCTGCGACCAACCCTCTGTCCGCGACTATCATCACCGAGCTTTCTCTCGACAATGCAGAGCAGGTCCACCTCATTGCCGTCCATGGCAAGCGCGCATGGTACAAGAAATACACTGGTAAAGCCTTTGATGCTACTAGTGTTGAGCAGTGGGTTGATGGAATTCGTATGGGGGAGGGTACGAAGGAACGATTGCCAGAGTCTCTGTTGGGCAGTACCAAGAAAGAGGATACCCCAGAGCATGGTGAACTCTAGCTTTGCAACTTCGGTTTCAAGTGTAAACATGGTTGTATATTTCCTGAATTTTTGACCAATTGTAGCGTATTGTACATCATGCAATCCTGAAAAAGTATTCATGACCTGGAGACAATGCCTTCCTAGTTTGAACTTGTCGTGTAGTGCGCGTCCAGCTGCAAGACTTGAACTTGGAATTTTCAACATCGCAGTTTCATTCCCTGATTCCAGTTCTATTGATAGAGTAACCGATAGAGCTGCATTAGCAGTGGGTATGCTCTGTCTTCCCTGTCGCTCAACACTAATTGTGCCACTTCCAAGTGCTGCGCCGCCCTCAGATTTGTTTCGTGTAAAACCCCCACGTCAACTTCAAAGTCCGCATACCATTTCGGCCGCCTACATCCAATCGTACCTCCCAACCACCCGATAAAATGCATGCACCCCGCATGGAACTTCACTGTTCATAAGCGCTCGCTATGTGCGCCTCGCATACCCCTTTTCAAGGGAGAATGTGATATGGCTTGCAAACGTGCAGAATAGTACACCAAAACGTACAGATTCAACGCCTGGGAATGATTGGAATCGAACGACAAACAGGTATAAACAGAAAGCATGTCGTCTCTAAACTTACCGCGCGTCAACATGCGTTCACCGGAACCTACACCCGCATTCAAGGCTCCTTGTCCTCGGAAGTCGCGGTTGAACATGTACCTATTTCAGCCATCAGAGACAAGTTCCAAACGTTTCAATACAAAACCATGCGGCGACCGGGTGCGCTGAAGCACCAGTGCAGAGCAGTTGGCGCGCCTGAAGGAATATGCGACATTGGCGAATCGGGGAGCAATGCATAGTCATGGATGTTTCTGGGGGAGAAACGAGGGTATGTACAGAGGGTTGGGGGCGAATTTCGTCAATCCCAAGATCGCTTGTAGAGCACTGCCTTTGTATGCAGGAGTTCGACTAGGTTTGGAGACTGTGATTCTTGTTATTGGGTTCGTTATGCTGTTCCTCGTATGCTCAAACGGATTTTGTAGCGTTGTTATGCAGGTATCTGTCGATGTGTTCCGCGGAAGAGATGTCGTTGTTCTAGGGGGAAAGAGATATAAAAGAGGTGAGGTTTTGATTCTAGCTCACCAGGAACATCCACTCCATCAGTTTTCACTACCTTACATTATACACAAATCCATTTTCTTGCATCTTTCTTGTGATACCAATTATTCATTTTATCTACTTGTACAATGTCATCCAAGCATGAAGAAGGCAACTCCCTCGACAAGCTCCAAACTCGAGAACAAATAGACCTCCTTGATACTATCGACAGTCTTCGTAATCAAGGCCTTGCACACCACAATATTAATCTTCCGCAACTCATCGTGTGCGGAGATCAATCTTCAGGAAAGAGCTCCGTTCTCGAAGGTCGTACGTATGTCCCAGTAGCAAAGCCTTTTCGTACCTAGACTCCATGTGCTGCAGTTTAACGCATTGGTATAACACTATAATTCATCTCGATGCACTATACTGACTTTTCTCTCGTGCTTTAGTCACTCGACTCAAGTTTCCAACCAAAGAAAAAACCTGCACTGCCTTCGCAACTGAGCTGATTCTGCGAAAGCACCCCGTGGTCGCCATCTCATGCAAGATCGTTCCAAACAACAATCGCCAACCCGCACATAAAGAGCAACTCGAAAATTTCCAGAGATTTTACTCGTCTCGCGAGGATTTTAATTTCGCTGCGCTTATTGAAGATGCGAAAACGTGCATGGCAATCGGTCTTGACAACAAGTTTTCTGAAGATGTACTGCAGGTCAAGTACACCGGGCCGGATCTACCATCATTGACTATTGTCGATCTACCGGGTATCATCCATCATGATGACACCAAAGATGGGGTGAAGACGGTCAGAAATCTTGTTGAGCGGTACATGGCCAACGAAAAGTCCATCATTCTAGCTGTACTGCATGCGACTACGGACACAGAAACACAAAGTGTGCTCGAGTATGTTAAGAATCACGACCCTCACGCCTTCCGCACTTTGGGTATCATTACCAAGCCTGACAAGATCGATGTTGGGTCCGAAACCGAACAAGCTTATTTGCAACTGGCACGGAATGAATCCATGACACTCAAATTGGGCTGGCACGTAGTCAAAAACCGAGCTTTTGGCGAACTAGAACAGACCGATGACGAGAGAGATGAATCAGAACGACAATTTCTCAATAGAGGTGTCTGGGCATCGCTCCCACGAACAAATGTGGGCATTGAACAGCTCAGGGCGAAGCTGTCCCGAGTTCTGCTTCATCATATCTGCGAAGAATTGCCTTCGCTCAGACAGGCCATTCAAAGTGCAGCAACAGCTACAGAAGCCTCGCTCAAGGCGCTTGGAACACCCCGCGACGAGCCCCAACAGCAACGGACTTTCCTCATGGCAAAAGCTCAACGCTTTCAAGAGCTCACACGTGACGCTCTGCGAGGATTATACAGCGATCCGTTCTTCGCCATTTCCCCTTCCTCCACTACCGTTCCACCTACGCGCCTCCGGACTGAGATCCACAACCTGAACTTAGCCTTCACCCAAGCTATGTACCAAAAAGGTCACCAATACAACATCTCCGATTCAGGCTTCACCATTGGCGACCCTTTGAACCCACAACCATTCTCCACAAGCATCGCCGCAGGCTACGAAACCTTTCCCGACCCCACACCAATCCCACGAACTGCCTTCCTTAAAGACCACATCGAAATTCAAATCCGTCTTAGCAGACCATCTGGACTCCCTTCCCTCGTCAATACATGGGTTATTGGCGAAGTTTTCCGCATGCAGTCTAGTCTCTGGGAAGCCATCGCCCGACAACACCTCAACAGCGTCTACCAAGCAGTCCACACCTACATTGACGAGAGTCTAAGTAGAACTATGGATGAAGACACCTACGAAGCGACCATGCAGACTATCGTCGATCCGGATCTAGAAGCAAGATGGCAGCGTCTAGAGTCGAAGCTAGATGAGTTCCTGGTGCCGTATCAGAGTCGGGAGCCTATCACGTACGATCCGACGTTTACTGGGGATTTGCACGAGTTGAGGATGAAAAGACTAATGAAACGGCAGAGGGGTGTGGGAAATGATGGGGGGAATGCGCAGCATGTGGGTGCTGTTAGGGCTTCTTTGGCGTCACCTTCGGCGCAGTTGTTGACGGAGACTATGGATGATTTCACGTCGATGGAGATTTTGGATTTGATGGATACTTATTATAAGGTATCATCACCCCACCGCAATCCTCTTTTATTAGCACCGTTACCTATATGGCAGTTTCATAAAGATCCGCAAACTAACTCTCTAACACAGAAATCAATCTCAGTCTTCATAAGCAACATCACCGTCCTCGCCATCGAAAACTGCCTGATTCACTCCCTCCCCTCCATACTCTCCCCAGAGCTCGTCATCAACCTATCTGAGGATGATCTCGCCGCAATCGCTTCCGAGTCCGAAGCCGTGACGCGCGAGCGCAGCGCGCTGACACGCAAGTTAGCGGCATTGAAAGCCGGGAAGGCTACGCTGGAGTCGCTTGGTCGGAAATCTGGAAAGATGGGTATGTGATACTCTAGACGTACCACTATCGAGTCGAGATAGACTGCTGACGATTTACCATTTTGGGCATCATATAGGTGTATATAGCAGTCCTCGAGCGCCCTCACGACAGCAACCATCGCCACAGCGAGGAACCCGTAGACCCGCGTCGCGTACCCCTGAGCCTGTTATACCGCAGATTATTCGACCACAGACACCAGTATCCGGTTCTCTTGCCTCGTCAGAGGATGAAGAAGGTACATCTAGTCTCCCCAAGTCTACCATCGTACTCCAAACCCCGTTCTTAACTTCATCCCATCGCAAAAAAACACTTGATAGAAACCTCCCTAGCTAACATATCAGAAAGTACATACTCCTCCACCAGCCGTCTCTAATACCGCAAACGTGACGCCCCCGCAGTCGCGATCCTCTAAGCCAACCAAGAAAGGGGGCATGTTTGCGATGCCGAGGATGACGCCCTTGACGCCACCCAAGAGCCCGAGGGTGGAGCCAGCGCGCACTATGCTTGCTGGGAAGCTGCATATGAAAGCGTCTGTGGAGTCTGATGAAGATGAAGAGTTGTAGATTCGGATTGACAGGGGCTAAAGGGAAGAAGAGTATACACTTGTCATCTCGACTTCGTTCTTCTTGTCTGATTATTTGTTTGATGATTTTGTTTGTTCTGGACCTCAGCACATGTACCTCATATAAGAAATTCGGTTTATAGATGGCTAATTTTCTCTATTCATTCTCTCTCTGCCCTGAGACCTTCATCTTTGACTGAAAAAGAATAGTGGGGTATGGCCACGCACGATCGAACATGGTTATGGGGTATTGACGACTTTTTACGTGCTGAGTACCGAAGCAAAATGCCGAAGGATGTTCTAAAAATTGATATTTGTAAAAAGACGGGACAATCGGATGAGTGATAGGGTACCCGAATCACAGTACTACTCCCTCAAGTATACAACACCCTGCACATGCCCGTTTCATGTCACAAGAAAGACACAAGTGATGTGACATTCACACAGACACCGGGTGTCACCTAACCTCCAACTGTGCACAAAACACATTCATTTATATCACGCAAAAGCGTAGGACACTGTACGTACGCTGTATTGTGATGTTCTATGTACCATCGATTGCCTAACTATATGATCAAACAGAGTGATCTAGAGAGAGATATATACAATTCACTGGGAGGGACTGGAGCAAATATAGCAGATAAACACAGTCGTCAAAATTCACCAAACCTAATATATATAAACATAAAGTATATGTGCAAAGAAGCTGGTGAACAAATAACAAGTCAAACGGCTGCGAGACAAAATTATTCCGCATGGGAAGCGAAGCGAACAACGCTTAAGAGGTATAGAACTCGGGCTTTGGCTACGCTTAAACGCGAAAGAGAAGAGAATAAGAGAGGAATGAAACAAAGAAGACGAAATGGAAAGAGAACGAAAATAGAAAAGAAACAAAGCCAGGGCCGAAACGTTACGAAACCAATGTACAGCACACAAAAAGAGATAGGGAAAGAAAACGCCCGTTGCATCATTATAGTCGTGTCCCATCGTCAGCTTCATCTTCATTACCGCCACTCCGATCCGCCCATTCCCTTTTGCATACGCCAAATCCTTGCATCTCTCTCAATCTCTATTTCCAAATCTGCCACTTCTTCTTTTTTGGTGGAATGAATGTATCCTGGCTGATCTTCTCATCGCCAGTCTCGTAGCTCCTCAGGCTGTCATCGTCGTCATCGCTATCCGCATAGCGCCCTCGACCCAAATACTTTGCTCCAACGCCGGCAGAAACATTGCGCCCAGCATTCCCGAAATATCCATCGCTGCTGTCATTGCGTGGCTGCACATGTCCACGACTATAAGGTGATCCAGGTCCGGCACCGACGATAGCCGGATGGGGAGGGTAGGAATCACGCTTCGATCGAGTAGGTGTATGAGCAGCTACATGTGCATCGTGTTCGAATCTTTCACCACGGTGTTGGCTCAAAATTCCACCCATGCTCCGCCTATGCACTTTGGGGTCATCGTAATCCATCTCGTCGCCCCTAGTCGGAGCTGGAAGCTGAGATTTGTGAGAGGAGTTGTGGTTTGGCTGGCGGATCGAGTTGGACCGGGACGGTACGGGCAAGGTTTGTGTCTGAACGGCGTTGTAGTTTGGAACGGGGGCTGAGCTGTGTCTCTTTGCTGCAGCAGATTCCCATGCAGAGGACCGTTGGTGAGGGGTTTGAACGGGTTGATGAGCGTCGATGCTTTGACGTCGATCTGTAGCGTCGACTCCGTGTCCCCGGTCTGCAAAAGGTGGTGGGTTAGCATTATAACTAGGAGAAGGTTGGGATTGGGAAGAGGCGCGCTTTCGGGAAGTGAAGCCCGGAATGAGTATTCTGGGCCCAACTTTGTACCTTTGGCGAGCGCGCTCTTCCTCATCCAGCTCCTCTTCACTCTCGCTTTCATCGTCCGAGCCCTCAGAATGTGAATAGCCGTCATCGCCCACGACACGACGGCGCCGACCACTTTTGAGAGCGCCGAACATGCTCCCAATGCGGGACTTGCGGTGCTCCGTTCCAGTAACGTCTCCTTCTGCCGGAGCAGTGTAGTCCAATGCCGGAACAATGAGTCGGTAAGGTGCCGTTATGCCAGCGGGGTCATTTTGAGATACCTCGAGATTCAAGCATATGTCAAGTCCACCTTGTAGGTTGATATAATCGGACTGGCCTTTCTTTGCCATGAGGCTTGGTCGACGATGAAAATTGGACGGACGCTCGCTATCCTGACTGGCACGAGCAGGGGTATTGCGAATCTGAGGTACACTATGCGAAGAACCAGGCGTATCGTGTCCATCCATAGAAGGGCGTCGTCGAAAGAGCGACGAAATCGAGTTACGACGAGATTTTGCAGGACGTTCAGGTGAGAACGATGATTGAGGGACAGTCTGCCGGTCATCCGCTTCGGCATTTGCAGGATTGTTGTAGTAGGAGAGTGGTGGTCCACGTCCCCTCCTGCTGCCACCTTCACTCATTCGCCGAACTAATTTGCCGGGTGCGTAATCGGAAAGTGTCCTCGTGAGTTTTGGCCCCTCGGGTCCGGGCGAAGATGGAGGAGTGTATCCAGGGTTCCATTCCCTCAGGCTGCACCAGTTACGACGCTGGAGGAGATAGTTGTTGTTCCTCTTCTTGCCATCGACGTCGTGAGAGAAGATTGGTATCATGTGTTCATCGGTCTCAGAATCAAGATGATGTACCTTGTTACGTTTGTTGATGATATCAGCCATCATCTCTGGAGGTGGTGTGTTGACAATGGCTGATGAGATAACGTTGGGCATGTATCTGTGATCCTTGTCTTTTGCGATGCCAAGTTTCTTGTTGCTGTAAAACTGTCCGATGGCTGCGAGGTGAACATCGCCTCCGAGAATCGTGATGCGGACCGACTTAGTTTTGGCGATATGCTGGAGTTCCCTAATGAGCCAACCTCGTTCTTCTTTATGATGCTTTGCCGTCCAATGGTCGTCTAGATCATCCAGAATTTCAATGCCACCGTCAAACTTGTTGACAAAGCCTCCCAGCATACCAGTACGTCCAAGTGCTCGGATAGGTTCCTGAACTACCCTGCTCGTGAGTACGTTCTCGAGAAAGTTAAGTCGAGGATAGGCGATGGGTACACCAAGCATGACTACCAGGTGTTTCGTCTCGCCTTGAACGATCTCCTCTTCTAAGCGATCAAAGATTATGTCGTATGAATCCTCGGTGATGATCTCATCCAACTGACGCTCGGTCCGACAGTCCATACCCACAAAAGCGACCTGTCGCCCAAGATGCATAAACACGCTACGAGACTTCTGGTTGATATAGGGACCGGGGTGAGCCCCGATGATCCACGAAGGCTCGGTTTTCTCGGTCTCCGCAATCACAGATTGATGTTGGAAAAGGAGGTAGTATTTGTATGCCACAGCCCCCAAGCCTGTAAAGACTGGTGTCTGCATCCAAGCGTGAGAATACGATCCATATCCCTTTTCAAGTCAGCGTGTCTGTCAGATGAAAATGAGGAATTTTGTCAAACTTACGTCGATGATGTCGTGATCGTCCCAAATATTCACCATGGGGATCTGAGAGTTTGCCATTCCGAACAGACCTTGCGAGAACCACATGGAGTACCGATCTAAATAGAACTGTTCCAGCTCGTTCTGTAGCTCCGATGAGAATGGAGTCTTGGATTTTTGCACTGCATCCCTGCTTTCAGACCACTGTCTGAAGAGGGTGGTGTCTCGGGTAACGGCATCGTTATATATTTGGTCACCTCCACCGAGCATCACATGGAATGGTCGGGTTTGATGACTATTCAAGACGTCACGCCACATTGGGTCAGGCCCGCAGAATTCTCTCGAGTCTACACTCAACGAAAAGCCATTACAGCTGTGGAACATGACGTTCATCGTCTCGCCTTTAGCTGGTACCCAGAATCCAATCGCGGGCCCACGATTGATCCTGTATGCAATGCGTGCTTGCAAACTGCCAAGTTCAACTTCAAGATTAAAACGCCAGAAAGTCACTCCACGCTCGACGTGAAGTCGAATACCAGGAATATCTCGCACTTTACCCAGCTTCTCGCCGTCCTTCTTATGTATACGAGAAGACTTCTCCGCGCTCGGCCCACGCTCTGAGAAGAGACCGCGATCATCCTCGATACGAGAGATGTCCTCATTCTCCGGAACCTCGGCAATGGGTTTCGTGTATAAGGTCTTCCCTGTCCGAGAGACCTTCACTTGACCTTCAAGCGGGTCTACGTAGGCGGGATTGAGATTGTCATCTCTGATCTCAGCAGGAGGGGGCGGCAGGAGATCCATTGGTTGTTTGAATAGTCGCAATACGGGAGGTGTCTGATAAGACGATTGCTCGTCAACTGTGACGATCATGACACTGCCACGCCATACTTCTCGATCTTTGCCCGCCCGGTTCTTGTCTTTACGTAGACCAGTGTAACGCAGAAGCGGACCACACTTGAGATAGAGAGGTGGATTAAAAGACGTCTGTGCTGTGGGAGAATCCGCGTAGCCGTCATATGTCGGCTCAGCATACCCTCCACTGCTTGAACGTCGTCGGCGGGTCGATGAGCTTTCTTCCCACCAAGCTTTATTCCCACTAACCGGTCTGCGAGATACGACATCCAAGTCTAGATCATCCTCGACCAGCGGGATGGTCGGCGCATTCTTCCACTCATCTAGCACTGGCGGCGAAACATAGCGCCTATCGGGTTCCGTATCGAAGGAGAAGATATCCGGCAAGTTTTTATTGAGTTCCCCGACTTCATCCGTGCCGGCGTAGGACAATTCATCAACAAACCCAACACTGCGACGATTGGTGTTGGAATTAGGCGGGTGAAGCTGATCGCCTCTGTTCGGCCCATTGGAAGGTTCGTAATGCTCCTGTTCCATTTGTTTCCGCGCCGCTAGAATGCCTCGGCTGTCTCTCTTCTTCTCCACATTCAAGCTGTCGTTGGGTGCCGCTGACGATTCCTTTTGGTGTTGCGCGACTGCTTTGATCGTGGGCTGCGGTGATCCAAGAGGGTCCTCGACCCCATATAGTCCTAATCCGGAAGGTACAGGTGATGGATAATGCCCACCCCTTTCACGGGGCTGCTCTGTGACGGACCTGTCCCGGAAACTGGCTGATCCTCGCGCAACTCCAGCGGGGTCTTTCTCTTTGATACTAGCTTGGCGACCCAAGTTTGCATCAACATGATGGAGATTATGGTTCTGTTGCTGTGCGCCACGGGGAGCATGTTTTGATGGCACCCGGTGAGGTCCTGTTGGCGTCTTCGTCCTTGATGGGTCCCAAGGATCACTCAAGTCATACATGAGCTCTTCGTCTTCATCAGAATCGCTTAAAACATCGTCGTTGGGAACCAGAGGCTTGCGGGCCGGCATGGATACATGGCGTTTATTGCTTGCCGCCCGTGCTGGAGCTTGAGGCGCTGGAGCGGGTCCAGAAGACACACGGTGTTGTTTGGCAGCGGCTTCCCGGGCCCGGCGAGCACGCATCTCGGCCTCAGCCTTCTCCTGCGCAGCCAGCTCGATTTCGAGTATTCTTGCCCGTCTCTCCTCCTTACTAATATCATCCAACTTTCCTTCGAGCTTCTGAAGCGGCGAGCGATCAGGTACTGAAGGCCTGCGTAGCGAGTCCCTTCTAGCTGGGGTCTCTACTGCGCCTGAGAGGGGTTCAGGCGGTTGGTATGGAGGGGATCGCAAATGCTGTAGTCTCTCGGCGGGAATAGTGAGATTGGGTTGCTGCCTTGCGATCATTTGTATGGTCGGATCGCGAGAGCGGCCAGAATGCGAGCGGCTGGGCACTCTGGAACTGGCTTTGGAAGCATAAGGATCCCGGTACGAGGTTGGAGGGCCCCGAGGAACATCTGGCGCGGCGGGTAGATCGGTCGCAGGGCCCGCTGCGGCACCAGGTACATGTTGGCTTTGTCGGCGACGATGGGAAGAGGTTCGCGCGACGCCATTGCTAGCAGGGCCGGTAGCGATGGGACGGGCAGAGTTGCTGGATATAGGGTTTGGAGGTGGTGCTACTCCTGCGGTTGGACCCTGTGTATGCCCCTGGGAATATGCCGGAGCGGGTTGCGCGTCGATCGGACGCCTGTAACTAGCACCCTTTTTCGAGTATCCGTCGGGGAGCGGTTGGGGTAGATGTGAATTCTCCATGTCGTCGTCACCGGCTCATTACCTAGGTTATGGTGTGGGGTCCGCGATCAACGGGCGGCGCCGAATGGTGAGCGGCGGGGCGGTCAAGCAAGCAAGCTTGAAAAAGGAAGGGTAGATGGAGGGTGCACAGGATGATATACTATTGAGGCGAGCTATTGAGTTGATGATAATGATGGTATTGCATTGGCAACGGAGCGACTCTGTGCGAGGTGTGTGTGTGTGCTGCCTGCTGATGACACGCGGGGTGGAGGTGCCGCTGCTGTCTATCCACCTAGCTATGGTATGCGCGAAGGCAAGGAAGGGTCAATGGGGGGGAAGGTCAATGGGACAGCAACAACAAGGTTTGGAAGCGCACAAAAAAAAAAGCAGATGGTGTAGAGAGTATATACAATATGCAGGGAGGAGAAGTAGGGTACAGTACAAGGGACAGCGCCAGCGCAGAGGCACACCGAAACCTTGTGGTTGGAAAAAAAGTTGGAGGCAGGAAACGCCCAGCCACCCAGACGGTTCAGCAGGCGTGCAGCAGGTTAACCGGAATCGAGGCAAGCATAGTACAGTACGCACATGTGCATCGAGTACAGCGCTAGCCTCACCGCTTTGCGTTCACCCTGCTGTGTCTCTGTCTTATTGTGCCGTGAACAGACAGGCTGCACAGACGGGTGTAAGTTTGGAAATGGCGATACCTGACGGATCGATCCCAGGCACATTGAGATGGACGGCAAGCCACAGATGCCAAGACATACATCACGTGACATATGCGCCAAGCTGTGGCTGCGGAAGCGGCTGTGCTAGGCGCTAAATCGCAATTGATCTCCGTATAGGTGGCTCTTTAGAAGCACTTACGCTCTGTCTGACTCGGGACTTGACCCCTCGACCATCCATCCAAAGCGAACAAAGCCCTGTCGCGTCCATTCAACGACATCAGAAAAGCTTTTGTCGGTGCTTCGCTATCCATCTGCGCAACTTGCTCTGTACATAGCCATCTGCCCCGCGCCCATTCTTCTCGGTTTCAAATAACCCACCCAATTTGTCGGACTATTCTTGTTCTCATGCGGCAATCCCCAGCTTACGTTGAACTAGTCGATCCCCGAGACCCTTACCCTGGCTGCTAGGAACCTTTTCTCTCCTTGCTCTCAACTACCTACCTACTTCCTACTCTCCTTCCTCCGCTCCATTTCAACAACCTACTTACACTCCCTTCGTATTTTCTTTCGCGCATGCTCCGATAATCCCGTACCACCCCCCTCACATCCACCTCCACCATGCGCCTCCTCGGGTTGTGGAGTCTACTTTCAGTGGCCACGCTGGCGTCGGCTCATCTTCCGCCACGAGACCATGTCGCCCACGACTACTACGCCATCCACGTATCCTCGTCCTCATCCTCGTCTGCGTCGCTGGATGAACTCGCCACACACTTGGGTCTGACATACTTGGGGCCCCTGGGCGCGCTCGAGGACCACCACGTCTTTAAGGCTCCGAAACACGAAAGCGACATCGTCGACGATGCTGTGCAGGAACTCAAGCGTCGGCGACTCAAATCACGGGTGGATTCCCACGTTCTGGACAATGTGCTCTTTACGCAAAAACAGAAGTTGAAGCCTCGGCATTGGAAACGAAGCATAATACCAAAGCGTCAAAACATCGCTGTGCATGGTAATGCAGCTGCCGTCAAAGCCCAACAGGACATTGCCAAAACTTTGAGCATCAAAGATCCCATTTTCAACGAACAGTGGCATTTGTTCAATACAAAGACCCCCGGGAATGATGTCAACGTTACTGGTGTGTGGCTAGATGGCATTACCGGCAAAAACGTCACAGCGTGCATCGTCGATGATGGCCTGGACATGGATAGCCAGGATCTAAAGGACAACTTTTATGCCGAAGGTTCATACGACTTCAACGATGATGATCCGCTACCGAAGCCCCGCCTCTTAGATGACCAGCACGGCACGCGGTGCGCTGGCGAAGTTGCCGCCGGTCGAAACAATGCCTGCGGAGTTGGACTGGCCTATGATTCTAGAATATCGGGTGTGCGCATTCTCTCAGGCCAAATCTCTGACATGGATGAAGCGGCTGCCATCAACTACAAGCTTCAAGACAACGATATCTATTCATGCTCATGGGGTCCACCCGACGATGGCAAAACCATGGAGGGTCCTGGTATCCTGATCAAAAAGGCCATGCTGACTGCTGTTCAGAAAGGTCGTGGTGGAAAGGGCTCTATCTACGTGTTCGCTGCAGGTAACGGTGCGAACAATGGCGACAACTGCAACTTTGACGGCTACACCAACAGCATCTACAGCATCACAGTAGGCGCCATCGATCAGAACAACGAGCATCCCTATTACTCCGAAGCTTGCTCCGCCCAATTGGTCGTCACATACAGCAGTGGGGGTGGCGAATCTATCCATACCACCGACATTGGCGCCAACAAATGTACTGCTAGCCATGGTGGTACCTCTGCCGCGGGTCCGATTGCTGTCGGCGTATATGCCCTTGTTCTATCAGCTCGCCCTGAACTGACCTGGCGTGATCTGCAGTGGCTCACTGTCGAGACTGCTATTTCCTTCGATCAGCCCAGCGACTGGAAGAAGACGCCAGGAATGGGCCGCATGTTCAGTCACCAATTCGGCTATGGAAAGCTCGATGCGTATGCCATTGTTGAAGCAGCCAAAACTTGGAAACTAGTCAAGCCTCAGGCATGGTTCTGGTCCCCGTGGATGCACGTCAAACAGGCTATTCCCCAAGGTGATAAAGGGTTGGCCAGTTCCTTCGAGGTCACAGAGCAAATGCTCAAAGATGCCAATCTCGAACGTGTGGAGCACATCACGCTGACAATGAACGCCGAGCATGAGCGCCGTGGTGATCTCAGTGTTGAGCTGATCAGTCCAGAAAACATGACGAGTCACCTCTCGGTCACCCGCAAGGGTGATGAGGAAGCCGTGGGTTATGATGACTGGACATTTATGAGTGTAGCTCATTGGGGTGAGAAGGGTGTAGGCAAGTGGACTGTCGTTGTAAAAGACACTGAAGTCAACGACAAGACCGGAAACTTCACCGACTGGAAATTGCGACTTTGGGGCGAGTGTATCGATGCGTCAAAGGCCAAAGACTTGCCGCTACCTACCACCCACGATGATGATGATCACGATGTGATTGATGACCATCCTGCTCACACCACTTCTGTCTCTGTGCCTACCGGTACCCCCGTTTCCGTTGACCCATCGAACCTGCCCACTCGTCCAGTAAACCAAAAGCCTACGGGTACATCACAAGCAGACAGCTCTGCAACTCCATCGCCCTCGGCTGCCGCAGCCTCAGCCACCGCATCCCCTGAGAACTTCCTCCCCTCCATCTTCCCAACCTTTGGCGTCTCGAAGCGCACTCAAATCTGGATCTACGGAAGTATCGGTCTCATTCTGGTCTTTGTCGCCGGTCTGGGCACATACTTCTATCTCGCACGCCGAAAGCGTCTCCAGTCTACCCGCGATAGCTACGAGTTCGAAATCCTGGATGAAGCAGATGACGACGAGGGCGGCGCCAGAGCAGGTATGCTCGCTGGAGCTGGTGGTGCGCGCTCTGGCAGGCGGGCCAAGAGAGGTGGCGAGCTCTATGATGCATTTGCGGGTGAGAGCGATGAGGATCTGTTGAGTGAGAGCGAGGATGGCGATGGCCCCTATAGGGATCGCGATGAGAGTCCTTATGACGAGAAGGCGCATTTGGCGGAGGGCAGCGGTAGTGATGGCGAGTCTGCGGGGAAGAGACATTGATCCAACGCGCCGTGTGTGTTGTAGAGATGATATGTAGTTATTATACATTGGGCGGCGTTCCTTTTCTCTTACCCATCTCTTTCGTGTTGAGATATTAGAGTTTATTCTATTGTTATTTTTGTTCGTGTATCGTCATTTGGTATGGATGGAGGCGGTTTGGTTTATATAGCATGAGCGAATGGAGAGTCTCATCGATCTATCTTTCTCTAGTATTCGTTCATCTTTCTCACCGAGATAATCCTGGTGTTGTTGAAGACTGCTTGTAGTTTCCTTGTTTTGCGACCATTGAACATGCAAATCCTTGATGCGAGAGCTAATGATCAAACGTTTTTGTGATTCCGGGAAGCATTTTGTTGAATATTCACAAATTCTGTCATGTCTTTGCGACAGTGGTACTAAGCATATTATCTGATCATCGCATGTCCACGCGCCACAAACGCTTGGCGTCAAATCACACGATAAAACTGCCTTCGAGCTCCAGGCAGATCACATGTGTCGTGGTTATCATGAAACTGGTTTTGCGATCGAGGATATGTTATGTATGTACTCAGCTTCAATCGTACTGCTGGAGCTTTTTCTTTTGTAACGTTCGGTCGAAAGGATGTGAAGCTCAGCGATTTGAAACACATCTTTAATCATTGTGAGTACATGCTTTTAGTAGGTGTGGTTAAGAATTTAGGCCTATTGTTCACAGCTCTTTCCTCTTGTCCCTACTTCTTGTGACGCTATAATAGGCAAACGCTATGAGGCAAAGAATGCTTTGAAGATGTACCTGTACCTTTGGAATTGTGGCTTATTGCACTTTTGAGGGTTGTATAAAGATGAGCGGGAATTGTAGTTGTAGTTACGAGTTTCTTTTCTCCTCGGATACAATGGGCATGATGAGTATGGTTATCTTATCATTATGATTATCCACTGAATAGCTAGAATACACATGATAAATTTGTGTTGTGTATTGTGTATTATAGTAGTGTATCATGGGATGATGATCTGGATGGAACTCCCAGGCACATAAATACTAGATGAATTTGCTATCAAGACGAATACTGCATGCGAACTGTGATTTTACACCAAGTGCTCGTGCCGCATAGGATCGCGATGATTTATAAAATGGGCCTAGCAAAGAAATGGGCGAAGTAACGAGATGAGGGGGGCTCGATGTCTAGAGGAAGCCTCACTAGCGTGGCGGTAGAGCGGTCAGCTACTAGCGCGGCAGAAAAAGTTCCCTCTCCAATGTTGAATCGCACTTTCGAGTTCAACTTTCACATCTTGCGTCTTGTACACACGCGCAACATGGCCGACGAAACAGTTCAGACGCTGCTACAATTCTCAGGTCACCGTCACCTCACTACGCGGCTTCTATTGTCGACACTCACTGGCCGTCCGATCCGCATTTCCAAAATTCGCCCTTCTTCTACACGGCCTGGCCTCACGCCCTATGAGACCAATTTCATACGTCTCCTCGACTCTGTCACCAATGGCGCACAAATACAATTCTCAATGACGGGTACGACGCTTGTTTATCGACCAGGTCTCATCACCGGATGCGCCGAGGGCCTCGGTGCCATAGGAGGGACGGTCAGGCATGAGATACCACGAGAGTGCGCGAGGAGAGGTGTAAGTTGGTGGTTGATTCCATTGGCTATACTGTCCCCTTTCAGCAAAGGCCCTGTCAACGTCACGATTTGGGGCGAGGGCTGCATCACTTCTTCTACAACCCATGGGGACATTTCCGTGGATTCCGTGCGCACATCCATTCTCCCGCTTTTCAGGAACTTCGGTATCGAGCGAAATATTGAACTGAGAGTCCTCAAGAGGAGTTTCGCGCCATCCCAAGGGAAGAGTGCGGGAGGAGAAGTGCAGCTAGTTTTTAGCCACCAGGTTCGGTTACCAAAGACGTTGCACTTGATGAACAAGGGACGCGTGAAGCGAATCAGAGGTGTTGCCTACGCGGTCGGTGTATCTGGCTCCAACAATGCACGCATGATTGAAGTCGCAAGAGGAGTTCTCAACAAATTCGTCCCGGACACCTACATTTTCTCAGACGTTTCACCAGCACCGCTCATCCCAACCTACTCAAAATCAGATCCAAACGGGAAGACCAAGGGAGCTGTGGGATTTGGATTGTCGCTTGTGGCGGAATCCAGCACAAATTGCATGTACTCGGCCGACGTGGCGAGTCCACCTCTGGGAGGAATCACACCAGAGGATATTGGGAAACAATGTGCATACCAATTGTTGGAGAAGATCAGTCAAGGCGGATGCGTGGAAGTAACTTCCACAGAAACAATGCTTCTCCTCATGGCCATGGGAAGCGAGGATGTCGGCAGATTATGTTTAGGGAAGGACGTATTGGGCACTGAAGAAGTCGTGCAATTGGGAAGAGATGTCAAAGTATTTACAGGAGCGGCTTGGGGATTGAGAGGACATTCCTCTCGGGACGAGAGTGAAGAAGATGAGATTGTGGTTAGTGTCGTGGGTAGAGGAGTGGGAAATGTCGGTAGAAAAGTTGCTTGAGTTTTGTCTTGCATAAAAGTCATTGTAGGCAAAATATATGATACCCCAGTTCGTACATTGAACATTTGCCTTGAAGTGATCCAAGCGCTTAGTATCGATCTCTCATTGTTTATCCTCGTGCTGCATATTTGTGATCACCAACAATTTGTTTCTTACATACCTAGGTAGGTATGTATCTTTGCTGCAGTATGCACGCACGAGCACTGTGTAATCACGAACAACCGGTCTAAACACGGATCGCGTCCCGCAACGCGTTGTTCCCCGCCAACGACACCACATACGCGTATGCCATGCGCCGAAGCGCACGGCACCCTGCGAGATGAGATAAAGCGGCAATTTCATATGGACTGAGCAGAAAGGATGCCTCCTTTACGAAAAAAAGGAGTGCGCAAGTTGCTCAAAACGGTGGGCGGGAAAGAGCACGCCGGCCCGCAGGACCACGAGGAAGAAGCCGCACCCCCGCCTACCGCCGCTGCAACTTCGAGCAGACAATGCAGAAGTTTGACTGAAAACGAAATCAATGCGGATCCAATCTCGTCTGACGAGTTCGACGAGGAGGCTCGGCCTTCGCAGTCCCCCGCAAAATCCCCTGTCCCTCCGCCGTCCCTCGCAAACAAGACATCAACAAACCCTCGAGGCTCGAAGCGTTTGAACAGCAAAAAAGAGATGTCCACGACAGAGCGTAGTACCCCCTCGAGACAGGCGAAAACTCAGAAGGCCAAGAGTATGTTTGTCCCAAGACTTGGGTCGTTCGCCAAAGGCCAGAAGAATAAACGGGATATACACGAAACAGAGGACGAAGGGACGGCGAATACCCAAGATGATTCGAGCAGTTCGACAAGCAAGCGAGCGTGGGAGAATGAATTCGGGTGGGGCTCAAAGTCCAGCGCAGCTCCGAAGAGACAGAAAACTTCTGCGGCGAGAACGTATGGTTCTTTGAGCAAACCCGGTGTCTCAAATATACACGCCTCACGGCCAGCAAACGGGACAAGTAGAGCAGTATATGGGAAGGCATTTCAGAGAAGTAGGTTGATCGCGATTTCACAATACTGTAGGAATACTGATTGCTTGAAGCGCTAGCAGCATACTCAACTGCCAATTCGAACTCCTCGCTGGACGATTCGGATTCAAGCTCTTCGACTAGCGAAGACGACGGAGATCCAGAATCACAATTCAGGAAATTGAGAAGAAATAAAGATGCCAAATCCGGTGCCAAAAAAACTAACCCGCCCTCGCCTCCCCCGGAACCACGACCAAACCTCCTAGCATCATTAAGCTTGTACAAACAACCCGAATCGTCCTCGCCAGACTCTAGCAATAAAACTCCGGCTACATCTCAAGATCCGCAAGCCCTGCACAACCTTGTACAAGAAGTGGACAACTTCTCAGATGAAGAAACTCGCCTCAATGCCTCATGCCCTCTTTGCCACGAACCCGTTGACCCGAAACACTCCACCGAATACTGGAAATACCACCGTAAGACCATCACAAACCAATCACTATTCTGCAAAGAGCACCGAGAGCGCACTGCTCGAATCGAGTACGAGGCGCGAGGACTGCCCAAAATTATGTGGCACAAGTTGCCAGGCAGGATACGAAAGCTCCAGCCGCGACTGGAAAAAGTGCTGCGCAACGAAAAAGGATTCGAAAGCAAATATCGCACCCAAAACGCGGGCAAGCTGGTGAGCGGACAAGCTGCGGTCTACCGGCCATCCAAAAAGAAGAGACTCCAAGAACTGAAAGACGCTGAGGAAGTCGAAGACGACGCAGAGTTCACTCTTCACAACGCCTCGCCTTCGACGGGGTACTATGGACCTCGTGGCCGCCGCCTAATGATGGAGATCCTAACCACTGATCTGGGCAATGTGTTTCGCGAAGTTGCCGTCATTGATCCTGTTGTGGGGAAGAGTGGTTTCGCAGAGTATCTTGAGCACGTGCTGGTTCCAGAGCTGACTGCCATGTTGGTCATGGAAGACCTTCGTGTAGATGAAGTCAAGGCCGAAGATGTCATTGAGCAGAGTACGGCACTCGGCGCTATGTTACACGAGGATGTTGATGACGTAGTTTCGATGCTGAGTGATGAGGATGGAGAGGAAAGGGAGATGCTGGACCCGGATCAAGATGAGAACTACAATGAGTTGTCGGAATGAAGTAGGTTTTCTTTTGAGGTATACTTTAAGGTAGTACCGGCTACGGATTTGAACGTTCGCATCACTCGGTTTCTTGGGGGCGCAGCACGTGTTAAAGGTTTTGCTCGGTTTCGAAAACGGCGGCATCTGTACGATTTACGTGTCTTATGAGTATGATACCATTATAGAGGGGGTGTTTTATTGGCAAAGTCTTTCGTCTCTAGTGGCGAGGTTGTGAGTGGCGTTATACCTATTACTCACCGATTATCCGTAGCTCGAAGTAGAGGACTCAGACTCACGGCATGTGAGCTGCTGCAGGTCTTCATATATTTGAAACTCAGCAGGTAGAAAGAGTAGAGTAGGCGCCCAAATGATCGCTCAAGAAGAGGGCGCTAACATTTGACTATGCCCTAACGATTTACTGATCCCTTCCATCCACAATCATAAATTGCCAACTTCCAGATGACCGCAAGTGGGCTTTCGTATAGAAAATACAAACCCTCCTCGCTGGATGCGAGTACATATTGCATACCCAATGCAGCTGCCAAGCTAAACCCAATCCGATCATATCTCCCACTTGCAACGACTTTCGTCCGTTCTGCCTTTCCATGATCCCTCCCCCTCCCCTCGCGCACACAATATAGATTCGCAGGAGGTAGAGGGAGATTTTAGCTGACCGCCGACGGCTTACGCTATATCTATTAGCTCCGACGGGACCAAGACGAGTAATTGATGGATTCGGAGATGGAGAAACGCGGGAGACATGGGGGAATAATCCTTCCGGATTAGTATTTTTTACCTCGACATCACCCCTACTTTTCTTTCAATGCATGGGCTCTTAGTATGCTTCCAGAGGATTTTAAATGGGAGCAAAGTATATAAACAGTATTTCAAGGGAGGAAATTCTGTTCTTGGATGATGGACAGCTCCTAGAGATTTACTCTTCCCCTTCCACGGAGCCCGATTTCTTTGTGTATAAGCCAGACTTCTTTTCAGGATCACCATTTCCAATCACTTACCCACCTCCTTATCCTACACCCCTGCTTCCCATCTACCAACGCCATAGAGAACAATGTCACCCACCCACAAAACCGTCCTGATAACGGGCTGCTCAACTGGCATAGGCGCCAGCCTCGTCCGCACCTTCGCCAGCCACATAAACCCCAAAACAACCGTCTACGCAACAGCTCGTAACCTCTCGTCCCTCAAACAATTCGCTGACCTCCCGAACGTGCATTGTTTTGCGCTCGATGTGACATCGACAGTCTCGGTCCAAGCATGCGTCGAGGCAGTGGAAAAACACATACTCTCCACTTCCAAAGAACATGGGAATGAGAATGGGAGTGGAGGCTTGGACTATGTGATCAATAACGCGGGAATGGGGTACGATATGCCAGTTCTCGACATCGATATCGAGGAGGCGAAGAAGGTGTATGAGACGAATGTTTGGGGAGTTTTGAGGGTTGTGCAGGGGGTTTCGGGGATGCTTGTCAAGGCGCATGGCACGGTTGTTGTGGTGGGAACTGCATTTGCGTGGATGAGTTGGCCTTTCAAAGGTATGTTCTTCTTTTTTCCTCTGTTCCAGGGGCTGTGGGGTTCTTTGACTATCTGAGAAGCGTGTTTTGCTTGGTATTTCTTCTTTGGCGATTGTTTCGGGGTCTATATGGACGGGTTGGGTTGTAACTCTCTGTCACTTACGAAGTCAGGGGCTTCTAGGAAGAGTTATACGATACTGGGATGAGGTATCAGTGTATATCCATGCAGAACCACTTCTTTATGCTAACAAACTCACTCCCAAACAGCCGTATACTCGACCTCCAAAGCCTCGACCACGCTCCTAGCTGAAACCCTGCGTCTCGAACTCGCACCCCTCGGCGTCAACGTCCTCACCATCGCAACAACAGGCATAGCCTCGAACTTCCTCGGGAAACTTGCAGACTCTAAACTCCCTCCAACCTCGCTGTACCGCGAGATCGAGACACAGTTCCGCAGCTCCGCCGTCATGAGCGGGACGGAACTCATGGCAACTGATAAGTACACGGCACAGGTGGTTGAGGATGTTTTGGGAGGGAAGAAAGGGATAGTTTGGAGGGGAGCAAGTGCGTTTGCGGCGAGGTTGGCGGTTGCGGGGTGGTTGCCGCAGTGGGTTGTTGTGAGTACTCCCTTCTTCTTTATATGTTTTCTTTTCTTGGGATATGGTACTTTTGGTGGACTTTTGTTGGGAAAGGGATGATTTGCTTCTTTACAAGAACGATGCTAACTGAGGGACAGGAACAAATTATGACAAAAGGTTCCGGGCTGAATGAGTTGGAGGCGATGCGGAAGAGTGAGTAAAAGACTGATAATCTGGGCTTGATATGTCAGAATTGGGATACACATGGCTTCGCATCAATTAGTAAGAAGAAGAGCAAGGACATGTTGAACGAAAACTCGGCCTTCCATTAATATTTCTGAGCATGTGAGGAGTATGAACGTTAATGAAACGTTTACTTGCTCTCTTTCAGAAAAGGTAGATGAATTCCATCTGTCCTAGCATTAAACCTGGTATTAAAGAAAAGAGATAAATATACCCGAAGAAGCATCGCCGAATCAAAAGAGGCCACTTTGAATCCACCCGAGAGAAGAGAACGACGGAAGTGGGCTCAAACCCACATACACCGCTATGCTGATTGAACTATCCTGTACGATTCCAAACTCAAGTTCTCGACTGGTTCAATCGTACGATCAGACAGACTCATAAGGTAAGGGTTTCAATGGCCAATTGGCATCGTTACCGACAGAGTTTTCAGGTTGGGAGTACTTGCTACTGGAAGTAGCATTACTGGCCATCCTTCTCAGTGCAGGAGCGTCTCTGGGCGACAGAGGTGGCGGCCGCGCGACACCATCCCCATACTTTCTGTATCCGCCCTTGGTCCACTGCGGCTTGTCCTCATTGACATCTCGAGCTTTGAGCCTGCCCACTACTAAAGCTTTTTGGGTGTATGCTGTGTTGTCTGGACCCGGGTTGCCCACTATACCGGGAACAGTGGAATGAGGAAGTACAGTTGAGGCTTTATGGCCCCCGCTGTCGTCATTGTGGGTGCTGCCATGTTGTGTGTAGTAATAACGCCTATTCCTCCGCTTGTAGAAGAAGAAATAGGCTCCGAGGCAGAGAAGAGCAAGAGAGACCATGGGTACTGACACGGCCACGGCGATTGTGGTATTGTTGCGTGGAGGGTGCCAATCAAGGCCGGGCGAGTTGATCGGAGTAGGGGCTGGGGTGGAATTCATGATAGAAGAAAGCTCCGGGTTTGGGCTGGGGTGTTGAGTCAGGGGCGGGGGTGTTGATGCAGTTGATTGAATGGTGTTCAAGCTGCAAAGTGTGAGATGAGCAATGTTTTCGTTGTCGCTGGAGGATTCATTTCGAAGAGCACACGATGAATTTATCCCTGAAGACTCAGTATTCGATGGAACGATGTTCGAGCTGCAGAATGTGAGACGCGAGAAGTTGTCATTGCCGCTAGGGGACTCCGATTGGAGAACATACGTTGAGCTTGTTCCTTGCGGTTCTGTTGTCGTCTGCATTGTGGGGTCAATCTTGCTGATTGTGGTGGTGCAGGCCATCCCGGTATTCTCGAGAAGTAAGAGGCCTTCAAAGCTGGCGAATGTGCGGCTTGCAGTCGGTATAAAATCTTGGGGGCAGGCCGGCGGAGGTAGTTCGGGTTCTGTTGCGTAGTAGTCCGTCAGCGGGAGGTTTGGCCAGAAATATCCGTTGAGACACAACGAAAAGAGAAGATATGCTTGCCTGAAGTGGGTGGCCCTTTGTAAGTCGTAGCCGGGACCAGTGGCGGCTCTCCATAGAGGGCTGTTGTTGGCCAAATCGAATTGGGTGGTCGCCCACCTAAGTCCATCGTTGAAGCGTTTTGGCTAGATGTTTATGCTTTGCTCTGTTCTCCCAACTCCTGATGTGAATATAGATGGCGGGAAGTAATGGAAAGCCTCGAGAGTAGAGACTGCAGACGCGGCTGCGCAAGATAGATTGTGGTTGAAGTATATAAGGCTCAGGTGAGCGAATGTAGATATATGCACTAAGCAATACCATTAGTAAGTGAAAGAGGCATTCAATGGCAACGAGCATCCCTGAAGCAACCGAGCTTAGCCAGTCACAAGTTCATTCACAGGCTACGCTAGCGTATGGCGATACAAACTGAACTCGCAACTTGAGGGCTCCTGGGAAAATTTATGACGGATTCAGACTGAGAAAACGCCGAGCTGTAGAAGCGAAGAGAACAATATGAAGAATTTGAGATAACACATAGTGGCTGGGCACGATACAGCAAAGAAGCCCGAGGCTGTATGCTTCCATACTGTATGCTTTCGTAGAAGATCTGGGGTTTGTCGGAGCAGGGCGCATGAGTTGTGCAGACTCGTGTTCGATGATTCTAGACTTGTTATCCATGATTCATTGTTCACACGTTTTATACTCCAGTGCGCAGCCTCTAAAACACGTCACTAGACTTGTGAAACCTCGCGACAGATCAATACCATCATTAATACCGTGCTCTTCATATGATCGAGGATAATGAGAACCTTTGAAACTTCAATTTTCTAGAAAGGTATTTCTTTTTCTTTAAGACGGAAAAGAGAATTTTCGGCGTGAACGTATTTGTTGACGTTTTTGGCCATGCTACTCCTGGATGGTGTCTTAGACAGGGAATGCGCGCAGCCGACGGCGTTGCCTCGTTTGAGAGAGGATCTGATCATCAAGAAATGGGCCTATTTGGAGGCTGCATACTCGTTGAAATATGAGACCGACGAATTATTTTGGAATAAGAAATTCGTGAACGAACCTCGTGCTTCTGGGTATATCTAGCAACGCCTCATCTTGATCTTTGCTTCGGCTTTCACGCTCGAGTAAAAACATCGAGCCGCACGGTTCATCCTCATCTTCATTCGGCGCAGTTTCCTGAATTCCATGTTCAGCTCGGATCACCGTTTGTTTCGCCAGCCATCCAATGTGTAATTTTTTTGTTGCCGCAGTGCGGCATGACCCATAGCCTCGCACTCGTATCAATCCACCTTGGTTCATTTTGCCTTGCCCTTTGCCGCCTCCGCTTCTCGCCTAGTTGCATCCTCCAGAAGTGCTGTGTCTACCGCGCTGCTCGGGAGGTGTACGTATCGGACGACGGAACCGCGAATGAACATGTCACGTGTGGAGCACTTGGTCAGAGTTAGCCTTTTGCAATTCATCAAGACTCGGCGTTTTGGCCAGTTTCCTAGAGGATGATATATGGGAGCGGTGCGTACCAAATGCGGCCATCTCAATTCATCTGTTGCCTCCGCATTGTCCAGTTTGATGTTCAAGTATTGGTCCACGCTCTTGAGGGTGCCGCGTATGCAGACTTCATTTTTGAGTTCCACGGTGATTTCGTGATCCACGAGCGTCTTGAAGAAGCTACAGCGTGGTTAGATTCAGTCTTGTTGGGCAATAGCGTATCAATTCCATAGGGTAAAAGGCAGGGGAGAAGTAATTTGGCATATGATTGGACGTGGGATTTGGCTTTTTAGTGTATACGAACCTGAAGAAGAGCATGGTTGCAGTAGGGTAGGCGTGTAGAGATGGCTGACCTGATGTTATGGTACGCGCTGTTTCGTGGTCATCGTCGGAGGTTCATATGAGCTCTGGCCATGTGGGGTGTTTACCCGAGGCTGTGCCGAGGATCACGTGCATCACCTTCACCTCGATGTGCTGCTGGCAGCTTCACGCTAGCATTACCGAGCAAACCATTGTATTTAAGTATCTGGGAATAGAAAGATGAATTGGTATGCGACATCCTATCTCTCATACAAATGAAATACATGTATGTGGTATCAATCCAACCGACCAATGCTATGCAATATGTATGTACCTTGTCCAGACCGAACACCATGCTAACATCCATGAGCAAATCAAATCGTCCCTAATAACATCCGCATATACATAGAAACATGATGTCGACACTTTACTTCTTTGCATATCCGGTCAGGTACCTCCAACCCGAACCTGCCTTGGCGCCTTCCTCCAACACCTGCACCACACCTTCCAACAGTTTTTCTTTCTCCTTGCCCATCTCCAATTGCAACTTTAACATCCACTTCTCCCAAAACCAACTTCCTACGATTCCGGTCATCATAGCGGCATCAACGGTGGTGCCAAACACAGGTGCCTCGTGGACCTCGATTTGACCTTCGGGGCTAATACTGCGTTCTTCACCCTTGGGCTCGGCACCAACGGGAAGGGTGTCTCTCCAGTTAGCAGTTGTCTGTCCCATCGGCAAAACCATCCACATGCGCTGCACATCCTCAAAGCCAGCTTTGCGGAGGCGCGGAAGGAATGATTTTGTGGGCGCCGCATCGTAACCTCGAGTCTTAAGATTGAATCCGAACTCGACACCCATCGCTTGAGCCTGGCGACCTGCATGGATGATGTCGGCATCAAGAAGAGCGAATTCAAGAATACCACCAGTCTTCAGGCAACGGAAGCACTCCTTCAAACATAGATCGTACTCGTCCATGGAGCGTCCAAGGGGTTTGTCGGTCTTGAGGAGCTCATGGAGGGTACGCGCTGAAATGACGTCAAAGTGACCGTTGGGAAATGGCAGAGTCCATAGATTAGGCACGCAGGTATGTTTGTGGTTCTTTGGACCCGTGACATTAGGGGTAAGGTTGTGCCCTGCCGTGTATACAGTGGTAACTGTAGAAAACGAGTGGTTGTACGCAACTTCCCAAGCCCAATCATTTGTTGGCAAACCTCCAACATCGAGAATCCGCGGGTTACTGGTCCGGGAAATACACCTGATGGATTGTTTGTTAAGGAGTCTACCGCCATTGAGATGCTTCATTGCTTGCAAGACCCAGGTAGTCGGGAGCATCTGATCAAGCGCTTGTTTCTCCATTTGCGCACGTGCAATACGCTCTTTCAACACAGTGGGGTCGTCGACGTAGAACTCGGACACTGGTCGGGGCGGAGATGGACGCACAGGGTTGGTAAGTTCGAATTTCCCAAGAAGCTGATCTTGGTGAGACTGTGGGTTGCACTTGCGGTGGACGTGCATGGCCTCGGCACGTGTTTGTCGGTGAATGAACACATCATGTCTTCGGGAGCGTTCTCGGATGTATTGAAAACCTTGTACGTACGTCACGATCTTCTTCGGCGTCTCCTCTTTCTCGCACTCTGCTTCGTCCACCTGTTCGGCAAATTTGACAGATTTCTTGATGACTTTATCAATCGAGTTACCACGACTGTGCTCCCCATTCGAAAGGCTGGGTGAGCTCATATCGTTCATTTCTCGAAGTGCAGCTTGAAGTTCCTTCTGGTCATCAAGCCAATTACCTGTTCTCTCTAGATTGGCAGAAGACAGTTTTTGAAGCTCCGTGCTGTAGTTCTCGTTGTACTGGAAGATCGTCTTCGCTGGGTTGATTTCTTTGATCTCGGCGGTTTCATCAATGTCACCGAGAACAACCGGGCGTGATGTGGGCAAGCCATCTTCGTATCCGTCCAAGGTAGAACCTTCCAGCACCACACCATTGTCGGGTACAGTGTTGCGTCGGGTGGACCACGGAAGCTGATAAAAATGCTCGGCGGTAGACGTGTTGGGGGCAGACTCTTCCCGCTTTGGGATGCTCCACGTGTGACGAGCAGAGGTATGGAGAGATGAGAAGAATCCACCGGGGGATGGCACTGAGAGTGCTGACACAGGCGTGTTACCTGATGATGAATTGAGAGAGGCCATCTGGGGAATTTGAAGACCTAAGTGAGGTCTAGCCACCTCTTGCATCTCCCCAGATCCAGCTCGAGTACTCGAAGTTCGCGACAACTGTGGAGCAGGTGAGGAATCTCGCGATGAGTCTCGCGATCGGGCGAGATGTCTCAATGTCTGCAATGCTTGTGGGTCGAGCTGTACTGGTCCCCATGAGTCGGTGTCCGCATTGCGTCGCTGCTGAGTCTCCGGTGTGGCTGGGCAACTCAGTTTGTCCATTTCTTCTGATGTCAAGCTTCCGTCAAGGGAAGGCTCATTCGAGCGTGGAGGTACCAGAAGATTGTGGTTTGTAATCAATGAGAGGCCTTGCTTTGATGGTGGAAGATATTGATGAGGTGTCTGGCTCACGGCAGAAGCAGACATTGCGCTCTTCAACTTTTCGATGGTTGGCCAAGCAGATGGCGAGGGGATGACGATGGACGGGTAACGATTCCGGCTTGTACGTGCTGTGTGCTTGACTGATGCCGAAGCGGCAAGGGGGACTTCTGCTTCATCGTCCGTGACATCATAAAGGGAATCGAAGTCGCTGTCAGCGCGGCTCAGCCTATATTGAGAGGGTTGAGACTGTGGGGGTTCCAATCGTTGCGGCATTGACCTCGACATGTCTAGTGGCAGCTCTTTGGTGTAGTAGTCAGAGCAGCTTCGTGGGGAGACGGCACTCGGCTGATAGGTAGATGTCGGCGAGAACCTTGGAGTGAAGTAGTATGGAGGAATAGTGGAGTCCTCGTCGATGACATTAAGTGTGTGACTCTGATCCAGCGGAGACACTTGGTATTGAGTATCGTCGGATAAGCCAAGGACTGCGAGGAATTCGGCAGTGGGGAGTATCTCTGGCATTGTGGTATATTAAGCTGATGTGAGCTCCGCCCGCGAGCTTAATTAAGAAAGGTACTTGATAAATCCGAGCTTGGGTAAGATAAATAGAGACTGGTAGGAAGGGGCGCAGACAAAGTGGAGATGAGAATCACGAAGCGAAGGAGAAAAGTTATTAATGGGCAATAACCCTGGCTGGTCGACAGCGTTGATTATAGAAATGAAGTTCTTCGGTCAACGAAGGGCGGCGTGGAAACAAAAAGAGGGCTCGGATGAGGGAAGGAAGAACTGAATACCAAAGAAGAGACGAAGAGTGCGGCGCGGGCCCTGGAGAAGGCAGTATATCATATGGCGTGTAGCCGCTTCGATGTCTTCCCTACCTACCTGGCTATGTGACTGCGGTATTGGAAGCTGCAAAAAACAAAATGTTTGCTCCAATGGCAGAAGAGCAAAATGCAGGGTGTGGAAGCGACAGCGACTTGCAGACGGCCACTACATCGAGGCCAGGCTTTGGATGCTGTGGTTGGCCAGACATTGTGCAAGCCATGGCTACGCGAGCATGGAAGATTCGACGCTGTACAGTTTATGGGAGAGTGGGCGCGTGGAGCAAGCGGATTTGGTGGCGTACCCGGAAGGATTGGATGTTGGCGATGCGAAGACACCCAAAATAGATTGTTCGGCGCTTGCAGTAAGCAGCTATGGCCAATCACCAGCCGCATACACTGCATTGTTTTACAGCATACATAGCATGTAGGACGGTATAGAGTACTATGCATCGGGATGCCACGGCAAGAACCAAGACGATATCGATAATCATCGCGATAGATGGATAAGAATCCGATTTCAAAGTGGGTGGACTTGTCTCTTTGCGTGACGGCACACGATGCATGTGGTTTTTCAGTCAAGGCCCATACGGATAAGCGCCAACCACCTAGGAACGCATGGCGCTGATTTCGTCAATGTCTTGTCTCTGCTGCCTTGTAATGAATGAAAGAATGCATGTTGCCGCCGTACGGGCCTCTTCGCCTGGAGTAGAATCAGCATCATGGTACTTTGCTATACCATCCATGCCGGCGCATAGGACCAGGTGTGCCGAAACGAATAAACGATGGGGTTTTGAATCATTCCCCAAAACAACAATAAGATGAAATGCTAGACAGTCACTAAACATGGAACAAGAGACCAGTGAATCAGAAGTGGTGTCGTTTTTCGCATGAAGAGTGTCGTCGAAACAGTGTTAGACGGGTGGTGTGTGAGTGGAAGGAAGCAGCGGGGCATGGATGGATGGGGGGAAGCGGTGCTGTCATAGTGGGGCAGGGCAGGGCCGGGCGAGACGCGCTGCAATTCAACACCACGCAGAGCTTCACCACCCTCCAACCAGCAATTTGCTGCCATTGGATCTCTGCACGTCATCACCTCCGTCCACACACCACAAACAAACATGTCACCGCCCGCCATCATCGCGCCTTCTATCCTGTCTGCCGATTTCGCAGAGCTGGGCAAAGCATGCTCCGACACCATCAGCCAGGGCGCTGACTGGCTGCACGTACGCCTGTTTCCTCCCTCCCATATGCGCCGTGTTCCTACTGTGCCGCTGACCGTCTCAAGGTCGACATCATGGACGGCCATTTCGTGCCAAACATGACCTTCGGAGCCCCGGTCGTCACCAAGATTCGTCCCCACGTCGACCGCCCCTCTACTGCTCACGGCCAAGGCACATTTGACTGCCATATGATGATTGCAGAACCCAAGCGGTGGGTTCGCGACTTCAAAAAAGCTGGCTGCGACCTGTACTGCTTTCACTATGAGGCTGCCGTTTCCTCCACTGCCGCCGACTCCCCATCGGGTACTTCAGAAGCCAAGACTTCACCCAAAGAGCTCATCAAATTCATACATGGCGAGGGAATGCAAGCCGGCATTGCAATCAAGCCAAGCACATCGGTTGACGTATTATGGGAGATTCTAGAGAACCCTGTCAAGGAGGAAGTGCCAGATGTAAGTCTATCTGTCCCCGAACACGGTGCATGTGGGTCCAGATCGTGCCGGGTCCTAAAAAGGGTCCTCTCCATGGCTGGCGGTTCAAGCAGTGGCGCTTAAGTCTTGCATATCCGTTCCTTCTTGTCCAATGCTCTTCCGGATTAATCTCCACAAACGAAACAAGGCTGCTAACAAACTTATGCAGATGGTTCTCGTCATGACTGTAGAGCCTGGCTTCGGCGGTCAGTCATTCATGGCTTCGGAATTACCCAAAGTCACAGCACTACGGAAGAAGTACCCTGAACTTCACATCGAGGTCGACGGTGGCTTGTCAGAGAAGACAATAGACCAGGCAGCAGACGCCGGCGCCAACGTTATTGTTGCGGGTAGCGCCGTATTTGGAGCTGCTGATCCAGGTGACGTTATTAAGAAGCTACGGGAGGCTGTCAACGCCCGGAGAGGCAAGCTATGATAGTAGTAACGACCGATTTAGAGTGATAAAAGTATCCGTGCTCTGATAATGATGTCAAAAATAGAGTTCGATCATGTGCAGCTCAACAGAGTCCTCCCGCGTCTATTATGGCGAAATGACAACAGGATACGCTCTCACAGACCGATCAAAGTTCAGGTTCCGCTGTTCAAGGGTCAGAAGATACTGATTCCTCATTACCAAACATAGTATGATTCGGAAATTAATTCTAGGATGAAGATTAAGAGCATATTTTCAATGCGTGTCAGCAACTCGATTGGACACAGTCTGGGCCTTTTTTCTGAGTGAGACGATAAAGTCGATATCCCGTCAAAACCGACCCCGACGCTTACGCAGCATCTCCGTCCCCATCTTCTATCTCTACAATTTCAGAATAGACAGATTGAACAACTAGTCTACTCACGCATCACACCGCTGCTTAATTGTTACAGTCGCTGTATGTGCCTCCCTCTTTCCACCAAAAATACCACCGCCAGTGCTTTCGCCCAGAAAAGCCGCACAAGCCTCCGTAACAGCCCAATCTTCAAACGCAACCAGCCGACACGGCCGTCCCTGCTCGGGGCAGAATTCCGAGCGACGCGCTGGACGATCCCGCGGTATGTATGTCGTGAGTGTTGATGTTCTGTTGGTATCGAATGTACATGTTTAGCAAACCTTGTACATATCTCCATCCAAAAATAGAACACGAAAGGGATATGTTTGTCCGAGAAGAGGAAAGCAAAGAAAAACTTACATCGTCGCCGTCGTAGTCGTCAAAAATAGCTTCACAGCCTCTTCCGTAATAGTGACAATATTAACATCTGTCGATATCGGAATATCAGACTCTGACGTCCGCGTCACAGTAGGTAGAATGCTAGAACCTGTCGTACTTAATCTAGAACAAAAGTAACACCGTTAATACTTCTTGCGTCCCATCTGGAGAGATGATTACGTACATTGAAGGATTTGTAGATGATGCTGTACACGAAGATGTCACTGTGATTGTTGTTGTGGAGGGCTTAGGAGTAGGTGTTGCATAGTGATTGTACGTTGAGCAGAACTCGCTGATGAGCGCGGAGGGCATGTCCCGCAGGACTCGGCCACATGCTTGTACTTCGCGGTCGTGTGGATTTGGGTGGGATGCTGTTGTGAACTGGGACGTGAATACAAGGAGAGAGATGCAGAATACGAGGAAGTGACCTGTTGGGGGTGGTTGGACGCGCATTGTTTCCGTGAGACCTGAGGTGAAGTCTGACGGAGATCGTGATTTGTAGAGCAGATAGTTGTGACATGATTCTGGCAATGCGACTTTGAGGGGTTCATGTTTTTTTGTTCTTTGTTGTGGGAGTGACTTCACGATGGTTACCGCTTTCGGTGGTAGGAAAATGGTCGAGTCCCGCTTACAGAATAGGAACGTTACACCAAACGTTGAGCTGCATTCCGCAGACTTACTGGATGTATATTGCCGTCACCAGATATTCAAGAACAGTGAACTTCATAATCACGGCCTCATCTCGCAGACTACTCAGCTTTAAGCTTTTAGGTATATATATCTTGTCACCATCTGTTACACGAAAAGTTGAAAAAGACTATATGTTAGCCACGTAAATGCTTGCCTGTAGAGCTGCTTTTTTTTACCTTTTAGAGGCACTGAGAGAATTTCTGAAGCATGTATATGAATTTGTGCTACAATAAATGCATGTACGCTATACTATGCTCAAATAGCGGGCAGTCTACAATTTCTCATTAACCTGTCCACACTGCAGGCCCAGGAGCCTTGTAGCTCGTAGCAATAGGGTAATAGCTCCACATCAGCCCGGGATCATTCGCAGAATAGGCACCAGGGAACGCAACAAGCGGGCCCGGTGTACCGTTTCCTCCACCCGTAACCTGAAGATATGTCAGTTTATGTTGCATCGCATTTCCAGCAACACTTGTATCAACTCACCTCGACCTGTGCGCAAGACAGATACATCTGCGCACCACCAACAGATTGGGCTTGGTGCAGAGCAATGCTCTCAACTCTAACAAGATACTTTCCACTTGGGACATTCTTTGGGATCGTAAACTCAACCTTGTCCTTGTCTACACGAAGCGTTTTTGTCAGTTCAACCAGCAAAAAACCAAATCAAGTGAAAATTCAACACCAATCACACCAAGAAAAGAAAGACATCAAGACATACTATACGCAGGCCAAGTCTTCTCATCGCTCGTAAGCGGTCCACTCCCCTTCACCGCAGAGATACTCCCAACCTTGAACCACACATTCCCGGCAGGCTCCCATGAGTTGATGTTCGCACTGTCGGGCACGCGCGCCATGTAGAATTGTACAGGTCCAAAGTGCGTCACGGATGACATGGCAACGAATCCTAGCACCGAGCCTGCGGCTACGCTTGCAGTCCCCGTACCCGCACGGTTCTGGAAGCATCGCATGTCCGGGCTGCTGACGCTTGTCACGCCGGAGTTGGTCTGGTAGTTTTTGGTTTGGCGGATCGAGGTCCATTCTTGGGCTTCGGCTTGGCCGTTTATGATGAGTTTTGGGAAGCGGTCTTGGGTGGTTTTGTTAGTAATGCTTTTGCTCGTGAGGGAAGAGAGATTCTGGAAAGCTTACAGTGAGCCTGAGCGGCTGTGACGCAGAGAAGAATAGGCAGGAGGTACATGGTTGTAGATGTGTTAGATGTTTAGTGTTTAGGGACATAGACTTCGATTTGGTTTGCTTGTCGTGAGGAAGGATTCTTCTAGATATACGCGCTATCGAGCCATGATCAGGTTATTGGACGGCTGTATATGAAGTCTCTAAAGTGCCGTGATAGGTTATTCCCATCATCAACTTTGACTCCTACATATATTTGCATATACTATCTATTCACTCTAGATCGCTCGGCAGCCAACGCTGCGAACTCTTATTGGTCGCAATACTTAGCAGTGCTCTTATCATCAAAGCATGTGACCTTGATTTGCTTTAATAGAGTATTATTCGAGATTGGAGTGCTCTGCTTTCAAGCTTGCCTCTTTGGTATTGTTTGCTTTCGAGGCTCGTGTACGTTTGAATAGCATGCGAGTAAGTATAGCAAGCCAGACTCTACGATGGCACATGGGTATACATATGTACGTCCAATTTAAGGTTCCTTGTAAGTAATGTACGAGAAGAGGCTTCCTAATAGCTGTCAATTGTTGCGCGCGTTCTTTATTCGAGTATAAAAGCATGCACAAGGCGCAAGTTTTAGCGCATCTTGGTTTTGACCACAGATTATGCCGCAAATGAAGCTTCCTAAGCTCTATCCGTGCCGCGTAAACCCTATATCTGCCAATCAATCGTGCTCGAACAGATTTGACTCACAGTGATCTTATATTCTGTGATTTTATGGGTTTTACGATACCGAAAAAGGATAATTGGTGACCTAAGTACCGTAGGCTTCAATTACTTTCTCCTCATCCTCGAGCAGGGAATGACGGTAAGGCCAAAAGGTCCACAAAACTCCTCTGATATTGACAGTTCATGCCTCATCGCAACAGAAAATAGCTTCGAGTTGTATGTAATGGGCCTCATAGGTGACACTATTTGCTTGTTACAGAAAGGTATGTATTGGTCAAGCATGTTCGGCAAGTTGGTTCGGCAGGTAGGTAGTGGCTGACCCCACATCCGAACCCCATGGGGTACGGTACTCTTTCTTCAGATTGTGGTCAGCAATCATCACTCCCTCCTCCCATCTTTGTTTGACATATCAACCTACTACGTCTATTATTAATTAATACACGTGCGCATTCTCGCTACTCCCAACATCAATGGCTGGAGATACACTCAAGCATCTCACCTTAAACCGCACTCTCCGCGGATCCCCCTCCTCATCTACAGTACAGTTCAGAAATTTAAAGTACGCAACCATACCCGCAAGATGGCAAGATTCGGTGATAAACGAAACATTATCTGGAGATCCGCAAGCAATATTCGACGCGACTAAATTTGGCCCATCATGTCCTCAGAAACGTGGGGGACAGGCGTGGGATCTAACACTCACCGGAAACATCAAAATGCCGCTCCAACAAGGACACGTAAAATCCGAAGAAGGAATGGATGAATTCGAATGTTTACATGTCAATGTCACCGTGCCAACCTCAGGCATGGGTACAGAGCAGAAAGGCAACCACGGAAAAGGACTGCCAGTATTTGCTTGGGTGCACGGCGGTGGTCTAAGCATCGGCAGTAACTCCTGGCCACAGTACGATTTGACCAAATTTGTTGAACGAAGTGTTGAGCTTGGCCAGCCTGTAATTGGTGTCTCCATTAATTATCGAGTTGGCATCTTGGGCTTTCTAGCCTCGCAGGAGCTAGGTGTCAATGGAAATTTCGGATACAAAGACCAAATAAATGCATTTAGATGGATAAAGAAACATATCGCAGGCTTTGGTGGAAATCCGAACGATATCACAGCATCAGGAGAGTCTGCGGGTGGTATTTCCTTGTCAACGCTGTTGTGTGCAGACGTAGGTGCACATGGGCTTTTCGAAAGAGTTGTTATTATGAGTGGAGAGGCGAGTTTGCGAACACCGAGGGACAAGGAGTGGCATGACGATATGTATCGAGACCAGCTGAAGTTTCTCGGCCTAGATAAAGTGGACGTCAATGAGAGGAAAGCAAGACTGACTGGGCTCGATGTGGAGGTATTAGGGAACAAACTACCTCTCGCTCAGCATTTCTCTGCTTGTATTGAGAACGAATTTCTTCAGGGTGATTTTCGACTTGGTTCTATCAGAGATGGGAGCAGCAAGCACCACAAGCCGGATTGGTGCAAGGAGTTTGTCGTTGGAGACACAGCGCATGATGTAAGTCGGAGCTGCTGCGTGTGAGTAGGAAGTTCCAGACTGATATGACTGCAGGGAACAGTCCTCAAGGCACGTGTCCTTGACACGCCCGATCCATTCGCAGTGTTGAAATCTGCCTGCACTAAATACCTCAGCTCATCGGAAACATCAAGCCTCTTCGCCGCATACAATATACCCGCCCCGTCACCAGCACAGCACTACCGTAATCTCCTTGAACTAGCCTCGGAACTTCGCTTCTATGTTCCAGCACTCACTGCATACTCTGGTTGGAAAACAGCTGTGCCCTCAAGGTATTGTCGCAGGTACCACTTCCATGCCCAAAATCCAGTCGAGGGTCTATTTACTGGTCTGGCATCGCACGAATTTGATGTCGCGCTTCTTCTCAACAATTACGAATTTGCTTTGGACAACGCAAAAGCAGAAGTTGCGAAACAGATGGCTGACCAATGGATTCAATTTGTCAATGGTAGGGGTTGGTGCGAGGAGGGTAAGGTAGTTGTTGTGGGGAATGACGGAGTGCTAGCGGTCAATGAACACGAGTATGACGTTCAGTATCGAGGGGGAAGAGGGAGCGTTCTGCACGGTATGGGGGCAGAGAAACTGTGGTTAATCGCTGAAGCATGGCAGGGGGTAAAGAAATCAGAAATCCCTATGACCAAAATATAGCGCTAGACTTGGTCATACTTGACAGAGTAAAAAAAGTTTGGTCATGGGATACAAAAGCAAGATATCAAAATGATTGGATCAAATTCCCAGCGTACCAACAATGAATGTTCTGTGGCCTTTATGGCACAGCATATAAGTAGTAGGTAACTGCCCTTTCATCATCTCGTCACCGTCAGAGTCTATCATACGACTGTTGCCCATAGTATTTTTCATTTGCTCATAATTCATCTCATAACATTTACCGAGCTCATTTCTAGAACCCATCTTCATTATGCACTCAAACTCGATAAAAAAAATCAATCATTATGTACACTGTAGAGGCGAAGGGTGGAGCACAGTCGAGGACCCACAGGCATGAGTCGTGCTGTCAATGACCCTAGAGTAGCGGGGTTTCCCCAAAGGATTTACAATAAGCGGCGATATGACTTACGGTGAGTGGTCCGATTGGAGTGCTAAATGAAAGCACGTTTCGACCATCTCGACTGGGACCTCAGCGCTCTAGAAAACATAGCAAGCGATATAAAACAAATCCTCATCTGAAATCACATCAATCAGAACAACCAGTTCTTCGGTCCTGTGGTCTAGTGGTATGATTCTCGCTTAGGGAGCGCGTTTAACGTGCTAAACTGAGCACTATTGCGAGAGGCCCCGCGTTCGAGTCGCGGCAGGACCCATCTTTTTGCAGACATCCAGAGCTGGCAAAGTGCAGAATCTCATGCTTCCACGTTGATGAGATGACTAGAGTGCACTCTATCACGCAAGGTATTATGTGTGGCTAGCAACTGGTATCATTTTTGCGGACGTATATGCACACACGTTGGGTGAAAATTTTGCTCAGGGGCAGACCAAGCACGTGATTCAGTAGACACATGTAGATCTTTACCTATTTTTACACAAGCTAGACTATCTTGAGGTCTAGCACAAGCACTTCCCACGTGCGCTCTACCTATCTAGGAATAGTCGCTTGAGGCTATCCGAAGCTCAGGATCTCCCTCTACAGCAAATGTTACGATGTCCTGAAATACAACAACCCGGCGCAACGTCCCCAACTCCATACAGATCTTACTAGATCCCAAGAATTTTCTGCCAGAGTATCATATGTTGTGTGACTCTGTATGTGGCAATAATTTCGAAAGTTGATAGCTAATTGTAGGGGGCCGTAACCCAGTGGTACTCTCCGGCTTGATCAGCTGCCTTTGCACTGCCCAATCACGAATGATCATATCACCCCAAGTTATTGTACTTTTTTCCAACGTAACGGTCTTGTGCGACGTAGATCTTGTAGAAAGGAAAACCATTCGACATTTTAGGTTCGTCGAGAGTTCCATAGGCCCATTTCACCCACTGGTCACTATCGATCTTACAATTTTGCATATCAACTGTAGCCTCAAAGTGTCATGCTTGACAACTAACTGACATGAACTCTGGAGATACCCTTATTTGGTAGCATTCAGGTAGTCATTCTCACTCAGTTCAGGCCTCTTTTCGCATAACGTGAGTGGTGCTCTGAATCCTTCCCCAACTCCCTCGACAGCCATCAATCTATCCAACCATTCCACTATCTTGGGATAACCACTCCGAAACGCCGTATCCATGAATATTGAGAGCGGCCAGAACAATGCCGAAGCAACAGTCAAATCAGCCAGACTCAACTCATCACTCCGTACCAACCACACACTACCTTCCTGAGCGAGCTGGCGCTCCAAAACGCCAAGCGCACGAACGAACTGCGTCTCCTTCTCTTCCACAAATGTGCGAAGCATTTTGTGCTTCTTCGTGGCCACTGTCATGACCGGTTCCGCATTTGCAAACAGCTCGGATTCAGCAAAGCTCACCCACATCTGGACGAGGGCGCGCTGTTCGGCAGTCCTTCCGAGCAATTGTTCCCTGCGCGGACCCGAGTCGCACACATAGTGCGCAATGGCAGAAGCTTCCGCGATGCAAAATCCTGATGGAGTTTCGAAACCAGGAATCTTGCCGTGCGGAAATTTGGCTTTGTACTCTGCGCTCTGGTTATCCACACCATAGCGGAAGTCTTGGTCGATGTGGATTTCCAGTCCATTTAGATTTGCTGCCGCAAGGATTTTGGTCACACGGGCATGATGGAATTTTGTAGTCGTGAAAAGTGTACCGAAAGGCGCCATCATTGAAGATCGATACCGTCAAAAAGAATTTCTTGGTGGTAGAGGTTGAGATAGTGAGAACAGCGCTCCTTATCACAGATGTTGCTGCCTAAGTGACTGCCGTAAGGCTAGCATTCGTTTAAAACTACTATGTTGTTGGCGTCAGCATCTTAGTATCATGCAAATTAGATGATGTGCATATTTCTTTTCCTCTTTGAACGTAGAAACTACTCGCGAAAGTATCTCTAAGCGTGACATGCATGTCCCAAACAAGATGCGCTGTAAGCAATACATGTATTATACAATAATGAATCATCGGGAGTTATCAGGCTGGATCTTGGATTGCGTGCAGAAGATCGACACATTTCAAGAGACTTCATCCCAGCATAGCAATTGAAAAACGCCACGTGGCATATTCATGATTTTGCCTGTGCAACACCGAACGTTGCACCCCCTTCTGCCAGAAACTTCTCTTCTTCCGGCGTCGATTTTCTGCCTAGACACGCATTCCTATGAGGGTACCGTCCAAACTGCTCCAAGATATCTCTGTGCTCCTTTTCTGACTTGAGACTATGTGCAAGCATGGCTAGTCTACCCTCATTATCCTTCTCTTGTTTCAATTCTTTCTCATATTTTTCTATGACTTGATCGTACAAATCATGAGAGGCAATTTTCTCGGAATGCACTAGAGGCATGTAAAACCACATTATATGCGGCAAAGACAAGCGCCACTGCGGATGTAAATCCGGCCGACCAATAGGCGACTTCGCAGACAGCAGAATTTCGGAGAATGAATGGGCAATCTCATCGTAATGAGTGTAGACCTTGACGAGACCTTCGTTGGTCCGAAAAATGTTGCGGGGAACCTGGTCCAACAGCAAAGCCATGCTGACGGCAGTCCATGCTACTTCAGAACCATCTCCTCCGGCGTTCTCTTCTGCCACCTCTTTTAGCTCCCGAAGGAAGGGCTCAGCAGTAGGACGAGGGAGCTGTTCAGGACCAATAGCATCCAGCGCACGCCCAAATTTCTCGCGACATACGTTATCGAAGATTTGTTTTTCTTCTGGAGTTCCCATGAACCATCGCTTCAGGACGGCAAAATCGATTTCCGTCGCCCCTAACTCCACCCCCTCAAAGAATGCCGCTTGTACATCTTTGTATAACTTGTGGTTGAAGATGTTCTTATCGAGCCTGTGGGTAGACATATTTTGTTGGTGCAGTTGGCTGAAACTGTGTTGTTGCGAAGTTGTTGGGAATGGATGAAGAACACGAGACTGTTGCAGTATACTTCTCGTGGCCTGCGGTCCTGAAAAAGAAGGTCTCAGAGGACAAATGTTCCGGCCTGAAAATCGCATTATATGCACGATGAGCATGTATGACGCTACTACAATAGCGATGGGCAGTTTGTAGTGAAGAGGTTCCGTCCGTGCTTAGTAATACAGGGTTTGTATACAAATTTCGTCCGTGAAAAGAGACTAGTTCCACTTGTATCTAGCTCAAGTTCTTAGCGTGTCCATGTCGAGATAATTATCTAGTCTGTGTATCATTGACTCCATACTTGTGATAGTATCGTGACATCTTGTGTATATCAACTAGTAGCACAATCGTGGATGTTAGCACAGATTGCTAGGTATTACCGAGATTTGGGAAAAGCCGCTCGTTCATGAACTATGACCATTGCTCGGTTGGTTGGACGACTCAGCGTCTGATAGTGATTCTGAAGAATTCAGCATTTCATTCAACATACAATAGTGATAGTTTAGGCACTTAGTTGTTCACCGAAGCCACAAAGTACCCACTTGAAGGGATGTGATCACGGGTGGGATGCTGTAACAATGAACATTAAAGTAGTCAGTTTCTCTCCATACATAATATCAAAATATTCATACGATACTGGATGAAGATGTATTGTCAGAATATCCAATGTGTAAGTAGTGAGCTGCTTTGATTGGCCGATAAATATCTTCTTGTATCGTGGAGCTGTGGAATTCTATAGATCGCATGCTCACTGGTATCTTTTCAGGAAGAGAAAGTTGGAAATCGAAAACCAACTCTGACTTGTCCGAGTCTTCAATCGTTGTACGCCTGGTGCGAGCTATATGAGATTTTGCTTCAGTCATGCGCATATCCCTCGGCACGGAGATTGCGCCATAGCGGGTGAGACGATTGCCGCGTAGCTCAGCGTGTAAGGGTGCTGCAACTGACTACGGGCCTGTTATTCCTGGCGGGAAAATGGGCTGCTGCAGCGCTTTGACAACAAATATGCAGGTCTGCTCAATTGGTAAACTAGTGCCTCGTGTTTCTGAGCATGGACCTTCAACCGAAAAGGCAAAAACATCTCAAACTACCAGAAGTTACTTTTTTACTCCTTTCCGCTCATGCACATCGTGATAATGAAATTGGGCTTGTTCCCACTAGTTGTTTGGAAAGGGGGGAATTGGGGATTGCAAAGAGCGCGGAACTCGGCAGTGTAAACGTCACGTAATGCTATGAAGTTTGACAGTCTTGATGCGGTGCTTCACTCGATGAATGAAGATGTCACTCATCGCTCGGGAGCTTTCTTCCAGCCCCATGGTGGGGTTTTGCGGGCTCTTGGCTCTACCTAGATGGCCACAGCGAAGGGTGTGTGTGTGTGGATGAATGTGCCGCTCACCTATCGGAAGCTTCCTCCCGCCCGGGGGAATCCCCATCTTACAGTCCATGGTAGCAACCGAACGTCTAAGAGTGTAGAAAAGTCTACAAAAGGTGGGGCTTCTGCATCAAATCATAGCTCGCCTGAGAGAATCGGACTTCGTCTATGACGCTTATTTATTATTGGTTGTGGCCCACGTGCGTGCATACAAGTACATTCTACCACAGTACGCTACCTTGCCCAGCACGTTCGACTCCTCCATACAGATTTGCGCATGCTTAGCCTTTTTGAGAAGATAACCGTTCTAATATTACTCGCCACTGGAGTCCAGGACATCTCGCTGCACCAAGACGAAAATCCGGGTAGCATCCGTCGAATTTGTGCACCACCATTATTGCTTTCCACCACGACTATCCCACACTGGATGATTGAAGCCTCGCACTGCATAATCGCAATCGCGAAAGCCTGCATAACGTTGTGGCTGCAGTGGTCTGCCTGATGTTCGGCTATTTGAATGCTGAATACCTAAATCATCCTGCGTGAGCTTAAACAGACGAGTCTTACGTGACCCGCCGAGGCGCAGCTGAAATGCCAGACGGCAGCGTATAGGTCAAAAATACATACACGCATCGCACTGTTTCCGGTATAACGTACTGACGATCTACAGGAGGTGCGGACCTTGCGACTTATTGTTTCTCATTCGGGGGCCAATATGAGATGCCGATTACACGGGCGGCGGGCTTGTCCCGCTGGCGTCTTACTCGGGGCTGAAGCGAGGCCCGTCACCTAGCTTTCGACCTCGTCGAGCAAAACTTTGCAGGATCGCCCCAAGACAGGGGTGACTAGGCGGAGGTATTGGTATCTTTACGGCTCGAAAAGTCCGTAGCGTATACGAGCTGGATAGTAGATCTTGGTAGATTGATTTGGAAACCTGAAAGCCACCATGCATTATGAGAACGATGCGTTGCACATGTATTACAGGTCGTAATACCCGATTGCAGTGAGAGTCACGTACGGGAGGTGTCACTGAGATATGTGCCAGAAACTCAAGGCTTCAAGCCCGGCCCGTAACATACGCTCGGCGCGGGATGATATTCAATCTTGGAAGGACCAAACGGCCGACCAATGTCCAAAGAGAACACCGAGCTGGCTGATGAAACCCAAAACAGTCGCTTACATGTCCATACATCGGCGCCTGATCTTTTACCTAACCGAGCTTGAAACACGACCAAAGTGTCGATTAAACTGGGCATAGCGAACCAGATGCGCTGAATCGCCTGTCATTTCACTGTCGTGATTTAGCGCAGCAAGTGGATAATTACTTTTCTTAGTTCCCGTTTCATGCAGCCCTGATCGTTCGCCATGCTCAGGCCTTCATAATGTCTATGAAACAGCATCAGCAGATGCGTATTCCTTACTCTGCGGAGCTACGACTGCTTCCGGACTTGTTAATGGCTGTCTGCACTTGCCTTCAAACAGATAAGCCACTGTTCATAGGGGGTATCCAAGATCCGGCATTCACTATGCCTCTGACCCGCAGCTCGAAACAAAGCTTGTGCAGGCCAATCCATGTCATTCGCCATCAACCGTGAACGAGAGTTTGAGTAGCACACTGAGTCGGATGGGGAAGGCGCCCTGAAAGTACCCATGTACTACACCTGAAGATAGAGTCCGTAGGCGTGATTATAAACTACTTCGATCCCAATACCGACGGATCCCACGTATCTACATTTCTCTCTTCGAAATACACTTTCGTTTTCTTCTTTTCGTTCAGTCGTTCACTTCACCCGCGTCTTAGTACGCAAGTCACTCTTTACTCATCTCAAAGATGCATTTCACAACACTCGTTTCGGCTGCGGCCTTCACCTCTACCGCGCTAGCTGGCTACGTGCTCGAAGATGACTACATGTCGAAAGACTTCTACTCGGAGTTCAGCTTCTTTACTGGGCCAGATCCGACGAATGGTTTTGTCAACTACGTTGACCAGTCAAAGGGAAAAAGTATGGGTTTGTTCCAATCAGGCAAAGCATCATGGGGAGTGGACACCAAGTCCAAAGATCCAGGTGGAAGAGCCAGTATCCGTCTGGAGAGCAAAAAGACCTATAACAAGGGTCTCATTGTTATTGACGTGGCTCACATGCCATTCGGCTGTGGTACTTGGCCCGCGTAAGTGTCTACTTGCTATCCATACCATTACTACGCTGACAATGCCCTAAGTTTCTGGACATTTGGACCTAACTGGCCCAACTCCGGCGAAATTGATATCATAGAGGGTGTTCACGACCAAGAATCAAATGCCATAGCTCTACACACGAGTTCCGGGTGCAAGATCGGCAATACCCTCAGCGCCTTCACTGGAACGGTGAAGACGCCCGACTGCGATGTTAAGGCCGCCAATCAAGATGAGAACGCAGGCTGTGGTGTTGATATGAAAGACAAGGGTAGCTACGGCAAAGGACTGAATGATAACGGTGGCGGCGTCTATGCTACTGAGTGGACGAGCGACCATATCCAAGTCTTTTTCTTCCCCCGCGGCAAGGTCCCCTCCGATGTTCTGGGCGATGCCCCCAACCCATCATCTTGGGGTAAGCCTGCAGTCAAGTTCGAGAAATCAGGATGCGACATCGACAAGTTCTTCAAGAACCAGAAGATCATCTTTGACACAACATTCTGCGGTGAGCTGAACCCCAATCACAAACTTTCCAGGCATCGCGACAATTTGTGGTGTCATGCATCGATGCGTTGACTATCTGCCACTACACCTATGACTGAATTTTGCTGACTTTGTAATTCCACAGGTGACTGGGCAGGTAACACTTGGAGCACAAGCTCTTGCAAGTCCAAGGCCGCAACCTGCAACGCCTTCGTCCAGAACAACCCCGAGGCCTTCAAGAACGCATTCTGGGATGTCAAGGCTCTAAAAGTATACACCAATGACGGCTCCGCAGCCTCCAAACCTTCCTCGTCCGCCGGATCCTCCAAGTCTTCTGCAGCACCCTCCAAATCCAAATCTTCTGCTGCTGAGTCCAAAACTTCTTCGTCTGCAGCAGCCTCTAAGTCTGCATCATCAGCATCGCCAGGAGTATCGGAGTCTTCGTCATCCGATGATGCACCTCGGACTACTACTACCACAAGACCAAAGCCATCGACTACGATCAAAACATCCAGCAAGTCGAACATTCCCCACCCAAACACTCCCATCGGGCCCGGCGCATCTCTCGTTTCTACTCAAGCTGGTAGCCAGTCTACAGAAGTACCTGAAATTGAAGGAGACGATGGTGCGAACATTGTCTACAAGACTGTTCAAAAAACATACTACGTCACTGCGGGGAGACCAAGGCCTACAAATGTCAAGAGACACGCCAATGCTCACCATGTGAGAGCCGCACATGATGGCCACCTCGTTTAGATGCTTTGATTGTCTTCTAGAAGAGTTGCGCATCTTTCCTCATGTTTGACACCCTCCTTGATATACATACCCACATTTACTTGTACATATTTGATAAATATATATATCTTTTGATACGAACACGACTATGACAGTGATTTTTCTGTTCCAATTCTTCATGCTCTACATCAAGCTCACGCAATGTATGTTTTCGCACTATCTATGCGGGTCATATTCGAATCTCGTATTCCATAGAATAATGCCATGTGCTCGAGTGCACCCAAGATTCCGTAATCCTGTTTCGGACCCCGATGCACACATGTACATGGGTTCGCATTGCGCGGAGGAACTTCATGTCACTATGACTTAGATCCACTCAATGCAATGTAACACGTCAAACTCTCCATAACGATTGCCTCTATTTAATAGTTTGCAAATGCGAAATACAGTTCTCCTTGTCCGTAGTGACGGCAACATTTGATGACTATCGTAATCAACCATGACTTTAATGGCCAGACCCCATTGTCGTCGGTGTTCACTTTTCCACTTCAGTACGGCTTCCTCTTTCGTGCATGGCGTCTTCATGGGCCCGCTAAGTTATCGATTTCAGTCGCGGCTTCTGCACAGTTCCCGCCATCGTTTCCCCGAGTGCCAGTTGTCCAATTGCATTGACTTGACTTCCAACAAAAGAAAGCAGGCGAAATCGACGGACCCCGCAGGTACTTGCCGATGCACCTGGCCTGGGAATGAATGGCAGTATTATGATTTCTCAAAAATAGGTCTTCATTATATCCACGGTCGTCACCAAAGCAAATGCAGCCGTACAAATCTAACGACACTTCTCAGCACAACCCAAATTTGGACATTGTTTCGACACTGAAAATCGGAGGAGTGAGACAAGACAAAATATCACTTACGAGAATACTCAACACCATCAAGCAAACGATATCCCAACCACCCGCGTAAATTTTCCCTCTTACTATTGCATTCTGCTGTAGCCAGAATCCTATATTATAAATAAGCAATTAGTTGAGCTCGACCAGCGATGATCAACAGGTGATCCAAGTCTCGAGGATTAACAACTGGAAAGCATGACATACTATAAGCTCCGACTAGCAGCACCACCATACCAAATCCAATGAAGGTCACTGAAAGCGGAATTCCCACAACAAAAAAGCCCATGGTAGGATTTGGATAGACGGATCGTTGAAGGTGAAAGAGCTGAGCAGTGAGAACTCCAGCCATAGCGAGAGCTAGGGAGGTACGCAGATATCCGAGGAACGTACGCTCCAGGGCTGTTTGAATCAGCTTACTTCGATAGGCTGGAACGGTTAGTGATGAAAGAATGTCATGGTCGTACCTAGGTGGTCTCTGTGTGCTCCTTCGTCGATGGTAATGTCAACATGCGTTGTCCAGAATTTTACGAAGCGGTTATACTGGACTGGCAAGCTTCTATGTGGTAGCTGCCATCTGCCTTCGCATTGTTGCTCTTGGGATTGATTGTCAGGTATGTATGTCGTCTCTGTTGAGCTGATAATGGCATCTGAAGTAGCTGCTGCCCTGCCCCTTATAGTATCTAGCTCTTGTGCTATTGGGTGCCTCTCATGTTGGGTAGCCTCTTCTGAATCTGGATGTGAAGCTACGGACGGGGCGTCAAGATAGCCTGGTGGAAGAGCAAGCGGTGAAGCTTGTGGCGGATAAGATGCGTCCATTTGAAGATTTTGGCTTGCTGACAAGGGGACAAATCTAGAAAGAAGAGAAACCAATTGCAAGATATCGGGAAAAGAGTCGGAGCACTCGAAGATTAGATATACTGACGTCCAAGAGACTATACAAGCGCGATCAGTGCCCGACAGACCGTTTTGTATGACAGGGGATGATATGGGAAGTTCGTTGTTCGTTGTTCGTCCCGAGATGTTCGTACCATGCCAATCACATACCGTCAAAGCATATCTCGTAGAATGATGATAGACAGCACGGCACCACACACATTCTACGCTCGATCAACACGCAGTAGATGCGGTCAATACAGAGTTCGTATACACAACATAGCATTTGGAATATATGCAGTTATGGAGTTATGATTCATATTCACATAGCAAATCAAAGTCGGACCGTCGGCGGCTTATCGGAGGTGGGACGTGAAACAGGCTACAAACAGCACTCGGCTGCAGCAAGCGAGGATCAAACTGTTTTGGTGTTGATATTATATCTATTTGTTCGAGAAGGCAGAGATAGATGAAGTTTGTTGCAGCAAAAATGTTGAGTACAAAGCGTGGGGCTGTACACGTCCAGCCACTGACACACCAGGATCTAAAATGGGCAATGCGGTATGGTGTTGTGGTTCCCATAGTTACTCGTGGGGCCCGACCATAACCTAGACGATCTTATTGTTGCATTAAGTAGTACAGCACAATGGACAAGAATAATGAAATTATTCAGGAGAATTCGCTGACTACAAACATTCATGTCGTTTGACTACCATCAAGCATGTTAATTTTCTAGTAAATGATTGTACAAGCAATCGAGCGTATGACAATCAGCAGACTTCGAAGATTTTGTTCTCTCAACGGGATCCCTTGCTGCATTGGGACTAGCGTGTTTGACGACGTAATCACACATGTGCTACTGATTTGACGCGAGCGCTACTTAACTTTCGGTTCCATCAGTTTGAGCTTCCGTCTCCACCATCGGACCGCCTCCTCAATACTCACTCTCCCTTCTGGTCGTGCGATATTGTTCTTTCACCTTCCATACCCCCTCTCACTCACGCTGCAGTGCAGTGTCTGAGTCTACAAGCTCTACTTGCCCGGGAAGAGCGCATCGCGTTCCGTTATCGCAACCATGGGGCTCTCCAAACCCACGAGAATCAAGATACTCCTCGCCATCGATGTGATCTTCTTCTTCGTGGAGATTGTCGTCGGTAGGTACTCCAGACGAATGGAAACGTGGAAGAACATAGCTAACAGGTATTCTAGGATACTCGGTGCATTCACTTGCGCTCGTCGCCGACTCGTTTCACATGCTCAACGATGTCATATCGCTCATGGTAGGACTTTGGGCAGTCAAGATTGCGAACCAAAAGACAAACTCCAAGATGTATACATATGGTTGGCAACGTGCGGAAACTCTGGGTGCTCTGATCAACGGCGTTTTTCTCGTCGCCCTTTGCCTTTCCATCTTCCTCGAGGCGATTCAGCGATTTGTTGAGCCACAAGAGGTATCGAACCCCAAACTTATTCTTGTGGTCGGCTGTATCGGGCTTCTCTCGAACTTCATTGGTCTCTTCCTATTCCACGATCATGGTCACGGTGGCCATTCCCACGGGCATTCGGATGAGGCTCATGCCGCAGAGGAAGGACATTCTCACACCGTTGATATGGAAGACCACACAGTAGCTGATCCAAACGGAAACGTCGCCGAAGTGCTGCCACAAACCCGCGTTGGAGTCTTCCCCTCCGCCGTATCCAACAGTACGAACGCACCCGATCATGCGCATCGTCGATCCTCGTCTAGCAAGCGCATCTCCAAACGCCACCGCCGCTCCCTGTCTCGCGGCTACCAAACCATCGATGAAGTCTACGTGCATCCCTCATCCTTCCGTCACAGTATTATTGAGGCTGGTCGTATGGAGGAACAAGAAGACTCAGGTTCGGATGCCGACAACGAAAACGCCACCGAGGATGTAGACGAGCCCACGGAACAAACCTCGCTCCTGTCAACGAGCAAAGGACCAGCTTCGCCCAAGAAAAAGCGAGATTGCCATACCGATCATAAGCACAGCAAGCCAAAAGAGAGCACTGGTGGACATGGAGGCCACGGCCACAGCCATGATCTGAACATGCGGGGCGTCTTCTTGCACGTTCTTGGCGATGCTCTCGGAAACGTTGGTGTCATCGCATCTGCGCTTATCATCTGGCTGACCCCGTTCTGGTGGAGGTTCTACTCGGACCCGGCCATCTCACTGATTATTACCGTCATCATCCTTGCCTCCGCTATTCCTCTCTGCAAAGCTGCGTCGCGCATTCTTCTCCAAGCAGTCCCAGCAGGTCTTTCGATAGACGACATCAAAGATGACATTACCGAGCTAGATGGCGTCATCTCGTGCCACCATTTGCACGTTTGGCAGCTTTCGGACACTAAACTGGTTGCCTCGCTCCACGTGCAGGTCAACATCGACTTCGAGGGCCAGGGCTCAGCGCGGTACATGTCTCTTGCGCGAGAGATCCGGCAATGCCTCCACGAATACGGTATACACTCGTCCACGATCCAGCCCGAGTTCTGCCTTGATTCATCACACGATCACTCTGCGGGCAATAGCAGCGCCGAAGAGACTGCTGTTGGGCCTAGGGCATCCGGGCAGAACAGCAAGACGGGCAGTGTACGAGGAGACGCAGAAGCTTGTCTGCTCGAGTGCGGCGATGCTTGCGGAAGCAGCAAACAGTGCTGTGACCCTGGCGTCAAGGGTTGCGCAGGCGCCAAATAAAAGCTCGCGCGCTCGAACTCGACCATTCGTGTATACTTTGTAATGGTGAAACCCGGGCGGAATTTTCCATATGAAGCCGATGTAGACTGCTCGCCCGTTGCATACTTTTCCTTTGTTACAATTCTTTGATGTAAATTACTGCATACATGGTGTTAAAGATGGACCAGGCACAAAGACCCCTTGTGAGGGTTGTAGGCTATAATTGTGTGATAGGGAGGTTTCCTAGTGTCTCTACGCGTGCATCTTGATGCTGCGTGTTACTGGTATCCGACATGGACCACAAATTTTTTTTCTTTCTCTTTTTCATTTGTTCTTGTTCCTTTCGAGTTCAAAGTATTGGTACAGAGCATAGTGAATGAATGCACGTATGTACCTAGGTATAGAAACCTGTGATGGCAAGGCGTCTGCAATGTTGGTACTGGACTGGGCGTGACTGACGATTGATGTTATAGACCAAACAGCAGTAGCAGCCTGTGACGTAGGCAATATACGGAAGGCGAACAAGGCTCGGGTTATACAGATGTGCGTATCAGAGCCTAAAGCCGGCAGTTCAAGGCAAGATTGAACGTCATGAGGGCGAAGATGCGGGGAAGGAAGCAAGACGATATCAACCGCCAACAAACGGACGAACGAGTGCACGCATACGGCTTACATGCATGCACGTAGGAACGCCTTTTCGTTGAACTAGTCGGCTCCTCTGACAACGTCCAACATGGTGTTCGGGCACCGCGGCAGATGTCGCACGACCAATATATAAAAAATCGCGGGGACGGATACAGGTCCGAAGAACTAAGACTTGTAGGTCCCAGACTTTTTTTCCCAAATGTGGATACGCAGCAGATAAAGGATGGCTGGTAGGGTGGATACAGCAGCAAAGATGCGGAACGCAGCGGTTTCTCTGCTAGATTGGATTTGGTAATGGGAACACGCTGTGGGTAATGTGGGACCGACAGCCAGAGACTCAGGGACCGACCTTGAGAAAGCGAGAGATAGTGAGAGGAGAGGGGAACAAGGGAACAAGACAGATATCAAAAAAAGGTGGAGCAGCTTGGGAATAGGATTCCCAGGACCGGAGATTTGGTACGCTAGAAGCATCTTTTTTCTGTGCCTTTTGGTCGTTGGCGTTTTGGCATCTCTTTTGCGGGCTTGTTCCGCGTTTTCATGCCTGCCCCCCCTACCCCCTTTTCCATAGTTTAAGATTGTTTAGTGTTGTGTTTGTCGGGGAGGTCCGATGGGATGGGAAGGTCAGTAAGGTGGCTGGTTCGACTTGACACAATGATGGTGTAAGAGTCCAAGTGTGTACCTAGGCATGTTTTCTCGGATCTCGGAGATTCCGGATAGATGGCTACACTGGACCGCTGATCAGTGTTCCCCAACAGGACATGCTCACGCGCGCATATTTCCAAGACCAGTTGATTACCATGTAGAGTCGCTGGTGAGGGGTCGCGTTCTTGTTAGGTAAGCAAGGAGGCGAACCATGGTGTGGTGTAGCTGTTGGAATCTATGAACTACGGCGGGTCCCGTATTCGGTACGACGTCTAGAGAAACAGCTATGGAATACAGTATTCAAGCGAGAAAGGGCCGCTCGGCAGAGATTCGGCCAGATCAATGATAGATGGATGGTATCAAATGGAATTTTGCGCATTCGAGTTGGAACATGTGTATCAGGCTTCTTTGGAGCAGTGGTCTGGGCTCGGCTGGATTGCACTCTGCCACAGCATGAAGCCGTATCAAAGGATGATGGGATGAAGGGGGAGAGGTCTGAAAAGGGCAGCCACGGCAGCAGCAGAAACAACGGCGGTTCCGAAGCGTACCGCGCAGCATGTACATGGACACAGGAGGAGGAAGAAGGCAAAGAAAGGCAATCGACGGATGGATGAAATGCATGTCATCGTCGTCCAACTGCTGACCGTACAGTACCGTCCATGGCAGAAAGCAGATGTATCCATTGGCAATTGAAGCATGTCCTGTTATCTTGTCAGCATCCGCACAGTCCTAGGGGCGGCATTGCAGTGGCACGTCGTTGTATTGAGGAGTGCAGTGGGCTTCCTGTTTGGGTGTTGGTTCGGAAGGTGGCGAGAGAAATTTTTGTCAAGACGCCAAGGGCAAAAGCTTGATTGGCCGCGGCGCACCCAAGCTTCCTTGTCGGCAACGGCAATGTTTCTGCTACGGGTTAACCCTCGCGCGCCCAAAGGCGTTACATCGCGTGCCCTGGCCGCCCCCCGAGGCTTGTAGTGCTTGAGCCAGCCACCCGCCGATCTCTCCATCCACACCATCCATTTTTTGATGGAGGATTGATACTCTTCGCCGTTATCTTTACCCTCGGCATCCATTCCATTCCTTCGCGTCTTTCCTATCGCTCATGTCCAATCTAATGTAATTAAGTCTGTGCTGCACTCCCCGGGTGGAGTCGCCCTCGCCTTGCCTGCTGCCCGCTTGTCAATAAATATCATCCTCTCCCCCTCTCTTTCTTCTGCACCCTCGGGTGAAACTCTTGCCGTCTCTCTCTGACTCTTCTCTGTCTCTCTCTCTCTACTTTTGCACCCGATCCAATTCGACGACTCTACGTCTCGCTGCAATCATGAGTGACGAGCACCATGTCGAGGCTGTCACAGTCAAGGCCATGTTGGACACCCCCGCCCATGCGCCCGCTGCACAGCCAACCGTCCTCGACGAGAAGGCTGCCGTGGCTGCTCCCTCGAGCGTCACCCCTTCAGCTGACAAGGGCACCATGGTCGACGACGATGAGCCTTTAGACGGCACCTACCCTACCGAAGAGGAGCGCAAAACCCTGCGTCACGTCGGTGAACCACTGCCCAAGTCCGCTTTCCTGGTCGCCATTGTCGAACTGTGCGAGCGATTCACCTACTACGGAGCATCTGGTTTGTTCCAAAACTACATCCAGCGCCCCTTTGACGGCAGAGACGGCCCAGGTGCTCTCGGCCTCGGTCACCAGGGAGCCACTGGTCTTTCCGTCTTCTTCCAGTTCTTCTGCTATCTTACCCCGATCTTGGGTGCCATCATTGCCGATCAGTACTTGGGCAAATACAACACCATCCTCATCTTCTGTATAGTCTACATTGTCGGTCTTCTGATCCTCACCTTGACCTCCCTCCCTGTCGCTCTCTCTCACGGCGCCGGTCTTGGTGGCTTCGTCACCGCCATCCTGATTATTGGCCTCGGAACCGGTGGTATCAAGTCCAACGTCGCACCTCTTATTGCCGACCAATACAGGCGTCGCCAGATGGTTGTCAAGACTGATGAAAAGACCGGAGAGCGCATCATCATCGATCCCTCCATCACCATCCAGCGCATCTACATGGTTTTCTACTTCTGTATCAACCTTGGCAGTCTGTCCCTGCTGGCCACTCCCTACATGGAGCGCGATATCCACTTCTGGGCTGCTTTCCTGCTCTGCCTGTGCATGTTCTTGGTCGGTACCCTTGTTCTCGTTCTCGGAAAGAAGTTGTACGTTGTGCGCCCACCCCAGGGAAGTGTCATTACCGACTGCTTCCGCGTCATCTTCATGATGATCAAGAACCGCAACATGGACTCCGCAAAGCCCTCCTACCAGGTTGCTATGGGAAACACCGCTACCATGAAATGGAACGACCATTTCGTCGAGGAGGTGAAGCGATCCCTTGTCGCCATGAAGGTCTTTGCCTTCTACCCCCTCTACTGGGTCATCTACGGAAACTTCAGCAACAACTTCGTCAGTCAAGCTGGCCAGATGCGCAGCCACGGCATTCCCAACGATCTCATGCAGAACTTCGACCCCATTGCCATCATTGTCTTCCTCCCCATCATGGACAAGTTCGTGTTCCCCGCCCTCCGCAAGGCTAGAATTCCGTTCCCACCCATCAACCGTATCGTCGTGGGCTTCTTCTTCGCCTCCCTTGCCATGGTGTACGCCGCCGTCATCCAACACTTCATCTACACGTCCGGACCTTGCTTTGAGTCCCCCGGTTGCGACGCTTCTCTCGACGCCGATGGCAACGCCCAAGGAAACGATATTCACATCGCTGCTCAGACCGGTGCATACATGCTTATCGGTATCTCCGAGATCTTCGCCTCTGTTACCGCCCTCGAATACGCATACACCAAGGCTCCCCCAAGCATGAAGTCGTTCGTCCAGTCTATGTACCTCCTTACCAACGCCTTCGGTTCCGCCATCAGCGAAGCTCTCGTCCCCGTCCTGGTTGACCCCAAGATCCAGTGGATGTACGTCGGTCTCGCTTGCGCCAGTTTCGCCACCGGTATCCTCATCTGGGTTCTGTTCCACCACCTCAACGAGACTGAGGATGACATGAATGCCCTTGATAAGGATGAGTTCGATCAGGAGACGCCTCGGGAGGCTAGCTTGAAGCAGGTTTAGATGTCATCGTTGAGCCGGTTGAAACGGCCTGCGAGTTAATTTTTTCTCTTAATTGTACATGTAGTTGAAAGATTGAGGGAGGAGCATAGCGTGCTCTTTCCTCTTTATGAATGAACGGTTGTGTGTCGGTCTTTTATAGTAATGGCATAATGCAAATTTCAAAAAAGTCACTCTTTCCGTCCCTGCGCCATTCAATCGCTGTCTCCGTAACACTAGAGTATGCGCCTCTCTTTTCTTGATAAAGGCCTTGGCGGCCGATGAGATAGATCTAGCATAACACAGTACGTGTGCTGTATTGGTATTCAATGAATGGTCTTCACATTCAAAGTATGTTTCGATCAGACTGGAATGAATAAATAGTACTAATCGTGCCATAGTAGCGTCACCCATCAGACAAAACAAGAACCTACTCAAATACTTGGGTGTTCATCTATAGAAAAAGACTCTCCAATACAGGTCCAAGTCGATAAACTTGTACATGTTGGAGATCAACTTGGTGTGTGTTGTATGCCATCGATATTGGGTAATGAGTACCAGACGCTCAAATGCGCCTTCTGGAACGGTGACTTCAATATTGGAAGTCGCACGTGCGTGGTAAGACCACGTGAATACTCCATAGAGACATCTGGAGGAAAGAACGATATGGTATACCTACCTTGATGGTTCCTGCTGGGTTTGAAACAAAACATGAGCTGCTCTTCATATGACACACTGTAGAATAACCTCTCAACGTACCTTCTGTAAGCTCTGAACATTGATGAAAGTCCTGACAGAGCATTGGCAGCCAATTCCATGGTGGTCCAGACCCCATAATGTACAGACTTCACCTTCACTTTCACTTTCACCAACTTTTCCTCATGTTCACTTTCATATTCATCTCGTATCATGTTGAATCGCCAAGGGCTATCCGTCCTCTGCCCGCCCACGCTCCTTTCAATCTATCGCTCTTTCCCACTTGACCCTGCCCGGCGCTCTTTTTACGATTGTATATGCTGGACCTCGGCCGGTGGAGCATCATCGAGCCAACGCTATCATGAGTCCGCTCCCTAGCCCTTCGATCCAAAAGGCCAATATGGAGGCGAAAGAGGTATTGGACAAGGCCACTGCCAAAGTTAAGAAGCCAGCTCGCAAGCGTCTTTCGAAGAAATACTTGCAGGCACTTCAGCGGCCTACTGCCCCCGCTGGTATGTATATCTTGAACAGTACCGTGTCTTGAGACACTCACAATGAGCACATTAAAACATATCCACTTCAACGTTACTGAATATTGACGTGTGGCTTTAGGCAAGCGATACCCAGTCAAGATCATGGCAGATGGACTCGTGAGCGTGCAGTCTGTTCCTGATTATCTTGTCATTGCGTTAGTAGTTCCTCCTACTCCACTGTCGTTTCGAGAATCACCTGCTGATCTATGCGATAGTTTCCGACGCAATACCAAAGAATCGCCGCTCTTGCGTCTTCCTAAGAACGTGAGGGAGAAGATCTGGAACTACGCACTATACGAAGGAGCTATCGAGATCTACTTGCGGGAGGACGAGCCTAAGCCGTCACCACCTTCGCCTTCTTGCGCATCGCCCGCTTCTGGTGAAGAACCGCGTGTGGATAACGATGGTGATACAGCTCATCTTTTCAGTGAGTCTACGTCGGGTTTGGAGTATAGACCGCCATTCTATGGCACCCTCCCGATTCCTTCTGGCCCCGGAAAGAGGAAGATCAAGCACGCCTGGAACCTCCCCACCACAAGTCGACAAATCTACTCAGAGACAGCAACGCTAGTCTACTCCTTGAACACCTTCGTCTTCGCTGGCACGATCCCCGAATCCTTCGGCGAACGGGACGGTCCTGATGGCGCCCTCGAGGGTTGGGCTGCAGAGCGTACTCGCGCCCAGCTGGATGCCATTACTTCGATTCGTCCGCACTGGTTGGACCTCCTTGCGCAGATCGATAGTCGCAATGGCCGCGTTCTCAGGCAGTACTATCCCAGCTTGAAGACAATCGTATGTGCAAAACGTGCGGTTGGGTATACGTCTGGATGGGTAGTGAGGGGGGATTTGATGAGGTCGACTAAGAGGTCTAGTGCTAGGCTGGAGATTGAGAGGAAGATCAAGGCTCAGGAGGGTAGGGATGTGGAGATTGTGTTTTGAGCGTCGAGATCGTGAGGCATGATCATTTGAGAGAAGAATGGACAAATGAAGAGGAGGAGAGGGGAGCTGAGCGGCATACGGAAGCTCGAAGGTTTTTCGTTCTTCATCCTAGGATTGCAGGAGCACGGTAACTCATTGGGTACACTGAGATACCAGTTTTCCAAGCCATTTGAGCTGTTCAAGGCTTTAGTCGCTCTAGATCTTTTCTTAATTTCATGGAGACGGGGGAAAATAACAATGGATGAAAATCTTCGCGAAGAAACGAATGAATACGGCAAAAACATGAGAAGGGAGACAGATACATACCCCTTAGGTTGGCTAGCTATCTAGCTATCCGGAAAAATGAGTCGAATGCCCATCTGTCTCTCTCTTCCGCCCTTTCTCTAATGCTGCGTGTACACAGATCCGCCTTTATGCCCCCATTCAAACATGTACGAGAGGAGACGCACTACAAAGGACTAAAGACATCATCACTGCCCTGGGTTTACATGAATAAACTCCCGGGGAGAGAGAGGTACAGCGCAGACGCATCAGACTGCATACAAACGTACATTCCCGATAATAGTGCATCCAAAAAAAGATGATTATCACGGCTGATATCCCACTCTCCATCGCATGTCCTCAAATCGATGGCTCTTGACATGATGTTCTAGTGTAACTAAACACTCTGCGGTTGTAGATTTTGCGGGTATCTGAGTTTTGAATATGTGATAGGCAGGTTGGGGGTGGATTGGCTATCACGATGACGCGGTGTTAACGGAAACGTTTGTACTGGGTTTGAATGCTTGATTATATGGAGAGGCAGCGATGATGGTGCTGGTGGAGGGTTGTGATGGACGAATAAATAAAACGACAGAATGGACTTGTGTGGATATGGACATCGTGCTGAGTGGAACTCCTCTCCATCGACAGTTTACTCCTTCCATTCTGTTGTATTGAAGATTCATATCTCTCTCGCAGTCTGATTGCGTGAAAGAGTGGGTGAGAAAGAGTGACTCAGGACAAGAAAGGCAGCACAGGAGAACGGAGGAGCCACAGAGATGAAAAAAAGGGTGGGAACGTGTTGATTCATTCATTCAAAGGGATGTGGGCGATGGCTACATCTCTGTAAACTACACCATGTCAAACGCCTCCTCGTTCCCCCTCCTCCTTTCCTGCGTCTTGATTGATTTCTGCCTGAGCTAAGGGGTGAGTGTGGGGGGAAGTTCAGCGAACACGGAGGTCACAATGCTGGACTGATCATGCGGCAGGGTGCTGGTCGATGCATGCAAGCTGGTAAAGCAATGTCATGTTAGCGCTGAGGGCTGCTTTTCACCCGTTTTCTGAGTCTTACAACATGGATTCCGTGGGGGGGGGTTAGGATTGGGATTGAGATGAGGTTTCAATCCTCCAATGCTTGCTCAGTGGATGCCAGCTCCACGTCTCAAGTGCCGAACATAGCCACTCCCCACTTCTTCTTGATTATTCCGTGGATGATGAAGAATTAGACAGGATGAGGTGAAGCAATAGACGACTGCCAATACTGCGAGATGCTGGTATGGCATACGAACATCCTAGCGCCGGATATCCTCCCCTTCTCGTTTTTGAGACCGTGGGGACGTGGTAAGGGGGTGAGATGAGGCCAAACATGGATCCAATGCAACTGTAGCTGACTGAGTTGATGTTGGCGATGTCTCATTAGCGCCGGGTCTTTCTCCTCTTCGCCCTCTCTTCGCTTTACTTGAGTATGAATAGCGTGGGGGTTGAATGAAGCCAGCGATGCAAGCTTCGTAGGTGGATCTTTGAATGATGTCGGAATGTCTTTCGGTTAGTTCTAAGCATTGTCTGCTTCTCCAAAATTGACTCGTATCGACGCCACCGTTTCAACAAGAGGATTCAACAGTTTGCGTAGGCAAAGTGATCACTGCTTTCGGTGCTTTGCGCAGATCAAGTCGTAAACATTGGTATGGGGTCCACCAAGCTCACAAGAATGATATCATCCCACGGTCAGTGATGGTTGTTTACAAGACAGTGGTAAGGAATGAAGTTCAGACACCGATATGGTAGGGGTTCAGGCCATCCTTGTTCCTGAATGAACGTGGGGTGGATGGACGAGAACCTTGCGAAGAATATGCATCCGAAGGGTCTAGATATCATGCGTGGGATGTTCTCCTGTTTATACAACACAAAGAAGGCAATGATGAACGCCGTATCTCGTATGTCCAGCGCCTGGCAATTCTTTTGGTGGAACTTGCCACATGGGTTCATGAACAATTCCAGTATAGCAGGCGGGGTTTAGCGGTGAGTGAAAGGGCAGGTTTGTTGCTGGAGCGAGCCTGCTGATTTGTGAAGTTGAAGCATCTAGAGGGATATGCTTGTCGGGCGGGTCTATACGCATCCAATGAATATGTTCCGTAGCGTTGGCAAGGGAGAGACGGTGGATTTCGGTGGAGAAATGTGATTAACCTGTTTTCGACATTGTGAGACAACATATGAAAGCAAAATGGATACTTTCCTGACCTCTTCTCGACGCTTGCAAGGCCATATCTCGAGTAGCCGTGCAGGACACTCGTTCGACACGGGTGGCATATGTCTAAAGAGACTCACAATACTTCCACGGCCGGGAAAGTCATCGTGACCCCTGCCATAGCACTTTTGATCAAACGGAATTGAACGCTCCTGCCCATGGGGATGACGCTATTTGACGCCCTAAGAGCTCTGAGCATGTAGGAATGCAGGGGTAGTTACTGGATTGAATGCTAACAGCATCCAATGAATGTCGCAAAAGGACTGCTTATGCAATATGCAGAGCGCGTAAGAAATAACGTCACACGACCTGGCCCTCGATACGCCGCCTGCGGAGAGGCGCGGAGGGGGGGAGGGAGAAGGTGGCTTAGATGGTCGTGGAGTTGGAGACGAGGTCAGTGCCGCTAGTCGTATGATGTCGGTCCTGCGCGCATACAGGGTCCGGATAGTGCTCATAGTCTGATCAAAGTGCGGGGCTAGCGAATGATGAGGAATACGGTCAGTCAACGGTCTCGTTTGGGCAATTCCTTTCCCTATCCCCATCAAGGAGACAAAATATGGGGTATGCCCCCCCTGTGAACCCAATCATGCACCGTTTCGGTGATATTGGCGTAAACGGGACAGGTGTGGTAGGGGCGGGACGTGTTGTCGCTCAGCTGTCTCTGCTGCACGTCATTCGGATGGGCGCCATGCTTACGAGCGGTTGGCTGCATTCGTGGTGGGAGGTAGGTGTGGCCCATTCTGACAGTTGCTCGAGCTGATGTACATGTGCGCTAAGCAGCCCTAGCCTCTGCGATTGGCATAAGGGTTCTCATTGCAAAGATGCGTGCCCCCCTCACAGCCAAGGAATACGGTCCCTGGTCATCAGATGATATGTGTAACATTATTCGTGCTGCAGCTGCAATTGAGGCATTTTTTTGCTGGTCCAGACGATGCTCTACTGGTTGATGAAGAGTAATGGAACGGTAAGGGTGGGCAAGTACTGCCGTTGAGCATCGGAGAGAGACGGCGTGGGGGTGGGGATGGCGACGATCTGGGTTCCTGAGCACACGACACGGAAATGGGGATTGTTGAGGGTAAGTGGCTACGGATCCGGGTCAGGTTTTGGAGATGATGTTGGGACTAGATCTGGGCATCCCACGCTGTAGCGTCCTTGTAGGGCTCCAATGGTTCCGACATATAGCCGAAGCCATCCCACGTTACTAGCCTCCTGAGCGGATCGTACGCTGGGTCTGGGTCTGCCATCGTCTGGGCGGCATCTGCTGGGTGCGGAGAGTGGGATGTCTGCTGTGCAAAATGTAACCGACAGAAAGAGCCTCGATGAAGCTAACCGCGGTCGGATCTCAGTACCCGAGTGCGAGTCTGTGTGGGCAGTCTTCGTTGAATTCTGAGAGACCATGTACCTACATGTCTATGTACACGATGGCTCAGGCTTACCAGGTGACTCGAGGAACCCCAGACCATTTGCGCTTAGATGCGCCCATTCAAACATACACATCCCGCCGGAGCATAACCAGAGTGGCGAAAGTCGACATTGAACTCGGGCGGTTGGGACATGACGGCCACTGATGCTGGAGACGGGCGCAATCCATCCAAACATAGATACACATGTATGTAGCAATACGGCAGATTCAGATCCAGACCCTGGATTGAGTTTATTGGTTTAGTCATGACAAGCGAACAACCCGTCACCGTTGACGACTTCTCGCACTACCGGAAATCATCACTATATGGCGAACGAACATTCCCGTCTTCGTCCAGTCTACCATGCAACGTCGTATTCCGAACCCCTCATTCCATTTCGCCTTCTTTTTCGTCCTGCGCCGTAACATGGCTAGCTGCAAGATATTTTTCCGTCCATCTGTTTCCCTCGCCTGTGCCACTGGCGTCCAGCGGACCGCCACCCCATCTACCGCGATACATAGCCGTATCCGACTCTCAACATCTGCTTATCCTTCATCATGACGGTTTACCTGTTGCGGATCCTACCGACGAGTACAAGGTTGATGACGAGCTAGACACGAGGCGGTCTAGTCTCCGCAGCTACAACATCACATGGTCTTGTATGAACGGTAATAAGGTCGCCAAGCGCGGCGGGTGGAGAGCGGCATAGTTTGTATAGTGCGTAGGCTGATGGAATGGTGTATAGGAAAAGAGGGGTTGCGTTGGGCACCATCAGCGGCGGATATTTTTGTCCATCATGGATGCGCGCGCGTGCAGGAGGGTGGAAGCATTGCGGGTAGCGATGATGATGCGGACGGGGGGAGCGAGCTGATGTCGGAGTCAAGACTGAGTATCATGCGAGTCAACTGGGCCAGAGATTGTGCAGTGCAGAGGCGAGAGGTGGCAGCAAGGTCGGCAACGTGGTGGTTCAGCACAGCAAGGCGGGGAAAATGGCCAGGTTGCTCTCTCTGATCGACAATTTGTGGGGTAATAGCGCTGTAGGTTTGCTGGGCTGGCCACCCATCTAATCAGATTCTGGCCATTGCTGTTGCTGTGTGGGTGTGTCTATGAGCCAACTTGACCAAGTCGACTTGCCTGCTTGCCTCGGTTGTGGCGAGGCTGTGTGCATGACATATGCCATATGCCCGTACATACATGGCACTATAGACTCGCCGACGACAGCACACACACTCTCAGCAGGCTGGGTACTAAGGTGCAGCAGCGTCGATGACCTGCATTTCAATTACGAAAAACACACGTCGGGACGCAGCAGAGAGGGAAAAATTTTCCATTTTGACCGCGTGCTGAGTCGTGCAGGCGCATATGCCGTCGGAAGATGGACGGGAGAGGAAATGAATGCATCGCCTTCAGCAGTCAAAAGCCGGTCCATGTCTTGGATCGGGGACGGTGTCTGCAGGGAGCAGCAGTACTACACAGTGAGTGAACGAGAAGAATCCATGTGCGAGAAGAGCGTGGGGAAGTCAACAGCAGTCGGCCAGGAACCATCATCCACAGAATTGCTTGCTGGGTTCAAGGAGGCCGGGGGATTAGCAAAACTTGGCCTCAATAGAATGTATTCCGCATCGTTGGGTCGTGTTGCCCATGTCTGCCGGCGCATGGCTTACCTAGTACATACAGTAGACAACCTACAGGCTGCAGGCAGGGAGCTGATTTGGGCTCCTCCCCTCGCCCTCATTTGAACGGTGGTTGGCGCCGAGAGGGAGCATGTGGCAGCCACACACAGAGCAGCAGCACTGCGCAGGTCGTCATTGTTCATCACAATTGCCCCCCGTGAGGATCAACGGCGGGGTCTGAGTGGAAAAGAGGACGGGTGGACAGAGGAAGGCGATGTGATTGTGATGTCGGGGAGCTACGAATGAGCTGGGTGAGGCAACCCGACGCCGGTCTCGCAAACCCCTGGCCAACGCCACCAGATGAGAGGGGGGTCGCGTAGCGTGGGGGTGTGTATAATCATCGACGACGACGACCTTTGGAATGCCCGTTTGGAACGACTAGCTGTTGGCTGGTCCCCGTGCACGCACTTATGCGCTTTGTTGTATGTATAATTGGTGATGTGGTGATTGATGGGGACCGGAGGTAGGTGCCACGTCTCGCATACATCCATACATAGATACATTGCACATGGCCAGATAGTAGCGAGAGGAGCAGGCAGAGCAGGCAAGCAAGCATGCACGCTGCGTGCTGCTTGATGACGGACGAGAACAGGGCATCCCGACTGGCACCACGAGGGGCGGTAGAGCGTCCAGGGGTGAGTAGAGAGTTGGATATCAGATGATCGCATGTAGTGAGTTGAGGATGGATGGAGGACATGACTTGGTTGAATCCAGTAGTAGTCGGTCTGCCTACGGTACCAGCAGCAGCCCCACCCCCACACTAACTGTGCTGCAGCCCTCCGAACCGCCGCCTGGTCCAACGTCTCAGAGCTTTGCCAACTTTTTTTTTCTTCCTACTCTTCCCTTTCCCTCGTATGCTGCGATGATCATTGGCCTATCACGGCCTGGAATCGTCCCTTCGCTTGTGAGATCATCACCCCAGTCGATAAATCGAGTTCCTCCCTGACCGACCATTTCCTTTACGAGCTGAAAGGCGGGAAAAAACAAAACACAATGGGGCACGCACAGCCAAACTCGTGACCCGCCAGATAGCATCAATCGCGCGATAAAGATTGCAAAAAGCAAGAGTCGAATCACAAACTCTACGGAGCGATGCGCCGGCTCCATTGGTGAAGCGTCAGGATACCACTGTTCAGCCTGGCGGTGGCCAAGCCGCTCACAGCCGTGCCTGGCATCATCATGGGCACAGCGCAGTCACCGCCCCTTCGGACATGAATCCATCTCAGCCATGCTGTGCCCTGCTTGCCTGTGTGCGTACGTGCGTCAATCCAAACGACAAAACGGCAGACGAAGGCATGTGGGCAGCATGTGCTTGTTTGTCGTCAGCTGGACCCCCACACGAACGAACGAACTCAGGCTTGTGTCCTGGCCAGCTTGACTAACTGCGTCGGATGCACCACCGCCCTCGCCTTCCTTCTTGCCCTATGTCGACTATTTAAGTAGCCTTATCCTTCCATCCTCAAACGAGATATAGTCAACCCGTTAGTCCCACCATTTGACGTATCCGTCCCCTTCTTTCACGACTTAGCCCCTCACGCCTCCAATTGCTCTTTGTCACCAGTCTCCGCTTCTCCACAACCGCTTTGTCAATATAAAACCTCCCTCCACCACCACTTTGGAATCCTTCATCATGTCACCGCACCACGACGCACCCTCTCCTGCATCTAGCTTCATCACTTCTTCCTCACACTACCCTGTGCAACATCAGACAACACACCCCTTCTACAACATGACCTACCACGATACATTCGAGACCAGTTCCATTGAATCAGACATCGGCCTTCGTCGATCTCTGGTCCCAGGCATCTATGTCCCAACAGTGGCCTTCTTCGACCCTGCCAACGACAATGTCGATGTGGAGACTACAGCCCAACACGCAGTTCGTCTGGCACAAGCAGGCGTTGCTGGCATTACCACTCAGGGTTCCAATGGGGAAGCTGTCCATCTTTCTCACCGCGAACGCAACCTCGTCACCAGCACCACTCGCAGGGCTTTGGATGACGCAGGGTTCGGTTCCATGCCCATCATCGTTGGCTGCGGAGCCCAGTCCACTCGCGAGGCTATCGAACTCTGTGAGGAGGCTGCTGTTAGTGGAGGCGACTACGCCTTGGTGCTTCCCCCAAGCTACTACCAAGGCCTCTTTTCCAAAGACACTGTGCTCAGTTTCTTCAGGGATCTAGCATCAGCATCACCTATTCCTATTCTCATCTACAACTACCCAGGTGCCGTTTCTGGAATGGATCTCAATTCTGATGTCATCATCGACCTCGCACAGCACCCCAACATTGTCGGTTGCAAGTTGACCTGTGGCAACACTGGAAAACTGAACCGCATTGCTGCGGCAACCCGTGCCGCCACAGCTTCGAACCCCGGCTCAGGCTTCATGTGCATGGGTGGTTCGGTTGACTTCACCCTTCAAACCCTGATCGGAGGTGGCTCGGGTATCATTGGCGGCATGGCCAACATTGCACCCAAGACCTGTGTGAAGCTAGTCAACCTTTATGAGTCTGGCGATCTGGTGGCCGCGCAGAAGCTGCAAGCTATTGTAGCCCGCGGCGACTGGGCTGCAATTCAGGGCGGCATCATCGGCACCAAAGCCGCCCTTGAAGCTCACTTTGGCTATGGAGGTTACGCCCGCAAGCCCCTTCCCAGGCCATCCAAGGAAGAGACTAGCAAGTGGCGCGAGTCTTTCGATGAGCTGGTCAGAGTGGAAAAGTCTTTATGAGATGAGAAAAGGACAAGCCTGGTTCCCATCGATACATTTCCACCATCTGTTCCATCAATGTCGAATCGAATCATCTTCAACAGTTCCCGAGATTGCACCCACTAGCATCGAGCGCTCTTGCATAGACACCGGCGCCCCCTGATTTCTTTTCAGCCATTTTCAGCGATCTCATTTGCACGACGAAAGGAAGATGAACCATCCGAACGGAACTCGACGTAATTCTCATGGATTTTTCGGGTTCCCTACTGCTGCTACTTCCTTCGTTTTCTTTTTTACCATTTAGTCCCAAAAGCTTTCACTACGCTTCCACGCCACGTTTGATCGTCCAAAAAGTTTCCACCTCCTCCAAAAGTCGCAGTGCCAAGCGAGCATATTCATGTATATAGCAATTTCGTTTCTTTCCATTTCCTTTTTTTTCCTCGTTTCCCAGGTGGAATAGCCGACCGGCGGAGCTGGTCAAACATTCGGACGGACGGACAACAGGATTGGGTGGTTATCTGCAGTTTTAAATATATCTTTGCATATATCTATCGATCAAAACCTTGCTCTTTCCCATCCCACACCATGCAGTAAAATGCAACACCAAATACTTGCACACCTGTCAAAATCTGCATGGCATTACTTTGTATGCACAATAGTATGCGGACCCCGACAGAGTCTCTTTCAATGCTGGATATGCCGAGAAGCTATCATTGCAGAGAATACGTACAAACATCTCCCTCATCGTATAAACCCCTGGCTCAAACCCCCTTTCTATTATGTAACATGTGTCATGCAATGCACTTGTTACAGTTAGCTACCCGCATGCAGCCATACGTCCCCCACAGGTAAGCGCTCGCGAGACCATCGAGATGTCGAACCGCCAACACCCCTTCCTGCTTCCACTTAATTACGACAAAGAATCGGAACTTTCCTCGCTTTCGTGTCCACTAGAACCGCTCTTTGCTAAAGAAGAGACAGGGCGCTTGGCAATGCGGTTTTCTGACCCAATGGCACGGTAGTAGCTGGATTGACTGGCTGATCTTGCTCATCATGTCAAGATTTCATGCTACATATGTAGCAAAACAAGGCGGATCAACTTTTTCCCGATACAAACTTTATACGGGGTTACTCCGAGGAAACCACACTCTTGTTCAATTGCTGTCTTGACTATTACACAACGTACGCAAACACATCCACGCCTACCTGAAAAACCAATCAATTGTACGAATATTGAAACACAAGCGTTGCAAGATAGAAACAGCCAGCATCATACAAAAGTTTTCTACATGCATCTATATACCGTAAAATCTGCCATTTAATGGCTGCACCACTGTTTTACAAAGTAGCTATATTGAGTATAACTCAGGAAAAAGGAGAGCTCCTACTTCGCAGATTCAGGTACATTAGATGTCTAGTAATTCTAGTTATTCCAAGAACTGTCACTTACTCTAATGCGAATAAGAGCAATGGTGCATTCACTGGGTGCCCAGATCTTACGGTATCCAGGAAGATGGAAGGCAGACAGTGCTCGTGGAGAGGCTAAGTCTACTCCAGGCCACCTACCTTAAACGGGCAATTCGTGTCTGAGTCCATGTATTGTTTATTGAATATAGACTTGTTTGATGTAGTGCGGATAAAGGGTAGCTACATGTCGATAGTGAGACATGCATGAGTACAAGCAAAGTCGTGGGAGGAGAAAGGGAGCGGGTGGATTATCGGAACGACAGCTATGAAATCCAATCCAACCAAGAAGGAACGAAGATGAATTGATCTAGCCCGAATTCTACTTTCCTGCTGATATATCTCTCCACACTCTCGCTACGTCGGTCAACTCATGAAACTATGTTCAACAATCCCAGCCACTAGACGTGTCAATGAGCGCGCCCGTGCTAGCCAAAGACATGTAGTTCATGCCGTACAACTTCATCACATTACTCAAACGCACCTGACACACGCACGTTCTCCAAATTCCCACCGTTCGTGTCGACTGTATGCAGACACGCGTGAAACGTACGATATCTACGTATGTACGTGGACTGGCATATGATAAATTATACCGAGCTCTTACCCCTCTTTCGCCACCGCGGACAAGATAGTGATGGCGGGGTGTTTGTCGACGTTGTCTTTCCCAGATCAGTCATCGTGGATTTTATTTTGAGTTCGTTGAATAATCCAAGTTCTTGCTTTTATTTCCATCCTCCTCTTTTGTTTTTACAGTCTCTTGCGGCTTCCCCACCACGACCGGTCCATTAGCTACCTAGGTAGCTTCCCCAAGGACACCCCACAACTCACCGTGCCCCCCTCTCTCTCCTTCACTTCCCCCGCATACTCCCCAAAAATCCACTACTATCCCTCCTGAAAACCGTTCAGTTAAATCAATTGCGAGAAAAAAAGAAAATCTTGGAAAATGGAGACAGCGAAACAGCCCGACCCCTCATGCGGGGTACAGTCACAGCAACAACCAGAACAGCATAAGGGAAAGGAGCAGCTGCGAGTTTCCCCGCGCCTGACACTGCAAGCACCTCTTTCACGCCGCGGACACGGCCCAGGCGTTATCCTTGTTGCGGATCACTATGCTGCGCTGAAGAAGAGCGATGCCAGTCTTGATCCGCCGCCGCTTGTCAAGTGGGCTGAGGAAGGGTTTGCAGTGGCTCTTCTGTTGGTTCCTGGCGGGGCTGGTGAGTTCATGTTTCTTATTTGTTTACAGGGATATTATTCTGTGACTTCTTTGTGGAGTTTCCGTGTGTTCGTTGTGAGTCGTGAGTTGTTGAGGTTTTGAGTCCTGGGGGTTGTGTGTGCAAGTGTGCGGGTTCACGATTTCAGGGGGAAAGGAGTGGAAGAACCTCGAAGTGGTGACCAGTCACTAACATATATGTGTATTCGTGTGTGATTAGATGATGGTGGTGAATTTCCACTGCAAAGAGCAATTGATGGATTAAAAGGCTTGGAGGGGTGCGATCATGAAGGAGGATTTGGGTTGATATGTAGGTCTTGCAGTTCAATTCCTCCTCCCCCAAGAACAGCCTACGACATTTGAAAGATAACAAACGGCGAATCGTCTCAATACCTTTGCTTCCTACCCAAAGCTGTGGAAGATGAAGTAGAGAAAAAACACTGACCACAACATCCACCAGCATACCTTTCACGAGTTCCTTACTACGTAACGGAAGGCGTCTGCGCATGCCCTGACATCAAAGCTATTGTCTCATTTGGTGGACGAAACTTTGCCTCCTTCTCACCCTCTTCCTCGGACATAGCTCCACAACTCATCCACATAGCCGGTCCCGAGACTCCCCGTAGAGAATCCATGTCAGTCGTGCAAAACCCATTAACCTCAGACCTAACATCTCCACCCGCAACAACAACCTCATCATCATCATCAACAACAGCAAAACACACCCCTCCAAAAACCTACCGCTATCTCAACGCCAAAAGTGATTCCTCCTGGATCCTCCCCAACGATCCATCCTACCACTCCCAATCCGCAGGACTAGCCCACACACGCACCCTCCAATTCCTCAAACCCCTCCTGAACGGACCCTACTTCGACCTCGAAGCCATCTGGGACGAGCACTGTCAGTACGAATTCGGCGAACGCGACGTGGCCAAGACAATGGCAACAATGGTCTCAGAGCCCTACGTAAACCACATCCCCACCATGACGGGCGGGATCGGGAAAGAAGCCCTCACAGCCTTCTACACCAACCACTTCATCTTTGAGAACCCCCCAGATACAGCCCTGGATCTTGTTAGTCGCACCGTGGGGATTGATCGTGTCGTCGATGAGTTTGTGTTTAAGCTCACGCATGATCGCCAGGTCGATTGGCTGCTTCCGGGCGTGCCGGCCACGGGCAAGTATTTGGAGATTCCGTTTACGAGTGTAGTGGGGATTAGGGGGGATCGGTTGTGTCATGAGCATATTTCCTGGGATCAGGCGACTGCGTTGAGGCAGGCGGGGTTGTTGCCTGAGTGGGTTGGGTTCGAGGCGGATTCTGTGGAGGGGAGGACGAGGGGTGAGGGGAAGAGATTTGAAGTCAAGTTGCCGGTTGCCGGGGTTGAGACGGTGAGGAAGTTGGTGGATGAGGGGGCTGTGGAGAGTAACGGGTTGATGGGGAAGGGATGGAGGGAGGTTGACGATGTGTAGAGAATGGATTTTCATAACTTGAGGAGTCATGGAAGATTGGAATTTGAACGATGGGGCAGTGTGCTGGTTTTGATGCGCTCTGGTAGCGCGTTGGGCTGAGGGAATGCAGCGATTTTGCCTTGAAATTGAAGCGATTTTGTTTGGAGTTGCGCTGTCGAAATAACATATATCTGCATTACTAGAACCATATTCTCCTATTTCCTCTGTATCGTCAAGACTTAGTTATGACATGTGAGTCCCATATAAAAAAGGCATTGGAGCGATGAAGATCTATTTGAGGTGAATCCACTTGAATACCGTCTCCATCGTTGGGTATCTTGATAGTTAAAGTCTATAGGCATGGATAGCTATCTAGTTTCCAATTCATAACATGTAGCTGGAGCGTTGTTCCATATCTATAAGATAGGAGAGTCTCCTTCAACGGGTAAAACATACCCAGGAAGTGATGGTAACTACATCTCCTATCTGGGGTTGAACCAGAGTTGTTGTGTTGACACGGAGTTTGAGGTCTGAGAGTCAACCATTCGTTTTCGATGGAAGCCGAGACATAATTCCACGAATGATCAGTCCGAGTGAGAACGATGGAGGAGAGAAGGAGGATATGGCTTCTTGTAAAGCCGTCTAGGCCCCCAGGCCAACAACTCTAAACCGTCCGCGTAACCTCAATGTTATATTTCTCAGCCAAGTCGTACATGGCACCCACAATAGGCTCTACATCCTTACTCTTGATAGGCACCCTATGCGTGCCATCCCACTCAATCAACACCGTACTCCCCTCCTCACAATAGTCATCCAACAGCTTCCGATGCAAATGCAACCCCGCATCCGCCATGCCATGGACATGAATCGTCGGCGACCTCAACACCGCCTCGGCATCAACCTCCTTCACGAACTGAAACCCTTCAGATATATCCGCCGCACTCACCAACGCCCTCGAAGTCAACAACCCGGGGTTCAAATTACTCAACGGCGCCCGTCCAGCAAGCAGAACCCCGAATTTCCATTCCACGCCAGGGATCCCGATCGGACCGGTCCCAACATCCTCCCTGCCTTCGCGACGCGCCAGTTCCTCACGCGCCTGCTGTTCGAGGAGTAAACTCGCGCTCAGCTTCGCGCCCTGACTGAACCCCATCAGCCCGACCCACTCTCCCGTCCCGCCGGCCCGGTCATCTTCTTCCATCGCAGTGCGGATCGAGTACCCAATCTCGTCTATGCAGCTCTCGGCGTCGGTTTCAGGGTGCGACGGCAGCCATCGTAGCCACCGTCGGAATGGTCCGTAGGAGCCGTACACGTGGATCACGTCTGAGTGTGGATCGCAGAGAAACGGGCCGTCTGCCCAGACGAGGCGGAACGAGTGTTGGAGATGGCGGATGAGAGAGCGGGATTGGGCTTTGAAGATTGCAGCGTTGACGCCGCCGCCGTGGAGACAGAGGATTCGGGGGAGGGGTTCTGAGGGGGGGATCTCGGAGGGGATTTTGGTGCCTGGTGGTGGGGTTGCGGTGGAGGGCATCGTGTGGAGTTTGTCTTTGGGGAGTTTGTATCAGGTCTGACGATATATTCCCTGGTGGCTATTCTATCTTTCCCTTATATTTATGAAGCTGATTTCGATATCGCAGTGTTCAGGTAGGGATGTTCAGCTATCTACTTTTCGAACAAGTATATAAGTGGAGGTGAAAGGAGGGATTAAGAAAAAGTTGAAGATGCGGGAAAAGAAACAAACCCCCACTGTAACTCAAGCCGAAGACTGACGCATACAACGCAGTCAGCTCAGCAATTCGATTCGTTGGTGATCCGAGATGTTATCGTATCTCGGACTCCGGGGGGAGGGGTCTCACTGAACTTGAGTGACCCCTCCATGCCCCCCTAAAGCAATTGAGAAGGCCACCGAATACATACCAAGTTCCATGACCACCGTGATTCACCAGAGTTTTCGCTTACGAGCAGAGTCTTTTTGGATGATGTGCAGCAAGATTCATATTCCTGGTTCTGAAGCAAGGGTTGGTAATGGAGATGGCGGGGCCGAACGATGGGGGTTAAGAAGGACGCTAGTTCGTTTTCGAATAGTAGTACTTCGTCAGAGGTTGTTGCAATTCGTCGATTGTTGGTATAATTCATGTAATGATGTTGATTGTATATCATCATTTGAGATATTATGAGATATTATGTATGTGACTAAGAGATGCCTGCTTCCAGCAAGAACAAAAACACCAAAAAGAAATTCAAAATACATACAACAGCAGGTATTCGCCAGTAGTCACCCACCTGACTACTAATCCGCCGGTACCATGCTTAAGTTCAGCTGAGCGAACGGGAAGCACTGTTTTCATGGTCCTATGGTCGTATGTTGAAGAACAACGGTTGTACCAAGTATCTATAGTTGAAAAAAAATCATCAAGTTGTCTAACTCTAATGTTGCTGGAGTAGTTTGGACAGCTCCAGTAGCTATCACAATATCCAGCAGCAACGAAGTGAAACTGAAACCGACACCAGGACGTACTAAGTAGGATAGATCTTGAGTTCCAACTCGAAAGGCAAGCCATTTGTGATGCCCCGACTTCGTCCCCTCACTCCCCTCACTCAGCTCCATCTTCAACCCACTTCAAAGGCTCCAACCCCCTGACCCCCCTCCACTTATTCGTATCCCTCAAAACCTCTCTCCAACATCCCCTCATAACCCATCCCCACCTTCTCATAAAACGCTCCGTAATCTCCCAATTCCCGGGCACCCAAGGATCCCCCCAAACAATCAGCCCGAGCACATCATCCCTTTCCCCCTCTTCATCGACGCAACATCCACCTCCGCATCGGCTGTTATTGGTCGGACCAAGGAGATCGAATGCGAGCGCGCATTCGGTGGAGCCGAGTTTCTTGCCTGAGACACCGGTTTTGCCAGAAAGCCAGGAGCTGATGAAGGCGTCGCGTATGGAGGGTATTGGGAAGATGTCCATCCATGGCGGGTGAGGCGTATGTTGTTGAAGGGGGGTTGGGTGGAGGGATGGCGGGAGAGCTGTGGGAAGGGGGAGGCTAACGATTGCTTTGATCGTGTCGGGTGGTTTTGGGTTAGATTCAGGGGAGCCTGGGTTTGAAAGTCAGTATATTGGCGCGTCTGTTGGAACAGTGATTCATCCAAAGTGTTGGCAACGACACCAGCATGCTACGTGGATTTTCCTGCTAATCTTTATAAGTGGTTCATACTGACAAGGTAAAAATGGTTCAACACCGCCCCATATTATCATAGAATTAGTGAGCAAGGCTCGAAACATGTTTGTGTAAACAGTAGGGATGAGGTGGTCTAGTGTGAGCGGGAAACATATGCGATCAACCAAGCGCGTGTCCATCTTGTCGAGCATCAGAACCAAATCACGGAATCTTTTTATATTGGTCAAATTGTGTTTCCACGGTTTCTCTCGGTCAGGAGTCGCCTGATACACCGCCGGGGTTGGCAAAAGTTCGCCGCGCTGATGACCTTGGTGTACATCTTCTAGTTTCGAGCGTAGAGGAGTTATATGTTGAGGATTCTTTCGACGTCCTGATCAGTTGTCCGATCAGCACAATGTTCACTCTGAAAGGAAAGGTATGCGCATGATAATAGTTTTACATACGGGTTGCTCGTTGGTATAGTCGGTTTTGAACTTTGCGTCTTTCTTTGCGATCAGAAAGAGTGGTCCAATCATCATTCTTCGATAATGCCTTTTACTCGCTAGTTAGACGTGGAATATGATGGATCTTTGCCTAAATTGCCGTTGAGAAACGTACTTCTACAAGAAGGGGAGCCTCGTGGAAATCCATGTGCAGGAAGTCCACTTGCAAATGCGTGCACAGAGTGTTGTAGATCAGTCCGACTTCAATTGCAGAAGTGTCTCGTGAGACGATGTCCTGCGCTGTTGATATGTGTGGCGTCCTGGAGTGATTTGAGTTCACCCAAAGGAAATCTATCGTAGGGAAGTCGATCAGGAAAAGGTATGTCTATCATTATATTCTTGTAAGACCCTGGGTGTCTGACTAAAGGAACAACATTTCTAAGCCGATGTGGTTAGTTTCATGCATGAGCTGACACACTTAACCGAATTGATCTGTCTGGTAAGACTCACCGAATCATACTCGTTGGTGCACTATGAGAACCGGCGGCGCGTAAGATAATCGTAAAAGTGTCGAACGAAAGCATAGATCAGCTGCACAAACGATGAAAGGGGATTAGGTAGTAATAGAGATGGATTATGTAGTGATTTCTCAGCCAATCATTCGGCTCATAGTTCATCTCTCTTCCGCCTCTCCTTCTTTTCTTCCGGCTGCTTCTGCTCTTCCAACTTCGCGCTCTCTACAGATTCGTCCCACATTTTTTTCTTAGGGTTTGGAGGTTGTTGTCTCTCTTGGAGAACTGTCCCATCGCCTCGAACCACGGGCTCCTTTTGTTGTTGCAGGTTCTCCTGGGCAGATTCCCCACTAGCTTGAGCGCTCTGCTCCGCCATCTGTCCTACTGACTGTGAAAGTGACTGGGGTGGGCCTGAATCCGCTGGGTGCCCTCGACCTCCACCACCGACACGTACGTAACGATTGCTGTTTTCAACAACAGGCCTCTTAGGGATTTCGCCTGATGCGCTGGGCTGCACGATCAGACTTGTGGAGGACTGTGATGGATTGATAACACTAGTTGTTGCAGCGGAGGACGTGCCGAGAGGGACGACGGCAAAGAGGATGCGAAAGACAAGTTTGAGTGGCCAGACAAGAAACCAAGAGATAGGTCCATATAGCCAACGTCGGAATACCAGCCAGATTACGGTAGTGATGAGAATGTAGAAAGTAGTTTCGAGATACCACGTGTCGCTTTTTTGGCTTTTGAGCAGCGTTGTCACCAGAGCTTTGCTGTTCGACAGTAAAGTATTGAGGTCCGAATATTTCTCCCCAAGATCAGCAAGTGCCGCTGTGGATTGTTCGAGTGTTTCTTGTGCAAATCTAGAGCGCGAGAGCTCTTGTTGCATCAATTGGTGTGTCCGTCTAAGTGCGCCAGTCACGTCTGAAGAAGCCTGTGCAACTATTTCGCCTTCGGTGGCTTGCGGATTGTTTTTTCGGCGAAGTGTGGAGGAGGGGGTGGAAGACCCAGACTGTAGTGAAGAGAAGAGGAGTTCGCGCTCTTTGAGTTTGGCGCGGTCAGCGTTATGTTTGGCAGTGAGCTGAGCTTTACGGAATTGCGAGCGTGAACTATAGAGAACATGACAGTTAGCAATATAATCAATCATAAATGGCGATACAATGCGACTCACGCTTTTAGGTCTTCTGTCAAGCGAGCCAGGAGCACTGCAAGTCTGCTCTTCTCGCTGTCTCTTGGGCCTTCTTTGACTCTGTCGCGCCGTGACCCGAATCCGGTGGTGGTATTTGCAGCTGCAACGCCCAGAAAGTCTTCGACTTCCTGTCTCACAAGTTCCAAGTCTTCTTCGACGCCTTTCAGAGTTTCGTGTATTTCAGCGCTCAGTTCCAATCGGATATCTCCTTCGTCACCATTGAGTGGTTGGCTGCCTGGTTGGAAGTCTAATTTTGCTAGTCTTTGTACAAGTTGTTGGATCGCTTTGTTCTGATCAGAGAGGGCGGTGAGTCGGGCAATAAGGGTATGGGTGGTGGAGGGGATGGGGGGCATGTTGGACAACCTGAACTGGCATCGAGCCAGAGTGGAAGTGAGTTACTATGACGGTGCCCGCGGCGGAGGGACCGGCGTTTCTTCGGCCCAAGAGCCCCAGAAGTGCAGCCTTGGCATACCACGTTTGTTTCCGGTGATGGGATATACTGGTAGACCGAAGAAGCGGAGAGAGAAGAATCCATTGATTATTCAGAAATTTCTACTGTTGTTCAGGTACGTTCGACTCCCCTTGCATTCCAAAACCCGCAATTGTTAAATCAGCCAGAAGACATAGACCATCCCACTCGCTGCCTTTCGCCCAACCCTGATCCACAGAGAAAGAATGATCACCCGGTTCCTCACCGACGTCCGCGTCCAATTCAACCCCTTCTCCCCTCGTGCAAAGCCTGCGCGGCTTTTCCTCTCCCTGATACCTTCGGATGCGCGGGCCAATGGCCTGACGGTAGCTACACAAATGCTCCCGAGAACGAGCAAGGAGCCCGCAACATTGGGTTTGAAATTCAGTATGTCACCATGATGCATTGGAAAAGGAACCACGAGTGCTTATATATCATGCAGAGGATGGAAAAGAGATGAATCTAGAGCTAGAGAAGATGCGAATAACGGAGGTCATGGAGGAGGTGGACCGGCATTCACGTCAACTAGCAAGGAAGGAGGAGTTATCGGGCAATTGATGGAAGCACACAGCACATCATGTATATGGTACGATTGGTGTATTTGTATTGCATGTATTGGAGTTATGGGATTGGGAGGGGTATCAGCAGACGCTACAAACTGGTTGTGGTTGGTCGTCGTTGTATATGCGATCCTGGACCACGTTCACCGCCATCCTGAATATACCACACATTTTCAACTGTGCAATCTACAACTTGTTGTTACACATAGCTTCACCTCTTCTCGCCCATCCTTCCCATACTGCTCTGCTCTAACCAGAGGGGGCACCGGAGATGAAGAACCACTTGTCGATGCTGGGGTCAATTGGCGCAGGGGACTGGTTCTCGCCAGCGGGGATGTTCAGTTGGGTAGTGTCAGTGCGGTCAGCGGAGTGGGACACGGTGCCGTTGACGCTATTTGATGGATCAGTACTGGTCTTTGACAGTGGAGGTGGGAATTGCAGCTTACAGAGAGAGATCGCCTTTGTTGGTCTTGCCAGTGATGAGTCGCTCCCAAGCCTCAGCACATTCACGGACAATGTCCATGGCGTACTTCTTGTTCTTGCACTCGCCGGAGAAAGCGAACTGGTTCTCGGGCTTGCCATCGGGAATCTTGTAGATGCGGAACCATTCGTTGGTGGCCCTCAGAAGACCGGGCAAGTGGCGCTCGACGTCCTCGACATCGTTGAGCTTAGGCGCAAGCGGGTCGTTCACGTTGATGACAATGATCTTCCAGTCGGTCTCCTCCTCGTCAAGGAGTGCCATAACGCCAAGGACCTTGACCTGGATGACCTCACCGGGCTTGGAGACCAGCTCGCCGATCTCGCAGACGTCCAATGGGTCATTGTCACCCTTGGCCTTGGTCTCGGGGTGGACAACGTTGGGGTCCTCCCATGTCTGCAAAAGCAATTAGCAGGTTGTCCGATGTCGGCATTCACAGTCGTGGTGGGTAGTACCTGGGGGAAGGCACCGTAGTTCCACAGGTAACCCTTGTGGGGGAAGCAGTTCCTGACGTAGCGAAGCTTTCCCTTCTTGATATCCTGCTTTATGGGGTTGAGTTGCTCCTCCTTGGAGATCTGTGACAGACAGGTTAGCAATTACGATTGCTGGTGGCGGGGTAATGTCTCGCGGACGGATGGGTCACTCGCCTCCATCTTTGCGTTCGTCCAGCGGGGAACCTCGACGATCATGTTGAGAACTGTCTGCTGCTCATTGGCATACAGAGGAATGTCGTGGAAAGGCGAGACGGGCACGCCATCCTTCTCGATGAAGATGCGGTGCTCGAGGGTGTTGGCGGCACCAATTTTCCTCGCGGTGTAGACCATTGTTGCGGTTTGTGCAGAGGTGGAGGTGGTGATGGTGGGGTTGGAATGGAAGTGTCCTGCCAGCAACTGTGTCCGCGAGCTGATTTTGTTGACGGTAGCGGTCTTGGTGGGGCAGCCTGGTGCAGGTGCGGAGGGGCGTGGGCGGTGATTAGCCAGGGTGACGAATGTAGCCGCAGCTGGCGAGGGAAAGGAGAAGATCTGACGTCGACAAGACAAAACGACAAGCCCGTTGCCCGAATTGAGCCGTGGCAGGAGAGAAGTGAAGCTCATATAGAATACAGAATAATAATACAGCGCTTCAACCGATAGCTCCCGTCTATAGCGAATAATTGATTGCGGAGAATGCTCTCAAGCCGAGGGCAAAGAAATATTTCCGAGCTCCGAAGATGCTCCGATGCAGCCAATCACGGGTCTGTCTGCTTGTCTACATAACCTACCTAGGTAGGTATCCAGGTGGGAGCACTGGCATCAATTGTTTTGTATAAATGATATATCGATGGCTTTTGTCTCATTGGCATGGGATGCGTACTTTTTCCGGATATGACGCAGTTCAGAAAAAGGAGTCTGCCAATGTTGGAAATCCAACATGGACACATTGCCTACATTCAACTGTCTAGAACAACCTATGACGCCTCCAAAACCCAGGTTGCACAAGAGCATGGCTCCGTGTACTGGTAATACTTTGTACTTCATCGGTTTGTTCAGCGGGTACCAGACCAGTTGTGATGTTCGCAAAGACTTCCCCATACGATGCATGCTGCGATTTGCCAAAGATCGATTCGCGTCCATCGTCTACTTCTTCCTTGCCAAAGGTACCCTGTCCATGGTAATGGTTGGATATCAATGGATGCGTATCATCGAGAGCTCCGTATTGCAGTTCAAGCTCGCGCTGCTCTTGCTGCTCGTATATTCCAGGCATAGAAAGACCATGCACACGCGGACGATATACAGTGCGCAAATCAAGCAGTGGGATTGTCGAGTTCCTTCGCATCGAAGAAGATGACTCGTTCAGTGCCTTCGGTATCCCAAGTATAGGGACTCCTCTGGCTGTATTCCCCTCGTCCATCACATGCTGAGCAACTTCGGCTTGTCGCGCTTCCTCAGCTGCACTTTGATCCAGCTCTCTCTGATTCGATTGGGCCTGAGTGTCGATCTTCGCAAAGATAGAGTCGCGAGTTGCACTATAGCCGTACGTAGGATCAGTTGACGTATGTTTGCCACGAGTATCTTGGAGCGATGCATCTTTGCACTTCAAGGGGCTGGGGACGTGACGACCATGACTAAATCGGTCCTCCCAGATGTCAAGCGTTCGTCCCGACGGTAATGTATAACCTGCAAATGCCTCATTCAAGGGCCTATGATGAGATGCGACTCGATCGGCCGGACTTCTATGTTGGTGCAAGAAATCGAATTGAGTGGATGCGTACGTTTGAGGAGCACGAACATTGCCTGGCTGCATAGAAGAGAAGTAGATCGGATGCTTGTTAGTACTTGATATGTGGCTGACGGTGCCAGCGGGGGCATCTTGAGTGTGCCATGACCTCTTTTCATCCATAGGCCATCCAGTGTGGTCATCAGGTATATAACCCGACTGGCTGATGCTGGGTGTAGATCTCACTGGGCGAGGTGCTTGCATGCCGCTAGAAGCGCGTATCGACTCAGACCAGGAAATATAGCCTTCGCTTTCATGACCAGGTGGTTTCTGCTTGGAGTGATCAGGAGTAGGCGTTCCTGCTCCCACTTCGATAGTAGCCACGACGTTATCAACCACAGATGGAGTTTGCTGAACAAAGTCGTGTCCATCTTTTGCACAGTCGGCGATCTTGTCCTCCACTTGGGCGGACCGTCTAGCAATGAAGTGTGCTGACACTTCCTCCTTTGACCTTGCGTTTATATTCTTGTTTCTCTTGTCGTGACTTTGTGGTGGCGATTGAGGCTCCTCTTCACCGTGTTGTCTTTGGAGAAATTTCATCTCTGAGAAGACCAGGTCTGGCACTATAACAGATCAACTATCAGTGGCAGAATGCGGGGTGCTGCAGCAAAGCTTACAGCCACGCCCCTTGACGGGTGAAGAAGCCCTGCCCATGCTGAACAAGCCCAGCTTGCCTCGAGGCTTCAACTGGACCAATCATCAGGATACGATTGGAACGCCAGGGGCACATCATGTCTTACCGTTAGCCTATCTGTGGACACGTTGCTGGCATGGAAGCTCTGTACCATGTCGCTGTGGTCCTTGTCGACTCTTTTGCGCTTGGCTCTGCGTTTTGACGTCGATGATTCGCCGTGTCTACGATGAGGGTCATGCACCCCCCGTTTCTTTTTATCCTTGGAGGTAGTCTCGTAGCGCTCGACGCGAGTTTTGCGTCGGGGCTGGCGCTTGTAGCTGTGGGCTGAACGGTCACTGTCCGACTGACCACTGGGGTGAGAACTGCTCAGGTTCTTGCGTGGGCCGTTCTCGGGCTCTGGCGGGGGACGTGCTTTGGGCCGTTGTGCAATGTCAAGGAATGAACTGTCCGAACCGATTCGTCCCGTTCTTTGATCCACCCAGTCTGCTCGGTCTGTACGTTTTGGGCGATCGTGGACAGACTTGATCGAGTCTTTGACCGGGCTCGGGGGCTGCTCTGGAGTCACTGTATCATCCAGCCATCGTTGAATGTCCATATTCCACAGCACGTTGAAGCCTGCGATCGGGGAATGGCTAACTGGGGGGGGGGGCGAATGCTGTGAAGCTTTGCTAAAGGAAATCCAAGTCAGTGATGGCATGCACTCGATGTGCAAGTGCCAATATAGCGTTGTACGGCATATCAAAAGCAAGTCGGTGGCAAGAGAAATGCAAGCGAAGATGGTTCTTCGGAGGCGGAGACTGTTGGTGAAGACGGGGGAGCTGTGCAACGGGATGAAGGGATGGTTACACGTCCGAATCAAGGCGGCGGAGACATATGGCAGGAGCATTAGGCCTGAAGAAGGTGGTGGGGTGCAACATGGGGAAGTGACAGCGGAAGGAACGGTTGCTCCTGCCGTCGTTCACAGTTGGGTAAAAGGCAGTCGCCTCGAGTTGGCTGATGCTCGTGTAGCACGCTTTGATATCCACGACTTGAGGATCGGAACGTTGAATGATTGGAAGCGGTGTTTCAAAGGATGAACCAAGATGTCCCTGGGTATTTGACGTGGAATTGTGCGTAGGTAGCTATATAAGTAGACGAGATGAAGTAGGTGGAATCGTCGTTGTATCAAGGGTACATGCATCGAGGACAGGCAAGAAGATGTTTGTCATGGCAGCACAGACGGGGAGGATAGATGGATGATGATACATGACAGCGCAGAAGAGTGGATGCGCGTAGGTGGATATTTGAATCTTGTTGCTGTTGTCCATATGAAGCGGGTGGAGAGGGATGGATGATGGCTGGTTGATAGATACGTACATATGTATGAAGATACATGTAGAGACAGCAGTGAAGGAACAGAGTAGTTGGGCGCACAGACGACGATGGTTCGTTCGGCTAGCTGGTTAGACAAGTAGAGATCCATGGGACGATAGCGATAAGGTCCCAGAGTTGGACGGCTCTCACGCACACGCACACGCACACGCCTTATTTACCAACTAACCGTCTGGTGTGCTCCCACGAGGCGTCCAAACGTCATCTGGCTTGGACCGACTCGATGCTGAGGACCCGTGTTGGGCTGGCATTCGGCCACGATGTTTGGCGTTGGATACAGACTACGTACTCGTTCTCCATGTCCGTGTCCGTTTCTCTATTGCGGGCTAGAGCAAGCAGAAACACAGTACCGTACAGTACATGATGTATATGTGTGTGTGTATGTAGGTCGCATCACACAACGCGCATCCCGCAGCGGCTTGCATAGCTGTGTGGTTGGTGGACTTGTGGTTGTTGCAGCACGCCACCTCACTGACTGCTCCCGGCTGGACTTGTCTTGCTTGTCTTGATGGCTCCTCTCCAGGTCGGCTCTACTCGGCCCGCGCGTTCTCGTCTGGCTGCTCGACTCGATTGAATGCGCTCCTGGTGGTCGTTGGTGTGCAAGGCGGCAGCGGATGGAAAAAGGAACGGCGCTGGGGCGGGTATGGGACAAGTTGGAAAGGTAGTCGGTTGCCGTGAAGGGACGCACGTCGGGAACACGATGTGGACGAGCAGCCTATCAGGCGGGGCTTGGGCGTATCCTCTGCAGACGGGCAATGGGGGGCTAAGGCGGGCATTCCCTGCTTTGGCCTGCAATTGGGCCTGGCAATGCAGCGGGCTAACAAGCGTCTGCAGCGGAGGCACATTGGTAGACGGGCACGGGATGGGCTAGTCCTCAGTCCGAGCCAGCAGCAGCAGCAGCAGCAGCAGCAGCAGTGAATAGCAGCCCTCGTACGTACAGACAGCAGAAAAAGGCCATTAGCCATGACCCTTCCACCCTCCCCTTATTGCTAGACCACCTTTGCAGCCCCCCCCGGCCAGCCCGCTTGATGCCCGTCCAGGCCCCGTTCCAACAAGTCTGAGGTCCATGGCTGGCTTGCTCTGCTCTGCCTTGACGCACCACCACCACCTCACCCTGCTCTGGATATTACTTTTTTCTCTTCACATCGCCCGAGAACCCTGTTCGCCCTCTCCCCAAGCGTCCGCCGTAGCTTAGCGCTTCCTGATTCCTCGCGCGGATATTTACCTGTCCCATATCCTCCAGCCTGCCTGCTGCCCCGCTCTCCGATCTTACCTTACTTTACCTTTACCACCTTCCCTACCTACTTACCTTGCCTTACCTACCGCACCTCTCCCACCTTTTCCTCCATCTCCAACCAACCAACTTTTCCCGCCTACGAAAAAAAAAAACACCCTCCGACCTTTTTGCGCCCAAACAGCCCTTTGCCTGCTTGCCTGCGCAGCCAGCTCGTTACTCTTGTGGTGGCACTCCCTGATCAAATGTTCGTCCTGCCGTCTTGCTCTTGTCGCCTTCACCGTTGCCAGCTCATGCCATGCCTGCCTTGAAGGCTCCTGCCTTCGCGCTTGCGCTCGTCCTTTCCTTTCCACCCGTTCTCGCCGCCGCCGCCGTCATGTCATGAGCTGCTTTGTATCTGTTCCGTTCCGTTCTGCTGTCGTCTGTTGTTTCATGTATCAGTGTACGAGTGTGCGAATTGAGTCTGTTCAGTGCTAGATCAATCGACATCATGTCCAAACTCTTTGTTGGGTAAGTCTTCTCTCCTCCCGTCAACACTCGCGACCCGCGCTGACTCTTGCCAGCGGCCTCGCATGGCACACCGATGATGCGACCCTTCGCCAGAAGTTCGAGGAGTTCGGCCAAGTTGAAGAAGCTGTACGTCGTCTTCGCTCAATCCATTGGGAATTTGCGCCTCTCTCCCGTCATCACCATTTGGCTGACCTACGACTAGGTCGTCGTTAAGGACCGCGATACTGGCCGCAGCCGCGGTTTCGGCTTCGTCCGCTTCGCCCAGGACTCCGAGGCCGATGCTGCCATGCAGAACATGAACAATGTCGAGTAAGTCTTGCCTCCATGTACCCACAACTCGGCCATTGGCCGTCCAAAACGTTTTGCTCACAAGAGACAGGTTCGATGGCCGTACAATCCGCGTCGACAAGGCCTCTGACCGCGCTGCAGGCGGCGGCGGGGGACGTGGTGGAGGCTACGGTGGTGGCGGCGGTGGTTACCGTGGCGGAGGTGGATACGGCGGCGGTCAATGTGAGTCTCGAGTGTGAAGTCATCATCTACTCTTCATGGCTAACACAGTGTCTACAGCCTACGGAGGTCGCGGCGGCGGCTACGGCGGCGGAGGTGGTGCATCCTGGGGTGGCAACGGCGGTGGCGGTGGCTACGCTCCTCGCGGTGGCTACGGCGGCGGTCAAGGCTACGGCGGAGGTCAAGATCAGGGCCAGAACGGTGGTGGTCAATGGTAGACGTGCGGATTGCCGCTTGTTGCGGTTCTCGGCATACAAGACGGCGGTCTTTGTTTCCATTTCCAGTTCTATCGTGGGCGCTGGTCACTGCATCACCTTCTGCGATTCCTCTCACTGTCTAATTGCCAGGGCGGGTTGAAAACATTGCGATTTGAGATGGCAACTGATGAGATGATTGATACCCATCAGAGCTTACTGCTACTGTGCACTGTCTGGTCTTTCTGGGGTTACTAGGCTCGATACTCGTTACAAACAAAAGTTGCAATCTCTTCTAAACACGATGCCATGATGCCGTGCCCATGTGTGTGAGAATCGGATTGTTCCTGCGCAACACGTAATCAGCCAAAGACTACTATCAAAGGAACCGCAGAGGCGATGTCGGCTGCGATTTACCAATTCATTTGTGCGTGGGGAGAGAATCCATCGCGCACGCCCGACTTATCTAGGACGTGCGAACTGCAGGAAAATCTTTGTGGACAGCCCTGCAATGAGGGGTCGAACGAACATGGAATACGAAACCTGCCCCGCCCGCTCGTGCGTGTCCCAGCACGGTGCTCCTACGGATCCCAAACCGACATCTGGGTTCGCCAATTTGGGCCCTCCCCATATTTATCCCATGCCAATGCCTTACTCAAGCTAGGACCTGCGTTTACGGCTGCGCTGCTGCCTTGGGGGCTCGCCGCCTGCCCGAGTCAGCGCCACCGACCAACCTCAAGCCTCAACCTCACGTTTGTCTTGTGTGTTTGCTTGCTTTGCTCCGCCAGACCTTCTTCAAGAAGACGTCATGAGGGACTACCGTTCTATCCACACGCCACTCCTGGGGGAGAAGGACCCTGAGGAACGCAGCACTCGGAATGGCGGCAAGGCTGAAGAATCGACTCCGCTAAAGAAGCTTGTGGCCGCTATGGGTATGCTATGGTTATTTTGGTATATGATTATGGAGGGAACCTTGGTCAAGATCATTTTCCCTGAGCCATCACGGCCTATTGGCAGACCAGTTTCCCACCCATGGAAATCGTTCAGCTGGGATAATGTGAGTTCATTTTGCTTCCGTCTCATCTCCTTTGATTTCTCACATCCATTTCCTGACTGCAAGCGTAGTTCGAAGGCTCGGAGAACTTGGAGTTTCGTCCATGCTACGAGAAGGATCTCCAATGCGCGAAACTTTTACTGCCGCTTGACTACTTCAACGGCACCTATCCGAACCGAACCGTCAGCATAGCTATTACCAAAGTCCCCGCCAAAGTCCCCGTTAGCGATTCCCGTTATGGTGGACCAGTTCTTGTCAACCCGGGCGGTCCTGGAGGCTCGGGCGTCTACTTCGCTCGGGCTGCAGGCAGCATGTTTCAATGGCAGATTGCCCCAGCTCCCGGATCTTTCAAAGACGGCAAGTTTTATGATATCATCGGATTTGATCCTCGCGGAATTGCTTTTTCCGAGCCTGCAGCCAGATGCATGCCTGATGAACCTACCGCATTCGACTGGTACCTCCGACAGGCCACCGAGGGCATGCTTGGGAGTTCGGATGCTGCTTTGAGTCGTCTCTGGTCTATGAATCACGCGTTTGGTGCGTCGTGCAAACAGAATTCGGATGCTGCAGAAGATCCAGATATCAAGCAATACATGTCAACGGCTTCAGTGGCTACGGATATGATCAAGATTGCAGAGAAGCATGCCGAATGGGTCGCCGAGCAGAACAATGTGACCGATTTCAACCGGGATGATGTTAAGCTGCAATATTGGGTAAGTGACTGGCGCATGTATATTGCACGGGAGCACACTAACAATCATCTACTGTACACAGGGGTTCTCTTATGGCACATACCTTGGCTCTACTTTTGCCTCCATGTATCCCGACCGGATTGCTCGTATGGTATTAGACGGTGTTGTCAATGTCTACGATTACGACAACTCCCTCGGCCAAGGAAGTCTCCATGATACAGAAAAAGACCTGAAGAGCTTCTACTCATATTGCAAGGCCGCCGGTTCTACATGCCCCTTTACCTCTCCCACATCTAGCATTCAAGACATTGAACTTCGAGTGCAAAGCATCGTCCAATCGCTCTATCACAATCCAATCATGATCGCCACCCGCGATTACGGTCCAGACATTTTCACCTACACCGATGTCATGACTCTGATCTTCATAACGTTATACGTCCCCAAGTTGTTCCCATGGCTCGCTTTTGTCCTCTCTTCCGTCGAAGACAGGGCCCTAGACGGCTTGTCCGTAGGTAGACCCCAAAATCACGTCTACCAATGTGACTTTGACCCCATCGATCAATGGATCGACGGTAACGTTGCACAAATGGCTGTCCTCTGCGGCGATGGCCTCGACCAAACCTCGACCACCCTCTCCGAATTCGAACAATACTGGCAGCAACTCCACACCATCTCCCCCTCTGTGGGCTCTCTCTGGGCCATGCTCCGCATGGAATGCGCGTCCTGGCCCATCAAGCCTCTGTACCGCTTCGGCGGCACCGATAAATCCGATAGCAAATTCGGCGCGGCAAACGGTACCTCGCACCCGATCCTATGGGTCTCCAGCACAGCGGATCCCGTCACCCCACTCGCCTCCGCTCGCCTCATGCAAGCGCGCTTCCCCGGCTCCGGCCTCCTCATCCAGGACTCGGCGGGCCACTGCTCCTTTGGCAGCGTCGAACCCAGCCCGTGCACCATCGCCCGCGTTCAGAAATATTTCCAGTCCGGCGAATTACCGGATCAGGACACCATCTGCGTACCAGAGGGCGCGCCTTGGTTTGCGTTGAACTCCACGGATCCGGATAGCCCCTTCTACGATCCCGAGTTGGGCCCGCCTGCCGAGAACCCGAAAATCCCGTTCGATGAGAAGAACCCCGATGACTATAATTTGGACAACGAGGATATGCTGCTATACTTGCACGAACGAAGAGTCAACGCGGCCGCGAAGAAGATCCGCAGGTGGGCGGCTGCTCAACCGCACTCTCTAGGCGGGAGTTTGGTCTCGAGGAAAGTTAGGGGGTTGGTCATGGATGCTGTTAGAGGGGACGAGTACGGGTTTCCCGAGTACGACGCTGGGGATTTTCCCTTGGGGGAGGAGTTTTGGAGGTTCGAAGGTCGGTTGAATAGGGCTGAAGGGGATATGAATAGGTTGGGGGGTTCTTTTGGGTTCTGATATCTTTTTTTTTGTCCCATGACCAATGGATGAGGGTAAAAATTAGGTATAACGACGTTCTTTTTTTTTTATAATGAGATTGCAATACGCGGAAGGAATGGGCTATCATGACGAGTTGCTGTTTTGGATTTCCCATGAATTTTTGTGATATTTGATATGTGATATGTTTGAATACATTACTTCCACCGATCCAGACATACATATCCCCATTGGAAAAGATCACCACGGGATAAGAGAAGTGAAATCTATTCGTCTGGAACTGTCTTCCATACTCGTTCGCATCATCGATATGTCATTGGATAAGTATATGTATATATATATATGTGTGTGTGTGTGTGAATGGCATGGCATGGCATGTAATCTGTATCTGCATACAAAACCCCTTGTTAGGCTTCCAAAAAGAGGAAAAGGGGTGATTGATGATGATGATGACGACCCTTCCTTCTCACCCTTCTTTCATGGAGGAGAAAACTAGATGGAGGAGAGTAAAGAACGCCTGGTATAATTTCCTATTCCCTAGCCAGCAAACAAAGAAAGGACAGGAAACCTCACGTACACCGACCAAGAGTGATAAAGAGACAAGAAAAAAAGAACAAGGAAAAGGTAGACATCTACAAGTCATGATTATATGACAAAGTCGCCCAAAGCAACAGCTCTCCTATCCCTGGCGCTCGCATTGTGCACGGCGCGCAGGTCAACTTCCATATCCGAATCGCCGCCCCAGTCAGCGTCTTCGTCTTCGTATCCGTAGTCCACCCCGTCGTCAACACCTCCGCCGTCACCGCTGTTCCACCTCGAGTGCGCACGGCGAGGGTGGTTAGGCGCACTAGCCCATCCAGCGGCGCGTTCTAGCTCAATGATGCCGCCGAAGCGGCGTTCTCCGTTTGCAACAAAGAGGGATTGGCCATCCGGTGTCATGCTGATTCCCGCTGTGGGACCGAAGAAGTCAAAGACCTGCTTCGAATCCCAAGTCTGCGCATTGATGATACTGACGTAGTCGTCTGCTTCGCCGGATACGAGAACGCGGGGCCCGCTGCCGATCGGTGAGAAGCGGAGGACGCGGGGTATGGAGAGTTCTGAGGGTATGCGGGCGAGCGGTTTTGCCCAGTATCTCGCGTCCCATACTACAATGGTCGAGTCTTGGGCGGCTGAAGCGACGTGGATGCCATCGTCCGCCCATGCGCAGGCGAACGCATCGTCGGCGTGAGCGTTGAGCGTCTCGAAGGGCTGGCCTGTTTCCGCATTGGCGATGAGGGTTTCTTGGAAGTCACCGACAATGACACGCATTCGACCGTCAGGACTCGTTGCAGAGCAGTTCACTGCTGCAGGGTACGCAAACGAATGCACAAAAGTGTCGGTCGTGCAGTCTAGGACACGGAGACGAGAGTCGTTCGAACAGAGTACAGCCTGTGGAGTATAGGTCGACCTAGATTTGAACAAGTGGACGTGATTTGAAATGTATGACTTTGACTCGGGTGAGCAATCCTTGATCATGCCTAAGTGGACTGATGTCTCATCATTGGTGGAAAGGTCTGCAATTGCATAGTCCCCTTCGAAGCCGCCTGCAACCAGAACATTATCCTGTGCAGCAAGGGTGGTCACTTGGCTCTTTTGGCCATTCACCATTCGTTTCTGGAGGTCGATTATAGGTACGGCAGGCGATCCCATAGCATCCGTTCGCACTATAGCCTGTTTAGTCGCATAGATGATGTCGTTTCTCGACAATGCAGTCATGAGATTGCGCAATTGGAAATGGGGATATATGACGCGATGTTGTGTATTCATTCGCCGGAAGGAGAAGTAGTTCTCGGAATTGCGCAGTCGCCACGGAAACGTCAGGCCATGGCCCGCATAGAGTTTGTGCTGTATTCTCGACCGTTCAAACTCTTCCCTTTGAGCACGAACATATGAACGAGAGGTACGTTCGGACCAATCGATGCCTTGAAAGTCGCATCTCTCCCCGTTCAAGTCATTGCGATTGATGACTTCCGGAGGATGTACAAGGTCCAGAGAGGGCCAAAAGCCTTTGGGTAATTGCGCATAGTACTGGAAGAAGCTGGTGATGTCTATGAAAGCGGCCGTGTCGTGAATGCTCAGATGCTCTTCGTATGTGCTCGGCGCAAAATCTTGATGACCAGAGGTTGGAAGCGGTACGAAAAAAGTGTTGGGGACGTCGGAGAGGGGAGTGGATAGAGAAGGAATGGGTAAAGGTTCCATGGTGAGGGCTTCTAGGGCAGCGGCATGCTGATCCACAGCAGTTTGCGGTGTCTGTTCCATGTGCACTGAAGCGATGTCGCTGGGTATTTCAGGGGCATGATGTGAGTCAAGAAGGACGTCTGGAGCGCCGAAGCTCTCTGCATAGCCTGTCAGAGACACACCCCCAGGTTCATCATCGTCGTCTGACAGGGTCTGGACATGCCCGACGTGGCCGGTCGGGGGTCTGCTATCAGACAAAGTGGCGAGTATAGCGGCGGCCGAGATGCCGTTGGGTGAAGGCGGCTCACTGGTATCCTGTTGGAATGGGTCCGGATGGGTCGGAAAGGCAGAAGAAGGTATCGCGATAGAAACGGCGACGGCGGGAGAGGTAGAGGAGGAGGTTGCGCTGTCTGTGTTGGTGGCGAAATGGTGCTCGCTATGGGCGTGGGGGGATGAGCTGGCCATCGAAGTCTGGGTGTCCCACACAACGACAGCCAGGACCCTTATGGTCTTCTTGCGCAGCGATGAACAAAACCGAAAAGAAAAAAAAGACGGAAAAGAGACACAGAAAGGAAGGGCAGAGACTGGACGGTGGGTGGTGTCGAGGCTGCGCGGTAGAGTCGAGCAGAGTACCTACTCTACTGCAGTGAAGGGTGCAGGAGCGTGGGAACGGCGGGCAACATGCACAACAGGCAGGCAGGCAGGTAGGCGGACAGGCAGAGGATCAAACAGGCGCAAATGAAACAGGACGGGGGGTGATGATGACAGCAGCAGGCAGGGCTTGTCGGTGACGAGTTATGCAGGCCGGCTATGGATACAGCATGCGGCAATGCTGTGCTCTATTGCGAGGATGCGGGGGGTGTCGCGAGCATGCACTTCGGGAGTTGCAAGCCTCTTTGCGCACTGCGAATGGATCGAGAGGGTCTCGGTAGGCGAGGATGATGGGGGACGTTTGCGCGAGGATATACCAGATAAGGGGAGGGTAATCATGTGGGTGCGAAGTGAATAAGTGGATGAATGAGAAGATGAGAAGATGACGAGGAGCGTGTACTGTAGTTGAGTGGTCGCCTTTGGTCTGGTCTGGTCTGGCCCTGGAACAAGCTACTGTGCCGACGAACGAATGAACAAACCAACATGCAAGAGAACTCGAGGGGCATATCCGCCCTTCGTTCATTCAATCAATCGATTGCCCAGTGACCGGATATTCACTCGTCCATTCTCCCATTACAAGCACACCTGCGATCCGTAGGCGATGCTTCCAACCGTCTCCAATGAGTGCATGCACATGTACAAGTGGATAAGAGTAGTACATGTCACGGCTGGGGCATCATGGCTAGCGAGCACTGGAGCATCACGTAAGCATTCCCCACCTTCTCGTACGTGCTTCTTTTCTTCGCACAAGCAGGCCAGGCGGGTACCCAAAGTACCTACACATGTACCCTTGATGTATCCATCCATGTACAAGGTCCATGTACACGTACATGTCACAGACGCTTTCCCCCCACTCCTTGCATTCACGGCACTAGAACCCAACCAAAAGAGCATACCTGCATCCAATTCATATATTACATACATACGCATCAACACTTATACACGTCCCACAGAAAGCATGCAACATCTAACCAAAAATAAAAACTACCGACTAGCCTCGCGGTTTTTACTGCATGCGTACACTCGCAACCTTCTACTGGCAAATCTGATAACATGGGATTACGAAAAGGGAAAAAAGAACTTCAAGAAGAAGAAGAAAGGAAGACCAGCTAACTAACCCCTCTCCCTCCCCCTCCAAAAAGCAAAAAACAACGGCAACGACAACAACCCCCTCCCCCACTGTGCAACCACACTTTTGTGATACTCTCCCTCTCTGTGCAACCACCAGCTCCACCGAGGCAAACATTTGAAGCGAGAAACCCGCTCTCCCCCCCTTCCCCCCTATTTGGGTAAGCAAAGTAGGGCCTTTGCCGCTCTGGCCGCGACCACGTCGGTAGAAGTATAGGTACATAGTTCCTTTGTCCCTCCTTCTAGCCGAGTCTTTGTTTCTTTTACTCTCCATCCCCCATGTGTACTCGCTACACAACGGTGCTACCATGGTGAGGGAGCTCGAACCCAGCGGCGAGGAACCGAGGACATGTCAATATCGTGCTCCCATGTGTGTGTGTGTGTGTGTGTGTGTGTGTTCTCTCTCTGTCTAATACCGTTGCATGATGACGTGGGATTACCATCCGCTAGGGTTCATGGTATTTGCATTTATAAACAGTTGGGACAGGACAACCACCACTACAGCTACAGCTACAGCTACAGCAGGTAGGACAGCTATTACACACATTGCCATGTCCATGAATATAATTAACCGCCCATACCACCACTTGCCATCTGCCGACATTACCACGTGGCCCTAGCCACCTTACATGTGCACCATGTCACCCCTCCCCCTTGAACCCCTTGAACAATAAACGCTCCACGATAAAATAACATTAAAAAAAACATTCCCGTATGCAAATATATCTAGCTGGACAGTGGACCATGGTACCACAGTCGCAGCCATGCTCACTCCGCTTGCTTTGAACATCCTATGCATGAGACGCTGCAATGCCGAAACCAGAAAATAAAAAGAGCGCACAATTTTTTCTCAGCCGTAGTAGTAATCGCTGGTTTGAGTATGCGTTGGCTGCGAATGCCAACCGCTACTGTGCTTACCGCTGTTTGGTGTTTTGAGTCGTCGTTCTGTGTACCCAACAAGTCAGCCGCAATTCGTACTACATCTCTTCGTGTAAACTTACCAGCTTCAAAGTCGTGCCAGCGTTTCATGGTGATCTTGCTGCTGTCAAACTCTCCTTCGTACTCCAACCCTGCCTTCTTCGTCTTCTCTCCAGCCGTTTTACGCGTGTCACCCCAGCTGAAATCATCAAACTTCCAGTACGCATACGTTGGGAGGACAAAATTCCAGATGGGCAGCGATAGCAGATAGACAAGCATCCAGGCGACATAAGACCAACGATGGGCTGTGACTACAATGAGCACAGCTGGAAGACCCAATATGAGAGCAAGAAGAACAAGTGGAATCACAGGCGCCTCGGTGTGCAGGACAGCGGCTTTGATGGCAATCGCAACTACGCACAAAATAGTCAGTAAACCGTCATTCAGGGAAAATGCAAGGCCGCAGGAGACTTACTCAAGTAGAAAGTAAAGGCAATAGCCGCGGGCAGGACAAGTGTACCGACCAGCTCGATGAACACGACAAACTGCATACTGAAGCAGAAAGTACCGCACAGATCCCGCACCAGTACGAGCTCCATCAAATTGTGGACCGTACTATTGATCCATCGTCTACGCTGCGACAAGAGAACGCTGAATTGGTCGGGTACAATGGTCTTGCAAACAGCCTGGGGCACAAACACTTGCTTGCGCTTGGGGAACGTCTTCAGCATGAGGGTAGACAGGTAGCGATCCTCGCCGAGCAGCAGAAGATTCTTCTTGTGTAACGTGTCTACCACATTCTCCGAGTAATGCTCGACAACGTCAGGGTTCGCAAGGATCGGTACCCAATAGTTCTGTGCACCTTTGGGAGCCTTGATACGATACATGCAGAAACAACCGGGAAGACAGGTCACACCGCCGAAGACGGATTCGAATGACTTTGACAAATGGTGAGAGATGAAATATCTGTTTTTGTTAGCGGGATGTAAGAAATAGGGAGAAAAAAAAAACACGAGAAAGCTTACTCAAACACTTGTATCATGGACACCCACGAGTCGCGCTTGTTGGCAATCTTTGTTTCACCGCAGAGACCCATAATCTCGGGATCCTTGACCATAGCCGATATCATGTGCGTCAGACTGTCAGGGAAAACCTTCGTATCAGCATCAACCATGAGCACGATTTCGTAAAAGTCAGGAGATATGCCCGTGATCTTCCAGATTCCGTTGAACATTTCAAACTCGAGTTCCGTCATGCGCTCGTCGAACATGACCTTTTGCAAAAACGACATGAGAATGATCTGACTGTCTCGCTTTCCACGGTTACCGGGCTTGGACTTGCTTGCCTCGTCAGGAGTACCGCATTTGACGACCACCATCATCGGGACACGTTGTTGTTTCTCGCTCGGGATCCGAGTGTTCTCGCCGTAGTCGTAGAATCCAGAGTAGATCTTGGCCATGTTGTGTCGTTTGGACCCGCTCGCAACAGCGACATAGGAGAAAGCCTGCACTTCATGGGGTTGCACGGCGTGATCTTTCATCATGCCAAGTGCAATCTCGGGGGTGGTTAGATCTTCACCGGCTCCCTTGATCATTCCGTCGCAAATCACCAGAATCAGTTTGTGGCTGTTGGGATAATCGGTCGTGGCAATGGAATCAATCGTGGTCCGTAGACCATCTGCGCCTTCGGAGTACGCGGTAACCAAGCATATCGTGTGTGCCAAGGGATATCCGAAAGGCTGCCACTCGGGAGGAGGCTGGGGAACAACTGCTTCGTGTATAAATCCTGCGGGTCCGGGACCTTCGGCTTCGGCAGATCCGGAGAGCATCAAGCTGGAGCGACTGTCTTGAACAGAGGGTTTACCACCATATGGAAGAGTTCCCTGGCTACCATTGAGCTGACGGTACATGGCGCTTGAATTTTGCGATGACATGAGGCGAGAGGATGCACTTTGACTGGTCATTGTTGTGGGTGCCGCGCGGTTTTTGGTGGTCTTCTCCACAGCGTAGGGACTTGTAAATCTGGACGTAGATGGAAGCATACTTTGACGCTTGCTAGACCTGTCCGGACCGGCAGTATCCATCAGTTTGGGTGGGGGGCGGTAGATATCGTCGCTCCACTCTTCGATTTGCTTTTTCCGTTGCTTGGAATCTGTCTTGCCGAGGCTGGTCTTGGACGCGCCGAACTGCTTGCTGATGAACCACTGGAAAGCCAATGCCAGAACGAACTTGGCGACAACGATGGAAAGAATGAATACCAAAGAGACGTAGAGAACAACCTTGGAAGCAATGCAACCAATGCTTTCCGTGTCGATTGATCCGACCCTGATGATTTGCGTGAAACACCTTGCGACCTGTTTTTCGTAGGCAGAAGAGAAAGCTCGAGTGACATCCACGCCCTTTACTGCTGGGTTTTGTCGAATCTCATCGAATCGGTTAGGATACTCAACCTGGGACGTGTTGAACCATTCGAGGAGGTTCAGATCAAGCACATCTCCACCCCAAACCATGAGGTTACGAGTGCTGTTCTTGATGTCATCCCATGTGAAGTAGACGTCTCCAGCGCTCTGTAGGCCGTAGAACGCCCTTCGGGCTTTATCAGAAGTATGGCATTGGTAACCGTCGTAACGTCCGATGGTCAGGTTCGGCTTGCTGGAGCCGTCTTGATTGTAAACATTGCAAGGCATGTACCAGGAGAGCTCGTCCTCTGGGTTGGTGGCAATTGGTGAGCCGGCTTTCTTCGTGATGAGGCCCTTGCAGTCGCCGTTGACATTCTGGAACATGAAGCTAGCGTCTTTGCCACCAAATTTCTCGGGAAGATCGAACAGAACGTTTGCGTTTTCAGTGACACCGGGAGCCAAAGGATGCCTCGATCCTGTCAGGTCGTATGCTTTACCGTGAACTATCAGATAACCGTTGCCGACCTTGTTGACGCGCAGGCGTGCGCCGCCACCTCCGGGGCAGACCGTCTCCGTGAACCCAAATGTAAGGTATCCAACGACTGCGCAAATCAACAGAATGATGCTGCACAGACCCATTTTTTCTCTCCAAGCGCGCTGCTGGGCCTTTTGGGGCTTTCCAAAGCATCGCAGAATAGCATCGGGTACCCAGAAGGTGATGATTGCACAGTACACGTTCCACAAGCTTGGTGGCCGCAGGGCGTCCTTCTCTTTCTGTCGTTGTTTCTCGAGCTTCTCCATCGTTTTGCTCCGAGCCAGACGACCCGCGGGCTTCTCGTTGAGAGTTTCGTCCTGCTTATCATGGTAACCGCCGGCGGAAGCGTTGCGGAGATGGGGAGGCTTGACGTCGGTGCTATCGGAGCTGACTGTTTCGGCCTCGAGATAATCTTCTCTAATGGGATCGTTGCCGGTGGTAGAGGGTTGTACGGTCATCTTCTGAGCATGCTTTCGGTAGTGGTAGTTGGGATGGTTTGGGTCGATTCGCTGACGCTCGGGACGCACCAAGCTGCGCTTCCTTCCCAAGTCTTGGGAGTTGGAAGGGTGGTGGGCGTGGTTCATTATGGGATCTCTCTCCATGGGGACTGGGGTGTTGGGAGAGGGCAGCGGGCGCGAGGATGCGTGGGCTCCGTTCTTGCTGCTGTGGCGACGGTGGTGGTGAGACCGGGGGCTTTCGAGATCGGACGGTCGACGTCGGCGCGAGGACGAGTCTCGAAAGGCATGGTGTTCATCCCGCCTGGGCGACGAGGCATCCGGTCGCTGAGGCAAGGACATTTTGTGCAAAGGAATGCAGCCCTAAGCTGGTTGCACGGCGTCGCGAGAGAAAGAGCCGGCTCTGCAGGGGAGCAATATAGATAGGCGTGCTAGAAGATTGATGTAGGTATAACGAAATGCTGGCAGCGAGCGAGTGAATGGAGATGTGAAGGGGCGGAGTCGAGGAAGCGGTGTTTCTCGGTGCCGGGGATAGGGCTGGCACCAAACGAAAGCCGCGACCCTCGCAATCAGCGTGAGGAGATTCGGTGCTGGGCGGCTACGATATGCAGCAGCAACAACAACAAGACGATGTGGGCAAGAGCGGATTAGAATAAGAAGACAAACAGACAGACAGAGATATTATGACATGACCTGTGCGAGCCAGTACGAGCGAGCGAGCGACAAGAAAACACCACACACGAGGAGTGTGTTGGTCGGATGGCTTGCTGGGGTTGCGGGTTGCGGTGCCAACGAGGGAGAGGGAGAGAGGGCGGAGGCTCCAGACAGACGCGAGAGGCAACCCCCTGACCGAGTCCGGCAGCGAAGGATGGGATTGGTAGATTTGGCAGATGGGCCCCGGGGTAAACACTTGAGCCGGATTGAGCAGGCCGCCCCCCCAAGAGGCGTGAGGATCATTGATGAGAGAGCCGCAAAGGGCATAAACTGACACTGACATTTGACAGGGAACAAGCGTCCGGGCTCTATTTCTGGGTTGCTCTAGAGACGGCTGGCTAGTCAGGCAATACGGGGTTGCGGCGCCATTGCGTGCGTGGCAAGCAACGCCGCTGCAGTGGTGTTGAGCCTGCCTGGCCTCTATTATCGATCTCACCGTCGACAGAGGTGGCCGGATAGAACAGTAACGGAGAAGTCAACAGGCACGAGCAACGTCGATAGACCTACATCCGTAGTAGATTTCCAATTGGATCTGCTCTGGTTGCAGCCGCGGCTACACGGCACGGGCACCTTGAATGGGCTAAGGCTGACCCTATTTATTTCTATTTATTTTCCGCATGATGGATCCATCCGTCGACTGTAGGCTACAGGTCAAAGTAGTAGGCATTTCTGCTATTTCCAATATTGAGACGGACCAAATCAATATTCGCGCTATCGTTTGTCATAGTCCATGGTCACCAGGCACTTGGTTATACTACCACGCACCGATCCCTAAGCAATTTCAATAATCAATTACGATCCGCCAGGAGTCTCACCGTGCCGAGTCAATCATTGCCACATTGGAATCCGGTCTTCATTGCACATCATCTTGGAAGCTTGGAAGCAGTGGTGACGGACAATGGAAATAAAGTGATGGTATCATGGTGGAACAGTCGCAAGTTGCGTGCTACGAGCACAAGGATATACCGGTTTGGCTGTTTCGTTCGTCCAGTCGATGGGTGGGTGCGTGAGTGGGTGGATTGACGGTTGGTCCACACTATGCATCGTGCCATGCAAGACCGTGCTATGCATGCCCACGTTCTTACTACTGCAGTACATAACCACATGCATCTGCCACTCGCCCCGTGTAGATGCTGCCTACTCCATTTCTGTCACCTAACCACATGATATATGAACAAACTACCCAGAGGCAATGGAAATAGACGCTCATCTCGATTCACGATCCATCATCCATGTTGTTCCATGGCGGCATGGCGAGCGAGATGCAACCCAAATATGCAAGATGTAAGCAAGATGCGAGATGCAAGTACCCACTGCCGCCGCCGAGGATCATAAAAGCTTGAAGCTATAGCCAGCAAGCGAAGGTCGTTGGATGCAACTTGATAATCAAGTTTTGTAGAATCGTCGAGTAGCAGCTTGTTTCTCTTTGATTGCCTCTGATCTTGTCCATGTTTTTTGGTTTTCGCCATGGCATCTCGCCATCTACCCACAGTCACAGCGAGCGAGCGAGGCTGGCTGCACCCGTCTGGCTTCATTCCTCAGCACGTAAAGCGTAACTGCTTCAGTACTAATCCACTCCAGTCAGTCCATGTTAGCAGCCAACGTGTGTGGACCCACCCAGCACACACGGATCGTCATCCATTCCAGCGTGGGCCGCAGGTCGTCCCTCCTGGGAAGCTTGAGGATGTCATAACATCACGCTTGCCGAAACCAGCGCATGTCTCAGAAGACATCGCCCCGGCCAGTTGCGCACAGCTACCAGGCGACGAAGTGCCCGTTGCATAGAAATACCCATGCCTTCGCCTCCAGATGTGATGAATCTTTCTTGCCGCCTGCCTCTGCCTGCCTGCTTGCTTGCTTTCGATAGCGAGAGAAAGGGTGTCTGCCCTTCTGACCATTCAACTTGCCGCTACCTACGTAACGCCATACGCAATCCCCCCAGCCCGCCCGTATCCAAAGCGACAAATCTTGACTGCCCCGAGCACGTTGCGCAATACCGCTTCGAATTCGCACACTCGCTATAATTCTGGTCTTGATAGTTCTTCTTCCCTTCGTTTGCTTCCATAGCCTGCCTCTCCGCCCCCCTCCTCTCCTTGTCCTGTACGATCCGCCTCCGCCGAACAAACGAGAAAAAGAAAGAAAAAAGAAGAAGACAGCTCCAAGTGGGGGTTACATAGTTCGCCGACGCCAGCTTGACCCTGCACATCGGTCGGTGCTAAAGTTACATTCCAGCCCCAAAGCCCGCCCATTGCACCGCTCCCCGATTCATTCGGCATTGACCTCAGCTTTTTTTAAGGGTCTTTGACTATCAATTGTGGTCCAGTGCCGCCCACTTCCGTGTGGCCCCGTAAGTTCCCACCCTCCTCTTTCGAGGAGCCCTGCCCTGCAGGAGGGGATCGTCGTTTACACTAGGCCTCACCGCATGCGCCCATGCTATGAGCTTTGCCGCGGTTGCAGCGTTGCATTCAGAAATATTCAACCCGCATACTCACTGCGTGTGCCTCCATACCGTGATTGCATTCGTTCTTCTCCATTCCCACACACGCCCGAGCTCGCTGTCCGCCCGCCGTCCGTGACCGAAGACGATTCCTCGACCTCGTACCCCGCGTCTTTATACGAGTCAGGCAATATTATAGGGGACCCTCTCTCTCTTGACCACACAGGCTCGCAGCTGGAAAGCTCCTCGAGTGTGCCTTCTCTGTGTTGCTTGGAAAATGGCCATGGCAGAAGCTGCTCCCACCAGTCCAAACAAGACGCTGCCGTCCAAACCTCAGGATCCGTCAGACACGAGTCGATCGAGCCGCTCTAGCACCGACAGCCGTAGACTGTCCCTCCAACGCAAGCCCCTCCCCAGTTCCGCCGTCCCCGCCATCCCCTCGTTCAACATCGACGAACACGAAGACACGACCGCAGGAGGACGTGAATCGAGGCTGTCAGATACCTCCCTTACCCCGAGCGCACACTCAAGAGGTCCTGGAGATGACGTACCGGTAACAAAGGACATTCCCTTTCGACAGCTAAACATTAGCGATAATTCGTACAACTCGCGCCATTCACACGCAGGCCTCCTCGAGATGGCCGCTTCAGCGGACGAGGCCGATCCTACCATGGACACGGAACAGCATTACCCTCAGCAACCTTATACCCACCGGCCCGCACCACCGCCACCGCATGCTGGCACACCTCCCGAAACAGAATCGCGACGGTCATCCAAGAGCGACAACAGCGGTGGTCGTAATACTTTCAATTTTGGGTTCGATGCCCCACTACAAGTACCGCGGTCCACGTTACAACGACCAAGTTCTGCATATACGTTGGGTTCCGAGCTGAACGCACGAGGTCCCACACACTCGCCACATCTGTCGGTCGGTGGTTCGCCATCATCCAATGGCTCGCAAGCCAGTTACGCCCGGCAGCTGTCTGCCAATCGTCGGTCCCCTGATAGCAGGCCTACTTCTTATGTTGACCTGCTCAACTTGCCATACAACCAGCAGATTGCCCCGGCTGCGAACATCGGGAACACGCAACTTAGACATGCTGTAGGCGCAAATGCATCGCTCATGGACACCAAGAAGACGCTTGACATGTACAAGATAAACGTGAAGAAAACGCAAGACAATGTCGTGCAGTATGAGTTTGCTCTTTTCATGGTGCAGGTAGCACGAGAAATCATGGCGGCGGACCCATCGATCGATAGCCATGGGTTGGTGCCAGCAGACATGCTTCGGGAGGCACGACAGATACTGCAGCGGTTAGCGAACAGCAGCTACCCGTTCGCCCAGTACTATCTTGCTGATGGGTATGCGTCAGGCTTGTTCAACAAAGACAAGCCAGACTACGACCGCGCGTTTCCTTTATTTGTTGCGGCCAGCAAACATGGCCACGCCGAGTCTGGCTACCGTACCGCTCTTTGCTATGAGTTTGGGTGGGGGTGCCGAAAGGATTACGCCAAAGCCGTTCAGTTCTACCGCGCTGCAGCATCCAAAAACCATCCAGGTGCCGCTGCTCGTCTAGGCAAAGCTTGTTTGACCGGCGATATGGGATTGCAGAACAAGTATCGAGAAGGTGTGAAATGGCTCAAACGAGCATCCGAATCCGCGGATGGCCAGTACAACACCGCCCCCTACGAACTCGGCCTGCTCCACGAGACCGGCTACGGCGACGACATATTCAAGGACGAGGTCTACGCGGTGCAGCTCTTCACCCAGGCAGCTGAACTGGGTCATGCGGAAGCGGCTTTGAAACTGGGAGAGGCATACGAGCATGGACTCCTCCGTTGTCCCAAAGACGCAGCCCTCTCGGTGCATTACTACAACTGTGCCGCCCAGGCGGACATGCCAGAGGCCATGATGAATCTGTGTGCCTGGTATATGGTTGGTGCCGAACCCGTACTGGAGAAGGATGAGAATGAAGCGTATGAATGGGCAAAGAGAGCAGCCGAACATGGTATGCACAGTGCTTTTACCAACGAAGCCAGGAGATTGCTAATAACTATCTAGGACTTCCAAAAGCCGAGTACGCTTGTGGCTATTTCACGGAAATGGGCATTGGTTGTCGTCGCGACCCCCTCGAAGCCAATGTCTGGTACGTCAAGGCCGCCGATCATGGAGACGAGCGAGCAAAACAACGACTCGCGATTATACAGGCTGCAGCCTCTGGTCAAACCCTCACGCCTACAACAGAAAAGAACAAGCTGAAGAAGGGTGGCAAAGACGAAAACTGCCTGGTTATGTGAACAACTGACGGTTGTTCATTTTCAATCTTGGATGTGCAGAGCCCGATGTTCCAAAACTTGTTGCAGAACCCGCATTGCACTACGGTCCGCATTTTGAGCCATTTTGTTGATTACTGTATGGCGAATTTCCTCTTGTTCCTTGTTCTTGTTCTTGTTCTCGTTCTTGTTCTTGTTCTCGTTCTTGTTCTTGTTCTCGTTCTTGTTCTTCCTCTTTGACTTTGTGCAGCATATTTGAAGGCATTTCCTGGAGACGTTCTATTGCATGGCTGGAAGAAAAAGCATCTTCATTGCATCTGTGTTCGGCTCGAGACAGTTGATTTTGGAGTCCCCGACCCTTTGAAGAACCCAAGGAGCGTCATGTCAGTTCTCAGCATCGAGTAGTCATAAAGCAGTAATTAATAGATGGATGTTGGCGAGCGTCAACAGAAACTCTAGGCTGGTGGTTTGCTACGTGGAAACGGTTGTTCACGGCTTCGTCATTGCCTTCTTCAAGCGCCCCTAATGGCCGGTTACCTAATGCAATGGGCATGTGAGCTCCCGTGAGATAATGGTCACATGGTAATAATGAACCTCTTACGTTAGCCGAATCGGGACGCCGCAATCCAGTATTCCACTGGCCGAGCCAACGCCGAATCGTGGTTCAGTACCGGGTGTTCAAGGTGGATGGAAAACACTGGAGAACATTGATGTCTAAGCCGTAGATGGGCATACTCTCCGAATTACGAAAGCCTGTGGCATAATGCAAAAGGCTCTGACAACGTACGGGATAAGCTTGATAAGCGCTCCGAGTACCTACAAGTAACACCGAAGTTCTTTTGGCTGATCGTTCAAAGGGCGTACGCCTGGCTATCCTGGCCCACTCTGACGCGCGCCATTGGTGGCACGCGCTCTACTCCGTAGCTAGCCGCATCAATTCGGTATCGAGTGCAACACACAAAGGCACCCGCCCGTCATGTTGCGAACTTACAAGTTTGTGCTTTCCCTCTCTCGTTCGTCGCAAATCTCCAATCTTGCATTCTTGCAATCAATCAATTCAAGTCTTTACAACTTAAACGGCCCTGGTTCATCATTCTACATCCATCTACTGTTGCTTGCTACCACCAAACCCAAGTACTTATATATCCACCACCACTTGGGAGCAGATACTCCCAAATCGGAACCAAGAACAGTCCCGAAATCAGAAAAATGGCACCTCCAGCTGCAATCGAGGTTTTGGGTGACTCGGATACCACCGGAATTACCATTCCCGATCCTCTTGCGGTACCGATTCGCACCAATGATATCCTGGGACGTCGAAGGAAGACGGAGAGTCGTCAATGGGGAACTGCAGCTCCATGCGATACAGCAAGCTTCAGGTTGAAAAGTTATGCGGGTAAACCAAAGGCCAAAAGATGGGACCACATTCTCACCGAAGAAGCAAAATCACGCAAGGGAAGCTCGCTCAAAGGAGCCGCCAAATACCTGTCCAAACCTGGACTGATCTCCCTGGGTGGAGGCATACCGTCGAGCGAGTACTTTCCATTCGAGGAACTCTCCGTCAAGGTCCCCGCCAGAGGTCACTTCTCCGAAGAGGAAACGCGAAAGACCGGAGTGACACTCACAGCAGGAAAACACGATCTAGCAAACGGCAAATCCATCTTTGACATATCCACAGCTTTCAACTATGGCCAGGGCGCCGGCTCAGCCCAACTCCTACGATGGTTGACCGAGCACACCGAACTCGTACACGATCTCCAGTACGAGGACTGGGCCTGCACCATGAACGTTGGCAGTACCTCTGGCCTTGAAGCTGCATTCCGCATGTTCACGCGTCCCGGTGATATGATTCTATCCGAAATCTACACCTTCGCCGCTGCCGTCGATTGTGCGACTCCCCTAGGGCTCCGCGTCGCCGGCATTCCCATGGACGACGAAGGCCCTCTTCCAGAAGCCATGGACGACATCCTCGCCAACTGGGACACATCAGCGAGGGGCGCCCGCAAACCACGACTCTTCTACACCGTCCCAACAGGCCAGAACCCCACAGGTTGCACACAACCAGCCTCCCGCCGCAAAGCGCTCTACAAAGTCTGCCAGAAACACGACATCTACATCATCGAAGACGAACCATACTACTTCCTCCAAATGCAGCCGTACACGGGCCAAAACAGCCCAGACGTCCCACCCCCAGCCTCGCACGAAGAATTCCTCAAATCCCTCGTGCCAGGGTACCTCTCCTTCGACACCGACGGCCGCGTCATGCGCCTCGACTCCTTCTCCAAAGTCCTCAGTCCAGGCTCTCGCACGGGCTGGGTAACAGCATCCCAGCAAATCGTCACCGCGTACGCAAAAGCCGCAGACCTCTCCACGCAGAACCCCTCGGGCATGTCGCAGCTCGTGCTCTTCAAGCTGCTCGACGAGCACTGGGGCCACGGCGGCTACTTTGACTGGCTGATCCACATCCGCATGTCGTATACCGCGCGCCGCGACTCCATCCTCGCCGCTTGCGAGAAACATCTGCCCCCTGACGTCGTGAGCTGGAATCCGCCCATGGCTGGCATGTTTTCGTGGCTCAAAGTCGATTTCACGAAACATCCTGATTATCCGGCCGAGTCGATTGAAGGTATTCAGGATAAAATCTTCCTTGGGAATGTGGACCATGGCGTGCTTTTGATGCCTGGGAGTTGGTTCTATGCGAATGCAGAGGACGAGCATGATACGCTGTTTTTTAGGGCGACGTATGCGGCGGCGCCTGCCGAGAAGATTGAGGAGGCTATTCGGAGGTTTGGAGAGTCGATTAGAAAGGAGTTTAAGTTGTAAATTGGGAAACATGGGGCGGTAGGGAAAGCCCCCCAGGAAAAGATACATAGAAATGTTGCATTGAATCGCTTGACAAAGGGTATCTGTACGACATTTTTATAAAGCGTTTTGACATATGATACAAAAAGATCTGAGACCCATGCAGCCATACTTTGTGTCGCATAAACAGTTGTACTAGATGCCACTCGATGCTTGTCATATTTGATATTCATCCCTCAAGCAGGTGGGCGTATAACAGAAGCAACCGTACTGTTACAGCAATTTCCCCAAACGCCATTCAGGACTGGTCAAGGCTGCTAGAATTTTTCCCAGAGTCCTTCTTCCAGAAGACTCATGACCTGACCGTCTCTTTTCTCGAGCTCGCACTGCCAAACTCCCTCCTCCTCGTTCACCTTTTCTTGTTGCTCCCTGGAAAGAAACCCCTTCACGCCCCCCACATTCCATAATCCTCCTTCAGTTGATGAAATTGATGCAGAAGAAATGCAGAATCAAAGAACCGAAAACAAAATCCGCAAACGCACGCTCGTGTGAAATGCTGCCAAATTCGCCCTTGTTCTCGGGGTTTGTCTGGATGCGAAGCGAAGCCGTGAGCACGAATTGGCCGACGGTGGCACTGAAGCCGGCAAGGAAAGCGTTGAAGGGCTACAAATTGTCATGGTTAGTTAAGTTTACCATTGAATTAGGAGTGTGTGAGTGGAAATGGGTTTTGCAGCATTTCGCAATGGGAACACAAGTCGTTCGTTATATATCGCTGTAATGCCATTGAATTCCACGAAACGAAAGACCAACGGAGAGAGAAAAAAAAGGTCTTGGAGATGCATGAGAAGAAACCTACAAAGTTTCCAACAATCAAGCAATACAAGAATTGCAGCGCGCCGACCGCAACTAAGAACAGCATAAAAGTGTCCAGCAGCTTAGTGCGTTGAGGCGTCTTCTTCACGTAGTTGCTCCACACGCCCTGCACAATCTGCTGCGCATCCGCCTGTCCAGCATTCTTCGAGCTCTTACTCGGTGTGCTCATGGTCGATGATGATGTAGTCGCCGAAGATGGGGTAGCGGACTGGCCAGTCGTGCGAGATTTGGGAGGCATTGAGGGGAGTCGGGGGACCTGTTTCGCCAATTCCTCGAATTACAAGGAATTCTTGAACCGGCAATGGGCAACAGTGGCGGAGAAGAGGTGGGAGAAATTCGAGATGGGGGTTGTTCACGTTGCGACGTGCCAGCTGGTTCACCTGGCGGGAGAGCTTGAGGCCAGGCTGTTGCATTCGGGATTGTGATCCGTGCGCCCATCGGATTACGTATGCGGGTAAAGTACACTAATTAATACGCTCGCAGGCTGGTTTGGTAGCCGAAAGTCTGCTGGTGTGCGGAGAGCGAATGGCCCCCCGAAGGCCGAGCTCACCTACCCTTGTACATTTGAGCTTCCCCGCCGTGTCGTTGAGGAATGTCCGGAACCCCATTGCATCGTCCATCAAACACCAACTTTTGCTATTCGATTCCTGACTAGTGACGTTTTTAAGCTACGTACATCTCTCTCCAAATCGAAAGAAACAACTATACAATGGTACGTGAGGCTCCAATTCATCCGTCAGCCGAAGCTTGGAATCAACACATCACTATTCGGAGGCTCAACATCGATATACAGCCTGATGACATGAACCCAATCTTCCTATTTCAAGTAGAATTCTTCAACTAAACATCTTCCACAGGCTCCTCTTGATACCATCGGACTCATTCTGGGTGCTCTGACCGCAGGAGGCGGCATCACTGGCTACGTGCGAACCGGCTCTGTTCCTTCCGTCGTGGCAGGTGTCTCCGTCGGTGTTCTCGTAAGTCAATCTACCTACTCCTAACATCGTATCTCAGAGTACCTTGCAGTTCCCAAGCTGACATTCGCACAAAGTACATCCTTGGTGGTCTCCGCATCCAGAACCGTCAACCCTATGGCGTGGAGCTTGGTCTCCTCGCCTCGGTTGTATTGGGTGGAAGCTCGATCCCGAGAGCTCTCAAGAGCCAGAAACCTCTGCCCGTGGGTCTGAGCCTTTTGGCGCTGTATGGGCTGTGGGCGTTTGGAGCCGCTTTTTCCAGGGGTAGGACCAATTGAAAAGTCATCAAGGCGGGTCAGAAAGCGTTTGTATACTAGGGATATGAGTACAGCCACACTTTTATCGACAAGACGGTCTTTGATGGGTTGTTACTTTCAATGAAGCATTGTCGTGTTGTAGCTAGGCAAATCCAATGTAGTTTCTTAACAAGAATTGCGTTTGAGCTCCCATTCATTCTCATATAAGCTGGGAACGTAACAAGATATCCAGAGCAGATAAGTCTCGAGACATGTTTAAGATTTCCAGCAATTCGAGAACTTCACGATGTGCATGCATTATCAAGAGCAGAGGTTTTCATTGAAAGGTACAGTTACTGGAAAGCAGCGTAGCTACAGAAGAGAGGATCGAGTATAAGAATGGTAAGACAGAATACGATAATACGGAAAGGGGAAGTAGAGAGCTACCATCTTGATCAAATGGCATCTCCCATGAGTGCAGCCAACTGCGGTGTGATATCCACACCCTTCGCCTTCTCCTTCATGAGCCACACCGCCGCTTTGGCGATTTCAGGCCCTGTGAATATCCTGATCACCGATGGCGGAAATGCCTTGGGCCTGAACCTGTCTCTTTTACGAGCTGTGTTCACATTGTCATCACTCGTATCCGCGACAGACTCGTCGGCGACAGCAGCAGGGTCAGGAGTTTTTGGTTGCTCTGGAAGAGCTTCCTCTTCGTTCACCGTAGGTTTTTCCTCCTCTTGGTCTACCACAGGGTCTTCAGGCGAAGCAGCCGGTGCCTCTTCTTGAATCACTGCTGGCTCTTCAGGTGGATCGATTGGTTTCTCTTCTACTACTGCAGGTTCTTCAGGTGGAGGAGCTACTGGTTTCTGTTCTACCACCGCAGGCTCTTCGGGGGGTGCGACAGGCGCTTCCTCTGGCTTGGCTTCGTCAGGTTTTTCGACAGCAGGTTCAGAATTTTCGGCAAGACTAGACTCTGCCTCGACTTTCGGTTCCACCGCGGCGGCTTCCACAACAGGCTCCTTCTCAGTGGCATCTTCTTTGGCTTCATCCTCTTGTGGGAGAGTCTCCTCTTCTTGTGGGGGTATGACCGCTGGCTTGGGGCTGTCAGCGACCTCCTTCGCGGGTGGTACTGAGATCTCGGTATTTGACTCTGGCTCTTCTGGAGATTGGTCTCCGGATTGAGGATTCGTTGTAGGATTCGTACGCGATTCGACCTTCGGTTTGACCTCTTGACTCGATTCTGGAACAGGATTCTGCTCTTCAGTCTTGACCTCGGGGGTAAGCTCAGGCTCTTCTTGTTGCTTAGTCTCCGGACCGCCTCTTTCAGGCTCTTCATCAGCCGGCGGGCTTTGAACTGGTTCGGATTCTTCCTCTTCAGGCTCTTCTTCCGTAGTAGGCAATGGTTCTTCTGGCAATTCTAGATGATATTAGCATGAGTGACTTAGACTCCTGAAGCTAGAAGTGACCTACTCTCTTCCGGTGGCTCTTCAGTGGCAGGCGTCGGTGGAGGGGCAAGCGGAGGTTCCGTCTGAGCTTCTGAAGGTTCGGGTGAGCCAACAGGTGTCGCAACCTCGATAGTTGGAAGTGTATCTGACATAGCGGGTTGGCGAATAGATTAGACGGTAACGGACCTCTGCTGAATGGGAACGTTGGTTTAGGAAGGATAATACGGCTGGAATATAATTACTAGGAAAAGAACTGGAACGAATGATGCTCCGGATGACAGGAAAAGTTAAGATGATGGGGTTCGGATGGGTGAAAGAAAAGGCGTCAAAGGTAATGTGAATAGTGCCCGCTGGATGCTATGGATTGGAAGTGACAAACAGAAGGATGACATCAAAGGCTCTTGCAAGAATTATATCTGAAGGAAGGTAGAAGGCAAAGCTTGGGAATTGCATGATACTGGAGGAGTAGATAGCATGTCCATTAGAGGAAGTGACGGATAATGAACAGGTAAGAGGAAAGCAAGCCCTCCATACATATTTAGTCATCCACGTAAGGTCAGATAACAATAAACCAACATTGAGTATTTCAAAACTCTACCGGAGGCACATTTCGTGCTCCTATAGACAATATCAGCCAATTCCGAATGCAGAATCTCATGCAATGCTTTTCAACCATGGGTCTGTCTCCACCCAAACGGTGGAAACAGCAAATAGTCTAGAAATAATCCACCACACTTGGTCGTAAGGGTACGCATTGGCAAACAATACGAGTTGGCTTTTCAGGTGCATTCAGAGGTGAATTGTGTTCTAGTTGGACAGTTTGGTGCTATCTATGCTTAGTCACTAGCGTCAAATCAGCGCCAAGATGATATCACCGAGCTGCTGCTAGCTACTGCGAGCTTCCGCGCAACCCATTACTATAACAAACCGCAGCCGACAACAGCGCAAACTGTTGCGGTAGCCCACCATGGCGCTGACCACAGACCAGAAGCTGCTCAAAAAGACAAAGTTTCCTCCCGAATTCAACAAGAAAGTCGACATCGAGAAAGTCAACCTTGACCTGATCAAGAATTGGATCGCAGGCAAGCTTCAGGCATATGGCGCCGATGATGACATTGTCACAGAAATGATATTCAACTACCTTGAACAAGGCCGATTTGTACGTATTCACATCGTATGGCGTGTTGAGTAACAGCTAATTCAAATGTTTCCAGCCCGACATCAAGTCTCTCCAAATCACAATCCAAGGGTTTTTCCCGGACAACTGCCCAGCTTTTTGCAAGGAACTCTGGCAGTTGATGTTGAGTGCTCAGGATAGTCCGACGGGCATTGCACAGGAAATGGTCGAAGCCAAAAAGGCTGAACTCAAGAAACAGGAGGTTCGTGGGAAATGTTCCTGTAGAGAATCACGCGACACTAACAATTATCGACAAGGCTGAAAAAGAGAAGCGCCGTAGAGAACACGAAGACATTATCGATGTATTCCGCCGCGATGAGAAGAACGATAACCGACCTCGCAATGAACCTCAAGGAGGACGCGGACGAGGGCTAGGATCCCGTGGCGGCAGAGGCGATCGCGAACGCAATGATCGTCGGGGCTACCGTCGTGACTCTCGTTCACCACCACGCGACGCAGGACTTGAAAGGCGTCGTAGGGGTTCTCCTCCTCGTCGGCGTGGATTTGATAGCTACATGCCGGGCGGCGGCGACCGTGGTCGTAACCGTGGACGTGGCCGCGATCGCCGCGACTCTTCTCGAGAACGTAGACGTCCCCGGTCCGGAAGTCGATCCAGGTCTCCACCACCACGTCGATCTAGGTCTCCTCCACGTCGCTTCAGGTCTCCTCCGCGTCGTAGCCGCCGATATAGCTCTTCGTCTTTGAGCCGCTCTAGCCCTTCTCCACCTCGTCACCGCTCGCGCCGCTCGCGCCGTTCTCCATCACCCCGCGCTCGGTCTGGTCGGGATGGCCGGTATGTATAGTGGTAATCGCATCGTGAAATATGTGCTCATCAATTGCAGGTTATCTAGACCACCACGATCGTTGTCTAGGTCCTTGTCACCCGTAGTCCTGAGATCGAGAACCCCGTCAGGATCCATATCACCTTTCGTGCCAGGGTCCAGGGTGCGACCCCAATCACCTTTGCCGGCACGAAATCTCTCGCGCGGTAGAAGTGCTTCACGGTCTGTTTCTCCACCACCCAGACTAGCAAGACAGAGGAGACGAGCACGCTCTTATTCTTCTTCCGATGATTCGAGAGGCGGTAGGGCCGATGTGAAGAAGCGCAAACAGAATTCTCGATCCCCACGGCCAGGCAGCCGATTTTCGCAAACTCGACGAAAGAGCGACTCCGCATCGGATCACAAACGTGAAGACTAGGTTGGTACCCATTCCCCTCTGCCATTCCCATGCCTATACCCACCTTTAAGCACTATTACGTTCCTGTTTGCCTTGTTTTGAGCGGGAATCTTTTTTCGTGGAGCACACAACTGAAGTGTTTGCCCTGCGGACTCAAATTGAGAATCGCACTACCAGCGATACGATGCTCTATGGAGTATCAGTTGCAAATGTGCGCGGCTGGAGGACAGTGGTGAGCGGGATAGATTTTGATTGAGTTTTATGGGTTTGCATGATATGAATGCTTCCTCATTCCACCAATCCAGTTCCCCTACAAGATTGATCGCTCTGGGACGCGGTGGTTTGAAGCACATACCAAACAGTCCAAGCAATTCGATGACGGGTGGAAAGATGAGGGTATTGAGCGCACTGATGATTCACGAATGACTTCATGGAACGTTCTTCTGAAAAGTATCAGAGGCTATGGTAACATACTGCATCGGAGTTTGCTTTTCAAAAAGCGCACGGTGCACAATAAGTGAGGGAACCGGTTCCTCAAATGAGTATGCAGATGTATAATAATTCCCCCTTTTACAACCTAATGTAACCCTAAACCCCACCTGGTGCCCACGATACATGTATTGATAATTAGGTCAGTTGATCGGGGCTTCTGCTTGTTCCTGCCCTATGAATCGATACCCTATCTGACTCTAGGGTTTTTCTGGAAGATGGGTTTGTCCCGTCGCGGGAGGGCTTCGAACAGGAGCTGTGTGGTGCCTGGGTGACGCTAGCCACGTACCAGCACCACCTCATTGCATCGACATTACTCGAAGTCACTGACAAGTGACCTAGGAGATTGAGACCATGGATTTCAAGCGTCAGTCCGTTCACCCAGATTCTCTCCGTCGTTTGCACTGCGCGGCAACGACGCTGATATCATCCAGTTTACCTATTCCCTGTCAGTATGTAGTCCAGCAGGAACAGCCATGGAATGTGCTCATGGACCTACCTCCTTCAAGTGACAGCCCCTCGTCGATAGCCTTCTCCATATACGGGCTTTCCGCAAAAGGGTCCTCCGCAATGGCCCTAGCAGCACCAACGAGCTCCTTTGCTACATATGACATGCCCTCTGCATAGCTTTGTTCACCGGGTTCCTTATCCGTGTTCTTGAGATCCGTCATCTCTCTCCACTTCTCCATACTGTCTATTACGTTCTTCACCACTTCATGCTCCCACAGATTATCCACTACACCATCGGTCATGGCAATCACTACATCGTCTTCTTCGATCTCGATCTGATCCAAAACCGCGTTCGCAGACGGCGTGTCTGGGCTATTGGTCCCTAGTTGCAGCGGGCAATCGAACCAGTGCCATTGTTCCGTCGTCTTAAATATGACTTTGCCATCCTTCGGGCGCAGAACTAGAATCTGCGAATCGCCTAGCTGGGTCACGTAAAGTAGCGGTCGCGGAGGGGTAGCAGGCGTTGCACTGAGCAGAGCCGCGCATGCCGTAGTCGTACCGTGCCACTGGTTAGGTTCCGAAGTGGCGCTTTTGGTGTGCTCGAAGGCGGTTTGTAAATACGACACCGGATCTGGTGGGTGACCGGACGAGTAGATAGCTCGGTCAGTTTCTAGGGACCAGAAATGGAGAATGAGTCGAGACCAAAGCCTGAATTACCCGCGTCAGTTTAATATTTGTCTCTGAATACCCAGCTATACATTTTTATGCGTATTTTCAAGTGGAATGGGGTTTCCTACCCTGCATGTCCCCTCTCCCGTGTCGACCATGCTCCGACACCGTCATTTGCGCCGATAAAGTTTTCGCTGACCAAGACCGCATCATCGCCGTTCGTAACCCCTCTAATCATCTCCCCGTTAACCTGTGCCCTGCGATCGCGACTCTTGTTATGCGTACTAAGCGGTTCGGAGAAGCTCGTTGAGGGCAGCGATGTAAACGGCGGGGGGAATGGACGCGGGGGACGTTTGGCGTATAAAGCATATCCGGCTTCAAAGTAAAACGGCGGCTTTGATTTCGGCGGTGAGGCGTCACTCGGAACTGGCGTAGTAGTCCCCACGCGAGGCTTCTGCGGCTGCCGAGTGTGAATGGATGCATGGCGCGGTGTCGTTAAAAGCAGTGGTAAAGAACGTGTACGGTATAGCCAGGAACCGGGTGAGGGGTGCGTTGTCCGGCACGATGCGAAGAGTTGTGTGCGCTGGACGCCGACAAAGACATTGCGGGGACGCAGGACCATCCCGAGGGAGAGCGTGCGAGCGGGACGCGGTCGTCCTTTGTGAGGTGTCAGAGGTGCATGAGAGGTGGTGTTGTCGTGTAAGCTGTAGCTAGAGTACGTATGGAAGCCGATGCGGCTCCCAACGGTTGCAAGCTTTGGCCAATGACGTGAATATCAGAGTAGGTAAATCTAGGGTCCAAGCGAGCTCGAAATTTGCCCATGCTGGAATTCAGAATACCTTCAAGTGAACGGTTCCGAGTGTTCCAAGTTTGGAAAGGACATTCAGCTGTGTATGTGTTATCACGTTCTTATTACCATTGCCTGTAGTTTAGCGTATTTTCTCACCCTGTCACGCAATTTCAAGATCAAACTTTGACACAGAAGCACGCACTTGTTTGTCAAGCTGTAGCACAAAGCGGGGTTGAAAAAAATTGGAGAAACAGTTATTCGTGATGATCGGGATAGACATCGAATGTTGAATAATGCTTCCTGGAATCGTATGCAGCCTCAAAACGCCGTAAAAATGCGAATCCCGCACCCCTTCCGTCCCTGTATTCCCAAATCAATCTCACGCCCTCCTCTTGAAGAACCCCTCTAGATCTTCCCTTGTAGCCACCCCAAGCACGAACTTTCGACTTCCGTCTGTGACCACCGCGAAATCCTGCTTCCCGATCCCATCTACGCCTCCATTGAAGAACTCTTCAAGTTCTTCGAGCGAGGTTTCCAGCGAAATCACTTTATAGCGCGTTCCTCGCCTCCTGAACTTCTGCATGGCCTCCGAAACAGGATCCGTATCCTTCACTTTGCCCTCCTTGAGCAGCTGTTGAAGGCGCGGGATGCTCAGGTATCCTAGCAACGCGCGGTTTGACTCAGCCGTCACGGTCAAGTGTGTGTAATCGCGTTCGAGACCGGACATGAGTGCGTAAGAGATTGAGGTTGTAGGTCGGACAGAAAGAGCGGGCGGTGGATCGAGGTCCTCTACCGTTGCCTTTGTACATCTTTAGCTCATGCGCCGAAACTATGTTGGGGCGGGAGACGAACACCACGATATTTGTTTGCCCATAATGACTGATAGTCGCCATTCGAGGCTCCATCGGCGGCTTCAGCAGATTGCTTGGTTGACATGGCTGCGCGCAATTGTTGGTGGGGTAGATGGTGTCGCGCAAACCCATGTGAATGCGTAACAATATTGTATGGTTGTACCTACGCTAACCGTGCCCGGCCTAGATGTGGATGTATTCTCCAGTTTTTTCTATCATCATCGACGAGGGTTAGTTGCGCTTATGAAGAATTCAAAATCTGTCGAATCTGGAGACTTGCGCGAGTCATGCTGTTCTACGAGGAGGTTCCTATCTATACACGAAGTGCTTTGGTTGGTCCCTTTGTCATTGGCAACACTTCTATCGACGAGCTCCTAACTACCTAGGTAGTTTTACTGCGATGAGGCTGCGTGCGCTATGAACTGCTTTCATCATCAAGCATCAAGTTCTGAGTAATCATTGGACTAGTGTAGTGTACCAAAAGTTCTTGTTTTGACCGAGATAGAAAGGTGAACACATACTCAACTTCATTGTGGGCGCGCTTTGTGATCTTTTTGATTACTGGTGGAAATCAAAAACTGAACTTGGCTTCTTGTGATGGAACCGCAATACAGAAACTACAGTGTGTACAACATGCTCTTCGCCCAATTTGGCGCATGTTTTGATCAGGTTATTGAGTCTTTAGGATTGGCTGCTTGAATGCTCCGTCGTTTGATTGACAAAAGGGCATGCTTATGTCCTCGTCATCACTGGTCATGGGGTCAAAGATGGACACCCATCAAGTTCTGGTGTGTACTTGTCAAATACAAACACAATTGCAGAGGCTCGCTCATCCTAGCCCAAGTAAACCACCCGTTGTTCCCAGGCCAGACTTCCTCGTCCCCAAATTGACATCATGCACACTGTTTCCAATCTTCACTTTGACGGCATCAAAGGCAGGTTGCAAGGTAGCGACATATTTGGATACATCCAAGTCTTCAACTAATTGGATAAGATCCGCATCGGGCTCTGCAAGGTTCCAAGCAACGCTGACGTGGAAGTTTTCAGTGCGGTCAACCCCATTGGTCGGGGTGTTATCACAGGATTTCCCTGTAAGGCTGTTTGACTGGTTGTGGGCGGTGTTATGCGGCATGGGACCATCACCTCTTCCGCCCACGTAAAGGCCTGGATGTCCAGTTTGGCAAGTGGCCTGATTACACGAATCGAGCAATCTGTTTAGTTCGTTCTGTGGTGGCTTCTGCAGTACCAGGACCAGGAACCACCTGTTGCGCTCAAAATTGGGCACCCATTTCAACTTGGAGACTCGTAGGCTAAACGGCTTCACCATGGACGTACGAATGGAAGCGATCAAGGTGTCGAGAAATGGCTCCCGGTTATCCGTCTTGATCTGCAGAGTCCGGGACAACGAGATATGGAGTGGTAGCGGAGTGCCAAGTGGTGATAGCAAAGAGGGAACAATGTCTGGAGCTTGCAACGACTTGTTCTTGGCATCGATGTCATGTTTGATGGAGGCTTCCACCTGGTCGATGAGACGACGCAAGGCTTGGGATTCTGGCTGTGATGGTACCCCTCGAGTACGTTAGCGTAGTCTAGACATGGGTAGTGCTAGGTATACGAAGGAACGTCGACGGGTCTACAGTGGCATACATACACTCTAGGAACACATGGCTGGGCCAATTACCCTGAACGTGTGGAACGGCACGCTTACGCCCACCATGGAGGCTTGGGTCGTCGCTTGTGCTGATACGCGCGTTCACGGAATAGAGGTTGTGGAATGCTGCCGGGAGCGGTGGCAGGTCGGCACTGCGTTTGCGCTTCACAGAGCGGGCTCCCAAGGCATCTGCTTTTCTTTCGGGAGAGGAGGCAGGTTGGACGTTGGACGGCGCATGGTGGGTGTCCTCATCTTCCTGGTCGGAGTCTGGATACAGGACCAGGGACATGATAGGCGTGACTTGGAGGTTGGGCAGACGATAACATTTGAGTGCTTGGAGACCCTTTGCTCAAGGGCGGGCCCGAGCGTTGCCGTCCCGCCTGGGTGGACCTGGGCTGACAGCGGGCGGGCTGGGGTGACGGCGCAGATGACGTAGCCGCGCGATTGGCCGCTTTTGCGCTGCCAGACATGTCAGTGGAAAGAGAAAGCACCAAACTATGACATGATGTTGTCGTACGCGTGTACCTGCGCTAAACTACTTAGCCAAGTACGCTCCCATTCCCCCAACCTTTTTTACATTGACAGCCTCTGTCTCTCTCCCTTGCGTCCTGACTTTACTTTACTCTGCTTTCCAATTGTGCACTCCATACCCAATTCAGTAACTCTACCTCTTCGTATTTTCTAGCCATATAGCCTTTCATCATGGGCGGAGAGAAAGCTTCGTCCCAAGTAAGTTCTCCCCAACACGGCAACCTTTTCTCCCTTTACACACACGAGCCTCATCTGACATGCATCCCACATAGGCACACCATGCGCTCATTGATCCCCTGGTGGAACCAGATCCAAGTGACGTGACTGGACTGAACGCTCACTTTGGCTCAACCTTTGCCCCCCGTGAAAAACTGCCCACTCCTCCCCTCTCTGCCGGACTCAAAGGTAGCCCTTCCGCCAGCATCCGCCCTCAAAGTACCGGTTCTTCCGTCGAGACCAACCCTTATCGCCGTTCTAGAGCATCTTCTGCAGCCAAAGAACCGAGAGTCCAGTTTTCCCAAGTCTCGCCCAAGCAAGGAAACGATCCCCGGTCTCATTACCCTTCCCCCCCAAACTCTGCGAGCCCCCGCAGGGAACGCTTCTCGGATCATCGCAGCGAGGCTTTTGCATCTTCCAGCAGCAGTGGGCATCCACGAAGATCGAGTCAACCCAACCCGTTCAACGATCCACCCAGGGAAGGCAATCGCTTGGCCCGCAGCGGGTCCCTCCGCGAGCGATACCCAGGCGATCTGAGTCATCGTCCTTTGGATATTATCCGTAAAGATACGAAGACCGCCCACCGTGCTCATCACCTGAGGAAGAAGAACTTCCAGGGAGCCGATATCATTGACCGTCTAGACAAGACAACCCCAAGCTACCACCATGAAGGTCCATATGATGCAGCCAACCTGTCTCGCAATCTAAGCTACACTCATAGCCCTGTGGCGGCCGTACAGGAAACCAACGAGGAAGCACTCAAAGCTACCCCCAGAGAAAACATTATCAATACCATGACTAAGCATCACCCAATTGACGGTGTCGCCTTCGTGCCACCCGGTGTTCCTGATAGATTCGGTCGCACCTATGATTACCAGGAAGGTACAGATCTTATGCGCGAGCCAGGTTACGACTACAAACGCTGGCCCGGAGTCACATATCATCCGGATGATTTGAAGGGCAAGGGTGAGCCTTCCTTCACCATCGAAAGGCAGCTTAAGGAGCGCAAAGCCTACGGCGAGACTGGAACTGAAATGCAAACTCGGCGCCGAAATGTCAGCTTCAGTGTGAATGACCGACCCGAGAACATTGTATCCGGAGATGTCGATGGAAACGGCTTGGGACGAAGCAACACCACCGGGAAGAGCGTAGGCACCGCCCTGAAGAAGCGCTTTGGTAGTCTTCGCCGCCGCAAAGCAGACGCCTAGGAGCCTCGCAGTCACCTCCGGAGCATCTCACACGCATCCTTTCTGCATGTTGTGGAACTGGATGAGATGACTAGCTTCACTCCTTGATGTACTTTAGGTTCGGGATCACGATTCAGTTTCTCTTTTGTTAATTCAACCAGGCAGGTAAGCCATATGTATCTATTAAGCCACCCGTCAAGCAACGGAGACGGGGACATGTAATTTTTTCAGAGTACGGGCAGTCCGATATCCTTTAGCATGAATCTAAGATTTCCAAGTTTCCATCACATATCCGAGCTTTGGTGTTGTGCGGAGCGTCGATCGCAATAGTCGAAAACAGTGGGGACGTTCGTCATGATCGTCCTGAGCCCTGCGTAGGAGTCCCGCTTCGTGATTGACGACCTTGGAGGGCTGCATTTCTGGGCTGCCGTGTTATGCGAATAGCCTAGCAGGTGCAAGGTACTTTATTGATTTTGATCCATGTTCAATCGAAGGGGAATCAGGGAGGTTTGTGAACGCCTTGCTTACTCAAATATTGCACACGGGCAAAACATGCCGTCCATTCTTGGCGTTTCCGAGAACATTTGTAGGTGGCACATGTGTAGACAACTCTGAAACCCATGGCCTTTGCGGATGTGGTTTGTCGCGAGAATCGTGAATATCGCTTGAATTTTATAGTGTTTACGAATGCGGATACCAGCAAAAGATTTTGTTATACTATCATGACTCAAATCGTAAAATCAGCGAGCATATTCCCATTTTGCAATGGCCATTGGTATGTTGGGTCGTGTCTGCATATCGAAAAGACATCCTGGCTGTGTACATCGCCTATTGTGGCGTTTAGAGTAATTCCATCGCCCCTTCAGGCAAAATATGTACAAGATAGTCCGGGTGACATGTGCCTCGTAGGCGAACGATGAAGTGACGTAAAGTCTCACAACATGATTCCGCTGAGATTCAAGCTGACTACTTAAGTACCTAGGTAGTCTATGAAGACACGTCAATTGCATCGACAAAAAATAGCTGTTTGGATGGCATTTACACTGTAACATCAACCTAGTAATTTACATATCAACATTTTCCTCCCAATTGCGCCTCAACTCATAGTCTCATACTGCTGTTGTTGGCTGTTCCATTTTCGCGGATCCTTGCAAGGCTGCTGGCCTAAGCCACCTGTCTAAGCCACCATTCATAGGTGTACAAAACAACCAGCAATTCCTCATTTCATTCGATCTCAACAACATTGCACTCAGGATGCCTACGCCAAATAACTTTCGTAGCCGTCCAGTATATATCGACCTTGACGGCAACCCCTCTTACCACTACACATGTGGAGACGTCATTCGCGGGATCGTCCGCGTCCATCCAACCGTCAGGCCTAGCTCTGTCAAGCTCTTTCTCAAGGGACGCTGCAAGATGAAAATTGTAGTTCAGAAAGGTCAGAATTCGACTACATACAAGGAAAAGGTAGAACTGTTCTCCCATGGTCTGAAGCTCTTTGGGTCTTCTCAGCCTGGCGCAAGTTATGAGATTGTCAATAAAGGCATTGCGGAGGACGGCAACGTGGAACTGCCTTTCCAATTCATCTTCCCGAGCTCAGTTGAATCAAACCCTACAACGAGGTTTCCAGAGCGCCGGGGATTCGAGCACCAACCGGGTCACCCTCTGCCACCCAGCTTGTCAGCTTCGATTCGAGAGTCGTCCCTATCATTTTCATCTAATGACCAAGCGGTCGAGTACTGGATCGAGGCTCAAGTCTTTGGGAAAGCAGCTCACTCGGTGGTTCAACCACTTCCTTTCCTCCCACCAGTTCCGTTTATTGACCCAACACGCTTTATCAACACTACGCCAGACCGCCGTTATGAGTTGTTTGTTACATCTCGCAAATTGCATCCCGACTACAACCCAGACGAAAAGATTTTCCGCAGGTTCAAGAACGCCTTGACGTCAAACTCAGAAAAGGCCCCTTGGGCGAAGTGGAGAATTAAAGCGTATGTGCCCACCACATTGCTCGCAGGGGCGCAGATACCTATAAAGATATCATTCCAGCACCTCAAGAGCTCAGAGGAATTACTCGACGTTCCTCCACTATATATTAGACGAGTCCAAGTTAAGCTCATCTGCACGAGCTCAGCGCGCATCCCTTACTCGGGTTTTACAGGGGAACGTGACATAGATACGTCTGAAATCGATGAACATCTCATTCTTCATCGAAGTTTTCCGGAACAGAAAATGCTGTTATATGATGACCTGCCATTCTCAGATTTGGGCCCGACCAAGTTGCCAGAGTCTATTATCCCAAATTTCCAGACATTTGGCTTACAGTGGGAGTATTCCATCCATGTCAAACTAGAATTGGAATGCGCGAAAGTGTCTTCCAAAGTCGTAGCATGCCATGGACCCTGCCGGGTTGTGCGTGGTACGATACGTCCACCTCCAGGAGAGCCTCCGGCACAAGAAGTACCTCCGCCGTTCAGCGAAGTGTCAAGCAGTACTGAAAAAGTGCTCTCGAAGGAACCTAGCGCCGTCGATACGGCGATAGACGCACCCGAATCCTCCACTGCGGGTGCGGAAAATGCCTCCAAAGAGCCACCGCCACCCTACCAGGGCTGATAATCATAATTTGCGATACCATCACTCCATAATAGCCACAGCCTGTCGCAGTGTTTCCAAGACAAACATGGGTCTATCTCCAGAGTTTAAGACTGACTCTTCAGTCCAAAGGAGTATACAGGCTCCTGAAGCTCGTTTCGGGCTACGAGCTCATTTATGATGCATAAATGTAATCCGGTCTCAGTATAGACGCTATGATAGCACACTGAGTCTACCATTCATAGTTCATGATACGCCACATCATCGTACTCAGTGGACACTCCCTATGTTTGAGCAATCATGAGAAAACATCACGCCTTCCTCTACAACACGATCATCGAAATGATTGATTGAATCGTGATAGGTGTTACAGCAACTAGGCACTAATGTTCTTTGAGAGTTGTTAGAGCACTATTATTATGGAAATTGGCTATCCTCGTGGGATGTACGTTACAATACATGTATGGTGGAGGGCATAAACGCGGTGTTTATGATAATGCTCAGAAACGAATGATATAGCGTTGAGCATAACTAATCCCGTCTTGTCTCTGAACCACTGGTTGGGTAACACTGCCTTTGAATCTGGAAGCAGTAGCAGTTATTCGATTATAAGCGCGGGTGATATTAGGATCATAGCAAGAACAATAATACGATTGCATTCAAGATCAGATATATATTGATGACAGTTCCAAGGTACATATGCACTCTCATATGATGACATGGATTCATAAGTCTATTGGATGCCCGGCAAGAGACTTTCAGATAGTACCCCTTTGGTACATAAATAGTATCAATAGCTACCCCGCCCAGGGAACATATCGATTGATCAACTTTGTCTTGCAAGGTTCAATGTCAGGTACTAGGTCGTTTGCGATCAGCAAATACGTGATACAGAGTGCACGCACTTGCGCCATCACAATGCATACACAATTATACATTTAAGCGCATTTCAGATTCGACCTTCATAAAAATTGCCAGATGTTGACACAATATTTTCACGTGATTGGTAAAGGCCAGTCAGATTACCTAATCGCGAACAGCCGAGACTCTCTAACATGTCCACCTGGGCACAACTTGAGAGTTACCACCAACCCAGTCTTGTATGATACTTCTATCTACGCTGTGTGCCATCTTGGATTCAATAAAGGGTATTCATCACTTCAAATACGCATATCGCTCAGTAACCCTCCACGATTCTGGTTTCGCCCCCATTGTCCGCGCCGCCCGCGCATCGCTACCCCTCGATCATATCCTCCCCATTGCACCGCCTGCACCATCTTAGTCTCCACCGTACATCCAATATGCCTGACAACAACCCACAATGACACTAGGGTCTAGATGACTAGTATGCGATGCTAGGTCAAGCAAGGCGTTTTGGTAAGGAAATGGCACCATAATTGGGCATGCAGAGAGAACAAAGGAATAAAAGCAGGCATGCTTCGAGAGAAACACTCTCTTTCGAGACTTCCGAACGACCATGGATACATGACACACGAAAGCGGCTCCGATATTCCTTGGGGATGCACAGAGGATGTCTTGCAAAGGATCCTGCACATCAGCATGAGAATATGGATTTCGAGATTCATGCAATGATACTATGATTTGGAAGGAACTATGGTGCCATTTGCGAAGCACTGGGCTATGGCTTCTGCTACAACAGACAAGGAGATGGTGTGATGTATAGGATGATGTGCCGTATCGTGTTATCGATAACGGGTGAGGGAGGGATATGGCCACGGCCCGTTTCGTCAACATCTTTCGCATAGTTCATTTGATTAAACCAAGACTACTGGACTTTGCGATCAGAGCTTGAATGAAAGCGGATAGTACGGTACTATCGCCCATTCGTTGCCGTCAAATGACGCTCTGTCTTCTCGGAGCGTAGTTTTGCTCAAAGAGTGAGTACAAATATCCTATCTTGTTCGCACTATTTCTGAGAACTTCAAATGGGGGCAAACCCTTCTCTCGAGATAGTAAATTATTTTTGCACATTGGGAGACTCGTTTTTGAGCTGACACAGAGTGTAGCCACCATCAGTATCTTCTTCCCAAAATAATTTTGTCAAATGTAAGCTGCCACATGCTACAGTATCGATTCGCAGCAGAGGGAAAGGGTGGCGCATTCGACGAACACGGCAAGACCCCTAAGGGCCAACCAAATTGCTGGGATGTTTGCATTGGCGAAGACATATCACGGCTATGAATCTAGCTAACATGTCAGCAGAGACAGCCCTCCTGGCCACCAATCTCTCAATACAGCAAGCGACCTGGTGTTTCGATGATCGATCAGTCGATGACTTTGTACCGGAGTACAAAAGTTCGTTGTGTCAAGAGCTTGGATTTGCTATCGTGTCCACCTTGCTCGCCCGAAAACACTATCCCGCCGACTTGAACTGTAACCGCTCATTGCTTGGATGTTGGTCGTTTATGCCAGAAAGCCCCTTTATCTTGCCCTTCGATGGAACCTTTTGAATGCGCTAGTGATTCTGTTACTCGCAATGAGTCCTTCTCAGCGGGGGAACGTTTTCGTGCAACTTTGTTGGTATAGAATAGTGTGTGGTGCAGAAAGGTGTATATCATCACGCTCGGTGGATATCACCGGACTAGTACAGTAAGTGGCAGGCGTATGCCCCCAAGCTGTCCGGCTACGGGCTATAGTCATACTTCGTACTCATGTTTTCTTTGGCTTACAGAATTGTAGTAGCTGAGCATCATGAAATCTCCCTCTCCATCTCGGAAAGGAGTAGTTGTTCTACATATCTGATACATCTCTCAGTGCACTATTTCTCCGGATTTTACTATCACTTGCATCGCGGTACCCGAAATCGAGAGAGAATTTTCAATCGAGATGTTTGGAACATCCTTATTGCCGAATTGCCGTGCGATCTCATGTTTTGTCCGTTGACTGTGAGGGCAGGTCGGGTCCAGCGGAGCTTATATTTTGCGACGTGCAGCACGCGACCGCCACTGGAACGCGCATATTTCTCCTGGCACGCCTTGGAGTCTCCGGCAGTATCACCATTGCGGACAAGGAGCGAGCGAGAGCTATCACTTTACAACTCTGCCTTTTACCTTGTGGCGGAGTCGGGTCGCGAGGGGCAGAGATTATATTATTCTACTGGGCGCCAGCACGGACGCTCGTCGCAATACGACCCACGGAGACAGCAAAGAGCACAAACGATCTTCCAGGCAACTACGGCACCACAAGCAAACACAGCTGCAAAGGAGCAAAACATCTAGGGTGGGGCATCAATAGTCGGTGAAAACCACATCCAATTTTTCCCCGGCCCCAGGAGCAAGGATTGTCTTTGTTCTAGCGCAGTTCACGTGACAGGCTGCGCCGGGCTTGTCCTAAGAACTTCGACAAGCTGCTCTCTGATTCCTCCACCTCCACCCACAACACCGAACGCGACCCAATTCACAACGCCATCGCGCGTCATCTTCAACATCCTTCCGCCATCTAACACGGTCTAATCCCAACGTGCTCGATCGTCGCACGTGGAATTCGCGCCCTCTAGCCTCCTCTTACGCGTCGCGCACACGGTGCCCGTAAGCACATTCGCTGCAATGGCAGAGGAAGCAAGCTCCCCCACTGCTACCAGCGTGGTGAAGCCCACCGAAGAACCCTCGCGCTCAGTCGAGCCCACCGAAAGTGCTGCTGACGCCGACGCGAAACCGACGAGTGACGGTGACGTAGCACCTACAGATGCCCCAGTCGAGAGTGAGCGGTACCGCCTCTTCAATCTCGCGACCTACATACTAATCTTTGCCAGAGCAAGCTTCGGAAACGGCTGCTGCCGTTGACGACCAAGCTGAGAAGGACCAGTTGAGCGCAGAACCGGCACAAAATGGCGAAGGTTAGTTTTGCAATTGCACAGCACGCCTTGGCTCTGGGCCGCCATTAGTCACAAATTCTCTTCGAGCTGACCCCCAAGTAGATGCTACAGCTACCGCCGACGCATCTTCTGCAACAAACGCCACACCCGCCTCTTCCAAGAAGGCAAACAATACCCGTCGTAAATCTTCCAGCGGAGTTCCCGAGCACAAGACCAAGAAGACCCCAAGCAAGAAGAAGAAGCAGCTAGAGCTGCACCTGGATACCAAGCCTGGAGACATGTGGCTGGTGGCAATGCGCGGGTATCAGCCATGGCCTGTCATTATCTGCGATGAGGATATGCTGCCAGAGACACTGTTGGCGAAGCGTCCTGTGAGTGCCATTCGCGTCGACGGCACATATCGTGAGGATTATCTGGAGGGTGGTAAAAATGCGAAAGATCGCCGATATCCTGTTATGTTTCTAGGCACCAATGAGTTGTAAGTACTTGCCTGTGCCATCTTCCCTTTCCCCTTATGGTCACTTTTTGACCCGCCAACCTAGTGCTTGGCAAGTCAATACAGATCTGCTACCCTTCGATATCGAAGAGATCAAAAAGGATGTCGAAAACGGTCTGCCTGGCAAGAAGAACAAGGTTCTTACCGCTGCTTACGAGGAGGCTGTGGAAGGTCATGATCTGGATTATTACAAGGAGATGCTCCAGAATCATGAGCAGGCCATGATCGACGACGCCGAAGCCAAAGCTGCGAAAGAAGAGGAGAAGTTGGCCAAGAAGGAGAAGTCGAAATCGCGGAAGAGCACTGCAATTGTGGATTCCGACGATGTCGAAATGGATGACGTTGACGACGCTCCTACCAGCAGCAAAAAGAAGGGCACCAAGCGGAAGAAGGGAGATGAAAGTGACGGCGAGCCAGAAAAGGTGAGATATTTGCGTTGCCCTACCCTCTATAAAACTAATCAAACTAACAGGCGGCAAAGACTCCCAAGACAAAGCTCAAACTCAACAACAAGCCACCCAAGGAGGCATCTGCTGCGAAGGCGAAGAAGGAAGCAAAGCCCAAGAAGGTCCAGGCGAGCCAGACCCCTAAGGCTGCACCTGTGGAGGAGGCGCCTATGACTGAAGAGGAGCGACTGCAGAAACGCGAGAAGTCCGGTAATTGGTGTCCCTCCATATCCCAGTTTGCCATTTGCTGACTGTCACAGTTCTATACTTGCGTCACCGATTGCAGAAGGGTTTCTTGTCTCGTGACCAAGCCCCCCAGGATGGTGACATGCCTAGCATGGCGGGACATCTCACCCAGCTGGAGGAGCTTGATGATCTCGAAGCAGAGATTATTAAGAAGACGAAAGTTCACAAAGTCCTAAGAGCGATTCTCAAGCTGAACACGATCCCAAAGGAAGATGAGTTCAACTTCAAGACTCGTTCTAGCAATCTTCTCAACAAATGGAGCGGTGCACTAGCAGCAGAGACTGAAGCCCCAGCGGAAACACCGGCAGCTGCTCCGGCTCCTACAACCAACGGTGTGAAGCATGAGGAAGAGACCAAGAAAGATTCTCCCGTGCTTGAGAAGAGTGTCGAACCCACTCCCGAGGAGTCTAAACCTGCTGGCGGCGATGTTGAGATGACAGATGCTCCAGAGCAGCCTCAAGAGAAAGAAGATGCGCCCAAGGCCGAGGCTGACTCCACCGTCACCAGCACCGTGGAAGCTCCCGCAGTCGAAGCGGCCTAGTTTTCACATTTTTGATTCTCAACACCGGTTCGGTGGTAACTGATTTACAGCCTTTTCCGGCGTTGTGTATTTTCCTTGACACTCCGCCGTCAGTTATACACTCGTTTTACTATTGGAATTGCGACTCCCGAAAAGTCGACCTGCGTTCGGATCGATTATAGCTCTTGGAGCTGGCAGTAGCCTGCAGCTTTCTGGCGTGTCAGAGCAGTCATTTATGTGTATATATTACAGGCGTCAACTAGGTCCGCGAGTGTGATTGGCATTTCGAAGATGGGTGGTTGGTCTATGGATTCGGGGGAGAAGGAGGATGAGGTTCTCGTTTGCCCTGGGTTGGGTGTGCTTGCCTTCGGCGAAAGGACGCGGGGCAAACCATTGCTCTCAACATTGCAGTAATGGGATATCATCTTTGATAACGCGGGTAGTCGGTCCTGTATCCAATAAGGGTACACTCAGCAACTCGTGTCTATTTCCTACTCAAAATTTTGAACCCATCTTGTTCGCTATCTCGTTGGTGCACTGAAAAACTAGAATTTATTTACACAGTCTCATCGTAAATACCCGCTTTCTCGTGACCACCCGTCCTTAAGAATATCTTCATGCTTTCCAAGAGCTGTGCTTTCAAATCTTTCCGAGCCACATTCTGTCCCGGAAACCCACCATAACTGTTGGTGAAGTCGAACGGCTTGAGCGCTTTCCAGATCCCATGAATCTTATTTGGTGGGAGTGGGATCATATTCGGGTACGCCCACATGAACGAATATGTCGTGGTGCCAGGAAGACGATCACGATGATACAGTCCAGACGGGGTGCTCATTATGGTGTCGGCGTGGAAGATCTTGCCCTCCCAATGCAGAATCATACTTCCATCGAAATGACCCCCGGCTACGATAGCGGTGACACCTTCCACTTCCTCAATCGGTTGCGTAGCGGAGATCCATTTCCGAACCCCATCCCTGTCCTCGCGATATACCCATTCTTTATCAGCGGCGCACATGTAAACATGGCAGTTGAAAATGCGCGCCCATTCGAGATGCTACAACACACATGACGCGTAAAATCAGAATAGCTCCAAAGAATGCGAAAGCGAGGATCAGGACTATCAATCTTACCGTGGTCCAGAAATGAGGATGGCTGATGACAATCGCTTTCAACCCGCCCTTCCCCTTGATAAACTCAACAGTCGCATCATCGATGAAAGCTACAATGTCCCATAGAACATTGCCTTTCCCCGTCTCGATCAGGATACTGCGCTGCCCAATGCCGAGCTGTTTCCGCGTCGACGTCGCGTCGGCCAGTCCGGCGGGCATCTCCGAGGCTACTTTGGGTTTGGTTGTGATGTAGTGAATCCGCGGGTCATGTTCATCCGTTGTGCATTCATTCTTTTGTTTGTCGGATTCGTAGTTGAGCGATGTCCATGCTTGTCCAGTTGCTGGAACGTATTGGCGGGGATCCTTTTCTCTGTGTTAGATGTGTGGTTTTGTGTGACGACGAGTAGATGTTCAAGGGAATCGGTGTTAAGATTGCTGATTCAAAATGCAGAATGCGGTCGCAGTTGTTGCATCATCGATGGAATGAAATATACGTACATCGCAGATGGGGCAGTTCTTTGGTGGAGAAGAGAGAGGCGCATCGAATTGGGCGCCGCAGGTGAAGCATACTGTCAAGTCGCCGGATTTGTACTGCATGTTTGATAGACAATGTTGCTCTCAATTTATCAATTAATGGGAAGTATTATCACTCATCCATGTATACTTAGGTAGATATATACACATGGTCCAAAAGTGGGGTCGGAGCTACTCTTCGCCTGGGGTAGCTTAAGCTGGTAGCCTACCGTAGAGCTTTGAAAGCTACGGCGCCTGGCCCCCCACTGCTTAATAACAGCGAACGCGGATAGAGCCGAGTCGCGATCGAATGCGAGATTCAATTAAGTGATAGTGTTCACAGCTAACCACGTCACAATTTGAGCTGATGGACTTATGTGGATGTATCCGAGTCTACTGCATGGATTGGTAAGTCTACAGCCGTCGAAACGTCGGTCAAAAGTCCTAGGATATGCGATTATTGATGAATCGACATCGAGACTCGCGGTATCAATTCCGTATAGAGCAGCAGAGATATGGCCACTTAAATGACACCAAAATGACTATGCATAACGCCAGAAAACAGCTGTGGCAAGAAGAAATAAGAAGCAAAGATATACGTTATGCCAAAGAACCGCCAATTACCCACACTTCTCCGTTTGAGACCTTATCAGCAATGCTCTTGACTTCTACGTCACCAGGTTGAATCTATGTATTTTGTCAGTTAATCTGTGAGCGGCAAGAATAACTAGCAACATGGCCAAAAAAGACTAGCGGCTACAAAGGTTGCTCAGACGACTTGATAGATGCTGTGCCAGACATACCTTCTTTTGCCCATCCTTGTCTTCCCACCAGATCTCGTTCCCATCGAGTGTCTTCACTTTCTTACCTTCCTCCCATGGCGATTCAGGGACCACATGCCTCTCCACGAAACGTCTGAGGTTCTTATGCGCCCTATCCTCTCCATCCGGACCTTGGTATGCTTCAGCTCCAAATGCGCTATAGTCCTCGGGATCTTCCCATGGCTTCCGCTTCAACTCGCGCATTACACCGTTGTCTGGAGCCAGCACTGTAGCATTCTTCGATGCGTCATCTAGTCTTCCTGACACAGGATCAATGTCTCGTGTCAAACCAGAGAATATGGCGATGCTCTGGGTTTTTCCGATTACATCAGATATTATCACGTCCGTTGAGACACTCTCATCTGCGGGGGCCATCTTGAAAGGTGCTGGAAGGTGGAAGGGCGTTTGCGGGGAGATGTGGAAGTGGAAGGATTTCACGATCTCCGAGAGGGGGCGTGGTTCGGCGGATGCAGCGAAGGCAAGGCAGACGATTGCTGTGGGATACGAAATAAGTGCGCCGCGCTTCATGATGTCGTAGGTAATAGTGCTGTGGCTCAGATAACTGCGTCGAAGCCGGCGGTGCGCAAGTCGGAAGAGACGCTAGACGTCACTGCCAAGACTCGTGACCGCGCGATCCCTGCTGTCAAATGTTTGAGGACGTTCCTGGGTCTCCATTACAGTCTCCACTCACCACCGACACACTAACAGCTGAGCACAAAACGTGAAGCTCACTGTGCTCATGCTTCTTGCCCAGGGAAATGTCGCTGACAATCCCCACGGTCACCATCGTATGTTATGAATCTGTGTGTTCAGAAATGGTGGTTAACAAGCTTTAGGAGGACCTCCATGATTTCCACGCGAACCATTTCCCACACGCGTCTCTACCCGAACTGAATCTTTATGGCACCGAACAAGCGCCCGACAATAAAACAGAAAACTACGGATATGAAGATGACGGCCTAGGGTACTACGAAGATGGAGTGAAACGTACACTCACTGATGAACAAATTGCCATGTTCAGACACACCGAAATCCAAACCATTCTCCGCGAGCGGAGAAGACGCCTTGAGGATGGCGAGAGCTTGGAGTCTATTACGGCTCCATTTCCTCAACCAGTTTCCGAAGCGCATCCTACGCGCCAACCAAGGCTCTCCCCAACACTGTCCGATGTCAGCACGCCCATGTCTATAAGTTCCGAAGACAATGGTGGTCCAAGTGCCCCAGTCAAGCAGCCAACTCATCAATGGACCGCAATAAGCGACAAGACTCGAGCACGAAATGCAAGAAATCGGAAAAAGAATCGCAAGAATTACCGAGCGAGGAAGAAAGAAGAGCGGAAACTGAAAGAGCAAGAAAGGCGCCAGGCCAAAGAAGAGGAAAGTGATGAATGGGATCCTTGGCACCAAGCTAATGGCCCTGATGTTCAGAAGGATGATACGGTTGACCTGGATTATTGATATTCACGTGAATTTCATAGCCTGGGCAACTTTACAGAGAAAGCGATGGATTTCCATCCTACATACGTCCCAAGACGACTCTCCAATCATCTCATATAGTATGTCTTGTTTCTCTCTCCTTCATTCCACATTAGCATCCAAAGATGAAAACCTTTGTATCGTCATCCTTAGTCGGAGACTTGAGTTACTATATTCTGGGTGAAGGTTGCTCGACAACCCAAGCCCTTGATAAAGTCAGCAAAGGTCAATGTCGAGTCAAATAATCTTCTCTCTGAAATCTGGACCCAATACTCCCATGAATTTTGCATCTTCGTTGGTAGACAAATGGCCGCTAACGAGTACTGCAAGACATTTCATGACTGCGACAAGACCGCACATGCTACACAGGCCAAGAACACTACCTATACTTATAGGGGTACTGGATCCGACTTCATCAGCTGTAAGCATGTGCCTGATGAGGCTGATCGGAACTAACTGGTGGCACCGCAAAAAGAAAAAAAAAACGCTCACATGCATGTCGCAGACATCCCGGTTTTCTATATGAAAATCTTCATACCTAATAAGATCAGGAGTCTAGTTGTGTATTCACTCTCGCAAGATACACCTCCGTGAACAGCTCTTTTCATACTCCGATGCCCTTGTATCAGAGAAATGAAAATTGCCAATACCACCAGCGTTGGCACAAGGACACTTACGGTAGGACCCAGTTTGAGTTAAGAGAAAATAGCAGGACGAAGATTCTTCAATAAGAATGCAGGATTACCGACTCAACATCGGATGCCGATCGCTTGAGAAGCCCATTTCTTGTGTCTCGCGGTACCGTCAACCTTGGTTCGACATATTGGAAAGGTGCGAACGTTGAACGTGGGTATCTGGGCGAGTGCATGGGCCCGCAGACCACTCGCGTTTCGAAGCAGAACCGTACTGGTGTTCAATTTTTGCCACGAACAAGAAGCAAATAGGTCACAAAAGCTCAAAGCTGCTTTCCATGTTCTAGTGAGTAAATAGCGTACGGTGCCGGGGTAGACGAAGTCGTGCATGATCAGTCAGCTAGACTCCCGGCATCTTCAGGTGCCGAGCTGCATGTGCGGAACATTCTCGTATACCTCACGCGCGCTATTCCGGTCACGATATGGCAAGCATCATGGAGTGGCGCAGTCCTTGCAGGAAAGTAAAGCCCTCTACCAACGTGAATATTTCGTGATACCTTGATCCAGTACAACGGTAGCTCATTTTCTCGCCAAAAATAAGATCGTTCCCATTACTTCACTCGTCAAGCAAAATTATCATTCCGAGAAGTTCACTTCCATCACGAACATCAAAGTAGAAAAATTCAAGTACTTGATCATCAAGACCAAGGTCAAACTTGATGCACATGTTCTGGAATGGTGAATACTTGAAGCTTTTCCATGATTAATAGCGAATACTAAAGTAGACAGGCACATATATACTAGACAAAAGGTTTTTTTTGCTGAGCACACTATTGTATATTGTCATACATCCTCTGATAATTGCTTTTTGCGTACATCTTACCTACTATGGTTATCGCCACATCTACACAGCCTAGAGCATTCCCATCGCGGAAATCGGCTGTAAGATTCCCAACTGCATTCGAGTCACACACGATTGGTTCCATGAACGAATGGCATCTAGCATTCAATTTCCCCGTTGCTCTGCGACAGTAACAGCCAACTATACAAATGCTGAATGGTGACAGTTCAATTGAAGAAGCCATATAGAAACAACAATCAACACGTTGTAGTACCATGGCAGATGAAAGTGAATCATGCGTAGTTTCTTGCACGTCATATGGCAGAATTATCTTGAATGTCAAGGCTTCAGATCATCACAACCCCGAGATAATCTCGTGCCATCTTGAGTAAAGCCGTTTGCCCTCACACAGTGGTAGGAATGACCAAGGCATGTTCGGCCAATTCCACCGTCTATTTGTCCACTGTTTCCCGAACCCATTCCTAGCTCGTGCTTAAATCAAGCTTTGCGTCGTCACCTTGGCGACTGCAGAATGATATTGGCCAGAGGTCTAGCCCCAGGATTCAGTGAGTAAGTGCACTGCTGTCAATCTAGATAGGAAATGCCTACATATAGGGATTGCACGAAGAAATCCTTCGCCACGGTGGTTGTTCCTTTGTGTCGGGCGAGCAGGTTGTAAATACAGCCGTAGAATGTGTACTTCAGCATGCGATACCCTCGATTATTTCTTTTCCTTTCTTGCATCAAGATAAAGCTCATATCATCAAAGCAGATCCCAGGTAGTAGGGCGTTTGTATGTCTCGAGTGGGCCCCGCATTGGGTTCTGGCTCTGAAATTCTACCGCCCGAAATGGGACTAGAAAATGGCATCTAAAAAATTCTGGCCAGAGGAAATCATCCTTGCCCTCAGATCTGAGGAATATATCATATTGTCAGCGACACGATATACGCACATGAGCGTACTCCAGACCTCGTATCTGCAAGGCATATCTGCTTGGCATATACCAACTAAGACTTGATAGCGAAGGAGCTACGTAGAGCTTGCGTCCCAGAAGCCAGGCGGCAGGCGCCACTATACGAAGTATCCCTGTCAGCGGTCTGTGTGTATGATGGCAGCATCCAGAACGTGGGATTGAATACTTTGTGACTCGTATACAACATATGCTCAGCGGAGGATCATTGTTTGGTTGACTCTATCCGAGCGTCTTATCGGTATCTTCCAATGTACACAACAAATTCCATTCGAGAGAACTGTGCCAAAACAAAAATATATCGGGATATATAGCCATTGCGGTTCATGTGGTAGCGAGACTGCGACTTGCATACCACGGTTCAGCTTGGAACTCACACATGTGCACTCAAGACCCTCGCTCATCAGCTAGCATTTCAGTCCGGACACACTGGCCAGCAATACACCTCTCCGCGCGTGCATAAGGCTGTCAATGGTTTCGCGACTAAAAATGGTCATACAGACAATCGTGGGCCAATCTTCAGCCACCATCTTACACTCGAGCATTGACTAGTGTATTTGCCGCGGTACTTCTACGCATTACGGGGCAAACTCTTTGCTAAGTACAACATCTCCGGCAAGATGATCGCGTGTCGGCTACTCCATTTTCAGCCTTCAGCCTCAGATGTGGCGCCTTGGCATGCTATTCTCGGACCCAGATACGGATTAGCATCTAGCACTTTTCCATGTTCCGCTACCATGGTCATGCTTGCTTATTTTCCCTCTCTCTTCTATCCCCAACATTCGTCATGACACAGCTGTGGGCTAGGCTGATACCAAACATCTAATGACCTGTTAGGTCGCCACTATAGACTACTCCGCCATATTTGACCATTCGGCAGTAATGCTTAGTAGAACGAAACGACACAGTGTGCAGTCTCTTCAAGGAGGAGTCGCTATTTTCTGAAGCTCGATGTACGGACTCATTTCATCCAGTCCAGTATAGAATATCTTGCTTCACGCACTGAGCGGCCGAGCGCTGAGCTCTCTCCCATCTTGAAGTCTTATGCAAGAATCCGCTTGGCAAGCATAGCTCCGCTTGTTCGGGACAGGCATCCAAAGGGTCTAGATATGGCCGAGGATCTTGGACAACACGAGGTGGCTCCTAAGCTCCGTTTTGCAGTCCGATGCGTTCTCAAGCGAGGCTAGGCTGTCAGATAGGTCAAGATCATTCTGGACCACGGTCATCGCCTTCGAAGAAAAAATGCAAGGGTTTTGTGAGTATAAAGACTTCTTCGAAGTATAATCGAGAGTTTTATCTTCACTTCAGAGCAGCTCGCCATATCATACTTGATCGACGGAGCTCATTCCGGTCGTTTTTTGTATCTTCAATATGAAGACCTATCTATCCTTCCTTGCTGCGTCTCTTTTGGCGACTCGGGTTTCTGCCGGCGATAAAGATTGGCTGAGTCCAGTTTACAAGCAGATTTTCCAGAACAAACTACCATTTCCTTCCGAGAAGCCCCCAAAGTACACCTACACCAACCAAACAACTGGTGTTCAAATCGACTACTACGAGATTGAGATCAAGGAATTCGAATCCCAGATCTACCCAGGCCTCAAGCCTGCCAAATTAGTAGGTTACGATGGCATGTCTCCGGGACCGACCATTCGTGTGCAGAGAGGTCGTGAAACGGTTGTTCGATTTGTGAACAAGGCCAACATGGCCAATTCGGTGCATCTTCACGGGTCATACAGTCGAGCCATGTTTGATGGTTGGGCCGAGGACCTCACTGAGCCAGGGCAGTACAAGGACTACTGTAAGTATACCGCACGATTTTTGCCTACGGCCAACGTATTGATGCTTGTCTAGACTACCCCAACAAACAGAGCGCTCGAACTCTGTGGTACCATGATCATGCTGTATCGCATACCGCCGAAAACGCCTATTTTGGTCAAGCTGGCTTCTACATTCTCGAGGATCCTGCTGAAAACGCTCTCGGTCTTCCAAAAGGCGCATACGACATCCCTCTGGCTTTATCGTCCAAGCAATACAACTCCGATGGTACGCTTTTTAGCCCAGCGGCCGAAAGAGACTCGCTCTGGGGCGATGTTATCCATGTGAACGGCCAACCCTGGCCATACCACTCCGTTGAACCACGGAAATACCGCCTCAGGTTCCTAGACACCTCGGTCAGCCGTGCCTTCAAACTGACTTTCGAAACCGACGACAATAAGAAAATCCCGTTTCATGTCGTCGGATCTGATGCCGGGCTATTGACCAAGCCAGTGCAGACCGACAACCTGGAAATCTCCATGGCAGAGCGCTGGGAGGTCGTCGTCGACTTCAGCGCTTACGCCGGCAAGAACATCACCGTCAAAAACGCAAGAGACGTCCAAGCCGACGAGGACTACAACAGCACCGACAAAGTAATGCGATTCGTGGTGGGCAAGTCTGTTTCCAGCACCGAGAACAACGGCAACCTGCCTTCTACTCTCCGAACAGTCCCCATGCCGCCGAACAAATCGGGAGTCGACCGCAAATTCAAATTCGAACGCAGCAACGGCGAGTGGCAGATCAACGATGTCACCTTCGACAACGTCAACAACCGCATCCTCGCCAAACCCCCTCGCGGCGCGGTCGAAGTGTGGGAGTTCTCCACGGGCGGCGGATGGAGCCACCCTGTACACGTGCACCTCGTCGACTTCCAAGTCATCTACCGCAAAGGCAGCCGCGATGGCGTCCTTCCGTACGAAAAAGAAGCGCTCAAGGACGTCGTGCTGCTCGGAAAAAGCGAGACGGTGCGCGTGATAGCGCGCTTCGCTCCATGGGACGGTGTCTACATGTTCCACTGCCACAACCTGATCCACGAAGACCATGACATGATGGCCGCCTTCAACGTCACTTCCCTCGCCGACTGGGGGTACCCCGAAACCACGCAGCTCATCGACCCCATGGATCAGAGGTTCCGCTCCAAGACGATCAATTCGGCGGATTTCTCGCAAGACGCTGTTTTGTCGCGCATCGGTGAGCTGTATAGTTTGGATGCATACAAGGATCCTGACAAGGTCGAGGCTGCGCTGGAAACGTACTGGGCCAACGGCGGGAAAGGGTCGACCACGCTGGCTACGTCGACTCGTTCCGCGAGTGCTTCTTCAACGGGAAGTTCTCAGACCAGTACTGCTACTACTACAGCTCGCGCGACTACATCGTCTGGCAGAAGCACTTCTACGTCCTCTTCTAGAAGTTCTTCTACGTCAACTAAGAGGTAAAGAATAGTGCTTCAGGGGCTCGTTACTGGATTTTACGTTCAAGCATCATCGTTCTTGCATATACTTGGCGCTTTCAAGAACTGTTTATATTGCTTTTGTCATTCCTATATGTTTACGACTTGAATCATGGCATGGGCATGGGATACTATCTGTCTTGATGATGTAATGTTTCATTGTATCCGTACATAAAAACTAGAGCGAGTAATTCATCACTGTACACGTGACTCACTTTGTTATTGCTGGTGGACTTGACGCTGACTTAGTGGGCCAGGGGTAATAACCTCATCTACACACATTGCTTCATTAAGAGAATAAATCGCAAAAAGCCACCGACTTAATTGGACGGATGTACACATTTTGCATATAAGCCACCCGCAAACTCCGCATTCGCGTCTTACAACCTACGAAACTACAATAGCAAGTAACATCAATCAGGGCGTAATCAGAGCAGAGCAGAGGGCAAGTCGAGGTATGATGAATTATACACTAAATTTCTTATGGCTACGACAAGAGAAAGATGAACAGGAGCATAGACGCATGAGAAACGTAATTACACAAAATCACATATTTGACATGAACGGAAGGGGCGGTATACTAATCGTACAGCGACGGCGGGTCGACAAAGGTACCACCAAAACTCGTCACGATGCGATTCGAAACCCCTTCACGTTCGTAGGACCCAACTCTTTCAAGCAACCCGGCCGAAGTGATCAGTGTTTACAAAATGTCGGCACAACCGAACTTCTGCTCGACACCGTAGCTGCCAGGGGCCTTCCAGGGGTCGTCCTGGTAGGAGAAGAGGGTAGCGTGGTCTCCGACGGCCTTGATGATGCTGGAGATGGCTTCCTTCTGCTCCTTGGAGCCGGGAATGGCGGCACCGTTGGCGTTGCCGCCGTTGGGCCATCCGATCTCGGTGATGTACTTGCCACGGGCGGCAGCCTCGGGGCACACCTTGGCGGCCTGCTCGAGCTGCTTGGCGGCAAACTCACCAGCGCCGGAAGCGGTGATGGCACCGTCGAAGAAGGGGTGGACCTGGGCAGCGAGAACATCAATGACACCGCAGAGCTTCTTGCCGTACTGCTCGAGAGCGCCAACGGTCTCGGTGGTGGTGACAGGGATGGTGGAGGGGAAGCCAGCGCCGACGAGCTTCTCCTTGCACTGCTTGACGTAGGGAGCGAGAGCATCGACGGAGCCACCGTGGCCGGACATGTACTCGTTACCGACAATCAACATGGCGAAGCTGTCCTTGGGGGCGTTCTTGATGATGGCATCAAGCTGCTCGTTGGCACCAGGGGAACCAGGGCCCTTGTTGGCATCGAGGAAGATGCCGTAGATGATCTTGAGACCGTGCTTGGTAGCAGCGGGAACGACGTTCTCGAAAACACCGCAGTCGACGCTGTAGACACGGATGGTGGTGTACTGGAGCTTAGCAATGCGGGCAATGTCGGATTGGATCTTGTCGGCAGTCATGCAGTTTCCATCCTTGGCGTAGGGAGTGTAGGTGATGGACCACTTGTTTCCGTTGGGGACAATGTTGGCGCCATATCCGCTGCCACCAGAGGTGGGCTTGGGCTTGGGGGCCTCCTCGCTCTTGGAAGAGTTTGGTGCAGGAGCAGGCTTAGAAGAGCTCGCGGGGGGAGGGGCGGGCTTCGACGAGCTTGCAGGTGGAGGTGGGGGCTTGGAGCTGGATGGTGGAGGTTCCGGCTTGGAAGAAGGAGGCGGCACAGGCGCGTAGGTTGGAACCTCGTGCTTGGACACAGATGGTTCTGGCGCAGGGACGTAGACGGGCACCGACGACGAGGAAACAGCTGGAGGAGCTGGCTTCGAAGAGGGAGGTGTGTATCCAGGAACAAGCGAAGGCTCAATCGCAGAGTAAGTGGGCACGGGAGCTGAGAAAATGTTAGGACTGATGGAGATTCTCGTTCAAGAGTTGGGAAGAGAGAGTTTGATTAATTCAACGTACTGGCATCGGCGGTCACATATACGGTAGTGTATACATAGCATACACCGTCGTCCTTGGGAGCCTCGCGACGGAGGTGGAATCCCTGGTGACCGTTGTGAACAGCGGCGGCGGCAGAGCCAACGAGGGCAGCGACAATGGCACCCTTCATTTTGGGAGTGGGTTACTAAAGAGTGATTATGGGGGTGATATTAATGATGGACAGAAGTAAATAGAAACGAGTGACTATGGCACAAAGGCCTGGGCTTGAGTGTACGATGCGAGGAAGCGGTTGCAGAAGCCTTGCGCAGAGCAAGAGAAACAAACAGGAGATGGGGTTGCTTTTGACATGCGGCACATGGCGCGAGATTGGAGACGGGGATAGGGGTGCGGTGTGCAGGGACTCGCCAAATGACCCAAACGGCGTGAGGCTACGGCTCAAAAAAGCTACGATGGGCATCTGGCATGCACGGTGAAATGACCTGTAGGCTAGCAGTCTGGGGAAACCAAAATGGTCGGCCATTTGGGGCCAAAGGTGGGCCGCTTGGGGCTAGCGTATTGGGCCCTCATTTCCCCTGACTAGCCTCTCGCATGCACAGCATAGGCACAGCATAGCCATGGCATCCATGGCACAGGCACATCTGCGTCACTGCTCGTGGGAAATGCCCCAGTGTCAGCAAATGACACACACTCTGATAAACGCCCGGGGCGGACGTGAGAGCAGTCAGCATCTCGTTTCTCTCCTCAATCACCACGAGTGGGCGTATCGGACTTTCTCAGCATCCATCCATCACCGGGCAGTCATCTGCCGTCGTCGCTAGCGGGGACCACCTCGGGTTTTTCATATCGCTTGCAACCCTCCTTAGCGCAGCCTTCAAGCTGGATATTCGGAATAGCTGGTGTTTCGGAAGTTGCAATGGCTTAGCCCTGCCGGGGGACTCGATTGAATGCCCGTCTGTGCTTGGAGCCACCCGCCAATTGCGCTGATATTGCATTTGCTGATTGGTGGTCGTGCTGCAATCAACTTTCATTATATCCTCCATGGGTGGGTGGGTGCATCTTATAGCTGGCTCATCACAACCACGTCCAGTCTGCCGTGTACATGATTAGCCTCATCCCAAGTGCAATGCGCGAAAGCCCATCGAAGCTGTGAGAGTTGTACAACTTACCTCTTGTGCACGCCGTGTTTCAAGAACATGTTGTGCTGTCCAAACACCGTTCCAACTATAGCGCCAACATCGGGCCTTGGTTGTTGTGTGTCATTGCATCCACAAATTCCCAGTCCTCGGCCATCAGACGGACAAGACATGGCGCCGTGTCAATTGAGTTGGACGGAGTGAGCGCGAAGCAAGCCGGCATAGCAATTTCCTGGTGGATAGAAAAACGATGCGGCGTGGTCGTGGGATTTGACTCGGTCGATTGAGCCGCCAGGGTCTGATTATGTCATGCCCGCCAAACTCTATCGCAACTGTGGAAAGTCCAATCTGTGGGGTGCCTCACCCACCTTCCCTATCCCAAAATTATGTAATCATCTGTATCCTATATCGCTGCACTCACCATCACTGTTCAGTCATGGACCCTGCTATGGTTTTTGCTCTTTCGTTGGTGATGAACTCGACAACTTTCGGCGGGGTCTTCCAATAGAGAATCTGTCCAGCCCTGGAGGCTCGGTGGTTTGCATTCACTTCGGGCCCGAGACCGTCAACGTCCGTTCGACTCGCCCCCGAAGTACATGGTATCCATCCAAATAATGGTTGATGATGCCGATTCATACTGATCAAGAAGAATTGATATAAATTTTCATTCTTCCTCCTAAAATGAATCAAAAACAAAACACATACAAGCCGTTTTTTCTTGGTCGCTGTTATCAATTCGATTGTCATTTGCATTCCCAAAACGACCAGATACATCTCACTGCACTTCTGAACCAATTTCCCAACACCACCAACTCAAAGATAAAATCGAACTAGTGAAAATAAAAAGTCAGCATGAATTCCCCCAAGGACTTGAGAATCGCCATCGTCGGTGCAGGACCCGTCTCCCTCACTCTAGCCGCCATCCTCCATAACCACAACCTCCCATTTACCGTCTTCGAAGCCCACTCCTCTCCCCGAAATGAAGGCGGCAGTCTCGACCTGCACCCAACAACCGGACAGACTGCGCTCAAAGAAGCCGGCCTCTGGTCTGCTTTCGTAAAACATGCTCGTCCAGAGTCCGACGTGGCCAAAGTCGTCGATTTGCTGACTGGCCAAGTATACTTCGATCAGAATGGACCCGACAAGCCAGAGAACCAAGATAAAACCGAAGACGAGCTTTTCGCGGGGAGACCTGAGATTGACCGAGGGGCGTTATCCAAGATTCTGCTCGAGAGTTTACCCGAAGGGTCGGTGGAATGGGGCAAGAAGTTGGTCGACGTGGTTCCCAGTCATACTACACCCAGCGGAAAGCACGACCTTCGGTTTACAGATGGAACGGAAGAATGTGGGTTTGACCTCGTCGTTGGCGGCGATGGCGCTTGGTCAAAGGTTCGACCGCTGCTATCGGATGTGAAACCGGGTTATTCAGGTATCTCGATAGTCGAATATTGGCATCGCGATATCAGTTCCAATCCGTGGCTGCTCGAATACGTAGGTGCGGGAATCATGTTCGCGGCTGGTGAGAACTGCGCCGTCATCTCCCAGCGTCAGGGTGATAACAGCCTTCGCACGTACGCTTGCCTGCGGGCTCCTGAGAATTTCATCGACACCTGCGGTATCGACTGGCAGGGGGATGCAAGTTTGGCACAAAAAGAATTCGTTGAAAAGTACCTTGGACACATCAACGAAGACCTTCAGCGCCTGGTTCTCGAATGTAAAGATTCTGGCATCCCGCGGGCGCTTTACGAATTACCCCCCCTTTTCAAGTTCTCGCATCGCGAGGGTGTCACGTTGATCGGGGACGCTGCACATGTCATGACGCCTTTTGCTGGTATCGGGGTCAACGTTGGTATGACGGATTCGCTCGGTCTTGCACGACAGATCATCATGGCAAGTAAAGGCCAGAAAACGCTGGATGACGCCGTACGTGAGTACGAAGCAGATCTGTTCCCGAGGATTGAAGAAGCTATGCAGGAGACGTTGCATGGCAAGGAGTCGCATTTCACGGCAGATGGCTCACAGAAGATGGTTGCTATGATGACGGGGCACTGATTGGTGTGTTCCGACTCGAAAGTGGAGGCAATTAGCAATCCGCATCTGGTTACGATGCGGAAAAGGAGGTTATCATTCTGCATTAACCTTTCCCCGGTAAGAAGATTACTAGCGAGAATAATTTTGACCAAGTCAGATACTAGAACTTTGAAACACCCAGAAACTACATTCTATAGACGGGCCCTGTACCACCCCGGGCAAAACTCCCATTACAATACCAACTTTTTGCTTCACCAGCTGAGACTGAACCACCAACCACCAACTATCACCTCCTCACTTCTTAAGGATAAAAAACATCATTCTCATCACCCATCGCTCTTGTCTGCCTCCCACACCTCACGCCATGAACACCTCCCCCTTCCAGACCCCAACTTCCACTTCCAAACCTTCATCCTTACTCCCCTCACCATCCCACTGTGCAATCCACTCCTTTACTACATTGCCCCCCTCCTCTCCCTCCGTCCCACTAATCTCCACCGACGCAACAATAAGCCACTCCCCACTCACATCAACGTCAATGATCGGGTGGTCCGCGGGCTGTGCAGCAGCACCCGCGTAGTGGTACACTGACGAAGCGATGTGAACCTTTTTCCCAGAGAGTTCTGATGGGGCCGTGGAAGTAGTTAGGTAGTGTAGAAGTTTGTGCTGCAGGGTGAGGACGGATGTGCGGAAAGTGACGTTGTGGATAGTGAGGGTTACGAGATGCGTTGTGCTGGTGGTTGAAGCGAGAGGTTTAATCTGGTACGACGATACCTCAAAGATCGTAGGTTTAGGATCTGCAGGATTGTATGAAATATCTGTAAAATCTGGAGATCCGAATGTTAGCGGTGAAGATTGTTAGTGTGGGTGTTGAGGTATAAGAGTTGCAAAGCCTTGTTCCTCAGTCCGCATTCCTTCTTTCAGAAGAAGGAGGATCAATCAACGGAGTCTTGACTACTTCCCTCTTCTTCCTTGATTCACCCGTCATGATCGCAAGCACAGAAGCAAAAAGAGAAACAAGAAATACATACTTCCCTCACAACCCTCGACATTCTCAAAAACCCCAAACACCACATCAACAACCTCCCACACCTCGCCAACTTTGCCAACAGCTTCTTCCTCTTCGCCCAGCGCGCGTGTACTCTCTAGATCCAGCGTCCGCGGGATGCGGTAGTACGCCTCACTCTGAAGAATCCCGATATCTTCCACAAGCACAGTATAAAAGTACGCATCAGCAATCGATCGCGAGAAGCGGAGGGCATGCGTAGTGCGGCCGAGGGCCGGAGTTTCAGGGATGTTGAGTACTAATCGATTATTTATATGCGTCAGTGATGATTTTCTCCCGTGTCATCTCGGGGCAGTAGAGAGAATTCTTTTGGTTTCTCCCTTTGGTGCTGGGAAAGGGAAGGGAAGACAGGACAATGCAAACATACGGTCTCTGTAGTGCAATTTTGTCCATCGTAGAAAAATCTCTGCGGTCTCTTCGGATGGGTTTTTGAGTTTTGGATGGACGAGCAAGATGCCTGGGCGACGAGGTGGAAGTGAGCCCATGACGTTCGATTGAGGACGAGGAAGTCTCGACTAGAATGAGGCGGATATCAGAGTTGAAAGAAGTCATTCCCGCTCCCCACTGTTGCAATTTTATGGGGCCTATCTTCCACGTAACTCTACACCATGCATGTCGCACAAGTCGCAAGGTGGCGTTTTCTAGCTAATGAGCTGGCTGTGTGGGGTTCCGAGAACGAGGGGTGATCAAAAAATGTTCCAAGCAGACAGACAGTGCAAGCAACCTGATTCTTCACCCGAATTTCGCATTCGTGGCAAGCGGAGAGGCGATATAACTAATACAGTAGCTCGGGCAATGCCTTTCTCTGCAACGCCAATCCGCAAGACTTCCTAATCGACCGCTGATAATGCTATGGACCTATCCCGAACTAGCCGTTAACACCGAATTCCCGCCAATTAAGTATATGACATACACGCAAGACGGACCTGGTGGCCAATGACTATCCTAATTGTCTCCCATCAAGAAAGAAAAAACGCAGTAATGCTTTACAAAAGACCGTATGAGATCGGAAGGCTTGGAAAGAGAAGAGGTATCCTATCCCGCATGCATATGCTCGCACTCTCAACTTCGCATGAGGTGAACAAATACCGTACACTTTTCGACGTCCACATGCTCTTTCGGGTCCTTGCTTTCCGGCTTTCCCTTCCGATCTTTCTCTGCCACGATTTCAATTTCGATCCGATTGACTCCCGACATGAGCTTTGCATCATACGCGGGCTCGCCTTTCTTTTTGCCGCCTTCGTAACCATTGGGCATGGTGCCATTGATTCCAGCGGTAACGGGTAGACGGCTCACTTCCATGCTCTTAGAGCCGTTGACAGTAACAAAAATCCGATAGAGGCGGTTCGTCAAGGCGATGGGAACTTTGGGAATGACCTGGAGATAGTTGTGAGCCTGAGGAAGCATCAACGTGACGCTGTGGGACGTTTTCTGTTTGTTCGCTGGAATTGCGGTAGACCACGGTTTGGGCAACCCGAGAATAGGATGCGTAACTAGCGTGATTTTGGGTATGAGGGCTTCGTCGACGCCTATTACAATTAGCGAATGGGTTGTAAATGTTTTGCGTGGCACCACTTACTCTTCAACGGTTGACTCCGGAAATTTTCGAAGTGGGGGGCTACAGGGGGAACATAGTAGGTTGGCGGTTGCTGGGATTGGCTGAGATGAGACGCTTGCTGGCCATATGGTGTATGTGGTAACGGGCTACCACTTGCTGGTCGAGAAGAACCTTGGGGCAGTGCCAATACCCCGTGCGGTGTCTGTTGCGGAACATTCACACGCTGAACTTGACCATCGGGAGCGTTGCTGCCTGGTCTGATGGCATTTAATGCGGGAGATTGGACATCGCGCTTGATTCCATTGGTGGCAGGCGGTGAAGCTGCGGTTTTCGTCTGCGTTATTGGCAGGGGAGATGCAGCTGAGGAGGCCCCCTTCGCTCCATTGAAAGGGTTGGCCACTGGTGTGCCTGATTTCCCAGCAGAAGATGGGCGAGACGAGCGAGTGCCATTCATACTTTCCATCACGTGACGTTGCTGTCGTAGCAGCGCTTCATTGTCCACGATAAATCCTGGTGTGGCAGAGCTCCGTCCCCGAGGAGTATTAGCATCGGATACCGGGCTTTGTCTTAGTTTGAGTTTGAGCTGCTGTTTCGGCGCGGCAGTCGGAGTGGGAGTAGAAGGGGCAGCCGCTGCAGTTGACATATTAAGCTTCAGCTTTGGTTGCGGTGGCTCAGGAACTTTTGCTTTTGCTTCCTCCAATCGCTTGTTGAACATTTCCTGCTTTTGTAAGATGATGTTACGCTCACGAGTTGCGAATGACATACCTCCAGCTCAATTGAAACATTGTACAGCTCACTGCCATCTTCATTGTAGGTACGAGCATTTTTCCAGATCATGCTGACGATTTTTGCGAACGCATCCCAACTCTTATATTCGGTGATATCGGTAGGGTCGCCGCGACCTTGAATTCCTCGCACTCTCTTGTGTACACGTTGGAGAGAGACAGGTTCTTTGATCAACTGATAATAATCGCGCAAAGCTCGGTTGGGCAAGTTCACGAAGGGTGAGAAGATCAGAAGGCCACTTCTGTCATGCGTTAGTCATTTGTTCTTGACACAAAATCTCGGTAGTGTGTTCACATACTCTGGATCTGTATACTCCATGAGTTCACGGATGATTTGCTCTTGGGCTTGCTGGAATGATTTGCCAGCAAAGTCTTGATTATCATCAGGTCCATCTGCCGGCACTACGGATGCCGACTGCCGTAACTTGGAAGGGGCTGGTGTCATAGACTGAGATGCCACTGCTGCGGCTGCTCTTCGAGGTCGGTCGGTAGAGGTATCAGGGGTCTTCTTCACAGCCGTTCTCGGGGTTGAGGGCTGCACGCGGGGAATGGGTTTGCCAAAAGGCACTGGATCTTCGCCAGGAATCGGTGTTGGGACAGCTTGATAGCCATGAGTTCGGTAGGCAGGATTGTGCTTGACCATCCAATTCGATGCAGTCTTGCGTATACGCTCAGCATCTTCGAAGATGACAGATTTCTTGTCGTTGTATGATTTCGCGTTATTCACTAAGCGTTTCTGATCACTTTCCACCTGCGCAAGGTTGGAGTATTCGCCGCGCTTCAATTTGCCCTGCAGTCTGTCAGCGCTGCTCGCATCTGTGTGTGGGCATGCCCATGGGCTGCTCGTCTAGAGCTTACCTCAATAGTCTCGAGCGCAATCGGTAGCTTTATAACTTCATAGTATTCGGGGATAGATTCCTATGCGGTGTCGTTAGCGGTGTTGTCGTGACAACTTGAGCGCGTCGTCGTAGGTGGAATACGGCGTACCTTGTCGGGAAGAGTGAGGAAGTGTGTCGCAATTGGGCGGCCGCTGCCATTTGGTCAGTAACAGAAACGGTCGGGCGGTACGGTAAAGTGGTAGGGTAGTAAGGTAGTGGGTAGATGCTAGCGCGAAGGCAACTCACTTCTTGTCCTTTGCATTCTTCAAGCTCTCCAGGAACCTCAGTCCCAGGGCGGTCGTTGATTCTACCGTCTCGTTCGTCCCTGCGTCTTCGGTACCATCGCCATCAGCCTAGATGTGCATTATATGTTAGCAGGGCCATTCGTTCAGCTGCTGTATGCTGCAACCAGGGTGGACGAAGATGCATCGCGGTGATGTTGCGGCGCCGTGGAGGGGGTTCGCTCATCCAACCCGGCCTGCCCTGTCACCAGTCCATCCGCCATCCCGCATCCCGCAATGCGACAATCGCGTACTTGGATTCAAAGTCCGCATCGACAATGCAAAAGGCACCCCATCACCACCGCAGCGCGCACCATCGAGACGTACCGGCACTTTCTGGCGCTTCAATGGCCGTCCTTCGCTTTCTCCCGCCGCATTGCTCGCAGCTTTGCGCTTGGCGGCGCTTTCCATGTCGCAATATTCGTGATCGCGTAAGGTGTTCGATGGCTCGTCGATGAATTTCTTTGCCAGCAGCGCTTCTGGGGTGGATGCAGCCTTCTGCGTAGAGATGTACTGCTTGACCCAACACTCCCGGGTGAGGACGCGATTCTAAGTAACCATCGCCCTTTTGAGACTAGCGCAGCTTATATAAGCTCACATGACTGACCCTTGCTTGTCTGTGATTGTGAATGTGATTGTGAATTGTCTTGAACATTGAATTCATAAACAAGGGCAATCCGAATGTGACGAGGCTCATCAGTATCAGAATTTCTTTCCGTGTTATTTGAAGGCCTTTCAATGTACAAGTTCACAATAGATTGAACATGTAGGACACCCTATATCAGGCAAAGAACAAGTACTCCCTCGCCCTAGCATTTTGTTTACAGTTGACTACGTCTTTTGAATTTTGAATTCCTTTTGTGTACGTGACCATGTCCTATCTCAAAACGATTCTGCTTGTATGTAAAAAAAATTGATGCCTCGTTGCACGACACGTCAAGTCAGTAATGTACACACAAGAACGGTTCACCTGTTCATGAAAGCTCCAGGAAGCGTCACAACATAGGGTCTAGTAGGGATACAACGTGGTGCATCAGTGTAGTTTGTGACCTAGAAAACATACCCTGACTGAAATCGCAGGGTATTGCAAATGGAAACCTCGCACGACTAACACTGCAAACTATATATACTAATCACGAGAACAATTCGCAATGGCAAACCGCCAATATCCTAAGCTTTCTTGGCTGCTTCAGTAGCACTCTTTTCGAATTCCTTTTGAGCCTCTTGCTCCTTCATCTCTCGGACCTTCGCCAGCACAACTTCGCGGAATATAGCGCCCTTGGCGATTCTGCTCAACCGGCCAGGTCCTTTCGATGAGGGGGGTTCCAAAGATTTCGTGTCAGAGTGGCTTGCAACGGCCTCACCTGCCGCCTCGCGGGCGTTGGCGGGCACGTCGGAATCTCCGGGGGCCTCGCCTTCCTCGTCTTCTTGCATCTTGAGGGCTTCGATACGGTTTGCCAGCTTGACGAGCTCGATTCCACGCTTGAGTCGTGCCTTGGCAACGTAGGCGCGGATCTCTGGCAGCAAGTTGTGGTCGGAGGCAGTCTTTCCACTTAGCCAAATATGCCTAAGAGCATCCTGTTTTTGTTAGTCCTAGTCTAATACGCGTAGCATGTTGACTCTTACCTCGCTGGTAGGTCGCTTTACAGGGTCTGGCTGCAGCAGCAAGGTGATGAATTCTTTGGCGTCTTTGCTGACATCCTTCCAGTATCGCTCGTGGAAAACTACACGGCCGTTCTTGCACTCCTCAATCAGGTCGGACAAATTTTCGGAACGGAAAGGAGAGTATCCGCAAAGAAGGGTGTAGGTAATGACTCCCATGGACCACATGTCGACGGGCTTTCCGTGGCCTTTCTTCAGCATGACTTCTGGAGCGGCATAACCGAAGGAACCAGCCATGGTGGTCAGAACCTCATTTTTGGAGTCGAGCATCTTGGCGATACCGAAATCTGCGAGCACGAGTGACGAATCGGGATCCGAGGACAAATAGAGAAGATTCTCTGGCTTGAGATCTGGCACATAATTAGTGGGCAAGGTATATAGTCGAAGGTGACAGACCAACCTCTGTGGACAACATTGTTGTGGTGAAGATAGTCGACGGCAGTAAGAACTTGACGGATAGTCTCAGCGGCATCCTTTTCTGTGAATTTGCCCTTGTCGCAGATACGATCGAAGAGCTCGCCGCCGGTTGCCAGCTGTGTTACGATGTAATACTTGTCCTATCAAGTGACTTAGCTTTAGCCATGGGAAGAATTGATGGTGGTGCGCACCCGCGACTCGAACCAGTCGTGGAACTTGACAATGTGGGGGTGCTGCATGCGCTGAAGCATCTCCAGTTCGTCGTAGACCATCTGCTCGTTGCCTCGCACGTTCTTCTTCAAGATAATCTTGACAGCGACCTTGCCCTCAGGGCAATCGGCTTCCCGCACGATACCATAAGTGCCGGCACCCAGTGTCTTTCCAAAGCGGTATCGAGATCTGCCATCATTGTTCTCAGCGTCATTGTTGCCTGCGAGGAATTAGAGGGGCGCGAACTTTCTATCGTAGCTTTCGGGCTGACCGTGCAGCTTGTTGAGCATATTTGTCACTGCAATTCAGTCAGAACTATGCTCATTTGGAGAGAGGCAGCACGGCAATGCTGCATGGGAAGGCTCACTCATTTTGGCAATATGTTTTGCAGCGGCAGCGCTGCTGGAGAGTCGTCTCTAGGTTGTCGAGGTGAGATTATCTGGCCGCGGGGGTTCGCGTTGTGAGGTGGGGTAGGTAGTGGAGATAGGGTGAGATTAGAGCAGCGTACGGTAAAAAGGAGAGGCAAGGGGCAGGAAAAAGAAATACTGCGGCTTCCAGGTGGGTAGGCGTGTAGGTAAGACAGTAGTCCAAGGAGAACAGGCAAATGCTGTGCTGATGCTGAAGCGCTGACGGGGCTCCAGGCTTGCTTCAGCTGAACTCGAGGCGGGGGCCTCTTTCCTCTGCTGTCCCTCTACCACTGTGGCTGTGTGCCGCTGCTGATTGGCTGCGCCCACCTCACCACTTTCACAGCATCCAAGTGCCTGTTATCGACAGACATATGCAAGTACATGTATGTACACACATTGGATTGATGCCATTAGCCGCCAGCGGTGTCTCAACTAGGAAGCAGTTGGATTGTCATTCGTACAGAACTATGCGGAGCTCTGTAGCCCAGGCCACCGCGCCTCACATAGCCTGTCCAGCATACATATGTACACCCTTTCATGTTCATGTGATGCCAATGTTTATGCATCCCATTCATGTGAAGAAACAGGCGCGGAACTTCAAGTTCGAGAAAATAAAATCGTAGATAGACATCATTCAGGGTTCATGAGGGTACTTACCAAGTTTACGAATTAGCCTAGTCCCTTACAGCTGTCAAAACCCATATGATGTCATTGCGCCCTTGGTCTCTTCCACGCCATTATTTATTTGGGCACTCTCATTCTTTGCAACATAAGATTCTTCCCTACCTCCAGTCCAACTTCAACAAGTCCTCCTCTCGATACCGTAACACCTAAACAGCACTTCCAAACCCAACCTATCTCATAATGGCTGCCCTTAACTTCCTCTCTGTGCTCCTCGGCTTCATTGGAGTTGTCTCCCTTGCCGTCTACCTATTTGGTATCCCGCCCGAACTCAAACGAAAGATGGAACGCCAGGCACTCCAGACCATGGGCGAGAATAAGCTGTCGTACATGGCCCAAGGCACGTCCATCATCCTCCATCAACGATCAAACCACTAACTCTTGACTGCTCAGATCAAATCTCCAAAGTCCCTGCCTCCGACCAGAAAGACGTCAAGCAGTTACAGAAGGGCTTGGGTAACGCAGTGGGCGGACTCACCAAAAACCCCGTGGGAGAAGCTACTGGTGAAACTGCGGATCGTTTGACGAGCCCACTCACTGGTCGCTAATCTCGTGCTGTTGTAGGGCAAGCCATGAATCAAGCTTGGGGTTCGGTGCGGAATTCTTCCAAAACGGCACTCGAACGTGTTTCGACCATGGCGAAAAGTGCGATGGATGGTTCAGTACGCAAGGCGGGGGAGACGAGGGATGATGCTGATTCCGAGGTACCACAAGAGACGTAGTGGGTCGACCTAGTCACATGTTCTGCGGTGTTGTTCTTTGTATCCTTAGGAGGCGAGGTTTTTGTTGTTCGTTTTTTTTTTTTTTGCGGGTTGGATATCTTCATTTGCGCGGTGTTGGTGGTAGCATAGCGAATCGAATACCTACGTACTCATTGCTCTCACACCCCTTCCTTACCTCCGCAGCGCTCCCTCGTAGCCCGGAAAGTCGCCATTCCAAATGGCCCACCACATAAATTGCCATGTCAGAACGATCATCCAGAACGGCACTTGGAACGCCGTTTTTCTCGTCTTGTGCTGGAAATAGTGCATGCCCGCGAGGGCACCAGGCCATCCACCCAGCAACCCAAAGGTGTGCAGAGTAATCTCCTTCACCCTCCATTCCATGTGGCGCGCCTGGATCTTGTCGTATCCGTAAAGAAGAAAACTCGCGGCTGAGACGGCACAAGTATATCCGAATGGGAGGAGAGACCCCGTTCTGGAGTAGATGCGCAAACACGACATCGTTGGCATGACCAAGGAAAAGAGCCCAGCAAACGTGGAAATTGTGATGGGTCTGTGACGTTGCGGCCGTCGTGGTGGCATCCTGTTAAAATCCGGGTGGTCAGTTTTGAGAAATTTTCTGATATAGATGGATTCAGAGATATCGCGTGAGGATGAAAGTGGTATAGTCAATGTGAGCGAGACGAGAAGGGGTGATGTGTTGTTGGTATCCACGAACCGCTTAGCTGTGTACTAATTAGAGGTTCTCCTTAGCGGATCCACCCCACAACACATGATGGTTGAGCTCTTCTATTCTTGACTTCGCTGTAAAACGCATGGTTCTTTTTTCTCTCTTTTTTTCTTTTTTGACAATTGATTTCCTATATAATATTTTTAACTAACTATAACCTTTCATCTCATCTCAATTCAAATGATGTTTTGCCAGAGTGGTTAATGGGTATGACTCGAATGTCCTTTCAAAACAAGGTCCAATAGATATCATATGTCTTCGGACGCACAGGTTCGAATCCTGTAGACATCGTAGGTGTGAATCATGTTGTGATTTTTTTTTGGATTTCTTTGCTTGCCTCGATCAAAAGAGAAGAAGTGCGGGTAGGACACCACCATTATTATCTTGATATCAAACCGACAGACATCAAGACACCTGACCCCATAATCACCCTGCTCAAAACAAAGGAATATCAATCAAGACCGACCACTTTCAATCACCCCAAGTTGATCCCGTTACACGTCACAATCGCTATCACTCTCATCCTGCCCAGGCCATGGCATAGGCGTAGGCGGATGCAATTTCCACTGCAACTCCTGCTCCTCCTTCTTCCTCCTCTCCTCTTCCACCAACCTCGCCTTCTCCTCTTCCTCCTTCCTCTTCTTCTCCTCAGCAGCTTTAGTCTTGTTCAGCTGCTCGTCCCATTTCACATCCCATCTCACAATCCCACCATCGCCACGTTTAATCTTCTCCTCATGCACCTTCGTATACGCAACCTTCTGTTTCGCGTACTCGGCCTTCTGCTCATCGATCCAATCTTGTTCTGCTTTGATCTTGCTCCAGTCTCTCTGGCCCCAGCCGTTGTCGCCGAGGTTTGGGGCCTCGTGTTGCTCTTTGGGGCTGACGTCGCGCATGGGTGCGAAGGTGGTTTCTTCGGGTGCGTTGCGTGTTGAGGAGACTGAAGGCCGGCGAGGGAGGTGTAGGGATGATGTTGAGGCGCCAGAGACGTTGGTGCTGGAGGCTGACGTGACACTCGAGCGGGGGCGCGGAGCTATCTTTGTGAGGAGAGATTGCAAGGAACTAGATCTCCTCGAGGAGGTGGAGCCTGAGCGGCTGCGATCTTGCGACGACATGTTTGGTGATTTCGGTGCTGTTGAATGTGTGTGTTTCGTGTGTTTTCTCGTGTTTGCTTGTGTGCGGCTTCGTAGCGCTTCGAGTTGTTGTGGGCATGAGGTAAATGGGGTGTAGAAGCGTGAGATCGAGTCTTGAGGGTACTATGACTGTGAATCGGGGTTTGAGTCTTATTGTATGCTATTGTTCTATCTGCGTTTGTGGTTGTCGCAGCACAGACGCACACTGTCTCGTTCACTTTTGTCTGTTTGGATCAGCTAATTCTGGCGAACAAAGTGATAGGTCTTATACAGCAGCCAATTAACTCAAGCTTTGTCTATTCACTCATCATCGAGACATCTCACCTGTTTATAGAACCCAGTCATAATGACTACCTGACCACTGTTTGTAAATATGTATTCGAGCTTCCACGTATGTACCAAATCAATCCAAACGATGGGCAGTGTGTATCAAGAGTTTCCGCTCGCATCATGTACACATACCCTAAGATCTGGTGTTTAATAACTGCACTACTGCTCTTGGCCATGTAATAAAATAGCGAGGGAAGGGACAGGTTTTCAAAATAAAAAGAACTACTAGGGATTTGAAGAACACAGATCCTGCGACCGCAAAGCGGACCCCATATCTTGTTGTGTAACTTAATCTCTTAGAAATCTTGTTATTGTTCCCATAAAGTTTGCCCGTGGGGAACTTGTACGTGAAGTGCCGAAGAACCGTCGCAAATGATTGTATGAACGGATCTGATAGTATCATACAAGTCGCCGCAAAGTTCAGCTAGGTAATAAAAATAGCATTGCTGTTCAGACTTTCAATTAGGTAGGACATACAACTAACCTTACCTGATCTCCATCCAATCACTAGGCATGATACTCAAGGATAAACGTAACACTCCTTCTCCTCGGCAAAGAAGTTATTCTGGATATCCAACGCATCCAGAAAATCCCGATGATACCCAGCCGTTGCCAACGTGTCCAATTTCTCCTGGCTCTTCTCGCACTGTTCGTACCACGCCCTTTCGAAGTTCACCTCTCCATCATCACTCACCCCCATACCCGCAACGTGTTCGTGATGTTTCATAATGACCCATTCAGGGATACCTTTCCTTCCACCGTCTCGGTACCACCAGAACAATCCTTTGCCGTTAATTTTCTCGAATCTGCGTGTGAAAGCGCGAAGAGCACCGTTGGGTTCGTCTCCTCGAATCACCTTTCGGAACTCGCAAATAGGGTGGATGTATTCGTTCGTCTCTCCGTACGCGTTGATGTCTTCCAATCGGTACTCTTTGGACTTGGGGTCGTACATTTCGACTTGGCAGGATCCAGGGACCCGCGGTGCGGTGCCAGCGAGTGCATACATGCCACCGTAAGAGTCGACGATAGGACCGGTGCCCCATCCGTAATCAAAGTTGTAATGAGTGTGAGGTGGGTCACGCTTGGGCTGCGTCAATGGATCGGTGGCAGGATGAATTAGAGGGATGCTGGGGATCTTGGAGGAGACCCAATCGGTCCAGTTTGAATGGTGGTAAGTGCAGGCGTAGCGGACGTGATTTAGCCATCGCTGGTATTGGTTCATGTATGCTTTGAAGGCTGACTGATCGATGGTTAGATGCGGCGATACCACCTGCAGCATCCAGACGAAGGTGGTCATTGATAGCACTATACCCGATTAGACATTGACTGCGTATGATGTTATGGGAAACTGAGGAACGATTATACTTACTTTCCAGATCGCCTTTCATATCTGTGATAGCATCATCGTTGCCACCGCCCGAATTTATGTGAACGCCTGGGAACCAAACCTGCTTGAGTTCGGGAATCTGTTTGCCCTCTTGAGCAAGTTTTGTTGGTAGTTCCGTCGGGATGTACCAAAGTGTCGGACGGAATGCTTTGCGGCGTTCATCAAGGGCTAGTGCATGGAAAGCATGTTGAATATCTATAACTTGTCAGCCATCTATCGCACATTGGAATCAACAACACATACTTCCATTGAGCTTCACATTGTGAAACCCAAATTTTGTTCGCCAATTAGAATTGTCAAGCAATGCAAAATCTGGAATACCAAGACTTCCAACAGTGTCCCAAACTCCTACCACCTTGACAATCCGACTCTCATCCGAAGCCACCAGGCTTTGGTGGGGACGGATTTCCCATGCTTGCGCCTCTTCTTCGTCGTTTTTCACGCCCCTCTTTTTACTCAACGCAGCACCTTTCTTGCTTAGCTTGCCAATCACAAAGTCCTTCCACATCTGAGTTTCGCGAAAGGGCATGCCTGTTGTGTTTGACATATAGGCCCTGTAGATCTCGGGGAAAATCTGCATATGAATTGGGTTGATAACGCCTATAATCCACGTATAGGATTAGCCAAATTGTATAGAGGGATAATCCAAAAGACTAGCGAAGCCTTGAAGTCTGAATTCAAACAGTGTCCCGGTACGTGCCAGCTCGATATCTGCGCGCAACTCACCAATATCGGTAACAAGGCCGGCTACGGCTCGAGCTGTGTAGGCACCCCTCGAGAAACCAAAGCAGAATATCTCATCTCCGGGTTCATAGTTAAGAACTATGTAATTATACGCCTCGATTACGTTCTCAGCAAGACCAGCACCGGTGCCACCTTGACGGGATCGTTCGGAGTCGCTCAGATTGCCAGTACCGACACCGCTATCGTAGTAAACAAGCTGGTGCCATTTCTTGTCCGGGTTCTTGGAGTCTGATCCAATACGAGCGATGACACGGCAGAGCTTCGTGACATTAGACGGCACTAATGGAATGTCAGATAAAAACATCGAGGATTAACCCCTCGGATATCTCACCGTTGTCTTGCCCGCTGACACTGGATTGCCATGTGCCGTCGCAGCAGATGACGAGACGTCTTCCCCAGGGTTTGTCGTCATTTCCCGAGTAGTGTCCCATGATTCGTCTTTGCTTTTTCTCTCCTAGGATATAAGTTTTTGCGCTTTTGCTCAGTCGGATGAAGGGTTCAGCGATCAAACACGCTTGTAGAATCTGAAAATAATCTATCGAACCGCACCAGGTAGAAACGAGGGGTATAAGAATTCAGGTTTACGTATGGGTAGGCCATTGATTTCCGGCTCGCTGCTACTATTGGAGGCTGTCCAAAGCAGAAGCGACGAGAGCTGAACGCAATCATTCGTCTCAGCGCCTACCGCACATCACAATAAGGTTCTCCAGCCTGATAGAGATGCCACGTTGGATTGTGCACGAGTGTGCAGCACCTTCTTTGATTGGCTTCATGACTGCGCTCACATGTATCTCTTGCACAATGGTACGTTCCATCTGACAGTCAGACTGGGAATTCACTTGACCATGCTCGGCCTGTACGTAGACGGCCCCACGGCATACGGTCCGAGAGGGGAGTTTCCAAGCGAATTTTCGTGCTTTGTTAACCGAAAGCTGACCCAATCTGCGTATCGCTGTAGTAGATTTTGCTTTTTCCCCTTCAAAAGGTGTGCATTAACTCACGGTTGTGATTGTCTGATGCAGGAATGGTGGTGTGCGGCGAGTAGCCCATGTTAGATGAATGGCTAGGGTACGCCAAGATCAGCTGAACGTCGTGGCTATCTACACCGAATGTATCGCGTAATTTTCCCTGAGTTGATCATATTCGTATGTGACTGAGGAGCATATAATATGCGCCACATGCATGTTCCGATTTTCTTCAAGCTGTAGTGTGGCAGTTCACTGGTGCCGCAAACGACTTGTATTCGTTCCTACAATCGGTGGCGCTCGGTAGACGTGACAATATATCGCCGAGTACATATCGGAAGAAAAGACCAATAAAATCCACCGTGGGGAATGCGTAAGAAAGTTCAGATCACACGTAGTCTTGATATGCTACCGGCTCGGCCCGTGAGTTTGCCCGAGGCGAGTCTTCACAGCTCGTTCTGTGGAACATATGCAACTAGACTCATAGGTTGCAAAAACATGAAGTTTGAATGTTGATCATTGTCATTCGCTAAATACTAATATACAAAACGATGCTCTACTGTTCGGATATATGTTACATCATTCCGAGAAAGCGGCATAGTTACGGCAGCCAAAAATAACAACTCAAGCAATCCAGTACCATGCTTTTTGCAAAAAGTTCTTGGGAACAGGTTCCACATCATTTGCACATTCCTCATCCATCTCCTTCTTCCCAGATATCACGTCAATCTCGCTAACTTTGATGACAAATGCAGTTTTGAAAACAATCTTGTGTCCAATATAGAGGATAAGGAATATCGGGATTGTGATGTAAGCAGCCAGGAAGTCGGCAACCGACCAGTCGAAGAAGACGTGGAAACCGTTCGTGATTGTCAAGAGACTGACAACTCCAAGAATGAACCAAACAAGATACGGCTGGAATGGAGTTCGAAAGGGTAAGGTATCCAACAGTCTGTTGTACACCATTGCTTTTCGGAAGCGGATATAAGTGATCATGCAGACAATCCAAGCAATGAAGCCAGAGATTGTAGAAATATTGCTGAACCAGGTGAAGACTTGAGCGCCAGTGCTGGACACATTAAGGTACGCGAGGAGTCCAATGGCCCAGGTGGCCAGAACAGCCATGTAAGGTACACCTTTCTTGCTAGTTTTGCCGAAGATCTTGGGAGCATCACCAGACAAGGCCATACCGTAAAGGATACGCGAACCGGAGAACAGGAAAGCGTTTCCGGCAGACCAAGCAGAAGTCAGGATGGCTGCGTTGATAACGTGGTTCAGACCTTTGATACCCGCGCGCGAGATTCCGATAACGAATGGCGATGCAGTGGCATTGGAGGTGGGGCTGAGAAGACGGTCATCATCGGAGGGAACGATGACGCCGATGATGAAGGAGCCAAAGCCGTAGAAGATGGCCAAACGATAGACGAATCGTGAAGCAGCCTTGGGAATGTTCCGGCGAGGAGCGACCGTCTCACCAGCAGCCAAAGCAATCAACTCTGGGGATGTGATGAAAGCGAAACCAGCGCGGACGAAGGCGGTCCAGTAGGCCAGGAAATGGCCCGTACTGCCTTCTACCAAGTACTCATTGAATGCGCCCGGATTGTTCCAGTAGCGGAATCCAAGTCGACCTTGGTCGTTTGGGCTGCCACCCAGCATGATGACGAAACCAAGAATGATCAAGCCCATGATGGTCAAAAACTTGATGGAAGCGAACCAAAATTCAGCCTCACCAAAAAGTTCGACAGCTACCACGTTGAGGAAAAGAATAACGACGAGAAAGATGGTAATCCACGCTGCCGCAGGGACTGGGGTGGCCCAATAGTCGAGAAGAATGGCTCCTGCAGTAGCTTCGGCAGCGACGAGGATGGCGTACGCATACCAATAATTCCAGCCGGTAGCGAAAGCCAAAGAAGGGTCCACAAAGCGCTTGACAAAGTAAGGCATGGTAATACCCTTCATTGGCAGGTAGGTGACGATTTCAGCCAAATTGTTCATGACATTGTAGACGACAAGCATCATGGAAAGGTAGGCCATGAAAAGCGGAGCAGGGCCGGTCAAGGCGAGAATCCCACCAGAACCAACGAAGAGACCTGTTCCAATAGCACCTCCAAGAGCTCTGCATCATGATTAGCCACTTGCGCGCATACAATGGCGAGAAATAGAGGCATACAAAAATTGGATGTGACGACTCTTGAGGCCTCGATGGGTTTCCCCACCGCGCCCCGTCGCTCCGGCGACTGTGGAGTGACCCTGTTGGACAGAGCGTTCGTCATTGCTGTAGCCTTGGGTAGCTGGATAGCCACCCTTCTCCACCTCGTAGGGATCCATGCTGATTGATGATGATGGAGCAGCCTTGCACGAAGAATTGAGATGGCGGAGAAAAAAAGATGGCAAAGAGAGATGGATGTCAACGTCCACACACCCTGGCTGGCTGGCTGCAGGATCGGATCCGGGGAAACATAACGGTCTTATATAGAGGAGCGAGTTCCAGCCACCGAGTTAGGAGAGGGGATTACGCACAGAGGGAGATAAGGTATCTAGCGCCATGTTCTTGTTGGTCGAAAAATCTCTTTCCCCAGGCTGACAATCCGTGTGCGGTGCAATTACCTTCCCAAAGGTGGAGCCAAGCTCGGATCGTTCACCGTGATGATCCTTGGGCCGTTCCTGGGGATCCAATTACCATTACGTACCAAGTCGAGGTGGCCATTGCGGGGAAGCTTGAGATGCATTGGCGTAGGCTCTGGGCCGTCTACCAGCGGCTTTGCCAACGACAAGTTGTCTTGGACTGCGCCAAGTTTGCTCAGTAGAATGCTTTTAGACCCACGTTAATTGCCAGTCTGTGCCTGCTGGTGCTGCGCCGGTTTGCGGAGGGCGACGATGATGCGCGAGGGCCATGGCCATGTCGTTGTCAAAGCCGAAGCAAACCGAGATGCCAGGAGGCTGTTGCGCAAGCCCTTGTTCTCCGCATTTTCCATTTCACTTCTAAAGCGCTGGCTAATGCGGCCTATAACAAGCCATCGCTTGGGGTTTAAGGTTGCGCCGCATGGCTTGAAGCCTCGTCGCTCGCTGCTCGAGGGAGCCGCAATCAGTCAGCCATTCTCTCTTGGGACTAGCCTGCGCTCATGTGATCCACTTAGAATCCACTTCAACCTTCATCGCAATAACACTTGGGGGCATCAGGCACTCACCAGGTGGAACGATGTTCCCCGTTGTTTAGATAGAGCTAGCCTCGACATTGACTCCGTCATCGCTGCATCCCAGAGCAATTGATAACAAGTCTAAACAGTAGTCGCCAATTGCCATCATGTCCGAATGTATACATCCATGGAGCACATCGTCATATGTATCCAAATACGAAGGCAGTCCCAAAACACGGTTTCCCAAGTAGAAACACCGCCATCTCTTATGCTCAACGTCGGTCTTATCTATGTTTGAGCCTCGTTGTTCTCCACCGATTCTCCCTATGAGCGCCATTGTTCCAAGATAGCATATATTGTCTCCTCTATACTGCAAGCCTGCTTATCATTAGAGCGTCATACATGCTGATTCCGTGTACCGTAGATATCAACTGTTTCAAAAGCTAGCTTATTTCGACTCTTGCTCAATCATCTGTGTTGATATCTGTGAGATAAACCTCTAACGTGTTCGGGAAGGATACCGCCTCCCAACAGAAAAAAGTACAACTCAGAACCCTACACTCCGAGAAGTGCTTCCATACCGATCCTAAACATCATGAACAAAACACCAATAACAGCGACAATAAAAAAGTAGATAAAACAGCAACAAAAGCATTCCACCCCCAACGCCCCCAGAAAACAACATCGCCACCACAGTCACCTGCCCATCCACACAACTAAAGCGCAGTGGCCTAGGCCCCCTTCCCCCCTTCAAGTGGCACGCGACCCAAACTCCCCCATCCCCTTCAAACTAAACACCTCCTCAGAGCGCCAGCGCTCCAAGGCCAACATACATATCAAGCCATGACCCTTTCACGTCAGTTGACAGGGACCACGCATGTACAACATCCCAAGCGCGTTTTGTTCTGAGGAAAAAGCAGCACAACCGCAACATTCACATACGCACATTAATCTCCCATCCCATCCCCAAAAGATAAAAAAGCCCGATAATCCAACCATGCTGATTGGCTCCTCCCACCCGAAATCCTCTCTGATTCGTTTCTCCAAGGGTAAGGGGTAAGGGCGCGCGCCGGCGGCGGCGGATTGATCCCCGCTGGCTGCCTTGTTTGAGGAGGGGGGGAGGGAGGGAGGGATCTTCAGGTACGGTACAGGTGCGGAATAGTGGATGGCCTGAATACTTTCCTTATCTGTGTCTGTGAGGGCTTAACTCGATCCGGGAAAGATGGATGTCTGGGTATTACTGATGGTCATTGCTCGCTCGACACGTAGAAATCTATAACTGATGTTCATGGCCGTTTTGGGGGGTGTTTTGGTGATGTTTGATAGGTTGGTCGATTGTGGGGATGAGATATGGCAGGGTAAATTCTGTAAGTTAGGTGGAGGAAGAGTAAGGCAATTGTCATAGAGGGTTGCTCATATCCGCTTGACTATTATCCAATATGGGCTGTCTAGCAGTAATAGTATGCCTGCCATGCAAGTTCGATGTTCTCTGCGTCTTCGAACCGATGCTTTATAATTGATAATATCGCCTGGGTCTGTCTCTGCATCTTATCCATCATCGAGTATTGTCGTCCCTCCGTCTCTCATCGTACAGCAGCACAACAACTGGAATCACAGCAAGTGCGGGATCAAGTCCATGTTCGATTGGATTATCAATGCCATTTCGTAGGACATCAACCCAATATAACAAATGTCAATTGATCTAAACATTATATAATACGTAGTATGAGGATGATTTTCATAGCGGTTGAAACATCATCATCAATCGGTCTATCTGTAAAAAATGCTAGTAATATCAAGCATCAACAAGAACAATAACATCATCATGAATCAAGCCTCCGAAGAAGTGTAGTACAATATCCAGGGATGCTTCCAGAAGATAGTATATCTCAATCCGTACGGCCTTTGTCCGGACGGAAGCCGTTGGCAGCTCCATTCGATCTCGAGCCTTTCTCGTTTGTCTGCTTGGGTTTGATAGTGAGACAGTTGATGCCGAGGAAGTCGCATATGCTAGTAATGACCAGGTGAGCCCACTTGCCGTAGACAACAGCGGCAAACACAAAGTACGACCGGAGGTACCATAGCTCGAATCCCGCAGAAATAGGGCCGAAGGTGGTTCCTGTGATGGTGAAGTAGGGGTGGTTCACTAATAGAGCACCGCCGATCATGGGAGCCAGCATGATGGTCCAGTATGGGAAGGGCTGGTGGGTAAGATGCGCGAGGATGATCTTTGTCGTCATGCGCCCGAATACTAGCGACATGGTCAAGCAGTAGAGGACCAAGTGGTTGTCCTTGAGGATAAAGGAGTACGGTGAACCTAGCCAAGCCATGGTAGCAAGACAAAATATGACCAGTGGAGTCCATTCCAAAAATAGTGGCATAACGGGTAGATTCTGCGCGCGACGGGTTTTGACAACATTTAAGACGCAAGCCGGCAAATGTGCGATGAAGAAAGTAGACAAGATCATGGGCACCCAAAGTTCCCGAAAGCTCATGTCACCGAGCCATGCCTCGTAAGCCGGTAGATACTGGACCAGAGGAGTAGACCAAATCTGAGGTCCAAAGTATCCGGACATGCACATGAAAGTGCAGGCTAAGATGAGGCCCTCTGCAAAAAATTAGCCACCAGATTTCGCAGTGACGCAAGGAGGACATGATGTACCAGTGGGACCGTTGAAGTAACCAAGATACAGGGTATGTGTATGGTAAGTTTCCCAAGTGGAGAAGAACATGGGAAGCACAGGCACAAGAGCGGTGAATGCGCCAATCTGAGTAGAACCGTACCCGACAGCAGCAGTTTCCAGCAAACTAGCCAGCGTACAGTTTAGGGAATCGATGCCATGACTACATGGCGTCAGTTATCTTGTATAGGCGCATTGGGCAGGCATGGACGTACTCGAACAGCTCTCCTAGAGGACTCGATGTTCCGGTTCTACGTGCTTGTTTGCCATCTACATTGTCCATGGTGGAATACCTGTGAGTTGGTCATTAGTGCACGCCCCTAGCGGTTGTGGAAGCGGAGTGGCTCACATCCACATGCCAAAAGCAAAGCTATAATATACCCAGGAAGGTGCCTATCTCCCGCAAGCCATGTCAGTTTCCAGACGCCTTGTTGTGTTGTTTGCTTATGCCGAGTCTTACCGGTCCAACGAGATCCGGCACGTAGAGACTCAAAATCCCTACATTCCCCAATATGAAGAAAAAGCCCAGCAATGTGACGAGGTTCGGAGCGAGCCATAGCGGTAGCAATTCGACGAATCCGTTCCACTATTCGGTGTTAGCCTTGCACGGGTGCGGAGGTCTGCGGGCGTAGCGCACGTAATGCTTCAGAATGTACCGCGATATAAAGGACTTGTCGACGCTCGAGTATTTGTAGGAATATAAGTGCTGCAGCGCGTCTTCGGAGACGCACTCATGCTTCGCAGTTTCTGTCCGACCAGATTAGCCAAAAATTCGTGTTTCTGCACTCGGCTCGTTCGTGGAAGCAGACAAGTCTGCAATGAATGCAGTCTGCGCGACGTACCTTTGCTCGGCGGCATGTTGGGATGGGTGACGGGGGAAGGCAACGACATGGAGCAGGCTGGGGGGATCGGTTAATTTATGCACGCGCGGGGTCCTCGGCCATAGGAGTGAAATGGGGAAACAAGCTGGTTGCGGAAGCAAATTGACGTGCAGCAGGACACAATTGACACCAGAGCGCAAATGGAAGCGTGATGTCGATGGCTGGCCGATGCAAAGTCCCGATCATCTTTGTCCCCCCTCGGAACGCCGGCAGGCTGCAGATGGCCAGGGTCTTCACACGTGAAAGTATTTCTGCTGCTAATTGATCCATTGACGTTTGTCTAGACCTCGAACACACTCGAACCGATCCGTCGTGTTCGCTCTTCCTTTGATCTCACTGAACCTGTTTGTTTGTTCTTCATCTACAAAGACCGACAAACGTCGTCAACCTTCACGTAACTTTTCTTTCACCCCCGTTCCCGTTCCGCTCCTGATTGATGGGTTGAAGGCCCTACTGTACGCGGACTAGCGCACCTCGCTTGCCAAATCTTGGCACTATCAACTTTTCTTCCGCCCTCTACAGCACCTGCAGCCTTCTCTCCGTCATAACGCAGACAGACATCAATCACGAGGCTATCTTTCCGTCCGTCACAGTCCACTACAGACGACGCATCTCTTCCGTGATATGTCATATGTCAACTAATCGGAACAGTCATCGCCGTGGGGAATACAGTTGTGAAGGTACGCTGCACTCTTCTTTTCATTCCCCCCACAACAAACGCTTGTTACTCGTGTGATGAGATTATCATCGACCATCAAATACTTTATAGGAAGAGCCGGAAAAGGTATGGCTAGTATCGACATATGCTAGTCGTCGGTGCTTATAACTTGGTCTCTGAGAGGAAATCCGATTCAAACAATTTCGTTGCATCTATGATTGAACAGCTGCTAACGATATTGGCAGCCCGTCTAGTAATACTTCAAATGTCAAGAAGTTTTCAGTGCCTCATTTCGTAGATCGATCACGCCCAGGGCTCTGCTGGCCGGGAGATCGGGTTTGAACTTGGTCTTGAAGAATCGTAGCGAAGGCACGAATATGATAGTCATTGACCATGAGTTTTGCCAATATACACATACCATGTCCCACATATACACTTAATACGTGCAGTGAATATGGCAACCACTCCTCATTTAATCTTCACTCCATCCCATCATCTACATACAGTCCAGCACGTCTACCTCCCTTCATCACTCCGTCCGAACCCCCTGAACCCACCGACATCTCTCCTAAAGAACTTGCCGATATTCTTCAGGTTCTCATTCAGATTTGCCTTGGCCTCACCCGTTCTCCCATCCGTTCCGGCCATTGCAGAAGCAGCTCCCGCTTCTCCAGGCGCCGGGCTTCCAAAGCGATCCACACCCTCACGCACCGCGCTCACCATGGCGTTACCCAACCCTGTCGGATCAAACCGTCCTCCTACGCTCAGGCCGGTTGTGCCCATACCTCCCATGACGCCGCTTGTATTCCCGATGCTGCCAATCCCACCGCCATGACCCGGTTGCAGTTGTAACGGGGTCAACAGCGTCGAATTTTGAGCCAGGTTGGCGTGATTAGGTGATCCCTTGAACGCGTTGAAGAGATCCATCAGAGTGGACTGTTCCGCACGGCGCACACCCTTGAGGTCGAGAATCTTGCGGAAATTGGTGTCGGATTTGTCGGCGATGTGGATGAGGTATGCCTGGACGAGGGCTTCGGGGGGCGAAGGGCGGACCTGGATGGTTTTGAGAAGGGGGTCGATCTTGGACATTGTCTGAGTTGCGCGTTTGACGAAGCTATGTCGTTAGTCAGTTAGCGTTCAGCCATATGGAAACTGTGGGTGTACGTACGCTGCGGGTGGTGCTGTGCCAGGTTCCTCGTTGACCACCGGGACTTCTGTGAATCCTTTCTTCAACACATAACTGTCCAATAGCATCTGCTCAGCCCCGACTTCGCTGATCGGTCTGCTCTGTATGATGTTCAAGATGTAGGTCATTGCCATCTGGTCTACAAGGTTGTCGCAAAACGCTCTTGCATACTGTTGTTTGTGAAGATGTGTCAGGATCTCCCCCGATTGTTCTTTCACGTGGCGCAATAGTTCTGCAACGTATGTGCTTTGGTCTCCGACACTTTCCAGCTTACTCCAAGGAGTGTTTCGCATCTCACGCCAACTGGGTTCACAAGCAATTTCGACTTTGCGAACGAGGAATCGCACGGCAGCGCTAGCAATACCCATAAAAGCATCCGCTTGGCTTTGCAAATCTACTTTCTCTCGGAGGTTCTCGTCGATACGACTCTTGATCTTTTCTTCTAGTTGGTTGCATGTCATGTAGCAGTAGTCGGCTGTGTTCAGGATCAGGACAGCGTCTTCCACAGATGGACCCGAGGCACCAAATCGCTCGCTCAAGAAATAATACAGAACTTGCTGTCCATACTGATCAAGATATTTTGCGAATGTAGCGGAAAGTTCCAACAAGCTTGATTCTTTCGATAGTTTGGCGCATTGGGCAAGCGTGAGACGATAGAAGGAAAACAGCTCGGTGGACGAGGGTATCACGGCCTGGGCCGAGAATTCCTCTTCGGTATTGCGTAGTGGTTGTTGTCGGTATCTCGGTATCAAGATTGCAAGTTGTCTGCCATCATCAGGTAAGGTACGGTAGAATTTGACAAGGTACGTACTTGTCCTGAGATTCGACCCATAGTCGCATATAGGGCTCGAATGCCTCGGAGATAGATTGGCTAAACCCTTGGTTCTTCTCATCTTTCGAAACAATAGTGTCCATCGAAGATCGAGACTGCAGAGAATTAGCTTGCAACGAGACCAGCGCAGAACAAGTGTTGTACCTCATTAGAGAATTTTCGTTCCAAGCTTTGCTCGAAATCAAGGGTTTCCTGTAAACACGAGAGAAGTAGGTCGACGTCCAAAGTCTGACCACCCTCTTTTCGCATGGATCGCTGCAATATCCCCTTGAAATCATCCCTCGTACCCTCGCAGAAAGAGTTCGCCAGCATCTCATTGACTTTCCAATTGGCAGGAAATATAGCGGCGTGCTCGACGTCGTACGTTTTCATCATGCGGTTGAACCAAGAGTACCGCCGAGAGATGTTGTCCAACGAGCCAGCCTACATGACACTGTTAGGAATGGTACAGATGCAGATAAGGTAGAGCCTACTTCGTCATTTCCGCGGAAAACTTGTCGATATTCGCGTAGCTGAGTATTACAATACCAATTTATGAGCCTCGTTCTAGCATGATCACCAAGCGCATCAATCACAAGGCATGCTTCTGTGAGCATCGGCCTGCGCTGAGCAACCTCCATTTTGGCGAAAACGACTTCAAAATCCTCGCATACTTGCTCCAGCAACTCGCGCTGTAATTCCGCTACATTTCGACTCAGCGTTGCGATCTGATCAATCGACCTATAGCTCTTGAAATGCGCAACAAGCTGAATGACTGCCTGCAACAGCTGCGCACATTCCCTATACTGTCTGCTCTTGCTCAAGCCTCGCAACTGCTCGTATGCTGTTGTCAACATCTGCAAGCGTTTCAGAGCCGTCATAGATAGCGTGAGATTCCGCTTGGTATTGTCCAGTCTCTTAATATCCGCCGTCATGTCGGTGATTGTTTGCTCGGTCTGCATTGCGCGTTCCCGCACGCTCTCGATCTTCTTGAAAAGGTCTGCAAGCTCGGCCTTTGCATCTTGGATGCGCTGTACACTATCGGCGTCTGAAGCGGTTTGGTAGGTGACAAAGGTCGCGATGTCCTCGTCCAGGTCATCTTGGTAGCTCCGAAGCGTCGAGGAGGTTGCTGATATAGAGGATAGTGTAGAGGGGTGGGAGAATATGTCGTTCAGATGGTCGACCGGGTCGTAATCAGCTAGGAAGAGTCAATGCGAGCTCTACTACTCTCCATCTACGTGGTGGGGCATACCAGAGTCGAGTGAGGAGGAAGGTGCAGGCATGGAGTCCAGCTAGGCCGGCATTGACCTGTAGCGCTCCAATTCGGTAACTGAGTCTTTGAAAAAAGCTGTGAAAACTTCGGAAGGAGAGTCTGGAGAATATAGGCGGGGTTCAAAGCGGGGAATGCTGTAGTGATTTATGCTATCAACGAACTATGTGAGGTTCATCCGGTCGTGCTTGTGTTCCGTGTTCCGTTTGGAACGTGCAGCCAATCAGAGCTCACAAAGTCCGCATCGCTGTCCAAGCTCACTCGAGCCCTTCACATCAACTGAATACTTTCTGCTCACACTTTTCTGGTGGTGGTTCCATCATCTCTGCATCCGCCTTTTTCGTTTCAATCATGATCCTAAATACTACCTATATGCTGTAAAACCTGGCGTTTCAGCAGTGCACAGCACTCTTAGCTCTATATTAAAGTGACTCCCTCCATGAAGTATACATCTCCACATGTACAATTTTCCATGATAAATAAATTTTTGAGTCGGAGTAGTTTGGATGTTCCTACACACAGCGATATAAAGTACCTAAAAAGCAGGCTATTACCAAAAAAATTGTGAGAATGGCGGTTTCACACAAGCTGTTGCAACAACAGGAATCAGGGGCACCCCTTAATATTTGATAGAGAGCACTCTCTCCGCCAATTAAGAGTATTCTACCCTCTAGCTGGAAGCGAGGAAAAGCTCTTAAAATCACCAGCAATACTGAATAGAGCTACTATCATATACAACGAAGAACGTTGGTGTACTGCTGATATGCCAGATTCTATGGTGAGCTCCTTTTTTTTTATAGCCTCTCGAGTCCGCCACACATGCCACACGTCTTCGGTGATAGATGCCCAAAATTATGGCACTACTACTACGAAGGAAAGAGGCCCAAGAAGCCATTGTATACCAGGCTTCTGTCTTTCTGGTGATGTGCACTGGCATCTCCTGTCCCAGTCCAATAGAAAAGACCCCCCAATCCGTTCTGACGCACATAGTTCGCCTTGAGTTTAACAGTGTATGGGTTGTCGTAAGTAACAAATCCACCATCACCTCCAACGCAGTAGGCGGCCCCGGTCTGCTCATCCACATGCTCCGTTGCCCCTGGGCGAGGGAGGTCTTTGTACTCGAAGGTCCCTTCTTCTCCTGCGGTACCATTATAGGAATGGCCTATACCCCTGGTATTGGTAAAAGAGCGTCCATAAGCAGGGACTCCCAAAACAACCTTGTAAGGTGGGACGCCTTGTCTAACTATATAGGAGACAGCCGAGTGACAAGAGATTGCAGCCTCTGGGGAGTGAGGAGCATTGGCGGCGTAGAGCTGAGCCTGGTGACCCGTCTTTTGAACCCATGGTCCTGAGAAGTCGTACGACATGAGATTAATCAGATCGAGATATTGTGATGCGTGGGCAAGATTGATGTGTTGTAGAGCCCATTCGCCGGCTGGTAGAGCCGATGTTAGAGTGTACTGAGGAGCTGGCAAATATTGCCGAATTGTGGCAAGCAATTGGACATAATCCTCGCCCTGCCGGGAATCAGAAGGATGTTCCCAATCAACTGGAGTAGGCCGTCATCGTCAGCACGTAATAAACGCGTATTTGTGGGAGATGTACTCACTATCAATGCCATCTAAGTTGAATTGCTGCATCAGACCTAGCGCACTTTGGGCAAACCTCGTACGGCAGGCTGGGTCTCGAGCTACCCCAGCAAAAGGTTCACTTCCTTTGCCTCCACCACCGACTGACAATACGACCCGTAGTCTGGTGTATTTCTTCTTGAGCAAAGCAAACGAGTTCAGGCAGCCCGTCGTCTCTGGGATATCTCCAGTGCCAGCGATAGGGATTTGCGAGTCTGCCCATTCATCGCTGAGCTAAAGAAGTTAGTAGTCGTTCTGACGGTAAGTTGTACGAAATGTGCCTACATATACCGTGCCATCAGGCTTCACCCTAAACAATTGTTGGCATGTTCACATCGCAAATGCGGGGATTCAATTTCGCGCGTACTCACCAAGCAAAAGCGTAGAACACATGGGAAAGCACATCAAAGTTGAGTGAGGCGGGAGGTTGATCGCGATAGATGCGCCAATTGGGGTAGTAGACAGCGTTCCAGTACATTGTTGGTTCTGGTGGTGTGGAGTAGGAGTTGTGGTTACTGGTATATGGGGGGTTTGTTCGGAACATGGCAACTTGCTTGAATAATGTGGTCCGCTTAACCGTTAGTTTGCAGCTTACCTACAGCTGCACGTAAGAGACTATGTACATACAATATGCTCGTACGCCACACATGGGGGAAAAGAAAGAAAAAACCTGAAGATGAATGAGAAGGTAATGAGAAAGAATCTGTAGAAAGCGCATCGCTGCTGGCTACATGTATATAAAGTTCAACATTTCGGGTGCATGCCATGTACGCCGGCATGTCCAGGATACGGTATCAGATGGCGGATAGGACGGACTAAGAAGACGCTAGGGTTTGCATGGGATGCAGTTGATCTAGGATATATGTTCAGACACGGCATACCATAGCATACTCTATGGTCCGACTGTGATTCGCAGTCGCTTCCCGATGACAGCCACCGCTTAGATGCCTGCTCCAATTTGACGAAATCGCTATGTCAGTCTGTGCTCACCAGTATAACCCTCGTCGATGAGGCAAGACATGCTGTTCATGCATGCAATGTCGACCCGGGGATATTTCGAAACATTTTTGAGCGGCGAATTCAGGTGGAAAAGTCTCGCGTGCTGAACCGAGATCGTCATGGTGCTGGACGGATGTGGACATCGATAAATGTGGACATTGATCATCATCGTATGCCCAGCCAGGTCGCTATCATAGAATCTTGGAACCGAACGAGTCTATACATTCAAGTTGGCTGATAACATGCGAATTATATTTGTGGATTTGTGAACATGGAATACCACCTCCTGCGATTCTCCGTCATGTTGTCAAGGCTGAGAGTGTGAGCATCCCAAAACGCTGTTGTTCTTCATCTTAACGATGCAAATTTTTGTTTTCTAGAAAGATGGGACGTTGAACTGGCGGCGAAGACTCCTCACGATCTTCAGAGGTACATGATACTAGAGGTGTTGGAAGGCAACTATCATCTCTGATAGGGTGCCATATGGGTGTTGAAAGTGGAGAACCCGGCCACTGAGTAAAGCCCGGGTCGCTACAGATCGTGGTGGAGGCTTTTCCTTCTTCATCCGGGAAGAAAGGCGTCGTACAGGCAGGCTTAGGGTCATCACGATACACCCCAGTACCGGGGATATGCACTTGTAGGATTGGCATACGAGGCCAGAGAAGAGGGGGTGGGGCATGCCTATCAACACACTTGAAACCTCGGAAGTGCTTCTGCAAGTATTCCTATGCAGTCGCGATCGCATAGATGAACACGGCTGAATGCGCCAGGTTGATCAACTAAACTGAAGAGAGCCTGATGCATTCCGACCATATGCTATCGTGCTTAGAAAAAGGAACCGTCCAGGCCTTGATGAGACGAAGGATCACCATAGCGGAGATATATCAACTCCACAAGGAGATATAGTATGAGTGGGACTGTTGCTTGATACATGAGGCTACGCGAGCGTGAGATAGAGAGCAGAACCAGAAGACAGAGAGAGAGGACAGGGAGAATCGAGCCACTGGGGCAACGTAAAGTGGTGTTGGTTTGTGACGTGAGCCTCGAGAATGGATAGATGATTGTCGTAAACCCTGAGCTAACTAACGCGTGTGCTTCCCGAACACACAGCAAGATCGCCCGCGCTAGCGTCCGAGCTTTCACGTGATAGGCCAGAGCTCTTACCACTCGTTCAGCCCACGACAGCGGTGCCCTTCACTTTCATTCTCATGTCGTGAATGTGATCGACTTGCGCCTTTCGTATCTGCAGCTCAATAAACGAACAGCGAACCTCACCGTATCTCCGTATATTTCGAAGCCAACCGCCATTTCGCTTGCAGAGACGCACCGCCGTAGTGAACGGGAACAATGACGGAGGTGCAGAGGGTTACGGCGCCCGCCCAGCAGATGGCAGATCACGATGCGCTACAGCCCACATACGAGTTCAACTTCAGCAACTTCCTCCGCCGGGAATACCGCTTCGGCCTCGACCCGGATCGCCCGCCATGCAAAGCCTACATGCAGGGCCACTGCCCGCTGGGCAACCGTTGTCCAGACAAGCACCAGGGCTCGTCGTCTTACAGCAGGTGCGTATACTGCACACCTTAGAAACCTATTCACGTATTGATCTGCTCACTAATGTACCAACAGTCTTGTATGCAAACATTGGCTGCGAGGCCTTTGCAAGAAGGGAGAGGCATGCGAATTCCTTCACGAGTACAACTTGCGCCGCATGCCCGAATGCGCCTACTACGCCCGCACTTTAACATGCTCTAACGGAGATGATTGCCTATACCTTCACATCGACCCAGAGTTCAAGCGACCTCCCTGTCCGCATTACGATCGCGGTTTCTGCCCCCTCGGCCCCCACTGCGCACTGAAGCATAACAAGAAGGACAAGCTATGCCCGTTCTACCTCGCTGGTTTCTGCCCGGAGGGCAAAGGCTGCAAATACGGAGCCCACCCGCGTTTCCCAACCGATCTCAAGAAGCCTGAAGTCCGTGTGGAGAAATCACCTGAAGAACTGGAGCGCGAACGCTTGGAGAGGGAGGCTGAGCGGGAGCGGGAAGAAAGGGAAGAGCGCGAGCGCGACGAACGGAATGGCCATCACAGTGGACACAAATTCCGCGGCAACTGGCAAGATCGCAAGAGAGGAGGAAGAGGAGGAAGAGGCCGCAAGCAGAGGGGAGGATACTGATGCGCGTTTCCCATTCATACCCGACAAACAATATTTCATGATCCAACCAGAGAAAACAAACTACTTGCGTTATACTGCTGCCGGACGGCGTGCCAAAAGCAAAAGAGATTGAGAACGAATAAGCATCGCCGGCTAATCCTTCGTATACTACGACAATTTACCCATATTCTACAACATATACACCTCGTCACTTGTCTGTCATCAACCTCAAGTGTCAACGTCTTGCCTCTCCGCTTTTCCAGAGGAGGATCACCGCACGTACTCACCCTGCACTGCACATCATCCCGATCACACCGATCACTAATGGAACCTTGAATCCAACGCGGGGAACCCCAAAGACATAATCAGCGTTCACCGCTTCCTTGATTATGAGATGGGATACGACGAATTCGGAACCTTTGAAAGAGTTGGCACAGGGGAAGGAGATGTGTGCAACCTTATTTCGGTCCCAGGCAATGTCGGGTAGAAAATCTTCTTTTTTCTTCCTGGGGGGGATTTGATGAGAGAGGCGACGTAGATGGGAATAACAGGGTGTCCATGCTTTGTATAGTGCTGTATTGTAGTGTAGTGTAGTGTAAAGTAATGTATAACACATCTTCCTCACAATCTTTCCCCATTTCTGATTATGTCTCGTAGGGTTCTCCATTATTATCATTCACACATACTTGTAGAGTCCAAAACAGGATATCCCAGGTCTTGGAGCATGTCATGGCATCACGGCAACGCAAAAGAGGGTTGAAGGTTGTTTTGATATGTTTTTATTCAATTGGCTGATTGTAGTGGAGAAGTAAGATGGATGGATAGATAGGCATGTTAGGTATATAGAAAGAAAAAGTAGGTGGTCGTGGTAGGGATTTAAGGGGATAGTAGATAAAGGGGGTTTGGGGGTATGTAACAACAGAAATAAGAAAAATAAAAAGAAGAAAAAAAAAGGATAACCACGAAAAAACAAGCAGAAGCTAGAAAAAAAGTGGAAAAGACTCTCCTTTCCAACCCCCCCTCCATACTCGCAGAAAGTTCCCTCCATAGAACAAAAATCGAACAAGGTGGATCGAAATATTCTCTCGAGTCAAGTCATTGTCGTCTCTACTTTCGTTTCCCACCTCATATACGTGAAAAGATAAACCCGCTACATTTCCAACAAAGAGAAAAAAAGGGATTGCTAAAAACAATGGGGGGTTGTGTCGGGTCGATAAGAACGCTCCAGGGAATGCAAGATGCTGTGTAAATCCAGGCTTTTTCATGCAAGACAGACGCGGCCGTTAAATCGTTCGGGTGTACAATGCGGACGGGCGGGCGGACGAGCGAGGGGGCGTAAATAGATAGATCCGACTCTCAAGCAGGGGGAAAGATTCCAGGGCGAAACGGGAACGGTGGTGAGGAGAGGAATTGGGCGGCACAACGATGCCGTTCGCAAAACCATCATTTGAATGGATATCCCCGCACGCAAGGAGGAAGACGATTTACGGCCACCATCCCATGACCTTATAACTTTCCACCACCTCTTCCACGAGTTCTTGTGTGAGCTGCTCGCGCGTATATGTGAATCCCGTCTCCTTCTCGAACAAGCTGCCGTCGAGGCTCAGGTCGGAATTGTTCAGCAGTTCTTTCTCCATGAAGGGGCTGAGCGGGGTCGAGTTGCCAATGCCTGCTTTCGTTTGGAGCTCTGCCCACGGATCCAGCGTTTCGTCGTTGACGTCGTCGACTACGTGCTCGAGGTTTAGACGGGCAAAGGCGGAGATGAGGGTACTGTGGAAACCGGTTTCGATTTTGAAGATGTCATGGATGATCTTGGCGTAGGTGCCTTGGGCTGGAAAAAACGTGCTCGCGTTAGCGGGTACGGTTGTGAGACGGGAGACGAGGGAAGGTTGGGGCGGGGAAAAGAAGGTTTCGGGGAGGACTTACTGGTGTTGCCGTGATCGACAATGTTGAATACGGGCGTGGGCTTCCTCGGTAACTCGGTCGACTTGGAGTACCATTCGACGCCTGTCCAGAGCGCTCTCACAGCATCGTCCACATGCACCGTGTGCGTTTTCAGAGACTCCTTCCACAGCCATCTCATTTCTTTATCCAAGGACTGGTAGACCCTCGCCATGCACAGAGCCGTGCTCAAGAACTTCCTCGTGTACGGCCCGTAGACGTGAGCGAAGCGCAGAACCAGCAGGTTCAGGCCTTCGATTTTGGCCAGGTCCTCCTCGGCCTGTAGCTTCCATTTTGCGAGTTTGGACCAAGGCTTGTATTTATCGGATTCTTTGCGGGGGATGGGATCGGGCTTGTAGACCATGCCGGTGCTGCTTTCGACGTAACACTTGACTTTGCGACGGGCGCATTCCTTGCCGACGGCCATGGAGAGGCCGTACGAGCGTACCTTGTAGACGTCGTCCTCTTGCGAGAAGCGCGTCTCGCCGCCGCAGTTGAAGACATAGTCGAACTCTTTGCCGTTTGCGCGATCGAAGATTCGGGGGAAGGAATCTGGCGTCAGTCAGCGGTGGGATGGCAACATGCTTGGTCCGGGAGAGTTGGTACGCACTCTCGTTGGAGGCATCGGCCTGTACAAAGTGGTCTCGGTTGACGGCTCCCTTGAACTCTGTGGCGATCCAAGCTAGCTCAGGCAGATGCTTGTCCACCAGGCGCATCTCGGAAGCAAGTTGGTTGTCATGGATGTATTTGGCAAGGAACTGGCCAGTGTAGCCTGTGTGTATGGGCGGACCAATAATTAGCACTCTGATGCGAGGACGTCTTTCTCTTCACGCTGCGGTGTGTGTGTGACGTACCCAGGCCTCCGATGATCAAGACGGCAGGCTTCTCTGTAGTTGTAGCGGGGTCGTCGGCCAGAGGGGCCTTCGCTTCCACAGATTCCATGGTCACTATGCAGCGATCACAAAGACAAAGGCGAAAGGGTTCAACCTGTGGGTGACGGTGGGGAGCGGAGGGAGAAGAGTGGTTTTTTTGCTGCTGCTGTCTTTTGGAGAAATGAAATAATGTGGAGGACGTGCCGTGGTGTATCTGTAATGATAATGTTAGGCTCTCTGCACGGAGCAGGAGATGAACGCGGACAAGGGCGCTCAGGCTGCAACCGCGGCGCGATGGATGAATTGGGATGAATGTAGATGTCAGTCACTCAAAGAAGTGAAGGATGGCAATGACAGGCTCGCTCGCTCTCTCCAACTGGTAGTAGGCCACTCTGCTTGGGTCAACTAACTGACAAGTCTTGGTGCGATCAACAACCCGGCGGACGAGAAAACAAGAAGCAACGGCACGATCCTTTTCAGATCAAGGAAGGCTTCGGTGAGAGGTGCGGGCCCAGGTTTTTATGCGTGCATCCTGCAGTCTCTATGCACTGATGCCGTTGCAGGGGTTGGTGGGGGATGCATCAGTGGCGTGCGTTTCGGCGACTGATCAGCCATGATGAGTCCTCTAGCATGTACATCGCCGCCCGCCAGTCAGCCATCTTGAACTCGGTATATACAACGAAGATCCGATTGTATCATCCGAGAAATCAACCGACACACATCAAACCACCGACGCCTCGAGTGGATCATGGCCTTGGTTGTTGTGTGTGGTATACAGTAGGGATTCGGATTGACAGACAGCGCTACGGGGACACTATATCCAGTGGTGTACTGCTATAGTCATGGTCAACAAGTCAAGATGCAATTCATCCTGATGATCGAACGGTTCCGTGTGCACCTCTGTCCGAAAACCCCGAATATCACGCGCTTTGCAAACATAATAGCATTCCTCGACTGCTAACCACCTTCCATGAATCGGGTAGGTTGAAGCAAACATGGCCGATAAACCCAACGGACCCGCCCACTAATTACATACTCATCTCGCGAGGTACCACTTTCACCGACATGTCTCCTGCCCAAGCAACTCCACCATTCAATAAATCTCCCTATTGTTGGTGAATAGTCGAAGCTTGCTACTAAAAATATGACAGCATGATAGTCGTCGACATATAGCCAAGCGTCGGTTCCAGGAGAAAATCATCTTCGTTCCCGCTGCCGACTTATCGACCCTTGCTTTTCTGTCGACGCATGACAGGCCCTTTTTTAGGGGGAGAGGAGGGTGGATACTTGGGCAGAACAATCTCTCCGTCTTCCACACCTGCATGTTCAAAATCATCGTCATTCTACCTGTCGAGTCCACATTTAATTCCTCCCACGTGTGAAATGATAAACTATCGATACCTACCTAGGTACCTATCCCACTTTTAACCCTCTATAGCTCAATCGTCGTTGGCGTGCAATAACCACCACAAACAACTAACTACTCACGTCACTCGGATATCACTACACCTTTGGAACATTTCTATATTCATTCACTCACTCCCATCTCTCTGTATCCGAGGTGCCTGTCTGTCCAAGCCGAGCTGCATCCCCCATGTAACGTTCCTTCCTACACATGTCCATATGCACGCAAGCGCCCTCTCCCCTTTCGCTTTCCGTTCGCTCGCCCCGAGCCGTGCCGCGCCGCCAACAATCAGGAAAGAGAATTCAAATGGACAAGAACGCAGCAAATCAACTGCCACGTTCCCGTCTTTCGCAGGTCAAATTCGGTACATCCGCGTGACTATATAGAATCTATTTGTGTATACATACATGTACCTGGGTAGGTATACACACATGCTCGCATATATGTATGTATGTACGTTACTTACTCGCAGACAATGTCCGGGGGAGGGGAGCGGGAGAGTGACATCTGTCCTTGGAATCTTGTATGTTATCCGTGCTTAGATGGAGACAATACACAGGTAGCCCTTCTTCTATTATCTCTCTTGTTCTTTTTCATTCTCTCTTCAAATGTTCATTCTCGCTCATCAATCGAGTATGCAAAACAGATGACATCTTCTTCTGTAAGCAGGGACGGTTGACAATCGCAGCACAAGCACAAGCAAGTTCATGCACCCGCCCGCCCCTCTCCGCCTTGACCGACCGTCCACGGTGCACAGTCCTAGGATCCCCCAGTCGATTGTAAGGATCATCCCGCACCTGCATGTATACATGTGCGTGACTTGCACATGTCCATCTTTCTGTGGCACCCGGCACCCACCTCGTCATCGCACACGCGTAGAGTCTACCTACATATGCTACGTGGGATGCATGATTCATCTAATTCAAGGAAGAAAATAGTCGTCTAGTAATCAAGCAATCTTTTGAAATATCTTGAATGAATTTGATCTACATAGAACTGATGAGTGAGTGAGAAGGGGAAAAATTCAAAAGGATGGGTAGATGCGCATAGGCAGATTCCGCTTTTCACCTCTTGAAATGGTATGTGGGGAGATTGCGGGGGAGGGGACAGGTAGGCCAGGGTGAAAACAAAATCACCGCGAGGCAAGAGGGAATATGTGCAGTGCAATGACAGTACACGCTGGATTTGAGCCATCCGTGAGTTGGCTGTGATCAAACAGCTCCCTTCGACCTAGCCGAAGCCCACCCATGATTATCCAGCGGCCGCATGACGCATGTGCGTTCATGCAATGTAGCCTCCCCCACGAAAACAGCCCGAAAGACCTTTCCTGGTCTAAAACTCCCAGTCCTCGTCCACAGACTTGATTGCCCAATCAAACTTTTCGCGCAGCGTCTTGGAGAAGAAGCGCTCGATCGGAACGTTGAACTTCTTGGAGAAGACAACAGTGAGACGGGGATCGATATAGTTCTGCATGCAATTAGCATCCATCATGCATGTCTAATGGGAGAGGTTCTGCAACTTACGATTTTGGAAGTTCCAAGGGCAACCTCCTTGTTGCCCTCCTTGTCCTCCATTTGCACCTTCATGGTCTCGATGCGCTGGTTGAGCTTTTCAATGTTCGCCTGCATCTTTTCCACAGTTGGGCCTTTGCCCTCGGCTTCAACCTTGCCAGTCTTGTGCTCCTTGCGCATCTTCTTCCCAAGGTCTTCAGCTGCCTTGAGACGCTCGTCAAGCTCCTTGGGTTTCATCTCTTTGTCACCATCTGCCTTGAGCTTCTCGTTCTCTTTCTCGAATTTCTTTGTGATCTTTTGGCGCTGTTCTTCGACAAGAGCATCGATGTGCTGCAGGACCCATTCGTTGTCTAGCTCATCGGGTCGCGCAAAGAAGTCCGCGCCCTTCTTCTTCTTCATCTTAGGATCGATGTCAATCATCATCTGCTTAGTCCGCCACACTTGATACACAAGACCATTAATCTGCCAAACTATTAGCATCAGATTTAATCGAAAAACGGGTGTTGTCATACCTTTTCTTGCATCTTCTCAATCGACCCGGCATGGCCAGCAGCGACAGTACGTTTGTGGTTACAGAGTATAGCAACCTCTCGATTGGCGTCATTGTACTCTTTGACCTTCTCCGGGATTGAACCTGAAAGCTTCATCTCGCGCAGTAGCCTAGCCATTGTCCACGAAGCATTGTAAGTACGGAACACCTTGGCAGTCAAGCCAGTCATGTAGCTGTTCAAGTGCTTGTTGAGAGCAGAGGTAGTCAAGCGATCGAAGATATCATCACCGGTAGTCTTGGGGGCCTTCTTGAAGATCTTGAGGTTCTTGAACACTTGCGGGTCGACAGTCACTTCATCGTAGAAACGGATACTGTCTTTTCCCAGGAAATCGAAGATGACGAAGTGTGGCGGCTTCAAGGTCACATGCTCGTACTTGAGGGAACAGCAACCGACGGTGTCGGCTTCGTCTTCACCCTTCTCATTGCCCGCACGCAGAGCGAACTGATCGATTAGATAGATAGCAGTGGCACGCTGGCGATCGGCCATCTTCTCGCTCTTGAGGTCTCGGCGGTAGTCTTTGCGGATGGTATCGATATGCTTCTTCAGCTCTCGGGCCTTCTCGAACTTCTTGTAGTCGCTTTGGCCCTTGATGTCTGAGTTAGCGGCGAGCATGACGTATTTGTAGGCTCCGTTGATGTTCTCTTGCCACATGGCGAGCCATGTGCCGGTCTGGTCGTGCTTGATCTCTTTCCAGCTGTGACCCGCAGGCGGCTCAGGAACCTTGGCCTCTTTGCCTATGTTAATAGTAATCTGTTCCGGTAACACGCGCTTCTTCACTCGGCCGGTCTTGGGATGTTCACCACGACCACGGAAAAGACCTGGAGGTTCGACCCGGAAGTTGCCGACTTTCTGCTTGCGACCATCCCACATGCAGTACATGTAGGGGGCTTCAGCAGCCTCCTTCTCCGCTTTGAGCGCCTTCTTCTCCGCAGCGCTAAGAGACTTCTTCTTGGCGCGCTCAGTGTCGAACCACTCGAAAATGGGCTTGAAGTCGCACTTCTCAAACTTCTTGATCTTGACGGTTTTCCCATCCTTGTCTTTTCCGTGGCCCGTCTTGTCCAGGATGGCAACGAAGTCTTCGAAAAAGTTCTTGTTGAATGTAGGGTTCTCGACGTTGACAGCGGAATTGAGCATACTGCCATAGAAGGTGGCCACTTCCTCGGCGTCCTTATGGAGGGTGACCGGAACACCGTCGTAGATGAGCTTGACGTTTTTGGGGAGCGGTTCGTACTCAGGGGGAAACACGACGCCACTATGCTCCAATGTTGTCCATTTTTTGGAACCATCACCCTGGCCCGGATCTTCCCACCATCGGTACTCCTCTTCCTCGTCCTGAGCTTCATCATCCTGTTCCGTCTTCTGCTCGACCTTGGCTTTTCCTTTCGCTTTCTTGACAGGAGTTGCCGCCTGGGCCTTTGCCTTTGCCTTCTTGGCAGGCGCTTTCTTTGCAAGCGGAACATCGGAGTCGGATTCGACCTTTGCGGCTTTCTTGACACCATTTGACGCGCGCTTGGGAGCAGGCTTTTTCTTCATCAACGGCACGTCATCATCGCTGTCGCTGTCGGCCTTGGCTTTGCGTTTGGGGGCCGCCTTTTCCTTGCCTCGTAGGGTCTTTGCCTCCTTCACAGCGGCTTTCTCGATTTTCGCCTTGTCCTTGATAAGCTTTTCCGTCAGAGGTGTATCGGATTCAGACGACTCTCCAATCTGGGCGGCGGTTGCTTTGGGCGGTTTCCTGAAGGGAACCAAAGGCTTATCGCTGAGTTCAGAATCCGAGTCTGGGGCGACCTTTTTAGCCTGTTGTGATGTCCGCCGACGCTTGCTCTGGAAAAGAGTCAGCACCATGTTGCAAAGAAACGAAAGGGACGGGTGATGGACGGACAATTGGTTTATCATCTTCTTCGCTGCTCTCCTCCTTGTAGGTTCTACCATTGGTAAGACTACCACGGCTCTTGCGCTTTCCGTTGGCGTTGGCAGCGGCAGGCGGGTCGACGTCCATGTCCTCAACGGGGCCCATGCGGATGGATACTCCCGGCTCGACATGTCCGTTGGAAGGCAGCTGTTTGTCCATGGCTTGGTCGACGGCCTGAGGAATGCGATCTTGGGATTTCACTATAGCTCAGAGAGAGGAAAAAGTCAGTGGATGAGATGGCGCAAGGGCTGCGTGGTGGTGGGAGCGGGAATGCGTCGGCGATGGCTAACGCGACGAAGGGTGGGTGGGTGGAGTATCGGAGGTGATTGCGCGCGACCGAGGGCAGATAGGCTTTGGTGTTGGAGGTGAATGGGAGGGATGGTCTTACCTCCATTCTCAGTGCGTCCCTTGACGAGAGGCGTATCGTCGTCGTCTGATGAGGACATAATGATGGCGCGCGTTTGTGGGTAGGTTTGGGTGCGATGAAAAGCAACTTTGTCTAGGCCGGGGCCGGGACTTGCTGTAGCGTGAGGACGAACGAAGTGCCTTAGCAGGATTCGTGGGGCGGTTGCGCGAATGAGGTGGGAGTAGCCGCACCGGGTTAAATATACGAGCGTGATGGTGGCGGCGGGGAGAGTGAGTGAGTAACGAGGTGAGAGGGAAGGTGAGGTTGAAAGTGCAAGAAGGGAGAGAGGGAGGAAGGGAGGGAAAGGGTGTTTAAAAGAATTGATGAGCAGCTGGCAGGAAAGAAGATTAGCAGCAGCCAGCAGCGGTCGAGTCCCGTGCAGGCAGGCAGCGCAGCAAAGTCCACCCGCTAACTCGTAACAATCGTTAGACACCAACGCGGAACACGGTCAAGTCTCTCACCAACTCTGACTTGCCACCGAGCAAGAAGTGCTGTGTTTCACGTGTCAAGACAGCTATAGGGAAATTCCAATCTCAATCACTTGGTGTTCATTTCTGCATATGTCCATGGTGTGTTAAGAGGATACCAAAATCATCTGTTCTCGTGTTGAGCTGCACGGGGGTTCGAGAGGGACATGGCCATATCTCGCTCATTCATTTATTCAACATGGGCGGCATCTGACATTGCCGGGAGAGTAAACGCATCGCATGCTAATGATTCCATCACTATTTTGCACTTTCCGGGTGAGCACGTCTATTGGAATCGCCTCGCGCGTACGAGTGCATTCGTGACCGTGTCAAAAACACGTCCGGAAATCGACATAGTCGTGGGAATGAATGCACGGAATTAATGAAGACTTGAACAATTGATTGAGCCGGGCGGCCCGTTTCTTTCTTCGTTCGCTCGCGCAGCCAGCCGGCCAGCCAGCAAAAATGTGCACGGACCTCGCGCTTGGCGCCCAGCTGGGAATTGCGAAGCAGCAGCTCTCTGCACGCCGAACGAAGTTTGAACCCCATCATCAGGAACGCAGTTGTTGAACCACACGGCTGCCTGCCATCTCCACTCCATCTACATCTCCCGTCCGCCCAACATGATGCTTTCACGAGCTGCGCGCCCTGCGCTGAGGGCTGGTCTCGCCGCCGCCGCACGGTACCGTCCCTCCCCCCCAGAGCAAAGCAAACACACAGCATCGCTGCATCCACTCACCCATCGCCATTGCATCGCCAATTGCATCCCAAACTGACTGACGTTGATTCCTCTAGGCCCGCACCCCTCATCAACAACAATGCCGCCACATACGCCACCCTTCGCGAGATCGAGGACCGTCTCAAGTCCATCAAGAACATTGAGAAGATCACCAAGACCATGAAGATTGTCGCCTCCACCAAGCTCACCCGTGCCCAAAGGGCCATGGCTGACTCTCGTACCTACGGACAAACCTCAAACACCGTCTTCGAAAAGGCCGAGACCAAGCCGCTGGAGGGTGATGGCAAGAAGTCGTTGATCGTCGTGTGCAGCTCCGACAAGGGTCTTTGCGGTGGTATCCATTCGGGTATGTCGAGGGCCGTCAGGAGGATGTTGGCCGAGCAGCCCGAGGCCGAGCTCGTAGTCTTGGGCGAGAAGTGCAAGGCTCAGCTGTCCCGTTCCAATGGCAAGAACTTCGTTCTCAACTTTGCCGGCGTGGGCAAGGACATTCCCACTTTTTCCGACGCTGCCTCCATCGCCGACCGCATCACCATGCTCCCCGGCGACTACTCCTCCATCAAGATCGTCTACAACAAGTTCATCAACGCCCAGAGCTACGAGCCCGTTGTCGTCGAGGCTTTCTCCGAGGAGGCCATCGCCCAGTCCCGTGAGTTCTGCACTCGCATATATGCAACCCAAAGTACCCTTTCTTTCTAACATGCTACAGCTCAATACTCCGCTTTCGAGATTGACGACGAAGTCCTGCCCAACCTCCGCGAATACGCTCTCGCCAACTCGCTCTTCTGGGTAAGACAGCATATATACAAAGATTCGCGATTGCCGGGCTAATTATATCACTAGGCTCTTGCCGAGGGACACGCTTGCGAACAGTCTGCACGACGAAACGCCATGGACGTGAGTGGCCTAATATCCAACCTTTATAACCAAATAAACGCTGACCCTGTACAGAACGCTTCCAAGAACGCCGGTGATATGATCAACAAATTCCAGATCTTGTTCAACCGCACTCGTCAAGCCGTCATTACTGGTGAACTTGTGGAGATCATCACTGGTGCTGCTGCCTCTGAGGACAGCTAGAGTAATCGTTATTTTAGACTTCATATCCCTGAATGTCGGCTCATGTACTGGTATGAGCTGTGTAGATTAAGTGCCTGTTCATAAGCTCCTTTGTTGTCCAATTCTCTGCTTCCTCATCTTGTGCTGTGCTTCCTGCTCATTCTGCGACATCTTCCCAAGGGTCCCATCACTGGTCTGCGTTAGTGGGTGGACAGGGCTCTTTGTAAAAAAGGCTCAACGTCAGCTCTCCTAGGCCAAAACCAACGGGTGCCTGGAACGAAACTCCAACGTCGCGTCCCGTTGACACAGATTCGCTCGTCTGGCAGAGTCCATCGTTTCGGCGAACGCGCGGATGATCGCGCCAGCCAAAGTTTGTTCTCGGGGTCCTGCAGAGCAACTGAGCATTCACACACCCTTACACACTCTGCATGATGCTTACACGGTTTCTTTCAACGTCCTTAACTGACACTATTGCTACATCTATAGTATAGCTGTGGAGGCCAGCGCTCGATTTGGTAAGCGTTTTACCGTTCGCTCACGCATTCCTGTTCCTGAAACACGCGACGCAGTCCGTCGAAACAAAACATTCGAAAAACCGTCCGCCGTCAGTCGCTTTGAACTTAGTTGATCAACATTGACCGTGCAGCTCACTTGAATACTGTTATAGATACTCCTAGTCACTCCCGTACGTTTTTACGCGATGGTTGTTCTCTTCACTCAGGGAAGTCAAGTTTCTGACGGCACTACATGCCTGGGTCATCACAACGGCATCGGGTATGCTGTATTTCTGTTCACTATCATTACGTGTGATCTAATCGATAATTCAAATCCCTCGCTGTGCTCAGCACACTCTCGGTGGAACGACAACGACGTCACACACATTCGGTCCCGTTCTTCAACCCTCCTCCCCCAGGATTAGCTTTCGCGTCACCAACCATCAATCACATCCGTGCTTTTTCTCTGAACCAGCCTCCCTAAATCTTCAGTACCGACATTCATATTAGGCTTGATCGATTTCTATCCCACTTTTCTTACCAATACCCAAGAAAATGGTCTCAGAGGATGCATACTGCTCCATGAAATCGAACCTCCCGGAGCTCAAAAGGCTTTTGGAAGAGGAACACTATATACGATGTGTAACTTACGGCGAGCGCCTCTTATCTCGCAGCCATGAACACGTAGGTGTATGATTCTTGAAATACTTACACAAATCCTAACATGGATGCAGATCCATCCTATTCATTTGGTGTATATCCACTTCTTTCTCGCCATGTCTCACGACATCATGGCCCGCGAAGCAACACGTGCACGCCGTTGTTTTGAACTCAACCGGGCAGAGAAGCACTACCTTCTAGCCATCACCTCACTCAATGCACAAATCTCAGATGCCATTCCGCCCCCTTCTTACGTCCTGCCCGCCTCTCCAGCCCTATCCGAGGAGGGCTTTGGAAAGAGAAGCCGACGCACATCAGACGCCTCTCAGCAATCGTTCGCATCCAGCGCCACCTCCATAAGTGACACAGACCACGAACCCACTTTCAAAAGACCCTTCCACAAACGCACAACAAGCTTCACACATTCCTCATCGTACTGTTGTCCACCAATCCAGAAGCTCCCGGAAATTCCCTTCGCACCACAATCCGCACTGTCCGATCTAGAATGGGTATTCCTCGCCGACCTCTCCTGCTTCAGAGGCGTTGTCCGCGATCATCTCCGAAATATCGTCGATTTAAAGCAAGATATGCTTCCTTCCGCTGTTCCAACTGCTCATTCACACAACCGTACGCAGTCGACTACACTTGCACACTCTCGGAGTACCTCTCATATAAGCGCCATACCTATCATGTCCCACTGTCGCACCCAATCGACTCCTGCGATCGAGAGCAGTAAACCTGGATCGCGGTTCGCGAATAGACGGATGTTGCCTTATCGACCGAGATTCGATCCGACGAGCGTGCAGAAGCTGTGTAGTGAGGCGCTTCACGAGCTTCGACGCTGAAGATGGGAAGATGAGGCGATGACCTGTTGGAGCAACGGATTGTTCAACTGCTTGATCGCAGCTCCGTCTTCCAAAACAACAACTTATCCAATCTTGGAAAATCATTGATCCTCTTTTTTGTTTCTATTCTGATATGTTCTTTGCCAGCAAAGACTGTTTACCCCCAACCGGACTCGACGTCCGCTTTCCTTCTACCTTCTCTTCGTGTAATACGTCTTGACTTTGTACTGCGTACGAGCTATACTTCGAAACATTTTACTCTTCTCCACGATATCCCCTCATTACAATGCTTGTCTACTTTAATGTCTTTTTTTGGAAATTGGATCCGTTATATCTTTTCCCCTGATCTGTCTAACAGATATCTCCGTTTCCATCATCCCACTCCCCAGTGTACCAGAAGTTCCCCAGCTACTCAGCGGCTCTCGTTGCAAACCCAGCCTTTCCTTGTCTCGTCTCTGCATCCGTTCCAACATCATAAACAGCCGTCGCGACCTCGTCCCCCTCTGTCTTCCTCGCACGTTTATATCCCTCCTTCTTTTATCGTTGTTTCTGGGACTTTTTCCTTTTTTTGTTTTTTTGCTTGCGTCTGAGATCCCCTTTCTTATATTGTTGCGTTGACTATCTTTCTGTGTATATATCCCTCTCTTCAATGTATCTACATACGTGCTTTCAAACTTCTATATCTTCACTCGCGGATGATGTTATCGATCTATCAGTAGAACCTCCTGCTATCCAAGTGTCGCCTGATACGAGTGAAGTGCAAGAATGCATTTTTCCTACTTCGACAGAACCAAGATAACAACCACGATCATGTCTCCGGTGATAAACACATCTAGAATATATTCTCCGAATCCCTTTTTTTCTTTTTCTATCTATCGTCGAGGCGCAGATTGTCATGTTTGGCCTACTGAATACATGGCATTATTCACGTTTATTTATATTTGGTTGATGTAGTTTTAGCCAGTAAATCACTTGATGGATGAATTTGACTATCACTCTCCTCTGGATCAAGTGATTTAAGAAAACTAGGAGAGTTATTTCTATCTTATAAGGTCGACCAACCACGAGATGTATTGATCGGGGATAAGTAAGAGAGGACGACTCGGGTATATTAATCACTCCCCAGCTCCAGCTCACCGTGACTCCTACACCACACTCCTCTGCCGACTGATCATCATTGTCGGAACTGGGCTTGCCTTCTTGTTGCTCATTTGGTTGGGTAAGTTTATTATCATCTGCCTGGACTCTTGTGCTAACACTTGCGTCGTCAAGGGCAGTTTTCTCCGCTGACGGACAATACCAGTCATAGCCAGGCTCGTCTTCTCATGTCCTGCTTGGTGAGCGTGGACCAACCCTTCTTCTTTAGAGATCAACCCCAGTCAAAATAAGGCTCGCATATTCACATCATATCGCTTGGAACACTCCACCGTTTCCTTTGCACCACACTATTCCTTAACTACTGGATCTACCGACCAAACTGCAACAACTGTCTCCTCAAAGAGCACAGCGGTAATTCGGAAGCGAGTGGGAATCACCTACTCTCTTCGGAATGAGTTCAGAATTGAATGATCAAGTTGGAGAAGATGTTCAGGACGGCTGCTATGCACGTGAAGTGGTGCCAGGCAGGATCATCAACGGTATTAAATTGAGAGACAGAATCCTTCACGTCAGAGTCACAAAACCGGACACGCGCAGCACAAATACCGCAACCAGTCTCAATAATGAACCCAACCGTGCCAGGATGAACCTCTCAATGAACCGAGAATCTACACGCCGGGCAATGATGAGACAGCTAAACCTCGTCCAGGCAACGAAGTCTCTCCTGGGGAAAGAAACACAACTGTGGAAGAAGAAGAAGTGGCTACACGATCAAGCATACATGTACGAGCTCGAGGAGAAATCGGTTCAGCTAGCTGAGGAAGAATTTCAAAAAGCACAGGATAAAGTCACACATGCCAGGGAACAGTTTGCGCGAAGGAGAGATGCGATTGAAGAAGCAAGAGGCAGAGTGCGGATCATGGAGGTCGTGGTCAAGCAAGCGAGGGAGAAATGCCAGAAAAGAGTTCTCGGTGAGGAATCAGGAGGTGAAGATTTGGAGATGGATGAAAATCCACAAGTGGAAGAGGCCGATGCCAAAGATGCGGAAGAAGACGAGTCGGGTAGTGAAGAGGCAGAGACTGGTATGTGGGAGTGGCCAGCAGAAGAGGATATATCCTGGACTTGAAAGAGCACACTATGGGTACAACGAAACAAAACATGCACTGACTGATTTTACGGGAGCAGGTTCCTCAGATGGGGCATCGAAGTCGGGCACAATTTATCCTTCAGATGGCAGTACCAATCAACCGAAGATTACGGACTCAAATCGGCGACAAACTAGTGTTTTCCAGACTGGATTTATGGAATAGGGGCACCGGGTACTTAGACTTCGGCTTGCGCCAACCGCAGTTTTCTTGGGTGATTAATTTTGGGCACCGATTCAAGGGAGTTTGGGAAGACTGCACCACTCTTCTGCTTCAAAGGAAAGCGCAACATCTAGACATCTCTACGATTTCATGAGAGAACATAGTGGTCCTCATACTAGTTCGTGAACTACAAAATCTCCATATCAAATCATTTGCCTATGAATACATGTACCTTACTGTGATGTTAAAACAAGATTCTTTATGTTGACATGAAGTATGTCTATGATGAAAACATCGTGCGGTGTACCCCTACTTCTTCCATGATAGCTTGATATGTACATATGTATTCAAGACTCGATTAATCATGCAACACATCGAATTACTGCACTGAACTCGCAGCTGAATCCAAGTCGAATTTCAAGTCCACACAACCACTCATGTAATGCAAAAACAAGATACTTCTATATATACCATATATGCCATCTACCCAAGCCAAACCATAAATCCAACCCCAATAAGATCAAGAACAAAATTCAAAAAATTCCCACATGTGTGCCATTCTATGCAATAGACTCGGTCATGCCTGCAAGCACACCAGCTCCAATAATGCCCCCATCACTAGCTTCCCTAAGAACAACCCTCTTGCCCGCATTTTCTCTCGACCCTTCCGCAACGAGGATATCGATCCATTTCTGGCAGTCTGCTAGCCAATTCGGGTACTGCGAGATCGTCGAACCCGCGTACGCGATGACTAGTTCTTCTTTTTCCTCTTCTCCGCGAGCGTCAGCGTTGTTGAGATCTGCGTGGCCGTTCTGCGGGCCTGGGGTGGATCGGTGGAGGTGTATGTCGTGCACGCAATCCAGCAGTCCGATACACGCTGCTGCAATGAGGGCTGAGGAGCGCTGCTGTACTGCAGCAGCGATGTGGCGGAGGAGGGTACTGCGTTTGCGAGTCCAGAAACATGGTCCCGCTTGTCCTTCTTCTCGTTGTTGAGACGGGAATTCTGCTTCGAGCCTCGAGGTTAAAGCCGTGAAAGCATCATCGTTTTCATCGTCATCTTGTGTGGAGGTTGCGACGACTTCGGATAGGAATCTCGTCGAAACCGCGTTTCGCTTTTTTAGTTTAGCGGGTAGTTGAGGGCTTGTTTCTCCCTCTGCACTCGCATGTAGATCTATGAAAGCGAGCCGTACTATTTCGCCGAGGTAGCGACCTGCCGTCATGTACTCGAAAGGCTGAAAACCGGGACGGTCACTGTTTCGATCCAGCTCTCTATCCCAATGATTTTGGATCCCCAGATCTATAAGAGGTTGTTCGGTGCCATTGATAGTCCACTCCGTGTTGACGATGACTGTGTCGACTTGGTCTGAATTCTGGAGATCGTTCTTTTTGGTAGGATGGAGGTTTGCTAGTTTCATGGGCACCGTGGCGTTTGTGCCTGTCCCTACTATGAGACCCATGGCAACTCTGCTGTTTGGCGCTACTTTGACTGCGTATGCGAGAGAGGTGAAAGTGGCTACAGTGTCGTTTGTTATTGTTGCTATGCGGATTCCCGGGAGTTGAGTCGATGTTTTCTGCTTCTTGGTGGGCGGTTCCTTGTGTTGTATGCCGTTGTTGATGGATTCATTACCATTTGCATGTCGTGCGTACCCCGCCAGTAGCAATTTCCCCAAATTCAGGTCTGAAGTGATAGCAAAACCTTTTCCCATGGGGAGCAAGGTAGCTTCGGACAAAGTCTTTTGCCTGCGGAAAATTCTCAGCTTTTCGGTGTCCATGATGTTCGGGAGCGGTTACCTACGACATCGGGAAGCTAAATGTGATGCCGAGGAGGAGCTCTTCACCAAGTAGCGACGACTGAGATGATGTGCCATCTGGCACATCATCAAGCGCAGCCTGAATAACTTCGGCTATGCAACCTCCTATCCATCCAAAAAGATCTTCCGCATGGTCCATTTTCAAGTGGTCACCAATCGGCCAGTTCCTATCATGCAGCCTGCGTACTCTCTCCATGGGCTTGTGCATCTCATTGCCATTTTGTGCCCCATCTTCGGTCTGACCCAGCAATTCGATGAATCCCACACGTAGATTTGTGCCGCCCACATCTATGCAAATGAATTTGCCTTGTTCTCTCCCCGTTGGCAGCGCCGTCACAGGCGTGACCAGGAATTGGTCCAGCGAGGTCTTAGCGAGTACCGAGTACGTGTCGGAGAAGCGGGCAGCCAGATGCAGAAGCGTAGTTTTATTAACGCAGTCGGTGAGTGCTGCAATGGACCTTTCGGCCATGACTGTACACTCTCCTTATTTTTGTCTTCTCTTGGGTTTTTTTGTGAGTCTCGCCCCTGCTGCCTGGCTAATGGATGGGAGGGGAGAGACCACGTTTGAATTGGCACACGATTGAGAGGCTACCTTTTCGGCGGGCGCCACAGACATGCACGAACGAACGAATCGAACCCAGAATTGGGGAGAGGGCAAGCGAACATAGGCAAGCGTAGTCGCTCGGCCGGACGTTCAGTTACCTAGGGTGCATCTGTAGAGAGGACATGTGTATGCGGAAGCGAGGTAACAAAATCGAGAGAGTACCCGCGGGAGTACATGTACTCGAATGCAACCAAGCAAAGTCTACTATGTCATATGTTATTGTATTCTTTTTCTGTACGCCAGCAAGGGAGCTGTGACACGGAACAATCGGAATCGTGGTAGCACGATTCCCGAACACGTGAGGAAGCTTGGCGTTGTCCGAGATGAGATGGATCCATTCAGACTACTGGCGGGTCCATAGGGCTGAGCTGTCTCCATCTACCCCGTCTATCTACATCACCACCAAGCGCCGCTGTATATTTCCCACCGTAACGCATTACTTCTATCCGCACCCACCCGCCATCACACCTGCCTGCCTGTCTTCCAACCATGGAGAAATCCTCCCTCCTCCCTCAAACCCAATCTCCCCCCCGCGCGCGAGCTTCTATACTACCCAAACGTCCCACCCGCTTCCACGGCCTCCTCTTCGTTCTGGTATTGGGATTATACTTCCTTTCCGGGTCATCGTGGAAATGTGAACACAAACAAAAACACAATGAGAGCGTGCAGAAGACGAAAGTACCTTTGGAGGTTCATATAATGTGAGATGACAAACCACCTCCGCAGTCCCCTATTCCGCAGGAATTCTAACGAGGGAAACAAAAACAGGTCAAAATGCCCAGACGCACGCGACTGTTTAGAGAAGCTGGTCGTCCCGGCCATGGCCAATGTATCCAGTAAAGTGAACTTTACGCTTTCATTTATCGGAAAGTACGTCAAATTCAAGATCCACAACTCCCAATGCCCCTTGTCCATTCATCGATACAAAGAGAGGATTGCTAACCCGTTCAATAGAACCACCGAAGAAGACGACGGCGTGCAATGCAAACACGGCCAAACCGAATGCTTAGGCAACATCGTCGAGCTCTGCGCCGCTGCCAGCTACCCGGATCCCAAAGCATACCTTGGCTTCACCATGTGTCTGGAGCGCGACTACGCCGAGATTCCTAAGCAATCTTTCATCGAGGAGTGTGCGCTCGAGCACGGACTGTCGTTTGCCACGCTTAATGATTGCATGAGCAAGGATGATGGCGCGTATGGGATGGGTTTGTTGAGGGAGAGCGTGAGGAGGAGCCAGGCGTTGGGTGTGAAGCTGAGCTGTACGGTTAGGCTGGAGGGGAAGACGAGGTGTATAAGGGATGGCGGGGAGTGGAGCGATTGTGAGGGCGGTAGTGAGCCGAGTGATTTGATAAAGGATATTGAGAAGTTGTATGGCGGGGACGGCGACGAGGATGAGAAGTGAGGACTGCGTAATATGGCTGCTTAGAGTGGAAGAAAAATGATACCCAGAAAGATATTCATTCAGACAGTGCCTTTTTGTTGGAAAGTGAAGCTCTTTTGAACGTTTGTTGAAAGATGTTGAGATTTGGATCATTAATGCAAACAAGCCATGTTCAAAAAAGACTCTTGAACGCCGTTGATGCAGACACCCTCGATGCTCCATGCTAAGAAAGTATAACAAAGTCACAAGCCCCGCCCAAGATTTCCCTTGCTTACCCAAGTTCGGCACACTTATTGAAATTCTCCAAATTCGCCATCGTCGAATCCCAGATCCTCAGGCTTAGGCTCAAAGCTCTGTCGGCTCCTCCGCCTTTCTTCCTTTACACTCTTCGCGCTCGGAGGTGGAGGCAGAAACGGGCTTCCCCCACTGCCTGGCGGTGGCTTAATACTGAACAGCGCATCCTGCTCACTCTTCTGCTCGGCAGGGCTCTTAGTCTCCTCCCTCCGCTCCCTCCTTCCCTTCAACCCGCCTAGATTGATACTTATCGTCTCACCTTCCTTGAGACTGAAATCCTTCTTTGCCTCCTCAACGGGAGCCTTCTTGCTGCCACCCCCGGGTTTGGGCGGCGCATTGGGATTCGCCTCGAACCCCAGCACACGGCGCGCATCCTGCAGCGCAATGCTAAAGTCAAACGCCTCGCTCCGCTCTTCGAATCCCATGCCCAGCACCGCCTTGCGTCCTTCTCCCACCACCGTCACCGCGAAGAACCGACTGCTATCTAGCGCCTGCTCTACTACATTTGGGCTCGTATACGGCGCGGCGGCAAACAATTGGCCCGAGGCGGGATCCTCGAGGAGCAGCGCGGTGGTGATTTTATCGGATTCGCCGTTATCCTCTGCTGACGCGGATGTGGTAGGGATAGACGTTTCCACGACGCGAAGGCGCGCGGTGAAGATCTGGCGCTTGTTGTTGTCGGCGGTCCATGTCGAGGCTTGGTAGCCCTTTGTGCTGGTGAGGGGCGGGATTTGGTAGACGTGGACTTTGGGCGCAACGTACAGGACGCGTTGGTAGGCGTTTGCGGGGAGCGTTTGGCCGGTCAGCGGGTCGACGTTCATGTTTGCGGGATCTTGCTCGCGGCCCGTAGGGAATTGCTGCTGGTCGGGATTGTTGGTTCTTGACAAGGTGGATGGACCCTTGAGATCGGCTGGGAGTGGGTGGGAGGGCGAGGTACCAGGAGAGAGATTATGGGGTACGTATCGAGGGAAGCTCCGCTCCGGTGCGACTGCGGCGATGGCGGGGTAAAGATCACGGCGCTACGGTTCGAGCTGGGAGAAGAATCTGGAGAGGGATGGAGATGAATGTTCTTTGCTGTAAAGCCTGGGGCGGATTGTCGAATGAGCGATGAGGGAAACGGTTCATCGTCGTTCAGTGTGCCGTACTGGTATAGAGGGGTCAACAATTTGATGTGCTGGCAAAAGTTATTGCAGGGGTCTTCCCGGTCACTGTACAAATGTAGATGCAATTGATTCCCCACTTCCATCACGTGAGTGAAGGGTCCTGTAAGTCATCTTGATTGGCGCTTCGGTTTCGTTTCACGGCGGTTGGCATCGCGTTCAACTGTGGATAAAAATGTTGAATTTCTCGCTGTTCTATCGTCGTCTATCATTGCAATCATATATGTCTATAAGGTAGTCTAACTTATCCACCTTGAACGCTATCAAAGCGCGTGTGTTCTCCATCTATCCCATCAGATGCCTATCAATGGTGTTCAATTCATTTCGCAGCGCCATTCTCAGGCTTGACGCCAGCAGCGCCCGATTTGTATGCCTCCCAGCCCTCTTTGGCCGCGTCTTGCACTGTAGTCTGGCCCGCGACAATCTCCTTGCACTTGGTCAGGATCGAGGACCAGTCCTCGAAAACAGTGAAGGGAACTTCCTCCCTCGCGCAGTACGAGATCAAATCATGACCCTTCTTCGCGAAGAGCAGATCGGTCTCGCGGGCTGCAGAGAGATCAGAGACACCGTCACCAGCGTAGAACATGGTCGGGCGAACGTTGTCAGGCAACGACGAGTACTCGCGCAGGGCGACTGACTTGTCGTGACCGAAACCGCTTTCCGGGTGCCTGAATTTGATTTCCCAACCACCTTCCTCATTTATGGATTTGCCTGGGCGGGCAGCAACATAGTTGCCCAGCACCAGCATCTTGTCTGCGTTGGGGCCCACGAGTTTCTCTAACAGCGCCTTGATGATGGGCTCCATTCCTCCACTAAGGACAACGACGGGCACATTGTTCTCCAAGCTCCAGTCAAAAAACTCCTTGAAGTAGGGGTCGAGCTTGATGTTGTCCAGCAGGATCTGGATGCACTCGTTGTAGGGCGCCTTGATGGATTCCATCATGTCGCGGAACGAGTCTCGGAACTCGATCTTGTTGTTGAGGGTATCCAAATTGCCCTGGCGACGCTTCTCCACTCCATAGCCGATGTTGTCGGTCATGTAGTCGTTGGAATCTTGGAGAGTAATGGTTCCATCGAAATCGGTGAAGAAGATGAACTAAGGAACCGTCAACATGGGTTCCGAGAGATTCGGAACGGAATGGTGGGGCAGCAAGCGCACCTTGGGGTTGGTCTTCATGGCGGGAAGAGCCGCCGCATCGCTAACACCCATCTTGCCGGATTTTGTATATATGAAGGTAGCGAGCGAGGTGCGCGGTGGTTTGCAGAGTGGGAGAAAGTGACGATGGGAGGTTCTGACACAGCAGGACGAAGGGGACTCTTGGAGGGGTTCGAATTGAAAAGTCAGAGAGCGAGCCGAATCGGGAATCCCGGCATGTCAATCAAATCGTTCGCCCATAAACATTGGGGTCGACTCGCCTTGGCGGGTCAAAGCTCTCTTCGAGCTCCATCTTTTTCTGCAGCCAACCCAGCATTTGCATCCCACATCCTCATCACGCCTGATGTGAGGTGCTGTTGCTTACATCAAGAATGAGGCCGCTGCTTCAGCATGCTTCTCGCGCCATATCCGCCAATGCCGCTCCTGTAGTGCGCCCGTCCACCGTCCGATCCTTCACCAGCTTCATCAAGAGGCAGCCATCAATATGCGTCCAATGTCAATTCCGAGCTTCGGTAGTCCGGTCGGCATTCGATAGCTCACGCTTGCCCCGTCGTTATTTTCATCAGACCCCAAATGATGACAGGAAGCCCTTCGACGAGAAGAAGCCTACCGAGCTGCCTGGAGAACCTCCTCTCGAAACACAAATACCACCCAACGCCAACGAGCCAATTCTGATCGAGCCTACCACCAGACCAAGCGAGGAGAATGTAGACTCGTCGTATCCACCGGCTGGCGGTGAAGCTATCGAGGAGAAACCAAAGGTCACACCTAAAAAAGAGCAAGTCGTGGACAACATCGATAGGGTGCCGGCGGAGAAGCTACCCTCGCACATGGAGTCGCAGAGATGGAACTTCCATAAGCGCTTGAATGAGCTCATGGACGAGTTATTGCCCAAATTAGCCGACGTTACGCAGAAAGTCAACACGTACACTGGAACAGACTATACAGGCATTCAAGCGCTGAAACAAGAGATCAAAGACCAAGGTAATACATATCATCACAATATTCAGGATTAGGCTAATGGCTTGGTAGAAAAGCTGGTAAAATCCCGCCGTGGGGTAATCGAGGAGGCCAAGCAAGCTCTTGATGCCGCGCACTCCCAAGCTGCCGCCTCGCAGAAAGAAGTGGTCGCCCTTCTGGAACGGAAACACTCGTGGTCAGCAACGGACCTTGAACGATACATGTCTTTGATACGTTCAGAACACGTCAACGATCAAGCGGTACGGGAAGCGAAGGAGGCCATTACTGCTGCTGAAAATGCCTTGGAAGAAGCTCGCTCGCAGTTGGAGAAGCGAGAGCGTGCGCAATACCACGAGGAGCAAATTTGGAGCGACACTATCCGCCGAAACAGCACATGGGTTACTTTTGGCCTGATGGGACTCAATATCTTCTTGCTTTTGCTATCATTGCTGATCTTTGAGCCCTGGCGAAGGCGACGGATGGTACGAGAGATCAAGGCCGCGCTGGAAGCTCACAAAACATCCATGGAACCCATAATGAACCCTTCCCTCCAAGCTGCTGCCCCAGCCGCAGCCATCGAGGCTAAGGTTGAGGAAGCCGTCCAGCTAGCAGAGCCAGTGGCCGCCACCCCAGAACCCGTCACGCCTATCACACCCCCTGCATCGCCTGACGCCGCGAGTCCCGTACCCGAGAAACTGGAAACCGCCGTAGAAGAGCTCTCTGAGTCTCCAGTAGTCCCTTTACCACTCGTTCCGGAGCCGGCTGTTCCTGAAGCAGTCCCGCTCACTCCGGCAGGAGTGTCTCCTCAAGAAACCATCAACATCGAACAGGAAGTCAAAGAAGAAGTCCAATTTCCTCCTGTCCAGGGAACGTGGCAGGACAAGGTAAAATTCATTGCCAAAGACATCATTAGCGAGCGAGAGATTTCAATGCGTCGGTTGGACTTTACCAACTACATCATCTCGAGCGCAGCTGCGGGCGCTATTATTGCGGCGGCGGTTGTAGGGCTTTTCACTGCCAGATGAAGGAATCTCGTTGAGATCGATCTTCTGTGGCGCAAAGCTATATAACCATCCTTCTTGATCAAACAAAGAAAAGGCGTCGTTCAGATATACGATACGGGTCACGCAAATGGAATAACACCCTGCATTGCATATGCGTATGTATAAGTAAGGGTTATGTTGTAAATATTAAATGTACAAATCAATTCAATTCGTCCGAATGCTGCTTATTTGGACCAACGTTCTCGGCGACGCACACTATCTTCATGTCGTTTTATGAGCCTACCTAGGTATATATATCCTATTCAACCTGAGGAGTATCCTCGAAGGAAACGCAAATCTTTGGTTAGTATCCAATCCATCCCACCGTTGACTAGACTTTCTACTGACAACTGACAGAGTTTCGGTTAAGAGCTACCAGTGACGATCCTTGAACTAGAAACTTTGGATACTATAAATGCGAGGAGCATTTTCATTGTACCCAGCAAGCAATCAGAAGATCAGAGTGAACAGACGCCATCCTCACGGATCTAGCAGTTGGAATCAGCGTCGTCATCAGATGAATAATAGGTCAAGTGGGAGGTTCGGTAAAGATGCTGATGTGTGGCTGAGATGAGAGAGAACATCTACACCCCTTGTACAGCTGAGCATCGGAGTAATGAAGATCCGGCGTCTGATGTGCGGGCTAATTTCAAAGATTTTCTATTTTCTTAAAATGGTATGAAATTTTTATTTTTAGGGAAGAAGGTGTTGTGTGTTTAGGATGCTTAGGTAATAGGTCAAGTATTAAGCGCATTTGACGTAGTAACATATACAACATCCTAATAATCTAGTAGAGATATACAAATTTATAAAGTTAAAGTATTAAAAAATAAAACTATAGTACGCTTATTACCTTCTACTATAAAAGCTATAATAAAGTTTATATAAAGTTTTTACTTTTTTTATTTTATTAACTTTATTTTATTTACTTATAATACTACTTATTTTAGCTTTTACTTTAATATTTATATACTATAATAAGCTCTTTAAAATTAATATTAATAAAATTAGTATTAATATTAAAAAATACTTTAATAATAACTTTAAAAAGTAGCTAAAATAGCTTATTAATAATACTTATAAAAATTATATAAAAAAGTAGTTTTTCTACTTAGCTTTAATAAAAGTTTTATTTATAGTATATAGCTATATAAATGCTATAAAAGTAAGTAAGCTATACTTACTTATAAAATTTACTTAACTTATACTAACTACTTATAAAACTTATAAACTAGTATAAAGTAAAAAAAAAAGTAATTTTTAACTTTATAAAAAAATAATAATAATATAAAGCTATTAAGTAAAGAGAAAGACTTTATAAGCTTTTAAAAATACTAAAAAGAGCTTTTTAATAATTTTACTAAAATGCTAGGCTAAAGTAGTAGAGAAAGAGCAGTCTGGGTCAAGTATAGGTTGGCTGGTTGACGGGGATTTTCTACGGCATTGGAAAAGTAGGATAGTAGACGCGAGAACAATGACTACTCTTGATAGGGCACTTGACTACTAGTCTTTGAATGTATTTAACACACTTGGGTGCCTTGACTGCAGATATGCGTGTCCTACTTTTTAGATACCTTAGGGATGGGGGATGCGACTCGCAAGGCTTAGCATGTGTTACTCTTGGAACGACTGTGATGTTGCTTGTAGTACGCATGCAACGATACCTCGAAAGGAGGAACATGCTGTTGCTGAGAGCGACAAATGTTCTACTATAGTCTGATGTAGAACGGACAAAGATAAGTCGAGGAGTCATAATGATAACGGTTGAATGGCGGGGCATGTAACTCGAAGACGAGACAACTCAGCAGGCAAGAACTTGTTCAGATAAGAGGGCGCTCTGAAGCTCACCGCTCTGTTGTTGGAGTCACTGATCTCTGGCATATAATTTTTCTTTCCATCTTCAGTTTTCCTCACTGCGACATGATCATGCGAACTCTACCTCTTTCTTACCGCTTCGCTCCGCGCACTGTCCTCGCCAATGTCGTAAAAGTAGAGAAAGCAAAAAAAAAAATCTTTTCTTCCATATTGAATATATTCTTACCGAACCACACGACTTCTCGCCAAACTCTTCCTAATCCGTTACCCACGCACACGCCCTCATAATCCTCCGAATTGCTGACTTGTGCTCATCTAACCACGCCTTACCCCGTATGATTGGCCGCAGAAGCCAGCACCTTGCTGACGCGCATCCTGCGAGTATCACGACAGCATATACTGGCTGGATTGAAAATTTATGCGAACTCTAGAATGTGTGATGTGTGCTTTTACGGGCTTGCTGATATTATTCTCTTTTTTTACTTAGAACATAAGGTGCAAGAATAGTCCTTTGGATTGTTCAGCCTTGAAGGACGTCAGGGATTTCGAGTTGGGCTGAGACAGGCTTTTTTTTTTGGCTGCGGAGTTCGTGATAGGGCTGGTGCGCCCGGTGAAATGACCTGCTGCCTTTGGCTATTCCTACGTATTTGTGTGTGATGTGGTGGTAAAGGCGGTGGTGCAGGGGGGTGCGAAGCTGAGATTGATAGGTGAGGCTGAGACTGAGGTGTCTGTTGTGTTGGACACGCTGTATATAGAGGGGTGTATGGACAGCGTTTGTCATGGACCCACTCGTGTAGTCATCCGTTGACTTGAGCACTTCTTGATATTACTTTGGTTGTTGAGTTTAGTTTTGTGGGACACTTAGACAGGAGAGGACTATCCTTGTCTTGCTATCCTGCACCGTGTGGGGAGATACCCTTGGTTGCCTCACACAAGGCTTTGCGTGTCTCGAGACGAACCTCTGACTCTATTCTCTAAATTTGCAAGTATCGGAATAGCGAGAGAACCCAAAAAATAATGGTGTATTCAGATATTCATCTTCCACTTCGTCAGTGCCCCACTCTCCTTCTCGCGCAAGTCCAACTCATACCCTTATCACTAACACACTTAACAGCCGGCTTCATAGCCCTAGACTGGACCCTCATGACCATCGCTCTTATTCCAATCCTCATCCGCATATCCCTTCGAACAAGAAACCTCAGCAAATACACCACTTCCACGAACATAGCCGACTTCTTCGTCATTCTCGCCTGGCTCTCAGGTATCGTCCTGATCAGTATAAACACATGGAAGAACAACCTCCGCATGTCATATTTGTCAACTCCACCCTCAGACCTCTACTACGGCGTTCCTAAGCCACTTTCTGGCCACCTACTCTACGTATCCTGGATCAGCCTGTTCTTCATATACATTAGCCTATGGAGTGCAAAGGCCGCTTTCCTCGCCTTCTACTACTCCTTCTCGTCACTTCGCGGTCGCGCAGCGCAGTACGCTCTCGCAGCAGCTTGCATATTCACATTCTTAACCTTTTTGCTGCACATGTTTCTGATAGCATTCTGGTGCACGCCCGTGTCGTCCAACTGGTCGCCACCGCCTGGTGAACATCTCTGTTCGGCCGTGCACTCGATTTCTTCAGTTACCATTTCCACTTTCGCAAACGTAGCAACAGATCTGGTGATCCTGAGTATACCCATCTCAACGCTGTTGGCGACGCGCCTGGGCCGAACGGAGTGCGCCGGTCTCGCTTTCGTGTTTTTGATGGGTGGTGTTTCGGTCATTGCAGCGCTGGTTCGCTTTATTTGCTTGAAACTTATACAATCTTCGCCGAAAGCGAGTATCACGCATACGATTGATGTATGGGCATTGGTGGAGATCGTGTCCTCGATTTTGGCGGTGTGTTTACCCTCATTGAGGATGTTTGCCAGACGTCACGGCTTAGGGGTGGAGAGTGGTGTGGCGAAGCTAGTGAGTGATGTGAGTGAGAATTCGAGATCGCGGAGGAGTGGTGCACTGGCGAGAGTGGAGACTGAGAAGTCTGTGGAGGTGGAGTGTTATGCACATAATCAATGAACCACTAGTCGAAGGTCTGAACGCGTGGAGGATGATAAGACGGCGTTACGAATTCGAGACACGTAAGACTTCTAGCTTGAGCATTTATTTCTTTATTGCTCGCTAAATATGTTTAAGAGTGTTTGAGAATTGCGCAAAGCTAGAAGGTTTGTATCTATAGTTACTTTAGCGTGGAGTTTTGGGATTCTGTTTGTGAGCAGACAATAAGACGCAACTGAACGATTCGAAGAAATATGACTACATTGATTAGAGCAGGCTGGTAGTGCTTTGCCTGTACTTGCGTTATTTGCAGGTGAAAGGTTGTCCCGCGACCCCACCTCGTATTCAGCCTCGTTGCCTCACCTGCATGTCATGCCCTCATGCACAGCCCAGCATCGTTACAAGGCATCTCAAACTTCTAACGCCCACAGATATGCCATTACAACAGCAAAATGGCGGACCCGCTTTCGATTGCTTCTGGTGTTGCTGGAATTCTTACACTTAGCAGCGCCGTCGTGGGAGCCGGCTATCGATTCATTCACAGTGTATCTTCAGCGCCTAGGGAATTCGCAGAGCTAATCAGGGAGGTTGCATACCTCAATTCCTTGGTCTCACAGATTGTGTCTTTTCAGGTTGGGCGGGCACCAATCCTAGATGATGGTTCGATGGCGCAGAGCATTGTTTCAGATTGTGAAGCAGCACTCGACGATGTCCAGCAACTATTACGAATATTCGAAAAGAAGCAGACCTCCACCTCCGGACGTGTTTTAGGACCTATTTCCTGGCCGTTCAAAGAGAAAGACATTACCAAATGCCGAGAGCGAATCAACAGGCTTTGTGCGACAATACAGAACTCAATCTCCATTGAAAGCGCATCGAAGATTAACAGTGTAGAGGTCAAAATGGAGGAGTCCTTGAAACTGAGCACTGCGATCGGGAGGCGAGTCCATAGCTCACAGGATATGAAGATTCTCGATTGGCTCTCGACGTCAAACCCTACACGGAAGCAGGCAGCTACAACGCAGCTTCACCGATTAGGAACGTACGACTGGTTTTTCAATGAACCCGTCTTTACTGATTGGGTCACCATTTCACGTCTGCTCTGGCTCAATGCGCCACCCGGGGCTGGAAAAACTGTTTTGTTGTAAGTGAGTAGGCAATGAAAGTCTGCGTTTGAAACTAAGGAACGCCAGCTCTCACATTGTCAATTATCTCCAGAGTAGTATCGCACAAAACTCAATACAGGGGGTCGTTGCATACCATTATTGCGAATTTGCTGTCTCGGACACTTTGGATCATTTCAATATCGTGCGCTCACTTCTCCACCAGCTTGTCGGATCAAAAACCGAACTCCCGCAGGAAATACAAGACTTGTACCACAGCTCCCGAGGTCAGCTTCCCAAATTAGCAATGCTACTTGATGTCTTTCAGAAAATCATCGAAAAGGGAGGCGAACCGGTATATATCTTGATCGACGGTCTAGATGAATTCCCAGATCGACAGAAGCTGCTGAGTATTGTTCGAGACTTTGAGAAAGCCACCCCATTAATCAGGGTGTTACTTTCTAGTCGCCCTGAATACGATCTGAGACAAGAGCTGTCTTCTGAAACTTCGTTCACCATCGAATCTCATCATATTGAGCGCGACTTGGACATACATATTCGAGCGGAACTTTCGAGCATTCCGAAGCTGCGAACACTTCCTACAGCCAAGCACGAAGAACTAGTCAAAACACTCATATCTCGAGCCAATGGTATGTTCAGATGGGTGCAATGTCAGTTGGATGTGTTGCGTAAGATACGAGCTCCACGAGATCTGGATGTCGCTCTGAAACAGATGCCGCCAGGTCTCTATAAGACATACGATCGTATTTTGGAATCGGTCAAGACTGAAGACTACGATTATGTTCTCAGTATGCTTCAGTGGCTTACAAGCGCATATCGACCCCTGCATATTTCGGAGCTGGCGGAAGCAATTGCGCTGGATCCTAACAAACGGACTTTTGACCGCGACCAGGACAGGCTGTACGATCCAGAGGAGGTACTTGATCTTTGTGGTAGTCTGGTTCGGCTGGATGAGAACGGCACTGTGAAGTTAGCTCATGCTTCCTGTAAGGAGTATTTGCTTTCTACAACACTCGCCAATGGGCCTGCTTCAACCGCTCGATTTTCAATCACTTCAATGGGTTCCGAACGACACATTGTGGAAAGTTTACTCACTTACGGGCTCACAATTGCACTTCATATGTATCGGCTGAACCGGAAACTAGACGATAAAGAATATCCACTTCTAAACTATCTAAGATACGCCACAAGAGTGGATATATATCGGAATTTCCAAGCACTGAGCTCGTGGTTTGGAAAACACTTTCGTATCTACGGTCACTGGTACGATGATCTGCTGCAAGTCATCAGTTTTGTTGGAAAGCCTGCACTGCTGGAAGCAAACTACACGATTGCTTTCGCGATTCGACTGTTCCTCCAATCTTGCTCGCTAGCACTTCTCGACGGCTTCTTGACTGCGAGCAGCACTAGTGATCTTCAAGTTATCTCCGAGTGTTTGAAAACCAGTTTTGTCGACTGGCAATCTTATTGGGAAGATAATCGAAATTCTGAGGCCCTAACGAGATTATATACTAACATGCTTACTCCTTTATCTCTTGCCGCATATAATAACTCCACCAATGTAGTGCACCACCTACTTGAACACGGCGCAGGAGTCGATGGCATAAAGGATGGAGAGGGAGCCGCTCCGCTACTGAAAGCTGTCGGGAATGGCAGTAAGGATACATTCAGGGTTTTGAGGGAACGAGGTGCGAACATCAACATCTGCAATTCGTTCAGTAGCCATGGTGGTACTGTCCTAAAACGAGCTGCTCTACACAGTGCGGATATGCTGGATATCGTGATGCATGAAAAAGACCTCCAGCCGTTTTTAGTGGACGGTAGAGGGCGCACCATAGTAGGTTCACTTTCCTGTATCTTTTATATACTCGCTGACAGTAGTCTAGGCTTATTGGATTCATCATGATTCTGTAGTAAAGCGAAACCTCTCAGCGCATCCTCATTACCTTACCAAACTCGACAGGCCTGAGTTTAGGACGATAGACCTCCGCATTGTCTATCAGAACATTCTAAAACTATTGGATTCCGTATCAGCCACGTCTCCCATACGCCATGATTGGGCTCGGGATGAACTGTCTAATCAGCTGTTCTCATGCGGGCCTTCCTATTATGAATTCGGAGCGATATTCGGGGAATCAGCACTGATACGGGGCGATATTTTCGAGCAAACACATAATTGCGATGCTTGCGTTACGAATAGAGAAGCGGGAATGATAGGCAAACGGTATAGGTGTCTAGACTGCATAGACACCGATCTTTGTGAGACATGTTACAAGACTTGGCAATTGGATAAGGGAGATTTGAGCTTCTGCCCGGGTCATACGTATCATGAGATACCGCGGCCTTGTTGGTACAATTTCAAAGAAGGAGTTGTTGCTGAGGATGGGAAAACTTTACCCCAGGTGATTGAGTATCTCAAGGCGGAGTTCTCCAAGTTGTTGCAAGAGCTCACTGGTGATTCGAAGAACGACATGCAGAATCTGGCTTCAAGGTAGCAAATCTATTTTTGAAACCAGATCGAAAACGAGTTTGGCAATCAAATTTGTAATCCGCGGGGTTATTGTTATTCATGAATTAAAAACAAAAAATGCCTACAGGCACGGCTCTACATCTAGATTCCAGACATTTACCACGTTCACCGTGTCGTTCTCGAATTTTACTTCTAACTGCCGAGGAATGAATCCAACAGTTTCATATACTTCTCCCGCCGATCAACATGAGATAGATGCGCAGCGTGATCCAGTGTAACCCATTTGACCTTCTGAATGAGATCAAAAAAGGGTTGCATCGCAACATCTTGAGCTTCATCCTCCACCCCGTTGATGAGAAGAGTTGGGACCTTGATTTTCTCCAACAATGGAATACTCGTCCAATCACGGAGTGATCCGGAAACATAGAGTTCACTTGGACCATACCTGTTCAGTAGTCAGAACTTCAAGCTTCTCACGAACGTGAGATTTTACATACATAGTACCATACGTAGTTGGATCTTTCTCAAACCAGTCGAGTGCTGCTTGGACTTCCTTAGCTGGCCAGGGCCTACTTAGACTAAGGTGACGCTTATAGAATACGTCGATAGCAGCTGCGTACTCAGGCGTATCGAAAATTCCTGTTTCCTCTGCGTGGTCCAGGACTTTCTGCACGTCTTGCGGAAGTTTTTCTCGCAGTGCAGAGATGCCATCTTGCCAAGCATCCATGCTAGCTAGACTGTTTGAAAGGACCAGTCGTCGTAGGTGGGATGCATTGGAGGTTGCTGCCCACTCAACTGCAAGCATACCACCCCACGAGTGCCCATACACATCTACCTGGCGCTCTCGAAGATCGAGATGAGAGAGAAGATTATTCAACTCGTTCTTGAAGAGATCGATAGACCAGAAAGCCTCGTCACCGGCTTTATCCGGTAGATGCGTGGACCGCCCGTTCCCAATCTGGTCGTAGAAAACGATGGGCCTGGATGCCGCGAGGTCTGTCAATGGGAGTAGATAGTCGTGACAAGCACCAGGTCCACCGTGGAGGATGATCAGTGGTATGGCAGTTGCGTTTAAATCGCCAAAGATTTTGTACCATGTCTGGCAAGGCTCCGATATTCCAGCAACTATGAATTCTGCAGTACCCTCAGACATGGTGTTGTGGTACGAGAAGCGTGCGTAATGTGCGGGATTAAGAAGAAAGGTAACAGACTCTTTGTCCCGAAGATTCGCACTGTACTTTATCACGCGCAAAAGTGAGACAGTAATGGGCAACGAGGAGACACGGTTGAATTCAATTAAGCTTGATTAAATGTAACATGTGTAACGGCATGCATTTGTGAGGCGAAGGTGTTATGTACCTAGGTAGGTATTATGGGCGGGGTGAAGTACACCCGAGGACCAATCAGAGCCTTGAAGCTGAGGCACAGTAAGCATTGTGCTGTTGCTGCACCGCTCCCAGGTTTATTATTACTGTGTCAATTGAACAATCGAGCTTTATGGGTACAGTTTGGCTGCCGTGAATTTCTGTCTGAAGGAGTGGTAAAACAACACTCGTCGATATGGTGTGGCTTAGCATACAATCAAACCCATTCCGAGAGGATATCCAAAGAACCAGAGACGACCGTAGTTGTCATTTATCAAAGTATGATCTGTCCCAACCCGAACTTAGCTGTTGTAAATTAATAACTCAGTGCCACGTGTTATTATGTATTTGCTTAGGCAACTTACTGTGTTTTCCTTGTAATGTGTTGTGTCATATTTCCGTGATCAAGTATTATTCGCCAAGGTTACAAAATGGCAGAATAGCAAAAATAGTTCGAGGGCCGATATGAGCGGGATTGAGGTGTTTTGAAGGAGTGTTCCAAGAGATCCAAAGGTGATCAGAAACAGAATTAAAACGTAAGGAATGGGGAGTCTCAATGTTTCGTCACTGAGAAGATAAGCAAAGGGTCAATGAAAGTGGTTGTCCGAATCTGTCAAAATGCAGACTATGGAATTCACTAAACATGGTAAGCGCAGAACCACCGGTAGCACAGTAGATTTGGTCTATTTCTGTTCGTTGCGGACAATTGAAATTTCCGGTCTTTGGTTGCCTACAAAGTTCTTTCCGTTTAGGGATTTCCATCCGGGGGGCCAAAACTCGTACACTAAATATGTATTCTGATTGGTTCTAAAGGTCCGGTCCCTTAGCCATAGATCTAGTGTCTCATTATAACTGTATACGCTGTCTTCCTTCGTTTCTGGTATACCTCAAATTACATAGTCCCGTCTGCGATGATCGAGAATTTTTTCCACGATAACCTGGTGTTAGAAATACTGTCGTTATGGCCTGCTTCTGCCGCCCCACAAGAACAATAGCCTTTCTGTATTTCTGCTTCACCTTGGGACTATGCTCGTTTTCCGGCGAATGTCCAACCTCCATCTCATTCACCACTCCATGGCTATTGAACTCTTCCAATCTCTTAGACACCAAACACGAAACCTTAAAATCATGCCACAACATTAATTCCCTAGAGCTTCGTTTGCATCGGCGTCGCCATAGTGAAAACAGTTACCACATACTTCCCATCGATATCAGCGGAGGTGACCGTTACCCGCCTCTCAAGCGGCTTCGAGTCGATAATTATTACTTCAGTCGAAGATATTTGGACCAGCCTCTTCTAATGCCGGATAACGAATTGTTCACCACTATGCACTCTAGCCACTACAAACAGCTCGAACGCAAGGATCCCAAAACGAGAAAGGAATGGCTGAAGATTAAGCACAGCATCGCCGTCAATGGATCTGTGGAGCTTTTTCAACGGGGTCGATGGGCGCCCGGATGGCCAGACGAAGATTCATTGTGGGATTGGTGCGAAATCTATAATTCTCCACAGAGATGTGCCGATTATGAGGCTTTGAACAAGACGCAGCGCGACAAGACGAATCTCGATCTGTGGCTCGATGCCATGGATTGGAATAAGCTGGTGCATCTAGCCGTGGGATACTGGTACAGCCTAGCCGATCGGTACGAGACTCTTGATAAATTGGCGCCTTACATGCAATCACTGGAGTCGTTTGAGACGCACGACTCGGACTCCGATACTGTGGGGGATTTCTTGGGGAAGTTGAGGCGTAATTCTTTGAAGAGCCTTGTCGTTCTACACCGCAAAGATGACTTGAAAACCTCACTTGAGGATGCTCTTCAATATCAGGGGTCTTCAATCGAACGTCTGGAGGTTAGGATACCGTTCGATGGATCACGCGAGAGAGCTTTCAATACATCTCAGCTCGAGCTCATAAACTCAACTGCACCGAGATTGACACATCTTGGCATAAATCTCTACAGAAACGGAAGCTGGCCTTATGAAGAGTTAGCTGCGATCGCTTCGATATCGTCGCTTCGCACCGTCGATCTGTATCTTGATCTACTATCTTCCTGCCTTCGACAAAACGATCAATGGAGGAATGACCAAAATGCGCCGATAAATTCCACTAAAACTTTGGAGAAAATAACTGGGTGTCATGGCTCAGATATAAGGCGAGCTCCGATGTTCAATGTCACTGCGGCCAAACATCTTTTTGCTTACATGCGGGAACGAAGAATGGGGCAGCCACTTGACACACTCACATTGCTGGGAGGTGAATGGGATGTGGCGCCTTCGTTCGATGATTCGGATCGCGGACCACGTAGTTACTTCAAGAGATATAGAGTAGTGTGTACAGCTACAGCGAAAGACAATGGCGATGTCAATTGTGAGGTAGAGCAAGAGGGCCGAGCAGAGACGAGTGAAGGCAGATTAGTTGCCACTTGGGTGCCATATCATGAATGAAAAAAACAGGTGTCTAGTACTTTAAATCTAGAAATACAAAGCCAGTTGCAAGTACTGTTCGAGCATGTTCTAGTTTGCCAATTGCGTCAAGCCGCTGCATCATGCGGTACCACCGCCCCCTAAGACTTTGAATTTGGATAATCGTAATCAAAATATAACGTTTCTAATCAGAATTCCTGTTTCTTCCTGTCTTAGGAAAGGTGGGTTGACTCTTCAGAGTGCAGCAATCCAACCATGTCTTTCGTACGAAGAGATAGCAGGAGAGCCAAAAGACATGAAGTCTGATTCGTTGATATTATACTCGGCAAAATTCATTAGTCTGCTTATACATGATCTGTCAATAGAATTGGTGTGTTGTAATGCAAGTGACTGAGGACCTTGCAATATCTACAGTATATGCGAATTTCCGGGTTTTGCCGTAACCCTCCGTATACGGTCCAGGTGCGAATAATTGAAACTGATCAACAATTGGTACGAGTTCCTCCTACAAGGACCATCGAGTCGGCAAGTTTATCTCTCAAATGCCGGTCAACTTTCACGACATTCGTATGATGCTTGGTCAGCGGTGAAAAAATTACCCAATCTGGAGAGAGGCGGAGATATCTGCCCCCGACGCCGGGAGAAAACGTGAAGCTAGCCAGCGGAGTTTCGTGACCAGCGACAAAGACCTCGGCGCATATGTGGAGCAACGTCAACTCTGCCCGCCCTGCGTCAATTCCAATCGCAGGAAACGTAGCAAAGGCTTGTGTATCGAGTTACCGAATATCCGAATCTTCCCCATGAGGCAGTCGCTAATAAATATGTATATAAATCAACTATTCGAACCATCCCCCCCGCTCCACTCCCTACACATTCACATCTCTCAATCCTAAACTGTCCAGCTTTCTCTATTTGATCGCACGATTCAATTCCTCGAGACCCTCTACACAACAAACCCGAACCAAAAAAGAAGCTCTCAGCCACAATGCCCACCGCCATCACTGTTTTCTACCCGCGCAAAGAAGGCGGCAAGTTCGACCTGGACTACTACCTTGGCACACACATGAAACTGGTGATGAAGTACTGGGCAGACGCCGGTCTCAAAGGCTACAAAATCATCAACTTCAGCGACGACGCTCCCTACACCGTCGGCGCGGTCCTAGACTTTGAGAGCCTCGAGGCATTCCAAAAGGCCACACAGCTAGAAGGCGGCAAGGAAATCATGGCCGACATTGCCAAGTTCTCGAGCGAGACGCCCGTCCTTGCGACTGGCGATGTTGTGGCTACCATGTAATGGAACGCAATGGAATGACAAACACAATGGCAGGTTATGGAGGGGCAAGGATGTTAGGTGGTGGTTGGTAGTGATGAGTGAGGGGTAGCTTTCGGCAAGTCCGTGGGGGAGGAGCACACTGGGTATACGTCATTCAGCCTTCCCCCCCGAATTATTTCGGAAAACCGAGATTTGGGAAAAGGTGCCAATATGAGAGAATTGGTCATGTCTATGCCGGTGTATATACGAAGTTTAAATGGAGATGTGCACCCCAATAATGTCAAACAAACAACACGAATTGATAGGGTGTATTACTCTTGCCCACCCACTTATGCTATCTATGATGATTCAACGCCACGGGAGAGCCTCATTTCCATTTCCATCTACATACATATCTATCGAGCCGACAGATCTCACGCCCATGCGGCTGACTCGCCAATCGATTAAAAAGAGGAATTGAGTCGTCCCTCGCTAGCCCACTCAGCCATCAGCCATCCCATGCATCCTCGCCCCCAGCAACGTACTGTCGATCTACCCATACAGCTTACTACCCCCACCCTAATCCAAACATAAACCTTTCAAAATAATCAAGTCATCTCAATATATTGTGCGTCGGTGAGACGGCGTGTGACTGCACCGACGTTCTCTCGCGCGAGAATACACCACGAGAATGCAAAAAGATGGAGGAAGAACGCGGTATACTCCGAAATGTCGGCGAATTATTCGTCTCTACATATGTATGTAGGAAATAAAGGGAAAAGGAAGGGAAGGGCGAAGGTCAGCCTGTCCCTGCTCTTCCCGAGTATCGACCAGAGAGAAGGAGATGGCAATACACGGACACTCCCTACACGTTCAAAGGTGCGATAGATGACATTGAAAACGAGCACAATATCAATTGAAAACACGATCCCTATATTCCACCACAGATACCATAGATGAAGTCACGGAAAAATATTAGAGTCTCAAAGACTATCTTTTCCCGAAAATTCCCCAGCCAGCGAGTACCTCCCTTTCACCCCAGAACCCCCACTCATCACCACCGACTTTGCCCAGGCCTTCTCTCTGCCTCTGCACGCCTAATTCTTCCCACCGCATCAACAACCCTCCATCTAGCACGCCTCTCGTCCCTGCACCACTGCCAACCTCGCTCTCAACTGCGCGCCATGCTTTCGGATTCAGTCCGCATGCGCTTTCTAGCGTATTTGAAAGGTAGGTCGCGAGACCTGAGAGGCGGCGGTATGTAGACTCGGAGAGCGGGGTGATGAGGGCGAGGGTCCCTGATTGAGACGTGTGTAAGATTTGGTGGAGGGGTTGATTGGGTGCTTGGGGGAGGGAAGAAGGGTCGGATTCGGGGTCAGGAAGGGATGAGTCGCCTGGGAATTCGGCGGTGGCGGATGGCATTTGGAGGCGAGATTGTAGGAGCGACATGGTGACTGGGAAGTGACCTGTGTGAAAGGTCGAGCGGTGCAGGAGGCGGAGACCGGCCATTGATTTGGGGTCTTTCATATGATCAGTGAATACTATCGATGGTGTAGCCAAAAAATGAACTTACTATCAGGGTCGTATTGAAGAACCTGTAAGTTCATGTCCGCGTCGGCCATTACAATGTGCAATTGTTTCTCGAAAGGCATGAACTCGCCGGCAAGCACTTCAAGATTGTTTTTGCTACGGCCAAAAAGCATCATCTTGTATGGTTCTTCCTGTACTGATGTCAGTTCATTGAGCGATACCACGAGGATCTAGTAGGAAAGCAACGTACCGTGTATCCAGTGAACCACAGTCCCTTGAATGCATCGCCCATTAAGAGCATCCCAGTCTGTGGTAGTGTCTTCAAAAAGGTTACATAACATTGCATGTCCATGAAAGCAACTGGCAATAAAGTCCCATCTTCCTTGAGACCACGCACCATACACTTTTGCCCTTGAGCCATGATTATGAACCCCTGAGTACCGAGCTCTGAGACCGCTGATACAGCACCCTTGACCTCTTCCTTGACAATCAAACGTAGCTTTCGATTTGTTTCGGGTTGTGAAGGCTCGGGGACGACGGTGATAACTTCGAATATGCGAATGCAGCCCTTGGTAGCAAGGTCTTCTCCGCGGGAGATGGATGTGCCCACAGCGATCAACTGTTTTCGTTCATGCGTGGTTTCCGATACTTCCAAGGATAATGTCTTTATGCAAAGAACAACTTCCTGGGGATCCAGTACATGTGTGTCTATGACTGACCACGTTTTCTCGTCAATTACTTTGAGCACACCCTGTTCAACATGAGGCTTAAAGCTAATGTCTTCAGGCTTCCATTCGTAATGATACGTGTCGTCTTGAAGAAGAAACTCTTCTGGCTGGCCTGTCCCTATGACATAGACTCCTCGAGGGTGATAGGAGAAGGCGTAGATTTCAGAGTCCATTGGCATACGACGAGCTGCCCAACCAAGATGGCCATAGTGTGTTTGAGGAGGCAATTGTGAAATCCGAAATGTACTATCGACATCAATGTATGCGAAGCCTCTCTGACACGCGGAGGTATGGAATCGTGTCAGTCCTCTGACTGCTTTCCCATGGAGGGGAATGACTCGGGCTGCACTAGACGCCTCTTTCAGTATAAACGCGGGAGAGGTTCCCCGCTGGAAAACAGTGCTGTATCCGCAGACGTTGTCCAGCACTACCAAGGTGCTTTCGACACCCGAATCGTTGACTAGTTCGTCAGTGTATCGCGGCAGGTGTTGCTGTGAAACCTTGACCCATCTAAGATTATTTGTCCATGATTCAGAAGATGCCTTTCCCGGGTAGTGACAGGCCTTGTAGATTACGAGGTCGTCAGTCGAAGTACGTATTACTAAATGAGGCGATTTCGATGTGGTATCACCGATATCCGCAGCGACTAGTTCTGTTATCGCTGCTTTTGCCGTGCTTCGCCGAGCATAGTAATCCGACGTTAATATAGGAGGGAGAAAGCTTAACCCTTCAGCAACATAGCCTGGCCTTGTCAGGTCCGACATGGCGAACACGTGTAAGCCACCCTCGGGTGTCAAGAGGAAAGCGAAGACGTCGTTGAGATTGGATGATTTAAAAAGGGATGCGGAGAGCCACTTCGTCGAAGTCAATCCACTCGCTTCAAGATCTTCAATCTCACCGCTGTCGTTCGCCTTGAACAGTCTGACGACAGAATCTTCTCGCAGTACCATCATGTATGGGTCGGAGAAGCTGGCGCTGATAATTCTTACTTCTTCGCCATCTTCATCGTCCATGGATATGATTTGATCCATGTTCAAGTCTTGGTCATAAGTCCTAATCTCGGTGGTAAGGATCTGCACCACTTTGGTGCCTTGCGCGAGAACCCCGACATTCAATGTGGCAACTTCCTCTCGCTCGAAGTCGCCTTTATCTGTTTCCTCGAGATCGTTTCCACTGACTTGGTAAACAACCGTACTGTCTTCACCGCCTTTGCCGGCTCTACACACGACCAAATATTGATCATATTCTGCATCGACAGACATGTTTCCCTCGACATCCTTTCCATAATCCGCAGTAATCTCAGACGGTGTTTGCTTCCTAGCGTGTACTGCCCAAAGACCTTTTGCAGATGCGAAGTCTGTTTGTGCCAGGTTGATGGGATGCACTTGGCGATTGAGCGCTGTGATTGCTCCTGCGGCACCTCGACCGCAAGATACCATGATTTCGCCTGTTGTTGGGTATTGTGCTGCGGCATCTGTATGTAGCACAACGTCTCGTATCGGAGCAATACTGGGTAGTATATCGTGAATCCTGAATATATATGAACCGGGTGCAGTGGGTTTGGCCGCTGCAGCGGTCACCTTTTTCACTGCCGGGGTGGTATCGTTGTATAAATCGTCGTCCAGATCATCCACTTCCTCCTCGTCCTCATCAAGCGACATATCTTCGTCATCCTGGTCGGCCCTCGATTGCTTTTTCTGGGGTGGAGCAGATGTGTTGGTCCATCCCAAAAGCGCCGACTCGCCATCTTCACTCCCCAGAAAGAGCCTCCCACGACCCAAATTGGTCAAACAAGAGGCAGCTGTGTTGAGTGGACGACCACCGCTAGCTGCCTCGACGGGCTGTAATGCTACACCGGACACGGTCCTACCGTCCAGCGTGAAAGTCAAGATCAAGAGTTTCCCATCATTCAACGATATTAACACATCGCCATTTTCCGATGACAGTGGCTCAGCTTGACAGCCTTCCAGGTGAAGTCCAAGCTCAGACTGGTCAGACAAAGGAAAGGAGGTGCATAGTTTTGCGAACTCATTGACTGCTATGCCATTGGTCTTTCCGGCCTGATCAACATGTATAATCTCATTGCTACCCAGTAGAAGAGCTCCACCAATAGGCAAAGGTAGCGGGACGACGCTAGTGATATCGTAAGGCAGACCCGAAACAGATATCAGTGTGGTAGAGGCTTTCTGTTCCAGGTCAAGGGTGAAAACGGTGTAGGTGAGGATATCTTTGCGTTCGGCGATCATAGACGGGGCCACGGCCCTCGAAGACGCGACAATACCGAAGGTGGGTTCGCGATACTCGTGAAGGAAGGCGAGATGGACGGGATGTGTCAAGGTAGGGTCGAGATGGGTTAAGGGCAGCACAAAGGATGCAGAGTAAGGTGTTTGGGGCGCATTCTCTGAGTTCTCAGCTTCAGTGTTGGCCATTTTGGCATCTTTCTGATCCTCCAAATCCGAGTCATACTCATCTTCCACCATGCCACGCTGCCTGAAGGGCAAGATGGCGAGGTTGTGGTGACCAAACTTGAGGGCGGCGCACCGACTGCTAGGGTCTGCCGTTAGGAAATTATGTGTGTCTTTGAGTTCAGGGGACCAAGGCGCATTTCCGGGCAAGTCTGGATTCTCATAGTAGTGTATTGATATTGTATGGAGGTTGTACGACTCGGGATCCCATTCCACCAAGCTCAACTTCGCATCCCGAAAAGCCACCAACAAAGCCTCTCCCTTCGATTTTGTATTGAGCGCCTTGACGCGCGCCAGTGATATCACAGTGCCCGCCAAGGGGAACTCGCCCACCAGCACCAGCTTGTTGGTGTACTCATTGCGCTGCAGAGGCACATCGATGGCTTCGGTATCCAGTAACGGGCCAGCATTTTCGAAGCCTGTATCGCCGTTTGCAGCCGCCTCTGTGACGATAGACTTGAGCTCGAAGATCTGGAGTAGCGAGTTCTTTGCGATTATAAGGTTGGTCGCTTTGGGGGTGAGGAAAGGCAAATGAATGGCATGGCTAACAGCCGTAGGCGGAGCAATCTCGGTGTAGCACTGCATGGCTGGAGGCAATCAGGTCGTGTGTTGTGCGGAGTCGACAGGACGCCCACATGTCATCTCCGGGCGCGTGAGTTGTCGATTGATTGCCGTCGATTGCGGAATTGAAATATTGTCGTGCCAGTGGTCGCGACTGACTAGATTCCAGACCCCAATCGAAAGAGCTCAGGTGCCAAGCCATCTGGCGCGGGAGCTAGGACCACTCCATTGTCGATCAGTCGCAACGTCATTAAACACTCCCCATTTACTCCGCCGCCCGCGCGTTAGGCGTCGAGTTTACAAGGTCCACACAGCTCCAGGCGACAAACTACTGGCTAGTCTAATCGAAACATCTTGATTTCCTGCTTTTGGCTTCTCCCTCTTGCTTCCCTTCTTCTTCTCTTCACACAACCTTTCGCATACCTTCGTGCCATCATGGCGCTCATACAAACAAGCCTCATCTGGGTGGCCTACGCCGTCGCCATCATCCTCCTGCTGGCAATCGCTACCATATTCGTCTTTCTCTACCAAACCCCGAGAGATCGCGCTGCGTCCATAACGACAGTATGCATATTCACCACAAGCGTGCTCCTTGCGACTGTGCTTCTCATGCCCGTCGACATCGCTCTTGTCTCCTCTACCTCGCTTTCTAGCCAGGGCCGCAAGAAGGACTGGGCGACTCCGGATGCTGTCGGCAGTATCGTGAAAACACTGGAGATTGTGTACTACACGCTGTACTCGCTAGATGCCTTGCTCTGCCTGCTTGTGATTCCTTTCACCTACTTCTTGTACGAAGAATACGACGAAGACGCGGCCGAAACTGGCGAACAAACTTTCGGCCAGCGCGTATGGGGCGCGTTCAAGTACACCATTGCTTTCATCTTGTTTGTCGTTTTGCTGTTCCTCGTTGGCTTTTTCGTTCCCTTTGCAAAGAAAGCCAAGGGTGACGACCGCCTCGACTTGGAGTTTTTCAAGCATCTTCTTTCTGAGAATCGTGAGTGCAGCATGTCCCAGTCCACAATTAAGCAGCTCTTACAACCACTAACACTCCACAGGCGGCGAGCGCGCGCTGTCCTTTGCACTTGGACTGCTCATGCTGATTGGCACTCTCCTTTACGTTCTCTATACAGGTGCTGGTCTCGCTCTTCTCCCAGTTGCTATGATCAAGTCCGCTCCTTCCATCTCTGCACCTACCCTGGCGGCAAACACAGCTTCGCAACTCGAAACAAACCGCGAACGTCAGAGGCAGCTTGAAGGCCGCAATGAAGGTCGTGACAATGGTCTGGATTCCAGAGATAGGCGTGAATTGGAAGCTCTCATCCGGGAAGAAAGGACCCTAATCCGAAGAGAACGCCTCGCTGCTGAATCTAGTGGCGAAGACCGCCATTGGCTTGTCAAGACATGGATCAAGATTGAAGCTGTTTTCCGACCCCTCAAGCTTCTAGGCGGCCTCATTCTCTTGATACTCGCTCTCCTCGTCTTTGTCAGTATGCTCATCACTGGGATTGACAAGGCCAAGAACTCCATCTGCGGCGCCCACTGCGGTTATATTCTAGGCCACATCAACATCTTCCAGCCCATCAACTGGATCTTTGTAAAGTCCTCCAAGGTCTTCCCCATCGATTACGTTCTGTTTCTTCTACTAGTTCTCTTCTTTTTCAGCGCTTCCGTTGTGGGCATCGCAACCGTCGGTATCCGTTTCCTGTGGCTCACCATTTTCAAGATCCGTAAAGGCCACACCTCACCTCAAGCCCTCCTCATGGCCACCGTCATGCTGAACCTTATTGTTCTCGCCATCAATTACTCTATCGCTATGATCGTTGCGCCGCAATATGCAACTTTTGGCCCACAAACCTTCTGCGATCGCACCCCACGCCATCCAGGCGAACAACCGGATTGCTCGCACGACAAGTCCCGAATCATCCCATGCACGGAGCTCTCGTCAAACCCTGCGGCCAAGGAAGTCTGCACCCCTTCGGTCATTAGCACCTTCATCAACCGCGTCACCATCAACTTCCCCTTTTTTGGCGTTGTCCTCTTCTGGGCGCAGTTCGCTTTCCTCGGTATCTACCTCATCGTCTTCGTTACCACGCTCTTCAAGACGCCTACCCTGGATCAAGAACAAATCGACCGCGACCTCGAGGAAGAGGAGGAGGAGGGCCTACTGGCTAGCACCGGCCGCAGGTTCAATGCTACCTGGCAGGATATCACGGGCAGAGGGCGTCGCGATTACGGCACCTCGGAGTCGAATTGAAGCTGCGAGTAAGGAGGTTGGATTGTTCTGAGTGGCGTGCGGAGTAGTATTGGAGACTCCGGGATTCGCATGGGGTATATATGATTCCCCTTTGGGTATGAAGTTGATTAGCGTACACCACAGTTTCTTATTGGCGTTTCTGAGAATTCGATAGTCTAGTCTAGTCTAGTCTATTGCTACATCTCCTATATCCCACACTTTTGTGTACTCTGTATCGCTTTCCCTTCCTCCTTTTTCGACTAGGCGGTTAGGCGGGGTTTAGGTACTGGGTCTGTATACACAACCTTTTCTTTGGTTTTTAAATGAGTACCTTAGCTATCCGTCATGGTAATGTCTATGAATAAAACAGTTGAATGCCATCCTATCTCCATCTCCAGCGTGTTATTGACTGTCTTATATCCACGGTTTCCACATTCACAAGACGAAGAAGCAATATGAAGAAGGAAGTGTTTTCTTTTGTGCATGTTTTGAATTGTTTTCAGAATTTGGGAATTAGCCCCCTTGTCCTACCCAGCCAGCACTTTGTGTACAGTAAAGGAAAAAGAATCACAAGGTATGCAACCCGCCGATAGACTCGCGCGCAAGCATCTACATCTCCCCCCTAATCCCTCTTAGCGGGCTTTGGGGCACCAACTTTTCATCATCCCCCTTGGAGGGACACTTGGCTGCCGGTAAGGTGTGCCAAGTGTACGTGGGGTGGGAACAAACATCTTCAACGCCCGTAGTCCCTCTTCCCTTTCTCAGCATCCTCCAGATCCAACCACCCAATTATTCAGACAAGTACACATTAGGAGTCCATTCGGAAACCCCGGAACACCGGGAACAAAAACAAAGGAAAAGGTTTCGATCGATTTGATCGATTCAGGTTGGTCATATGTAGACCACAAACGCACACGAGAAGGGGAGAGAAGAAAAAAGGGGACAAGGCACACGAAAAAGTTTTTGGTGCAAGGAAGAAAAAAGCAGGCAAGGAACATTGGTATCAGGAAGAAGTAAAACAGAAAAAAAGGGGGGGAATAAGGAAGTGAGCGGAGAAGGGATGGCATGTCCTACCCGGTAGTGGGGTATTTCTCAAACTAACCTTTTTGTAAAGCTTCTGTGCAAAAGGGAAACGACCTCTTGTTTCCGTTCCAGCGCAAGAACCTCTATCCCTTCTTCATATCGAGCGAATGGCGATAGGATAAAGCCCCACAATCCCGGTAACCAAGCGTATCAACGCGTGGCTTCCAAGATTGAAAAGCAAGAAGTTGGAGAATTTGAGAAGAAAAGCGCCAGATGCTTCTGCCATGCAATGGAGCAGAGCCATATCTCCCTCACAAAAGTATTCAATAAGGTACATACTAGTGTCTGCACCTCAATTACGACACGGGTGTGCGTTGAATTGATTTAACAGAGAACGCCATGTATGCAGAGAAGGTGTCAAAACGGTACGATGAGCAACCGACCTGTTTCGCAGCCTCTGCACCAAAGATCGACAAGAAACGAAGAATTCTATGCTTGAGGTGACGTTTTGGTTGGATGGGTATCTTTGTGCATTCATTGCAAGGGAATGTGTGTACAAGCTTCGTCTCAGTTCTACTGCGTTGATCCTGATACTCATATGGCTGGAGCTCGAGGACCGGATAGAGTACCAAACAGCTGTTCTGGAGGAACGCGACCAACATTGCCCATACGATCCGTGTAGCTTGTGGGAGCTGGAGAATAGCCCTGAGATTTCTTTCGGTACCATTCGAGAAGGATTCCAGCGACAACCAGAAGGAAGGTAAGCGCGAGAGCGATAGCAAGGGCGATGAGGACAATAAAACCCAAGGCAAGACTCTTTTTGCTAGACGTGAAGAACGATTCAGGGTTTTCGACAAACATCTGAGACAGACTTGAGCGTTGATCGTCTGGCCCAGACGTGAGGATGAATGGAGTCACGGTGCTTCCGTTGAAGATGGCTCCAGATGCAGAGATACTGTTACGTAATTGTATCTCGCCGAGGATGAGGAGGACTTGGTTTCGATCAATCAGATCCGAGGCACCATGATCTTGCGTGGTCCTCATGGGTTGTATGCTTCGAATTAGCGTACCCGGCTGGAACTGATCCTGGACCGGAAGCCACTTGCTGCCGTCATATCGTTGGAGGAAGGCCGAACCGTCCCCAGCCTGGCCAGCTACCCACAATTGGGTGCCTTCGGCGTTCGCGACATTCAACGCAGTCACAGGACCTGGAAGCGTATCCGCTTGTGGAACGGACTCAAACTGGCTGGTGGCTGAATCGTATGTAAACACTGTTGTGGAATTGTCTGCAACTGTCAGGTTTCCGGAGATGAGGAGCTTCGTATCCGAGATCCAGGTAAGGGATGTAGCAACGCCAGATATAGAGTTGCCGGGAGCAAGCCACTGGTTACGTTCAGTGTTCCAGATGCATAGGGCGGGACAACTCAAAGCTCCTGCGGACTCGAAACGTCCAGCCACGTAGATGTCTTTGGATTTGGGTCGAGGGGCGATGGCGTTGACAGTCACGTTCGTGCCCAGAAGGGCGGGAGGCTGTATGTTGCCAAACTTGCTGGTGCCTAGATCGTAAGCAACAATTCCAGCGACCCTACTGTTGCTGATGCGACCAGTCAATCTACCACCGGCGTACAGGATGTTCTCGGATACAGAGAGCGAAGCAATAGTAGAGTTGAAGTCGACTTCTTCACCGAAACCGCTGATCTTGTTGGAATCCTTGCCATCGATGATGACTACATTGGTGATGTTTTCATCATTTGATCCTTTCGTTGCGAAGTGACCGCCAAGAATTGTCTTGTTCATATTGTTCTCCTTGTAAAAGGTGGCCGTAACTATTCCGGTAGTATTCAGGTTGTGATTATCGGACAAAGATCGTTTCCGGGACACGGTTTGCTGTTGTTCACGAATGTCTGCTGCCATGCCTCTGAGGCTAAGGGCGTTGTTCTCATGATCGAGGACTGCTGCACCGTTTGCACCGAGAGCACCGGAAGAGATGGAGCCTGAGTAGATCCGGTTCATGGGGGCAGCAGCATTTGGAATATCGGCAAAGGCCGTTATGTGTCCTGTGATCAAGGCTGTCTGAAGATTCAAGTTGGACAGCCAATTCTTTTGTGAAGGGACCCAGATGGCGAAGTTATCGACGGGGAAGGAGGGATTGTTGCTGAAACCATTGACTCTGTCGAAATAACCGCTGATGCCGAGAACCTCATCCGCCTCGGTACCGGTTATGTTCATGGTGAAAGGCACAATGTGCAGAGCGAAGCCGTTGATACCAGCGCCAAGAGCTTCCCATTTGTCGTTGCTATAAGCAGCTACACCATTGAGTCCGGTCGATGCGCTGTTCTCAGTGTTGGTGAAATTTCCACCAACGTAGATTGTGTTACCCGTCCCGAAGATGATGGTGACTTCGCCATTCAGCCCATCACCATCAAGTGTTGTAGCGTCTTTGGCATCGTTTTCCACAGCAAAGATGTTGTTGAGTCCTTTTCCAGAAGTGAAGTTGCCCCCAACATACAAACGGTTGTTGGCAGCAGTCATGGAGTTTATTTTTGCCTTTTGCGTGGGGCTGAGATCGGCACCTGCCGCAACAATGACCGACTTCGAAAGATCCTCCTCAACTTTTTGCTCATCGGCATCGTATTCGAAGAGGCCATTAATATCACCGGAAGTGGCATTCTTGATGTCAAAGCCCACTCTCTGAGCGACAAAGGTCAGATCGTTGCTGCCGGAAGGGTTTGGATTGGTCATCGGAATCAATTTGAGGGATGGACGAGCGCCATTGGAAGTGTCAACAAAACCATCGTAGATGGTGTCATACTTGTCGAACTCGTTTGTCTGAAACAGTTCTCTCTTGACTGTAGTGTTCCCCGAGCCGGTCGGCACGTCAGCCAAGACTGTGACCTGACCGCGAGTAGAGCACGTGTTGTCGCCGCGGCAGCCGGGAGTATATATCTTGATGGTGTAGTTTCCAGTTTGTGGAATGTCGGGCTGGAACGTCACGAACTGCTGATCGGGATCGACCTGATCAATTGGCAACGTAGTGGTGAGATACATGGAGCTACTGTCGTGGGAAGGCGAGGGGATCCAATTTCCAGTGGGTGTAGCAGAAGCACCGCTGGTTTGACCTCCACAGCTAGGCTTGTTGAACTCGTCGATAGCGTAGGAGAAGATTTCTGCACGAGATGTTAGTGGTGAACAAAGACTAAACTGCAGTTGAATTACTCACGGGTTTGGTAGACTTGTATAGCATTGAGTCCGCCACCCGAGCCATACCAGTCTGAAATGTCGATTTTGAAGCCGTTCATGCCGACCTGGTTGACGAAGAAGAAATCCTGGGCTGTGGTGTTTCCTTCGGGAAGTGGGCAGAGGGCATCGCAGAAAGTCTGTTGCTTCGTGGTGGGATCGACGAAAGTGAAATTCATGATGCCGCCATCGGGCAAGGCGGTATAGCGCCAGGTCTTGGTTCCGCGACCGTCGAGTTTGGTGTTGAAGAGTCTGAGCTTGGTGGGCTGGAAGCCGAAGCCGAAATCAGCCCTCCAGAAGCCGGCAGTATCATCTGCAAGTAGCCAGGTAGAATCAGGTCCTTCGGTTTCGGGGTTGGCTTTGCATGCAATGGTCTTGGGGTTGGTGAAGCCGGGTTGTCCAGAGCTTGTCTGGGCTGTGATGTTGGCGGATCCTACGGGCAGCGATTGCGTGTTGTTCTGAGGCGCACCGCCAGATGTTCCATTGCCGAGGCCGTCGAACTGGCCACCGAAGATGATTTTGCCGTTGGGGGCTTCCGTGATGGAGTTGACGGGTCCGTTAAAACCCTCAAAGGGCATGTTGGTCCAGTCTTCTTTCCAGATAATAGCATTCTTGGAGTTTCCACCGGTGAACTCGCCTCCTACGTAGACCTGGCTGCGGTCGGAATCGCAATGCAATGCGTTGACAGAGCCCGTCAGTCCCTCCAGAGGGGCGGGTTGGCCGGTGTTTGCGTCGAGCATAGCGATACCTCCGGGAGTTTTGACGCCGTCAACGCTCGTAAAGTTGCCGCCAACTACAAAGCCGCGGAGTTCGTTGCCGCGACGGAGCGCGCACATGGCTTTGACATCGCCATCGGTGTTGAGGGCCTGCTTGGTATCTGGATTCTTGATGGGGGCAAAGACGCCGGTGGGCAGTCGTTGGTAGATGGCATTGGCGGGATCGGAGGTTTCGTTCTGTTCGGCGAATTGGTAGAGCGACAGCGAGTCGAAGTCACCGGCGAAGGCGACGCGGCCAAGGGGCGCAAGGTCGAGATTAGGAAGTGGTACGGGAGTGAGTGTGAAGGCGCTGGCGGCGGGTATTAAGTAGGGCGAAGCCAAAAGGAGCGAAAGGGCGAGCCTGCCGGCGCGCGACGCCAGCAATGAGGAAGAGAGATCCCCCATGAGCGGCGAGCGGCGACGACGAGGTCGATGAATTGATGATTATGGGTGGTGGTGTTGTTGGAGATGGTGTGTCGGTGTCCAAGCAGAGGGGAAGCAGACAGACGAAGGGGCACCGGCGGTCTCTACTGGGGACGCGGGCTCATGGCAGGCGCGTTGGCCAATGGTGGTAGGGCCGGGGATTGACAAGGAAGGCACGCTGCAGGAGTCCGTGGCAAAGGCAGGAGCGATGGGTAGCAGGACAGGACGGGAAGGCGTGCGTGCAGGACAAGCAGGCAGGGGAGGGTGTTGCGATAGCCGATTGGCGGCGCAAGACTTGGCGGTGCCTGGAGGTGTGGAGGGCGCTGACAATGGGGACGCTGGAACGAATGACTGTAGGTGAGGAAATGCGGCAAAAGGAAAATGAATGGGAGAGAAGGAGAATGTGAGTGTGAGAGTGAGCGAGGAAGCAGGAGCGGCAAGGCGGAGGAGGCGTCTGAGCGTGACGGCGAGCGAGATTGGACGCACTGGCTGTGGCCTGTCCTTCTACTCTTTTCCCTTGGTGGCGGGCTGGGGGTGTGGTTTGTCGTGTGGTTGGGGCTCTGCGGCCGTACTATCAATCTATGTATGTATGTATCGACTATGGAAGGCCCACTACGCATGCGTTGGCGGCCGTTTGATAGGTGAGGAGGGCCGGAAGGGCTAGCGACGATGATGGAGCAGTGAATCAACTCTCTGCCTCTGCCAAATTCCCTCCTTATTGCTGCTACCTATACTACTGCACTCTGCTGCACGGCACCATGACTTGTTCCTGACGGGCTCCGCTCAATCTCTCGTCGCCCGGGCAGCCAATGAGGAATGCGTAGCCCTCGCGACGAAGCACTAGCGCACCGCGCTAAAAAGCTTGTTCTTCCCGCCGTCTCCGCTGAGGCCATCGTCAACTTGTTGCTCGTTGCGGTTTGTTGGCTGCAGTCAGCTTCATTTGCGACATCCCCCATTACACACACACACAATTCAAAGCACGCAGCTCTCGGCCCAGCAACAACCATTTGGACTCAACAACACACCAAGCCTGTCCATGGTCTACGTAATCGTCTCCATCGGCCTCAGCTGGGAACATCCCGATTCATTCATCTATCATCATCGCCTCCCCATCTCATCTCATCCCGTCGTCATCTGCAGCATTCATCCTTCTACACTGCCTGCCTTCCGTCTATTGCATTTGCGACGCTCTCCCCGTTTGGGCTGGCGTAGGCCTGACTCTCATGCGCCTAACCGTCACTCAAACCCACCATTTCCGAATGACATACCGCCGTCGTTCGTCACGGTACCACATGAACCGTGGATTGCTGACCATCATGAAGAAACAATTACAATTCTCTCGACCTCCGCTCTGCCTGCCTGCGTCATCCCAATAATATCGCTCGCTCAGTATCGACAAGCAGCACTCGCCCTTGCCATGGCCCGGCAGCTCATCGCCACATCGTGCCAAGGGTCGCCTACACCATCTTCCTTGCCACCCTCCCCAAGCCCCTAACACATGCCACCTGCCACACCGTTTCACATCCACCCTTTGACATTTCATTGCTGAGACAAGATACACGCCAGGCATCTAACCCAAACAGAAGCCCTGCTCGCCAAAATTTGGCCTCTCTTGTCATGTTTGGTCCTCCCGCGGCTAAGAATATTTCTAACGATCCACTTGCACTAAATTTGGAATGGATCTGGATCATCCAATACCCAACACAGCCTGCACTTCACATGTGGGACGCTATTGTTTTGTGGTTACACATCATCATTCAATATTCAAATAACACATCATCATCCAATCACTGTTTAAAGCCGAGCTGCAACTGTCCGTCAATTCTATAAAGTCGTTACCCTTGCAAGCAGCTCTCACATGGCATCTTCATGACACTAGGTTGTCTACAGCCAAGGCACTTACGTAGCCAAAACACTCTTGTATAACAACAATTACTATTCTAACTTCTAGTCTAAAAGGTCTACGGATAACATGGACACACAAGAGCTGGTAGTTTGATACCTTACCAGAACGCCCGGTTTCTTTGTACAAAAAAACAATCAGTGCTCCGTTGAGAGCCTCTTACTGAGCCTCGTTCTCCACGTCTTTTGTCCGCTTCTTCTCCTTGAACCCCTGCTCCGTCTCCAGTGCCACGTCGAGAGAGTGATGCTTGATGAAGGCACTTGCAATGAGCGCAACGCCGGCAAAAACCGTCATGACAATCCAGATGTATCGTAAAGCATCCGTGTAACTCTCGCGCAACTGCAGCTTCATGTCCCCTTCAGGCATGGCCTTGATGATTTGTACTAGACCTGCCGCATCCTTCGAGTACTCGGCCGCTTTATCAGCAAGCAGTGGATACGTCAACATCTTCCTCTTCATCTGATTCTGGAAAACCACACCGCCAACGGCAACTCCCAATGTCTGGCCGAAGGCGCGCAGGAAAGAAAAGGTACTTGTCGCGTATGCTGCGTCTTGCGAAGCAGCAGAAGCCTGCGCCGAGATCGCCATTGCTGGGAACAGCATGCCTGCTCCAACGCCCCCTACGAGGTTCAAGAAGATCCAGGCGACTGTTGTCGTGTCGGCCTCGAGGTAGATGAGGAGTCCTGTGCCGAATGTGGACAAGAACCACCCCGTCCACATAGCCCACCTGTAGTACCCAGCCTTTGCAATCACAGCTCCCGTGATCTGTTTGCGCTATCAGCATCTCTTCGTCTGTGATTGAGCTCAAGAGGTAAACTTACACCAGCAGCCGGAGCAACAGTGAACGTCCAAGGAAAGATCGCCACACCAGTCATCATAGGCGTCATCCCCTTCACAGCCTCAAAGTAAAGCGGAAGATAGTACAGAATAGACCACAAGAGGATACCGTGGATAACAGTCACCAGATATGTGATCGCCGACGTGCGCGTCTTGAACACACTGGTACGTATCAACGGCTCCGAAGCGATATACTCCTGGTGGTAAATAAAGACCAGCATGCCGACGCCACAGACGACCAGCGGGACCAGCGTCCTCCAACTATCCCACGGGTACTGGACACCACCCCATGTGATGGGGATCAGAAAACCGGTAGTCGAAGCAAGAAACAGCACCATGCCCACCCAATCTACCCGACGCAGCTTCTCGACGAGCGAACTTGTTTTTTGGTTGAGCTTTAGGAAGATGGCGATCAATACTGCGCCAATGCCGATGAAGGGGAGGTTGATCCAGAATATCCACCTCCATGAGACGTTTTCGCTGAAACCACCACCTGTTACGAGTTCCAAGTCAGCACACGTTACTTTCCTTCATTCACACCCTCTTTCTCTCATTTCCTCTGACCCCCTCTCAGATACACCCCATCCCAACCCCCCTACAATCATTCCAGAAAAGAAGGAGAAAGAGAGGGCTACTAACCAAGCAACGGTCCAACGACAGTTCCCAAACTCCACATGACACTGAAAATCGAAAACCACTTCCCTCTCTCCCTCAACGGCACCATATCCGTAACCACAATCTCCGTCAGCGCGATGATTCCACCCCCGCCGACTCCCTGCACCGTCCTGCCCACGAGAATCACTGTGAAGTTTTGTGCGAGGGCAGCGACGATGGCGCCGGCGAGGAAGAAGACGAGACTGACGTAGATGAGCGGTTTGCGGCCGAAGATGTGCGAGAAGGAGCCTAGCACAGGTTGGAACACGGTCGAGGTCAGGAGGAACGATGTGCCAGCCCAGAAGGCTTCTATTGCGCTGCCGTGTAGGACTTGGGCCATTATCTGGGAGGGGGTCGGTGGTTAGATTGGGGGGATCTGGATTAGGGAGAGGCACTTACAGGTAGCGCTACAGACAGCGAAGTCGCGTCCAATGCAGACATGAGCACAATTATCGACATACTTGCAAAAGACAGTATGAATGCCATTGATGGCTTGAATGCTTCTAGCTCTTCTTGCGCTCTTTGCTTTTGCGACGGTGTCGTGCTTGACGAGGAGTCTTGGTTTGGTGCCATCTTCGTCGATGTAGCTGTGGAGTCCATCGTCGGATCCGCCATGTTTGTTTTCGTTGTTCGAGATCGAAGTCGAAGTCGACTCCAAATATCTTCCGTGTTTTCTTATTCGGAGAGGAGAGCACAAGGTATGTGCGTGCTTATGATTATGTAGTAGTACCCAAAACAGGGCAATAAACAAAGAAGACACTCTGGAGTCCTTAAATCGACTTCTACCTTTATAACACACACTCCAGTACACTTACTCTTTGATGATCTCAAAAAAAAAGTCCCCCAAACACAAGAAAACATCAAAACTTATTATATACCTTCAGGCCTCCTCCCACCAATGACATAAACAACATCCCCACCACACTCACACAGAAAGAGAAGGGAAAAAAAGGGTAGCCTGATCGGGCTCACGTAAAACACGGTCACAATAGTTCCTCCACGCCCCGAGCTCCCGACGTGGATAAGCCGAGTCCGCGATTGATCTATAAGCTAAAAGTACATATGCAAGCCACCTCGCACCCAAGAGAGTGGATTGGATTCGCAGAGGGCGCGCGAGGAAGCGAAGCGAAGCGAGAAAGTTGTCCCGAGGACCTGTATGCGAGGACCAGAGTACGAGATGATCTGGCCCCGCTTGGGCGTTTTTTTTTTTTTGGAGGTGGGAACGGTGTACGTCGGAGTCTGGAAGTGAGAGGGTGGGGTGCCTGATTTTTCCATATAATGCTGTTTTGGGATCGAGATAGACGGTTAGTTTAGGAATATTTTTCTTGGTTTGGAGATTTATTGGATAGTGGGATGTAGAATTTGCTACGTCGCATCGGATTCCACGGATTTATTATCCCTAACGCGAGATTGTATGGAATGGATGAAAGGTAGTCATGTAGTCAATCGCGATATCATTTCTTCCATGCATACATGTCTCGTCATCGCAACGCACCAACCATTTTTTTTTTCCAAGAATAACCTTAGACTACAAGACCGACGAAACTAAATCAATCCACCGCCAAAAAAATCGTACTTGGGAGCGATGAACGATTAAACAACTTTTTGATGAATTGGATGCGATGGCTGGCGGGCTGCCGGTGCATGGTTCTGCCGTCGCTTGGAGCTGTAAAGTAATCATGCCGCGGGCGAATGTTGCGCCGAGTCAGGTTCGGAGAGAATTGTGAGGTGGATTGGGTCCCGTGATGAGTGATAAGACGCCCATGCGATGCGATGGATACATATGAAGATGATTTTTTTTTTCGTCCGTGGATTGTAATTTTGACGCGACTGATTAGTGTTTAAGCTGCGATGGGAGGAGTGACGATTTCTTGGTGGTGATTGATCAGGATGGATTGATGGTGTTTTTTTCCGAGGGAAGTCGCAGGTAAAGATTGTAACACCTTCATCCTACTTATTGTATTCTGATATTAATCAGTGTATTTTGTCAGTATATGTGTCACTAGAGGTTGTCACATTCATAGCTAATTATATGAGACTATAGCTCTTGAATCAGCTGCCGACTTTTGAAATGCCTCAAAATTCCAACAGCACGGGACAAACTGAAACCCACATGTGCAACCATCTCGTTCAACATCACCGACTTCCAAGAAAATGAGCGATTCTTGCTACTAATACCACACCAAGCTCCGAAGGAAAGGATGTAGTTAGCTAATGGCTTCCGTTTCCGGCATGCCATTAGTGGGACATAGGTTCAGTGAGTTCAGTGAGGCAAATGAAACAGATGCCCTTCAAAATTGAATATGGGTATCAGATAGATTCTTACCTCCATTTGAAAGAGGTTGATACCGATCCTATATGTGTCAAATGAATGGTAGCTCATACAAATTTGCTGTTTCAAAGCTGATGTATACTTAGCCTGTGATCGCCTGCTCTGTTCCTCTCGCGACGAACTTAGATAATATAAAACACTCCACACGTCCAAAACCATGCCTCATCTTCTAGGGATTGTCGCCAGTTATCTTCTAGTCTATTCAGATATACGATTTCTGCGAGTCGCCCAAGAATTTCTCTTCCCTCGTCCACAGCACGATGGATAGCCTGTGGGCAGATAGGAAATGGGAATAAAGTTGGAATCACTTCTGAAATATATTACTTCGCATACATATATAAACAATCTTTCGCCTTTCCCTGGGGTCACTCGAGACGAATGTGGAAATCAGTCCAAGAGCACAGATTTGAAGCGTATACAACCGAAGCTGCTTGCGTAGTCCTGCATTCCTCAAAGAAACCCCCATGTCTTTGTTTAGCCACAGGAATGTCCCAGCATCGCCGCTTACGACTATGCGCACGTTTTTTCCACACTCTCTTTGTTCTACGGGCCTTCTAGAAGGAAACTATACAGCAAGAAATGTTGGGGCTTTTCCATTCTTGCTACTGTTCGCGCACATCAAGTTATGGATGCAGACCGACAAGACTCGATGCAGTCTTCTTTGGAGCAAGAAAGCACTTCGTCCTCGACACTCGAGGAGCCAAAGAAACCCGTTCGTTCGTTCACGTCCTTCATCAAAACCGTGCCGCCTCATCCAACATCACCGGAAAAGTCCTCGCCAGCTTCGTCAGCACTCACAACGACACAGAAGACGCCCCCACTCACCTCACGAGCTCCTCCTCCTTTGAAGAAGAACTCTAGTGCTGGATCCTGGAATGCCCCTACGGATTGGTATAACCAAACAGATGCTCCTCAAAGCTCGCTGAACCGAGAATATTCGCCACTTCTCCCGGAACCATCCCCCGACCAACCTGGCATGGCTGTTCAACCCAAACCATACCACCCCGCGCCCTTGCCCTCACCAATTTCTCGACTCAAGCCCATTTATGAGCGTAAAAACAGTCATGATTTAGCTCCACCCACCAGCCCACCTCGGTCGCCGCTCCCAGCTCCTCCCGTGTGGACGTTGAATGGGAGGACGAAAGAAAACCCGCTCTTGTCAAAAGTTCCAGGACCAGCTTCTGGCCAGATCAAGAGTGAATCCGATCTTCGATTTCGCAACGGCTCTTCACCAAGTTCTGCACACACATCTATAGTTTCCAATGCTTCGACAAAGGAAAAAGCATTTGCATCGTTGGGGATTAACTCACCTACTCAGCAAAGTGCAGTGCTGGCGAACTCCTCTCCCAATTCTACACAGAGTAAGCTGGCAGAGTCTACGCAGCCCGATAGACATGATGGTCGTGGCAAAAAGATGATTACTTTCAATCAAGGAGATGTTTTGGCTGACGACAACTGGGAAGATATGGAGATGAATGATAAGATGCGGTTACTGAGCTTCTCTCAAGACTATCACAATTTACTCACGAGCGAATATCGCGATACGAGACTCGAGGGGCAGGCTCATGAACTGGAACGTAAACCCAAAGTTCCGCCAAAGGATCACGAGCTGGTTCCCCAGCCTCTTACATGGAGAAAATCAGCATCAGGGCAAGGCTCTCCCCAGGACAAGTCTCCGCGGACTCAATCGCGGGAAAGCTCCCGCAGACAACCATTGGATGCAAACAAACACAAACACAGAAGAATCCCGTCATGGGTACCACGACGTCTTAGTGTTGGCCAAATGCATATCCCACCGTCCGCTGGAGGACAAAGCTCTCCGCCCGCGTCGACTCACGCAGAAACTCCAAAGCGCTCAAAGCACATTCCCGAAGCCGAAGTCGATAAAGCGCTTAAGAATGAACTGCGATTATCCACAATCTTTTCTTCCAGTAAACATCTTCGGTTTCGCAAAAAGTCAAGGGATGACACGATCAAACCGTCGTCCCCAAGCAGATCAGCATCACTCACCACATCCCCTACTCACATCACAAGCAAAGCAGAGCCAACACCACTCCTACGTCTACCAGGAGGCCTCGCTATAGTCCGCAATTCACCCTCCCCAGCAGTCCAGTCAACGAACCTCGAGAATCCAGGTTACTCTTCTCCTTCACCCATCAACTCCTACTCCAATTCCCACCCAGGCAGCGAATTGTCCTCGAGAACTCATTCAAATAACCGCTCCTCTCTCATCGCCAGCCACCGCCACTCCCACTCGCCTACCACGTCCGCCAACAAACCTAACATCTTCCGCCACTCCAGCGGCTCCTCGTACTCCCAAACCTCCAGTACCTCGCATCCGCTTGCGACCGCCATTTCAGCCCCTTACGCTATCCCTCCCCCGCCGCCGCCGCCACCACCTCCTCCACCCTCTTCAACTTTCCACGACGCTCCGCTATCCCCCGAAACATGGGCTCGTCTAAAACCCATCAACGTACCCCCCGAGCTATCATATCCTCTCCGCTCACAGTCTCAATCCCCGCGTGACCACTACAACAACACATCTACTTCTCTCTTTCCTCACACATTGTCCTGGCAAACGTACTACAGCAACCACCGCAACGATCTCGTCCCTGGCTTCGTGAGCAAAGCCCGGGATGCGCGACGTCGCCATTATAAGAGGCAGAGGCAGGAGAAGCTGAAAAAGAGCATCAAGGTGCTTGGACCCACGGATCCGAGTGTGGTTAGCGGGTATGTGAGGGATGGTGGTGGAAGTAGTGGGGAATTTGGCATGGATGGGTGGGCGGATTGGGATGTTGGGATCGGGGCTGGGACTGGGGTGGGGATTGGGATGGATGAGGGTGGGAGTGGAGAGTTGGGCGAGGAAGAGGAAGAGGAAGGTGAGGGAGTTGGAAGTGAGTATGGAGATGGGCGGGTTGAGGGGAGGATACCGGGGTATATGGCTGGTTGATGGGGATGTTGGTGTCTGAATTTTGAGTTGATTTCTCGTCTTGGCTACAACTGTTTAAATATAGAGTAGGTCACCTCGGCATCTGAGAGCGTGGCTGAACCATGGTCTCGAATAGCTCTTTCTCTACATTTTATTTGTGGATTTGGGACTGCTGTAAGCGAGTGAATGTCAATTATTTTTACTGTTTTTCTAGGTACTGTGTAGCTCATAGCTAGGACTGAAACATTCCTGTCATTTGTAAAGCCATAACTCCCGAATGGTATGAAACCAGCTGTGACATATATCCCATATGCACGGCCCGGTCCATATCTAAGCAGTGTCTGGTGATCAATCGTCCCCATCTTCTTTAACTCGGAGTTTTCAAGTTTTTAAAGTTTTTTTTTGGTTGGAAGTTACAGTGGTTCCTACACTTAAAAAGTCGTATAAAAATGTTAAACAAAAAGTAGGCAGGTACAAAAAGCTTTAAAAAAAGGAGTTTTGCTTTCAGCACCAGGCTAGGGATGCAACACCCGATTAACTCGGAGTAATCAGCTTCCACGCTCAATTCGATATGCTTACTCCACCGTGTCGTCCTCATGCCAATGCTATTTTTTGAGTGTAGCGTTTTTTAAGGCTTTTAAACCACTCTGCGTCATGTTCAAAGATATCATCGTCTTCCGTAAGCCTCGTAATATTATAAGGTAATCTGGTCATTCTTTTGAACAGGAACGCGGGATACAACGTACCCGCAGCTACGCAGCTAAAGTCACTAATGTAGACATGCTTTAGACCAGGAAATTGTTGCAGTAGACTGGGGACTTCTCTTTTAACGGGTGGGAAGTCATCATCATCCACCAGTAACCCGGCATGAACAAGAACTGAATTAATTAACCCGAAACCTTTAGGCTTGTTTTCTTTACGTGCAAACCAAACGCTCTTAATGCTGAATGTACCCACTTCGAAAGGTAACGTGGCTGTCTCTTTGTTGATCTGGCGACAGGTTTGTAGCAGGGCCAAGGGATGATCGAGAGCGTTTCTGGCCTTGAATGCAGATTTGCCGGCACGAATGGTCCAAATGTTTCCGCTAAAGACGTAATAATATATCCGGTTTCGAAGCTCACTCGGAAGGTCTAGGAACTTTGGTCGAAGCTTCTTCAACTGATCACTGTACACCACATGTCAATACTAAAATTTTCAGTCCTCACTGAACTTGGACTTACGAGCGGTCAGCTATTGTGTTGGAAGCATCCTCGCTGATGTTGTTCTTGGGAGCATCGGTGTCGTCAATATCGTCCCCAGCAATAGCGTCCTCATTGATAGCTTCATGTTTGGTCTGCGCGCCGTCGAAAAGCTTCCTCATCTTCTGGCTCGTGACATCGTCGTTTCCAGTGGTCGCGTCTGTGAGACGTTTTGGTCCTCGAGCCTCCGCCATCGCGCGAGTAGGGGTGGATCTGTTGTGTCGTCGGTCCGTAGCTAGAAACCCGGGTCACTACGCCAAGCTGGCATCCTATTAGTTCCTGAAGTTCCCCGTAGTTTAGCCAAAGGTCTAAACCCATTTGGGGAAGTATGCTTGGCGAAAAAAGTAACCGAATAAAGACTGATCAATGCCAATTGCGCTGTTCGTTTGGAAAATGTGCCGCCTGGATTACCCACTTCCTAGCGTTTATACTGATTCGCTGACATGACGACTGGTGAATGTAAAATAACATGGTTCGGAGTCGGTACGTGCTACCTAGTTACCCAGGCCAGGTAGGCATATGGTTTTATTCATTCTGAGTTGGAGCTTAGGTTATCCTACACACAGCACATAGTTTTATGCTCTTCAATTTCTCTCTCCATACCTAGGTAGTCATCATAGTAGCAAACATGATCTCCAATCCCGCGGAGACATAGGCCACTCGTCGTCCCCACAATGAACCGATACTAATAAACCAAAGTAAAGAGATTCACTCACACGCCAGCCAACATGGAAACTCAAGTGTTGTCACTGAAGATTACGCCACCGAGGAAATCAAAAACATGCAAATCGTTACACAGTCTGAACTGCCGTCAGTGAAAACCCGAGCTCCCTTATGCATTCACTACTAGTACATGCTTCAAGTCGCCACAAAAAAGGGCTTAGGATAACTAATAATAATAATAATTATAAAGCCCCTATGCGATACTAAAGTTGGCTATAGCTTAATACAAATAAATCTACCTCCAATACACCAGAACAAAGGAGATCTGTCACGTAAAGAAAGAAACAATAGGTAAGTTATTAAGATTTGGTAGTTGCAATAAGCAGAATAGCAACAAGGTAAGATAAATGCAGTTAAAGGAGAAGAAGCGTAACTAGGCTTCTAAATCTATTTTAATATGGGATTCGCTTAGTGTTTGTGCTTGCCTGAGCCGATTGCTCTTCTTCAACATAGACGCAATCATCTTGGAAGAGATTTACGACTATATATTTGGCGAGGGAAAAATTGTGAGCAACTACCGCAGCTTCGGAGCTAGCATAGACCTCCTGCACCCTCTCGCCATGGGTGAAACTTGCCGTCAGATTTGGGTAAAGCATCACGAGAGGAAATACTGGATTCCTGAAGGCTTCTATATAAATGATTTCATTGTTATATACAGCTGGAATATTCGGTACCCCCGCCACCCTTCTCCAATCAGACTCATCTCTCTCTTCGAGTAGATTTCTCAAGGTTTCGAGAATTCTGATACTTCCCCAAGGTAGCATTTGATCAGTGGCTCGATCAACGAAAGCTGGCGAATACCGGGAAACGGCTCAAACACTTTGGCGGCCCAATGCGAAGGACGATGAATGCTTCAGTCCCTGATTGTTCAATAAGCCTAGCTACTAATCGCTGGGGAGTAGTTCTTGCTTGAGTATCCAGCCTGGAGGATATATTCAAGTCCAGAAACACCCCGGTAGATTCCCAATTTCTTACTAAGCCACGTGGCTTCTGTGATTGAACATTCACTGTTGTGAAACAGTCTTCACGTGACTCGAAAGTGGTTCTGCCCCCGCCTTATAAATAGGGAGCATGCAACAGTCTCTCTCTCTCTCCACCCGCGACCTCCACTTCAACATCCCCACAATGGCAACAAATTTTGGTCAAGAGCGCCAGGCCCTGTCAACGTCCGCAAACGAAGACGAATTTCCCTCTCGCAGACCGCAGCAATTGGCGGATTACTCGTGCACACAGACAGAAGCCGCCGACCAGGAGGCTGTCGATGGAGGCGTACGGAATATGGAAGATGATCAAGTGTCAGTGGCATCCCAAGCTCCATATTGATAACGTCGCTAAATTGTGCTGCATAGGCCTCAAGTGAAGAAGCCCTATGACTTCTTCGACTTACCGGGAAACATCCGCAACCAGATATATGGCTACGTCCTCGGAGGGGCAGATTGGGTACTATACAGTCGCAGCAAGTTCAAAGCCAAGAACGGGATCAAGAAACCTCTTGCTCTTTTGGAAACATGTCGACAGATCTACTGCGAGACAGCTATTCTGCCGTTTAAACTGAATGCTTTCGCGCTTCGCGGTGGTATTGTTAATAGCAAGACTGCTGTACCGCGACCCGGTAGATTACACATTCATGGCCTGCGGCCAAAGAAAAATCCACCTGACGGCTGTCGGTTTGTCAAGAAGCTCCTCTTGGAGGATTGGCCGCAAACGTGGGGGCGTGATGAGGAAGAGACAGCTTCCAGTTTGCTGGGTCAATTTTCTGCTGTGGAATCCATTCATATCAACAGCCATGGAGGACAACCAACAGATGAGATGAAATGGTTCAAAGACCATGGTAGATTCATCTTGAAGGTTCTCCGACTACAACCCGCAGTTGATTCTTGGATCTTGACAATTGCCATGGTAGAGCGCACGTTTACAATGGACGAGCAAAAATGGGCGGATTTTGATAGGGTTGTTCAAACCTGGAACTGGAAAACTGAACAAATGTTCAGGATTCGAGCCAGTTTCGCAAATACAGTAAGGGCTCGATTACGACAGAGAATAGATGACGAAGATTCTGACAACGAGCTATCGGGAGCTTTTACATAGACGAGCGGATTCCTATTGCTATTCGCTTGTCTTTACGCTGTAGCAATCGATAATAGTTGCGGTTTTTTCGACAAATGGATCCGTAAGACACCTTACTAGAACGTCGAATATGTCAAGAATCAGAATGTCATCTGCATCTACAAACACGAGTGTAAGAGGCTTATGAAAAATCGAAAAAAAGTACGCCTTGGTAATGGCTGAACGAAAACCGCGGTCAAAAAGGCAAGCTGAGCATCTCCTACAAAACCTGGGATGGAGCCATGTTTTCGGGGACATGTACATAAATGAATTCAATCAACCATAAAAGTCACTTGCTAGCACCTAAACTCCGGACTCCAACGTTTGAAAATATATAACAAGTGATTTTAAGCCACCTCAAGAGAACATGCTTCACTACACTATCGTACCTATCGTACCACAGACCGGCCATCGATCTGCGCCTTGGGAACCGCGTTCTCGATCCTCAGCCATTCGCCATTAAACGCATTGATGAGCCAAGAACTCAATTCTATGAAACCGATTAGTTGCTGTAAACTCCCCTACCACTGCGAGATCAGGTAAATACTTACTGTCGTAAACAATCTTATTAGCATTATGGAAGTATATGCTATGGTCCGAATCGGGAAAGAAGTGGACATCATAGTTCTCTACACTAGCGACATCGAGTTTATCGAGGAGCGTGAGTGTGTTTTGCATATGGACGTTATCGTCCGCGACGCCGTGCATGACTAGGAAACGGACGTTTTTGCGGAGTGAGTCGATGTCATGGATCGATGTGCTGTCGTAGCCTTGTGAGTTGTTTTGTGGTGTGTACATGTAGCGTTCCGTATATATCGAGTCTTCATGATTGCGTTAGTGCGTTGCATATGGCAAAGGGTTATAATAGAATACTTACCGTAGAACCTCCAATCTGTGACAGGAGCAACGGCCATGCCGTACTTGAAGGTCTGACCTGCGTCCACTTCAAGTGTTTTGAGCGTCTGGAAGCCCCCGTAACTCCAGCCCCAGATCGCCATTCGCTCTGCATCGACGTATTTCTTGGCAGCCCACATTTTTGCAGTAGCGATTTGGTCTTTGGCTTCGTAGGCTCCGATATTACCTCTTGTAATACAGCGCAACTTGCGACCGAGGAAGCCAGTTCCACGCCCATCGACAGTGACAACAATGTAGCCGAGACTGGAAGCGATGTAGGATTGGAAGTCAACCTTGAACTTTTTGTCGACGGTCTGTGAGCCTGGTCCGCTGTACTGGTAGAACAGGACAGGGTATTTCTTCTTAGGGTTGAAGTGTGGAGGACGACGTTCGAGAACGTTCAACTTGAAACCCTCTACGTCTATAGTCTCATAATTGAGTATAGGTAGCTCGTGTTTGCTAACAAGCTTAGAAAGAGCCGCATTCTCTTCAAGTACTTTCTCGTATTTAACAGAAGCAGAAGGCGTGCTGATGATCTTCTGCCACGGGATGCCAGGCCCACTGTATGTGATGAGAGCATAGCTACCACCGACTGAGAATGAAGCACTGTAGTAACCTGCGTCGTTGTTCTCAATGACCTCTCGCTTGCCAGTTCCGTCGAGTTTGACTACATATGGATGGCGTTCCATGGAGCCTCGCTCTGTGGAGATATAATAGACTAGGTTGTTTTTGAGATCAACTCGCGAAGGGGCATCGACGACTTCCCACTCCCCCTTTGTCAAAAGTACGGGTTTAGAGTTGTCCAGAGGGCTGAAGTATCCAATGTGATCGTAGCCTTCATGAATGACGGTATCAATGTATCCATCGTGTTCACGGCCGTTGTTTGGGTCGGCGGGCACGAAAGTGGTCTTCTGTGATACTTCCATCCAACCACCATCCAAAGCCTGGACGTCCTCTGACCTTACAGTCGTGCCAGTACGGCTTTGCACATCAATCAACGTAATCTTGAGAACATCGCTTTCCCGGTTTGTTTCACGGACCAGAACTTTCTGACTCTTGCCTGCCCAGACGATTTCCGTAATGAGGCGATTGTCGTCCGCGAAGTCTCCGTCGATCTTAACGCTGAAAACCTCGGATTTTGAGACGTCATAGAACTGTAGTGACACGATGGGATTCGGAGCACCAGCCTTAGGATATTTGATGTCGCGAACCTCGGGGTATGCAGATTCGCCAGGTTCAGGTTTCTTTCCGCTTGGACGAGAAACAAAATATTGGATGGGGTAGGTTGGTACGGTCGACTCGTCAGTGCGGAGGAAAGCAATGTACTTTCCATCCTCAGACCACCAGGTTGCACTGTTTCCTTGGAAGACTTCTTCTTCGTACACCCAATCCGGAACACCGTAGAACAACTCGGAACCACCATCGCTTGTGATCGGAACGACAACGGGGGAGTCAAGCTTCCGCAAATACATGTTGTTTCTCCTGGTAAAAACGACGGCATCTGCCTGCGGGGACCAAGACGCCAACTGAATGTAGCTATCCGGTTCTGCAGAATCCAGCGGTTCTCCCTTCTGCGTCTCAACGTCAAATATCCAGTATTTCCCGGTGAACGAGTGTCTCCAATTCTTCTGCATATCAGACATCAAAAGAACCTTTTTGAGATCCTTGCTTGGCCAAACCTGGTCAGGGTAAATGTATCCATCTTTGTACTTGAACATGCGCTTCTGCATTAGAACAGTTTTCGTTCCAGTGGTTTGTGCATTTCCCTTATTTCGGATGTCCTCCACCACCAAATAATCTTTATCGGCAGACCCCTTCTCAAGCAGCAGGCCGTCTTCCCCGTTTGCGCCTGCGATCCACGACACGCTCTGCGTTGAAGCGAACCACTGCCCGGATAGAACACTGTTCAGAGAGACCTTTTTACCGGAGCCCTTTGTGGAACTTGCGAGAGGGTCGTGCGGACGGGCCGAGGCGTGCTTGTAGTTTCCAGACGCGAGGAACGAGATCAGAGCCAGCGCCCAACCCAAGACACATACTGCTCCGACAATCCAAAGTAACCGACGCGCCTTCTTGTCTACTGGCTTCAGCCCCTGGATATTTGCATCCTCCAGATCGAACGTCTCTCGTGCACGCTCAGGCCCATCAGTATCGTCATCTCGGTATTTCTCTCCAAGCCTCTGCCCGTGCGACGTTCCGTTTGTCCCCTTGTTGTTGATATGTTCGAGAACGAGCGAAGTTGTAGAGGCGGAGGAAACAGAGTCATCACTTCCGTCCTCCGATTCGCGCGGGGTGCTTCCGGCGTGTGTGAGAGGCTGCGTCTCTTCGTCGTTTACGGCGCGCTCCTGCGGCATGGTGGCTATCGAGATGGGATGATCACAAGGGTGACTACCATTATAGGGCGTAGAAGAGATAGAGACTATAGAGCACTAGGACGGCGTAGTGCGGAATCGCAAGTTAGGGTAGATATCGCTCAAGCTGGTTGATCCTTGGGTGAAACAGACACCTCTGTACTGCGGATGCGGAGGCGGAGCGGAGGTTTGGAGTTCGGAGCTCTGGTAACCGAGACGTAAGAGGTCGACGCCAACCATCCGAATGATTGTAGCTTCACAGGTGCACACAAAGAAACGAACAAGCAAAGTATTATTTATTCAAACCCCATTTGGGTATAGAATTATAGCTGAGGGCCATGAGCCAAATGGTTGAGAGCACTCTTTCGTGTTTAGAGTCTACTTGACCTTCTCCACAACTTTGAGACGTTCAAAAGTTCGAATGACCGCTTCGGGCCTGTTCAAACTTCCCCATGGTGGTCCGCTACAATATTGTTCCACGTGAGCAGAAGACATTCACGGGGACATAGAAGCCATTAAATATGCGATATGCATGACTTGAAACGCACACTGTAAAAGGGTCTCCAAGACCTCTGAGCATTTTCCAAGAGGTTATATCAACTCTGGGTGAGAGTAGCAGTTTAGTGCCATTCTGAGAGGCCCTACCTTACTGCTGGAGTGGGCCAAGATAATCCTACCATTATATGAGCTAGAATACATTGGTAAGTGGGCGAGAATGAACATACCTCTTTCATCGTTCCGATAGCATAGATCTTGTCCACCTCGGACCTGAGACCCTTGATCTTGATGCGAATATGTGTACCTTTCTCGATAATCTGGTCTCCATTGTCGGTCCATTGGGCGGGTGTCGCGTTTGCATCGTATTTGATGTCCGCTGGGATCATCTTTGCGGGGTTAGTGTACGGATAGATGCATATTGGGCTGGGGTATAATTACAGCGCGTCCGACAAATGCTTGCAGCGAACCACATTCCACGAAGAACCCAGAAGGTATGACTGAAGTGACGATGCCATCCATCTGAGACATGCAAATTAGCTCCGCAATCTAGGAGGCATGCAATGCAAAACCTACCACCTCTCCCTTATACGGCCGCCATACGATCGCCTTGTAATGCACCACGTACTCGGCAGCGCCGGAGCCAGCTATAACCTGACCATCAGAGATCTCGAAAGAGTCTAATATGCAGACAATGGTGAATTTTCCCGTGCTGGAGCCTTCCTCTTTCAGAAGGAGTTCCCGGTGGATATGCGACCGAATGAGCGGACCGAAGTAAGAGGGGTGCAGTTGAATCGTCTTCTCCAATTCCTTGATAAAGAACATGATTGATAGCGATTTGCGCGTGGTTGGGGGGAGCAGGCGGGCGATGGAGGCGGGCTTGGAAGCGCCGAAGCAAAGGTTGAGCGCGACCGGACAGGTATTCGGAGGGCAAGCAATTCAGCAAATCGTTTCTATTGTGTTAACAATTGCCCGATGGCTGGGAGACGGGTTTGCGCGAAGCCTAGTAATTAGGGCTCAATAGAGGAACGCCTGCAACCCAGATTATTGAGGCCGAGCCGAGCAGTCCATGCGCGCGTTATGAGACGATGGCGCAGTGTATTATACGGTTTGCGAGGTCAGAGTGGACCTCAAGGACAAAGGCGGTTGAGCGGATGTAGTGAGAGTAACAACAATGCTGTTGCGCCTGTCGCTGTCCCCAAAGAACATTCAACCCACAGCGCGTGCGACATGTACCGAAGAAACGCCGGGGAAGCTAACATGTGAATCGTCCAGATATCGGGAGGGTGCGGTGGTCCCACCATTCGTTCCACCTTCTTTCACTCCACCCCAACTAATCGTCTGCAGTATCCCAAGGAGCGGCTTGAAAGCATCGCTGCCTGAGTTGCACCTCCCATTGTTTCTCACAAAGACATGCTTGAATTCCGGTAAACCTTTGTCAAGCACACGACCGCTTCCGGCACACCGACCATGTCTCTCAACCTTGAGAAGCAGATGCGTTTTGTATGTATCGGCCAATACCACTTTGAGATGCATTCATGTACTGACTGGATATATAGTATGGCGCATATCACCATAATACAGTGAGTACACTGTGTGCTCTGCGTAGTTCACTCCTCACCATCGCTCTCGCTTACGCCGTACCTCGCACAGGTTAACGTTGGCATACACATCGTCTGTGTACCGGCCATCCTTGTAACCTTCATAACCCTCGTATGTCACGATGTCTCGATACTGTAGAAATTTTCTGACGTACCATAGTTCACCAATACCCCTTCGGTTCCGCTGCCCACCTGGCTGTCGGTCCCTCACCTCCCCCTCAATGTCGGCACTTTCGGCGCTGTGTTATACTCCACTTTGTACATTTTGATGGAGCCAGTGGCTGGTACTATACTTCTCCCAATTCTCCTCGGGAGCGCGGCTTACGGCAATTACCTGACATCCACATACGGAGCGACAGCGAATTACTGGGCGGGTGGAATAAACGTGATCAGCTGGATTGCACAGTTCGTCGGACATGGTATTTTCGAGGGTCGTGCGCCAGCGCTTCTCGACAATCTAGTCCAGGCCTTGTTCCTTGCTCCTTTCTTCGTCTGGTTCGAGATCCTCTTTTCTCTCGGATACCGCCCGGATCTCAAGAAACGACTGGAGAAGGCAGTGGCGGAGGACGTGCAGAAGTTTCAGGATAAAAAGGAGAACTGAAGTAAAAGTTTTCTTGCGGAGAACCGTAGACTCTGCCGTCAAACTTTATGGACAAACGAGCAGTGCTGCCTTGCGGATGGAGAATAACGGCTGTAGGGATGATTGATATGTCGACTTGAGTTAAAACAGAGTGCCTTGATATCAGTCTGTTAGGTGGATCACAAGACTGGATGCGACGACATACGCTGTATGAATAGAATACGCCTGCTTTGCTTGTATAGAACAGGAACCGGATACCATTGTAGATTTCTACCTCTCCTCTCGGATTGGTACATAGAGTGCACACTCCTGGATATAAGTAATTTCAATTGAGATTCTTTAGTTTATTTCCAAAGTGTGTTTGTTGCGAAGGGTCTGACCAATTGCCATACGTAGTGATCGTTATCTGTAATGTATACGACACCTTGTCCTACGCAACCTGCGAAACGGTCAATCAATGACACTTGAATTGTTATAGAATTTAGATCCTGGATACATTTGTAGATCGTTGGCAACTGCTTCCTACATAATTGTATACTGAATTCGTTTTTTCTTCTTCTTGGTACAAGAAATATGTGTCAACTTCTAATCTGTACTTCTTACCCAGGTAGACCAGTGATCAAAGTGATTAACGTAGACACACAGATAGCTGGGAGAAGCTGTATAAGCAACAGGTAGTCACGAAACGGCCTAAAGAAGCGTTCTTTCGGGTGTAGCTGATTCGGGTGGAATGTCCGTAGAGTTATAGATAATGTATTACTGGATACACAGTGTCGTCCAACGGTATATTAATATTGGAACCTAAGCCAAAAAGATATCAGGCTTGGAAATGACAGCCCTTAGTCATCACCCTACAGCATACATGTATCGATCTAAAATGGCGTTTAACAAAGTAGGGGGCACTTTTGAGGTAGTTATGACAAAGAATAATAAGAGGTTTTAGCTGTCTAGGAGGGCCTAAGGTTTTCAAGTTTACTATCCTTACAAATGCAGATCTATCTCTGTTACCACAAGAATCTAACACCGATTTAAGTATAAAACATCTGATCACGATAAATTAGTCAACCGCGAGCAGGTTGGCAGCTCTTTGCAAAAGGCTGCAATTCTTTATCATAGTGTGTATCAACACAGAAACCCATTGAGTTAGTTTAAATTCGAAAACGAACTACCTACCTAGGTAGGTTATGAAAGATCCCGACATAAACATGTAGTCACGATTTGAAAAATTGTAAGGTCATTATAAGAACTAGTTGATCTTGAGTATATTGTCCTTCTGTCTGAACCTCAGAATTTTATATGCCTGCTTGACAACAGTAGATGATACGGAATTTACAAAAGGCATAACGTGCTCAGAGTCGTCGGTGGATCACTGGAGAATCACTGATGCAGATGGTGTCTCCAGACAGGAGGGATAGGGGTGGAAGCCGTACTTGATGCGAACTGTTGTCCAGTTACTATCTCAATTTGTTGTCAAGCTTGATAATGTTTGAGCATTGCTATTAGTGATCAGACACAGCACAAGTTTGAGTGTCTGGCAATAAGGAAGATCCCGTTTTTTTGTCCAACGGACTAGTTATTAAGGAAGATAGTGAATCATCGCATTTCTGCGGACTAGTTGTATGGATATACCCAATCGCCGGTGGATATGCCGCGATATCCAATTTTCTCATGTGGAGTTATCAGCATGCAGGTAGCAGTGCTTACTTTCAACTCCTAACATCAGTGCCAATTGCATCCTTGACATCATCGTCGCCAGTAGCTACTATAATATCGATTGCGTTTGTACACAGATGTGATCATTGATCAATTCTCCGGTGGGTTACTGGTAGGTACTTTGAAGATCTGCGATGAGAAAGCTTCTGGGCTGTCTAATACAATCATTCACCGATGCTATTGTTTCTCAAGGATAGCCAGATAACTGCCGGTGGATGAATCACAGTGGGCGGTGTATAGCTTCCGTAGGGAGACCAGGTGGTGTATCATGCTGAATTGGTCGAAGCTGAGAGGCCCTATCCAACAGAAAAATCGAGACCTGGTCATAGCTTTCAAAAGCCCATACGTCAACAGCACACAAACTGTGAATCGAACAAATCTAAAAGAGATGCCAAGTCAATGCATGTAAGCTCCAGAAAATTATCAATTGAGTGGTTGCAGAAAAGTAGAAAAAAAAAAAGGTTGGGATGTGGTAAATAGCAGAGTATGCCTGATGTTGCTGGGCCGGTAGTTACTCGGAGCGACAATAACTTACATAATCAAAATCTAGTGTCTTTGGCGATTATGGAACGGAGCTTTTCAACTCCTCCCAGCATCCCTCTCCAACATCACCCCCATCTCCACCATCTCCGCTCCTTCTGCATCAATCTCAATTGATCGCAGAGCTACACAACTAGCCTCTTGAGGTCATCAGAATGTTCTCGAGAGCCATCCGTCAGTCGAGCCGCCGGGTCGCGGCAATCTCTGCATCGGGCAGAATTGCTTCGGTAAGTCCATCGAAAGCCGCTGCAATTGCGCCTACGATCCATCTCGCCATCATCAATAGCCACCTGGGATCGATTCGAGTGCCATTGGCGCTGTCATCGAGCTTCGCGGAGGCTGCGGGTGCTGCTGCGACGATGGGAGAGGAGCTCTCCTTTGCCGAGCCAAGTAATTAACAGTTTTGCCTGCCATAGACCCGAACCACACCCGCCTACTTCAACGCCACGAAGCAGGTCCGCGCCTATGCCGCCGAAGCTAAGGCCGCACCCACCGAGGTCTCCTCTATCCTCGAGCAGAGGATCCGTGGTGTTCAGGAGGAGTCTGGTCTCGCCGAGACTGGACGTGTTCTCTCCGTCGGGTATGCACGCCTGCTGCGCCAATACTGGAATACAGAGGGATGCTAACATTGGATGTTTAGTGATGGTATCGCCCGTGTGCACGGCATGAGCAATGTCCAGGCTGAGGAGCTTGTCGAGTATGTGTATTACGAGATGGCAATCGTGTAAATGTGTCTGACTCCATTCTAGGTTCGCCTCCGGTGTCAAGGGCATGTGCATGAACTTGGAAGCCGGCCAGGTCGGTATTGTGCTCTTCGGTTCTGATCGATTGGTCAAGGAGGGTGAGACCGTCAAGCGTACCGGACAGATTGTCGATGTTCCCGTCGGCGAGGCTCTCCTCGGCAGAGTCGTTGATGCGCTCGGTAACCCCATCGATGGCAAGGGTCCCATCAAGTCCACCGAGAGGCGCCGTGCTCAGCTCAAGGCTCCCGGTATCTTGCCCCGTCAGTCCGTCAACCAGCCTGTACAGACTGGTCTCAAGTCTGTCGACGCCATGGTTCCCATCGGACGTGGTCAGCGTGAGTTGATCATCGGTGATCGTCAAACTGGAAAGACGGCTGTCGCCCTCGACACCATCCTCAACCAGAAGCGCTGGAACAACGGCAACGACGAGACCAAGAAGCTTTACTGCGTCTACGTCGCAGTTGGCCAGAAGAGGTACGCTTTCCCGAATTGGTAGCCAAGTTGTTGCTTCTCCGCAATCAACCATGTGGCCAACTTTGCACTCTTCACAATGCATTATAACACCCCCAGATGAGCTTTGCTAATATTGTATTTCTCTGTAGGTCTACCGTCGCTCAACTTGTCAAGACTCTCGAGGAGAACGATGCCATGAAGTACTCTATCATCGGTTAGTTTTTCCGTTAACAATCCGCCCTAAGACGCCTTGTGATGTCGACGTTTACATGAATTTTGCTGACCTCTGTGTCCTACCAATTTAGTCGCTGCTACCGCTTCCGAAGCCGCTCCACTCCAGTAAGCAATTTCTTCCCACCCCTGTTTGATATCGTCTTCTAATTGGTTAAAAAGATACGTCGCTCCCTTTACTGGCAAGTTATCCCTCCGTTCTTCTTCTCTCTTCTCCTACGATGTTTTTGCGATTTTTTGCGATTTGTTTGCTATCTTTTTCGCGGGTTTACTTTGTTGTGAGAGTTGTCACTTACCAGGGATTCTCCTGGACTGCGGCTTCTCTTTCCTATTTGTTTTGTCGCATTTTCCCATACCCTTTTCCCATACCCTTTTCCCATGCCTTTTTCCTTCTCCATGGCCTTGATACTGGGTACATGTTCATATCACATAGTCATCTAACACCACTTCAGGTACCGCTATCAGCGAGTACTTCCGCGACAACGGCAAGCACGCTTTGATTATCTACGATGATCTTTCCAAGCAGGCCGTCGCCTACCGTCAAATGTCTCTGTTGCTCCGTCGTCCCCCTGGGCGTGAGGCCTACCCCGGAGAGTAAGTTGGATCACACACAAAGTCACAAGACATTTCTAACAGAAGACAGTGTTTTCTACCTCCACTCTCGTCTTCTCGAGCGTGCTGCCAAGATGAACAACAAGCTTGGTGGCGGTTCGCTCACTGCCCTTCCCATCATTGAGACCCAGGGTGGTGATGTGTCCGCTTACATTCCCACCAACGTCATTTCCATCACCGACGGACAGATCTTCTTGGAGGCCGAGCTCTTCTACAAGGGTATCCGTCCCGCCATTAACGTCGGTCTTTCCGTGTCTCGTGTCGGTTCCGCTGCCCAGCTCAAGGCCATGAAGCAGGTTGCTGGTTCGCTCAAGCTCTTCTTGGCCCAGTACCGTGAGGTCGCCGCTTTCGCCCAGTTCGGTTCCGATTTGGATGCTGCCACCAAGCAGACCCTCAGCCGTGGTGAGCGTCTTACCGAGCTCCTCAAGCAGAAGCAGTACTCGCCCATGGCTGTGAACGAGATGGTTCCTCTTATCTTCGCTGGTGTCAACGGTCTCTTGGATAACGTTCCCGTCGCCAAGATCCTCCAGTGGGAGTCCGACTTCTTGGCTCACCTCCGATCCAACGAGTCCGACCTTCTCGCCACCATCGACCGCGAAGGTGCTCTCAGCAAGGACCTCGAGGCCAAGCTTAGGGACGTCATCACAAACTTCACCAAGTCTTTCGCGTAAATAAAGGCTTGAGGAGTGGGTGATCTGTTCCGGTATTTGTCGCGGGGTAAAATGTGCTGATCGGTCGCCGAGATTAGATGTATAATAGAAGATGCGTCCTCGCCATCAGCTGTCTCAATAGGAAAGTTCTTTTTTATCGAAATGGCCTGATGGTAATTCTGCTTGAAAACTCGTTCTCAAAATACCTCCCAGCACTACCCGATTTTCCTTTCGTCTAGCCGCGGGTATGGGCCTCGATCTTTTTGGGTTGAGCGGGTGTGCTTGCTACTGTATCTATGCGAATCTCATTTTCTTTGTTCACTTCATAATGTGTGTTTCTGCCGTGATGTCTCATCTGCTTCTCATTCGTGACATGGATTTTGGAAGTGCCTTTTGAGGATCCATCCACATCACTTCGTACATGTGCGAGAGGTAGGCTAAGTACCCCAGCCAGAGAGGGTCTACGATGGTGCCACGAAGAACGTCAGGCAACGTCATAGTGCACCAGATTCTGCGTATCATATGTTGTTGTGGCTGCTCTGGATGCCTTGTACAAGGCATGGAAATCGAACATTTTCGTGACTAGGGGAAGCGCTTGGCGAAGCACATGTATGAATGACATCCTGCGTTCGAGACAACCATACTAGCATAGATGGAAAGTCGCTGATGAGCTTCATATTTCAATCATGATAGATAGATAGATACTCGTTTTCATCCGCGATATAGTTATACGTTGGGTCGGACAGTATAAAAGTACTTAATCGTACATGGTCCAGCAGCTACATGTAGTGCAGTACAGTCGCCCGCAAACCGAAAACCCAGAAGGAACTCTAACGTTATTGAGATTCCCAGCGATCCAACAAGACCGATAAAGAGAAGAAAAAAAGAAGAAAGGACCCTCTAACTATATCATTGTCTATCCAAAAGAATCCATAGACATATACAAGAAATAAGGCGTAACTCATACAAGAAAAAATGTAAACAAGGTCAGGTTATAAAACAATGAAAAAGGAACAGTCCCCCGCCTCTTCCCAGTTTCTTGTATTTCTATTTCTTCCCCGGCCCAGGTTGTCTGTCCGAATAGTGGTCGTCACCAGCGACAGCATCATCTTCATCGTCTCCAGCACTAAACGGATCATCCGGGATCTCCAAAGCATCGTCCTCGACATCCGTAGGCTCGTCATGGTAGCCATCGCCCCATCCCGACCTGAGCGAGATGTCATCGTCTTCCTCTCTTACAATAGTCGACGCGGCTTCCAAAGCGGCAGGGTCATCCGCGTAATCGCGCTCGAGGTCTTCAACAGACGTCCGTCTGATGCCGCGTCGTTCCTCTTCCTCGAGCTGTGCGGCGCGCTGCTTCGTTTTCCGGTACATGAACCAGCCCGTCGCGATCCCAGCGAGCCCACCGATAGCGATGCTAATGTAACTCAGGGCTTTTGTCTTGCCGTCCATTTTGCCGTCCCCGCCGCCAATCTTTTCGAGCTGGCTGCCAATGAAGATGTGCAGCATGAGTTTGGGACTTGCGAGGGCGGTGGCGAGGCCGTAGGCTTGCCATGTTACGGTGGGGATAGTGGCCACGGCGCCGTTGGAGAGCGAATAGGGGAGTGGACAGAGGCGCACCATGACGAGGAGCTTGATGCCGTCGTGTTTGAGGACGAGGGACAGCGCGGCGAAGCGTGTGTCGTTGGCCAGGAGGCGGTCGACGAATTTGCGGAGGATGGAGCGCGAGACGATGAAGGATGCTGTGCTGCCTGCTACGGTCGCTGTTGCGGCGATGAACCATCTGTGAAGTCGCAGTGTCAGTTTGTATGCCCGTCCGAGAGATGCAAAGAGAGCAGGATGCATGCGTACCCGTTGGGGAATCCATAGACAAAACCCGCAATTGTCAAAAGAGTCGAGTATCCAATCAATGGTGGAAAAGAAACGACAAATATCAATGCCCAAAGAACCAGCCATCCACCAGGGACATCGTGCCACTTCTTCGCGGCAGGACGCAATGCGTGGAAGATGCGCTCATTGTACACCATGAACAGTATACCCAGCACGAATGAAGTGATTCCACCGGCCCACACTAAGATCTTTTGTACTGGGGTCAAGCGATTATACTGGGTTATGACGCGGTCGTTGAACTTGTTATACTTGTCCATCCACGAGCGTATCCGTGAAGGCTGCTGGTGGCGCGAGTATGTGGAGTTATTCTGGCGGAAGGTGGTGGAGCGGCGAGACCATGTTGGCGCATCACCTCGCTCGGGGGAGGAATCGTCGTCATCGATGGGCAGGGCAAGAGCGCGTGCATCGTAGTCTGCATTATCTTCGACGGGCATGGTGTGCAGCCGGTTCAAGGTGGTTTTTGGAGATATGGGATGGAGATAAGTGTGAGCTTCGGAAACAGCGGAACGGGGCGGAGGAGGAGGGTGGTAGGCGAAGCAGACAGAAAGTTAGGGAGAAGCAAAAGGGGGCATTCCGGTGAAGAAAGCAGCAGATAATATCATGTATGGTAAGGGTGAGCAGATGGATGCAGAGGAAGTGTGCGTCAACGTGGTGTTGTCTTGTGGGGGCCTAGGAGCAGGAGTGGTGGTTTCATGTCATCATCCCGACATTGCCTCAGCGGTAGTGGATAGTAAGTACGTAGTCTATAGCACAATGAAGGAGAAGGTCTCTAGCGGATTAGCGTCATCCCGCCCTCTAAAATCATTAGCTGCCGACATGGACGACGACTTGCAATGTAGAGCCATAGCCGAGCCGTAGTTTACCAAACATACATGCTTCTGCAGCCATGTACACATGTACGTGATGGTAGTCCTACAGTGCATGCACATGTGCTGTGCATACATACATATGTAGACATGTAATACAGTCCAGTACGGTCCAGGAGTGCTGCTGTTGGTACGCGATGCACGCATGCGGCATCGGGCCAGAAGCTTGTGATGGAAGCGCCCTTGAATCTTCAGCCTCAACCATCAAGCTGCTGCTGCTGAAGAAGAGCACACGATCCAGCCAGCCAGCCAGCCAGCGAGCGTGGGATACGGAGCAGCAGCTAGAGTCAAGAAAAGATACATGACAGCCGCCTCCACGCAGCATTCTCAGCCCGCTGACCTGATCGATCCCGCCTTTCCTTTCCTTTCCCTTTCCGATGCATATGTACTCGTTGGATACATGTACTCAGCCCTCCTCCTCCTCCTCCCCACTGCCTGCCTGCCTGCCTTCTCCTGCCAACCGTCCATCTCTCTTTTCCTTCTCCTCCGCTCCCGTTTGTCTGGACGCCCCGTCCCCGTGCACGTCCCGCCGTCGCTCTTCCCTCTCTGCCTTTCTCCCCCACACTTTTGGCCGCATAGGGCTGGCTGCCGCGCATTGGAGCTCCGTCTCCCCTCTCCGAACCAGGGTTTCGTTACTCTGCCTCTCCATTTGCTACCCACCGCCCTCCATTGCCTGGTCCTGCTGCCTTCTTTCCAAATCGCTTACTTCTGGTTGCCCTCCTGCGCCACTCCATTATCTGTGACCACTTGACCCTCTCGACCCGCTCGCCCATCCACTGCTCCTCAGTCACAAGCGCGACCTATAAACACCCAGACCGCCAGCCAACTCGCCGCCCGTCACCCACCTCATCTTCCTCAAACCCACTGCCCGCTGCAAACGTGCACTTCCGGCCCCAGCATGGTGTCCGACGACGCGTACGAGGCCGCGCTGCCTGTCCTGCAGGACGACTCTCTCGACGAGGAGGAACAGACGGACAAGCTGGAGGAGCTGCTGCGCAAGCAGACTGGATTGACCGGGAAATCCCTTGAGAACATCGTTCTGGACTGTCTATGGCGCTTCCGCGACGCCGGGAGCTCCTCGAGCTCTCCACCACCCAGCCGTCACACCGTCATCCGCCGCCCATCGCCAGCAGCATGGCAAGCGAATCGCGCGCCAACCCCTGTCAGCCATTCACCGCGGTTAACACATCCTCCTCCTGGCTTTGGAATCATTCCTCCAGCTTTCAACCGCGCCAAATCCTCAAACGCTTCTCCATTCACCTCTCCGCGCCCATCTCCGCGCTTGGCTTTCTCTAGCCCTCATATCCCCCACAGTCCCAGCCTGAGCGCATACCAATTCAGCGAAGGAGTCAGTCCTAGCGTGGAGCTCTATGGCGATCTGGGGAGCGATTCCGTAGATTGGCTTGTAAACGATGACACGGGAAGTGTTGAATCTTCGTCGGTTGTCGGCGATGGTACGCTCAATGGTGCTGCCGCTGAATGGATTCAACCTCAAACTGTAGACATGGGCCCGTATGATATGCTCCGCTCCATTCTTCGCGACGAGCGACCCGACGAGGAAATCGAGCGGGCTCTTGAGGCAAGCTCCTATGATCTCAGCGCCGCTCTTCTAATCCTCATGGGTAATTCCCAAAATCTCGAAGCTCAGCAGATGTCCGTCCCAGTTCCTGAGCCGGCTACCTTTCATATTGGCAAGTCTATGAGTCCCGCGTTTAGACCGGCGACGCCTGCGGGTCAGAGTAAGAGTAATATCATTTGCAAGTATTACATGTCATCAGGCTCGTGCGCAAGAGCCGATTGCAGATTCAGCCATGACACTTCCCGAACCCTGTGCAAGTGAGTGCCGATCCTTCTTCACTAATGGAAAGCTTGAATATTAATACTTTTGCCCAGATACTTCATGAACGGCAACTGCCTTGCCGGCAACACATGTGCTTTCTCTCATGATCCGTCATCTTTGATGGCTCGCATGGTCATTTCAGATGCATCTACACCACCACTGCAAGCTGCGGTCCCCAATTTCCAGATGCAAGATTACGAAACATTCCCAATTCTTCAAGGTGGAGGCTCTCCTGGATTCATCCCTCAAAACCCGGGTGTCGAAGGCATTTCACTCGAGCAGCTCTACGGCCTGACCTCTAGTGGCGCAAAACATCCTCCTCCTGGTCTAAGTCCATTCCCTCATTTCACCCCAGGCAACATGAGCCGTCCACATTCAAGACCTGGAAGTCGCCAGCATTCGCGCGCCACAACACCTTCGATTCTTGCGGTAGATGACAATGAGGCATTTCCAAGCTTGGGTTCCGCTGCAGCTGCGAAGAGCGGCAAAAGACATCATGGAAAACGCGGCGGGCATGGCCACAACAAAGAACAGCCTAACAATCTTGCAGATGTGGTTCGCATGTCACCTTCTCCAGCCCCAGCCCAACTACGTAAACCGCTACGAACAGCGAAGAGTTTCAACGGGTCCCGTGAGAACAGTGCCGCTGCACAGGCGATACCGGCGCCTCAACACATTCCGTGGCTGGACACTGGTGAGAAGGCCAACAAAGCCTACCTCCAAGCACGCACAGAAGCTTTCAAGCATGGCAGTTTGAGGAATAAGTTTCTGCAAAGTGCTGCTCAAGCTTGGAATCGCAGTGATTCCCGGGCCGCCAAAGCCTTGAGTCTTCGCGGTCAGAGTGAAAACAATCTAATGAGAGAAGCTCACCGTGAAGCGGCCAAGATCCTATATGAAGATCGGAACAAAGAAAATGGAACTGATGCACGCGAGCTTTATGTCGATTTGCATGGTAGGTCGGAGTTGTTGGGTGTTGCAAAACTTGACTAATTCCATCTAGGCCTACATCCAGACGAAGCAGTATCTTACCTCGAAGGTATTCTCCTGAAACACAACACATCATCAAGACCAGTTTATGCCATCACTGGAACTGGCCATCATTCCAAAAATGGCAAGGACAAAGTCGGCAAAGCTGTCCGTGCCTTCTTGAGCGAATGGCGATACGCGTTCCGTGAGTTCTCTGTGCCTGGAGATCGTAACAATGTTGGGGGCATTCTCGGGATAGATCCCACTAGCTATGACAAAAGTGTTGCTGAACGGGCCAAAGAGAGCGAAAGCAGTTCACCAGGTGAGACCGAGGGCACTAAGAAAGACACAAAAGTCAGGATAATGAAGAGAGACGAGGTTTTGGACGCTCCCAAGGGTCCAAAGCGCGCAACATGACATTAGAAAACAAATACAAAATCCACGTAAACAATATTAGCTGATTCCATTTTGGCGGTGGAGGGCGAATGTGTTCTAATGGTTGCGGTTGGGTCCTCTTCTTTGTGGGTTCGGGAGGAAAGCGCCATCGGCCATGCTCCTCCCCACCTTCCACCAATTCCACCCTAACCTTCACTTCCTTTCTCAAATCTTCGCCACCGACCTGCGTCCATACATTGCAATCCCTTCCAAGTCGCAATTCTCGTTGTCACTTTTCATTTTCATTGACATAGATCTTGTCCCTGCATGATGTCTGGCTCATCTCGTGGACCACCGGCGGTGGACCTTCTCTGGGCCTACCAGCTGAAGAAAGAACATGCACACCTCAAGGCCGAGCTCAGTTCCGTCAAAGAAAAAATTCTCGCAACAGAGCATGCCGCTGGAGTAGCAAATGCTGCAACCCGAGAGGTCGACGAGCTACGCAAACATCTAGACGACTATATGAATGATCCAGAAGAGATTCAAAGGAACACCATGGTGAGCAATATGTTGGGCAAGCATGCTAAGCAGCTTACCTCTTTCAACTCAAGACTAGACGCTTTGTCGTCTCGCATAGGGTCCAGCGAGGATGATCTTGATCGGCTGGATGGCAAATGGAACGCACACGAGTTGAGATGGAAGCGTTTTGAGGAAAGGATGGAGAAATCAGAGCTATCTTTGGAATCATTGATAGGCAGGCATAATGATAAGGCTCAATCGGAACGTATGAAGACCCTCGAAATTCAGGTCAACAGACTGACGGAACACATCACGAAAACCACCGACTTGCACTCCGTCGAAATCGATCACTTGAAGCAGGCACTGATCGACCTCCAAAAAAGCACACAAAAAACAGAGAGCACTAGAAGAGTAACCCAAAAGCCACTGTCGCCACAAATCCAAGTGCCTCAGAGCCCTAACCTGTCGAGCCTGCCCATGTGAGTCCGATTGGTTCACTCTCCTCGACATGTTGCTGACTCATTAGTGATCCTTTATCAAATATATCCCTTCCACTCGACCTTATAACTCAGGAACAGCCTACTCAGCAGCAGGCTCAATTCCACCGTTTTCCTGCCCCCTCACTCACCGAGACCCAAGCTACAACGCAGCTCGATGATTCCGATGTAAGATCCGGTACGGCCAGCGAGGTACAACAAGGTGCTTGTGTAAGACCACTTCAAGATCAGCACGCTGGTTCGCGCAAGAAGCAGAAGATTTCGCAAGATACACAAGGGGAAAAGCTGCGCCAAATGCTTCGGGGTAATGGGTTTTCAGCCAAACGCACAGCGGTCCTTCACGACGAGTCTAGTCATATTATAAGTAAACCAAAAGGGAACAAAGCATCCGTAAGCTACGAAGCTACCCAACGTGTCGCCCCACCGCAATCATCCAACGAAAATCTTGAGGAGTCAACAAAGGTAGTTGGTAAGAAAGCTACCAAGAAACTTATCGAAAAAGAAAGGTCAGAGACAAGTGAAAAGAACTCTAGCGATGGCGGGCTGGCGGTTAAGCAGACACAAAAGAAACCACAGCCTGACACAGCTGCTCCAAGCAGCAGGAGCACTCGTCGTCAGCGTCGAGATACTCCACTCCAAGTGTTGGAACATAAAGGGAGGGGGCTCAGAGGATGCTACGCCCGCACTCAACCAAAAACCGAAGATTTTGTTGAGGAAAAGGCAGTAGTGAATGTACCAGATAACCTTCCTGCTGCAACTGCAACAAACGGGAAGAAGTGTCCAGTGAGAGCGCCTCGAAAAACGCTGGTGAAATTGGTCGTTCCCAGCTCAGTCTTAAAGGATTTGACATCAGCAGACTCGAAATAAAATGCGAGACATATGGGCTCAGGCGAGGAACGTATGAAATGAGTATTGTCGGGATAACATTCAGGTAGTTTATGTTTCTTTGAATTCGTACAGACCCTCGCGATCGGTCACAGGAACCTCGATATTCGCCTCTTCGACATCTTTCCCATCAACCTGCAATCCAGCCCTCATGATATCACCCGTCTTTACGGGTCCTACGCCTTTGGGTGTTCCCGTCAAGACAATGTCGCCCTTCTCGAGACTCATTACGCGACTGATATCACTCAACATTCTTGGGATGCGGAACAACATGAGATTGGTGTTATCGGACTGTTTGACCTCCTTGTTCACAGAGAGCCACAGATGGGCATTTTGGGGGTCGGGAATGCGCGACTTTGCGATGATGTTGCTGATTGGCATGAATGTGTCGAAGCCTTTGGCAATGGACCATGGGAGACCCTTCTTCTTGGCTTCATCCTGCACGTTTCGAGCAGTCATGTCAATGGCAAGAAGATAGCCTATTTCGGGAGAATCAGCTTATTTTCGATCTGTGTGTTTGACGGCAGTACTGGCGATACTGGCAACATTTGCTCCCTTGGAGAGGATTTTTTTTTAATGCTTTGGGCGATATTGCAGATATGGATATATGCCAGAAATAGAACGTACCATCGATAGCCTCTAAAGCGCCCTTCGTATCCTCTGGGTCAAGGTCCCGCACTTGCTTCCCCATGATGAGGCCGAGCTCGACTTCATAGTGCATTATGACGCCACGGGGGCGCAAGATTGGGCCAGCACCTGGAAGTAGAATGGATGAAGGTGGTTTTAGGAAGAAGAAGGGTTGCTTGGGGCGAGCGCTATTGAGCTCTTTGATATGATCCCTATGTACTCGGCGAGTTAATTGTGATGCTGTTACATGGCGGCGACGGTGGGTGATGGCCTACGCATAGTTTCTTCCTATGCACATAATCTGCGCGTTGAACAATGTTAGTAAAGTCTTTGTCGGTATACATGTACAAGATAAGGAGAAATGAAAAAAAAACCGGTTATGTGTTAAGCAACTCGACATGACATGTACGAGTATGCGATGCTTACTTCTCATGATAAGTACGCATACTCACTCTACTATCACCTACCTGTACATGGCAATTGCGTTGATTGCTACAGCATTTACAACAGAAAGGTAACCATGTATCGGATCTCCCAATCTTGATTGACTACATTCCGTGTGTCCGCGGTCACACTTTAAAGGGTTCTTACCTACATGTATCTCCTTTTCCGTCTCGTCATGCGATTGACTTCTGTCCTACCGCAAAATACCATAAAAAACGGAGATTTGGGTAGCAATGCAATACGAAAAGGAGAAAGAAGAAACAACGATAATTCCGTAGATGAGAATCAAAGAAAGCGCATACACACCTTACGGCAATTTGCCTTGAGCGAGTTCAATCCGGCCGTCATGACTACTCTTGTATCCCAACAAACAATGAGGAGGTACTGGGTAAACAGCGATGAGCAGGTAGAAGACAATGTCCAATTGCCCCAACCTTGTTCGGATTTGGAGGAGAAAAAAGTAGGAGGACAGAAATGGTCTTGGGTTGGAGGAATGGCAGGTTGAGTGATGGTTTCGCGGAAAACAATCAGACGTTGGACGTTTCCCTCCCGCCGTCAATTGCCGCGGCCGGGCGCTCGCTCTTGATATTTAGCGCGTTTGGGAGCTGGGAGCTTGGAGCATGCTTGTGAGCTCCCCACTTTGGGACTGGTGCACGACAACAGACAGGTGGATGGATGGATGTGGGGGTTGGCGGGGCTAGGTTAAGGTTCGTTTCCATTTCAACTGTCGACAGATGGATGTTCACATTCTACATCTCACTGCACGGAAACACGGGTCTGGATTTTTCGTATTGGTTGGTATCGGAACGAGGCTTGTCTAAACGGCGGATAAGCGAATTGTAGCCCACATAGGCTTCCTATCCAACGTCACCTCCTTCACCGCATACGTAGACACCAACCCACCTCCCACTAAACGCCCAACCAACTCACCACCGCTCAATAAACGCCATCCACAGGAGATAGAAGAAGAAAACAGAGCGTCGAGCCCTTCGAAACCCCATCAACACCACCAAAACCGCAAAAGAACACAATGCCGCCACAACCCCCGACCTCTCCAACCTCGCCCACAACGCAACAACACCCCCCAGCCCTCCAACTCGCCCAAATCCTCTCCGACCTCGTCACCCTCCGCGTCTGCGACCCGGCAGCTGCACTGAATCTCGTTTCTGCCCGTCCTTCTACAAATGTATCTGCATCCGACGCGGCCGCCAACGCAACGACATCGCTTGCTGCGGACGCGGACGCGGACGAGGACGAGGATTTGAGAAGGGCGAAGGACTTAGTGGCGTTACACTATACGGTCAAGGTTGCACATGAGAGAGGGGCATTTGGAGAGGATCTGAGGAGGGCTAGAGGGTTGGTCCGGGGGGTTTTGGGAGAGTGATGAGGGGAAACGGAAAGAGCGCTAGTGTTGATGTAGATGTTGTGGATGTGTAGGGGCGTTGGAAGAGTGGATGTTGCGTATGGCATACGGCGTTGATTTTCATTTCCTCTCGATTTCTATATCAGAGGAGTGGCCCTAGATGGGAGATCTTCTGGAATCATCATCGCTCCCAGCATCACTCAATAACCCTTCCAACGCCTCAGCATCATCCACAACATTTACATCAACACCAGCGTTCTCTGCGTTCTTACTCTCCCCATTTCCCCCGTCAACTTTTACATTGACAAACAAGATCCAAAGCCCCATGTCATAGCTCACACGACAGATTCCCGTCGCCACGAAGGCAGCCCAGAACCTATCATTCCCAGCCAACAACCCCGTCACAGAAGGTCCCATGGACTGCGCCAAAGTCCGCATCATACTCGTAATTCCCATAGCGCCGGTTCGCTCTTCTGGCTTGACGACTGCAGCAATAAACGCCGTCCGAGGCGCTTGGTCCATGGAATTCAGCGCCGCGCGGAACAGCAGCAGGGCGACCGTCCATCCTACACTACTCGGTAACGGGATGAATGCGCTCGAGATACTACTGGGGAGGTGCGTGAAAACCATTGTGTTGATTAGGCCGATGCGGCGCGAGATTGGTCCTGCGAAGATGGCCCCGACGGCGCAGAGGAACTGCGAGGCCGAGGTTATGTCGCCCAGAGCAGATTTGCTGAGGTGGAACTTTTGGTCCACGTAGTAGTTCATCAGGGAGTAAGGAGTCATGCCGTCGGCGAGGGAATCGACAGAGAGGAGAATCCAGAGAGGGTACATGATGCGTCGGGTGGGTTTCGATATCTGCGAGAAGTAGGATGGTTTCTTCTTCTCCTGTGAGGAGGAACCTCGCAGTGCGGTTCGCTGATCCTCAGTTTCGTCGGCGTGGTCGAACCCATCAGTCGTAGACGGAGTCTGAGGCTGTAGCAACACCTCTTCCTCCTCTCCGTCTCCATCCCCAATCGAACCCCGCGTCCTTCTCCTCCCTCGCTCTTCCACCACCCGCTTCTCCCCCGCAACCTCACACCGCCCACTCAACCCCAAACACAGAATACACCCAACCACCCCAAACCCAGCATACCCCCAAAACAAAACATGATACGCCTTCTTCGCATCGCCGCTGCTCTTCTCCACCCAACTCACCACTCGCCCCGCAACCTCGCTCCCCACAGCCCCAGCCATAGTCGTAGCAGTCACATACCAAGCCAGCACATCCCCTCTGGTCCTCTCATCCGTCAACCCACTCAACACGCTCTCCTCGACTGCCCGGAACGGCCCACAATCCCCACCCGTCACGCTGATGACCCCAACCACGGCCGCGCCCAGCAGCACCCAGAAATTCTCGCTCGTGGCGAACGCCGCGCCCGACACGACCATCATGCTCGACCCGAACAGCAGGATCTTGCGCCGTCCGAGTTTATCCGCCACGAGCGTTAGCAGCAGCGAGAGGATCACGTCGCCTAGCAGCGTCAGCGTCATGAAGAGCCCGATCCGCGTATCCGGGAAATGCAGCGACGAGAAGAAGAGCGCGAGGATCAGGGACGGGATCCCTGCCGAGAACATGCGGAGTGAACGCAGCGTGATGATGGTGTAGGCGTCGCGGCCGGTTTGGTGGAGCGAGGGCAGGCCTAGGAAGTGCGAGAGGCGTTTGAGGATCGCGTGTGCCATGGTCTTGTCAATTGATTGCTATTTCTTTTGTGTGAAGATTATGGCTTTTTCTTTTTATTTGGTTTCTGGATGGTTTTTGGGCCCTTTTGGACTGAGAGTTGGTTTAGGTAGTTGGTGGTGGCGAATAGAATAGCCGTCGATATAGAGGAAAGTCAATCAACTTCTCATGCGAGTAGACGCTCTTCTCTCATATAGGTTCCGTAACTGCAAAGTTGAGTCACCCAGCGAATACACGCAATCAGATTGGAGAACAAGACACAAAGAAGTCGAGAGTCACAAAGTTCAAGCACCGAGGTGAGGGAAGTAGTTGCATCGCTCTAAACCCCCATGCAGTATAGAACCCTCCTCCCTTCCCCCATGGGCGTCAAAGTAAGAAAGAAAAATAAGCGGAAAAAGCTCAACAAAGCTACTGCACATGCTAGACCGCAATGTATTCCCACCTTTGAGCATCTTTTCCGACATCTGGATCAAACCGAATTGCTCACATGATGCCCCCAGGTTTTTTTGGAAAAGGCAGGCCGATGTTCGCTGGCTAGTCTGATTTATTCCCGCTCCGCGTGCGGGTGTACCCACAATTGTTCCAGCCCCGCAGGAGCGTGGTTCTAGCGAGATAACGACATCGACATGGCATTGGGGGGGGGGACAGATGATGGAATTACTCCACGATCGACAATGATGCGAGATGGTGGGTGACAGACGGCTTGCTGTCTTGATCTTTGATAGCTATCAACCTGCCGTTCTGACCTCATCAGCAACTGCAGCACAAAGCTCTACTGTGACGCCAGCGCCAGAGAGAACGTGTATCCAGAGTCGCTGGGTATCACTCAAGCGATCGTTCTGGCTCTTGACCTCTGCAAACTTGACTTGCCCATTCACCTTTTTCTTGGATCCGCGCTCAGAGTCTTTCTCCTCTGCTGCCTCGTCTGAGTTAACTTTCCAGAGGAACAGATCTGGTACGCCGCCGCCACGCTGGCCATATTCCTGAGCCATCACCTTGCAGACTGTGGACAACGCTTCTCCGTCAAAGCAATGCGCAATCTCAACCAGATCTTCGATGTCGAAAGTCCAGTCGAGTCCAACAATACAAGTGCGACGCTCGTGGTGTTCGTTATAGACCCTCTGGATGATGCTCGCAGCATCGCCGTTTGAAATCTCATTCAACCGACTGTTGATTTCGCTGATTCTGCTTGGATAGAATGCATCTGTATGGAGATCTAGCGGACAAGTCTGGAACGGGGTCTGGAAGATATTAGGAATATAGATGAACATGATGTCGAAGAAGAGGTAGGCGAATAGCGTCCTCACGATACCGCCTTCGCTGTGGTATCCTTTCCACCCTAAATTGCGGTAGTGTGAGAGACACATGGCTTCCACGCTGCACTCGCCGTCTTCTCTTGGATCGATCCAGATCGTCTTCATCCCCCGCCGGCCGTTGGCACGGGATAATGGTATCTCACGTTCGACACGCACACCTTTCACAGTCACCTCTACCGGTTTCGTGAGCCGCACGTGCGAGAAATCATGCTGTGCACGCTTCACGAAATGGAGCGACTTCTCCAGCTTTGTGATCCGTTTCTGGAGGTCATAGTGATGGATAACATGCACGACATTATCTTGCAGGCCGTCTTCGCAGGTCTGCAGAGCAATGCGTCTCCAATGTTTCTTCTGCGCTTCCTCTTTACGCCCCTCTGCGTCTGTGAGTACGGCCATGTAGTGTTCTTCCAGCAACGCCTTTCTCTGATACCAAGCTCCTCGACGAGAATGGTGGAAAAGGCGTTGCTTCAGCAGCTCACTCAGCAATTCGTGCTCACGTTTGTGCTCTTTTCGGCGAGCAAGCACAGAAGTAGCTTTATGTATGATGCATGTATACACCCATGCTGGCGATAGACGTCGTAAGTAGGCGCCCTCACCACTCTGGTAAATGCCATCTTCTTTCTGCTGTTCTTCGCGGAGAAGAGCTTTCCAACGTGGATATACTTCTTCAAAAGTGTCAATAATCTCTTGGTAGCCCTGTTCCGTGGGCCGGCCATTGAATTCCAAGATGCTGTCGATGCGGTACTGAGTGCGGATTGACGCTTCAAACTCTAATAGAACCGAGCGGGATGGAAATATGCTTGCAGATCGGGATACAATGTACTCGGGAAAGTTACGGCGAGCCATTTTGGCAAGAATGATGGTAGTGAGTGACTTCTCAGTCCACTCGGTAGAACGGTAGAAGACGAGATGCACGCGCTCAAATAGTTTGCGAGAGGTAACCGAAAGGCGAATGCAAGGCCCAGTCTCACTCATTATCTTGCGCGTGTAGTGTGCGTCTCGGTTTGCGTGAGACGATGTATCTTCCGCCAGTTCGCTATCGGGTGTTTCCGATCCCACACCAGATACAGACGACCGTCTCGAGTCCTCCGTATCTGACCGTTTGAATCCTACATATCCCAAACCAACCTGCCTTTGGCTGGTCCGTCTCAATGCCTGCAACAGATCTTTCTTATTCTTTCCGTGAACTTTTGCATCTTTAGCCAGAGCCTTAAGCTCGTCAAGTTTGAGTAGGGATGAAGCCTCCTCGAGTGTGTTGATCTCATTATCCGACTTGTCTGCAAAGGTGAATGTGTTTTCCAATGTGGTTCCCACTGGCGGCTCCAAATCGCCAGGGTATGACTCTAACTCGGCAGAGGACGGTGGAAGGTCGTAGTGATGTTGTAGAATATCTACGGCAGCGTCAAGGTCTGCTATATCACTATGGTAGCCTAGATTCTTTATGCGGTGCCACGCGGAGGTCTTTCGAAGAAATAGTCGAACATATCTAGAGGCGGATGAGCAGAGCCGACTTGATAATTGGTTAAAACAAGCAGAACATACAAGTACTGTGCTTCGTAATTCAAATTCCGCCATATTCGAAAAACCTCCGTCTCAGCTTCGTCAAATAAATGGCTTTCTTCGTCCAAAACCGTATCCAATGCTAGGTTGAAGGCATCCACATATATTGAGCTTTTCCCTCTCACCCAAGTACGATCTTTCAAGCGCTCCTCCGTCTTTTCTTTAATGTCTTCCTGCGATGCCTTGAAGGCTTCGTACTCCTCAATGGCTTCGGTGCCAGTACTAACGGGCGGGAGCGCATTCTCCAAGTCCGTTATACGTTCTGGCTCCTCCGGTTTGATTCCAGTCGGGCCATCTACAGCTTCCGGCTTCGGTTGAACATCATTCAAAGCCTTTTTGGGTGAAGACCGTTTCTTTGATGGAGAAGGGTTGGGCTTTTGCCGCTTCGCTGGAGGCTCGTTCTCATCGGCATGTTGAGTAGATTTGGTGGTGGTGGGTTTCGTGCGTTTTATGAACCTTGTAATCATCTGGTTGTGTGTGGAAGCGCTCTGGGGGTTGAGTGCCATCACGCATCGCTGATGACTGCTTGTTGTGTCGCCCCTCGAGGTAGCTATTACGTCGAACGCCAACGCGCTGTCGCGCTATCACGAGGTCAGACTAGTATCGAATAAGCTTAGCCTCCTTCGTACAAATGTACGTAGCACTTGACCTTGAGCACTTGGAATTTTCCACGGCCTGTTGTTTAACCAATCTGTGAAGGCTTAGTACACTGAAGAAGAAGGAACGTAGGCGTGATCAGAGTCGCGTTCAAGTTGGACCCTCATAACTGTGTCAAGGATCCTCGCAACTCATCAACAGTGACGTAATTGACTCTGCAGCCCACCACATTCCAGATATAAAGTTTAACAAAACTCACCAAACCTTCACTAATGTCCTTATTTTCCCTTCTCTTGCTGTCTATGATTACACAAAAATTTTAAAGTACAAAACTTAGATCTGTAAACATCACTGTGGTGTAGAATGTCAGGAGTAAAAAAACTGTCTCATTGTCTATATAAGACCTACATTTGGACGGTTTTCAATTATTGTATAACGTATGCTGATATTTCATAACATCATATGTACTGCGCATTCTGTTCACCAACATATTTCGCTACTATCATACAATTCATATAGTGCGTCTATATATAGTCCACCCAACTTTGCGAGAGAGCCCTCAGTGTTATGTGTAATGTGTGCTACAAAACACAGCTGCATAATCAGCACATATTGCAGTACCGTAATCTTAAGTCAATTCCCTACATAAAAATATAACTTGATGTAAGTCACAGCTATAAGAGGATATTATCTACAAACTGAGGAAAAACATCTCAAACCTTAACCATTAAAAGACGCCGCCTCTTTGACCTGCTCACCGCGTTCGCTGACGAATCCTCTGATTTTCGCTTTGGTTTTGAAGGCGTTTTTGGAGGAAGTGGCGGTTTACTATCATCCTCTAGAGATCCCTCTTCATTCCTATTGCCTGAAGGTGTATCTGTCTCCGAATCGCAGATTGCATCACGAATACTAACCGTTCTGCGTCTTTTACGCAGTGTTTTCTGGTTAATATCAGCTTGTAGTTGCTTAGATGATGCTGGATCGATGATCTTGGCCGGAATGTCTTCAGCTACATCAACAGATGCGGCTGGGTCTGGATGTGGAGCGGAAACTGCGGCGTCTGCAGTTCTCCTTCCATGCAAGGAAGTCTTGCACTCATCTAGTACTGTCTTTAGCGCTTCAATCTCTTTCTTTAAATCCGCTGGGGCAGCTTCTCTGTCATTGCAATTCTGTTGCAGTCTTTCAAGCTGACCCACTTGCTCCATCTGGAACTCGTATACGCGCGCTTTACCGACTCAATTTCCTTCTGTGTAGCCGCTTTATATGCTGCAATCTCGGCGGCTTGCTTTTCCTTCAGCGACTCAATCTTCTTTGTAGTGTCGAGGTCGCTGGCATCTCTTTCGCTGTCCTTCTGCTTTAGTATACTGACATTCGCCATCACCTTGCTTTGAGCTTGGTGTCTGAGTTCTAACTCCTTCCTAAGCCCCTCAATATGATTGGCGTAGGCAGAATGAGCTCGAGTCATGTTCTGCTCAAAATCCGGTTTCGAGACCATGTGCATCATGTTATCCTGTGTCGTTTTCAGCCTCTGCTCCGCCTCCTTCATTCGCCCGTCGAATTTGAAGTCCACCCGCGACAGTATTATCCGCGTCTTGTTCTCTTCAAAAGCCACTTTTTGTCGCAGCTCTCGAATCTGGCTGTCGAATTTGAAATTGGTTCGAGCATCTCTGTCGTTTGAAATGTGCTCGTTCAACTCTGCTCTGTCTCGCAGCGCTCTCACCTCATCGTTGAGGTTTCGGAGTTTGGCTTCGTTTTGTTTGGTGTGATCGAGAAGCTTTTCGAGCATGCCGTAGACATCAGCCATGAACTTATCATTAAGAGGCATTGTTTCGGCGGAAGATTTGGGTGCGGTGGGAGATTTAGGTGCGGCGGGCATACCGTTTTCGGTGGATGACCCAGACTCGGTAGATGGAATAGGATTTGACTGGTTTTCCATTTTGATCTTGGTTTCTTTTGGAGTTGGTGCTGAAGTTGCGGTGATACTCAAAGAGATTTTGTGACACTAGATAGTGGGGTGATTACACCTGTCTGTGATGAAGAGAGTATAAGTTGGATGAAGGTGAGTTGTAATTTGAGGAGGGTGCGACGACTTTTAAATACCTTGGTCCCTACATAACTGATTTTATGTCTTCAAATTTTGCTTTAGGCAGCACCAAGTCACGTTCCTGCTAGATGTTGAGATATGACGCATTATTTGCTTTTAACTGCAAGAAGAAAAAAAGACAGAGGAAAACAGCATTATACAACATCACCTCCCACGCTAACAGATCCTTCCGTCACACAACGATGTTCCTCATCGCCAAACTCCCAAATCCTTCGCACAATTAGGTACACACTCAACATAAGCCCATGTATCTCGCATTCGCCCATGCCAATACTGTGGATTTTTGTATGTTCGTCCTTTGTCGTTGTAAGCAATGCTACATACATATAAATTATCCTCGCAATCTTCCTTATGAGCACAGCCAGGACAAAAAGGACAAACGACAACGACAACGCCAATTTCCATCAACATAACGCCATAAAACGTGATCCTGACACCATTTTCCCTCCAGGCCAATCTGCACATTGTCCATGTCGCCAAACATGGGGAGGGTAGGCTCCCATGGCCCCGCGGAAAAAGCACTATTTTTTCAAATGACAACATCTCACGCAATAAAAGTCTCCGAAAACGAAAAGAGAAAAATTGACAAGGCATAGGTGGAAACGAGAGAGAAACAATACAAGAATAGGTTAGGAATGTGGGCGATGTGTATGTAATGATATAGTCTGCTATTCTTTCGTTTCTCTCACCCCTAACCTTCTATACTTCTTTTCCTTGTTTCCTTTCCCGACGAACAGAACAAAAGATCTGTGCATCTTTCTTTTACAGGGCGATCCCACCCATCTGCTTCCTCTTACTCTAGAACCAGGCCATCTTGCGTTAGCTGCAATTCTACTGCTACTCTTTGTCCCATCCCGAGGCTTAATTCCATATTGGTATCATTCAAAGGACAAGATAAAAAACGAAACAACCATAACATCCGTCTAATAAACAAGAAGCGTTGTGGAAAAGAAGCCGGCATACCCAATAAGCAGAAAGACGGAAACAAAACAAAAACTCCCAATTATTGCCAAAGCAATATCGACGGCGGAAAGCCTGTAATCCAAAATGCTCAAGTAAACGCCCGAACACACCAATATGCTCAAATACGGGGATCATATCATGTCGTTTCGTAAGCGATTCATTCGCCGACGACGCTTCCTTCAGCGGTATGGTTGCCGCTGCCGGGTCTGCTATCGTACATCTGCTCTCGTTCGCTGTCATGACTCGACATGCGACCCAGGTCTCCATCAAAGTCCCGCATTGAAATGTCGCGAGGACTGCTGTGGCCTGAGCCGTAGTTTTGCTGGCTTTGGCCCGGGGGACCCATGGAGCTGTATTGGCGCGGGGCGGGAGGAACTCCCGTTCGACTTATCTGCTGCGCCAGACTGGGCTTTTCGGCGAGATTGTTTAGCATCGCGCGCGAAGCATCGAGCATGGTGACGGCGTAATCGAGGAAGTCTGCTCGCTTTGAGGATACAGACAACGTCCATCGGTACTCACGCAGGCGGGTCTTGTAGAATTCGGCTTCCTCCTGGGCCGGTGCGGTAGCCCAAAGCAGCGAGCCAAAGGTTCCAATCAACGTGAAGTTGATCTTGGAGGCAAAGTACCAGAACGACTGGAGATGCTCGGGCTTGAGACGGTTGACAAAGTCCATGGCCGAGATGAGTCGCGTTTTGGCGGCGTTGCGGCACATGAAGAAGCCATAAGGATCATAGGTGGGATCGTCGAGGGACTGAACAATACGCCGGTGGAGCGTGATCTCGGTTGCGAAGTATGCAAGGTGCAAGTACCCTTTAATCGTCAGCACATGTGGATTCCCATTTCAGCAACGACAGCATACCTAAGGAAGAGAGCTTGCTCTTGGTGGGTGCATTCATCTTGACCGAGGCCGGTAACCGCTCGTGCCATTGCCGCAGCTTGATCTGCACGGGTTTGGCTCGCTGGATAATCAGATCCGTCGACTTCTTGCCGGCGTTGGCGAAGTCTTGGATGGCGACCTGCGTGTAAAACGTGTCCATGACTTCAGCCATGATCTGAGTCAACGCAATCATCTGCGCAAACAAAACCTGACCCCGCTCCGACTCTTCCAGCTCTTCCTCGCCCTCTTCTTTCCGCATTTCAAATCCATCAGCCTCTTCGTTGAAATCTTCGTCGCCAATCGGTTTTACTGCCCAATTGGGACCAAAAATATGCGAAGGCCTTCCGTGGATCAGCGAACTCCACTTGTCCTGCATGTAGAGCGCCCATGCGATGCGTTTCCTCAGGCCACGCTCCCAGGATGGAATCGACCACCCCGAACAGTCGAGGTGCAGACCCAATTCCTGTCCGATAGCCACCAGCTGGGTCGTCAAACTCCACGAGTCGGTCTTTGGCCGTTGCAGCAACAACAATCCTGCCTGGACAGTCGAAAGCTTGGGGCGTTCCATGGATCGTGTGAGCGAACGCATGGCAATGGCTTCCAATTGAGACACATCGGGCTTGGGGTGCTGAGCCAGGCGTGAATCCATCGACCACCAGTTCAAGGCAAGAATGTACATGCCGGCCATGAGCGCGGGTGAGAAGGTGCGGTCACCATTGCTATACCGAGCGACGAAGAGCTGTTTCTGGATGATGGGAAAACTAGGATGCACGACACGGAAGTAGAGTTCGAGAAGGGCACGACCATGGGGGTGCACAGCCCGCTCGACGTGGTTCAGAGTCTCCGCCTCGTCGGCATAATCTTGAGTGTGTTCATCAGGAAGCATGATGAAACACTCATGATCATTCACTCGACGAAGGGTGCCCAGGTCAAAGGTCGACTCGTTGCGGGTATCAAACGGAGACAGACCAATGAGTAGGGAATCAAAAGGAGAACTCAAGCCAATATATCTACTATGTTGGCGCTGCTGTAAACCCAATGTCTCTCCCAAGTAAGGGATGTGGATGTTGGCCAATGGGGGTTGAGCTGGAGGCGGACTAGGGGCGGTAGCAGTTATCGTAGGCGTCGGCAGCGCTAACGGAGGCGGCTCAGCATCGACAGTCCTACTAGCTTGGTCAATGAATGATAAGATAAGACCGGAAATACACAGATTGAATCAGAGCAACTCCGAGTTTATCAACTGTCTCTTTTGAGTTCCGCCAGATGCAGTCTAGCGGACCGGTGCAAGCGAGAGCCCTACGACGAAAGCAAGATAGAACGAAATGGTTAATCAAACGTACCTCTTCTTCTGGGGGTTGGGCGAGTCCTTTTTGCCGTCCCCGACAACTTTGCGTTTCCGCGGCAAGGGACTTTGCACAAAGGTGCACTCTTGCTTATGGAACTCGCACAGCACACAAAGTGCAGCACCCTCGTTGATGACACAGCGACTCTTCCTCCTCCGGCAGGCGTCACAGGGCCTCTCTCTGCGTGTGCGGGCGTTGGTGGCAGACGGTGCACCAGGCTTGCCAGAGACCACGCCGCTGTCTCGTGCAGTAGGCGAAGGCTTTGCCTGCTGCTGGTGTTGGTGCTGGTGTGCGTGCTGCGATTGCGGTTGCTGCTTCTTGGGCCTGGCAGCGGCAATGGGCACGGGTGTCGGGCGCGGTATAGCAGGTTGTATGGCCACGGCGGTCGACATGTCGATGTGTTGGGGGATTGGACGACTGATATGTGGATTGCAGATAAGGATGCGGAGGGACTGATAGTCGAGATGCAGACGTCACACGACGTGGATATGAGCGAGGCTCCGGATTGGGGGAGGTGGGTGCTTATCGCGTGGGAGCTATCGCTCGGACGGAGAGAAGAGAATGGTAGAGTCGAAGGGAGAGGAACAAGTTGTTGTGTGTTTGGTCGTGTGTTTGTGGTGCTGTTTGGGTATCAAGGGCCTAAATTGCCCGTGATGGCGGCGAGGAGGATGAGGTGGGCTGTGGTGCGTGCCGTCATTGAAGGTTTGGCGGAGACACAGCAGCGGATCCTGACTGACAGACAGACAAGCAGACGGCGGGGAGGGAGAAACTGGAGAAGAGAGGCCTTGGGTTCGGAGAAGCAATGCTGGGTTGGCTGGCTGGTGCAAAAGATGGGATGGAAAGATAGCGATGCAGGGCGGCGATCTAGGACCCTGGGACTGGCTGGCTGGGGGTGTGGGGCGACCAGGGCGGAGAGCAGGGAAACGCTTGGGGGAGATGATTGAATAGAGTCAAGAAGAAGAGGATTGGGATGGAGAAGGAGCACACAGGCGCACACACGAGGACGAGCACAGGCGATGCTACGATCAAGGCATGGCCAGCGGGCGGAGGAGCAGAGCAATGGGCGCGAGAGTGAATGACTGCGACTGCGACCATGCACAGTCTTTTTGAGGGTTTGGATCATGGCGCGACATGTGCCTGGCGTTGCGGTTTGTCATGGAAAGGTGCTGCCCGTGGTGCCTTCCCTGTCCGTCAGCCCGAAGCGGCTAGGGCGCTGCTTCCCATCCACCGTCCGCTACTGCGCGATAAGGCAGGCGCTGGGCGGCCAATCAGCGGCCGGCCGTCCCCCACCGATTCCAGCGTGCGCGTAAAAACATTACAAAGGCTGCTATCGCTATCTTGACGCTGCACATGCTTCCACCAAGCGCTGAATTGCTGTTAGGTACGAGTTTCACGACCGAAGCCATGGCGCTGCACCTCGCGCCCTCTTTCACCCCAATTCTCTGCCCCCGTAGTCCCTACCAACGTCATGATGGCTCGCAAAAAGCCTGCTATTGAATTCATTCAACGGTACATTACGTTTCCGAATACATCAGCTACCTGCCCACCTGCTTAGTCTGCAAATTATCTAGGTAGGAGACCTTGGATACGCCCATGTACCTAACCGTAGCTACTTACCAAGTCGGTACGGCACGGTGCAGTCATCCATGGACAAATCCATCGCCGTTGCAACACCACACGTGCACACTAATCGCCAAGTCACGCGACCACTGCCATTGATCAATTCAAGTGCTGATCGCTCAAATCGCCATCTTGATGCCAGCCTCATCCACATCAGCCATGCATATCCACACAAATTGTTCCCACCCGCCAAGCATCCGTCCTACTTATCCACCACGCTCCCTCCCCACAGTCTGCGCACGCAATCTTATCATCCGCTCGGCTCAATCCATCCATCAATCAACTAAAAACAACCCGACCAAAATTCCGGTCCGCCCAGATTCCCCGTTGCCCGAAGATGTTCCATAGGGGTAAACAATTCCCAGATCGACATGCCCAACTAAAATACTTGCACCATCTCGTCTTTGATCTAGTCTGATCGGCAATGACGTAGCCGTCTAGCTCCTAGCCCTGTCACCCGGAGAGTTTGCCCAATTATGTAATTCTACCTTTTTTTTTTCCCGCATCCTCTCGTCTCGAGAATGGAATTAGGCGAAAACAAAAACGAAAGAAATGGCAGAAATTCTTCCGATAGACGACGCGCTTGCCTCGCTTCGCCACGTTGTCTCTCCCTCTCTTATACACGTACACTACTTAACAAACTCACGCCGGTTCAACTCTCCACCGACACTTGCAACTCCCCGATAGGATATCCATCCCGAGGATGAGAATTGGAGCCGGTTCGGAGAATACACCGCTTTTTTTTCCTTCTTCTCTGTCCTCTTGTTCCCACCGCCTTTCTTTGTCTCAAGTCACCGCCTTCCTCAGCTTCACTTTTTTCCTGCATGCCTACATTTCCTAGATCAGTTCGACTTCCAGAACTAGCGTAGCGTTTGCCATCCAGCACCCACCTAGTGTGCATATCATACTTGCATAGGTAGGCAAAGTGCCTTATTCAGCTATACCAGCTAAACTGCGTTGTAAAAAAAAAAGAAGACAATGACGAGAGAGAAACTACAAGTGGCTAACCTAGCTATTACATCGATCTTACAAGTACATAGGTACACAACTTGATTACTTAGTTCCGTTACGCCTGGTAACGCTGTATGCATGCATGTCTGTCTGTCTGTCTATCTCTACTCGAGAAACCAATTTTTCTCTCTTCTTCGTCAAATATCAAACTTTGGCTTCTCTTGTACCATCTAGATATATGTGCAATTCATGAATAATCCATTCACTCACTCATCCATTCAATTCGTTTATCCATAAATCATCACGACCTAGACCTTTTACTCGGTCCGAAGAGGAGAAGATGCGCTACGAGGGTGCCGAAAGCTGGGGAACTAGACTGATGGACTGATGGGCTGACTTGATCGGACGGAACGATTGGGGGTGGGGGGTTGGAGTTTGCATGTGATTGGGATATATACATATCTATAGAGAGAAAGAGTAGTACATAGGAGTATAGAAAAAGAGAGGGAGAGAGGGAGTTGTTGAAGACTTAATGTCAGACATGACGAAAAATTATGAACAACGCTCTTCCTGGTACCAAAGAGGAAAAAAAAAGGAGACGAAAAAGAACAAAAAGAAAAGGGAGAGCGAATGTTACAGAATACCTAACGTTACACCCCCCTTCACCTTCGCACCAACCTCTCCCTGCAGCTCACCCCCATTCCACAACAGCAAACAACAGCAGCAACACTAATCAATGCAAATAATAAACATCAACCCCATTCATCATCCTCACCGGCGCCCCAGCAACCAAACTAGTCCGCAACACCAACCCGCCAAACACCCCACCGCCAACTTTGCGAAACGCCTTGTGCGATTTCTTACCCAACCTCGTATCCCCTTCCAACCGCACAAACACGCGGTTGCGAGCCGACGCATCGAGTTTCTTGCGGTAGAAGCGCGGGACCTCGTGGGCGGCATCTGGGATGCTTTCGTGCGGCTGCGGAGGTGGCGGGAGAGCGGGACTTGCGGCGTCGAGGGGTGTGGATCGGGGGTATTGGTGTTGGAGGGAGGAAGGGAGGGGGCATGAGCGTGGGGAGGAGGGGCGGTAGGGACGGGGGACGTCGATGCTTGCGGTGCGGGAGAAGATTGATGTGGTTGATGTGCGTGGTTCGGGGTCGTCGGGGTCGCGGATCGTTGCTATCGAAGTTTTGCGGAGTTTGCGGGGTGGCGACGAGTTTGGGGTTTCGGAGGAGAGGTCCATGAAGTTGAGTTTAGGGGCGGGGGCTTCCATCGACTGTTTTGCTTTTTTGCGGTTGCTGGACTTGGGGGTATTGGTTGTGTCGTCTGTGTAGTCAGGGCTTGTGAAGGCTCGGCGAAGGGTGGCTTTTGTTGGGTTGACGGGGTAAAAGACTGTCGGGAAGGACTTTTTGCAGGTTTTGACAAGGAGAGTCCAGCCGGCGAAGAGCGTGCCGTCGTTGTTGGTTCGGTGCGAGTCTTGTAGGTGTTGCCGGAAGCGCTGTCCTGAGAAGTAGAGTCGTTGGCTGCAGTTTCGGAAGTTGTGCTTTGCAATGTGCTCTTTGAGCACTGCTCCTTTGACCCTTCCATTACCCCTTACAAGCGATTCATTGCAATAGCAGCACACAGCCTCGAGGTCTTCTTGTACACCGGCTGGGTAGATGGTGTGCTGCATGCCTGGGAGGAAGCTGCACGACCACATGGTACATACTGGGTGGAGTTTCTGCGCTGTTGCAAGGCTATCGTAGACACGTTCACAATAGCCGCATTTGTGGGGTAGCTCTGGGCTCGCATAGTTGCCATCATGACCCGTTATCTCCTGATTGATCCGTCCTGTCCACCACGACATCATGTCGAGGCCCGCTGTGAAGTGAGTAGCCACATGCTCTGTCCGTTCCCGGTACGTCGGAAAGACCTGCCCGCAGAAGCCACAGTGTAGTGCTTGATGGCCGAACTTCAATGGCAATGGGTGCCGCCATGCTTCCAGTAATTCCGACAGGCGCAGAGGCTTCTGGTCGGGACTGACCTTGTGCTCCTGGTTGATGTGCTGTAGGAATGCGTCTTGCTGCGCAAATGTCCGTTCCGAAAGTGGTTTTGATTGGCACGCCAAATAGTTGTGGTCGGCGAGATGTGAAGGGCTTGGATCCTTTTTGGCGCAGAATGGGCACCGCTCGGGAAAGTCTCCTGTACGTGGACAGCATATCCAAAGCTCTGCCGGCATATGGACGGACTGCTCATGCTTCATCCAATCCGTTAGGCTTGGAAAACGCTTCTGGCAAAAAGTACAGTAGAATCGGGGACGTTTCTTAGGTTTGCGGGTAGGTGACGTTGATGTTTTCTGTTGATGCCCGTTGGCTCGACGAGCTTTACTCTCCAAAGTATCGCTCGACTTGGTCTTCCGTAGAGTCGAGTGTTGACTTCCTTCTTGCAGCCAGCTCGTGTTCGGCATTCGTGATATCTCATCAGTTGGACTTTCCATCAGTATACTCGCCGTGCTTGACTTTGGTCGTCTGATACTTTGAGCATCGTCCATTTCGCCCCCTAGGACCCACGCAAGCTTTGGTCTTTGCACCATTTTGGCGTAAGCCATCTCATCAGTGACCCTCGGTTCGTCGTTCTTTGTCTCGCGATTCTGTAGTTGATCCTGTAGTGCCTTTGCTCGTTTCTGAATATGGACTATCTCAACACCCGCCTTCACCTTGTAGTCAGTTTGTCGTTGATGGGGCGCATACAATGGCGTCACTCCGTCATTTTGTGGGGCCCAGCTTTTTTCCGTGTCCACAGTCCGGGCTGTCGTTGGTCGTTCTGGTGACCCAGTGGCGGCTCTTCCAAGGTTCAGTCCAAAGATCCTGGGGACTTGCGGAAGATCTGGTTGAGTCATACTTCGCCGATGATGGTTGGCCCTAGAAACAGCGCTGTATGATGTGCCGGTCGACTCGGGCGCACTGCCAGAAGTGTAGCATGTGCGTTGACCTTCCGAGAGAGCGTCATACGAGCTATCGCGAGAGTGACCCTTGCGTCTTTTTCCGGGAGCGTGTGACATATGTTCTTTTGGACCATGCTTCTTCAAAGCTCTATCTATTGCGGGAGCCGAAGCCGGCTCGTCGTCTAGCGGAGCACTCAAGTATCGTTCAATAGACATGCGGCTGGAAGTATCTGATGCCGCAATCCTAGCAGCGGCGTCGACTCGAAGGGCGATGACAGGCAAGGGTCTTGGTGGTCTAGTGTCATCCACTTCTACAGAGTCATGCCTCTGCAATGGCAGAATTCCCTCTATACGGTCTTTGGTTTAGTACACGTATCGCAACGAGCTTCTCAGTCTACATACCGGAGATTGATTTTCGGATGCTATGGGTGTGAAGCCAAGATTTCATCTTGGTGTGCAGCGATTGAGCAGTTTATAAATAAAAAAGACGGGAGGAAAACAACGGAAGAGAGAGAGAGAGAATGAGAGCCAGTCAACAAAAATCCAGAACCTGGATCTGGGCTGAATACAGGGACAGCGCCTCGTATTTACATCTTTATGTGGCCTCAACGTTTCCTAGGGCAACTGATGCTGCACCTTTAGCCTGCTACAGAAAGGAGCAACAGTCTCGGTACCAGAAACAGCGATTATGATGGCATATACTATGCAGTAAGCACATGCTTCAGTGTCTTGAATATTGTGTACCGTAGTATATTGGTGCGCACGGCTCGTCGAGTGCCTGAAACTCCCCATGCCTGGCTCGTGGTGTGCAAGTATGGGGAAGCTTATGCAGGGGTCTTCTAGTAAGACGTTGTGTATGCGGGAGGGAACAGCCGGGACGATATCAAGCCAGAAGGGCGTGGCGGCGATAGTTCCCATTGCTCTGTGCAAACGACTGCCGAATATCAACTTAAGGGCATCGAATTTCTTTTAAGAATATGGTTTCTGAAAGAAACTTAGTCGATGCTTCTATCGTTAGTTCCGATATGATCGTTGTTTCGAGTTGACAGTAGACAGACATTGTGTTGATAGTATAGATGTACCTGCGCCACCCCAAGCATACGTTGAGGGTTCGCTTGGTACGCGATTAAATGACAATGACGACGACGATAAAGGGCTCGATTGGTCTGGAAAAACTCGTTCGCGCACTCCGAGAGGTTGGAAAAGCGCTCGTCTGTTGGGATTCGTCAACCACGTTCTGGGTTGAAGGACGGATGTAGCCTTTCCTTCCATCCAATGTCGTGCATGAATTGCTTCCATCTAGCAAGGATATATACGAGGTCTGGTAGGCAATTTATCCAGATGACACCCGTGACAGCTGGCTATTGATGCAAGGAAGCTGAAGCGAACCAGGCGAGTTCGGATATTTTGCGGGGAGCGATACGCTAGCTGGATGAGGGAAGGGAATGTGTCGCACAGCCATGTCTTGGACGATCATGCGATGGATGTTCTAGAAGACTGAATTCGTTCCGAAACCGACAAATTGTACAAGGGGCATGATGTGGGCGCGATGCGCGTGGATTTAGGAGGCCTGTTCAAATCGTAGTGCAGGATAACGGGAGCCTATACCTTGTTAATGGGACCGGCTGCATTCCAGTCAGAGCCTCATTGCCCTTTATACAGTCGTAGAGTCACGTAGCGAGCCGACCGGGATGTGAGTTGATAATATTCATTTGTTGTCGCTCAACGCCTTTGCCATCTTTCCCCTGTAGTCCGTATTTAGCTTATGTACACTACCGGGCGTATTGTCGCCCATCCAATGCAGTCCGTGAAAGCTCCAAAATACGTCATATAATCCATTCAAGTCATGTCGTTCTGCCGTGATCGTGCCGTCGTCACATAGCTTAACCCGTATTCGCTCTAAATTAGACAAAGGCGAGAGAAGCACTGGAAAATCGAATTGTGTGCTGAGGACTGTCGTCTCGATAATCGCACACTCGATGTGCCCCGGGTGGGTGTTGCCTCGACGAGAGGGAAGTGTGAGGTTGGTCTCTCTCTCAATGCATGGGTGGCTGGTAGTTGATCGGTCGCCTGGGTCTGGTCAGCAAGCTTCTGCGAACAACATCCAACGACTACCTACTTGAAGAGCAAAATATGCGGTTCGGGCTCATGCACCTCGTAGTGCTCCCATCCAAGACTCTGTGTACCGTCAGCTACGCCCAATGATGTTTCACCGACATAAAGATCCTACCTGAGTGATGCCAAGAGCTCTCCACTCATCCTCCCAAAGCAACTTCAAGGTGCCTCGCTGTCCATCGAAATATTCCTTTGGTATTAGCTTGAGCATCTGCTTCGGCAGCTGGACATGGCGGTATTCGTACTCGTCGTCTGAGTACCTAATGGTTGGTCAGAAAAATGACGATCGCGTTTGCTCACATGCCAATCAGCATACCTTGCCGAGTAGTGAATGTCGACGATGAGGTGTTCCAGTTTTTCCCGTTCCATGTCCGACAGAGCGCGCGGCTTCTTGTTTCGACGCGTCATATCGATGTCCATGTCGGCGGCAGTCATGTTGTACGTCATGGGCGCTGGTTGTTGTGTTCGAGAAAGGTTGAGGAAGCTCGCGTGTTTGGAGCAGCGGGGTGGGCGCAAAGGAACGGTGGGACGGCGGGGCACAGCCTTATAGGCGGGAGTGTGGTGGACACAAACGCAGGACACGGGCGCAGCGGGTTTGAGGCGAGTTGAAGAGTGAGGCTAAATATGCTCCTGCGATTGTTTGTAGGTTTGCCAACTGGGTAACGGCGACAACGGGTGGACAACGGCTCGTATTGGTACACCAACAAATGTTGTTGTTTACGCAGATCACGGGTCCCGGGTGCCGAGTTTCTCCGGCGCTTGCCAGGCTCAAGGTATTTTAAAAGTGGGACAGTAGGCTTGAGCACGACCACCTCTTTCACCAGCTATCCGAATTATTCGCTCTTGAATACAAATATTCTATCCAGATGCATGATCTAAATGTGTAGCTGCGTAAACGTTTCGCCTGTAAAATACCTGGTGTCCCTGTGTTCTATTTTTTTTTTTAGATATTTCAAGTATGCATGGCAATTTCACATGTCATCTCTTCATAGCTCACCACCTACATATGTATTCGCACATCTGCATTATGCTAAGTTTTTGTCCGTACTGTTGATTGTCTAACGCTTCATACCGTATTTCTAGGATATTTGGATCGGGCGTTCTCAATAACACATGATCATAGCAAGCTCAGGCCTATTGAGAAGAAAACATAGCATCACGGATATATCAGAGGAAGACATTCAATTGAGAGCATGATTTTCATTTCCATTTCCGTGAGGCATAATGAGACACGAAGGGTATAACCAGAATCCTATGGGCGCCAGTTCCATTGAGTTCCGAGAACTCCTTCGGAAGATGCATAATCCCAGCGCAGCCAGGTGCAGTTCTTATTTCTCATTTCCCGTTTTCGTCCATTCAGTCAGTTATACAGCATTAAAACACAAAAAGGTAAGGAAGGAGAGAAAGAAGAAGATAGAGAACACATAGACAGGAAGAGCTGGAATAAGCACAACCTCATCCATCCTGACAACCCAGCTTGCAGTCCGATTGCAGGACCTTGGAATTGGTCATCAGCCCAAGCCCAGCAAGATGCCACCAGCACCCAACATGCCCATGAACACGAAGTCGGCGAGGACCTTCCCAGCACTACCCGTGAACTCGGGCGAACTGGAAGAGAATGTCGCGGATGGTGCAGAAGACGATCCGCTCAGAGGACCAGTAGGGGCCACAGTGACTGACAGGTTGGTGTAAGGAGGAAGGGAAGGCAGGATAGAAGGCAGGATAGAAGGCAGGATAGAAGGTTGAATGGTGGAATCCGATACCTGAGATGGCAGAAGAGAGGGTGGGACGGTAGGTACCGACACAGCCGCAGAACCCGTAGATGTGACGGAGCCAGGCGCACTTGAAGAAGAAGCCGCACCCGGAGCAGTGGCAGTGAGCGTGAGGGTCAAGGTCGTAGTAGAAGTGGTAGTCGTGCAGACGGTGGTGTCGGGGCTGTCGGTGCCACTTGCTGAGACGGCCGTCTTGGTCAACGTCCTGGTGATTGTTGTGGTAGAGGTGCAATCGTCAGCCGACGAAGAATAGCTCGTGCCAGCCGCCTGAACGTCGCCCTCCGTCTTGGGGTAAAGGATTGGCAGCAGGCTCTTGACATCGGCGGGCAGCTTTCGATACCATTCAGGTGGGGTCTCGCCAGGCGCAAGAGTAGGGACAGGAAGGGCAGAGGAAGGAATTGCAGTCGCAAGTACGTTAAGGACCGACGCACGCGTAGGGTCTGCAGCAGGATCAACCGCGCGACCTTCAAGAGGCTTGGCCATGACGGAGCCCCAGAAGAAGACGAGAATGGTTAAGAACATGGTGAGCTCCATTGGGGTAGTGAGTAGTAGAGTAAAGAGTGACTTTTGGTAAGAGGAGAAGCAACAGCAGAGAGCGTGTTGTAGGATATTTGGTTAAAGAGAGTGTGTGCAGCAAGCCGCGCAAAAGACTGTCAGATAAGGAGCGAGCGTAAAGAGGGTGAGGATGGAGGTGTGTTGTGGGGTAAAGAGGAGAGGGAGGAGGAGGGAGCGGGAGCAGCAGTTTAATTATCACGACACTAATTTCCAAACAAACACCCAATCTACGCAGAAAACAGCCAGCCGCCTGACCAGCACGCTCACGTTGCAAGAAATCGTGCGTCACGGCCAGTTTGTCGCCGGCTGGCATCACTTTTCAAGAGACAGCACGCATGCAATGCCGTTTGCCTGATGCTGTTCCGCGCCAATACGCTTCCTATTGTACGACTGCACAAGAGCTCGCTCACCTCTTGATAGGCCTTGGTCACGGACTAGTGAAATTTGGAACCATACATATGTACTTGGACCATGTTCGTCGGCCAGTGTTGTCTCCAGACTAAGAACTCATTGCTACTTTCGTGTCACTATAATTCCCCCTCGTCTCCAATGCAAAGCCCCCAAACGGGACCAAGCTAACTGAGAAAGCGTAAATGCAAGGTACAAATGCAACACAAACACGGCCAAAGAAAAGACGTTGTCGTCACCGCAGTCGCAACAATACATGCTTCGACGGTAGAACGAACAAGAAATCCAATAGCGCCTAACTCTCTCGGGAGAGATTCTTGCGTCTTCTGACGAGCTATTGTCTACGCATTGACGACAACCAGGCGTGGCTGAATACGGTTATATACCGCAAAAATCAATAGCAAGGAGATATTGAGGGATAAATGATCATCATGCGCGCATGTCTACAGCTAGTCAAAAGCTGAAACATTATCGCTACGATATAAGTTAAAACACTGAGAACGAGCGGTGGTTAAACTTGCCCAAACGCTTTTAACCACCTCACTTCACACACCGCTCCTCCCCCTCCCCCCTTCTCCCCTCCATGATCTGCAAAGGAAAACAGAAATTAAGAAGACGGAAGAGAAAAGATAGCGGATTCGGAGAATAACATGTACCACGTGTTGCGGCGGTAAAGCGCCCCCCCCTCCCCTTCCCAAACCCATCCCGTGTAACACGCACAATACGCCACGTTACTTTCTTCCCCATGTCCTCTTCACATGTATCCGTATACAAACGTTGCATTTTGAGACCCGTGCACGAAAGCATTCCAGGGACTGGTGCTCTTTTCGTTCAGCCGCATCTGCTCCCTCATCCCCGACCTCATGTTACTATGTATCTCCTGCAATGGCCCGCGCGCGCGTGCCGAGTGAGACAATCGGGGAACCGAGGGGTTTTTGAATTTTCAGGGGGGTTGGGTAAGATTGTGTATGTGTGTGATGTAACGTGGTGAACTTGGTGTTTGTCTTCGGCATTTCTGGAGTTGCAATATTCGAAGACGTTGGAATCATTTTCCAAGTGGGAATCCACTATCACCAGCCCTCGAGTATAAGAGGAAAAAAAAGGGGGAGCAAGAGAACAGAGGAGTCAAAGTGCACATGTTTTGGTAACATCGAGGGACTCACAATATCGCCCCTGTTCCCCTTACCCAAAACAACCCCAATATATACACACATATACAATCAAGAAAGAACCGTTCCCGACCCCCAAGTTTTGACTGAATCAGCCCTCCAACCACTCATAAGCCATGGTGACCTTAACAGCTTCATCCTTATCCTTACGACGAACGACGAACTTCCTGGTGAACCACCTCTCGCCCTTCTTCTCCTTGGGCTCAGCGAACCCCCAGATCTGCCACGCTGTCCACTTCCCCTTTTCGTTGTCGACGAAGCTCTCGACTACTTCGCCGTCTAGGGTCTCGGGAAGCCAACCTTCGGATAGGAATTTGGCATCGGCCTGGATGAGGAATCAACACATGATTCAGAGATAGCAGGGACATAAGCTGGGGATGACCACAACTCGGATGATCAGGGCATGGAGGACAGGAGAAAATTATGGGAAAAGTCTCAGAGTACTAACCTCCTCCGGCGTCTTCCCAGCACTTTCCTCCGCAATCTTCTTAAACGTCGTAAACCGACTCTTCGCCTGCATCTCGCCAAACAGCCAGTCCGAATGCGCGCGATACGTCCAATCAAGTGTGCGGTTCTCCGTGGTGCCCTTGATCCCACCCGTCGCCGTCTGCTCAACTGTGATCAGCGGTACCGCCGGCCCCGAGGGGTTCTCCTCAGAAGGACCTTCTCCTACATCATCCCCGAAAGTTAGTGAATGTAGGTTACGTAAAGAACAGTTCACGGAGTGTCGTGTGAGGAAGAGTAAGGGGAGACGGGGAGTGTGTACGCTGAGTTATGTGTTGTGTTACTGTCGCGAGGCCTACGGCTTTACGCGTCATCCATCCTATGCCTTGGAGGGCCAGGACGGCTTCTGGGCTGTCCGAAAGGGTTTTGTTCTGTATCGAGTCAGTCAACAATCGCATGCACATGTATACGAGCTTCAAAAGATTGTCGGATGAGGTGTAGCGGGGCCAAAACTGACCATGAGCCATTTTCCGTTGAGGTCTTTCAAGGATTTGTTCGCTGGAGCTGCCATATTGACTTATGGGAGCCGTGAATGCACTTCTAGATCCAAAATGGTAGGTGGAGGTGTGAATTGAGACTGGATGCTAGTGCGGGGTAAGGGATAAACCGTCCTTAATCCTCGAGAACAATCGCTAGAGTATGAAGTCGTGAAGAAGGGGATACAGAGGTTAAATAGAGTCCAGCAATGCCATACAAACCCCACTGCTCGCGTTACTTCACATGGGCGTCCATCTGTTCCAACCCTAACTAAGAATCGTGCCTAGGCAATACCCATTTTGGGGTATACTATATGACGCTTTCGCGGGGATCCCTGTCTGCTGCTTGGCTCCGCTTGGTATTGGCCGAGGAGCACGCGTATACGGACGCTGGCAATGTGACGGAGAAGGATCGTGGACTGATCGCTAGAACCAAAGACCTGTAGTAGATCGTACATTCGAACCCACTACCCCTGACAAAGTACCCCACTGATGCGCAATCCCAAATCCAACACCGCCAAGTGCTCGTCACCACCATCCACCAGCCTCTTGTCCGTCTCACTAAACAGCCCTGTTATCTTCATCTTCTGCAAATCGCCGACACGTTCGTCAAACATGACATGTTCATACAGCTGGCTGATTGTTTGCGCTGAACTCCAGCCCTCGGCTACCATATCCTCCACGACTTTCGCGATCTTGTTATACTGTATAGATTTGGTAGTGGACGGGTAGATAGCAGATGTGAGTGTGTCGAGAGTAGGTGTCGGTATCACGCCAGCAATCTCGGCGATTTGCGTCGATGTCACTGTTGTGCCCGAGGTTGAGGGAGAATCCACATCCATCTCGTCTTCGTCGTCTTCGACAATCTTACGTTTTCGGCTCTTGCCCGCTCCGACAAGCCGAGCTGCAGATTGCAGGAACGTGATCGCTTTTCTCAAGTCGCCCTCTGCGACTCTCACAAGCTCCTCACTAACGCCCTTGTCCATACTCACGCCTTCTAAGCGGGCAATGTCTTCTACCCTCTTCACCGCGTTCCCTTGATCCAAGCTCTTGAATCTGAATTTACTGCATCTACTCGCAAGGGGATCGATAATCCGTGTCACGTAATTGCACACCAAACAGAATCGCGTCATCTTCGAGTACGTCTCCATTGTGCGGCGTAGCGCGGACTGCGCATCTTGTGTCATGCTATCTGCTTCATCAAGCACGATGATCTTGAAAGGCGGGCATGGATAGTGATCGCGGTAGCTGACCCGCTTTACGCCTCCCTCTACATCTGGGTCTTCTACTGAGATTTTGTGTGTGGGGGCAGATGAGAGCTGTTGGCGGGCGAAATCTTTGACTTTGGCTCGTACGATAGATATACCTCGTTCGTCAGAGGCGTTGAGTTCGAGCACGCGGGTTTTCACGAGCTCGGGACCATACAGCTGCTTTGCGAGAGCTAGGATCGTTGATGTTTTGCCAGTTCCTGGAGGGCCGTAGAAAAGCATGTGCGGGAGATTCGTGGATTGAAGCGTACGGGAGAGGATTTGTATAGTGTTATCTTGCGCTGTGACCTCGGAGAGAGTTTTCGGACGACTAAAGTTTTGTCAGAGACGAGTGATTCGGTTTGGTCTGAATCGTTCGGAGGGGCTCACTATTTCTCAACCCATGGCTGTAGCCGGTCCGGCTCTTGTTTCGCGGGACCCTTTGATGAGCTTGCTTGCGCAGAGGCGGCCGCAGCTTGCCGTGCTTTAAGGTTGAAGAAGTCGGACATGATGCTGTGGTGTAAATGTGTTGTGAGGGTTTGTAGTTATGATGACGCGGAAAAGTTAAAGTGCAACGCGCGACGCGAGGACAGGCAAGCGCGCGTTCACACGTTGACGCTCGAGCCTTCCGCGGCAATGCCTTAGAGAGGTCCACTAGATACTATCTGATGATGAACAAAGAACAGATTTACCGTGTGGAAAGCGAAGTGACAGGAAGAATTTCCGAATTTATTCATATACAGGAGTAATCACAGTCAAGATTCACAAAATGGAAAATGCTCATGCTCGCACTCGGGTATCTAAGATATCTTTTCATTTATGCATACACACATGCATCTCAGTAGCTCTTGAATTCATTCCCGCAGTATTAAACATATCAGAGATCCCGAAGGATCACTACGTATCATGCCTTTTCGATACATGTACATTCTTCCAAATGTCGGTCGGGGGGATAAACCTAAGGAGCGCTTCAATTGGAAAACATCATCTCTTTCCTTTCAAGCTAACCCCCTTAACCCTCTTAGCTAATTGTGCAGAGTCGGATTCATAGCCTACCGAGGCATCTATATATGGGGAAGGACGTTTCGGGGGTCGCTCACCAGATTCCCTTAGTATAGTCAACAGCGTCGCCCAGCCGCCTGATTGTTGCAGCTGCAGGCCTTGCGAGAGGTCGTGTTCGGCCGCGACTTTGGCGAGGAGTGTCTCTTCGTCCTGCAAAAATGTTAGTCATTATACGGCATACGAAAAGAGCGAGAAATACCTTTGCCAGTATGCCTAGACCGTGGATGAAGCATAGCAGGTGGAAATTGGAAACAGCTTTGAGGCCGCTTGCTGTGTTTAGAGCGAGTCCGTTTGCCCGTGCATTGAGCGCAGTGGACAGTCCTGAAATCTCCTGCAACTCGCCAATAGATTCTCGGTTCTCGATCTTGAATTTCGGGCCCGTGAAGACTGGGTTGGGTTGGTTGGGAAATCCATGTGTCAGTGTAACGAGAAGGTAGTCAACTGGGAAAGCTGGTTTCGCGTTCTCCTGCACATTTGCGCCGTACTCATTCTTCTTGCGATAAAAGACCTCCGGGATGTATCGCGCCTTGTTAAGGGCTTCGTTGTCTTCCTCAGACTGCACTAGCATGACGGATGGTTCTGCCGACGGCTCGACAATGTCTGCTTTGACCATTTCCACAGCAGTATTGGATGCTTGATACGAAGATATGCCAATCTGACCTTCCGCGTCGCCGCTTATCACGCATGTTACGAAATTGGATCCGAACTTGCCGGTCTCGCTCCATTTTGTTGGTCGGGGGTATTTTGCTTGATATCTTGCTGCAAAAACAATCTCCAGCGATGAGAGGAAGTAGGAATCAATGTGTCGTTTGCAGATGACAGTACCGTCGTTCTCGCCCGCATCTAGCAGATCCGTGAAGATAACTCCGACACGCTGTAGGCCACATTGCCGTGCTAGCTCGTCGATTTCTGCCTCATTCTCCCATTCGCTCAGCGATATTCCATCCGTCTCATTGACTTGCGGGGGCTCGTAGATAGCTTCCACCACGGCTTTGGTTCCAAGTGGTACCTCCGTATATTCCTCGTACCGGCCGTACATGTATCCTAACCGCTGAGCACCCGTCATGCGCCAGAAATTGACGATATCATCGGCGACGGCTATCGATGCGAATTCGACGTGATCCACCATGCGGAATTCCTGTGGTTGAAGCGAGATGGCGCTGGGCTGGCACTTGGTGCAAATACCCTCGGGAAACGGTTTGTGGCCGGATGGGCAGTCTGGTCTAACGCGGAAGTAAGGTTCGCTCAACGGAGGCATATACGAAGTTCCACTCTCGGGTTTGTTCTTTCCAGCATTGATCTTTCGAAGATATGAATGGAATGACAAATGCTTGATCTTCTTGTCTTCCAAGTATTCCACGGCATATGGTTCTAGAGGCATGCAGTAGTCGCACATACCTTTGGGGCCATGCCTGCACATCTTCTGGTCCAGCTTCCGCGGAATCTTTCCATCGAGTTTGTCTAACCTATCATCCAGCGCTGACTGTTTCACCACCTCCCACGGGTTCTTAATCAGCTGTGTGGAGGAGCCGATAGGTACGGAGGGAGCATCGGAGGGGTCGATGGGCTTGCCATTCAAGCGAGCTGCGCCGGCCGGAGCTGCAGCATGGCCGTTGGTGGGAGAGGCTTGTTCTTGGAAGTCGAGAAACAGCTGTGCACCGTGTCTGCGCAACGATGTCAGTAGTGGCGGGCTGGTGAGGGGAGCTACTCACGTCAAGCCCACTTGCTTGAATGTCACGCCTTGCAAAGACTCGATCTTCCTGGCATCGCCTCCGTGCGGCTTGTTACTAACTGTGATGCTCGAGATGTCGATATTAGAGGGCAGCTTCTCCGCTATCTGAGGTATGACATCTGGGAAAGCTGTCGTCGGCTCGACATTGAGTCGGAACTGGCCCTCTTTGCTCACAAATCGCAATATCATGGTGGTGGTGCTGGCAGTCCGGATTATTCGGGTGGAGAAATTGCTGAGGCGAACGGGAGTTTTTATTAGCAGGTGGTGTGCTGCTTGCAGAATAGGTGAGAGAAGCAAGCAGGCAGACGTGAAGTTGAATGATTAATCGTGGTCCGGCACCGAAAGCGACCGAAGCATGACGCGCGCAGCGGTTGTGCTTAAAAGCGACAGGGGTGGGGGGTCGGTGTTAGCCAACTAGCGGGAAGGCGCGTACACAGGGAAAGGACAGTTAATCATTATCGAGACGAACGGACAATTAACACTTGTTGCTTGCGGCCGGTCCACATCTTTTGCACCACCCCTCCCTCTCCACGTTTCCGATGCTACCGTCGCTCCTTTGAACTTCTCACCCAGCCGAAGAAAAAAACAAACAGACCCAAGAGAGAGTAATAATTCTTGTTGCGCTCCATTTCCCGAATTTGTAGGAAGATTCGACTGTACAGAATCCGCGACATTCCACCGCCACCACCGCAAAAATGTGGCCCTTCGATGCAATCGACTGGCTCATGCTCCTGGTCCCCATCGCCTATCTCTTTATTCTCGTAGGATCTTTGTACACTTTCAGTTCCATCTACCGCAAACGAACCGCCGCGAAGGCCGCCTCTCTGGAGCCATGGTTTCCTCCCCACATCCAGCGCAACATCTATTTGTCGCTTCTGCACCAAGAAGATCCAAAATGCCCCGATAGCATCCTGAAAGCAGCGCTCTTGCGTCGCGCGACCGAGGACATCACGCGCATCATGGCGATCCGAAACGCAAAGCAGGCGCTGCAGGTGTTGCTGCAAAGGGGCAGCGTGGGCGACGACTTGTGGCAGCGATTCCAGCGCGCTGAAAAGGAGATCGAGGATGAGCTAAGAGATGTTGTTACTGAGGTTGGTCTACCTCCTTACCCTCCCAGTTCGAGTTCAAACACTAACATTATTCAAAGGCCAACGCTTTTGCTCCTAACTGGGGTCAAACCATCTTTCAATCTGCCTCGGAAATGCTGCAAAACGACCAAATCCGTGAGCGCGTCACAGACATCCTGGGCACTGCTCAAGCCGAGAAAGCATGGTGGGACCAACGCAAGTCGCAGATCCAGACAGAATTCATGAAGGAATTGGATGAGGAGAAAATGAAGAGCCCAACTGCCTCAAGCGTGGCGGGCAGCGTTACTGGGAGTGTTGCTGGTAGCGAGGATGCGGTTTTGGTTGAGGGTGGCGGGCCTGCAGAAAAGACAGGCAAGGGCAAGAAGAAGAAGAGCAAGAACTAGACTTGAAGTTTACTGACTAGAGCTATTGGGAATGTGCTGATAGCGGAATGAGAACAGGTTGGGTTGAGAGGAGGACGGAATCTCCTAGACTTTGCATTGCCGGCGTTGGGTGTTGAGAAACACCGGTTATTCACAGCTTTTCTAAACTCATTATTTGAGCATTTTCATCATCTTGTCCGGATTTTCACAAGGCGCTGGGGTATCGATGATCGTGCCGCGTACAATGTCCAACGGTACTCATTCTAAACACAAACAGAAGTGGTTTAAGTGAATACATTTGCAATGCTATAAACGCCATTACCCATATCATCCAATTCACAACCTGGTGATGTTACACGCTCGCACCCTATTCTCAAAGAAAATATCCCGCCGTACAACAGACAATTCATATACAGGCTTTCGTCCCCCTTCTGCCCTGCTCCCTGTCTTTTCACTCCACAGTCAAATGATCCCTTTACTTCCTTGACGGGCCGCTGACACCAGCACCAATCACGCTAGGCAACTCTTCGGCTCCCATAGAGTACATCAATCCAATACCAGAGCTGATCAAGAATGCAAGCAACACGGCGGTGCCAGTAAGAAGCCAAAACGGTGTCGAGATGTCCTTCTTCTGGCAAGCGGGTCCGCCCCAGTAGACAGTCTTCTTGCCCGTCTCCATACCCTTGCCATCATGCATCTTGACCTCGGCTTCACAGGCGCAGTGCCAGCAGTCGAATCCTCTCTCTTTCTTGCCTCCATTCCTGTTCACGCATTTGCCGTGACCTGTGCACGCGTTGGTGGCGGCCACGCACTTGGACTGTGACTCGTAGCAGGTCTTCAAGATACCCAAGGGAGCTGTGGTATTGTCGCCCTTCTCTTTAGCTGCGGTGATGACGGGGAAAGTCTCGAGATCATCAGGGAGGTCGGGTGTGGTAGAAGCTAGGGAGAGGGGCGTCTCTTTGGAGATGTGAGCCTCTGCGACCTCACGGCGGAGATGGTCCGGAGATGGGACGGTGTAGGGTCCATAGGGCTGTACGCGGCGCTTGGATTTGGGGGAGGATGGCGGCATAAGTACAACGGTCATCGAGGGCGTAACGCTGTTGTGGTGCGAGAACGGACACTCATTCTTCTGGGTTGTCTTCCGGACAACATCATAGTTCCGGCTCGCCACCCTAAGCCAATCATTGAGAAACTCGTTCTTGCTGTCAGAGTCTGACCCGGACTTGCGTGTGTGGTCGTCCAGAGCGTTCGTTTGCAGAGCCATGTCCTCGATAAGACGCTCGTTGTCCGACGTGGAAGGGGGATCGGAGACGGTGAGTTTCATCCAATCTTTGTCCTGGAAGCAAGATGCAAAGACTACCCCATCTGTCAGCTTGAGCCGTGAATAACGTACAGCCGGAGCGCATACCTTCAAAGTCTTCCACATCATCAATCCACATAACGGTCTGCATCTTCAGATCGTTCTGGCGGTGTCCGCCGAAGAGCTTGGGCTGATTCCCTCCATAAACATTGAGATTCCGAATCGTGTCCTCGCTGGGGTTCTCTAATGAATGAAAGTCGGAGAGGCCCATCCGTCTTGCGAGGATCAATCGAGCTGTCTCAGGCGTCACCGTGGTGGGTGCCTGCGGTAGGGATCCGGGGACCTTATCGTACACGTAGACGTGTCCTTCTCTGGCGGCGGAAGCTGCGCTGCATAGCGTGGAAAGGGCGAGGCCCCTGGACAACTTCATGGTGGTGGTCTCGATGTCGTTGGTGGTCTGTAGATGGAGGCGGCGGACGTCAGCGTCAGTGGAAAGCTACCGCACTCTAGCAAGCGCCAAGAAGGGTATAGCGCCTTTCTACCCTCATTCCAGTCCTGGTGTCTGCATCACACACCTGGTGACCCTTCTATCTTAACCTCCTCTGCTGGTCCAAGATTAGTTTTTTTTTTCAACCCTATAACTTCTATCTCTTCTCTTACCGATCTCGGCGGATAGATGTCGACTCCGCAACACCTCACCCATTTCCGGTAGCCCAACTCCCCGCCTTGGCCGCTCAGCACATGTTCAAAGCACAGATATTGCGGAGGAGCTTTTCTCTGTTCCGGAGAGGTCCTTCCACTTCGTCTGTTGCGCTCAAGTCGGCTCGCGATGGCCACGAGACGATAAGGATTCAAAGGGTTCGCTTTAAAAATCCCATCTTCACCAAAGCGTAAGCCGTGCGACACAAAAAGGCGCGGGCCACGCATTGCTAATCAGAGTACAGTCGCATTATCGGCACTACCATTACGTTCGCCACCGCGTATGCAGTTTCGGCCTATGTAGATTCTGTCCTAGCCGAAGATGACGAGGAAGAGGAACAATTACGTGCGGATCAAGCCCAACAAGGCAGGCCACGAATAGACAAGGGTTCGGGGCAGGACGCCGCTGGAAAAGATGAAGAGGGTGAATGGGAGCAGCAGGGCGATGAAGAGGAGGACGACGACGAGGACGACGAGGACGAAGAAGTATTATTCTTTTTCCCTACCGGCCTGTCGAAACCGAAGCCGAGGACATTCTACAAAGGCTCTGATCCCGAGTGGCAAGAGTTCATCAAGTTTGCTCCTGATCGCCAGCGCATCGTGAAAATAAGAAACGAATTGATATCCACAGTGCGCGGTGCCGTCATTAAAAATGATCAATGGACCAAAGTTTTGGGCAAGATCAATGCGCAAACAGGCAACACTTGGTTGGAAGTCATTTTTCCAGATGCTCCACCAATCGAATATGAGCGGCCTGGGTGGGCATTAACCACAGATCTCAATTTACGGCAAGCCACACAAGATATTGACCCAAGGGCCCACTCGCTCTACAATCGCGTTCTATTTCCTATCGCAATTGCCCGGGCATTCTACGAAGACTCTTGGAGAAGGATATCGAAAATGTGGGAGACTCAACCGGGGTTGGGGGGTACTGAAGCAGCTCTACAGGCTATGATACGTGCAAGGCAAATAACATCTGGTTCAACCCCTCCTACATCTCCCACGTCTGCCTCAGCATCGCCCACCTCTACACCCACCAGTGAGCAACAAGCGGCGATGCCGCGCTCTCCACCGTCAAGCGATCCCGCCCACGACCGTTCTAGTGTCACGCTACAGACGTCGAAGATGATCCCCATAATGGATATGTCTTTCTTCCGTGGAAAATGGTTGAAAAATCGCCCACGTGAACAACCCCAACCACCACGTGGCACATTTGTGGTGTCAGGCCTCATTGATATTGTGGGCGACAAGGCGAAAATGACAGTGGATGTGTTTGCAGCGTACGACCCCAAATCTGCGAAGTACGTGATCATAACAATTAAACCACGAACCCTCAAGGAGTGGACGCAGAGACCCAAGGGCGGACCGGGATAGGTTCTCTTCAATTTTTCCGGGAAAATGGCAAGGGTAAGGCTAGGTTAAGAAGCGGGGCATTGCTACGGAGTTTTTCTTCTTCTCCTCTTCTTTTTTGTATTGGATGGATTGTGCAGCGTTAACTTTGATATACATACCCCACATTTTCGATTCTTTTGTCTTCTCCTCGTCTCCTTTCACCGGTATCATCCTGATGTTCATGTGTGGTGCCCGTCTCCTCACCTTTCCTACTCCCCTATTCGAAATCGTGTATGATCAAGACCGTACTATACTGTGTGCTATGCCGTGCCAGCGCTAAATCTCTCAGACTTCACACTTCGTGCTACCGCGTTGCTCTACGTGCTCACGCATGGACGCATATTACATCATATTCTCGACCATCTTATCAACAATTTCGAGTCTCCAACCAACCATGTGCTACTTATACTTCTGCCGTTACCGCTTCTTTCCCGTATCCCCTCTTCAGCAACTCTCAAATCCCCTTCCCACCCCTACTAGCTCGTCATTTCCCTCACTTCGTGTAACACTTAAATCTTTTTTCCCTCAGCTAAGTAGTCGTCACCATCCAAGCATGATAACGTGACATGGTCTATACTGGTCCGGAAAGGAGGGTATATAAACCCCTCCCCCTCCCCGGTTCTTCCTTCTTCCTTTCTTCACACTTGATACGGGTGACAGCACTGGGGCTGGGCTGTCTATCAAAAGAACAGCAATCAATCACGCTATGTTGTTCGTCCTGCTTGATGAAACATGATCATCCAAAAAGTCTGTCTACCATGTGTCATGTTTTCTGTGGAACATTTGACTGTGCAGGCTTTGACAAATTCATTATCCAAGAAACATCTGCAGCTCTGGCTCATGCTTTTTGGGGGGAACACTGGGTACTTTTGATGAAAGATGATTCTTTTTGTTGGGTGTGGCTCATGAGAGTTTTGAACAATGATGTTATGAACATTACTGCAATCACGACAATGTCGGCAAGAATGTTTGGGGGAAATTTCGACCAACATTTACAACATCATCAAATTAAGTGGTGAGCGATGTAATGGGGTTTCACAAGAATCTTTTTTTTTCCTAGCCTTTCACCAAAAGAACCCGGAGTGCACTTGATGGTGGTTTGCTTTATGGGGATTTCATTCACAGCAAATATGCATTTACTCCCGTCCATGAGACGGCCAGTAAAGAGACCTGTGTTTTCTAAAGATCTCATGATCCATTTGTCATGTTCTGGACTGGAGTCTTTCAAAACTATCACATATTTGGCGAAATGTGGATTTCGACAAGAAAAATTAACTGGAAACAACCATTTCTACCAAGGTTTTATGGTGTGTCTTTTGGGGGAGCTTCAATCAACATTCTTTAATAATTCAATGTGATAGGCGGTTGGTGGTACTTTGAATGTCAACTAAAAGCTTAGAAAAAGTTTGTTCTCGTGTATTTGGGGTTTTTGACCTAACACAAGGTTTTGGAAGATCAGATGTTGAGTACTCCACTCCGGCATGATATAGAAGCTCTTTTAAACTCTATAGCCACCCTGCAAATTTTTTTTTTTTTCTTAGGACATGATGAAATAATTGATTAAAAGCTAGCCTACACAACGCAAATGTTGGGTAGTAGTTTGGGCAAAAATTCAAGACTTTTGAGATGGCAACTCTACTTTTCACAGTGTCTCATGTGTGGTGTGGACAGGATTTAATTTCTCTGAGGAAAGATCCACACTTCAAAGCACAACTACAGCAAAAGACATGATTCAAAGAGTGGCGTGGTTGCCAATTCTGCAATGCAACCTTGTTGCATTATGTCTTTCTCTCATTAAAATCTACTACAATGGGCATGTGAGAAGCTCTTGCAAAGTAATTCACGTCTTACGTGGAGTGGAGGAGGTGTATTTGTCATTAAGAACCGCATAAATGTGCCTGTGCTGAGATCTATCATCCCTAAAATAGCAACACTCATTTACTATTATAATGACGAACAATGTGTGTAATTCGTTGCAGACCGAAATGGAGGCAATAGGTGTCTTTGGAATGTAAATGTTGATATCGCCTGGGCAATGGTACATAGAAGTGTATCATGCTCAAAATCTCTAGAATTGTTAAGAAATGTTCACATGTACTGAGCACGGTTGGAGTATTGCAAAGAGATTTTTGAAGTGTTCCACATGAACTGAAGAGCTTTGTAACAACACATATGTTAAGACGGTATCAAAATTTGGTAGAAAAACGGAACATGATATTATCTATAAGCCCAAAGGACGCAAGTGAATAATATCACAGCGAACTTGACGGGTTTTCAGCACCGGCACCATTAAATTCGGCCAGACTCAGCGGTATCTTTTTACGAAAAGACTACTTCATAATCTGAAATGTGCGAAGACTTTTAGGTGTTTAAAAACATTTTTGTGTGAAATATCTTAGAACATGATTTTCATCAATGCGGAGTGAAACTCACAGCCCTGAAATCTAACGTCGAAGGTAGACGTTGCCCGTTCTCAGATTCTAGCAGAAATTCAATTTTTTATCAGAATCCCGGAAAGTCCTTGCTTATATGTAGTTATGTTCCTTGTAGGCAAGATTTAACACATGTAGTTTCGATATTTAACAGACTAAGGGCCAGCACAACTAAGAAGTTTTGTTTGCTAAAACGTGGGATTGTTGGAGGCGCTGAATCGTCTCTATCGGGCGGACAAAAAACCTGCAGAGTTAAACAACATATGAAAACTAGAGAAGAACATTTCGATGAAAGAAATATCATGGCGGATCCCTTTCTATCCTGCGATTTGAATGCAAGGCCTGTAACATGGTGTTGAGTCAAAAGTCCAGGTTAGAAATTCATCTCAATGTCAGGACCCACCAGGCGGCCGTTGACAGAACCGCCCATGACGATTCGCTTCCTAGTTCGGACAACAGTATGAAAGAAATATGTGAGGAAACGCTCATGCGAGAACTCTGCGACTCTCTCCACTGTATGAAAACAGCGTGACAATGGTAGCATGAGTTGCGCTACGTTATTGAAATAAAACATTTCTACGATTTAATGGCCTTTAAAGGCCTGATTTCTTATTTAAATGAGAATGAAAGCAGCCGAAAATGCATATTTTCCACAGCATTCAAATATAAATTTTCAAATTAATTGCTCAGTTATGGATGCGCTGGTGCGATGAAGCGTACGCTAGAAGTACATCGACAATTTACCTTCACCCTCCTTATTAGATAAGTGGTTATATCTGTAGAATATGAATTAAGATCGAGAGTGAATTAACCACTAGAAAGGAATCGGTCATGACTTTTGGGAAATCTTTTGAAGGAGATGCGATTTAGGGGAGGGGCGGAGGGACAACAGAAGAACTATCAAAATCAGCGTATGCGTCGTCTGTCTCTGGCCTTTTTGGCCATATAATTTATCACATATTCATCATACACAACGTGCATTCATAAGAGCTACTGTGTAGAAGAAGCATTTTTAGTTGGCTATGGCTCGAGCAAACATATACGGACTTGAATGCAACGGCTTCGTGAATACCCAATCTGAACTAAGAACTATAAGAACGGATCAGCACCAAATATGTCTGTTTTATGCCTCCTTTCTAAAAACTTCAGATATGGCAATTCAAGCCATACATCTTGTAAAAATGATAAGAAGATCTGGGATCGGAATCACATATGTCTAAAGTACGCGACTAGATCTTTCAAGTTTACAACACAGCTCTTCCAATGCCCATGTGTTGTTGTAGGACCCTATATTAAAGAGACTACTCGCTACTGCTATGTGCAGTTTGCAATAACTTTAAATATCTACAAATTGTATACTAAACACATAATATAAAGCATTGCGCTTATGTGTAAATAACTACTGCTCAAACCATCACAGATTAGTTACCTAAATGCCAACGTTGAAAGATTTTTGTGGAGATATTAACTGCAATTATACGGGTTCAAAATCGCATATGATAGTCACTTTCGAGCAAGTGAACCATATATTCTTGACCAATACATTAATATGTATTTTATTGTCTCAATTACCACAATCAAAGAGAGGAGTATAATATGTGCTTTAGTGTCCATTAACCGCTGCACACTACATGTTAACTTCGTAGATAAACTACATTAGGAAATATCTAAAATCTACATCAAAAGGCATTACCTCTATTGAAATTTCTATTACTTTAAACAGTTGAAGAGCATGATTACATAGTCTTCATGTGCTGGGGCCTGTTGCTCGATGTTTACTATAGGTATTTAAATTGAGAATGGCACAAATACAGTTACACTGTGTAGGGGCACGTTAGAAGTATATGAAAAGTCAACAACTCTAATGCATATCTTTGCTGTAGGGTTTAGATTAAGCTTTAGTACAACACATATTATGTTGTTCTTAATAAAACTTGCCGTCGCTACTGGAAATGTGCTTAATCCTGTTCCCGATTCATACTTAGTTCTACTTTGAGCTGAATGAAAATCCAGAAATATTGCGTTCTATATAAGGGGCACACCAGAAGAGTCCTAAAATTATTTTACAAGGAATTAATGTTTTATCTAGCACTTTTAGCTCTGAAAGAATAAAATGCATAAAAGAATGTTATACAAAAAGAGTTGACTTTACTTAATATTAATGTTTTAAGGTCTACCCTCTGTCTTTTTAAGAACTATTCTTCGTTCGCATATAGTGGAATAATTATTAATGTCTGTTAGAATAGCGTGGAAAAGCTAAACACAGTTTACCTGCAAGAAATGTCTAAAGAAAAATTTCCCATCAACAATGTTTACAGAGAAATTAAAAGACATCCTAAGTCAACTTGCTATGAGTTGGCCCTTCCTGCTCTGTTTATATCAACTGTATTCAAAACCAAATCCAAGCTTTTCCAGCTAAGATAACTGGATGGGACGACTAGATTATATTAAAAGAACTGAGATCCGTAACATATGCTATCCTTTCTACAGAGCTTCTTGTTATAATTATTCCTAAAATCAGAAGAGGAGTCGATCTATGTGCTGGCCTTGTTGCTCTGTTTCTACCACAGCTATTTCTATCCAGCTAGTACTATAAGCAGTTACTAAGATATATTAAAATAACAAGATATGAATAAAAAAGACTTATTATTACACCACAATGTTGTCTATAGAATCCCCAGTAACAATATAATCTACAATAAAACTACAGCTCAATACTCCTATGTGCAGGAGCTCCCTCTCTCTGCTTTATCAGTATGCTAAATGAAAATATAACAAGGGAAGAGTAGACTAAACAATGAAATAGTACGACGACATAAGAATATAAACAATATGGTACTTTAGAAGCATAATACCTACCGCCAACAACACATGTAGAGTACTTTGCTGCCCTGTCTTCTCCCTATAAAAATTCCTGCCCTACTATAAGACTATGTTCTACCGAGATATATAATTGAATTTACATTAAAGAACGAATAATATATCAGCAACAAATGAATGTCCAAGGGTAGAAACAAATAAAGAACATTCATAAGTCTTCTAATGTGCGGTTCTTTTCCTTGTTTAATTATTTTTAATTTAAGAAGACGAGCATTTCTAAACAAGAAGATCTCAGTGAATGGACATGAGGAGAAGAGTTCATTACAAAAAAACAAATCAGCCATGTTCTGTGGGTCTCCAGGCAGCATAAAATGAAGTATATAAGAGATGAAAAGAAAAGAAGAGAGAGCTCATGATGTGATAAAACTTCTCTCTCTAGTTTACTGAGAAGGAAAGGAATTCATCTCTTTTAAAAAAAGGTTAATATACATATTAAGATAATGGTAGAAAATTAAAGAGAACTACGTCATTCTCATGTGTTGTGGGGTTTGTTGGGAAATAATGATAAAACCAGCTCGGCGCAGCCATTATGTGTTGGAGAAACCTGCTTGTATAAAAGACTTGTCTACAAAATCATGATTCAACACAAGAATGTTTTAAAGCTAAAAACTGAAAGAATACATCTATAATGTCTGCCTGCGGTCTGTTTAGGGGCCGCAATTACGATTTTGATTTCTCGGCTTGCAGTGGAGAACAATGATGATAACAATGATGATGAGCATCATCGTCGCCAGATAGCTGAGTGAAGAGGGCTGCGGTTATTCGATATAATACAAATTATAAGAGATAATATGTATGGCTGAGTTGGTTGGGAGAGGAAGTGCGAGATTCAAAAGGACTCTAGATGTCAACTTCACTCAGGCACACCTAAGCAATCTATGAATTCTATGATATAGATCGCAAGCGGTGATACACTGAGGGTTTAGAAAAAAAAACACACAAGCATAAGAGGGATTTCCTATGCGAGGTTGGAATCATGTACTTTACATATATTCGAGATAATACGGTGGGATGGGATATCACGTGATTGGAAACCCTCACTCGGTCATACATACCTAGGTATGTCCACACATGCGTGTATGCTATTGAACATACATGTGGTCGTCCAGTGGAAGAAGACAGTGACTACTCAAGAACTCAATTCAGTTCATAAGTCTCGGGTTCAGGATAGCCGGTAACGTGTATTTGTCCATAGAAAAACATCTAGTGCATGGCATGACGTACAATTTACGTCCACGAACAGCTTCTTTACAAACCTCTAGCGTAACTCTTCTACAGTCACCAACGCCTTTACATTCTAATTGCCCTGTACGTTTTCTTTGTCGGGATACTCGGGTTCGGAATATTCTTCAGGTAATGCAAACGTCATATCGTGGTTGCTACTGCGGGTCCACAGCACACATACATAGGTATAATCCTTGACGCGTCCACTTACGGCGCGATTAAACATACGATGCGGACACGTATCATGGTGGAATTGCAGTATGGATGACGCGTGTGTTTAATCGCAGGCACGGGTACGATATTATCGTCCCAGTGTAATCTGAAAAGATTATCGGGAGAATATAACCCAGCTGTTTTGTACATACATACCTAGGTACCTTTTCCGTCAACCAACACTAACCACGAACATCCGCACACATACACATATACATATACGCACAGCCAAAAAACGTTTCTCTCTGTAGGTTCGATTCAGAATGGCAGCCGCACCGCACATTTCCAAAATCGCAATGGCGAAACACGATCTCGTTCCGCATGTGCTGTCCAAGGACGTCGACTTTGATTACAGCGTCAAGGTCGAGTGGCCCGAGACGGACCTGGAGAATCCAGGGCAAGAGCTAGATCGCGAGAAGACACAGCCTCAACCGAAAGTGTTTCTTGATCCGCCGGTAGGTAGACGGCCATATCCACACCCTGCATGATAAAAACCGTTGTCGCTGGATGCTCCGCTGACTCTGAGTTTCGGGGTAGCCGCCCGAGTCTCTAGATAATCTGGTCCTGATCATGACTGATCCTGTGAGTTTGAATCTAAACGTATATATACAGATACCAGGGAGCTAGCTGATGGGGGAGTGGTAGGATCTGATGATGGAAAACGACACGTACTTTGGGCAAGTCCGGCACTGGCTTGTCAGCGGCCTGACGTCCAAACTCGACGGCTCCCTCCTAGGCTACGGCCAGACGTCAGATATCTCGCCCTACGTCGGTCCAGCGCCGCTTCCCAACTACCTCTACTCGAGACCGCATCGCTACGTCTTCATCGTTGCGCGTGCGCCGTCCGGCGATGTTACTATCACGCCTGAGGATCTGCGGGCGCTGCAGGAGCCGTATAAAGCTGCGGTGGCGGGTAAGCAGGGTGAGGTTCAGGATTTGAAGGATCGATGGGGGTTCAATGCGTTGGAGTTGATTGAGAAGAAGGGGTTGAAGATTGAGGGGGTGTCGTATATGCGTGTTGGAGGGAGTTTGAAGAGTGCGGGTGCGAATGCGGCGATGATGGGACAGGCGGTTGTTGATAAGGTTAGTATTCAAACCTCCTCCCTTGACGTCGAACAGTGTGCTGACTGACTGATGTGTAGGCTCTGGGTAAATGAGTGATTGGATTGGGGGAGTAGATAGACGTTGGCCCATGACTCGAATCCAGACATGCTAGTCTACCATGGCTCTTTGTACCGCGGCGACACTGCTGTGATTACGGGCCATCGTAATTGCAGTTGTGCGGATTGTGAAATATATCGACGGATACAGGTCACCCGGAGACAACACCAAGATCTTTGTGAATCACACATGGGGTAAAGGCGTGGTTTACAGGGAATGAAAGTGGACTGATTTCGGTCGCCCAGGAATCGGAAAGCTTCGTCCGCGGTCAGAAGAATCATCAGCGCAAGCAAAGCGCAAAGCGTCCAAGGACGATCAGCACCAACCAACATGACAATCAATCACACAAACAACCCATCGCTGCGCGCGTCAAAACAAATACCAGAGCGCACCCAACTGGCGGGAGATGACGGAGCCTTCGCATGTCAAAGAAGCCCCTACAATCGTACGACGCCAATACCTGCAGCCCCAAAGCAGACGTCCAAGAACCCCCCAAACCTCACGTCCCAAACGCCCAGGCACGTGTGCATACGCAGTCCACGGGCTTCAGGCGCGTAAGACGGGATTCTGGACGTTGGCCTGGCGGCCTGTCGAGAGCGCGTTCCCGTGGGCGACAGCGGCCAAGCTGTAGCGGGGGTTAGCCACGCGTTACAGAGTTGCCTCAAATGTCGGGAAGCCGGTTTCCACCTCACCACCAAGCCCTTGGCTACAGCAAACACATTACCACCAGATTGCTTGATCAACCTTGGAGGAAGGGAGTATAAAGACAATGGGTCTGGATCGCATCATGTTGACCTCTTCTTCTTTTTTTCTGTAGGAGCTTCAGCTGTTGAACAGTTCGCATCCCCGTTTCATTCACTTTGACAAGATTAATTTTTTTCTTCTTCTCCATCTTCTTCTTTTCAAGAACAAAAAGGATTCATCCAATTTATTCAATTGTCTACATTACTTTCATTAACCGCACTTCTTCTCGAAAACAACAACAACAACAACAAAAACCACAACCATAATGAAAACCACAACCACCATCCTCGCTGCGAGCCTAGCGCTCAGCGCCTCGGCCGCGCCCATAACCCAAGACATCCAAGCCGGCAGCACCCTAACCCTCAACATCAACCTGGCAGGCGCGCAAGCAGGCCTAGTCAACGAAGCCGCCCTCGCGGCCCCAGCAAACCAACTCTTCACCTTCAGCATGATGCAAAACGTGGTGGCGGTCCCAGAGGAAGTCGTCAACGGGACCGAACCAACAGGCGGCATCGCAGGGGCATCAGGGACGTTCAACTTCGGGCTCAACGCGGCCATGGACATGATCTGCTACAACATCACGTTGGTGGGGTTCCAGGGCGAGTTCGACTCGCCCGCGACGACGGCGACGCATATCCACGAAGCGGCCAAAGGCGCGTCGGGGCCTCCTCGCATCGCGTTCCCGAACCCGGAGCCCGTGAATGGGGATGTTGCGCACAGGAACAGTGCGGGGTGTTTGAAGGGCCCGTTTACGACTGGTGTCATGATGGAGGGGAAGGATACGGGCGAGGGGTTCACTGTGGCTATGATTGAGGCGAATCCTAGTGCGTTTATGGCTGATACGCATAGTAGTGTTGCGTTGCCTGGAGCTGTGAGGGGCCAGCTTGCGTAAATGTGCTGTCGTTGCTTTTTATCTTATTCCTGTGGGAGAAGGGGTTGAGTTGAAAGTGTGGTGTGGTAATGATAATGTATCTCGCTGGATTGAATCATTGGAGAGAATTTAGGCAGGGGAAGGAGGGAGAAAAATAAATATGAATGAAAACGTCTTACCCATATATGAACGGTGCCCTTTGTGAATAATTCATGTGCTAGTGATTGCGTTGTACAACTTGCCCAAGAACAGCATTCATCGTCCCGTTGTCTCCCTAATTTGATGGATTATGCTCAATGTCAGATTTTCTTGCGCTTCATCTACACCAAAACAGTAAGGAGAGAATGTGATTGCATACCCAAAGGGTATGTAGCTGTGGGCACATAACTTCACACTCATGACAAAACATGTGAGGAACAACCAACATATGTTTTTAACAGATTATATTTCTCCTCCACGTACACCAACAGGTCACGCCGTACGATTTGTAGACACTTGTTGTTCATAATGACATATTGGTGTTGATCAACGTTTTATTACGATTTTTACTATACAATATCCCCTCTTGTTAATGATTTGAAGCTCGTACAGCTGCCACTGTCCATAGCGTCAGATCACCTAAGACAACTCTATGGCTATCACCATACACCAACAACATACCGAGCCAAACCTAATATAACACTAGGTCCAAACTCACTTCACTACTTTTCCATCCAAAAGAGAAACTCCATAATCATACAACAAAAAGTATGGGAAGAGAGACATAAAAATCCCCAGCGCCATAGCTAAAAAATCAAAAAAACAACAAACAAATTGTGCGCATCCCCACACCTCCCCTCTGCACCTAAAAAATAAAGAAGGGCGAGAGAAGGAAAGTGAGGACCGCTCCGGTGTGCGACAAAGGAGAAGAAAGGGTTATTAAGAGGGGCTGAAGAGCCAGTCAAGGTATTTTTGCTCGACCAGCGACAGGCGCTCTCGCAATCCTCTCTCCCGATTGCCCACAACCTCTTCGAAGAAACCGCCCTTTGCCAAGGGGTTTTCGCTGTTCTCTCCCCCCGGAGAGTCAAGGTGAACCCTGGAAAGGGCAGATTTAAACCAAGTGTCGAGATCAGTCGGGAGATTTGAAGATCCAAGAAAGCACCGCGTGATCGTAGAAACAAACAATTCGACTTGATTTTGCTGAAAAGAATGGGAAGGACGGGAATCGCGAGTTCCCGCCTGTTCGCGGTAGAAAGAAGGAAGGAGGCCCAGTCAGAACAACTCGAACGAATACATCGTCAATGCTGTTCTTTCTCTCTTGTCGTTTTTTTTGGATGCCAGATAAAATGACCGTCGAACCCCCCGATCCTCGGGCCCATATCCGGGCATTTGGAAAACGAGAGGAAAGGTTCAAAGGCGATGTTTTCGTAAAAGGGTCCTGGTAGACCGACCTTCTGAGGATTAAATGCGGATGCGATTTAAGAGTGATCATATGCCCGAACATCCAAAATCATCCGCATAGGAGAAATGCGTGAATAGAAAGAAAATGCGAAACAATTTTTAGTCCAACAGGGAAAAACATCGTACAACTCAACTCAACATCCCCCAGCGCTCACAACGAATGGGAGAGGAGTTTATTTGCCGCCCAGGAGGCCGCCGACGATGGGGATGTTAGAAGCACCACCGCCGCTCTTCTTCTTGTCCTTCTTGCCTCCACCGAGCATGTCGGTGAGAGAGCCGAGACCGAGACCTCCGAGCAACTTGTCGATACCGAGGCCACCGAGCAGTCCGTTGACCAGACCGCCGAGACCAAGGCCGTTGAGGAGGCGACCGACCAGGTTCAACACACCAGTGAGCAACAAGCCCACGGCGGCGATGATCTGGAACAGAGGCTCGGTGAGAAGAGACCAGAGAGGGTTCAACTTCTTCTTGGCGTGGGGCATGTCGGCAATCTTCTTCTTTGCGTTGTCGATGGTGGTGACGACCGAGGTGGTGATCTCCTTGAGCAGATCGGCCAGGCGGTACTCCTCGGGTGTGGCATCGCGCGTTTGGCTGCGGCCCTTGGCCTGGGCAGCGATGCGACCATCGGGGTCGAGGCCACGGAGAGATCCGTTGCACTCCTGGAGAATACGTCCACCTTCCTCAATGAGAGGCTTGACGTTGTTAACGAGCTCCTCCTCGTCGAGTTCGTCACGGGGAGTGCGGTCAGCCTTCTCAATGTACTGTAATCAGGTTAGCATACGTAGTTGGATATGTAAAAGAGAGCCGACATACCTCAGTGATTTGCTTGCACACGGGCTGGATACGCTCAAGAGTCTGCTGGCAGATGTTGGCCATCTTGTCAGCGAGCTCAGCGTCTTCGCGCCTCTGCTTCTCCTCGTCGGTCTCTTCCTCGTCCTCCTCCTCTTGGATGTTCTCCAGAAGAGTGACTTCTCCGACCTTGTTACCGTCGTTATCAACGACATAGCCATTGTCGTCGATTTCGAGACCGGCGCAGTGGCCAAGGTCACCAGCGGTGAGACGACCAATGACGTCGCCGTTCTCATCGCGGACCTCACCCTCCTTGTTGACACGCATGCCAGCCATGGGGTTGATGCGGCGCTCCTTCTCTTCGGGCTCCCAGCGCTCGGCCTTGCCAATGACATTGCCGTTCTTGTCGTTGATGTCACCATCCTCGTCGACCTGGTGGCCCTCGAGCTTCTTGATATCACCCTCAATGACACGACCGATGATTTCACCGCCCTGGCTGAGGACAGTACCATCCTTCTGGACAGAGTTGTTATCGAAGCCAGCGAAAGGACCCTCGGGGCCAGGGTTGGCGCCATGAGCAAGCTCGGCACGTCCAATAACGTTACCGGCGTTGTCCCAGATTTGACCTTGACCATCAACCTTCTTGCCAACCATGGTGGATGGATCACCCTCAGCGACACGTCCAAGGATGGTGCCAGAGGAATCGACGACATTTCCGGCCTTGTTGACTGTGCAACCAGCAAGGGAAGAGAGGTCAGCTTCCTCCTCCTCCTCCTCTTCCCATGGCTCGGCGTGGCCCTTGACATTGCCATATTTGTCGATGATGTCGCCGTCTTCGTCGACGGAGTTTCCGACGAGCTTCTTGGGGTCACCCTCGGTGATCTGACCAACACGGTTGCCATCGTTGTCCTCGACGAATCCGTCCTTGACAACACGAAGACCCTCCAAGCCAGCGAAGGGGCCTTCCTTGCGGGTGACGCGCTCGTTGTCGGGAATCAACTCGCAACGACCAACAACCTTGCCCGTGTCACCGTGGATTTGACCCTCGCCGTCGGACTTGAGACCAACGAGGTCTTTGAGGTTGCCTTCGACGAGCTTGCCGATAGGGATGCCGTCCTGGTTGACGAGGAAGCCTTGCTTGTTGAGAGTAAGACCGTCCAAGATGGAGAGATCATCAGGGACCTCCTCGGGTTCGTCCTCAAGAGGCTCAGCGTGACCCTTGACGTTGCCGTACTTGTCAAGGATGTCACCATCTTCATCAACAGCCATGCCAACGAGACGTTTGGGGTTACCCTCAACAATCTGGCCAACAATGTTCTCGTCCTCATCAGCAATCTTGCCGTCGGGAACGACGCGAAGACCTTGAAGACCGGCGAAAGGACCTTCAGGCTTGGAGTCACGCTCCTCGGGAGCAATGAGCTCGACGCGGCCAATGACCTTACCGGAATCGTTCCAGATCTGGCCTTCACCATCGAGCTTCCTGCCGGCAAGCTCCTTTGCGTTGCCCTCGACGAGACGGGCAACAGGAACACCCTCACTGCCGATAACGTTGCCTTGCTTGTTGACGGTCAAGCCCTCAAGCGAAGACAAGTCGGCTTGTTCAACTTCAGGTTCGGGTTCCTCCTCTGGCTCTTCGTAGCGTTCGGCGTGGCCGACGACCGAACCCTTCTTGTCGAGAATGTCACCATCCTCATCAACGGCACGGCCAACGAGCTTCTTAGCGTCACCTTCGACGACTTGGCCGACGCGGTTGCCGTTCTCGTCCTCCACAAAGCCGCCCTTGACCACAACGAGACCATCGAGACCAGCGAAGGGAGCTTCTTCCTCACCCTCCTCCTGCTCTACAGTCTGAGCACGGCCAATGACGTGGCCCTTGTTGTCCCAGAACTGACCCTCGGCGTCGGAAGTGATGCCAGACTTGGAGAGCTTCTTAGCATCACCCTCGATAAGCTCACCAACAATGTTACCGTTGGCATCGATGAGCTTGCCGGACTTGTTGACTGTGAGTCCTTCCAGGATAGACAGGGGTGGCAGGTTGCTCTCCTCGGCGTCCTCAGCAGCATCCTCAGCATCCTCAGCGGCGCCCTCAGCATCTTCCGCTGCTTCTTCAGCGTCTTCAGCGGCGTCTTCGGCCTCACCAACCTTCTGCTCGACCATCTGAGGGAGGGTCTTGACTTTTCCAATGACGTTTCCGTCCTTGTCGAGGACTTCTCCCTTCTCGTTGATCTTCTTGCCGGCGCACTCGGAGATCTCGCCCTCGGTAAGCTCGCCAATAGGCTCACCGTCCTCGTTGAGAACTTGACCCTTCTTGTTGACCTTGAGACCATCAAGGATGTCGAGATCGGGAGTAATCTCAACCTCCTTGATTTCGGGTTCAGCCTCACCGAGACGTTCCTTGAGCTCCTTCATGGCGTCGAAAGCAGCCTCACCAGAGACAACGTCGACCTTGCCAAGCACGTTGCCGTCCTTGTCGAGGACCTCGCCCTTGTCGTTGATGGTCTTGCCGGCGCATTTCTCGACCTCGCCGTCCTTGAGCTCACCGATTTCCTCGCCTTCGGCGTCGAGGACCTTTCCTTTCTTGTTGACCTTGAGGCCTTCAAGGATGCGGACATCGAGAGCACCAGCAGCAGACTCCTTGAGCCTGTCGGCAGCACCTTCGGCGAGCTCGACTTTACCGAGAACATTGCCCTCAGCATCGACAACTTCGCCCTGGTCGTTGACGGTAAGACCCTTGACGTCGTCGATGTTGCCTTCGGCGAGCTGGCCGACAACTTCGCCTTCGTCGTCGAGGATTTCACCCTTGGAGTTGACTTCCATGCCCTCGAGGGCCTCGACACCAGGAAGTTCGTCCTCAATGTCTTCGGCGGCCTCCTCGACACCTTCCTTGGCGCCCTCAGCGGCTTCCTCGGCGGTATCCTTGGCTCCGTCAACGGCACCCTCTGCTTTCTCGGTGGCGCCGTCAAGAGCGCCGGTGGCTTCATCGTCACCTTCCTCCTCGTCTTGGTCGACGAGGTCGGCCGCATCGGGGTGGAGCTCAGCGCGAGCCAAGAGGTTGCCGTCGTCATCGTAGATTTCGCCGTTCTCGTCGAACTCGAGTCCTTCGATGTCGGCAGGGTTACCCTCGACAAGGTGGCCAACAAAGTCACCATCCTCGTTCAGGATCTGGCCGGTACGGTCGGCACTGAGACCCTTCAAGATGCTGAGAGGAGGCATCTTCTTCTCGCCGGCATCCTGGGCTTCCTTGAGCTGGTTCTGGGCAGCCTCGGGGAGGACTTCGCAGCGTCCGACCAGATCGCCATCGTCGTCAAGAATCTCGCCATCATCGCCAATGGCGTAACCAGCAAGATCCTCGGCATCACCTTCCACAAGTCGGCCAACGGCGTTGCCGTCCTTGTCCTTGATGAGACCTTCATCGTTGACCTCGAGGCCCTTGAGGATGCTCAGATCGGGGGTATCTGGAAGGTCCTGGCCTGTGGCATCTTCAGCAGTGCTCTTGGCGCCGTCCGTAGCGTCCTGTGCCTTGTCTGTAGCATCACCAGCGGCATCCTGTGCCTTGTCTGTGGCGTCACCGGCTGCATCCTGTGCTTCCTCGGTGGCATCCTCAGCGGTGTCCTTGACGTTGTCACCAGCACTTTGAGCAGTAGACTGTGCGTCGTCGGCAACATCTTCGGCAGCACCCTTGGGATCCTGGCCGGACTTGCCAGCCAACTCGCCAGCTCGGCCGGCGAGCCCTCGAGCACCGCTCAATGCCTTGGAGCCCTGCTTCTGAGCATTGCTGGCGACATCTGTGGCGTCGTCCTCGGTGTTCTCTTGAGTCTCGTCGCCCTCTTCGCCGGCTTTTTGGGTTGCACCGTCGTCGGTCTCGTCGTCGTCGTCATCGGCGTTGCTAGCGGCTGACTGAGCAGTCTTCTTAGCATCGTCGGTTGCTTCTCCGGCCTTCTCCTTTGCGTCATCGGCGGCATCCTCGGCGTCGTCGATGGGCTTGGGCTCCTGTTGCTCGAGGTCGTCCTCGGCTTGGGAGACCTTGCCTTGTGCACTGTCGGCTGTGTCTTGGGCGGTTTCTTGGGCCTTGTTCTTGGTGTCTTCTACGTTCTCTGGGGCATCCGGTGCCTGTTCACGCAGGGTCTCTTCGGAAGGTTGCGAGGGCAGATTGGGGGACTCTGACGACTCGCCGCTCTTCTTGCCCAGCTTGGGGGCGCCGGACTGCTGGGGCTTCCTGCCGAGCTTGGTTGGGGTGCGGGGGGTATCACCCTTTCCTGCAGCGGGGGAAGGCATATTGTCGTCGTGAATATCAAAGGGCTCTCGTGTAGTTCGTAAAGTTCGTTGAGAGGCAATAGAGTTGTTGCTCGAAATAGATCGTGAGCGTTGTGAGCGGGGGGAGTTGCGGTTGGGGGTGGGGGGGAAGGAGTAGTACGAGTAGTTGTTGGAGGAGTTATCGGGCATATATCACTTGACGAGAGTGTCGTCGTATGTAGGATGAAGAGAAGAAAAGGCTGGCTGGGGACCAGGACGAGCTAGAGCTTTATGGCGGGCAGCAGGCATGGGGGAATTGTTTTTGCAGCATGACGTAGGGGCATAATTGCTCCTCCGCGAGAGCTCCCGCGGTAGGGATTGCAGGGGTAGCTCGCGCCCCATGGACGGGTACTGGCCTCAGCAGGCTGCTGTAACCGGTTTTTGGCTGGAGGGGTGGTGAGAGGCAGCAGGCGAATGGGGACGGACTGTGTGGCAGCGTCAAGCGGTTCCATCGCATTACATCACAGCTAGCGGCGGGCGGGGCGTCAGCGTCCTGAGCGTGTGGGTAGACGGGGAAACGCCAGGGCCTCCTGGTGCGACGCGAAGGCTCGAATGGAGTCGAGGAAAGCTGTGGCTGACGCGAATCGACGATGGGGGGAATATGGATGGATGCACGGATGTGTGCGTGCAGCTGTCCATGTCTCTCCGATTTGCCCACCATGCACACACATTTTGTTTCTGCAGCCAGCAGTCGGTGCATATCTCAAGCGGAAGAAGGCCTTGGTTCGTGAGTCTGCAGACTCAATTATCCAGACCCAGGCAGACATGAAGCTGTAGCTGCTTCACCCGACTCATTGAGGTTCCAACGGGCGAACGGCCACGGCGATGGCATCTCGATGGCCGCGACAGCGACGGCGATCGCCAGACGCTGTGGCGGACAGACTCCACTGATGAGCGAATCGAAAACAAGCATCCCTGAACGAGGACATGTCTCTCCTTCCTGGAACGAACGAGTGATATCAGCGGGAGTCGCGTACAGGCCAGCAGCAACCTGCTTTTCGAGGCGACGGTCGAGATGAGATGACGTAGGGGATGGTGGTGGTAGTGGAGGTGGAGTCGGGGTGGAATGCGGCACGTCGTGCGGTGCAAGGATGCTCCCTCGCACGGGACCAGAGGCTAGCCCAGCGATCGTTGCTCCACTCCTGTCTAGCTCTCTCCGATGACTACAGCGTACCGTCTTTTGCAACTTCGCCAGTCCTGTACTGTTGTATTGTAGCTATCCAACTGTACACTAGCAATCCGGTACATGTCGTTCGCCCTTAGCTCCATCTTCTTACCATCTCATAATGCATCCATCCCACCAACCACCAGAGGAAGAAAAGTAATAATAAACCACCCTTTCCCCAATCTTATCCATCCCTGGCGTTATCCCTCGTTTCACAATTGCCTGCCCGTCCCCATTTTAAAAACAGCATCCAGAACGTCCAGAACATCCCAAAAATCCTGTTCCTGAGCGCCACAACATGATGCCGTATTCCTGCTTCCCCCTTCCTTCGTGCCATTTTTCCAGCCTCTCTTTCTCTCTGTTGTGTATCCCCCCCACCCCCATCTGACACCGGAAATTATATCAATGACATCGCTTTTCAATCATCCCGTCCTCCCCTCGTCATGCCATTCCTCGAATCGAGAAGATGAAGAAAAGTGAGGGGCCGTGCATGCTATTCCCGGCATCGAGATTGCATCTTCTGCCTGTTCCCCCTAGGGACCGCCTCGTGTAGTCCCCCCCGCCGCTCCGTGCTCAATCCCCATCTCAATCTCCAATCAACCAACTTGATGATGATGCTGTGTCCTAATTCTTTGTACAATCGGAGCAAGGCTACATGCATGCGTCACTACCCCGATCCATCCTCTCGCATCTACTATCCTCTCATGACTCGAATAGCAGCCCGCCCCCTCCCCCCCTTGCAAATGGGAGATGCGACTGCAAAAGGAACAATTCCGTGCCGTGATCCTTTTGCTGTTGCTCACCCATTGCATCACTGTTGGTCGGAGACTGGCGAGAAATCCTTGATCTCTGAGGTGAGGCTCATAGGTACCTAGGTACATGTTGCAGGCTCGCCTAGAGTTGGCGGCGCGCGCCGCGTGTCCATGATGTCAGCGGGGCAACGCCCTCGCGCCGCCCCACAAGTTTGGTTTGCTTTGGTTTGGCTTGGTTTGCTTTGCTTGCTGTGGGCTAGCTACCTGGAGACGATGCTGTTTGACTCTCGCTCTTTTTTTCTTCTCTCCTACTGTCTGGGCTGGGTTGAGCCGGGATGATGGTACTTTGAGAACTTTGTGTGGAGGGGACCCTGATTTGCTTCATCGATTGATTGATAGATACGTATACGTACAGTACGTACCATGGGTCTGGAACGTAGATATTGCCATGCCCTGGAGTATTGGCAGAGAAAGTGACTAGAATAAATCAATCGCATTGGACAAATATGGTGGGTCATCAGACAGCCGGTCAAGGCGATTACGGATATCATGGAGGAGAAGAAACAAGACGAGAGATAGAGAAAGAAAAAAAGAAAACAAAATAGCATCCCGCTCCTCAATGCGCGAAAGAGAAAACCGAAGCAAGAATAAACACAGCAACGTAACCTCTCTTCGAATGCGGAGCATGCTCACAAAACTCAAAACACGTGCCAACCCTGGTTACTGGACCAACACAACACTTCAACATGTAGGCTCAACCTTGTCTCGCTTCCCTGCAGGCGGGATGCTGCTCTCGACATCCTGCCCCGGCATGCTGAGCGCTTTCTGGTGTTTCTTTTTTTGCTGCTGCTGCTGCTGCTGCTGCTGCGAGGGCGATCCTTCTCGGAGCGATCCGGTGCGCTGGCGGATCCGCGTCCACACTCTGTGCTTCCAGCTCTTTTCTTTGCGTTCGGCTTCTTCTCTTTCAGCTTTGGCCGCCAGAATCCGCCGTTCCTGCTCTGCGCTCTTGCTCGTGTCCTTCTCCGCCTCCTTCTGCTTCTCGTACTCTTCCGGCCGCATGATCTTGGTCTCGGCATTGCGGGCGTGCTGGACCCCCGATTTCGCTTTGCGGCGAGTCTTGACGTACGTTTCGAGCCCTACCAGTATAGCGTACGACCGAGAAATCGACACGCGGGACATGTCGACTCCATTGTCTCGTAATGAGTGTACAAAGGCCCGAAAGTTCTTGGTTGGTGGCCGGTAGTGCCCAGACAGCGGCGACAGGCGGCGAAGCTGGCCGTCTTTGATCTTGATTAGTCCTGCAGCCGATATCCTAGCCCCGTGCAGGAAAGAGCTGTGCTGGAATGCGCCCGACTGCTTGATGCCCACATATAACCGGAACGATGTGTCTGCTACCTGTGTCTTCTGTTAGCTAACAGTTGGCAAAACCCCAACATGTGCCCGTTTGGTGAAAGACGTACGAAGATCCAAGTGTGAGGCTTGACCGATCCCCTCAACAAGTGATTCAGCAGGGCCGCGGCCGATACGTATTTGATCTTTGACAGCCCCTTGGCGTCCCGCAGATCTTCGTTTACGTAGTGTTCGCCTTCGATGCCACTGTGTTCGGATTCACTGGAAGAGCTGGAACTCGAGGAATCAGAACTGCCAGGCCGACCTTTTCCTCCAACGAGTTGACCATAGGGACCAAACGACGGCGATGTGGGATCGTCCTTGGGGACAATGCCATTCATGCTGTCTTTGAATTCCTGGGTTGTGTTGATTCGTTCGCCATTCTTTGCCCAGACGAGTCGTCCCTCGCTGTCGATTTTGGCTAGGTAACTCATCCGCTCCTCTCGACTCAGATATCGTACCTGCTCCCTGTCGAGACGATCTCGCGTTACCCTGGGGTGCTCGTACTCCTTCCCTTCCCCAAAGTCAAGCCAGTAGAAGAAATTCTCCGTCGTGTCCGACTTCTTCCAGTGGTCGTGATATGACCTTAGGTTACTTCCATACCGGTGTTTGGAATCCACCATTTCCAGAAAATACTGCAGGTCCATCATCTTGGCCGTCTTCTCCCGCTCTGCACGCTGCTCCATTTTCTTCCGTTGGTACCGTCTGCGCTCCTCTGGGCTCATGGCGTCCTCGTCTTCTGAAGGCTCGACGGGATCGTCTCCGCCCGCACGCCGAGCAATTTCTCCCACGCGCTTCCATTTTTTGCGGGCGGCATCGCTCGCCGCTCGAGATCGCTCTGCGGGGGTGGACAGAGTTTCGAGCTCTTCGGATTGCGCCGAACGGGAAACGGTGCGAGTAGCGGTGCGCCATCTTGCTTCTGAATTTCAGTATTAGATGCACACGATGGTATTCATGGAAGCTGACCCTCTTTGATAGCCTTGCAACGAATTAATCAGCGGAACCATCTACAGCGTGCGCGGGGGTGACTGTACCTCTGTCCATCTCGAGTCGGCGTCGAGGCCCATACCCTTGAGCTGCCTGCGCTTGCGATAGCCGCGGTAGTTTCTTTGGATCAACTGTGCGGCGTTCTCTTCCTCCTCACGAGACGGCGCACGGCGATGCTGGCCATGTGGACTGCGCGCATCGCTCTGCTCTTCACTCTGTTCTGGCGGAGCCATCTATTTATCGGACCCTTTGTAGATTCTCTCTGAACAAAACAAGCACATGTGGCGGTGGGCCGTTCTTTTGAACGGTCTGGATGGATGGAGGGGCTGAGCCACATTATAGATCCCGGTTGGACCCCTGTCATTTCACATTTCGGAAATACGGCACAGCCAAACAGAAAAAAAAACATCCAACTCCATCACAGGTGGCTGGTATTGAGAATATTGTCCAGGTCTATGTACAGCTGTATTCAACAGTCGACTGCGCCCATCCACGCGACTTCCAGAATTCAATATTTACATCATCCGACACGCGTCACATCAGGGAAATGCCGATCCTCATATCTACCAACCCCTCACTTCAGTGGCTACTTGCTCTATTCCAACCAGACCTACATACCCACTATATTTGAGTATGTAAGCCATCCACGGGGTTTCTCAGTTGGGATCGCCATTGAACAAAGGCACTACCTTGAAGCTCTTGGCCAGCTGCGGCGTACTCTTGCACTTCCCAAGCTCCTCTGGCGAAATCTGAACCACCTCTTGCCCGCACGCAGAGTCGGTGTAGCCCGTCAACTGCCATGCCCCCTCGGCCGTCGCAATCTTGACCTTGTCGAACTGGAACTTGTCGTCGAACCAGTACGATGCCTGGAAGCAGCTGCCGTGCGGGAAGTCGTATCGAATAGACGCCGTTTCGGAGAAGTCGGTTTTATCCTGGTTGCTGCACTGGTAGGCGACGCTCTGGCACCAATCAGGGCGGTCGGAGCCGGGCACGCATGTAGCATTGCCACCTAGACCATATGCGAAGTTGGATGGGAAGGGGTATCTGGATGGGGCCTTGGGAACCGCTGGGGCGCCTTTGAGGTTGGAGAGAAGATGCCCCGAGTAAACCGAGATGTGTTCGTCTTTTGCCACGGGAAGACGATAGTCAGTAAGAGAAGGCGTAGCATAGAATTTGTAAGACGACCACACTTACCCAGCTTGAGTGTCGTTTCTTTCCGCTCTCCAAAATTTGGTCGACATTGACAAGTGAGACTCGATCCGCCATCCACGAGTTTGCACTCAGCACAGGTTACATAGTAAACGCCACTAGAATCATATCAGCGACTTGTTACTCGTGCATAACCCGCGAACGTGTACTCACTTCTCCGTCCACTTCAAGTTCCCATCGTCGTTGCCAATCTTGTTTGGCAGGTACGTCCCACTTGTGATTCTGGTCGACCCGGTACCAGTCAAGCAGTCCCCGACAAGCCAGCGTTGACTGGTGATGCGGACATTGGTACATTGCGAAGCAATCGTGCCGGCCCGGGCTGCAAGAGAAGGTGCTGCCGCTGCACCGCTGAGCAAGGCCGCAAAGGCCGTAAGGGCTGATGTGCAGACCATATTTTTGACTCGTCTCTCTATTATCTTATTCAATACAGCGCCGTTGTTTGTCGAATCCTGAAATGCGGTGGTCAACGTCTATCCAACAAGCGTCAATATCCGATCAACAAAGTTGAAAGAAAAACCAGTAAACGAAGAAACACTCGCGGAAGCCTTCTTAATATAAGTTTAAATGATGATCGAATCTCCACAAGCAAGGAAGCAGGCCTGCAAGAAAACGTGGGACAAGCAGCCATTTAATATACCAGGCTCAGCAGATACCATGCCCACTACCGCATTCCTCTTTCGACATCCAACCCACCAAACCAAGAACCCCAAACAGGAACAAACAAAAAAAAAGGTAACACGGCAACCACACCCCCTGGTACTACGCCAAAAAAAACTCCAATTTCAATTTCAAACCACGTCTCGCTACTGCACCCGCACATGTCACCAGGCCATGTTATCTAGGTATCCACCCATGCATCCCCATTCATTCATTCATTCATCCATCACCACCCTCTCTCTTCCCAGAACAACGCACCAACCAACCCCCCAAAAAAAATAATAAGACGTACCAAGACATAATAATTGACCTTTCTGGAGTTCCTCCACCTAACACGTTCTACCCCAGCCCATCCTCTCCTCTCTCGCCCAATAGCGACGCCCTCGCAATCTAAATTACCCGAACGCCTACCACAAAACCCCAAACCGCTTAACGCTTTTTTTGTTCGCTTATATTCTTGTTGTGAAGGGGAGGGGAGGGATAGCCCGGCAATATCTCTTCATCTATCATTCTATGTGATTAGGTATGTACCTTTTTCCGGAATCGGTGTGGGGTAGTAGCGCGCCGAGGCTCGCAACAAGGATAATCTGAGGAACGGCTTCTCTGTGCTTAGATGCTGGGGTAGGAGGCTTGTTGTTGTTTTTCTTCAAGGGAGGGGGAGGGATTGCTGCGGGTATGCCTAACTCGACGAAGCTTTTATTTGTTTCTTGTCCTTTTATTTTATTCTGACTTGGAGGGAGGGGAGAAAAAACAGAAAAGGATTTAACACGTGAAAACCGCAACAAACCCGGAAATGATGTCTCTCTGTTTCTCCCTTCAGGCCACCACCCCCCATTCTTCCAAGACGGCAGATTGAACAAAAGGCAAAACTGGCAGAGACGCTCGTATCGCTCGTGACGCAACAGCACAGCACAGCACAGCACGGTACGGTACTCGATTCCGTTTTGTGGGGTAATGTAGGTCAAGTCAAGTCCATACATGCATGTAAGATAATCAACGCCGGCAAATAACGAATCCCTCGTATTCAGTCTCTCTTTTTTCCCCCGCCAAACCTTTTTTTTAATAAGGTGCTTATGTACATATAGGTAGGTAGGCAGGCAGTTACTCCATTCAATAGGGAAAGCGAGGGGGGTTAGGTACATATGTACATAAGCGAACGCAGCAGCGAGGTCACATTCTCAACATGTGGCAGGCGGGCAGGCATCATCGCAGGAAGTGAATCCTTGATATCATCCGTTGGATTGATTGAATACGAGAAGAGGGAGGTACAGGAATGTCTGTGTTCCGGTTGCGTTGAGCGTGCATGAGCGCCACCGAATATAAAAACACAAAAGAACGGTTGGAAACAAGAACTACCTCGCATCATCCCCGCTGCTGTGCGTGCGAGCGCGGGGGAACGAGGGACAACAAAACTTAAGCGGTCACAAAAGCATTTTGTTTGTCCTTTAACAACTTTTTTTGCGAGATAGCCCAAGCAGATTTAGGTTTTTTCTTTTGTTCAAGAGTAATGAAGAAAGCTTTGCTTTGCCAGGGTTCCCTCCCCCACAGCGGGCCCCGGGACAACAAAACAAGACATCTTGGCAGGTAGATTCACCTACCTACCTACCTATCGTCGGCAAAAACCCAACAACAAAGAGAAGCAAGAAAGAAAAAAAAAAGGGAAAAGTCTGGACCGTTTTGCAGCTCCACTTTAAATTTAAATGGTATAAAAGGTAACGTACGCCGCAAAAGCGCAGACTCGCCCCATGCTGTTTGTTTATCTCCGCTGTGACTACCTACACACGGCCATGTCCGGGATACTGGATCTGGAAGGTCGATAGATAATGCTAGTGTTTCTGTGGAGGAGATGAAGGTAAGGCGGAGTAGCATTATGGGTACTCTATGTGTGATTCTCGGATTCTTCGGTGTTGCGATTGATCGGTTGGTCATGGCGTTCTTCTTTTCCTTAGCACTAAGTGATTTGATGATTTGTAAGTTGGAGTTTGGGTCATCTTACATAGAGCGATGTAGTTATAATAACCAAGGAAACGAAGAAAAAAAAACTGGCGATTACTCAATCAACGTTGTTGCTGGTGATTCATAGGTATCTCCTCTGTATCAACTTGGCAAAAAGAACGCTATAATCTGCATAGTTCATCTCTACACGTATATACGCAAAGCTGATGATATTAGGCTTCACAGCAATAAAGTTCATGCGCGATCTTCGGGAACACCGAGATTCATATTATTTCGGAATCATCATACCTCTTCTTCCTTTTCTCGGGCGGAAGACGTACTCGTGCGTAGAATCATCGAGTACCCAGCTTACATAATCTACATGGTCCCGTTATATGATCTGCGAATTATAATCTTGAATGAATCGGACTCAGTGAGGGAGTAGTATGGGCTACGCAGTAGCTAGGAACTCTCTCAGTAGGCAGCTGCCCCTACGCTGTTTCCGTGTCGCCATGTTGAGGCTCGAGAGGAAGCAATCGCTACGTCGACCCACCTCACGCTTAGAAAGAGGAAGAAGACTCAAGATAGATTCATCGAGTCTGATCAGAGACACAAACGAGAATTGACGATGTAGCTACCCCGCTTCTGCTTCGCCTTCGAGGCTGAAAATGTGTTTTTTTCATCTACAGCCTTCCATTCCGGTTCTCGTTCTGATTGGCTCTTTCGTCTCGTATTCGCTGGGCTGACACAAAAAGAGCCTCTTGAACTTTTAGGCGCGGCCTCGGTAACTTGAGAGCCAGCCTGGTTCCTCATCCTACCTTCAGCAGTACTCTATTCACAAGTATGCCTCCCCTGGGTCGAATTCGACGTCGTCTCTTGCCCGACGGTCATGAACATGGCAGGTCATCGTTATCGTACGAAGCCGGAAAAAAAGAGGAAGCAAAAGAAGAGCTTCCACCTCAGATGGGAGACGTTGATTCTTCGCCAGAAGATTTTTCATCGTCCGCGATGCGAAACTCAGATGGCCCTGAGACCCAGAAAAGTGATTTCATTGGGACGGATATAGATGATGGAAAGTTTCAAAGAGACTCATCACATACTTCCAGCGACAGAGACCAAGATCTTGCAGCTGGCCACACAGTTTACACTGATTCAGGATACCGCGAAGACATCGAAGCGGATGCCATAGGCATCTCCTCGCTTGTAACCCCCTCTCTGGAGTCCACCTACATGGGATCGAGCATCAATCTGATACAGCTCTACACATCCGAACTGGCAGATGAAATTTACAAAATAGTTCTGTCTGTAAATTTGGACGACGATATCATGGAGAGAATCTGCGCTACCCTTCCTGTTCTCCTCAAAGCTTTCGGTCTGAGAATCGGCTGTAATGCACGTACCCAAATGCACCGAGACGTCATGTTTTTTATCGTCAAGCATCGACAGTGAGTTCCATCTCGTAAAAGGTCTTGCATGCTTCGTAGGATGTCTAGCTGCTGACTCTATGATTACTCAAGTGATGTTGTTGCACAATTCCGCGAAAAATGCGCTCTTCATATTGAAAATACACGGCAAGATATAGGACAACAAACGGAGAAAATGCCACTCGAAGACATTTTGAGTAGATGGAGCCAGACGATGACAAGCCCAGAGGAAACTGACCATCCTCTTGATGACGAGCAGCTGAATGAGGCAAGCACCGGCGACTTATTAGGCCCCAATTTGTATGATGTAGTAGATGAGGATGAATCAGATGAGATGGATTCGTCTGCTCTCTATGCATACCGAGACTTCATAACTAAATCGCCGGCGTATATATGGCTCGAAAGAAGTTTACGGAAGGAGTGCCTGCTGGTTCCGGCAGAACCGAATCATATGAAGGCTATCGGTAAAAAGATCACTTCCTGTTTGCCATTGCAACGCAAAATTAGCAGAAGACGATCATCGCAGGTTTACAAGATGTTATTTCAGGTGGAATGGGACTCGGAGTCGACTACGCTTGAAGAAAATCAAGAGTATTCAGAGAAACTAAACCAGCCATTTGGCACGGTGATGACCCTGATAAACTATCAATTCATGGTCCTGACAGGATCAGCCGAAAACGCGCAATCACAGACGGTTATTGGATATCTGAGTCAGACATGGCCGTCAACTGGAAAGCATACTATGCGGCTGGTCGAAGATGCCCTCCTACATAACCAAGGAAAAAAAACTACATGTAGGTCTTGACGTGTTGATCAAACTGGTCCTGGTTTTGGCTCTAATTTCCCACCGTCAGGCACTTTACCCGACAGTACTACGCTCGTAGCATGGCTTTGGCAATCAAAACTTATGGTCGAGGTGGTCGGGATAGAATACTCCATCGTGGAAATTGGTGAACAGCTCGCATGGCTCGCAGCTGCTCTTCGCAAGTCCTCCAACGATCACCGAGTCACTTACTGCATACCAATCGTTGAAAATCAGACTGGATTACGGAGTCCTAGTGCGATGATTGATACCACCACGAATGCGAACGAAAATCCGCACGGAACAACATATGGACATGATGCCTCATCGTTAAGAATTGAAAGTTATTCACAGGAAACACCTCACATGGAAATTTCACAAGAGGTAGTCTGTAAGATCTCTGCCACCGTGGAAGACGGTGGAGAGCACCTCAACTGCTCGGATGACCAATGTTGGCACAATTTCTTCAAAAACCAAGTCATTGTCAAGGGATATCCCATATTGCGTGAATCGAAAACGACGACCATGAAATATTCAACAATTAGAACTGAGTCTGTATCTTCTCGGTCGACGACAGAGAGCACAATCTTTGATGATGATGATAATGATGACGGCAACTCCACTATACATTCTATTGACACAGAGCTGAGTGAAAGGTATGAGATTAGAATCCGACTAAACGCTTATGGCGTCACCATTCGAAATGGATTTAACACAAATCTTAGGACATCCCACAAAAGTCACAGACCGAGAAGTCCACAAGCAGTAGCCGCTTCAGATCGCTCTTCGTTTGTACATCACGCCGCACACATGGATATAGTGGATGCCGTTGTGAATCCGTCTAGTCAGCCAAATGTCAAATCAGTGCAAGACAGCAGTGTATCTGTTGAGGCAATGCGGGTTTCTCAGCTGATAGCCAATAAGGCAACCCTCCAGAAGCCTAACACGCGGTACTACATCTCATATACGCGAGCCCTAGGCCCTCCGCTCTCAGATCTGTGTAAAAGGTTCATCGAATGTATTGCTGGTAGTCCTTTGTCATGGTATCCGCTAGACGACCCAGAAGTCGAGTTAAAAGCCGGTCTCACTCGAGTATACTCCAAGTCTTTTGCATGTCTCCCCGCCAATCATACAACTAGCACTACTAATATATGTATTTTCAGGGCGGAGGGAAGCGGTTCTACGACGATATCCCCACCTCACTAGCAGAAGCCCTATTTCCGCGGCTAGTGCATGCTCATGAAGACGAGCCCAAGTCAAAACGGTGGGTTATCCAGCGGAGAGATATCGTACTTCTAGACACGACTCTTATACGACTCTTAAATACTCACTTTGCCTCTTCTGGAGTTGGGAAATCAATGGTGAAAGTACTAGAGCATGTTGACTCTTTGCAGAACGACGCCTCGTTGGGGGGTGGAGGCACTCATGCTGCCAAGACACACGGAGGAAACGACCAAAAGCATAATGCAGGCAGTCCCCCAAAGTCAAGCAATGGTATGAAAAGTACTAATAATCCAACCAATCCCTCTAGCGGAAGGGAAAGCAGCAGCGGTCATCCAGATCCACAAGGCTCGGGGAATCTACAGAGCGCCAACAACAGCGGTCAAGATCCATCCAATATTGCTAACAGCATAAACAACAACAGTACTTCATCTAGTGCTGGAGATGAAAATGAGAGTAACGATAGCGACGAAGAAGAAGACCAGAACAATCCACAAACCCATCCCGTCATCTTCCTCTGCGCCGACATTGGACCCAACGAATCTGTAGTCCGAACAATAGACCTCCACAACACAAACGAAACAATAACCGACAAAGTACTCTGCAGAGAGCTTCGAAACGCCTATAATGCGCTTAGATCCCAAACATGGTGGAGGCGCTGGTTCCGGTGGAAGCGCGTCACGGGGATAAAATTCTATCGCGTCAGTGATTAACCCTCACCTCCACAAACAAGATATTCTGGAATAACATCGCGTGTAGTTCAAGAGTTTCCTCCACAGCAGTCTCCGCAATCGCCACTACATCGATATCCACAGAGACCACGAACGATACCCCTGTAAATCCGATCCAGAATACACAGAATACACATTCCAACCCCGCCCTTGGCCCTGCGACTCACAATACCCCGGTGGCGAAGTCTGTTTCTTCTTCCACAACCCCTCAGAATGCGGAACCTCTTCCATTCTCAAAGAAACGCTACCTGTGCGCACCACAGGTCCCATCAAAACGCGCTGCAGGGCTTTTGGAATCTACGTGGAAGAGCGGTATTCTTTCTGGGCGCTGGTGGTGCTTGCGCTGGCCATGGTGATATTCACGTTGGGGGTCACAATGTGGTTTGTGCCGGAGTGGTTAAGGGATCATCCGGGGGATTTGCAGAATGCGACGGTGCCTGTGATGCTGGCTGTGAGTGTGGTGTCGATTTTTAGCAATCTTTTGGTTTCGCTGTTTGTGGTCAGGATGTCAAGTTCGTGAAGTTGGTCATGGAAATATGTCTTTTGTAATCGAGTATTGGCCTGGATGTTTATGTCGTGAATGCATGCCTGGAGCTCGTAAGCTGATTTATCGTGTTTTTCAATACCAAGTGTTTGTACCGCATAAAAAATGCGATAATTCACTACCGCCCTTAGTCGTGGATGCATCGGAATTCAATGAAGGAACCACAGGTATCAAAGACGAGGCATACTCTCCTCTTACCGTATGAGTATCATTGTGCAGGCTCACCCATATTCTAGTCGAGAATCATGACTTGTAGAAGCCCAGAACATCTACCCATCCATCATATGTACGATCACACTCAAATCTATACGCACATTGCAAACTCGAATATATCGATATCAGTAGCGCAAAAGCGCAAACCGAAAGTGCAGGATGTCAGCATATTGATTCGTGAACAAGAACGCCATCAGCAACAAGCACGCAACACAAATGCCACCAAGAATATTCCGTTAAATGACTAAACAACAAGAAAAGAAAAACAGGACACAATCTCATAGTTTCCACAATAGTAATATAGAAAAAATACTACGCGCCTATGTCTATCAGCTCACCCTCAGCATCGGCTTCCGGGATTCGTCCGGATTTCGACAACCTCCAACCCGCCCATCTTTCGTCCATCGGAGCTCCACATCTACTCATACTACGCTTCCCGTCCAATTAACAGATAACACTCTAGGCTACAACACCTCCTAATCCGGAATTCAGGGCGTAAAGTGCCCCTCGCTTTGCCCTGCGAATCCTACAATACTGGTACTGTAGACTATAGCCCGTGGGCAAAAGGGGCGGCGATGACCCACAAGCGAATGGGCAGACAGACAGATGTCTTTCCGACCATTTAATTCGCGGTGCCTGGATTGGGATCTACGAAGGAATGAAAGATTACTCTGGTCGGGGTACCACGATACGTGCGTATGTTATGTATGCAAGTGTATCTGTGTGTATCTGTTTATATGTCATCAATGCAAAAAGGAATCTTGACGAAACCATGATATTGATTTGAAATGTGCAATAACTGAGGATATATATCATGTCTTAGAAGGAGGGAGATGGAGGAGCTTTTTTGTGTAGACAGCGGAATTCCACGCATCCAAACACGTCGAATCCCGTTTCCCTCAAGTCCTGTTTGTAACTCGGGTCTTTTGCTGTCTGCCCATACATAGAGCATTCTCCTCATCTTTGCAAACGATCACACCAACCCCGACATTTCATTTATTTTCATATATTCCCTAGTAACGTATCTTACCTCTTTCTAAGCGAGAACCGATTTTATTGCTCTACTATTCAGCGAAATACTACTTCGTTCCCGAAAGAAGAAGTAGTACCGAAGATGTCGAATACAATCCTAGCAACACCACTGACGCTGCCCAGCGGCGTAGTCCTGCAGAACCGTTTGGTCAAGGTATGCCGTCCTAGAGTTTTGATAGTTACTGTTATTCCTTCGGAGGGGCTTACTGACAAATGAATGTCTAGGGTGCAATGGCCGAGCAATTCGCAGACGCCAACAACAACCCATCAGACCCTCACATACTCGCATACCGAGAATGGAGCACAGGAGGCTGGGGAGGTTTACTCACCGGTACGTTTCCCATCTCATTCCACCATTCTTCATCCTTCCTCAAACAAAAATGAAGAAATTTGAATAGAAGCCGCGTCCTCCGATTAACAGCAACAACTGACCCTCGTGTACAGGCAACGTAGACGTATCAACAAAATACATGGGAGGCTACAACGACGTAGCCCTCTCCGCCTCCCCAAACACCGCAACAATCGAATCCTGGCACCGCTGGGTCGCCGAAGTCCAAGCCCACAACACCCCCGGAATCGTGCAACTCGTCCACGCAGGCCGCCAATCCTGGCCAGGAGCCAAACGCAGCTTCTTCGAAAAATCAATCGCGCCTTCGCCCACCCCTCTCGTCACGGGCCCAGGAATTTTAGAGCGCCTCATGTCCAAGATGCTCTGGGGAACACCGCGAGAAATGACGATTCCAGAAATCAAAGAAGCAGTCCAGCAGTTCGCGCGCGCCGCCAAATTCGTGCACGAAGCCGGGTTTAAAGGGATCGAGCTCCACGGCGCCCACGGCTATCTAATCACGCAGTTCCTCTCTTCCAAGATCAATTTCAGGACCGATGAGTACGGCGGAACCCCTGCGAAGCGCGCGAGGTTTCTGATTGAAGTCATCCGCGCGATCCGAGCTGTCGTACCTGCTACATTCGCTGTAGGTGTAAAGTTCAATTCGGCGGATGTAGGTGGACAGGAGAGCCTTGAAGAGAACTTGGAGCAGCTGGGGCTCGTCGTCGCGGAGCAAGTCGACTTTATTGAGATCAGCGGCGGGACGTACGAGAACATGCGCATGGGAGGGCCTGAGAAGCCGAAAGCTGAGCGCACTATAGAGCGCGAAGCGTTTTTCTTGGATTACGCGAGTATCGTGCGTGAACGGTTCCCAAAAGTCATATTGATGGTTACTGGAGGGTTTCGGACTCGGAGAGGTATGATTGCTGCTCTGGAGAGCGGTGCCTGCGATATCGTTGGGGTGGGGAGGCCTGCGACAGTGTGGCCGCATTTGGTGAAGGATATTATTCTGAACGACGAAGTGGGAGATGATGACGCGAATGTTGTTCTGCCGCCGATACATCCTCCTTGGTTGGTTAGACAGCTGGGAATCAAGATGATTAATAATTCGGCTGATACGGTAAGTTTTGTTGGTGTTTAGTGAAAGATGCGAAGCTGACTGCTGTGTAGATGCATCACGTTGTGAATATCGGGCTGATGGGAGAGGGGAAGAAGCCTATACATCCATCGGAAAAGGCTTAGAGCCTGTCGCTGCAAGATCGCTGATGGGATGAACAGGGGAGAAGGAAAGGTGCGTATCTGGTGCGAGGGAGATAATAGAAGGAAGTGATACTTTAGTTCGGCAAGGACAGCTGGATTAGGAAGTGGAAGGAGTTTTTAAACGAAAGCTCTCTTTCTCACCCAGATGACTCCAAGAGAATAGACCAACCAATATAAAAACACATAACTTTCTAATAAATACAAGCCAGTGGCATGAAGTCCGATTCTCTTTCCCTCTAAATTTTGGAGACGATCATCTCTTCAAGCCTACACTAGAACTACGAAATTTTCAACCGTTCGAACTGCTCTAGAGTCTTCTGCCAATTCGCGCCGTCCAGCTCGGCAGCCTTGAGTTTCTCCTTCTCCTGCTCCTTGACTGCCTCACTGACTTTGGCCTCCCACGCATCGTCCATGATCTTCTTCTGCCTCTCCACAATCTCGTTGGCCTTCTTGATTCGGTCCTGCGCTTTGCTGATCTCCTTGTCGACATCGACACGACCCTTGATGTCTAAGAAACCAATCGCTGAGGTGCCGATGGTGTACACGGCACATCCGGATGGCGCGGGGTCACTGGGGGACAAGATTTTGATAGAAGAAACGGTCTTGCCAGCAAGCGATCGCAAAGACGGGAGAGCACTCGGCGAAGAAAGAACATCGTATGATGCGGAGTCGAGAGCCTGGATGAAGGTGGACCCGGATTCCTTGATAGCGTACTCGCTGGTAAGGGATCGGAGACCCTCAGTGCAACCGACAAGAAGTTCATCTGTGACCAATTGTTAGCATGCTCTCGTTCATACATTGGTGTCTAACTTACACTCTTCTTCGGCAGCTTCGTCGATAAAGTCTTCTCTGAACTCGGGATATGACGCGACCGTAATGGAAGGAGTCTTGTCGTTCTCCCTCCTGGGTAAACGCTGCCAAAGTTCTTCTGTCAAGAAGGGCATGAAGGGGTGAATCATCAACAAGCCGCCCTCAATGGCAGTGTAGAGGGTCTGTTTTGCGCTTTCCTTCTCCTCCTCAGTTCCTTCATCGAAGATCGCCTTGGAATTCTCAATGTAGGTGTCGCAAAGGAAACCATAGAAGTATTTGTAGGCGACCTGCGTTGACAGTGAGAACTCACGCTTTTCTAGATGCTCGTTGATCTTCTTGGAGGTAGTCGAAAGCTTGTGCAGAATCCACCGTTCGGGTAGAGTCTCCTTCCCAGACTTGGAAACGGTACCACGGGGTTTGAATTCACCTAGTCGGACAAGAGAGAATTTTGTAGCCTGATAAATTTTGTTGCAGAAGCGTCTGTATCCGTGGATGACGTTGACGTCGAACGCAATATCGCCGCCGCCTGTCGTGTAACCGACTAAAGCCATGCGTAGAGCATCAGCACCACACTCAGGAATACCTTGAGCAAATGCTGATTTTTGATACTGTTCGGCTTTCTTGAGCTCCTTGGGATCAAGGTTACCGATCTTGAGCTTCTCATTGAGTTCCTTCAACGAGATACCCTGCATGATATCGATAGGGTCGACAACGTTACCGAGCGACTTGCTCATCTTGCGGCCTTCGTTGTCGCGAATAAGCGAATGGCAGTAAACCTCCTTAAAAGGAATTTTGCCTGTGAGGTGTAGCGAGAGCATAATCATCCTGGCGACCCAGAAAAAGAGAATATCCCATCCAGTCTCGAGAACAGTCGCCGGGAACAATGTCCGCAGATCGACAGTATCATTTGGCCATCCAAGGGTAGAAAATGGCCAAAGACCAGAGGAGAACCAGGTATCAAGGACGTCCTCATCCCGCTCCAAAGTGAACTTCTTTCCAGGGAATTTTTCGCTGGCCTTCTTGTTGGCCTCCTCTTCGGTTCGGGCGGTGATCCACAGCTCGTTATCCGAAGCTTCACCGTCTTCACCTTCTATTCTGACGAAATAAGCCGGGATCTGGTGGCCCCACCACAGCTGTCTTGACAGACACCAATCGTTGATGTTGTTCATCCAGTGCATGTATACCTTCTCCGATGACTCGGGTCGGATTTTGATCTCGCCGTTCTCAACAACCTTGATAGCCTCCTTGGCCATGCCTTCCATCTTCATCCACCATTGCGGCTTCATGAGAGGCTCGATGACGTCCTTTGATTTGCTGCACAGAGGAACCTTCATGGGGTTATCCTCCGTCTTGACGAAGAGACCGAGATCCTTGAGCTTCTGTACGACACTGTACCGCACGTCGAATCGGCGCTGCCCCTCGAATTCTCCAGCGTTCTTGTTCATTTTGCCGTCATCGGTGAGAATGTTGATAAACTCTAGGTTGTGTTTCTTGCCCAAATTGAAATCGTTGGGATCATGGGCCGGGGTGAGCTTCACGGCACCAGTACCGAAGTCCTTGTCGACATAGTCGTCAGCAACGATTGGCATTAGACGTTTTGTGATGGGGTGGTAGGCCTTCTTTCCGACGAGGTGTTTGTATCGCTCGTCGTCGGGGTGCACGGCAACACCCGTGTCACCTAGCAATGTCTCGGGACGTGTTGTAGCGACCTCGATGTGCTCGTCGGTCCCTTCAATCGGATACCTGAAGTGCGTGAGCACACCAAATTCGACTTTTCTCTCGTATCCAGGGACATCTAGCAGTGTCCTGCCAGTGAGCTCTTTGTTGTCGACCTCCAAGTTGGACAAGGCCGTATTCAACCGCGTGCACCAATTGACAAGCCGGTTAGACCTGTAGATCAATCCTTCTTCGTGGAGCCGGACGAATGTCTCTGTTACAGCAGCCGAAAGGTTCTTGTCCATGGTGAATGCTTCTCTAGTCCAATCGAAGCTGCCACCCATTCGCTTCAGCACACCTGTAATGGAGCCGTGGTATTCTTCTTTCCATTCCATTGTTCGCTCCAGAAAGGCTGGTCGTCCGAGATCGTATCTCGTCTTCTTTTCGCGTCGCCATAGCATGTTCTCCACAACACTCTGTGTTGAAATACCAGCGTGATCGCAACCGGGTAGGTATAGGGTGGTGAATCCCCGCTGGCGATGCCACCGAATCATGACATCCTGAAGCGCTGTGGCAAGGGCATGTCCGCAATGGAGCTTTCCGGTGACGTTCGGGGGTGGAATCGGGATAACGAAGGTTCCTTTTTCGTTGACTTTGCCATCCTTCAACTGCGGGGTAGTATATTCAGGTTTGAAGAAGCCCTCCTTCTCCCACCAATCGTACCATGCGCTCTCGACGATTTTGGGGATGTATGCTGTCCTCTCCTTGTCGTCGAGGCTCTTGAGAATCTTCTTCTCGCCCTTGGGAGTCTCCTCGACATACTCGGGCAGCACCTCCTTTTCCACCTTGGGCTTCTTCTTCTCCTTGCTAGCCGCGCCCTCAGATCCACCTTTGGCAGCAGCCTGGGCCGCCTTTTTGGCCTTGAATTTGGCGTCCTTTTCGGCCTTTTTGCGCTCCTTCTCCAGTTCTTTCTCGGTCTTGACCTTCTTCTCGGGGTTCTTCTCCCCACCGTCAACGCCGGGTGCCGATTGCCCCGTGGGCTCGTTGCTGGCGTGCTCCAAGATGTCCTTGACACTGTCGCCACCCACGGCCGGCGGAGGGGTGGTGTTTGGGGCTGTCTTGTCGCCGGTGACGTTGTGGCTCGAGGCGTTGAGCGCCATGGTGGGCGTGGTGTACGCTTTTCGTGGCGGCGTGAGAACGAGTCTGCGGGGGAGGAAATTGTGGTGCAATTGGCGTGTGAGGGGAAGGGTGTGTCGCAGAGGAGACGACAAGCGCGGGAAAGCTCTATAAGAGCGCTGGAGGGGGCGGGGTAACATGAATTAGATGGGAGTCATGGTAGTAAAAGCGCGTGGTAACGAAAAAGTGCTAGCGTGGCAGTCCACACCACCACTCGCGACAGAGCTTCCATGACTCAAAGTGCCGGATTTGGGCTTATACAAAAATTATTTGGATGCTTCAAAACCTGACCGAGCTGACAACGATCGCACAAACACCACATTTGACGCACGCAGATGCCGGATCATTGGAGATTGTCATGTTCAATTGGATTTTCTTAGCAGAATGCACAACGCCGTCAAATGCAAGGCTCGATCGTTGTCACACGCCCGAACCACCTAAAAATTATTTCTGTAGTAGAACGTTCACCGATACCCAATGACTACATTTAGAATGCCCTGAGTCATCCTTTCACGTCAAGATGGATGCCTGCGCCGTTGCGCTGCCTGTCGTGAGATACCCAGGTTTCTGCCTTCCCTCTTTTCAAACATCCAACCACGCTGAAAGGAGGGGGTCATGTTCGCCAGTGTGCGCGTCCAGTCGGCCCTTGCCAGTTGTCTCACGCTTTTCCAGGTTCTGTTGCTTATCGCATCAGCTATCTAGTTGGGTATCTTTCATGAAACCGACGTGCCGGCGCTGTTGTTCTGCGCAGCTGCCTGGCGGACCGGTGCAAAGTAAGCATGTGCTTGAGCCTCCTTGGCTGTGAGTCGTTCCTGTATCAACTGTGAGTATTCGTTGCGCAGGACGGGAATAGAGGGCGGCTGTCTCACCTGATGGTCGTAGCGCAGCAGTTTATCCAGAAAGTCAATGGCATCGTTGCTAACGAAACGCTGGTTATCCGCGTTTATGAATGAGTGCCACGGCTTCTTCGGGTACCGTGACAGGATATCGTCGTACTGGGCGTCTAGTTCAATGTCGTATTTGTCGAGATAGTCAAAAAGATCCTCCGTTCCAAGCACCTTGGCAATCTTCACCAACTGATCCGAGTTGCTGTTCCCGTGGAAGAAGGGTTCGCGCCGGAAGATCATGGACGCGAACATGGCACCGAGAGACCACATGTCGAGAGAGTAGTCGTACTCTTGGAAATCGACGAGCAGCTCGGGGCCTTTGAAGTAGCGAGAGGCAACGCGGACGTTATATTCTGTTCCGGCGTGGTAGAACTCAGCCAACCCCCAATCGATCAGTCGAAGCTGCGCTCGTTAGCAGACAGAACGCGCGGATCTAGCAGTATGTGTACAACGCACCTTCTTCTTCTCGTGGTCGATCATAACATTGTGGGGCTTCACATCCCTGTGCATGATGCCCTTGCTGTGGCAGAAATCGAGGGCCTTGAGAAGTTCGGAAATGTAAAAGCGCACATCGTAGTCGGTGAACTTGGGGTAGAGCGTTCTAAAGTCTGTATTGTTAACCGCCTCAAAGATGAGCGAGGGCGTCTTGCTCTGGCACGATACAACATTAGCATCAGTTGCGCAAGTCGAGAAGACAGGGCAAAGGAGTAAGGTACCCAATCGCCAACCCAGTCGGAGCCATCACTAACCTGGTTGTCGCGCACAACATCGAGCAGCGACACAATGTTGGGGCCACCGGAGAGATTTTGCAGAATCTTGATCTCACGCTTTATCTTCTTCTTCTTAACCGGCTTGAGCACTTTGATAACGCACTTCTGGTAGTTGACGACGTTGATGCCCTCAAACACCTCCGAGTATTTGCCTCGGCCGATCTTGCGCACCACTTCGTAGTTCTCTAGGACGCCCCAAGAGATGTTGACGCTGTCGTAGTCCCAGTAGGAGCGGGGCATGTTGCCGTTGACGTCGGCGTAGACGCGGGCAACGCTGTTCGCGCCGCCAGCGCTATTGAGCGCCATGATTTTTGTGCTGTGGGGAGGCACAGGCAAGAGTGTAGCGACGACGAAGTGCGTATCGAGAGAGGGCGGGTGAGGATGATAGTGGTGGTGGTGGTGGTGGTGGTGGTGGTTGGTGTAGGTGCAGTGTAGGCGAGATAGCGGGGTGTCGCGGAGGTGGAGGGAGTGCTAGGACGAGCACGCCAGCAGGAAAAGCGGTCGCGAGGCTGCCTTGTTGCGTGCTGTCTGTCTTTCACAGTGGGAAGGGAAGAGGGAACAGCAGACCCACTTGCTTGCTATCGCGTATTCCAAGGCGCAGACCCTCACGACAGCGGGCAGGTGAGGTGAGGTGTAAACTGCGAGTTCACGGGATGGAGAGTTCGGTACCGTTCTGTTGCATGCGCCTTGTGCATCACTCACAGAGTGACTGACGGACTGTTTGTTTGTGCGTGCGTGCGTGCGAGGAACAACACCCGGCCCCGAGAGCCTGTCACGTGATGACGTAAAATTCGGCGCAAGGTTGGTTGGTCGCCGTGGTGCGTGGAACAACGACTGACAGACGCGGCCGGGATGCGCCATATTTGCTCGTCAGTAGTTCAACCTCACCAGCATCACAACACACTGTCTTCGCCATGTACCACGATTTGAATGTTCCCTGGCAAAAGGATGCAAATGAGCTGCAACGCACTATAGCATTCCTCGATGAGTGTATGCAATGGAATCTGTTGATGCCATCTTTTTTTTCCGTGCTAACCCGATCCAGTAGGATATGATGTGCTTGCTCTCACTCACACATACACGGGCCGGCTGCCTGCTGATCTAGTAAGTCGAAATCATCATCCTCCAAGTGACATTTGCTGATGTATGCTAGACACCTCCTATCCCAAGCACCTTGCCATTCCCAGTTCCTTCGCGCATGCGTATCTTGCGCCGCTGCAACATCTTCCTTACCGACTCAGCATCAAACTTCCGCATCCCTCAACTCCAGCAAGAGTATGACCTCATTGCGGCTCGACCTACAGATGAGAAGACTCTCCAGTCGGCGTGCTCCTCCTTAGATGTCGACATCATTTCTCTTGATCTCACCCTCAAGTTTGAGAAATATTTCAAATTCCCTATGCTCGGCGCCGCCATCTCGAGAGGTATCAAGATCGAACTCTGCTACTGTCAGGCGATATTGGGCGACGCCATCGCAAAGAAGAATTTAATCAGCAACGCCACCCAGCTGATCCGCGTCACTAGAGGACGGGGCCTAATCATTAGCTCGGAAGCAAAGAATCTTCTCGCAGCACGAGCACCCAGCGACATCATCAATCTCGCCTCAGTATGGGGCCTTGGTACTGAACGCGGCAAGGAGGCTCTGACTACGCAGCCTAGGAGCGCTGTCGAGCATTCAAGACTGAAACGACAAAGCTTTAGGGGTATTGTCGATATCATCTATGGCGGCGAGAAGCCCCCACCAGTAGAAGAGTCCCAGAAAGATGGGAAAAAGGACAAGGCGCAGACCAAGGAGCAGAAGCGAAAGGCCACGCAGAGTCTCGAAGGAACTCCAGTGAACCAACCAGGAGACGGGAAGCCCTCCAAGAAGCAAATGAAGCGGAACAAAAAAGCGCGAACAGAGAGTGAGCAATAAGGTAATTGACAGCGCCTATGGAAGACTATCACATCGTGTTCTCTACGTCGAGGTACACCTACGACTAGTCAAGTAGTTATTCAGCGCCCTTTCCATCACTCCTTTCAGGCCTTTTCTAGAGCTGCATAGATCCTCTCCTCGACCCCGTCCCTCAACCCAAGCCAGACATCCAGGTTCCACGGTCGGCAATTCCCGTTCAGTACGGCTATGATGCCTTTCTCGCTATCGACCCAGTACTCGGTATTGGCTGCCCCATACCTATACTCGGATCAGCAACTTTTAGCACTTCATTATCATCCACAGTACTCACCATGAGAAAGTTCCCTTGCTGCGACCTTTCTTCCCGCTTTTCAGGATTCGATCTTTTTTCTGCACATTTCCGCAGAGCCCAAAGCATCCCCCAGGATCGTTGTGTTCTGCTTCCAGGTCTACCGGGTATAGAGCATCCGGAACGGTCTCAGAAATGATGTGTCTACCAGTGTTCTTGATACCCTCGGGCAACTGTGGACTCGTAATTTGCTTCACTGCCTCTGCGCTCAAGATCCTGTTGCCTGTTACAGGATCCAGTCCAGCATTGGGCAACGCGAGGATGGATAGGAGTCTCGCCACATCCGCAACTGCAGCCACGATGCCCGAATCCGTCGGTATCCAATGGTGCTTGCCCACAGGAAACGCATCCGGCCTCTCAATCTTTTCCATCCAAGTCTCATTAGTCCCCGAAAAGGGAACAAACTTGCCATCCCGTAGAAACGTATTAGGCCAATAAGGACCCTCTTTCTCCCCCTCCTTCCTCGCCGCAACCTCCCCCATATACTGTCCCTCAAACCCAATCTTCTTCAACTCCATCTTCCCAAACATCTCCTCCTGCATATACTCATCAAGCCTACGTCCTGTAATCCGCTCATGCAGCACCGAAATCCAATTTGGGCCGTGCGAGTACAGCGCCTTCGTACCAGGCTGATACAACAAAGGCACATCCAGAATAGTAGAATACCAGTCATTCGTCTCGTTACACTCCATATGGCTCACACCCCTCTCGGGCCTCCCCATCCAATCCGCCAACGCGCTGTGGAAAAGCGAGTGCCCGCCTCCCCAGGAATGACTCATCAGCATCCTGGGCGTAATATCTGTTTTGCGATCTTCAAACATCCATTCTTTCGTCCCGTCTTCGTTCTCCTTGGTGCCTACGTGGACTTTTTTCCTCGCTAGCTCGGGGAGTTTGTCCGCGATGACACGCGGGTCGTCTAGCTGGACCAATCCCCGATCAACGAGCTGCAGGAACGCGATCGCGCCAATCACTTTGCTGACGGAAAACGTCACCGCGACCGTCTCCGTTGGTGAGAGCGCGCGGCCGATACTGGAGTTATGGGTACCGTAGGAGAAGAGCTCGTTGGAGGATGTGTCGATGATGTGGACGAGTGCGCCGGGGAGTTTTGGTGTCGGCCCGCTGGTGTAGGATTCTATGAAAGTGCGGAGATCTGCCTTTGCGGGTTCCGAGAGCGGTTTTGGAGCTGCTGGTGCTGGCGGCGTGGGTTGATCTGGTTTCGAGCCCGTGGGGAGCTGGAGCGACCGTGTGTCCAATGTGAAATTACCCCCCGGCGGGTTCTTACTCGAAGGCGTATCCGATTTCGAAGACATGTCTTTTTTCGTCTGATCTGCAATCCTTCTCAATTAGATAAATTCTTTGGAAGGGTGGGTTAGGAGAACAAGTTAGCTATCCCTTCTGTACAACTACCCAACTCAAAAAAACAAACAATAATCTACCTACCTACCTTTTCTCTTTTCTTTTCTTTTTTTCCCCTTCCTTCCCTCCTCCACCTCTATATATACCCCAAGACACACACGGCAAGTACACAACATATGTAAGCACATGAGCCAGTAGTGCAACGACCGCCATACCCTCAGCCTCGGCCTCAGCCCCTCACGCACCGTTCAACACTGACTTCTTCTCTCACCGTTCCTTTTTCCCAACCGCCGCGTTACCAAGTACCAACTTACAGATGTGAATGTAGATCGAAATCACACCGCCTCCCCCTCCCCACAAGAAAAAAAAAGCAAATGATGGAAAATAACCCCGCACCTTTTCATCACTGCTAGGTAGGTAGGTGTCACGAACATGCTGGCGCAAGCAGCGTCGGCGATCGCATCACGTTCTGTAGCGAACTAGCTAGCTAGCTGGAGAAGTCGTCCTCACCGATATCAAGAAAAGAATAAAATCTTATCATTTACCACATACAGTCCCTCATAAATACAATCACACAAGCATACATGCATATATACTATATCTCTCAAGTCATGAGGTTTGAATGCTGACGATAACAACGATGGAAATAATGATGACGATGAAAGAGTAAGCAAGTTTTGTTGTTGCTATTTAATTAAAAAAAAAAGGGAAGAGGCATACAGGGGTGTTGATTGTGCGAGTACGTACGTATGGGAATTCTCATTAAAGGCATTTTCTCTTCTTCTTTTTTTTTAAAAAAAAAATGGAATACAGCTTTTCTTTCTTTCGCTTATGCGTAAAGTTTTGACGGCTCTGTGAACTGTATAATGGTCTTCGATCTAGGGGTGGGAGGGGGTAAGAGAGGAAGATAACTTTGTTCTATTGACTAGGCTTTTGTACGGGCGGTCGTTGCCGTCAAAGATTTGTAGTGGATCGGGAGGTGGATCGGGAGGTGGTTCGTTGCTACTGCTGTCGGTGGCTATTACCAGTGCCATTGCCAGTGCCAGTGCTAGTTATTGCGCTGTATGAAGCTCGTTGGTAAAGGCGCAGCAAATAACATTCTACAAATTGGAGTTTGGGTGGTTCTACACAGAGTGGTATGTTTCCGACAATTGAAGTACCAAAGAACAGGCGATCTTTTTTTTTTAGTAATCGCCTGTTTTTTTTTGGGGTACTTGGTTGCTTGTGATATCGCTGGGTGTTGGAGCACCTAAACTCCTGACTCTAAACTTTAAAATTGATAAGAGGAGGATGGCCTCGTTTTGGTTTTTGGAGGGAGGAGGGGATTCCACTTTTCTCTGGATGACACTGAGATCCGTTATAGTGAAGAGTATAGCAACCTGAACCTTTATTTGGGTGATGTCCATGGTAAATTAAGTTTCTTCATCTCGACGGCGAGTTGGAGGATATAATCGATGCTCTCACACTGCGTTTTGGCTTTGTGCACGTTGTCGCCCCAGACATAACTATTTCTCGCACATTTTGTTGTCAGATACGCGGGAAAAGACGACAGAAAGAATGGGTGGTAGAAAAAAGGAGGAAAGACTTACATGCCGTGTCTCCGGACCAAGACAGCGTAGGAGTCTGGATACTTCTCCATGGCTTCTTCCAGGCTCGACGTCAGGTCCTCCTCACTGCGCAATGTTCGTCAGCTAGCCCACCCATCTATCGTCCCGTGTTCGAATCACAACCGTTTCATTGCGTCTGGAATGCGTGAACAGTCCAGCATGATGTCCAAGAAGAAAGGGGGAAGAGAAACATACTGCGCAGTATTTTCAATGATCGGAATCTTCAACGTATCATAGTACCCCAGATTCCCTGTCTTCCCCCGTCCCTTCGGTATCCCCTTGATCTGCTCAATACACTCAATCTCGAAGCAAGCGTCTTTTCCGAACTCGCGCTCAACGAGCAGCGTAACGAGGACAGCCCATTGCGAGTGGGTGTGGATGCAGCAGCCGGCGCCGCGCGTGAAGGCCGCGTAGAAGAGGGGCGTACATGCCGAGGGTTTATGGAACTGAGGTTTCCGAAGGTACTCTTTTGTCGCAAAGTCCATGACAAACATATCCGTTGGCTGCATGAGCTCCTTCTGCACCCCGCTCGGCGCAATGTAGATTTTGTCTTCGTGGCGGATACTTGTTCCACCGCCGGTGCCTGTGACCTGCACACACACGATTCACCATGTTAGCTTCCTCTATTCAATTCCATCACAAAGACCCTCATGGATTTGCGAGTTTTGCAATTCCAAGTGGACACCCAGCTTTTCACAAGTGCGTAGAGAAGGGGATTGAGTGTACCCAGCCCAAGTTGTAGAATTTGGCGCATAGCGTGCAAATGTGGTTTGCGGGATGCTGAGGATCGCTCGAGTGCACGAGTGCATCCGGTTCGACGTAGTTGGTAGACATGGTGACCTTTGGCTTGGAACGGGATCGAGGATTGGGAGTTTGGTATGAAGGGAAAAAATGTTGGGGTTGAGATGACGCGATGCGGAGGGGGAGCTGCCCCACGTACTCAGGTAACTGTTGATAGCAGGGGTCTTTCAATTCACCCCTCCAAGCGCCGCGCTAGTCGCGATAGTTGAGTACTTGGGTAGATATCTTCAGTACATGCTTGAGTACTAATTAATCATGGCTGTCGTATGATGAACATGAAGTTATATAAGCTTCAATGGAATTATTTATAGCTACGTACAATGAGCAGAGTCAATGTCCATTACCTCGATTACCTTCGGACGTCCATGCGCCAATTCATCTCCTCCATCAACTACTCTCTACCTTACACTGGGGGTATCTTAAATCAAAGCACAGCACCTACTCCTTCTGCTCCGAAGCAAGGGGAGAGGGCTCGTGTTTCTTTTCCTTGTCCTTATCCAGATGAAGAGCATGCTTCACCTTCTCCCCGAACCCTTTGCGGTCGGGTGAGTGACTGTGTCCTCCATATTTCTCCTTGTAAACGTTTCCACCTCCACCACGCTGGATAAAAAGTTAATCTCTCTGTCTGTTCCAAGTGTTCGATAGCTCGCGACGTACGCCAGTGTGGAAGTTCTCCTGTCCCGCGCGGAGCGACTGCTCGGGGATGTAGTCCTGCGAACGACGAGGTTGGGAATCGTCTTGCGGCTTGACTAAAGGCGATCTGCTGATGTTGCCTGCGCCACCCCGCTGTTCAGGTATGTGTTAGATGGGACGAGGGACCGACATGTCGAGGAAGATGCGTACGCCGGTGGAATAGTCGCCCTCGCTCTGGCCTTGGTAACCTTCACGGATGATACCGCCGTCGCTGTAAACGGTAGAATCAGGACCGATGTTACCGGCGCCTGTGACGGGCGTTAGTATGTATGCATGCTTGCCACCCGCGACCCATCTCGAGCTGAACTCACCACCGCGACCGGTAGAATGGATAGGCACAGACGTGTCTGACGTGTCTGGCATGGCGATCAAATCAGATTTCTCGAGTTGGCGCGAAAAAGAAGCAGTAAATCCAAGGTCAAGGATAGAAGCAGTAGGTATACGAGGAAGAAGCAAGTGGTCAAGATGCGCGATTGGATCCAGCCTTATATTTTGACGACCCGACACTACTTGCAGCCGCAGGCCCAGCCATGCTATGCCATATGGCTATGACGCAAGGCAGAAGTCGTTCCATTGGCGCGGGATGCTCGTATATCTTCGCCTGTACCGGAGGGAGATGTCACGCTGCGCGGCCTCTGGTCAATCAGGTGAGCGGGAAAAGCTCGTAGGCCGCCGTATTATCGGCGCCAGCGATAGGATCGTCTTGAAAGAATGACCACTAAACCAAGCTTTCCGCCGGTTGCATCATTGCTGGGAACTGGGAACACAGTGCTCCAGACCATGCGCGTGGGGAGTGATGTGTAAGGGCGCCGACATATGATTTTCCTGGCTGATAAGGGATGCGACGGGTTGATTCGTTGGATCGCCGCCTTCCACGCTAGTCTGTAACGGGCTTCATTGGTCTTGGGCAAGGTGCAGCACTGCAAGACACATGTCTACATTCTAAGCCTCTGCATTTAGGGAAAATCAAAGTTTGATCTTGGCCAGATACGACTAGATATGTATGTAAACAACAAGTGCTATCTCTGTGTATCAGAGGATGCTTGGAGTTGTGTTTGAGAGAAAGAAAAAAAAATCTACTGATAGTAAGGAAAAGACACCGAGGAAAATCCTCCCAATGCAATGCATGCATGCACGTACCTACCTACTCCATGAATGCAGATGTCAACTGATAAGTATGCAGAGAATAGTATCGGCACAAAGGAAAACTACTTCGTCTCTTGAGGTGGTGGTGCGCCACCCGTCGTCGGCAAGCCCATGATAAGCTTGCAATAGTCGTAACTGTAGCATGTTAGCAGAGCTCTCTTCTCTTTCCCCAAAGCATCACGTACATCATCCATTGCAATCCAGTCAGCGTTCCGATCATGACAATTCGAACCGGAAGTCCATTCCAAAGACCTCTGAACCCAATGTCCCTGTAGATCCGGCTAGTTGCAGCACCAAACGCCTCACCCGGCTGGCGATTTGCATTCAGTTTCGAAACCATTACATCTGCAGGGTGGCTGACGGCCGCACATAGGATACCGGCGAGGTAGCCACCCGTAAATGATACGGCAGTTTGGGCACCTTTCCCATAATCGTTCTTAGTCCCCGGTAGGTAGTTGTATATCATCTCGACAATGGTTTCGAACGAGGCGAACTTTAGACTGGTAAGCGGAGGTTGATGACCAAGGTAAGATCAATTACCTTCATCATAGTATAGGGGATCTGGCGCCCCCACAATGGGTATAGCCCCTTGTACAATCTGGAATATCAGTATCGTTGAAACGAATGCGACGAAACGTTTCTGAACTTACCCGCCGAAGCCTTCTTGCGCCGTGACAGTCCTGAAGCCATCAAAGGTTGTCTTCGCAAAAGGGGGCACTAGAAGCCGTGTGAGAAAGCGTGTCAGCGTGCATGAGATGGTGAAACTCACTTGTTGTCTGCATCCGAACCTTCACAGCTTCGAATGGACAGAGACCGACGTCTGCGATGATCTCCGCCGAGGCGCTGCCCGCCAAGTATACAGCAGTCTTGTATTTGTGGAAATTCTCTTCGCCGACAAGATCACCGTAGAATTTCTTGAAAAACTCGTAACCTCCATACTTGAGTCCGCCCTGAACCGAGTAACCCAAGAGTGTAGCACCCCAGCCAGTGAAGACACCGCGGAAGCTTTCGGCGCGGTAGATCTTACTCCATGCCTGGAAGTTACCCGTGTATAGTTTAGGGTCAACTTGACGCCGGCACTTGACGAGATCCAGTGGAGTGAGAGCTGCATGTGTCAAACCGCAGGCAAGTACACCGCTAATGGAGCATGCAGCGTAGTACTGCGGCGAAAACATGGCAATCTGAGAAGGTTTTGGCTGCACCTTGCTGCCAGCCTTGCTCAACTCAGCAACCGCAGCATCGCTGAGTCGGGCAGCGCTGTTCTTCGCATCTTCGGATGCGCTCCACACCGGATACAACTCCTGTCGCGCAGCCCACTTAGACGTCGAGGTCGGTGGAGTAGATTCGGCGTCGCGGCGCAGAAGAGAAGGGAAGACCGAGTTGCCGTTCAAGGCTTGAGCCAATGTCCCAGTAGTCGGTATCATAGTCGGTGTCAGATAATGGAATTCCGCAGTTCGGGACTCGATACTGTTTTCTGTCAGTTGGTGTTTCGGCTTGGCGCTGCTGTTTGAAAACATACTTTTCAAACTTGAGAGGAGAGGTAGACGTATGGAAAAAGCTGTTTGCATGAAGACTGGGAAGTTTAGGGCAGGCATGTCTTCAAGTACCTGCCTTCCCTCGTTGCACCTGACGGGCTGCCTGGTCGATTACCTGATTGAATGCCATCGCGAAATGTCTCAAATTCCCGGGAAATTCTCGTTCGCCGATTTTCCGACTCTTTACAGCACAACTATTGGCTGGTCAGCATCACAAGATGGGCTGTAATCAACCACAGGTGGATTCGGACGTCAATTCATCGATGCAAGTGATCTTTTAGAGTCCTTAGACTCACTCCTCGGAAAGCGTGGTCTGTGATTGGCGAATGGCAGGGGCAATGATGAAAAGGTTCAGGAGCGCACGGACGATTAGTTCCCGAGGTAGCATCGCTCGCCGTATCGCTAAGCGTTTTAATCAGCATCAAGATTCAGTGTGGCTGACTGTGAGCAACTCCCTGTCTGACCAGAAAAAGCTTGACTCATTGTTGAAATGCCTATGATATGATGGTACAAAGAGACCGAAACTCTACGAGCGCAGGCCCTGCTCGTCACTCGGCCTCGCAGTGCCCTCTTCTGCATTCCTCGCTTGCACTTTACTCTGATCCGCATGCTTCGCCGGGTCGAAAACGTACATGGGAAACTCGAGGAAGACAGTCCTCTTCAGGATCACCGGCAACTTCTCATACAACTGAGGGGGGAAAGGAATCAAGATGCTGGTTCTCCGCAGATAACGCTCATACTCTGGCCATTTGATACCCTTCTCATACCGCTTCTTTGCCCCCGGGCGCTCCTGGAGAGGCAGGCCAGACAAGAACATGAGTAGCGACGTAAGCAAGATGGGGCCTAGGATGGATGCGTACAAAGCGCTGTACGCACCACCAGACACATATCCGTACGCGGCGGGCGCAACGGCAATGGTGAAGATGGCTAAGTACCGGCGAGTCAGCCAGCTGGTAGCAAAACACAAGCACGACGTCGACTCACAAAACTGGATAAGGATTTCTCCAAAATAGTTTGGATGGCGTGTCCAGGCGAAGAAGCCTACGTTGCAAACCTCGCCATCGCTGCCATGAGCACTTCGAAAGCGGTATTTCTGTACATCCGATATACTCTCCATGATCAAGCCGATGAAGTACATGATGATTCCCGCAATATCGCATCCAGTTCTAAATCTGGGCTGCGCAAACTGCGTAACCTTGGGAGAGTTCAGAATAGTAACAGGCAGCGAGCATGTAAAGACCCAGATCATTTGGCTTGGACTAATATTAGCTTCGGATCTTCGCGGTCCATAGCATTGAAGGGTGCCACTACTACTCACAATACCCAGAATCCCAGGAAGGACCAGAATTTATCCCGCTTGTCGTCAAAGCGATCATCTTTGCCGGTCTTGAGGATCCGGAACAGTAGAAAACCAGATAGTCGCAAGGACCACACGATCATGAAGAGAGAAACGACGATGTTGCGAGCATCGCCTCTGTTTTCGCTGAAAGACAGCGTGAGGATGGCGAGCAAGGCGAAATTGGTTCCACCGGCAAAGTCGGTGAGCTTGTCGAATTTGAAGCTGAAGGCTATGGAAAAGAAGAACAGCTGGTATGCGACTGTTATGAGAAACGTGATCGCCAAGTAGTAATCGTCCAAGACGTGAACGGCTGCCATGGCGGCTGTTCTGTGTGCGTATAATCAATGGGAGCAAGGGTTGATGGAGGAGGTCCTCAATGCATTATATATTATATAGATGCTTTCCTTTGTCACATTCGGTACTGCTGCGCCCCGGCGTGCGCGTGCTAGCTGTGAACTTGCTGTCAGATTGTTGGCCTAGATGACGATATTGCGCATCTAGAGATGGAATGTGATGCTCTTTTGGACTTTTGGACGAGTCGATGACGGCACGACAACCGATCGGTGGCCCGCACATTTGCGATGCCGATCACCGTCTTGGCATCCATCAGGTGCTTTGAACGCCAACACCACCAGCGTTGTGCATCTGCATCTGTGATATTCCCCGACCAGGAAGAAACCACCACTTGAGCCGCATCAACTTCCTCGGCGATTCGATATGCAATTGTCAACAAGTCTCGGCAGTTCGTGTCCTTAGGACAGACCTTCCCGCGAATGAAAGAGTAGGCGAAGAGCCTAACAAGATATTTGCCGTGCTGAAACTCGCTTCGTGTTAGGGGCGTGTGCTCTCGTGCATCTCGCGTCTCAGGCTTCATGGTGCCAGCGGCTGGCCAGACCCTTTTGATACTCGTCCCCATCGACATGCCACTGCAGGCTCGCGCCGTCACAGGAGTCCCTGCCCATACACGCACCACAATGCTCTTTTGTAAGCGTGTTACAGGGACCACCACTGCTGCAAATCTCCCCCAGACTCTTGACTCTTGAGACGCCTTATCACGCACCCATGAAATGTCCCATCACGGCGTGAGAAACGGAATAAGTGGGACCTCTGCAGTTTGTGTGTTAAGTGCCTGAGGTACCCGCTCACTTTGCACAGGTTTGGCTTCTCGTTCGGCTTCTTTCGTTCCTTTCTGCTCCCGAGCTCCTTGTGCTTGACTCTCTCCCTTATCCCTTTTCCTTTCCAACTCATCTTCAACCTCTGCTGTGCAGTTCTTGAATGAGTCTGCATGTCTGTGCATTCACACCACTCCTTTGATTAATACCAGCTGGGCTGTTCGAATACTAATAATACATTTTCCTATTTCTGTCTCTTGACTCTTCTGTTCGGCACACCATGAAAAGGATAGAGTCGGTGTTCAGCTTTGCGCTGCTAATCTCGACAACAGTACGCAAACCTCATCTTCGTGGGTGACTTTCCCATGCTAATCCATCGTAGGTCTTTGCCGATCCCGCCCTGGATCTCAACAATCACAATGTCGGTCCCAGTATAATCGGAAAGAGAGTCGAGGACTTGATATATGGAGCTACAGACGAAGTTACTCGGGTCAGTCGTGAGAGAAGAGGTGCTTTGGATGTTCCTGCTGTTGCTGCCGTGGGTAACAGCGAAGGCCTATCCCCTGGAATTGCGCAAAGCCAGGGAGGAGTGGATGTCGGCTCGCTGGTCACTGGTGCCGGTCAAGGCCAAAGTCAGAACCAGCCAGGCGCAGGCATTGATGCAGCATCTCTGGCTGGTGGTCAACAAGGGAGCAATGGTCCGGCAAATCCTCCTCCCGGACAAGGACAAACGCTACAAGGCGCCGGAGGAATCGATGCCAACGCCATCATCAACAATCTACCTGGAGCTCAACAGGGGAATGGCCAAGGAACTGCGAATGGTCAGTCCCAGGGCTCGGCTGACCTGCTTGCTATTGTTGGATCGCAACAGGATAAAGGACCTAGTTCGGGCTTAGATGCGAATCAGCTGTTGAACAATCTTGGCTCTCAAGGTCAAAACCAAAGACAAGGACAAGGATCCCAACAAGGAGGCCAGTCTGTTTCGCAAATTGGATCCGATATCACGAATCAACTTCTGAATGAACAGGGCCAAAGCCTTGACTCCATTCTCAATGGCATTGCAGGGGGGCAAAGCGGAAATAACCAAGGTCAGGGAAAGGGCGCAGGAATCGGCGGTGCTGGAGCTATTGAGGGCGGCAAGGCTGGAGGGAAAGGTGGCCAGGCTGCTGCTAATGCGCCAGAAGCTACCAACGTTATGGAACAGAGCGCCAATGCCACTGTACGTCTCCTCATTTCATAACATTAACGGACTGCTAATGAAACACAGACTATAATCATGGAATCTTCCGTATCCTTTTCTCTTCTTGGCTCCACAGCTACTCCTGGTATGAGTACCGCTGCTGAAAGGAGCCCTCCACCAGCCGAGCAAACTATCCCCTCTACCGAGAAAAGCACTTCACCTGCTAAGGAAACCGCACCACCCGCTGAGAAAACTCAGCCGCCTGCTGAGGAGACCGCGCCACCTGCTGAGAAGAGTTCCTCCGCAGAGAAGCCCGCACCACCTGCTGAGAAGAGTTCCCCCGCAGAGAAGCCTGCACCATCTGCCGAGAAGAGTTCCCCAGCCGCTGAAAAGCCTGCGCCTGCCGCACCCATCACTGTATCTGCCCAACCAGGTTCTGGAGGAGAAGTCTCAAATGCCACAAGCTCAGCCAAGGCCGCACCTGTCAATTCCGCGACGTTAACCACTGATGGTCTGGTTGCCACAACTACCACAAGCAAAGCTGCGGGTGGTGTCACTGTTTCTGCGGGTGTGGGTGCTGGTGGAGAAGGGAAAGGCAGTGCCGGTAATGCTACTAGCGTTGCTAAATCAGCTGGAACAGCTCCACCCGCAGGTGTTACTGTTATCGCTGGCGGAGGGAAAGGCTCAGGAGCGTCAAATTCGACAAAAGCTGCTAGCAGCTCGGCTGCAGTCGACTCAGCTACGTTGACCAAGGATAGTCTCGTCGCAGCAACCACCACCAGTAAAGCATCAGGTGGATTCATCGTTCTGGAAGGCACAGGGAAAGCAGGAAATCTCACGATTGCGCAAGGAGGTGGTGCAGCTGCCACACCTATCACGGTCGTTGCCAACAACAGCACTGGAGCTGGAGGGGCTGCGCAAACAACCAGCAAGAGCTCTACTGTTAAAATAGACTCCGCAACATTAACTCCAGACGGCTTGATCAAGACTACGACTACAAGTGCTGCTGGGAGTGCAGTTTCAGTCATCGCTGGCGGCGGATCCAAAAACGGTACCGCTAACGCCAACGCCTCCACGTGTAACTGCAAATGCATGTGTCCAGCTGGCTCATTCCCCATGGCAGCTCCTCGTGCTCAACCATTCCAGTTGGGCGACATTGGATCCATGGCTTCTCGTCCCTCCGCATCGACACTGGCCACCCAAGCGTCTCCCCCAGGAGCAGCCGTCACTGTCAGCGCAGGAGGGAGCCCACCTCCCAACGCACCATCTGCCGCCGTTTCCTCCTCTTCAGCGGCCCCCATCAACTCCGCAACCCTAACAACAGGTGGCCTCGTGGGCTCCACGACCGTATCCACAGCCGGCGCCGGCGTCACCGTGTCAGCAAGTTCCGCCTCAGAAGCTGCTTCTAGCTCTGCGTCGAGTGTTGCATCTAGTTCAGGTGAAGCACCAGCCACTACACAAGCTCCACCAGAAGCTCAATCGCAAGTCTCATCCGAACCCGTCTCATCCAGCGCAACTCTCCAGCAGAACAGACTCCCATTCGACATTTCTTCGTTTTCGCTGGAGAGCAAAGTCACTGTCAATCTTGGCAAACGGGCAAAAGCCACTGGTGCAGAGAGACGAAGGAAAGTCTTTTAGGAAAATGATTACTTGTTCAATCGCGCAAAAAAGGGGAATCTTCAACAAGTAATAGCAGAGATTTCGGCCCATTCGAATGAAGCAGAGTGTCAAGAGAGTAGTGGTGGCCGGTGGGGTAGCGTGTGGGTGGGCTAGATGCTTTGTGTCCATTTCTGTTGCTGATCCAGGACAAAAAAGAAACTCAAACCACACAGCCTCTCTATACCCTTTTCTATATTGTTTACTTATCTACATCCCTTCTCTCCCTTCCTCTGTCTCTCTGTTCCTATCCCCTACCATCTTTGTGTACGTCAGCTATTCCCATTTGCGTTACTACCACTTACTCTCTCGCTGTATATATTAATGATCCTGTTGTTATTTATTTGTTATGCTTCGCCTACCCAAATCCTAGCCCTTTCGCTTTTCCAGCTTCCCCTTTTAATCTCTTGTTTGAGCGATTATCGAGGATGATGAACATGAAAATGTTTCTTGTTGAATAATAATGTGAGACGAATACGTAGCTATATATGATTTCTCAGTCTTGGTGAAAGCGATATGGAAGGCGGTGTATTGCAAGGTGGTGAAGTCTATAATCGTGATGGCATTGAAATGGGATAAGTATAGGTTAAAGCCCTGATGTCCGGCGCCTTCACTCTACCAATTGCTACAAACTAGTGAGTACTAGTCGCGAACTGTCCGACCGTGCAATAATAGATATGTGAACTACCTAGGTATTTGCGGTCGTGCCGAGCCGTCACGTCGCTGCGTATCAAACCCTCCTGATAATTTCCGCGTCTCCACAATAGTGCCGGGCAGGTAACCCTACGAGGTCGCATTGTTTTGCTTTTGGCAATCAGTCGTATATTGTTTGTCAGTATTTCTTCTTGGAAAAAGCACCTCTGAAGGAGAGGAGAGAAAAAGTAATTCCCGTGGAGCGGAAAAAAGTAATACGCCACGCATAAACTAATCCTCATCTGTCTTTCGGCACCATACAAACGCAGTCTCAATTGACAAAACAGACCACATGCAGACTGGTAGCAAACGAACATCCTCACGTGGATACATGGCAGCTGCCTAGCCCGCCGTTCGTTCCTGCAACTACTACTATCAAAACGTCCACCCCCGCCCTCGCCCTCGCCCTGACTTCACTTCCAACCTCCCTCTCACTACACCCGCATACCAAACTTCAATACCAACGAGCCTTCACACACAACACCACCCTCAACACAAGCCAACAATGTCCAGCAACAAATCCTCTTCCAACAGCGGCTCCAACTCCGGATCTACCGGCAGCAGCGGAGGTAGTGGCGGTGGTTACACCATCACGAGCACCGGCACCAACAGCCAAGGCAATCACTACTGCCACCGCGACTTCGGCTCCAGCGCCGCGAACTCCAATTCATACCACTACTCAAACACGTACGTCTTCTGACTCTAGGTTCTTCGTTTATTGCAGATTTGCAAGGCTGATGCTTGTGTGTAGCGATGGGTCTTACTACTATTCCAACTCGGATGGGTCTACGTATCATAACAATGGAAAGGGAGGCTCTACGTATACGCGGCCTAATTAGATGATTACTATCAGCGGCGCCGTTGTAGCGCTGGAGGGGGAATAAGGGGAGTGACTTGTGATTGGGTTTCCGGGGAGAGTGCTATAGAGTCGGTCGTGATTCATTCACGGGTATGAGATGGGTGCTTAGTTGTAGGACACTGGATTAGCGTGGGGTGGAAAGGGAGAGCATGTTCGATGTGGATAGGATAGCTGAGTAGGCTTCTGCATCATCAATAGGACAAAGGGTTTCTTGGATGTTTTGATTTATGGTGATGTGCAAGTATGTTTGCTGGATCTTGAAAGAGAAGGTTTGTGCTTTTTGTAGATACGACACTAGGCTATTACCACGAACGTTCAACAGAGAAACAGTAATGAAGTTCTCTTGACAATTAGTTAGTGTCTTGTCTCTTTGATAAGAAAGGGAGCATTTGGCTGGTTCCCCGCATGTTGTACCGTAGCGTACGTAGTACGGGGAAGATTGACTTGAGGTGGTGGGGCGTTAATCGATACCATGCGAAGACTTCGGAACACTTGAAGTTTCCTGGCACATAGAGTCAAGCCACTTTACGACCTAGGATTAGACGTCGATGTGACGCTGCTTGGCAAAGTTTTACATGTGTGAGTAAATGGAATAAAACTCCTGTCCAGCACGAATTCTTTGAACTCCATTAAATACATAAGATCTCGGGGGAGTAAATCCGAATCATGTTAAGCAACACGTTCATCTCAAAGAAGGACACAGGCCGTGATCTGTTCCGAAGCACAAGCCGCCCTGGACAACCACTACAAAAACCACGAATTGCGGCCCAGGGAACTCGGCTACATATTTTTATAGTAGCTTTAATGTGTTCATTTTCATGACTCAGATGGAATCTAGAAGATTACGCCTGCAGCATGATATGTGGAGTCGAACCACGTGACCGATCCCTTTCACATCAATTGATCACAGGCCAAACACACATCAACAAACGCGGAATACTATGAAAGAATACACTTACGGTGGGATCTTAACTGCAATCGATTGGATCACCATCACGCATGCAATCTGGTATACGCATGACCTGGACGCTAGGCCCAAGTATCCTACCGCATGAGGTCGGCGTGCCGTTGACACTGACCTCCTGCACCGTATGCCACCGTGACTACGAACCATGAACCACTGCACTGGAAAACTTACTTTGATTTCTGATGTCTTGTTACATTGGCGGCATCTACACAATATCGGAGATACTATCTACCACACTCAGATTCCACCAATGGCCTTACTTTTTCGCTGACACTCTCACAACACAACACTAGTCTTATTTGCAACCAAACTTCGAAGACGTTCCGAAACTCAGCACGAAAATGGTTTCAATTTGATATATAGTGTGAATACGACATGCGCTCAACCATCGGGGATAGGACCACGCACAATAACGCACTGTCATTACGACCTAGCGGAGTACAGTCAATTCCCGCCGATCCCGCTCCTTCCGATATCTGATCTACTTCCTGAAATCCATATCACAAGAGCGTTCTGCATCTTCTTCTGTATCTACGTTCGTTTCCTCCCCCACTCTCATATTGCCGCTACTAAGGCCTGTTGCCGCTCGGCAAATTCGCACTCTCCCGGTACCGGTAGTTTCATTTATACTCGACCCAATCTACGACCATCTTACCCACCAGAGTCCCCACCCGCACTTAGGGCTGGATACGCAAGCCGTCGATCACCTGCCGCCACTTTTATACAACCGCTATATTAAGATCACATCACAGTGCCAGCACGCAAGATGTATGCAGGGCTATCTCCTTGCGGCCCCAGCATATATGTATACTGTAATGAATGAGCGGCTATGGGGGAGTTGTGCGCAAGTATCAATCTCAGTCAATTGGAGCTGCTTATATTGGAGGGTCCAGAATCTCGGCGGGCGACGAGATCTTCGGTTTGGTCGCACAAAATACGAGGCGGATGGGTTACGGTTGTTGGATAGAAACGATTTTTATATTGGAGGATCATCTTGTTTGCGTGAGTGGATTTTGTTTAGTTTGGGAAGACGTGTTCCAGTGTACTGGCTACGCAATGGCTCCCTCTCGATGGTACTTTGTGCATGTATAAGGACCACGCTGGGAGCCAGATCGCTTTGCTACATCCATCTTACTGGACCTGACGCTGACCGATCAGTGTGAGGATATTTGGCGCTGGCTCAACATTGTTTGCATGAAAATGCACTGAAAAGTTGGCATTTCCATCATCATCAAAACGTCCACATCTTGATCGAAGTCCAGTAGGTAATATCTCCAAGGATTGCGGGTGCACTCACGCATAACTGGATTTCACTACTTGCTTCTGGTTCATACCTCACCAAGTAGTACAGGATGAAAGGACTCGTTGCCTGGCTCTTGCTCATAATCACCTATGTGGTTGCCCAGCAGCCCGGGAGCTATGAAGCAACCCGCACCGCTCTCATCCCAAGTTCTCCTCCTCAACCGACCCCCACGAGCGGTTTCCGGATAGACCCCAAAAAGCTTTCGAAAGAGGTTCATGGCTTCTTCAGAGCATATGGTTGGCTGAAACATAACCAAACTATCCAAGACTCTGAAATGCCTCGGGCAATTAGGAAGATCCAAAGGGCGATCCGACACCCAGAGACGGGAGTTTACGATGCCGGACTGAATGCTGTGATGAGTCGTCCGCGATGTGGTACAGAGCAGCCATACAATGCGACAGCCGCGAACGATGGAAGTGATTTGCATAAGCGTTACGTGCTTTGGGGCCCAAAGTGGAACCATTCGCCTGTCACATACCGCTTTATCAACTATACTGCAGACTTGGACGTGGCAAGTCAGAGAACCGTGATTAGGTATGTCTTTTCCTCCTCTGAGCATGGACCTATCGTCAGTTTCTAACTTTTTCAAAGTCAAGCTTTTGCCAAGTGGTCTACCCTCACAGCTTTACAAATAGTCCCTGCCGCTTCCAATGCCGCTGGGGCGGATATAAACATAATGTTTCGAGCCATGGGCAGCTCTGAGACTGCCTACGCAATCACCAACATGAGAGCCGACGGCGTTGAGCTATCATCTGGTCTAATCAGCATCACTTTCAATGATGATTTCCCATGGAATGACGACCGTCTCTTCAACTTCACAGCCGTACATGAAATAGGTCACGCTTTGGGTCTTAGCCACAGTACCGTCGAAGACGCGGTCATGTTCGCGTACTACTTCGAAGGTCTGCTCAGACCGCTCCACCCAGACGATAAAGCCGCCATCCACAAGGTATACGGCTGGAACACTCCCCGGTTCACCCGCATCGACAGCAACTCGGCTCTGAAAAGCGTCATCCAAGTATCCTCTAGCACCGACACCACGACCAACATCAATGGTATCTACCAACTCCGCACCAACGGGCAAATCCTATACTACACCCCCGGCCGCTCCTGGACAACCCTCTCCACAGCAACAACAAACACGGCGCAAATCACCGGCGCAAACGGCATCCTCTACCAACGCCGCTCAGACGGCAGCATATACCGCTTCACCTCCTCATCATCGACCTGGCAACTCATCGGGGCACCCTCAGACAGCGTCCTCGACATCGTCGCGGCATCAACCGAGATCTACGCCCGTCGCAGAGACGGCGTGATTGCGCGCTGGGGGGGCACCCAGCAGTCCTGGACCACCATCCCCGGCCCCACATCGCCACTGCCCTCGCAAATCGCCGTCACAGACTCAAAAACGCTCTGGATCCTCTTGTCCAACGGCGACCTCGTGCGTTCGCTGTGGCCGTATACTTCTGAAGGCTGGCAGCTCGTCGACATCAACCCGGATAACATCCAAATCGCCGTCGGCGGAGACGAGTTCTACAAGCTCCAGCGCGACGGCGCGGTCGTGTGGCTGGACATGAAGAATTACTTCTGGAGCATCATTGAGGATAACGGCAGTGTTGAGGTCTTTGCCGTCGGCGGGTTTGCGTATAGTCGGCATGATGATGGGAGTTTGTGGCGGTATACGGGGGTTCCTATGGTGTGGGAGTTGCTGGATGAGGAGAGGGAGGCTGTTGGCGTCGTTGGGGATCGTGAGGGCAACGTTTATCAGGTCGTACAGGGTGGGGAGATTTGGAGGCTTGTTTCGTAGAGTTCGTATAGAAGTGGGGGAGTTGTTTCTTCTGTTCCTTTCTTTCCTTTGTCGATTAACCCTTTTTTTTGTTCGTTCTTTTTTTTACGAAATTTAACGAACTCGATATTTACCGAAAGAAAGAAAAAAGATCAATCGTTTTGAAGAAGTAGACTAAAGCATATCCGATTCTTGGTTGTCTGTTCCATCCAAAAAATGGGTCATGTTTTCTGACATTGGCAAAAATCTCGAACCTTCTTCACCCACTCAACAGAAGCTCCTCACACAAGACTCCCAGAACATGTTCCCCCTCTCACCTCTCCACTCAACAACCTAGAAATCGTCATCCGCCCTATCTACCCATTAAACCCCCCGCCCCCCGAAAAAAAAAAGAATCCCCATGACACCTTCACACCACCCATCCCAATCCAGCTCTGCGCCGCTGTGACGGCACGATCACCAGGCGTTAGCCCGTATTAGCTCACCAATCAATCAACACTATACTCATTCCACATCGGTGCACATCCATGGACGCTGACAGCCGTTCCGCTCATGCTTAAGCGAGTCCGCCGCCCCACTACGCGCCCGCCAGATCTCCATCCACCAAAGTCGCAGTAACGCCTTCAGCAGCGCCTTGTTTGCGGACAAATCATGGAGATGATGGCGGTGTTGAGGCGGGGGCGAGCGGGCGCTAGTTACGGATTGAGAGAGAGAGGGAGGGAGAAGTATGGATGATTGCTAAGGTAATGGGGGACCTGACCTTCTGAGGGATGCGTTGAGCAAGAAAGAAGGTATATATATAAAGGGTAGAATAGAGAGCTGAAGGCTGAGATTCATACATCGTTCGATTGGTCGCTACATCATCTATTGAGGTTCAGAATACTTCATAGATATCTCCCGTTAATTTCTGTATCCTTTTTGTCACACACATATTTTTTCGACATTACATACAAACGATAGCAATGGCTCACGTTAACCGTCTTCACAACGCCCGTGTGCTGGTTTTTGGAGGAACGTCAGGTATAGGATTCGGCGTGGCCAACCTCTGCATCTCAGCCGGCGCGCACGTCATCATCTCAGGGTCCAAACAGCCAAAAGTCGACGCCAAAGTCCAGGAACTCAAATCCTTCTACCCATCGCTCCCCTCTGAGCAAGAAGTCCAAGGTTTCGCTGCCGATCTAGGCGATACGTCTAACCTGGAAGCCAACATCAAGAGCGTGTTTGAAAAGGCCACCCAAGGCGGAAAGAAGAAACTCGATCACGTCGTTAACTCGGCCGGAGATGTATTCAAGCTGCCAACGCTGGAAAATGTTAGTGCGGAGACGGCGTTGAGTGGATTCAACATGCGTTGGCTTTCTGGCGTATTCATTGGGAAGCTCGTCGCTGGAGGAACGTATATGCATGTTTCGGACTCGTCGTCCGTCACGCTCACGTCTGGTACCAATTCCGATAAGCCGGGTGTTGGGTTTTTTGTCGGTGCATCTATGGGCAGTGCAATCGAATCCTTGGGACGCTCGCTCGCGGTGGAATTGAAGCCAATCAGGGCGAATGTCGTCTCGCCGGGAGCTGTGCAGACGCCATTATTGGATGCGGTGTTCTCTCAAGCGGGAGACAAGATGAAGGAAGAATACAAGACGAAAGGTTCTTTACTGGGAACATTTGGTACGCCGTACGACACTGCGGAGGCTTATGGCTGGCTCATGAAGGATCATTTCGTGACTGGAATCATAGCCAAGACTGATGGCGGCAGGATGCTGGTCTGAGAGGCACAGACGGTGAGCTGTTGCAACTTTATGAGCTTTTCGCTTTGGTTATTAGCTCACTGTGGCCGTTTAGATGATTATACATCAATTTCGTTCTTGTGACTGCTCTCCCACAGATCGTTGCCTTGATACGTTGCTGCTCAGTCGTTTTGGTGATCCTCCATGCTAGCCATTTTACCCTTCCCATGCCGAACAGTCAGCCAATAATCCCTTGTATCCTACGTTTCGTAGCTTCACTAAGTCGTTGTGGCTTCTTTCCAAATCTCTCTTGAGTGCCCTCTGATATTTGCCGCCCAAGACTGTGTATTCCTCAGCCGCTTTGTCTAAGACGAGCTTAATGATTTCCATATCGCCTTTGCAGCTGTCATCCTTCTCCAGTCGCCAATGAATGAGCAAGATACAGCTGGCGAAATAAATTGAGCATAAAACGGGGAAGTTGTATAGGAGACGGATGGAGATCCGCGCAGTGTCTTTGACTATTAGCGCAGTGTTCTTCGCAGCGATCACAGCGCGGATGAAGATGGCGCGGCTCTCTTCCGCGGAGGAATAGGAGGCCTCTCGATAGTGAAGCAACATGGCCATGGAGTTGAGTATAACGTTGAGCCAAACGACCTGAGGGCGATCCTCGGGAGGCGCTTCCAAAACAGATGACATGGCACGTGGCAGACTCAGCCGTAGCCTCAATAAAGAGGCATCCAGCGCTTCACATTCCTGTGCGTATTCTGGAGTATCTGGAGGATCGTGGAGAGAATGAATGTGTTCGGCTATTCGACCTACAAGGACATGCGCGACGACAAGATAGTGAAGTGGGTTCAGAGGCGTTTTAGCTATGGAAGTGGAATCGATCAATGAATTGAGGTTCCTGACAAACGGCGCGTTGTTACTTGGTTCAGGCACCGTATCCTTGGACATACCCTGGAACACTGCATTGGTGACTGGTATGTCGACTTTGAAATGTCTTTCCGCGATTGCACTAGGCCAACCAGAGGGCCAGCTCATGTTGCGATCCATGATATACAGAAGCCATAACGTTCTTCTGCACTCTTCTTTTTCCATTGCAGATTTTCCTGCCCATTGTTGCCAAGGTAGATATTGTTTCTTTTCATCCTCTTCCAACCCTTCTAGTCGTTCTTTGATGAGTTCTGTGGCATGGCTTGAGTCTATTTTGTTAATACCCAAAGAAGCTGCCTGCCTCCATGCCTTCCCCAAAAGTAGCCAGCACATAGAATAATCGCCGGTGGTCATGCCGTGACAGATGAGGCATAGAGCAGTTTGAATGGTACGGATAGCATGGTTAGCATTCCGGGGGGTGAGATCATAAAGAAACTTGGCCTGGTTATACCATGCCGCTTGTTGGTTGTTGATAAATGGATCGGGATGTAGATGAGCAGCCATGGCGCAAATAGAATAGAGTAGAAAAGGTGCTTCGTTTTGAAGGGTGCCGGAATTCAATTCGGAATAAAATGACGCTTCGTGAAAACACGGAATCATGTTTTGGTAATCCGAAAAGAAAATGCTAACAAGGCTGAGTAGTGTGTCGAAGGGAGGGAGCGTAACTTCTGTCAGAAAGTCTGCTTCGGTCGCATGGTTCGAGAGAGAAAACGTATTTGCTGAAGATGCGCTTTGTAGCGGATTCATGGTGGGCATATCAAATCCCATTGGCATCTCGAAGCCTCTATATGGGTCCTGCATCGGATTGATAATCCCAAAGCTGGCCGGATCCGAAGGAAACAGTGATTGATCACCCATAAAATTGCCCCAAAGCTGAGGACTGTAGTCGTCGAGGAAAGGTAACGTTGCCGCGGGTACTGCGAAGTCACATCTCAGTCCCCATTTTCTACAGAGTGAACAAGCAGGCCGTTCGCCCTAAACTTTGGTCAGCAAAGAAGGGGTTCGCGGGGGTGAGCCATACATCGCACCGCTTCTTCCGCTGTCTGCAGCTGTTACATGCTTGTTTCCTTTTCGAAACTGATGCAGGGGTGGTTAGCGATTGCATATTGGTAGCAACCGAGGTGGACGTAGACAAGAACAGAGTAAGACGTTGGGGGAGGTAGAGAATCCGCGCGGAATTAACGGAGATAGAGTCACGTGTTATATACATCCAGACGGCCAGCCATTTGAGAACGAAGAGTTGATACACGATTATTCACAATGACCTGCTATATTTCGATTCGCCAGAAAACAAGAGCTAGAAGTACCATGATAATGATATAGTTTGAACTAAAATTACAGTGTGTCAGGCTTTCGGCATACAAGTACAGTACAAATACATTTGTGAAGACATCAACTTTTATCAGAACACGCGACTTGGGGTATCGAAAGCAGAATATCAAGTCGCAATGAAAGTGCAGATGCCGTGAGCGTAGCTACCCGGCCGAAGAACGTAACAGCTGGGCGCGTCCAATCTGTCCACCCCCTTCGAGTTTAAGGTCATCTAGCACACTCGCCGCCACCGCAATAGCATCTACAGGTAAACCTGCGACCAGGGCCACTTTGAGCGCATGACTTTGTCGATTGACACCTTTACGTAGTCGATGGACGTAAGAAAATTTGCCATCGGCCTCCTCTTGAACGTCATTGCAATAACATGCAAGCTTGTCGAAACCCGTCGTCATATCAGTTAGAGCATGGAAATGGGTCGCAAACAGAGTTCGACATTGATTCGTGTGGTACAAGTGATGTAGACATGCGTAGCCAACAGCAACACCATCCTCGGGTGTGGTTCCGCGGCCAACTTCGTCCATGATAACGAATGACCGTGGCGTAGCTTCCTTGAGGATATGAGCAGTCTCAAGCATTTCCACCATGAAGGTAGACTGATCTTGATATAGGTTATCTGCGGAACCAACGCGGCTGAAGACTTTATCAACAAGACCAATCTCGGCGTATGCGGCAGGTACAAACGATCCAGTCTGGGCCAGAATGGAGATGAGCGCGTTTTGCCGGAGATAGGTACTCTTGCCTGCCATGTTAGGGCCCGTAATGAGCCAAATTCTTTCGTTTTCACCCAGAAGACAGTCGTTCGGGGCAAACTTGCGACCCTGGTCAATGAGGCCTGTCTCGACCACAGGATGTCTGCCGCCAACGACATTGTGAGAGGTCCCAGCGTTCAGAAGTGGTCGGACAAAGCTCTTCTCGATTGCGAGCAACGCGAACGCGCAAGCAACATCCAATTCATCCAACACAGCTGCGTTACGTCGAAGTTTGACGATATTTCGAACTACGTCTTCTCGTAAATCTCCAAGAACCTTCTGTTCCTCGTTGCGGATATGAAACCTGGTCTCATCTAACCGAGCACCCAGCTGTGTCCATTCCGGTATCTGGAAAGACCGTGTAGATTTACTGCTGCTCAAACTCCTAGGGTAGAAATCGACGACGCGGATAGTGTCTTTTCCTTTGACGTGAGCAATGTGGGAAAGATTCGGTGTCCATTTTAGAGTCAAGCTCTCGGTCCCCATCTTTCGCTTCAATTCTTGTTCTAGTTCCACTTTCTCCTCGGCTAGAGCATCGAGCTTATCGTGCAGATTCTTCAGAGTCTTGCTGGCAGCTCTCTTCATTATCCAGATATCATCCCGTCCGTCTGTAGCGCTTTTAAAGCTTCCCACAATTAACTGGGGCTTGGGTTGTACACGTTTAGGCATCTGTTTCAGGTCTTCTTCGCCAGCTTCTCTCCCTAACACATCTTGAGCAAGACCCTCTATGGCCGCAGCTTCGTTTTCCTCTAGTCGATGATATTCAGATAAGCCATCTTCGTCAATTGCGTTCTGGATTCGACGGGCTAGTTCTAGAGGTTTGTCTAGGACGAACCGCCTTTGTAGTGCCGGCATACATTCTCGTTGGCGGGTCTCGATTGCTCTATTCTCTGGATCCATAGGAATTGTGTTCCGAGATGCGGAATGCTCTTTGAGTAACTTTAGAATATCGGCTGTTGCACTTATGGTCTTGGAAAGTTCCATCAAATCATCTGCATCCCCGCGTCCAACTGTGAACTTGGTAACCAAGCGGAGTGAGTCGAAAGTCATCCCTAGTAGCATAATCACTTCCTGGCGAAGTTGGGGATAGTCAATCATCTCTTCTACAAGATCTAGTCGATCATTGATAGTAGACAACGACATGGAAGGTGCAGCTGTCTCGCATTAGTAAATGACAACGACTCACGTCTACAGACTTACAAAGTCTGTGCGTCAGAAGCCTGGTACCACTCTTCGTGACCGTCTTTTTGAGGGCATGCAGCAAGCTACCTTCATAGGTGCCATCGCGTATAGTGCTTCTGATTTCCAGTGCTCTGAGACTGTTCTTGTCGATACTCATGTGGTCTTCCGCCTGGTGCCGGACAGGAGCCTGCAACTGCGTCCTGGAACCCAGAAGTTGGTGTTTCACATAGTGCAGTAAAGAACCACCAGCAGCCACTTCACTCGAGGTAAAGTCTTCTGCATCGAATTCTCCCACCACGTCCTCCAGCATTGGTACCCATTCTGACATGGAAAGAGGCTGCGCCGAAGGTTCCTGAAAGGTGACAATGTGCCCATCTTCTTGCAGGATGGAGACCATCTGAGAATACTCCTTCTGTTCAAACACGCTATCCAGAACTATCTCTCGTGGTCTAATCCGTGCTACTGCGGAGGGAAGCGAGGCAATGTCCGTACTTTGAGTCAGGAAATCGCCGCTGGATAGGTCGATCCACGCTAGTCCAACTGGTGTGCGCGGAAGATTGAGTACGGACGAGACACTCGAACTGCCAGGGCTGATTTTGACAGCCTTCTCTTGCTCAAGAGCTTCTGGGTCGACATGAATGCTGAGTAGATAATTGTTCTCCCAGGGGTCCATGAAATGCTCGTCGATTAGGGTTCCGGGGGTGACAATGCGGGAGACTCTGCGGGTGTATTGAGACTCGCCTTTGGCCTTTTTAGGAGCATCATTGAGGAATTCGTCGTTGATTGCAACATGTCGATTTAAATCCTGTACCAGTATCTTGAGATATCGATCAAGTTGATAAAATGGAAACCCCGCCTGCACAAGTTAGCCGGGCACTTGAAAGGACGAAGGGGAGAATCCACTGACCATGGATACTGCAGGTTTTTTGCTGCCTTTGAGCGGTCTTTTCTTCGACTTTCTGATATTCAAAAGCGGTGCATATTCGTCTGCATGTTCAAAATACAGCTCGTAGAACCCTCCGACTCTAGTTAATACAACGCAGTGATTGAACTTGAGCATGCTATTGCGCACTTGCTGCAGTAAGGGCGGGTATTCCGGCTCATCGTCGATTGGAGGCAACATGGGCCCGCCAATGTTACCTTGAGGGATATTATCGAGATCTACCTCCACTCTGGTCTTTGCTCCGCGTGTTTGAAGATGCATGTATGACGGAGCACGTGAAGCGTGCCATGGCCGCGTCTTTGCCGGAAAAGACGCGTAGCTGCCGGTGTAGTATCGCCGGCTAACTTGCCGCGAGTTCCAAACCAGCCTGCATAGCCTCCATCGTGACGATGCGGCCTGCATAATACCAATTATGAGATGGAATACTCCAGGTAAACAGTGGGTGGTTATACGTACCGCCGTGTTGATGCGGCTCCAAATGTCCAGACCCCTGCAAGGCACGTCCGATCCCAAAACGGCTAGTCATTCCGCTATGCGGGGCAAACGATGAGTTCATCATCCATTTACTCCGGCCTCAATAAACAAACACCAAATTACAACAAAAATGGCACCTCAATTCGAGCCTCTCAAGAATGATCTCATTCTACGAACAGCAAGAGGTGAGAAGGTCGAGCGACCACCCATCTGGGTGATGCGACAAGGTGAGTATTCTTGTTCATGCCTAGCTTCACAGATAGCTGACATTTTCTTGCCCCACAGCTGGCCGTTACCTGCCCGAATACCACGAAGCCAAAGGCAAAAACGACTTTTTCGATTGCTGCCGCTCGCCTGAAATTGCGTCGACTCTTACCCTCCAACCCATTGAAAGATATGCAGGGCTCATCGATGCCGCTATCATCTTTTCAGACATTCTCGTGATACCACAGGCAATGGGCATGGAGGTGATCATGGTGGACAAGAAGGGGCCGCATTTCCCAGATCCTCTGCAGACCCCTGAAGATCAGCAGTACAAGGAGATAATGGAGAGAAAGGTCGACGTCAAGGAATCGTTGGACTACGTGTACAAGGCCATTACACTCACCAGACAGAAGTTGGCAGGAAGAGTGCCTCTCATCGGCTTTTGTGGGGCACCATGGACGCTGCTGTGCTACATGGTTGAGGGCGGAGGCACAAAACTATTCATACAGAGCAAAACTTGGGTGTTCAGACACACTGAAGAGAGCAAAGCGTTGTTGCAGAAAATAGCCGAGCTCTGCGTAGAATACCTGGCCCTGCAGGTCCAGGCCGGCGCACAGATGCTCCAGGTGTTCGATTCGTGGGCCGGCGAACTCTCTCCTGCCTCGTTCAAGACCATGTCGCTCCCTTATCTAACGTATATTGCTGATAACGTACCAAAGCGTCTCGCTGAGATGGGCCTCGAGCGTGTACCCATGACGGTGTTTGCGAAAGGGGCGTGGTACGCGCTGGAGGATCTTTGCGATACCAACTACGACACCATTGGCCTGGACTGGCTCCACGATCCGGCGGAGGCGTACAAGATCGCTCGAGCAAAAGGAAAGACGCTACAAGGTAACGCCGACCCCGGTGTGCTGTACGGTGGACGTGACGCCATCACGGCTGTTGTCAAGAACATGGTGGCCGGTTTTGGCGGAGGTAAACAGGGTTGGATCGCTAATCTGGGGCACGGTATGTACTCGATCTATGTTATTCGTGCTTATATTGACTTGCCACAGGGATTACTCCATTCGTGAAGCCGGACGATCTCAAATTCTTCTTCGAGGAGATTCACAAATATACTACAGCATAGTCCATAGCGCTGTATCAAACCGTTACTTGTCATCCTCTCCAATATCCTCATACCTGTGACATGTTAATTAGTGGCCGATGATTACCGGACAATGCGTACCAATCGCCGGGTTTCTCTTGGATAAACTTGTCCATCAAGTCCTGGCACTCTTTGTTTTTCAGCACAACGACGTCGATGCCTTTTTGCTTCAAGTAGTCTTCGCCACCCACAAACGTTTTGTTTTCGCCTAGGATGATCAACATTGTTCAGCCAGCACGGAGGGACAATGTACCAATGACAACACGTTTGATCTTGTACATGACACAGGCACCAGTGCACATATCACATGGGGAGAGAGTAGTGTACATGGTGGCATCGCGGTACACGGCAGCGGGCAAGCGCCCCGCGTTTTCAAGGGCAGAGATCTCGGCCTGGTGCCAACAAAGTCAGATCCGACAGCATTTTCCGAGGGAGGGACGTACGTGAAGTGTGGCGGATCCGCTCTGAAGACGCATATTGTGCCCACGTCCTAGGATCTTTCCATCCGCGCTCACGAGACAGGCCCCGATTGGCACTCCGCCTTCGGAGCTGCCTTTTGGTTGAATCAATACACGAGAAATCAGATAAGGGTGCGTTGATTCACAAGCTACCTTTCCGTGCTTCGTCGACGGCTGCCTTGAAACCAATGTCGGACTCCATGATGATTGAGATGAGATGTTGAACAAACACTGTATGCTGCAGTGCACTGGATCGATACCTGTGTCAAAAGATAGCGGCGGGCCGAGATTATTGACTTGGCGTTGATTGGTCGTCTAGCTCGACTTTGTGATAGGTACATGTAGTGATGATAGTATTTGTGTCGATCCACCCTAGCCTCAGTTTTTTCAAGTCATCGGCTTTGAGCCCTTGAGACACGATCCATCAGTCCGAACCGGGACGAAGAAGTGTCTGGAAGACGGCATTTTCTATTTCAATGCCTTGCTGGTGGTTAAGAGGTTCGAGAGCGCTCGAGTGCAGCATGCAGCTTAGTAATGCCAACAACCCGGACGACTCGCTGCAAATCATCGGCCACCCCTTCTACCAGCGACCGGGCAGACACAGTGTTTGTACCGTAGAGTACAGTATAGTACATATATAGTCGCATATTGGGTTTGCTCGACTGCCAGTCCAACGCAAACATGGACGCAGAACCAGGGTCTCGCCAATCTGTGGCGCGGCAAATTTTGAGATCTTCAGTGGCGGATCGTTGGCCGGACCAGCCTTCACGTTTTCGCGGCAAAGAGACACAGCAGCAGAGCACCTAGATAATACCAGTTGACTATGTAGATCAAAGAATCATCGTCTACTCCTGTTTTGCCTGCATTTCTTGAGCGTGAAGTCGGTGTCGTGGATTTCAGCCGCAAGTGCGCTCTGAAATCAGCAAATAAAAAATCGTTTGTAGTGGGCGCTGCGCCAGTGGCTTTGCGTGCAGTTAACGCAGTGGATCGAAATTCGTGGAATCACACCGAAAGTCTTATCCCCGTTTTGGAACTTAACTTTCCAACGCCCAAAAACGTTCTTAAGCTTGCCCTCCACAACTACGCCTCCCCCCCTCCAAATCTTCTCCCACCAACAGCACCGAAACCTGTCGAGTGCTCAACCCACCATTTCACACCCAGAAATTACCGTCTACGTAGGTCTCTCCAGCGCACATCGCGCCTTCCTTTCCTGCCAAACCCCCACATCTGCCTTACCAATACAGTGAGCGCTCGCTCCGAGAAACTGACACCACCAAGCACCATCGTGCAACAACTGTGAGCCTCGCAGCTTACACGTCTGCAGACAGCAAACCGCCGTCAACAACACAGCACGCATCTGATCAAAGAACACCCCGACTCCCGACCCCTCTAACCCCTCTCTTCCACTTCCGCCAAGATGGTCAAGGACACCAAGTTCTATGACATCCTCGGAGTGTCGCCGGATGCGTCCGAGGCACAACTCAAGTCGGCATACAAAAAGGGCGCGCTGAAGCACCACCCTGGTGAGTCAATGATTTGGTCGTCGGCGGCGGCAAGGCTGCGTTTGCTGACCCGGACGCAGATAAGAATGCACACAACCCTGATGCGGCCGAGAAGTTCAAGGACTTGTCACACGCGTACGAAGTCCTGTCCGATTCCGAGAAGCGACACATATATGACCAATATGGCGAAGAGGGTCTCGAGCAGGGCGGCGCTGGCGGTGCGGGCGGCATGGCTGCCGAGGACCTGTTTGCGCAGTTCTTCGGCGGTGGTGGCGGCGGCCCCTTTGGTGGCATGTTCGGTGGTGGCATGAGAGAGCAGGGCCCCAAGAAAGCGCGCACAATCTCCCACGTCCACAAAGTCTCGCTCGAGGATATTTACCGTGGCAAGGTTTCCAAGCTCGCCCTGCAAAAATCCGTCATTTGCCCAAAGTGCGATGGCCGCGGTGGTAAGGAAGGTGCCGTGAAGAAGTGCGCCGGCTGCGACGGACGGGGAATGAAGCATATGATGCGTCAAATGGGCCCTATGATCCAGCGTTTCCAGACTGTATGCCCCGACTGCCAGGGTGAAGGAGAGACCATCCGCGACCGCGACCGATGCAAGCAGTGCAACGGCAAGAAGACCATCATCGAGCGAAAGGTTCTCCATGTCCACGTCGACCGTGGTGTCAAGTCCGGCCACCGAATCGAATTCCGCGGCGAGGGTGACCAGCTTCCTGGGGTGGAGCCCGGTGATGTCGTGTTCGAGATTGAGCAGAAGCCTCACCCTAGGTTCCAGCGCAAGGAAGACGACCTTTTCTATCAGGCTGAGATCGATCTCTTGACTGCGCTTGCTGGTGGCCAGATCCACATTGAGCACCTTGATGAGCGGTGGTTGACCGTTGATATCATCCCCGGCGAGTGCATTGCTCCTGGTATGTATACTTCTTGTTTGGCATCTACTTCTGCTAACAACCACAGGCGCTGTCAAAGTTATTCGCGAGCAGGGTATGCCCTCATTCAGACACCACGATCACGGCAACCTCTACATCCAGTTCGACGTCAAATTCCCCGAGCGTATCGGTGGTCCGGATGATGGCCCAATGTCACCCGAGCAGATCAAGCAGCTCGAAGCCGTTTTGCCGCCTCGCACGGTTCCTGCCTCGATGCCTCCACCAGACGCCATGACCGAGGACTTCACTCTCGAGGATGTCGATCCTACACGCGAAAGTGGCCGTGCCCGCGGCATGGCTGGTGGAATGGACGACGACGATGATGAGATGGGCGGCGGCGGGGAGCGCGTGCAGTGCGCATCCCAGTAAACGAGTTCCATGAGTTAATGACAATGCATGAACGCGTATGAAAGAACGGACGACCGCAAAGAGCGACGCCATGGGATTCGGGTTCTCTACCTGCGCTTTTCGGCCTGATCCCCAACATCCATCCTGCAAACCCACCCCCTTTGTTTTTCCCTTTCCACCATATACATGTGCGTAGACGGATGGACGGACGGACACAGTTTCTTTACCCTTGTTCCTCCCTGGGAAGCATCTCCTCGTCCCATTTCCTATGTTCTTTATTGTGTTCATCCACAACGCTTGCACCCCCCAATCGAAACCCCCAACCCACTATGTTTTTCCTGTGTCAAACTGGCGTTTTCTCCTAGACGAGCGAAATAAGGGTAATGCAGATCTTCTCCTCCCAACCCGAGGCGAGGGGATTCTTTCGGTGCGAGTTTTGTGTGGGATGAAAAAGGTGTTTTTTCTTCTTTTCTTTTCCCCTTTCCTTCTCTACTTTGTCGATATGCGTGGGGGAGGAGGATGGGCGTGTGGGGATTGCATTTGTGTAGGCAGTGAGAGGGAGGGTGCAAAAGAAGAGCGCATGGCGGAATACAATAACTTTTGCTTGCTTGTTTAACTGCTTCCTTTTGATGTTTTTCTTGGACTCTCCATTTCTTTGGTGGGGAGTTACGTGATGTTTCTGCGAATGGAACCATCGACGATGCTAAACGCTAACATTTTGCTCTCTTGTTCTATATGGCACTATCGCGGATGTGACTTGGAAAAAAAAAAAGGGGGAATGTTCTGTTCTGTTCTGAGCCTGGCGCGAACGAGACAACAACGCACTCGCACCGCACATGATAACACCGGATTCGAGATCTGAATCTGAATCCCTCAACGGTCGTGTACGCATACACGTGTCATGGTAGCTACAAGTACATGTGAACTTGTCTAGAAACAGTAAAGTACATTTTTGCTACGCTACAGAGCATATATAAACCTCTCTCCTCTCCTCTTCTTCTTTTCTCTGCACTCTACAATCACATCATCTAGTTTTTACCTAGAGTGTGTTTGAGTACTAAAACTAAGTTTCAGAAATTCAATGTGCGATGTTTGTGCGTCCCTTTCTTTTGATGGTAAAAAAGGAAGTGAAGGGAAGGGGAATGGGAGGGATGGTTGTGTGACACTACAACTACTAAAAGAAACCCCCCTGTGGAAGTATGTATTTCTGTACTTGCAGTATAGATGAGCGGGAGTGTTTATTGCTTGGACGTGGTTGGGTTTGCATGATTATGACGTGAGAGAAGAGAGATTTTGGAGGGAAGTGTAGAGCGATGACAATGATGAGCATGGTAGTATATAGAGTGACGATATGGTAGTATACTGATGAATTTGGTTGAGTGTGGTTAAGGGGGTGGATATATAAAGGTCGTTGATTCCTGGTTTCTGAGACCCTTCTTCTTTTCTTCTGCAAGATGGCGTGTGTGTGGACTCACGCTGTAGATGGGTGTGGATCAAAGAATACTAAGGATGAAATTCATGCTTGGAGGATTGCGCGGAGAGGAAACATAGATATGTTTAAGTAGTCTCTTTTGAGAGAATTATGGCGATGATGATAATAAGTATCGTACCATTGTAGATGATCAATTAGGCCTAGTGCAAGTGAGAGGAAGTGAAGTATATAAAGCTCGTTGATTCTCGATCTCGACTACCTTCTTCTCTTTCTTTACATAGAGAGAAGTGAGCTTCTAGCCTCAGGATAATGAACTGAAAAGGACAGGAAAAACATCACATGGGGGTGGAGGATCGTGCGCCGGATAAACATGGCTATGTTCGAAATATTCTTTTTGAAGACGTTGGTGACGATGTTGATGACCATCATTGCACGAATATATTAGGCTTATGTCAATTCTGCAAAGTTGAAGTATATAAAGGCTGATGGTTCTTGATTCTGGGAACCTTTCTCTTCTTCTTTAAATAGGTGTGCGCGTGTGCTCACGCCCGAGGAGACTGAACCAAGGTCTATCCGAGCTTTTTGATATGTGTGGAGGGGCGTGTGTTGGAGGCACATATCATTTGTCAACGAATCTTTTGGATCCATCATATGGATGATGATGATAATGATGGTTATTACCATCACTGATCGAATTAGGTATAGTTCGAATGCCGTGAAGTATATAAAGCCCACTGATCCTGCTCTTGCATAGTTTCTTTATATAGCAATACGCTTACACCTTGAGAGTGTGAAATAAAAGTGGGTAGATCATGAATCTATATGGAGGACCGTGTGTTGGAGGAACAAGTTATTTCTTAGAGAGATTTTTGAATACTTCGTAGTGATGATGATAATGATCACCGTTATTAATCGGATAAGGTATAGCACATTGTAATGAAGTATATAAAGCCTAATAACTCTGCCTTCTGTTTCTATACACTACTGAGCACTCACATCTAAGAGCCATAAACTAAATCCATACACGAATTGCGAAATGTGGAGAGAATTGCGCGTGTGGAGGGAAAATGAGCATATACGATGTGTTGTGAAAGATTGCAGCAATGATGATAATAATAACAATAATGTGATTGAGAAGGCTTAGTGCGATTGCGAGGCAGCGAAGTATACAAGGCTCGTTCATTCTGTTCTCAACGTGTTTCTCTACACTGCTGTGCGCTCGCACCCTTGAATGTGGACTAAAAAGAATTTAAGTCGTGTCACATGTGGAAGGCTCCGTGTGCCGGGAGAACTTGTTCATGGTCAAATTCATGTTCAAATGCTCTTTTTTAGAATGCAATCCCGCAATAATGATAATGATAATGATCTAGTGAATGCGATCTAGTGCGATTGGATTGCTGAGGTACATAAGCCCGCTTCGTTCTGTTCCTGAGATGTTTCTTTACACTGCAGTGACTGCACCTTTGGGTGTGAGCTGGAATCAGATCAAATAAACGAAATGCGTGGTGAGATTTTCTGTGTCAGACAATTATATACATATGTGAGCCACTTTTGTTTTTGATGGGGTTTTCTCAATGATGATGATTACGATGTTGTTGACTGCGGTATAGTAAGATTGAGTTGCTGAGATTTATAAGGCCCGTCGACTCTGATCTCAATGTGCTTCTTCATATCGCTTAAACTCTCACAGTTGTGTGTTGATTGTGTTGATTGAAATGTCGAACAAGAGCAATATATGTGGAATTCGGTGTTCCTCGGAAAGGCGTACCTGGAATGTGGGATGACTGGCAGCAAGCAGATCTTACGTGAAAAGAGAGGACCTTTTTACATGTTCTGACATCTTTTAATTTTATAGCGAACATGATGATGGCGATCATTATAACAGCAATGTGTAACAAGATTAGGTATAGTGTGATTAGGGAGGCGAGGTATATAAAGGACCATTGGTTCTCCCCTCGAAAGATTCTTTCCACAGCTGTGCACTTACACCTTTCTAGCGTAAGCCATAGACACCAATTGCCTTGGTCTATGTGGATTTTTCCCTCGAAAGTGATATTCCAGAGTTCCATGGCTGATGGGGTGTTTCTGAAGGAGCTTCTACCATGTCTATAAATCTTTTAATGTTATAACGATGATAATAATGGTAATGATGATTGCAGCGGTACTCATTAAAGGTAAGAAGACGAGATTTGGCGCAGCTACAGGACCTAGTGAATTCTACAAGAGCTCTTGATTTTCAACTCGAATACTCTTTACAATGCTGTTTCATACGTCTTTGGATTGACGAATACTTACCCGCAATTCTTTTATAGGAAAAGTTGCATGTTCATATGTAAAAGGACACTCCAACTACATAAAACACGCTTGCGGATTTTAGCAACAACAATCATGATGAAGGTGACCGCAAAATATTGGTAGATCAGAGATGGGGAGTGCAGTATGACCAATGGTATATAAAGCAAGCTGATTCTGTTGTTCTTGAGTTCTGAGGTGCCCTCTATGCCAACAAAACGCTCTGCAACATACCAACTCTTTACAGTCACAGCGCGAATATCTGAAGCGGAAAGGGAAAATTTGGAAGAGTCTCTAACGAGACGGAATCTTTAGCTCTAAAGTCTTCCCTGAATCGAGCTACTCCATTGCAACTGCGCATGATATCGTTGCGCATATGACTGTCAGGGACAGAATCATTGTAATGCTTCACCACTACAGCTTGGACATTCGTCAAAGCGAGTTTTCACGCTTTTGATACAAGTTATATGATAGCGTGGAACGATTAATCTCTCCTCATGCATAAGCTTGCACCTGCTTAGCAACCTAATCTAAAACTAGGCAAACAGCAAGGATTCCGGCATGATACGCATGAAAATTACATACTTGACGGATTCCATACTTCTCACATAGCATACTCGACAACTAGCGTCTATATTTGATACCTGCGAAGGATGCCGAGAACTAAAGCCTGCTGCCTACACATGACCCGTCAGTCCCCAGATATAAGTATAACCACACATTTCTGGATTGTTTCGCTTACGAGGAATTGTAATTGATAGACAAGGCGGCCCATTGATCTAAGAAATGGAAGAACTATGAATATCCAGAGTCTCAAAACTATCCGATTCCCTGCAGTACAAACTGAAAAGAAGAGGAGAACTAAGATGGTCGTCGAAGTATGCCTGATTGAGAGTAGTGATACATCTAGTAGCTGTATCATAATATGACACGCTGAGCCAACATCAACCAATGATACCCAGGCGCTGGATTCGATGTTGTTTATGGGGAAAGGCTGAAAGAGGCTGCGCTTGACACTTATTACTTGATTGACCAAAACTCTGAATCGTTCCCTTATCCCGACCGCGACAACTGCCAACCCTCGATCGCAAATTTCCTCCCTCCCCCAACATGTTTCCACACGCAGTCGCACGATCTCTTTCGGCCTTTAAGTTATGGAGGGATTGCAAACTATTAGTTCTTCCATCGAATAAAAGGCAAATTCATCCTACATCTGGATGCAGTTGTTGCTCCGTTTTCCCGTACGATGCCTGAATCAGCCCCCAATCTGCAGGCTTACTCCGTGTATGCATATGCAGAGGACCTCGTGCCCAATCCTATCGGGCATTTCAATACATTTTACACCGAAGAGGTGTGGTGGGGTATGCACACTGCATATGCTGATATACTGCAGCATAGCGGTCAAGGCGCAATTTGCACGGGCTACCGTGCTTCAGATGGAAGTACAAAGATCATAATTGAGCACTGAAAGGCAACCGCATGACATCGGGCAATCCCCGTTGTCTTTTTCACTGTTTAATCTGGCTCGTGCTACGCAGTTGAACACCCCAATAGGAGATTGATCTTCACACGTGCCCCAGTAGTGAGATACCGCGTTCAACTCCTACTGGTCTTTTGCAACAAAGGGAAGCTCGAAAGCCCGTGGCCATCTAATTTGGCAACATTTCGCACGTTCGCATTGAAAGAGCGTGACGAAACACAATGTCCAAAAAAGCGGTTGCTTCCATCAAACCCTGGGTCGCGCAAGATACGTTCATTGTGTGTTTGACATCCCGATGATTCTTGGTCGACATAAAGTCGCGTGCTAATAAGCACAAGGGCATACTATGGGGAGGAGAGGCTGTGGGGTCGCTTTTCATCTTCTTGCGACTCTTCATCCGATATCGAGCGTTCTCAAAGTTCTGGTCAGATGATTACATCATCATGATTACCTGGCTTTGCAGTCTCAGTATATGCGTGCTATGGCAAATCAATGCGAATAATCTATACAACCAGTACAAGATGTCGAATGGCGAGCTCCAACTTACGGCAGATACTATACAGCACGAGATGGTGTTACTGCGTGGGAGTGCTGCCTTCCTCATGCTGTGGCATATCTGTATCTACGGTATCAAGGCTGCGTTCTTGATTTTCTTCGGACGCCTGGATCAGCTCCACGATGGCCCCAGAAAAAAATGGCGCTGGTTTGTATCTGTCTTCACTATCTGTAGTGGTATGACCTCCATTGGAGTGACCGATTGGCAATGCTTGCTATCGAGGCTTGCCTATGTCCTCAGTAAGCCCAACCGCAGATCGTCTTGACCAATATACTCAATATTCAGTGACCTTGCTAACTTGAATCAGCCCAGTGCGCTAACCCCCAGCAATTGAGATTCCAGCACCTGGGTTTCATCGTCTCTTGCGTTCTGGATGTCATTTCTGATGCTTTGAGTTCGTTAATCATCCGCCCCAGAGCAACTCACACTAACACGCTCTCAGTCATCTCCATTCCTGTAACAATGCTCTGGAATGTGCGTGTACATCTGGGGAAAAAACTAGCATTGATGAGCCTGTTCTCCCTTACTATCATTGTTATGATGACAGCCGTCGCACGGGTAGCTGTCAACCCCACCAAGCACATTCAAGCCGACCCGAGCTGGCTGTATCTATGGTACAACATAGAACTGTTCGTAGGTGCGTAACATGAACTTGCATTTGATTTTTAGCTTCCATCGAACTCCAGCTGACCAAACTTCGTGATAGCTATGCTAGTCTCATCGCTCGCCTCTTTTCGCCAGCTCTACATCACACAATCGAGCCGAACAAAACAGAACAGCGATCAGCGTACGAGAAGTACCAACTCGAACATTATATTCATGGAGCGTTTCTGGATACGACCATCACTCTCGCCCTTATCAGGATCGAATCGCAAACCATCAGCTTCGGGAAACGGGACCCTGCCCTTGAGCTCGGTCGATGTAGCTCATGACGCAAATACAACACCGATAACACCAAAGCCATCTACATAAGACAGATCTCAAGCTCTCCAATATCATTTAGTTACAATGAATTAGCTACATTACTTTCAGAAGTATGAGGGGTGAACTAGTAGAAACGACTTATGTACTACATTTGGAGGCTCTTTGGAACAGAACAAGGTAGAGCTGATTTTGAGAAGCATTTTTATAGAAGCTTTGTACATTTCTCAATAAAATCTAGAAATTTAGTTGTCGTCGAATTAGTACTGATGGCGATGATCAGGATATGCAATTGTATGAGAAATCAATTATCTGTTAACTAAACAATGATCATCAGCCACTCTAAAATTTCCCCCGACTATTGGGCGCATCTGAGTGAGCTGCTACTAAAGCTAAGCCAATGATGTATTGAAATTTGAAGGGGGAGAAGATCGATATACCACGTGAGATTTGTTGAGTAACCGTGATTGAGATTGTAATCTGTGCAAGAGCTTTGTACCGATGAGCTTTCTAAATATCTGTCTGTTCTTCATAGTTCATTGAGTACATGATTTAATCATTGCATTTCCATGCGGCACAAACACTGGGTATTGAAAAATCACACGATAAATCTGTCTTTGAGCTCCAGGCAGGACACATGTTCCGTGGTTCACGAAACTGATGAGTCATCATTCTGAATAGCTGAGTGCCGATTGGGTCCTTCATATTTCATAGATATTGCATAAAAATAAAGAAAAACAAGGGAACACAATTAAATGTACTTACTTAGAGTACAGCAAAAAATCTAAGATTAGATGCATAAGGCACAATCTCATCATTATACGTGCTTCGGTCACTGACGTTGGTTGTTTAGTACATTGTGGCCGCACATATGGTCTCTAACTCTACTTATTAGAGTCTTTGACACCTGCGATCTTCTAGATAACCATAATTCAACATCAAACTGTGGAAATCACCTGTGTGCCCACATGAATAGGATTACTACCTAGGTATATACCATAGCATAAAATTGGCTATCTCGAATCCCACGCGATTCTATCAGGTGTCTCAAAATATCCTAAACAGTACAAGATTCCCTTCTTCCATTTTCTACCGGTATTGCAAACCTAGATAGAAAGACCGTAGATAGTATGGTGCAGCTAGTGTCAAATACTATCTTAGTGGGCTAAAAGAGCCTGAGAACACTACACACATGGTTTTCTGAAATGGCAGCGGTTTCTTCTTATGCCTGCGCCCTAGAACACACATGTGTCTGTTAATCCATCATCGTGCTAGCACGCTTGCGAATTTCGGCTTCTGTCCTAAATGTGACTGTACCCTCTCTTGTAGCAATCTGTAGACTTACGACGACTTGCTTGATGCAGCCGAATGGAATTCGATAGGCTGAAGAATAGCAATCCTTAGACGCAAACCACTCTGCTTCGTCCTTGAACTTGTCTTTGTCATATCCGCTCACAAAGCAGATTTCGGAGGCGCCAGGTATTTGATACAGCATGCGAGGGACAGTATCGCCAGCAACTCCTGGGTAATCTTCCTTTTCATATCTCCCGTCACGCTCTTTCCAGTTATCCACAATAATAGTTTTTATCGACCTCAACGCTTTAGTCATATTGGTCCTATAATAGAGGTGCTCGCCGTCAACTCGAAACACGCCCCGGGTATATGGCATTATCTTCGTCTCTTCGTACGTCTGTCGACACGCGGCAAGCAACGCCAAAGGATGATTGGTCTTGGTGGTCACTTTGAACTTCAGGCTGTTCTTGATCATGTACTCTTCCCCATCGAAGATGTAATCGTAGATGATGTTTCGAACTTCAGGGGGTAACGCTAAAAAGCGAAATCCTCGCAATCTTCCATTCCTTGTTTATGCTCGTCAACTATGCATCATTTATATGAAAAGATGGATGACTTACTGGTGAGTACCTGGGACTTGAGATTCCTCGTCGTCTTTGGCCAATCTCGCTCTCTTTTGATTGCTTCTGCCTTCTTCTGTGGATCCCAGCGGGCGCTTTCGTTTTATTCCTAAAGCCATATTGAGCTAGGTGAGGAACGATTTAGTCAAGAGCCAAATTAGGCAAGAGCCAAGAGGGTAAGAGATCGTAATGTGGTGAGATCAACTCGAGGTAAGATAAGGTTGAGTTGGGCTAAGTGAAGGTGAAGACGAGGTTGAATTGAGGGGAGGCGAGTCAAGACTGGGTGAAATTGAAAAGAGTCGAGAAAAGATCAAGGGCAGGCTTTTTAAGTGAGAGATTTGACAAACAGAGGTAGCAGTCGGTTGGTGTATTAGCTCGGGAAGTGAATTGGGCTTGGCACTAAGGGCCTATAAGGGGCTTTGCATTACTATTCGCGCATCCATACTTTCACTCAACTTGGCAAGTGACTCAACCAACTGCAACAAATTCATTTGAGAAATCAGCACAATCTTGTACTAATTATTAACTCGACTCGAATTGCGACTCGAATTACGACCCTGCTCCATACAATTGTTTTCCTTACTACCAAGCACTGCGTTGACACCCACATTCTGACCCGACCTCGAAGTTCTTCGTCAAATTTAGCCTCGACTTGGGCAGCATTCTCGCAGTGAGTAAGTAGCTCGACATGAATTAGCTATTGGATCATTTGATTACCTATAAGAATGACATTAACTAAGCTCTAGCAATTTCAAATTCCGTCGTTCTCAGCAGTTGCCATCAGGCTCAAACTGCAACCTTTGCTGCCAAGCTGTCGAGATGACAGAGCAAGGGAAAAAGCGTCGACTGGAGTCGGAGTCTGAAGACAGCAAAAACGACAAGAAGAAGTTAAAGTTGGCTCAACATGAAAACTTTGGGGACGAGGAAGGAATCAATGGATCAATGACGCAGTCGTAAGACTAAATCTCAACTGTTCGCATCCCCAAGCTATTGACGTACTAACGTATGCTACAGTGACAACGGCCAAGCTAAGTGCGGCTTCCTCCAAATCCCTGGCGAGATCCGAAACATGATATACGACTATGTTCTTGATGATGGTTGCGTTTGGAAAATCCGCGAGGGTCGAACTTTCAAAGCATCAAATGGCCGCGAATATCCCCTAGCCTTACTCGAGACTTGCAAACAAATCCACGATGAGACACGTATGTTGGCATTTCGAGGCACATTTAGCGTCCCCAATGGCGAGACCCTCGACTACAAAGTGGGAATGCCAAATCGTGGCCGTCACATCACCTCGATCGTTGTCGAAAACTGGCACCACAAACCATTGAGTGGAAAGGGAACGAATGACTGTAGATTTATCAACCAGCTGCCCAATCTCTCGCAAATATGTTTTGTTATCGACGATAGGAAACACAAATTTGTGGACAGGAAAGCATGGTTTGAGGGCGATTACTCTGCTAACCGCTTTATCTTGACTAATATACCTTGGAACTGGTGTATCAATGCGAAGGTCAGCGTGCGACTGATTACGAGATACTGGAGTAGTACTACGTACTCACTTGATCGCCGTCTTATTGGCTTTCGGACTTAGGACTTGTTGACACTACCACACCTGATGTGTCCAGCCCTGTACGCTGGCGATAAATTCAAATAGTTTAGTCCGAATCATGATTCAAGCCTTGAACTTCTGAAAAAGCATCCAGAAAGTATTCGAGTGAAGAAAGACAGATTTCTGGTCCCATATAATTTCTTGCGCGTCAATTGAGTTGCTCGAAAAACTGTGCTGACGCCGCACTGGTACGGTACCTCTTCCTCTTTTGCCTATAATCTTTGGTCATTTACCTCGAATGCCGCCCAAAAGTTTCCATACAGTTTATGTTGTCGAATGAATCTCAATGCAGCAAGCAAACTACCTGTATCTATGCATATGTACGCATTGTACACATCATCATTGTGCGCCGGCTCGACAGCCTATCTCCACCCGTCTATTCCAAAGACTCACACCCTCTTTCAAAGAAGTGCATGATTCACCGGAAGGACGTTGATACCCTCTATCAACAAGTTTCAGGCCTTGATACATCATAGCATGCAGCAGGCAAACACTTCCTCTCTTTACACAGCATGTTCAAGGATCAAACCCCCAGTCTAAAAAGACTTTCCTCCGGAACTCCCCCGACATGTCAGAATATGCAATCCGGTAGCTGGCATACATCCCCGATATCAACTTCCCCGGGGCATCTATCATGCTACGGTATGCCGGTGAAGCAATGCAAGACCTTGTAAAGAGAACTCGGCTACATGCCTCTCTACCGAGTTGAGACCATGATGTGCACTCCCAGTTGACATTCCGACTCAAAATTGCGTCGATTATGACTCGATTTCATCTTGAACAGTCCCTCGGCGTTCTTGCATGTCCGTACATCGACTTCGATCATGAAATACCGGTGAACGACGAAGACTTTCGAGAAGCGATAGGTCTAGACAGCACCATGAAATGGAGGGCAGCTAACCACACTGCCTCCTGACCAGCTGCACGGCTCATGTTCAGCCATGTGACAGCGCGTAGTGCTCTAGCCGGATGCGTATGCGTGTATATTGCTCGAGGCGCCTGTTGACGCTGACCGTGCGTCTATCCAACCTTGAACTTACATGGGTTTTGGTTGGGAATTGATGCACGGTATACCGAAGAGCGAGGAAGCCTTATTGCGGTGAATCGTTGTAGTGCCGGGTAATGCGGAAGTGGGCCGATCCGAGCGTTTACGCGGTAAAGGTGGGGAGGGTAGTGGTATGCATGATGGCTGCTTGTACGTCACTTCAAAGGGGCCAAATTTGTATTGCCGTTAGGGTCACGCGAGAGTGGATACGAGTAGCAGCAAGGCTGAAGAAGGCGATGGCTGTATGAGGGGATTGATCATGGGCGGTGTGGCAATGATAGGCGATTATGCCGTAAAGTGTGTTAGAATGATCCAATAGTAATTGAGCACTCGGAGGTGTGCGATGATCTCCATCAATATTTGTTGTTGAGCAGAGTTTACTTCTGGTAGACTTATCAAAGGGGGTAGGTGTGGTGTATTCTGGATGCAGGGCTACGGCTACCCGGATAAGACTCCTTCTCTCTCGTTGCGTGAGATTGAAGATACCCAGTATCCTTCCCAGGCATTAGGAGCACTAGTCTATCATTTCCTAAACTCACCTACAAATTCATTTGAAAGGTTGTGCCTATCATTGTCACCGGCTCTCCAAAGTTATCAATCGATTTCGAGTGACGTAGCAGGCAGTGCAAGGTACTTATGAAGGGAGAAAGCTACAAGAAAACTATTGAGAGCCCATTATGAGGTAGGTAAATCAAAAGCCGAGGAGTTCCCATTCAATTAGACAAGGAAGTGGTGTTCATGATTATTCTGGAAAGATGAAGAACATAGACTCGCAACTACCTCAAGCAAAGTCTACAATGGTTACCTGAACACAACACTGAATAATGGCATCGTATTGATGGCATGAAAAGTCTTGATGCCTGGCGATCAAGCGCGTAACTCACACCCTGATTACTGTGGACTAGGATCCTGCGCAGAGCGCACAGCGTAGCTGCTTAGATTCCCCCCCTCCCCCCACGAGAGAGAGACTCGTATGCGTCCATACTATCTGTATGTAAGCTGCATTTATATTACTACTGCATGTGAAGTTGGGGATTTCAACCGGATTCTGGTGCACTTCCCGCTGCTAGCATCATGAATGTCAGATGGGGATGCCGGGAAGTGAAGATGGAGGGGTACGACACGTAGACATCAAGGGTTCAGTGGCCTAGCGAGGTTTGTTACGATGTCTTGGATGGCAGCTCACTCGCTTCGTGGGCACTGTTGGCACAAGGTCATGAATGGGTAATCCGGCAAACTTGACGAAGAGCTGACTATAACTTCTAGTGGATGGCTAATAGTATATCGCACTCTGTTCTGAATCCCCTAGAATTAGTTTGATGTATCAAACCGTGGTGGGTGACGAAAACGTGGGTGGTTTGTAGTAGAATCACTTCGTGTACTTCTGCTCAAGTAACTTGGAGATCACAATTGAAGTGCTCCTCAGCGTTGATGACATTCTCATCCCAAGACCTTCACGATTCTTCACTTTTTGGGCGACTAATACAGGGTTATTGACGCTGTGGAACGCTGCAAACGCGGGAATCCGAAGACGTGCGTCAGGATGACTCAAATAAGCCTGTTGTTGGTGTCTGAACCGCCGAATGGACGGGATAACCTGGTATGCAGGCGAGTATAGATTGTCGCAGACGCATTTGGCGTAGAAGAGTCCCTTCGACTAGTGGAAAGGACAATGCAAGGCCATCCCGATGCAAAGTGGCTGCATAGGGTTGCGTAAATGGTTACAGGCGGTGTAGCTACGCTGATCACGAAGACTGGTTATCAATCTATTTGTAGGGTTGTGGCCATGTAGTTTCGATTGCCTTCCACCGACGTGTAATCTTTGCAGCCCAACTTTCTCATCAGAGCGCCTAAGAGACCAATCAAGGATAGATAGGCCAGCAGCATGGCACGTAATATCAGACTACACGATATTTTAGATGCAAAACTTGTAGCGGTACGAACAAGGCTGCTCTATCGTGTGCTTTTGTGATTGTCTGGGCTACAATATTGGAATCTGACATGCCTCAGTGATGACACCTTGAGCTGCCGCACAGTGGAGCGACTACTTACTGGACAGTGAGAATAAAGCGTTGAAACCCTTGAAAGCCCTTGTTCTGGCTCAGAACTGTGATGATAACCAAAAGCTTCACGTTGGTCCCAACCGCATGGTTTCACCGAGCAAATCAAAAGGATGTAACGTTCATATGATATTGAGGTGTTCATCCAATCAATGAAAGCGTGTGGCCAAATGCCCCTATTCACGCGAGCTGTTACTGACAATCGGTGACTGGGAAATACTGTCGATTGCGAGCATATACCCAGTTTATGTCTGATCGCAACAAACCGATCTGTAATTGGGATTGTCGAATCTTCATATTTTCCAATGAATTCTCCATACTAGAACATGTCCAGATTAGTCGGTACATATAGGGCTATCCGATGTTGCTGGAAACTAATTACCAGAGCGAGACTACGATCTAGGTAGGAATGATTATAAAGTAATATCATGGCAGTGACGCGATACAACGGTCAATTAGTTTCCATGTAGCAGTACTCATATGGGTCACTCACTGTCAATTAATTCGTGCTCGCTCGGTCAATTATGTACGAGCATCAAATCATCTTAGCTTGATTCGTGCCGCCCGCTTACAATAGCGCTGGCGAACTCCGGGTCTTTACACCACCATTCATTCATCGCCCACCCTCACCCTCCACCCTCGCACTCCACCCTTCCCCAAGCCCAACAATCCAGATCGTCAACCCCACGAACAAGGCGGTTTGTGCAATGCCGCACATCACGATCAGTGCCCTCGTCGGCCACCGGAAAGCTCTTGAATGGCCCCTCGTATACGGCGTACATACATGACGATGCAGCCTAATCCTTGAGGCGGAATACTGCAATACCCTACCAGGGGGTAAATACATGTCGGGTGGTCATGAGAAACCGCTGGATGGCTGCGATAGATGGGGTCGAAGTTGGCACACACGTCCTCTATTATCTCTTGAGCTTCCTGGTTGCGGCTTGGGATGAGAACGAAAACCGGTCAGCTTGTCTCCCTGCCTCGCTTTGCTCTGCATATGCGCTCGCGGAGTCACTTCTGCTGGTTGAGGAAATCATTGTCGAAAGTTCGGCATGATCCTCCGAAAAGATCATGGTGTTGTATGGCGCACACTGTTGTCGGCTTACCGTACATTCATTCAGCGGGCTTCAGGCCTGCGATCCCGAGAACCATCATGATGCGTCAAAGTTGGTGTGCAGCCGGACGCGGCCGTCCTCTAAAAAGTATAAGTACGCCGTTGTTCCTTGGATCCAATGTGTGTCGGCACCCAACATCCTCAATCTGAGTTTTTATTGCTGCTCCGACTTCATTCAATTCTTTGTTCCTCCAATCAACATGGATCTTAGCGATGACGCACCATCGCAATTAGGTGGCTCCTCTGGCGCTCCCATGGAAACGCCGAGGAGGAACACCGCCATCGCTGACTCTTGGATTGCACTTTTCAATCATCGCAAACTCTACGATGACATCGGTAATAAGGGTCTTACTCGTGGGGACATACGATTGTCCTTTTCCTGGCTCCGGGCATTCCGAGGAAATTGGCTCGAGCAGAAGAACATCAAGAACGAGGCAGATTTGAAAGCGATGATGGATCAGTTCCAAGTACATGCCATAGATTTCAACGAGCCAAATGCGCAACTTGAGGCGGACGAGTTATTGGAGCGCATTGATAGGGACCTAGCCAGATCCAGTATGTGACTCGTCAACTGATCTTTCCATGCTGTTGATGTTGACATAGTGCACAGGCCATGCTTATCAGGATGATCGAAGGGCAGCAACGGCACCTCGGGCTGCGCGCTACTATCTTGACACTGTTATGAGATACCATGTTTTGTCACCGGAGAAGGGACTGAAATGCCCAAATGGACAACCGCAAAACTTTTTCGGCGAAATCGGTGCCTCACCTGACCCTTGGCTCATCGCGATCTGCGACACTGAATCAAGTTTCTTCAGCTATTTTGTCGTCGAAAAGCTGATGCATTTCTATTATGGATATCTCTATTATCCATTGCGAAAGTTCATGCTTCGTACAGTCTTGGGAAACGATCCGGTGGACGAGCAGGTCATGCGTCAACAAACCCACGATATCTTGGTTGCAGGCTTAGAGGCCTCGTTATCCTGCGCTCTCATGACGGGGTCCATCGTTCTGTTGGTGAAAAGTTCGTCTCAAACGCACCAGTTGATTGCCATGGCGATCATGAACCTGCTCTTTATCTTTGTCGTCATTTTTCTTAGCAGTATGGGGAAGTACATATTTGTGTTGTGCGCAGCGTGAGTGGCCCATCTCTTATATCCAGCACTCACTAACAGAATGAGTAGATTCTGGGCAGTCGTTGTGAGTTTGATCCTGAGAGGCTCCTTGGCCAATCACGGTTAAGGTCTTAGTCACGGCAGCGTATCCACGATCTATGCTTGGTCACACAGATTCCCTAGGAACGCGCTCAACGCTAGCACGTGACGTGCCTATCAGCAAGGCTGATTTCTCTCCCCCTTTTAATCTTAGGTAATCGTAGTCAATCAGAATGTTGCGATCCTCTACTGTCTTCGCCATCTTTTGTCGCGGAGGCAATCACCCCGAAACTATCTCTTTCTCGCTTCAAGGCGTCCTAGCCGTTGCCGTTTCACTCTTTTCCTCGCCACCATCTATCTCCCTTGATATCATCTCCGTTCTTTCTGTCTCTTACTGCTGTCCTATTTGACGTTCTGAACGCCATGACACATCTCATCAATGCATGGATGATGCGGCGCCCTCCTACCCCCTTCGTCTCGCAGCTTTGTTCACTATGCTGCTTCTCTGCTCCGGGATCTATTGTGATACTCTACTGTGTCAACTGATCTTCTAGTGCACCAGCTATCCAGAGTTATGAGAAGCTCCTCATGGATTAAATCAAGATTTCTCCGGTGTGAGACGACGCGATAGCAAGCCGACAATCTTGCGATTGATACATTCATGCAGCCTTCTTGGCGGTGATCTGACCGACTCACATAAGTATCCCGGGGTTTTCAAATATCGGCCTCATCCGGAATCTGCACAAGCATCAAGAGCCTCGGGCATACCATGGCCAAGAGGATTCAACCTAGAGGGCGCCAGGTACCACTCTAGTGCCATAATCGCTGACTCGAACTACTCGATGTTGCAATTACATACTGCAACATATAGAAAAGACGCTCTGGTCATTGCCTGCCTGCTGCGTAAAGGTCAGTGTGTCTATGTGCGTCAAACATGGTTAGCGCCATCATACCTGGCCGGCTCTGATGCCAAGGCCGCACATCCCAAAACACTCAAATGCATCGAGGACCCATCTTCACCGCCTTGTTACATCTTTACCGTCTTCTCCAGGAGGAAAACCACAAAGTATTTTCAAAATCTTCTGATCTTCCTAAAAGCCAACTACTCGACCAAGCTCGAACAACCGACTAACGATGTGGGTCTATCGCCAATACGAGACGCGTACGAGCTCCTTGATCACTCCAAGGGATTCTCTTGCCCAGCTGACGATAGACAGGTGAGAAGAAAGAGAAGGCCGAGGAGGCCGAGGAGGCCAGGAAGCAGGAGGAAGACAAGAAGAAGCAGAAGGGGGAGGCGACAAGCGTGGAGCATAACCAAGGAGCGCAGGCTTGATTTCACCCTCGATTCAGCAGCGTTACGCCACAATCGCCTTCTGCTACACTGGTCGAGCGTGAAAACAGCAAGTCTCGGTTCCACGAGTCTTTCCTTTCAACTGAACATGAGAATCGTTATACCTGTTGGCTGTGGTCCATCTTCGGTCGTCATCTTCAGGGATCCTGTGCCTAACGTCTGGAGAAGAAAGGCCTTCTGTGTACCCCGCCAAATTCGGTCAAGAACGCACGAAATGCTTCTCCCGGCTATGAGCGCTTCATAACTGGCAAATTATATCATGTTTTGTTTCTCGCAGTCGAACATTTGCCGCCATCAGCTGTTGATAGACGCGTTCGTCCTCGCCCGTCTGTGATCTTGTTGGATGCACTCCCCATTCGCTCTTCTTCAAATCGAACCCCCTATATATATCCCGATCAGCCACTGCTTTGCCTGAATGTCTATTTCATCGTGTATATGATATCACTACTTGTAGTGTTGATCTCTAGTGAGAACCACTGGACAACAAGCTGCAAGCATGGTGGGGATGGATGTAGACTAAACGCCAGAACACCCGCGCCGGCAATCAGGCTGCTCCTCTCGGGCGGTGACACACCCAACACTGATGCAGCAGGTTCCTTCCCATCTTTCCCTCGCGCTATCCATAATAGCTGGTGTGTATCAAGCGTCGCTGTGCCTCCCTCAATGTAAAAACCTCTCCGCTGATGTCTATCCCACAGATTGTGGTCCCATTTACGCGTGGACGCCTACATCGAAGCCCGATAAAATACCCTTACGACCATCTCACAAAGCAACAAGCCTTGAGATCGGGAAGCGGCAGTGTGCATCAATTACAGCAGCTGTCCTTGGGATTCACGACACCCCTCTGCCGACTGGGCCGTCTCCGGCCATCGTGTAGTGTTGAATCGCCCACATTTTCTCGGTGTATCACTGAATGATACAAGTGTGTATAGGTTCGGTACGTGGGTAGTTTTGATATCGACCGGCTGATTTCGTTCTCGCGTTCGTCGTCGCTAGACTCTCGTGGCTCGCTGCCTATCGCTTGGTTCTCGAAGGATCGCGGTGGGGAACGTATGGGGGATGGCGGAGGAAGAGGTACGACGACCGCGAGGGCTTAAAATAAATATGGTGCCATGGAATGATGATGCAAACATCTCGAATTTTGCTGTGATTTACTGGCGAGGACGGCCGAAGGCAGGGAAGCGAGGAAGCTCGCGTAGATGGCCATGGAGAATAAGCCGAACCCCCCAACTCCATCCCCAATGAGGGCTCTTTCCTCTATATTTATGATTTTTCTGACCGAATTCAGATTTGTGTGTGTTCAAGAGTCTTATTTGGAATTTTTTGATTTACACGGCACGCTGGCTAATCTGGCCTCGCAGCATTCGGGAACAAAGTAAACTTCGCAAGACACCTGGCAGGAACATCACAAAATCACGCGCAAGTATAGCAAAACCTTTACTTAAAAAAATAAAACTAGAGATTAATTGTGCAGGGCTCCCGTCAATTACGCACGATCGACTATTAACAGTCATGCACACTTTGAGGTATCAAGCTCAGAGTTACACCAAGGTCAAGCCTCTGCTCGAGCTTCGCTACGCATCAAGTGTGACTCGAAACATCACGACCTTTTCCTCTGCAATATCGTAGGAATGGCCCATTTATGTATCGCATTATGATTCTTCGTCCTATGAACCGTGTTATCCATGTCAGCCTCGCCAACATCACCACTTTCATATCCCCTCTCCCCTCAATTCCTTAGATCCGCGACTTCCCGACTCCCGTAGCGCATCCTTCTGTCATCCTTCACGATGATATGCCGTACAAATTCACCAACAGCCAGTATACGACATCATCGCGAGTGGAGGCTTCTACTCCGGTGATGTCCAAGTCCCACATAATCCGTCTAATACAATATTCCTTGTCCATAACGGCTTGGGTCGACAGTTCTCTAGCTGGCTTGTCAGCCATAGCGGGATGGCCGCCGTTGAAAAAGGATCGCGTTCGCTGCGAAGATCATTCGGACCACAGCGTGGGGTGCTCGGCGTCGGAGTTCAGCGTGGGGGAGACGCAACGGCACGATATAACATCTACGTCGCGTCCGTGGCTTCGAAGTCGAATCCCGGTCTGGTTTCCTACTACTCAATCTTTGTTAATGGATGAATCAGATCATACGAAGCTTTTGCGTGTATCTTACCGTACGTGTCTGTCTAGAAGAGACAACTTCCCTCACACCAATTCAGAATGGTACATGTCCCACCAGGACACAAAAGCATTGAACAAGTAGGCATGGCGAGATCGAAAGATAAAAATATCCAGAAAAGCAGCAGGAGATGGAAATGGGATTCTTGATGGGAGATGGAAGAGAAAGAGACAAAGCAGACGAGGCTGAAAATGCCGCCGCCGAGCCGCGACACCGAACCGCAGTGAGAGCCATCTTTTCACTCACCGATTATTGCATCGACTATCGAAACCATGAGTCGCAAGCTCCAAACGCGGCGGTTATTTGCCATCGTTTGCCTTCTTTCCTCGCACGCTTGGACAATGGCTGGCCCGTCCGTCGTAGCCCCCAATCGTGCAGTGTCAGACCGCAACCGACCGCACACTTCTCCCAGCTTTCCATTCACTTTCCTCGCAAACACCCACAAAAAACAATAGAAAAAACTATGACCATGCGACGAACTACATGATAGCCACATCAATGTTTCAGATACCGCAATCACCCCCCAATCAATCCGTCTTACATCAAAACACACCCTCTCGGAAGCGATGCCGCACCCAGCCGTTGCCACTGCGTAACAGAGGCTAACAGCATGCTCTAATCAAATCACCGGATTCTTCAATCGCCAATATTATTCTATACACGGCACAGACCTATACGAGCGGGCCGATGCCCCCTCGGGAGAAGATCGCACGCCTGATGCGGCACAGTAGCTCAATCCATGAGGGGCCCTTGTTTAAGTGCGGTGGTGCAAGAACTCCCGTCTTGGGACTCGCAGGGGCTGAGCAGGTAGATCTTGCTGCGCGTTTGGAATGATTGGATCAGTGTGTGTGTTGTGGTTGACGTTGTTGTCGGTGAAGCGACTGGGATTCGGAATTGGGGGGGCTGGGAGAAGAGGACGCAGAAAGCGAAAGAAAGGGATAGAAGCAAAAAGATGAAGCCTTGCAGTACACTGCAGGGAGAGTATTGAAGCGCAGACTTGCCTCGTGCCATGTTTGCTTTTCCTGTATATTGAACACAGTAACGTCCATAATCCCTCTTTCGTCGAACCTCGTACCTAGCTTTCGACAAAAACGAGTTCAAGATCGGACAGTCCCAACATAAGCATCGATATCCATCTATTCGAAATCTTCCTAGGGGCTTCAAAACATCGCTTATGATACACACACACACATATAGCGAAAACACCAAGCAAGCCACAGACCCCACGACGCTCACTTCAACCCCAATCACCTCCCTACACAGCAGCAAACCCTAAAACTACACTCTGCATATCCCCACAAGGCTTTCAGGTTCCCACAACCGCACACAGTGCAAGCTTTCCCAACTAATAAAACCTGTTCTCGTATTGCAAGACACTCTGCCCCCATCCCAAACCCTCCCCCCCAGCCAACCATCCGCTTCCCCCCGTCCCCGATCCCACAAAATTAAACCATACATATTCTCCCCATCGGCCCTTTTTCTTCCCGCGCCGTCTCCGTTCTTGAAGCCGCTGGATTAGGGGGGGGGGGGGGGGGGGGGGGGGGGGGGGGGGGGGCTGGGCTGAGCAGTGCAAGGGGTAAGATAACGAAGTTGAGAGCAATAGAACGGGGTCTAAGCTTTTCGCTATTCTGTAACCAATTTATTGAATTTTCCTAAGTTGTTTTGGTCGGTGAAGTATGACGAGGATAACGGGGTTTTTTTCCTCCGCGGGATGGCCAGGGGAGGAGGGATTGAAGAGATTGAAGATGTAGCAATTGAGATGAGAATAAGTAGGTAGAGGGAGAGTGTGTGTGTGTGTATGTGTGTGATTTCTTTCCGCCTTTCCAATATTTCAAGCGAATGTTCGGTTGAGTAAAGGGTGAGGGAAGTAACGTAATACAACGAAGTGAGCGACCGGCCCAGCCCGAAACCCTTCCTTCCCTCGTCCGTCGAATAAGGCATTTCCTTCCCTTCCTTCCCTTCTTCTTCCTATCTGTTTACGCATCTACAAGCGCGCGAGCGTGCGTGTCCAACATGCAAAGCTAACACACCTCAACATACAGGGAAAAAAACAAGCCTAAGAAACACACCTAGCCCGATGCATGCACACGTGCAGATTCCAAGCCCAACTGATCACCACAAAGCCACTCTGCATCTAGCATCGCGATGCCGTGGTTCATTCCCCAACTATACCTGTTCAGCAGCGCCCCCTTCTGTGCTAGCTATATATATCCATCGAGAGGCTACTCGTCCATCTCACATTTCAATGCCCTCCAGTACAGTACGTACCGCGTGCGTGCTCGCCTGGAGCGAGAAATCACATACATTAAGTACACAAACTTCTACCTAGCTAGCTAACTAATCCCCGCGTCTACCCACAGCCTCCCTAACGTATAATCTTCTCTCCTAAAATATCCTTGCTTTCCTCCCCCTTTGATTCGTGAATTCCTACTACTAGCCCTGCCCTCTCTTACCTAACCTACCTACCTAACCTACCCTGGGCTACATAAACATTGAAGCTAGGCTAAGCTTAACCCTTTAGGCGAGAGTAGTTAAATCTGACTTCACTTGATTGTTCTTATATATATATTTCTTTCTTTCTCTTTAAATGTAGACAGGCATGTTTAACCTTTTGCACTGTGCTGTAATACTACAGTATTTTCTTACTATCCACTTGTCTTTCTTTTCTTTTTATTTCTTTGGGGGGTTTAAGAAAGGAGAAGAAGGATCTAATTTGTTAAGAGAGAAATTTATCCGAGTGATATTAAGGAGGGGGTTTTTTTTGGGGGGGGTAGCGTGCTTGGAAAATGGCCAAACAGAAAACTAGAGTTAAATTTATTGAATAGGTAGTGATAATAATGGAGTTGGTACATTAGTAAAGATAAGGGCGCCGTTCTGAGTGACACGCTGCTGGACGTGTATGAATATGTATTTATATGTATATACTCAAAAAGTTTCAACAACCACCACAAAACGATGGCAGCCCGCAATACCCTACTGGTAATAGAACCCTTCCCCTAGATATCCTGCCCAAAGAAGAAGAAAAAAACGCCGCGTCGCTTAAAAACAACCCTCGAAGAAAACAAACAATAAACTACGTCGTGGGCGAAATGGTATCCGAATCCATCCTCGCGCCCTCCTTTTCGCCGACGCTGCTCTCGCTCCTACTCGCACCCCCCTCGGTCTCCACGACCTTCTCGCCGCTAAAAACCCCATTTCCGTTGCCAGCATTCGCAGTTCTGTCCTTGGAGGTGGTGCGATGGAAGTACTCGTGAACATCCTTGTGGAACCCATCGTCCTCGTCAAACTCGGCCTCCTTGCCCTTGAGCTCATCAAACTTGTTCTGCTGGCGCTCGACCCAGTCCTCCCTCATCTCGCGGATCTTGGACTCGTAGTCGAGTTTGGCGTCGTAGTTTTTGCCGACGCCGCGGAGGCGCTCCCACACGGAGAGATGCTTGGGGTGGATAGCGATACCGTGGTAATCCTGCTCGCGGCCCTCGCGGATGTACGACCATCGACGTTCTTGCTCTTTGAGGTCGAGACCGGTGGTATCGGGGAGGAAGAGCCAGGTGACGAGCGCGCCCGCGAGACCGAACCAGGGCACGACGTAGAATTTCGTTTGTGTGTCAATGTAGTTGTACAGGACGGACGCGAGGAGTGCGCCTGCTTTGCCGACGGCGGCGGAGAAGCCGTGGGCGGTTGCGCGGATCGGGGTTGGGAAGACTTCTGCGGCGACGAGGAAGGTGACGGAGTTGGGGCCGAATTGGTTAAAGAAGGAGGACAGGAAGTACATTGCTTGGAAGGCGTGAATGTGGGCTTTTGAGGTGAAGAATTCGTAGTTGAAGGCGGGGACTACGAAGAGGATGAAATCGGCGAGGAAACCGATAATCATCATCCATTTGCGGCCGTAGAGCTTGTTGTCGATCAAGAACGAGGCCAGGTAGTACCCTACTAGAGACACACCAACGTTGACCTGCAGAATGAATCAGTATTGAGTTTTGTAAGTGCTACACGGAGAAGGAGCTTACCAAGTTGTACAACCATCCAGTCATGACTGAGGTGCTTCCTGGTGTCAAGACAGCGATGAACTGGTTCTGGAAGAGCTTGTTGCCGTAGAAAAAGACATCGTTGGCAAACCAGGCACCGGCAGTTGCGATCAAGCGAGGCCCAAAGTAAGACAGCGTCAGCTTGAGCGACTTGGTGTCGTATCCAGTGACGTTGGACTTCTTCTTGGCCACCATGAGCTGCTTGCTGGCGGACCTCATCTTGAAGTAACGGTAGTAGACCAGCCACAGCGTGCCCACGGCCGGAATGGCAAAAGACACGCGGTATGTCCATTGAGCTGCGACCTTGGAGTAAGGGGGGTTTCCGCTCCCGTGGTGGAAAACGAGCAGCAAGATGATGAGGATGACCTGGTTGAAGAACTGTCCCCAGCCCTGCATGAGGAAAGCGCTGGTGACTTTGCGTCCTCGGTGCAGTCGGTCGTCCTTGGTCGATACCTTGCCTGATCCCACGGCGTTTTCCATGCCGGAAGTAGCAGTCATAGGGTATTCACCTCCGACTCCTATGCCGTAGAAGAAGAGCGACCAGGCGTAGCAGATGACCCAACCGTTTTGAGTCACACCCCACGCGGCAGTCAACATGATCAAACCGAGAAACATGATGGTGGCATCCTGGATCAAGCCCCATCGTCGACCGAGGTAGTCACCCAGATAACCGACCAAGATCTGGCCAACAATGATGCCGACAATCTCGAGATAGTCAACCGCCTCGGTCCACCTCTCGTCGCAGATCTCGAAAGTCTTCCAGCATCGCGGGAAAGCGGCCTGTAGCAGGGGTCTGACGTTGCCAATGGAGAACAAGACGTAACCCTCCAATCCAAGACCGGCTCCCGGAAGTACCATATTCTTGAGATAATAGCCAACGGGGCTCAGAGGGTCGGCTTTGAACATGGACCACATGGAACTGACCTCCTTCTTGGACTCCTCACGGTCGACCTTGGAAACGAAGCTGACGCGTTGGCCGATGGGCAAGTCGGCCCAGTAGACGCCATTTTCGGTGTAGATGTCGTCTGGGTGGAGCAGAGAATGGAAAACGCTCTCTTCCTTTTCGCTCATATCTGCAGGCCAAGAAATGTTAGTACGGTTACATGGAGGGGAGTTTTTTTTTTTTTTTTTAAAAAAAAAGGTTCAAGTTCGAGTATCACTCACCCTTGCGAACATCCAAAGTAGCCGTGTGGTCTCCCGTCATGTTGGGGCCGTGAGGAGCAGCGGCACCCCAATCGCGAAGGGAAGGAGGTTCCATGATTTTCCTTTGCAATTCTTGGATCTATCACCAATGTATCAAGACGGATTTGGCCTGGAAATATATAGGATAACGATAACGTTTAGGCGTGCCGTTCAGAGATGGACGTGGATGGGATGGAAGAGCAGCGGTGCCGGACAAGCCTTTGAGCTAAAGCTTGATCTGGAGATGGCTTGGCTGGTAATGACGTCGAAGAGCAGGCACTAGATGGGCACGGCCGATTTGCAGGCGGCAGGGCTGCAGACGGGTTGAAAGGCGATTATCGAAACGTTGGGGGCACGTTGGTGATGTGCGATGCGTGAGTGGATGGGGAGGGAAATGCACCAGCGCAGCAAGGCAGATGGATGATGGAGACGGGTGGATTTACGACTCCGGGTTATCCGAGAGGGCAGAGGTGATGCGAGTAAGGACAATTGGATTTTTTTTCCCTTGGCCGGAGTTGAGAGTGGGGGGGGGGGGGCGTGAGGGGCGGCGGCGGGGAACGAGGGCAACCAAATGAATGGGTGCTTCAGGCCCACGGGGGAGGAGTGGAAAGATGAAGTAGAGGAAGGGGAGGAAGATGGAGCAGACGAGCAGAGAGAGAGGTGGACATGATGGATGATGGAGGGAGGTTATATAGGTAGCAGGGCGGCAGGGGATTTGCAGGCGGGCTAGGTGCTAAGAAAAATCTTTAGATTCTGGACGAGGGTGGATAGTCGGGGACGGATGGACGTGGACGTGGGTAGGTAGACAGCAAGTAGAAGACGGCAACAGCGGCGAAGAGGAGTCGCGTTGCAAAAAAATCGACAAGTGGAGCATGCATGGGCTATTCTAGGTGGGTGTGTGGGAACATTGCAAGGACAGCCGATTGGGGAAAGTGGTCGTGTGCCCATTTTTTTTCCCGTGGGGCAAGGTTCTGTCACTCGTGCCTGCCTGCATCTGCATCTGCATCCGTCTACACACCTGATGTACGTACATAACATGACTGTCTACAACAACACGTATCCCGTCGCAGCCAGCAGCCCTCCAAAACCTGAACGTGGCACAGAGACTCGCATCATCGCACGTTGAAACTGCCAAGCACAGTGAAAGAAGAAAAAAAGCTTGCCCACCCAACAAGCACCTCAAGCCCGCCCATCAAGCCCATAAGCTTCAACAAAAAAGCTTTGCCATGCCCCCTCCCCCCTCCGCTCTTTCCCCTTCCAAGAAACCAATATCCGTCCCTGCCCCCATCCATCAATTGTCCAATTCATGTGCTCGCCTCAATGCGATTCCATTTGCAAAAAAAGGTCCTAGCCAATCACATCCCTCGAATCAACCACGTTGCGCTTTGGTAGGACATGTCGAGACCCTGGAGAACGGGCGCTAGTCGCTAGCTTGCATCTGCCGCTCTTGCCCCCCTGCCCTTGCCTTGAGCCTCGGATCTCACCGACCGACCGATGGACTGCACTTTCCTCGCCTCATGTTATGCCCGAAAGGGGGAATCGCCCATCACGCTTGTACATGACGTAAGCCGGCACTGTCGTCGCTGCTGCTGCTGCTTGACCTGTGTTCTTTTTTGCATCAACAATTCGTTTAAACATCCAAACCTCTCTCTCTCTCTTTACATCAAAATACATGGGTGTTTGGATGCAACGGAAATAGAACCCCCCCTCCAAAACTACACATAACATGTACTTACGACGCTGAATGTCAATGTATCGCCATTTCAAATCCCCATGCCTTCTTGCACCCCTTGGACCCCTGAACTGAACCTTACATGTACCCAAACGACTCTCGACTCCAACTATATATATATATATATATATATATATATATATATATATATTCAAAACATCATCTCCCTTCAGAAACAAATTCTTTTTTTGGTTTTTTTTTGGTTTGGTTGCTATTCCTGTGGTCCTCGGCTGGGTTCTCAGTTGGAAAGAGGTGTGTGGGAAAGGTAAACACACAGACACAGAGCGAGAAAGAGAAAGAGAGGACTCGAGATTCAATGGAAATCATCATCATCTAGTCTCTCCAAATACAACCTCTTTTTTATTATTGTTGTGATTGATGATGATGATGATGATGATGATGCATTCATTCATTCATATCCCACTCTCCTCCCGCTTTTTGTGTGTTTTTGGTTGGGTAGAAATGAGATACAAGCACTTGTAAAAATACAGATATATGAGTCCCGCCCAGCACTCGCCATGCCAAATCATGCCGTTATTGAATTCCAACGCAAAAAAAAACCCCCCCGCCCTGGTAAAATCAGATACCAGGCACGCAAAAATCAAAACCCCCCTACCCTCAATGCCCAGCCTCCAAGGTTGGAGGAAACAAAGCCATCAAGCCAACCAGTTCTGCCACGCACACTTGCAACCCCCCGTCCCGCCCTCAATCGGACTGCTCACGTTCCCCAACCCATCCGCCGGATTCACCAGCGTACCCCCAAACCCGCGATCCTCGACAATAAACAGCTTGTTCTCCGCTTTGTCCACAATCCGCGTATCCTTCTCCATGCGGTAGCAATACATCATCTTCTTGCCCGCGTCGCCCCCGTGACGGTCCACCGTGATGGTGACGGGGTAAGGGAAGGATCCCGGTCTGCGCAGCGCATCGGCGTCTTGCGAGCTCGAGGGGGGAGTCGCCGTCGTGGGCGTGCCGCGGAGCATGGGTTTGGTGGTTTCGCTGCGGGTCCAGATTTGCACGAGGAACCGCGTCTGCGCGTATGTGCAGCGTACCGTGGCGGCGTCGCGCGCGCTTCCGCCGTTGAGGTCGGATGGATTGCCGCCGCGCCCCGATTCGTCGTCGATTGTCTTGAGGAAAATGGACCGGTCAAAGTACGTGTAGAATCCGTAGTACTCGTCGGCTTTGCCCCGGTTGAACAGACGGAGCGGTTGGCCGGAGGCCGTGGGATATAGGTCGGCGGGTGCGGCCGTACCGTCTGGGTTCAGGGCTGGAGGGGGTATAGCGGCAGTGATAGTATCAGAGTCATTCGACTCGCTCTGCCGCTTTAAGAGGCGAGAGGCTACCGCAGACTGTGCATCCTGGAAGCTGATGAAGAAGGGAGTGTCTTCTCCCTCGAATGGGGTGGACACCTTCTCAGTGGTCTGCCCTAGAAATTTGCGATCTTCGGCACTGGGGGCGGGAGGAGAGGCTACCGGGACAGCTCGGGCTTTCAACAGGATTGAGCGCATGAAGGCGCCTGCTGATACCGGGTTCACAGCTCTTCGGAGAGGTTGAGTTTTGGAAGCATCAGGGATGGTGTCATTTTGGAACAGGATATCAATTCTGAAGTTGGGTTGGTCGGGCTTGTTCGCGCCAATGTCATTCTGTTGCTCCTTGGGGAGAGCACAACTCCAAGCAGTAGCTGGTTGAACACATCCGGCCTGTTCTTCCACCGCCTCGGGTTGAGAGATGGTTGATACACCCGTGGGAATTGGGGGGAATCCAGTAAGATTGAGCCACTGTGAATTAACCTCGGTTGGCCGATTGGGTTTGTCAGTGTTGTTGTTGCCGTTGGTGTTGTTGTTATGCTTTCTTGTGAATACTACGACGATAGGAATGATGATGGCGAGCAAGACCAGTATAATGATACAACACCCGCAACACCACAAGCACCTTGATCTCTTTTTCTTGTCCTTCTTCTCTTCTTTTTTGCCCTTCCGTCCTCGGCATAGCGCGAACTTGGACATGATGGTGTTGGCTTTTCTGTGTTTCTTCTGAACTTTCTTCTGGCTTTTCAGCTCCGTGATTGACGTTGTTGAGGCCGGGCTGCTAGAGCGGCTAGCATGTCGTGAGCTTTTGTGAGACTTGTTCTTGGAAAAGGTGGGTGGTGGTGGGAAGACTGGAACCGGTTGCTGTGAATGAAACACCTGAGGAGGCGTCTGTCCCGGATTCCCTGGTGGAATGTGTATATGCAGAGCCGTTGGCTGTGCGTTGGCTGCTCTCCGTTCCGCGAGAGGTAGTGCCTGGCGGTCTTGCAGCTCTATATTCACAAAAGTTGGTTGTGACCTCGAAGTGGCCTCCAGCTGTTGAGGCTGTGCGACTGTGGTCGTAGTGGCCTTTCCAATACCGGGCGATGATGAAGTGGACGAGAAAGCAGGTGTGGCATTCGGGCTTGCAGACGAAGTTTTCTGGTTTTTAGTGAAAACGTCCGCTGTCACACTAGTCACACTACCTCCGACGACAGCAGTAGCTTGTTTGCTACCCTTCTCTTCAACATGCGCTATGGGAGGTGTTGTCTTGGTGCTATCTTGAACAGTTCCACGTGGGAGCGCAATATCGGAGGGTGGTGATTTCGCAGTCGCATCCAACTTGGAAGCAGCCAAAGGGAATACATCGCCCTGTACTGATGGACTCTTCTCCGAAGCAGACCAGATATACGTTGATGGGGTAGATGGAGATACTTCGCGGGATTTTTGCTCCATGGATGGAACTTTTGCAGTGGTATCGATGTGAGGGCCGGTTGGTCCATTTTGCGTCCACACTGAATTGGTACGAGACATGATGAACGGAGTGGTTATTACATTCCACCATCCTTGAGACCGGCGTGACGTAGGGGTAGTAGCAGTGTCAACAGCAAGTGTTGATTGTGTCTCCTTGTATCTCAGTGGTGTGTTGTCTTCTTCGAAGATTGTCCCTGTGGACATTATACGATCTTTTCTTCTCGTTTCGTCTTCCTCTTCCTCAAAATCTGTTCCCGCTGAATCGGCCGTATCGCTCCTCTTGTGTGACACGTAAATATCTGGCTTGTATGGAGTGTTGACCATGCCTGCAGGAAGAGCTGGGACTGGTGGGACATCGGGATTATAATGCTGCATATTGAAGGTGGCCCGCGAGTAGATGCTGGATGATCTCGCAGGTGTATAGTCGGATGCGGTATCGGGCGACCAGACTGACTTCATGGCCGCAGCAGGTGTGATGATTATGCTGGGGGTGGGGATGGTCGTATCACTTTCTGATCGGTTTCTTGTTCCTTGGTACGGACTGAAATCAGTCACACTATCCGATGGGATCGAGATACCGATGGGTATACGCCGGTCCCATGGCGAGATTTCGTTTCCTGGTGTCACTGAGTCTGCGGTTTTCGGGTCGCTGGAATAGCCCGGTTGGGGCGTGCCTTTTGTTATGCCCAATCCTTTGGTTTTTGTGCCTGATCGCCCCAAGCCAAGCCAGCTTTGTTTCTTCATAGACCCGCTGCTGTTCTTCCACCCGCCATCTTCGGGGTGGATCTGGTGTGGAGCGTTGCCTCGGTGTCTCGTGAAGCTGGTGTCGACTGTGATGCCAGGCTTGGCCGACTTTCCAACCACCTCCATTTTACGTGACCTTGTCCGTGATAATCTTGAAGAGAAAGACCGCGAGCTACGTTTCGCCGAAGTTCCGCGCGTCGCCACGTGTGAATTGCTGCCGGGATTTGCGGTAGGGCTCATGGTGTTTGGGACCATGATGGCGCCGTTGAAGTGACCATTGAAATGACCATTAAAGTGTAGCAACACATGGTCCGGTGACTCCGCATCGGGAGTATTTTGGGCATATGCTAGTTCGTTGCTTTTGCTCTGCAGTGCAGTCGTGTGTTGTTGCTGGGGGTGCATGTCGCCGAAGGGTTATGTACAATGAAAGAGTATACAGGAAAATGCAGATGTCGACGACGGGTTGTATAGCCAGTTGCCGTGGCGGTTAAGATGGGTATCCGATGACAGAATTAGGAACAAGGCATTGTATTCATGGAACAAAGACGGTTTCGTGTGGTATGTAAGGCAGAGGCGTCTGACCAAAATGGAAGCGGATTGGTGGGTATTGAAGGACAGTGAACAATAGGAACAATAGGAACAATGAGAATGGACTGTAAAAAGACAAGGAAAAGCCTCGAGGTGAATTAGACTGTCAACGAGAAAGTATCAAAAGAAGGAGAGAGAGAGAAAGAAGAGAGGCCTGCATGTTTGGGAAAAGAAGAATACAGCTACCTATCACGACCAGGCAGGCAGGCAGGCGATGGTGCCTCTGTCGGACCCATGCCCTCTACCCGCCGCCATGCTGCCTACAACGATGTACTCTATTGTATAGGTAGGACAGCAAGGCTTGCTCGGCGTGCGATTGGCTAGAACTGCTGGTCACGTTAACTCGAAGGAGAGGCGTCCAAGGGAAGCAGAGCACAGGCAGGGCCCAATGACAGTGATGGGAGGCGCCGATTGGGCCAGCGTAGGGCAACGGCCTCACGATGGGCGCCACCTCAGATGGTTGACGCAAATAGGCGCCCGGAGAATGGCTGGCGTAGAAATGTAGTAGGCAGAGTCCGATCTGAGACGTGCCAGAGAGTAGGCGAGAGGTGGGTGGACGAGATGGCCTTGTAGGCAAATCATGGAGTGAAGTGGCGGCAGCCAATCAGAGCAGCTCGACGCCTGTTTTGGCGCCTGCTGGTTTTACCCTGGGCGGCAAAGGGTGGGGCGCCAAGCCGACAGCGTTATGCGGCGACAAACACGCCTACATGTATATATTGCCCGCCAGCCAGACAATGCCGTTCAGACGTTTAATATCCACTTGAGTTCTGCCTACCTGTCTGCCTCTATCCCCTCCCTCGCTGTGCGGTGGTGCTTGCTGGTGTTTGGTGGGTTTATTGGGCAATCTCCACTCCGTATATGCAGCAATGCGGAAGCCGTGTCGATCGGGGCCGCCGTGGGATAAGAGATTCAACGTCTGATTGTTGATGCCGTCCGTTTGTTTGCATATAGGAGGATAGATGATGGATACTCGATGGTGATTCACGGTTCACCATTCCGCCGGATGATACATTGCCATTCGTGTGTTGGAAGTCTCCCTCCCCCCGTCCTTTGTGTTCCCACAGTACATAGCCATCATCAACACCTGGCACGAGAGTGGCACACACCAGGAACCGCATCCAGCATATGCCATTCTTGTACCCATCTACATGTGTATGCACGGTAAGCAGTGTCACAGCGCAACATACATTTGAATGCGATCAATGCCTCTCCCGTGATGAGATGGCCATGACTAAGGATGACGGGCGGCTCTTCCAAGGGGGGGGGAGGAAACCCTATTCGCCTCGCACCGTGCTCCCTTGATGGCAGAATCTGTGTTGCCGCATCCCACAGCTCGGGGCCAGGAGATGTTCCCTCGAGTTCCCCAATGTGTGCATATGTAATCTCCCTAATCATCTAGCCTTCACGCACAGCGAGTCCAGGCGGGCTGATAGCGACCGCCGCCAAGCCCTGCCGCGTCCGAGCGTCCTCTCCAACAAATCTCAACTAAAGAAAGCCACCGTTCCGTTTTCTACTAGCTAACGACGGCGGGTGTGGAGCTGGAGGTTGACCAGACATCTCCTTTTTCCCCTACCTCGTCCCTTCTCCTGTCACGGTGCAATTGTCCTCAGCTGCAAAAAGGTAAACTTGCCTCTTCTTCTTCTTCTTCTCTTTCTTCTCATCCTGTCTCCTCTCTTCTTACATACTCTTCCCACCCAACTCTCGTCCATTGACCGTCTTCGGTCCTGCTGCAGTGGCCACTTTCGCGCATCAGTGCCATCCCGGTTCACTTGCGCTCTATTTTCGAGAACCTCTTCCATCCCTCCTGCCCCCTTGAGAAAATTATAAGACTTACCATCTTACATAACTCTTCTCAGCACCGCACCGCTCTCACACCTCCGCTTCATTGCGCAACCGTCCACGCCGCTGCCCGCCCTCTAGGTTCCGGGAAACACAGCACACGCGCAACGGACCTCCATTCCGCGCATTCCTCCCCACAATTCATCAAACTCATTCACCGTGGCTTCTTCAAATTCCTTCTCAGCTTCTGCTGGCCAACGTCGAAGACGCTCCTCCGCCGCGCGGCAGCCACCCAACCTCAGTCTCAACAACTTCCCCCCGCCACACAGTGGAACAGGCACGACGAGCGGTATTTCGGGCGGAACGGGTGAAGCCCTGCCCACAATTCCTGGCACGCCAGCTTTTGAAATGTCGAGGTCATCATCGCCGCGCCCGGGAGGCTGGTCAAGTCCAGGTCTCAACACCCCCTACGATACAGGCGGAGGGGGCAGCCCGCAAAATGTCACTTGGGCGTCAGCTCAGGCGAGGAGCGCCGAGGTCAAGGGCTACCCTGCTTTCACACCGCGTAACCAAGGCTTCCTGGGTAAACACTTTCGGCGCATTTCCTCAAGTCTGCCTTTTAGTTATGGAGACAAGGAGAAGTTGGGCCGGGGGCGATACCAGGGCAACAACAAGGTGCTCCAGTGGCTGAACAGGATCGGATGGAATCTTTGGCGTCTGCGTAGGATCATTGCGCCAGTATTACTCATTATCACATTCTACGTCTTGTTCTACGTGACACGTAAGTCGAATCGGCTGCTTTGGTGACTATTGCATTCATTGACAAAACTGCAGCTCTGCACCGTTACTATCGGCGGTCTTCATGGTTTGGAGGCGGCAACAAATTCGTCGTCATCCTCGCGGCGAATCAAGGTGGAGGTGTGATGGAATGGAAAGGACCCAGGGAGTGGGCGATTGAGAGGGACACTGTTAAGAACAAGAAGAAGTACACTCAGAAATGGGGTTATGACCTGGAAATCGTCGACATGAGCACCAAGAAGCGGTACGCTCACGAGTGGAGAGAAAGCTGGGAGAAGGTCGATACCATCCGAAATGCTATGCGCAAATATCCGCATGCTGAATGGTACGTACAGCAGCTAATTGTGGTCGATTCGCTTCTCTAACGCGGTGCAGGTTCTGGTGGCTAGACACCAACACTTTCATCATGGAACCCACGTACTCTCTCCAGCAGCACATTTTCAACAAACTGAACGACGTCACGTACCGAGACATCAACTTCTTCAACCCTCTCAACATCTCCCATCCCTTGACGGACCAATACTTGGACCCTGAATCACGATCCCCTGTGGGCGATGGAAAGCCCGACTCGATCAACATGCTGGTACCTCAAGACTGCTCGGGCTTCAACCTGGGATCGTTCTTTGTGCGCCGCAGCGTGTGGACAGATCGGCTGTTGGACGTTTGGTGGGATCCGGTCGGCTACGAGCAAAAGCACATGGAGTGGGAACACAAGGAGCAGGATGCTTTGGAATACATGTACCAGAACCAGCCGTGGATACGGCCGCATGTTGCGTTCCTCCACCAGCGCAAGATCAACAGTTTCCCCCCGGGAGCATGTGGCGAGAAGGGCGACGACCCCCAGATTCATTACAAAGAGAATGACCGCGACTTTTTGGTCAACATGGCCGGCTGCGAATGGGGGCGAGACTGCTGGGTGGAAATGTACAGCTACCGCCGATTGAGCGACAAGCTGAACAGGAAACCCTTTGAAAAAATCAAGGACTGGATCGTCGACACGGTCAAAGCGCGCTGGGAGAAGAAGAACAAAAATGGGGACAAAAAGTCGTAATGAGAGTCACATGGCTGTTGGGGCAGCAGCAGATTTGCTGTTTGTCAATATGCTGGGTCATCAATTCTGAAGTCGCTGAGAGGTTTCACTAGGAATGGATATGCGGATTGTTTTTTATATCTTGTTTTATTTTTCTGTCGTAACGGCAAGATGGGCAGCTCATTTACCATGTACCTGTCTTTTGTTGGCATCTGCTGGTGTTTGGAGGGGGGTTAAGCACTTAGCTATTACACGAGTTGTATCATACCCATCACGAGATGCAAAAGTGTGCTGTCAGCTGCATTGTGGTGTCAAGGCACTTGTTGTTTTGAACATGGCTATGCCCTGCTCCACGTAGGCGATAAGGAAGACAAGTGGACAGATGATGGCTGCGGGGTACATAAACACGTACGTACTGTACACGTACAGTCGAGGTACGTGAAGTTCGCACACAGCACATCACCAAACATGGCGCAGCGACGCAGACCAGAGCCCAATCATGGTCACCATGGACAGGTGGAGTCGAGAGGTTACGGGGGTTTGACTTTTGAAGACACATGCAGGTCCGGTGAGGCTCGAAAGATGGGCATGTGGTTGCACCTGTCTTAAGTCCGTCGCTTCAGCGATTGGTCAGACGACCACCACTCAACACTTGAATGGAAGCGGTGAGCCGTGACGATGGTGAATGCATACAGGTGAATGTACGTACCAACCCGTCCATGTATTCTTAGCTCTCGTCGTCCTTTGCCTCCACCTCCCGTCGACCTGCCTCCCTCTCTGGCCCCACGCTGCGCTACAGTACAGCGACACTACACGACTTGTTGATCGCATCACACGCTACTGCCAAACACTGGTCTATGCGCAACTACCGCCTGGCATAGCGTCATCCAACGAGCAAGCCGCCTTATCTCCCAGTCCAACGTGTACCGGCGCATCTCCCGCTGTATGCCTCCACGGGCAACTGCCCTTCTTCCTTTGGCACCCCGAGTCTGCGTAGTTGTCCTTCATCTCGACGTGTAGCGGAAAACAACCAGCCCCCTCGAGACAAAGAACCAGGCTCGGAACTGCTCCGTCCACTAGAGCACATCTTCCCCACTATATCTCCCCAACCTCAGGGTGCCGTTTCGGTATAAACTATACAAACAAAGCATACGAGGATCCCATCTCGCAAGCCGTTTTTCTGTCAGGCTCAAGATTATCCTACACGTCATGCAGAATCACAACAACTACCAACCGAGCCAAAGACCAGCTCGAGGTGGTGTTCAAGAGACGTCGCAGCGGAGCAGTGCCGTGGCCCAGCCTCCCGCCGCTGTGCACCCTAGGAATCATTCCGAGGGTAAGATATCCCACACGTCAACCTCTCTGATGCCTTTGCTGCACGAGCAAAACGAGAACTTTGGCTTACATGTTCCCTATCTTGCAGATTCGTGGGTAGAGATAGGCTCCAGGCCTTCCTCATCCTCCCTGTCCTCGGCCGCCGACACCGATATTGTGACTACGGGCCTTAGAGTCCAACACGACTCTAACCTACACCGTCAACGGCGACGGCCGCGGAACGCTGATCAATTTCGAGTTGGCACCGGTCACCGTGTCGCAAGTGGAGGAGGAGACAACAGTAGTCAGGAGGAGTACGACGAGAGTGAGAGCGAGTCGGACCGGGTCTTGACGTCGTCGAACGAAGGCATCGGTCCCTCGCCTTTACAAAACCAAACTCGCTCCCCTTACTCGCGGGCTTCCTCAGACACCATGTCTGAACGAGAAGACGACGATGACGACGAGAACGCCACGGCTGTAAACTACCCAAGATCCTCCCGCCGCCAGTTCGAACCACGTCCCAACGCCTTCACCCACCCAAGCAACCAACCCGCCATCCGATCACAATCCGGCACAGCATACACTCCGCGTCGACCAGCTCCAAGAACCTCAACCCAGCGTCACTCCTACCCATCTTCCCACTCCCCCTACAACATCCTCTCCCCAACCGCCCAGGCAGAACACGACGAAGTCCTCCGAGCATCTCTCTCTACCCTCCTCTCCGCCGCCGCAGCCGTCCGTGGTCTCCCCAAACCAGGTCAACCATCCCGCACGACCACCTCGACCCGCGTAGACCCCACTACCCTCCGCATGGTCCCCGAATCCGCCCTCCTTGGCGACATCCAGGAAGAAGCACGTAGCACTTCCACAAACAACAATACTCGCGAGACGGCATCTTCATCCTCCCCCCACCGCTCCCCAAGTACATCTCCCTCAGACCACTCCAAACGCAAAGCCGCTACTAGCCCACCTCCGCCCCTCACTTCTCCCACCACCACCAACAACAACAGCGTAGCCAGTAAAGACCACCGTCGCGCCGTCAAAAAAGTCCGCGGTGTAGGCCCGCTGCTCGTCGACGATGTCAGTCCTACGCTCTTGACGTGGGTCATTAGCGCGAGTGTGCTTGCTATTGTCGGCGTTGTCAGCTTCTCGACTGGGTACTCGCTGGGCAGGGAAGCGGGACATGCGGAGGCGGCGAGTGCAGCGGCTGGTGGCGCGGGCGAGGTCGCGGGCGCTTGTGGGAAGGAGGTCGGTGCTGCTGCTGCTAGAGGTGGAGGGTTGGGGATTCGGAGGTTGAGATGGAGTGCGGGGAGTGGAGTTAGGGTCTGAATGTTGCTGTTTGTCCGTTTGTTGTGAGTGAGTTTATGTAGGTGTGGGAGAGTAGGGAAACCTTGTTGATGGATTGTGGCTAGGTTTTTGTCTGATGTGTTTTTTTTTTTTTTGCCTCATCTTTTCTTCTTCTTCTGCTTTCTTTTCCGGCGCGTTTTGCTGTTCATCTTTATGGGGACAGTGAGAAATGGTCTTGTCACGTCGTGCCATGTCATGTCATGTCATGTCTTGTCGAGTTTAGCTTTTTGTCTTTTTTGAATTTGCATGGGATTGCCGGGGATTGGGAATTTCACACTCGGGGAAACATGATTATTGTTATTATTTTTTGGAATGAAAGGGAAGGATGAATGAATGGATGAATGGATGGACGGACATATTCGCATACTTTTTTTTTTTGGCGTTCATGGATAATGGGCATCATAATTTCTCCAGTTTAGTTTGGTTTTTATTCTTTTTTTGTTGCATAGACATGACTGAGACTTGCTTCTACAATTTTTTATTTTTTTTGGTACACGTGAATTTGTTTTCCCACACTCCAACTCTGGAATTTTTTCAATTAATAAAGTACGTCATGTTTTCTCTCTCTCTCCATGAATCTATTCTTTTTTTTTTCGGGGGGGAAGGGAGGGGGGATACAAAGTTAACCATGTGAATACCTAGGTATTTTTGTTGAATAATCGTTTTGTTTGTTTGTTTGGAAACATTGGATTCTAACGTAACTTGCATTACATGCATACATACATACGAATTGAAAAAATGTGAATGAAACAAGACACACAGAGAAACCACCGTCTTGGAGAGAGAAAGGAAATAAGAATAAGGGAGGTGAGGGGGTTGGGGTACCTATGCACATTTGAAAAAGGGAGACGATTGAAGAAAATGATGATATAAAAGAAGAAGCCATGTTCTAACAACCCCCCCCCCCCCCCCGGAGTTATGTAGCGTCTTAGTTAGCTAGGGGCTTCTATCGTTTTTTTCATGGAGTGAGTTATGTGTACTGGGGGGAACAATAAACTCCCGGTCATGGATTTCCAGAACTGGGGTCCGGTTATTTGTTGTGCCAGATGAAGTTGCGCAGCGAGTCCCAATCGTCCGACTGTACGTAGCTGTAGAATTGCATGTCACGAATAGTCAGCAAAGAGTCCTTTTTTTCCATCACTCTGTCTCTCTTCATACACAGCGATCCCACGCACAGATAAGAAAGAACCCAAAATTGGAAAAAGGAGGGGAGGGGGAGGGGAGCAAAGGAAGGAAAGATAACCCACATATAGCTCATACTGCTCCGCAAACTGCTCTGCACAGTCTCGGGATGCCACCTGAAAAGGTACATGACGGCCGCCCAGCTCACGCTCGCAAAAACAGGCCACCCGTTCTTGACGACTTTGTTCCTCAGCTCCGCATTGCCCAAGAGTTCCCACCCTCCACCGCCCCCAGCAGCACCGCCCACACCTTCTATCCTGCCCACGTGGCTCGGCTGCACCGCGAGCTTCGCGAGCGCGAGACACACGCGGGCGAAGACGTAGATGACGATTTGCTGGGATACGGAGTTGTGGATTGTGCGGCCGAAGACGGTGTAGCCGCCTAGGAGACCGGCGAGGAGAGCGTCGTAGTGGCGCTCTTTGCCGGTTGGGGAGGTGTGGCGGAGGAAGAGCATGGAGGATTTGTAGACGAGGGCGAAGAGGCCGAGGTTACGGGCATGTTGGCGGGTTGCTTTGAAGACGAGGGCGCATTTTGAGCGGAAGCTGGGTGAAATGACAGGGTTTCTGTTAGTTGAGCTCGGAGGAAGTGGAGGGGGGTAATTATATATGGTAGGGCGTTGAACGGGTTTCGATTCGAAGGGCTTGGGGAAAGACTCACGAGCCTGATCTGAAGAGGAATATCATGCTGTACATGGAATGCCACTTTGGTCAGCGATTTCATCTCATCGCGTAGGTGAATTGGCTATACATACACGAGCGCATGTGGGAACCGCACTTTGGTGCCGTATACGACACCATTTCGAATGCCTTTCACGAGTGTGAGGATGTCATGATATTTCGGATCCAAAATGATCTTCTCGATCGCCATCTAAAACGCCACATTGAATGTGTTATCATATGCGCCTTCTGCGTCTCGGTTCCGCCTGGAGGGAGGGAGGGATTTGTTTGAGCTCGGTCCGTACCTCGAGCGCATGAAGTCTGTCCATTGCTATCTTTTGAGAAATATACCGACTGTGCGATATGTCGTGAAAGGTCCAGCCAGCAATCTATCAATGTGTCGTTGCGTCGTTACGTCGTTGGGTACCTCGGCCCTTTTTGCGCGGTCGTTTCGCAGCAGCAGCTATCGCAGCTTGGAGAAAGGGAGGACCAGCAACTGAATGAGCGAACAAAGAACCAGATAAACGAGCATTGGCCCAAGGTTCCGAAGGTGCAAATTCTATCAAGTGAGGAGAGTCGACTAAGCAAAGGTACCTGAACGGCTGTAAGTGAAGGAAGAGTTCCTGGAGTAGGGTCGCTTGGGAGCCAGATGGCCCTCGGCTTAGAGGGATCGCGCGCGTCACAGCAGCTCCGGGTGCAGATTTCCCCACACATCTGAGAATCCCGTGCACGGCCTGCGCGACCGGGGTAGCGTTGGACATGTGAAAGTCGATGAACTTGGCCAAATCGCATGTGCAAATAGCAACATGATCTGAATAAACGTTGGAATTTCTTCTATATAATGCGCATCAGTATATTCTGGACTATTGCCCGTACCGCATATGTATCTATCTGTATAACCAATCGATCCATGCTTTCAATGTTGCTTTTTTCTCTCCCCCTGGCTATGCCCGGTCCAAACGCCAACGCAACGGCAATGCTCCCATGAATACGCTCGAAAATCGAAAATGTGGTCGTGATTAAAAAGAAAAGAAAAGAAAAATCAATCAAGTCTTGGCTCCGGCCAACGCTTCTTCAGCTCTTCGTATACAGTGAAGATGAAGGCAGAACTGGGAATAGATCTGGCAACCGTGATGCCACACCCACGATACATGGCCTTCAGCCCATTCTCTTTCCAAGTCGCTTTGAAAACAGCCATGAATGTGGACTTCCCGCCCGTCAGTCGTTTAACATCCTCCGTTTGCATCCGGGATTTCACAGTGTCTGCTGGGTAGAACATGAAATTGTATGCCATGCCTGCCACAGAACCAGACATCATGCGTTGGGAAATGGAGAGATCTTCGTCGCTTGCGGAGCCTATTGAAGCGCTGTTCATTTTTTTGAACAAGGCTTTGACGCCCTCATACCCGCCGAACCATGCGGCACCACCACCTGTCTCGCGAATGAAGGTGCCCATCTGGCCATGCCAGTACCCTTTGATGCCTTGGTGGCGGTATATTGAGCCAATGACACTCAGAATTCCGGGTCTGGCGATAGCAACGTTCCCCACCTCCAACGGGACCTGCATCTTGCACTTGACAAGTTCAATGGGTGTGAGGAAGACGGATGTGACGGCCCCAGCGGCCATGCCGCATGTGAGCATGTAGTGGTAGGGCAGTTCTTTCTCTGGATCGTTTCTCAGACTGGGGACTGATGCCCTCAAAAGATCGCCAGCAAGTCGGTACTATAGCATGTGTGAGCACTCGATAACGAGATGATTGGGAGTTGGTTGGTGGCCTACACTTAGAAACAGGCATGTGGTCTCTACTGCGGCACCGACAAGTGGCGCGCTGATACCTCTGTATAATCCACCATAGATACCATCCTGTTTTATGGTCTTCCGGAAGCAGTCCAAAGGACCCTTGTATAATAGTGGTAGTTGGCTGGGCTGGGATTGTAGGCGAACTTTGACCGTGTCAAAGGGATATTCAATGTATTTGCCAATCACACCTGCAGCGGATCCGCAAAGAACGTCCTTGATTGCCTCTTGGCTCTGAGAATGAATCTGTTGAACAGGTTCGACATATGGAGGCGGCGGTTCGGGCAGCACGACTCGAGGGGTGAGAGGGCCTACATGACCCCCCACCGCTGTCGTAGAGTGTTCAAGTGTCATGGGCAGATTTTGCTGCGAGTTTCTCGAAGTTGTTGCGGACAGGCAGGTCTGGTCAGAGTGTGAGGACCATGGCAGAGGGGAACAAGAGTCAAGCGGGCGGTGAGGAGAGTGGGTGAGTGGGAACGAGGGCTACGACTCGGACTTGTATCCCATGGCGGGTACGAGGAACAGAGTTTGGGCAAAAAAGAAAAGATCTGTGCGTGTGACGTGGAATGCAGCAGAGAGGATGTCGACCCGTTAAAAAAGAAAAGGGAGCAAGCGCTAGAGGGCGGGGAGGACAGAAGTTGTGCACACAAGGTGGATGCGAAAAGAGGTTGCGACGACGAGAAAATGGCGAAATCGGCGCAAATGCCTGCTGTGCGCTGCAGGCCTCAAAGAAACTTAGGCTATGCAGACCCTGCACAGTTGACGTATGTGGTTACGATTGTCGGACAACGGCGCAGTTGGGGTGGGCAACGGGGAGGTGGTGTTGGTGGAGGGTAATAACAGAATACGAGCATATTTCATCCGCGCAAGATGGCGATGGTGATGATGATTCCCGTTGCCGCTGCCGTCGCTCAATCTTATCTGATCTGATCCTGCGCTGACAGCCTGTCGTTCCTGACTGACTTTACCCATCCCCGGCCGCTGCTCTATTTTGGCCTCGTCTTAGTCGGTCCCTCGATTCTTGTTTATCGATAAGCGCGGCTGCTCCTCGGCCAAAGTTTTCCCTCGCTCGCTCAGTCTTTCTCTTCGCCGGCGCTTCTCCAGACGCTCGCTTTTCGCTGCAAATCTCGCAGCCATGTCGACTTCTGCCGAAGCACAGGAGCCGTCCGCGGTGGACAGCAGTACCACTGCCACCAAGGGAATGCGCGTCAATGGTGTGTTGCCCCGTGTCCCAGCATCTCTATTCGTCCGACCTCGAGTGCTGATCGTGAACGTCGTACCCAGGAAAAAACTGGCATGACCCCAAAAAGCCATTCCGACCTCGGGCGAACCAGACCTCTTTCGAGAAGCGCACCCGGGAAAGGCAGACGCTCGCTGCGACCAAGGCGAAGGAAAAGGAGCTGAAGGACGAGAAGGAGGCAGAGCGACAAGTATGTCACCCCTACTTCTCCTGCATGGATTGGCGCCCGCCGAGACTGACCCCGTTTCCAGCGACGAATTGAGGCCATCCGCACAAAACGTGCTGCCAAAGAAGAGCGCGAACGCTACCAGAAGATGGAGGAGAAGATGCACAAGAAGCGCGTCGACCGTCTCAAAAGGAGAGAAAAGCGCAACAAGATGTTGAAATCTTGAGCGCTGCCATCAATCTCATTGTCATTTACCACCCGATTATGCGCGACTGAATCAAGTGTGACCCGCCTAGCATAGATCGCTGCGCACGTCGACTATAGTTTCTTCTGACTGGGGCAAGCGGTTGATGTTGTACAGCATCGACGGGTTCGGACCGATGCGATATGCGGGCACAGACACAAAGGGTGTTGGGGATCATGGAATCAGACGAAGCAGCAAAGTCTCGCTTGCAATCATGTGCGGGTGTGTTTCCATCATGACGCTTGGATGCATGTCCTACAGGGATCGGGAATCCCAAATTGCTCATGGCGAGCTGAGAGCAACATTAGCGTTTGCGAATACGGTTTGTTGCAGCAACAATATACGACATTTTTGAGAAGCAAACTGGAGACAATAAGAGATCGTTGAGACTTTTGATACTGTGTTCATATTGGGAACTACATGCGTGAAATACAACATTATGGTACTGCTGTCCTGACATGAGGTGTATGCGAATCGTGGAGATCAGCAACTACTAGTTGTTATGCGATACTGCATACCTCCCACTGCTAGTCGTCAGTAACACATCTCGCTTGGCTATTTTCTCGTGTACTCTTTTCCTCACAAGACACTGTATCACTTAAAGATGTATTCGCTGTAACAATGTACAGGTTGTCAAGAGCATGTTTGCCGTGTAGCAAGTGGTAACTATTGTATATGTACAGTGTGACGTAAGCGGTTTAGACCGAGCTCCGCGCCATCATCAACGAACTGATCAAGCGCGAATAGCAACCATCAATGGCCGCCGAATCAAGTCCATTTCGCTCGAATCTCTTTCAGCCCATCCCTCCTCGTGGAAGCGAACAGCAAACTACCCCCAAAAAGTCGCATCTCCATCCGCTCCATCATCATGCTCACAAACATCACCACCGCCATTCCTCGCGGCATGCTGCCAAAGAAGCCGTGCAATCTGCTATCCAGCTACATCCGCCGACCAGCTTTGGCGACTTGCTGAACAAGGCAAAAAGCAGTGGTTCCAGCACCCCCGCGCACAGCGCTAGTCGGAGAGAGAGCATACAAGAAGGGAAAGCGGATGTATCCAAGGAACAACCAAAACCTCAAGAGATGCGGAAGCCAGTTCGGCAAAAGGATGTAGAAGCTGAAAAGAAGATGGTCCAGATAAGAGAGGAGTATGTACTTGTGAACTCCTCAGCCAATCAATCTGGTAAAAGAACATGGCAGCTAATATGGAACCAAGGGAGCTTCGGTGCTCGCTGCAGAACCTATCCGACCAGTCGCTGAAGACATCCCGCCTCCTCGATGATACATATTATTCCCTTCTGGAGAAAATGTCCACTCTCCACCAGACGCTTGGAAATCTACAGGATCTCGCCAGTTTGACAAAGGAGCTCCACGAGAATTTCGATGCGGACACAAAGGAAATCACAGACGACATCAGAGGCCAGTATGAGGGCTTCAAAGATTTCCAAGACCAGGATGAGCAGATTGCAGCGCTGGAAGCAAGACTACATGCTGGACGAGATAAAGCAAATGACTTGAATGCGCGACTTGCGGAAGCACGAAGCTGCGTCGAGGCTCGTGCAAAGTCAGAAGCCGAGTTAGAATTGCGGAATACACGTACGTACAGCATCCCAGATTGAGAGGAACCGATCGCTGATATCATACAGGTCGTGTGCGCATGATGTGGGGCATCATTGGGACGATTGGTGCTCTGATATTGGCAATGATGCTCTTTCAGCGTTTCAGACCTACACACCCTGAACTGGACAGAAACTCCCCATTAGACCTTGCCTCGAGACAAAAGCTACTCGAAGCGCCAATATCAAATGAAGCGAAAGAGGCGTTGTGCGGCAATCCGGTCTATACGATTAGTGCACCGATGGACAGCACGGCAAGACCCACAGCTTCGAGATGAGCACAGATTGCGAGCTTTTAATAACTCATGAACTGTATACGGATATAACAAAGTGACTTGAATCATGATGATCAGCAGCCAGGATGGCCTCCCGTCACAAGTGCCATCTGGCAAACCGCACGGCAAGTGAAGGGCATGCCACTAGGATATGCAAGTCTTCAACTCGATGCTGCCACCACTGTTATTTCCGTACCGATGATTGGACCGCATGAACTTGCATGTCACAACGTCTATCATGCTGGACGCGGTGAAGCGGTTGGCTATGGATGTGTCGAGCAATTTAACGCTCATAACAAGTCCAACGCACCGCAGATGTAACATGCTTCTTTCCGACGGAGTAGAGCTACAGATATTCCATCTCGGTGCCCAGAGCCTACTTGTAAGGTACAAGCTTGAGGAATCCCGTAATGACACGGATATCAGGATGTCGACACGTCAACCTTGGCCAGCGTTATGGAGAGCAAGAACCGGATCTCCAGCGACCCCGAAACGCAAAACGGGAACGGAGCATTTGTGTCCTTGAACTGCCCGTTTAACAGCGTTTTGATTCGACTTCACCTAGACGACCGACGGGGACGGGGTGATGAAAATGGCCATTTGGAAAGGTGCTTTAGTCTGGAACCAGCGCATGGGGGTACACAGAGTGTTTACTATGATGGTGAGCTAAGTTCTGGAGGTTATCGTCTCCATGTGAAGTCTGGAGCCGGCATGACTAGCCGAAACCCCGTTCCAAGGTTACGACAATTTAGACGAATGCTTGTACGTGTATGTGCAGGTGCTGAAAAGCTGTTGGACAACAAAAAAATGTCGTGCATTTGGGGGGACGGCGGATCGATGGGTTCTGCCAATTTCTCTATTTCCCTGTTTGCGGGAGAAGGGGGGGTTTGTATGTGGGGTGCATCGATATTGACGTGGAGATGGAGTGGGAATGAAACTGGGGAAGAAGCAATAACCAGCAAATTACACACGAGCAATGGTAACGCGCACACGCAAGTATGCTTCCTTTTTTTTCGTTTTTCCCGTTCACATTGTTGTTTTCTTTGTTGGCTCATGTCGACACAATTGCTAGTTGAGCTTGCGCAAGTGGCAGCCAGCGGTGTAGACGGAGAGCAGCGTCCCGGTTTATTATCGTGCGTGTCGGCCGTGGGCCCGTGGGGAGATTGGCGGGTGTGAGGTTTGAGGCATTAAACGGGGCTTATTAACAAGGGGGCGTAAAGTCATCTTGGTCCCTCGATGGATGGATCATGGATGGCAAGGCGGCCAGGAGAAAAGGGGGTTACATGTGTGCGGTGCAGTGCATACATTGTCCATGATTGCATACATGGACGAAACAGCAGATGGATTTCGGGATTGGGGATGCTGCAGAGGTATCGCGATCGGGCAGATCATGTCACGGCAAAGGCAGCAGCAGGATTCGTTCCTGGCGAGTATCAGTCTCCCACTCTCGGGCAGTCTGCCGTCTCTCCACATTGACGAGACGATGATTCGGCGTGCAAGTGATGGGCGATCCACCATGGGGCGCCGCCGTCGTGCTTGGACTGTCGAGAGAGTGGGAAACGGTGGCATTGCGCATTGGATTTTTATTGGGCTGACGAAACAAATACACGGTATATCGAGTGAATATACCAGCCGGGCCAGGGTTCAGCTGGGTCGCCCAAGGGCGTCGTGTCCAGAAGACGGCCGTTTTGGTGGTGGGAATCAAGGCGGACGCTGCACGACACTTTGGATGGGTGAGGGTTGTGTTGCCAGCTTTGTGGAAGGGCACATGATGTCTATCCGTACATTCGACGGTTGATACATGTAGACGGTAGATACATGTGTATATGTTGAGCTGTTGGCCCCCGAGAAGGAAGAGCAGGCTGGACGCTGGCCATCCCATCAATTGATTCCATCCCATCATCCCACTGCTGAACTCGTCTAGAACCCCCCCCCCCCCGTCCCCCCTTGTCGTCGAGGCCGCGCTGCGATCTGTACCCATCCTGGTCTCCGCTCAACACGCCCCCAGCAGCTAGCCAGCTAGTCGACGTCCGCGCCCGACATCAGCTTAGCACTGCGCGCGTGCGCCTCAATTGCCAGCTTCACATCACTTTTTCAGTCTCCACTGCCCTCAACTCCTCGCGCTTCCCTTTAACCTACCGCATCCCTTCCTTTGCTCCGCTTCGCAACCTGCTCCCCTCCACACCTGCCTCCGCTAGCTACTGGCACGCGATCCGTTACCTATAGCGGGCCCATACGTCATCTGGCGTCCAAGCAGAAAACATCCCTCTTGCTTGCTCGCCCACTGCATCCTGATCAGGGCATTCACATGAAGACCATCTTCAGGAAAGTTACCCGCTTTAACAGTTTTTGGTGGTTGTTGCTCCCTGGGACCGACGATACGTTGTATGTGATTGCGAATCATGACCCTGATCTTTCTGAATGCTGACCTTCTCCAAAGCGACAACGCATCGTGAACGCCCTCCCATTAGTCCCCCCCTACCGGGACAGCCCAACAGAGCCTTCGTATCCATCGAGCCACACTTCCCTCGTCGACAATTGCAATAATTCGAAGCATTTCCGCCACGAATCGGCATCGCTGCCTGGAATTCAACTTTCCACACCCATTGCCAAACATCACTGTCCAACCATCTTGGCTGCGTAAACTTGCATAAAGTTTCCGAATACTATCCTTTCTTCCGATATCCCCCGATCGCCCATTCCCCGCATTTACCTCAGACGCACACCGAGTAGCTTCCGCAAGCTTGTCGACTCATCAGGTTTGCAATCGGAATCCAACACGCTAGTCACTGTCACCAGCTGTAGCATGAACATAAGGCCTATAGATTTTCCAGAAGGTTTTTTCAAATATGGCGACCTTGGCTCCTCCCCGAAGGTTCAACGTTGAACCCATTGAGACTACTGTCAAGTCTTCAAAGGATCGAGCTACTAAAACGGAGCATGTACAACCTCCGCAGGAATCTGCTCCCCCATCCGTCGATACAAATACCAAGACTCCTCGTCGATTTGCTCCTCAGCTTGTAGAGACGACAACAAAGTCCTCCAAACATCAACCACACGCAACCACCGAGAGGGTCAAAAAACCCCGTAAATTTGCTCCAGAGCCCATCGAGACGTCGACAAAGAGTAGCCGGAAAAAGTTTGCAGAGGATTGGGATAGTCAGACTACAGAGAAGAAGGAAAGACCGCCTAGGACACCTAGGAAATTTGCACCACAACTTGTTGAAACTGCACAACGATCTCGACGCGGAGGAGATCCTGCTCGTACGCTCGCACCTTCCGACAACACAGAAGCAACGCCAATCAACAAGCTGGCGGTCAATACAATGGGGCTTACGGTGCCTGGTCCGCCAACAAACACCCCCATTTCTGATTACTCGCATAATCCTCTGTTTGAAGAGATTCAACGCGCAACATCTCCGATAACAAGACGGAGATTAGTCAAGCGGCTATCGCAGCATTGTTTTCGTGTTCCTGATCTTGACGCAATTGAATCGTCAGAGTCAGAAGGCTCCACACCCTCCTCTCCACTTTGCACACCTTACTTTGCAACACACTGTCACTCCTACAAGGAGTATAAAGAACCCACTCGAGTACGAGAAAGTGCCGACGAAAAGGTTTCTGGCTACCTATTGGCGTTAGCAGCAAAGGCTGCGGAGAAACAGTTGTGTGAACAAGTCATGGCTGCTTTCCCGAATAACGATCACCACGAGCCTGTGGACCACTTTGTCGACCGAGAAGATTCATTCTTGGAGGATTCGCGACCCAGCAGCATACCTTCCCACCGACAAGTCAACTGGGATGTCGTTGCAATGCAAGAACATCGTGAGAAGATGGACAAGGCTCAAAATGGTGAAGAGGCGCGGGGTAGATGTCGAGTCGCAGTAGACAAGGGCGTTTCCAAGCAAACTGACTGCACTCCCCTTGATCGTATCAAGACAAATGCCGCTGGGGGTTGCCCAAAGGATGATGAGCTGGACTGTATGCGAAAAGGCGCCCGGCCACCCATGCTCGGAAAGGACATCAAGTTTCCCAGATGTGCATCACCCGAGCCGGCACGCTTCGATACTACGCAAGGCCGCGATGTTGTCCAGAAGGCTATGTCATATCTCTCAGAACAGTCGCATCAGGCAGAGAAGGGAGGCGAGAGTCTCTGGTGTGGAAGAGGGAACGGCAAGCAGACGAGTCAGGTCTTGTCCCTGTGGGGTGGGTCTAATGCGAGCAGCCGCTCCCAAAGTCGCCAGAGTGGTCTCTGGGGTGGCTGCTGTGCGAGCTCATGCACCGATCTCACAAAACCCCCGACGGGCATTCTCACCCCTAGGAAAGAGAAAGCCGATCCACCCTCACCATGCCCGACACCTGCCGCATTGGTCCTTCCTCCAACTCCTCCTGCATGCCAGACTGACTTCGCGGGTATTGACGAGAGACTTGCTGTAGAAGCTACTATTGAAGAGGATTTTGGAGACAACTTTGTTACGCAGGTGTACAACTATCTCTCACTGGGATATCCCTCCATGGCTCGCCCCTTTGACGATGAATTGTCCAAAATCTCGAAAATACCCGTTGAAGAGTTGAGGCAAGATGATGGTTTGGCGCAGTCAAGAGGCTACATCCGCCTCGGCGCCGATGGCAACCTTGCGGATGAGGAGATTACCGAAGAATCTTGCATGCGTTGGCGAGCGTTGCGCGTCTATATCCGCGAATGGGCTAAGCAAGAGCCTGGTATGGCCGGCGACGGCTTGCTTGGTGCTACTGGTCGTAAGGGAAGCTGGGGAATTTGATGCCCATCAATGGGTTCTTGAGTTGTTTTTTTGTCATTTGTTCCTTTTATTTCCTTTTGGTTTTGGCCCTATCGGGATCATTGGCATTGTGGATTTAGCGGTTTCATTTCAGCGATTTTTTTTTGGGTGGTCACGTCTCAGTCTCCGTATATTTACTTCTGTTCTGTAGCCTGGCGTTGATGCATTGGAGGGTGTTTTGGGAAAAGCAGATCTGGAATTTGGGTTCAGGCTGTGTCTGCATCGCAAACGGTATAGATTGGGATCAGTATCGTTCAGTAGTTGACCTCGAAGCGTAATTGTCCACACATAATACTTTTCTCCTCGACTATTTTCTCCATGATGCCCATCCCAGTACTACTGAATATGTACACTACACAGGTATTCTTACATCACCTACACAGCCTCCATGAATCCTCACAACCACACTCTACTCGCTCTTCTTCCCCTTCGCCTTAGCAGTCTCCAGATCCCAATCATTGAGATACCCAACCCCAAAGCACAAATACGTCGCAAACCCCAACCAACCCGCATATGGCGCAAGCATCCACCCTGCAACCTCATCCACCTGTCCCCAAACCCAAATCATATACCCGACCGTCGCCCCCAGCGCCACAATATCCGCGGCCGCAGCCCGAGGTTTGTTGATTCCAAAGAACAGCGGCATCCACGCAAGGTTCAGGCCCAGCTGGATCGTGTAGAGCGTAGCGCCCTGCTTCGCGAGCGCGACGGTCGATGGAGAGGCAGAGGAAGTGCCGAGCGTGTATGCGCGGTGCGACACGTAGCCCATGAGCGCGTAGAGCGAAGTCCATGCTGGGCCGAAGAGCCAGGCTGGCGGGTGGAAGGGGGGTTGGCGGAGGGCGCGGTAGGTGTTTTGTGTTTGTTTAGCTAGTTATTCACTTCTTGTTAGTCTTTCATCACTCCTGCTGTGTATGTGAAGAGGGGATGTGGGATGATGTGATGGGGGGGGGGGGGTGCGTACGTCTTGTGGAGTACCCAATTGCAGCGCCTGCGACCACGGGGAGAAGGACGGCGATGGCGGGTTGCTCGAAGACGATGCGCGGGAAGGTTAGCGAGGGGATGTGGGTTGTCATTTTGACGGGTTGGCGGGAGCGATTGTGAGGTTTGTGATGAAGGATTGTGGGTGCCAGCAGCAGCTGCTGGTATTTATATACACATGATCCACACGCGCCCGAGAACAGCCGGAGGGGAATGAAATACGATATCAGACCAGTGTTCAGCTTGTTCTCCCATCTGTGTTGCGAAACAACTTGGTGGATACACCGAGGTAGTCACTCGGCAGAGCAAAGTGATCAGGTTTTGGTAGATGGGGCATCTTGGATCAATTGGAAGCCCGCTTGCACAGACGATCAGAGAGAGCTACATGTATCTGACGTTATGAACAGCTGTTTCAGAGGTGAGGTGAAGTCAGAACCCACACCTCGGCTGATGATCCCAAGCTGGCAGGCACGTCCCTGCGTACGCTAGCCCAAAACGATGTTTAGTCATGGCCGGAGCCGCGCTTTCCCCATGAACCTCAAACCGCAGCGCGACGGTGCTCTCTCTCCCTCTCTCCCATGCACATGCACACCAACAACACCCGGTAATTCTTTGGACACCGGGGTTTCTTCTATCAACTCAGCACATCTGTGAGTGCAGCCACCTTTTTTGATTCTGCTTCGCTCCATTACCTTGTTTGTGCCCTTCTCCTCCCTTGTACAGCTGTCTTCAGAGCTCCCAACACCCTTGTCGGCGACTTTGGCTGCTGGCTGGTCGTCTCACCTTCACACTACCTCTTAGCCCTTCAGCTTCAGCTATAGCTACCCACCCACCCTTCTGCGCTTCCAGGCGGCCGTAGCATCGCATCTCATTGATGCCCTGCGCAGTCCTGCGGCTATCTGCATCTCATTGTGCTGCTATCTGCCTGCCTGCCTGCCTCCCTGCCTTCCTCCACCCGCTTCGTCTCTTCTTCTTCCTCTTCTTCACACTTCTATTCTCGTTCTCTTATCCACTACTTTGTTTGTCGTTGGAAATTTCTAACCGAAGCCTATCATGGCAAACAGTCCCGCTTTACCATTTGTCCATCGACCTCGACGAAGCCGTTCACTCGGGCGACGACGTGTCATTGTCCGTCCAGCAATCGCCCGCATCCCTGCGGCGCTGTCCATGATCGGCTCTTCGCTCTCTCACTCCCTCTCGTGAACGCGACAAACGGTTTAAGCTTGTTAGCTGTCTAATCTTCCAAGGCGATACTCATCTCAATCCATCATCATGGACTCCTACACGTACGCTGTGATGCTCTACGCTTTTAATTATAGTCTTTTTACTTACCATCTTCACATAGCGCCCCTCGAGAAGACGACCGAGTCGCCACCGACACTTATAGACGGAGATCTCCTGGTACTGACATTTCATTATTTATTGTTGCAACACATGCTAATGGTAATCAAGGTACAGGCGACCGACGACCCCGACCCGGCCGTGGCCGTTCACGGTCACCACAGAACATTGATCGATATCAACCTGATCGTGCACGCGACTATGATTATCGCGCCCGCGAGAGCCACCGGAGACGCTCCTCCCCACCGCCTGTCCAAGCTGGCATTGACAGGTATATCCCTGGCCAGGAGACCTTCACGCCGTCCTTCACGACCAACCCTGTACACAACCCGATGGCACTTGAGTATCAAGTAGGCTTTAACTACTTCGCCGAGTGGTGGCGCGTGGAACAGGTCATCAAGGACGAGAAGGAGCGTGCAAAGAATGGCGGTAGGAAGCCCGTGCTCAAGGGCGAACGCGAGGCTCGAGAAGAACGCGGACGAGAGCGCGAGATGATACAAGCCGCCTACGACGAATACAAAGAGAAGCTTCAAGTCCAGATGGCTAAGAGCTTTGTGGACAAACACAAGGGCGATGAATGGTTCAAGGAGCGCTACGACCCAGAATACCGAGACGTCTTTCGTGAGAAGGCCAAAAATTATCGACATGCAATTTATCAAGATTGGGAGCGCCAGCTGGATGACGGCTACTTTGACGAGTTTACTCTGGAAGGCATCTACAAGAGCGAATCCAACGGGGCTGGTGGATTGGTCGAAAAGGAAGAAGGCGAGACCACGGCAGCCAACGAAGTACTTGGCGTCGGCGATCTTTTGCCCTGCAAAGGTGGCGAGCTTCGTGACGAGGCCGCACTTCAGCCAACTCTTTTGATCAAGACCATTGCTCCAACAGTCAACCGCGAAAAGGTCGAGGAATTCTGCAAAGAGCACCTAGGAGAAGGCGCTGGTGGATTCAAATGGCTGAGCATGAGCGACCCCAATCCACTGAAGAAGTGTCATCGCATCGGTTGGGTCATCCTCCACCCCAACGAAGATCAGCCAATGATTGACGATCGTGGAGATGGCCGTGACGAAGACGGAGAGGATGGTGCACTAGATGAAAAGCCTGTGAACGCGCCAGGAAACGTGGGTACTGCTCAGAAGGCTCTCGAGGCTCTCAATGGCAAGAGTGTCATGGACGAACAACGCGGCAACTTCACATGTCATGTTGGTGTGCATGAGCCGCCTACCGCCCCCAGGAAGAAGGCGCTTTGGGATCTATTCTCCGCTCCCGAGCGGATTGAACGTGATCTACAACTGGCTCAACGACTAGTGAACAGGCTGGATAGTGAGATGAGGGGTAAGTTACGAATTTGTTAGTATCTGGAGGCCTTTGCTGACTGTCCATCACAGGTGACAGTTCAGACGAGTATACCACTGTTGATGGTGTCTCCAAGATTGAGCAGCGAGTGGAGGATTTGCGTTCGAAAGGTTGGCTTCAGCCTCCCGCGAATGCACCCACCACTACTATCAAGAAAGAACGAGATGCTGATGACTTAGAAGAAGGCGAAGACGATCCAATGGAAGACGAGGATGAAGGTGCTCTCGAGGATGAAGTAGACGACGAGGAGCTTCTAGCCAAGAAGAAGAAGCTTGATCTCTTGATCGAGTACCTGCGCCGCGTCTACAGCTTCTGCTTCTTCTGCGTTTTCGAGAGTGACTCCGTTCACGAACTGATTCGGAAATGCGCTGGTGGGCACTTGCGTCGTCCTAGAGCGAGTCTGACTACAGCCGCCAAAGCCACTGCTAGGGCCACAGCCAATGGCCAGCCGTTCCCGTATAAGAAGCAGGAGCCGTCTGATGATGTGCCCATGGAAGATGGCGTTGTCGCTGTGGAAGAGAAGAAGCCGAAGTTGAGTGGCAAGACACAGCAGCAGCTTCAGCGAGCTTACAACTGGGTATGTTATGACGCTATAATATTCTTGTCTCAATCTTGCTGACTTTATGCTCTTAGGTCAAAACCTACGAGGAAAAGCTTCTCCAGCTTCTTGAGCCCGAGAATATCGACATCAGGAAGCTTGGTGGTAAGCCCTTGGAAGAGAGCATCGAGGACGAAATGGCCAAGTTCGTGAAGCAAGAAGATGAGGCCAAGTGGCGCTGCAAAGTACCTGAGTGCACCAAGCTTTTTAAGGGACAGCACTTCTGGCGCAAGCACGTGGAAAAGCGTCACCCTGAGTGGCAAGAGAAATTGCAGAAAGATGTAAGCCAACTATACTTGAGCTTATTATTGAATCAAGAAATACTAACTTGGGACAGCTTCAACTTGTTAATACCTATGTGATGGACCCTGCTCACATTGCACCATCGAGGAGTGATGCCAATAGTAATGGACACTTCCCCATGGGCAATCACGTTGCTGCGACGGGAACCCCGCGAGGCTTTAATCTTGCCAACATGACCATGAGCATTGGAAACGGCGGAATGAACGGCATGAATGGGTTCAATCCAGCAATGGGCAACTGGGACCCCAACTTCGGACCCGACGACCGGCACCAGGGCGGACCGGTCCGACGAGGCGGCCATCGGTTCAACAGTCGAGCTACTGGACCCTATGACCGACAGAACCGAGATGGTCGCAACCGCAATAATGGTCGCTTGACTCCCCCTCGTGGTGGTGGTCGACAGCCTCGTTTCGGCGACGGTGGACCCGGACCCTTGCAGTCTACTCAAGGTCGCTCACTCAAGAGCTACGAAGACCTGGATGCCGTGGGCGCGGGTGGAAGTGGAGAACTCAACTACTGAGTAAGAGAAGAGTAGGGGATGGGAAGTAGAACAATCAGCAAGAAAGATTGCGTGATGCAGGCGCAAGAAGTCAGTCAGGATGAGGATGGCACGTGCTGGGGCGTTCAACGACCTTCATGTCAGACCTGAAATGTGTGCACCTGACATGCACTGGGTTTATATCGCAGCTTCTGATTTGTAAATTGCAGGCACGTATGTGCTACTCGGGGCAATGTACAATATGGGGACTCTAGGGCGGTGTTAGGGGTCTCAATCTTTGTTTCTTAGGCGGGGTTTCTTTCTCGCACTGTGGCCTCACGGCTCGCACGTAGGCATTTCTGAGCAGACAGCAACTGTTTCATGAACTACTGGCAAATTTGTTTCGCTCATTCTCTTCTACGCATGCTTGGCGCTTGACTCAATTTCTCGAATGCTCATAGGTAGTCCTGAAGACTCAGTACCTACGCTAGGGTTGGTCGCAGAAGTGAAGCTGTGAGTGATGGATGCTAAAGAAAAGGGCCGTTTCTGAAGCCGACGGGTGGTGTACATTGTTTGCGCGTATGGAAGTTTGATGTTTCCCCTTCCCTTTCCTTTTTTTTCCTTGTGTCTATTTTCTTCTTCCCGGGGTCAGGTGGTCAACTATGACAGCGCGCGTACACCGAAATAAACAGGCTGGTAAGGGGAGCAAAACCCAGTCAGTTGCCAAGAGCGTGGCCAACCAGGTGATGCCGGGTAACCGTGATTCAAGTTGAGATATCCAGAAAAGAAAAAAAAGGATAAAGAGAAAAACACAGACAAATGCGCAGGTGGATCGTATCGAAGGTATTCGTTGTAACACAGTTTTGTAGTAGTATAGAGTTTTTACGACTGGTAGTTTGGGTATAATGAATGGTTGCTGGCGTGCCATGAATGTGTAGTCGAAACCTCGAGGGACGGTGACTTCTCACCATGACTGTGCGCGAGAGGTGACGCAACCACTAAATAGACGTCTGCTTGCTCAAGTTCTAGAACTCTCGCAAGCCCACACATGCGTTCCGACTAGCCGTTGGGAAGAAACATCTGCATCCCGGTGTTTTCTTGGTTCCTTGGTCTGTACCGCCTCGTTCTTCGCAGAGGGAGCTTCAGCCACACTCAGCCCCACCGCCCCGCGTCATCTTCACCCATCGGGACGCTGGGAAACGCCGGATTGGGTTCATAAGAAACAAATACTGGCCCGTCACCAACTGCTTGCTTGCTACAGTCTCACGCTCCCAGCTACCTTACTACTTCGCCGCCGCTCCTTTTGCCCTTTTGGTCCGCCTTCTCTAGCGTGCCTTGCCCGTTATTATATCATCTTCGTCGTCACCACTGCTGCCCCGGCATGTCCCAGGACGAGCTGCCCGCACTGCGCCTTAATGGAAACGTAGAACCCACCACCATGAACAACACCAACAGCAAAGCACAGGTCGAGATCCAGGGCATTGCTCAAACCACCCCAACATCCCCAGACCGCCCCGTGGGCCCCGTACGAAATGATACCACTTACTCCAAATACTCGATGATGTCGGTGCCGCCAGAGGGGTCGATTCTGACAGGAAAGCAGGAGCACTGTAAGTTCGTTCGCGCTTACACCCTCTTCCATTTCCTGCTTCCCCTTTCCCTCCTCTCTTTGTCAAGACCAAGAAACTCGAGCATGGTCATAATCAATCAAGAAACTCTTTTTCTCTAATCAGCATCTTGTGTGCAACTGCAGACCTCAAGCGCGAGCTCATATCACAGCAGACCACCTTCGAAATCTCAGAACTCTCCTCGCCCACCGCCCTTCAACGCTTCGGCGCCCCCTTCCGCTCAGATGCTGGCGAAGTCGCCCCAGAGGACTCGGATCTTCCTGTCCTCCGTTACATTTTCGTACACCATATTCGTAATTTTCCCTTCTTGGATAAAGCCAAAGAGAAAGAGTTTTGGCAGGATAAACTACAGGTGTTTTTGGAGTCTTTCGCAAACAAACAAATCTCCTCCTCGGAGGACCGTTTGGAAGAGACGAAGCGTCGGAAACTTGCTCTGAAAGCGCAAAAGCTGGTCGAGCTCATGATGGTCTCCGGTATACCTACCGCGTCTGGATACGAAGAGCGCATACGCTTTTCAGAAATGGAGATTGTCGAGACAGGCGCGAATGTGAACGGTTTGACCATCAACGCTCCCAGCGGCCACTTCATCAACGGCTGGGATGTAAACGTGGCTGGCGTGCGCACTACCTCAGTCAAGAGACGCTTGCGCTACCACACGCACGCGGTAAGTGCATTTTCCGGCTTGGAAGTTTCGAGACTTTTCATAGGCGCCCCTAACGGGAAACTGACGCGGATGTAGGAATATGTAATTCGTGTGAAACAATCCGGATCGGACGATTACTACATTGGCCGTCGCTATGCGGATTTTGTAGATTTACACAAGCGGATACGTTTGGAGCTTCCTGGCAAAGTTTTGCCCCCTCTTCCCCGCAAGAATAACAAGGACTCGCTTCTACACTCCTCAGCAGATGACGACGCAAGCTCAATATCTTCGGTATCCACCACAAAGGATGAGGCACCGGATCCGTATGAGAGCAGCGGTGGAGGCGGGTTGCGTGGCTACATCTTTGGGAATCACAAACGGAATTCTTCTTCTACATCCCTGGGAAGAAAATCTCCACGGGCATCGACTGACCATTCCGCATACCAACCGCCCAAGAGTCTTTACAGAGAAGAGCAGCGTGTTTCGTTACGCGCGTTTCTCCGTACCTTCCTCCAAAATGAGAACATTGCACGCTCGAATGCCATGACAGACTTTCTGACGAAAGACCACGTGGAAGTGAACGAGGAAGAAATGGAAGACATTGACCGAAGAAAAATCATGGACGAGAGGCGGATAGAGGAGCAGAGGCAATTTTATGAGGTCGCGCGGCAACGAGCTGCAGAGCTGGACATTCACATGGAGAAGTTCCGACGCGAGATTGTCGAGAGCAATGGCTTATCGCACCTCTTCCAGGAAATTCGGGTGAAGAACAAGATATCGGAACTGAAGCCGGAATACCAGAAGTTCGCCGAATGGTTGCGGATAGAAGTCGCTGCTACAATATACCACCTTTTCCTTGCAGAAGATAACTCGCCTGAACTCTTTGCGCAGGCCAAACGCATTCACTCTCTTGTCCCATACGGTGTACTCAAGAACGTCATCAGGATAGCTAACCCCGCAGCTGTCATGAATGGTGTCTTGGACCTCTTCCTCGCACAACCTTTTGGAGCTAGGTCTTTGCTACAGCGCATGTTTGGTATGGCTATCCACGACGGTGTGAAGTCGGTACAAAAGTCCCTCGACGCCCTCGGCTCTACCAAGATCAAGGATGAGGTCTTGTGCTCGAAGATCAAAGCCTTCGTCGAGAGCGATGATCAGATTCAGGATGGTTTACGCCAAGAAGCGGAACAAGAAGGCGTGGACATTGTCGTCGCTATTCTTCGGTCGGATCTAATCAAGCCTGAGTTGAAGCCCGAGCAGATCGAAAGGGTGTTCAATGCTTTTGTTGCGTGGAATACCGCAGTAGAGGCCCCTGGCCGCAGGCGGATGAGCAGAAAACCGAGCGAATACAGCACCCACAGCGCCATGTCCAATGGCTCGATACACATAGACAAGGAATTGCGTCAAGGTGCCGAACTTTTTGCGCACTTGAAGCAGTATCTCAAGCTTTGCCTGAGACAGCGGGACAAGCTCATGATGTTGCAGCTCATTGAGGAGCCCACTACCCTACAACTCTTCCGCGACCTCTTCACCATCTTCTACGAGCCTCTCGTCCGCGTTTACAAATCTGCAAATGTCTACAACAGCATCACCGATTTCGCATTGTTCGTGGACGACACGATCCGCGTTGTCGAAGCCTGCCAACGGCAGGACGTTTCCGCAGACCCCAACCAAACTGTGCAAGCGTTCATCGACCTTTGCGCGCGCCACGAGGACAACTTCTACAAGTTCGTCCACGAGGTGCACCTCCACGATAATGGCCTTTTCGATCAGCTCATGGGCTGGCTCGAGGGTATCCTGGAGTTCCTGCGCCATGGACCCGGCGGCGGCGGCAAACTCGACATGAACGCGCTGTTCCAGGGCGCCATGGACTCGGGACACATTGAGAAGAACAAGGCCATCCGTGAGATCAATAGTCTGATCCGCTGGCAAGCAGCCCGTAAAAAGTGGCACCAAGACAAGACGAGACAGAAGATGGCGAGCGGAGGTGGTGATGAACCCGGTGACTTGCTAGGCGGCATGGCTGGATTCAAGACTGCAGATTTTGGATTGAACGAGGTATGTTCATCTTCCCCCCCTCCTTTCAACCCCCGAAAAACCCCCCCGAATTAGAGAATGAGCAAACCACTGACCCTCACTCACCCTTTCCATCAGATGGACCTCCAAGACCTAGAACTCGACGACGACGGCGACGACTACGACGAAGACTCGGACAGCTCCCTCGACGACGACGCAGACATTGGCGCCGACCCCATCGAGGCAGAGCGGAAACGCCGTAGTCGCGCCGCCGAGAAACTGAGACGCAAAGCCGGCGAACCTACTAAGCCGCCCATTGTCGAGTTGGTCAAGATGCATCCGGATTTCGTTAGCATGCTTAGGAGTGTGCTGGCGCAGTAGTTTCCTTTTTCCGGTGTTTGACGCTGGTGGTTTAGATGGTGGAGAAGACGCGCACACTCGCAGAGAGAGAGAGAGAGAGAGAGATAGATGAGAGTACGCATGATTGGGTTTAACCACTGCAAAGGGGGGAGGGTTTTGGCAAAGTTGTGCTTGCTTGCATCGACGCGGAATCATCAACACTACAAAAAATCATTATAGGGAGGATTTGGATCAGGTCAAAGGGGGTTCTTGGTTTTTGGTTTTGGGCAATGCAGAGAGACAGCGGGTCTTTTTTTCTTTTTCTCTTTTTTTTTTGAATATACAATTTAATGGCATATACGTGGCTCAGCATTTCTCTATTATCATCCTATCTTTTTTTTCTTTTAATTTTTTGTTCTCTTCTTTTTAAAAGTATAAATCAACTGATTTTATTTATTCTTTAAGTGATTTGATTAGATCAGATGAGAGGATGGAGATGTAAGTACTTGTCTAGGTACGTTGTCAAGTTATGTAGATTAAGCCTTAGACGCATGAGTGAAGGTAAAAGTGAAAAGAAGAGTGAAAATAAGAGTGAAAATAACCGTGAAAGTGAGAGTGAAAATAAGAGTGAAATTGAGAGTGAAAATAAAACTGAAAATCTCTTGTCTCGTACGCCACTACCACAAAAATACGACACAACTAGCTATAACAGTCATACCAGAGAGAACTTTCAACAATTAAGAGCTGTGTTCTAATTCTATATTTGCTACAAGAACTCCTCTCTGTATGAATAAATATAGAAGTAATGATTGTTTGAAACGAGAAAGGTGGGGTATCATGATGCTAAAAACCAAACTAAAGACTTTTTTTTTGGCCTTGCTGTGTAGAAGTAGTCGTAGGGAGCAGAATGCTCCGTTGCGAACAGTTTGTGAGTGATGATGGGATGGAGGCTGGGTGGCAGAGATTTTTGGCAAACTGCTCAGTCGTTGCCAGACAACTTCCTCTATTCGCAACCGCGGGGGGGAGGCGGGAGGGGCGATATCCCCAAAACCAAGCGTACCATGCATTTGTCCTGAAGTCGCTGACCTCCATTTTCCGTTCCAAGAAAAGAAAAAAAGGGAGGGGGGAGGAAAGAACACCGAAACAAGCTCACATCCTATCCTCCCACCTCTCCTCCATAACCATAGACACACCGCCATCCCGATCCCTCATCCAAACATCCTCCTCACTAACCGGCCGATCCCCCTCGTTAAGAACCATAGCCTCGCGCCGCCTCCTCCTCAAATCGCGCTCTTCAACCCCAGGAACCGCACCCCGAAGCTCCGCGCCGCGTCCCACGAGCCCGTCTTCGTACGCCGCTCGTGCCGCGGCCTGGGTGGCCATGATCCGCATCGCCCGCGTTGTCGCGCTGTACTCTGACAGCAGGGCCTGCGCTAGCTCCGCGCGATGCACGGTTTCCGGGTCGCTGCTCCGCAGGTCCTCGATTAACAGCCGCTTGGCGGACCGGTGCGACATGTAGCGGTCGCAGAGGATTTTGGTAGCGGCGCGGCGGATCTCGATGTTGGCGCATGTTGCCAGAGTCAGGAGAGAGGAAGTCTTGATCGTGTCTTCTTTTGTTTGCGGGTTGGGTGACGGGGAGCTTGGGTTTGGGTTTGGGAGGGCGGTTATGGCGGTGGTGGTGGGATCGCGCGGATTGGGCGACGAGTTGTGGATTTCGGTTAGGGTTACTATGTGGTGGAGGCCGTAGGCGATTGTTTTTACGGCTACGAAGGCGAAGACGCCTGTGGTGAGAGGGGGAAGGGTGGTCAGCTTTCTGGTGCGTTTTCTTTTGGAGTTGTGGGAGAGATGCATAGAGATGATGGTGTTTCTGGGTTGGAAGGGATGTTAGAAGAAGAATTTACCTAGACCAAGCCACAAGTAGCGATCCTCTATCTGGGGCGCCATGTCGGTGAGGTTGCTGTCATGGTAGCATGAGGCATTTGGGTGTTGTATGTTATGGATGGTGGATTGCTGCTGCCTCTGTTGTGTCAATGATGTCGATGGTTATCGATTCCTCGCACTAGACCCATCCCAGCTTAGCGAGCGGTGTGGAGCTTTTAGCGGGAGCCGCGGGTTATGAAATTTCCAAATGCAACTTCGAACTTTTTTTTATTTGTAAATCGCGGAAGGTACATGCAGACCACGCGATAATCCCCGCTGTCAATTATTTAGGGGCCCCCATTCAGCGACATGCCGCCTTCACAGCTCAAAAGGCTCAAAGCCTCACTGCGGGAACAAGGCTTGACAGGCCCGCAGCAATCCAAAAAGCAGAAGAAGTCGAATGCGAAGAACAACGCCGACCAGCATGCGAAGAAAGCCGCCGCCCTTGCCTCAATCCGCGAGACTTTCAATCCCTTCGAGTTCAAGCACCTCGCGCGCCCCAAGAAGCATGACTACGTTACGAACCAGCCGCAAGATGCAAAGACCAAGGTTCTCGGGCGACCGGGCGTCACAAAAAGCCAAGGCGAGGAAACACGCCGAAAGACCTTGCTGCCGGAAATGAGCAAGAAGAATAAAGTCGGAGGCATCCTGGATAGGCGTATCGGCGAGGATGATCCCGCCATGAGTCTCGAGGATAAGATGATGGCGCGGTTCGAGCGCGAGCAACAGACTAAGCGGGGTGGCAACACTTTTGATCTGGAAGAAGACGACGATGAGTTTGGGCTCACCCACGGTGGAAAGGCGCTGGAGTTCGATGAAGACGATCTTGGTCAGGAGGACTACGACGCAGCGAGTGTGAGCGGTTCTAGCGATGGGGAGGGTGGATTCCTGCAGAAGAAGAGGCGCAGGGACTCTGATGCTGCCGGAGAGACCGACGAAGATGCAGAGGATCAGCCAGAAAGGAAAAAGAGCAAGGCCGAGGTCATGAAAGAGGTCATTGCCAAATCGAAACTTCACAAGTACGAACGACAGCAGCAGAAGGAAGACGACGACGATCTGCGAGACGAATTGGACAAGGACCTCAATGATGTGCTCGCGGCTCTTCGCGGACATATGAACAAGACGGCGTCAAAGCCAGAGCCACCAAAGGAGGCTGAAAAGTCCGACTTTGGTATCAATCCAGACAGAGCTGCAATGTTGGAAGGGAGATCACGCGAGGACGCTGACAAAGAGTATGATGCTCGCGTGCGTCAGATGCTATTTGACCAACGATCGAAGCCCACTGAACGAACCAAGACTGAGGAGGAGAAGGCGCAAGAAGATGCTGAGAAATTGCGATCTCTCGAGGAGAAGAGAATGCGCAGAATGAGAGGCGAACCTACCAGTGATGACGAGAATGATGCTCCTCGTGGACAACAAGCTCAAGCAGAAGACGAGGATATGGACAGCGTTCCCGATGATGCTGCAGAGTTTGGCTTGGGAGCCCCTAGGGAACCTCACACCAGGCCAGAGGGTGTGGATGACGAGGACGACTTCCTTCTAGAGGATGATCTTGTCGCAAGTGATTCCGAAGCAGAAATGGCATCAGACGACGAATCTGATGATGGTACTCAGGCCGATGATACCATGGCGGCAGACGAGGACGACGATTTCCTGCAGAGCGTCTTGCCAGAGACCAAAAAGCCACAATCCAAAGCTGTCAATGGCGTTCTATCAATCGGACCCGAATCATCGTCCTCGAAACTTGCCTTTACCTATGCTTGTCCGCGCTCCCACGAAGAGCTACTCAAAGTCTTCAAGGATGTAGCCATCACCGACCTCCCAACTGTAGTCCAGCGTGTTCGAGCGCTCTACCACGCAGGGCTCCACGCAGACAACAAAGACAAGCTCTCCGACTTTGCATGTGCTCTTGTCGACCACATCTCCTACTTGTCTAATCAGAACCCACCCTGCCCTCTCACAGTCCTAGACCCCCTCATCCGCCACATCCACTCCCTCTCCCGCGCGTATCCCGCCGCAGTCGCCACGCGTTTCCGAACGCACCTCAAACGCCTCCAGATCTCTAACGATCCAACTCAAGGCGACCTAACCATCCTGACTGCCATCGGCACTACCTACCCAACCTCAGATCACTTCCACCAGGTCGTCACGCCTGCCATCACCCTCATGGCCCGCTACCTTGGACTGACGACGCCTTCCTCACAAAAAGACATCGCAACAGGGGCGTACCTCAGCGCCCTGTGTCTCTCCTACCAAACCCTCGCAAAGCGCTACATCCCTGAGCTTATACGCCATACGCGCCTCAGCCTGATGTCCCCTCACACAACGCCCTCCCTCACTACCGCCCACACCACCAATATCCTTACTGCAGCAACCCTCTGGTCTACACACCCGTCATTCACTGAAATCTTCACCCCGCTCCTCCCTGCTCTCAAAAACTCCCCACAAACCCAGTCCGCACATACTCGCCTCACCATCCTCCTCCGTGCGGCCCGAAACACTCGACGCCCACAACTCCTCCACAACCACCGCGCCCTGCCCATCAAATCTTCGATTCCCAAATTCGAAGAATCCTTCGATCCCAACAAACACTACGATCCAGACAAGGACCGCGCCGAGGCCTCCAAGCTGCGCAAGGAGTACAAGCGCGAGAAGAAGGGCGCCATGCGCGAGCTGCGCAAGGATGCCAACTTCATTGCACGTGAGAAGCTTCGGGATAAGAAGGAGAAGGATCGTGCGTATGTCGAGAAGGAGAGAAGGCTTATTGCGGAGATTCAGGGCGAGGGTGCTAGGGATCGGAATGAGTGGGAGAGGGAGAAGAGGAGGGAAAAGAGCAAGAAGGGGAAGAAATAGATTTTGAAGTAGAGGTTAGTTATACATACATTTATTTACTTTGTATCGCTAGGGATCATGAAGAGAACAAAATGTCACTTGTGCTGTTGACTTATTCCCGCGCAATCGACTTGGTCTTTTTTTCCTTTCATCATTTTCTCTTTCAAATCGAGCGTCGCAATCTTCCCAACGTTTCCATCGAAACCCGTTCCTTTCTTACCATCCAACAACACCAAAATCAAAACCCTAATCCACGCCGCCGTTTTACTACCCACGCAACAATCATTCATCACAGCTTCCCGGCTTTCCCGACCCTCGCAACATCCCCCAGCACCCCCCTCCTCAACAACCTCTCCAGCAACGCCTCATCCCCAACATGTCCATTATGCTCAAACGCCGGCTCTTCATCGTACGCGAGACGAGCGGCATCGATCAGAATCCGCGCAGTCATGCCGAAGACGCGGTAATATTGCTCATCCTGTCCGACCTCGCCGTCTTTTATCATCTTTGAAGAATCCGCGGCATCTGTGCGGGAAGACGACGACGACGACGACGACGAAGTTGAAGAAGAAGGAGGAGGAGGAGGGGGTTTCGGAACATAAAAATTATGCATCCGCCATTTCGTGCCTTTGTGCGTTGTCCACGATCCTGTGTAGAATGGTTGGTGTTGATGTGCATCTTTCTCCCCATCTATCCCATTTCCTATCATACAAAAATATATATTATTAGTGAAGTTCGATGGGAAGGTTGAAGATGAACGATTGCGAGTCTATATCGGAGATGGGGATTCGGATGGAGAGGAAGAGGAAGGGGAAGAGGAAGAAGGGGAACCCACCTTCCCAGACTGTACCAAGGAAGTTGTGGAACGGGGCTGTGAAGACGGCGGCGACTTCTTTTGGGTCGAGGCGGGGGATCATCTTGTCTTCGACTTCCGAGGTTGGCGGAGGAGTGTTGTTGATGCTGTTTCCCCCGGGGTCGTGTGCGGTTTCCGATGTGGATGTTGATGACATGGAAGACGGGCATAAGAAGGCGATGCATGGGAGGACCTAAATGCCATCCCGACACAACATTAGACAGTCATTCAGTCTCTTCGTTATTGACTTTTTTCCTATCGAGGATCGTATATCCCAGTGACGAGCAACATGTCATAAATGCGAGACGGTGATGTTGGAGATGGTGTTCGGTTGGTTATGTGGATAGTCGGGGCAAATGGACGTACCGCCAGTTCTCTAAAATCAAAGTCAGTTGACATGTTTCCCAAGCTCGAGCTCACTTTGGTGAGAATATACTTACGTCTTCGCAAAGCTCGCGGGCATCTCGCAAAGATGCTCGACGCGGAACCCAACAGATGCCAGTTTAGCATCAGACATCTGCAATAAGTTTGGGCCAAAAGTTAGTTATATGTTGTCTAACCATGCATATTTGTAGCCATTTCAGGTAGATCATTCGATATTCGAACTCATCGATCTCTTCAACGGCCACATCCTGGATCAATCCTGATAACCTTTCGGCTGATGTAGACAGGATATCAACGAAACAGCGCAACAAAGAAAAAAAAAACATACCGGCAACCCAATCTCCTCAAACGCCTCGCGACGCGCTGTCATAAAGGGCGATTCCTGCAAGTGATCTGCTTTGCCTGTTCATCTCTCAAAAGACGACCAACACGTCAGTCAGCCAGTCATTACTGCTCTTCACTCCTCCTTTCTCGCTCTCCCTCCAAACTTTTCAATCCCGCAAACCCCAGATCCTCCTCTTCATATTCTTTACACTATATCCCTTCAACTCAAAGTCCCCAATCCATATTCTTTTCCTGAATACCGACTGGGCTCAATGATAATCTACTCATCTGCCATTCCAACCAACCGAAAAGCTCCCAAAAACCCAACAAAATAATCGAAAAGGGAAAAACAAAGAAAAAAGAGGGAAAAATAAGAGAAACTCACCACCAGGCAGCGCAGCCTGCCCCGCATAGCTCCTCAGCGACGCAGCACGCATGGTAAGCACGACCTTCAACTCGCCGCGGCGATCCGGAAACAGCAAAATCAAGACCGCGGCGCGGCGGGTGAGGGGGCAATTGTGCCATTGGGTTTGGCTGGGTGGCGTGTAGGCTCGCAGATGGGAGATGGCTTGCTAGATTATGTGAGCGTTGGGTGTGGATGGTGATGCTGGGGGTTTTGTCTTTTCTTGGGGGATGGAGGGCTTTTTTTTTTCAAGGGGAGGATTGGGATGGGATGGAGAGATTAGTGGTTGTGGTATTGTGGTATTGAAGGGGGATGGGTGACATGTGCATGCGGTGAGATGTAATGGCTGAGATGCTGGGGGAGAAAGCTGTGCCGTATCGTGATATACAAAAGATGCGTAGCAGGTGGATGATGCGATACATAGAAAAATGCACTCACTATGGATCTTTGCGAGAGCATGGTGGAGACGTAGTATATGCAAAGTGAGCCATTGCTGATGGTACATACCTTTGCTGGAGTACTACATATATGTACAGGCCGACGCATCGATGCCATTACCCGAGGTAACGTTAGTCGATATCGGGGTACCCAACAAAGTCACCACAGTGGAAAAACATCACACATTGCGCACATAGCCATCATAACGTAGAGGGATAACTATGCATTCCGCAACCAGCTCTATAGTAGGAGGAAAAAGGAAACCATTAACGTCGTCATCGCAGACATGCGCGGCCTTGGAAGGAAGGGTATCCCAGTGCGCTCGCATGCCATGACAACCAAACAAACCCGCACCAAAACCGTAGAGTGCAGCGATGGCTCGAGAGAAAAGAAACATGAGATTGCCGAAGAACATGAGACAGCCAAATGAGAACCCGCCGCAAGTATCTATCATCCTCTGCATGAACCTTCCCTTTGTCGGAACCACGTTGCACATAAAATCGGAGAACGCCGAGATGCCACAGATATACGGACGACTACCTCGCCCCAACTTTCGATTGCTTTTGTGTAACACAGGAATTCTGCCGAAGAAAAATCTGATCGCGCAGACTTACTTCAAAACCAAGAGGAGCGACCGACCCCCAATCAAACCGCACTGATAGAGAGAAACCAGCAAGCGACGGAGGGCAAACCGCGGATCGTGAGCAAGGAAAACACTTTTTAAATGAGGTCTGCAGATTGAGTTAGCAAATGTAGCGGTAGAGGCTGCAAGGCAATTAAACTTACCGGCAACGTTCATGGGCATCTCCTCGATCTGGGTGCTGTAGAACTGCTCGATCTCGCGCATCATGCGCACATCATCGGCGGTAACGAAGTTGATGGCAACACCCTTACGTCCGAAACGACCGCCACGACCGATGCGGTGGATGTAGTTCTCGCGGTTGGCGGGAAGGTCGTAGTTGATGACCAAGGAGACCTGCTGGACATCGATACCACGGGCAAGAAGATCGGTGGCGATGAGGACACGGGAAGAACCGGAACGGAACTCCCTCATAATCACATCACGCTGACCCTGGTCCATATCACCGTGCATGGCGGAGACAGTGAAGTCACGGGCAGTGAGCTTGTCGGTGAGCCAGTCGACCTTTCTACGGGTGTTGCAGAAGATGACGGCCTGGGTGATGGTGACGGTCTCGTAGAGATCGGAGAGAGTGTCCAACTTCCAGTCTTCCTTCTCGACGGCAATGTAGAACTGCTTGATACCTTCGAGGGTGAGCTCGTCCTTCTTGACAAGGATACGGACGGGGTCACGCATGAACTTGGTGGTGACCTCGAGGACATCCTGGGGCATGGTAGCAGACAGGAGCACGACCTGGGTGGACTGGGGAAGCAACTGGAAGATGTCGTAGATCTGTTCAGTGAAACCACGAGACAACATCTCGTCGGCCTCGTCGAGGACGAACATCTTCATGTGGTCCGTCTTGAGGACGCGGCGCTGGATCATGTCCTGGACACGTCCGGGGGTGCCGACGACGACGTGGGGGCCGTCCTGAAGAGCCTTCATATCATCGCGAACGCTGGTACCGCCAATGCAGGCGTGGCACTCGATGTTCATGAAGTCACCGATGGCGACAACAACCTTCTGGATCTGCTGGGCAAGCTCGCGGGTGGGGGCGAGGATGAGCGCCTGGCAGGCCTTGATGTTGGCGTCCAACTTCTGGAGGACGGAGATGGAAAAGGTAGCCGTTTTACCGGTACCGGACTGTGCTTGCGCGATAACATCGTGGCCTGGCACAGGTATGTTAGCCGCTGGGATTATCTGCGTTGGATAGAAATGTGTGTGCGCGCATAGGGATGTATGTTTGCGTGTGGGTGGGGCCAGTGAGGTGGAGCGGAGTCTTCACTTACCCTTGATAACGGGCATGATGGCGCGCTGCTGGATGGCAGAGGGACGCTCAAAACCGTAGGCGTAGACTCCGCGAAGGAGCTCGGCCTTGAGGTTCATGTTGTCGAAGGAGTCGGTGGTCTCATCGTAGTTTGACTCGATCTGGCCTGGGTAGTGTTGTCAGTATACACGGTTTTGATTGATCGATTGCACGGCAAGCAAGATTTTTTTTTCTCGTCCACTCCCAGCCAGAGGCGGGCAGCCCGCACCCACCGCGCACCAGACGATGGCACGGCGGGGGCGCGCACAGAGCGACGGGCGGCAGCAGTGAAGACGAGAGCGACAATGGACAGCAGAGATAGACTCACCCTCAGGCACATCCTCGAGACCCTTGTCAGCCATGATTGAGAGGTTCAAGGACCGGAACTACAGGCGCAGCGCTCTGTAGTCGGGTGGAAGCTCGTTGGTGGGGTAAGGCGGTGGTGATCCTCTGGATACCGCCGCTGAAGTAGAGAGTAGTGGGGTGTAAAAAGCTAGATACCAGATCCTCTGCGCGAGAATCGAAGGGGTATCTAGGGGTAAGGTGTGTGGTGTGTGGTGTTGAGTGTGGTGAAGGCAATTCTGGTGGGAAGGCAGAGGCAGAGAAGTGTGGGCAGGTGGGCTTTAATAGGCGTATCAATTTTTCAAGGTGATTGGCGCTAGCGCTAAAGTGTGCTTGACGGACGACTGTCTTTCACTCCCCAACCGCCTGCCGACTGTCTGTGATGCGGCAAACCACCCACCAGAGTCGCCCCCTTCACACGTCCCTTGTGACTCCTTCAATTGCTGTTGTCTGTGCTTGTTTGCTGCGCCTGTCGCCGTGGTCCTGATCCAAAATTCCATTTTCTTTGTACTCCGGGTCCCGTCCCTGCACTTGCTTCACCGGCGGAACCAACCAAGGGAAAATCGAGAATTATCAATTTAAAAATAAAAAAAATATCCACATCTCTCCAATATGGCTCCTGGAATTCTGCAAACCAACCATAGCGATGCCGAACCACGGCCGTCCAAGAAAGTCAAGCTCTCTGCAGCTGAAGTGAACCACGACGGCGACGACGACGACTCATCCGAAGACCTGGCTACTGCCGTTCCTACCCACCCACTACACATCAAACCAGCCGGAAACGCCTACACGGCGTCTGAGAATCTCAAGACTTACTGCGGTTCGTTTTGCCAGCTACCGGACGAGGTTCTGAGTGTTGTACTTGAGTCATTCGATGCCGATACTCTTGTACGTCTGGGAAGCACGTGCCGGGCCTTGTACGCATTCACTCGTCTCGAAGAGCTGTGGCGAGCTTTGTTTGTCAGGTAAGGTGTCTTAGATCTCTTTCCTTCGTCCATGTTTCTTCTCTGCTGCCTTCTACAGCTCCACCTAAAGGATAGTGCTTTGTGTGAGTCACAATCTGTTTGATGGTCAGCTTGGTCGGACAAGAGGCACAGTCAAAAGCTATTGCAAGCATCATGGTTCGCGGCTCTTGATGTTTGAGTACAAAGCATTCCCGTGATAGTACCTTGAGTGGAACAGTCATAGAGAGGCCGCTAGTAACAGGCGATTCCTTCTGTTCCAGTTGCCCTGTTCGTCTACGCCTCGTCTTATGCATGGCTGTGACTCACAGCTCTCTGACACCTCACATCACTCAGCAAACACCACCATCCACATCCACATGAAACAAACACAAACTGACCCAAATCCAGCTCCCCACCGAAAGACTTTGAATGGCGCGGTACTTGGCGAGCCACCTACCTAGGAATCCCGCCAGAGCACGTAACCGCAATCTCGTGCCAAAACCTCTTCTCAGATGTTCTCTACCGACCTTTTCAATGTGCAAACATCCCCCTCGAACCTTACACCTCCAACATACCCGCGCAAAACGCCATCCCCCGCCTTGAGGACCTCACACCAGAAGACTACGCGGCAAACTGGGCCAGCAAACCTTTTATCCTGACGTCGCCCGTCAAGCAATGGCCCGTCTACGGGAAATGGACCCCATCAACTCTCCTCGACCAATTCCCAGACGTGCTCTTCCGCGCTGAAGCAGTAGACTGGCCGTTGCGAACATACATGTCGTACCTGCGCAACAGCAACGACGAAAGCCCCCTCTACCTCTTCGACCGAGACTTTGCCTCCAAAACCGGCATAAAAGTCGGCACCTCGACGTCGACCTCCAACGACGAAAGCCAAGCAGCATACTCGCCTCCCCGCTGCTTCGGCGCAGACCTCTTCATAGTCCTCGGCCCGCACCGCCCAGACTCGCGCTGGCTCATCCTCGGCCCCGCCCGCAGCGGCAGCACCTTCCACAAAGACCCCAACGCGACAAACGCCTGGAACGCCGTCCTCACCGGCTCAAAATACTGGCTCATGTTCCCTTCGTCCCCCTCCCTCCCCCCGCCCCCCGGCGTCTTCCTCTCCCCAGACCACTCCGAAATCACCTCCCCGCTCTCCATCGCTGAGTACCTCCTCACCTTCCACCAACTCGCCAGGCAGACCCCCGGCTGCAGGGAGGGCATCTGCAACGAGGGCGAGGTCCTGCACGTCCCCAGTGGCTGGTTCCATCTCGTGCTCAATCTGTCCGATTCGTTGGCGCTGACGCAGAATTTCGTGCCCAGGGCTAAAGTCGCTGATGTGCTTGGGTTTCTGAGGGATCGGAGGGATCAGGTCAGTGGGTTTCGAGAGGATGTTTGCGGGAGGGCTTATGAGCTTTTTGTGCAAGGGTTGACGAGGGAGATGCCGGGCGTTGTGGAGGAAGGGTTGGTCGAGTTGGAGAGGAGGGAGGGCAAGGGGAAGACGAGGTGGGAGGTTTTGACCAAGAAAGATGGGGATGGGGAGGGAGGAGGTGGCGGGTTTAGTTTTGGGTTTGGGTTTGAGGGCGAGGATGGCGAGGTGCCGTGATTGTGAATATTGGATGATATAAATAAAGTCGTTGCATATTCATCTCGATCCATTCCAGGGTTTCCAACTGAAGAAAAGCCGACTCGTCTACATATCAACACTTTCGTCGAGAGTAAGATACGAGATGAAAGGTGATGATGGTGATATTAGTACATATATCCATATATATATGTAGGACCAGAACTGGTCCAAAACAAAAATAGAATTCCCATTCCGCTTCCCTATCCATCCCATTCTCCAAACCACGCCAAAGAAGAAAGACGCAATAGTCATAAAAAGACGCAAAACACCACTTCAGTCGTGCGCCCGAAACCCAACCACAGCAAGCGTAGAAACGCTCCTTTTCCTACCGAGATCCCGATTCGCCAACGCTCGCTCTACCTTCTCTCCCTACGAGGAACCCGCCGCCGCCGTCGCCTCATGCGCCGTACGGTCGTCCCCAGCACCATCCCCAGCAGCACCCGCGCTGCTACTCGCCAAAGCCTTCCGCCTCTCCTCCTCCTGTCTCTGCATGTCCTCGAGGAACTTCTCCCACGTCTCAACGGTGCCCTGGAAGAACTCGACATGCGCGTCGGCAAGCTCTCCCAGCGTGTCCTTGAACTCGGCGGCTTTGATGCGCTCAAAGTCTGCAACCTCCTTGACTGTGTGCTCGTCAAACGCCTCGGTAGCCTTCTTGGCGCCCTCGACTTCGCCGGTGAGCCGCTCGATTTCGACTTCGAGTTTGCGTACACGCTGGCGGCGAGCCTGTTCGTGGTCTATGCCGCGGAAGTCCTCGACCTTGCTGCGTAGGAAGCCCGAGGCGCCGATGCCCGCGCCGTGTTGCGATGCGAGCGAGTCGCGGTCTGCGGCAGATTTGGCAAGATAGTCGGTCAGGGCCTCGAAGTCGAGCTGTTTGACTTCGCGAGTGCGCAGGAGGGTCTTGAGCGCCGTCACAAAGGCGTCCATGTCGCGGAGACTCGTGAGGTAGTTTTGGTCCGTATTATCGCGCAGGGTTTTGAAGCCTTGTGCTGTAGTTGCGACCGAGGACGCAAACGATGTGAGAGGGCCTTCGACACCCGGCTCCAGCGTAATCAGCTTCTGACATTGCGTTGCTAGGTCGCTGTAGTCCTGCTCCAAATCGCCTTGTCGTCGCGCCACACGGGCCACCACCTTTTCAACATTGGACAGATCCTCGGTGAGTTTGTTGGCGCGCTCGTTGACCTCGATGAAGCGCCTATCCGGCTTGTGGACTTTGCTGAAGGTGTTGACGAGGCTCTCTGTGATGACGTCTACAAAGCCGCCGCTGCCGGCTGTCTGGTCTGATGCACTCGTCGATCTTGACGAACGGCCCCTCATGTGTTGATTCCAGTCGGCACTTTCGAGGAAGCTGATGAGCAGCGCGGCCCGTCGCAGCACGGGGTGCAGAGTCATGCGCTTGAGGAAGCGGTGCAGTGAGTGCGCGCGTCGCTGGGTGAAGTCGGGCCCGAACCGGTCTCCCCGTACGTATTCCATCTTGTGCTTGTCCGGCAGCGGCGGCACGGCGCATTGTGGGTACTCCTTGATCAACTGTTTCCAGAGGAAGACGAAGTCTGTAAATCGGCGACGCACAGAGAAAGACGGACGCTGGAAAGACTGGTAGTCGGACTGTGCATGTGTGGTGGTTGCGTTAGCCTGGTGCCTGTCTCTGCATGTTGAACCAACTTTGTGTGCGCCAACGGCATGCCATGGGATGCGGTGTGCAACGTAGTAGTGTGTTTAATGCAGTAGAATCGAGGAGAGACAAACCTCGGTGCTGACGAGATATGAGACAAACGCATCTTTGGTGCCTGGCAGCTCTTTCTGTGGTTTGCCGACAAACGTCTCCAGGCGTCCTTCACTGAAGTCGGCAGCCATTGGTAGGTAGGCACGCGGTGAACAACGATAGATGGCTTTTAGCAGGACGTGCGCTGTTGGGTGATAGTGTGGTGGTATACGGGGTCGATACGGTGGACGGATGGGGTTGTTGCGGAGGGAGTGTGGGTTGAGAGATAGATTGGTCTAGAGTGTGTGATGCTGTTGAAGCGCTGGGATCGCTGACGTCGAAGCTGGTTTCGCTTGCTCCTGGTGGGGGGACAGGCAAGGAAGCTTGAATTGCGACCACGCCTGCACGCGCCTACTACCTCAACCATGTACCTTTGATTTTCCATCTACGGTGCGGCGCCCTGATTACTGTATATTATGTATAATTGGAATTGTGCTTTAAATAATTTTACTTGATCTTCATTATAATGGTTGATATAGGATAAGTCTGTGGTATCAAAGAAAACCAAGCAGCCGAAACATTGGGCGCGCCAACTATTTACAAGAAATGAGTAAAGAGCCACCGAGTATAAAAGACATGTCTTCTTTTCCCAGTCGTTGAAGACAATGGGGTCCGTTTAAATTTCTTGATGCCCGGAAGAACAATCAACTAAAGGCCATCTGCACCGCCGAAGCGCTTGCTAAACTCTTTGAACAGCTGAGGCGTGATTTCATCGCTGCTGTTCCCATTGACGGTCCACAGTACGCCAAGTTTATCATAATGCTCAAGAAGGGACGAGTTCGTTTCTTGAAACCTTTTCAACCTCTCCTTCCACACTTCTGGGTCATCGTCTTCACGTCGTGTCAGGGGTTCTCCGGTCAAGTCATCCTTGCCTGCAACTCGGGGTGGGTTAAATGTTGTGTTGTAGACTCGCCCCGAAGGAGCATGCACCCATCTATTGCAGATTCTGTCGATGATGATTTCACTCGGTGTCTGGAAATTGACCACCATGTTGATGGGGACAATGTCGTCGATCTGGACCGCCTGCGTTGCTGTTCGCGGGAACCCATCGAGAATGAATGACGCCGACGGGCTATCCGAGTAGGTGTATCTGGAAGATCTCAAATCGGAAGGGATCATGACGGAATCGACAGTGTCTTCGCTATCCATGGTCGTCGAGCTTGAATAGACGTGGTAAGGCCGAAGATTACTGTCTTGGATCCAGCCCCGCGTTGTGAGCTCGTTGATGATGAGCCGCAGAATCATGGTATCGGGGACCAGTGCGCCTGCCTTCATCTTGGCTTCGGCTTGGATACCTGGTAATGATGAGTACATGGACGAAGAGGCGTTGATGGCGGATCACGAATTACCGAGAGGAGTCCTTTCCCGAACATTTTTTCTCAACAGATCGCCCGAACTGATGGAAGACAGCTCAGAGAATTGTTTCATCAGACGTTCCGTTTGGGTGCCTTTGCCTACGCCGGGTGCGCCGACCAGGATGATTCGCGCCGCGCGCGCGAGAGCCATATTGCGAGGGATGTGCAGAAACGAAAACACTCAGTCGTGATGGGTCTAAGGGGTATATATGGACCGTATAGTATAGTCAATAGCAGTGGTATTGGTCGAAGCGGTGTGCGGGATGGAAGCCAAACGGCTTCGACTGAAGCTCTCGGGACCTAGCGGGTGTGCATAATTCGAGATGGGATGAGAGAGAGAGAGAGAGAGAGAGAAAGAAGGTAGGAGAGATGCGAGACAGGCGAGCAGCAGAGAAAGGATAGCGAAGTAATACAGCAACAGTGAAGGGCAGTGGAGGACAGGAGAAAAAGGGTTCAGGGACGGCGGCGCATAAAAGTGTTGGAGACGGGTCAAGGTCAAGCGGAGGGGTTTCCGCTGCCCGCCGCCGTCGGAGTGAACGTCACCCAACCGCCGAGCGCGACCCGAAGAACGATGGGGAGCAGGCCAAGCATTGCTGATCGGCGCGCCGCTTGGTTCCTGGCCGATTCTGGGTCCATCCATCCATCCATCTTCGTGTTAATAATTCTGCCGTCACTCCCCTTACAACACTTTTCCACCATAATCTCTCCACACCACTCCTTGCCCGACCCTTCCATCGGATTTCGTCTCCCAGCTTCCTTGCTATCCCATTGTAATAATACTGACCACTTGACTCGCCCATACGCTTCCCGTCGTTCCTTTCCCAGCATTCCATCCCACACGGCGCTATGTACGTCAGTCGAGCGGCCACTCGCGCAGCTCCTGCTGTCTTCAGGGCGGGCATCAGAACCTCTGCCCGGCCTATGCGACACACGCCCAAGACTATACCTGCCATTGCCATCCTGATCCCCCGCCGAGCCATATCAACCGAGACATCCACAAACTCCAACGGCAACTTCCCACCTCCCGGCTTCAACGCCGAGAATGCCAAAAAGCCTCTACCCCAGGAGGACCAACAGAAGATCCAGGACAAAGCAGCTTCGGAGAAACCCGACGTGTCCATCCCCAAAGATGCCCCTACAGGGAGCCCTAAGACTCCGGCTGAGGAAGCGCAAACGTTGACAGAATTGGCCGCTCAAAAGTCGGCTGGGGCCAAGGAGGAGAAGAAGGTCGTGGAAAAAAAAGATGAGAAGAAAAAAACGTTGTGGCAGAAGATCAAACACGAGGCCGCCCATTACCGAGATGGCACCAAGTTGCTGTTCACCGAGGTTCGAATCAGTTCAAAGCTGGCTTTGAAAATGGCGGCAGGATACGAGTTGACTCGCAGGGAACACCGACAGGTATGTTTTTCGTCATATCATTGATGTGAAACGTTGCTAACGTGGAGCAGCTGCAAAGAACCGTTCAAGACTTGGGCCGACTGGTACCCTTTTCCATGTTTCTCATTGTGCCCTTCGCCGAGTTGCTTCTGCCTGTAGCACTCAAGTTCTTCCCCAATCTTCTTCCCAGCACATACGAAGCACAGTCTGCAAAGGACGATAAAGCCAAGACTTTGCGGTCAACCAGGAAGGAAGTGAGCACTTTCCTCCGTCAGACCCTCAAGGAAACTGGTCTACCGGTATCGGCCATAAACGCGCAGAGAGAGGAATTTGCCGAGTTCTTCCGTAAGGTATGTATCGCAAACCACCGGTTTATTTCCACGTCTGATGGCTTTGTAGGTTCGCACAACAGGCGAGTCGCCGTCTCAAGAAGAAATCATCAAAGTCTGCAAGATCTTCAAAGATGATCTGACCCTTGACAACCTTTCAAGGCCTCAATTGGTCGCCATTTGCCGATACATGAACATGGCATCTTTCGGTACAGACAACTTCCTTCGCTACCAAGTCCGCGTGCGCATGCGCCAGATCAAGCGTGATGATAGGGCCATTTCCTTCGAAGGTGTCCCGTCTCTGTCCGTCCCAGAGCTCCAGTCCGCCTGTGCCAGCCGAGGCCTCCGCACATATGGCATGTCTCCTGCCCGACTACGCGATGACCTCTCCACATGGTTGAACCTCCGACTCAAGCACGGTGTCCCATCCACACTCCTCGTGCTCTCCAACGCCTTCGTATACGCCCAGGGCAAAGAGTCGGAAATGACGAGCCAGATCGAAGCCCTCCAGGCCGTCCTCTCCAGCATCCCCGAGGAACTCTACCACGAGATCGAGCTCGAGGTACACACCGCCGAAGGCGCAGCTACCAACAAGCAACGTCTCGAGGTTCTCAAGGAGCAACAGGAGCTCATCGACGAGGAGAACGAGCAGCTCCAAGGCCATGAGAACAGCGCGAATGCCTCGCCCAAGGACAGGGACAACATCGACGAGGACGATAAGCCCAAGGCCCAGCAGGAAGCTTCTCAGCAGAGCAACGAGGCTGAGGCCAGCACCGGAGATACAGAGGGTTCTGTAGGCAGTGCCGAGCGCACCGAGCAAGATCGCAGGGCTGCTACTGAACCAGAGCAGAGCAAGGAATCCACAAAGAAGGAATAGAAGGGCAACACCCCTCTTTACGTCACATACATGTACAACCGGAAAACAAATATAGATGGAAGTCTTCATGCTAGCTCATCTTGGTTCTTTTTCCTCTCCCTTCTCTAGACCCATTCCTTTTATATTCACTATGTCTTCTCCCCCTTCTATACTTTTAGAGGTATTGTGTAAATAGAAATCCATCAAAACTCTGTCTCGTTGTCTCGCTCGTATTGCCTTGCGGTTGACGTTTAATCCTCCTTTTCTTCTTCTTCTTCTTCTTCTTCTTCTTATCTCTTGTCACTTTTTGCCGTGTCTGCGTCAAACCCTACACATGCATGTATATGTCCATCCTAAACGGCAGTATTAATCATCCTTGGAAAATACGTCTCTAGAGGATGAATTTAGCTGTCCCTTTTTACAGACAGATGAGGAGATGCTAAACATTGTTTTACAAGAACGGGGGGAGGGGGCAGAATTCACATGACTAAGGTCTTACATTCATAGGTAGTTGTCGGTAATGCATGTTATGAACATGGGTAGGCATTTATAATCGAGTTTTGGTATTGTTGCCCTGGAGGGGAGGGGAGGGGAGGGGGGGCATCAAGTTTCGCATCTGGGAAGAGGAGTGGGGTTTTTTATAGCTAGGGGCGGTTTTTTTTAATAGAACGAGTGATGTTGTTTTTACTATGTATGTATGCATGCATGTATGTATGTGCGGTTGTGTAATTATAGTGGCATTATAGAAGACACATACATACATGCATACATATACACATACACAGTTCCACTGGTTAAAAGAAGAATAATAAAATTATAAAAGGCATCGGATTACTAGTATACAGCAAAGACTAGATATGAAGCTCACCACCCCGGCCGCCGAACGCCGAAGGAGATGAAAGTGAAAAGAGATATAGAAAAAAACAAAACTTTAAAACTACAACCCAACTCAAGCAAGCCCCGACCCGGTATTTTTTTTTTTTAGTTCCACGCGATTACTCGTCGTCGTCGTCTTCCTCCTCATCTTCATCCATACCCTCAGCAGCATTGACCCTGAAAGTCGGCGCCTGATCGACACCGAGATAGCTGTCACTGACCAAGAAAAGCGTCAACTCATGCTCACCAGGCTGCTCGAGCGTGAATTCCAGCAGACTCTCCACTTTGCGACCAACAGTGACTTTCTTGATACCCAGCAAGCTCTTTTCTTTCTGGTCGCCGACGACGAGCCAGAAACTCTCCGTCTTGTCTGCGGGATAGAAAGGTGCGTGGACGTCGGTTTTGGGTTGTTCGTCTTCTTCGAGGTTGCGCGTGATTCGGACGCGAATGTGCGCTGGGGAGTTAGTCTCGATATCGTCGGGATCGACGACTTCGTGTTCGAGCTCCAGGTTGGGGTAGTACTCGTTTGTGAAGGTGGCGACTTCCTGGAGCTGGCGGCCCTCGAGGCCGATGGCTTTCATGAGGGCTTTGTAGTCGGGGTTTTCGTCCTCATCCATGGCGTTGATGAAGTCATCGACATCGTTGATGCCGAAGCCCTGCACTGCTTTGATGGTGTCGCCGTCGAAGTGAGGGATCTGTTTGAGGGGCGAATCCTTTTGCCACATGGCTTGGACTACCATCTGGGAGAGCTCCATGGCGCTCAGAGCGTTGAGGTGTGCTTCAGAGGAGAGCACGTCGACGGTGGCGTTTAGGATGTTGAGGACTTTGCGTACGACGACCTCCTGGTCTTTGGCTAGATCAATGGGCAGTTGCATCCGCGAGAAGTAGGCTTGGAGGAGTACGAAAGCTTTGAAATGGGGTGCCTCGAAGTTGGGCTCCTGCATCTTGTATGGTACCCGGTCGTATATACGACTAAGGATGTGTTCTTCGTGACGTCGGATCTGGATATCTTCAAATTCCGTGGCTGCCGTGATGATTTCGAGGACGCCCTTCAGGCTGGTCTTGCCATTCAGCGACATCATGAGTGTTTGCATCGTGATGAACGATATGTTGTAGTAGGCTGCAATCATGCACGAGTTGAGTGGTGTTATGGCGTCTTCCTCTTCATCGTGTTCGATCAGATTGGCGTCGACCAACTCCTTGAGTGTTTGTTCGACGAGTTCTGACAAGTGGGCACTGATGCGCTCGTGTGTGGTATCGTGGAGATTGTAGTAGCTTGGATTGTGAAGAAGGCGTCGGTAAAAGTAGGTGTACGTTGACCAGTCGACGGCTTCCTGCGTGGATTCAATCGTCTTGGTGCTAATCTCGGCCACGAAAGCATCATGTAGATAATCGTGGAGATAACTCTCTACCGGTAGGGCCTCGTTGAGGAACTTCTTGTAATAGTCGCGTTTGACGGCAGGCACCATGAGCACTCCCTTGGCAGACTTGTCCAACCCAACTCTACCCGCTTTACCAAACATCTGAAGTAGGTCGCTGATTGGATAATCGATGTATCGGTGCTCCCGACCCTCAAAGAATTGGGTGTTCATGACAATGACGAGATGAGCGCTGTTGTCGACCTCCCAGCAAGAGTCTCGTGACACAACCATAACCTGAATAGCGCCAACATTGAAGAGATGTTGTACAGCTTTCTTATCAAACGCATTCAGGGCCTCGTGAAAGTATCCGATACCGTGAGATAGCGATTCAGCCAAAGCGCGTTCGTTGATTTTTGCAAGAATAGGCTGGATCTCGTCCAACGATGCATTCAGAAATCGGTCTTTTTCTTCGTCGGCTACGCAAGCAGCAAAGAGGTCGATGGCAGTCGACCGAGCTTGTTTGCGGTTGGGAACAAACACCATCGCCGGCTTGTCTGGAGACATTTGCATAATGGCCTTGTAAGTCGGTTTAACCATCGCCAACATGAGCGAAGGGAAATGGGGTATGGTGAAAGTCTGAATCTTCAATTCCAACGGAACTGCACGAACGCCGGGACTGAAGTTGAAGATGGTGTGTTTACTGGCACCTATCCACTCGCCAACGTCCCGTGCATTTGCGAGAGACACACTGAGACCGACAATGCGTAGTTTTGACTCTAATTGAGCGGCCATGGTCTGCATCCGAGAAACGACAATCTCGTAGATGTACCCATATGAGCCACCAATCATGTGCAAGTTATCGGCAATCAAGAGTGTCACTGACTGGACGTTCTTACGGCGTTGCCACTGGCGAGAAAGCGAGTCCCACTGGGCTGGAGTAGCTAGGATTAGATCACCCTTTTCAAGTAGACGCAAGTCTGCTGCCGTCTCGCCGGTGAGTTTGACCACATCCTTCCCTCCGCCGATTTCCGATAAACGGCGGCTCCAGTTCTTGAACTGGTTATCCACAAGCTCCTGGAAGGGCGCAAGGTAAACTATGCGTCCCTCGACAGTTGACCACTGCCGCAGGATAGCAAACTCTGCGCAGATAGTCTTGCCAATGCCAGCAGCTGCACCGACGAGAACGTTATCGTCAGTGGTGTACAAAGAGTTGAAAACTTGAGTTTGCACCTTGTTAAATCGGCTAATATCGTCATAGAGAGACATGTACTGCTTCTTTTTAAGGGCCGAAATTGGCAGAGGTTGCAGATCGAGAACCGGAGTATGCGCGGGAAACTTCTCTGGGAGGATGAGCTTCTGGAATGAGACAGCCAACTTGGTCTCCGAGTTCATCCATCGATCAGAAAGAACCGTAATGAAATAGTTGGGTGGCATTGGCTCGTCGATTGGTACTGTCAACTCGACAAGATGCTCGTTCATCTCACTCTCGGCATAGTCTTTGCGCAGGATGAACTGATCGTGGAAAAGGATCTGCTCTCCATCACAATCTTCCACTAGAATCCAGAATGCCTCTGAAGCACCGTGTAGCTGGTCATCCCACTCGAAATTTGGTCGGACCGTAAGTTCGATGCGTAACATGGACCTGGTGATGGGGCGCGGTGTAGCTTCCAATTCGAGGCGCGGGAATTTGTTGATAAGATTACAGACGGTTCTACCAGCTTTTGGCATTCCGAGAAGCTCGCCCATGTTTGGTGGATCCAAGCCAAAGTAGCTTGACCAAGGGACACCGATACGCTCCGCTTTCTGGACAATATCCCTGGGGCATGCCGGGAACTGGCGAAGAGGTGTCATAGTGGGCCACATGCGTTTCTCAGCCATCTTGCAGAGATCCAATGCAAGCTTCGCAACCTGGGACCAACCCTTCTTCAAGCAAATCTCAAAGATGGCACGAAGAATACGTCCAGCAGATTGGGTAACATAGACCAGATCAGCCATAAGTGCGAGGCCTTCCAACTTCAGCCGTGAGATGTAGGCCTGTAGCAGGACATTGATCTTTGCCTGGGCCTCCTCGACACCTTCCTTGACAGGTATAGGTACTTTTCCAAGAAGTTTAGCGAGTTCCAATTTCTCGTCTTGTCGGACTGGAATATATTTGAACTCCTCGCTGAGCGAAAAGATGCGGAACAGCTCGATTGCGCTAACTCCCGGTTGGATGTGGGTGTTGTAAGTAGCCATAGAGTTGTGTGTGATATAGTAATGGGAGGCAATCCGACCGAGCTCCGTGGGTTGAAGTGCGCCGGACTTTCTGTCGTACTTGACAAGACTTCCCTTCTCCAAGACATGCGCTGCCGCGTGGATGAGATCGACTCGCCGTTGTTCGAGTACTGTATCGTGTTCATATTCCGGGCCAACTCGGTAAAGAGCTGGCGATCGTAGCATTCGAACGAAGAGATATGTGTAGCCAAGCCAGTCAACGCCTTCATCGCGAGTTCTCACATTACCCAGGACGATTTCGGCGTTCAGATTATCTGCGAGGCGGCTAATGAATTGTGATTCGATTGGCAGTTGCTGATTGAGAAGTGAGAGGTAATATTGGATCTCTGCCTGTGTCGTGATGATAATACCCTCTCCGTAAGTGTCGAATTGCGGACGTCCGGCACGACCAAGCATTTGCAAGACATCTTGCGGACTGAGTTCGACCCAGCTACCCTTTTCAGGAGAGTATACTTGGGTTCCCTTGATGATAACGGTGTGAGCTGGAAGATTGACACCCCAAGCAAGAGTTGCTGTGCAAATCAAGACCTGGATCGCACCATCGGAGAACAGAGCTTCCACGGTATTCCTGTCGTCTCGAGACATACCAGCGTGATGGATACCGAACCCATAAGGCATGAGGTCTTTGAGATCGGCGTTTTGTATATTCTCGGATTCGGATCGCAAAATTTCCCTAGTCGCATTATCGGAGCGTAAGATTTGTCCGATAGTTTCCATCTCCAGAGCCTTGTCACGGATGTACTTTCCTGTCTTTGCCGTTTCCTTGCGCGAATGCACAAAGATCAGCATCTGGTTGCGATGCTCACCAACTTGTTCCAAGACCTTGGTGTAGCAAACGTCGTTCATTGTCTTCAACTGTTTGATGGCCTTCTTGTCTGTCACGCCAATGAACTCCTGTTTCAGGGGGCAGGGTCGGTAAGTAGCATCGAAGTGGAATAAACCCTTGTCGGGGTCAACACGAAGGAAACTGGCAACATCTTTGTAGTTGGGAAGGGTGGCACTTAAACCCACGAGACGAACAGGCTCTCCAGTCTGTTCAGTACGGCGAATAGTCCTGCTGACAATACTTTCCACCACAGGACCACGCTCATCGTGTAGAAGATGAATTTCGTCAATGCATACCAGCCGCACAAGGTTGATATAGCTGGTATCTGTGGCTTTGCGGGTAATGACATCGTACTTTTCGGGCGTAGTGACAATGATCTGGGTCTCAGCGATTTGCTGTTTTGTGAGCTGCCGGTCACCAGTAAGCTCGGCGACGCGGATACCATACGGCTCCAGACGCTTGCCAAAGTTGCCCACTTGTTCTTGCACCAAAGCCTTCAAGGGAGCGATGAAGATGATTTTGAAATCATCAAGAGCGATCTCGCCGGTCTGAGGATTGCGGTGCTTGCCAATCTCGCGAAGAATCGCCAACATGGCAACGTTGGTCTTTCCGGATCCGGTAGGCGCGCAAATCAGCATATTGCCATCGTCATGAAATGCTGTAGGGAAGCATTTGGTCTGGATTCGGTTTAGTTCCTTCGACGACCCAAACCCTACACGCGCCCAGTCTGGCAGTTCGGTGGTAGGCAGATTTTTCTCATTAGGGTCTCGCTTGGCTTTCGGCGCAGGCACATGAATCTCTTCGTAGCCTTTGAATGTGCGCCGTGTCGAGCCTTGTGGGAGTTTTACGCTCGGGTTCGTCATGAGATGATTTCCTTGATCGAATACGATGTTGTCGAGATTTACCACTCGACTGTTTGGTTGCAGTCCGCCAACCACACCATCAGGCTTTGGAGCATCCTCCATATCGACATCTTTCGACTCAGGGATGCTGATGTCCTTCAAGTCGAATTTCATCGTCTTGGATCCATCGGTTTCGGTCTTAACACCGGTCTCGCGAGCGCGGAGTTCCTGTAGGATCTGTTGCTGTCCGGCAGCTTTCATCTCCCGTTCGACCGCCGCACGCTCATCTTTGTCCTCCGCAACTCGCCGCCACCTCGTAACCCAAACAACTCGATCTCGGTTGAGAACAAGCTTTGCAACAAGCTCGTGGTGTTCGTAGTCGAAAAGCTCCATAAGGTCGTTCTCGATCTCCCGTAGGGGCTTCTCATCGCCGTCCTCATCTACACCAGAAAGAATGTTCAGAGCTTCCTGGGTCTTCTCTTGTTGTGTATGCGCGTCTTCGTAAAGCTGTCCTATCTGCCGTTGAAGCCAGTATGCATCGATCTCATGTGCGGGTATCAATCGATCTGCTTCATCTTTACGATCTGCTGCAGCCGTGTCGCCTTGGATGATGGTTTCTTCGCCCCCAGCAAGCATATCGTCTTCCGCCCCGATCTCTTCGACTGGTTTTGCATCATCTTCCTCCTCATCACCGTCAGAACTATCATCATCTCGTACCTCGAAAGTCTGGGCGGCATCTTCGTCTTCGTCTTCCTCGTCGAACACAACAGCGACACCCTGGTTGTTATCGTCCTCGGCACCGTCTCCATCTGCTCCATCCGCCATTTCCTCATCTTCATCCTGTGCATCGTAGTCCGTGATCTTTTTGCCAAGATTGACCAGCTCATTGAACTCCTTTGCGCCCATAGATTCGCCCAATAGGTCATCGATAAGCTTCTTCTTGTCAAAATCCTTGGTAGTATCGTCTTTCAGGTACTCCAGGACTGCATCGGCAGCACTTCTCGTGAAGTGTATTGCGACGTCGCCTAAGCTCTTGCTCACTATAGTTGTGATGAGCTCGAACGTCGCGCGTGTCGCTGGTGTCCGCGGCTTATATCGGAGATCTTCGATAGCAAGCTCTTCACCAGCGCTTGCCACACCATATGCACCCGCGCCATCGCCTCTCTTCCTCTTTCGTTGTTCTCTCTCCAACACATCACCGCCCTCATTCATGTTGCCACGAGATACATCAAGCTTGGGTTTCTTTTTCTGGACCGGGGCATCGTCGCGCGCAGTCCGCCCGCCCATGTCTCGAATATTGATACGGCCGGCAAGCGATTCGGGGTCGCCAGTGGCTTCGTCGGCACGTCGGCTGGTAAATCGTCTGTCATGTTGCAGGACCAAATTTGACATCGCCGTGTACTTGAATTGCGCGAGGTTGTTCTGTTTGGGATCCGCCATGATGAAAGTAGGTTGCGGACTACCGCGATCGATTGACCTAATGGAAAAGAATTGGGGTATCCGGTATTATCGTGACGAAATTAATAAACAGGTGCAAATGAAAACCCCGTATAGTTGAAAGGAGAGGTGTGGCGCGTGGGGTATGAGTACGGTCGCGCCTTGGGGAAGAGCGGGCGGCGATAGATTTTGTAGCGAAATAGATGTAGCTGTCGCACGGGCCCCAGGCAAGGCACCACCGAGAACACGTGATATGCCTCTCACGTCGGACCAGTTGACACCACTGGACCTGTGCAACGGCATCCATTGAGGATTCATGAAATTCGCTACCGGCTATGCTAATGGGCGTACCAGAGTAATGCGAGAGTCAAAATTACGTAACACTGACTGCATATGGCAAACCTCCGGCAGCTCGCTTTTTCAAGACACATGCCCAGATGTACATCTCTGCTACAATAAGTACGTGTTGGATTTGGCCATTGTTGATAATTAGATGACACGCATAGTTCCATTATAGCTAAGCTGTGTACCATTGTCCCTATTACATATCTCAACAACTTCGATCTCGCAAATCATCAAACGCAATCGTGGATATCATGCAAAATAAATAATGACCGCTGCGACCAAACTCGCAAATTAAAAGGGATCATCGGAAGGACACTGTGTTACATCATGGCCCTCGCTTTCGCACAGAGCGCACCATTTATCTGGATCTGGAACTGAGGTTCCTTTTGGCGGCACCAGTGAGGCGTCGAATGCGGGTGGCGGAAGAGGTGCGGTCGGTGCATTGCCGGCTGACTTCGTCGGAGTGACAGCTGATGGGCGAGATCGATCGGAGGATAGAGAGAGACCCCGGAGACCCTCAATCACCACGTCTTTTCCACTCCTGCCGGCGCTGTGATCTTTCGAAGGTGCCTCAGCACCCATGGCAGAACAGTTGAGGATGTCGTGACCTCCGGTTTCACAAATTTCACACCAAAGAGTGCTGCCATCTGGAGAAGAAGGAGCATCAGACTCCGCCATCGTGGCAAGCGCTGGCACGGGTTCCCGTGGAGCGGTCTGCGATGCCTCTCTCCAACTCTTGATGGTTCCTTTGGAGTCCCTGCCCGATGACCTCTTCTCTTGAACAGCAGTATGCTCAGACATGCCATTACTAATGACACTTTCACGTTGTACAGCACCGTGAAGCTGGGTTTTCAGCTTTTCAATCTCACGTTCTAGCTCTTCTTCTCGGAAGGCCTTTCGCTCGACGAGCCCCTGTAAATCTTTCTTCTCGCGCTCGAGTCGCTCGGTGTTGGCTTGTGCGCTTCGGAGCTCTTCCGCGTTGACAGTAGACCCCTGGCGGGAAAGTGGCGAACGTCCATGTTCTTCAGCAGGCCCGGAACTCAATGAATGGATTATAGCCTTCAAGCCTCGGATCTCGTCGTCTCGTTGCTCTACTTCTTTTGCTCCTGAAGTCGAGGGTCGGTCCATCATCGCACCCGCGTCTTTCAACGCAGCCGCCGCCTTTTCGCGTTCCTGTCGCAACTCAGACCTTCCCCGTTCGACTTCGCCTCGTAGAAATTCCACTTCCCCACGGGCTTCTGCTTCTCCTCTTCGCGCATCCTCGAGCCCTTCCTCAAGCTCGTGGACTAGCTCTTCCAATTGTTTCAATTGATCTGCCACTGTTTCAACATCAGCGTTTCTGGAATGCAATTCTCTCAATTCTTCTTGTAATTCTTCCACTTTTCTCTCATACACCCGCTCCGTTTCTGTACTGGCTAGCTCCAAAGTATCAATCGTGCTACGAAAGTCGGCTCGATGATTGTCAAACTCGGCTGTGAGCATCGCAATCTTATCGGTCTTCTCGCGAAGCAATGCACGTAGCTGCGTAACATCGTTGGGTTCGTCGCTGTTGCTTTTGGGTCGACCGAAATCTGCGCCGGCTTCTGGGAGCAAGTCTTGGATTTCTGCCAGGCTGGATTCCATCTCCGCTAGCGATGTCGCTTGCCCTTTGAGCTGTCTGTCTCGCTCCTCGAGCAATTTTGTGAGACGCTGTATTTCGTCCTCGGAATTGTTCGAGCCAGGTCTTCGACTTTTGAAGCTTGCCGTGGAATCATTGCTGATGCGTGCATTTGTGGGTGTGTGCTCCAAATCTTCGTCGATCGTAGCATGCGAACCTAGGCGCGAATTGTTGCGCGAATAAGGGCGCGCGGGTGGGCCTGGTGTCCTGGGCTTCTGGAACGCAGATGATTTGGGTCCAGGGCTATTGAACCTCGGGGGGCCAATGGCACTTTTGGACAAGCCAGCGGGTGTGCGAGCGCCATTTCTGGAGGGTGTGGGTGCAAGGTTTGATGACTTGCGAACGGGCGATTCCGGTCGCTGCAAAGATGGGCGTTGGGGTTTGAAGACGGGGCTGGAGGCGCGAGCTCCGGGGCCAAGCGATTGGGAGAACTTGGGTATGGAGGGTGTGTCGGGGCTAAAGTTTGGTCTCTCTCTGCTAGAGGCGCTGAAGTTGTTGTGACTACTGTAGGATGGCGTGGTAGGTGTGGGAGGCATCATCATGGAAGACGAGAGGGGCGTGCTGCCTCGCTTGACAGCCCGGTGTACAGGAAGAAAGATACCAGCTCCAGGGACTGAAGTCTGGAAATAGCGTGTACTGCGAAACGGTCAGTCAGCGCGAAGAGTGACATGAACTTCATGATCCATACCCTTCGACATCTCCATCGTTTTTCCCTCGTGTAGCAAACTCCCTGCTCAGTTCAACGCCTGCGAAAACACCGGGTTTGCCGCGCACGCTGCCCACGAACTTGACCACGCCATTCATGCCACCAGGAACGTCGACGGGGTCGCCAACCTCGATGTCTCGGCCATCGGCGCCCATGCTGTTCTTTGGAGTGGTCGGCTGTCCGCCTGTCAGAGCGTTAAGGGAGGCTTTGCGGGCAAAAGCAGTACTGGAGGCCAGATTCAGATTGGGTTGGGAGGCAGCGTTGTTAAGTGAAGGACGCATGGGATTAAGCCTTCTGCCCGGTGTTAGAGTGGCCATCCTGGGCGTTCGGCTACCCGCAGGTGTAATGTTAGGGACCTGGCTGACTCCAGGCTGTTGCACGAGCAAATACTGTCAATGTTGTTTTGATGACAGGGATGCGTTGGAGCCCGAATGACGATGGGAGGATCCACTCCCCATCGAACATTGCAACTGCATGAACTCACGTGCTGACCACATTGCCGAGAAAACCCCATTCACTCTGCATATCGCAGAGAACCTGATGGAAAGGCAGTCGGCAACTGCTTCGACAGCGACAAGATATCACTGTTCTACCATCACTCCTCGCGACCAGCTTGCGCTCGCTGACACCCAGGCAACGGACTTTGTAAAGTACACGGGCAGATAGAGTAGGTCAGATTGGGCGTTTTGCCTAAAGCACCCTACCACCCGTAAAACACCCCGGGAACCAGGCTTTTCCATCTCGCGCCGGCCCAGTCGAGCAAACTGATAGAGACACACTATTTTAGTCTCGCAAACTGTGGGACGGCAGACATGTGTAACAACAACTCCACCTGTTGACGGAGGAACGTCGCCTACGGATCGCCTCAGGGGTTCGACAACGCAACGGCCATCTCGCCATCTCACAAACACCCCGATGGATATGTGGCTAGTTATTTCCATTACTCACAATGCGCCGGCCTCATATCAAGCCATAGCATGAAGTATGGGACATGTCTCAGACAATCGGGAAACGCCCACAACAACAAGGAGGAGATTACCTTCTGGGCTTTGGGCGTCGACGGCCTCTAACTCGCCTATAACACTACTGTTCGGTGTCCCCGTAATTATTTTACAAGCCCCAAAAAGCAATACAACCCATCGTCGGCCTCGGAGACACGCCAGACTGGACCCAAGGCTAATCACGAAGAAAAGTAAACCCCCGACAAACGCGCGCTCACGTGGTGCAGTAGCTTCAAAATTCACATGTTGGTTTGAACTTTTCGCTGCATGCGAGTCAGTTTATACAAAAATCCCAGGACTGGCAATTCTCACAACAACATGCTCTTGATTACTCATTTAAAGATCAATGATTGGTGTCATTGGCAGTATCCTGTATATTCAACTAGCAATCAGCCCGGACTAGGATCGCAAACTCCTCCCTGGGCCGTTAAGCCAACAAGGAGCACCTGGTCATTACCTGGTCGTATGCGTAGATACTTTCAACCAGCGAGAAGCAAATCCGCGCTTAGATATCGACTCTTCACTGCAGCGGCGAGAAAAAAACACCGAGCTCAGGAAGATATCTTCATTGCAGCGATTACCCCTTCAAATAACATTTGAGTGCGACAAAAGACAGCATTCGCACCAAAAAAAAAGTGTTTCCAAAAATTCCCCGTCGACCCGTAAGGCCAACGGAAGCAGTCAATAGTTGTAGTTTTAAACTAGCAAAAAACCGAGCTCAGATAAAATCTTCACTGCTGCGGTTTCTGCCCATGCACTTAGATACTGACCAAATCTGGGGACGGGGAAAGGGCACCTTATATACATGAAGGAGAGGAGTGTTGCCTAGCACGTGATGAAGCGAAGTGAGACATTATCCGGCTGGTGCCTGGAGGTCAGAGGTGGGCCGGTGATGAAATGCGATGATCTACTTCCAAGACTGCCGTTTAAATGCTATTTATCAGTTGATGTGATACCACTGGGTCAGATACTCTTAAGATCACCCTCCTAGCACTGACAGGCAATCCAATCTAATTCATATTTCCTAATTGTGTATAGGGAATAACGTGGACATATCTCCATGACTACATATGTAAATACGTACCTAGGCATGTACTCGGAGCAGATTCTCAGTATATCCGTCTTGAACCACTTGAGTAAGTCTTGGATATCTATCTAGATTAGTTTTAAGTTTTTTTTTTGATTGGAAGTTACAGTGTTTCCTAAACTTAAAAAGGATGATAAAAAGGGTAACAAAAAGTAGGCGAGTACAAAAAATATCTATGTAGATAGTTACAATGTGTGTACCATGTACTATTACTCTACGTATACACACACTACCAAGCAACTTGCGCATTCGCAATACCGATCCCCAAGAATCAAGCAACAATGCACGTTCTCAGGTACGGATATAAATACCTAGGTACATGAGATCTGGATCCCAGCCATGCCGCCGCACGCCTAACCTCATCCCCCGCAACCTCGGCTCAACCCACCCAAGCTTCCCCAGCCGCGACCCCAACCCCGAGCAACCCTACAAAAAGAACCCAATGGCGAAAAGCTCCTCCCCACCACACCTCCGCTGCGCTTCACGATCCCCCAAAAAACCCCGAAGCGAATGAATAATGGCAGGGCAGGTCCGCCAACCCATCGACACGGCCTCGCTCGAGCGGTACATCAGTGCCAATGTGCCGGACATCGCGGTGCCGATTGATGTGAAGCAGTTCGGATACGGGCAGAGTAACCCGACGTATCAATTGACGGATAGCAATGGGAAGAAGTTTGTTATGAGGAAGAAGCCGCCGGGGAAGTTGCTTTCAAAGGTGCGTACGCTCGATGTGCAAGATCATGTCCATTTGGTTTGGGGAAGTAAAGAGGATATATGTAGCTGATGCTGATGCTAATGATGAATGGGAATTAGACGGCGCACAAGGTCGACCGCGAGTACCGCATTATCCACGCGCTCGAGAAAACCGACGTTCCCGTCCCCCGCGCATACTGTCTCTGTCAAGACGAGAAGGTGATTGGGACGGATTTCTACATCATGGAGTTTCTGGATGGGCGCATCTTTGAAGATCCAGCGCTGCCGGAGGTAACGCCTGAAGAGCGCACGAAAATGTGAGACATAACTTGATCGCCTGGTCCCTTCACAAGCTGTCCAAAAGTAGGATATGTGTGGTTAACGAGATATTGACTCAGGTGGCACTCTGCGATAACAACGCTGGCGAAATTCCACCGCGTGGTGCCCAAAGATGTAGGGCTTGAGAGCTACGGCAAGCCCTCGGGTTTCTACAATCGACAGATCAACACCTTCAATACCATCTCGACTTCGCAAGCTGCCGCCAAAGATAAAGAGACTGGTGTCCCTGTGGGGAAGATCCCGCATCAAGATGATATGGTCGCGTTTTTCAAGGATCCCAAGACGCAGCCAAAGGACAGAGGCAGCTTTGTGCACGGCGATTATAAAATTGATAACGTCGTGTTCCACAAGACGGAGCCGAGGGTCATTGGTATTTTGGACTGGGAAATGTCTACCATCGGACATCCTTTGAGCGATATCAACAACCTCTTGGGCCCGTACGTGACTGCAGGTAGTGAGCGGATGATGAAGATTGGGCGAGCGAATCAAGCTTTCCTGCCTGGTGCAACAGAGGGACTACCAACGACTAGCCAGTTGATAGCATGGTACTCCGAAGTGGCAGGTTGGGATCCACGACCAGATTTGACATGGGGAGATGCGTTTTCGACGTATAGGTCAGCTATCATCATGCAAGGGATTGCGGCACGATATGCGCTTCGTCAAGCCAGTAGCGCGCAAGCGAAGGAATACGGTGCTATGATGCAGCCGTTTGCGGAGACGGCATGGGAACTAGTAGAAGAATACATGAAAACGCACGCGAAGGCAAAACTGTAAATAAAAAAAAGAAGAATAAAAACTGCGGTAGTAAGATTCCTCATTTCTACGTGGGCAATTCTCGTTGTGTTTTGCGGTCCCCCAGATGTTTTCATGATCAAAGTATCGCAAATGGTATCATATCCTTGTTGACCTAATGCTTTGGTACTGTCAACGTACGATCCCCATAGTCATCATTTGACGCTGGTTGTCGGATGGGTACATACCCATAAAGCATTCCCAAAAACGCCCATGTTCACCCATCCGGTAGTCAAGATCGTATCCGTTCTCCGTTCGATGTGCAACGTTCTCCTTCATGCGCTAGTTCAATCCCTTGCTCGCTTGTGATCGTCGGTATTGATGCGGTCGAGTGCCTAGAGGACAGATCAGCTCACGTTCTGCCATCAGGGAGATATCCTGATAAATAGATATACGAACCTCGAGCAACACCACCGCGTTTCCTCGAATGACCACCATGCCGATGCGCTCGCGCTGGCCTCCACCCTTCTCCTCAAGAGCTTCATCGAGAACGATGTTCAAGTAAACCTGGCGCAAGTTAGTGTTGTTCCGGACATGTATGTGGCGCAGCTGTACTCACATCGTACCCGCGTAGTACTCCCATCACTTTCCGGCTTCCATTGAGATGCACTAGGACGCGCTTCTCCAAATACTTTTTAAAACAATCAGTATAATGTATCATATTTCAATCAGAGCAATCCCAACTTACTTTCTTGAGCTCCGGCTGTGCTTGAGGCATGCTGGGCGGTGGTGTCGATGTTGTTCGGGAGTTGTGTTGCAGGTAGCGCAATGTAGATGTCGGAGGTGGTAAAGTGAGAGGAGACTATCCGCAAGAACGTCAAGGAAAGGGCGAAAAGGCTGGGGACAAGACCTTCTATATGACGAACGAGCACTCGACAGATATGTGGTGTTGCGGGGGTGGTCGGCGGGCGGAGGAAGCTCACCGCGGTTTGATAGCTTTTCCTTCTTGGCGGGAATCGGGCGTCCGTGCGCACAATTCCACGATCGACATCACCGCAGCCTCCGCACCACAACTACCACGCGACAGCATACTAACATTATGAAGCGATCAGGCTCAGGCCGTGTCGCGCGTAAAATAGGCGCGTACGATGACGACGATTCTCCAGAAAGTGGAGCCAGTTCACCGAGCGACACGCAGAATCGCCCTTCAGGTACGTTTATCCATCATTCGCTTTCGCAAGCTCCGCGTTCTGACTATAATAGGCGCTCCGTGCTAACTCACGGTGTAGAAAATGTAGTCAAACGCCCGGCATTTGGGAAAACCAAAAAACGATCCTCTCTCCGTATGTCCTTTGGACCCACCGACTCTGGAAATGATGGCGAAGACTCGGCCCCAGCAGTCGCGACATCCAAGAAGTCAAATCTCAGTCGCATAGCTATGGAGAAGTCGGCACAGCTACGCGCTCGATCGCCGCTCGCATCAGAAGCATCACGTGGTGATGCTGAGGAATTGGAGGGTCCGTCGTATAGCCAGGACTATATCAAAGAATTGCGTAATTCAACACCTTCCACACCCAAGGATCTGGTGCTGTCGGCAGAAGAGGAGGAGGAAGCCCAGGCGCTTGACCTGGCCTCAAAATTCGGACCAAATGCCAGCCTCAGTCTGAAACCGGAAACATCTGCGATACCCACCCAAGCTGAGATTATGGAGAAGAAAGCTCGACGGAGACGACTCGCTCTTGAACAGGAAAATTATCAAAAGGACGACGACCACCCATGGGCATCGGATCACGATGATGACGATGACGAATTCCGCACCAGTCGCAACGAAATATCGCTCCGACCAAGATCAGAAAAATATCCGGAATCCCGCCTTGTCCATGACGACGAGGACATCGCCGAAGGTTTCGACGATTTCGTGGAGGATGGCAAGATAGCGCTCGGACGAAAATCCGAGCGAGCTGCACAGCGGCAACGGCGAGCGGAAATGGCAGAGCTTATCAACGATGCAGAAGGTGGCTCAGGAGACGACGGCTCCGATGATTCGGAAGAGGAGCGCAACGACGCCTTCGCCGCAGCACAAGCCCGCGCGGGTCGTTATGGCGAGAAACCAACTACAGAAGAAGATGGCGCCAGGACTCCCCCGAAAACCGCACCTCTCCCTGATCTCGACGATATACTGAAAGCATTGCAAGCCGAAGTCGATGCGAAGGAGCAGAGAAAGGAACTCATTGAGAAGAAACTCGAGGAGCTCAAAGACGACAAAGTGCGCGTGGAACAGCGGAAGACGTACCTGCAAGAGCAATTGGAGAAGACCGGCCAAGAATTCGAGAAGCTGCGCCAGGAGGCTGGGTTGCCCGCATTGCCTGCCAATGTAGCGGCGGGCAGTCGGCTCATCACTGAGAGGGGGCTCGACAGTTTGGGTACCACGCCTCTGGCTTCGGGGTCTAATGCTTCCGAAGAAGAGTAGAGATTTAGCTGCTTGTTTCCTTTTTCTTTCTGATACCAATGAATGCTGACTCTTCTTTCTGTCTAAAGAATTTTACATATTGACCTCTTTGAAGTTCTCCCATTTGAAACGCCGCTATCATATCTTACACAGTCATCCCTATGCATATACTTGATCTAACAATCAAGTCAACGAATCGAAGCCATGTACAATGATGATACAACCTCGTTCAGACGACTCCGTCAGCAAGCACGGACACGAAGTATCTATCACAGTGATGTGGCAAGTAACTGAAGACGGCTCCATCCTCGATCGCTTCTATCCCCGCCCGAGGGAAAAAACACCATCCAGTCACATAGCACAACCATCATGTAGAGCAGTACCCCAGATAATCCATGCCGCATATCATACACATCTCCGACAAGAGAAAAATAAAACCTCCCCATGCATACACACACCAAAAAACTCCAATATATATCCCTCCCCTCTCATCTCCATCAGCCCGCAATATCATACAATCCCCCCCGTCCATCCATCCACACCGCTACCCCTCTTTCATTCACGAATTCTCATCATCAATCTCCTTCCAGACCTTCTCAATCTTTGCACGCTTCTCCCTCGCCTCCTCGCGGTTCAACCGTGTGCGTTCGAGCCGCTGCGCCCGGAGACACATGTTGACGTTGTGTTTTGCGGTTGTGCAGTTGCCGAGGACTTTCCACATGAAGCCGCGCGCGTGGCACTCGTCGAGGATGGCGATGACGTCGGCGCAGTCTGGAGCTCTTCTGTTAGCTTTTGAACGCTATGTAGAAGAAGAGGGAGGGAGGGCGAGGTGGAGGTTTACTTTTTTGGTTCTCTTCGGTGTGGAGATGGGGATGCATGGTTGCTTCGAGGTGGAGGTTATGCGAACTGAATAGAATAGAACGGGTGTTTTTTCCACTGGAGATGAATTGATTGATAGGGCGTGCGGATAATCTACGGCGCGCGCGCAGAGATTTGCGAGATTGGGATGGTAACGTGGTGGTGTGCGTGATCGAGAAGCTCTCAAAGTGCTGTCTCTTGGTGGTGCTCTAGCTTTCTCCGAGACGACCGGGCTGTCTGGCTGGCTCGCGAGCGGGCATCGCGGGGGTGCTTGCTTGTTGCGTTTACTTTTGGCGTCCGTGCTTACCCATCCAACCCACCAACCGAGTTACACTTCCACATCATCGACGAGTCCGGAGGTTTCGCTCGATTTGTTCAGAGATTGTTTTGGCGGTACTCACATTTGCTGCACCCTTTTTTTTACATCTACTTCTACAGCTGCGAGAGCGCGGTAGACAAAGTCTGGCGGATCGGCGACGTTGTGGAGAGAAAAAGTTGGTTAGGTCTTGTGGTGCGATTGACACGCGAAGATGGCTTCTCAGGCGCAGTTGAAGAAGCAGCAAGGTATGTGGGATCAGCCATGATAAATCGCTGAGATTTGATAGATCAAAAATCGAACTGACTTTGTTTGTGGAATGATAGACTTGCAGGCTACATATGGCAATTACAAGAGCACGTTGCAGGCGCTTGCGCAGAAGATTGGAGATATCGAGCAGAATCAGGAGGAGCACAAGTACGTCCAATTTTTGTTTTATTTTCTATTTTTTTCATTCCCATTTACAGACAACATCTTCATCTAGTACGACAGGCTGTTGTGTTTAAGACTACGAAGGGGGGAAGGCAAGCAAGCAAGATTGAATGAATGCACATCCCCCCTTCTATCCTATGAACTCTGTTTACCTGGCTCGTTCTACATTCTTGTATTCGATTTTTTGTCCTAAATCACTTTCGCTCTTCTTCGGATAGTTCTCAAGCCCGCAGCTCACACATTTACTCCGATAGACTTGTCCTAGAAACCCTGGAGCCACTCCCCGGCGACCGCAAGTGTTTCCGCATGATCAACGGAGTACTCACAGAGCGCACGGTCAAGGAGGTAGTTCCGATCCTCAAGACCAACTCTGATGGGCTGAAGAAGACTCTTGAGGAGCTTGTCAAGCAGTACAAAGGCAAGCAGGATGAGATGGAGAAGTGGAAGGTACGTTATATGCCCGCCCCTGTCTAGATGTGTGAGCGTGGGAATACACTTCCTTTTTCTCACAACGCTCTCCGTTTCTATAGGAATCAAGAGTGTTTCGCTGATTTCAGAAACAGAAGAAGAATAATGTTCAGGTTGTCCAGCAGCCGCAGTAAGATATGGCCTTTGGAACTGGCGGGACTTGCAACGAGTCAACACACGAATAGTGGAGCTGCAAACTGCCAACGTCATCGGAATTCCAATCTCGAGCGTTTGCAGCTCTGGTGGGAGTGCGGTAGGCTGAGGAGCCGGATATGACTGCCCTCGTACAGCTGAGGAAGAGGGGAACGTTGAAGTGGGCAACCTCGTGATCATGATGTGATTGAAGATGTTTCAGCGGCCATGCACTTCATCATATGCCACTTTCTCTCTCTCACTACCGTTCATGTGTGAACGGTGAAAGAGGTGACACCGCCGTCGCCCCATCACGAGGTGGTCAACTCCCCAAAAGCAAGTATGCGAATCTTACTTGTGAGCAGCGACATCGATGTAATTTAAGAATACAAAAAGATATGGTCTTCATACCCGTACTTCAGTCTGAGCATCTCGTTTTGTGGAAATTTGCCTCATTTGACATCGCGTGATATGTTCAAAGGTTTGTTGTTTTCCTTTCACTTTTCCGAGAACGTGGTAATGCAAAAATACTATAATAATCCACCCCGGCTCACTCAATTCCAATTTCTTTTCGTAATAGAGACGGACCACCGGGTCACGCCGTGCCAACAACATTGCAGAATCAACATGAAACTAGTAACAATCAGATTATCTAGAGCATGTAGGCGGTTGCAATGTCTCTCACCATTCCAGTCTGTGACATGTGTACGACACAAAATAGATGCAGCAGGGCAAGCGAAACAGCATATTAGTCATTATTGCAGCTGATGGATACCGGATACAAGTTAAAGAGCGCTGTTACCCGGCATATACATGCATTTTGGTGTTGATGCTGCTATGCAAGAACTTTTGACACACAGCATCGCTAGCCTGCAGCCTGCACATGCATGTTGGGACGGAAAAGCTTGGAAGCCTGCCGGGCGGCAAGATTCATGCATGAACAACTGAAATGCCATCCTTTGTCTATACTCGATTGAAACAACATCATACACAATCAAGGTAATTTTGCGATCCAGAAAAGACGTGGGGGGGGGAGGGGAAGGCGGGCGATAACCTAACCCAACCCCATCTCCGATGCCAACCCTGATGTAGGCATTCAAACAATATGGAAAGAAACCAACTCACTCTATCCCCAGTGAAGCTGTTTCAGCATGGCATCCGTACGACGCAGCACAAAAAAACGACACCGCACGACCAAGACCAAACAAAAGCAAATTTTTGTTCAGTGAGGCATGGACAGTGACCGATCGAGCAGCACCAGAAAGAGTCCCAGCAAAACACCGCACCCCTCACCCCATGCATCTCATCCCAACCCGAAACAACAGCTGGGAAAAGCGTTTGGTACCCTATCAGAACAACATAATTATCGCGGGTTGTTGTGCTGGGCAGAGATGTGCGGCTCGTCAAGGTGATGTGTGTGTGTAGTTGTGCTTGAGTGTGTATGTGTGTGCTGTGTGCGTGCGTGTGCGTCGCATCCTTTCCCAAAGCTGAAGGTGAATCGGACAACGCATCGTGCAGAGGAGAGGGGGGGGATATTTAGATGCTAATGCAGTCCTGGCACGGTGGGATTTTCAGCCTCGTGGGGATGGATGGCAGGACAGCGCAGAGAGGGGGATTGTCTAGTGCTGTTCCAGACATGATTACGTTGGGTTGTTGATGCTGTTAGGTAAACCGGTGGTGTTTTTTTGGTTGGTGTTGAATGTTGACATGATGTTTTGTTTTCTTCTCGTTTCGTTTCTTTCTTTTTGTTTTCAGAACGCGTGAATGGTAGGGTGAGTGGGTGCATGGATGAATCATCGTGTTATCAACCAGCACGGGCAGGCATCATCGATGAAGTGTCTTGCCATCGATACGCATGGCCATTACCTTGGATGTCGGCCCTCTGTGCTGTGGTGGATTGCCTACCTGGGCCGTTGACGAGATGGCGATTGATACTTGGAGTAATTCCTTCCTATTGCAGCGGCGGGATTCGCCCCCTTCATTTATTTAATCTGCAGGCCTATTGGCTGGATGGGGAATCGCGGCTGACTGATTGGCCAGCGGGCAGCGGCGGGCATTTATTGGCCACAGGGCCCGCGCGCTCACGACACGACCATGACCCATTTGACGACTACTCACCACCAAGCCCCGACCATTACACTGTCACATTGCATTTATTACAAAGGTAGCAGCTACGCGCAGGAAGCTTGACAACACACACCTGAGCATCAACCACGACGCCGAAAACGCTCTCTGTACCCGATTAAAAATGTCGCCCACCCCTCCCACTCCCCCCAAGGAGGACAGTGTGGAACAACAGTCCGCTCCCTCGCCGGACGCTCAGGAAACACAAATGCAGGGTGTCGGGTACGAATTCGAAGTGAAAGAACAGGACCGATGGCTTCCCATCGCGAATGGTATGTATCCATCTCGTCGTTCGTGTCGCTTTCCCTTTTTCCCTTTTGTCCGCCGGGGCCCTTTGAAAGAGCTGGACTCGATTCCCCCCCATCTATCAATCAATCAATCAATCAACCAATACACCCGTCCGTCCCTCACCCGTCCGGCGAAGAGTGCAGTCCGTTGGCTGCTTGCTGCTGCTGCTGTCGTTGCTGGTGGATGCCCGCATCGCATACCACCCAACCTCACATAGCACTCGCTCGCTCGGGCGCCCGGAGTCGCCAGCGTCGAATCACGGCCTGCTGCCTTCCGCACGCCTGTTTGCCCCATCTGCACGCCCCTGCAGCTGCCCTGCCCTCCGTCATGTCCACTCAGTCTCCACAATCCGACCTATCCCCGCCACTCTCTACCAACCCCAAACCGTCCAATGCTGCATCCGATGCTAACATTCGTAACTTTGCTCCAGTGGCGCGTATCATGAAGATGGCTTTGCCCGACAATGCCAAAATCGCAAAGGAGGCCAAGGAGTGCATGCAAGAGTGCGTCAGCGAGTTCATCTCCTTCATCACTAGCGAAGGTCAGTACTTTATTATCCTCTTGTATTACTCTGCACTTCTCATTCTTGGCTTGCATCTATTTGGCAACGCCTGCTAACCCATCGCTCGTCCGCTGCCATTAGCTTCCGAGAAGTGTCAACAGGAAAAGCGCAAGACCGTCAATGGCGAGGACATTCTCTTTGCCATGACTTCCTTGGGTTTCGAAAACTATTCAGAGGCGTTGAAAATATACCTCTCCCGCTATCGTGAGGTAAGATGGAATTTGCGTGGGCGGCTCTCGAATCCGGATCATCTTTTGGATTCTTCTGATCGCTCTGGTCTCGCCTGGCCTGAGCCGCTTTCGTCCCCTCATCTGCCCTCCTCGCCCCCTGTACCACTTTCGCTCCTTCCACCACATTCGATCCCTCTACCACCTTCGCCACGTCTACCACCTCTGCTCACTCGGCCCCCTCGACCCGTTCCAATTCCGCCCTCTCAGTATGCTCGACGTGAGCGTGATCGGGCAGTATTGGATCGTTTCGCAGGTTGGTTGCGTGTTCGAGAGGCCAAGTTTGCCATCTTGAAAATCTTGCGTTGTGATACAATTCCTTGCTGACCGGTCCTTTTAGACCCTGCTCGCAAACCAGAACAATAAGCCAGCCCAAGGGCCCTTCGGTGCGAGCGGAGCCAATGGCTCTAATGCGAACGCTGGTCCCAGCGCCGAGGGTGCCGCACAACACGGGAACGTTCTAACTGGAGGCGGTGAAGTGGGAGGCGACGACAGCACTACTTTCGGATACCAGGTTCAGAATGGTGACCCCCAATTCTGAACTACGGGATTCGCTGACCAAGCTCAAGCCACAGGTCTAGGGGTACCTGCCTTATAGCTTCCGTCTACGTCGATAGGTATTCGTTTTCCGCAAAAGTCGAGAGCGACATCAGCGTGTTTGGCATTCTGATTGTGATTGATATACAGAGGTTCGATTATCCGCCTTGGTGTTATCGGTAGGCAAGGAAAAAGAGGAACGGGAAGGTTTTCCATAGGTTCATACAGGGCCATTGTTCATTGGGCTCATTTCTTTACGTGTATGGTTAATATGGGGATGGAGTTATTGATTAGGTTCTTCCTTTGCCTGGAAAGAAAACCCCTTTCGATTGTACGTATTCCCAATGGTTTATTCGGATGAATGGTTGAATGGTTACATCATCTTTTTTTCTTTCCATCTCTCTCGCTGTGTGTATGCGTGTGACTCTCCCCTCTCTTTCTGCGAGCCCTTCCCAAGTCTTAACATAGAATCACATCCTCCCCATCTCCCTTCGTTTCCGACTCAACAGCTCGCTCAACGGCACATCGTCGTCATCTCCTCCATCCTCCCCCTCCCCAGTAACAACGACAGGCTCATCATAGAACTCAACCTCCTCATCAACACCAAAATCAAGTAACCGCTCTCCCTCGGCATTCCGCCACGCTTCTTCCCCATCATCTTCTGCGGCCCCGTACTTGCCAGCGCCACGGCCACTATTACTTCCTCTCTCGACTTCGTCGTCGCTACCGGGGAATCCCTCCTCTGATCCATCATCACCCTCGTCATCTCCGCGTGTGTTATCTCTGTACGCAGAAGAAGACATAGCAGACGCCGCCTGAGCCGCATCTACCCGCTGCACAAAAGGTTTCCTCCTCCTAACTATATCAGCATGCTGACGAGCGCGGAACGCCGCAAGCGTCTGCTGCGGCGTCTGCACCGAAGAGCCATACACAAACGCGCCGCCCTCGCCGTCCGCCTCACCCGCCCCACCCCGCGGCACCGTCTCGCGTCTCACAAACGAGCGATCGGGATCAGGCGGCGGCCACGCAACATCCGGATCCTCGAAGCCGTTCGTCGGAAACGCGAGGCCCGTTTCCAACGGGGGCGTCGGCGACAACGGATTGAACCAATTCAGCGGGTTCGCGGAGCCGCCCATGCCCTGGACGACGTTCCGCCAGACGCCGATGTCGTAGGGGAACTCCTGCTTGGTGATGCGCAGCCTGGCGCCGTTTGGGGTGTCGAGGAAGCCGCCGAAGACGCGCGCGCGGCGCAGCACGGTGCGGTGGCGCGCGATTTCCCAGCCTTCGATCGTGGTTGTGTTTACGGCTAGACTCCATATGTTGCGGATCAGCAGCACGCTGAGGGCGAAGAAGGTGATGCTGTTTACGAGGGTGGTGGCGAAAAGGTGGAAGACGAGGAATTTGGATGGGCCTAGGTATGAGGGGAGGTCGCGTTGGGTCCAGAGGTGGTGGAGGCGCTGGGTTAGCAGCGTTGTCAGCAGCGTTAGGCCTAGGGTTGTGTAGAGCAGGAATCGCAGGAAGTGCGGGAATGTCGTGTGTGAGACGCAGTTTGCGGTCCAGGGGCAGTGGTGGTCCATTTTGGGGATACATCTGGTGGGGAGTGGGGGTTGTTAGCTGAGGATTTTTTGATGGGTGTTTTGGGAGGAGGGGCGGGGAGGAGGGTTTATTCGATGTTTGGCGGGTGGTATGTGTATTTGTATATATGGGAAAAGTGGAATAGGGGACTTGTTTGGATTTTTTCATTGCTGTTTGAGGGAAAGAAGGGGTGGGACATGTCTTGTTTGTGCATTTTTTACAAAAGAGTAGATATGGTGATACATCATATCCCGCAATGAGTGTGAAATGGAGCAAGGAAAAGCGGAATACACGGATCACGTGGTTGCGGACGCAGAGTGGATGGTGCAAGCTCATACAGCAAGCACGTAGAAATTCTCTTCCTACTCACCTTTTACACTCCTTGCAATGATGTGCTCTAGGCGGCTTTACAGCGTCGCATTTCCGGCACCATTTTGTTCGTGACTGGCCCGCGCCTTTCCTTTTGGTCTCCAACACATCTCCAGATGATTCCCCTTGCTCTTTTGATAATTCTTCTCCGCCATTTTTCGGTATCGTCCCGGGATCCACGTACACTGATTTCGTATACGTTATGAAAATACACACCAGCAAGACATTGGCCAGGATCAATTCGTTCTTGGTCAACGGCCGGGGTTCCAGATAGTAGAACAGCACCTGTGAGGGGTACCCCAGGAATGCAATTAGTACATATACGGCTGGGACCGCTAGGCGGTTGAGTTCCATCTGGGGAGGGGGAGGGAGGGCGGTTTGAATGCTGGGTTGAAACGAATGATGTCGTTGTTTAGGGACGACCCCAGATGTGTGGATGTCGGGATTAGCGGCCGTTGATCTTGCCACGTGATTGGTGCTTGTTTCAACGACTCAACATAACATTCAACTTCCAGCTTACGAATTGTATCATCTTTCAAACACCTCCGTCCATCCAAAAAAAGGGAGAGAAGGATACCAGTCTGACCACTGCTGGTAATCTGCCATGGCGCGTCTGGAATTGGTTTTTTACCTGCTCATACCCACGTTCATTTTTGTGCACCTTTTCGTTTCCCCGTACACAAAGGTTGAAGAGTCGTTCAACATCCAGGCCACGCACGACATCATCGTTCATGGCGTGCCCTTCGAAAATGCAGATCAGTTCTTCACGGCCAACTACGACCATGTTGCCTTCCCTGGGAGCGTGCCGAGGACTTTTATGGGCGCCTTGCTCTTGAGCGGCCTGTCGAGGCCGTTTGTCGGGTTCATGGCTTCGTATGATCAGGTGCAATTGCTTGGTATGCAGTCTTTTCGAATTATCGACAGAGTTTAAAGTTGATATGTATCCTAGTCAGAGGTGTTCTAGGTGGATTGAACAGCCTGGCGTTGATCGCTTTCAGCAGAAGCGTGCAGAAGAGCTTCGGTACGAGCGCTGGGATTTGGTATGCCTTGTTCCAAGCCAGCCAGTTCCACGTCATTTACTATGCGTCGCGCACGCTTCCAAACATGTTCGCGTTTTTTTTGAGTATGTCTTCATTCAGCGCGAAGTAATATATTGGTGGTCTAAATACTACAGGCACCATGGCATTTCGAAGCCTACTCAATGCGCATGCCGCTCCGTGGAACAGCATCGTCGCGCCAAAAGGCTACCGATTAACTCTCTATCTTCTCACTTTTGCCGGTGTAGTTCTCCGATCGGAACTGGCTATTCTGGTCGGGACGTTGACCGTCTACCTGTTTGTCACCAGAAGAATATCCATTTTAAAGATCATCCTTCCAGCAGGCCTGGCCGGCGCAATCATTGGTCTTCTATGCACTGTTACCATCGACTCCTACTTTTGGCAATCAGTTCCCTTATGGCCTGAATGGATCGCATTCTACTATAACACCATCCTCGGCCATTCAGCAGACTGGGGTGTGTCCCCATGGCACCATTACTTCGCCAATGCTATTCCGCGGTTGTTGCTGAACCCCATTACTTACCTCCTCTGTATTCCTATGGCATTGCTCAATGCGGCAACCCGCCAACGAAGTCTAGACCTCCTGATACCCATCTTATCATTTGTTGGCCTGTACAGTCTACTCCCCCACAAAGAATGGCGATTCATCATCTACGTTATTCCCGGTCTTACCGCTACGGCCGCCGCAGGAGCATCCTGGATCTGGACCCGGCGCGCCAAATCCATCATTTACGCCTTCCTCAGTCTAGCACTAGTAGCATCTATCGTTTTCTCCTTCACGGCGTCAACAGCATTACTCGCCATCTCGAGTCTGAATTACCCGGGTGCTGAAGGCCTGGAATACCTCCACACCCATTACCACCCTACCACCAACGATACACGAATCCATGTCTACCTCGACAACCTCGCCTGCCAAACGGGCGTGACGCGCTTCCTTGAAAACCATCACGGCGCGGAAACTGTCGTCGACGTACTCGAGGCGCAGCAAACGCTCGCTAAGCGCACGTGGACGTACGACAAGACTGAAGACCCGAAAGTGCTGCTCGATCCTATCTTCTGGAGGCAGTTCGACTTTGTGCTGGCGGAAGGGCCTGAGAGGATCATCGGCGCGTGGGAGATTGGGCACGTGGTGTATGGGTTTGGTGGGGTGAGTATATTGGAGCCTGGGGAGGAGAGCGAGACACGTTTGAAAACTGCAGCCGATGCTTTCAAGTGGCCGAATAGAGTGGCTGCGATTTGGAAACGCGTGGAAGGGTTCGCAAGGGAGAGGGTTATGCGGGGGTGGTGGGTTGAGCTGCGCTTGGATCCTAAGATCTATGTGTTGGTCAGGGAGGGCATGTCTATTGAATCCTCGTGAAGGGGGGTAATATGGCGGACACATTGTTTTAGGATAAAGGACCGCACAAAAGTGTGCATTTTCTTTTTCGTGGGATCTGAAGCGTCTAGCATATTCTGCTTTTCGATATCTCTAGACATCTCTGAGGTCCAACAGGCCATGAAACAACACCTTGCTACGTGGCGCAGTGAAAAGTTGTGATACCCTGATCCCGCAGCTCGTATATCAAAGCTCGAAGAGAAACAGACCATCCATTCATGCATCATTCATCCATCCATCATGCTATTGCCCCGCCCCCATCGCACACGAGCACCAACCCCCAACACACTCAACCATCCGCCTTCTTCTTCTTCTTATCCTCAACACACTCCAAATTATCCTCAGGAACATCCTTATAATGCTCTACAATATAATCAAAAATATCATCGCTCAAATCGCCCTGAACCGTAATCTCATCGCCACCGCCGGGAACTTTTGTAACCGAACTCCCCGTAGCGAATTTCTTGCCGAAATCCTTTGCGACTTTCTTGATGTCGAGGCCGAACGCTTCGAGGCCCTGGACGGCGGTGACGTATTTGCGCTTGTTGCGCTCGATGCGCTTGATGAGGATCTTGGACGACGCGCGGGTTTCGGCCGCGCGGGCTTCGGCCGTGGCGGCTTTTGCGGCTTTCTTTTGCGAGTCCTTTTCTGCGCGCTTTTGGGCGTCGAGGGAGAGGGAGGCGAGGTTTTGCTCTATTGCTTCTGTTTATGGGGAGCGCGGGGGGAGATTGTTAGCGGGGAGCTGGTTGATGCATTATATGGGCGGAGGGGAGGGGTATTCGATTCACGGGAAATGAAAAAACGACAGAGAGGGAACGTGTGTGTTGTTGCGATTCGTCGAGGGGAGGGTGTTTGAGCGCACCTTTGGAGTAGAGCTGCGAATGGAGGTCTGGATGGTGCTGCTCGAGCCATTCTTCGCACTTCTTCGTCGTGCCGCCGAATTCACAGTACTGGCGAATTAGAACAAAAGCTGTCAGTAGCCTTTCCAATCTACCGTGCGTGCTAGAGTCGTACCTACTTCTGGTGGGAGACTGCATACTGCAATTGTAAGTCAGCATGCTGCCAGTTGTGATGGAAGCAGAGGTAGGTGGGGGTCTGATGAGGGGCAGCGACTCGAGAGCTTACCTCCGCAGTAGAGAACGGATTTGGGGTAGGCGTCCGAGGCCATGATTTCCGCACGAACGAGGTTCGAGGAATGAAGCTGGAGGGGTTTGGGGAGTGCGGTGTGGAGGAGACGCGTTATTTGGAGGGGTGGTCGTTTTCACGAGGCGGTTGAGGGAGGACGTCCGCGTTGTTTGGTGGGGCAGATGGCGGGGTTCAGCCTCATCTCGTGAGCGGGACAAGGGTCTGTCATCCATGTGCGGTTGATTGGGGGAACGTTGGTACCGAGCAACATGCTACTCAACTCGCCAATGATGGCTATAACATTTCGCATCTGCATCGTTTATGTTTGCTAGGCTGGATATGAGAACTTTGGACTTTGTGACCTTCTGCCTTGCATGCAATGGGAAGGTTGCCTAACTACCTAGGTAGGTACATGTATTCTCAAGTGTTGCCTAACGTTTGCCTGTCGGAATCCTGCAGCCTGACACAGCAAAGGCTGAAGCAAAAACAGTATCGATCATGTTCGCTGAAGAGGACATCTTTAGCCCCCAGTGTGAGTCTTACAGCTGCCTCAGTCTGAGACGTCTTTTCACGATCAATGCATCCAATTGGGCTCCCGTCTCGTGTATGAGTTAAACCAAAAATCATTGGTTTATGAGCTGAATGCGAACGTTGAGCTTCTTGTCTGTTACTCCACAGAGCAAGTCCTCTAATCTTGAATCTCTCTCCGGTGTACGAGGAATGTAATGAATTGAATATCCAATTGCTACAATATAAATTATCATTTCACACCAGAAAGCAAGATTGAGCTGCGCTGTGATAGGATGTCTCAATGCTGACCTTAGACCACATGTTTCAGTTTTACAATACATAGTGAACTGCGCCAACCGATAATTGTGTCCGATTATCAATACCAGAAACAATTGAACCGGCGCAAACAATAGTAACGCAATCAGCATTGCGATTCGGCAAACCACACGCAAGTGCACACGGGTTGCTGAGCCGCACTGATATGTCTCGCAACAGGCATCTATTGCAAGCGTCTCAATGTATTGTAAGACGTCTTTAAACCAATCTTGTTGACTCATGGATGATGCAAGTCATTCCAATTGATCTAATTGAATTGCTTCTTGAAACCCGTTTGTTTCAAGACTTTTGCAAACTTTTCCACGAGTTGATATGTATACACATAGCGGTGAGCTAATCGAAAAGGACGTGATTGTGAGCCACCCGTGCTATTCTACTTATTATGCAAGCGATCATAGTAGAATGAGGCGGAGTATGCCAAACTCGAGGTGAAGTTGAAGGGCGAAGACAGGCACTAAACGTTTTCGGCACTAGCGCGAACCTGGCCAGTCTGTCCTACTAGCTATATAGCCCTCTGCTTCCGCTCACTTTCTTTTCTCTTCTCTACATCGCCCATCAAAGCTACGGCCACCCCAACTTATTCACGGCGCCACCCGCAACACCCTCGTTGCTCTCAGCTCAACAAACCCTCCCATTTCATATTTCACTCTTTATCATCTCCATCCACCACTGCAACATCGCCAAGATGCCTGCAAGCACTCGCGTTCGTAACGGCGTCCGCAAGATCCGCCAAAAGCGCGACCGAGATGGTGACTTGGTCATGGGCGACAACAGCAGTGCCCGCCCAAAGCCCGCTCGCATCCAGCACGATAAACCCCGCCCACAGACAGACAAGGGGTTCGGAGAGCTCAAAGTCACCGGTTGGACCGATACCAAGGAGATGAGCAAACTCCTCGGCTTCCTCGAGCGCCACTCTGCGCGCCGATCGCCCAACCTTGCAAAGAATGGTGTTCCTCCAAAGATGGTCAAGCGACACCGAGTGCATGATACCGTCCTCACCATCTGGGTTCGGCCCGAAGACGTTCCCGCTTTCAACAAAATTAACGGCTTCACCTTTACCTCGACCCATGGTACCCAGAAGCTTACCATTACGGGCCAGGGTATCCGCTCAAAGTCGCCCACAGCCATGGAGACGACAAACGAGAGCACAGCCAAACCCAACGAAGTTGCCGAGATGCTCAAAGCCTTCCTTGGTCGCCGATACGACGTGGAGCAGAAGCTTCTGAACCTCAACACAATCGCAGAAGATGAGGAGGTTGCGAAGAGCGGCATGTTCGACTCGGCCAAGACACAAGCCAAATTCTTCCCTGCCTTGATGACCATCTGCGATCAAACCCTCAAGACCACGGCGCAAGACAAAAAAGAAGTCATCCACAGCGTCACCGTCTCCGGCAACAACCTTCCCAATGCGGAGCTCATCAAAAGCCTCGCAACCACTCTACCCCACATCCGCAACCTCGATCTTTCCGGCAACAAATTCGCCAGCATGAAGGATCTCAAAGCATTCAAGAACCGTTTCCGATTCCTCGAACACCTCATCATCGAAGTCGGCCAGCCAGGTTGGGAAGAAGAACTCATCTCGTGGTTCCCCAAGTTGCGCATCTTGAATAGCCAACAAGTCCGCCCCGATCCCGCCGCCGCCAAAGAAGCGAACGCCGGTAGTGGCCCGTCCTCAGCACCCGCAGCAGTTCCGGCATCGGATTCAGTCCCGGTATTGACTGCAGAGCAAGAAGCAATGGTCGCCTATGTCATCAAGGAGACCAACCTCAAGCGCGAACTTGCCGTGCAATGTCTCGAGGCAGGAACCTGGAACATCGATAACGCAGCTCAGCTGTTCCTTGCCCAAAAGGACAGTCTTCCCGCAGATTCATTCAACTAGGTGTTGCCTGAACAGATGGAGATTGCCAGCTACTAGGTGTGGTGATTAACAATACAATCACGCCTATTCGACCGACCTTTGTTTACTCATCTTCGGATCGAGGGAAATTTGGTCAGCACTCGGAGGAAACCAATAACAGAACGATGAAGCCTCGCGTAATGCGCCGGTCTTTCTTTATCAGCATGTACATTAGCTAAAAAAAAAGTCATCATGGGAGGGCGCAACATCAACGGTTGGGATTGTTTCAGCGGCATATCATAAGGAAGGGAGTTTTGTTCTTTGTTCGTCATTTGTTATCGTCTCTCGAGGCGTGTTTCTCTCGTCAGATTTGCTTTTTCTTGTTTACTCCTATAGATACCCATCAATCAACATAAGACCTCTGCTCTGACATGCAGGGAGGGGCGGGCTCGATGAACGAGCTGTCATTCCATTACTCAAAGAAATTTGCCCTACTCATTGTGCTTGTTGTTCATGACGATGTATGTATGGTCGACTTTATAGAAAGCCAATTGTATCACAATAATCAATCGTATTATAAGTGAATTATTTCAGGAATATTGGCACACACTGTCTTCAATTATTCAAGAGATGTTCGAGCTGTACATACACATGTACATGTATGTATGCACAAGTGCACGTTGGGATCGCGCGATCACGTGAAGATAAGGCTTATCGATTGATCCTTGGTAGATCGTATTAACTTTTTGCGTGCCAAGATTTCGGAGCTTCAATCTTCAATCATTTGCGCGCAGCCTTCTTAACGCTCATCCGACATTGCTCCCTGCAATAGAGGCACTCGGAATACATCCGGAAGCTTGTAGCGACCTATCCGCCTCGCGCTACTCTTCTTGACTCGATCTTTCGAGCGGCGGCTGGAAAGCCTAAGAAGCTGTCAAAATGCCTAAGAAAGCAATGTATGAGAGCTTTTCAAACTGTTGAAAGACACAACTAATAGTGAAATTAGTGACGCGCGCATACCTGCACTGATTCGGAATGGCGCTCAGGTGCGTTTGCGCAAACCAATATCACATCATGTTCGAGGACTGATTCCCTACAGGAGAAGAAGCGAAGCTTTTTCGTAGTCGTCGGTGACCGTCAGAAGGATGTCATAGTCAACTTGTACCACATTCTTCTGAACGTGGACGTGAAGTTGAACAAGTCTGTGCTCTGGACATACAAGAACAAGCTTCTTGGATTTTCAAGGTAGGAAACGTTGGCGGGACAGGCCGGAGCAGTAGTCACTAACGCATACGTGCGACAGTCACCGGAAAAAGCGCGAAAAGAAGATCAAAAGCGACATCAAGCGCGGTATCCGCGACGCCGATACCGATGACCCTTTCGAACTATTCGTGTCCACCCAAAACATCCGATATGTGTATTACAAGGAGACGGAGAAGATTCTCGGAAACACATACGGAATGTGTATATTGCAGGACTTTGAGGCGATCACACCGAATCTGCTTGCGCGGACGATAGAGACTGTTGAAGGAGGTGGTCTGGTGATTCTGCTGCTGAAGGGCATGAGCAGTCTGAAACAGCTTTACACAATGTCCATGGATATCCACTCGAGATATCGCACAGAAGCGCACAGCGACGTCGTAGCACGATTCAACGAGAGATTCTTACTATCCTTGGGGAAATGCGACTCTTGTTTAGTGGTGGACGATGAGCTTAACGTGCTGCCTATATCAGGGGGGAAGCATGTGAGGCAACTGCCTCCACCAGACCCTGAGGCGGAGGGCAAGACACCTAGAGCAAAAGAGTTGGAACAAATTAAAGAGTCCTTGGCCGACACACCACCTGTAGGCGATCTCGTCAAACTCGCCAGGACGGTGGACCAGGCAAAGGCGCTTCTCACATTCGTGGATGCGATAGCTGAGAAGAGCCTCCAAAGCACTGTGACGCTGACGGCTGGTCGTGGACGAGGAAAATCTGCTGCGCTTGGTGTAGCGGTGGCTACAGCTATCGCACACGGTTATTCCAATATTTTCATCACCTCCCCTAGCCCAGAAAACTTGAAGACATTGTTTGAATTTGTCTTCAAGGGATTTGATGCGCTCGGGTATATGGATCACCAGGACTACACCATCATGCAGTCGACAAATCCGGACTTCAACAAAGCTATTGTGCGCGTCAATGTCCACAGGCAACACCGTCAGACTATCCAGTACATTCAACCACAGGACTCATATACACTGGGCCAAGCAGAACTCGTTGTGATTGACGAAGCTGCAGCCATCCCTCTTCCCTTGGTCAGGAAACTTATGGGCCCGTATCTCGTCTTCATGGCATCTACTATCAACGGTTACGAAGGAACCGGCCGCTCCTTGTCTTTGAAGCTGATCCAACAATTGCGGAACCAGTCAAGAGGCCAAGGTGCCGATGGTGCAGACTCTGTCATCGATCGATCTACTGGCAAGGAGACGAAAGACGGCACCGAATTGTCAATGGCAGGGCGATCTTTACGCGAAATCACACTTTCCGAGCCTATTCGTTACGCCCAAGGCGACGCGGTCGAACGATGGCTAAACGACGTCCTCTGTCTCGACGCTACTCTTCCTCGCTCCAAATTCAACACCCAAGGATGCCCACACCCCTCCGAATGTCAGCTTCTTCATGTTAACAGAGATACCCTTTTTTCCTTCAACCCGGCGGCCGAAAAGTTTTTGCAGAAGATGATGGCGCTTTACGTAGCTAGCCACTACAAGAACTCTCCTAACGATCTCCAACTTATGTCCGATGCTCCTGCTCATCAGCTTTTCGTGCTAGTGCCTCCTGTCACCGAAGACAACAAGCTACCAGAGCCACTTTGCGTCATACAAGTTGCACTCGAGGGTCAGATCAGCAGGGAGAGTGTACTAAGCAGTCTCAGCAGAGGACAGCGCGCTGGTGGCGATCTCATACCCTGGATTGTGTCACAGCAATTCCAAGATGAGAACTTTGCTGGCTTGTCCGGCGCACGAGTGGTCAGAATAGCGACTAACCCAGAGTACATCAGCATGGGTTATGGCTCGCGTGCTCTTGAACTCCTAGTAGACTTTTACGACGGCAAATTAGCCAGCTTATCGGAGACCGAGCCGCAAGAAGTCGAAGGTATGCGCAGGGTGACTGAGGAGGAACTTGAGAACACTACTCTACTCAAAGACGAAGTCAAGGTCAGGGAAGCAAAAGACATGCCGCCGCTCTTCGCACGTCTTCCGGAGCTCAAGTCACCCCAGCTCGACTACGTTGGTGTGTCGTATGGCCTCACAAAGCAGTTGCACAAGTTTTGGAAACGAGCATCATTTGTTCCTGTTTACTTACGACAAACGCCTAATGAGCTCACGGGCGAGCACACATGCGTCATGCTTCGCTCCCTTGAAACAACATCATCAGACGGTAGCTGGGTAGCTGCCTTCGCTAAAGACTTCCAGCGCCGATTGTTCTCTCTCCTCTCCTACCATTTCCGCACATTTCCCGCCACGACAGCCTTGTTAATAGACGAATCAGCGTCAGCAGGCTCAAAGCTTGATGCTGATCTAGCAGCTAAGCCAATCACCAAACCAGAGCTTGACCAGATGTTCAGCGCATACGACCTCAAGCGTCTAGACTCTTATGCTCAAAACATGCTCGACTATCATGTCATCCTCGATATGGTGCCAGCCATTGCCCAGCTTTACTTCACTGGCCGACTCAAGGGCCAGGTGCAGATGAGCCCTCTACAAAAGGCAACCCTCCTCGCTGTAGGCCTCCAGCGCAAGGAGTTCTCGGATCTTGAAAAGGAGCTCAATGTGACGTCCAGTCAGCTAATGGCCATGTTCGTCAAGGTCATACGTAAAGTGGCGGACGCTTTCCGTAAGACGATAGAAGGCGCCGTAGAAGAGACGCTTCCAGAGGCTATGGAAGTTGAAGGCAACGGTGCGGCAGACGATGCAGATGAGGGTGCTCAGCAGAAACGCTTCCAGCCACTCGAGAAAGACTTGGAAGAGGAACTGCGCGAAGGCGGCGACGAGGCAATGAAGTCTTTGGAAAGAGAAAGGGCCAAGGCGATGATTGATTCCCTGCCTCTTGAAAAGTGAGTATCTTCCTTTTTCCCTTTGAAGAGCTTGTGCTAATACATGTGGTAGATACGCCATTGATGCTGGTGCTACTGACTGGGCAGACGCCGAGAAACAGATCAGCAAAGCCGCCAAGAAAGGTGGTTCCAACAGCATGACTGTAAGCGTAAAGACAGGAAAGGACAAGAAACGCAAGGCAGGCGAGGCTGTAGAAGAGGCATACAAAGAAGTCCACAGAGAAGGCGGGAAGAAGAAGAGCAAATCCGGAAAGAGCAAACACTAGGCAGATATTTGAAAGAGAATCGTACATTTCCACCTTTTTTGGGATATCTAACACGAGGCACTACTCCCTCCATCGCATCCTAGTTTAAGCAAGCAGAGGGTATCAAGTCTTCAGCAGAAAAGCAAGTCCATCCCCCACAAAAAAAAAAAAATCAAAAAACCACATCAAGTCCAATACCTCCCACTAACCCTCCCCTCCTTCTCCACAACAACACTGCCCTCCCCACGACCCACGCCCTTCGCAAAAAAAGGCAGCGCAACATTCTCCTCCAACTCAACCAACCCCGCAGCCCTAACATCCCCCCAAGTCCTCTGCCCAACAACAACCCCATCCTCCCTCTCCACCCTCGCCCAAATATACCCCATCCCCTTCATCCCCTCGAGCCTCAACCCAAGCACAACATGCTCCTCATGCACCAACATAGCAGTGGGACCCAGCGCCGGCGCCCCCAGCGGGAACTGCTTCACCGCCACACTCGTCCGCGTCGCCATTTCCGCTTCCAGGATCCTGATCCTGCTGTCTATGCGGCGTTTCCGCGGGGACGAGGTGAGAGCCGGGATGATGCTGTCGTAGACACGGCCGTCTTCCTCGTGCGAGATGTCGGTCAGGCGCGTGCGGAGCATGTCGTCCATTCCTAGGACGGCCGAGGGGAGCGCGGTGCCGTCGATTGTGCAGCTGAGGTGGGAGTCGTAGGATAAGTGGAGGGTTGGGGTGAATGTGTTGAGCGTCCAGTGGGTTATCGCTGTTTTGAACGCTCTTGTCAGCGGTGTATACGCTTTATGGGATGTGGTAGATGGGAGAAGACGAGAATAGGTTTTAGGGCATGCGGTAGATGGGAGGAAACGAGAGTAAGTGCTAGGGTATGCGGTAGACGGGAAAAGGCGAGAAACAGATAGACATACACTCCCCAACCAACAGCCTCGTATCAAACGTCGGTCCAAATGCCATCCGCGGCCTCGTAACCTTCACCATTTCCATCTGAACCCGCCCGATCTGTCGTTCAGACCCGGCTTTCGGTCTCAACAGTTGAACTGCTTCGACCGGTCGATATGTACCCGTGACAGCTACAGTGCAGACCGTCGTAGCTTCTGATCCGCCTGTTTCGTCGAGGCGCTGGAGCGCTTCGCTGAGCTCGTCTGGACGGCCGTAGGATGTGTAGTTGCGCCGTTGGAGCTCTTGGGCGAGGTATTGGGGGTGGATCCCGTAGTATATCATTTTGTGAGTCGCTGTTGGTGGGTTGTTATGACTGCAGCGAGGTGAATCACAGAGGTGATATTGAGTGTGAGTGTGAGTATGAGTTTAAGCGCGGGAAGGAGTCAGTGTTGTGGGTGAGTAACGAGTGGAGTCACGGGGGTCGAGTTGAATCAGTTTGGTTTCCCGCAGGTTCTTGCGTAGAGCCTTTTGTGGCGGTTCGTTTGTTTGTTTGCTGGCTTGTTCATGGTTACAAAGTTGTGGAGGAAGGCGCGCTCGCTTTTTGGGATTTGAAATTTCTGAAGTTTCCCTTCGCTGTCTCGTTTGCCTCCAACTTATAATGCATCGGGTTGTTTGTCTGCATAATTCCAGCGAGGAAGTAAGGTGTGAGCATATGATTTCGTGACTGTATTTCCGTGACTGGAGTGGTGAGTGATGTAACATGTTTGATGTGAATATTCAAAGTTGGTCCGAAACAGTCACCCCGATGTATAAAAAAGACTACTGGCGCTCGACAAGATATCTATGTACTTTTCTAAGATTAGTTACTTTTTTTTTACCCAACACCCGAAATTATCCTTCTACCACTACCAACTCTAAGGCACGCCTGGAGCGGACCTTATAACTGGACCTAATTTTGACAAAGTTTTACTCTAGACGGCGTTTTTGGCAAATATTTGCTGTATTGGTGGCTATTAAAAATGTGTCGCAAAATTTATATAACATACAAAGATTGCGAACACAGGGTACTCTCAGAAAAAGAGGGCCATCAGTGTTCAATTCAACCTTTGCCCTATGATAATGAAGCCCCTATCTATTGTCCTGACAATGCTTCAACCATAGAAGAAAAAGAAGATACAGGAGTATGTGACGAGTGCGAATCCGACCTTAGACGACAACTAGCGAGCCAGAGCAGGGTTCAACGAAAAAAAGTTGAAGAGAGATGTGCACGCGAAAACGACCGTCCAAACTACGAGGCTATCCTGCGGCGAACGGATATCAGTCTGAAACAAAAGATATATTTGCTAAAGAAGCGACCATATTGGTTGGAACTCACTGACGACAACAAGCCCACACTGGTCAAATATTATCTTGGAGGAATTGAGAGGGATCATGAAAGACGTATGGAGTTGGCTTCGCTCCTGAAAAATGAGAGCGATTTGCCAGCCCCTGCATCATCTTCAGGATCCGATTACTATTCTAAGCCCTACAATTCCAGCCAATACTTGGTACCTCCCGCTGCACCTGGGCCACCATCGTTTGGCGGGCAACCATCCTTTCCATCTTCTCACCATCAGCAGTCGCCATATCCCATCCAAGGCGACTTCGGTCAACAAAGCAGCAACCCATTCCCACCTTATCCCGCGGGGACTTCTATCGCCGCTGATAATTGGGCGTCTAATCCTGGACTAGCCTCCCAGCCTTTGAGCGAAGATCCTATACGTCGCGGTCCACCTGGTGGAGTGCCAAATCTGTCTCAGTACCCTCAATTTTCTGATCAAGAATCACCCATGCGCCGCCCTCGTGACCAGCAAATAGATTGGAGATCCGGTGCAACAGAAATTGACAACATCTTACACAGATTAGATCTTGACAAGAAGACAAGAGAGATATTCATAGGAAGAAGTGAAACGGCGAAGATCCATAGAGCCCAAAACACATCAGGCACTCGTCATCAACAATGGCTTAATGAGCAGTATGCGTTGCTGGACAATTATGTCTCCGGCGGTCCTTCTGTCCCAAATGACACATCTGCTACTGGAGAAATCGACAATATCAAGAGAAGGATCGATCTTCCAGTTCATTACAGGCAACAGTTAATAGAGGGTAGCTATGAGGCGAAAAGACAAGAGAACACGAATCCTGAATACGAAGAATGGTTGAGGAGTGAGCAAGACGACGTGAACAATTGGGTATCAGCGAAAAATGTGCCCAAGATCTCATCAAAGAGCAGCCGGTGATTCACATTTGTCTGTTCCGATTGAGGCCACTCGGAAGAGTGACCGATCCTCTGTTACACTGCAGCCTGGAAGTCGACATCCCCGAGCATCGCCTGGCTCATCTTCATCACACGATGCCCGCACACGATCGCTGCTTTCATGTGAATTTACGACGACCACCTTCTTATCGTATACCTCTGAATACTTTCTTTCCCTAATTTATATTCAGATCTCCCTTCTTTTAAGCGCCTACCCCAAAATTGTCTATTTTTCATATTTTTCATTGTTCGTGGGGAGGAGAGAGGATGAAGGTCTATGTGCAAGCACACCTTGATGGTGCACTGCTTCACTGCTTCACTGCTCTACTACTGTTTAAACTGCGAATTCTTTTTCCTATGTTTCTCTTTTTCCCGTATGTAGTTAGATGTTTGGTGGTTTTTAGTAGTCTGTTTTTCAATTTTCATTTTCATCACTGTTACGTATTTTTAGCCTTTTCGTGTGGACGCGCTTTGCTGTGTGTGAACACGCTCTCCATCTTCCATAGTTCAACCTCGCCTTTTCGCGCAGTTGATAGCAGAATACTTTCATTTTGAAGCCCTTGTACCACTTCTTGCCTTTCAACCCACCACATTGCCAATCACTCTTATTCTATTTCTTCTATACTTTCTCGCAAGATAGCAAAGTGGTGTACAGAAGAGCTTGGTGGCGCGACAAACAAGTACGGCGAAGGGAGCGCTCAAACAGAAATATCTTCCCCTCACCCATATTAAATCTGCGGTAAAATGCAACGCCCCTAAGCTTCTTATAACTTTAAGGCTATGTCGGCTAGAAAGATTTAGTACATAATATACTAGAGAAACCAACATACAATCCTGTAAACACAGTTTCTAATGCAAAAATACTAGAACAGCAACGGCTGATACTTACTGAGAAGTATTCATACAAGATAATTAGGAAGTAGCGGAGGCTATTCTCAATAGCAGCTTATACAAAAAATAAATGTTTTGAGTCCTCATTGAGTGTGTTCCGCAATGTACTATATCCGAAAGATTCTCCCCGGAGGAAAACAGAATCTATCTAAGTTTAGACAGATTTTCTTCTTTATCAAACTAGCCAATATCTGTGTGATCGATACCACCGCAAACTCAAGAAATTTTAAAGTCGATATCGAGCAGTTGATATTCCATGAACTGCAGATGTACGTTTCTAGAGTCGAAGAATCTGTGACGACCTACAACAAGAGATTAGTCACTTCAAGCCTCCCGATAACACCTTCTCCAAAGACGAGAATAATGACCCTTACTTTTAGTCACGTTGAAGTTATTATATTCATTTCAAGCGTCCACGGTCCACACTTCAACACTCATTCAAAAGACCTCTAAATAGTTGTCACATTCACGTCTTTCTCTCATTCACCTTAGCGTAGTCTATAGCATTACTCATTACTGCGTTTCGAATAATACCATTCACCCGATCAAACAACACAGCTTGGAGGAAAAACGGAAAGCAAGGGTGAAGACTCGGCTCGAATGCTCCGTGAATACTTTTATGGCTTTTCACGGGAAAAACTGTCTCGGCTGGGCGGAGGATCGTAAGCGTTTGCTCTCTCAATTGAAGAGTATGCATACATTTCCAGACCTATACTTCACCAGTAGTGACTTTAAAAGGGACTATGATATATTTGATGACACTGATGAGTGCCGATTCACCATTCAGCTAACCTTCTTAGTCATTGTTTCCATACCTGAACACGAGTTGCGTTTCACAAACAATCATGTATGAATAGTCACCCGCGCATTTTTGTGTCGATTGTGGTGAGCGGAAGGTACTATGAATGTGAAGAGTCAACGTTCGACTGAGTCAATGGACTGAGCTTATTATAAAAGACGGTCACTGGCACTCGAGAGAACTTTCGCTAAAGTTACACACATTCTCATCTTCTATATCTATCTATGAATCGAAATTGATACAATTTACTTCATTCTAATTTAATCTTCCATAGCATCGCCTGGAGCGAGGCTCATACATACTCATATCTTTCCCCAAGAATCGACGAGGCTTTACACTTCGGCACACTTCAAAACATGTCGAAGGCCGAAGCCGCAAGAAATTACAGAGACCGGATCAAGCAGGAATTTTTCGACACGCTTGATAAGAAGGTGGGAATAGTGGCCGATTCTACATTGATTGACCATATGAAAAACAATGATCGCCATGCAATACACCACTATAGCTCGGTTTGTAAAAAGGATGACGGAAAGTTCTCAAAATGGATACTCTTACACATTAATAAGGTGAAAGTAAAAAAAGGGATATCACTTGATTCCCAGCAGCTATACCAGTCGCCATACCAGCAGTCATATCAGCAGCCATCCCAGCAGCCATACCAGCAGTCACATCACCGTCGGATTTTGCCGGCTCAGACAACTACTGAAGATGAAATCGACGACCGGGAAGAAACTCCATTGTCGAAATTCGCCCCTGAAAAGCTCACTGATGAGGCATTGGCCGCTCGAGGTTTAACAAGAAGTGGGCGGAGTCTAGGATCACCCTTTGGAGCTTCTCGAACGCTACCACCACCTTCTGCATCCCAAGCATATGCGGTCCCCCCCTCAGCACCTCGACTACGTGCTGGCAAAACCTCTGATAATAAAACCATGAAAGAAGAATTGGACAATATCATGGCCACGCCAAACATCCCCTTGGACGAAGTAAAGGCAAAGATAAGAGAATCCAGTTACGGAAAAAGAATGGAAACAGATTGGAGATATCAGGGTAAAGACTTCAGTCTTTGGGTGGACCATCAAATGGACGAGGTAAGACGATATAGGAGAGAGCTTGCCGCGGCTTCCAATCCGCATCAAGGGTCTTCCGTCCTCGCACAAGGCATGCAAGGTATGTCTATGGCAGAGCCATCCAGCTCTATCCCGTCGACAGATACTGGAAATCCTTTTGCATCAAGTGGACAACCACAAGCACTACAGCGTGCGCCTGCATTGACTGTGGAACCGTCGCGCGAAAGCACTGGTACTGGACATTTTCGTAGATCGAATCCCCCTTCTAGCACCCATTTAAGGGGCATTATGAGGTCCAGAGATGTCACACCTGACCCACTTAGATCTTATATCTCTTCTAGCACCAATATACAGGGCATTATGGGGTCCAGGGATGTCACACCTGACCCGCGTGGAACTAGGCGTTCTGATGAAAGGCCTGAACGTCGAGGTGGTTCCTCTAGTCAGCAAATAACCTCCCACATGAACTTGAGCAGTGTTATGGAGGAAGGCCCAACTCCTCGTCTGGGTAATCGTGCTCTTCCTAGCCTAGAAAATTTATCGGAAAAGTCTTCTTCGAGCGGGAATTCACCAGCCCGGCCCTCCAAGAAGAACAAAGCAGACGATACAGACCCGAAGCCCCTAACAAGACGTCGCACTGGCAGTACAGCTTCCGACACACAGCACGCAAGTGATGTATACGGCAGCATAGAGAGCCAGGCGTATGAATTTCAAAGCGCGAATCGAAGCAGCAACGTACCCAGCTGGGGTAACCCATCCAGACAACACACCGGCAGAGCACCCCCGCCACACACAAGTTACGCAAGTGATGTGTATGGCAACACACAGAGCCAGGCACATGGATATCAGAGCGCGCATCGAAGCAGCAGAGTACCTGACTGGGGTAACGCGTCCAGACAACACACCGGCACAACACCCTCGCCACCACCCTACGGACTCCCCGGCGAGGGCAGAGGCAGAAGCGCGTCGAACGCTTCTGATTACGAGCCTCGGGTGCGCGCCAGGCCATCGCGTAGTCGGAGCAGAAGCCAGTCGGCCGATCCAGCTGGGCATAGACGGCAAGGCTCCGTCTCACGGCAAGGATCCGTATCACGGCAAGGTTCTGTCTCACGTCGTGGTTCGAATGCTGGAAGTCGCGGTGCGTCTGCTCAGCCTTCTTCTTCTAATAAGAGGAAGAAACCCGGCAACAAACGCAGCAAGAAACCTTAGAATGGGTAACCGAAAGATGAATGGTTGTTGATCAGCTATGATTCATGGTATTCTGGCTTTACACGCCCGTCGGAATTTAGCGGTATACTAGACCGGAGCTGGTCTCGGGGCTCTGTGTCACTCTCAGGCTGGACTTGGGAGTGTTTTCTTTTCTACTTCTTTGCTCCTTCTGGTTTAATATCTTTTTTGCTTCTTTCCTTTTCACGTTGTGCTGGGCGGAGGATTTCTATTATCTCATTTGTTTTGCTAGTATGTCTAATATTTCTTACTGCGTTACTCAGGGTCATGTATCACACCTTAAGCTGGACTGGGGAGTTTTTGTTTCTTCAAGTATACCGAGCGGGGGATTTCCATTGTTTTCTTTTATTTCTCTTTCCAGCACTTTTAGAACTTCTTGTGGCATTGCTTGGGTGCACAAGGACATTACAAGACTTGTGGCTTTTCTGTATTTTAACTGTTCTATTATTTCGGTATTATTTTGTTGTAATAGAAAAGAGCATTGAAATGCGATGATCCGCTGCGTGCTTGGTAAATGATAGGAATTGATGTCTATCCAAATTAATGCTAGAGGGCTATATATACCGCCTCTAAATCTTGAGTTCCGAACAAAAAGAGACTCACGGTAGAGCGTCCAAGTAGATTAATGTACCCACAAACACAAACAATTCGACAACTCGTAGTGAGACGTGGAGAAATTGTGAGCTACGTTAACTTGATTGATATAGCTACTTTCAAAGTCGTGGATCAAATTGAGGGTTATTGGAAATTCTCCATTTCTCAGCCAACCTATTGCCTACCTCCCTCCCCCCAGCAAAATCAAGATCTGCACGCAGAACACATGAAAGCCACCACACCCGAAAGCAGTCAATACTGAAAACAGTACCCCGTAATTCCCGCTTAAGGTAAAGCTTGCTTTGCCATTTCTTTCCAGGGGAGCGGTAACGCAATGCAATGAGAGGGGGGACGTTGTGCATCCTTTGTCCGCCGCGTGGCATAATTAATCTACCCGCTACTACTACACGGGGGGTTGGCTGCTACTTAGTGTAGCGAGGTGCGAACGAAGCCACTCCCAACAATAACAACAACAACGACATGTCTTCAAAAACATTGGACCCGAGTCTCGTACCAGCCGGCACGCCGCCTCCTGGCGTGGCAGCGAATCTCATCGCCCCGCCAAGTCTCGCGAGCGCCGTTATTGCGAGTACAGTCGTTACCAACTCCCCACCCCACCGACACTCATCCGTTCGTAAAAACGACCGGCAGAAATGGAAAGAAATGGTTCAATGGTTCGAACCGTACAAACCCTGACAAAGTCGGTGTTGGCGCCTGATGCGAAAACGACAAATCTCGATATTAATGCAACGGTCTCGAGCGTTGTATGATCTTAAAGCATGTATTGGGCTACTATATCACCAGAGTTTTTGATACCAGGGATCTGGATGGGTTATGCGATCAACCGTATGTGATGAACGAGCTGCAGATGAAGCCTGAGGTTACAACTAGGTTGTTGGTCTGTGCGTTGCACGTGACCATCACATAGTACCTCTGCTGGGAACTCTGGTGAAGGCTTCCCTTTCTTCCAAAAGCGAGATCCCATGCTGGGATCTATCAATGCCAATGATACAATCCCTGGATATATTTATGAGACTTAATGTCCCACGGAAACCTGTGCGATGGTTGTACGCGCGAAGCATGGCACATTTGATGCCATCAATCACTAAGCCTGGAATTCCCGCAAGTCCTCGCGAGTTTTCGCAACCGACATCTCATTTTTTTGCTTTGGCATTGCGCTTTGTGAAAAGCAATATCTCGTGTGGCTGTTCCTTCGAAATAAGGCATCCAAAAAAGCAGGAGTTTCAGACCGGGTAGCAAGACGCCTAAATCAACACCACTCCCGCAATATCAGTCCGATCGATTCGAAACTTGATATGCAAGCTATTCATGGAGTTAAGGCTCATTCACAATGATTTCTCTCGCTGATGTTCTGATGGGGCCTTGGGTTTTCAAAAAGTTTGATGTTGCTTCCTAGTCACCTTCTCCCTCGGCTTTTCTACGCACGCCAACACCCGGAGACATTCTAAAATAAAGCGTAATAGGTGGATTGAGCACCGGGCCATCGACTCCACTGTTTCAATTTACGATAACTTCAAAATTCAAAAAAAGAACCCACGACGAGGATCGAACTCGCAACCTTCGCCTTTCCACTGCGTAGGAGGGCGACGCGCTACCATTGCGCCACGAGGGTTTTCTGCTGACGATGCTGAATCGATCGCATTTTGTTCTATGAGAATCGGTTGAGTTTTGAGGTACTTATAGCCAGTTGAAGATATAGACCCAGACACATGTCACAAAGCGCGGATGCCCGATTAGCGCGTAAAACTTTGAACCACAAGCTAGAGCGCTTTTCACTACAGACTAGTGCAAAAACGGAATCAATCGCATTCGAATTGCCCTAAATATCGCCAAGTGGAGCCAAGATGCCGTCCGCGAATCAACGCTCAAGACACCGACGACAAACCTCGAACATGGACCTATAAACGATGCAATATCACTGTGTGAGACTGGCTACACGCGAAAGAGGAAGCTCATTAGGTCAATCCTTACTCGTTCTCATTGGGTGCTGAGAAATGTTGGGTGACAAGAGATGGTCCAGTGATGAAAAGAAGTGTGGCACAATATCACTTTTTACTTGCCTGCTGTAAGATGGAGATGGGAGTTTGATGAGACTGGGATGGAAATCTTGATGCTGATTGATGGCACACAGCGTGAGAGTAAGGTGTGCGATGGATTTATTCGTATTACGTCTACCCAGGATGTCACGACTCACACTTCAACTATGGATCCGAAGCTTTCCCGCTGCACTGCGCTTTCCCATCACCTTAACTACTATCCCTGCTGCGGAATCAACATTGGAATCTGATGAAATCCGGGCGAGACGTTGATGCATTTGACAGGTGGTTGATGTGCGATGATTGTTTGCCCACAAACTACGACTCACGCCTAAATGAAGCCCGCATTGCCCCGAAGTTGGCCCCGTGTTGTCGGAAGCGAGACGCTCATACGCTCACACCACACTAAAAAAAAAGCGAACGGTCTCTCTCTCTCTCCCGCACCACCACCAAAGAAAAACAAAAGAAAACTCGTTGAGAGTAGAGAGGCAAAAGAGAGAGGTCCGGCCGAGATTCGAACTCAGGTCCCCGGAAATTCCTGATGAATCAGAATCCGATGTGATGACCAGCTACACTACCAGACCAACCAATGGGAAGCCCGGAGAAATCTTCAGTATATATATTCAGAACGAGAGCTTTGCACAATGAGAGAAGGGGAAGATGGATATCGTCAGACGCTGATGAGGGTTGACGTCTGGCCAGAAATTTTCCCATCAGGTGGGGTTTTCATGAACTACTGCGGGGATGGAGACTTCACCCCTCAAAGCTCCAACTTCGCGGAACCGTCTCAAGACCATGCCTGTCCACCACGATTTAGCGCGATCAACTGAGCGGACTACCGTCAAGCTTCCAGAATGGCTACATCACCGCCGAACAAATCCAGAAAACAACACCACACACTTCACCTCCACAACTCCAAGCCTCTACCCTTCTCCAGCGTCACAATCCTTCCTCACACCTTACACGCTCCCTAAAAACCCAAAAATCCTCTCCCGCGCACCATTATCTTCCTGGAAAACTGCTCCGTGTCCCGCCCCCGGCTGAACAAACGTCTCTACCACCGCCCCCTCATTCGAGAAGATGGTAGTATTCTGAACCCCAGCATCAAAAGTGGCATAGCAGTCCCCTCCGCAGAGAACATCGTACTGCCCCGCCGTAATCAGCACTTTCCCAGCAAAGTCTGGCGCCCGCAAATCAATGTTCCCCAGCGACGCGAACTCGCTCACGGGGAGCGGCTGCGTGATGCTGAAGGTGTAGTTTGCGACGGCGACGTCGGGTGCGGTTTGCGGGTGGTGCAGGAAGGCTTGGGCGTAGGAATAGATGTCGCCGAAGGCGACGTGGCTGTCGTCGAACGAATCTGCGTTGGCGGGGAGAGAGGAGCTGGGGACGTCGGAGATGAGGCGTCCGCCGAAGACGGTGAGGGCGTATTTCCCGAGGATGTTCACGATGTCGGAGGGGTTGGGGAACGCGATGCCGGTGAGGACGGCGGCGTCGGCGCTGAAAAAAACAAAACAAAAAACTCTCGTCAGCGGACTTTGCAAGTATCTGGAGTAATGCTGATAAGGACTTACAGATCCGGGAACTTGTTCAGCAAGCCAGTGGAAACGAAGGACCCGAAGGAGTGGCCTACGAGGACGATCTTGCTCGCTTTGATGCTATCGGTGTACTGCCCGCCGCGGATATCCCGCACCATGCTCGCGAGGAGCTGGATCTGAGGTTCGGGCTGCGCCGTGTAGTTGAGTGTCCGCGACGACGCGCCTACGCCCGCGCGGTCGTAGTAAAAGACCGGGTAGCCCGCTTCCAGGGAGTGGTACACGAACGAGTACTTCTCGGGTAGGTAGGACGACGCCCAGTATCTAAACCCACCACGCGTCAGTCCAGATGCTACGAAGTCAAATGTCAAGGTCGCGGAACAAAACATGGCATTGCTAGAAGCAGTCAGTCGACAGGAAGGAGAGAAACTACACATACCTCCTATCAAACCCAGCACCATGCGTAGCAACCAAAACCGTCTTCTCACCCGCATCCGTCCCATTCTTCGGTCGACAAAAGGTCGCAGAGATCTCGTATGTCTTTGAGACGTTCCTCGGCGTCTCAGCGAACGGCCGGAACACTGCAGGGTCCTTGCTAGCCATGCGAGCGTACAGATCGACGACGTCGAAGCTCGTCTTGAACGGAGGGTCGGTCCATTGGAGTTCGGCGAAGTCAATCGTCTTCTCGATCTTGTAGTCGGTGCAGATGCCGTTGGAAGGGTGGTCTGGGGCGGTTTGGTAGGTGGGGGAAGATAGAGATTGGTGACACAGTGCTAGAGCGGCGATGAGGGTGCTTGAGTGGGATTTCATGGTGGGCAGAGCGTAGGACAGGTGAGGAGATGATGATGGCAATAAGGGAACGTCGGAAACGGACATTCGCCATGTCTTATATACTCAATTAAACATTGCATAGCTTTTCCTGGTTGGAGTAGCGGTGCTTTTGCTAAAGTGTTCTGTGTGTGTCTAACATACGCGTGCTAGGCTGCCATCAGCTTCATCCGAGTATGCGAGATATTCCAAATCGTGTCCGACTGCGCACTGCGCTTATACGGCATTATATGATAATTCAATCTGATCTAGCGATAGCTCGAGTTCGTTGGGACTCCAGCGCCGTAATGAGGCTCTACCGTAAGCAAAGATGTGGGGGCTGCGTGGTGCGAGTGCGAGGTGCGAATTGCGATATTCCTAGCTACGCGCGAACAACACCCAAGCGGCTCAGCCACAGCATGCCAGACATACCCGATTCCCATCTTACAGAACTTCTTATGCGTGCTCTTAGAGAGCAAATTTCTATGATTAGGCGATTGGCGGCCTCACGAATGTTAAATTATCACTCACGTGGTTCATCGGAGCTGGAGATCTGACTGGACGCTCACACCTTCAGGTTGTCGTGGACATTGACATGTCCAATAGATGTATCGTCGTCTAGTGGCGTGACTCCGATGCGCCGGGCTTCCGCGGGGGTGAATGTACCATAGACATCCACATCATCTACCTGGGCCATGTCGGGTACAGGGAAGAGCAGGTTGAGGGTGTAGAAAACACTCGCGCTGATGAAGAAACCTAATTGAAATCAGAGTCAGATCGCAAATGGACCGCTGTTGAACATACCGATTAGGAAAGCCATGTAGTACAACTGCACTAGGGCTCGTGGTGGATCGGGATCCATTCGCACGGTTACTACGAGGCCACCGATGGTCGGGGCCCACCCGCATATCCATGCTGGAATGGCTCTCCAGTTGACTCCTTTCCAGAAGTAATAGATTGAATCTGTGTGGTAGAGGTGGCTGAGCTTGATGCGTCTTTTCCGCAAAAGGTAATAATCGCAGGCCATGATGCCAATGATTGGGCTTAGAAAGACCGAAAACGACGAAAGGACGGCGATGAAAGTAGTAGCCTTGTTGATCAGCTGCCATGGCTGAACGATCCAAGCAGCGACAAACGTGATGATGGCTCCGCGCCGGATGTCGATGTACTTTGGGAAAAGCCCCGCGAGGTCGATACCGCCAGCAATCGCGTTCCCACATATGTTCTCGAACATGGCGGTGAAAGCGAACCCCGCCGACAGAAAGAACACGCCGGCTCGGGCTTTGGACGATCCATTGCCACTGTCCATCATGACCATCAGCAAGTCCGGGGGATTCCAGTATACCTCGCCGTAGATCTTCTGTGCGGCAGCAGCAGTGATTAGACCGACGAGCGAAACCAAGACCCCGGATATGAGACAGCTGGTAACAGCGCCAATCAAGTAGTGTCTTCGAGCGGATGCGTAGCGCGAAAAGTCAGATCCGTTGGTGATTCCTGCCGCCAAACTTCCGACACTCTGGTTGATGCCGGCCATCATGAGCCACGATGAGCTCCACGGAGACCCTTGCGGGAGTTGCTGGCCGGTATTCCACAGCGGACCGACGCCTTTTGCGACTGCGAGTGCCCAGATCATCCACGCCACCATCCCGACACTACACCAAACACACACGACCAAAAAGGGAATCTTGAACTTTTCGGGACGTAGCCACAGGAATGGAGTCGACAGGAGCCAGAAGATGACGAAGCCGACAAACTCGTACGTCGTTGTTGGCATGTTCGGACCAAAGGTGTTTTTGATCCTGGCGTATGAAGGCCAGATGGCGGTGAGACACACCGCGATGAGACGACCGCCATTCCAGCCTTGAAGGTGCAGAGTCAGCTACCGTCTGAGACTCGGAGCAGGTCTGCTTACATTGTACAGCATTCCATATGAAGTTTAACAGGATTCGCTGGAGGAGGGGGATGTAACTCGCTCTCATACCCCACGAATATCGATTCTGCACGGTGAAGCCGATGTGCCACTTCAAACCGGCCCATGCTATCAAGGTCGAGAAGATGACAATCAGAATCCTACCAATGACGATGATCGCCATAGCTTGCGGGACGGATAGCCCCATGGCTGCTCCCATTTAGCCTCAGACTTAACAACGAACAAAGATGGGGTTTCCCATACTCAGGTAAGTGTTGGGCGTTTGCCAGTTTGCTATATTCAAGCTCGCAATGGACCAGAACCCGAAGAAGTTGAACCACCCCCATGTCCTCCTCGAAGGCGGGAGGGGTATCAGGTCGCGGTTGCTCCACGCGTCTGTATGTTCATGCTGAGCTTCGTCACCTTTGAGGCGAATTGTATGGTCGAGCGCCTTGAACCGTTGCCTAAGAGACATGTCGTTTGTGAGACTACGCGATAGATGGTGGACGTCAGACAACCTCAACACCAGTGGATTATCGAAGGGCAGCAAAACAACACAGACTCAGCAAAGTGGTTAACGAAACATGGCAACGCAGAAGCAGCTAGCTATATACTGGCAGCATATGCGCATATCGCTGCAGCTAATCGACACCCGAACGCTGGGCCTGCAGCAGATATCGCGCGCATGATGCACGTCGCGACATGGTTACCGCAGAAGAGCGACCAAGGAATGATGTATGATAGGACACTCCGAGCGTAACCCAAGAATGAACATTGATAAGAACAGGCGGGAACCATCCGATTCGAGACGACGTACGCGGCACTCTATCAATGTGGGAGGTGGTAATCCACCACCAACAAAGTGGAGAAGAGAGGGGGGCTCGCCTCGGCAAAATGGCGTCCGAGTTTCGGCTGAGTCCGGTGTCAGAATCTTATCTGATCATCGGATCATCACTGATTCCCTCCCCTCCTTTGCGCAGGTTGATAAGCTGGTGAGACTTGGTGTTTCAAACATCGAGTTCGGATATATCGATTCAAATGGCTGCTGAAATGGCTTTGAAGCATTTGCGCATTGGCGTCGATGTTGGTGGGTAAGTTTTGAGCAACACCATAGTGGAAAACTGAGCTGCAATACTGACAACCACGAGTACAAATACTGATGGCGTTATCATTGATCCCACACGGTCATCAGAGGTTGATAGAGGGATAGTGGCTTGGTGAGTTTGACCAATGTGCATGTAACTCACCAATGTGCATGTAACTCGCCACATTCGCTGCAGCCAAACCGGGTTACATGTTCTCGCACATACAACGTTGACTTTCCCGATATAAATTGAATTGACTGACCATTCGTAGGCACAAAGCCCCGACTACAACAGATCCGAGTCATGGAATTGCCAACGCAATTACGACCATGTTCGAAGCTGCTTCGGTGGACCCAGCGTCCATAGCCAGTGTGACGATAGGAACCACGCATTTTGTCAATGCTGTCATCACTCGAGATGCTACACGGCTTTCGCGTGTGGCGGTCGTACGCCTATCTGGACCATTCAGTAAACACGCCCCTCCGTGTGTAGACTGGCCTTCTCCACTACGCAACTTGATCCTCGGCCACTTTGTCCTTGTACAAGGAGGGCTAGAAGTCGATGGCGATCTGATTAGCGACATCAACGAAGAAGAGATTGCCGAACAGTGCAAGATCATCAAAGAGAAGGGTATTACGAGCATAGTGGTGAACGGAGTATTCAGCCCCATCGACACTGTCCAACGACAAGAAGAGCGAGCTGCCGAGATCATCAAACGCGAGCTCGGCAGCGTAGATGTTGTTTTGAGCAAGGACGTGGCCAATCTAGGGTTCCTAGAGCGTGAGAATGCAGCCATTCTAAACGCGTCCATCTTGTCTTTTGCTCGACAAACAATCTCCTCCTTTCAAACACCCATTAAGAACCTCGGCCTCAACTGCCCTGTGTTCATCACACAAAATGACGGGACTATCCTCTCGGGAGAAGCTGCATCTCGTCTACCGATCCGCACATTCAGTTCCGGACCTACCAATAGTATGCGCGGTGCTGCTTTTCTGGTTGGCAAGGAAGGAGCGGGCGAAGCGATGATGGTCGTTGATGTGGGTGGAACCACTACGGATGTCGGTCTGCTACTCGCGACCGGCTTTCCGCGACAGCAAGCAGCTTACTCCGAGCTAAGTGGCGTCCGAATGAACTTTTCGTACCCTGATGTCAAAAGCATCGGCCTTGGCGGAGGTTCCATCGTCTCCAAGATCGGAGATCAACTGCAAGTTGGCCCGGAGTCTGTAGGCTACAAACTCCCAGAGGAAGCGTTGGTGTTCGGCGGGGATGTACCCACTGCGACAGACTATACTGTCGCTTCAGCAAGTGGTGTCAAAATAGGCGACTCCGAAAAGGTCCGTGATAAGTTTGCGCAGGAAGATCGAGAGGCTTTCCAGACCGAGACTCGTCGCATGCTTGAGCAGATCATCGATACAATGAAGACATCCCCCGAGGACCTCCCTGTCCTCCTAGTCGGAGGCGGCGCAGTCATCGCGCCGGATTCACTCAAAGGCGCAAGCCGAGTAATCAAGCCAGAATGGTCAGGCGTTGCGAATGCTATCGGTGCTGCTATGGCGCGGGTAAGCGCAGTTGTCGACACGGTTCGTTCCACCGACACGAAATCGGAGAAAGAAGTTCTTGCTGAGATTGAGCAAGAAGCGAAGAAGAAAACGATCGAAGCCGGGGCGTCCGCCGACTCTGTTAGCATCGTTGAAGTGGAAGCTCTACCGTTGCCGTATGTGGCTGACAAGGTACGGTTTGTTGTCAGAGCCGCCGGAGATTTCGATTACTCCAGATCTGGAGACTTTGCGCAATCGCATAATGTGGACGTAACGCAGCCTGCATTTGACCAGAAAGCAAGCCAAGCAGGCAAGACAGAACATCTTTTGGAGGCTGCTCAATCATCTGAAGAGCAGGACAAGGACTATGCCACCTCAGTAGACTTTGACACATATAAACCACGCGTTATCAATCGTGAGTGGATGATATCGGAAACGGATCTTCAATGGATAACGATAGGATGTTACATTCTCGGAACCGGAGGAGGCGGCTCACCTTACTCAACCATGCTTCGCGTGCGCGGAATTCTACGAAACGGAGGTACCATCCGAGTAATGAGTCCAGACGACCTCCAAGACGACGACAGAGTCGGATGTGGAGGCGGTGCAGGAAGTCCAACAGTAGGAATCGAGAAGCTAGCCGGTGACGAGTAAGTCGTGCTCCTTCAAAGACCGCAGCAACCACCTTGCCACCATACTGACAGTCACCAAGGATGATGCACGCCCAGGAGCACCTCTACACTCTCTACCCGGGCGGCCGACCAACCCACTTCATCCCCATCGAGATAGGCGGCTCCAACGGCCTCCAAGGCCTCGTCATGTCGGCCTCCTCGAACCTCAACATCCCCTGCGTAGACGGCGACTGGATGGGCCGCGCGTACCCCACAAAATGGCAAACCACGCCCGTCGTCTTCGGCGAGCGCAACATCATCTTCGCACCCGTGTGCATCGCCGACGGCAACGGCAACGTCATGTACATGCCCACAGCTACCAGCGACCTGAAAGTCGAGCAGATCTTCCGCGCGGCGTTGGCCCAGATGGGGAGTGCTGTCGCTTCTGCGGATGGACCCGTCTCGGGCGCGGAAACGAGAAGGTGGGCCGTGGAACATACGCTGAGTTTGTCGTGGCGGATTGGACGGGAAGTCGCGCGTGCGCGGAAACAGCACCGGCTCGAGGACGTCGCATCGTGCATCATCGACGCTGTTGGGGGGTCGGAAACGGGCCGTGTGCTGTTCAAGGGCAAGATTGTGGGCGTGGAGAGGAAATTGTGGATGGGGCATGTTTATGGGGAGGTTATTGTCGAGGGTCGCGATGCTGCGGATGCCTCGTCACCGTTCTCTGGGAAGATCAAGATCCCGTTCAAGAACGAGAATATTGCGGCGATCCGTTTGCATGAGGGGCGGGAGAATAAGACGGGCGAGGAGAGGGACGAAGATGTCTTGGCGATTGTGCCGGATCTGGTGGCTGTGATTGATGCGCAGAATGGGGAGGCAATTGGGACGCCAGAGTATAGATACGGGTTGCTCGTACATGTTATTGGGTTGACGGCAAGCAATCGCTGGACAAGCCCCAAAGGCATCGAGATTGGCGGGCCGAAGGCTTTTGGTTTGGGGCATCTAAATTATAAGCCTCTTGGGAAGTTTGTGAAGCCGGTCAGCGTGATCGACGAGTATGACGGGAAATAATGCCGGTCAGAAATTACGTAGTCTATACTATGATACAGTAGATACAATAGCGTAAGGGATCTAGAGCAGTCTACTGCGGTTCGACTCCTACGGCATGCTTCGTTCCTTCGTACAAGGGCAGTATGACCTTGACAGCTGCTTCATAACTTGTGAACAGGATACCCCCCGAAAACACAGTTCGGCCTAGTCGCATAGTGGTACCTTTCCAGAACCCGCGAACCCCGTAATCCAGCAATACGGACTTGACAGCCTCGACCGTACTTGCTCCAGCAGCGCTCTGCGATCTCGTTTTAATCACATCAAAAGGCTGAGGTTTGTCAGTGAGAAGTCATCAGATGAAAAGCCGAGGCTGGTGGTGATGTAGAAGTCGTACCTGCGTAGTCAAAGTCGTCACCGTCCCCGCAACACTCCCGTTCGCGAAATTGACTAGCGTACTCTGTTTAATATCATGCTTGGTCTCATAATCTTTGAGGATATTGTACGTCCCCATACGGAACGCAGTCGCGCTGGCCTGCTTTAGAGTAGTTCCAGCAAATCCACGATACAAGCCGGCGATCCCATGCTCTTTCCAGATGGTTTGCGTGGCGTGGAATCCACCGCGAAATCTTTTCTCATTACGCGCATCGTCGATGAGTGCTGTCTTGATCCGCTCAGAAGGGGTCACTGCTGTGATGGATGCGACGACTCCCGCAGCCATACCAGCAGCGAGGTTGCGCAGCGGAGAAAGAGTTCCGGTTTCGGGGTCGGCAAAAGCATGTTTTATCTGATCAAAGAAGAGAAAACGCACACCATCTTTTGCTACGGAGCCCTACGATATGTTAGAATTCAGGGAACGAGCCTATTACATGGTTGATGTATCGGTTAAAAATCGGCGATCTATTCGGTGTGAGGTTCGACAAGATACACGAACGCTTGCACAAGATCGATCTAGCAGCAATAAGGAAGAGGGAGAAGCGCATTGCACATACAACAACAAGGGCGCTGCAACCTTTGTAAAGAGCCGACAGTCCTTCTTTCTGATAAATTTGCGTGATTACTAAGAACGGGTTCTTTGGCGTTGGAATGCCCTTCTGGCTCCTCAACTGTACTCTAGTTTTTGCAAACTCAAACGGATACTGTTGATGTCAGTTATTATTCTACACATGCGACAATTCCTTAACAGACGTAGACATACAGACGTGAACGCCTCAATAGCACCTGCGACACCGCCTGCAGCGAGAGACACTATGGGCGGTGTTTTCGAATCCTACATCATTTCTGTCAGCCACAGCTCGGTTTGCCAAGGAGTCAGATCAAAGTACATTGGATCCGGAAACCATTGGGCTAGAATATAATATGGGTGTAAGATGCCAACGGTAGAATACGATTTAGAGCTGAGAAAGGTGCAGATGCAATCAATGATAGGTGAGACAGGCGCAGGTATTTCGATAGCCGAGAGCCGAATTAGGGGGCTAGCGCCAACTGACCCTGGGCTGTCCGATCGTCATGTCACGTGCATTTACATTCACCACCAGATTAACGCTTGACACAGAATATCGCCAACGCAGCACCGCTATTAATGCTGTTCCTGCTTACTGCAAAGTTAAGGAAGGTGCGAGTCAAAGGGTCTAATAAATAGCAAGCGTAGCTTAATCAAAACATTCAGCAGAGGCCGTCAATCCGCTGCGCGTAGCTTTGGAAGCAGCCAAAGTATCTGTTTACAAGAAACAAGACCAACAACATGTTTTGTATGTTTAGGGAAGGAAAAAAAGCCCATTGAAGACCGTATATACTCGTTCTGCACTTCAAGAGGATTGATTCTGCGCGGGTCAGAGTGGGGCAAGTAGGTCAAGCGAGAACGCATACCTGGACTCGAAATGGGCCGAGAATGCTTTGGAAAAGATCACGGCGAACAAATTGAAGATCCACCCTTATCTGATCTTGATCTTGATCGCGACGAGTGGATGGGAAGTTAAAGTGTCAAGTTGAACTCCTGCGATGACTCGGAAATATGTGGCCTTTGGTTTTAATAGTTCCTCGTTGTGGAGGCTGGACATGACGCTCTGTCGTTGATAAAAGCACGAGTATATATAGATTGAAGGGTGTTGTGGAAAGCAGGTACAACGGTAGCCACGCTCCAGCAATTGGGAAAGCACAAAGCTGCCTTTTATCCGCTGGAAATCGGGGTACGCCGCCCGCGGGAACATTGCAGCGCTGCGCCGTATTGAGGGCGGCTGCAATAGGCGCCAACCCAAGCCCCTATCACGAACTGCTGACCTGTGCCAAATGCGGCACAGCAAAACTGGTGGCAACTTCTGCAGCTCGGAACCAGATTCTTCACCTCAAATAAGAGTTTACACGAATAAGGCGATGTGACCAACGTCCCTCCCTACAGGTCGAAATACCACCTGGTTCCAAAAATGCGAGCGGTATAGTACATCGAATTTACACCACTACAACTCAACCCACGTATAGATATCTGCTATCCTTCATCTGCAGAGAGCCACTGTCCATCGTAGAACCACTACAAGGATCTGATTAATTCTGCAATTCATTTTAATATACACAGAGAGTTATACTCACTTGGTGATTGGTGTCACAGAGGAATTTATGCAGGATCGCTAACGATTTTTACGTGCTGATTGAGCAGTAAAGTAAAAAACTGGTGTTTCAAGAAGGTGTTACAAAAGGCGGGCCAACCTGATTACTAAAAGGGCACGGGTAAATGCCACTCGAAAATCCTCACTGAACCAAAGTACAACAGCTCAATGTAACTAAGATCGTTGCATCCAACCCTCTACCGTCTAGCTTCTCGCTCTTTCGAGTCTGCCTGTCGCACTCCACCGTCCACCATACGGCTAAAATGAAATTCTCTTGGTTCGCCTCATCGACTGAGGACACAGAACCCACCGAAAGCCCCGTTCTCGTAGACGTCAAAGGCCTCTCCCCCGACGACTACATTACTACATTGCCAAAATTCATGGCTTTTGCAGCGCGGCTGGGCCTCGGGGGACCGGAAGCGCTGCACACGTACAACTTGGACAGCAATCTTTATCAAAAGATCAACGAGGGAGCGCAGTTCCACGTTTACCGACGTACAGAGTGGCACGAGAGCGGCGGGCAGGTATTATTTGGAGGTTACACTAGGAATTTGCATAAGGTGTATAAACGAATCAGCCGGGCTTTGTATAGGACGGAGAGTAAGGACAGTCTCAGGGATTTAAGACTCGAGATTCAAGTCCTGGCCCAAGATGTAGTCCGTGCACATCCCAATATCGCGGACTTGGTTGGCTGGGGGTACGACTACCCACGTCAGATGTGTGAGGAACGCAGAACCGCCTCTGATCGATACCCCTTTAACCAATCTATCCCCGTCTTAATCATCGGAGAAGCATACTGCTCTCTCGACATCTTCTTCACAACCCCCGTTTTCAAGCAGTCGGAGGTCTCGTCCTGGGCCACACGCTGCCACCTCGCGCTCGGCATAGCCGCAGGGCTCGAATGTCTCCGTGAAATCGGGGTGCTGCACAACGACCTCAAGCCTGAAAATATCCTAGTGTGCCGTCAGGACGATCCCGAGATGCCGTTCGTGAGCAAGCTCAATGACTTCGGGCTGTCAGCTACGAGCGTCGATGGATTCCGTAGCTATGGCCGCACTATAGGTTGGAAGCCGCCGGAGTCGTCGGATTATGATGAGCAGAAGCATGGGACGTGCTCTCGCGAAGCTTTGTTTAAGAGTGAGAGCTATGTATATGGCCTGGTGGTACTGTATATCATATGCGAGGGGCAAGAGCCGCTGCAAGAGTATCAGGCCAGTAACTCCAGACCCTATCCTCAATGGCGACGAGACCGGTGGGCGAGAGAAAAAGAGACAGTGGATTTGATCAAGCGCCAAACCAAGTTTTCCGATACGGATATGGAGCAGGCCAGAAGCTGCTATCACACGGTAGAGAATAATTTTCTGCTAGACATGCCTCTGGACCGGAAGAACGTATCACCCAGACTCCTTTTAGGCGACAGTCTTCATTACCAACACTGGTTCTCATATTACGAAAGACACAGATTGGCCATTGCTGGAAATCTTCCATTTGTTACCTGGGACAATTTTTATACGGGATTGTCTTTCTACAGAAGCCTTAACCCTCGTATCCTCGAAGACCTTAAAGCATACTCTCCAAGTGATTTCTCAGGAGATCTACTGTTCAGTATGGCGATGGGAAGTTTGGCCACGCGGATGCTCAAAGATCATGCCTACATTCGGGATCTGATCACTATGTCCGTGAGAACTAGTTCTCCGTCGTTGATAGGCATGGGCGTCGCTTCCAATGTCAGCGCAGCTATTCCAGGGCAGGAGGATCCATGGAAACCCGGTGAGATGAAAGAATATCTACGCAAGGCTGTGGCTTCTGGCTCGCGAGTTGTAGTGCGCGAACTGCAATCCATGAGTTCTGAGCTGGTACAGGAAGCGCAGTCGGAGTTCAGATCGACGGGAGGCTACAACCACGAAAGCTGGTTTGTGCAGGAGTATGCGGATATGAGCGTAGACATTGAGCTGCAGTTGCTTGCAGCGCAGAAGGACTGGCATACCCAGGATATCCCGCCTCTGATGGATGAGATGAGGAAGCGTAGAAACGGACTGTTGCATATTGCTTCCATGTTGGGTAGCGCAAATCTCATACGCATCCTTGTTGGAAGTGGCCATGATATTAACGCTCTCAACTTCGCGGGAGAGACCCCTCTATACAAAGCCTGTTCGGCAGGTCAATTCGATTCAGCCGTGACGCTCATGGATCTAGGCGCGGATGCTACCATTCTAGCAGGGCCTTTGAAAGTTTCGTGTTTGCACTGGGTATTCGCATTCTCTGACCATCAAATCGAGCCGATAACTCGTCGTCTGCTCGCCAAGGGCTTGATCATCGACGCAAGAGTACTGCCAACACGAGAAACGAACGAGCACGATTGGGTACAGAGCCGCCATTTTCCGTTTCACTGGCCTATCGGAACTCCATTGCATTGGGCAGCTCATGCCGAATCGTCTATCGCAGTTGATGCTCTTCTGCGCTGCGGAGCCCAAGTAGATGAGTTGGATATGGTGAATGATGAACGCGCACAAACGGCTCTCGCAATGGCTGTTTTCAGAGGCAGCGTCGACATGGCCTTGCATCTAGTGCAGAGAGGAGCAAGTGCAGCACGCATAGACGGACGAGGCAGTTCGATGCTGCATCTTCTTGTGGTCAACCAGACCCTATACAATACCTTGATACCCGTGCCAAAAGTCATGTTTCAATGGTGCTTGCAGGGGAGTTACGAAAACGTGCTTAGGGACACAAGGAAATTAGTCAAAATGATTACAGATGCTGGCATCAACATCAACTTCAACCGAAGAGTGTACAAGACTGATGAATGGTGTACTCCACTCCAAGATGCGATCAACAACAAGGATGCAGTCGGGGTACTTGTTTTACTCGAAGCCGGGGCCGATCCCAACGTCATAGAGAAGTATTCTGGTCAACTTCCACTGCACGCGTGGGCCTCCACCAACATACGCTACTTAGCTTACCCTGCAGCTTACCTTGCCGCTCTCGAACTCCTCGTCACGGGAACTCGGGATTGGAAGGCAAGAGACCTCGATGGAGAAACTTGCATTCAGTCAGCCTTACCCGGTGTGGATGCCCCAAACGAAGCCGATTTCCAAGTGTGGAAACGCAAGCTGAAACTACTACTGCGTCACGCTGAAAAGCCTTGTATCGACGACCGCGATAAGCGGGGCAAGACGCTCTTGCTACATGCCGTGTGCTACAGAAACATCCCGTGCTGGAGCCCTCTAGGTGCTGTCGAGTATCTCAGAAGTCTGGGAGCAGATATAACCGCCACAGACGAGAATGGAAGTAACTTCCTTTGGCACATCAGTCGTAGAAACGACCTGAGAGAAGAAGTAATCATCACCGCGACGGATCTGTGGCTCGATCTGTTCCCCGACGTTGATAATGCTACTCTGCTCAACGAGTCGAGGAACAAGAAAACGGGAGAAACCTATCTGGTGCACATCTCAGAAAACGGTCTCGCCAAATGCGTACGGTCGGCTCTCAAGCACGGGGCGAATACCAATCTCACAAACTCACAAGGCCTCACTGCATTGGACAATGCTGTCGTTGCTGGTAACCGCAGCCGACTCAACGCCATGACGCAATTTCACAAACACTTTGACAAGATGCCTTCCGCATCAGAAGAATACCACGAAGACATTTTCCAGGACCAGATTTACGATGGGGGGAGCGGGGAAGGTTATCTCGACCGTGATGCGTCTCGCAGTGATAATCAGAAACGGTATTTCGCGCTGCCTGAGATTCGGGACTTATTAATTAGTGCGGGCGGGAAGACGGGAAAGCAGCTGGGGACTGCAAAGTATGCACCTGATGTCAAGACATCGGAGGAGGATTCGTTGGAGGCGATTGGAGTTTGGGATGGGTTTCGGAGGAATGATCAGCCTTACTTTGAAATTTGGAGGGCTTCATACGATTTGGACGATGATTGATTAGTTTAAACATCGTAAATTATGCCTTCAAACATCGATTGATGAGCCGCACGAGGTAGGGCATATAGCTGAATGTCGCGTGATCTACATCTGACGTGAATGATTTCAAGTTTTCAATATCCAATGTTACATGCGTGATAGGCCAGATTTGGATTTTTAATTGAGCATTATTACATTTATGATGATCTGTATTCACCAATCAGCTCGAGAGACAGACATAACGGTCATATGACGAGGTGCCAGTCGCAATGTGTCAAGGCAATGCGGCCAAATTACTCCCGTACATACTGCACACCAGAGAGAATCTCTTTCGATCACGAACTAATTGAAGATCTGAGAGCCTTAAACTCAATATTTCAAACATCACCCCGCGATCTCCACCCAAAACTCGACTCATTCCGAGTGAATCGGAGTGACTAGCGACTGATACATCATTGGTACACTAGACTTCCACAGGCTACAGCCATACGCATCAGCTCATCCACAATTTGGCTACGAAATGCAAATGCCAGCTTCATGATGTCTTTCTCTTCTGGGTTTACACCCAGTGCACGATAACCCCGCAGGCACTTGATTGCGCAATGGGCATACCGTGCTCCCAGCATCACTGAGAGCTTTTCATTGCTTATACGTTCGAGGTCCTCCTCGTATCTGCCCTCCGAGCGAGGGTTCTTCAATGAATTGATGACATCACGTACAGATTTGCCCAACCCGATCTCTACCAACACAGTTCCAACAGCATAGATATCGTGTATGGGATGGAAATCCATGTCGAAGCCTTCATTGCCTCTTCGGTTTTGATGTCTGTATACGTCGTTCTGTTGATCCGGAAGCGACAATCGATCAGAAGGAGTGTCTGTTGCTCTGGCGTATTCGAACCCTTTCAGATAGGGTATATACGTATGGGTGCGGCCATTCGTTGCCGACGACTCACTTGTTCCCGTGGGTACGAGGACTATGTTATCGGGCCGGATACTTTTGTGTACCCAGCCACATATGTGTTGATTGAAGACAGACCGGCAGACATGATAGGCGATTGCAAATCTTTCATCCAGACGTGGGAAGTCTAGACTATATTGTTTGGTGTCTGGTCTGAGCCACTTGTCCAGAGTTTTTGAGCGAGCAATACACTCGCGTGACGAGAACTGCGAAGACTGCGGTACGGCGTACAGAAATGCTAGGCGCTCGTGTTCCGGCTCGTCAATATAACCCACGAATCGGAAGATTGACATGGTCGGATCCAAGATACTTTTCGTAAGGTCGCTTGTTTCCGGCTTATGGGAAACACCTTGGAGAATAGCTGCAAGCTGCCGGCTCGCCATCCTTTTGCTATCTTGATCATATTTGCTGCCAGAAGACTGTATGGCGTAGCTTCGATGCTCGTAGATGACATGCTCTCCCACAGTACCGTTTGTAGGATACCATGTTGCGGTTTGCAGTCCTGATTTGCACTCCAAGTCTTTGAGTTTACCCAAGAGGGGTGCTGCAGGTTGTTTATCCAATTTGCTCCACAATTCTTTGGTTCGCACGACAAAGTCTAACCCGAGGTATTTCGCTTCATCGCTTTTGATGAAAGTCTGCAGAATGTCATAGTTCTGCATGCCAAACGAGGCGTGGATAGCCTGCTTCAGCTGGATTATATGAGGAATCGCTGCATTGCCCAAATGAGTTATGTCTTCCGATTCCCCCCAGACACCCTCGCTGCTATAATTGCCTAGCAACCTTTCTTTGAATTGCATTTCTGTAGCTGCTGCCTTGGCAATACCTTCTCGGAACAGAACTTGAAGTCCTTTGGTTGCTTCACGGAGACTACTAGATGCCGGCGTTCCTGAGCTGAGCCGAATACCCTTCGCTTGACGAAAGATGGAGCAGATGTTATCAAGCTCCGAAGATTCGGCCATCAAAAGACTAGAAGTTGATCTCTGAAGGCGATATTGAATGTAATGTTTGATGTCCGGAAGAACTGTCAATATGTGGTTCTTGATTGCCCGATAATTTGCAATCTTGCGAGCAGAATCGGCCATCTCTAGAAGATATCCGTTAATATTGTAGTACAAGCATCCTTCTCCACACGAAAGCTTCGCAAGCTTGGAATGGTCTGCATGCGCCGCGACTCGTCTCTCGTTTTCACGATAGATACTTGCGGATTCCTCGTCAATCATAAGGGCAGGTGGGCCATCTTTTGCCGGCTTCTCTTGCCCCTTCTGCACCGTAGCCGTTTCGTGGAGTTCGTACACCGTGAGTATCATCTCTTCTTGCAAGAACTTACCGAAGTTCTCTCGCAGATTCCGCAATAAAGTTGAGCCAGGACCCAGATCTCTAATTAGCTGTTGAGACGGATTCTCTCCCCAAATGTCCAGCCACGGCTTAACATAGATGCCATCGTGTGGTGTTCCAAAGAACACAAGGCCGCCAATAGTGTCGCGTATCTCGTGATAGTCTTGATGGGCTTTGACAAAAGCGGCCTTGATTAAAATACCACCAAAACTATGGCCCATGAGGATCAACGGTCGATGCTACTGGCATTTGAGACCTTGATATCATATACGTGGCGGATGTCACACTCACCTTATGAAATCCACTGTCCCGCAATCTACACAAGTCATCGATCAAAGAGTCTCGATAATGTGTTACAACTCCGTGAGAAGGATTTGGACCCGGATGAAACTGCGAGTGTTTCCCCCAGATCAGGATGCGGCAGTTTTGTAAATCCTTGGGGAGGTAATCTCGAAGCCACATGGTTCCTTCTGAATGCTGCCAGCTAACGAAAGGTCTTCCGTAGATACCCGTGCATGCGACAATACTATACAATGCCTCAGATTGGATCTTGTTCAAAGGTCACATGACGTACTCGACCGTATCTGCATGTATGACAACGTCATTCAGCGGCGTCAAGCCCTCGAAAGAATTGTCGATGCGTATTTGGCGCGCAACATGAGCGCAAGAGGGCTGGACGTTCTCCCAACATTTGAATGAACGTGGGTCTCGAGGTGACACCTTAGCCTTGTCTGCGAACGATGGTCTCCGCGAGAAAGTTACTGTGGCGACCTTTTCATCCAGACCCGACCTACTAACGGAATCAGCTAAAGACAGTGGATTGCGAATAAGCTGTTGATCATCTAAATTGAAGAGTTCCTTCACATCTGACGTGCTGAAAGATCCGGGGATGCGAGATAGTCTGTATGTCTCTGTGAATGACGACTCGTTGCCGCTCCCGGTTGCGGTCTTTGGTGGAGCACTCATAATGAGAAATAGGGCAGTCCAGCAAGGCTGTATTTTTGTAGAATCCGCCAGTTTCATGATAAGTTATTTATGCTTAGTCTAAATCATGATCTTTTTTACAGGCCTGGATGATCCCGACGACTGACGCAAGTCTTACATAGCGACGAGGATTGTTGATACGCATGCGGCAATCATGAAGATATCCTTCAATAAGGGTTGTGATTGCTCAGAACCAATGGCCGAAGACATTGGAAAACAACATGTAAAGCTGACCGGGAGGCAACAACATGGTGGGGCTCATGCGAAAACATACACAAGGGATACATCTGTCAACTGCATACATCTGCATCTGCCGATAACGTATTTGAGCTCATTATTGATTGTATGTAAGCAGAGCATGCACGACGACGTGTTCGAACTCAATATTGATTCCGTGTAACCAGAGCATGCACGACGAAGCCGAATCCATCACTTTTCCGTAATCAACAAAAGAGGCTGTGCCAGCAGTGCATCTTCATGAAACGATTGGTGTATCATGCTGAATATATTGCCTCACCGACGATTGTTATCTGAGTTGTGATCCTGGGTCGCCGTCGTGCGGGTCATACGTCGCTATACCCAGTACTTACGCCAGAGAGCCATTGCTTCAATCGTACCACGCCACTTTCATTTTTTAGCGCTAAAAGTCAGTAGCTTGCGAACCAAACTGCGTACCTTGAATGATATCTCAAAGACATCGTAGAAACCATCTGCTTTGCAGGGTGGCTCGAAACTGTGTACTAAATTCCAAAAGGCCGTTCTAGGGAAGACGTTGCGCGATTCCCAATTCGCCTATGTGACACTATCATTTTCATGTTTACTAAATGTAGCAACGTTCACTCTTACCTGTTTATCATCCCCAAGCGCCCGCACAGCATCGTTGTGCAGACAGAGTTTTGCTGGGGTAGAGAAGTATACAGCAGCAATACGAACGCCCTGCTTACGGGCTAATGCAACCCAAGGCTCGCGGACGGCACAATTGTGGTTGATGTCATCTGGAAAGAACATGAGTTGTCAGTCTATGTTGACTGCACGAGCCGTTCATACCAATGACAACGCGTTTCTGCGCATTCAGCCTTTCTGCCGCAATATCCTCGCAACATTTTCTAGATGTCCCGCATTGTGGCGCAATCCGCTCGTAGCCTAGGCCTTGCAGAGTGTTCAGATAGAATGTTGTCTTTCCGCTCCCCGGAAGTCCCACGAGAAGTACAATGGGAGCCAGATCTTCTTCACCTGTCTTGCTTGAATCTACACACCACGGAGTTCCTCCATTGGCAGTCGTAGATAAGATGTACGAGTCGATTCTGTGATTGACCGGACCAAGATGCTCATCGGGATCGAAGATATGTTTCCAGTTTTCTGGCGATTGGGCCAAGAAAAATTCTTCTGGAGTCTGGAATGGGATACCCAGGTTCATTGCAAAGTGTCGATCATCGTCGCTGTGATCATTAGGACGCCCGGCTGCATCGCCGACCATGTACGAAGCGGAAACGTCAATCACTCTTCCGGGACCAATAGAATCGACAAGATGCTCCCAAGTGCGTGTCCGCGGTTTTCTCCAGCCATCATTGGCACAGGCGACATATATTGTGACTGGTAGATCCAGGGCTTCAAAGATGTTGTGAACTTTGTCCCTGAAGGGCTGTGCTGCGGCTGCCTCAGCTCCATGTGTGGTGGTCAGCCTTCCTTGATTGGTGATGATAACAATGCGGAAGTCTCTATGGAAAGCCTGGCGAAGCTTGGTGGGCACCACGTCGTGCCACCACACCCAATCAGCCGCATCTTGCCCTTTGACTTCACCGGATTTTGCCACTATCAAGGTTGAATCCTACCAGAGATGAGATATGATACCCTCCAAAAGGCAGAGGAATGTGCTTACCAGGTCAAAGATTGCAATCTTCGAGGATGAAGATTTTGTTCCTGCCGCACACCGATGGTGACCAATCATCACTTCGGCACCGGTAGGCTGCCAATCAATATTCATTTTACTGCAACCGGGCGTTGGGCGTGTCGTTCGCAAGATCTCACATATAGAGAGGCATTTATGAATGCGAAAACAAGCCCCAGCTAAATAGTTACCGGTGGGGCTATGCTATCGGGCTGTGTAAATCGCTTTGCTTGTAGCGAGCCCCGCTGGGGAGGACGAAGGTACATATACGATGTACGTATTTGAGCGAAAGATGAATCTAGTCTTCTGTATCGTCGACGCCGATAGTATGTGCCGTCGTTGGCTATCTTGCATAGAAACAGTCGTGATGAAAGGCAAGTTGTCTAGTGGAATTATTGTGCTCAGCCATCGAAACTACCGTGTCCAACCATCCCTAGGAGGCAACAAGGACAGATATAATGAGGCAGCGCTCCATCATTGAGGGATAGCTCAGTCAATTTGAGACCCCATTTCCAGCGTCCCGGCATTGATAGTGTACAAAACCATCACTACCATCTGCATCGGCTGGAAAAATGGTCACTCCATCACAGCAAGAGAGAAGACTACAGCAATGTATCAACAAGTTGAATCGTCAGGACAGGGATGGGTATCTAACTACTACCGTTGACGAGGTCTTGTTAGCGAACCAATCCCTGCTCAGGAAACGCTCAACATGTAGTCGCACATTGCATCTTTGCAACAAGTTGAACCCCATTATTGTATTTCTGCAGCATTATGCAAAGGCAATCGACGTCATGGCGCAACAGTCTGGGCCGGTGGCGCTGGCATGGGGCTGTATCAGAGTTCTCCTTGAGGTCAGTATAACAAATGCTCCTCCCAGGTTTGGCATCTATGGTTTACTCAAGGAACAGTCTGTTGACTCGCATAATTCTTATATTGCCTTCCTGGTATCCACAATGGAAGAGATTAGCGATAAATTGCATCTTTTCCAGCGATACGATGGCATCTACAGCGACTGGACGCCCTTTCGCGATTCGCTCACCAATGTACACTATCACATTGTTATCTTTCTACTTCGCGTGAACGAAACGCTTAGATCTGGCAGTACGTCGTCTCCCGTTTTCTATCACATCGATGCGATGTCCGTAGCTGATCAAGCCCCTAACAGCGTTCAAGCTGTTCAGAAAAACTTTCGCGATGGCTATAAAGAAAGAGATTCAAGGCAGTCTCGATGCCATCGCGCGCCACACAAGGCTCCTCGAGAGAGAAACCGAGCTTGTGCATCATCAAATCACCCACTCGGAGATCCGGAAGCGAATCATGGATTGGCTGTCCCCGGTGGACGTCATGCACGACTCTTTGCGAGCACGAGAGAAAAGAACAGACGGCACGTGCCACTGGATCTTCAAGAATAGGGCATATCTCGATTGGAGAGACGAAAAAACCCTTGACAGGGTACTGTGGCTCTCTGGAAGACCGGGGAGTGGAAAGACAGTCCTATTCTCGTCCGTTGTGCAAAACCTTCAACAGAATCTGCCAGAAGGCTGCGTTGCGCACTTTTATATCGGCTTAGGTGACAACAGGTCGGAATTTGTCAACGCCATAGCTACCATCATCGCTCAGCTTGTCGCGTGTCAGTCTTTGCTTTCCTCGGAGCTGGTCTCGGCGTTCGAGTCGGCGGCTCGGTATGGGAGGAATCGACTGTCACGCGCTGATCAGCCCATGAAGGTTCTCATCCATCTGCTGCAGGCACAAAAGATGACTTATCTGGCTCTTGATGGTATTGATGAATGTATGGATCTCGAGAATACTCTAGTAGAAATTTCAGCTCTGAGCAAAGTGCCCAACTTGCGGATTTTGATCACGAGCCGCGACATACCCGAAGTTCGCAATTGTCTATCGCAACACTCTGCAGTGACGTTATCGACTGCACTTATCAGAGACGATATAAACCTTTTTCTGCGTGCTGGATTGAATAAGATATTTGCGTCCTTCGAGCAAGATGATCTGGTCGATAAAGTGCTCCCAAGACTGTTAGCGACCGCCGACGGGTCGTTTTTATGGGCCCACCTCATGCTCTGCACGTTGAAACAGACAGCTAACGTAAACGACTTGTTGAGAGCCTCCCAACAACTTCCGAAAGACCTCGAAGCAATATATGAGTCGTCTCTACAACAGCTGAATCAAAAGCCCTGTTCAACTCGGTCCTTAGGTAGAAACCTCCTCTGTTGGATCTGCTTCTCGCGGCGCCCGTTGAAATGGAAAGAGCTTGAATATGCTTTGTCGCTTGACGAGACCTTCAACGAGGCAACCGAGAGACGTCCTTTCAAGGCTGCGGTTCTACGTTTGTGTAATCCCCTGGTAGAGTATGATGATGTGCTCGATGAGTTTCGTCCACTTCATTGGTCGGTGTGCGAATTCTTAGCCCAGAAGAATGAGTCCGACTTCTTCTCCCACGAGCGGCTCTCAGGTGGCTTTGTAGCCAGTACTGCTCATTCAATCATCGTGAAAGCTTGCATCAAAAGTATAAGCCAGAAGAGGAACCCCGATGCACCAGACATGGGTGTTATCAAGCAAACCCCTTTGGCTCGGTATGCTACTCTTCATTGGTGTTCTCATCTGCTGCAAGCATCCATAACGCCGGATACCAGACACATGACTGAAACATTCATGTCCAATGCTGCGAATCGGAAGGCATGGGTCGCGCAGTATATGCTCCTGCAACTTAGGGCTTTCCCTCTGCAAGCCGTATTGAGACAACTGCGAGATGTCAACGCGTGGTTGATCAAGGCCTCAACCCAATCCGAAGTATGCGCTTTTGACATTCTTCATGACACGCTCGATATCATCCATGGCCTAGCAGTCCAGTTTCTGGATGTACAATTATCCCCAAACCTGCAACCCAGCGTTGGCCACTTCGATACGATGATGGCTGTGAGAGATCTAGCACGCGCATATACGCAGGCTGGTCGGTTACCCGACGCCGTCTTATGGCTGGAAGGCGCTCTCGAAGGCGTACAAGGAAGTGACCACATGGCTGATAACAAACGCGCATGGATACTCAATAGTCTTGGCATCATATACGACCAGCAAACTCGATCTGAAGCCGCCATTGAAACCCAGCGGCGAGCTCTAGTCATACAGAAAGCGAGACTGGGAACAGAACATCTCCATGTGGCTTGGACCAAGAACGAACTGGGGCGCGTGTTCCGACATGTCTGGAAATTGACCGACTCGGAGCAGATGCATCTAGAGGCCCTGCACACACTGGAAATTCATTTCCCAGAGTCGGATCCCCATGTCATGTGGACGAAGAATACGCTAGCTCGGACCTATCGCTTCCAAGGCCGCTTCGATGAGTCTCTGAGGTTCCACCAACAGACTTTCGATGTGCAAGCTGGGACTCTCGGATCCATTCACTGCCATACACTCTGGACACTTTCCGACGTTGCGCGCTGCTTGCGGGATCGAGGAAATACTGTCATGGCGTGCGAGACGTTCTTAAAGGTTTTGGAAGGCCGGTTAGAGAATCTCGGGGACCAGCATCCTGATACTCTGTGGTCAATGAACGATGTAGGTTTGCTGCTATCTTTACTCGGCAAACCGCATGAAGCTACAAAGTACCACGAGAAAGCCTACACTGGTCAGCTGCAATGCCTTGGGAGAGAGCATGAGCATACGAAATGGACCGAGACTGTTCTAGCTGGGTGCCCTAATTAACGCTTTCTTATTGTCTATAGCAGATATTATTTTGATAGCCAAGTACAAAGAGGAACGGGTTGGGCTCAGGTATAGATTCTTAGCAATAATGTATCTTAGTGGATAGTGGAACGTTGCGCATTGTTGTTTTATCAATCAAGGCTCAAATGCTAACCAGCAAGTGATGTACCGCTTATCTGCTAAACACTGTCCATCGATCGGGTTGAAATAGGGGAGGAACGACCCATGGGCGTGACCGCCGTATCCAAACTTTTTTGTGTACGTGCCATATGATGGTGCCCCTCCAAACCGATACAGGCTTCACCAACTATATGTACCGCTTTGTAGAACAAATACCCACATCAATTTAGACTACATAGATATAACACCTACGATATAAACGATCAACTACGAAGATCCCCTACAGCCCCTTAGTTCAACGCACTGCCAACCTATCCAAATATGCCCACATCAACTCCACTACCTTCGCCCTTCCACCGAAATCAGCGCAAGATTCCACAATCTCACTCCCTCGCTACCTAGCTTACCCGCCAGGAAAAAAAAACCGCCAAGTGCACCAACTGAATCTCAATCCCTTCTTCACCTCGCGGAGTCGAAACACGGGAATCCCGATATCCATAATACCCAGCGACAAGCAATGGTAAGTACATAGGTAGCTAAAACGCAGCGTTCAATGTGTTTCGGTATCGATGTTCCAGAGAGGCAAAGGGCGGGCTAAAATTAGCTAAAGTTTCATCAACGGACGATGTTAAGGGGCTTCTTTTTTGTTTTCTTTTTTTTTACAAAACTTCTCACGGCCAAGAGTGGCACCAAGATTTTGTAACTCAAATTCTCTCTTGTGTATATATTTTTTTTCTTGGGGGAGGGGACGGGAAGAGTGCTAGATACGATCTCGGAGATGTTGGATTCCGTGGAGTAACAAGAGATTTCGTTTGGAATTATGTTATCTTGGCTCTTTTTTTCCTTCCCCCCCTCCCCCCCAATTCGAGGATACATGAATTATGAAGACAAGAAGAAGGGAGCAAAGCAAATCCACCAATCGGGCCGATTCCCTCTACTTCTTCCCCCCCCCCCCCCCCCCCCTGCGACTATTACTCTCCCGCGGCGGCGGCCATGGCTCAACGCATACATATGTACACTCACTCACCCACCCCCACAGCACACAACTTCCCCTTCTCTGAAATAGCCAAGCTTATATTAAAAACAAAAAAATATAAAAAAATCCCTCGTCAAACTTTCTTCTTCTTCAACGCTCTCAAAAGCTAGTCTAGTCAGAAACACACAAAACAACATCTAGACTTTTACCACCTTAAATCTTTCAAAACAAGTGTACGTGTGAGGAAGGGGAAAAAGACTTTGGCGCTAGGCGGTAGATCAAACGCCTGTGTTGCGTGGGCGTGTGCGCGCGGAAGCGAGAAAAAAAGGAGGTGAGCGGCGCGCCCGTTGACGCGGATTTCAACCTTCCGCGCGTGCTGGTGCCCGTGGGGGGTTGGGGAGAGAGCGCGTGGGTATTGCCCCCTCCTTCCCACCCGTCCACCACTGGCAGTCTAGATTTTGGGTGTGGTTAGTCTTTTTTTGGTGGTGTGGGCTGGGTTTTGAGGGGTGCGCGGTGATTGATTTGATTTTTTTTTGAGTCTTTTAGACGACTTAAGATTTTGTTTTGACAAGAAGAAGGTTCAGCAGGTAACGTAGGTATTAGTAATTTTCTGTTCTTCTTCTCCCCTTCTTTTCCAAGTTTTTTTTTTTCTTAGGTTTCCCTTCGTGTTCTTCCATTCCTCTATCCAAACGCGGATAGAACAGCAACAACAACAACAACGACGACGACGATGAGAAAAGGGCAAAAGCCCGGCATGTAGCATTCGGAGACGTTGAGGAGTCTAAATTACGTGGTCCTTTACATAAAAAGGATCTACAACTTCTATGTGCGTGATGACTGATGATGGATATCTTGCCCGCTTCATGCCCGGAATGTTTCTCAAAAAAACCCCAAATTTGGTATGCGGGATTTTTTTGATTTTGCCCTTTTCCCAGAAAACGCCTTCGCTGAAAGAACATGCACCAAGGGAGGAATGAAAGAACCTAACTCGTTCCCCCTCGTTGAGGAGGAAGAGTCGAAGCGTGCGTGCATGCCTCGCAGGGGTCCTTTTTTTGTGGTTTTATAGATACAAATGACAAGACTACAGCAATAACCCGTCTGCGCTAGAGGGACTGGAGTCGATTCGGAATGCGAAGTGAAGAATGAAAGCAATGAATTAAAGACGGCAGACCTCGATGACAGATGAAAAACAGATTCTCAGAGAACAAGAAGAGAGCGACGAGGGTGGTGGAAGGAAAGAGAGTGGCGTCGCATGAGTGGAGGTGGCGATTCTTAAATGATGGCCTGTGTGCGATGTTGCAAGTGTCGAACTCTGATGCGTTGAGCCGTAGATTTGCGGCTCATGGTGATTCTGCCCGATTGGGTTGTTGCGACGGTACGTCTAATCTTCGACGTCTTCATCGCGACCAGGATACATGATGTCGACGACGATCACGGCGCGAATGTTGTGGTAGAGAACAAACGCCCACATGATCAAAACCGCGATGGTAAGACCGTTAGCCACGAACAGGATGATCTCATCCTTGAGACTGTTGCCAATGTTGATGGTCGCAATGATGAAACCAGTGTTGGGGAACACCATAGCCCACCAGCCGAGATGGAAGTATTCTGGGCGAGAGTGAAGAACCTGCTGGAGTCAGTAACTAGAATAAGCGACGCAGAAATTAGGGGAACTCACAGCAACCAATGCAATCATGAAGAACCACATAGCCAAAGCCCACAGGAAGATAGCAGAGACGATCGCCATCGTTCGGATAACCTTAGCGTCAACCAGACCATCGCCTTGAAGGTCGAAATCGTCAGGAAGCGCGTTGGCCATGCCGATGAACGCAAGAGCAGTGAATGATGGCGGTCCGACGCCGATGAACATGGCACCTCGATGCTCACGGTTGGGGTAGCCAACCTGCATCAAGCGACCAATGTAGTGCGCGTACATGAGAATACAGACAGTGAAGCCCAGGCCCTGGCATGCGAGACCTCCCACCAGTATAGGCATTCTAGCGCTCACTGGCTGGTCTTTCGCGATGACAGAGGCAATGGTTCCACCAAGCATGATAGGGAAGATGGGAAGAAGCCACGATGGCATGAATTTGTTCAGGGGGTATGTGTGTGCTGCGAAAAGATACGAGTACTGGAAAGATGCAAGACAGAAAGTGACGAAAACGTAGGCCCAGAATGCGATGGCCATTGTGGTAACGATCCAGCCGCGCATTGGGTGCGAAGTCTCATACGACTCGACGACGTACTTTTGCGTGCCTGTGATGATGGTTGCAACTGAGAGGAAGAAAGGACCGAGAAAAAGCGCCTCACGCTCGTGCATGACAGACTCTTTGAATGTGCCAGGGAATTTGGTGAATCGGAGAATCATCATCGCGTTGAGTGACGCAAAGAAGATGAGATTGACAACGTAGAAGACGGCTCCAATAGTAATCAGCCCGGGAAATCTGTGAGGCTGGATAGCGATGAGTGTGGAGATACCACCGGTGGCCATTGTAAGTGTGTACCAAGCCCATGTGAAGTGTCGGATACGTTGGCCAAACGACATGAAAGGTTGATTGGGGTCTTTCTTATGGGGATCGTGGGGAACGGCATGCGCTTCTGCCTTCTCCTTGCCCACATCGATAGAGTCACGGGGTGTCTCAGCTGGTGTAGGCTGTACCGAACGCTCTTCGACGTACGGTTGCTTGCCTTTGACATCGACTGGATAGCCATTGGCATCGATGGGGCCCGGGAAGTACCCTTGTTGGCCGTTGGAGTTGGGAGGGTATGGTGCCACGGGCGTGTTTAACCACGTGTTTGTCCGTGTAGACTGCCCTGATACATTCCGAGAATGATACTGAGGAGCGCTCTGGTTTTGGAAGTCGTTGGGATACTGGTAGCCGTTCTGGTTCTGGGGTCCGTTATTGTTCTGGTAGCCCCCGGTTTGGTTTTGGTTCATTGGACCATTGTTGCCTTGATAGCCGTTCTGAAAGCTGTTCTGATTCTGTGGGCCGTTGTAGCCAGCAGGGTCTTGAAAGGGGTTCTGATTTTGGAATCCGCCTTGATTCTGGACGCCGTTCTGGTTCTGAGGCATGTTCATGCTTTGGTGTTGAGGGTTGATGGGGTTCTGGTTCTGGTTCTGCATTCCATTCCCGTTGTTGTTGTTGTTGCTGTTGTTGTTGAAGTCAATGTTGCTTCTGCTCGGGCCGCCGTTACCGTGGCTTACTGCATTGCCGTTTGGACTGTTGCTACGGGCGTCGAAGTTGGGGTTAAAAGAGCTGTTGTTGTTGCTGCCGTTGCTATCGAAGGTGATGTTTGCCGGTTGATAAGGAGGGTCCATCGCTGCCAACAAGAGCAGTGACCTGCACCGCGAAGAAAAGAATGGTAATTAAGATCTGCAAAGCGAAGAAATGTTCAGAAACGAAATGAAAGAATCATTAATTCAGCACCGGGCTGCTTCGAAGAAATGAAAGTAAAGCCAAGCGGGATGGCGAAGTAGTCATAGCACTCTGGGGAGTCTTGTAGCACGGTTCCCTGCTGTATCTAGACGCCGTTTCAAAATGAGCAACTTGAAGAGGACCTCATGTTCGACAGCGGTTAGTAGCGTCTTGGTGGCCAACAGGGTGGGTGGGGTGCCACCTCAATCGTCTTGGCTGTGGTTTAACGTCTTCGATGCATCTCCTTGTACCCACCTTGTAGCTTCAGATAAGTGTCTTGTCCATTGAGCTGCACGTGCACCGGCGCTAGTCGATATGTAGACATTTCCTACCCAAAGGTGACGAATCCTGGAGGACATTTGCCTCTTGGCGACTCATTCCGCTCCCAAGAGGCGTCACTCTCATTCCTCAAAGGGAAAATGCACTGACTCGAGTTGTTGCTGAATTCAGAGCCCGACGGTCCTATATTGTGCTCGGAATCATAATCCATCGAGAAGAAAATTTTGAACCGAGCATAAAAACATAGTATGGTGGTCTGTATGGCTCGAAACCGCTTCTCAATGAAATGCTTGACCCAGATTGCTTTCTTCTTGGCGGCTGATGTTGGCGAGGCATAGGGCTTGTGCTTGGGCCCTGAAGAAACCCATTGGATAGCCTGAGAGCCTGATTGGCACGAATGTTTGAGAAAGTGTAGCGCCCTGGATAGGGGGACTCGGGAAGTGGACGTGGAACAAGGAGACGGCGTCTTTCAAACAGGCTATCGCCCGGCCAAGTGCTATTGCATGGTCCTGCTACAGTGCGGTCTCTACGCCGTTCCGACATTTCCCGATGATTGATCTCGCCTTTGGAGAGTCTAAGCGACGGGTGATGCACATGCTGGTCTTTGTGGCTTGGAAAACAAAGCTTGCCGCCGGGGGTTGTGCGTGAAACTGACGTCGAAACAAGCGGAGCGGATGCTCGTGTATCGAAGAGGCTTGCCAAGCATCCCACGTAAAACGCACCCCCACTTGGTCTAGGCGACGCAGCTCTTGGGCCTATGGCTTTGGTGATGCCCAGGCCCGTAGACGTTTGAGAAACTTTTCAGCATGATCTTGGGTGTGTCGGAGTCTGCTGGCGAATGGTTGATCCATCACAAATCCGACCAAGGCGAAGCGATAAGGCTTGTACGCGTGAAATCTTGCCTTAATCGGGATGCCGAAGCCTTAGGCAAAGTTTGTCTTGACTACGTACACTTGGCGTAATGATGTGTTCTGGCATGGGAGGTCCAGGGAATTTCAAATCCCTGACACGTTTGTCCCCTGGCAAGCCATCAAGCCGCAGAGCCGCATCCACTCATTTGGTGGACAATGACGACTGCTCTTAAGTCTCACTCGCAGATCCTATATACCGGTATTTCTACTACCGAAGATAATTTTGGACTTCACTGATGTGCGTCCATGTAGACATCTCGTCACTGACTCGATACTCACTCCTTTGCATTCTTTCTGCCCAACCATGATGATCGTGATTCTCGCCACTCTTGGCGAACATTTGGTCTCCATCGCTTTTCATGCTAAGCAGTTCAACATCAATGCTCACATTGGGATCCCGTTCGAAAAGGCGCGAACAGATACTGCTTATTTTAGCAGCGGGCGCTTGCCAACAGATGGGCAGGATGGCCTGGAGTGTAAGGCGCGGACGCCAGTTGTTGAAAGGTCTTGGTCGCATAACTCACTGTGACTCCATCGGTCAGCCCTGAACAAGCGCAGCATCGAGGGGTCCATACCAGGTAAGCCATGGGAAAAATCCACGGGTAACTTCCAGAAAAGCACCGACATGTTCACCTCTTATCAAGTCGTAGCGAACATGACGAGGCGTGTACTTTGAGGCGGACGCGGGCTTCGCGACAGCCAACGGCCTAAGCCGCGCGCAGTGACCCACCGCGGGCGCTATTTGCACAATATCACCGCTCGCGGAGGCCTTGCCGCACTTTATCTCGTTTTTATGCTCGATGAAGTAGACGGAAAAATACACTCGCAACATTGTCGCGCTGTATACAAGATGGTTTGATCGTCGTGTCCATTTCTCCATAGCTGTTACTCCTCCGCACAACTCTCTCCGCGTTCCTCCACTGCACTACCGTCGAGCCCCAACTTTATCCCATACCGCACCAACGCGAACGCAGGTGCAGCCCTGTCTCCAATCTGAGGAGCGACGTGTTTTATTCCGAAGTGCCTACGAGTCGGCGTTTCCACTGTTCGCATGTGAAAGTCGGTGGAGCACAATCGCGTCTGAGACTAGCGACGTATCATCGTCATAACCTAAGGCACCAACAAAATTACCAAAGACGATCAATCACAATCAGAAAACCCAACGTCTCTCGTTCCGTCTTCATTGAGATTTGCGCAAGTCTCAATAGCTGTCGCCGACCTTGGTATGAATGTATTGTACGTACACAGCAAATCTCCGAGCGGCGCAACAAAGTACACTGATCAGAGGAGGGAAAATGCGCGGATATCACACCCAAAGCAACTTTTCCGTTGAATCGCGCAACATCTTGGCCAATCTAAGTATATCTTGCATATGCAAGCACTGCCTCACAACTCTTATCAACGGCAAGATTTGTCGCACTGAGACTTCGGAAACCTTTGCCAACTCTGTACGAAACTGATTGCGGTAAACAGAATCCTGACACCTGCCAATAATCTTGACAATCAAGCCCTTCATGTCTTGCTGCGACCCTGTTGAACTTGCGGCGGGAATCGCTTTTCCTGTTCTTCCAAATCTCGTCTTGATTGTGAACCAGTCTGAAATGCTGGGCACGCACAAAGTCTGCGCTCTGATAAAATAGCCGTGAAGAGTGAATGCCTGATAGACTTCTTGGTTGCCCAGCTTAATTAGATCCCCATCTTGTTAGCTTCTTCGCCTGCACACCTACCAGAGTAATAGGAGAACCAAGTCTATTGCAGTGACACAAGTGAAGTGACAACCCCATCGAGCGAAATAAAAATCAGGTCGACTAAGGCAATAGAAGGAGCAAATCCACTGAAGCAATCAAGATAGAAAACCTCTTTGTACTAAAGCGATAGAACAAGTACGCCTATCAGGGCAATCCAAACCCTATCACCACCTCGACCAGAATACCTCAACATGCATACAAAGCAACACTAAAGCATACAACCCTCCCATCTTCACCTCCAACTCGCCCACCCGTCAACACCCCACTGCCTCTCTCCCCCCACTTACCCCCCAAAAACACAAAAAACACAAATACCAACCACAAAAGACGCGTAACCCAATATAACTATCCCATTCCATAGAAAGGGGGCAGTGCAAGCTCATATCCCACAAGGAAAAAAATATCTTGTGACCTATGAATGTATGCGCACACACCTTGCCAACTCCCTCCACCAAGAAGCACGGGTCTGTGACACACGCTACTACGGGGGGTGTTGCCAAGAAACGAGCTTTCATGGGATTGTTGGGCTGCAAGATGTATGTACACCGTGGATTCTCATCTCTACAAAAAACCATGTGATTCGGGCCTATGGGGGAGGATTATCGCGGGTACGGTATGAATAGGTAGGTAGGAAAGTAGGGAGGTAGGGAAGTAGGTAGGTAGGTGAAAGGCGAGACGCTCACGTCCTTGCGTTCGCAGCTGAGGAGCAATTGATATCCAACCATTCCATCGGACTCCGGAGATCGGGGGAAATGTAAAAAAGAGAGGAAGCAGGAAGTGAGGCCATGCGGACCGAATGATGGGCGTATAGAGCGGTGGGGTAGTGGGGGAGGTAGGTCGCTGGTGATGTATGCGATGTGTGACGGGTTGTCGTGATGGCGGGTAGACCTGAGAAGAAAGATGGGCAGAAGGTGGAGATGCTGTGGATAAGCACGTGTTTGTGATGTGAGGAGAGTGGGGCGTCTTCGTCGCGGAAGGGGGGGATTGTCGTCTAGGGGTTTTCTTCTTCTTCTATTGGGTATGCGAGCACACGACTTTGCTGAGCAGTGGTGACGAAATGGAATTATTTGTGCGTCTTTGGACTACTGGCGTATTCTTTTTTTTTCTCCCTCATGCTGACGGATAGGATGGTCGTTTTGAGAGCTTGGGGAGTGATTTCATGCTTGTAGTCAATGGTCTCAAGCGGATTGAGAACCTGCACATCCAGTGTTCGAATTGACGCGGCTGGAATAGTGGAAGTAGTCACCCTGTGAAGCAAAACTTTTATCATGTCACAGATTTCAAAAGCTCCCTTCTCTTCTATTGTCAAGCTGCTTGCGTAGGCTACAGGCTACCGAATCTGCCAATTCATAAACATTGGTTTTCCAAAGCCTAGACGACTGACTGGTACAGTTTCTGCAAGCGATTTTCCTCTATTAATTCGTTTATTGTAGTCATAATTGTTGGAATCCTATACAGAGCAACTTGGACACAACAACGTGGTATTAAGAAACTTTGAATAGACTAAAGGCTTTTTTCAGTTGATTCGAGCACAGAAATGAACGATTAACGTATATTTCACCACGAAAGTCATCAGTGAATGGCGTACCCGCTTCCGGAAAGCAGGTTAGTTGAAAAGTGCACTTTCCTCGAACCCTACTCTTGACGTTTCCCTATTACTTGTCTGACACCGTTTCTGACACTTTGGTGGCAGCCACTACACTATCAACAGCCAGGCGGACAAGTCTCTCGTGCTGGATTCTCCCTATGCTGCTCTACCACGACATATAGTGCATCAACGCACCACTTGTGATAGTACGTGTGTGAATGGTTCCCAACCTCAACATTACCAATCCGTACATCTCCACTGGATCGTTGGAACGTCGTATACGTCACTACGTCAAATGCGCTCAATACGTGTGTGAAGCCTCAAGCCGATCTTTAATGAACGCAGCGAGGGAACAGTTTTACGCTGGCAAAAAACATCTGTATAGAAGACAAATCGGGTGTAAGTTCGTGCTGGCAGTATGGGCAGGTCCCAAACAAAGGCGTTCCCTTTGAGTTTGGCAATCTTGGCTTGATTTAAAGGCTGTCCATGCCCTGGAAAGTCGCCGCTATAAAGTTTAGCTAATCCACGCTAGTTATGATCAGAAATGCCTTGAACCACAACTCGATGTAGACTCCGTATGCTTTTAGAGAGCAAGGTAAGGTAGTCACATGGGATGGGAATAGCGAGCGTGACTGCTCCGCCTTCTGAAGAGCCTCTAGGATTTTATGTTTGAGTTCTGACTTAGGTTCGATATCTAGGATGCGAGATGTAGGTGGTTAGGAATGCATGTTGCATAGTTTTCAGCAGACGTCGAAAATTTTGCTCGGGAATATGGAGAGTGGTTGATTGCGTGGGGTATTTCCAAGGTTGAGCGTCCCAAGGTTGGCATTAGCTCGGATTGATTCATGATTAGCGTCTGTATCATCTACTGGGTCGAAAAGAGGCCTGCTCATATTTATTTAACATGTATTCTTGTTGTGACGGATCTCATTGATCGTCAAGGGTGTTTAATTGGAATCACCAAAGTAATAATCACTGACATGAAGCGTTGTACGTGAGCTCGCTACTCCCCACCCACATCCCCCAACCCCTCAAACCTATTCGACCTCGCCGCACTCCAATCCTCTATCCTCTCTCCATCAACACTCTCGCCTCCTCCCTTGCCGCCCCTTCCCAGATAATCCTCAACACCCCAGGCAACTCTCTCCGCCCCGATTCTCGCCCCCACCAAATTCGGCGCTCCGGGTCCTATCCTAAGACCCGCGAATCGTCCAGTAACCTACATGGCGAAGAGCCACAACGTTAGTAACGCCACGAGAAAGTTTTTGAATGAGGATACGTACAAAAAGCGGCACGTCATCGCTCCACATCATGTCCTCGGTCAAACAAGGTAGTCCCCCAGCACAAGTCACTGGATGCTTTTTCTGCAGCGAAGACAAGAAAGGGATGGTGCGGATATCTGATTGCATGCCAGTTGCGAAGACGATGTAGTCAAACGGAGGCGGCGAAGGATCCTCTCTCGACGGAAACGGAGTCGGACACTCATCCTCGCTGTACTTTGACGGGGGCGGAGGGCAGCACCGCAAGCTCGTTCTCCACGTCCGCGCCACCGGGTCCCACGAGACAGAGTCAAGCGTGGTATACGTGTGCAAGCTTACCCCGCCAGCATTGACGAGCGAGTTCAGGATCTTGCGGTACCGCGGGGTGATGCTGCCGCCGTTGCGGGCCGAGAGGTACATGTCCAACCTCTCGTCGTCCGAATCCGCACTCCAGAACTCGGCCTGCTTTACGTTTCTGAATTTCCCGACCCATTCGAGCCCGATGTCGAAGTATTTCACTTTGACGGCGCCGCGCGTGAGCAGCCAGACTTTTGAAACGCCCTTTTTGAGCGCGAGGTCGGCGAGTTGCACGCTGGTTAGGCCGCCGCCTACGATGAGCACGTTTGTTGCGTTTCCGCGGTTGATTTTGGCTTCGAGAGAAGGTGGCGGGAAGCGGGGGAGGTGCATTGCGTGGCTGAAGCCTGGATGCCGCGTTCCAGATGGTAGACCGCGGATTTCGGGGACGTGCGGTGCGTTGCCAGGGCCGATTGCTAGGACGACTGTGCGCGCGTAGTGCACGCCTTTATCGCTTGAGATTCTGAAGATCTTGGACGGCGCAGAGGATGTATTGGAATCGAGATCGAAAGAGGAGGAAGAGATCACGCTGTCGTGTTCCGCGCCGTCATCATTATCATCATCATCTCGGAGCACATCGACCTCGTCAAACGCAATATCAACAACCTTCTCCTGCCGAACCAGCTTCTCCCCACAGAGACCATAACATCTCGCTACATCCTCGCAATGCGCGCGGAACACAGAAGTAGAAGGCGTGAAGTAATCCTTCCGATCGCGCTCGTCGATGTCCGGCCCACTCTGCGATACTCTCCCCCCGCCACCGCGGGCTTGTAAACGCTTCTTCTTGCGGTGTTTGCTGACTTCTTTCCCCGCGCAACCGGGGAGGCATTGGAGTTCGCTGGAGCGGTTCTGCGCGTATGCGTATGCGAGGAGGGCGTCGCGGTCGGAGGGGTCGATGTGGAAGAACATTGGGCTGCGGAGGTGCTTGATTCCGAAGAGGGAGAAGAGACGGTCCCATTTCGTCATCCATTGGTCGCCGTCGGCGTCGAGGACTAGCATGTCTAGTTTGCTCGGAGGAGAGGGGGCAGAGCGCGGGAGTTGGTCTTTGTTTTTGCGGCGGTTGCGGAGGGGGATTTTTGAGCCGTGTTTGCGGATCCCTGGGTTTGTGGAAGGAGGTTGTAGTTAGAATGCTGGATTTGAGGGATTTGAAAGGGGGAGTTACAGTGATATCTTTGGTGTTCGTCGTCGGTGAAGGTTGCGGATGGCGTGTGTTCGTGAAGTCTTGCTGCGATGGCGAGGCCGCATGGACCGGCGCCCACTATGAGGACGTCGTGGATGTGCATGTTGGAGGACGCTCAGTGATGCAGAATAGAGAAATAGCTGTTTCGTAGAATTGTAAAGGTCCATGGCATCGTGAGTATTTAAGGTCTGGTTAGAGTTCTTCCGCACACCATGATGGCTTACCTGCCAACAAGGTACTAACCCCTAATTATGCTTCATCTCAGACCTCACTCAACACCTGCGATAGTTCATCGCGAAAGTGAAATCTATCGCTGTTTTTTTTTTGTGATGGGATTGAAGCTCCTTCTCGATCAACACCCTCACAGAGCTGCCACCTCCTTGAAACTGAACAACCCCCTCCCCGTTTTCGCATCGTGTACAACCCGTCCCTCTCTCCCCACGACCTCTGAACCGCTACTAGCCAAAGCCCGCAGAGTGTGTTCGTCAGCGTGATTAGCAAGGACGCGTTTCCCGTTCTTCTTCAAGCGCGCAACAATATGGCCACGCAGCGGGCTAGCGTTGCGGTGAAACTCAACCGTATAAGTCTGCAAGTTGCACAGCATATCAGCATCCATAACCCGAAGTGAGAGAAACGCAGAATAAGGAAGAGAACAAGAAGAAGAAATAGAGAAAGTCCAAACACATACCTCAATGATAACATCCCCCTCGGCGTCTATCCCTTCCGCAACATCAACTTCATCATACCCCAATTCCTCCAGCGGGTTATGATCCGTATACCCGCCCCCAACTCTACCATCAGTCCCCAACACGATAGCAAACTGATAAGTCATCATACCACCGTTACACAAGACCAATCCTTTCTTTCCCTTCCCCTCGCGCAATGCACGCGTCATACCGGTGAGAGCATGCATACTATAATTATTCCCCGCGCCGCCGAAACTCGTAAGCCCACCCAACAGCGTAAGCGATTTCTCGCCGCGGATGATTGGAAGCCCGAGATGGTGCGCTGCTAGTTTGGGCACGATGGGGAAGCAGGAGTAGATGTCTAGAAGGTCGATATCTTGGATAGGGGTATGTGAGATGTCGAGGGCGGAGGTGAGTGAACGGGATAGAGCTGGGGAAGTGTGGAAGGAGGGGCGAGTCCAGAAGTTTGGTGCGTCGGAGGTTCCTGCGCCTCCAAGAGGGTAGATCCATTTTGAGCAGGGGATGGAGAGGGATCTGGCATGGGAGGCGGTGGTTAAAAGGAGGGCTGAGGCTAGGTTGACGGCGTTGAATGCGTTCATCAGGAGGGGGTCTGGTATCACGGGCCATGAGTTATGAATGAATTCTCGAGTTTAGGGCAAGAGTGAAATGGAAAATAAGTAGAAAAATTGCCCTTACACGGTGAACATATCAATCTGTTACTCTTGGATATTGTTCCAATAGTCTCCGCATCATCATACTTTCCATAATTCCAGGCATACTCATTCTTGGAAGCGATTTTGGAAAACTCCGCGTAAAGCTCCGCGCTTTCCTCGTGGTTCTCTTTCGGGGATTGACCTCTCTGCGCCCGGAAGGCGTTCTCGTACATTGGGTAGACGTGAATCGGTGCGCCAACCTTGTGGATAGCACCCAAATCTGCCCCGAATGTGAGTGGATAGTAGTCGGGATGAGGGAGGTATAACTTACTTTTCACCCCCAGTGTCCTCGTAGTAGGCGAGAAAACAGCCTCAACAGCCTCCGCAGGCGTCGTCCATCCAGGCGGGGGAAGCTGTTCTGCCTTCGCATACGCCGATACTACAAGTTCCATCGTCATTAGCATGAAGCAAACCCAACACTCTTATTTCCAAAGATAAGCACCGCATCCCCCCAAACCTCCGCCAAAGAAACCCCAGGCAATCAGAGAAACGAAAAGCAAAACTCACAACTCGCCAACGCCTCCCCCCCACAAACAACCGCAATCTTACACTCCCCCCTCGCCAGCCTCCTCGCAGCCATATCAAGCAACACCCCCGGCTTATCCCCTCCATGCTCCGAATACGCCTTCCACTTCACCCTATCCCCCTCATCTCCTTCGGAATCTTTCAACTTCTCCGCCAACGCCCCGGGCAAATCCTCATAAGGCCACGTCCACGTCCTCACGACATCGACGCTATCAATCCCACTTTTCAGTGCTGCATGTGCACCTTCCGAGGCGCCGAGGGAGGCATCGTTGATGGCGCCCAGAACGGCGTCGTGGATCAGGGTTAGAGGTTCTTTTGCAGCTGCGAGATCGGTTGCCGAGTGCTTGTTTTTGATGTCGCAGATGCCGATGATGATTGGGGTTTCCAGGGGAGGGGAGGTAGTCATTGTGGGGGAACTGATTAGACAGATGTATTTTGTTGGGGCGTCAGACCTAAAGGGGAATCTCTGGGTGGAAAATTGAACTTTTTCTATTGTCGTGGATGATTGTTTCCCTGTCGGCGTTTGTGGTCGTTGAGACGGATGGATGGTGAGTTGACGACGATGGCTATGCGCCTGGTCAGCTCTGCGGAGATGTTGCTTCCCTTTCCTCGATCATGGAATGTCCTGCAATCAGCGAGACATCAGCAGTTTGGAAGAGCAGTCAGTAAGCGAGGAAAACATATATGAGGTAGCTATCTAGTTCACGAAGCGTGGAGAGTCGTTGTGGGGAAGTGCAGTGTCGCGAAGATCTGGGGTCGGTCGTTGGTTTTACCGAGGTTGAACGACACGAGAGCGCAGGGGTAGCTCTAGTCAGCTAATAACATCTCGTGTACCTCGCATCCTCTCTGATGGACGGCTGCCGCATCTTCTGGCACAGTGTATTCTATCGTTTTACGAAGATGAGTATATACCTCATCTAATAACGCTGTCATCTTACATCTTGCCCTGGCTGCAATCAAACAGTACGTGTACAGGCCTACTCTCACCAGTTGTTGCTGAGGAGCTGACTTCGCGTTTTGATAAGACCTCCCTATTTGCTATCTACCTTGATCCTTTTCATCATTATTATACACATAGAGAGCGAATGTGGACATCGATCACTATATACAACATACGATTATTTTCCGCCATATCTACGTTATCTCGCAACATCTATCGAATGCCATTATTCATTTGCAAACCCTTTCCATCGGATTGCCATTCAGCGTGCCCAGAGTCTATATTGACAGTTGACAGGAGAAAAAGAAAGGTGGGTCATGTGTGGAAAGTGGTCAGACAAAAAAAAAGAAAAAAACAGGAGAGCACGGGGTATCCCAGAATGCAGCTAAGACAAGGAAGGAAAAATGAGCCATGTCGAACAAAAAGGAAAGAGAGACGGCTAGGCAAAAAAATAGACAGATGAAGTGAAAGACCGCGGTACCCTGTCACAACACCTTGTAGAGTTTCCAACAGCAGCAACAAAAGCTCTGCGTATCAAGGAAGCAGACGAGGACTCCAAACCATCACCGCTTAGCCAAGCAAACGTACAAAACACTAGGCTGCCCCACGCATGCTTTTAGGGAAACAGAGGACACAAGAAGGCCCAAAAGATAGCCACGCATCATGAGTCTTCCTCGCTTCCTTCGCCGCTGAAATAGCTCTGGTCGATCCTCAATATCCACTCAATCTTCTCTCTCTCGGAACGGGCACGGAAGATATAAGTATTACTTCGAGCAAATACAGCCCACACCGTATCGCCCATTGCGCCAGTGTTTCCGTTGCCGTTAGGATTGGCCGCGGCACCCGATAGAAGCCGAGCTATTTGCGGCGAGTGGTCCACACGCGCATTGGTTAGATTGATGGCGTTCAGTTCGTCTCCCTCGGCGCTGTACACGTGGAGATAAGGCCGTCGCAGCTCAACAAATCGTCGGATCCATCGCGTGTTGGTCGGATCTGGCGTGAGTAGATAGCTAGATTTTAGGCAGTCTGGGTTCTTGGGGACGAAGCGGACGGTGGCGACGAGACTAGGGCGCTCACGAGAGCTTGATAGGGAGCGATTGCGTGGTGAAGGCGAGGGTGAGCTGGGTGCAAAAGCAGCACCATTTGCTGGTGGCTCTAAATTGGTAGCATTAAGGATGATTTCGGCCGGTTCCTTCTTGGTCTTCCATAGTGCGACGACGCGGTTGAGAAGAGCAGTTTGCTCTTGTGTGAGTGTGGCCGAGGCTGGGAGCGGTGGGGGGAATGTGGATAGAGCGCGCGAAGAAAGAACAGAGCGTGCAGTTTCGATATCAGAAGTACGCTGGCGACGCTTGAGAAGTGCAATGTAGTCACGCACAAGGGAGACGCCGCGAGGGGTCCATCCACTGAGGTTTTCTTCGCCCTTGATGTAGTCATCTCGCGTGTTCATACGCCACAAATCTGTGGCGCGCTTCACGCTCGTTGGGCGGATGGCAATGCTGAACACGCCGACGGTAGAATGGATAACGCGATTTTGAGACCAGAGGCTCGAAAGATTAAAGAGAGACGTGGGGCGGAGGTAGGTGCGTGAACGAATTTGCAAAGCGAGATCAAGGCTGAAGAGCATGGGCTCGGAGAGCTTGGCCGAAGTAACGTTGAATAACAGATTTGCCTGCACACGGTACTTGTCGGGTGTTGCTCGGTCCAGTAACAGGGAACTGTGCATGGAGGAGTCCCATTGTCCGATGAATGTCACATTAGTAGTTCCATCTGCATTGTTCTTGACCACCGGGGCTGAGGTGAGTTTGACAGGCACTTCTCGTACTGGGCTGCTGTCCAACCCTGGAGAGTTACCCGAGGCGTCGATGAGCCGGATTCGGCCTATGCGCATGGATGTGACGTCTTCCCATTGTAGGGTGTCTCCGCATGTGTGGGTGAGATTGACTACAACACGGCGTTGTAGACCATGGTGCAATTGGTAGACACCAGCGTCCATGGCGCCGCTCTGTATAACCTCCACCGGGAGATATGTGCCGTCCTCGGATATCTCTTGAACCTGTATCCGCGAGAAGATGTCGTGCGAATCCTCCGTGTAAAATTCTGATTCCGGTAATCTAGCGTTCTTACGTTTCTGCTTGGGTTTGGGGGCAGAGTCCCGCATGTCGTCCCAACTCAACAGTTTATCAAGGTGCATAGAGGTGACCTTGGCAAATAGGGATACGCGCAAGAAGGTGTTTCGAGGACTGGGGTATGGAAGACTCATGCTGTGCACGCTTTCAAAGCGTATCGGGCTTTCGTCAAAATCGGAAATGATCTGGGTAGTAGTAGCACCGCTCTCATCTGATATACCGGGAACAAAGAGCTGTGCATGCACTTGCGTGCCTTCTCGTTCAGGGAAGCCGACCATGTCATGCATAACCACATTGAACTTCAAGGTCGTCGAAGGAGCTTCTGCTGATGATGGCTCCATGGCCAGCCGGATTATGCCAATCACATTGGTAGTGTATGGTGAGATTACATCGAGACTGAAATCTTGTACGCGAGACTCGAATACGGCAGCCAGCGGAACGTCAACGTCTCCTATACGGGAGAATTCGGGCATGCAGGGCTCAGAGAAAGGGTTCTCGAGCGAAAAGTGTTGAAGATATTCCGGCCGATTCATGTATTGATGAACCTGATGCATAACACGAACGCGGAATCGTAGCTTCTGAAGGGACCAGAGATGTACGACTTCATTCTTGAAGTCAACCACACGCACACCAACGCAGGGTTTTGGTGTACTTTCCAAGTACAGGTCGTCCTCGCCAGGTATGCCATTAAGAACAAGGTCATAAGAGGAAGGAATGTTATGCCCGACGTCAACGATGCAGAACTGAAAAACGACATGCTTGTCCATTTGCTGGCTCATCACTTGAGCTTCTTTCAATGTGGCTGCGTTTTGCAAGATTGTTTCGGCCATGGTTACGAACTTGCGGGACCTCCAATGCTGAAAGACGTGCTTGACCAGCTCGAGCTGCTTTTCTGATGGCTGTTCTGGATTATGGCCATTGGTAACTGGGTCTTCTGGTGGTGGTTCGTGGCCGAGCTCCTTGAGTTGTCGGTGGAACGCTTCCTTCTGCTCTTGTAGCTGCTTTTGCATCTCTTGCTTTGCCGCACGGAGGGATTCTTCCATGGCGGCCTTTTCCGTCCTGATTTCACCACTCTCTGCGCTGATGTTTTGTTGTTGTGATTTGAGTCTGGCAGTGAACTCTTCCTTTCGCTTTTCCAACCTGTCCTGCATGTCTTCGCGAGCTTGTTTCATGCCGTCGTCTTCCTCCCCAAATTGTGGCGTTGAAGGCATGGTCAACGCAGTATCCAGGGAGAAGTTGTCTATTGTACCCGTCGATGCGTATTTTTCTCTGACGGGAAACGAGCTGACGGATTCCATATCTTCCTCGGCATCATACAATCGACTCTCCGGTCGAGACTTGCGAGTAGCGCGAAGTTTTTGAAGATCATCGAACAACGTGTCAAATTCTTCGTCGGATAATGACGCGATTTTTTGATCGGATGCTGTGGAGCCTAGCAGTACCGTCACGGCTTCTCTCCTGGCAAGAGACCAGTCTGAATCGCGTCCCCGTCCAAAGTAACCCGGTGATGCGGCCCTGCTAGGACTTTCCGAATCAAACTCGGAGTTTGCAATGCTCACTGTGCTGTAGGATCTGTCGTGGCCGTTTGGTCTGGGCGAAGGGGAGTTGAGCTGGCTGGGTGTGATGGAATGACGAAGTAGACTAGAGCCGATGGGCCCGACTGGCCCATTCTCAGCACGTTCTGCACGGGCTTCTTGGGGATTGTTGAAACGAAATATATGGAAGTCGCCGAGGATGATGCGGAAACCACTCCGAAGTCGTTTGGGCTTGTCTATACGGATTCCGTTGACCATGATGCCCGCACCATCCTTTGGAATCACTGTGACGGCACCATCTACGTTTTCAAAGGTGCAGTGCTCGTGCAAGATTTGTGACCCCGTTAGCCGCACGTCTGCTGTTTGTCCTTCAGTATCTACGTTTCCAACTGTGGTGCTGCCAGGTTTGAGGTTGTACACCAGACATTCAGCGAGGAGCGGATCGTCACTAAGATTGACCAAATGAGGCATCTTTTTAGGCGTGGAAAGACCGACCGAGCCTTTCTCAATGGTGATACCAAGTTCCTCCAAAGCAGCCTCTCGCTCTTTTTGAATTTCCTCAGTCTTGATCATCTTCTCCTCCCAGGTTTGGTTCAGATCTTTGTATAGCTTCTCCGACTGGTCCAGTTGCTCCACAATCTCAGCTTTAGACACCTTCTTAACGGTTCCATCTGGCTGCGCGATCGACACCATTTGTTTCTCCAAAGGTGTGTCCGGTGCGTACTGTTCCTCGACTGGGCCGCCAGCGCCACCGCCGCCTAGTTTAGACCGAAGCTGCGCAAGTTCTTCCTTCAACTCGCGGATCATGCGCGCATTAGGGTCTTCGTTGACTACGGCATGGTTCTTGATGCGCTTGGCAGAATCGGCATAACGAAGCGTGGATAGAGTTTCCTCGAAGTTGATGTCGGCCGGAGAGATGGCAGCAATCATAGCCGTCAGACTATTTCCTCCTAGTGAGTCCTTGAGCAGCCACGTGAGAATCGAATCTCGATACGGCACCTGGCCGGCCTTTTTCTTGCCCATGGAGATATCGGCAAGCGACGCGATGACACGACCGAGTGTGGACAGCGATCTGTTAATTTCGGCACCCTCCTTCAATCTTGCGCCGGTCGCACCAGTCGACTGGGCTCTTTCTGAACCTGCCAAATCGACCAAACTAATCTTGGCGACTTTTTCCCCACTCATACTGGTCTCCATATCGTGACGCTTCTGGGTCAGTGTCAGGGTAAAGACGGCGTGGGATCGAGAGGACGTCTCGTTCATGTTGGTCGCGGCGACGGTACGGGCCTTGTTACCCTCATCCATGAGATTCTCAATCTCGGGGAAGGAGCTGACGACCAGCTTGGCCAAGTCTTCGACGTAGGGACCCGTGGAAGGATGTTCTCGGACCTTGAGGTTCCCTTTGGTGGAAGGATTGAGCAGATCGCGAACCTTTTCATTGTAAATTTCCAGATACGAGACCTCTACGGTGCAGCTCAGATTCGGATCCTGCTGCATAATCTTGATGCGCTCAAACATGTCTTGGCAAATCATAGGGATGATACCGGCATCCTTGCCGTAACCCATCATGGAGTAGGACTTTCCCGAACCAGTTTGTCCATAGGCAAAAATACAGTTGTTGTAACCACCAAATGCATTATCCAAGAGCGGTTTCCCCAAGTCGTCGAAGAGATTGGACTGGCCGGCATAGTTAGGGGCGGCGCGGTCGAAGGACCAGTAGGACTTGTCAAAGGCGAATGTTTTGGTGCCCTCCATGGCAGCTTTAGCAGCCTTGCCCTTGATCTCGGCGCCGGCGGGGGGCGAGAGGATGGTCTGGTCCCCATTCATCTTGACGATACATTGCGCATTGCGGGCGTTTTCTACAGGGCACGCAGGGATCAGCGACAGTATGTGGAAAGGGATACATTGGATCCTCACCTCTGCTGTTGAAAGGGCGACATCGCACCACGACCTTGATGTTTCCCCCTCCTGACGCCATGGTGCTGGTGGTGGCAATGGCTCGCCCGGCCTGATCGGAATCCTACGAGAGATGTGATCGAAGCGTGGCCTGGCTGATACGTAATGATTGGGTGCGGTGTTGTTGCTAGTAATCGGGATATGGACGTGTACGTGGTGGCTTCATGGCATGGCAAGCCGTGGTAGGCAGTCTGAGAGAGCGTCGTCGAGGAGTAAAGGAGGTCGTCGGATGGGGAGGAGTGGATACGGGGGAGGGGGGTTGTTATTGTTGATTGAATGCACGAGATGACGGCCAAAAGTTGAGATTGCGCCTACGCGAACCCTGGCCAGCTCCAGGGACACCCCGGAGCTTCCACCCGTCACGTGCCTTCCACTCGACCTAGGCAGGGCTGATTCGCTTAATTGCTTTCCGCATCCATGACTGTTTCGGAACGTTGCCGTGAACCCTCAAAACGTCCGTCTCATCGCACGCAACATCCATCAGCTGCATATATTCTCTTGTATATGCTCAATCTGGTAGGAAAAGAAGTTCAATGGCTGACGAAATGTTCGCTCCTCCTGTCAACCGCGCCATGAAGGTGCTTGACCGCGCCTTCTTCAAAAAAACCGTTCCGACCTCGGTTGCCCGCATCTTCAACACCAAAGACATCTCACGATGTCGCAAAGAACTCGACCGCGCACGCGACACTCTGCACCGCCCACATATCCAACCCGTCATTCCCGACCCTGATTCTGATCGCGCCCGCACCGGGAACAAATGCCTCGTCCTGCGCCCTGAAATCCTACCGTCCGACAAAACCACATGGAGCGACAAGCTACAGGAGCTAGAACAGGATGGCACCTTGGGCGTCATCCCGTTCGACTTGAAGCTTGACTATTCCCATTTCTCGTACCTAGAAATTATGAATGCCATTCTACCGCTGCCCAACCCAGACGAGCGCGCCGACGAGATCCCCACGGCCTTCACGCGAGCTGGTCACGTCGCCCACCTGAACCTGCGCGAACGCTATTTCCCCTACAAGCACCTGATAGGCACTGTCCTCGCCGATAAGAACGATACAGATGTACGTACCGTCATCAACAAGGTCGAGCATCTCGGCGCCGAAAACAAATTCCGCGTCTTCCCCTATGAAGTTCTGTACGGCCCCGACGATCTCAACGTGACGCTACGCGAACAACACTGTACCTTTCAGTTCGACTGGGCCAAGGTATATTGGAACACACGTCTCCAAGGCGAGCACGAGCGCGTATGCTCTCAGTTCAAGGAAGGAGAGGCCATCTGCGATGTCATGGCCGGCGTGGGTCCCTTCGCTGTCCCCGCTGGAAAGCAAAAATGCTTCGTCTACGCAAACGACCTGAACCCCGACAGCTACAAAGCCCTCGCACACAACGTACCTCTGAACAAGATTACCGATTTCGTCAAAACCTTTTGCACCGACGGCCACGACTTCATCCGCACCTCAGCAGCCGACTTGCTCAAGGACAATCACAGCATCACCCTTTACGAGAAGAAAAAGAAGTACTCCCGCTCCAACCCCGAGCAAAACACGCCACCGAAGCCCATCAAAACACTCGTCCAACCAAAGACTTTCGCGCACTACGTCATGAACCTCCCCGCTTCCGCCGTCGAATTCCTCGCCGACTTTGTCGGCTTGTACTCTCGCATTCCAGGTCTTCCAGTTGACGAAGCCCGCAAATTATTCACTCCACATACTGAAACGAAGCTACCCATGGTTCACGTATATTGCTTCGCTACTAAGAATGACGAATTTGGCGCTCAGAAAGAAGTTTGCGAGACCATCAGCAAGTACCTTGGTCACACCATGACGCCCGAGACGGAGGAACTGCACATTCAAGACGTTCGGGAAGTCAGCCACACGAGAAGCATGTTCTGTGTGAGTTTTAGACTGCCCAAGGAAGTCGCTTTTCGGGAATGAGTTGCTGACTCAAGAGCATTTTCTTCCCTTACTTTTCTTCCTCTCCACGAGCATCCCACGGAGATCACGTCTCCAATAAAATGTCCTTCTTCATATTGTCATATAGTTGTTAAACATACAAAAAGCGAATAGAACTCGATACCCCCCCTCTCTCTCTCTCTTCTTTCATTCTTTTAGAGACAAGATACTTCTCTCCTTGCATCCGGTAGCCGGCTCTCGAGACTTTATGGTACTACTACCAAGCACTTCCCGCCCCCAACTAAAGATCATACATCTGTCCCGTTCCGGCTAGCGCGGCTCGCCCTATAACTGAGTCTTTTGCCACGGCGGACGAACACGAAGGACAGAATAGGTACTCAGCACATTCTGTCGTGCGAGTATTGGGATAAACTCCGGTATACATTTCCATGCGATTTAGGAAGATCCAAAGCTTGACATGATAGAGTTTTTCCGTTTCAGTACGTTTCGTGACTTTGTGTGGGCGTTGACTTCAAGCACTCGGACGAAAATCGGTGTTAAGTACCATGCCTCGGGGGGAAATGCGCCTACAGCTAAATACCATAACTTCTGGGGGAGTGAAATAGTATGAAACCCTACGGTATTATTCGTCCATTGATAGGGTGAATGTCTTAAAGCCGAAGATGACGGACGGAGAAAATTCGATGTTGTTTGACTAGCTTACTGGTGGCTATATGTACAGCTGATGTTCGCCTAACTTGAGGATATGCAGAACAGATGTATGGGGATATCTGATGCACGCCTAATTCGACATCCACGCAAAACGTTATATAAAGATATCATACTCTGATTGTCAACTCACTTTCGCCATCTCACCTCTCCGCCGAACCATCTATCCGTTGAAACGAAACATCGAAAAGACAAAACCCATCAACATCAACCACCGTCCCTCCAACTTTTCCCTCCCCAGAGAGAAGGAAACCCAAAAAAAAAATGCACATCCTCCTCACAGGCGCAACCGGCCACATCGGCCACGCAATCCTCCAAACCCTCCTCTCCCACCCTTCAACAACCCACATAACAACCCTAACCCGCCGGCCCTTCACACCTCCCACCCCAACCCCAAAACACACCAACATAGTCCTAACGACTTTCTCGACCTGGCCCGAAGAAGTGCTATCGCAGATCAAAGACGCAGACGCCATGATCTGGGCAATGGGAGCCTCCAACGCCGACGAAGCCGTAAACTACGAGTACCCCGTGGCGTTCCAGGACTCGTTCCTCGCCGCCCTCAACAACAACAACAATACTTCTAAGAAAGACAATAAGAGGTTTAGGTTTCTATACCTTTCTGGCGCGCTCGCGGAATCTGCTCAGGATACTTCGCTGTATTTTTTGGCGGCGGCGCGGAAGGTAAAAGGGCGGACTGAGACTTTTTCGCTCGAGTTTGCGGAGCGGAATAGCAGGTTTTGGCGGACGTGGGTGTTGAAGCCCGGGGGTGTGTATAAAGAGGGCAGCTGGGGGGAGTACGCGAGTTGGGGGCTGCCGAAGAAGTTGGGGAGTGTCGGGTGTGAGGAGTTGGCGGCTTTTGCGGTGGATGTTGCGGTGAAAGGGGGTGAGGAGGAGGGAAGGGTTTTGAATGAGAGGATTGTTGGACGGGGGAGGGAGGTACTTGGACGGTGATTGGGAACAGGAAGGGGGAGAATTCTTGTTTACTTTTTTTTTCTCTTTCTTCTGCAGGTTTGGGGGGTTAGAGATGAGTATATAAGAATGGCTTTTGTCATTCGCGCTGGAATGGAATTAGAGTGGAAAGTCGGAGGAGCGGATTTTCGATGAGATAGTTGATTGTATGTACACCAGCACTTCTCGCAATGTTCCCCCTCCTGTTTTCTCAATATATATACTAAACAAGGAATCAAGACTACCGCAAAGTCCAGCTACCAAACACTCTCTTTAATGCTCCGGCTCGTCAACCCCCCTCTCAACCCCATGCTCAACAGCCCAATCCCGAATCTTGTCAAAATTCCTACACATCCTTGGACTCGAATAATCTGGCCAAGGGTCCCCATCATTGAACGGAAACCGGAACGGGAAAACATTAGTATCGCCTTGGCACATGACAAACTGCCTCAAAGCATCGATACAATGATCCAAATGGCCGTGGAGATCTTCCGGCTCGGCAGCAGTGTCGCCGCCGAGCGGTGCGTAGTGGGCTTTGTGGTTCGCCTGGCGGAGCAGATTGAGACAGTGCAGTTGGTGGAAAACTTCGATTGCGACGCGGTAGCCGTGGCGGCCGGTTTTGGGGTCCGTGACTTCGAGCGCACCTGTGGGGTCCATGTTCATTTTGAGGAGCTCGGATTTGGTGACCATTGTGTCGGGGACTGGAGCGCGACGGGTTAGTGTTCTGGGTGTGGGAAAGGAAAGCGAGGGAACGTACTGCCGTCTGTTGCCCACTCCCACATTGCGTCTACGTCGTCGCCTTTGCCTACGAAGGGGCCATCGGGGATGGGCGCGAGATCAAAGTGTTTGATTTCGTATTTGATGGCTTCGTTGACGGGTGCTATTCATCGGCTGGTCAGATCTGGAGTCTTGATATTGGCATCGCGCAGATGTGTTTACTCACACCACGTGGTGGGCACTTTTGTGACATTTTCCGACGCTCTGCTGCACATGGTGACGGCGAAGAGTGTGACGGAAACGGAGAACATGGCAGTCTGTATGATCCACGCTATGTTGGAGTTTGCGATACTTCGCAGCGTTCTCCGTTTATTCGTTCTCCATTCGAACTTCTCGTCGGAACTGTGATCGGTCGATGTATCGCGGCTTGCGACTGCGTCTTCCTCGACCGGAAGGGGTTTGTACATTTGAGACATGATGTCTCGATGGAAAGAAAAAACAGACCGCGCGAAATAAATATATTATATGTAGAGACAATAAAATGCACGCCAGGTGCAGCAAGAAATGAACAGAAGAAGTGAAAAGTGAAGATAAGTGAAGAAAGGAGGAAGAAAGAATGAAGGAAACAAGTCGAAGAAGTGCCTTGGGGGGAGGTGGTGACAGTTTGTATGATCGCCGTAGGTCAAACTGGTGGCGACGCGAGATGTTTCATCTTGGCTGTCCTCGCGGAAGGTAGACGCGGAGTCCTCGGCGCGTTCAGGGCAAGCTACCTATCACACTGCATCGTTGCATCTGAAACATAAGCGCATCGTCAAACACAGCACTTGCAGTTTTCCTGACGGGTTAACTGTTCATTGAGGAAGCGAGCTTATGTTGAAGAAGCATCTCTTAGCCCTGAATGCTTAGTATACATTTGTATGTAAACGGAAATACACTAGCCCTTTATAGGCTAGCGCATTCTCTCTTGATTGTTGATCATGATGATGGTGCTTGTTCATATCCGATCCATACTTCTGTCCCACGGTTTACAGTTGGAATGATAATATCTAATTTTATGAGTGAAGTTCTGAGTTGAAGAGAATTGGACAGTCTTTGTTGGCTTGCGCGAGCAGATAGATGGTGGATTGAGGCTACGGTGTGCTTAATCATCGTAGATTCTGTCACCATCGAATCAAACAGTCATATGGAGTAGTTGCAGAAAGAGCTTGTTTCTCGAGCTGAATAGATATGTACAAGCAACAGAAGAGCCTGCTGGATTGGAACTTTGAGTACAAAGAATTACACTATCAAAGTACCTAGATACTAAGCAGCATCACCAACAGAGCGTTCCAAGACTTTTACAAGCTTTCCAGTCTGCGAGAGCATTGGAAAATGACCAGCGTCGATAGTTTCCACATTGTCCAAACTGCAGTGATCCGATTTCTTGGCAAGATTGATCTGGTACTCTGCAAAGGGTACACCAAATGATCGATCATCAGTACAGACTACATAGGTGGAGGGAATATCACGCCAGCCAGCGTAAGTAGACTTGCTCCAAAACACTCCAAGACTCTGGGGTAACGTTTTGGATGCCCAATACTCGGCCTCCTTCTCAGGAAGGTCATGAAACCATACCGCTTTTGCGTCCTTCTGATCCACGGTAACGGTGTTGTTCTATCTGATATAAGCAAAATATTACGTGGTTTAGTCAGACTCAAATTACCTCGAGATCGCATTTCATGAAGTCCCGCATGCCTTCTGTTGATCCACGTGGAGCCGGTTGATATCCCTCGGAAACCATGAAAGCCATGATGAAGATCAATCGAATAACACCCCCTCGGAGGCCTTCGGTTTCACGATCCTTCTCTGCAAGACTATAACCGTCAACTTTGACCTTTGGTCATACAAGCTGGACAACATTGAACGTACCCCTTCACAGCTTCAGCTCCAGGCTGACCACTGTATGAATGAAGAACTAGGACAACATCACTACCTTCTTCAACCAATTCATCCAGTGTAGCTTTTATTGCCTGCACATCTTCTGCAAAGTCGTAGGTGACAGGATTACAGCCCACCGAAGGAAGTGCGACTTTGCGCGAATGAAAATCACCCTTCTGAAGAATTGAGATCACACCATTGTAATACTCCGGGGTATTCCAAGCTCCTGGCACGAACACAAAAACTGGCTTAGACATATTGAGTGTGGTGAAGGGAGGTGTTGGGTGTTGAAAAGTCAGAGAAGTGTGGGGACAACGGGCGAGGGGGACTCTCAGACACTGAAAATTTTCAAATCAGTGAATTACTATCAAGCATGTATACTTCGTAGAGCTACAGTATTAGTATGACCCCTGGAGAAGTTGGTTTGCAGCCTTTAGATTGATATTATTATTATTATGATTTTTATTGAACCCGTGATTGAGGACTGCGGCGTGGTGAGTTGCGTGTACATTACCTCCAATAGAACAGAAAAGCCACTCTATTGCAGAAAACACCAAGAGACTACTTGTTCTCTTGCCTCGTATGTGCGTTGTCATCTACACTAGGGTCCAGAATCAGCGCAGGTCGTAATAGTTAGGCAATTAGGCAAACCTACAGGGGTTCACTACAGATCCAGTGCATCGGTATGTCAGCAACGCGCTATCATCCAACCTCACCGGTGAGAGTGACTGCAGCCAGCCAGCCGGCTGAACATCTCACCATCCATTTCATGTCGGTCCGTTTGCCAACTTGAACGCTTGTTATTCAGGTGAAATGATTTGCCTTGTGGCACACGACATCCATGCGCTTCAGCCAACCCGAGGCAATAGATTAATCTACAACACGTCGAAGAGCCCTCCTGATTGAAATCAAACTGCCGGTCAACTTTGATATCCCGCGATCCTTATTCGACCCCCCAAAGCTCATCATTTTCAGCCAAGCGTGCATCAACCGTAGTTATCTGTGATGAAGTTATGTCTGTTAACGGATATAGACGATCATGTAAGCGGGACCAATGGTGTTCATCAGGGAAAGCCTCTTTCGAAAATCCTAAAGGAGTTGTCGTTGAATGCTCTATCGTAGAAGACGAGCCTTTAAACATGGACACAAAGGCGGTTTTTAGAATGATCTTTACCCTTGAGATACTTGGAGACATGATTGGAACACATCCTGCGACGATTCCCAGAGTAGGCTCTAAAACCGTAAATGCCGTGAGGAGTGATCCAGTGTACGTAAGGTCCTCGTAATTTATCTTTTCAATGTAGATTACTCGCATGATAGTAATTGCGAAGATACTGAAGGGAAGTGGTTAGTGACGATGAAGGAACGTGCAATTTAATATCTCTGGAGAACGTGGTAATCGCGTGAACAGTTAGACTTACAAAAACCCCAGACCGAACAGAATAGTAAGTGTTATCTTCTTTCGCAGACTCAATTGAAGCTTCCAGAAGACGGGAAGTGGCAGTACGATTAGAATAAGGTCAAAAATGACCCCTAGGATACTGGTGATCAACCAAAACGCATGATAATTGCCGCACTTGCCCCCTGGAATGGTACGGTCCCAATTATAGGCTACTGGCTGGCATATCAGAGCGCATGCGATAATCGTCGCAACTCCATTCAAAGCCAATATAACCATCATTACTAGACAGATTATCTGGATGGTTCTATCGGGAAACAAGGTGTAATAGAACTGGGCAATCGACAGCCTTACGCAGGTGGATGACGCAACCCATAGGATCGAAAAGGCTAGTACCAACTGTCTTCGTCGGTATCTTATTCTAACTCGATTAATGGTGGAAAGATACGTTTAGATCAAAGATCGGAATAGTGAGATCCATCTTGAGGACGTCAACGACATGGACTCCATGTTTCCCTTTCGTTGCGCACATGTCGGCAGACACAACAAGCCCAAGCACAGTTGCCTAATCTTGAGGTTAGATAGAACATATGATGACGAGATTTAAACTGACATAGGCCACAAGCATTAGATGATCATTGGTCTGTGGATAGGCACCTTTTATTTGTCGGGACCATAGGCGAAAAATGATTGTGACGGTTGCCAGAAAGAGAGACGTTGTAGGCAGCCAATTGCGTCTTCTGCGGCAAGGTGTCAATCATCTTGTAGTGAGGTAAAAATGATCAGACTTTATGAACAGAGGATATATTGAGAAGTTGCAACTTTGTTTCCCGGCAGAGGTGGGAATCTCACAGACTAAATGCGACTTACGGCTCAGCCCGTTATGCACGCACTTCAATACGGGAGACCGATTTGCAAATCCCGGCATCTCGTAATCTCGTAAAGATTGCCTGATTTGATATTGACCCGTATAATATTTGCCCAGCGGTGCTGCGATGCTGTATAGTCTTGTAATAAAGCGGTACATGCATCAAGAAGTCAGATACCTCTATTATTTTGTCTTGACCATTCATCGAAGAAAAAATTCTACTTGCGAGAACGACGGAAGTCTCAGTCTCATCATATATCCTTTCGAGGTCTCGTCTCTTCAAGCGAATATCAGGCAAGATTTCGCGGCCAAATGTTGATGAAAACGCCTGACAATTACAAATAGAAATTTCCAATTCAGGAAAGAAAAACCTGGAAGAGTGATAATATTTACTACTGCAGCTATTCTATAGTGCGAGTGAGACCACGAAGTGGTAATGTCTCAGGCCGCATGAGCGCAGCTCATTTCCGCCATTCCGAGATGTTTTTCTTTTGTGGAATTTTCACGCTACTTTGACTAATGACAACACTTCGATGAACCCTGTCCCGAGGGAAAGAAACACCAGAATTCGGATCTCTGTGGGAGCCATACTCGTTGACGATACGATCCATCTCGTAAAGCTCTGGTCGTACCATTGGATCATCTGTTATATTGGTATATGGGCTTTTTGTCGCATACCCTGGGAGTGTTGATACCTTTGATAGGGTATAGCTTTGATTGTGGGACTGATGGGGGCTGATCCAAGGAAGCCTCACCGATCGCGTAGCCGAACTCGCCCTTTGACCTCTCTTATTTCTGTATAACTGTGCAATGTGAGGCATGCAGCTGGTGGATATTCCAATGCACATCTCCAATGTGTATATCAAGTAGACGTACGCGACGTGGTAGGTATAGTCCGACTGATCTTTCGTGATTCGATATTGATAGTACACCGATAAAGACGATGCGATGCAGCAACTACATGATCTGTCAGCTGGAAAAGCTGTGGAGACAAGCATACCAGCTTACACTAGTCCTGCCGAGAACATTGCACAAACTCCGATCTTCTTTGCGAAACTCAGTTGTAGATGAGATATAGCAATGAGTGGAAGAATCCAGATGTATGCGTCCGACACTAGACTGAAGGAAGCAGTAGGTATAGCAAGCTTGAATATCTGAAGATAACGCGGCCCCGCGAACGCCTCTGACCAAGTTTGTCCTGGCAATGGCGTGGTAAGAACTGTTTGAGCGACAAACATTGATATGTACCACGCCCAAATTAGTGTCAGACCAGCGTATACGCAGCTTCGAAGCCATGCTAACGGGTAAAACAGCTTAAGGTACATCAGAAAGAATATGGTCTTGATACATGGCCAGACCAGTTGAGAAGGCCCGCCAGTCAGGAAGCTCGTCTACATTACACCAAGTCAGCTCGATATAGACATTTCTCTGAGACTCGTAGCACCTGCCTTGGCGAGTTCGTCGGACTTTAGGTGAAGAATGGAGAGGTTGTACAGGTGTGTACCCCATCTGGATCTGAGAATGTCTAGTGCATCCATTAGTCATGAAGATTCCACTTTAAACAGCGGTGATATATACTCAAGCATACTACAACATAGTAGAAGACACTACCAAACAATGATGCGACCACCGCCCAGTCGTCGGGTGCCATTTTTTTCTTGATGCGTAACACAACATAGAAACGTAGAGTGACAAAGGTTAGCATTATCAACATCAAGATGCTGTTTGCGATGAGAATGCCATATCCCGCAGTGGGCGGATTAACCAAATTCGGCACCACACCGGGAGGCGGCACAGCAGCTGGTAACTACGCAAGTTGTTCTGGGGTCAATTTGCTGAGATCCATTGGAATCGGAGAGACCAAAAACGATTCGCGGTGAATTGTATTGTGTGGATGACTCAATGAGATTTAGACTGCAGTTATGTCAGATCGGGAGCCCCTTCCCCAGCGCCCTTATATCAGAACAAGGAATCAAGAAGCATCAACTTGTGAGAGCTCGGCTCATGTACGGACAACGATACCCAAACCGACAATTTAACGAGTGATCCATTGCTCCTGGAACACCCTCGTATTGATTTGATCGCCTTGATTTTCGGTAGCCGAGAGATAGAAACCACAAATATGCAGCTTACTTCGTAAAATAAGAGTTGGGTGGTCAGCTATGTTATCTGGCTGATGACGTAAGCAAGTGAATTGCGGCACGGCTAATTAGACGCATGGATTAGCACCATTAATGTGACGATTTCTTCAGTTCCATCCAGGCCCTCTTTTGAAGCATCGTATAATCACCTCAATCTCTGCAGCTCGGTATGGATCTCACATTACATTCTCTCGCGATACGACTCGTCTTTACTGCACTAAGTCTGCTGCTCTCATGGAGGTTTTGGAGGTTCTCGATTCGACCGAGGCTCAACCCTGATGAGCCCAAAGAACTTCCCTCATGGATCCCATGTAAGACACTGATTTTGAGACTAGACAGACGCATGATACTGATTTTTTGCAGTCATAGGTATACCTACCCCGAACTCTACAATCACTCGTTTGCTCAGAAGCTCAGGTCACGCTTTCAGCTTTTTCTCAAGTTTCAACGGTGCCATTAATAAGGGAAAGTCAGTAAGACCAACGGAATAAAGCTACAGTTGAAAAGCTAATCGGCTTCAGAGTATATTTCGCGCCCTCGCGGGAGCCATTTGCTGTGACAGTGGCAGGTCAGACGATCTATGTTGCGACTTCTGCAGACGATATTGGCTATGTCTGGAAGAATTCCAAATCGATCTCCCTTGATCCTATCACAATGGATATGTACATACTAGGAGGATTATCAGAGAAGAGTCGTAGAGTCATGTTTGAAAAACATGCGAGCGCTCGCTACAACTCGGGGAACGGTAGACCATTGACTCCTACAGAAAAGGTCATCGATTTGCATCACCAGCAGCTACACAAAGGTCCAAGACTGGATGATCTGATGGAGAACAAAACGATTCCCAGTATCTTCAAGGCGCTGGATAGTTGGGTTACAGATCACCGCTCTGATCGCGCGCAAGAATCTATGTTGATCTCATTGCATGATCTTTGTGTTCATCTCTTCATTGCCGAGGAGACAGATGCATATTTTGACCCCGCTCTACTCAAGAACTCGCCTAAACTCGTCAATGCCTTTCTTGACTGGGAGTATTGCAGCTGGAAGTTCCTTTTCAATCTGCCCAATGTGTTCGCACGAGACATGGTCAAAACGAAGAAAACAATCACAGATGCTTTTGCGGACTATTATCGCCAGCCAAAGAATGAACGCGAAGAATCTATATACTTCGTCGATGCTTTGGAGAGTATGCTGCGGGAGGTTGGTCTGACAGAAGATGAGATGGGGCATTTTACCCTTTTGCACTACTGGGCGTACGTTTACTTCAGATCCACTTGTCGATAGATACTAATATTGGGATAGAATTGTTGGAAATCTTTACAAGTTAGTTTTCTGGCTCGTTGCACATCTGTCGCAAGACCAAAAACTACTTGGAGAGATACGCAAGGAAGTGCTTCCGGCCGTACAAACAGAGACCGGAAAGATAGATGAGACACACCTAGACGAGAAATGTCCAAAACTCGAGTCTTTAGTCAACGAAACTCTACGATACACTGTTACAAGCTCGCTTGCCCGGGTCATCCTCGAACCCACGGTGGAAGAGGAACAAGAAACTGGAACCCGGTAACAAAATCATGGTCCGTTCCTCAAATACTCGTGTTCGCTATATGCTGAAGATTCTACAGCTTCCTATTCGACAATTGCATTATGATCAAGGGATATGGGGTTCGGACACCGAAAGCTTCAGTCCGGAGAGGTTCCTTGGATCCAATCTTTCCAAAAGCCAGTCTTACCGTCCCTGGGGTGGCGGACATACTCTTTGCCCAGGACGCCACCTAGCCCGGCGATCTGCAAATACTTTTGTGGCGGTCTTACTCTGGAAGTACGACATAGAGGTCGAGACTCATCGAACTCCCAAAAGTGACGGGGCCAGGCCATCGCCTGGAGTGGTCACCATTGGACAAGGTGAAGATGTCATGTTACGGCTGCAGCCAAGGACATAAGCTGCAAATATAATTGCATGAGATGCAAAGCCTGTAGATATCAATGGGGCCTATAGATCCAGACTCTTCCACACTAAAGTTGAGATTTTTAGCCGGGGAAAATAACATCTCATGAGTTGCTGGATACGAGTTGGGTACGGAGACTGCCGTTGGTTCTCGGCTGATTTGCAATACGCAAGACATCTATTTGATGATTAGAGATGCGATTGACCGGCATAGAGTCAGATCAGCATGGTCAAATCGGTGCTTATTTAGGAAAATGCTCAAGATTGGGTTGCTGGAAACTTGAAACTTGAAACCATGAATACAATGGACGAGGGTAGATCATCCGTGACAGCAATCCTAACAGACCAAAACTCGAGGTTCTGAGAGCCTCGAGGATGTCTTACTATAAGTCCCGCAAAGTCTCAGGTCGGGGTGCATCATGGGCGGCAATCTTGCCAAGGAAAAGCAGACAATGCTTGTGAGCTTACCGGTCGAGCTGGCACTGAGTTCAGACACGAGAAACACTCATGCGATAGTAAGAGAATCTCACTCTCATTTATTGAGATGAACGAAGACTGCGTTTGACTCTCCATAGTCATTAACGGAATACTTGCAAGCTCGAGATCTTTCGACCTCTCGACTTCTCGTTTTGACTGCCTCTTGAATATCTTGAATGGGAAACCTGGGAGACTTCACTTAGTCATCAGATGAAAGTTGGTAAGACGATGGATCGCGCATGGTAGGTCTAGTTAAGCAAGCCACACAGAAAATTTATCCGAGGGCTGAGACAGTGTTGCTGCATGATATACATGATCGCTCACCCCTGTTGCAGAACACCATGATTGGTTCGATCTCAGCCCCAATGCCCAGCTGCTCATGAAACCCACATGCAGAAAAGCAAATCGTTCTCGCCCGAATAATAAATACGGCAGGACGTTTACAATACCGACATTAGGGTTCAAGCGCTTGCTCTCGGCGATGAAGCCATGAGACGATGATGTCAGGGGTCGGAGCCCAGGACCAGTAGTATATAGGATTATAGGATTCATGCTTCGCGAAGTTGATCGCCGTCCCGTAATTCGACCTGCTCATCGCTGAGAACCCCAACATGATGGATGATAACATATTCAGTGCACTATTTTGCATTGCATGTGTGCTATATTTCTTGAACAGCTTTGGGATTGACTCATTTGTATGTGTAATCATAGTTAAAACCGAAACAATCAAGTAGCGAAACAAGGCTGCTGACACCGCCTTAGCTCCTTGAGATGACATCTTTTCCGAAGATCGACAGAATTACAAACACTATAAATGCCACAGTTGCAGACTTTGTGGGTGCACCCCTTCAGGATTCCAGTTACTGTGCTGAACGAATCGCTCATAGCGATCCGCCAGATACTACAACCCATGGAATACTTCTAAACCGATAATCGTGACAGAAAAGGAGCAGCTCTTAGAGCTCAGTGAAGCCTCTACTATTCTTTCGCAGCGGGCGGTGTATGCAGATGTATGTCCCATTATCTTGACGTCTCAATCGATCTAAAATAATACCAAGTGCGTCGTGGCTGACCAGTAAGATGTTCGGGTTCAAGCACACGCTGAATAACTTCAATCATGATGAAGTTGTGAAAGCGAAATCTCGACTACTGGGTAGATTGATACAGGTTCAGGGAACTAGTAATCTGCCCAAGCTATTCCCGTACCTGGTCAAACGAGCCCGAAAGAGTCTCGGCGAGCAGCTCACACTAGGCGAAATGTGCTCTGATGGTATATCACTTCCCATAGCCTGTACAGTTCGAACTGTCACTTCAAGAATCATGGGTGTCTTGTTTTTCGGCGAAACAATCTCTTCTGACCCTGTTTTTGCCGACGCACTGCTACGTTACCCCAAGGAAATGGTTTCATGTATGGCTGCTTTTCAGGTCACCCCTTCATTTTTGTCTTCGTAAGTCTTCAAGCTGCAGGCAAGATGTCGAGATAGAACTCACACACGAAAACAGTGCCGTGCATAGCTTGATCACCAAGCGGTAAAAAGCTCAGCGCATTATTCTTGACCGACTCTCTCTCATCATGGGCGCCGGACGGAACACATGGGACGACAACCCCGCGCTAAAAGAGGTAATCTGCAAATAAAACCTCGATTTCAATACAACCAAATACCCGCTAACCTCTCTGAAGCTCACTTTTGCGTGGAACATATCTTCCATAACCTCAGATAGTGATTACTGGAACGGTCCCGAGCATCTCGCTCAAACTCTTCTAGGAGTCTGGTTCGCAGCTGCGCACCAACCCTGGATGAATCTTGACTTCATATTTCTACAGCTATGCCGAAATGCCGATATCCAGGAAGCATTGAGGAAGGAAATTGGCACGCTCGAGGGATTAACATACGAGAAACTCATGAATCTCCCATTTCTCGACAGTTTCATCAAGGAAACGGTGCGCTTGCATCCTTTGGATAAACTAGCCGTGCGAAGGAAAGCTCTCAAGCCTTATACGTTCGCTTCCGGTTCTCCGAACGTACCAGCTGGTGCCACAGTTGCTGTATCGTCTTACGACATGATGCACAAGAGCATCGATTATCCATCTCCGGAAGAGTTTCAACCGCGCAGGTTCATGGATAGTGATACTTCGGTGAGAGGAACGAAGTTCACAGAAGTCTCGGAGAAATTTCCTGTGTGGGGTTATGGGTCGCTTGCTTGGTGAGTACTCACTAGTCCACAGCGCGTTTTAGGATTCACTGACGGTCGCCCTTCGCAACTTCAGCCCAGGTAGATTCCACGCGAGCATCGTTATGAAGCTTGTCATTGCGCATTTTGTCATGAGATATGATATGAGGCTTGAAAATGAAGAAGCAAACACTTCATGGAGTTGGGAAACTTTCATCATGCCCTATGAGTCCACTAGATTTGTACTCAGAAAGCGGGAGGACTGATGAGAAATTCCGGGGTAGACGTACCTACTTGTTGCCTTTTTCTAGTTTATAGAGACATATTGGGTGTCTAGCTGTCTTGTACTCCTTGAGAAATGCGTCTCGGGGTAGGCTGGGAAGTCTCGAAGTAGCCATGCATAACCAGGTGCTCCAAAATGCATAATTATATGCCATACCAAGGAAAAAAGAATGTGATAAGAAACAAGTTATATTCTATGACACGTCTAGTGTGGGGTATCCTAGGAGATTACATACAGTCTTGTAAATAAGAGTGAAACAAGCATTAATGATAGTGGTGAAAAGAAGTGCAGATGAACAAATACAAACCAGAATGGGGTTGAACCCTCGAACTGAACGCCGCGCACAAGTTGTGGGCATACATGAGATAGGAGTTGAATCCTAGAAAGAAATTTGGCAATTTAAGAAAGAAAAAGACATATTATGCAAGAGGTAAGACAACCTGAGAGACCCCGGCAGGTACAGGGGAAGTGATGGTCGAATTAAATCATTTCCTCGACGCCCCCTAATGCCCATTTTTTGTCCCATTCCTTCTTTCCAACAGTTCCCTCAAAGACCAGGCGGGTCATTGGATTGAGAGTTTTGTATTCCGGTTTATTCAGGGTGTCGAAAGCTGGTTTGTGGGCACGAATCTCCTCATCAGATGGCTCTCTGAGCCAGACCTTCACCACCGGCTCCCCACTAGGCAAAGCGTCGCTCAGTAAATTCATTGCGGCTGGCCACCCCTTTGCGTCGCGGAACGAATAGTCAATCATTATTCGCAATGCGAGTTCGATCGTGGTTGCACAGATCTCAAAGACCACAATGTCGCTGTCCGTGCTCTGTTGCTCCCGCACTCCTCGCAAATAATAATGCCACCGGAGTAAATTGTTTGCGATGAGACGATTTTTATCTCCCTCAGAATCTCTGAGCCACCATTCCAATTCCGTGGAACTTTCGCTTTCGGTGCCAGCGTCCGGCTGCGCAGATATTTCTGCCTCGCGCATTTCCGCCTCATATACTTGTTGGATCGTCTTGAGAGTGACGTCTTCTTTCCCGGAGCTTTCAATGAGCATCATGAGATCAATCAAGTCTACCATGGAATACCTCAGACATTCCATGACGTGAAAGTCGTCCTGGCGGAACGTGCTAGTGGATTGCTTAGCGGCTTGACTCACGGGCGATACGATGACGCGCGGCGGGTATTTGCAATTCGAGAGAATCGACTGGGCTTCGGAAGCCATATCCTTGTTTACGGCCATCACAGAGGCCAGACCGGAATTATCTTCGGCCAGAAATGTCAGGCAGCATTCTGGGCCCTCAGCCCCTACACCCGAATGGTCGCCGGGGATGACCTGGATAAATCGGTCCTCTTTGAGGTATTCGAATATCTGATTGTTGATCTCCCGTGGGAAGGGTAGTTCGCGTTGAGGTTGGAGGCCTAGAGGGCAGATGGTCAGTCATGTTTGCTCTTACCCTTTTTATTTTCCGGTATCTTTATCTTGAACTTCGTACCTGTAGCTCTCGATTTCTTGGCTGCGGATGGCTCCTGCTTCGACGACTCGCCACTCTTCCCTTTCTGGCTACTCATGATGATAGTAGATAACTGGGCTGTTCAATGGCTGATTTGGGAAGCGTTTGGCCAAAAACACTCGTGGAACTTGAATGGTGCAGAAAATAGAAAATTTGTACTGTGTATGATAGTCAAGACAATGGATGGAGTTCTTTACCCACAAATCTCCAGTAAACACTGACTTTTATACCTTTCATAGTGATACTAATCGTGATTCACCAGTTGCCAGAAATTGACTCATCGTAATGTAATGTCATGGAGTGCTTGGGTATTGAGCTGTGAGTGTTATACAGCGGCTGAAATGTGATGGCATAATCACAGTACCGCAATGATCGAACTCCTTTGCTCAGTTAGGCACTATATGAAGAATGAGAGCGTATGATAGGAGAGGCCGGCGGATTTGAAGCTGGATTTCGTTCCGTGGTTGATGACGGCGTGATGAGATAGCGGGAAACCCATTGTGATAATGTATCTACTTCAGGGTCGGAACCGCAGATTCGACATTGAAGCTGACTTGAGAGCTTATTAAGACTGTGGGGCTGACGAGGCTGGAGCTTGTTAGCTGTATCAAGTGAGTGGCACAGAAAATTAAAGGGTTTGAGCTGTGCGGCCGAATCGTGGACATCTCCCGTCTTTCCCACGTGCACTTGATTTTCCTATTATTGATTTCGCATCATAACCAATGATATTGCGGCTCATCCTTTCGAGATCTACTCAATCACTCGCTCAGCCGTTTTCCCGTGTAACCTTGTCAAACAAGGCGGGGTAAAGCAATGAAATACGCACAGTGACTGTAATGAAGCCTATGAGAAAGAATTAGCATGAGTCACTACAGTGACACACTGCGTATTGCCACAATTCCAAGAATATCTCCGATTGCCACTGCTTAGCGATGGTTCTCAGTAGGTCGGTCCCGTTTCTACCATCATTGTTGTGCACCGCTAATTCCAACTCACTTTCAGGTTAATAATCGGATAGTCAGCAATACTAGTCGTAAACACACAACGACTAACTAATATCGAAACTGGACTCCATGAGTTATTACCCACTGCCTGCACAAGCGTCATTCGCGGATCATGTCTAGAACTCGACATTGACTTGACGTTCAGCACCAACCCCAAAATACTTGCTCAATTTCCCAAATTCTTCGCCTCAATCGCGCATACTTCTGATTACATGCCCCTCTCCAGAATCTACAAGCCCCACTTTTCTATCCGCAATAGACCATTTCATTTCAGCAGCTTCTTCACATCATCGTCCATTGCAGGATACGTAAGTAAAACCCGCTATAACAATCAAAGAGCCCACAAGAAGTGTGCTGCACGAGTAATTTCCGATCCTAGTGATGACCGAGGCGGATGGCGTTGAAATCGGGTGAAGGGGTGGAAATTCCTTTCAGACCGAGGAACGCATTCGGGCATCTGATGAGAAGGACGCACGACTTAGCACCGCGCGCATCGCAGCACCGAACTCGGACCTGCTCAAACATCGCATGCGCGAGTTGAGCCTGACCCCGGCTCTGGCTCATACTAGTGACGGCAGCAAATATGGCGGTGAGCAAGCAGGCGCAAGGGCAGCGTGTACAGCTCGGAGATGTAGAGGCGCGGCAGAGAGAACGGTGATCGCTTCCTTGCCCGATTTCAGGACAAGACGGCGGGTCTAGAGAGCAGCGAGAACGAGCTAGACGTCAATGCCATCCTCTGTAAGGCCGGGCGCATAAACAGGACTCCTAGAGAGGTCGAAGAGACAAACCTGACCGAGTTAGACGGCTAATGGGACAAACCAAGAGATGGATTGAGGGCGCAGAAACTTGTATCATCGCGGCATCGTTCGGGGGCGATGACTTGTGAGCTACGCATCTTGGAATATTGGGATGGAACACTGTCAGCGGGGTTCTGGTCTTTCCAGGCTCCCTGCTGGAACGGTGAGCAGAGAGACAAGCATGTCATGGTTCAAGCACATCGGTTCGTGCTTTCCATTACGCGGCACATTCGCAATGTCCGCGTAGCGGCTGCTCAGCAAACATTTGGCTGTCAATACAGCTCTTGGGCACTTCCTTGACAGATGCTTGCCCTGTCGACTTTTTGATATCAAATCAGGGAAAGCCACTTCTTGGCCGGGATATAGCGATGGCGACACAGTGTGTATACTCGGTTAACAAGGACGTGATTCACATAGTCATTCCGACTTTTTGATATACCCATAGTATCACTCCGTCTCTCATGTCGTGCGAGATATTGTACGATCACAATCTAAGCACCCTAGACTATGACGTTATTCTTGACTATCGGCGAGATGGGTAATCCCTGCATTGCGCCTAGCCAATGGCATTCGACAGCAGGCAGCGGTTTCAACGCATCGGAGTTTCGTTTCATGAGGGTTGACAGAGCCATCTCGCACGACCTCGCGCGAGAAGAGTATATAAAGGAGACGTAGAATGTGCATGAAAGGCTGCGATGGAAGCATATACATAAATCGATTGACACATCCATCTACGAACCTTCCATCCACCTGTCTGGACGCCTTCGACCAAACAACACATCCATTTCTACCGAAAATCAGTCAAAATGCGGGTAGTCTCTCTCTTCCTTGCGGCTCTTGCCCCCATCTTCGTCAGTGCTGCCGCTCTCCCCGCAGCCGCAAGCGTTTGCGACACCTCTCCCCCACCCCCGTGCCCCGCAGATGCGCCAGTAAGTCGCCCTTGCTATTGCTAACTGAAGAGCACAAATGAAACATGAGGAAGCTGATATCTCTGTGCTCTCCAGAAATGGTGCATCATTCCGCCCAACTCTTTCCCCGGCAAAGAGACCTGCGTATGCTGCGCAGCCCCGTAAGGCTGAATGTGCGGTACGTGGAGGAGGGAGACTGGAGATGGAACGTATGGGGGCACTTGTCATACTCGATCTGTTTCGCAAAGGAAACCCTTGAGGATATTCTGAGATGGTTGCCTACACTTCAACTATGTTCTATTGTCACTTATTGCCTTAAGCTTACGCCAAATCCTATATTGCATCCATGCTTGTATTAAGGAAACGTGTGGTCTTGGAAAGCCTTTTCGTGTGCTGAGTCCTGTACTGAGGTTTATGTAGGTCCGCTAGGCTAATTTAAGACTATGTTATAGAGGTAGTATAATATATATAAATACAAATCCAGAGCGATGTATTCGCGGCGCAGATGATATTGTTGCTAATATAAGCTTAAATGCAAAATTTGTTTATTGCCATCTGTTATCTTATTAATCATCTATCGCGCTTATCTCAACCAATCAGAGCGCCTCAACTTTCCTATCTCTAGCTTATCTCTGTAATCTATCGCGGCAGTTTCTTATCTCTGTCCTATCTAGCAAACAGAAAGATATTATATCACGGCGCAGGGTACTTGGAGAATGAGTGTGCGCATGTAGTATATATAGATAATTATCCTGCCCTACCATCATCTGCAAGTCATTTAATCAAATCCATCTAAACTGCACTGCGTAGCCCAACAAACACGACTCACATACACATACAACTGCAGAAGAAAACATGGCTGGTGGACCCGCTCCCACAGGGCCCTCCGCCTCACCATTGGGCCAGGCTTGGGGCTATGGAATTGTACTTGGAATCGGGTTTTTGTTTGCGCTTGGGATGGTATGAGCACTTTCTTCCTTGTTTGTCGTTCTTACACCATCTACCTCTACATCTCTCTAAACACAGCGCTTTACCTAATTCCCTCTACATGACCCATTCGACTGTTAACCCACCCATATCCAAGAGAAATTGTAGTAGCCTAATAACTCTCTTTAGGTCTTCACAACATGGGCTCTTAAACGGTACAATAATGAGCTCCAAACCTCTGAGATGTTCTCCACCGCCGGGCGAACGGTGAAATCGGGACTTGTGGCGAGCGCAGTGGTTTCGTCGTGGACGTGGGCGGCGACGTTGTTACAGTCGAGCAGTGTTGCTTTTCGATATGGTGAGTCGTGGCTCCAAATATTCATCACTTGGCTGTTTATGCATGGTGGTGGTTGGGTAATGAGTGCTGTGCAGTGATTGTTCTAGAACTAACACAAAGACAACAGGTGTCTCGGGACCATTGTGGTACGCAGCCGGCGCAACGGTGCAGATTCTGTTATTTGCAACGGTGGCGATTGAGTTGAAAAGGCGGGCGCCGAATGCTCATGTAATTGCACACATACACCACTCTCCACAAGCTCGTTAGGTATGCTAACAATAAATCGCAAGACATTCCTCGAAGCCGTCCGCGCACGCTATGGAACCGCCACCCACTTTGTCTACATAGCTTTCGGCCTCTTTACCAACATCCTTGTCACCGCTATGCTCCTTACAGGTGGGTCAGCTGTTGTATCCTCGCTAACTGGAATTCCTACTGCAGCAGCGTGCTTCCTGCTCCCGTTAGGCGTCGTTATTTACACCATGTTTGGCGGTATTAAAGCGACTTTCCTTACTGACTATATTCACACGGTCATCCTACTCGTTATTATACTGGTATTCGCGTTTACGACGTTTGCGAGCGGCGAGCGACTGGGCTCGCCGCGGGCGGTGTACGATGCGCTTACGGATCTTGCTTCCCATTCTCCGGTTGAAGGGAATGAAGGAGGGAGCTATTTGACTATGAGGAGTAAGGAGGGTGCCATCTTTTTCGTGATTAATATTATTGGTAATTTCGGAACCGTGTTCATGGATAACGGGTATTACAACAAGGCCATTGCTGCGAGCCCGGTGCATGCGCTTCCAGGGTATATCATTGGAGGTGAGTGACAATGGTAAAAATGTGCCAGTGTTATGAATGGAGCTGACTGGTGTAGGTCTCTCTTGGTTTGCCATTCCGTGGTTGTGTGCGACCACTATGGGTCTTGCCGCTCTTGCGCTCCAGAGGTCACCATACTTCCCGACATACCCACATCTGATGACTGAAGCAGATATCAGCGCTGGACTTACGCTTCCTTACGCAGCTACTGCGATTCTTGGATCGGGAGGCGCTGTCGCAACATTGCTGATTGTGTTTATGGCGGTTACTTCTGCGTTCTCAGCTCAGCTTATTGCTGTCTCGTCTATCCTTACATACGACATCTACAACACTTACATAAACCCTAAAGCCAGTGGAAAAACACTTGTATGGACTTCACACGCTTGCGTTGCCGGTTTTGGACTTGTTATGGCTGCTTTTTCGACTGGCTTGCATTATGCGGGAATCAGCATGGGGTACCTCTATCTCTTGATGGGGGTAATAATCTCTTCAGCTGTACTTCCAGCTACGTTAACGTTGATGTGGAAAGGGCAGAATTTCTGGGCGGCTACGTTTTCTCCGGTACTAGGACTGTGCTGCAGTATTGTCGCGTGGCTTGTGACAACTTCCAAGCTTAACGATGGCGTTATTAATGTAACGACTTCTGGCGCTAATAATCCCATGCTAGCAGGCAATGTCGTCGCGCTTCTATCGCCCGCGATTTTCATCCCAATCTTCACTCTGGTGTTTGGGGTGGATACGTACGATTGGGTATCGATGAAGAACATTCGACTTGTGGATGACTCGGACGTCGCCGCTGCTGCAAATCTTGACCCTGAAGCGCTTATCAGCCACCACATGGAGCTGAGTCCAGAGGCTGAGGCTTTAGAGCAAGCGAAGCTACTCCGCGCCAGCAGGATTGCGAAAATCACTACGGCTTCGATGACGCTTATTTTACTTGTTCTCTGGCCTATACCATTGTATGGTACAGGGTATGTTTTTAGTCCATCTTTTTTCGCAGGATGGGTTATCATGGGCATCATATGGCTTATGTGCTCAACGGCTGCTGTTGGCGTCTACCCGTTGTGGGAGGGCCGAATGAGTCTTGCGAGGAACTTTGGCGGCATGTGGCGTGACATTACAGGGAAGGGCGCAAAGAGGCATGATGACCACGTCGAGGATTTTGCGGTTGTCGAGGGACATACGCTCAAAAAAGAGGTGGCGAGCGAGACACCCTTGAAGAATGAATAGTCAGCGTGTGTTGCCGAGTTGATGACTATTTGTAGACACAAGAATATACCAATTATTTGTCTACATTCTTTAAACGCCGCTTAAAATCTGTGCCTGATTTCTCCTGAGAGTATCTCAACACCAAGAAGGGGAGTTAAAGCTATTCCCAGTTTTTCAAGGACTTTATTGTCGACAAGCGTTTGCCGATGCATTATTAGCTTTGTTAGCTGACCATGCTTCCAAAATGCCACCTGTCTCGTATTCTAACAGTTGTAGCGCTTCCCGTGCGAACGGCACAGCTGTTCCACGTATTGTCAAGGCCCACTTCAAATCGTTCCACTGCCTCACGCACCACTCCATCTCATCACTATCCTCGGCAGTTGCCCACAACAAGCCCGCAAAGCCTCCTATCATGGCAATTTGGTAAGGAGCTACGCCACCCCAGAAAGCCGCAGTGTGTTCTGGTGACATGGAGTTCAAGAGTTGAACTGCGGCTTCCAGTTTTTGCCTAGCAGCACCCCGGACAACTGTATGAAGAGACCGCGGTGCTTCTGGTGTTAGAACACGGATAAGAGCCCGATAGAGCGCAATGATGACAGCATGGTAAGCCACATGAAGAGACGCGCTCGCACAAACGGAACGTTGATTGGATTTGGAAAATGCCAGGTCCTCGGTCAAGTCCGTCTTCCATTCCGAAAGTCTTATCAGAATTGGTTGCGCGAGATCAACGGCCGCACTGGCGCCAATTTCATCCAATGTGCCGCCCCGCCGGTGGACAATCCTCACATAGTATGTTCGATAGACCTGGTCAAGAATTTGGGATAGTTCAATATGGCGAAGAAATGATCTCCAGCCTGTTGGGGGAGCCACAGCACCCATACCTAAGCCTTCGAGCTTGCTATACTCTGGAAAATCCGAGGAAGAGCAAGGGCTAAGGTCCCAATCATCTTGAGAGAGCAGGATGGGTCGGCCATGTAAAAAAGCTGACCAACGATCCTGTACATAAAGTGCCCAACTCAGCCGCCGGCGAAGACCAGCTTCCCACTCTGGAATTGGCCATGATTCGCAGTTGACATGGAGCCCTAGATCGTAGGATATGGCTACAAGTTGGGCGTGAAGTCTCCAGATGGACGAATGTGGTCTTCCTAGTGGGTCGGTTCTACTCCTCTGTAAAAGTAGTAAACCAGCCTCCAGTGTGCTTAGCGTGGGTCTTTGCAAGTCCCTTTGGAGGGAAGCGTTGGCCACACTCTCAATATGAGCGATATCTGGCAGGCGAGTAGCATACCAAGTCGCGAGCTGACTGTCATGAATGCGCCAATCTAGAGCTAGCAGATATACGGCAGCGAGCAGGGAAGGAGCAAAGTGTCGGTGGGATGTTTGATGTTTGGTAACGAAGACGTCCTTGTGAAGGATAGGGAAACTGGGATGGACGAATTGAAAGTATAGATCGACTAATCTGGATCCCATGGGTTGCACAATTGCTTCAATAGAGTCGGCTTCTTTGCCTTCGGATGTAGCGGCGACTGCATCAGGATGTATCACGAACAGGGTGTGATCATCCATTCGCCGCACAAAGTTGGAGGGTGATGAAACATTGTGCCTCCTCAGGTCAAGAAGCATAGGGTCGCGATGATCGCTCGATCCTATAAATTCCGCATTGTTCACAGGGTCGAGACCAAGCGTGTTGTTGAGAATGTTGGGTAGGGACCGGACAAGACCGGTATCGACATTGGCATAGTCGTCGATGGAGAGTGAGACTTGGGCCGAATTAGGAAGTCGGGTTGAAGGGCTAGCAGTATATGTATCTCGTATATCTTCGGTTCGCTGTCCGCAGGCCTCGTCAACGACCACACCTGGGTCCACATTTTGGATGCGAGTAGATGGCCTACGCTGCTGTCTTCGGGCTTGTCCACGCCGAAAAGTGCACGTGAGACCATGGAACGAGCAGAGCACACAGCAGTCTTGTTCAATTTGCTTGACGCAGCGCGTCTTGCGAAGATAGCAAGTATCGCATGCTGGCTGAGAGCGAGATCGTGAATGCATTGGGAGATGTCAGCGATGGCCCCACACTGGATCGACTTGCGCGGTTCATGGTTTGAGTGCTATCTTTGCACTCACGTGATGTAGCCCGTCTGCCTTGCTAGGTGTCTAACCCACTCTGGTCTAGCTCAGCCACCATCACTGCGCCACGCCGCCGGCCCCTACGGCACTTTCGGACAGCCGGTCGGCCTCCGGTGGAAACATCTTTTATCTCTGAACCGTGGCCCCCCTTACATATTCTGTAGATTGACTCACAGCACCGGCGGTATGTGTTGCGATATAACTACAAGACTGCTAGGTCAGTCATCCTGGGAGGAAGCGACGGGTATGGTGCCTTGGGTTTCGATACTATCGACTTGATACCGGTCTCATCCACCATGGCTCAGCATACTGGCACACCACCACGAACCATTGCGGAATGGAAGACGGCTCAAGTCTCAGGCGGTGGGCTGGCGAGGCTCCACGCTCTTGTTGCCGCGGAGAGAGTTTCCAACCACCACACTCGAGCCTGGATATCACTCGCAACCGATGCCCACATTCAAGAACAATGGGCTGATCTACGCTCCCAAGACCTCCCATTGTACGGAGTTCCCTTTGCTATCAAGGACAATATTGACGCAAAATCATTTCATACTACTGCTGCCTGTCCTACTTTTAGTCGCGCACCAGCCAACGAGGACTGTCTCGTGGTCCAAAGACTGAAGACTGCCGGCGCCATTCTCATAGGCAAAACCAACTTGGACCAGTTCGCGACGGGGTTGGTAGGCACCCGCTCCCCCTATGGACCAGTGCCCAACTCAGTGGATTCAAGCCGTATCAGCGGCGGTTCGAGCTCTGGGAGCGCTGTTAGTGTTGCTCGAGGCATTGTGCCCTTCAGCCTGGGCACCGATACGGCTGGTTCTGGCCGTGTACCCGCTGGCTTGAACAACATCTACGGTCTCAAGCCAACACGTGGGGCATTGAGCACCCGTGGCGTTATTCCCGCCTGTCGTTCGCTGGACTGTGTCTCCATATTCGCCACAACAACCAGCGATATCGAATCGGTTTTGCGCATTGCTGAGGGTTTCGATGCTAAGGACGCATACTCGAGATCCCGCTGCCCATCACTTGCCAATGGTTTTGGCCAAGGCCTTCGTTGTAACCCTTCAAATACAAAACCAACTCTGGCCATTTGCCAAAATCCAGAATGGTACGGGCATGACGAACAGGCGTCTGCTTACAGGGACGCCCTACAAAAGGCCGAGAATATTGGCTGGAAGCTTGTGCCTATGCCCTTCGATAAGCTGTTTGCGCTTGCGCAACTTCTTTACGAAGGCCCATGGGTGGCCGAACGCTGGGCTGCGATTATGGGATTTATCAAGAATGCTGACGCTGAAATGGACCCCACGGTACGGACTATTATATCGAAAGCAGAATCTTTCTCAGCGGCAGACGCCTTCATTGCAGAGTACAAGCGACAAGACCTGACACGGGAGATTCTCACTTTATTTCAATCTTTTGATGGTCTTCTAGTGCCTACAAGCCCAACGTTTCCTACCCTTAAAGAGGTGGCGCTTGACCCCATTGGCGCAAATTCCAAGCTTGGCACTTACACCAACTTTGTCAATTTCTTAGATTGGAGCGCTCTCGCGATTCCTGCTGGGTTCCGCTCAGATGGTCTGCCTTTTGGCATCACCCTAATTTCAAACACGTGGCAAGAGTACGAACTGCTCAACTTGGCACGTCAATGGGGATTCTGTGAGGAAACCATGAAAGACACTCATGTCCATCCCCGTCAAATACCAAGCTCATTTCCTTCGAGTCTTAAGGCTATAGCTGTCGCTGTCGTCGGGGCGCACCTACGTGGGTTTCCCTTGAATGGAGACCTCACCAGTCGTGAGGCAAAGCTTCACCGAGCCACCAAAACTTCCCCATCATATCGACTTTTCGCTTTGAATGGTACTGTTCCGGCGAAACCAGGTCTTCGTCGAGCGATTGCCGGTGAACGCGGCCGTCAAATTGAGCTTGAAGTTTGGCACATGCCTGAAACTCAATTCGGCAGTTTCATGGCTACAATTCCTTTTCCTCTTGGAATCGGTCAAATTGAGCTCGAGGATTGCACGTGGGTCAATGGATTTGTATGTGAATACTCTGCACTTTCTGATGCCCTCGACATCACGAATTTTGGTGGTTGGAGAACGTACACCAATAGCACTCAGCTGTCAAAACAGAAGGCTATCAGAAGTGTTCTGATTGCCAACCGTGGAGAAATTGCTTTGCGAATATTACGCACAATAAAGAAGTTGGAATTAAAGGCAGTCACCATATATGCTGAGGCGGATGCTGAGGCTCCTCACGTTCGTGAGGCAGATTCTGCGCTACGATTGGATGGTATCTCAGTGGCAGAGACCTATCTCAATTCGAGGAAAATTCTTGAACTTGCGAAGACCGCCAATATAGATGCCATTATACCTGGTTATGGATTTCTCAGCGAAAATTCAAGCTTCGCAAAGCTTATTGAAGAGAATGGTATAACATGGGTGGGACCAACAGCTCAGCAAATGTCTGATCTGGGGCTGAAGCATCGCGCCAGAGAAATTGCCCAACAAGCTGGTGTTCCAACCATACCAGGAAGCCCGGGGCTAGTCGACTCGCTGGAACACGCAATCATCGAGGCAGAGCGCATCGGGTTTCCACTCATGCTCAAAAGCACAGCTGGGGGTGGTGGTATCGGATTACGTCATTGTGCTGATATGAAAGGCCTCGTGGATGCTTTCAAAAGTGTACAGCGTCTCGCTGCTGCAAATTTTGCTGATGACGGGATGTTCCTGGAGCGATATGTTTGCAATGCTCGTCACGTTGAGGTCCAAATTCTTGGAGATGGCAAGGGTCGAGCGATTGCAGCCGGAGAAAGAGACTGCTCTCTCCAAAGACGTCACCAGAAAGTCATCGAAGAGGCTCCGGCACTCATGGTTCCCTCTCATATTCGTGCTCAGATGAGGGCGGCTGCGGTTCGAATGGCTACAGCCGTTCAATATCGCAACGTTGGCACCGTTGAATTCATCTATGATGTCGACACACACGAATTTTACTTCCTCGAAGTAAATACAAGGCTGCAGGTGGAGCACCCTGTGACGGAGAATGTAACTGGGCTCGACTTGGTGCAATGTATGATTGAAATAGCCGATCAAAAGTGCGAACATCTCTTCACTAGGTTCGGAAATGGCGAGGCGACCTGCACCGGAGTTTCTATTGAGGCTAGGATATACGCTGAAGAAGCTCTACAATCATTCAGGCCATGTGCCGGCCGTATATCTCGAGTGAGATTTCCACAGGGCCTTCGGGTAGACACGTGGATCGAGGAGGGCATTGAAATCTCGACGAATTATGACCCAATGTTGGCGAAACTTATCGCAACCGGAAATAATCGTAAAGAGGCAGTGAGCGAGCTGGCCCGCGGACTAGCGGAATGTGTCATTGAAGGTGTTGAGAACAATCTGGATTATCTGCGTCAGATTGTTAGTTCGGACGAACTTCAATCAGGATCATACACCACGAAGACGCTCGACTCGTTCCAATACATTGCACCCTGTATAGAGATTCTCAACCCTGGAGGAAATGTAACAGTACAGGACTGGCCAGGGAGGACAGGTCTATGGAACATTGGCGTCCCCCCTTCTGGTCCCATGGACAGTCTGTCTTTCAGACTTGCCAACAAACTGGTGGGGAATGAGGAAAACCTTGCCGCCTTGGAATGTACCATGCAAGGCCCATCTATCAAGTTTCATTGGGATACAGTCATTGCCGTTACTGGTGCTCACTGTGGGGTTCAGTTAGATGGAGTGCCCCTTCATATGAACCAAGCCATTTCTGTTCAGGCGGGACAGACCCTAGAATGTGGCATATTCCATACCGGATACCGGATTTACATCTCGTTTGCTCACGGCATCAACGTGCCAGCTGTGATGGGAAGTAAGTCGACATTTGAACTTGCTAACATCGGTGGCTTTCACGGTAGGCGTCTGGAAGCAGGCGATATTTTGAAACTCCACAAGACTGCTCTTCAAGGGACGCAGATTGTGTCGTTAAACTCCCAGGTCCCAATTCCTCCCCAGCCTAATGCGAGATGGATCATAGGAGTCATTCCAGGACCACACGGAGCTCCAGATATGTTCACTCCTGAGGGCCTCCAAGCTTTGTTCGACGCAGAATGGGATGTTCACTACAACAGCAATCGTCTTGGAATCCGCCTTCGTGGTGTAAAACCGTCATGGGCCCGCCAGAATGGTGGGACCGCTGGACTCCATCCCTCCAACATACACGACGCACCGTACTCTATAGGAAGTGTCAGCTTCACAGGCGACGAGGCCATTGTGCTTTCTGTCGATGGTCCCAGCCTTGGTGGCTTCGTAGTTTTTTGTGTCATAGCTTCAGCAGAACTCTGGAAGCTTGGCCAGATTCGGCCTGGCGATACAATCCAACTACAACCTATCAGTGTTGAAACCGCAATGAAGCTTGAAGTGTTCGTAGAACAACATCTTCAGACCATGGAAATTCCGGATGTATTGGGCCAGATCTTGGCTGCAGAAACCCTAAGTGACACTGGGCTATTCTCAGGGGTGGTCGGCGATTTCACTCATAGAGGTACAAAGGTCACAGTCCGACAAGCCGGCGATTGTGCCGTGCTAATGGAGTTTGGGCATGAGGACAATGGTTTCCGCATACATCAAAGTTTTGATATTGTCTCTTTCATAGAACAGCATCATGAACACCCAATCCCAGGCATCGAAGAACTAACTCCTGGCGTTCGCTCGATTCATGTTAAGTACACGGCTCAAATCACTCCTTTAGAAGCTCTTTCACGCCTTATTGCTTTTGCTGGCTCCTACGACTTTTGCAGCAAGATAAAATCGCGCCTGGTCAGACTTCCATTCGCATTTGACGACAAAGTCAGCCAAACAGCGGTGCAGAGATACGGCGAGACTATCCGATCTGAGGCTCCATGGCTGCCGAGAAATGTCGATTTCTTGAAAAAGCTCAACGGTATTGATGATCTAGAACCTATATTCTACCAATCACCATTTCTGATAGTCGGCCTTGGCGATGTTTTCCTGGGATCACCGTGCGCTGTATCGCTAGATCCCCGGTGCAGGCTGTTTGGCACAAAATACAATCCGTCACGGTCGCATACCCCAAGAGGATCTGTGGGTTTAGGTGGACAGTATATGTGCATATACGCCATGAATTCGCCTGGGGGTTATCAACTAGTTGGAAGAACAACAGAAATATGGAATAAACCTTCCATGTCAACAGAGAGCCCGCCAATCCGGATCCGCGATCTTAATTCTAAACTGCCGTGGTTGTTCCGCTTCTTCGATCGCGTCATATTTTACCCAGTGTCAGAGTCAGATCTCGACACCAAATCACCAGAAGAGCTGATCACCGTGACTGAGGGCGAGTTTGACCTCTTTGAGTACGAGGCGTGGCTTGCTGAACACGATAAAGAAATCCGATTGAAGGAACAACATTACACCCATTCTCGAGATTCAGCCCCCTTCTTCGAGGAGTTGACTAAGCCATATGAAAGTGATCAAAAACATTTGACCCAATATTTGTGGGAAAAACCAGGGGAAGTTGTCCGAGCTCATATGCCTGGGCGCTGCTGGAAGTTACTCATTCAGGAGGGTGACGCGGTGAAGAAGGATCAGATATTGGTAAGTCATACATCTTCATAATACCCGCTTCTTTACAAAGTCGTAACTGAATTTGAAATTATCAGGCATATTTGGAGTGCAGCAAGATGGAAATTCAAGTGTCTAGTCCAGTCGACGGTGTTTGTGTCAAGCTCAATGTACAGGAGGGCTCTTTGATTCAAGCTAGGGACATTTTGGCTGTGATTACCGACAGCTTGACGAAATTGCCGAGTCAGTTTATAGGAAACTAAGCAACGAGAACCCCTTAAAATTCCCACAACAAATAAAAAAAACAATACCTCACATGAGAAACTCATTATTAACTATGAGTTAAAATCGCCGCCTTCTGCACTAAAGTATCACACGCCAACTGTTGCAACCATTAACTGAGAGAATGGCCAACCCATTCCTGCCCTAACCTTACACGTTTCTATTACTTGCACATACCTTAATGCATATGCAACCTTATGCAACACTAAATTCCATAGCTTAAATTGCTAAATACGCTTCTGCAGATAAAGATAAACAAGACAAAGCTTAGAGCAGACTATCTCTTAATGCTAACAAGCATGGCTAACCTAGAGGGCGACGAGCGTACCATAGTTCATAACCTTAACACTACAAATCCGTACATCTCCACTGGATCGTTGGGACGTCGTATACGTCACTACGTCAAATGCGCTCAATGGCTAACCTAGCGTCAACTGAGGCCTGTAGTTAAAAACGCTGCTTAGCTCCATTCGCGCCTAGTGCTGCTCTATTCTCTTATAGCATGCAAAAGCCCAAGCTTAAGCTTACAGTATTGTCTGAAGTAGCAAGTCTATTGTGTATACAGCTAGCACGCTATCCCCTTCTACACTGCATTTAAGGTACTATTATGCCGTGCTATGGCTCTTTTCCAACTCGTAAGCTATCAACAGGTTCAATCACTCACTCACCTCAAATACCCTCTGAGAACTGTCTCCTTACAGGTCCGTAGCGATAAATAGGCTGAGCAAGCTGACAACTCTTGTCACCGTGCTACGCAGATAGGAAGCAAAGACCACAACTAGTGTCACAATAGATCTCAAACGTAGGATGGTTTTTCACACTCTGTATATTCGACATCTCTCTATGTTAGGTGCTTCTCCTCCTTATATACCACATAAGAAGCAGCTATCCTAGGTTGCCCTGCACTCCTGTTGCTTCAGCTCATCAAACTGAGACCGGAGAGAGCTCTTCCTTTGTCTCAATACCTAGCTTCTTCCTTGTACATAGGAAAAGCAATGGCGACAGCCAGGTAGGTGCCTGTGGGCACGTACAACTATCATTCAGTACACCTAAACAATCAGTCTATCTAATGGCAACTGAGTGCCCGCAGAGTAACAAAAGAAAATTTTGTAATGGGTGTCCTGCCACGGCACACTATTATTAAACTAATAGACTATTTAGTAGGAAATATAGAGCTACTGCTCTATTATTGCTATTGTATTATACTATACAGTTGCTAATTTGTTAGTATATAAGTAGATTCTATAACTGTTTATTTTAATGTATAAAAAAAATTATTTTATCTAATACTAGCTTGTATCTTTTAATATAAAAACTTATAGTATTATTTTAGTATCGTTCTAGTAAGTTTTTACTACTTCTTTATTAAAAGTAAAGAAAAGTTTTTAATTTAACTTTCTACTTTCTTTACTATAAGTACTAGTAATAAAAAAAAGTAACTAGTATATATAAATAACTATATTTATAACTTAGTATATAAATACTTATTTATAAATTTTAAGCTTAACTTTATACTAGTATTTTAGTAATATTATACTTACTAGTAAGTTTAAAATAACTTTATTTATATATAATTAGTAAAAAGAATACTTTTATAGTATTTTATATTTATTTTAAGTTATAACTTACTTTTATAGGATTTAATATTTACTTTAAGTAATAACTTACTTTTTAAAAATATAATTAAGTTATTATTTTATAATTTTACTTTTATTACTTTTAGTATTACTTACTAGCTATTTATAAGTTTTTTTTAATTAAAAGTTATAATTATTATAAAATAAGCATAGTTTTAAGTATATAGTATAAAATAGGCTATAATATTATAAAAAGGTACTGTGCCGTGGCAGAACACTTATTACAAAATTTTTCTTTGTTACTCTGCGGGCACTTAGTTGCTATTAGATAGACTAATTGTTTAGGTGTACTAATTAATAGTTGTACGTGCCTATAGGCACCTACTTAGCTGTTGCTACTGCTTTTCCTATGTATAAGAAAGAAGCTAAGTATTAAGACAAAGGAAAAGCTCTCTTTAGTCTTAGTTTAATAAGCTAAAGCAACAGGAGTACAGGGCAACCTAAAATAGCTACTTCTTATGTAGTATATAAAGAGGAGAAGCACCTAATATAGAAAGATGTTAAATATACATAGTATAAAAAACTATTCTACATTTAAAATCTATTATAATACTAGTTATAGTCTTTACTTTCTATCTGCGTAGCACAGTAACAAGAGTTGTTAGCTTGCTTAGCTTATTTATTGCTATAGACCTGTAAGAAGACAGTTCTTAAAGGGTATTTAAGGTAAGTAAGTAATTAAACCTATTAATAGCTTACAAGTTAGAAAAGAGCTATAGCACGGCATAGTACAACTAAAGTAAGCTAGCTTTAGTTAAGCTGTTTTAGTTATATGTAGTACTAAAAGTATAAAAATTAGCTATAAAGCAAATATATTACACAACTATATAAAAAATAATATAAAAAAATACTAAATAGTATAAATTTATCTATCTTTAAATGTAAATATTACACTTTAGTTAAATCTACGCTATTTTAACTATATTATAATATTAAAATTAATTTTATACTTATATAAAGAATAACCTAGATTTGTTAGATATTACAGTAATTTATAGTAATAACTATTATAATAAAAATTAATAATTAATTCTTTGTCTCTTTAGACCTTATAACTTTGCTATACTCCTTCTTACTTTAAGTAGAGAGCTAGTGTGCACAGGTGCACACCTATTTATTATATAGCTATACTTTTACTTATAAATTGCACTACTTATTTTAATATAATCTAGTTAGATTAGCAGAGTTCCCTTAGCTTAATTAAGCCTTATTGTAACTCTACTGTAGTTTACAGTAATTTATTACTTCTTATTTAATATACCCTTTTAGTTTAGCTAACCTAGGCAATTCTATAGTAACTTTTAATAATTCTGTAGTGTTCTAGATTAGTTAAGCTAGAAACAACTTACTTAATTAGGTTTCTTTTATAGACAGGTTAAGAGCTTTCTTTATTTTATAGTTCTCTATTGTTTCTAATTTAAGTTAAGATAGAAAGGGAGCCTATTTATTTAGTGCTAATACCTTAGTAAATCTATTAGCAATTATTTTACTAGTTAGATAGTAGATTATAGTAATTTTACTATAATTTACTGCTTGCCTTAGCTAGTAATTATAGATATCTACATAGCATAGCTTAGTAACAAGCTTTGCACGTTCTTTTATTAGCAAACGTATTATTTACTAATTATTGTATTATATTTTAATTACCTTTAGTAGTTTAATCTCTAGTTTTAGCATAAGCCTTTTAATATACATTAATTCTTTAGCTACTTAAGTAAAAGCAAGTAACTTAGCTTTAGTTGTTAATATAGTAACAGTGTCTTATTTATTTACCTTCTACGCAATAAGTCCCTTAAATAGCTTAATTATGTATTTTTAAAAACTTCTTCTATTTATTATATTATTAGCAAATAAGGCATTACTTACTACTTAAAATTTATCTTTTTCTTCTATCTAAAGTATAATTTTCTAGGTTTTATAAAGGTAAAGAAGCACTCTATTAGCAGCTTAATAGTGCTCTAATAATAGGTTTGCAAAAAAATAAGCAAGTTATAATATTATAAATAATATATTTAGTTGTGTAGTTGTAGCTGTAAACAGCAGAGATCTAATCTTTTATTAGTATTAATTAATTTTAGAGGGCGTTGCTAGTCTGTTGTAAGGTTTAAGCTTAATTCTGCTTATAAGTGTGTTATGCTAGACTCTCTTATTATCTACTAACTTATTAATTTTATTAATGTACGCTTTTTATAATAAGTAGATAGTTTTCTTCTCTTTATTACAAATAATCTCTATGCTAAAAAACTACTATAGGTCTTTTTCTCTAGTTATAGTAAAGCACTATTATAGTTATTTTATAGTATATTAATATTTTTTTTCTTTAGCTAAGTTGTAGGCAAAAATAATATTATTAATATAAAAAAAATAAATACTTTATTCTTTACTATGCAGCAGAGCTTATGTAAAATTATAGTAAACCTTTATAATTATATAGTTATTATAAACTTTTGTTGCTATAATAGAGGCAAAATGCAAAGTCTATATAGTGCTTTTTAGACCTTTAAAAGTATACTAAAGAGTTAATACCTGCGTAGCATTTGCATATAGATGTTTTAATTAATTATAGCATAAATAAACGCATTAGTAATATTATATTATTTTAAGTTAAAATTATATTTAGCTGCTAAAGCTATAAGAAGTTAAAAGAACCTACTTATAAGTATAGCTGCATATGTATTCTGCAATATAATGTTTTGCTATTAATTTTTTTAGATAACTAGTTAAGCTTTGCACTTAACTAGTTAATAATGCTTATTAAGTTTATATATATAAACTTATATATAATTAAGAATTTATTGCTTTAATTTTTATATTAGAAACGCAAAAACTTTAACTTATAATTTTATATTGTAATAGCTCTGTAGGTAACTCTTCTTTACCTTTTTAAACTAGAGTTCTATTAAGTAATTTTGTAAATCTTTAAATAATTTTAAAGGCTAAGAGAGGTTTTTAAAGTATATCTTTACCTCTTAAAAAAGCATCTAGCATAGTTTTGCCTTATTAAAAGTCTTTTTATTATATGTAGCAATTAGCGCTGCTTAGGTGCTAGCTATAAAAGCAGCATACTATAGCATAGTTTTAGCAGTTAGTTTATTACTTAACTTTTCTAGTTTTAGCTTTCTAAAAAGCTAAGTAAGCAATGCTACTAGAGGTAGTAGAGTATTTAGTAGAGTTAGGTAAGTACTAGTTCTTTAGTCCTTATACTATAATCTACTGTAATTTGTAGTGCCTAAAGAATTATAATGTAATACTAAGTTATTTTATAGTAGTTTATTCTTATAGAACGTTTAAAGCTTTAGGTTTTATCTTAGAGGTTGTAGAGCTACTATTCTAGCTTAAACTTTAATTTCTTTAGTTGTTTAGTAGAGAAGGCTCTCTTTAATATTATTTTTTTTTCTATTATAGGTTGTTTATTTATTAAAGACAACGTCTTAGGTGCTAATTGTTTTTCTAAGTAATAGTATTTATATGCGGTAGATG